CACACCCTAACACCCAACACCCTAACACCCTAACCCCCTAACACCCCAACACCCACCACCCTACCCCCACCCCCAACACCCTAACCCCTAACCCCCAAACACCCAACCCCCTAACACCCACCCCCAACCCCCTACCACCCTAACACCCAAACACCCTAACACCCTAACACCCTAACACCCTAACACCCTAACACCCAACACCCTAACACCCTAACACCCTAACACCCTAACACCCTAACACCCTAACACCCTAACACCCTCACACCCTAACACCCTAACACCCTAACACCCTAACACCCTAACACCCTAACACCCTAACACCCTAACACCCTAACACCCTAACACCCTAACACCCTAACACCCTAACACCCTAACACCCTAACACCCTAACACCCTAACACCCTAACACCCTAACACCCTAACACCCTAACACCCTAACACCCTAACACCCTAACACCCTAACACCCTAACACCCTAACACCCTAACACCCTAACACCCTAACACCCTAACACCCTAACACCCTAACACCCTAACACCCTAACACCCTAACACCCTAACACCCTAACACCCTAACACCCTAACACCCTAACACCCTAACACCCTAACACCCTAACACCCTAACACCCTAACACCCTAACACCCTAACACCCTAACACCCTAACACCCTAACACCCTAACACCCTAACACCCTAACACCCTAACACCCTAACACCCTAACACCCTAACACCCTAACACCCTAACACCCTAACACCCTAACACCCTAACACCCTAACACCCTAACACCCTAACACCCTAACACCCTAACACCCTAACACCCTAACACCCTAACACCCTAACACCCTAACACCCTAACACCCTAACACCCTAACACCCTAACACCCTAACACCCTAACACCCTAACACCCTAACACCCTAACACCCTAACACCCTAACACCCTAACACCCTAACACCCTAACACCCTAACACCCTAACACCCTAACACCCTAACACCCTAACACCCTAACACCCTAACACCCTAACACCCTAACACCCTAACACCCTAACACCCTAACACCCTAACACCCTAACACCCTAACACCCTAACACCCTAACACCCTAACACCCTAACACCCTAACACCCTAACACCCTAACACCCTAACACCCTAACACCCTAACACCCTAACACCCTAACACCCTAACACCCTAACACCCTAACACCCTAACACCCTAACACCCTAACACCCTAACACCCTAACACCCTAACACCCTAACACCCTAACACCCTAACACCCTAACACCCTAACACCCTAACACCCTAACACCCTAACACCCTAACACCCTAACACCCTAACACCCTAACACCCTAACACCCTAACACCCTAACACCCTAACACCCTAACACCCTAACACCCTAACACCCTAACACCCTAACACCCTAACACCCTAACACCCTAACACCCTAACACCCTAACACCCTAACACCCTAACACCCTAACACCCTAACACCCTAACACCCTAACACCCTAACACCCTAACACCCTAACACCCTAACACCCTAACACCCTAACACCCTAACACCCTAACACCCTAACACCCTAACACCCTAACACCCTAACACCCTAACACCCTAACACCCTAACACCCCTAACACCCTAACACCCTAACACCCTAACACCCCTAACACCCTAACACCCTAACACCCTAACACCCTAACACCCTAACACCCTAACACCCTAACACCCTAACACCCTAACACCCTAACACCCTAACACCCTAACACCCTAACACCCTAACACCCTAACACCCTAACACCCTAACACCCCTAACACCCTAACACCCTAACACCCTAACACCCTAACACCCTAACACCCTAACACCCTTTTGGTAAAAACGTGAATAAAATAAAAAATGAGCCTCATAAGCCAATAAGAAGTGAATACAAGTGAATACTCAAATGAGCTGAGGTATTTCGTTGATTGGTGCTTAAAAAAGGAGCGAGCAGAAAGGCCAACAATAGTTGATATCTTAACTCATGAGATTATAGTCAACAAAACTCTAAGTTTAAGCATTGCAATCCCACAAACATCTGCTATGAATGCAGCTATTTACCAAATTCAACTTAATAAAGAAAGGAAAAGTAGTGAGATCCAAATTCAACTTAATGAAAAGGAGCTATCCAAATATAGAAAAGAGAACATAATCCTAAAAAATGAAATTGAGTCACTTAAAGAAGAAATAGATCGCTTTAACGGCATAATAAAGAATAATAACTTTAAATATCTATTTCAGTAATAGTGTTTATTGCTTTAGAGGAGAAAACTATAGCAATGTATGCTCAACTCTATTAGAGAGATTTGATTTAAATGAAACCCGATGAATTAAATTAAAGCCACTGCCAAAAGCCGATTTAACTACAGTAGTGTAATATTTAATGGGAAAATTATGATTTATGGATGCATAAATAAAAATCTTTTGAGGTGTTCAATTGGTAACAACGCTTTCGCAACAATTCCTTCTGATTTTTAAGAGGATAAACGAAATATTCTTTAAAGTGCAGAGAGACTTTGAGTGTTGTGAAAATGGATCAATCTATGAAAGTGAATTGTCAAATGACACTGATTGGAGACGAATTGGAGACTCAATTATAAATTGAGTTTTTTATAAAGTTTATTTATCATATAATAAAGGAAGAATAAATATAGCTATTTATATCCTATAACGAAACTTTTAAAAATTGGCAAGGTTGGTACTGATTAATATTACATAAAATTTAACAAAAATTCTTGGCTTTATAAGCAGAATTTTACTTTAAAAGCCTGATGCCTGTTGGCTAGGCAATCTTCTGGGCTTTTAAGCATGTGATATTAGCTGCAATCGCAATTTATATTTAGCATCGTCTACTCTTATCTTAGGATCTTCTTGATCCTCAAAATAAATCTAATTTCTACTAGAAAAAGTAGTGGACTATAACACTGGAATTGTGGTGAGGCTACTCCCTCTTTAAATTGAATCAAAAATCCGGAAATTTTGAATTTTTCTAGTAAATTAACCCTTATTTTAATTTAACAAAAATTTTATAAGTAAAAATAACAATTATATATAAATAGTTTTAATACCATTGAAAGCACCAAAATCGATTTTTAACTATAAATAATTTTATTTTAATTTTAAATACTGGCATGCAATTTTTCTATCAAAATAATCCCTCTTAAATTGGTAATTTTATGTTGGCGAGAGTAGTTAGTATCTTTAAGTTTAGTTTAGAGGTAAAAATATTAGCTAAACTGGATGAAATAATTAGCTAATAAATAGGTCTCATTTAATAATTTTTTGCTATTAACTCTTAACTCTTTAAAATTCTTTTATTGTTCAATCTGTTCATATACCTATTCACTTATTTAATTTAGGCTTGGGAGGAAAATGCTATTTAAAAATCTGTTTATTTTAAATACGAAAACAGATTTTTAATAAAAGAAAAATTTAAAACTCCGTGAGTTAACAGATGAAATGTTTAAAAGACTTATAATTTAGCTTTATCCATATCATGAACATTTTAGAATTGTCAGCTGTCATTAAATGCTATATATGGTTGATTTTGGTGAGAGAACAAAAAAATATAAATCTCAGCTTGAAGTGAGAGGTTAGGCGATATTTCCATTGGTTATTAACCAGAATAGAGTGCCAGTTTTTTGAATTTTTTATTAGCAGTCCTAACGCCAATTTTTTGTAGAATAGTACCTGCCTGCTTTGTTTGGTGGGCTTTGCCACTACTGTAGTGTTTTTCCTTTGACTTCGATTTAGGGTAAAAGAGAAGGCAGGATTGACAGGATTCTCAAGGGCACATGCCTCTCCGATAGAAAATTTTACTGGCTCTGGGGGAGATCTAGCCATTCTAAGCAGAGTGGATGAATCTGGTAATTGACTTGGAAATTTATTTCTGAAAAATTCCTTATGACTTGGAGTCAGGAGGGAAAATGCATCATAGAGAACCCCAGCTTTGCTCCAGGTTCAAGATACCTTGAAGAAATTTACTCTAGCCAGCGTTGAGGAATGCAAGATTATAAAATTAGGAACTTTATAATCCAATTGGAAATCTATTCTAATATATCCTTTAGAATTAAGCAATAAAAAAGAAAACCCAATTAATATTTACATTAAAATTTTATACTCAAGGATTTGCAAATATGAATCTCTATGAAACTCTGCAAAGTGAAATTTCAAATCCAGAGTGCATTACCTCTAGTGATGTAAATTCATATTATGTAGTACGATACAAGCAAAGGGAAGCTTGGTAAAATCTTCCAATTCATATTAAAATTCCATTAAAATACTTCTTTAACTTCTCATATTATCATAGATTTCCCAATATTCAGCATCAAGCTCAGCTAAAGTCAAAAGCATTTAAAATTATGTTTTCGAAATTTAAAAAAATCGACTTTCACAAAATTTGAGAAGTAAAAATTAATTTAATTTATATTTTAAAATGCAAGCTGTTTAAATTCAACAGAATAGCTAGAGATCTCATTGTAATAATTATCACTTATATATCGAAAATATTTTTCCCCAAAATTTGTTGTTTTGTAGAGGGGGAGTAAGCAATAAAAAAATTTATCTTTTTGATGCTAACGCTGATAATTTTATTATTAATCAATTTAGCAAGCTAAAAGTACATAAAATATAAGAATTTTTCAATACTAGCATGAGGAGTAAAAAAACGAATTTCGCATATGTCTTCTGCATCTCCAGAATTTTGCAAAATACTTAAGATTTTAAATGAAAACTATAGATCACTTAAGAATTTCAAGCAGAGAAAAAATCAACTGCATTATCAGTTGGACTTATTTCTCTTGATGGTTATCGGAGAGGAATTGATATTTTAGATGCAAACTTGCTAGAAAGAACATTATCAAAAGTTCAAAAAAATGGGTCAAAGAAATATAACACTAATACTGAATCCCATCAATATGAATCGGCCGAGTTTAGTGAAATAATTTCTGCACAGAAAAAAGTGATGAATTTCAAAAGGACTTAAGCATATATAATATAGACTCAGCCAAAGATTTCTCATTGGCAACTAATAAATTTCACACTGGCCAGCTAATAAAAATCTAGTTTACCTGCAAAACAATATAAATAGTAACTCCTCCGCTCCTTGAGCGAACAAAACCATTAGAAAAATCTCTATTTGTTGCCGAAAAACCCACCTTCGTAAGCGAACAAAAGTTTTTATATGAAAAAAAAAATATATATAAGTGATAACTAGTATCATTAAATCTCGAGCTAATTTTGTTTAATTTTAAACAAATTGCGTTTTAAAACATAAATTGTACAAATTAAAGAAATATTTGTCTTCAAATATTTACGAATTAGGACTTTTTATATTTCGAAAAAAAGTTTTTATAATGTTTTTAAAAAAAAAATTAACCCCCCTCAGTGAGCGAACATAGGGTTTAACCCTCAATAGCCTGATAAGGGCAGATAAATTCCCTGCGAAATTATCGAGTTGGTCAAACAAACTTAGTGCGTTGGTCGGACCAACTCAATTGTTGGTTAGACCAACTCGATAATTCCGCAGGGAATTATCTGCCCTTATCGGGCTGTTGAGGGTCAAGCCTATAACATTTGTTTGTTCGCTAATGGAGGAGTGGGAGCAAGAGGATTTTATTTTTGTGAACAATTCTGTATTTGGCGCAAACATTCTTCATTGTATACGAGACAAAATATTATTTATCAAGAGCGCATGAAATCAGACTTGTGAAGCATTCTATATTTTAAAATTCATCTTGAAAAACAATAAACTATTCTGGTGATATTATATAAAAGTAATTCTATTAATTCGTTTATTTTTTATTATTTCTAGATTCATTAGTTTGATTTAAATTATCGTTACTTTGTGGATCTATAGAAAATTTCGCTCTAAGAACAAATGCATATTTCTGAATGTCAAATTCACAGATATCTGAATTCTGGTCAAAAAATATAAAGTTATCCTGATATAAACAAACATTCGATACAGGCCATTTTAGGCTCCTAACCGTTCCAAAATAATTTCAGGTTTTCCAATCATCGACTTCAGAAGAAAAACATAAGCGTTCACTTGTCACTATATAGCATTGCTTTTTATAAATAAAAAAGAATTTCCATTGCTCTTTGACAATTTCAAAAAGGCTTTCATAAGAATTTGTAACTGGGTCATATTTTCATATATTACCAAGATTGCGGCCTGAGAGAAGAATTTGATTTCTATAAACGATTGCTGATGTTTGGTAAGCTCGGCAAGGTAAGTCAGCAATGCTTTTTCATTTATTTTTTCTCAAGCTAAACTTATCACTATCAGCTAGGGATTTATTTGAGGATTTTCCTCCAAATATATAAACAAAATTCTCAAAGTAAACTGGATTTGCAAAATATCGAGGTTTCCCAGAAGGCAAAACTTCAACTGACTGAGTTCTTATATCAATCAGAAGGCAAAGTCCAATAGGTTTGTCGTCTTTAGTGCATCCACCAAAGTAAAAGAGCTGAGATCCGTTTAACTCACATATAAGTCCTTTAGTTATAATATTAAATGGCAAAGGATTTTGAATTTTTGCACAAATTTTATTATTTTCAATATTGCATACAAGGAATTCTTTTGAATCAGTTGAAATTGTGCAAACATATAAAGGAATGTCAGAGATCGAGTTAAATGATGACTTCTTCTCTTCTAAAAAAGTTAATAGAATAGCATCTCCAGCCATTAAATTTTATGCCCTTTTTATATATCAATTAAATTTATTCTTAGAGTTATGATTTAATTGGAGTTTTTCATAAAATTAATAATACTGGAAAATTAATGAGTAGGAGCATATTATACATTTCTAATATTCATTATAAATAATTAATGGCTGGAGATGCTATTCTATTAACTTTTTTAGAAGAGAAGAAGTCATCATTTAACTCGATCTCTGACATTCCTTTATATGTTTGCACAATTTCAACTGATTCAAAAGAATTCCTTGTATGCAATATTGAAAATAATAAAATTTGTGCAAAAATTCAAAATCCTTTGCCATTTAATATTATAACTAAAGGACTTATATGTGAGTTAAACGGATCTCAGCTCTTTTACTTTGGTGGATGCACTAAAGACGACAAACCTATTGGACTTTGCCTTCTGATTGATATAAGAACTCAGTCAGTTGAAGTTTTGCCTTCTGGGAAACCTCGATATTTTGCAAATCCAGTTTACTTTGAGAATTTTGTTTATATATTTGGAGGAAAATCCTCAAATAAATCCCTAGCTGATAGTGATAAGTTTAGCTTGAGAAAAAATAAATGAAAAAGCATTGCTGACTTACCTTGCCGAGCTTACCAAACATCAGCAATCGTTTATAGAAATCAAATTCTTCTCTCAGGCCGCAATCTTGGTAATATATGAAAATATGACCCAGTTACAAATTCTTATGAAAGCCTTTTTGAAATTGTCAAAGAGCAATGGAAATTCTTTTTTATTTATAAAAAGCAATGCTATATAGTGACAAGTGAACGCTTATGTTTTTCTTCTGAAGTCGATGATTGGAAAACCTGAAATTATTTTGGAACGGTTAGGAGCCTAAAATGGCCTGTATCGAATGTTTGTTTATATCAGGATAACTTTATATTTTTTGACCAGAATTCAGATATCTGTGAATTTGACATTCAGAAATATGCATTTGTTCTTAGAGCGAAATTTTCTATAGATCCACAAAGTAACGATAATTTAAATCAAACTAATGAATCTAGAAATAATAAAAAATAAACGAATTAATAGAATTACTTTTATATAATATCACCAGAATAGTTTATTGTTTTTCAAGATGAATTTTAAAATATAGAATGCTTCACAAGTCTGATTTCATGCGCTCTTGATAAATAATATTTTGTCTCGTATACAATGAAGAATGTTTAGAAGAAGAAAAATTGATTTCTAATGATATCTCTATTCTTGGAATGCTGAAACATGATTGAAAAACTTCTTTGTATATTCAAGGATTCATCTGAATTGGAAATAATGGGCTGATTGCTGGCCACAGAGGATCAGGCGGAGCTGGATTACTAATACACGAAGCATTTGCAAACCATTTAGATCCATTGAAACTAATAATCATAGAATAATAGCAACATTAATTGAAGATTACTTAATAATAGTAGCTTATGCCCCATAGTAACAAATCACCAACGTAAGAAATCAATTGATGACTATATTAACTTTATCATAGAAGTTCAAGAAATTATTCAAAAGAATCAAAAGGATAGACGTCAAATAGTACTATTGGGTGAATTTAATACACATCTAAAAGGATATTTATCTGAGATCGATGATCTAGCAGCAGAAATATTTTCTAAATTTATTAAAGATTCTCATTTATATATTATCAATGATATGCACATATCTACTTTTAGAGGGCATAATGCACACACAATTATTGATTATATTCTCTCAAACTCAATATCAGAAATTATTTATAAAAAAGTCCCTCAATTAAATCTAACCATTTTTTACTTCTAATACGTATTTCAATAATTATATAGCTAGGAACTCAAAAAAAGCTATTCCATGATTTAAACTAGAAGGAGATGAATTTGAAGGCTTTAATAACAAATAACCCTTCTCAGATCTGTGCCAATATTAAAACTATTTTAGTATAATGATATAATAGAGCTTAATTTATTAGTTTTCTAATACTTTAGACTTTATTTTATAAAGAGATATTAAAAAAGTAAAACTTAGCATTGCTGATTTTCTTTAAACTACAGTAAAATTTTTAATATATCCTTTTGAAATGGAAGAGAAAAGTAATAACGCATTTCCAATAGTCGCTTCACTGTCAATTCCAGCAATTTCATCTGCTATGGATTTTGATCCACCTCAGCCTCTCTCCCCTGATATTTCCCTTTCAGTCCCAACTTTTGAAGAGCAGCCAGCACTCGAAAAAACAATTCCAGCTCCTCCTATAATTCGCAGACAGTCTCGAAATCTTACCGGCATAACAGACAGATCCAACCAGAAGCTCTCTCAGCTTCTAGCTCAGCTTGAAGCAAGCGTAATTTTAGCTTTCAATAAGCTCGTCAGAAGTAACTCCAACATCAAGCAAGATTTTGAGGCTGTAATTGACGAAGGGAAAAACCTCATGCCCAGTTCTCCATCATCAGTTTTGCTGACCGAATATGGGCTTGACCTTTGCAATATCCTTGATAAAATAATTCAGGAAAGCTACAATTTAGACGATGTCTATCAATCTCTGCAAACGATAAAAGATTTGCAATTGGCCAATCAAAAGAAGTCGGAAGAAAATGCTAATAAGCTTGATATGATTTGCTCACTCCCCCCCTCCGTGAGTGAACAAAAAAATTTTGTTTCACTCACGAAGGGGGGTTAATTTTTTTTTTTAAAAAAAATTTTTATATATAAATTTTATAGAAAATTTTTTTTTCTTCGAAATTTAAAAAATCCTAATTTGCAAAAATTGGGAAGCAAATATTAATTTAATTTATAAAATTTATATTTAAAACGCAATTTGTTTAAAATTAAACAGAATAAGCTCTATATTTCATTATACTAATTATCATTTATATATATCAAAATTTTTTTTACATTAAAAATTTTTCTATTAAAAAAATTTTTGTTCACTCACGGAGGGTGGGTTTTTGGGCAAAAAATAGCGAGTTTTCTAATGGTTTTGTTCACTCACGGAGGGGGGGGGAGTCAGCAAAAGAGCCTATTAGAAGAGGAAGCAAAAAGAAGAGGACGTTTTTAAATGTGATATACGCTGAGCCGACAACTCCGTCAGACCATCTCTATGCGATTACTCACTTAATTGATGATATTAAGACAAATCAAGAAATCTTGGATGAGCTGGAAAAAAATAAAGAAAGAGCTCTGGAGAATCAAGATTTTCCTGAGGAACAAAGCAATAGTGTGAATTCAATGATAGAGGATATAGCTAAAGCATTAGAAGCAAGATTAGATAAAATAAATGATAGAGATCTCAAAGAAAGCCTAGAAAAAGCTATAAGAACTGTAAAGGAAAGTAGCCAGGAAAAGGAAGATATGCCGATTTTACGACTTTTGAAATCTATTACTTATTGGAAAGAAATTCATCCTGTGCTCTTAGAATTTGGTGAAAAAGTATTAAACTATGCAACAGCTCAACAAAAAGATAATAGCCAAAATGTATTCACCAGCGAAGAAGCTAATGAGCTATTAATTTCACTAAAAACATTGGCAAATAGCTTATCTGTGGTGTCAAATGTTCCTACAGCAGTAAATGAAGGTGATTCTTATATCATTATTAAGTAATTTATAATAGGATTCGCTGAGGATGAATTTTTCCTTAAAGAGAACTTATTCCGACAAAGCCATTTTATTATTATAGATAAGGTGATTCAGATTTCAATAAGTGCAAAACTCTCATAAAATCCTGCTATGCATCTCTGCAAATTCTTTTGAGCACTGACGAATTGCCAATTGACTCAGCAAGCACCCAAACTTATATTGAAGAGTCCAATGATATGCCGACTGTTATTTCAAAAGCAACACTTTCTTTGATCTTAAAAGAGCTTTACTTTAATCAAGAGGATACACCTTCTCTTGACAGTTTTTGGCCTATTAATAGCTTAAATTCATGGGACAATGTCCTTCGGGAACTCAAAAAAGTGTCGGCTGAAATATGGAAAATGGAATGCCCAGTCATGTATAAAGAATCAAGTGAAACTGAAGATATTCAGACAGAAGAAGAAAATGATCTTAAAAGGGCGACTGAACTAATAGAGGAAAAGGAAACTACAATAAAATCCCAAAGCGAAACTATTAATAAAGGTGAAGAAATTATCGAAAATATTACCAAAGAGCTTGATAGCCACAAAAAGAATGAAGCATTATTGGCTGAAGAAATTATCGAGCTCAAAGCGTCTATTTCTGAAAGAGATAAGAGAATACAGGAACTAGAGACCCTTCTTAATTTGAAAGAATCCCACGAAGAAGTAAAGCAAGAAAACGCATAATCTTAATATTTGCAATTAAGGATAACCTTGCTTCCTTAGGCTCACAGAGCTTTAAATTAATAATGAAACACATTTTTGAAATTAAGTATCAGTATCACTGTCTGATCCTAATTTTAGATCGGTGAATCTTTCTAAGTCATCTACATTAGTAATTGTTTTTGAGTCAACTTTATTAGTGAAGTCCATCTCATTCTTACGTCTCTGTGCTGCATCTTTAAATCCAAATCAAGGCACTATTAAGACTTCATTATATAGCAAAGTCCCAAGCACTATCATGACAAATCCCACTATTTCTAGCAAAAAAGGCTCTTCAAATCCAAAAATAATGCTGAAAACTCATACAAAAGCCATTCTACTCAGAGTGATTGTGGTTCTTGCAATTGCAGTGGCATACTTCGTTGTAGAAATTCCGCTCCAGTTATATGCTGCAACACAAATTGTATAAAATAGTCAAAGCAGCATTAGATCCCAATTGCTCCCCAGTTGATGAAAAGCCTGTATTGGGTCTTCTGCATTATTTCTATCAGGACATAGATTTACATGTTCTTCCTTATGACAAGGAATGAAATATAGAATTGGCATCAAAATCAGTCAATACATCAATCCAAAATGTCCTTCAATTCCTATCGCACGCAAAGGATCAATTTGGACCTTTCTCATGATCATTTCTTCGCTCACAAATAATGCGCCTGTAAAAAATTCGCCAACCACTAAAATTGCGACTCCATAAGCATGCTGAGGCTGCTCCTGATATAAATAACTCACAAGCCCTGTTAGGATGACTCCTAATGCAATACTTATGATACCAGTCACTTCATGCCTATATAGTTTGCGATTAAGAAAAATTATTGAATATACAGCCACAATTGCAATTACACTACCTCTTGCCATTTGGTAGATAGAAGGAGTTGATAATAGGAGGCCTATAAAAAAACAGCAGGAAGCTAGTATATCAAATAGAGCAGGTATGAAAAAGATATAAGGACCGAACTTCTGGTATAGTCAGCCTTGCTTAGAAGTTGGTGTGTGAGCTGTCATAAGGTTTTCTTCAGCTATTCATTCATTTCCTCGATTTTTCCATAAAATGAGATAATAAATTGCTAGGCAGAGCATCTCACCAAAAAACATTGTGGCTGATTGGAAGAAAGGATGAGTAAATGACTGGTTGTCCATGGCTTTTGTAATCAGAGTGTTCGCTGTCCCTGAGATAAGCATGACTAGCATAAATAGATAGATTTGGATTTGATGGGATAAGTGCATTACAAATCTAAAATAAAATTTAATTTACTGAATAAAATATTGATAAGTTAAGATCATTTTACTAATGCCACAAAAGATATTAGAAACTTTTGCATCATAACTATTCAAATCATTTTTTAAAGAAATAAGCCTTTCAGAGCTCATCCTTCTATGATTTAGGTTAATGTATGGGAACAGAATATGTTTCTTGTAAATAAACTTCTGTCGTATTTTACTTTTCACTAAAGATTCTTCGTACCTTTGCGAAAGATATTTTTCAATTAGCTGTTCTACTAAGTCAAAAAATGACGATCATGAGCTAAATTATGTGTTCTAGGCCTTTATTAACTTTCTAGCGCCACTAAATTACTGTCGAAAACGAAAGATTAGCAAAATAATTTCTAGACTCTTAAAGCAAGTCACAATCATCTAAATTGATTTATCATATTTTTATTATTTTAAATATAAATGAATCGTCATTATAATAAATCAAATAAAATTATTTTTAGTGGTTCTTTAATCATTTAAGTTATTTAATTAGCGAATAGTATTCGCATCTTATAGAGTTAATTATTTGCGATTTATGGATTCGTATTTATTTTAAATGCTGAAAATCATTCTTTAGCTTGCTCTCGATAGCCATTCAATTTTATATAAATTTTAACAAAATCTGTTTCATATGAATTTAAATGCATCTTACCATCATTATTTATATAAAATTCATCATAAAAAATTGTTTAAAATTTTAAAGTTCATAATTGCCAACCCATATAAATAAGTAAAAAGAAATAAATGAGAAGCAAACAACTTCCAACCTTAAAAACTTCACGCTCTCAGCCAGAATTAAGAAGAGACTCTCTTTCCCCTCAGTCTGATAAGAACTCTTTGTCACCTCGGCATGATCCGTTTCTCAGTTTATCTCGAAATGGGTCGGCAAAGCTATTACCGGTATGTCCTTCAAGTTTGCGAATCCCTGGATCTACACAAAGATCTCCACGAAATTCCCCAGACGTTTTTACATTTACCTCAAAACACCTTCTTCCTCCACTGAATCCACGTAGAGAACCCCAAACCTGCCCAACAAGAAAAGTTGAGCTACCTTTTTCAAGGCCGACAAAAAATATGAAACGGTTAAATACACCCTGCTTCGGCTCATCAGGAAGTGAATCAGCTGAGTCTGGGAGTACAATGCTCACTATAGATGAGCTTTCATCCCCAACATTTGAGAACTTGGCAGTTTCTGATGACCCAGAAGTTATATATACAAATTTATGGTGATTGAATGCATTTATGATAATTAGTTTGTGGTGGTGATTCAAAGTAGCATAAATATGTATATCAATTGGCTGAAAAAATAAGTGAAGGTAGTTGTGGACCAGTTTATAAAGCTTTGCACAAATCGACAAGAGCGCGGGTTGCTATTAAAATTTTGCAATTGAATAGCGATGATCTTGTTTCTGCTCACAAAGATATGGCGGTTTTACAACAATTCAGAAACTTCAATATTGTGGAGTGCTTAGGATCGTATATAAAAAATAATGATCTCTGGATTGTGATGGAGTATTTTGATGCCGACACCGTTCGAGATTTGTTGAAGTTAATGAAAAACCCTTTTGATGAAATTAAAATAGCAGCCATTTGCAGACAAATTTTGAGGGCAATTGATTATTTGCATGATAATAGGGTAGTCCATGGAAACCTGGAAGGGAAAAATGTACTCATAGACCGAAAGGGGACTGTTAAACTTAGAGATGCAATGCTATCAGCCATTTTGCAGAAATGATTTCCGAAGCAGGCTGCTATAAGTCCTTATTGGATGCCACCTGAGACTATAATAAAACAGAGTTTTTATAAATCATCAGATATATGAAGCCTCGGAGTTACTGCGATTGAAATGGCCGAAGGATCAGCACCTTATTCTGCTCTTCCTTCTGAAAGAGCAGTAGCCAGCATCAGAAGACGCCCTGCACAGTCTTTAACTGAGCCGCATAGATGATCAGACGTATTTAATGATTTTATATCAAAATGCTTACTCCCCCTCCCTTAGTGAGTGAACAAAAAAATTTTTTGCAAGCGCGAAGCTGTTAATTTATTTATATATAAATCCTATAAATAAATTCTATTATGAAATTTAAAAAAAATCCCAATTTTTGAAAATGGGAAAGCTAAATTTGGAAAATTTGTGTCTAAAAAATACAAGTTGTTTTAAAAACTAGCATCATTTGTATATCAAAATTTTTTTAAAAAATTTCGTTCACTCACGGAGGGGAGGGGGTTAGTGATTGAGCCAAACCAGAGAGCAACAGCTAAGGAGCTGCTGATTCATCCTTTTATTGCAGGAGCAAAAGGTCCTGAGCTTTTAAGAGAACTATCAGCCAATTTCCAAGGAAAAGATAAAAAGAGAAAAGATTTTCTCAGTTTCAAGGAAGAAGATTGCAATGAATGCGACGAAGAAGAAAATATGGAGTCTGTGTTTACAAAACTGGTGAAACACACAAAGCTTATTAAAGAATTCAAGCTCCACTCACAAAGAAGCCCGAAAACCTCCCGCTTTCTCAAGAGTCAGCTGCCTTTTCAAGGCTCAGTGCTTTCCAGTCAAAGGAATAATAACAAATTTGATTCTTCAAAAATGAGTGAAAATGAACTTTTGAAGATCGCTGACAGATAATATGCCAATTTTTGATTTAATGATAAATATTCTAATGAGATTCTCTGACAGTCTGATAATATAACTCGAAACCTAATTAGTTTCGATAATAAATGGCAGATTTGAACATTCAAGATATAGTCTCAAATCACGAAGACCCAGAAGTCATGTTTCAACTCCTCGAAAAGCTAGGAGAAGGCTCATTCGGTTCTGTTCACAAAGGCCTTCACAAATCCACAGGGACTATTGTGGCTATTAAAATTCTTCAAATCAATAACAATGAAATTGCCTCAATCAAAAAAGAAATTTCGATTTTGAAAGCATGCCGCCATCCTAACATTGTAGGCTATATCGGGTCATATATAAAAGGCGAAGACCTTTGGCTCATCATGGAATATTGCAGTGCAGGCTCTGTTGCTGATTTGATTCGAATTACCAAAAAGACGCTCGATGAAGTCCAAATCGCCAGTGTCTGCCAAGCAGTTCTCAGGGGTCTTGAGTACTTGCATGATAATAAGAAAATCCATAGAGACATTAAAGCAGGAAATGTGCTGTTAGACCATAAAGGTGTAGCGAAATTAGCAGATTTTGGAGTTTCTGCACAACTATTGCATACTTTGTCGAAAAAAGATACAGTTATTGGGACTCCGTACTGGATGTCGCCTGAAGTCATATCAAGGTCCTGCTATAACAAAAAAACTGACATATGGAGCTTAGGCATCACAGCTATTGAAATGGCAGAAGCAGAGCCTCCTTACTCGAATATTCCTCCAGTGAGAGCTATGTTTACTATACAAAGATCTCCAGCACAATCGTTAACTGAGCCTAGAAAATGGTCTCCTGAGTTCAATGATTTTGTATCAAAATGCTTAACAATAGAGCCAAAACAGCGACCCACAGCTAAAGAACTATTAATTCACCCCTTCATAAGAAGAGCGAGAGGGCCTGGACTTTTAAGCGAACTAGTCGCACAAGCTATGGACAGCATTGAGAGATACAGAATTTAGCCTAACTTATTTAACAGACAGGATTTCGTTCTATATTTACACAATCACCAAATCTCCGATATGGGAGATTCAAACTCTTTGCAACCATATCTTTGATAGGGATAGCAGTTTATCCTCCTTGGCTTTCGGCTTCAGAGTTGAGTGGGCAGTCTTCAGATTTTGCGGCATCATTTGAGGCTTTTGGGTGGGGAAGAAAGTGTTGTCCATACAAAAATCCCCAAAAAAATTTTTGGCCGACTTTTAGCAAAAAGGGAAAATACGTTACCCAGAGCGTAACTCCTGGTTTCATGCTGGTAAAATGGCCGATAGGTCTATCATCGCTTGCAGACATATCTGGGCGACCTCTTTCGGACTTCCGTACCACGCTTCCACCTGAGGTAAAATCCATCCTCGAAAGTAGTCTTGAGCTAGGCTCTGATATGTCAAGAGTTACTTATAGTAATTCTCTTTAATGGCCCTGTAAGGGCAGGCTTTTTAAGCCGGAATTTCTGAGGCTGGTCGGACCAACGCACAAAGTTGGTCGGACCAACTCACTTGTTGGTTCAATCAAATCAGGAATTCCGGCCTAAAATTCCTGTCCTTGCAGGGCTATAAGGGAATTTATTATACCTAGCTTGTTGACCATTTCTGGGATGGCAAAACCTTGCCAGATATAATTAAATATGTGCTCGTAGGCAGTCAGCGTGTCAGCGTAGCCCACCGCGAAGCACTGAGATGCCATATTTAATTATATGAGAGATACAGAACAACACAAAACCAAAGTGAAGGCTCTGAAGAAGAGGAGGAAGAAGAAGCTGAATGCGATAATGGAAGCATGGTTTATAAAGGCACTGAAGAATTTAACTCGGGCACTGTCATTCTTACTTACTTACTTACTTAATTACATTAATAAGGCGTCTGCCGTGTTGTTAACGCAGTCGCCAAGGACCTCGATGTGAGGTTCACCTGCTTTGCGACGCATTCCTAACAAGCCATAAAGACTTGCCAAGAGGAAATACGTCTACTCCTTCCCACAGCGCGCTGCGGCTTAAGTCTTGAGTGGGCGGGCTATGGAATCCTGCGGCTGCTGCTTGGGTACGAGAGTTGGCTTTCCGAAATTCCAAAAAATGGAATTTCTGGTCACCTTTCGGCAAAAAGGGAAATTCCAAATCTGGGACGTAACGCCCAGTTTCACGCTAGGTAGTTGCCCGATTGGTCTAGGCATTGCCTGTAGACCTTGCTGGGCTTACCCTTTCCAAATTTGGGCACCCTTTCCTCTCGAGGAGAAAATCCATTCTGGTCGTTGAGCATGGGCCAGGCTCTGCTCTGCAGAATTGCTTACCTTGGCATTGTTGCCCATTTCCTGAATGGCAAAACCTTGCCGGATATAATTAAAATATGAGTCGAGTATGTATGGCCGGGAGGCCATACCCAGACGAAGACGCCATATTTAATTATCGGGCACTGTCATTCAATATGATACTATGGTCGAGATTCCAGAAGAGTCTAAAATGTCAACAATAATTGTAAAAGATGGGAAAGAGAACAAAAAAGAAACCGAGCAACAAGGGACAGTAAGAATTGAGTACTCTGACGAGGAAGAAGAAAATGTGGAGCCTGAGTTCATGAAATTGGTAAGGCAGGCTGAAGGAATCCCAGAGCCTAAGCCGCAACCCAAAAAAAGCGTCCAGCCTCCTCAGCAGTCGCCAGTTGTTTATAGTCCTCCAGTGTTAAATAGCATTCCGCCATCTCAAAAGGGACAGATTCCTCCTGAATTTAGAGGGATGTCAATTGAATATATTGAAAAGTCCTTAAAGAGACTTAACGTTGACATGCTTGCTGAAATTGAAGTGGTGAAATCGAGATATGCAGAAAGAATTAAATCATTTGAAAAAATCCTTGAAGTGCTCAAGCAAGAGGAAAAGCAAAGAAAAGTTTTATAATAACCAATATAATTATCTATTTAAGCACATAGTCTATAATATCATTAAGAATTCTCTATACTGCATAATATTGATTTTCAGCCAAATCAGCATATAGATCATCTGTATGCAAGTATTTAATGTAATTGACTATATTTCATAAATAAAAATGGATTGGAAATACAAACTTCCCAGCATTCAAAACCGCCTTCGATTTCAACTCTTTTCTCGACGCTATGACGGAATGGAGCGGGTTTACCATCTTTTCTCAGTATTTTTCATTTAGGAAAGCGATAGAGACCAAAGTGGGAGTCTTGACCGTTATGAGTTCGAAGCATTTTTAAGCAAGGTTGGATTATTCCTCACAACCCAAGAGCAAAGTGAGCTTTTCAGATATTACGATAAAAACCACGACGGCCAGATCTCTGTGACTGAGTTCCTTTCTTCTCTGCAGTCAGAAATGTCTGAGCAGCGCCTTAGTGCAGTCAAAGCTGCATTTCAATTTCTAGACACAGAAAACAGAGGCTCAGTTCCAATTGAAAGGCTTCAAAGATTATATCGTGCCAATCGTCACCCAAGGGTGTTAACCAGAGAAAAAACAATTGAGCAAGTGACTAATGAGTTCAACTCTGCCTTAAGCAGATATTCAGACAATGGAATTATGTCTGAAGATGGCTTTTTAGCTTATCACGCTTCTTTAAGTGCTACAATTCCTACAGAAAGCGATGAATATTTTACAAATTTATTAGTCGAGACTTGGGGTGTTAATTTTACAAACCAATTGTCAACAGGCAGGACTCTGGAAAATCTTGAAGAAATTTTAAATGAAAAAATAAGGCAAAGGACTAGCAGCTCAGAAGATGAAGGAAAAAGTGTGTTAAGGACTTTTAATTATGTGGATAAAGATTCTTCAGGAGCTATTACATATCAAGAGTTTAAGCAGGCTTTAGATCAGTGGGGATGTGCCTTCTCAGATGATGAAGCCAGGGCGCTGTTTGACAATTATGACAGGGATAAGTCAGGGTATTTGCTAATAGAAGAATTCGCTCAAGCTTTTGCGACGAGAGGGGCAGCTGGATGCCATCAGTTTAATGGGAAAAGAGAGCCTCCTAATTCAATTATTGATAAAATCAGAAAAGACTTGTTAAGGAGAGGATTCCATGGGATTAGAAGCTTAGGCTTAGTTTTTAAAAGGCTTGACATCACCCAGAGTGGAGTTTTGACTAAAAACGATTTTGAATGGGGGCTAAGAGACAATGGCCACTTTTTGAACCAAATGGACTTAGACCGCTTATTCAACTATTTTGACAAGAACCGCAACAGCAGGATCCAATATAATAATTTCATAGCGATATTGAGAGGAGACCTAAGTCAAGGCAGAAAACAATTGGTTTCTGCTGCATACCAAAAGCTGTCAAATAATGGAGTTTTGAGGCTAGAAGACTTAAGGGCAAACTATGACCCTGGCTTCCACCCAGAGGCCAAAAGTGGAAGAAAGTCTCGTGAGCAAGTTCTCAGTGACTTTATAAGCCAGTGGCCAGTTCCTAATCAAGCGATTATTTCTGCTGAAGACTTTGAGAGCTATTATAAAGATGTATCACTCAGTTATTCAAGAGATGACGAATTTGAGAATATGATTAGGAGCGCTTGGCATATGGAAATTCTGCCCACCCAGCCATCTAAGACTCTGTCTTCAATGCAGAGCACCCAAAGAAATAAAGCTCGTTAAACTTAATTTAACTTTACTCATTTTTATGTTGTTGTTATAATTAAAAGGCGACATCCAATGGATTTTTTCCATAAAATTGGCTCAATTGGCTCAAAAATTGGAGCAGATGAAGTAAAATACGATTTAAACGCAACTATACACTATATTTCAGCAAAACTAAATGCAGAGGGTCAGTTAAAAGTGGTTGTAAAGCGCGGAGCTGACAAAAAAGAAGAAACCCAGGCAATGCAATACGATGCAACCCAACAAAAAGCGATTTTCGAGTACCCTGTGACGTTTTTCATTACCATGTACAGAAAAGGTGACAAATTCGGCAAAAAAGATCTCAGTTTTCGAATGGTCGATTTATCGTCCAGCAAAAGAGGGTTAAAGAACGGCAAAGCCACTGTCGAGTTCCAAGATCTCGCCTCCACAAATGGATCAATTGTACGAAAAGAGTTCCCTTTAAAAGGCTGCACTGACAAAAAAGCAGTCATTTGTATAAGCATCAGCCTGTCAGAAGCAAAAAATATCCGAAGCCAATCAGCGTATATGGATGAAAGACCAAAAGATGGCAGAAAATTCAGGGAGAGGCTTCCTACGTCAACTAAAATTGTGATGAGTCCTGATCAGACTTCAAGGCACAACCAAAGAAATGCAACTTTTGTTGCTACTGGAGATTATATTAGCCACCAAAAAATGCTTTCTTCTACTTTTGCGATAGATGAAACCTATGATGAAGATATGGGGGAAACCGTCAAGAGTGCAGGGATCACTGAGAAAATGCCTGAAAGTCCTTATAGAACTAACTCAGTCAATACTCAAGAAAGTGAAGAAGGCAACTCTGGGAGAATTTTAGCTGATCAGTATTATGAGCCTGAAGACAAGGGTGCACAGAAAAAGTTTATATATAAAGCTGAGCCAATTTCTGATTTCGACGCTTATGTGTATCCAGCACTGCCTGAAGCTGAAAAGTTTGTATATCCTCATCAGTCTCCAAAAAATGCTGAAATCATAAAAACTGATGAGCTGAAAGTAGAAGAAATTGAAAACATCCCTGAAAGCCAAGAAGGAGATCAGGCGACAACAGCCTTTGAAGAAAAAAAGCCAAGAGAAGGCTTGACGATTGAAATTGAAGAGGAAGAGAGCGAGGAAGATGAAGATGAAGAAATAAAAGAAGAGGAAAAAGAAGTCCAGCCGAAGGTTGATTTGCCATTGATGTCCCCTAGGAGCTTGATTTATAAGAATCTTGGGATATCAAAAGAAAATATCATAAACCCGAAAGATTCTCATATAGAGTCAGAGGCATCCAGCTCAGATGAAGATTTTATAGAAGTTGATCAGGAGGAATTAATTAAATGCCAGCTTCCACCATTGAGGTTAGAGCTAGCTGTTGCGAATGAGAAAAGCAAAGAAAAAGAGATTAAAGAAAGAGAAAACGGCAATGGGATTGTTGAAAGCAGGAACGGGTCATGCGCAAAATGTATTTTATTTTAATTTATACTTTAAATTTAATACTTTTAATAATATTAAAATAGCGCAAACAAATCGAATAGTCAGTGAAAGGGAGAGAGATATAAAAATTAATTTTATTTGTTTATATTAATGGCTAATTTTTGAATGCAGTTGTGAACTGCATCTGGAAATTTATCTAGAAGATCACCAATTTTGCCGGGCTGCTAATAATTTTTTTAACTTTTTAGACTTTCCACATTTCCCATATATTATTAGGTATTATTTATATTGATATTATTGCTTGGGTTTTAGTATTTTACGTCAAATTTTCTATATATCTTAACCTTTATGTAAATACTATACTTTATTTCTCATATTTTTTATCCCTTTAAAATAAAGTTTAATTGCAATCACATAAAAAAAAATCCTTTATTCTAGCAGAAGTTTAGCTTTAAGAAAAAATAGACAATTGAGCTTTTTTAATTATATTAATGGAAATCTTCTTAATGGATAATAAATCACTTTTATATAAAAATGAGCCTAAAACTCTCTTCTTGCTGACCAAGCTCACGACTCCTATATAAAAAAGAAACAAAAACCCCAAGAAGCCTTTCTAATATCCTTTTCACACCAAAGAAAGTCATTAAACCAAATTTTCCCCAAAGAAGAAATAGTTTGCTCGACGGCAGTGAAAGTAGCAATCTTGATGCGTCTCCTAAGCTGCATTCACGTAGATCTCCTCGAAATGAACAATCAATAAATCAATCAACCAATTTTTCTCCAAATGATTCCACAAGCAGTTTAAATTCGAATTATCATAAATTTAGCTCAAGGACTATTTTGACTGCGAAAAATAAAACTAGGGCACAAAGATCTTCTTCTCTTTTTTCTCCGACCCAGCTTGAGTCGGCAACTCCGCAATCCACAAATTTGAGATCCTCTAATAAATCTACATTAGAAGATCTTGGATCATATAATCCAAGGCCAGAAAGAGCAGTAACTAAAACACATTCATCACCAGATTTGACATCTAGTCTTGGAGAACTGCCCAATGAAAAACCTAAATCCTTAGAAAAATTATCTTTTCATTTATGGAGAGAGTTTTATATTTTTGCGTGTCGTTTTATATACAAAAGTTTTGTTTGCAAATATCATAAAGAATTTAATTTATTAAACACAATAGGGATAATTCAGTATTTTTCTAATACTCTTGCTCACTCCAGAGGAAGGAGTAAAGAAAATCCTCAGAGTGCACATCTTCTAGAAAAACTAGTAACCCAAGTGAAATCTCCAAACTTACAACCCCCTTGCCTCGAAAAAGCCAACGCAAAGCTAATGCAAATGAAAGCAGAAACTCTTTATAAGCAGCACTTATTTCAAACTTGTCAAGCTTTAAAGCTGATCAAAAAGCTGCAGCCCCTAAACTGTATTCAATTAAATGAGAAAAAGATTAATTTACAGAAAAAGCCGGGCCATGAAAATAAAAAAACAGTCATTTTTGATTTGGATGAAACTTTAGTCCATTGCAATGGTGTTTGTTATGATCTTTAAAAGCTATTAATTTGTATATAAAACTAAAACAAATTCGGCTTTATCTGCCTTAATATCAAAAATTCCAGATCAAAAATCAAGCACCGATTGCAATGAAATAAGCAAAAAATTCACGCCTGACGCTGTTCTCCCAATTCGCTTTGTTACAGGCGAAGTTATCAATGTAAACTTTAATTAGGCTGGAATTAATATAAGACCCTATACAAAAGAGTGCTTGGAATATGCAAGCCAAAATTTTGAAGTCATTGTATTTACGGCTAGTCACAAATGCTACGCAGATGCTGTCTTAGATTATTTGGACCCCAAAGGGGATTTAATTCATCACCGATTCTATCGAGACAGCTGTATAATCAACCAAGGGGTTTATATAAAAGATTTAAGGATTTTTCTAAATCGTGACCTTTGTGATATGATAATTGTGGATAACGCAGCTTATAGCTTCGCCTATTTGTATATTTTTTTAAAAGATTATTTAAAAGCTCACTTTCAGTAGCCTAAGACCTTATTCCATTCCCAATGAGCTGCCGCTTGTTAATTTTCCGCAAATGACCTTGCTACTCCTTTTGGACGGTGTCCGAAGTCAGAAGGTTTGTGAACCTCACTGCGTATCTGCAGAGTTGCCTTCCATAATGTCGAAACTTTATTTCCTATTAAAAAACTTTTCTCAAACTTGGGCCCTTAGCTTATCAATAATGCAGCCCCATCTTCGCCTGCAAAACCCTTTTCGGATATACATCTTAGACCCCCTATATCTTACTCAATGTCCCAGCTCATTTCGGCTAGCTGGCTATACCCCAATCCCTGCTTTGGATCGGGCTATGCAGGAGTTAATTCTTTATGCCATTTTAATGCATCTATAGTTTTGCCTATCAAATTGATAATGGAATTCCAATAATTTCTTGATTTGACGATAAAAATGATACATGGCCAAGCATAAACCCCCACCAAACTACCTAGTCTTTATAATAAGAAATATAAGAGATATTGCAGTATTTTCGCTTCTACATTATTAAACACAATTATAGCGTATTTTGCACATATATTTCATACTTTTTCATATCCCAACTATATTCAAAATTTTTATATTGCTAGCAAATTTTGCTCATATTTTTGAATAAAATTTAAATGATATATATCATGCTTTATATATATAAAGCAAGCTATTTAAGTATTCTAAATTAGTAAAATGCATTGATTTAACGAAATCGATGCTAGATGTTGTATGTGCCTATAATAAATTTGAATTGATTTATTTGTCTCTATCCATTTTGTAGCAGAATTCAACTGGATTCGTGCTTAAAATTCGATAATTAAGGCATATTCAGCATATTTCTCTATTAACTCCTTTATTTATTAGTCTAAAATGCTTACCACATTAAAATTTTGTACATAGTAGAGATATGAGATAAAATATTAAATATGTGTGTAAACATACTAAAAATCTCGTTTTAATAGTTTAGGAGTGAAAATACTGCAATATATCTTATATTTCTTATTATCCAGACCAGGCAGATTGACGGGGTTTATGCTTGTCCAGATACAGAACTCTTGAACCTTATCAATTATTTGAAAGTTTTGCAAGAAGTAAAAGACGTTAGAGAAATAAACAGAGAGACTTTTAAGCTTTATTCATTGGCAGATGAAAGTGAAGAAAGCATTCTTAATAGAGTCAAAAGGAGAGTTGTGCATAGAAGAACCAGATCAGTGGACGATTCCAAAATTAAAGAGTAAATGCTTAATTTACTGCCGTAGGTATTATTTTCTTAACAATTTTAATTATAGCAAATAGTAAAATGAAATATATATGGAAGAAGAAATTAAAAGAAAAGACGAAATCATTGCGGATTTGCAGAATAAACTTTACTCGATGACCATGAAAATCAACAGGACTTCTAGTCCTCAATCAAGGCTAAAAAGTTCTCATTTACATTCAAGGCCTACTCCAAAGTCAAAATTATACAATAAAATAAGAAAAAATGAGCCATTCAAAACAAGCGATTTTTCTATACAGCACCAATTTATGACCTCCAAGCAGCCATATCGTGATTCCCGTAGAAATACCTCGTATATGCATAATTATGGACTATCTATGGATTCAACTGGGCATTGTCCAACCCTTGAACAGATTGTTGAAGACACATTCAATGAAGACAACGGTCAAATAGTAATGCTCATGAAACGAAAAGACCCCAATAAGAAACCAGCGAAATTTTCCAAAAATTCACGACTTATCCAATTGAAAACAAAAATTCGTTATAAAGAATCCTCGCTTAAATACCCAAAAATAGCTAGCAAAAAATGAAAAAATCCGGTCCTTGAAAAAGTGTCAAGCAGTCCTCATAACATTTTGGACAATCTATTTATGGATTCTTCCAGCAGAATAAAATCAAGAAATCACAGTGAGCTAGACTGGCCCAAAAGACCTCCATCAAGAAATTCTATCCAAAACTCAAGCGGAGAGCTGACAAGTTCTTTGAATTTACGAAAGCCATTCCCATCCTTAAGCGATTCTGAAAGCTCACGTCCTGCGTCCAGGTGCAATAATCCAACAGAAAGAAGAAACCAATCAGTCGATATGGATTGCATAAAGCCACTGGCAAAGGCCAAAAAAGCTAATTTAGTCGACCAAATCTTGTATAATGATTTAGACAAAGATTCCTGAAACCAAGTGTTAAAGAAAATAAGAGAAGATCCTATTTTATTGAGCGAAATCTTAAAGCCAGGAGAAAAAATAGAGTTCGAAAAAATGTCTCCAAGGCAGAGAAGATCTGTAACTCCTTATAAAGGCTCAAGAGACAGATTAAGTGCTGACAAATTATCTCCAAGACCTAAGCCAACTCGAGCACAATCTGCGTATCCTAAAAATATAGAAAATTCATCCACGAAGCTGATTCCTCGTTCTCCTAGTAAATTGGAAAGGATTAATAGCTTTGGATTGAGGACCTATAAAGTTCATAACGTAGATTGAAGCCAGTCTATTTTAGATCCTTTGTCAAATAAACCAAGCAATGATTTTAACGAAGAAAAAGATTTATCAATTTTTACATCATCAGAAATAGAAGACCTTTTGATATCTAGCAATACTTTATCTACAGAAGACCAAGCCACTTTACAGTATAAAGGTTTAGCAACCCTTGAAAAGCTTAGAACCGAGCTTATGCTTCCAGGCTCTTATAGTGCTACAAAAAATGCTGAAAATTTAACTGAACTTCTCAAAAAATGCGCAAATCTTATCCGAGCCCGAGCACTTACTTTAAAAATACTTAAGCTTATACACACCCGAGAAGACAAAATCCTATCCTTAATGTCATTAGAGGAGGCTAATCTTGATCTTCTCAATACAAAATACTCTGATTTACTTAAAGCTACTGAAGAAATATCTCAAGCCATAGGTTTTTGGAAGCAGCTAGGACTTCCTTATTCATCATTTGTCTATCTCGGCGAAGACTATTTCCTCAAGCTTTACGAAGACTTAAAAAATGTAAAAAGTGTGTACCCTCAGCTAAAATCAGATGATTTAACTTTGCCATATTAACCTAACAGACGCTATTAGATTTTTAATAAAATGTTAAGACAGCCAGTCTCAGTCGTCCCTTTAACTAATGTTTCTGTAGTTCGGTATAAATCTGAGTTTGGTAGGTTTGAAATTGCATGCTATCCAAATAAAGTAACTAATTGGCGCAATGGCATCGAAAAAGATATCGACGAGGTCCTACAGTCAAAAGAAATCTTCAAATCAGTCCAAAAAGGAATTTTAGCTAAGCCAGCTGACCTTCACAAAGCATTTGGGAAATCCTCAGACTACGAAGTCATACAAACCATCTTAAGAGACGGGGAAATCCAAGTCAACGAACTCGAAAGAAAAAGCCAGCAGGACAGTATGCTTAAAGATATAGCCACCATTATTTCTGAAAAATGCACCGATAAACAGACTGGAAGACTGATTCCTTTCAGTATTATCATGAGGGCCATGGAAGAAATTCATATCAGTGTAAAACCAAACCAAACAGCCAAAAAACAGGCCTTGAAAATAATCCAGAAATATGGAGACAAGCTGGGACTAGAAAGAGCCAAAATGAGAATCAGGCTAACCTGCCCACTGGAGCACCATGAAAAAATCTCACTCCCCCCTTTAAATTGGAACAAAAATATAGGTAAAATTTTCACACTTTTTTGTAAATTAACCCCCCTTTAAATTGGAACAAAATTTAATTTTATAATAAAAAATTATGTATAATTTTTATGTAAAAAGTTTTGATATAATTTAAATGTTTCTTCTTAACTAAAATTTAAAATTTATTATATCCTGCTCTTGTTTAAAGAAATAGAGTAGTATAAAGAACATCTTATTTAAATAAATTTATTATCCTTAATTGTAAATTTTTTAAATAAATTTAATTTTTTTTGTTTTTAAAAAATTTTAAAAAAAAAATTTTATTTTTTTTGATAAAAATGATATTTTTTTTATTAAATAGCTTTGATATAAATTCAATACGAATTCTTTACAAAAATTCAAAATTTACTTATCTCTTACTTTATTTTAAAGAATAGAGTATAAATAACATCTTATTTAAACAAAATTAGCACTTTGATTAATAAATTTCTAAATTTTTTTTTTTATCAATAAAAATAATAATTTTTGTGTAAATAGTTTTGATACCAATTAAATAGTGGCGTATTAATTAATAATAAAATTTTAGTTATATCTTGCTTTGTTTTAAAGGATAAAGAGTAAATAGCATTTTATTAAACAAATTTATTAATCTAATTCGATAAACTTTTGAATTTTTTTTTAAAAAAATTTTCTTAACTTCCCTTTAAATTGGAACAAAATTTTTAGTTCCAATTTAAAGGGGGGGGGTCAGAAGAGCTTAAGCAGATGGAAATTGAGCACACAAATAATGAAGGAAGCTCTGTTATAATTGCAGGACTAATACATCCAGAAAGCTATAGATCAATTTACCAGAGCATACAGAAATTAGGCCTATCAGATGCAATTGGGCTGGAAGTTATTGACCAGACTGTGCAAGGGAATATAGAAGCAAAACAAAAAGAGATGGAAGAAAGGAAAGAAGAAAGATTTGAGCAGAAGCCGGAGCCTGTGAAACAAAAACCAAAGAGTGGGTTTGTGTGCAATACATGCCCTAATGCAGAATTTGCAGATTTAGGTGACCATAGAGCACACTTTAAGACAAATTGGCATAAGTTTAATGTGAAACGAAAGGCGAGGAGCATGGAGTCAATAAGTGAGGCTGAGTTCAGCATTCTGACAGAAAGTGAGGTGCAAAACTTCTTACTTCAAAAAAATGTTTAATCAAATTTAATTTGATATTAGGATTAGTGTAATCTTACTGAGTTCTTTTTTTGGCTTTTTTCAGCTGCTTTATTTGCTTTTCTAAACTTTCGTCAGGAACTACTCTTTTTTCTGCTTGCTGGTTTAAAAATTCTTTAGTTGACCTTTGTGAGAGTAAAATTTCGTTGCTTTCTACTTGTTCTTGGAATCTAGCCAGCTTTAGCAGTTTGTTTTCGAGAATTTTCTTTTGACATACCTCTTTTCGTTCGCTTTTCTCTTTTTGCTTCTGGGCTTCTTGCTGCTTTTTATACTTTTCTTCCTAATTTAACTTTACAAGTGATCGCTTATATTCAATTTCTCTGAGAAATTCCCTTTGTTCTTCTAATTTCAGCTCTTTTTTGAACTCTCTTTCTCTATCTCACATCGCCTTTTTTTGCTTTTGCTTCTCTAGGACTAAATTAAATTTTTCTTTTTCAATGATTTTTTGAAGCATAGCTTTATCAGCGATTTCTATTACATTTGTAGTGCTGCCGTCTTCTTTTGTTGGGCTTTGAGAGGTAGCTTTTCCTAACAGTAAAGATGAATTCATAGATGCAGACTTTTGAATTTTAGCTTTAGGCTGCTTTTCAGGAATTGACCTTGAGTGGTTAACTTCATAGAGTTTTGCTGCACAGCTTAGTTAGTAAGAAATTAAGCTGGCAATAAGCGGAGTATCGGCTCCTAACATAGACTCTAGAGTACGAATAAGGAAAATGGAAAACTGCCATTTTGGATTTCCTATTTAGCTCCTTTAAGGTAGAGCCAGTGACTGGAGAGTGCCCGATGGTCCCGATGAGGAAAGACCGTATGTAGACAAAATCTGTCTAGCCCATTTTCAGGGACAGAAAACCTAGGGGAGAAACAAGACCTCCCTTTTCAGCAAGGCTTCCCAAATCTGAAAACCTAAAATGACATTACATTACATTAGAATTTATATCGCTTAACGTCCACTACGGGGTTACAACTCCAGGTTTATCACTCGCCTTTCGTCGCATCGGGCCCACCAACTTGCTGGAGACAAGCTCGCTTCGATCACCAGGGTGCTTCTAGGGCAAATGTCCACGTCTTCGACGGCTAATGGATGAGCTACTTGCTTGTTACATGGGTTGCTTTTCCGAAAAACCCAAAAAATGGATTTTTCTGGTCGGCTATCGGCAAAAAGGAAAAATGCAAAGCTGGGACGTAACGCCCAGTTTCACGCTAGGGAGTTGCCCGAATGGTCCAGAGGACTTTGCTGGGCTTCCCCTTTCCAACCCTGCACCTTCCTTCCCCACGAGGAAAAATCCACCCCTGAGAATAGACTAGGGCTAGGCTCTGAAAGCTACCAGAATTGCTTACCTAGCATTGCTGTCCATCTCTGAAATGGTAAAACCTTGCCGGATATAATTAAAATATGAGTCGAGGCTGCATGGCCGGGAGGCCATGCCCAGACGAAGACGCCATATTTTAATTATATGAAACCTAAAATGACAAATGCCCTGTTTTCGGCTTCACCAGAATGGTCCTACCTACTCCATAATAGTGAGTGTCCATCGGAGGCCTACTTCTGTCAACGCCACCATTTTATTTCTAAACACAGATTAGGAATTTATATAAATGAGCCAACTCTCTATACTCTTCTTTTTCAAAATCTTTTTCTTTAATGCATGATAAATGGGTTTTGATATCCTGGATATGAGCATCGGAGATTTTATTTGACTCAACTAATTTTTCTACTTTTCTTAATTTTTGGACAATTAGTCCTGGCTGGGCTAAAGAACTTAGAAAACCTTCTCATGGGTGAAATCGTAGGACATCAATATCATATAGAACTAAAAATGCAATTCCTATATTTTCATATGGTAGCCCTGGATTTTTAATTGTTTTCAGCTTGTCTATATATTTAACAGTCATTTTTGATATAGTCTCATTTAACTCAGAAATAATTTCACTTTTTCTAGGAAATATTTTAGGCTTGGGTGGCTTATTTGATATTTCTGAGTTTGCAGGCGTTTTTATAGAGTTTTGGTTTCGTGATGATGACTCAGTTGCTGAATCTAAGGAAACTCTAAATGATAATGGAACGTAAAAATTTTTAGGAGTTTTTGTACCAAATGCAGGCTTTAAATTATAGTCACCTTTAAGCTCTGAAATTTTGTCTTTCAGCTCTAGGGCAGGCTCATTATGATGTTCTGGAAGAGCTTTAGGTTTAGAAAAAACAAGAAAAACAAATTTCTCTGTAGTGATTTTTTTCGGTTTAAAAGGCAAGTTAAAAATAGCTGAATCTTTATCTTCATTAGGAAAAGTGATGCCATTAATTATATCTGTGATAATTTTATGGACTAGCTCTTCTAGTTGATTTAAAATTGGGTCTTCTGAAACTATAGACGCTTCAACTGCAGCTTCGTTTATTTCATTTTGCAAGTCGCTCATATTTTTCACAGTCTCTTAATTTTATTTTAAACTAATTAAATATGAGTTTTGGGAAAACAAATCTAAAGCCCTTACTCCCCCCCCTCCTTGAGTGAAAAAAAAAATTTTGTTCACTCACGGAGGGGGGTTAATTTTTTTTTTTAAACAAAAATTTATATATAAATTTTATAGAAAATATTTTTTCGAAATTTTAAAAAAATCCTAATTTGCAAAAATTGGAAAGCAAATATTAATTTAATTTATAAAATTTATGTTTTAAAAAGCAATTTGTTTAAAATTAAACAGAATTAGCTCGAGATTTCATTATAATCATTATCACTTATATATCAAAAATTTTTTCTCTAAAAAAATTTTTCTAATAAAAAAATTTTTGATCACTCACGGAGGGTGAGTTTTTTGGGCAAAAAATGGCGATTTTTCTAATGGTTTTTTGTTCACTCACGGAGGGGGGAGTTAGATGATTCTGTGGCTGAGCAGCCTTCATCTCCTGAGTCCCCATTTCCAGGAGGAACTATTTTTCAAAACAATATTTTTGCTTTAGAGACTCCTAGGTGGCTTAGCAAAGCTCACTATTTTGAAGGTCCTGAGTTTGCTGAAGAAGAAATTGATGTCGTTAACGAAGAAATTACGAACCAAGAAAATATTTTTAAAAGCTGTATGCGCACCAAGACGACGTATAGTGAGACAAGCAGTTCAAATCCAATCTCAAAACAATCTTTTTTTTCTAGCAGAACTAAAAGTGTTATTGTGCATAAGACTGATTTCAGCTTTGCGAATGATGTTGAAGAGCTCAATAGTGCCAAAGAAAGATTTACAGCTTTACACTGTTTATTACTATCAAAACTTAAAATAGGGCGTTTTGCTTATAAAAAGTGACTCAGCAATTGGAAAAGAGTGACCATATTTAAAAATAACAGATCTGAGCAAGGATTTTCTCAGTACTGGAAACTCCAGTATGTGATTGAGAAGTTTCAAGGCAAAATAATAGAAAATGAAAATAAATCGGATCAGCTAGACAAAGCTAAAATTAAAAATGCCTTAAATAGAATGAAGCTGAGAGCTGAGCAGATCAAAAAGAAAGAAATAAGAAAAAGGTGGCTGGTAAGGAGAATTTATATAAAACTTTCCAAAAATTTGAATACCTGATATAAGGAAACTTTTCACAAAATAAGAATATATGGAAAGGTTAAGAGTTTTAAATTAGAAGGACTGAAAAAAATACGAGCAATCTTAGAGAGGCATTGCCCATTAGAAGAGAGGTTTAAACTTTGAAAAGAAAGCATGAAAGATAAAGATGTCTATAGCTATATTTTAGAAGATGAAATTATTATTCCTGGAATTAAGAAGAAATTAGGAATAGGAAAAATTGAGAAAGGCAAAAAGAGCATTTTTCGATCATTAAATATCATCAAGACCAAACTGAACAATAAAAAACAAGTATCAATAAAAGACACAGTCGATTTATCCTCGCTTCACAAAATTAAAGATAATGCCATGCTTTTGGTTTATGGAATAAACCAATTTATTGAAAATCAAAAGAAGCTAATTGAAAAATCATTAGACAGAGAACTGTTAGCGTTGAATGAATCAATTGAAGCTTTAAATCAAGAAAAAGTTAAATCAGAACTTCAACGTAGCTTATTGGAAAATCAAATTGATAGTCTCAAACTTAGCAACCAAAAAACTGAAGAATTAATTTTACTGTTAAAAAGTTCATCATCTAAATTAACTCTTGACAAGCTAGAAACCAAACATCAAGACTATCCTATAAGCCCAACTGACAGCAAAAGATTATTCAACTCTCTCCCACTACCCAGAAAGCGTAACTTCTTAAGTTTCAGCTCTTCTCACACGCTTTTATCTAAAACAAAAACAAACTCTCCTAAAATCAACTCCGAACCTGTCAGAATTAAGCTTAAAGTCTCCTCCTCACTAAGTCCATTACACCTTCTTTTTCTCTCCTTTCTTATTGGCTGCTTCCTCTGTTATTTAATTTCTTACTCTCCTTCTTTGAGAGCAAGCAAAAAAATATATCATAATATTTTTGAATAAAAATATTTATATATATAAATTTAATAACTTTTATAGCTAATTCAATTAAATTATAGGCAGAATGCATTCATAAACATAAATTTTAGATTTCTCTTCTCTAACATTTGAATAGTTTTTTATATAAATTTAAAAAAGTACCTTTAGAAAAACCTCGCTAACACTTAATGCAAGGAGTTAATAATCCTCATTTTCTAATTCCTTTTTCAATTGAGAAATAAATAGTAACGTAACGGAAGAAGGACTCTGAAAGCTCTCTCCGTCCTGATAAAGCTGAAAGTGAGCATCTGTCACTTTTGAACTCGGTCTTTGGTCTAAGAGATAAGATTTGCTTCTCCCCTAAGATTTTCTATGGGCTAGTCAGGTTTTGCAAGCACATGGTCTTGATTATTGTGGCTCTCAGGGCACCTTCCAACAGTAGCTCTGACGTAGGTAATCAATCCTTGGACAATTATTGAGGTCGAAAATCCAAAAGTAGCATTCTATTTTCCTCATTTAAACTCAGAGATATACGGACACTAACTTTTTGAGCCGAAACAAGCCAATATTAGTGGCTAGTCCACTTATGGCAAGATTAATTTTTTTAAATTTATTTTCAATTGTAAATGGCTTATTTCAGCAATAGCAACAGAGGGGAAATCCCTGAACTTCAAGCCGAGCTCAACTCCTTAAAGCAAGACCAAAAGCGAGAAGCCGTCAAAAAAGTGATCGCAGCCATGACCGTCGGCAAAGATGTTTCAGCGCTTTTTCCACATGTCGTGAAATGTATGGAAATCAATAACATCGAACTCAAAAAACTAGTCTATCTCTATATCATCAATTATGCAAAAACTCAGCCTGACCTTGCCATTATGGCAGTCAATTCTTTTAGGAAGGACGCAAGGAACCCTCAAAGTCCTTTGATTCGAGCTTTAGCAGTCAGGACTATGGGCTGTATTCGAGTCGAAAAAATCACTGACTCCCCTCCATAAACAAACAAATAATTTTTATGAAAAATATTTGATATATAAATGATAATTATTATAATGAAATCTATAGCTAATTAACGCTAATTTTAAACAGCTTTCATATTAAAACATAAATTTCACAAATTAAATTAATATTTGCTTTAAAATTATTACTAATAAATTTATATATAAATTTTAAAAAAATTAACCCCAAGCAGAATTTTTTTCGCTTGCAGAGAGAGGAGTGAGTATCTCTGTGAGCCCTTGAAAGATGCGCTGCAAGACCAAGACCCATATGTAAGGAAGACAGCTGCCATTTGCGTTTCTAAGCTGTTTGACATTGCGCCAGAACTAGTAGAAGACACAGATTTCTTGAATTTGCTGCAATCTGGGCTTAATGATGGAAATGCGTTGGTTCTGAGTAACACTGTAGCAGCACTTACTGAGATCAGTGAGATGAGAGGGTCGCCAGTGGTGACGCTAAATCCTCAGACCATCAACAGGATTCTGGCAGCATTGAACGAAAGCACTGAGTGGGGTCAAGTTTTTATACTAGATTTCATAGCAACTTATGTCCCTGCAGACTCTAAAGAAGCCGAAAGTATCCTCGAAAGAGTTGTCCCTCGTCTGGCCCACGCAAACCCAGCAGTGGTTATGTCAGCTGTAAAAGTAATAATGAAATACCTCGACATGATAAGCTCCCCTGACTCCATCCGCTCTCTCTGCAAAAAACTTGCCCCAAGCCTCGTAACTTTGGTCAACTCAGAACCTGAAATCCAGTACGTCGCTTTAAGATGCATCAATTTAATAGTCCAAAAGCGCCCTAACATCCTCGACAAAGAAGTCAGAGTTTTCTTCTGCAAGTTCAACGACCCAAATTACGTGAAAATGGAAAAGCTCGAAATCATGATCAGACTTGCCGACAGCAAGAACATCGAACAAGTTTTGCACGAGTTCTGTGACTATGCAACTGAAATTGACGTAGATTTCGTCAGAAAAGCTATACAAGCAATAGGAAGATGCGCGATAAAGCTGGAAAGGTCAGTCGATAAATGTGTCCAAGCATTGCTGGATTTGATTAAATTAAAAGTCAGCTATGCAGTTCAAGAAATCATTATAGTAGTCAGGGATATTTTCAGGAAATATCCGAATAGGTTTGAAATGATCATTAGGGACATTTTCCAGAGCATTGACTCACTTGATAACCCTGATGCAAAATCAGCTTTAATTTGGATTATTGGAGAGTATGCGGATAAAATTGATGATGCAGGCACACAACTGGCAAGTCTGTCAGAAAGCTTTGTGGATGAACCATTGCAGGTCCAATTGCAAATTTTGACGGCCACTGTCAAGTTTTTCCTCAAAAAGCCTGATGAAGGAGAAGCAATGATCACAAGTTTACTGAAGACAGCGACTGAGGAGTGCCCAAATCCAGATTTAAGGGATCGTGCTTATATTTATTGGAGGCTTTTATCGTCTGACCCTGAGGCTACAAAGCAAGTGGTTTTGTGTGAAAAGCCTTTGATTTCTGATGCAAGCTATGTGTTTGAGTCAACGTTTTTGGACAAACTGATTGAACAGATGGGGACTTTAGCATCAATTTATCATAAACCATATGAGAACAAAGCTTCAAAGGTAAAAGCTGTGGAACAGGAAGAAGCTGGAAAAGAAGATATTGAGACTGATAATCCAACGCCTACAGCACAGCCACCATATTCTGTAGAGAATTTGCTTGAGTTTGATATAGGTGGTGCACAGCCTATCTCAGTGCCAAATAAGGCAAAAGTTCCTCTACAGGTAGTTTTAACTAAAGAAACTCCAGGCTCAAATCAACAGCAGTACGGCCTGCAAGTAGAAATGGCATTTCAAAGAGACAATGGCATTGTATTAGAATGCAACATCACTAATTACACCCAACTAGCACTCACTGACTTTGCAATGCAGTTCAATATCAACCACTTCGGGCTTACTCTGCAAGACCCTCTATCGATTGACTCTCTCCTTCCCAACAATTCTACGACTGCCAAGCTAAGAGTTGCTACAAACAGCCAAAGCTCTCAAGATAGCCCAGGAGTTCCTTTTATTGTTCAGATGGCTATCAGATGCACCCTTGACGTATTTTACTTCCAAACTCCCTGCATGTTTACCACCCTTCTCACCGAAAACGGCCGGCTTTCGAAAGAAGCTTTTAAAGAGCAATGAAAATCGATCCCAGAGTCCAATGAGTTCTTGCACAGTCTCCAAAACATCTTTCCTCAGTACAACACACCAGATTCAATCAAAAATTTATTATAGGTTTAGCTGCCATCATATGGGTAACGCAGTCACAAAGATTCCCTCGAGGATTCAATACTTTAAGACGTCCGCTGGAAGAACTTGCTTGAGTTGATATGATGAATTCGCTTGATAAGCCAGCTCGAGCACCTCCTTTTCTCTTCTTCACTGCTTGATGCTGTGACACTTATGAAGTGTAGTTCTCTGTCTCCGTCTCCTCCTTGCTTGTCGGCCCCAGTTTTGAGTGAGTAGACTATGGATTTCTGCTGCATGCTGCTTGAGCTGAACGAAGGTTGTCCACACAAAAACTTGAATTTCTGGTCGATTCCGAAAAAGGAAAAACTAGTACAGATATCGAGCTGCTTTACCTGGAGGCTATGCAGGGTTAAAGAAGCCATATTTATTATCCAGCGGATTAATCAAAAGCCGACTAGAGGCTAACAACGTATTCCACGTTGCTACAAGAAAAGCAAAAGATACAAACGAAGAAGTTTTCTATTTCTCCAGTGAAATAACTGATGGCCGAGTTATCTTATCAGAACTAAGAATCCCAACTGCGGCATCACAAATACAGATTTCATGCAAGGTGCCGTCTACAGCGCTTGCTCCATTGTTTATCCAGGCTATTAACTTCTTGCTTTCAACTAATAGTTAATTATCAACTTCATATAATTATTGTTTATATTTACTAAACACCAAGCTGCAGTTTAGACCTCCAAATCCAGCATTATTTGTGATACCTGCGTTTACTTCTTTTGCCCTTGGTTCTAGAACGTAATCTAGCTCTATATTTCCAACTTGAACAGGGTTTTTTAAGTTTATCAGAGGAGGGATCATGCTGTTCTTAATGCAGAGCAACAAAACAGCTGACTGGATGGCTCCGACGCCTGCCATCATATGTCCATAGTTCGCTTTGGCTGATATAATAGCTGGCTTTGTGGTTCCAAATACATTGTTAATTGCAATAATTTCTGAAATGTCGCCTTCAATTGTTGATGTACCGTGGGCGTGAATTAAGTCTACATCTTTAGGCTCCAGTTCTGCGATTTCTAAAGCTCTTCTCATAGTTCTTGTTATTCCTTCACCTTCAGGATGAGGTCGGCTAGGGTGGAATGACTCACTCCCCCCCCCTTTAAATTGAAACAAAATATAGGTAAAATTCCTACTTTTTTGGGAAATTAGACCCCTTAAATTGAAACAAAATTTTATTATAATAGAAAAATTTTATAGTAAAAATCATTATTTTATATGTAAATACGTTAATACCCTATTTAATATGCTTCAAACATATAAGATTTAGGAATTAAACTCTATTTTGTCCAATTGTTATGGGGAGAGTTAGAAGAATACCATTGTCTCTTTTAAATTTATATAATTTATTTTCTATAAAATTTTATCTCTGAAAAAATTTTTATATATAAATTTTTTTATAAAAAAATTTTCTTAACCCCCCTTTAAATTGAAACAAAATTTTTTGTTTCAATTTAAAGGGGGGGGAGTCAGAACACAGCGAGACTCCTTTTAACTCTCCATAAATATATGCATTTCTGCTTAAGGCATGGTTTAGATCTTCTAAAATCAAGCATCCAGCCCCGTCTGCTGATATAAACCCATCTCTTTTTATATCAAAAGGGCATGACGCTGTCTGTGGCCTGTCATTAGCTCTCTTATTAAGTGCTCCAAGCCTCGATAGCCCGCTTAGCAAGTAATTGTGAATGCCATTATCAGAAGTCCCAGCAACCACAACATCAGCTTCATCACATCTGACTGTCCAAAAGGCCTCTGCTAATGAGCAGCTCCCTGCTGCACAAGCTGAGCTATACCCACTAGTGGGTCCTTTAAAGCCAAATTTCTTTACAACATTATCTGTGGTTCCGAAAATGGAGAGATGGGAATGATAAAGATTAGGCACAGACCTTAGGCCTCCTTTTAAAACCTGTTCTACTGTGTAGACTGCTGGGGATAGATGCGACTTTGTAGCTCCCATGATTACGCCTGTTCGTTCTTTTTCAGCCTCAGAGTTAGGATTTCATTTAGCGTCTTCAAGTGCTGAGGAAGCTGCTGAGAATGCCATTGCGTTTTGTTTGTTTTTTGCGAACTAAATAAGCCTCACAGGTAAATTTTTCATGATTTCAGGGTCTATTGAGACTTTGCCACCGATTTTTACATCAGTTTGGTCTAAATCGTTGATGTCGTCAGCTGTTAGTTTGGTTACACCAGATACACCGGAAAGTAAATTTGACCAGAGTTCGGTCAAGGTGTTGCCTAGAGGTGTTACAACGCCCATCCCTGTGACTACGACTCTTCTCATATATGTATTTTTCAATAAAATCGGCAAATCATTTTAAAATGGCTATTTACTATACGTTTTCTTGCAAACTGTATGGATGAGAAGGAAGAAGTGGCTTTGGGAAAGAAAACCTAGTGAATTTTAGAATTTATTGGAGTGAACAAAATATTTTTTAGGATAAAATGAGTTACTTTTGTGAAGTTTGCTTCAATTATGAGCTTTGCAGGCATAAAATGTATAAGCACAAGTAAATAAAGCAGATAAGCATGCGAAAGTATGAAGCGATTCCCCCTTGAAGGCCAAATTAATCCTGAATTCTATAAGCAGCAAATAAAAAAATCGCTGAAAAAATTATTACTTGAACAATAGGATTCTCAAAAATTTATTTTCTTATTCTTAAGCAGGTTAAGTTCTCGTAAAAGAAAACAAGAAATTAAAGCACTAAAGAAAGCTGAGTGCACTAAAAAATTCTAATAATATGAGCTACTATTTGAATTATAAAACTACCATTCATTATTGAAATTTTCTGATAAGCATCTTTAAGCCCGAGATGCTATCAGAGTCAAAAATAAAGCTAAATTTTATAATTTTCATATATAAATCAAAAAGCTATTAAAAAATAAATTCGATTTTTTCTGCAAATCTAGCTTATTTTATATGATTCTGATTTATTAATAAAATGACTAATCCATATTCCAAAAATCTAATTAATCAGCAGTAATTCAATTCTTAATATCATTTTACCATAACTATTCATTCTAATAAATGTCAATGAAACTCTCATAGTATAAGATGGCGTCGTTAGAATATATATTTTTTTAAGAACTTTCTCCTTTGATAATTTTGTTATTATGGATTCAGTTTTCCTGGAGGACCTTATCTTATGATATCAGCATTTAGCTGGGCGTATAGTTTTATGCTTGATGCTTTCGAGGACGAAGACCCTTAGACGAAACACTCACAGGAGTCATCATCATCATTATTACTTATAACAATGCTTTCGCATTGTTGCAGCTCTTATGAGCTTTTTAACAAAACTATCTTTCTTTCTCACTTTCTTCTTTAACTTTTTTTGCTTCTTTTCATCCTTTGCACCTTTTACATCTTTTACTTCTTCTACTCTTTTTCAGAATTTCCATCTTGCAAGATGGAAATCCATTTTGGCTCGGCGACAGCAAAAAAAATCCCAGAATTCGGCCGTGCAAAAAAAAATAAAACGGCCGGAAGGCCAAGGGGTCGCAGATGGCAATTCTCCGGGGTGGGGTGCAGGCTTGGGCTGACTGGGCTTCCCCTCGACCCACAGACAAGATACCGACGGCGCAACATCAATCAAGCACTTCTGGAGGAGCATTATGGTGCCTGCGAATGGCACAGGTGGTTCCAGAAGAAGACAATGGACGATCCTCTCATACCTTGAGCACCACCAGGGGTTTAAGAGAGTCCTTGCCGAAATTTTTGATCCAGCAGGGTCGGGGTGAGTCTCCCCGACAGACTGAGGACGTCACCATTTTTGATGGCTCCGAAGAAAAAGGGCGTTAGGTGGCTTTAGTGCTTAGTGCCACATGAAGCACGAAGCTGAAGTCCGACTGGCTAGGGGCTGAAATAATCCCCGCTTAACCTCTCTAACTAATCTCTCTCTCTCTACTCTTTTTTCCATCATTTGCATCTCTTCCTCCTTTTGCTCATTTTTCGTCCTTTGTATCTGCAGTATTTGCATCTTTTATGTTTTTTGCATCTTTTGAGTCTTTCGAGTCTTTTGAGTCTTTCGAGTCTTTTGAATCTTTTGAATCTTTTGAGTCTTTTGAGTCTTTTGAGTCTCTTGAGTCTTTTGAGTCTTTTTTGAGTCTTTTGAGTCTTTTGAGTCTTTTGAGTCCTTTGAGTATTTTGAATCTATTGAATCTTTTGAGTCTTTTGAGCCTTTTGAGTCTTTTAAGTCTTTTGAGTCTTTTGAGTCTTTTGAGTCTTTTGAGTCTTTTATGCCTTTTGTGTCTCTTGCATCTTTCGCATTTTCCATTCTCACCTTCTCCTTCTCCCTGATCTTTGTCTTCTTTTCTTTTCCTATAGCATCTTCTGGGCCAGTTTCGACTTCTTGTTCCACTTCCTTTTGCTTATCTTTCAATTTGTAGGGAATCGTTTTGACTGATTGTGTGGCCAATATTAACTCTCCCTCATCCAGCACATCTCCACTCTGCTTTTCGGCTCATTCCTTGATCTTCTCTATCAACTCTTCATCTTCTCCGTCATCTTCATCAAATTCTTCATTGTCTTCCTCCTCATCTAATTGCTCATCTAGCTCATCCTCCAGTAGCAGCAATTCATTGATTAAATTGTCGGTATAACCATATGAACCAAGTTCTTCCAAGTAATAACTCCATCTGCACAATCCTTGATATTCCTTCAAGGCAGAATTGATGGTAGCTCACTTTTCAAAAAATTTTTGATTCCATTAAAATAAAAAAGTCCACTCACAGGAGTCAGTCTCGAGCAAGGCAACATGACCCATGAGCTTTTCTAAACAGCTTATGGATCGTAAAGTTTTGGATTGCCTCACCTCATGAAAATCGTGATGATGCCCGTACGTCACTAGTCAGGATTTAAAGGGTGGACTCTACCTATCACCCAGCTGAAGAAATCGATACTTTAAGCTTAGGCAAGCCAATAAAACTTTCCCCCAATGAATCACGCAGGAAAACTGTTTCCTTGAACCAACTTTTTTTCCAGCAAAATTTCAATATAGAAGGCGACTTTATTAAGCCTTCCCTGATTCAGCCATTTAAACAAAAAGTGAAAAAGAATCCCAGGTACTTTAATAATCAAACCCAAAAAAGTACAATAATTGAGAAAGACAAGGTCTCCGATGATAACACCAGAATAAGAATGACCCCAAACAGTATTTTTGATGAGACTCCGCATCCCGTATGCAAGCCTGACACTATGGACAAATCTTCAAGCCAGCTTCTTAAGCCAGAATTCCATTTTACACCTGCTATTGCTTTGCCGACAAATCAACGCCTAAAAATTGTTCAGCCGAGGAAACTCGAGCCTATAAGCCGACAAGATCCAGTTCGACGTCACTCTTTTGTCGAACAAGAAATACTGAGACTAAGAGATTTATTCGAGAGCGAAAGCCCTGAAAAGCTATATAAAGATTTCGAAGAAATGGTCTCTAAAAATAGGCTGCAAGAAGCTAAAATAAAAGAGCTTGAAGACCTACTGGTCATTGAGCAAAACGAAAAGCAAAACTTTGAGCAGCAATAGACTAAGATTAAGTTTAGGAGTTAGTGGGGTTTATTTTTTAGTCTAGCCATATGGACATTAGGTGCGCTAAGCACCAACCTAATAGCGCTCTTTTTCTATCTGACACGCAAAAAAATGGTTGTGTTAGATTGCTGTCGCGGAGTCTCATCCGTTCAGGTCTTTATTCATTGTAATGATTAAGGACTGCCAACCAAATCATTAGGACATTGCCAAAAGTTTCCTTCTTAGCCTACCTTAACCCAATTGCAAGCCAAAGATTGCTTCTCAAGAAGTGCGGAAGGAGTTTGCCAGTCAGTCATCTGTGGTTAATAAAAAAATTCAGTTGCAAAAGCCTAGCCTATAGGATTCACTTCTTCAAGCCTGGATCAACTCGTAGGATACCGAGAACCTGTTTCAGCTTGCCATTTTAATAATTCTGTATCAAATAGAAGACTTAAATAATATCATTTCAAAATTAAACGGGCTGCTGGCCCAAGAAAGAGACAAAACAAAAAAATTAGAACAGGAAGTTACCAAAGCTATCGAAAAAATCAAATCTCTTGAAAATCCAAATAATAGCAACAATACATTGAGCGTAAAAAATGAAGGGTTACTAAAGAGGAAGACCACAAAAATTGATGGATTTGATTTAATCCCAGAAGAAACCCCCATGAAAGTTATGAAACGAGACTTAAAAAAATACGGAATAATTACAGCTTTTATAAGAAAATTAATGGTCTTTCTCACAAGCCACAAAATAGTAGCGTCAGATTTCATTACAAGTTTGGACCCAGACTCTAAAGATCTTCTTACATATGAAGAGTTTCAAACTGCAATTCAGAGGGTTGGGTTCAGGTCTGCTTTAAATTAGATTAGATTATATTGGTAGAAATAGTCTATTTGGAGAAGATAGGGGTGGTAGAGGCATGAAGGTGGTTTCCAGCTTAGCATAAGCATGAACGAACCTCCTGCTCCGCATTAGAGAATTTTCCTACTTGCCCATTTAAATTGGAACAAAGAATCCTTTTCCAATTTAAAGGGGGTTAATTTTGTTTTTTTTAAATTTTAAAAATTATTGAATTTTAGTTTATTTTGATTTAAAAAATCAATCGATTTAGCATGAAATCTGCTTAAATAATATTCTACTTCACTTTTTCCATTAAAATCGGCTAAACTAATTTTATAAGAATTAGTCTTTTCACCTTTACATTTTCCTATCGATAAATTTTTTTTACATTTTGTAGGGAGCTAAAGCAGTACGAAAAAAACCTGACCCCCCTCCGTGAGCGAACAAAAAATTTTGTTTGCTCACGGAGAGGGTTAATACAAATTTTATATTAATATTTATATTCAAAATTAAAAAAATTGTCAATTCGCAAAAACTGGAAAGCAAATATTAATTTAATTTGTAAAACTTTGTTTTAAATGCAAGCTGTTTTGAAATTAAACAGAGCTCAAAAGAAAAGTCAGCTGCTTTTGCCATTCTGGGCAGGCAACTAAGCAGCCTAAGTAGTTAAGTCTCCTGCTTCGATTCTGGGACTGAGTGCTGGCAAAAAGATGCTAAAAACTGTCACTGAAGCCAGACCCTTAGTCAGTGGATATTATTCTGGGTATTCGCTCCTAGGCTAACCAACCATTTAGCAGGCCTTGCACCGGAATCCAGATCCAGATATATCCACAATCAAGAGTGTAGGTTTTAGTCACTACAACTCATGTATATACCCCTGCTTTAAATGAGCTCCAAACAGTTTTTGATTTATTGAAAATAGGTGACCAAGTCTCAATCTCATCATTGCATTCTCAATTGCAATCTGCAATTGATAAAGAATCTGACCACAGCTCAGATATTTCATCGCCTCCATCAATAATAACGCCAAATCGAGGCTCATTTACAAAAATGTCTATAGTTATCCCAGATACCAAGGTAAAAACATTTTTGGAAGATTTTGAAGAAAATTTTGACTTGGCAAAAGAAGAGGTTATAGAGATTTGTGAAAAGGTCTTTCCTGATGAGGTGAGATTTGAGCATATGATAAAGTTGTTTTTGACGGAAGAAATTCATATTGAGGACAGCGACTTGAGGAAAAAACTTGCCTCGCATTTTATTGGAGGCAAGGAAATTGTAAATAAGAAAGATGCAATTGAAGGAATTATTGAAAAATTGTTTGGGGAAAAAGACGAAACTCCAGGATTTCACGGTGAGATTACTGAGCCGATTTTGGCACAAATTGAGTTTAAGAAAGATGAATTTTTGCATATCTGTAGAGATCAAGACAGCCAAAAAACCGGAATATTATCGTTCAATGAGCTAGTAGATATTTTAGCAAAATTGAATATAAAGATCAGTGACAGCAGCTTAGAACAATTCATATCTGAATGCTCAGCAAAATTTGCTTCAATTGATAAAATTGAATATGAAAATTTGCTGAGAGTGAAGTCGAACTCTTATAACAGAGGGTTTTCATTTGCATCATAGAAATTAATAACATTAATCTATTTATACATCAATTTTATGCTAGAATTAAATAAAAAACCTCATTATTTTTTAAATTTTGAGCTAAATAATGTTGAATTACACCTTATTAAATATTATGGCTGCTTCGTTATTTCTTCTTCTAATTCTTGGGTTAAAAAATTTACACTTTCGCTGATTAAGTCTTCATCAGAATTGACGTCATTATCTGCATCGCCTTTGGATTCTTCTAATTCTATTCCTATGTGTTTAAACATCGTTTCTTCTTTAAAGCATCGAAAATTTTCTGTTTGGTTAGTCTCAGGGTCTATCAGCTCGACCATCATGATAGGAACTGGCCCTGCCGATCGTTTGTCCTTTTTGCAGGTTTTTGGCTCAGTATTATCAGTTCTTTTCCTTTTCCCACTCAAGTTCCCATATTCTGGAGTTAAAAGCTGAGCAAAAGAGTGTTCCAAATTTTTATCGTCAAAATTGAGCGCTTTTTTTGCCGGCTCGCCAAAACTGTCACTCTCTTGTTTTCTGCTGTTTGAATTAAATAAAACATCATCTAAATGCGCTGTTCGAAATGGATTTCTTGCAAATTGATTATAATCAGTCTTTTCAACAATCTCTATTGTATCTTTATCCGATATACTTGAAAATCTTTTCTCTGGGGTTTTTTGAGGAAAAATGCGCCTGGCTCGATAAATAGGCTTTGATGTAAAAGTGGGGAGGGATGCACAATTGTTTTGTTGCTCTGAATTGCTTTCCTTTTGCATTAACGTATTTAATATGATTGAGGTGGTTTGATTAAATTTAAGAGAAATTTAATAGTGCGCGGTATATGCTGAAAACATATGTATTATTTGGGCAAATAACATTTGCAATTTTTTGCCATTTTTAGAGAAATCTCTTTATTGCTAACTGAATTATCATTTGGAATTGTATTAAATTATATAAAGATTTTGAAGATTTATTTTTATTGGAAAGAAAATAAGGTTTAGTGCATTTTTATTATTAATTATGGCGACTATACTTGAAACAGCTACAAAATCCACGATTTATGCCATTGAAATATGTGAAAAGGCAAAACTTAACCAAAATATTGCATTTGATATCAAAAGAAGAATCCAATGCATTTATAGCCCACTCATAGATCTCCAGATCAACCCTTTATCTAGAAAGCAATTAGAAGCTATATCAAGGCTCAATACTACAATTTTGCATTTAGCTGAATACCTTAGCGAAATCACGACTAAAAAAATAATTTTTCGTCTATATAGTGCTTCTCGAGAGCCTAATGAGCTTACACACATTTTTCACTCGTTAACTGGAATTCTCCAGGACTGCGAAATTAGCCTAAGCTTCAATATAAGCCAAAACATCAGACAGACAGAAATCCTAATTGAAAATATGCAAACAGAGCTTATTTCAATCCTCTCAAAAATTCAGACAATTGACGACTTTGAGAAAGAGGCAATTATCAGCGAAATTTCGACAGCAATTAAATGCAAGCCTGAAGACCTTAAAGCAATTGTCAGAGAATATATGGCTTATGTCGGGATTAGCAAAAAAGTGATTAATGAGAGAATTGATAAATTAATTGGTGAAAATCATCATAGGGAATATTTTTTAAGAAGCTCTGTAGCTCATGAATTTTGAATGAGGGCATTTGGGGACGCAGTTAATGTCTCATGGACTGATTTTTATAGTGCTTTTATCAGTGTTTTTCTTAATTCTCTAAATTTAGCACAGACTTATCAGAATGCTTTACTTGAATCTATTAGAGCATGGGTCGATCCTGATTTGTGTGGGATTGTGAATAAAAAAGCTTGCAATAATTTTTTTGAAAATATCTGAGATATTCCTAATAATCGTGCAAATTTTATAAGCTCAAACCAGACTGTTCATAATCCTGTGCAGTATGCAAGCTATTTGACGCTAAGAGTGTCTTCATTGCACGAAGCAAACGAAAGAATAAAAAAGGGTCAAACATTCAAAATTTCTCCTCAAGGCTACTTATATTCAAAAAACTTAAAATATGATGGTATCACCACAATTGGCAGAAAAATTACACAAAGCCCTGTAGATTTATGCTTCCCAGACTCTGCAATCAGCGCTAGACATGCTCAAATCGCTTTTCACCCGAAAAAAGGGTATAGTCTAGTTGACCTTGGCTCGACTGGTGGTACTTATATTGAAGTGTCAAAGCCATTGCTATTAAGTGTCGGATTAATGGTTCAATTAGCCTCAAGTGATATTTTTGTAGTAAAAGATCTGAGACTTGATTTTATTCCTTCAGCACTTATCCCTGAAACTTTTTTTAAGCTGAGATCGCAGCATTCCAATATAATTATTGAAGAATCTGAGCAGGATATTACAAATCTCCAATTAGAAGAGTCGAAAAATATTGAGGAAGTGAAAAACGAAGAAATAAAAACAATGTCGATCATTGAAATAGAATTTGTGCTGAAAGGGCAGCATAAAGGCCAAGTTTTCAGGTTTACAAAAAATCAAGAAATTACATTAGGACGATTGCCGGAAAATACTATTCAGTTAAATGACCCTTATGTCAGCTCTATTCACTGTCGGATAAGATTCGAAGAAAGAATTGGATGAGTTTTAGAAGATAATGGCTCAGCCAATAAAACCTGACTCTCTTTGTCGAATTATTTTCCGTTTCAAAATAAAGAGCCGAGTCCTCCTGTATTATTAGAAGACGGGATGCATATAAAAATAGGAAATATAGACTTTCAAGTTTCATTGTCAGAAAATTAAATTAAATCAATTTATTTTAAAATATTCTGATGGTTATGCTTTATATCTTATATGATTTCGATACAAATCTTTTATAGGTGGCATTTCTTTAAGCTTATTTCTCAGTTTAAAAACATCAGCAAAGCAAGCTGAATATTCAGGACCTTGTGGGGAAATCTCAATTGGCTTTCTTTGTAGTGGGTTACCTGTTTTAAGCTTCCTTTCTCTTCTTTTTATTAATTTTTGCATTTCTTGTTGTTGCTGCAAATTCTTTTTTTCATCACAGTGCTGTCTTAATATTTTAATAAAATTAGGTGGCCCCTCGCTATAGCTTTCTCCTTTATGTGGAGTCATATGCCGCACTTTAAAAGGGATTTGTTTGGTACTGCTATCGATTTGTTCTGAAACCAAAGGACTCAGCCTTACACAATTGAATTTTTTCATCTGACTTTCATCTAAAATTGATTTTTTCAAAGGTGGGTCACTTAAATGCAGTTCAACGCGCTCTACAAGGGCAATATCGGAAATATCTAATTTGGCCTTTACTTCAGGGACTTCTTCTTCTATTATAAATACAGGTTTGCTTGGCTGGAGTCTTGAAAACAACTCTTTACTCCCCTCCATAGCGAGCAAGCCCATTGAAAAGACCTTATTTTTTTATGTAAAGCCCACTCTCTGTGAGAAGACAAAATTTATTTTTAAAAATAATAATATTTCGATATATAAATGATAATTACTATAATGAAATCTCGAGCTTATTTTTATTAAAATATTTTTACAGCTTGGATTTTAAAACATGAAATTTCCAATTAATCCAATTTTTGTGAATTATTTTAAATTTCAAAAAAATACTTAAATTTATATAGAAATTTCCCATAGATGGCGCTGTTTGCCCTTGATTTGCCCACTGGGGAACTTTTTTGGTTCGACCAGTCCCATATGGTTTGGTCAAACCAAAAATTTTTCTCATGGGCAAATCAAGGCAAACAGCGCCATCTATGGGAAATTTCTATATTTCAACATAGCCACCTCCCAGAGAAAACTTTTTGGTTTATGAAGGGGGAGTTAGCGAACTCTTTTCCACCTTGATAGCTTTCCATTTGTTCCTCAATCATTTTTGGCAGGTTTCCTTTTTTATCAAGCTTATGTGGCTTATTTCTTACAGAATAGCTCATAAAATAGTCACCCAAAATCTTTTTTGTTGTGACTTTCACGAAGGTATCAGTTACTACCATTCCTAAGAGCTGGCTATAAATAAGCTTATAGCAGTCTAAAATAAACCTAAAATCCATCAGTGGCCTTGTATATTTAAAGTTATCTCACAGTTCATGATGGATAGCATGGCCGATTATAACTGGCAGCACATCCATGCATTCGTCAATTTTAAATTGGATGTTGTAAAGCATGAGCTTCAGATAAGTTTTGGAAAGCTGCTCTTTGACCTGATTTTGGAGCTCTTTTGTAGTGGAATTATGGTATTTTGTATAAAAAACGAGCCAGAATAGGTGATGGTAAAGATCGATTATGAGATCTAGTTTTAAGAATGATTTCAGTTGCTGCTTTAATAAGGGCTGCACCTTGAGGACACGAAGTGGAGGGAAATAATCACGCGGCTTGATTTCTAGAGGGTAAGGGCTTTCTAAGGTAGGCTGCACATCTTCAATTAGTAGCTGCTCTTCACTATCTGAAGAAGAGATGTCTGAGCCCGAACTCATATTGTTTAAATTAACTTACTCCCCCCCCCATCCTTGATCGAACGATTGACTCTAAAAATTCCTAAAAATTGGGGAAATTACCCCCATCCTTGATCGAACGATTTTCATATCATGCAAATTTTTATATATATAAAAAAAATTAGTTATCAAATGCTTTGGGAGATGTGCCTAATGAAGTTGTTTTCAGAGCTTTGAGACGACAGAAAGCTGCGAAATCAACCATCCGAAGTGATTTAGACATCAGCCTAGGCTTAAAAACTCAATAATCTAATAAAATAGAGATTCTTTAAAATTTAAAAAAAAAAAATTAATTTAAATTAAAATTTTATACAGTTTAGAAGGGTAACTAATAAATCAAAATATTAAAAATTGGTATTTTTATGAAATTAATTCAATTTTTTGCTGTCAAAATAATTATTAAATACTCTTAACCCTCTTATTTAAAGTAAATATAAAAAATCTATATATATATTTTTTCATTTTATATATAAAATTTTTTCCCAAAAAAATTTTTTTTAACCCCCATCCTTGATCGAACGATGGCGAGTCGTTCGATCAAGGATGGGGGGGAGTTAAATGAATTTCGTTTAATTTTTTTGGTTTTATAATCCAAGAGGTAAATATCAATTCAAGCTTATCCCCCCTTTGCTAGCGAGCAAAAACTATCAAAAATCCGAATTTTTTGAATATTAGTTATTAGCAGAAGCTATAACTTAATATATAATTAGATTATCATAAATTCTGATGCAAGTTATATAATTTTAGATAGATTGTTTAAAGCATAAATTTTATAAATTAAATTAGAATATTTTTCATCCGATTTTTTTTTATATTAACAAATTTTTAATTAATACCCGCAAGTATTTTAGCTCACTAATCAAGGGTGAAGTTAGTAAAAGGATTTATTTATGCATTTTTTTAATTTTAGATAAATTTTATTAAGCTTATCCCCCTGCGATAATAAATGGCTGATACACTTGATGGCGAAGAAAGGGTAAAAAATATAACTCTTACTCCCCCAACCCCAAAAATTTAATAACGAGTGCTTGCTTTGTCTTATTGATGGGGCATAAAAATAAATTTTCTTCTCTTTTATTTTTAAGGTAATTAATAGACTGTTATCATGATTAAAATAAATTTAAAACGAAAATGTGCTTTTACAAAACTTTAAATAAAAATTACGAAAATTGATAATATTATTTTTCTTGTTAAAATGAACATAGAAAAAATAAAAGCCTGTGAATTTTAATCGTTATTAAATGGGGAAAGTTAGACTAAGACGAATAAGAGAAGAGCTCATTCCTCTATTCCATGGAGAAATTTTTAGATCAAAAGAAGTTCCAGAGCATATAAAAGAAGAAATCGCAGAAATTTATACTTTGTATGGAGGAGCTTCAATCTTAATGGAAATCTGCAACGTTACTTATGATCAAATGAAAGCTTGAAAAAACAAACTGAAAAGAAATCCAAACTATTTCAAAGAAAAAATGCTTAAAAAATCAAATTGCACTAATTTTTCAGAAGCAGTCCTTGAAAAAGCAGGTCTAGAATATGAACTACCATTAAAAAGAGTTTTTTCAATGAATGAGACCAAAATAAGCAAAAAATATAAAAATATGCCAATCAGCCTTAGTGATCTCAGAAAAGTTTTGCCTGAAAAAATCCAAGAAAAATGCGATGAAATAAAAAAAATGATAAAAAGGACAGATGATTGTAAAGGTTTCAAGAGGGATGTGAAAGCAGAAATCATAAAAGTTGTTTTACAATATGGAGAAGTGAAACCTATAGCTTTATATCTTGGAATCAAAGAAAAAACTATTCTTGGATGAAGGGAATTTATACCGAATGGGGTAAGTAAATATCAATATGAAGATGAATCCGGTCGGTTTTTAAATAAAACTTCGAATATTAATGATAATTTTCTGTAGCTGCATTTATGCCACAGAGATAAAATAATAAAATGGAATTAAATATATCATATTGTATTTTTGCTGCATATTTTTGAATTAGTAACTCTTAGCTTCATGAACGAAAAGGAAAAAAAATGGTGGCGTTTACGGAATTGGACTCTAAGCTGACCTCCCTATGGACAAGGTAGGACTCATTTTATGATGCTGAAAATAGGCCTCTGTCCCTTTTTGAAATATGCCTTCAGAATTGGAATGCCTTGCTGAATAGGGAAGTTTTGTTTCTCCCCCGTCCCTGACAGATGGGCTAGACAGGTTTTGCCTACCACATGGTCTTCTCTAATCGGGACCATCGGGGCATCTCACAGACGATGGCTCTGCCCAAGGGAGTTGATCCCATGGACCGGTTGTTCAGGTCAGAAATCCAAAAGGGCGACCTTTTAGAGCCAAGGTCAGCAATGGCTAGTGGCTAGATCCACTTATGGCCAGCATAATCGTTTAACTAACTCCATGAACGAACAAAACCATTGGAAAAATGCCTATTTTTGGATAAAACCACCCTCTGTGAGCTTAAAAAGCATCACAATTAAAAATGGAGCGTATGAATTAGGGTCCTTGTCCCCTAAGGTCATCCTAGTGAGGGAAGTTCAGACTTTCTGAAGGATATTGGCGCTGGAACTGCTTCGGCAGTTCCTTGTGTGCTTGAATCAAGTTCAAGAAAGGGAAGAGAGACTCGTCTAGGTCATAGGCTACTGTAACGGTTCGACGGTTAGGCCAATTCCACCTACCGTTGTCAGAGCTGTTAGCCAGTGATGGAATTCAGGAAGGATGGGCTTGTTTCGTTGGTCCTAAGCTAAGTGGGGGTCAACAGAGAGTTATCGTAATCTTAAATCTTAAATCTTAAAAAGCATTTTTTTAATATAAAAATATTTTGATATAAAAGTGATAATTGATATGAAATCTATAGTTAATTGTCTTGAATTTTAAGCAGCTTGCATTTTAAAACTTAAATTTTACAAATTCTATTAATTTTTGAAAAAAAATCACAATAAATCATTTTGCTCGCTTATGGGCATGGGAGTAAGTAAGAATTTTAAATTGAATTAGCTTTTTGAACGATATAACAAAATTGGATAAAATTATTAATATTCTCAATATCAATAGTCAATTAAAAAAGCCCAAATGCTAAGCTAGCATTTTTCTATATTCCCATCAAATTAAATTTAATTAAAATAGATCTTTACCTTTCTCTTTGGATAAATATCCCACAAAAATATTAAATTTCCCTTATATGCGCATTCTCTCTAAAAATAGCCTAATTTTTTACAAGCCGGCCAATTTATTAAAATGGCCAATATAATAGTGATCTTAAAACTGTGCCATTCCTGTAATTTTACTCACCAGTTTATTAATAAATATGCTTGACTCCCTCGACCGTCGAAATACCGTCGCAATCGCCGAAGACGAACACTTTTTAAAATTCAAACGTCGAAACACCTTATCAAGTATCTTAAAAGACGCCGAATACGAAAAATCTTTAAATCAAGTCGATAGCAAAAATTTATTTAAACTAACAAGACTGATTCTTGCTTTAAAGCCCTATGAGCGTACCCCTGAAATGATAGAAAAGGTTCACCAGTGCACCCTAAATCTAAAATTTTTTCAAAAAATTCGAGAGGAGCATTCCGAAGATATTCACGTGGCATGCTGCAAATATCTTCAGCACGAGTTTCATCCTGCCCATTCTCTAGTGATCAGGCAAGGCGAAACGGGCACGAAGTTTTATATTATTTTAGAAGGAAAAGTTAGTGTAATAAGGGAAAACGAAGATGGAAGCTCTTCTATTGTGGCGGAACTGAGCTCAGGTGACTCTTTCGGTGAAAGAGCCTTAATGCTTGGAGTTCCTCGGGCCTGCAGTATACGATGTATTACCAATTGCAGCCTAGGAGTGTTAGAGATCAGTGAATATAAAAAAATTTTGGAATCGCTGATGGAGGAAAAATATAATGCACTTATTGAGATGCTCAGGGAGCTCCCTATGTTCAAAAATCGGTCTAGCCATTACTTACAAAGGCTGACTTATTATTTTAAGCCAAGAAAATGCCATAAAAAGCAATGCATTTACAAAGAAGGCGACCCAGCAAACGAAGTATTTTTGATACAAAAAGGAGAATTTAATTTGTCAAAAAAATTAACTATCCCTATACAGTCACCGAGAGGGTTCCCTAAGAACTCAAATTTAAAGTCAAAATCAATTTCAAGGGATGCACCGATTGTAGTCCTTGGAAAGGGGTCTATGTTTGGGGAAGAAGAAATTTTGTCAGGGATTGATCAAAGAACGACCTCTTGTATTTGTATGTCGAGAGAAGGGTGTGTATTAGTGATCAGCAAAGAAAGTTTTCAAAAAAATATTTTAAAGAGTGAAGAAGCTGTTGATTTTATGAAAAAAAGAACTGAAAATAAGCTCGCGTCACGACAGACTATAATAGAGCAAAATGTGCACTTACAGAAATTAAAATCTGGGATTATTCCGTTGAAAATTGAAGAAGAGCTTCCGACGCTTTCACCGCTTCCTCCTATAAAGCAGCTTCAAGGGGCACTAACACCAATTTTGACCAAAACACAAACTTTAAAAGTCCCGGGTTCCTCAAGAGAGCCAGCTTCAGTTTCTCCATTTCCTGACCTCTCTCCATTTGATAGCCAATCTCCGACTTTAGCTCACTCCAAAACTCTTGACGCAAAAGCATTAACAAGCACTTTTCTCACCCCTAGAAAACCCCTCCACCTTGAAATTCCCCCTCCTTCCTCCATTTTTTCTCCCTCTGAAGTACCGCTTACACCTACTTTAAGCACAGAGCCAGCACATCACATAAGAGACTTTTCAAGTCCTCCCCCTTTAAAGCTTGAAGATTCTGACTCTTCTCCAACTATTAAGCATTTATCAAGAAAATCAATTATGATTCCTTTAGGGACTATGGACTATTTAAATAGTCCTAACTCCCCCCCCCTCCGTGAGCGAACAAAACCATTAGAAAAATCGCCATTTTTTGACCAAAAACCCACCCTCCGTGAGTGAACAAAAATTTTTTTAATAGAAAAAAAATTTTTAATGGAAAAAAATTTTGATATATAAGTGATAATTAGTATAATGAAATCTAGAGCTAATTCTGTTTAATTTTAAACAAATTGCGTTTTAAAACATAAATTTTGCAAATTAAATTAATATTTGCTTCCCAATTTTTGCAAATTAGGATTTTTTTAAATTTCGAAAAAAATATTTTTTATAAAATTTATATATAAATTTTTTTTAAAAAAAAAAAATTAACCCCCCTCCGTGAGCGAACAAAATTTTTTTGTTCGCTCACGGAGGGGGGGGGGGGAGTAAAAAGAAATTTGAAAAAAATTTAAAAATTAAAAAAATCGTGAATATTCATACGTATATGATGAAGTCGAACAGTCCAAGAAAAGAGTCGAATAAGCTTATAAGAACTGAGAGAAAGAGATTTACAGCTTCACCGATTTTATTGGAATTAAAAAAAGAGCCTGAGTGTGAGCAGCCGAAGAGAATTGAGAGAAGAAAAACAGCAAGAAAAACTGCTGTGCTTTAATAAAATAGTTAAAGTTTTGATTTTATTTATATAAAAATGATAATTTTTGCTTAATATATATTTATGTAGATATTTTCTTATCTTTTAGAGAAAAATTTCTGAGCAGTACAATTATTTAATAATAGTGATTTGAGTTATAAAATATACAAAAGTCTATTGAGCTTAAATGTAGAATAAAGTTTGTTTTAAATAAATTTAAGACTTATATTTTTAAAGCCTAAACCAATTCCAATATTTTAGAATCATCTTATAATAATGTCCATATCCTGCCATTTCTAAAAAAAATATTAATAAAATTGAATGTATTTACTCCCTATCAGAATTTCAAGACTATTCAAGCAGTACATCAGGCCACCAAAATCCACGACTTCTCCCCTTACAGAGAAAGACTTTTCTTTATATCGAGTCTTATTTGCAGCATATGGCATATACTCAATATATCACTACAGAAAAAAAATATCAGAAAGTTGTGGAATAATTGGCTATGTCGGTTCTGATCCTAAAGCTATCGATGTATTGCTGCATGGCCTTACAGAAATTCAAAACCGAGGCTATGACTCTGCGGGGGTTGCAACTTACCATGATGGAGAAGTCTTGGTCACAAAATTTGCAAGTGATAAGCTAAAAATTTCTGATTCAATAGAAAAAATTAAGCAAAATGCAGATAAACACACAAATAGCTGCTTAGGAATTGGCCATACACGTTGGGCTACCCATGGAGGAGTAAACGATGAAAATGCTCATCCTCATTCTGACCATAAAAACAGGATTTTTGTGGCCCACAATGGAACCATTACAAATACTCACGAAATCCGATCAATCCTTGCACAGTGTAAAATCCCAATAAAAAGTGAAACAGACACCGAACTTATAGCTTTACTCATCGGGATGTATCTAGATGAAGGACATTCGTTGAAAAATTCAATAAAATTGGCCCTTCAAAGGCTGGACGGAACTTGGGGACTTGCAATTTTAAGTAAAGATGAGCCAAATCAAATAATAGTAGCAAGAAAAGGTAGCCCTATGCTTGTAGGGATAGGAGAAAATGAACTATATGTAGGAAGCGAGCAGGCAGCTTTTAGCAAATTCACTAAAAAATATATTGAGTTGCTCATGGGTTTTAACAGTTTTAAACCATTTCAAGATTAGAATTCTGCATTAAAAATAATTTTTACTATTTAAATCTTTGCAAATATAGCTGAGATACTATATGGCCTTAGAAGAAGACGAAATTTGGGCTTTGGATCCTAAAAAAATGGAAATCGAAAAAAATCGCATCGAGCAGATCGATAACCAAGGCGAAGTAAGCCTAGGCTGTCACACACATTGGACTATCAAAGAAATCGAAGAGCAGCCAGAATCTGTAGCAAGAGCTATGAACTTCGGTGCAAGATTAATTCGTGACGGAGCAAAACTTGGCGGATTAGAAGAAATCAAAGAAAAACTGCTGGAAATAAAAAATTTGGCCATAATCGGATGTGGGACTTCTTATCATGCTGCAATGTTCGGGGCTCATTTGTTTAAAAGTTTAGAAATCTTGAATTCTGTGCAAGCCCTTGATGCGTCAGAAACAACTTTATTAGATATTCCAAAAGAAAACCCAGGGGTGATTGCGATTTCTCAGTCAGGTGAAACTAGAGATTTAATTGAGCCTGTTTCAGAAATAGCCTTTATAGAGAGAACCTGCCAATAATAATAGTAATTCGGATTTTAACACCATTTTCATTAAAAAGTATAGTAAAAAATGGAATTACCGCTATTTCTATCGTCAATGTAGTCGGATCTCAGCTTGCAAGACTAACAAAACATGGAGTTTACATGAACTCAGGCCGAGAAATCGGTGTCGCCTCCACCAAAAGCTTTATGAACTCTTGTGTCGTTTTAACTGAGATCGCTTTATGGCTCTCTGCCCATCTCAAACCTGAGGATTCAGAAAAGCGAAAAAGTCTCGTCAACCACCTCCTCAAGCTTCCTTTACAAATTGGCTCAGTGATTGCTCAAAACAAAGAAGTCATCAAAGAAATTGCATCAGAAATAATAAATGAAGAACACATGTTTGTCCTCGGAAGAGGCTTAGCTGAGTCTATCGCTAACTCCCCCCCCCCTCCGTGAGCGAACAAAAAAAATTTTTGTTCGCTTACGGAGGGGGGGTTAATTTTTTTTTTTAAAAAAAATTTATATATAAATTTTATAAAAAATATTTTTTTTCGAAATTTTAAAAAAATCCTAATTTGCAAAAATTGGGAAGCAAATATTAATTTAATTTTGCAAAATTATGTTTTAAAACGCAATTTGTTTAAAATTAAACAGAATTAGCTCTAGATTTCATTATACTAATTATCACTTATATATCAAAATTTTTTTCCATTAAAATTTTTTCTATTAAAAAAATTTTTGTTCACTCACGGAGGGTGGGTTTTTGGTCAAAAAATGGCGATTTTTCTAATGGTTTTGTTCGCTCACGGAGGGGGGGGGGGGGGGGAGTAAGGAAGGGGCATTGAAAATCAAAGAAATCACAAGAGTCCACGCAGAAGGATACCCTGGAGGGGCACTAAAACATGGACCTTTTGCCTTGATAAATGATGGGACACCGATTATCTTGATAATATTGAATGATGATTATAAAGATCTTATGAACTTAGCACTGGCAGAAGTCACTGGAAGAGGAGCGAAGACAATTGTGATTACGTCGGATCCAGCACTTATAACAACTGCAAAGCCACCAAATAAAATTATTAAAATTGAAGAAGCAGGGCCGCTTACTGCGTTGCTTTCAGCAATCCCAATGCAAATGCTGGCTTATTATTTGAGCATTATGAAGGGGCTTGATCCTGATCATCCTAGAGGATTGGCAAAGGTTGTAACAGTTAGATAACTTTCCAGTTAATTTAATTGTAATTCCGTATATAAAACACTAATATTTGAGAGCAATATCCATGTAAAAATAGATATAATATTGGCTTAATTTAATATATTAAACTATTTCAGTTTAAAGTTATATAAAATATAACTATGCCATCATTTATTTCAAGATTATTAAATGCGGCCAAACAAAGAAAAAGTTGACGAACAATTGGTCTCGCTCACTCTTCCTCCATGAGCGAACAAAAAATTATAATCGTTCACAGAGGGGGTCAAATTTTTTTTTAAAAAATCGAAATTCTCAAGTAAAAATTAATTTAATGTTTTAAAAATTTGTATGCACACGCTCATTCAAAATTACAGAATTATATTAAAAAATAAATTTATTCGTTACAGAGATGGTTTCTGCCAAAAAAAATAGAAATTTTTCCAATGTTTTGTTCGCTCACAGAAGGGAAGAGTCAGAACAAAGTACTTAAATAATCAAAAAATCCTAAAATCGTTGCAAGAAACTTATATAAAATGATCAGATGACCTATTAAGAGTTGACGAAAAAATCGCGAGACTTGAAACTGGGATTCAGCAAGACATGATCGAAGTACGGAAAAATGACAAAAAAATAACTAAGCTTAAAGAAGATATAGAAGAAAGAAAAACAATAAACCTTCCTGAGAAAAATCAAATCAGAGATCTTAGTGGCTTAGTTAAAGCTTCTAAAAGCATCTTTTCATCATCAGCATTTGCAAAAGAAGACCGTCTAAGCGCTAAACGCAATATCTCGCTATTAGGAAAGCCAGGAGAAATTCTATTAGAAATTGCTAATATTTCAGAAAAAGTAGTAAATTTGAAGAAAAACATTGTTGACCTTAAAAGAGCCCAAATTGAGCTAAGTGAAGTAGACGGCGCCGTCAAAAAAATAAAAGAGCTTGACTATTTACGGTCAGAAAAAGAAAAATTCCAAGAAAAAACAGTCCTTGTTAAGTTCACTAATTTATTAGGAGAAGAAGATTCCTGCTATTTCCCTATCGTCAACAATGATGGATACCAAATTACTTTTTCTGAGCTTCTCAACAATGCAAGCAGATACTGAAATTTGTTCGGCCAAGGCTGCGTTTTGGTAGATAAAGAATATACAGTGTGGCCTGGAACAGCTATTGTAGAAGATGAGGCTAAAAATTCTAATAGAGAAATCTGAATTATGACAAAAGAAGAAGCACACTATTATAAGGTAAAAGGAAATATTGAAGAAGGCAAAGAACGAATCCCTGATGAAGCTGAAAGTGAAAGCGAAGTGCTAGGCGTTATGCTAAATTATAGATAAGCTCACTGTGAGGTGCCTTTTAGCCCTTATTCTCATCTTGAGCTTAAGGTTCGCATTTCATGACATCGTGAATGTATCTCCTATTGGCGAGGCTTGCATTTGTTATCCAGAAGTCAGATGCTTTTTGCTTCTGTGTAGAGCGTCAACAGACTGTCAGCCATTGAAAAATCAAAAGTTGAATTTTCAGGTCGACTCTTGCCAAAAATTGAAATTCGAACCCTGGACGCAACTCCCATTATCGTTCTGGCTGGTTGGCTATGAAACTAACTTCACACTGCTTAGATATCTATTTCAACTTTTGCACACTCTTCCCCATATGAGAAAAACTTGTCACTGGACAGAGCTTGGGCTGATTATTCAGCACTCTATCTGCGCCAAGAGAATTACGCCGGATATACACATCAGACTCCAACGAACTTCCTTATGGCCACCTGCACTCTGTTGGATATTATCTGCAGGAGTTAGGAAGGTGGCTGATTCATAACCCCATTAATGAATTTTAAAGCGAAGCCGACAATGAAGAAGACAAAGTTCACTACGACGAAGATTGAGAAACCAAACTTAAAGAAAAAGAAGAGGCTTTAAAAGCAGATAAAGAGAGAAACATGGGCTTATTGAGAATAGAGAGATTAAGGCATATGAATGTGCTAAACTTGCTGGTTTATATGCTGTTTATTGTATTGTTTACATGAAATATCAACGAATGGAAAAACACAACAACGTTTTATTATACTAGGCTTGGAATTATTAATTTCCTGCTGATGTACCCTTTTCCAGTTAACTCTTCAAATTTTATGACTTTTAGTAGCATTCAGCTGCCAAGTGATTTAGAGTCTTATTTGACTGGGACTTTTGTGAGTGGGATATGACAGGACACAAAATACAATAATGACCCAATGACTAAAAATGAGCTTAATTACGTCGCCTATGTGTATAAGCTAGTTGGCCCTATAAGAGTCGTTCAAAAACGGGTCAAAACTAATAGCTGCTCACACAGTATGTACAAAATAATAGGAAGAAGTGACACAAGCTGCTATAGTGATTATTCTGACTCTGTGGAAGACACTTCTCCTATTGTCATAAATGACGCTTCCGTGAGTTCTGTAGATTCTTCATGATTAAAATATACTCATGATAGTGGTGCTAGAACTGTGACTGGAGAAAGACTAAGCTACCAACTTGAAGGGTATATGGCTTATATTAGATCAAATCTCACTATGGATGAAGCCCAAAAAAATATCAGTTTTATTATTAGCGACTGAATTAACTATCAGACCCGATTATTAGCTTTCAATATTAATCTCTGCAACAACTTCGCTGATGTGTGCTCCTCAGTAGATTTACTGTTCGAATTCACAGCAAGTGGCTTAGTATTGCCGAAAGCTTATGTGTATGTTTATAGGGTATATGTGAATTGGACCTCTTCAGACATAGTAAGAAACGCTTTCGAAGGTGTTATAGGCATTATTATGCTTTATTTTATTATTGATCTAATATGAAGGGTTCGTAAAGAGGGCTGAAAACTCACATTCTTGAGCTTTTGAACTGCAGTTAGGATTCTTCTCATTATTATGCTGATTATAAAAGTAACTTTGCTTATAGCTTACAGCCAGCGTGATGAGGTTTTGAATTTCCAATCAATAAATGACGAATTTGTAGACTATGAAAAATTGGGTTATTTTTTTAACACTACAAATAATTTTATTGGAGTGACCTCATTCGTAGCATTTTTTTTTATATTAAGTTTTTTGCAGCAATCAAAAAGCATGAAAATTATATGGGGAACTTTAAGGGAGTCTCTTCGTAGGCTAGTCTTTTTCTTTTCAGTTTTTATTTTAATTATGACTGGATGGCTGCTTTTAGCGTATCGTGGATTTGGCCAATATTCAATCGAGTATAAAGATTATGGGACAACTCTTAATACACTGCTACAGATGCTTTTTGGAAACATTGATTTTGATACAATTTGGCAAATTCAGCCAGTTTTTGCTTCAATTTTTTTCGTTTTATTTATTTTCTTGACATTTTTTGTAATGTTGAATATCTTTTTAGCAATTATCAACGAATCTTATGACACTTATTATAAGAAATTCAGTACTGATGATAAAAAGGATGAAATTTTGATTATTTTTGGGCTGATTTTTAATGCAATTAAGTACGGGCTGTTCGTTTACCCATATAAGTTTGTGACTTGCCAGAAGTTAAAGAGAGAAAAATTACGGATGAATGAAATAGATAACGACGCATACTCAGCAGCAGATAACTCAACCTCAAGAGATAACGTAAGCGAAAGATCAATTACAAGGAAATACTCTCTTTAAACCCTTTTATTGAATTATTAATATTAATTTGTGAAGATGAATTCTGTAGATTGTTGATAGATATAAAAATTATTATGAAAAAATTATTCATGGTAATTGAATAATTTAAAATGTTTATTGCGTAAGTGGCTAATATTTTTTTAATATTTTTCTGGGAATAAAACATAAATAATTGAACAAAAATCTGATGATTTAAATCGGCTGAAACTTGTAGGAAACTAAAGCGCGAATATTGAGCAATAAATAATAAAATAAATAACCTTACAATCAGACGTGTCATATATAAAGAAGCAAGCAGCGCTAGAAAGCCAATTGTTTCTCTCAACAGTAGCTTGAATCCAAGCCACAAAAGATCTACATCTGACCATCTTTCTCCTGTGAGAATCATCCCTCACGATTTGCCCAGAAATCAAATTAGCATCGAAAAAAGGAGGCCTATTTCAGACCAAATATCTCCAAGACGATGCATAGTCCGTGAGCCACTGAGATCTCAAATAACCAGTGTACATAAACGAACAAACTCTAACCAATTTTCCCCTCGAAGGTCCATTTTGCATGAAGTTCCTCAACAAACTGATATTTCAATTGACCAAACTAGTAATGCAAGCAAGCTTCTAAAAGATGAAAAAATTGAGCCTAAAAGAGAAACTCATGAGAATTTTTTAGAAAAAGTTGAAAAAACAGAAAATTCTAAATTACCCCCAGCATTACCATTACTTCATATACGTAATATTCTCTTTTTAATTAATTTTTATTTTTTTTTATTCTTCTGGTATGCGCCTAGGTCAGCATGACAAAGTATAGCAGATTTCGATTTAAAAATCAACAAACTGTAAGTGAACAAGTCTCTCCAGTATCAAAGCTGGAAAATGAGCATAATTTTGAACGAAGCAATGTAAGAAGACCTTCTATTCCATTTGATATGGGGATGATTATGAAGCAAAAGCAGCCGAAAGAAGATCATGTTTTCCCAATGAGATTTATAATTAACGAAGCTCCTAAAGAACAGTCATTTCGTGAGATTAACCAATTAAACAATATTTGCAAAAAATTAATCGAGGAGCAAAGAGAGCTGAAAAAGCAAATTCATGATCAAAAAAACCAAATTGACCAGCTTAAAAATGAAAAAGAAGTTATAGAAAATTTTAAGCCGCCAGTTTCTAATGATAATTTTATCCAGACACATCGAATTCAACTTAAAGATCCTCATATTTTATCAGCTGAAATTGAACTTCAGCCTAAAAATGAAGAAGTCAGCTCTGGCTTCAAATTAGATGAAGCTCTTTTTACATTTATGGATTCTGATGGCAAAAATATGGCAGAGACTTCACGCTTTGGAGCAGTTCCTGAACCGCCTAAGTCGAGCCGATTCCCTAGAGAAGTTTTTGTAAGAAGAGTTAAAAGGTCGAGAGGGTAAATTGTTAATAATAAAATAAATCATTTATCTTTCTTAATTTAAGAAAATCCTGCCCCTTTGAGAGAGTTGTATTAAAATTGCTTATTTTTAATATTTTTAGATAAAATTTTTATGGAAAACGAAGTGATAAATTCACTCTTAAGATGCGTTCGACAAATGTCTCCAGTGAGAGAAACTTATCCGCCTACAGAAAAATCATGGTTTGAAGGTCTGCGATTTAAATCTGCAGAGCCCAAATATTCCGATTATTATATTTTAAACTCTCCACAAAGAAAATCACTTGTCCCGAAGCTAGAACTAGATCATTGAAACTTAAATACAGCTAAAAAACGATTATCTCCTGACTTTGCAAAATCCCCTCTTAAAACTCCAGAAACAGCAGAATCGTTCTACAGTGGCAAAGCATCTCCGTTTAAAGATTCTAACTCCCTAAAAAATTTTGTTCAAAATGAGTATAAAAATTTTTAAAATAAATTTTGTTTTACTCGGTAGGTTTTGACTAAAGTAGGGATTTTTCCAATGATTTTGTTCTGACGAAGGGGGTAAGTCTCCTCATTGCTCAAGCCCATCTCAGCTTCCAAGATATTCAGGAAGAGACACAAGCATTAGTGCAGCTGCATCCAAAAAAATTACTCACTCTACCCACCTCTGTGAGCGAACAAAACCATTGGTAAAATCCCTATTTTTTGGGTAAAAATTACCCTCCGTGAGTGATCAAAAATTTATTATGACATAATAAATTTAATATTTAAGAGATTATTATAATGAAATCTCTAGCTAATTTTGTTGAATTTAAAAACAGCTTGAATTTAAAACATAATTTTGCAAGTGAAAATTAATTTTGGATTTTTTTAATTTCGAAAAAAAAAATTAACCCCTTCCATTAGCGAATAAAATTGTTTTTTCACTCACCGAAGGGGAGTCAGGACAGCATGCAACAAATTTATATGAGTTTTGATGATGATTTTTCTCCCGAAAAAAGAAATTTTGAAAAAGAAATAAGATTGGAAGAAGAGCAAAATAAGCACATTAAAGAACTTCGTGATAATATTGAAAAATATGAGAAACTAAGGCATGAAGGAACTAGAAAGCAAGAAAATGTAAAATAAATGTAGAAAATTTGTGAAGTAAGTAAAGAGGGAAATGATAATTATGAAGGTCTGGTTGAAAAGATTAGCTTAATGAAGGAAGAAAGTCTTAGATTAAGAAAAGCAATTGGCATTTATAAGAATAAAGAAGGTGAATCTCTTAAGAGGATCAATCGAAAAAGTTCAATGATTTAAATAGAACACTTAGTGTTCCATTTTTAATCAAAATAAAACAATTTTCATAATGATAGATCAGCAACTTCTAGTTATTGGTTTTTGCCATTTAAAGCGTTATTAGCTGAAAAAAAAACCCCTTTTTCTCACTCTTAGAAGGGTAGAAATGAGCGCTTGCCTACTCACTTTTAGACAATTATATTTTAGGTTTATATTAAATTAATGGTCTTTATATTTCATAAATATTTTATATAATTTTACATATCAGCAAATCATAAGTAAAAATGATTGTTTTTGACTTTCCAGAATTCTTTTATCCTTTACAAATATTTCCCTAATTCTAATTTTTTGATAATCTGGAATGCCGAAAGATGGCGACAAATTAGAGGACTCAATCAGAGATGAGTTGACACAGCCATGCTTGGAAACAAGCATAGTCCTTTTTGCAAATACGTCATCTGGTAGTACCAAAGCACGAGAATACATTAATTTAAATTCAGAACTACATTCCATAGCTACAAAGAACGGAACTGTTGATCTATATATCTACCACCTAAACGATGAAAATAGCAAACGAAATGGAGCATTGAGATGCTTATTTCTCTTACTGCTCTTATATATAGAAGTTTCCTATGTTTGGCGCTGTAAGGCCGATAAATTCTGATCGGAATTTATCGTAGGTTGCACCAAATCAATGCCTTGGTCGGACCAAAAAGCGATTTGGTCCGACGAACTTGGGAAAGCTCCTGGGAAAATGTCTGCGCTTTTAGCGCTATATAGAGGAAACCTCTATATGTAATGCAAGCCAAAAAATATATATCAACTTTAAACTTAAATCCCTATAAAATATTAGGGTGTTAGAGTGTTAAGGTGTTAATTTGTGTGTTGGATTTGAGTATCGTGAGTTAGAAAAAGTTGAAAGACTTAAAGTCATGGCTGCAGGTGGAGATGGGACTTTAATTTATGTAATGGAAACCCTCCTATCCTTCAATGTAAACATATCATCAATTGATTTTGGTATATTACCATTTGGGACAGGTAATGATCTAGCATCAATGCTTGGCTGGGGTAGAGATCCAAAATCTCCCATAGTTGGCAAACATTTCACAGGCTTAAAAAATAGTATAGAAAACTGACTTGATGCTGTCCCTATGCATCTTGACATGTGAAACATTGAAATTGATGTTCAAGAAGACGGCTATTTAGAAAAAATTGCTAAACAGCCAAAAGGATTCACAAGAGAAACAATGAAAAATCCCCAAGGTGAGGACATAAAGTGCTATAAAAGGCTGATGACTAATTACTTCAGCATTGGCTTAGATGCAAGAATTGGAGTCGGTTTCGACAAAAAAAGAACCAAAAATAAGCACAAAAACAGAATGATTTATTGCTGGGAAGGATTCAAAAAAATCTTTTGCCTTCCTTCTCCTAAAGTCAAAAAAATAACTACTTCTCTCATAGAAGAAGACTCCAAGCATATTTTCAATAATTTAGATGGACCACAAAATTTGCCTCCCGATACTACAGTTTTGTTAGCATTAAACTCAAGAACTTATGGAGGTGGAGACCATTTTGTGTGGGATAAAGCAAAATATAAAGGAAACAAGCTATGAAATGTTCAAAGCCCAAGGGATGGGCTGCTTGAGTTCATGATCTATAGAGGGAGCTTAGGACTTGGGCTTGAACAGATATTCACTGGTCGTGCTCATAAACTGCACCAAAGCCAAGGACCTTTTGAGATAAATTTCAATGACAAGAATAACGAAAACAATAGAATCTATATGCAGATTGATGGAGAGTACTTTTATGCAATAAAGCCCAAGCAAGTAAGGATATCCTTATCAGAAATTTCAGTAACTCGGCAAATAAGCGTCTTGGTTAATTCAAAAATAATTAAAAATGTTAAATAATTCATAATAAGGACTTAAAATACAAAAATGCCTTCTCTAAATTAAATAAATAGGATTTCCAAAAGGTAAATCATCTTTAACAGGTAGCATCCATATATGAAAAATATAGTTTATCTCAATATAAAATAAAGAGAATCTATGTAAACTCATAAAGAAATAAACTATTTCCGCTCTAATTTAAAACTTATAATTTATTTTAACAAGCTCTACATTAAAATCATCTTCAGCTATGCCGCATTAAAATTTCTAAACTATTAAGTCATTTTTATGCAATTCATTAAGCCACTCTATGCTTCATCATCAATTCTTTTCCAATTTTTGATGATCTAATTGATAGCTCTCTAGGTGGGCGCTTTTTATCCCTTGATTTACGATTCGGAGTTGGTTTTGGAGAAGGACTAACATCTTCTCTTGCAACCAAATGCAAAACATTTGCAGGAAATACAGTCTGATGTAGCATCATCAAAATATCAGTTCTCATGCACAAAAGTCCCATCAATTGCAAAGTGCTGAAATCATGGAAATCCTTTCAAGGCAGCTTTAATTTAGATAGCTGCTGATTTCTCGTCTCATCCCTCGCAGTTCTCATCATTCTTTTTACAGTGTAATACACAACATTTTTGCAATCTCTTTCTTGCAAAGCACTTCTTTTGCTTCTGTCTTTTAAAAAGCCTGTTGGAGCAGTTCTATTGTTAGCTTGCTCGCTATGTACAAGTTCAAAAAACAAGGACCCTGCTAGCCCTTGTTTTGAAATTTGTGGCATCTGCTGATTCTTTAAAAGTTCTTGCTTGGCTGAGTTTAAGCATTCCTGGAAGAAAAGTTCTAGTTTTCTTTGTTCATTTAGGAAAGCTCCTTGGAGACTTCCTAGATTTTGGCTTTCGTCTCTTATTTTATATATATCTTTTTTAAGGTTTTCAACGTCTTCTATCAAATGATAGCATTCAAGCTGCTGATCCTGGTTCATCAGCTCAAAATGAACGGTTGGGATCTGTGAAAGATTGCTTTGAGAGTATTTTGAAAAAATTTGAGGCATTTTTGACTTGAGATTGTCTAACTCCCCCCCTCCGTGAGTGAACAAAAAAATTTTATTCACTCAAGGAGGGGGGTTAATGTTTTTTTTTTTAAACAAAAGTTTATATATAAATTTTATAAAAAATAGTTTATTTCGAAATTTAAAAAAATCCTAATTCGCAAAAATTGGAAAGCAAACATTAATTTAATTTATAAAATTTATGTTTTAAAAAGCAATTAGTTTAAAATTAAACAGAATTAGCTCTAGATTTCATTATACTAATTATCACTTATATATCATATACATAAAATGGCCGGAGACGAGCGACCCGTCCTTCCGTGGCGGGTGTCCTTATGTATACCGGACATGGTTTTTGGATGCGGAGAGCTACTCAAGGGAAGAGTTAGCCTCGAGGCGAGAAGCCCAGCCCAATTTCCGCTGATTTTGGGACTCGACCGGGGCAGCAGTTTTTCGCATTCTTTTTGCCAGTAGCGCCGAGGCTCAGACTCGGTGTCCGAAAGAGGCAGGGTGAGTTACCTGCCTAAGTTACTTGGTGGCTTAGCCAGGGGTTGAGTTCTTTCTTGGAGATGATCCGGGAAATAGGGGAGGCGAAGCTAGACTTGGGGATCTCAAGGGCACAAGTCTCTCCAGTTAAAAGGGTCCTCTTACGAGGGCGATCTGGCCAACCGGAGGCTAAGACTGGCGTAATTCGGGGCGGAAGGCTGAATTGGAAATGGTGGTGCCCAGCGACAGTCGGCTGACGACTCAATAGGGCAACCCACTACCGAGAGAACCAGGGGTTTCGGGCCTGAGCTCAGAGAGCCAGTGATGGAAGTCCATCCTTTTCGCTCGTGCCAGCACGGCTCCTCAAGGAGCGCGGAGGAATGCCACGCATGGAAGTAGGGACTATAAATACACATCTTAAACCTAACCTAACCTATCACTTATATATCAAAATTTTTTTCCATAAAAAATTTTTCTATTAAAACAATTTTTGTTCACTTACGGAGGGTGGGTTTTTGGGCAAAAAATAGCAATTTTTCTAATGGTTTTGTTCACTCACGGAGTGGGGGGAGTAAGGATTTTTCTTTTGGCTTTATTTCTTCTAATTGATATGATAATTTTAAGTTTTCTTTTGATAGTTCTTTTAAGGTCTGTTTTAACTCCATCACTTGTTTTTCTTCTTCTGAGTACTGACTTCTATATTGATTTTCTTGAGCTTTAAGCTGAGCACTAAATCTTGACAGTGTCTCATATTGATTTGTGTAGCTTTTCATTTGTTCATTAAGTCTGTATACTTCTGGGTTATTTTCAATCTCAAAGTTGGCTTGGACCAGTTTTTCTTTGAGATTATGAAGCTTGGCTTCTTGCTGGTGGAGATGGTCAAGGTATTTATCTGCTTAGCAGTTACTGTTTAAAATTCATTCATTTCGCGAAACGACATCATCAATTATGACGTCTAAATCTTTGTACGCGGTTTGAAGCTCTGTATGAGCTTCTATAATGGGCTTCATCGGATTTTTTAAAGCTTCTTCTAGTCTTGTTTCTTCAGTATCTCTTTGAGATTTGGACGGTTTTTGAATGCTTTTATAAACTTCTTCCATTATAAAATTAAATTGGAATTTTATAAAATTAGTCCCAGTGTTCCTAATGAAAATTGCGATCATTTACACTTGACTATTTGGTGATTTGCTTATAATATAGAAATGAGAATTAAATAATTAATTATAAAATATTTATTGGGTTTGTGCATTTCTGAAGAAAACTTTAGCTCTAAAGAAATAACTAGAGTTTATTAGTATTCAAGCAAAATATTTTTCAGCAGGAATTTCTAAGAATTTTAGTAATATCAATAAAAAATGAATATAAGATAATCCCTTTTTAATGTTTTTTATAATTTATTTACGGATCATATAAGATCGAAAATCACCATAATGCTTTGCTGTTGGTATGAATTATCTTTAGGACAAACACAATATATCTTATTTTATTTGTTGTGAGTAACAATTCAAAATTGTTCTTGTCAAAGATATTTTTGACATAATATTTTAAAATAATATGGCCTTTTATTAATTTTATTTATGTATTTGAAAAGCTAAGAAGTGCAGTTGCAATCAATATTTTGCTCTAATAAATTGCATGAAGCTTAATTTTGTTCAAATTTAATTAATTAATTAATTTTAGTCAAAATTTTATGAAAAATAATTTTGCTGACAATTCTATTCTAAGCTCATTTAATATCTCACTGGTAGCAATGAAGTTTATCTCAACTTAATTAGGAAATTTAGATAATAAAAATATGGCATTTTGTTGAAACTAATTAGCTCCGCTAATTTTTTTCTCTTTCAGCAATATTTTGATTATGAACTTCAGTTTTCACGGTAAACCTATCCCGTTTATTCAAAGGGAGAAGGCATAGTGTTTTTATGCTCGACCAGCCTTAGGATGATTGACCTTTAGTTGGAGTGCATTCAAGTAGAGTAAGGTAGTGTGAGGTCAGGGCGACCCATCGAAGCCAGAACTTTGGCGTTGGTGTCTTTCTAGTGACTCCTTTTGAGGTAATAATTTAATATAATTATGAAATCTAAGAAATCTGATTTATTAGAAATTGATGAATAATAATTCTATGCATATATATTTGACCTCAAAATTTAGACTTTTTTCTTTGAAGTATTGAAATCATTTTAATCTCCCTTATTTAGTGTAAGCCTAAGATAATTTATTAGGACACTCAATTTTTAAAATAGATGCTTGGCTAAAATTTGAAAATATATATAATCGCTATCTATCATCTCATCAAAAAAAGGAAATAGCCTTAAAATATTGTTTTATTTTAACACAAAATATATCCCAGATTAATATTGGTTTTCAATAATAATTTCCTTGAATTTTTAATTAATTTGAAGTTTGCATACTTACTACCCCTATGAGCAAGAAAAATCATTGAAAAGTTTCGTATTTATTGGGGAGAGATCCACTTCTGTGAGTGAGCATAAATTTTTATAAAAATATATGATATATAAGCCATAAGTATTATATGAAATTTTTAGGTAATTCTATTAAATTCTTATAGGTTTGCATTTTAAAACATAAATTTTATGGTTAGATTATATTTTTACTTTCCAATTGTGGGAATTTGGATCTTTTAAGAAAATTATTCGGACAGCATTTGCTCGCTCATAAGAGTTCTTATTTTCTTTGCCATAAACAAGTAGCTTAATTATTAGGCTCTATAAATTTTATTTGCATCAATCTTAACTTAACTTAGATTATTATAGAGTGGCTCCCGACCAGCCTTAATGGCTTTTTATGCCAAAGTGACGCTCTCTGGCTTTGTTGGCTATCCCAAGTTTCATCTTCCTTCAAGATAATACCTTGGCCTAGATGTGAAGTTGCGGTCGATCAGCGCTCCACCAAACCAAGTAAAATACTATCAGATACACTCACCGCAGCTGCTCTCCATTCCACAAGATTCAGACACTTCTGTCTGTAAAATTCATTAAAAGGGAAGGTTGGCTCTCCACGCCATTTTATGTATATATTTTCATCAATCATCCGCAATTTCAAGAAGACTATAAGTATAAAATAAATGTCTTTATCAGACCCACTACTAGATCCAGATCTAAAAGAAACTCCATTTGAAAGCCCACTATTCTCATTTGGAGGCATTAAATCTACCTTAAGCATTTCTTCCAGCGTGCTCTCTATAAATGAAGCAGCTGAATGCCTCATCTGCATTGACGATATGATATATATCGGCCGCGCTGATGGAAAAATTCGAGCAGTAAACCAAGAACTTACAAATTCCTCCTTATTATCAGGCCACACAGACGCAATTACAATTCTAAAATCTACCTATGACAGAAAAAATATCATTTCTGCTTCAAAAGATTCAACATTACGAATATGAAATTTAGAAGGCACAAGAAAAGAAGCCGTTTTACAAGGCCATACCCGTAGGGTTACATGTTTTGACGTGACAAACGATAATTTTGTCGTCATATCAGGGTCTTTGGATAAGACTATAAGAATTTGGGATTTCGAAAAATGCAATGAAAAAGCTGTGCTTGAAGGCCATAGTAAAGGAATTTCATCATTAAAAATTTCGAATAATTGCTGTTTATTAGCTTCTGGGTCAGTAGATGGAGAAATTAGGATATGAAATTTGAAAGAGAGAGCTCTAGAAGCGGTTTTAGAAGGGCATTCGGCAAGTGTGAGGCATATGATATTTACTCAAGACAACAATTTTATGATTTCTGCTTCAAAGGATGGAACAGTTAGAGTCTGGAATATCAAAATGAGGATCCAAGAGGACTGCTTGAAAGGCCATAAAGGAGAAATTACGAGTATGAGTATGACGAATAATGAAAAATTTATAATCACTGCTGCAACTGATCAGCTAGTTATAATTTGGAGCTTTTTAGAAAGAAAAAGGCTTTTTATATGCTTTTTAAAGCCAATTTATTTCTTGAAAAAATTTGCTTTGACTTTAGACTTATTTATGGTGAAAAGATATATTTAAAAGGGCATACTGCTGAAGTAAACTGCCTTCAAATTATAAATGACGATAATTTTGTGCTATCAGGATCAAGTGACTCAACTATCAGATTTTGAAATATTTCTAACGGAATCCAAGAAGCTGTCATTGAAAATCAAGAAGATATCCAATCCCTTCACCTCTCCGACAATGGAAATTATATAATCACAAAATCCAGCAGCGGCTCTCTATTTTTCCATCACATCGGCAAAAGTTTATCAAGTATAGCACAAGCCCTGCTATAGATAAACAGTAGCTCCCTTTCCCTACCCTGGCGTTTTCAGTTTAGATGAAACTGCTAAAATCAATTTGGCATACAAAATCCATAATTTCTTTTTATTTAACGAAACATCTGGAGTGGGGATGAGGGCTATAGCTGCTCTCAAAGCATATACTATCAGGCCACACAGACTCTATCTACAGTATGGCCCTCACAAATGACAACAAATTTATAATTTCAGGATCCCAAGATAACTCAATAAAAATCTGAAGCATCGAGAAGCCAAAAGAAATCTGCACTTTATTAGGCCACACTGATTATATTTCATGTTTAAAAGTTACAAGTGACGATAAATATGTAATTTCTGGGTCTTTTGATAACAATATTATCATTTGGGACTTAGAAACTAAAAAGCAAGTAGCGGTCTTAAAAGGACATAGAGAAAGCGTTAAATGCCTGGAAATTTCTAATGATAATAAATTGATTATTTCTGGATCCAATGATTTTTCTATAAGAACTTGGGATTTAGAAAGTGCGTCAAAAGAGGATAATTTGGTAGGGCACGATGGGGCGATAGAATGCTTAAAAATTACAAAGGAAAATCGCTTTATTGTTTCTGGGTCGAAAGATAACAGTATAAAGATATGGGATTTATTTGAAAAAGTGTTATATGGGACATTGCTGGGACATAAAGGATTAGATAGGCTAATTAAGGTTAAGGCTTTCTTCATTATCATTTTACTCAAGCAGCCTTCGAATAAAGCTTCTACAGCATGTCAGCATCTCCATCAGAAATAACACTTATTGAATACTGTCTCAGAACCTTGAAATACAGAATAGGGACTTGAAATCTGCTGCCTCGATAACTAGAGTACAACTAGGGATAAACTCTCTAACTAGTATTAGCGCCACCTATCCTTCGGAACTTCATGGCAAAAACATATTTCCCAAATGCCCATGGAAAGACATTGTCAAACGGTGGCAAAGCACTATAACCAGTATCTGTAGACTCCGTTTTTCTGCTCCAGGTCTCAGTAAGGTCTCCAAAATCTGGGTAGTTCAGAGTTCGGTGATCAGCATTTCGGCTACATGTCAAATGACCGTGCATTTTTGATAGTACCACATTCCCTAGAAGCAATTTTGATAGTGAGACATTTTTTAAAAAAAAAAACTGTTAAATTTCGACCAAGTGTTGCACTATTTAAAAATTTTGATCAAATTTTCTTTAATGAAATGCACACTATTAAAAATTGCACGCTCATTAGACTGGACCCTATCATTTTATTTGTGTGTTAAGCCATAAAGGAGCTGTGAAGTGTCTAGTGCTGTCCAGAGATGATAAGCTTATAGTATCAGGATCACATGATGCAACTGTCAGGGTGTGGGATTTATATTCTGCTACTCAGATCCATCTTTTATTAGGTCACAAGCAAATGGTTTTTTGTTTACAGATTTCTGAAGATAATAATTTTGCTGTTTCTGGGTCAGAAGATGATAATGTTATTGTGTGGGACTTGAATAATGGAAAAGCTGCAGCGATACTCGAAGGCCACACTGAAGATGTTGTGTGTGTAAAATTCATAAAAAATGATAAATATGTTGTTTCAGGCTCATATGATAAAACAATAAGGATTTGGAATATTGAAGAAAGGAGGCAAGAAGCAGTCTTTAAAGGACATGAAGGATATGTAAGCACATTAGAAGTTACAGATGACAGCCAGTATATAATATCAGGCTCCATAGACACGACCCTAAGAATATGAAGTACAGAAACTTTCTTTGCAGACGACAAGCTTGTCCTTTCTGGCACTGAATCTCCAGTTTTCAGCATAATGTATAGTGAAAGAGTGTCCAATGACTCTCTTCCAAGCTCCTATATGGCTTCAATAACTATCTTCCCTATGCGAGTCAACATCCTCCATATCTACTGTTTTTTCAATATCCCGTCACATCTCTCTAAAGCTTTAGAATTTCACCCTCCCTTTTTCAGGGATATATTCGGAAAAAGCCCTTTATCTTATGCTTTGGAAAATAAATCCCACGAATGCATTGATCTCTTATTGATATATATCGTAAATTTGACTGATAAAAATATTTTTTCTCAATGTATCCATGCATTAAGAGATGATATGATTGATCTTTTGGCATGTCAGAGCGAATTTATTATTCCTTTATTTAAAGCAATTTTTATTAAAATTGAAGGGAAAAACTTGGTTTATCAAGCAAAACCAAAAGGAGAGCTTCCTATGATTTTTTTACTCTTTTTTTCGAAGAATGCCCACAAAGGAGCTTTTTTTGGCCAGCCAAATATATGTCTTACCTACTAATTTTCAAAGCCAAATGGCTTTCTTTATAACCGAAAAATGCTCTTTAGAGGGCTATTTATGGTAAATTAGTACATCACCTTATGCACATGTGAATATTAATGATTTTGTTGTGGAATCTTCAAAAGAGACTTTTAAAGATGAAGTTGCATTGCAGTTTTGGACGAGCTATTTTAAGTGAAATTTTACTAGTGGTTCTCGCGATAGCTTAATGATCTTACAGGCGATTTCTCAATGCAAAAATCAAGCAATTTATAATGCAGGATTTCTTAAAGAGATATTAAAAATGAAATGAAGCAGTGTTCGCTTGTTCTTGGTTCTTCTTTCTATTCTTTACTGTGCAAATATTACAACGCTAATTGTAATGATGTATTTTGAGCATGTTTCTGTAAGCTATTGCTTCTTAGGGACAAATTTTTTCCTTTTCTTATATGAGCTAATAGGAATTTTCACATATTTTTGCCAATATTTTAAAAATCCTTACAATGTTTTTAACCTTTTGAGGATTTTGCTTAATTTTGGCTGGAGCATATTAGGGATATTTAATTTAGATGAAAATCCTGCTCTTTATGCAGTTTTTGCGATAAATGTTATTTTTGGCTTGAAATATTTAAGAAGTTTTGACTCAGTAAAAGATTTAAAAGAAACAAGTGATTGCATTGAGGTAATTAAGCTTATTATTGAGGTAGAAGAACATATATTTTGAAGAAGAAACCGTGGAGAGCGCTTGTATTTACAGAAATGCGATTATTTTGAAAAAGAAAGACGCAGGGATAAGCTAGAAAATAGCTCAAAAGCAAAAAGAAAAATATTAGGGCTGAGGCATGATATTATAGAAGTCTCAAAAAGGAAAGAAAACTATAAAGAAGATGTAGAAAAAATTGGCACATATATTATAAAAGAAATTGAGCTGAAAATCAAGTCAGAAATTCAAAAACTTGAAGAAAATGTGGGAAATAAAATTCAAGTCTTAGATTCAAGACTATTAAACCTTGAAAACATTATAGAAAATAGAGAAAATATAATTCAAAATCATGAAGAAAAGGTTCATAGCATGTTTTCTTCTATATTAGAGAGTATTAAATAATCTTAATTTAATTTAATTAAATAGGGAGTGCGACAGAATTTTATTTTTGATAAGGATTTAAAAGCACAAAAGACTTTTTAAGTGCACTAGTATTCTTAACAGATTAAGGCAAAAATATTAGCATGGACTTGAGTTTACCATAAATTTATACTTACTCCCCTCCATAAGCGAACAAAACTACTGAAAAAATCCCTTTTTTTTGCTCAAAAATCTACCCTCCGTGAGCGAATAAAATTTTTATGAAAAAAAAAATTTGATATATAAATGATAATTATAATGAAATCTCTAAACAGTTTGCATTTTAAAATATAAAATTCGCAAATTAAATTAATTTTTGCTTCTCAATTTTTATAAATTGCAATTGTTTTAAAATTTAAAAAAAATTTAACAAAATTCGCTCAAGGGGGAGTTAGAAATAATTTTTTAACTTTTAAAATTTTTAGATAAATATATTGATTTATAAATACGTAAAATTAAAAAGTTTTCACTCTTTTATTGAAAGATAATCAGATTTATGCTGATTTCACAAAGTCTATAAATTTGTATCTTGTCCGACCTTTCTTCCATATTTCATAAATATCCATTTTTTATAATGCAACTGAAAATGTACTATTTTTCAATTACTATCTTATCGATAAAGATAAAGAAGCCATTGCAAAAAGCGCAATAAAATTCATTTGTTTAAGCGAATTTTATGATATATTTTCGAAATTTCATAAAATATCTAATTTTATAAAATTGACAGTATGGGCTTTTTCAATATGATTGAAAATGGAATGGATCTTTTAAAAATGGCGACCTTATATATGGACAGCTGTTACATTTTTGCTGCGATATTCAATTTACATGCGCTGCTGCAAGGAATTAAGGCTTGTTGCTTTACAAAAGATAATTCTTCGAAAGTATAACTTAGGTATCAAGAATTGAAATAGTATATAAAAAAATGGATATTTATGAATTTAGCAGTTACTTAGCTAAAATAAAAAAACTATTTAAAAGCACATTAAGGCAATCAATATCACTTGCAATAGTATTAAGCTTATTATGCAGCTAGATACATGCTTATCGATTATTGCACATACAAAGGCCATTTATCAATAACTACTGCTAAATAAATTAGAATAGCTAAAATAAGGAATGAAAGTTATATAGTTGTGGGGCAAGTTAATGCTAATATTTAAGTTGTGAAGACGTTTTAAATATCTTTAGTTTTATATAAACTCATACTACCACTTGATCTCAATATATTATTAGAAAAAAGAAAGATATTTTGCATAATATTTTATTTTATAATTAATAAAAATAAGAAGTTAGTATATTAATTATTAAGGCCTTTATGAAATAAAATATATAAGAATCAACACCCAAATAGCTATAAAAGCAACTATAGATATCACTAATCCTGCCCATGCCCACCTATCTGAAAAGAAAAAAATATCATAGCTACTTGGCTTATCTACTAACCTTTTGGTTACCATAGCAAATAATGGTATGTATATCCCTCCTCCTAACAAACAAAGAGACCCACTAATATCTGACACAAAGCTTAAATCATACACAACAATTGCTATTAAAACAGGTGGCACTGTTATAGCAAGTCTATAATAAGTCATAGTCCATTCTGGAATCTCTTTTTCACCAAAATTTCCATAAGTTAAGGACATAATATTATCAGCCAAATTAATAGCGATAATTGGAAATGCAGAAAGGACATCAACAGCAGGGAGAATAACAATTAAATAAGCTATAAAATAAGTCCATCATGATCTACCATCACTATCATCTCCTGCTGAATAGTCTCTCCAGTTCAATGTTACCATCTTTTCTACTTCATCTGTAGCAAATGGGACAATTAAGCCTAATAAAAGGAAAAAAAAGCTCATTGAAAATAATGCAAAAAGACAAATTTTTTGTATGTTTTGTGCTTTGTCTTCTACATACTGTGTAGTCGTTGATATTGTACTTTTAAAAAAGGTCGCCATATACACAATAGGCAAGCAAAGCCCTAAATTTAATGGCTTAAATACAGTTGCATCTGAATTTATTGATCCATTATCATCAAGTTCAGTATCAGAAAAAATTGAATATAGAGAAGTAACGATCATTGTGGTCATTACAACAATTCTTACTATAAAAGACACTATTTGAAAAAAAGTTTGCTCAGTTAACCCCACAATAGCGAGTGGGATTACAATAGATGCATAAATAGCCAAATAAATCCAATAATGGAACCTACAGGACTCCCCAAACTCTGGATCATCATAAATGTTACAAGTTCCAGACCCTATAATAGGGATAATTGAAGCTAAAGATGATGAAAAAATTGTGCAGTAGCCTATTAAAGATGCAGAGCTTGCAATGACAAACATAATCATCAAAATTTGGCCATGTGCTTTTCCTAATAAAATATGGGCCATTTCGCACATATCATATCTTCTATTTCCTATTTCAGGATCTAAATTAGATTCAGCTATTAATGACTCAGCTTCTTCACCTTGGTCTTGTTTAATGATGTAATCTTCTTTACGAATTGGCTTTAGTAAATCTGATATGGACATTGGCTTTATTTTGTATCCTTTTTCAGCCAGATTTGACAATACTTCCATTCTGCTGAATGATTGTAAGAGGAGATATAATAAAAGAAAGCTTAGGGATGTGGCAAAAACTTGGGAAAAAATGCCCAGAGTCCATCCAGTTTTTTGATATCCTCATGGTATCCCTAAAACTCCAGCGCCGACGACTGAGTTAACTGTGATTGCATAGCCAATTAGTCAGTGATGGTTTTTGTTTTCATTTAAAGGCTCCTTTTCTTGACTCATTTTTATCCGTTTTGATAAAATAAATCGTTCTCAGTTCTAGCTTGAGTTTATTTAAAATGGATTCCATGAGGAATTAAAAGAGGATTGGCACATTTAAAGGAGATTTATAGCTCAATGAGTGACTATATTTGGAGGGATAGTATCTTGTTTTATTTTAAATCTATTCCTCTCCTATTAAAGCAAAGCACATTTAATAAACTATGCAAATTTTCTGAAATCCTTAATATCTCATTAAAGAATTTAAAGCTTATTGGGCTTTCAAGTTCAAATTTTATTTCAGCCTGTTTATTATCGGATTATTTAAAATAAAAATTCAAACTATAAAACAGTAAAAGCTATGATTTATCTTTGGTGCAATCATCAATTGTGAAGCAACTTAAAGTATTTAATGAGCCTGATGAAATATGAAGCCTAGCATTTAATCGTGGAAGATCCAAGCTATTTTTGACTTTATAAAGATTTAAAAAACCACAGATTAATCCCTGTTTATGAAAGAAGATATCGTCTAAAATATTTATGAAGCATAAATTATAAAAATAATTAATAATAAATTTAGATTAATTTTGAATAATTATACAAGATCTTCTGCGTAAACATATTCAAGCCCAGTAACTTCTCCTACTATTTTTTCTCGTTGGATTCCACGATTTATCATTTTTTGTTTGATAGTTGTGATGAAATTTGTAGGTTTGCTAGTATCATATAAGCTGGAGAGCAAGTCGCTGGTTAGAGGTGGATGATTTATTCGTTTTGTCAGTCTTTGCTTGTCTATTTCATTTTTAGTTTTTATTCATTGATTTTCTTGAGAATACTCTGTGTTTTTGCTCATTTCAAGCTGCTCTTTTCCACTTTCTCCTAGCAAGTGTTTTATGCTTGATAAGGAGTCTGAGTTTTTATAATCATTATGCTGTAGCATAGACTCAAAACCATTTAAAATCACCCCTTTTGATTTGTCAATATTTGGCATAGCTTTTATTTTACTCCCCCCATCCTTGATCGAACGATTGACTGTAAAAATTCATAAAAAATTGGGGGAAATTAACCCATCCTTGATCGAACGATTTTCATATCATGCAAATTTTTATATATATAAAAATATATTAGTTATTAGAAGCTTTGAAAGATGTACATAATGAAGTTGTTTTCAGAGACTTTGAGACGACAAAAATCTAACTCCCCCCCCCCTCTCCGTGAGCGAACAAAAAAATTTTGTTCGCTCACGGAGGGGGTTAATTTTTTTTTTTAAAAAAAATTTATATATAAATTTTATAAAAAATATTTTTTTCGAAATTTAAAAAAATCCTAATTTGCAAAAATTGGGAAGCAAATATTAATTTAATTTGCAAAATTTATGTTTTAAAACGCAATTTGTTTAAAATTAAACAGAATTAGCTCTAGATTTCATTATACTAATTATCACTTATATATCAAAATTTTTTTCCATTAAAATTTTTTCTATTAAAAAAATTTTTGTTCACTCACGGAGGGTGGGTTTTTGGTCAAAAAATGGCGATTTTTCTAATGGTTTTGTTCGCTCACGGAGGGGGGGGGGGGGAGTAAGGAATCAACCATTCAAAGTGATTTAGTCATCAGCCTGGGCTTAAAAACTCAATAATCTAAAAAAAATAGAGATTTTTTAAAATTTTAAAAAAATAATTTTTAATTCAATAAGGAGCAGCAAATTAAAATTTATAAAGTTTAAAGGGGTGGCTAATAAATCAAAATATTAAAAATAATTATTTTTATGAAATCAATTCAAATTTTTGCTGTAAAATAAATTATTAAATACTCTTAACCCTCTTATTTAAAAGTAAATATAAAAAAAATATATATATTTTTTTTTTTTATATATAAAATTTTTTTCCTAAAAAATGTTTTTTTTAACCCCCATCCTTGATCGAACGATGGCAAGCCGTTCGATCAAGGATGGGGGGGAGTTAGGCAAATTTCCTTCTTCTATATCAAGTTTTTCTTCTGAGTCTCTATTGAATTCTTCCCAAAATTTATCAACAACAGACTGAGTTTTGATGCTACTAGTTCTTGTATTTGACCGTGGTATAGGCTTGAAATACTTATTCTCAGCTTTTTCGTATCTTTTTATAGGTAACTTAGCCTCTTCTAATGATTTTTTAGCTGCTGACTCAATTCTTAATTTTTTATGATATTCAAGCTGATTTACCATTTGATTGTACAATGGCACATTATTTGTTAGCGGAGGAGGTTTTGCTTTGAACTTATTTATTTCAAGTTTTGGCATTTCATTTTTTAATTTTTCTTTTGAGTTGCTTGATATTTTTAATAGATTTTGATTTAGGTCAGATTTTTGGGTTATTAATAAAACTTTGTTATGTGGACTAAAAATTTCAGTTTTTATAGCATTTCTTACTATTTTTTTATCTTTTTTTTGTGACTTTCTAAGCTTATAAGGCTGAGGTAATGAGCTCTTATTTTGTGGAAGGTTGGCTTTATTTGGTTTCTGGGGATTATTTTCTATGCTTTTATCCTCATTTTTATGATTCTTTTGACTATCATATTGATCTATAAAATTAATGTAAGATTTTTTTCTCTCAAAGTCAATCATATCAAGCTTCTCTTTTAAAGTTCTTTTTGGAGCTCCAATTGAACAAAAAAAGTCGATGATATCGTTTCACTTTAAAAATTCCGCTGATTCTTTATCAATCCTATTAAGGACATCTTCTACAGACTCTATTTGATTTGTGACTTTATCTTCTCTTGCTTTGAGTTTTAGAAATCCTTGCACCTGGGGGTCATTAATATAGCGGTGGCGATAAAGCATGCCCTTGCCGACGACGCACTTTGGGCGTTGAAATGGCTTTATAGTCTGAGCTTAAGTTTGCTATATTGGCAGCCGTTTGGATGGGCGATCTTGGGAGTCAACTTGTGGCCATTCCAGTCAGGTTTTGATTATCCAGTCGGTTTTTCGGCGGATTCTTTCCATGCCGTTACAGAGGCTGTGGATGTTTTTTCCTTGGTTTCACCTTCCTTAAGCTGGCCAGCGGGAGGCATCATGCTAATCTTTGCCTCTATAATAACCGCAAGACATTCAGCACAGAAGACCTTAAGATGCTTACTTTTATTTGCACTTGGGGATCATCAAATAAAGAAAAAATAAATTCTTCCCTTAAAACTCTATCACCATGATTCGGCAAAGCATCAAAAATATTTTTTATAATTTTTAAATATTTGTTATCCAGTAATGTTTCTGTTCTTTCTGATATTCATCCTGTCAATTGGCTGTGAGATTTATAAATTAAATCGAAATATTCCATAAACTGCGGAAAGGTGATTTCTTCATATAAATCACCATCATTTTCTATTATATCTAATTCCTTCATTAACAAAAATCTGAAGTGACTATTTTTTTAAAAAAAATATCTTATTTATAGCAAAAAATCAACAAGAGAAGTAAAGCTTGTTCGAGATTTAAAAAATTATCCTCTGATATCTGGATTGTATTTGTGTGAAGTATTTTTATGATATCTTTATTATTCCTTAATGTATGAAGATAAATGTATTTCTGCACAGTCCCATCGTCAAAAGTATCAGCCTCTTTAAATATATCTTCAAGCAATCTTTTCTGTTGGTCTAAAAGAACGATATATGGGCCCCATAATTTTTGATTTTCGCTTTGAAGTTTAGCTTTTTCAAGCTCATCATTGGAATTTTGAGACATTATGTCATTCAGCAGTCTCTGAGAAATTCTATACTAAATAGTAATTTACATCTGGTGTTTCAGTAAGTTTTTTGAGCTCTTGATCTATTGAAGAAAGCAAATTTCTTTCATGGTCGTTTATATAGCCCATTTCATCAGATTTAGGATTTTTAGATGTAAAGATTCTTCTTGACGGTTTAATAGAATTATCATCAGATTTAGATATTGCTTTTCCCTCGAGTAAAGATTAGATTAGATTAAAATTCTAGCGCTCTTCTGGGATTATTTCAGCCTTTCTCCTTTCAAGCATATAGAAAATTCCTGGGGATAGCGTATTCCGCGCTATCCCCAGAATTTAGTATAACTTCGCATTGGCACTAAGCAATGTACACAAATAAAATGGCGACGACACCGACCCGTCCTCTCCCGGAACTGTGGCGAGATTTGGGACCTTGCTGCGGCCTGAAGCCAATCCACCAAGGGAAAGGTCTGGAATGGGTACTGGTAGTTTGTGTCCGGCTAGGTTTCCCTCCCAGTCTAGCAACGACGATCCTAGGGTCGTCCCGATAGGACACGGGGCAAAAAGGGTTTTTCCTCTAGGGACCGCTAGTGCCAATTTGGAGGGCATGGCAGGAGCCGACAAGAGCTAAGGAGTTAATCCTTAGCTCTAACCCTAGTCTGGCGACGTGAAGCACGGTGACCCAGTTCGCCTACTTCCGGGATAGCATGACCAAGCCCCATGACCGGAAGGAGCTGAGTGGTAGCCTGTGGCACTTAGGTGCACACTGGGAGCAGGGCAAGGAAAGCAAGCGAGGCGTCCAAAAGGCGGAAGAAAAGGACCTTCGGTCCTGGCCGGGAGCTACTCTATAAATTTAACTAAGACTAAGACTAAGAGGCACTAAGCAATGTTCTCGAGTCTCTTGATGTCCCAAAAAATGGATCGTTGGAGGTCTCTCAGGAGATCACTCTACCTGTCTTCTGAGTCCGACAAACTACAAAAATTCCCTCGACCTCCGACAGAGCTCCATCTTTGTCTCCTTCATGGTGCTTAAGGTTCGCTAATGTTCCTAAGGAGTGCTGAAAACATTGCACCGGTAGGCACGTCTGCAATCCAGGTAAAAGATAAAGGGATAACCCTGGACGAAAAACCCACCCAGAGAACTACCACAATATCGCTCTTCTCCTTAGTACCGAATCAACTTACGGGCCCACCAGAGGTCATGCCAGATCACGCCATTTTAATAATTCTTCGAATAAAGAAGATTTGTTTTTAGGCAAGGTTGGCTGGAGGCCTCTTTGATAATCTTGAATATAAGACATTATGGGTATTTAGAATAATTCTTCTGAGATAAATGCAAATGCAATTTTGTAAAATGTAAAATTACGAAAATGATTTTAAAGCTAACTATATATTATACTCATCACTGATTGCAACTACAAAAAAATTATTTCTTGTAAATATAATAATAACCAGGAATTTGTTTTTTATCCTATCATTATTACCTGTGCTATTTATTTCTGTCCTAACTATCCCATTTGATTAGCAAGCAAAACCACTCGAAAAATCCTTGTTTTAGAAAGTTAACCCTTTGGTTAAGAGTAAAAAATATATTAATATAAAATTTGTATCCAGAAAATAATTTGCATATAATTGGTGATTATAAATAATGAGATCGGCTCATTCGATTAAGCTTCTAAGTTTAGAGAAAAAAATTTTATATGATTTATGATTAGTCCCTGAATAGTGAACATCTTGCCCACTACCAAAGGATTAAGCCAAATTTCTTTAATCATTATTTTTTGGCAAATTAAATTTAATTTCTTAATTATATAATAATTCATACTTAAAGCCTTAAAAAATCTATCTAATAGCATATTTTATCTGCTTTATCTAATCATACAGTCTCACTCATTATCTAGAAAATTTAAAAAATGTTGGGAATCTCCTAGCAGAAGAATCTAAACGCTTTAACTTAAGCTAATTTCGGCAGTTATTAATATAAAATGGAAGAGGAATCGATTTACAACCTAATCCCAAAGGAGTATGTGCCTCCTCCGAAGCCAAAGCGATATAAGTCCAAGTTTCCACCCGAAGCTCCACCAACATCAAGCACATTTGGGTAATTTCCACGCAGCCTCAAAACAACGTCCAAAGTCCTCGGAAATGTCGCAGGAGATTACGAGCATTTCGATGGCCCGCATCGTAGCAAAAGCCTATCTGCAAGTTTTGGTAAAGCTAAAGGAACAGTCAAGCCAGACCCTCAAAGTTTCCGTAAAAAAGGAACTGGAACCATGAAGCTTCCAGAAATCACTAACAAGTTCTCATATACAGCAAGAGATAAAAAGCCACCAATTCCTAAAAAAGACGAAAAGCCAATCCTAGGCTTAAAAACAGATAAAAATTTCATCGTCGCCAATGCAGTCGAAGTCATCTTAAAAGCCCCAAAAACAATGCCTGAGCCTACAAACCCTCTTAAAAAGAAAGAATATGGAACAGTGCCTGAATATTTGCATAAGATCAAAGGAGATATTGAAGAAGAATACAGCACTTTAAGACAGTTAAAGAGAGAGCAAGAAGAAGAGCAGGAAAAACAAAGATATTTGATTTATCAATTGGATAAATAAAATGGCATTCGGATAGAGAGAACTAGCTTTGATAATTTTCTTATGGGGATTGGTTTTTCCATGGAGAAATTCTGCACAGCACAGCGGTTTTACTTTAGTCGCATAGGGCTAGAGGAACTGCTTCTCTGCGCATTCAAGAGGCTTAGGGTTTTTCCACTCAGCATATACGGGAGGGTGACCCTCAGGTAGAATTCTTCAGGAGAAGAGTCAGGCAAGAGCAACGGCCACATGCCAGGTTCGAAGACGACTCGACGAATTACGAACGCGAAGAAATGTCTGCCCATAAGTGCGCCATTTTAAGTGACAGAATGGCCAGGAACGTTACCGTCAGGTTTATTCCCTTTATTGTAGGCACTGAACACCTAAACACCTAATCTAATCGTAATCGATTTTCCCAAGAAGAAGTTAAAGAGCTGAGAGAAGGCTTGAAGAAGAAATGGGAAGCTGTGAATAAAGAATATCAAATGATAAACCCATATTAGGATAAATAAAATGGCATTCGGTTCGAGAGAAAATTAGCTCTGCTAATTTTCTCTTCCTCATGGAATTTTATTTATGGGGTTGGGGTTTTCTCTCGAAAACTTCTGCACAGCAATAGCTGTCTAACTTTGGGGATAACCAAAGGAACAACTCCTCAGTGCGTTCAAGATTTCGGAGTTTTACCCCTCAGCACATCCCCATGGGAGGATGATCCTTAGGCGGAGCACGCGCAGAAGCTGAGTTGAGACAGAGCGACAGCAACGCGCCGGGTGAGATGTGCGGAGGCTGGAGGCGAAACGTCGATGGAAGGCTTGACCGGCTGGGCTGGCCACCGCGATTCCAAGATGGCTCCTGACGTCACCAGTTTAGCTAAAAGGTCCATTTTTTGGGTCTGCGGCACTAGACACCTTAAATACCGAATAATTAAGTTAAGTTAAGTTAAGATAACCCATATTAGAAAACCAGATACACAAGGACTGAAGAGGAAGAAAGAAAATTGTGAAAAAGAATTAGCACAATTGGAAAAAGATATAGCCGCACTTGACAGAGCTTATGTGTTTGTGGACAGCACTGCATAATTTAATAGGCATTTTGCTCTTATATTTAATAGAAATGGTTAAAATTAAGATAAAGATTACAAAATTAACTAACTTGCTGCATAAATTTATGAAAAAAATTGGAAATAAAATAAAAAATTGAAAATTTTTATAGTATAAAGGATAAGTTTTAAATAAAACTATACTATTTAAAGCCTCTTGATGGGATTGGTGCATTTCTAGCAGCTGGCTGAAGTTGCCGCTGCATAATGACTGGCACTTTTGATTCTTCTTGCGGCTCATCCTGGGCTTGCTTTTGTCTTTGTTCACTGTTTGTCCCAGTTGATGGACCAGTTCCTCTTAGTGCACATCAATCAAACATAAAATCATATTGATAGTTTTCTCTAAAAAACAGATCTTTAAACAGTCTTTTCAAATATCACAAAATAATTTTTTTCAGCATTATTAAAATAGTCACTTTTCCTAATTTTTATATAAAAAAATGATAACTTTTATATTTCATTGACAGGCTTATAATACGTTTAAATAACTATAATCAGGCCTATCCTCAAATCTTAGCGCTTTACAATAGTTAATATAAACCACAAACTCAGACGGAAAATTTTCACAAAGCGATTCGACTGAGGTGCTCATTTTCTTTTCCATGATATTCTGATATTTTTCCTTCTTATTATTTCCAGGTAGTCCTTGTCATGGCAAAGATCCTCTTAAAAAATACAAAAATACATACCCAAGGCCTTCCAAATCGTCCCTTCTTGACTGCTCAATCCCCAAGTGAGTATTAATTGCTGCATACCTAGCAGTCCCAGTTAGATTTTTTCCTTCTCTATAAAAATAATAATTATGTTGGCATAAGTGGATAAACCACTAATCATTGCCCATCTTGGCACCAAGGGGCGACCTTTTGAATTTCCGATCTGAACCACCTGGCAGAGAAACCTTCTGTAAGATGTTCCGATGGCCCCGATGAGAAGGATACATGAGGTAGGCAAAATATGTCCAGCCCATCTAGCAGGGATAGGAAAACTTTCTGTGAGAAACAAAGCACTCTGATTTGGCAGGCTTCCATTGAGATGGTCTGCTTAACTCACAAAGAGCTTACTTTCGCCACCTATTGCGCCGGTTTACTGCTCCATTAGGAGGTGTCGCCTCGTATCCTATTTCTGTCACCTCACCATTTTATTTCTCCTTCTCTATAAGGGAATATGTACATTAGTTTTTGGGTCTCTATATCTTTTCGCCAGTCCGAAATCAATAGCAAATACTTGATTTGCCTTGCGGCCGAGCCCAATAAGGAAATTGTCAGGCTTCACGTCTCTATGTAAAAAGTTTTTAGAATGCATGTACTCGATCCTAGCTATCAATTGGTCAGCAAGCATCAAGACCGTTTTAATAGAAAAGCAGCGTGAGCAAAATTGAAGCAAATCTTCTAACGAAGGCCCGAGGAGATCCATAACTAAAACGTTATAGTCTCCTTCGACCCCGTATCAGTGGATAACTGGGATTCCTGTTCCTCCTTGAAGAATTCGGTATATGCGTGACTCGTAGAGAAGTTGAGGGTGTTTTGACCTGACACTTTCGAGCTTTATGGCGACTTCTTCATTAGTTTGAGTGTTTGTGCCCAGGTAGATTTCTCCGAATGAGCCACTGCCGATTTTACGGCCGATTCGGTATTTGCCACCAACTTTTAACTCCATTTAAAATAAAATTAAATAAAAGAGAGGCCACTTGAAGTTCTGACTCCCCCAGCGGAATATAAATTTTACGAATTAAATTAATATTGGTTACTATAAAATTTATATAAAATTTTTAAAAATAATAATTAGCCTTGATCCAAAGAAAATTTTTTTGCTCGCTTGCAGAGGAAGAGTGAGGAGATTTAAGATTGAAGAAACAGATATTTTGAAAAAATTTTATTTAATTATTTTTTATCCATTAAAAATTACTTTGTTGAATCAATATTCTACTTATTGTCTTGAAATGGAAGATTGCTTATAGGTTTTAAAAATAAAATGGCATTAGGTTGGAGAGATATTAGCCCTGCTAATTTTCTCTTCCTCATGGAATTTTATTTATGAGGTTTGGTTTTCTTTGAGGATTTTAGCACAGCAACAGCAGTTTAACTTTGGAGATAACAGAGAAGCTGCTCCTCAGTGCATTCAAGACTCAGAGTTTCATCACTCAGCACATCCGAGAAGTTTGGCCCTTAGGGGAATACGCGCAGGAGCCGAGTTAGACAAGGGCGACGGCATCGCGCATGGTCAAAAGTGTGATCAGGATGGCAGGGTTTATTTGGGATGGTCCGACCTTTTGGATCAGATATGCTAGTGACGCCATCATTTTAACTCTGTCTCTTTAGTGAAGCGTGGCGTTAGACACCTTAAGCACTTTAATTAATGTATGAATGCTTATAAGTTTTGAAAATATTTATTTAACAAATAATAACTTTACTAAAATAATAATGTTTAATGCAATAAATCTAATTACAAAGTTAAATTAAGCTAAAAATTAGACTGGCAATAAGCGAAATAGTTTCCTAGCATTTGCTTTGTCTTGGCTCCAAAAATCTAGTCTCCATAGATCTTGGAGTTCAAATGAGGAAAATGAAAGGCTGCTATTTTGGATTTCCGATCTGAATCTCTGTCTCAAAGACTTCAAAAGTGACAGAAGCACTGCTTTCAGATTCATCGAGATTGGTCCTAGCTGCTCCATAGGGAGTGACCCTCAAGTCCTTCTTCAACGTAGCCTTTTTTTTCTAATTACAATGAGTATAAATATTCCTACTGGTAAATTAAATATGATAAACTATTAGGCAAGAGTGTTTTTATCCAATATAATTAGGCATATACAATGCATTTAAAAAATAATTTAACTTCAACTGAACTTTATAATATATTAATTTTATTATTATTTAGTTATTCTTCATAAAATTGGTTTTCTGTAATTATATCTCTACTTAAAAATTTTAATTCTAAATATATCTGTCTTCTTTATCTATTTATGCTCCTAATAGCTGATATATTGCAGTCTTCCATTTTCACAATCACATGAATAGTAACTTAAATAGCCTTATTCATCACCCAATTGCTGTAAAACCTAAATTTTATCAACCCTAAGGCCAAAATTAAATAGATATCGCCAATTTTTAGCTTTTTTATTAACCCGCTATAACTAAATGTTTTAATTTTCTTAATTCACCCTTCCAATAATTTTTAAATATGAGACGTGGTCAAAACCAAGAAATTTCTTCTCGTTCAGGAGCACCTAGAAGCAAGTCACCAGGCGGTAGGCGAGGAGCTGAACGCCGAGGTCTTACAGAAGATGAGATCGAAGAGATAAAGGAAGCCTTCAATTTATTCGATACTGATGGATCAGGGACAATTGATCCCAAAGAGCTTAGGGCCGCAATGCAATCTCTTGGGTTTGAGACCAAAAATCCAACCATTTATTCAATGATTGCTGATTTGGACAAGCTAGGCACTGCAATTGACTTTGATATGTTTCTAGATGCAATTACAGACAAGTTAGGGGATAAAGAAACCAGAGGAGGGATTTATAAGATTTTTGACTTGTTTGACGATGACAAGACTGGATCAATCAACCTAAATAATCTGAGAAGAGTGGCTAAAGAGCTTGGAGAGACAATGACAGTCGACGAACTTAATGAAATGCTTGAAAGAGCAGCTTCTAATGGACATGAAATCACTAGAGAGGATTTCTATACAATCATGACCAAGAGAGCTTTCCCATAGTTTAATTTATTCCCAATTAGCATATTCAAGCATTTTTTTTGAAAATTTTTTTTTTAATTTAATATGAAATAAATAGGTATAACTTAAGTATGGAAAAAAGTTTATAAAAATTCCAAGAAATTTGCATTAAGATAATAAAAGATAAATAAAGATCATTTGGAAGGATATGATTGAGATTTTTATCAGAAAATACCTGCTAGTATTGTATAAATATGAGTTTTGAGGTAAAGTCTTAATCAAGGGTGATTAGCTCACTGGTAGAGCAATTGACTGCAGATCAATAGGTAATTGGTTCGATTCCGATATCGCCCTCTTTTTTGTGTGTTTTCTTCAATAATGCATCGCTGAAGTGATAATTTACTGTTAACATTTTTTCCAGATTTCATCAGATTAATAGGTATAAATTCCTGTTTCGAATTTATTACCTAATCAAGGGTGATTAGCTCACTGGTAGAGCAATTGACTGCAGATCAATAGGTAATTGGTTCGATTCCGATATCGCCCTCTTTTTATGATTTTTCTGCAAATTGGTGAATTTATTATGAGCTTTATGCCAAAAATGCTACATCAGGATTTAATTAACTTTGAAAGCTCTTGATTATTTTTAAATTTTAAGTTTTAGATGCTCGCCTTTAGGGCTTATTTTTAGTTATTTTCATGAAATTTTTAAATTTGTATTATTAAGCTTATAATATCTTATTTTTACCTAAAGATTGTTATCTAGTTATTTTTAATTTGCTTTTTTCATTCTATAAAGCAGTTCAATTATTTGCCTTCTTTAATTTTTTTCCCTGTGTGCAACTGCTATCATAACCATATTTAGCAGGCACGTTTTGAGAGGTTTCGTTAAATTTTTGTGTTTGCTGTTTCTTATGAATCTTCATATATACTTTTCTTACTTCACCTCCATAAGCGAGAAAAAAAATCTGCTACTTATTAAATAGGCTAAAGCCATTTCATATTTGATGCCTTCTCGCACTAGTGACCACAGAGCCTGCTTGCCGGAGGAAACTCAGTTATCTATGTATAATGAACGCTGCTTTTGGTGCAAGGAGTTGCTCAAGGGTTGGGTTAGCCTCTAAGTGAGAGGCCCAATACTATATCCGCTGATTAGTGGCCTGACTTGAGCAGCAGTTTTCAATCTTTTTTGCCAGCAGTGCAGGCCGAGAACAGGGTGTCTGACTGTATTTTTTTTTAAAAAAATTACCATTAAGATTATTAGAAAGATTTATAAAAAAATTTGTTCGAGCATTTAGCATGAAATTCATATATTTACTTTCATAATTAATTCTGAAAAGCTTGATGCAACTGATATTAGTGCCACTGGCGCTGGAATTTTCCAAAATTTATGCTTTCTTAGGGAGGGGAGTTAGCATTATTAAGAAAATTTATTTAGCTTGATTTTTATTATATCATATTTTCAAAATTGTCAAATATTTTCTCTTCATTTATTCTAATCCAGCATTATAGGTATAAAGCATCCTTAGTTTCTATTTACTTTACTATCAAACTGCTGATTAACCAATAAAATGAATATACAATAGAAATAGCTAATGATTCCAAAACTAATTCATTTGTCTAATTTATAATTAATTAAAAATATTTCAGACTAAACAAATCAAAAAAAATTATCAAAAATTTAATTTTAAACATAATTTTGTTTGATTTCTTTATAAAGCAAAATCGAAGGCAATCTATCATGCCAAATTTTGTTTTCAACAAGCATTTTAATCATTTCTCCTCTTGCTGAGTTAAAATAATGCTCTCTCACAAACTCTAAGACAGATTTCCTAATCACAGATTTCTTATTCATGTAAAATTTAGGATGATACAGCAAGCATTTTATCGCATTCAGGCTCGGATTTTTGCATGCATTAAGTTCAGCAAAAGCCCAATATAAAGGTATTGAGTCTCCATTATTTTTTATATTCGGATTAGCATTGAATTCCTCAATAAGAAATTTTGTAATATTTGTCCCATTTCTTGTATCAATCTTCGCTGCAATATGTAGAGGAGTCCCAAAATCTGAGTCATCAAGAATCTGTGTAAGAATTTCTTTATTTCCGGTCAATAGCCTTCTAATATTTTCATAATTCGGCTGATTGCTTTTTAGCTCAGTCAGCAGATCTTGATCTCTATTATTCTTTACTTGCTTACTTACTTACTTACTTACTTAATTATCTGGTATTTAAGGTGTCTAGTGCCGCAGCCCAAAAAGGGCCTATGGCAAAACTAGTGACGTAGGCGAGCCATCTTGGAACAGGTCAACCCTGGCCAAGCCTTCTATCAACTCCTGCTTCACCAGCCTTGCTGCACGTCTCACCCGGCGGGATGCCGTCGCCCTTGTCTCGACTCAGCTCCTGCGAGTGTTCCGCCTAATGGTCATCCTCCCGTGGGGATGTGCTGAAAGGTAAAAGCCCGAAATCTTGAGAGGACTGAGGAGCAGTTACTCTGGCTATCCTCAGAATTAAACCGCATTGCTGTCCAGAAGTTCTCGAGTGAAAACCTAACCCTATAAATAAAATTCCATGAGGAGAGAGAAAATTAGCAAAGCTAATTTCTCTCGAACCGAATGCCATTTTATTTATTATCTATATTATTCATTTTATTATTACTTTCATTAATTATTATTCTGGGTTATGTTTGGCTCATTATCCGATTCTTCGTATACAGCTCTTGTGGTTGATAATACTTTTAGCACTTTACTAGGCTCGATTTCTATCTGTAGAACTTGGTTTATTTCGTTTCTGCACATATGGCAGATTCCTTGATTTTTCCAGAGCTTTAATGAACATTCATAGCACAGGCCACCATGGCCGCAGTCCATAAGGACTGCATTACATAAATTTTCACAGCACATGACGCAGGTTTTATTAGCAAAAGACATATCACTTGAGTGCCTAGGTATTAAGCCACTGTTTTCTTTACCCAACGTAATTTTTTTTATATCTTTTACATTTGTACTTGCTGCTCGTTTGTGTCGGTTATTTTCTAAGTTTTGGAAACAAATATCAATTTTTTTAAATTTTTTTTTATTTTTTAAAAAAATATTTATATAAATTTTACTATACAAATATCAGAGTTTATGTTGTCAAATTTTGCACTGCGAGTTCTCACATGCTTTAACTTACTTAGCTCGATAGGGTGTTCAGCTGGCTGGAAATATGTGCTTGTTTTTCTAATTAAAACTCTAGGAGTTGTCTGCATTACATTAATAATTCTGTGTGACAAGCTTTGGTTTCTTGCCATCCGAGCTTGGGATTCTGGCAGAGGTAGAGGTCTGCCATCTAAATTAGATGGGACTGCCCCAATGACCTCTATATTACTAGTAAAAAACGCTTTTCACCATATAGAAAGGATGTTTCTGCATAGAGAGGTAGATATGATGAAAACTAATAGGAAAAATAAAGGGAATAAGCTGATTTCGCTTATGCTCATAACTGGATCGTCATTTAGAATACTAATTAAGCACATAAAAAACATAGAAGTACTGCTAGTTGACCCTGCAGTCGTAAATAACAGTCATAGTGATGCTAATACTTCTTCTATTTTGGTTTCCCGGGACAGATAAGATAAAACAGCACCTAATAACAGCAAAAGGACTCCTAAACTTATTAGCCCCATAAAGCACAATGAGATTCAGATAGGCCACAATGTCTCGATTCAGCCCCAGTTTAAGTATCCGTCTAGCTTAAGACCAATTGTTAAGAGTGAAAAAAACCTGAACCATCTTCCGACGAAAAAAAACTGTATAGATTATACCATTTTCGAGAATGATTGACATTCATGGACAGTCAAAGATTTAAAAAATATCTGTAAGACTAAAGAGACTCCTAATGGAATTGTTGTCGCAAAAAATGGAATTTCCTTCGTCTGATTTCAGATTATCAGTAAAATTTTAAAACATATAGAACTAAATGCTTCTAAAATATCTTTTAAATAATCTTTTCGAATTGGTATTCTAACTCCTCCTGCTCGGCTAGTCAACAAAGTATTTTGCTCGGAGTTAATTTTTTATAAATTTTAATGTAAAATTAAAAATATCTTGGCTTTCAACATTAGAAAGCAAAAATTTATAAGCTTTTTAAAATTCAGAGAATTAGTTAGAGATTTCATTGTATTAATTACTATCTAAATATCAAAAAAATTTTTGCTCACTCACAGTGTTCTTTTTCCCAAAAAAGGATTTTTCCAATTATTTTCCTTGTCACAGAAAGGAGTAGTAAGTAAACTTATACAATTCAGTTCTTTTGAATAAAGTAATCTTAAATGATAGTGTTTTTATATCAAGGATCATCAAAGGAATCAGAGCTAATTCTATTGGCAATTTTAAATTCTCATAAGTCGCAAGTATAATAAAAGAGAACATAAGTGCAATCGCAAGTTCAATTCATCGTTTTAATTCTTGCTTTATACATAAAAGTTGCTCTTCTGTATCTTCTTCTGCATATTCTGTTTGAAGCCTTTCTCCATTATCAATTCTTTCTGAAGTGTTAAATTCGTCCACCTCCGGGATTCTGGGAAAAAAGTTAATTATTATAAAAAATTTTGCAGCACGACGAAGTCATGCTTTTAGATTTTGGCACTTTAGTTTTGGCTTCGAACTATTTTATATTATTTATTCTGTGAAAACTATTCATCATATTTATTTGATTTAATTTTTATTTAAAACTCAAAATCCCAGTTGCTAGGGATGGTTTTTTTATACTCGTTTATTTCTGGGTCATCTATTTGATACATTTCTTGCTCACTTTCATCAGACGCATTATCTAAAAAGTCTTCAATATTTTCATTTTTATTATCTGCAAATTCATCGACTTCTTCTTCAATATCCCCTATATCAGGGTTATAAGGGGCCACCATGGTTTCACTTATTAGCGCGTCTCAGTCAAAGCCAGAAAACCATTCATTCTTTTTCAAACTTTCAATTGTGCCTGAACATCGGGTTTCCGGGAATTTTCCAAGGAGTTGCATGATAAATAATCTTGCAGTGTCAGTGAGTTGGATAATTTCATTAGGAAATGATAAGTTAAACTCTAGAATAGACTCATAAATATCATATGGGTCAATGAAATCTTCCCCAAAAGGAACTTTCCCAGTTAAGAACTCATAAATGCAGATGCCTAGGCTTCATAGGTCAGCATTTTTGTTGTAGCTTATACTTAATAAATAAAATGGAATATATGTGAAATATTGTTAGCGAAATTTCCTCTCCTGTCTCATTTTATTATGAGTCAGATTTTACAGAGAATCGTTATCTAGCTATATTAGGTTTGGCAATTAGAGGGTATAGGGCCTCCTGATCTGATCTTTGACAAATGAAGACTTAAAGTTTAACTGTGATTATTAGGTAGAACATGCATAAGGGCTGTTCATGGGATAGAAGGAGTCGAGACACGCAGCCAGCTGGTGAAATAGGCGAAGAACCTCTGCATATATGATGTACCATTCAAGTGACAGAATAGCTCACATGTCACTATTTGTCCTAATCACCTACAGGAATGGCACTAAATACACTATAAATACAAATAATTAAATAAGTAAGTAGCCTTTACCTACGATTACTTCAGGAGCTACATAGTGAGGGGATCCTATTAAAGTGTATACCTTTAATAGCTATATAATTTTTTTCTAGCTATTACGGTCAAATTAATAGTATATTTATTTTATTTTCCTATAAGTTCTCCCTGCACATACCTTTGAGGACCCAAAATCTACCAGTTTAACATACCCATGAGTATCCACCATAATATTATCTGGGTTTAAATCTCTATAAATAATATCCCTCTCATGAATATACTGCAAAGCCAAAATCAAAGACGCTGCATAAAACAAAGAGTCATTATTCGAAATTATTCCTACATGTCTCAATATTTGGCTTAACTCAAACCCATGGACATATTCAAGCAAAAAATAAAGCCTTCGGTCATCTTTATAAGTCCTGACCAGATTTATGATCATTGAAAAATCCATCATATTTAGGATTTTTTTCTCTTCCTAAATAGAAGTTACGAGCACATGCATATAGAGAGCATACATATCAATTTTCCGCCTTGGGATGACTTTTAAAGCGTAGTGAATATCTTTTCTTGAGGTCCCTACAAGGTAAACTCTGGAAAATAGACCTTTTCCGATTTGTTTGAGGATTATCAAGTCTTTGAGTTCTGCCCTTTCGTCCTGCATTTTTACTCTTTTGATGAGCTGTTTCCTCATTTTGTCATTTAAAATATTAATAAAATCATGTTTTTCAATTAATCATAAAGATACTTTTCCTTCAGCGACGCAAGAAGCGCTTGATACTCTATCAAACAGCAGCGCCCTTTCCCCAAAATAGTCATGCTTTACCATAGTTCTGACAATTTTCCCATTTTTTATAATATTTACTTTTCCACGTTTGACTATATACAGATACTCCCCAGGATGCCCTTCATCCAGAATAATATCATTATCTTCATATTTTTCGATTTTTATAATAGAAAATAGATCTTTTATCACTTTGCTGTCAAGATGAATAAATAAATAAACTTTTCTTAAAACGTTCATAGCAGCATTTTCTCTGACAACTTCTTTGTATTTCCCTCCTATGCTATGCTTATTTATAGTGACCTTTTAACATAATAAAACTGGTTTTCTGCTAGTTTTTATTATTATAAAGTTAGCTTTTAACCATTATTTCATTATAAATGGCATAATTTCAAATTGATATTTGGTGAGCTCGCCAATTTTCATATCACATCCAGCAACTATATCATCTTCATAGCGAGACTGGTCTTCATAAGATAAAGTAACATACTCGTCCCCTACACAGCTTCCTTTCTCAGCAAAAACTTTATTTGACCTTGAAAAATGCAATCTTCCACTTATTATAATATATAAGGCACTTTGGCATTGGCTTTGATTTTGAATTACCACGTCTCCTATTTTATAATTGACATGGACTAGATCTCTTAAAATATTTTCCTTTTGGTCTTTGCTGAGCAGGGCTAGTTTATTTGATTTATTAATTGCGTCCAGAATTGTGATTTTTTCTATAATAAGCATAAGCTGATTTCCTAAGGCTTTTTGCAAATCTTCTCTGCTTAAAGCGACACATTTCACTACCCCATCCATCGCAACACAGCTTGCCTGTCGTGGCACGTTATACAGCAGAGTCATTTCTCCAAAAAATTGGCCTGAGTAAAGTCTGGCGATTTCTTTATTGTTTTTTTGTACACTTACACAGCCCTCCTTGATGATATATAAATGCATCCCTTCATCACCTTCGGTGATGATCTTTTCTCCGGCTACATATTTACAGCTCACAAGAGACGCTGCTAATGAGTCTTTTTGTTGAGAACTCAGAGGCTGCAGCATGTTGACTTTTTCTAAAAATTCTCTGTTTTGTTCATAAATTTGTGTGTTTATGCTGTTTTTGGCTGATTTTTTAGGGATTTTTTTGTCTTAGAAAATTATTTCAGATTAGTGATTATTTATTCGGCATTAGAGCGATACAGTGTAACTCTTCAATAACTTTTCGAAAAGTATTCCTTTCTATTCCCCACATAGTAGCTTTTTCAAGCGTTTTTACTGTTGCTGACCGTGGGCTTTCATGCAAAAGAGCAAGCTCTCCAAAGCCTTCTCCGGGATGGATCTTGCTTATTCTTTTGCCATTTGCGATTACTTCTAGTTGGCCTGTCCTTACAACATAGTATCCTTTTCCAATCTTGTCCTGCTCAAAAACCACAGTATTTATTTCAAACACATAGAGCTGCATCGTTTCCACAACAATTTCTTTATCTTCATCAGTCAGACTCGTGAAAATGAAATGATTATTCAGGGCATTTAGAATCATTGACTTATCTTCTAGTGTTTTTGCAGCATAAACGTCAATAAACGCTGATGAAGCTTCTACATAATTTACTGAAACCGCTCGGCTGTTGAGTCTTTTTCACAGTGTCGGGGTACTTTTTAAAGGGTTATTCATAAATTGCTGAGTCTTTTGTGTGTTGACAGTTTTTTGAAAAGCTGGTTGTGAAGGATTGGCGGCAGTTTGGATGATGGTAGATTGCTCAGGCTTGGAATCAGGCTTCCTTACATAATATTGTTGCATTTTGGAGCATGTTATCCCCATTTTTAGAAAAAGAGTTTTGCGTAAAAAATCAATCAAAAAAATGAATTTTGCAAATTTTTTAAAAGTTTGTATATATTAAAATAAGGAAATATTTTATTTAAGCTGTTTTGAGCAGCAATTAATAGACATTTTATACTCCAAATATCTATAACTTTATGTTAATAATATCCGCTTTCATATTATCGCATTTTATATTAATCTAATCCTTTTTGTTTTCTTGATTCCACTTCTTAATAAATTCTTTAAACTCATCTATTGTCATTGGCTTTTGCTATATAGGCCACGAAGAAAACCCTTTCTTCTTTATCTCTTTTTTTCGCTCCCTTTCTATTAATTCAACTAGAGCTTTTACAAAATCGCAATTATATCTCTCTTTGAACTCCTCGAAAGTTATTGGTGGGTCTGCTTCCCTATTTGTAGTCAGTCATTTATACTCTCTCAAATATATATCATACTTTTCTTTATCATTCATCTTATTAACGCCATATTTGCTAACTAGCTCATTGGATAACTCAAAAGTATGCAAACCATAAGGTACCGTCAAAATGCGGTAGCCTAATTCCCCCCATCTGTGAGTGAACGAAACAATTGGAAATCCTATTTTTTGCCAAAAAACCCACTTGTTAATAGAAAATTTTGATATATAAGTGATAATTAGTATAATCAAATCTGTAGCTAATTCTGCTTATTTTTAAACAGCTTGCATTTTAAAACATAAATTTTGCAAATTAAATAAATATTCGAAAAAAATTTTTACTATAAAAATTTATTTATAAATTGTTTTCAACAAAAAACAATAAACCACCTCCGTGAGCGAACAAAAATTTTGTTCGCTCACGCGGGTGGAGAGTAAGAAAGCCATAGCTATTCTTGAAAGCAGGGATGAGTAAGATCAACAGGAATTGGAATAAACATTATATTATGAAATAAATATTCATTTTAATAGAAAATTCCTATATTTTATAGAAATTGGGAAATGTGAAAAATTATAGAGGTAAAAAGTAAAAAAAAATAAAATAAAATATCCAGCTCACAATGAGATGGGTAGACTTGCAAATCTAGCCCCTCCGTGAGTTAATAAAAAAAATTTTGTTCACACACGGAGAGGGGTTTAAATTTTTTTTAAAAAAAAAAATTATATATAAATATTTTATTTTCGAAATTTAAAAAAATCTCACTTCTATAAAAATTAGAAAGCAAATATTAATTTAATTTGTAAAATTTATGTTATAAAACGCAAATTCTTTTAAATTAAACAGAATTAGCCCGAGATTTAATTATACTAATTATCACTTATATATCAAATTTTTTCTCCATATATTAAAAAAATTTTTGTTCACTAGCGGAGGGTGGGTTTTTGGGCAAAAATAGCGATTTTTCTAATGGTTTTGTTCACTCGCGTAGGGGGGAAGTAAGCATCTTATAATTTTTTAGAATTTTTTGCATTTTGTTGCTGTCTTCTTTACTTAAAACGCCATAATCGGCACTTGAAATGAATGCGAAAACTGTTTCTAACTGCCTTGAAGGAATGCCCAATATGACAGCCTTAATTGTGTTCATAAAAGTTTATTATTGGCTTAAAATGGTGATGCGGATTATTAAAGAAATAAAATTAATCTCTATCTCTGTTAGGTCTTCTGCCTCTGAATCTTCCCCTACGCTCATAAGGTCTGCCATAGTATTTTGGCTGCTCTTGAGGGGCTTGGGAAGGTTTTGACAAGACTTCAGTGGCTTCTCCGCTGTCGCCCCATGCTTTTGTTCTATAAGTCCTTTCTTTGACTTGTCTAGGCTCTTCTTTTTTAGTTTCTGCAGGCGCTACTTGAGTTTTAACCTCAGTTTCGCCGGCTTCTCCCCAGACATCGTCATTAGCTTCAGTTTTTTTGGTTTCTTGGACTGGCTCTTGTTGTGGCTCTTGATTTCTAAAGTGGGCTCTTTCTCTGTTTCTGTCTCCATAAGGTCTTCTTGCCCCTCTGTGGCCTCTTGGTCTGTGCTGGACTTCTCCTTCTTTGTTTTCTTCTCTCCAGCCTCCTTCCCTTGGCTTTCTGTCATATCCTCTATGTTCCCTGTTTCCTCTGTTTCCTCTTCCTTCTGACGGTCCTTTAGTTTCGACCAAAATTCCGATTTTTCTGCCTTTCAGCTCATTTTCGTTTTTTGCGATAATTTTGGTTGCAACCTCTATATCCCACGCATTGACATAGGCGACTCCTTTAAATCTGCCTTCAAAATTGATCATTTTAATGCTGGCTTTTTTTTCTGACAACTCTTCGTCCGTGATTGCGAAAAAGCTTTGGATGTCTGCAGCCTGGTCGCAGGCGTAAGGGATATTGATGAGCTTAAAATAGTATGGAGGCTGTTTGCTTTGGATGTACTCGTTAAGGTCTTGGCGTGGCCTGGGCTCTCTTGGAGGGTATGACTTTTTTGCTTCTGCAGCTGCTGGAGCTTCATGGTCTGAGTGGTCTGAATCACTGTTGTGGTCAGCCCAGTTCTTTGTCTTAGCCTCCATTTTATCAGCGAAAAAGGACCAGCAAATTTGCTTTTAATAATTTTTTGAAATTAAGGAGACAAGATTTTTAGGAAAAATAAATCCATGTTTAATATCATAAAAGATTTATTATAAATTTATAAATAATTAATTATTTTATTTTAACTGCCCAAATAACTTGTTCATTGTCTTTATAGACACCTATTTTCTTATCAATTATAAACAAATCCGCAACTTATTTTACGCCAAATCCTAATTCCTTAATTTCTTAATCTCATTATGGCTTGTATTTTTTCAAACTTTTTATTAAAGTTTTAAAAGAATGAAAAATGAAGAAGTCGACATATCAGGAAGAGAAATCAACGGCTTCCGCGTCATCAAACCAATCGGCCAAGGCAAATTTTCTATCGTCTACAAAGCCGAACGAATCAGCGACGACACTCCTGTAGCTCTCAAAATGATCAAGGCAAATTTTATTTAGATTTTTGACATGATGGACCCAGCTCAGCGTGACAAATGTCTTAAAGAAGTCAGGCTGCTCGAATCCTTAAACCATCCAAATATCATCAAATACCTTGATTCTTTTATTGCAGATAATGAGCTTTTAATTGCAATTGAATGAGCTGAAAAAGGGGATTTAAAAAGAGTTATCAAGCGGGCGCAAAGTGAGGAATCGTCTATTGAGGAAAGCAAAATCTGAGAATATATGTACCAAATAGCCTCAGCGCTGAAGCATATGCATGATAAAAGAATAATGCACAGAGATCTCAAGCCAGCAAATATTTTCATTTCGGCTGATAATTCATTGAAATTAGGAGATTTAGGATTAGGAAGGTACTTGTCAAGCCAGACTATTGAAGCGTTTTCGAGGGTAGGGACGCCGCTTTATATGTCTCCAGAGGTGCTGAAAGGGAACGGGTATGACTGGAAATCTGATGTCTGGAGCTTAGGGTGTGTGGTTTATGAGCTGGCTTGTTTGAGGTCGCCGTTTAAACAAGATGACCAAAAAATGAGCTTATTCTGAAGGGTATTAATTAATTATTTATAAAAAATAATATATTTTTTTTATTTATTGTTATGATAAGGCATATATGATCTTTTTAATACTATTAACAAAGGAGAATTCCCACCTCTCCCAGAAAGATATAGCGAAGAATTAAGGCAGCTTGTGAACTCAATGATCCAGGTTGACCCGAAAAACAGACTTTCAATAGACCAAATCGTCGAACTCTGCGAAATCCATACAAAAACTGCCCCAAAAAAATCAAAAATTGACCCATTTTTGGTGATGGACGATATTTATGAAAAATTAAAACTGCTGGATTATGAAAATAATTTTTGTAAAATTTTTAAAAGGCAGCCTGTATCCAGGGTTTATTTTTGCCACCCAATAGATTCCCAAACCCAATTAGCTTATTGTTATGATCTGGCAAACTGATTAATGTCATTCAATAATAAAATGGCTTCTGGTGAGAGGAGTCGGTGAATTTCCTCTCTCCTTCACCCTAATTTTATTATTATAAGGTCAAGTTTTACACGTGCACTTCTGTCTGATAGAGAAGAAATGGCAAAGGTTTTCTTGCTTTGTCCATAAGCAACGTGTTTTAATTCTTTCTACTGCTCAATAAAGGCAGAACCCTTAGACCAAACAGGCTTGAGGAAAGTCGAATAGAGCGAGGCAACGCGCCAAGCCGCTGGCGGTTCCAGTACTTCTGGACTCTCAAATGGCTTCACAGGAGCTAGAAAAATTGGTCTTTGTCATTAGGGCATACGAATAATCAGATTAGCGACCAAAAAAGGAAAATGGGACTTATGGTCCTGCACATCTAGAAGTCCTGCTTGATGTGAGTTAAATTAATTAATCGAAGTCTAAGATTAATGTCATTCAGCAAGCTAAAGCAGCGAAAAGGGCCAATAAGTTCTCCTCTCGGCCCTGTTTTAGATTTTGACTCTTTTGCAGATCCTCGTGAAGTTTCCAAACAAATTCTTTCAGATGCCAGATCTTTTGGGGCAAAAATCCCAGAAAGCGTTACTTTTCAATCAATTTCTCTAGGATATGGTGAAAGTGTATGCTATTTAATCAACGAATTATTATACCATTTAATTAAAAATATTTTTTTATAAAATAATAATCAGCATAGCATTATAGTCTTTTCTTATAGGATAAATAAAGAACTTATCCGTCGAGATTTCAAATTTTTGGCTCCCACAATAAACGGCCAAGAAATATACAAGATCGACACAAATTCAGGCGAAGAAATTTTTGAAGAAATTGATGCAGATTTCAATGAAAATAATATCATGAAATATAATGAGCAAGTCGAAGAAGACGAAGAACCCCCGAGGACTGAGTCTACAAATATATCAGATAATGTTATAAAGGAAGAGGAAATCGCAATGGGAATTGTGGAGTCTTCAGTTTCGCCTGAAGAATGAATGGCAGAGGTACAGAGAATTGAAAAGCAGCTAGTCTATGCAGAAGAAGATATTGGTTTGTATGAAGAAGATTGGCAAAGCCGAATACAACAATTTATAGAGTCTCTTCATAATGTCCAGAAATTTGTGACGGAAGGAAACTTGAAGTATTTAGAAAAAATGACTGATGGGCTTACAGAAGAGCTGGAACGAATTAATAAAGGTGAAGTGATAATACAAAAATTCTGCCAAAAAGATATAGATGAATTGAAGTTAATTATGCAAAAAAAGAAAGAATTAGCAGGAAAATTAAATTATGTGAGAAATAAAGCTGGAATTATTTTTTACATAAAAAAAACTTATTAATTATACTAATTATTTTTATAAAAAATGAGTCTAAATAAAGTTTCTCAGCAATGTGAAGAATTTGACAAAATAAAAGAACAAGAAAACACCCTCAACAAATGGTCAAGCATAAAACCTACACCACCTCACTTTTAATCAACATTTGAATTTTTAATAAAAATTCTCTCCTATATAAGCGACCTATATCAGATATATCGATAAATACAAATTTAAGTAAATCTACAGTATCTTGTTCACAAGAATATTCGGCAGTAGATTTTTTATGGTTGACCAAACAAAACCATAGAAAAACGAGTGTCTGAATTGAATGATACAAATCCTTTAGAAGGCATAAAAGCTGGCCTATTATCTCTAAAAGAACAAATAAAATCCCTAAATTACGAGACAGCTCTCGCAAGGTTCCAGCTGGACCAGTTTTCTTCAAAAGGCTAATTGTATAATAAGTATCACCCTAACATAATTTTATACTGTTTTATTCGTCAATTTCGCCCAAATAAATATGAATCGATACCCTCAAGAACATATTAGTCCTGAGAAAGAGCCTATCAAGCCTCACGTCGCTGAATATTTCGTGGATACGGTTCTACCAACTGATGACGAAGTCAGGTATCTGGGGAATGCTTGGAATTATTGCGGGTATTTCCATAAAGAGCTTAAAGATTGTGTAGAGGACGGAGTTGTTAAAGGAGATGAATATCTGTTCTTTTTTATGTGAAATAAAATATAAAAGAAATGGTTTATGTCTATGATAAATTTAGCTAATTTAATATATTCTTATCAGAATGGCTAGGAATTTAATATTTGCTATAAGAAATAGAGGAGAAATAATAAAAAATATTGAATTAGGTATATATAAAAAATGCAAAAATAAGGTTGAGGAGCTGCATCATTGTTATTCCTGGAGAGAGCCAACTGAGCAAGATTTATCGTCCAATGCATTTGTGAAGGAAACCCAAAAATGCATTTATCCAAGAGAGTTGTTTTTGAAATGCTATTTCAGACAAGCTGAGTCATGGGAGAATTGTCATCAAGCTTGGACGAACCTTTATTCTTGCCAGTTTAGAAAAAATCCTAACTCCCCCCCCCCCTCCGTGAGCGAACAAAACCATTAGAAAAATCGCCATTTTTTTGACCAAAAACCCACCCTCCGTGAGTGAACAAAAATTTTTTTAATAGAAAAAATTTTAATGGAAAAAAATTTTGATATATAAGTGATAATTAGTATAATGAAATCTAGAGCTAATTCTGTTTAATTTTAAACAAATTGCGTTTTAAAACATAAATTTTGCAAATTAAATTAATATTTGCTTCCCAATTTTTGCAAATTAGGATTTTTTTAAATTAGGATTTTTTTAAATTTCGAAAAAAATATTTTTTATAAAATTTATATATAAATTTTTTTTAAAAAAAAAAAATTAACCCCCCTCCGTGAGCGAACAAAATTTTTTTGTTCGCTCACGGAGGGGGGGGGGGAGTAAGCTCTACACTATTTTCTAAACTAAGATTAGGATAATAGAAAATCTATCTTAAATGCTTGTTAATGATTATAGAAATAACTATTAATAAAGCCAAAATACAAATTAAATTATATTTTGGATGAATTTGGGGTAAAATCACTGAATAATGCTTTAAAAAAATTGAGTTAAAGAGATTAACATAAACCAATATAATTTTCAATTTATGCACAATTAACGCTGCAGATCAAAAAATTGATGCTTTTAATGTTTTTATCAGGAATATTTGTCATCTTATATTTTTTTATAAAAATTTTATAAATTTTGTTGATTAAATTAAAGTTGGTCTTCTGACTGCGCATTTTGCCAAACCTGTACGTTAAAAACAGTCATTTGAGCTGGCGCAGCTATATTGCTGCAGCATCCAGGTCTCGAGCAAGGCCAGGTTCCACCAACAGCCACATTAAGAACAATATTAAAAGGTGTATCAAACGGCGCATTTCCTGGGTATCTTTGCCCAGTAGTCGTATTCACAGAATACCAGCTGCTTGAAGAAATGCTGCTTATCAAATTGCCTCCAGTTATAACTCCATTTACTATTTGAGCGTCATACCAGAAACTCATATAAGTAGGCTGCCAGTCAACCCCATACCAGTGCGCATTACTTCAGTCAGCTATAAATGGATATGTATTATTCGAGGGAGCCGAAGCAGTGTTAGGCGATTCTCCTCCAAAATGTAAAGTGGCGTATCCAGCAGTGTTTGTGCATATTGTCTCCATAATGTCAATTTCTCCACAAGCAGCCCAATTTCCATATATGCTACGTGAGTTTGGTGGGAGGAGCCAAATTGCAGGCCATATGCCATTTCCTTTAGGCACGATTGCTTTTACGTTGAAAAATCCATATGGACCCCATGAGCTCGCAGAATAAACTCTTCCAGAGGTGAAATTGGCGCCTAGGTAATTTTCCTGGATTGCTTTAAGAATAAGCGCATTTTGGCCGTTTACTTGGGTAATGTAAACATTATTTGATCTGTTTGTATAATATTGCCATTCCTTATTCCTGAAGAAATAAAATGGTGGTGCTGGAAGAAGATAGATTTCCTATGGACAGGTAGAAACCATCGTGGTAAAGTAGAAAACAGTCTCTGTCACTTTTTACAAGCCTTAGGGTTGGGGATGCCGAAAGGGAAGTTTTGCTCCTCCCTAAGGTTTCCCTGTCTCTACCAGATAGACTAGAAAGGTTTTGCCTCCACTTAGTCTTGCTTATCGGGGCAGGCGAGGCAACTGCAAGAGGTGGCTATAATCTATGGAGTCGATTCTTAGTTTAGATGAGTTAAGCCAGAAAATTCAAGAGGGTGGAATTTTGGCCCAGGCCTCACACCTTTTTTGATTTTAATGTATACGCACCCAGTGTAGGCCACCTCTCCTGAATTAAAGGTAGTCCAGCTAGTGGGGGCCCTGCTTATGGCCATATAAATCCTAATCTCAATCTTATTTCCTGAGTTCACGCTGTACCTAACCATCATTTTCCAGTTGCTGAGATCTTGGAAAGTATCATTTAGGACATTGATGAAAGTAGCTGCTGACATTGATGCCAGGGCTAAAACTAAAAGACTAGCCACCATTTTATTTCTACTACAGAGTATGATTTACTTATAAAATAAAACATAAATAATAAATTAAAACATTTTTTCTCCTCACGGTAAAAACAATAATTTCAAAATTGATAACTTTCTTTTATAAAAAAATTAAAATTGTTATTCTAATTTAAATGGGGAGGTTATAAATTAATTATAAAATTTTAGCCTGCTTTATTCGAACTAAAGCCTTATATTGATATAGAAAGAATTTTATTTTCATACATTAAAACAGAAAATTCTAATTCATAGCAATTAGGAATTTTTTCTATTAACTTTATTTTACAAATCTATTAAGCGGGGGTTAAGGATAATTTAAAAATTATTTTGCATGAATAAATGGATTATTATTAAGTTGCTCTATAATAATGTATTCTCTGCTTGGGTGAGCCTATAGGGAAAGTTTTTTGTTCAGCCAAATAATGGTATTATATGTATTTTGTTGTTCATCATTATATTTCGTTTTATTTCATTTGAGATGCTATAAGAGTTTTTTTAAGCTAATCACTGATATATTCGCCTACCTTACTTTTATTATTATCTTTCAATAATTTTTCTATTATGTAATTATATGTCCATATTTGATTAGTAGAGCTTCAGCTAAATGAGAAAATTTCTTTCTTTTTTAAGTGCTGATTTATCTATGCCTATTCTTGCTTTTAAAGCACATCTCTAAAAATTATTTCTGATATATAATTATGCTTTAATTTGATTGGACTGTATAAATTGAGAGTTTCAGCCAATTGAGCGAATTCTTTCTTTTTTAAAGGATGATCAAAAGGAAATTTCACAGAAACTTTTTAATTCACAAAAAAACTATGAACTTTTTATAATCTTTATCGCAAAACATGCTTGATTATTTAGGCCATTTATTTAATATTTCCCCAAATATTTGACTTCTTCTAAATATTGAGCATGCTTTTCTAGATGCAAAATTATATAGAAAAATTGTTTATTTTATCAAATGAAGACTTTATGTGTAATCTATCATGCTATAGCAATATTTAGCTCATCATTTATTATCTTTACATTTAAGCTTTAAAAAGCGCTAGAAAATTGTCACTGAATATAAAAATAGAAGCTTCATGACGCCTTATTTTTGGTTTAGATAACTCAAATGAAACATCAGTAATAATATATGAGCTGAACATTTGAATTAATGCTCCATTGGACTCACTTGAATTGCTATCAACACTAAAAGCGAATAACTCGTTTGTGGGTTCATAATTACTAATCGCTTGCATATAAATTACTCATTTCACTGAACCTTTTCTTTTACCTTTGGCAGCTGTTTGGATTGTTTAGAAAAAAGGATTTGCTAAAAAATATGCACTTATTAAAAATCCAGCCGTCATTAATTCAATTAAAGCTAAGAATTGATAGGTCTAAGATATATTTATCATAATTTCTTACCTCGTGAGTGAACAAAAACATTTTGTTCACTCATGGAGGGGGGTTAATTAAAAAATTTTTACATAAATTTTTTATAAAATTTTTTTTTTGTTGGGAAATTTTTTAAAAAAATCTCACTTCTATAAAAATTGGAAAGCAAATATTTAAAATTTATGTTTATTATCACATATATATCAAAATTTTTTTCCATAAAAATTTTTGTTCACTCACGGAGGTTGGGTTTTTGGGGCAAAAAAATAAGAAGAATTTTTCTAATGGTTTGTTCACGCACGGAGGGGCGTTTAGAAATTTTTGTAATTTTTGTAATTTTGTAAAATTTTTATCAATTTTTATTGATTAATTTAAAGCTGGTCTTCTGACTGTGCAACTTCCCACACCTGTACGTTAAAAACAGTCATTTGAGCTGGCACAGCTAAATTGCTGCAGCATCCAGAAACTGAGCAAGGCCAGCTTCCCCCAACAGCGACGTTAAGAATGATGCTAAAAGGCACATTAAACGGTGCATTTCCTGGGTATCTTTGCCCATTCGTATTAGTAGCATACCAGGCGCTTGAAGGAATACTGTTTATCAATTTGCCTCCAGTTATCACTCCATTTACTACTTGAGCGTCATACCAGAAATTCATATAAGTAGGCTGCCAGTCAACCCCATACCAGTGAGCATTATTTCAGTCAGCTGTAAACGGATATTGGTTATTCGAGGGAGCTGAAACCTGATTAGGCCATTCTCCTCCAAAATGTAAAGTGGAGTATCCAGCAGTGCCTGTGCATATAGTTTCCATAATGTCAATTTCTCCACAAGCAGCCCAGCCTCCATATATGCTTTGCCCATTTGGTGGGAGGAGCCAAATTGCAGGCCATAAGCCGTTTCCTTTAGGAACAATTGCTTTTACGTTGAAAAATCCATATGGACCCCATGGACGGACTGAGGTAACTTTTCCAGAGGTGTAATTGTAGCCTTGGTAATTTTGCTGGAGTGCTTTGAGAATAAGGGCATTTTGGCCGTTTACCTTGGTGATGTAAACGTTATTTGGGCTGTCTGTATAATATTCCCATTCATTATTTCCTGAATTGACGCCAGGCATAACATTTACCATCCAGTTGCTGAGGTCTTGGAAATTATCATTGAGGACATTGATATAAGTAGCTCCAGATATTGATATCAGGGCTAAAACTAAAAGAACAGCCACCATTTTATTTCTACTAATGAATGTGATTATTTATATAGAGAATTTTACATAAATACAAAAATAACAATTTTAAGCGTTTTCAATAATATCTTTTGCTTATTTATTTCTTATTAATTAATGATAAAATTTAGCCAGCTTTATCTGTAATAAAGCTGAATATTGAGTTCACATAAATTATTTTATTTTTATATATTTTGAGTTAAACAGAAAATATCGACTAAATGCTGACATACCAATTATTTTGCATGAATAAATGGATTAGTAAATTGCTTTATAATGTCTATTATGTACTCCCATTTGTTGTAGAATTCTTTATTAGGCTTATAGGAAATTCTCATTAATCCCTTTCGTTTCCTCTAATCTTAATATATACACTATCATGAGCAAAAATGCTAACACACTCCCAAATTGGCATTTCACAAGCAGAACGAGGTCTCATACAAGTGTCTATCAGGCAAGCAAAAAAGAAGTAGAGCATGATCTTGGACTCATGAAATGTATAGATGATAGCTCTCAATCAACGACCGCTTCAAATAATTTATCAAACACAAGGGCAACTATCAAAAAGAAAATAAAACATTTTAAGCATAAGCAAGTTGACGAAAAAACTGCTCTTCAAGCCTTAAGCTTGTTGCAAGAGACTCAAAAGCCTGTTCAAAAGAGTGATATGGTAATTAAAATCAAAATCCCCAAAAAGAAAAGCATAAAAACTCTTAGATTACCTCTGCATCCACAGCTACTGCCCAGCTTTATTTTAAACAAAAAGAATGGGTTTACGTGCTTCGCTAATAGTTTTTGGAAAGTAAAAGGTTTTCCTCAGAAATACCTTAGCAAATTTTACGAAAAAACCAAAAGGAGTCTTTCAGATCGAGAAAATCTGGTCTGTCCAAGTGGAAAAGGCTCAATACACACCGCTCTTGCATATAAAATATCCCAAGAAAATGAAAAAATTAAACTGCCTCAATTGAATACCTTGTCTAGATAACTTAAGCTTATAGTAAACTAATTTTTAAAGATGAATCTGCTCATACAATAAGGGCATTCTGATTCTGAATATAATTTTAAGATTGCTAAAGAATAAGTTTCAATTAATAGAGACAATTTAGATAATTAGATTGCATACATTTTCGTTAAAAATGGAAATTTTTTTAATAGCAATACTTTTATGTATCGATTAACAAGTAAGGATGGCTATTATAATAAATTATAATATTTAAAAATTTATTTTTGCCTAATATGCTTAACACATTATATTTAAGCATTAATTAATATGGATATATAATCAAAGGATTTTTATTTGAATTTTCTTATATTTAATTATCAAATATATTTCAATATTTCTGCAGCTTTTTATAGAGTGGTAGATTGAACTTCCAAACTCTAGTCATTGACAACGGATCAGCATATTGCAAAGCTGCTTTAAGAGGATACTCCAAGCACATTAGTTGCACCTCATTGTAATATAATTCACCTATTTAAAAATGTATTTTAAATGAAATGCAAAAGCAGAACTCAATAAAGCGAACCCTACAGAAATACTTTGCAATTCTATTCACTTTAAGCATATACAGTCTTTTTTATTTAAGCTATCTCAAAATATTTCTAATGCAAGCTGCTTTAGATTTTTTAGACCTAATTGAAGTCTCGTTTTTACATTTCTTTATCTTCATGAGCTTATTTAGCTACATTACATGCTTCTCTATAAACCCTGGCCAAGTCCCTGCTGATTTTTCAATTGATAATATCTCAGAAGACTATAAAATCCCTTTAAATGACAATCATGTAGAAATTGACCATTGTATTGGCAGAATCACATTTTGTGACAAATGCAAAAAATATCGGCCGCACCGAGCCCATCACTGTCATAATTGCGAAATTTGTGTATTGAGATTTGACCACCATTGTATATGAATATCTAACTGTATTGGGTTAAGAAATCACAAAGCATTTTTATTATTTCTAGTTTATACAGCTGTTTCTTGTGGAATAATCAGTGGGAGAGCAGTCTATATCTATACAAAATGCCAAGAAAATGGTTTTTACCTCTTATTTTCCTTAATTGGAAGCTCAATAATTGCGATAAGCTTAGGGTTGTTTTTTATATACCATTTCTGGATGGTCACACAAAATTTGACGACCTTGGAATACACATGAAGAAAGCACAACATTTTTGATATGGGCTGACAAAACAACTTTACCCAAATTTTTGGAAAATCCTGCTTATTTTGGTTTTTACCAATCCCATCAGCAAGCCTAACCGGTAGCCAATTCCCAATAAAAATCCGAACAAAAACATCTGGCTATCTTTATTATAACGATAAATTTTTAATATAGAAAAATAATTTTTCTAAAATCATATAAAAATGCCAAGAGAAATAATCACTTTGCAAGTGGGTCAATGTGGCAACCAAATCGGTATGGAATTTTGGAAGCAGCTTTGTATGGAGCACGGCATTAATAATGAAGGAATTCTTGAAGAATATGCCACTGCAGGAGATGATCGTAAAGATGTTTTCTTTTACCAAGCTGATGATGAGCATTATATTCCCCGCGCATTGTTGATTGATTTAGAGCCAAGAGTAATCCATACTATCCAAACTTCTATGTATTCAGCTTTGTATAACCCTGAAAATGTATATTCTAATTTGAATAGACTTTTTATAATTTTAAGGCAGAGAATTATAATTTTTTTTGTAAAAAATAAAAAAATTGATTTTTTTAGAAATATTTTGGTGGTAGTATGAGAGGAGATATATGAGCAAAGAAGGAGGAGGCGCAGGGAATAACTGGGCAAGTGGATTTTCACAAGCAGAAAGGGTTAATGACGAGATCATGGATATGATTGACAGAGAAGCGGATGGCAGTGACTCTTTAGAAGGGTTTACACTGCTTCATTCAATTGCTGGAGGCACTGGAAGTGGTATGGGATCTTATTTATTAGAAAGGCTGAATGACCGATTTCCGAAAAAATTGATACAAACTTATTCAGTTTTCCCAAATCAGCTGAGGACTTCTGATGTAGTAGTGCAGCCTTATAACTCGTTATTGACTTTAAAAAGACTGACTTTAAATGCAGATTGTGTCGTTGTGCTTGATAATGCAGCTTTAAATCACATCGCTGTCGACAGATTATCCTATTTTATGTAAAAATAAGAATGTTTTTTATATATATCTTTTTTATTATTTTTAATTAAAAAAGAATAAAAATCCCTAACCCGACTTTTGCTCAAACAAATGCATTAGTTTCTACAGTTATGGCTGCGTCTACAACAACTTTAAGATACCCTGGGTATATGAATAACGACTTAGTTGGCCTTGTGGCTTCTTTAATTCCAACCCCTCGATGCCACTTTTTAATGACTGGCTACACCCCTTTGACTGTCGATCGGCAAGTCAGCTCAGTCCGCAAAACAACGGTCTTAGACGTAATGCGAAGACTCCTGCAAACCAAAAACATCATGGTCTCCACCAACACCAAAAAAGGCGTCTACATGAGCATCCTAAACATCATCCAAGGCGACGTCGATCCTACCCAAGTCCACAAATCCTTACAAAGAATCCGAGAACGCAAACTTGCCAATTTTATCCCTTGGGGTCCTGCCTCAATCCAAGTAGCCTTATCCCGCAAATCCCCATATGTGGAAACCTCCCACAAAGTTTCAGGTCTCATGCTTGCGAACCACACAAGTATAGCTGACCTTTTTGATAGGATTATCAGCCAATATACCAAATTACGGTCAAGAAATGCCTTTTTGGAAAATTATAAAAAAGAAAGGATGTTTTCAGAGAATTTTGAAGAATTTGACCGGTCAGAAGAGGTGGTCAAAGAATTGGTAAGAGAGTATAAGGCTGCAGAAAAAGAAGATTATATTGAATGGGGTAATGATTTAGACGCTGATTCTGATATAAGAATGAGGTAAAATTAATTATTTATAATAAGCCATTTTTGGAATTTAAATATTTTTATAAAATAAATAAGCGGGAAATGGTCGACTTCGAAAAAATCTTAATTTCGATTTTATCAACAGAAAAAGCGACAAGGCAGCATGGTGAAGCCAATCTTGAAGCCCTCTTAAAATCAAGCCCAGAACAAGCCTGCTATGGCTTGATTTCAGCAATTTCTACTTCGAATCCTGAAATAGCTGGACTAGCCGCCATCCTTTTCAGGAAAAAACTCCTAGATGAAGAATATATAAAAACAATTCCTGAGTCAAGCTGCATTAATGTGAAATCTTCATTAATTGGCCTTGTTATGCCAGAAAAGCCTTTATCATTATTAAAACTCATTGCAGATGACTTAGTAGGTCTTGCAGTCATCAATAACTGGGCGCATGAGCTTATGTCATTTATGGGACAATGGAGCTCATCTGAAAACTCAACAATTAAGCAATTTTCAATGTATTTATTTGAGCTTGCCACAGAACACAGTGGGATGATGGTCGTTATGAGCCAAAATGCCGATTCTGTAATGACCATTATGTGGAACGCCTTACAATGCCCAGAAAATAACGTCAGATTGTCAGCTTGTAAAACTATTATGACGTTTATGATAGGACTGAGTGATGAAATTATTATAAATAAATATGTACAAGCATTAGACTATATTCTTGATTTGACAGCGCAGGTCCTTAAAGAAGGAAACTACGTCCCAGACCATCTGTGCCAAGTGCTATTTACATTAGCTGAGCTAACTGAAGCGTATCCGAGGCTGTGGAAAGAAAAAATAGAAAAATTAGCCTCAAATATGTCAGGGATTGCGAGAAATTATCAATTGGCTACTGAGCTGAGGGCAGCTGCTATAGAAGTGATTATTACTTTAATTAAAAAAATCCCTGGGAGACTCAAAAAAAATGTATATTTTATTCAAGAAATTTTGGCTTTAGGGTTCAGCTTGACTACTGAGGTAGATTTTCCTTATGATCTAGACGGCTGGAACCAAGAAGGGCCTGAATTAGTGGTAATACAGAATGATCCATATAGCTTAGGAAAAGATTTGCTACTGAGGATGGCGAATTTTTTGCAAGAGGCTATATTTCCTTATGCGATGCAGCTGATCCCTGCACACCTACAAGCTCCACATTGAGCAAATCAGCATACAGGGATATTGGCGATTGGTATAATTTCTGAAGGGTGTAAGCCTAATATCAGGCAAATTCTTCCTCATATTATATATTTTTTGTATTATATAACTCTTTATTATTTATTTTTTAAAAAATAGTCCTAGTAAGTTTATTAAGTATATCTACCTTAACCCCATTTGCAAATTCAGACTCTCCAAGGCTGAAATGGGCAGTTATGACTACAATTGGCCTCTTATGCTCAGAATTCCACCCAGAACTGCAAAATGCATATCATTTTGAAATCCTCTCTGCCATTCTCTCATGCTTGTCCAGCAATAACCTCGCCAAAGTCCAAGCCCAAGCCTCAGCAAGCATGGTAAACTACTCCAAAGGTCTCCTCTACAAAAACAGCAGCAAAGATCTTGCCTTATTCCCTTATCTCAGCACCTTAATCCAGCACTTTTTATCAATCCTAACCTCCCCATCTAGTCCTTTATTTTTGCTTCAGGAAGCCCTTAACGCAATTGCTATGATTGCCTGTGCTTCTGAGTCAAATTTTGCCCCATATTACCATCAACTTGTATATGGGCTGAGAAAATTAATAAATTCTAATGGAAATTCGCCAGCCGAAAAAGAAGTGAGGGCAACTTGTATAAAATGCCTTGGGTGTATTATAGAAAGTGTAGGAGAAGCTGGTGATGCATTTAAAGACGATGCAGTATCATTATTAGACGATTTAATGAGGATAAGGAGCACGCTTAACGACGCTGACCAAGTTTTCCAAGCAATTAATGAAGTTCTATCATATTAAATTAAATTTAAATAAAAAACATTTTTCAGTATAAAATAACAATTATTTATTAGTAAATAAATACTGGACTCATGCTTTTAACCAGAATAATCATAATATTTCGCAAGCTCATTAAAAGAAAGGTTTGCCCCATATCTAGAAGTGTTAATCCCACAGATATTCGCCCATGCTGAGCAAGTAATTGATTTTAAATTTGCAGACGCTGAAAGTGCTGATGCTTTATGCCTAGACCAAGGAATGAGTGCCTTACAATTCGAGCTGCGAGGTCTTGGAAAAAAGCAGCTTGCTATCAGTACTACATGTTTAGAAAACAAAATTAAAGCCTGCAAAATTTTATATGACTTAGTCTCCTCATTAGGAGTTTCTTTTAGCCCTTATGTTGACCAAGCTGCTCAGATTCTATCGAAACTTATAACTTTTCCTTATAACTCTGTGATAAGGAAATACTCATTAAAAGCTGTACAAAATTTACAAAGCTGCTGTGCCTCACAGACTCAGGCTGAGCTATTTTTGAGGACATTAGTTCCGAATTTTATTATAGCATTAGCAAAATCTGGGGTGAGGAATCCTGGAGCTTGTAATAAGCAGCTGAGAGTGCTTTTGAGATGCATGAAAAAGGTGCAGAATGTAGGGGTTATTGGGATAAGTTCAGCTCAAGAATTAAGCAGGAAGCTTGCTATGTGTCTGAATGAGGTTTTAAATAGAAAAAATTGCAGATCTCATGAGCAAATAAATCTTGCTGAACAAGATTTGTATGAAGAGGAACTCGCTGAGTTTGAGGAGTCTGAAAGAATAGATGACGAAATTCTGCAAAAAACGATGGAAATTGTTGGCATTTTACTATAAATTTTTACTATAGGCTTTATTTTTTTAAAAAAAAGATAAAATAGCTATATTTAATATAAATTCCTATAAAGTCCTACAAAACTCAATTCCAGCCCATATTTTTACAAGAATTCAAAAGCATTTTTGGTGAATTTCTTTATAAGCCAAACGCAACAGAAAACGAAACTCTATTTTCACTCTGCATGTTTTGTGATTATGTTGAGTTTACCCACGATATTTTTTTTAGCAATACGTCTTCTCCTATTGTTGAGCAATTTATCAAAAATTGCTACCATCATAACCCTGATATCAGACAAAGTGCAGCATATGGACTTGGGCTTTCTGCTTATTTTGGGGACCCAACTGCATTCAGAATTTACCTTCAAGAATCAATTAAAGCAATCAATTACATGCTGAATCTTCCTGATTCAAGAAGTGAAAAGCTTTTGGTTTCTTCAGAATGTGCTGCAGGCGCTTTACTCCACCAATTAATAAATAGAAATTCTTAATTTTTGGTAAAATTTGCATCTCAATTAGCAAGAAAAAAAAATTTTTAATATTTATATCATAGATAAGAATTTATTTATGCAAATTTTTTATATTTTTTGCCATCTAAAATATAAATTTATGGTTTCTTTTCAATTTATTAAAAATTAAAGCATATGGAAAACCTGCCAAAGCAAAGGGGATTTTAGGAAAAATTGCATTATATCATGCTTCTGAACTAATTCCAAACTGGCTGAATTGGCTGCCTTTTAAATCAGACCCTGAAGAGGCCCAAATAGCACACACTTTGCTTTTTGATAATATAAATTTGCTCAATAACTACAATTCAAAGGTCGCACAAATCTGCGCAGAAATGAAAACACTACCTCTGAATTATTTACCAGAAAAAAGCTGTCAGTTGTTAGGTTAATTAATTTAACAATTAATAATAGTAATAGGCCTAAAAATTATAGCTTTGAATTAAATAACTTTTTTAGATGGTAAAATGATTTTCGTTAAGCTTATAATGGAAGGTCCTTTTTTTCCAGTGAATAAATATTAGCTTAATATTAAAGTCTCTAGCTACTGTAGAGCTTAACGCTCTTTTGACGTCACGGTTCAAAAATAGACTATGCTCCATCTGTGTCCATACCTAAAAAATGGCTTCACCAGCAATATAGCTGAGCTAAAGGAGGCTCGGTCTAAGCCAGCAGCCCAAGACTAGTCCCCTTGTCCTGACCAAACTAGCTTCTGTGCTGTTCCGCCTAAGTCTCACCTTCTTCAGATACTCTGGGCATGAAAATCTTGAACCTCTTCAACGATCTTAGATCATTTTTTCCCTATGCAACTAAAATTTAGACCTCTGTTTAAGAGCTCTAGTGAAAGCCGACCCTATAAATAAAAATTCTATTAGAATAAAAAATAAACAAAGCTAATCTCTTAAACTCACTGCCATTATTCTTTTTCCCAGTTCAATAGTTAATTTTTGTGTGTTTCAATATGTGTTGAGTATTTTATGAATTCTTTTTCTAATTCTTTTCTTTTCTCTTCTACTCTTTTTTTTATCTTTTAAATGTAATTTTAAGTTAAAAGACTGATACTTGAAGTCTTTTTGTCGTTTATTTTCTTTTGCATCTACCTTATTTTTCATAAAGCTCCCTAATAATTGAGTTGATTTTCTAAAAGTTTATGCCTAAAATTGGTCAGAAGTGACTTGAGGTAGCTAAGGTTTTATCCTGTGTTGTAAAATTAAAATTTAGCATTGAAAAGATACCATCATTTATAAGAAATAGTCCAAAACTTCTCTCAAATTTTATATTTTTCAGGTTTAATAGTAATCTAAATATTATGATCAATTTTTGATTATTAGCATTTATTTCTATTAAATAATGTGCATTGTCTTTTAACTCTAGATTATTTATTATTTACTAATAATTATGATAAGAAACAGACTCAAAACAAGCTCATCAGTGATCGACGTAAACGAAGATATACTTTTAATTACCAATAGGGACGATTATTAATTTATCCAAGATTTACTGATTATTCATAGAAAAGTACTATAAACTTCGAAAGCTTCAAAAAGAGTTTCTAAGAGGCCATAATAGGATAAGAATCTCTACTAACTCCTCCCTTTAAAATTGGAACAACTATAGATAAATTTCCATTTTTTAGGTAATTAACTCCCTTTAAATTGAACACAGTTTTATGTTTTTAATAGAAAATTTATAGATAAAAGTACCCTTTTTTATATGTATGTTTTCGACCTAGTTTAACTGAAGGAATGCAGGCTGAATAATATTTAAACGATAAATTAATTGATAAAAATAAAATACATGTGCCCAATTTATATTTTTAAAATATTTTATTAAAAAACATGTTCCCTCTTTAAATTGGAACAGAATTTCAAATTTGAAGGGGAGTAAAAAAGTTGCGAAAAGTGAGCGACAAAGCCCAGCTGTAGTTAGCTCAGCCAGTCAGCTTCCTAAGCCTTATGAAGTCTTACAAAATTATTTAAAAAAGCGAAACATAGAGAACCAAGAATCAAGCCCATCTCGAGAAGTAAACACTTCCCGAAAAGGATTTGGTTCTACTGCAAAACTGCATGCAAAACCTACTCACAGGCGAATTTACTCTGATCAATTTCAAAATGGTTTTAATATCCCATTAAAGCAAGAACCTGAAGAAAATCCACAAAATTTCCCTATTAATCTTGTAAGAGTAAGCCCACCAAAAATATTTAAATTATTAATATAATTTATTTCTAAATTTATTTTTTTAAAAAAATTCCTCACCAAAAACAGACGCAAGAAAAAAATCGTTTTTCGATTTAAATCTCACTCCTCGAAAAAAATCTCCACTGAACGCTTCAAAACAAAATTCAATTAATTCATCTACTTCAGAGCTCCAAATTGAAGAAGAAACTCGAGAAAAGCTTATCCAGTACATTTCCTCATATTTCAGAAAGCATTTAGAAGAACCTACCACTTCTTTAGAATTTTATCAAGTTGGCGAAATGATTGGAAAAGGGGCTTTTGGAAGAGTAATGCTAGGGGTTCACAATCTGACTGGGTATAAAGTAGCACTTAAAGCTATAGAAAAAATCCACATGAAAAATGAAGACTCCAGAAGGAAAGTTTTGCATGAGGTACTAATTTTGAAAAAAGTTCGACATAAAAGGGTGAACAGAATTCTCGAAGTTTTTGAATCCTCAAAATTTTTTTTATAGGGAAATTATATGGATTTTAGATTATACTTATAAGGATGTTGGAAATCTAATTTTCTAAGTTTTATGGGAAAATAAGTATTAATAACTAAAAAAGCCTAGGCACTTTGCCATAAAAGGCATATTAATTGAGAATTATAAACTTTTATAGCCTAAAATATACCATAAAGTAGCATATATTGTTATGGAATATGCAGGTGGTGGAGATCTCCTCCATTTTGTAAAAAGAAAAGGCAAAATACTAGAAGGAGAAGCCAAAAGAATTTTTAGACAAATTCTTGAAGGGGCTATAGCGATCCATTCTCATGGTATCATTCATAGAGATTTCAAGCTTGACAATATTTTAATAGACTCAGATTATTCTTCTGTCAAAATTTGTGATTTTGGAGTAAGTCGTTCTATCAAGAAAGGAGATATACTATGCTGATCAATTTTATATAAAAATATCATGACTGCAGGCTTATTCTTATTGAAAATAAGCTAAAATATTCCAATTTATACAAATTTAATACAGATATAAAATTATATAATAAATGAGCAATGCGGAACACCAGCTTATCTGGCCCCAGAAATGATAATTGGGAGAGGATATGAAGGAGTTTCAGTTGATATCTGAAGCTTAGGAGTCCTATTATATGCAATGCTGTGTGGAACAGTTCCATTTAAAGCCAAAAATTTGAATGACTTGCATAAGTTGATTTTATTAGGAAAATATAATATTCCTGACCATATCTCAGAAGAAGCAAAAGACTTAATTTCAAAATTTTTGACAGCGATACCACAATATAGAATTACACTGAGAGAAGCTTTGGAGCATAGATGGTTTTACACGGAAGATACAGAGCCTGAAGCTCCCAAGCCAAGATTTTCAGATATTCAGACAGAAAGAGACTTACACCCACTTTAAATCAGAAAAAATATGATAAAATCTACCTTTTTTCTGAAGTAAATCTATTAAAATTGGTATAGATAGGCGCTCTAAAATTTTTTTTTACTTATAAACATATACTTTTTTCTATAAAATATTTATTTTAAAAATTAAAATTGGAAAACATTATTGTTCTAAATAATTGAGTTAGAAAAAATAAATGAATCAATTGTATCACATGTATCTAAATTTGGATACCCAAGAAGCTACCTAATTAATGCATTACAGAATGGAGATCTCAATCATTCAACTGCATCATATTATATCTTGCAAGAAAATGCATTGAAATTGCAAGCCTTGAATTCATAAAATCTATTTTTACAATTTAATTTAATTTTTAAATTTTCTTGGATAATTTAATACAAACATTTATGGAAAAGTAAAGAGATTTTTTAGAATAATATTCTATGATAAATCATTTAAAAAATGATTAGGAAGAATTTGTAGCACGAGTAAGGATTCTGCTACAGCATGAGTCTTTCTAGTTGTGAATGTATGAAGCATTGCAGTTAAAATGGAGATAAAGACATGATGCAATGAGGAGTCAGGGAGACAGCGCGAAGATAGAGATTCAGTGGATTCTGGGAAACTTTTAATTTAGATGTTCTATTTTGAATGCTCAAGTAGATGATGCATTTAAAACAAAATTTCTCGTAAGTGTGGATGCACTTGGAGATCTGATGGAGTTTTGTTGTTGTGAATATACGGAGTTTAACTTGGTGGAAGTAATAGAACTTTTGCTTTGTGGAAGAGGTGAACAGCTAATTAAAAAGAGAAAAGTGCTGGTAAGCCGCAGTAAAAGTTCAAGATAAGATTCAATTAAAATTTAAAAAAATGTTTTTGGCAATATTTTTGGGTGTGCTAACATGCGGAAAAATGTCCCGAAATATGAGCCCATCCCATTTTAATGATTAAATAATATCGCAACTATATGATTATTGACATGCAGCCATTCAAAAAACACCAAAAATTTCCGTTGGATCTAATGGAAGTTTTTATGAAGATACATTTTTACAATATTCTTTAAATAGTGTCAAGCTTGAAATTGGATTTAAGATTTAATCCTGCCTTTTGGTTGACTCTCCTAAAATCTAAATATCTCTGATATAAATCGATCTGACCCTATCAAGAATTGATTTTTGTGATAATATCTAAGTCTGATCTAAAATTATAGTTTCTGATAAAATGTCATCATATGCTTTAATTTGCCCTTTCTCTTCCAGAGGACAATCGAGCCTTATCAGGTGGTACAGCAAACACCATTTGGATATGATACTTTCGCAGCCCCTCCTATTAGTTAGAAATTTCTATGTGTTTTCCATTTGAAATATGGTTTTTAAATTAGAATGAATGATTCCATAAATTATCAGTTTTGTTCTATCTTGGTTAGTATTTTTTATTAGCCTCTTTTTAATGAGGCTATTCTAATGATTTTAAAGAGCTGAAATTCTTTTTCAACAATTTAATAATTAATAATCTGAGAATTTTAAAATTTATATAAGATTAAGGTTTCTTAGAAAATTTCCAATAAACTTATATGACCACTTCCCTTATGCCCTACGATTTAATGCTATAACCTGAGCCAAAATGAGGCTCAGTTTATATCATATTCTCTTTTATAAGCGTACAATTCACTTTATTTCTGGATTGCAAACTCGCTTAAGTCTATTTATAGAAATAAACTATTAAATTTAAAGAGATATTTAAAGGATTATTAATTTTAATTAATATTTAAAGCCTGCAATAGAATTATGAGTGATAAAGGACGCAGTTTCATATCAAAAGATACCGATTTTGCAGCTCATAGCTCTCATTCTATAGGTTTCATACCTAAAGTTAGGAAATTTTCAGAAAGTACATCATCTATAAAAATTGACGAAAACAAATTTCATAAGACTCAAACACTACCAACAGAGAAAAAAAGATACAAAAAGTCCAAAAATAAATTAATAGACGAGCTAAATGAACTAAAATTGCTTCCATTATATGGTCAAGCCCTTGAAGAAGCTATTCGGCTAGAAAAAGAGCTCGCACAGGGCAAAACAGTTGACATAACATTTAGCATGCACTATAACACAGCGTTTGGAGAAAGAATGATCATTCTAGGAGGCCACGAAGTCATGGGAAATTGAAGGTCCGACAGAGCTTTAGATCTTGAATGGACAAATGGGAATATTTGGAAAGCAACTATAAGCCTAAGCCAGAAGTCAAAAGATATAGAATACAAATACGCAATTGTGAAAGGAAATCTCGTGAAATGGGAAGGAGGTGATAACAGGATTCTGAGGCCAAGTGAAGCTATACAATCTGGGAATAGGCTACTGCTTAATAAGTTCGATATTTGGAGAAGATAATTAAATCTAACTTTGGAATGCTTTAATTCTATGTAAAATTTATACTTTTTGAGTATATATAATGGTAAGATCTGAGTCCCATTCTGTCTGGATTAATTTTTTTTTTATTTTATAATTTCCATTAACCCAATCTAAAGTTATAACTAATTTTATTTAAATTACTTAAATAATGTTTTATAAATGAGAAATCTTGGACTCAGCAAAAACTGAAGATATGCCAAAAGGAAGAATTAACTAAATAAATCTATATTACAATCGCTTCAATTTTCCTTTGGAATCTCTAGGATTTAAATAAATATTTATTACCAAGACTAAAGAATTAACATAAATAACTCAGAAAACAAAAATTTTCACTTTAGGCTCAACTGAAATACACAATATAATTGGAAACTGGCTCTAATCTGACCTAGTGTCCCCTTCAGATTTAACATTTTTTGCGTTCATGCAAAGCTGTTTGATATATTTTAAACTTCTATGCAGAAGAGAGATCATAAGGACTCGGAAACTGCTTAATAGTCATAATACCCTTGCTTTACTTATCATTTGAAATTAAACTTTAGAAATCTGCGTATGATGGAATTTCTCAAATTTAAAAATGAATATCCACTTATATTCTGCACAGAATAAAAATATTTATGATGATTAGTTCAAGGTCGAGCTATAGTAGTGCTCAGATATTTCATCTAAATTAATATATGCTGGATAGATAAGCTTGATTATAAACTTTTAAGTTCCTTGATTTAAAAGAAATGACTATAAATTTCCATATCGACATATAGTAATTGCCCGAGGATGGCGCTATCTTGCGCCATCCTCGGGCAATTACTATATTTCCATGTGATAGATAATTATGGGAATTTTATTGGTTAAGAGACTATGAGGAGATTGCGCTTATTAAAATTATTATAGAGGACAATATTTTCTTGATATTTATACCTGTTTTTGGCGTGGCGAAAATCAAGGGAAGAAAAAAGTATAGATTTATTTGAGAAGATGCGCACAAAGAATGCAGAAAGCTTGAGCAGATGAGAGTAAATAAATGAGAAATTGAAAGGGATTAAGGTGCCAACCCAAGTATTTTGTGCTAGAGTTTTATAAAGGATTTCCTGATACAAAAGTGATGTATAGGTATATGGCAGAAAATCCAATAGATGATTATAGCCAAAAAATTAAAAGAAAATAGTTGAGAAATAAAGGAAATTAATGCAAACTTGGCAATGCTGAAAACATTTATACTTATAATATTCGCAGACAGCATCCTCATTTATCTATAATGATCCATATAAATCTACTTTATGCTAATTCACATATATGAACAGAAAAAAGTGAAAATGGCTTTACAAAGAATTCCAAGACCTAATTAAAATTTTTATGTCTATAAACTATAACTAAATTCCCCACAATTAACTTGCTTATTTAATTCAGCAATTATTATAGCATTTGCATTTTTTTGTATATATATTCCATATTTATGAGTCTACCGGGCCCTGTTGAGAGAGCTCTCGAAAGAATCGGGTGGGGAAAATACCAAACCCGTCTCTACTTTAATTGCCTTGCTGTAATTTCTACAAAGGGTGTAACAACGTCCATGATTTGGACAGAAACGACTTCAATAATGATGTACAAAAGCAAAGATCTTGAAGGAATTTTGAAAACTCTTGTTCCGATGTCACTTAATCTTGGGACTTTATTAGGCTGCTATTTATTTTCATATCTCATTGGATATCTTGGTCGAGCTCCTGTATATAGAAATACAATAATTGTGACTGCACTAGGAGGAATGATTATTAGCATTTTCCCATATGAATATGTTATACTTATTGGCTTGCTTATTATATGCTGAATTAGGTGAATTTTTAAAAAAAAATTATAAATAAAAAATATGTGGAGGTTTTATTGGTGGGAATAGGCTTTGGAATTGGTGGAGACATGACGCTATCGTCTACTGTGCTAATGGAAAGCATTCCTCCTAGCAATATGAGGGTTATAACGATGCTGAATATTGGTTATAGCTTTGGCACAGGACTTGCTATAGGAGTAGCGATTATTATTGAAGCTGTTTATTTTGCGTCTGTTCCTGACTGGGTAATTTTGATATGAATGGGAACACTTTTTAGTGGGATTTTAATATGATTGAGAAAAGGAATTTTAGAAAGTCCTATGTATTTACATTCAAAAGGAGATTTAAGGCTAGAAGCAGTGATGCAGCAGATTGCTAAAATTAATGGGAAAAATCATACAAATGTCAGTCTTGATGAGTCAAGAAAACCTGAAGGAGAAGTCCATGTGGAACGAGAAAAAAAAATTTATTATTTTTTAATTATAAACAAATTTAATAGAAATGTTATAAAAAATACTGATTATTTATATAGAAAAGTTTAATTAGTGTATTTAAAAGACCATATATCACTGCTACCCTCGTTCAAAGTATCCAATACCTCACTTGCAATTTTGCTTATTTCGGGATGATCTTATTTATGCCAATGATTTTGCCTGAAACTTCTACCTTGGAGTCTTATACTGTCATTTTAATCCAACAATTATGTAAATATTATACAGGTGGGATGGCTGGCTGTGGTCTAGCTGCATATATGATTTACACACCACTAGGAAGAAGAGGAACAGAAACATTAGGATTTATTTTAGCAGGATTCTGTATGTACCCGTTTATGGCCTCTGACAAATTGTGAATTGTAATTCCTATTTAGATATATTCTTTATTAAAATAAAATTTATTTTTATTTTTTTTAAAAATAATTTAATATTGCTGAGAATGCAGGGAATACACATTTTCATGCTTAATTTCATGTTTTTTGATGATTGGGTCCTCCACAATGTACACACATTCTCAAGAATTGTATCCGACACATATTAGAGGAATTGGAGTAGGGTGACTTACAGGGATGTGCTTGATGACGTCTGTTATCACGCCTCCGATCATAGGAATCTTACAAGAACTTGTAGGGAATTTTCTAGTCTTGGGGTTATGTGGGGCCTGCTTCTTTATAGCAGGATCATTGTCATATTTATTGCCAGAAACTCTCAGTGCAAGAGAAGTGTACATTGAAAATAACATTTAATTAGAATATTGAAAATAGCTCATTAAAATAAATAAATAAAGAAGGTCTTAGAAATATTAGGAAGATTATTAATTTATTCCAGAAGCGTAGTATTTTGGATTTTTTTTCTATTTAGATTTAAAAATAGCTTAATTACTAACTAATTATATTACGGGAATCTCTCCCCAAATTTTATCCATGATGCCCTTTTCCATTTACCTGTGCTTATTTTCATAGCATAATATGGAATTCTCTTTGCTACAGCACTGATCTATTGAATTTAAATAATTAATGTGCGATAGTGTCTTTAAAAAGTTTTTTTTCTGCCACTAGCATTGACAAATAGATTATTTATAAAGATTCTATGCTGATCATAAATTCATTTTTTTAACCCTCTAGAGAAGTTTTATTGAAGAATTACCCTTGGAAGCACAAGAAAGCCCTTAATTATTTAAGCATAATTAAATAAGTTAACAATCTCACCCTAGGCCTTCAAGTTGGGCACTCCTAACCTTTAATTTAAATTGACACAAATAAATATGGCTAGCCCAAATAGAGAAGATTTAGTCCTCAAATGTATCGATGGTAAATACAAAGGCCGATTCATCTATGTGAACCCGAATGTAAACTAAAATTAGTCAGAAGGCGAAAAATTTGGGTCAGGAAATCCAGAGGTCGATGGCTTAACCATTTCTATAGAAAATGTTGGGCTTGATACCCGACATGCCAAAATTGAATACAGCAATGGCCACTACTACCTAACTGACTTAGGCAGCTCAAGCGGAACTTGAATAAAAATCCCACAAGATCCAGAAGTATCAGAAGTCCTTGACCTCGGAAAAATCATAAAATTAGGCAATATTGATCTTGAAGTCACTGAAGGAAAAGAAGTAAATTTATCTGATAACTGGGCAGATATGTTTAAACATGAATATTTATTATTAAAATCAATAGGAGAATTTACACTTGACGATTTTTTGAATATTAATATACAGGTTCTTGATATGAGTAAAGAAAATAAACAGGATTTAGGAAATGCACAAAAATCTTTAATAAAGTGGCCGAAGAAATTAAGATCGGTTAGACTGTCTTCAAATATGCTTACAATTGAAATTGGCTGAAAACCGGTAATTATTGGAAGCTCGTCTGAGTGTGATGTAGTTATTCCTACATTGGATGACCAATTGGTAAAGATATACTATGAAGACAATAAATATTGGATGACAAATCTCAGCGAAAAAGCCTCTTCAGCTTTTAGAAAGCTAAAAGAAGGAGAAAAATATTTGATTAGACCTGGAATAAATTTTAAAATTGGAGAAGTTGAGTTTAGCACCTCACGGTTTAATGTTGGGTTAGATTAGATTAGATTATGTGCTGTGTGTTTATAGTCCCCACTTCCAAGATACCATGCATTCCGCAGCAACAAGTCGTTGCGGGGTGGGCTCCCTCAAGGCAACTTAGGCCCGGGCCGAACCCCCCGGTTTCTCGGTAGTGCATTTCCCTTTGACCCGAATGGGTTTTGCAGGAACCACCATTCCAACCCAAGCGCCAGTATCACCACTTCGCTTGGCCAGATCGCCCCTTACAGGAAACCTTTTAAACTGGAGAGACTTGCGCCCTTGAGATCGTCGTCGAGCTTCGCCTTCTCTTGAGCAGCTCTTCGCACCCAAAAACCACGTCCGGATATGCATAGGGACATCCGTCACTGCCATTTTATGTATATGGTTTAATGTTGGGTATTGAAGTGAAGTAGGCTTAAGACCGACAATGGAAGATGCTCATCAAATTATTGATAATTTGTTTATAGATAATGAAAAAACATTATCATATTATGCAGTATACGATGGCCATGGCGGATCAATATGCTCTAACTCTTTTTATATTAAAAATATCATAATTTAAGATTAAGATTAAGATTACGCTGGGTATTTAAGGTCCCTACTACGTCCGAGGTCGCATGCCACGGTTTTCCCGTGTGGTGGCAGAGCGTTCACCAAGCCCGGGCCGAAACCCCCGGTTTCTCGGTAGAGGTATTGTCAAGGGCCGTCTTATACCGGCTTTGCTGACCACCTCCATTTCCAACTTGGATCGTCGCCTAAGTTTACGCCAACTCCGCTTCGTCGTCCGCCAGATCTGCCCATTGAAGGGCACCTTTTCAACTGGAGAGACCCCCGTCTCGATGTCTAACTCGCCTCCCCTCTTTTTCGGTCATCCCGAGAAAGAACTCAACAGCTTTCGCCATTCGGGGCGAGCCACTAAAGCAGCTTAGGCAGGTAATTCACCCTGCCTCATTTCGGGCACTCACTGGGCTGAGCGCTGCTGGCAAAAAGAAGTCACGAATAACTGCCCATGGGTCTGGTCGCAAAAACAGCGGTTCTCGCGCTTAGGCCTCTCGCTTCGAGGTCCCGGACGTTGTTGGGCTAATTCCTGGCTCCAAAAACCATGCCCGGATATACATGGGTAACCACCACTGGGAGGGTGGGTCGGTCGCCATACGCCATTTTATGTATATAAAAAAAATATCATAATAAAGCCATAATTTTTATATCACATCGAAAGCCTGTTTAATTTTGCATTAATTGTAAAAGTAATCATGATGGAGTGAGTTTTTAAAAAATAATCTTCACAAAATTATCAAAAAAAAAATAAAAAATTATGAAATCGAGCATTGGCCAAGACAAATTGCTAGATCTTGTATAGAATGCGACCAGCTTTTTTACGAAACTTATAAAGCTCAAGCAAACTCTGTAGGCTCCACAGCAGTAATTTCGATAATTTTGGGAAACCGCATAATAGTTTGTAATATAGGAGATAGCAGAGCAGTTTTATCAAGAAATGGAGCTCCAATACAGCTTTCTAGAGATCATAAACCAACTCTGCCAGATGAATCGAAAAGAATTGAAGAAAACGGTGGAAATGTGATTTTTGGAAGAGTTCAAGGCAAATTAGCAGTTTCAAGAGCCTTTGGAGACTTTGAATTTAAAGAAAATCAATGTTTAGAAGACGAAGAACTGATTGGAGAGCTTGTAATTGCAGAGCCTGAAATTGAAATAGTAGAAATAAATAAAGAAATCGATGAATTTATAGTTTTATACTATTCTGTTCATAAATATGCAGAATTTAAATAATCTATTCCCTAATTTTTTTATAAAATAAATCCAATCTTCATAGCTATTATTTATTTTTATACCAAAAGGTCTAGGATGTGATGGACTATTCGAAGCCTTTTCCAACGACGACCTAATTTCCCAAATCCGTCAAAAAATAAGAAAAATGTTTCCATTCGAGCAAGACCCTCAATTTATCATCAAAGATATTGTAAAACAAGCAGTAACTGATGGCTTAACAAGCGATAACGTTTCCGCAATATTAATTTTACTTTCGGGTGGAATTCAATAATATTCCTTATTTAATACCTAATTCTTTTTTTTCATCTTTTTCTTACTCACTTCAAATTGTCGGCTAAATTTTTTTTTTTAAATTTATAAATTTAAAGCAAAATATTTTTATCAAATTAAAAATATCAAATTTGGAGGAAAAAGAATTTAATTAATAACATTTATGTTTTAGAACTCTGTTAAAATTAAATAGAAATAGCTGTAGATTTCATTATAATGATTATCATTTTTATGCCAAAATAGTTTTACAAATTTTTTTTTGCTCGCTCGTGGTTTAGATTTTCCCAAAAACATGATTTTTCTAATGGCTTAGCTCACTTATATAGGGGGAGTTAGGAATTTCTTCTTCAGAGGACCCCGAATAAGACCCAGAATCAGAATCAGAACCAGAAACAGATTTTTCATACTTTGTCAAGTATTTTTTTACTGCCACACCTTGGTTCGAAATATTTTTCTTTGAGTAGTTTTCTTCGTCTTCGTCATACTGTTCGTCATAATCACTTTCTCCTAATGATCCTTCAATTAGTCCTGATATTTCTGTTAGCGCGACTCCTAGCAAATTGGTATAACCTTGTTCTTGGAAGGTCTGGATTGTATAATATTAAGATTTGAACGGTCATAAGCAGAATCTCCACTAGTCAGACTACCTTGACTTCAGAAAGGCGATGCAATGGTGTAAGGCCCAATTACACCCTCTTGAATTTTCTAGAGAAACTCACCTAACCTAAAGGTCAGCTCCTTAGGTTATAGACCATTTGTAGGCGCCCCTAATAGCCCTATGGGCGAAGACTATGTTGGATGCAAAACTTTTCTAGCCCACCTGGCAGTATAGGAAAACCTTCAGGGGAGAAACAAACTTTCCTACTTGCTCTATATGGTGTGCTCCTCAAAGATCAATTTCCATCAGCATCCACATTTTATTTCTCTGGATTGTATAAGGATTAGGCAATAGCTCATCATTAAATATTTTAAGGGATTCGCCTTCTGCTATAAATTTCTCTATATCTTTTATAAGCTCTTTACTCTTAAAATCAAAGTGTTGGGGAATTATATCAGCGAATTCTTGGGGAGGATTTTTTATAACATCTATTATAGCGTAGCACAAATTGTTGTACCTGATAATGGCTTGGGCAGTTTTTCATTTCTCTAGTAATTGTTCATCAGAGGTGTCTATGGAATAATTTGTTTTTATGTCTTATAATACTATATTATAGAAATTAACAATAATATAAAAAAATTTATACAGAGAAGGTATAAATAATTCTTGGATTTCTAAGAGAAGGTCTAAGATATGGCAGTCTGAGCTTCATTTCCCAGTTAACAAAGGAACCACAACTTCTCCTGACTCAGTCAAATTTTCATGGAATTTTACCTTACATCGGCCATTTGTAACTAAAATTACTTGAGGAGGTGCGTCAGGATAGCTGCTGGTACATACAATGTCAAATAAATACAGACCACTTGTGTAGTCAGTTCCTGCTGGCCCTGATACTAAAACTCTCAATAAATCCCATCGTTCATTATCAGACACTACAAAAATAGAATTATTTCCTACACATGGCAGCTTTTGTGTCAGTAAATCTTTTTCTTCTTGAAATCTTGCTTTTACATTATTAAAATGCCCTATTGGTGCCAGATATCTAAACAAGCTATGTCTAAACCCTCCAGCCTCAAACAGATCTTGATGCCCATAGCTATAAGCTGACAAACTCCTTGTATAAGGCTCTTCTGCGTTTTCATCAGGTATTTCAAGCATTTCATATATATTTTCATCTAATTACGTCTTATATTTTATTTACCATTCCTATTTATCTAAAAAGTGTATATACAACCCTTGGTTCCCCTAATACCTCCAGCTTATCAATTTCAGTCAAAATCTCATTCCTCACCTTTACCAACAAATTATAAAACCCATGCTTTTTAAACATACTAATTGTCTTTGGGTTATGGTCTTTTACCAAATAATCCTCTTCTTTGTTCGTAATTTTCATTTTAAACGATTTCGCATCCTCAACCCACGCGTCCAAAGTCTTCATAATTGCGTTTCTTTTTAACGAAAAATGCCTCCATACGATTTCTTTGAATTCTTCAGGTGGGTGCTTTATGGTCTCCAAAATGGCATATTTCGCGTTATTATATTTCACAATGTTGCAATATGCTACATTTTCAGGAGAATTTACGTCAAGGTGCTCAAATTCAGGCTCTTTTTGGATGACCATGTTGTCCATGACAAGGACTTGGATTGACAAGAGGACTTGTAAAATATTGCTGTGGCCTGGATTTCACCTTTCACTAGGATCACCGTCCCATGTATTTATGATAGACAAACAGACGTAACCGTCGTCATAGAGATTTGGGTTAAATCTGACTGTCCCTTTGGCAGTTGTAGCTATTCGCATTGCTGGAGGTTTTTTCGGGTAGTTCCCAGGACATGCTATATGGAATTCATAAAGACCATGGGCGTAAGGGGTGTCTTCGGTACCAGAAATTAAAGCTTTCATTAAGTCCATCCTTTCTGTGTCCATAACTACAAAAACTGCACCAGTAGGCTCACAAGGAAGGTGCTGGGATAGGACTTTTATTTCTTTTGAGTACCGGTTTAGGCTGCTCGCCATTTCTTCTTTGCCGCCTAGTTGGTCTAGGCATACGTGATTTCCTGAGTTAAAAATATCATAGGTGTTAAATCTCAAATCTTTGAGGGTTTGGTAATAGAGGCTGCTGCTTTCAGGGGGCTGAGGATCATTTTGAGAGGCTTCACGCAAAAGAATAGGCTGCTTGGACTCTTCATAGTCTTCACTATAACTGGAATTTTTACTATAGTCGTCACATGGGTCAAAATCAGGCAAAGAGTCAAGTAGCGTGCTAATTTCTGGTAAAATTTCTTGTAAACAAGCTCCGAAGCCTTTTTGTGTGAAAAGGTTGGTAATTGCTGGATTATGCACAGAAACAAGCAGTGTTTTATTATATTCTAATTTAAATAACGAATAATAAGATAATGACAATGATATGATGTTTTTCTAATATAAAACTAATAAATAATTATAATTATCCTATACAAAATATTTTAAAAAGCATAATCAATCCTATCATTTTTTGCTTCCTCAATCCACTTATTGATCATATGCTTTATGTTACCTCTATTCATCCTAAAAAATCTTGATACAAAATGCTCATAATTATTTTCCTTTAATTTTCTCAAAGGTTCCAAAATTCCCCATCTCGCATTTGCATATTTAATAACGTTTGAATAGGCAACGTTTTCATCAGAATCTATCAGCATGTCTTCAAATTCTGCTTGTTTTTGAACAATTGCATAGTCAAGTATTAAAGCTTGGATAGTAATTAAAAGCTGATAAAGATTGCTGTTTGCTGGATCCCAACAGATTTCTGGGTATCTGGATTTTGTCTAATTTTTTTACCTTATTTTTGATCTTTTTCACAAAATTAATGGCTTTTTACCAAAAAAAATAGGTGCCAATTTCTGTATTGCCATCACAATTGTTGAGCAGATGGCAATGGACGATCCCGTTTTCCGCAAAACATGGGCTCAATCTTACTTCTTTGTGCCCTGTCGATATACCGATTGTTGGTGGAGCTTGTGGATAGTTTTCAGATAGAAGTATATCAAATATATAAAGACCGTAGGAGTAAGGAGTATTGACTGGGCCTGATATTAAGGCTTTTAATAAGCTCATTCGGTCTGGGTCTTGGGCAATGAAAATCGCTTGTGAAGAGTGGCAAGGAAGATTTTTCCCTAAAAATGGCATTTCTTTGTCAAGCTGGCTGGTGATTATTGGCTTACTCCCTGCAGTATCAGCATATAAATGGTCTTCTAAACCAAAATAGCCTGCTTTAATATGATCAAGAAGGTTTTTAGGGTCATATTCAGAGATAGCAGCTTGCTCTTGAGTTTCTTCAGGTTGAACGATCAAAGGATTATATATTTTTCTATATAAATTAAATTCACTTATTTTTTTATTAATTTTAATGGCTAGCCTCTATAAATAAGCATATTTTTTGGCAAAGTTTTTAGGAGTTTCATCCTTTTTGTCATATTTCTGCTCTTCAGCACTATCATCGCTGAGACTTGATTCTGAATCGCCAGATTTCGATGAGTTGGAAGCTGAAATTTGCTTTTTAGGATAAGCTTTCTTGTCCTTTTTTTCCTCCATCTCTAATGTATTAATTGGCAGATCTGATTATCATTTATACCTTATGTGCTTTCTCAATAAAATTTAATTATAATTAAAAAATATATAGGATTGGCCATATAATATTTTATTTGGTATAATTTAGAATAAATTTTATTATTGATATATTACATATGTCTATTTCAAAGAAATCATATAGACTTCATCACATAGAAATGGATCTTCTGTCCATAAAAACTCAGCTGGAGCTTCTTCGTGATAGCTGTTCATATTTAAAATATATGGATTTGAAATATGATGTCCAGTAATGATAAGTTCATTATCTACAAGCGGCATAAAGTCTGCAAAGCTGTCAGAATTTTGGATTTTTTCTTCACGTTTTATGCTGTTTTCATCTAAATTTGTGGAGACTTCATTGTCTTGTATTTTTTCAGTCATTTTTTTAAGAGACCCTAATATTTTTGCTGATAAAAATTTGTTGTGCTGTTTTATATGCTAAATTTCATAAAATAAATATATGGTTATTGTAGATTTAAGCCAAATTATCGAATAAATGAAGCAATTATGCATTGTTTTTTTGGTGAAATTTATTAAAATGATTATATCATCTCGTGTTCCATCATATCCTTTTATTTTGCGAAATCTTTTTCGCAGAGTAGAATAAAAATGATTTTTTATGGAATTATCAGTCCTCCCTTGCAGGATTTTTGAAATTTCTGCCCATTTGTTATGGATATATAAAATGGCTCTCCGCCCGACATTACCTCCGGTAATGCAGCCTTGAGCACGTTTTATTTATATTGGCAAGGTTTTGCCAACCCAGAAATGGACAGAAATGCTAGGGTAAGTAATTCTGACAATGTAGAGAGCCTAGCCCTAGTCCGCTTTCAGGATTGGGTTTTACCTAGAGGGGAAAGAGGGCTCAGAGTTGGAAAGAAGAAGCTCAGCAGCGGCTACAGGCAATTTCTAGACATTCGGGCAACTCCAGAGTGTGAAATCGAGAGTTATGCATCGGGCTTTGAATTTTTCCTTTTTGCTGATAGTCTACCATAAATTTGTTTTTTGGGGATTTTCTGCTGATAACCTTCATGCACCCAAGTAGAAATCTGCAGAAATCCATAGCCTTCTCATTCAGCACTGGATACGATAAGGCAAATAAGAGATGAAGACATAGAACCTTACTTCGCAGATGCCATGGTGTCAGGAGATGAAGAAGAGGAAAGGTGATGATCTACCATATTCTCGCCAGGTTATTCATCCCAACTCAAAAACATTCTCCTTGTCGACGTTACAACGAGGGTAATTTCCTAGGGGATCCTTGGTGACTGTGCTGCAAATAGGCGAGCAAGCCAAGACCATTAATTTAAGTTTAAGCCCATTTGTTTCCAAGTTTTTCATGGCTTTCAAAAAGACAAAGCTCTTCTTCTAAGCTCCAATTGTCTTTGTTAATCCCAGGATTAAGGTGATTATGCCACCTTTCTCTGCATTGTTTTCCTGTTCTTTGGGTATTGAATTGCTCGCTGAGTTTTTCAGATATCACTGTTCATTGCTTTATACCATTTTCTTTGACTAGCCTGCGGATAGCTTCATCTTCTTGAGAAGTTCAGGATCTGCGCTTTGTGTAGCTGTCTTTTGATGATTTTATGGAAAATTTTGATTTTTTAGTCGTTTTTTGCCGCATGATGAATTTTTTTTATTAAATCTGTTTTGTTGAAATTTAAATTAGTTTGTTAGGAATTATAATAATTTAATATGACCTTATTCAAAAGATTTTATTTGAAATAATTTTTATTATTTAATCAAAATATAAAGATTTATAAGAATTTCTCCTTAATTAATTGTTCATCAATATTTATAAGCATATCAGAATTTGAATTTATTAGTCTCTCTTTGAGATTTATTAATCTTTTGAATTAACTATATTATTTAAATGGTATCAGAATATCATTTTATTTGATTTTTCATTTTATATTATCTAAAATTAGTTATTGAATTCTTATATCTAAAGAAAAAATATTTTTATTTCTATAGTATTTCCAATATTCCTAGATTAAGAAATCTAAATATAATGCTAATTGTATAGATTGTTTAAATTAAGATCCCCCTCTTATTATCCTACTCAAAAATAAATTACCCTCACTTTACTATCCTCAATAAGGCAATCATCCTCCGTGATTTCATTAAAAGAGGTATATTTATTATTTACTAACCAATCAGCTATGATGAATTTAGAAGGTAATTTCCAATTCCTCTGCCCTATTTGTGAAATGCCATACCCCTCTCAAGCTGATGTAATGACCCACATGAAATTCCACGGAGGCCAAGAATACCTCTGTGTTGTCTGTGACAGATATTTTGAAGGCAAACATGAGCTTTCTCATCATTTGAGAATCCACCCTGCCTGTTTTTATTGCAAAACAAAAGTATTTGACCATAACGAATATGCAAAGCATACCCTAGAGCACCACCTTGACCTTATAATGCAAGACGGAAGAGTATGCTTTGATACCAATTATACAGGGAAAAAAAAGACTAGGTGTAGGATCTGTGCAAGAGTTTTTCCTCATAGGCTTTATGCTTTGCTTCATGCCAGATTTGCTCATATGCTGGCAGCCAGACTAATTTAATTTTTATAAATGCTCTATCAGTATATCATTATATACTGGTTTTCTTTGTATAAGAATTAGATCTTGTTATATTGGTAAATTTAATTTTTTTGAATTAAAATTTATATCAAATTATATACTTTTTATGCCATTTTAATAAATACAATGATAAGATGCTAAATCGTCGTTATTATTTTTTTAAAAATTATTATTTACTCCTTCCCGCTCCTAAGCAATAAAAAATTTTGTTGTTATTTGAAGAGTTAATTTTTTAAAACAAAACTACTACTATAATAAACTGTTCTATGAAATTTAAAAAACCCAAACATTGAATAGCGAAAAATAATTTAATTTTAGAACGCTAGCTGTTTTTGAAAATTCAACAGAAATAGCTAGAATTTAACTAATTAGCATTATATTTCAAATATTTTTTTCATAAAATTTTTTTATTCACTCATGATGGTGGATTTTAGTCAAAAATTAAGATTTTTCCAACGGTTTTGCTCGCTAATGGGGGGTAATTAGAAACACTCTTAATTATTAGTTAATAATGCTCATAATATTAACATTAAAAGAGTAAAAGCTAGTCACAGAGTATTCTTAGCAGCAGGCAAAAGAACTCCATTCGGTTTTTTTGTTGGCACTTTTGCTAAAATTCCTGCACCTATCCTCTGTGCGCACTCAATTCTTGGAGTCTTTTCAAGTACAAAAATAAAGCCTCATGAAATCAGTTCTGCAATCTATGGCTGTGGAATCCAATCAGGCCTCGGCCACAACCCTACCAAGCAAGCTTTACTAGCCGCAAATCTGCCTGACGACATTCCCTGCACCACAATTAATCAAGGCCACTGCTCAGGCTCCAAAAGTGTAATTTTAGCTTACCAAGAAATCGCGCTAGGGCACTCAGACATAGTCTTATGTGGCGGCTATGACTCAGTCTCCTTATCTCCTTTTAACATCAAAAAAGGCCGAAATCCTACGACAGGTGATATTCTTGCTGAAGACTGCTATATAAAAGATGGCCTACACAACCCCTTTTATAACACCCACGCCGGCATCATTTTAGAGCGGACCAATTTAGAATTAACCATCCCATTAATAGACCAAGATATACAAGCCAAAAATCAATACAAAAAGCGAGACATCGCCTATGCCAGAAATTACCATGAAAAAGAAATTTTCCCATTTGGCAATGAAAATACAGACGAGCTATATGGCAAGGTAACACAAAAGGATAATTTTTCCAAGCCGCTTTATTATAAACAAGGGACTGTTAATGCTTACACAGCAGCTACCCCAGGTGATGGCGCATGCTCTCTATTATTAGTTTCAGAAGAAAAGCTGAAAAGCCTTGAACTTACCCCTATCGCCGAAATAGTAAAAACAGCAGAAATCGCCATAAGCTCCAATGCATTCCCTAAAGCAAATTCCGAAGTGGCCAAAAAAGTCCTTTACAAGCTAGGATGGACCTTTCGACAAGTAAACCTATGGGAAGTAAACGATTATTATTCAGGCTTAGACCTAGCTTTTGCCAAATATTCAGGCGTATTAGAAGAATTAATAAATATCAATGGCAGCACTTTAGCAATTGGAGACCCTATGGCTGCGTCAAGTGCTCGGCAGGTGCTAAGTTTAAGCTTAGCTTTAAAAGAAAGAAGCCTCAAAAAAGGAGTCGCAGTCTCTTGTGAAATCACGGGAGGGGCCACCGCTATTGCGATACAAGTAGTAGATTAATTAATTATGGAAAATTCATCAGTTTTCTTACGTGAAGAATACGCCCAAAGGGAGTTCTGGAATAATAGGTTTAGGGACTATAAAAGTCCGTTTGACTGATATGTAAGCTGAAAAGAGCTCAGACCAATACTGAATTCGAATGTCCCAGCAGAATCTATTGCAAATGTCCTTATGGTAGGATGCGGGAACTCTACGTTGAGCGGAGATATGGGCGGAAATGGCTACAATGTCACGAATATTGACATTTCAGATGTAGTAATTGACCAGATGAAGGACAAAACTGGTCAAGATTATTTGCTGATGGACGCGACTAAGACTTTTTTTAAGGACCAGGCCTTTGACTTTGTGCTGGACAAAGGCACGTTTGACGCTTTAGCATGCCAAGCAGGCTCAGAGCTGCCGTCTGCACTTGTGAGAGAAATGGGGAGAATTGCGAAAAAAGTGATTATGATTATTACACATGGAAAAAAAGCAGCCAGATCACCTGTTTTTAATGGAGCTTTGGAGGAGTTTGGGGAATGGAAAGAAGAAGTGATTAAATGTGAACTGTCATTTCAGGCACAGTTTATTATAGTTTTTTTGATAAATAAGGGTATAAATTTTGGGAAATTTATAGGAAATAAAGGAGTTTTTTGATAATTATTAGGAGAAAGCTATTTTTAAAGATATAAATATTATTAGGTCAATGTATCCAGGGGATTCTTTAAGCAAAGTTATGAAGGATCCTGAAAAACTTGCAGCCTGCATAAAACAGTTAGCGGAGTATAAGAAATCGAAGGTTACGGAAGAAAATCCATTAAGGCAGACTTTTTGCTGGGTTTATATTTATAGTAAGTTAGAGGGCCAAAATGAAGCTCAGAAAGAAGAAAATGAAGAGGAAGAAATTCCAGACAAGGAAGAAGAAAATTCAGAAGCAGCAGAAGCTAAAGGAGCAAACTAAATAAAAAATGATCAACCCAAAAAAAATTAAAATTCTCCCTATATGTATTCTATATTTTATTGAATTTATACAAAATAATTTTTATTTTTTTTTTAATTTATATAGAAAATAGGGCACAGGCTTAGCTTATTCCGCTTCTTTTTAATAAAAATCAGGATTTTTTTTTAAAAATGATAAAATATACTTTTTTATCCAGCTAGAATATGAAAACCAATTAATTTGTATTAAAACAATGGGATGCTCTGTAAATGCAGGCAAAAGAGCAGTTAATATAGGAGGAAACCCTGAAAATGTGGTCACAATAACCAACGCATCTATCTCAAAAAAAGCTAAAAAGAGCAAAAATGACCCACTTGATCGTCGAGTCAGTTCAGTAAACGATCTTATTGTCCAGCAAGCCAATTTTGTCATGGAAAACGAAAATAAATTCCAAGAAGTCTATAGAATCGCAAACGTCATAGGTGCAGGCGCTTTTGGGGAAGTCAGAGTTTGCTTTCACAGAGACACTGGCGCTAAAAGAGCTGTAAAAATATTCAGAAAAGATATGATGACTAATGAGTCATCCAAGGCAAATTTAGACAGAGAAATTGCTATTTTGAAGTCAGGAAAGTGAATAAAATGGTAAATTATTGTAATTTTTCTTATAAAAAATATCCCTTGGGCTTTTTGCAATGGCCGTTTGAAGTCATTAGACCATCCTAATATAGTAAGAGTTTATGAATTTTTTGAAGATTCTAAAAGACTTTATATAGTCATGGAATATTGTAGCGGAGGTGAGCTGTTTGCAGAGATTACAAAGAGGGCGTCATTTACGGAAAATCAAGCAGCTCAGGTCATGCATCAACTGTTTTCAGCCGTTTCATATTTGCATGATAATGGAATCCTACACAGGGATTTAAAGCCAGAAAATATTTTACTAGAAGAAAAGAATGAGCTGATAAATATCCTTTTTTAGCTGAATTTTTAGCAAAAATATAAAATCTATAAATATTCACTATTTAACACAAAAAGTATATAAAATTGGTAGACTTTGGGACTGCTACTTTTAACGTTGATAAAAGGGCTATTACACAAACCATGGGAACGGCCTATTATATTGCTCCAGAAGTCATTGAAGGAGACTATAACGAAAAATGCGATGTCTGGAGCTGTGGAGTTATTATGTATATATTACTAGCTGGATATCCGCCATTTAATGGAACTAATGATGATGGCATTATAGAAAGTATCAGGAAAGGAGTATATGATTTAGATGGAGACCCATGGCCTAGAATCTCAGAAGATGCAAAAGAGCTTTTATGCTTGATACTGACACCTGAAAAGAAAAGGCTATCTGCTTCACAAGCACTACAGCACACATGAATATCCCAAAGGGTTTATAGGCCTGTTACTAGCAAAGAGGTGATGGAGTCTATTATAAACAAATTAAAAGCTTTTCATGCCACAAGTAAGCTAACTCCCCCCATCCTTGATCGAAGGGCTCGTCATCGTTCGATCAAGGATGGGGGTTAAAAAAAATTATATATAAAAAAAAAAAAATATAATTTTTTTTTTATATACTTTTATATACTTTTAAATAGTATTTAATAATTATTTTTTACGGCAAAAAAATAATTTTATAAGAATACCAATTTTTAATTTTTTATTTTTTGGTTACACCTTTAAACTGTATAAATTTTAATTTATTCATTATTGAATTAAAAATTTTAAAGAATCTCTATGTTTTAGATTATTGAGTTTTTAAGCCCAGGCTGATGACTAAAGCACTTCAGATGGTTGATTCCGTAGCTTTCTGTCGTCTCAAAGCCTCTGAAAACAACTTCATTAGGCACATCTTCCCAAGCTTTTGATAACAAATATATTTTTATATATATAAAAATTTGTATGATATATGAAAATCGTTCGATTAAGGATAGGGGTTAAATTTTCTCAATTTTTAGGAATTTTTACAGTCAATCGTTCGATCAAGGATTGGGGTAAATTTTCCCAATTTTTAGGAATTTTTACAGTGAATCGTTCGATCAAGGACGGCGGGGAGTAAGAGACGCTGTCCATACTTTTATCACTCTTCAGTGCATTTCGAACCAGGATACTAAAATACTTATTCCCTCAACAAAAAAATTAAAAATAAATAGAAAAAAATCATTATAAGTTTTATTAAATTTTTTATAAATTAGGGAGATTAGAGAAGTATTCAGGACAATGGATAAAAATGGGGATGGAAAAATTAGCAGGGGAGAGCTGCTAGATCAGTTTATTAACACTATAGGCACTGCTAATGCTGAGATTGAGTCTGAGCATATAATGAAAGAAGTCGACACAGATGCAAACGGCTTTATAGATTACACAGAGTTTTTAAAAGCTACAATGGACATAAAGAAAGTCTTATCTGCAGAAAATTTAAAAGCTGCTTTTAAATTATTCGACAGAGATGGCAGCGGAAGTATATCAAAAAACGAACTCAAAAAAGTATTAGGCGGCACTATTGTAGCTGAAGATCACGTTTGAAATGAAATTATCAGAGAAGCAGACCAGAATGGGGATGGGGAAATCGACTTGCAGGAGTTTCAAGATCTTATCTTGTCAAAAATTTAACAATGTTATTAAATATATTTTTTACGAGAAAATAATAGAGATTTATTATTAAAACAAATTTTTTATATAAAAAAAAATTATTCTTTGCTAATTATTTCCTATTTTATCCTCTAAATAACAGTAATTTATCCTTTTAAAGCTTCATATGCAGTAGAAATCCCAAGCATAGTTAAAAAAATAGTCCAAGAAGACAGTAGAATTCTTTTAAACTCTGATGTTTCTAATTTCCAATATATAAGGGTAGGAAAAATTTTTCCAATAAGCACTGAAAATATTCCTCCAATTATTTTAAAATATGAAATTGCGTCAGGAATTTTTATAGCTGTGATGACAGAATATAGCAAAATAAGAGCGGTAATTGCTATATGTGTGTTTATGCCGGTGTTTAGCTTGGTAGATAAATTAGATATCGCCATTCTTGTCATATCAAAATAAAATGGTGACGTTGATGGACCCCTATGAAGCAGGTAGGACCCATCCTGATGAAGCTGAAAATAGTGCCCTGCATTTTAAACTAGGCTTCAGGCTTGGGGATATATGCAGAATAGGGAAGTTCTATTTCGCCTTTAGCCTTTGCTGATCAGGACTAATGGGCATAAGAGTAGATCTAACCTAGGGACCTATTCTTTAGGTTAGTGGCTTTCTCCAGATAGTCTGGCAGTGGTTAATCTGCTTATAGCCTTATAGCACTAGCTTAACTTGTCATATGAACGTTAGCAGGAACTCCCAGCATTAATGTAAATGATAAGCAAAACTTAGCCATAATCATAGGAAGGTCTATTGAGTTTTCTTCTAATGGCTCTCTGTTAACAATCAGTCTTGGCATATTGTCAATGTGAGACAAAAATCCAAAGACTCCAATTATCCTATTACTATAGACTTTAACTGTTTTTTTGTTATTGAAAATATATATAAAACGGACAAATTTAAATAATTTATTATTTTATAAAAGATATACAAGATAAAATGCTATAATAAGATTATTCGTCTTACCAATAATTTCTCCCATTTTATTAGGATTCCTTTTCTTCATTTCGCTATACACAATTGGTATAGCTCTACTCGCTTCAAATGCAAATAAAATTATACAAAGTCCATTTACTGCCCCATAATCAAAATTAATCCAATTAAAATGCTCCCAAAATTCATATTTTCTTGATAAATAAGATGGAGTCTGGATAAAGACGATAGCTGATATATAAATAATTGTGGTAACACTTATTATTGAGGTATATCTTAAGGATGACAATCTTCTATATAAAGAAAGAGGAAAAAGTACAAATAAATTGATTATAAGGGTAATAGGGATTTTACAGTAATCGCCATATTCTGAAGGGATTATATTGATTGAGTGTAATAAACTGTCTAAAAATTGTGCAATCATTGCTTGATATGAACAGAGAATTCCTATAGAATATATAATTAAAGAAATCTGTATGATTTTTTGAGGGGTTTTTCCAAGTAAGGCAGCTACGATTCCGATGTAGGTAGTTTCTTTGGTTTTATCGACTGCATTTATAAGGATTTTGTAATAAAAAGAGCATGTTAACCCACTGAACAGTATAAAAAAAATTCCTAATAAAAGCCCGCATTTATGGACTGCATATGGAAGCCCCATAACTCCTGATCCTATTATAACTGAGCATAGTGTACATACTGAAGAAGTCATAGACCCAGGCCGAATTGGGTTTGCTAATAAAGCAAAGCTGTTTTTCTTTTTAAAACTTAGCCCAGAATCATTTTCTAAGATTTTCATTTTATTTTTAATATTTAAAAAGAAAATATAATTAGAATATTGAAAACGTATTATAATTTTATTTTAATTAATAATTACTCGTTACTTGTATTATTATTTAACAAGATAATTAATTGTTAATCTAACCGTCCCCTCCGTGAGCGAGATAAGAAATTTTGTTTATTCACAAAAAGGGCTAATTTTTATTTTTAAAATATACTCTATTCACTCTCAAAAAACAGCTGAAAATAAAGCTGAGCTGTAATTTTCATAGTAAAAGATAATGAGTGTACTAAATGCATGCAGAGCACCAACAGACAATCCAGAAAGCAAAACATTCTTACTCGTGAACAACAAGATCAGCAAAATAAATCTTGAAAGAGTAAAACATTGCACGTGAAAATTGTTTTGAGTTTACAAAAATTTATCATCCAAAAAGTAATGGAAAATCAAAAATATTGATTTGGCTTCCACAGTTTTTGATTTTCGAAAAATTTTTCATCGTCAGATTTGTTCTTTGGAGTTCAAAAAGTTTTTATAGTCATTTATTTTTGCTTCGCAGGAAATTATTTGCAGATGAGATTTGTTTATGCTGCCAGAAATTTTGACTTGCCAATGGTTGCCGCTTCTTTAAGTGCACTTCGTGCACTATTAAACTTTCCCTTAGCTATATTTATTGATTTACTAATTTAAATGCTGTTTCTCGACTTTATAATGATGTATTTCTAAGATTTTATATAGTGAACTATACTGACTGGCACGGGGTGCTTTTGGCTCAGTTTCGAGCCAAAAGCACCCCGTGCCAGTCAGTGTAGTTAACTATATTTACGAAATATAAAAAAACGATTTCGCAGGAAAGTAAAAATTGAATTTATTTATATAATTTATGTTTTATACCACAGGCTATTTGACATCTAACAAAATTATCTAAGGAAGATCGATAATTAGCTGCAAAATAAATTAAATAAATTATCATTGAAAATGGAATATAGAATATTTTCGCCTAAATCTTTTAATTAAAACTATGGTATCTATGAGTGCTTCATTTATCTTAAAGCCAAGACCAAAATTAGAAGTGAAAAGAAGCAAAAGTATGACAAATTTAAGCAAAACTTCTTGAAACCCGAACCCAAGCACGCTTTCTATTATATACCAGCATTGACAAAAATTACCTACTGCATCAAAATTAGAATACACAAATTTGAAAAAGATTTTTACTGAGGAAAGCCAAAAAATAAGGCAGGAAATACGGAGAAATGATAGGCTAAATAAATCGATATCTGTAATCCCGAGAACTAAGTATAAAAGAAGAGTTCGAAATTCGTCACAAGTAGTTGATTTGATGGAAAAACTGAAAAAAGCGAGAGAGCTGAAGGAAAAGGAAAAGCAGAAAAAGGCAGCGACCCCTCTTTTGCATTTTGCAAAAGCTTTAGGCCAGTCATGCCAATCCTGTACACAAAATGTTCTATTTAGCAGTAGTAGGTCAAGTAAAAAATTTGGATTTCTCCTTAAGAAAAGTATTATTGAACGTACAATAGCCCCTGATGAGCCATATAAAGAAATTCTTGAAGCAGAAAAAGGTGCATTCTCTCGGATTCCTATAAAAGAAGAACTGACAATTGCTTCTAGAACTGGAGAATTATTTATTTCTGACTTGAATTCTGCCTCAACTGCAAGTTTACTTAAAAGGCATGATATAAGATCTATTTTGAGTATTGGTATAAATAACCAGCCAGTAAAATATCCATTTATTGAGAATTATTACACAGTCAATATTGTTGATAACGACTCAGGGGTTGAAAACTTTTTTGAGTCAATTCCCTCAGCGTTTAAAATAATTGACAAATGCTTATCTGAAGGAAACTTGCTTATTCATTGCTATTATGGGGTCAGCAGATCTTGCGCAGTAGTTGCTGTATATCTTATAAAAAAGTATCAAATTTCCTTAGCAAAAGCAATCACAATCACACATAAAGGACGGAAAAGTTTCAAGCTATCTCCCCTCTTAGAAAAGATGTTACTAGAGCTAGAAAAATTATAAACTGCATAAGAATTTTAATTAATCCTAAACTGCTGCATCTATCATATCTCTTCTCCTAACATCATTTTCTTCCTCCCCAAACTGCGTCGTGAAAAATGCATCAACCATTTGCTCTGCGACAAAATAAGTAGTCTGCCTCTCCCCAATGGCAATCACATTGCTATCATATTTTTTTCTTGCGGTTTCTGCAGTCCATAAATCGTGACATAGCGCACATCTGATTCCAGGAAATTTATTAGCTGAAATAGAAATCCCGATACCAGTTCCACATACGAGCAGTCCGAATTTTGCCTCATTGGCGATTATTTTGTCACAGACAGCTTTTCCATAATGCGGATAATCCACCATTTGGGCGTCAAAGCAGCCTACATCAATAACTGTAGCCCCTTTGCTTTGGAGATGCTCAATAAGTCTGTTTTTTAAGCTAATACCAGCATGGTCGCTTCCAGCAGCAATCACAATATTTTCCATTATTTAATTTATTATATTAACAGCTGCTTTTCCAGGTTTCTGCGATTTTTTCGACTGTAGATTTTAAGGTATCATGCAAATTTTTAAGCTTTTGAACCCTTTCTTTGGTAACCCTTGCTTTTTCGTAGAGCTCGGCTCAGTCGATTTCTTCTTGTTTCTCGTCTTTTCAGGATAATTTTGCTTCATCACATCTGTCTTTTATATATTTCCTCAGCTCTAAGTGTGTAAACTGGGTGATTTCGCCTGTTTTTCTTAATTTAGCAATTTCTTTCATTTCAGTTTTGGCTATTAAATTGCTTAAATCTCTCTCGTCTGCAATTTTTTTCATTTCTAAAGCCACTCTAGGGAATTTTGTGAGGACGTCTTTAAGGATTTTTTTTTCAAGGACTAATAGTTCAGTTGGTTCCATGCATTTGACGGTAAATCTTCGATTTATGTCTTTAAACATTTCGATTTCTCCGAAATAGGAGTCAGCTCTTAAGTGCTTAAATATTATAGAATCCTCTCCACTATACAGAATTATTAAAATGGCGTGATCTGACGTGGACTCCTGACAACCCGTGAGTTGATCCGGGCAAGGAAAGGCGAGCCACATGGCGATAGTTCTCCGGGGTGGGTTTTTGGTCTAAGGGATAACCTTAGATCTTTTTTCCTTACCTGCAGAAAATCCCTACCGGCGCAGAGTCCCGATGCTACTCCATGGGGAGCGATCTTGAACCTGCAATAAGGTTCTGACAGGCCATGGAGGAGGCAAAAGACGATTCACCCATACTCTGAGCCCTGTCAGAGGTTAAGGGAGTCTTTGGCTGAAATTTGGGACCAAGAAAGGCTCGGCCGAACGGTAGGGTTTTTCTCCCCGACAGACTTCTGACGTCACCATTTTTTGGGGACATCAGTAGGGAAAAAGGTGGTGTGAGGATAGCGCTTAGCGCCAACGCGAAGCTATCCGTTGGACGGAGAGGGCTGAAATAAACCCCGACGACCCGCTATAATTTTAATCTAATCTAATCTAATCTCCACTATACACATATCCAATCCTCCCTTTCAGTACAAAATACATTTCCTCTGGGTAATCTTTTTCATCATAAATTATATCTCCCGCTGCATAGTGCTGATTAATCAAAAATGGGACCACCGATGACACAAAAACTGGGTCTTTATCCTTAAAAAATGACAAAGTCCTTGCCGCTCCCTGGTGCATAAACATTGACACTTCATACCTTAAATACCTGGGAAGCTCCATAAACACGCTTTGTTTATCATACAAACTCCCCCCAGTCCTATCAGTTGAATAAATCAGGGAATCTTTTAATTTTTTTTTCAAGGCAAACCCGACCCCTGACTCATTGCAAAATTCTTCAATTAATGCCAATTTTTGTTCAGTTACAGATGCCTTGGTATCAATGCCAGAAATCATGGTTGACAAGCTGGAAATTGCAAAGGTGAAAAAGAAAAGCACAAAGGCCATTCAGATAATGGAGACTAGTCTTTCTGTAGTGTTTTGAGCTGTGATGTCCCCATAGCCGACGGTAACAAGGGTTGTTAAAGCTCAGTAAAGTGCTCGTAGATAAAGTGACCCAGTTTCAAAGTCTTGAAAATTGTTTACAACGACCCAGGTTTTATAAGAATAATCTTCAAATTTTGAGGCATAATTGAATAAGCAAGCTACTAGGTGAAGTAGAACAATAACAAGCAAAATAAAACTGCAGAGTCTCATAGCACTTCTTTTGATGCTTAAAAATTCTTCAACTTTTTGCATGAATTCGTTATTTCTGCTTCCTTTCATCATTTTAAAAAGCCTACTAAGTCTTAACAGTTTCACAAGCCTGGGCAGCCTGGCCAGTCTTAATAGCCCGCTATAACTTGTGTTCCCATTCCCACTTCACAAATAAAAAGGAAAGCAAGCAATTAAGTCAATTCAAAACCAACCTGTAATATAGTTTCAAGCTATTTTTCACCTATTTGTTATAATAACTTCGTCAGCTTCATAAGCACTATTAAATGTAATAAGAATGTCACAGAAAAATACACCGTTCAGGACATTTTCGACGTACCACCATGAATCATACATAGAAGTTTCGTAAAAAGATAGCACAAAAGTCATACCAAATGCGGTATAAAGTAAAAGTGCAGAGATGATCATATTTCAGATGGTTTTAAACAGCTTTCCAGGGTGAAAAAGATATTTGGGGAAATCAACTTCGTCATAGTCATCAGGCTCGAGGTCCCTTTTCGTGGAAAGGTCACAATTCCTGCTTTTTTCCATATTATGGCATTATGATTTTTTTAAATTTTCACAGAATTAAAGGATTACCAAATATAGATTTAGATTTAGTTATCTCCTCCAAATATCAAACTTATTAAGCAATAGCCTGCTCCCAGACTGCACTGCTTCACTTGGCCTCAGAGTTCTGTTGTTGCCTCCTTCCCATTTCACGAGAGTTCCTTTCACAATTGCGTATTTGTATTCTATATCTTTTGACTTCTGGCTGAGGCTTATGATAGCTTTCCAAATATGCCCATTTGTCCATTCAAGATCTAAAGCTCTGTCGGACCTTCAATTTCCCATGACTTCGTGGCCTCCTAGAATGATCATTCTTTCTCCAAACGCTGTGTTATAGTGCATGCTAAATGTTATTTCAACTGTTTTACCTTGTGCGAGCTCTTTTTCTAGCCGAATAGCTTCTTCAAGAGCTTGACCATATATTGGAAGCACTTTTAGCTCATTTAGCTCGTCTATTAGTTTATTTTTTGACTTTTTGTATCTTTTTTTCTCTGTTGGTAGTGTTTGAGACTTATGAAGTTTGCTTTCGTCAATTTTTATAGATGATGTACTTTCTGAAAATTTCCTAACCTTAGGTATAAAACCTATAGAATGAGAACCCTGAGATGTGAAATCGGTATCTTTTGATATGAAACTGCGTCCTTTATCACTCATAATGCTATTAAGCTTTAATTATTAATTAAAATTATAATCCCTTAAATATCTCATTTGACATACTCGACACAAATTTACATAATCCCTTAATTTTCCTATTAAAATGAATTTCTTTCAAATAATTTTCCTCAGTTTTGCCTCTGCTGAGCTCTTATTTGTGACTGAAATTTCAAAAGAAGGCTTAAAAACGCTGCCAAAAGTTTACCCATGGTCTTTACAAGAAGAGCCAAATTCTCTTACAAAAGAAGGATTCGACCAGCATTATCAAATTGGCCAGAAGCTTAAAGAGAAATACCATCTTCTTATCCACCCTTATTATACTGAAGAAGACATCATATCTAAATCCTGCAGTTCTTTAAGCTGCATTTCTAGCTCCAAAGCTCAGCTCGAAGGGATCTATGGCAAGCCTTATGATTTTAAAATTAATTTTACCCGCGAAGTTGACGACTTTTTATTCAAGCCTCAAAAAGCTTGCCCAAGAATTAATTGGCTGCTGAGTTATAGGCTTGAGCATAAGGCATGGAAAGAAGTATGGGGCAGGATTTTAGTCCATGAGAAAAGCTTAGAGAAATTGGTTGGGGATAGTATCGATATGTGGAATATTTATGATCTGGGAAGCGTCTTAGTGTCATATAAAGATAGAGAAATTCCTTATCCTAATGAAATAACAAAAGAAGAAGCAGAAACTGTGATTGAGGCTTATTATAGGTTCCAGGACACGCTTATGTTTGGGTCAAGAGATCAAGGGATTTTGGCGACCAATGAAATGATGATCAATTTACTTAGGTCGCTGAACCATGCAGTTTCTAAGCCACATCTGCTAAAGCAAAGGCTGCATATTTATGTAGGGGATGATGCTTGGTATATGGCAATAATGAGGATTCTTGGGATGGACTATTCACCTTCTTCTCCTGCGTCAGCTCTTTTTATTGAGCTTCATAGACTAGGTGATGATCATAGAATATACTATATTTTTACAGGTATATTTATTTATCTCTTACAAATCCTTGAATTATGCTTAAAACAACGCAGTTATTTTTTTCTTATAAAAGTACTTATTTTTTTCTAGTATAAGATTTTGGCAGAAAAATTCTTATATAGAAGTCCCAGAGTGCGGCTTAGAATGCGATTTCCGAGAATTCGACCGAATTATCACAAAAAGAAACTTTAAAGCAGAAAAACAGCACAGAACCCTTTGTTTCACTCTTGAAGAAATCAAAGAATTTTACTGGCAAAAATACCTGCTAATGTTTTTTGCTTGTATGTTCTTCTTTCTCATCTTCAAATACAACACACAACTAGCAGTATGGATAGGTAAAAAGTTTAAGCAAGAATAAGAATATAATTCATTAATTTTTTATAAAAAATGAAGCCAGGGACTCCTCTTGAAAGCTTCCGAAAAAATCACATTCAAAAATTCTCAGACCAAACACAAATGGTCAGAGAAGACCTCAGTGACTGCATAAACATAGCTGCTGAATTAAACAAATCTAGTGAAAACACCCTCAAAAGCTTAAAAGATCATGTAAATCTCTATACAGCTGCAAATCCTTATTGAGCTTGCAGAACAAGAAAAGGTAAAAACAAAAATTTTGGAAGAAAAATTCGCCCACGACCTTGAAGAAATGCAGGAAGAAATATCGAAGACTGTTTACGATAAAGAACAAGCCACTCAGTGAAACGCTTATAAAGAAGAAATTGAAGGAATGGAAAATAATTTATTTTCAATAAAATATTTAATAAAAAGGAAAAACCAATAGCATATTTTTTATAGAAAAAAATAATTTTTTATAGAATAACTTTGATATTAAGGTATAAACTAAAAAGAGCTTATGAAGAGGAGCTTGAAGAGGTAAAAAACACCAAAATAGCAGTGCAAACTTTTTTAGAAGTAAATAAGAATTAGACTGAAATCCCACAGCTGCGAGACTTGCTTAATAAAGAAGACTCATTATATAAAAAAGAAGAAGCTGAGCTGACAGGGAAATTAGAAGAAGAGCTAAGGAATGTAGAAACTGCTAGAAAAGAGCTTAGGGACGAAATCCAGCACCAGAGAAGCGAGCTTTCACAAGATCTACTAGCATTTAATAGCAGAATTAAAGAGCAGACCTTGCTGATGAAAAGTGAAGTCAACCAAATTTATTCAGTTATTGATGAAGATCTTGTAGCACTTGGGGATATGGCGAAACTGCTCAGATAATAAATTATGATTTCAATTATTATTTGTGACTATTTTTTTCCTATTTGGAATGTTATCTGCTCTATTCTTTGGCCAGATTTTCAGGTCCCAAATCAAGGCAGAATACTTTTATCGTTGCAGTTAAATAATTTGCCTCTGCCGTCTTGCTCCCCGAATTTTCATTCTCCTATATACACTTTTCCATCTGGCCAATTGAGGACTCCAAATCCATGCATTAAGCCATTTTGGAAGGTCCCTTGATATTTTCTCCCATCTGGCCATGTAAAAATCCCACTCCCATGCATTTTGTCGTCTTTTCAATCTCCTTTATATTTTTTGCCGTCATACCAAATAAAAATGCCTTTTCCTTCTTTATTGTTATTCTTGAAATCGCCTTCATAAAAGTCTCAATTTTTTAAGCACATCATACCTTTTCCATGCCTTAACCCATATTTGTAGTTTCCTTTATAATATCATCCATCCGATTCTTCTATACCTTCCCCATGCAAAAGACCATTTTTGAAGGTGCACGTGACTTTTGTCCCATCAATTCGTTGCAGAAACCCTCGATAAATTCTTCCTTTTGCTCACTCCCCTTGATATACATCTCCTTCTGCAGTAATGAGACGTCCATTTCAAAATCTTTTATTATATTTAAAATGACCCTCATATTTTGAGCCATCTGCGCAAACTTCGATACCTTTTCCATGCTTTTCTCCTTTATCATTCCACTGGCCGCTATATATAGTATTATTGTTAAAAATATATGCAGGATGGCTATAAACTGTTACATAATCGGGAAGAGGGAAGCCACTCACAAAAGTTTCCAATTTACTTTCAACATTTCTAGCTTTTTCTGATACTCTTTTAGAAAGATCGCCTTCAAATCGTTGGTTTAAGCCTTTAACTATTTTCAAAGCTAAAAGTTTTTTTCTGTCCATATATCCCCTTGCAGCGTTTTTTATACCAGTATAATTGTTCTTTATTTCATGCTTTTTTATTGGGATTTTTATCACAACCGCCTCAGGTTGTACACTCTCTTCATCTGGTTTTGGAGGTTTCTGGACGGGTTGATCTTTTTTCTTGATTAATTTGTCTAAATTGAAGAATGATAAAATCGATTCCATTCTTTGTTCTATATTTTAATGAAATTTGGATAATAATTCTCATGATTTAAGAAAGAAATGTGGCTTAATTATATGGTTTTATGGTTTATTAGTAGTAAAGTTATTTTTATATGTTTATCATAGAAAATTATTTTCTTCTATAAAAAGCTGAATTACAGACTGAAATTTTCTTATTGATTTATTTTAATTGCCTATTGTCCTTCATTTCTTGGAAAGCTTGATATCTTCCTGAATAGTATCCTGCGTAATATCAAGCCATTAGTAAAGGTTTTAATGATGGGTCTTCTACTTGAGGCAAAAGCATAGGGATTTCGCTTTTTCCACCTTCTACTCGGGAATCAATAGGCTTTATTGGAGTGCTTCCTACTTCATGGCAATTTTCGATTTGTTTTTGGAAGGATTTCATAATAGCGTCATTATCTCATTCCATTTTTTATATTTAATGTAAAATTAATTTTACAGTGAAAAATTATTTGAAATTTAAAAATCAATAATAAAAATGATAAATGAGTTCTGCCCTATTATGGAAAGCTTATTTTAGGAAAATATAATCAAAATATAAAGAGAAATGTTGTCTAAATTTACTTAAAGAAAGCATAAGGTTAACAAAGTGTAATAGCAGAATTTATTTTTACTTTTTAATAGAAAATAAAAGTACATTTTTGCGAATTTTATTGCTTTTAATAGCAGATGTTATGCTCATTTAGTAGTCTTCTTTATTTTCTGTATCAAATGAGATATTATTTCATAAAACTCATAATAGAACTAGCTATGTAAGCTCTTATTTAATTGATTTATCTATTAAAGGACACTTAATAGCCTCATATCTTGGAAAAATGCTAACTATTTTACAGATAGCATTAGTACCTCAAATAGTAATTTTCTTGCATAGATAATAGGCATTTTAAATTTCTATTAATACTAAAAATTTTTGCCGTTTTTCAATTTCAGCATGGCTTCAAATCCTGACTAGATTAGCCTGACTATAAAAAGAATCAAATAACCCTTCTAATTAAATCATCTCATTTCTTCATATAAAGAAATAGTTTTCTTTTTTTTATAGATAACTCCACTTATAAATGACTCCTGCAAAAACTTTAAAAAAGAGATTAAATTATTTTTCCATTAAATTTTTATTACTGTTTCTTATCCTCACTAGCTTAAGCTGCCACCATAAGCCATAAAGATAAAATGGATAAGGACCAAAAAGTTTACGTGTGTGCGGTTGTTGGATTCCTACTTGGAGTTGCTGCGCATGGAGTGTTTTCTCATCTCTACTGTTCTAAAAAGAGCTGCTGCCCGATGGTAAGGGTTTTAAATCAGAAAAATTTCTATTAATTATTGAATTTTTTTAATAAATTAAATTAAAGATAATTTAAAGTGCATTGCCGCTGCCCTCGTGGAGAAAACTGTAAGACTGGAGCATGCTGCAAAGAAGGTGGATGCTGCAAAACTGGAAAATGCTGTGACGATTGCACGTGTCCTAAGAAACCTTAATCATTAGATTTACCTTATTTCTTATATTTTCTATTGTTAGTTCAAGCCAAAACATGTTTAAGTTAGGCTTTACCTAGCCAAGCTTCTATTGATCGTTATGACTCCTATGGCTTCTCTATGAGTTTTCACATCTAGAGCTTTATCAGCACTTAATTTACGTAAGCTCGATTCAGAAACCTTTAAGACAATAAAATTTTCTTTGGGAACAAATTTTTATGATGTTAAATTTTCCTTTACTTATGAGCCTGAATTCAAATTTATACTGAATTTGATTGAATTAGGACATAAAAATTGGGTATTACTTTATTAAATTTAGTTTATTTTACAAAATTGATTATAAATATAGACAAAATTAATATAAAATTATTGCTTAAATAGCCGATACCAGTTTTTGATGGCTTATCAGTAAGGGATCAGAAAATTCACTATTTTAGTGAAGATAACTGTAAAAAAGGTAGCTATTTGCTTATAAAATAATCTAAAGGGATGCAATTATATTAATGAGTTAAAAAATTATTATATGCATAAGCTTATTTTTAGGGGTTATTTGCCTTTCGTAATTCATGCCTAAAATTTAGACCTATTTAATCTGCAACTTTATTAATAAAAATTATTGGATAAAGAATGGCTATTAAGGCTGATTTTTATAAGTTATTATACCTAATTATAATGAATTAAATATCCCTACTGGCAACCATTGTCCTATTTTCATATATAAATCAGGATAGTAGATAATCAGTGCTAATGGTTTTTTATTCATTGTAATTAAGTATACAAATTAATGACTAAGCACTTGAAGTTTTAAAGAAAGCCACTTTTAATCAAATATAATGCTGTTTAAATTTCAAAAAACAAGATTTGTCATACTATCAAAGAGCTTATTAAGAAAAAGCAGTTTCCTTTCTAAAAATAACATTATTACTAAATCTTTCACAAATACTTTTAATTTTATCTGATTCTCAAATTGTACCGGGCTCCACACGCAGGAGATTTTCCACGTATAGTAGCAAGATTCCTAATTTAGAATCTCCTTACTTGAATGATTCCACATGTGTAATTTTGGTGTCACATTTTGAGTGCAATACGCAATTTGTGTATGGGAGTTTATTAATTATGATAATAATAAATTCATAATATTTTTTTTTATTATTTTATTATCTTAAATAGTTGAGGGAATAAATTGTTTCAAAAGATAATTATGTCAAAACTTTATCTAAATTATCGAAAGATTTTAATAAGCCCAGCAATTTTTTTTACGATGAATATATAAGAAAATTAAAAATTTATTTATTTTATAAGTGTCTTTAGAAAACGTCCTCAGATTTTTAGTAATGAATTAGAGTATAAGCAATTTTTAATAATAAATTACCGTTTAAAATGCATCAAGATACTTTTAATCTCAATTATCAAGCTGTCTTTCTTCATGAATAGTGACTTCAACAATAGAATATCATAGAAAAAATATTTAGAATTCACCAATGCCAGATTGACACAACTTTGTTAGCATTTATATGCCAAATCAGAATCAAATCTCTTTAAATTGAAGATCTCCACAATATGAAGGCAATAAAGATTGCCAAAGCTATTTGAGAGCAATAAAAAATCATTAACTTTGCTCGAATAAAGAATTGATATTTATTGGAATTCTAAAAATAGAAAGTTATTTAGCTTTCAATAAAAATTATTAATCCCTATCTTTCTGAGCTTCAGAATTAATGATTCGCTTGAGGCAAAGGAATTAAATTGCCCCTATTACTCCTATTTGCAGATAGCCAACAATAGTCGCTATAAAACTAAGAATAAATATTATTTATTCCACAAATTTCTTTTTTCGTTTATAAAGAATTGTTTATAATTTAAATAAAAATTAATGACGCCGCTGAGAAGCTCTTGATGATACTTTTTCTAGCTGCTCTTCAGCCCTTATTCTTCTAAGTTTTTCTTGCCTAAGCAAGTCTTCTAGCTCTTCAATATATCTCTTTTGCGAACTTGTTGTTACGAACGAGTGAACTGATATGACATCCTGCTCACTTTTCTCAGCTCCTTCTTCTTTATTTTCAGCTTCATTTTCTACTACTTCTCCTTCCTCATTTACTATCTCTTCTTTTTCTTCATTAACAACATCGGTATTTTCCTTTACATGCTCATAATTTTCTCTTTTTTGAAGAGGGCTTTTATCAGGAGATTCACCCCTTTTAGACGAGTAACTTCTCGTTGATCTTGCTTTGGATCTAACAGAAATTATATCAGAGGCGACACTTTTTCTATCCTCGTCTATTTTATTTTTAACTGATGAGGTTTCTTCATTGAAACGTTTATATTCTCTTTGTTGGCTTTTAGGCCTTAAATTTCCTTTTCCGTTATTCCTATCATCTTCAATTTTCCTTGGCGAATCATCTTGAGGAAGAATTTTCACCGATTCTCTTTGTTGGCTACGTGGCCGTAAACTTCCTGCGGTAGCAGGTCTTGAAATTAGTTTATTTTCTTGAGGATTTAGCATTGACATTGCAGATGGAGGTTTTGCTAGAGGTGGAGGAGGTCTTGCGTATTTTCCTCTCACTTCAGCGTAAACATTTGTAGCACGATAGTCATGAGACCAGGATTTTTAATATATTTTGCCTCATTAATTAGCCATATTTTTCCATTATAAAAGATTTTCTATATTAATAATAAATTCCAATCCCCAAAACAATTTTGCATAGAAATCTTTTAAAATTGACCTCAAAATAGCTTTAATTTTAAAATGATACAATTAATATAGCCAATCCACTATAAAGCATTCCTAAGCTCTATTTACTTTATTTCTGAATAACTCCTCTTTCAATGTATCAGTTGTAATTTTAGATTCTCTCGAATACTTCGATCTAGCTCTTTTATGCGAATGAGAGCTGTTAGAATACGACTTCATTTTTTGATCATCATCAAATCTAATTATCACTTACGTATGATATTTTGTCGCTGCGCTTAGTTCTTTATACACTCTCTGCTGCCAGGCCAAATGCTGGTCATAGTAACTTAGTGACATATTTGATTTGTTATAAAATTAAAAAATTACTAGACCCATCATAAGAATTTTTCAAAAATTCATAGGCTAAAATTAGCATTATTTAATAATGAAGGTCGCAGGTTTACTCTGAACTTAAAGTTAAATCACAGGTCGAGGATTCTGCCTATTGCTAATGCAGTCACCAAGGATCCCCTTGGGACTCATCTCTTTTTGACGGTGAAAGGGAGAGTTTCTTCCAGTTAGATAACTCACCAAGCGAATTACGGCTATCGCACTACCTTCCTCTTCTTCACACCTGATGCCATGCCAAGGTGAATTAGGGTTCCGTGTCTTTGTCTCCTCCTTGTCTTGTCGGCTCCAGTGTTGAGTGGGAATGATATAGACTTCTACGGCATACTGCTTAGGTTGATGAAGATTGGCTGCACAAAAATCCCAAAAAATGGAATTTCTGGTGGGGCAAAAAGGAAAAGTAAAAAGCCTGGGTCTAACTCAGGAAGCTGTCGAATGGTCTAGGCATTGCCTGTAGACGCTGCTGGGCTTCCCTTTCCAACTCTGAACCTCCTTTTTCCCTCGAGGTAGAATCCAATCCTGAAAGCTAACTAGGGCTAGGCTCTGCACATTGCCAGAATTGCTTACCCAGCATTGCTGCCGATTTCTGGATTGGCAAAATCTTACCGGATATCATTAAATAGTGCTCGAAAGAAATCGGCGTAGCAGATGCAGTAGCGCTGAGGCGCCATATTTAATTATATTCTCAGGTTTACTCAGTGGAGGGATAAATTCTGTATACTCACTGGGCAGAGCTATTGCACATGGCCACCAGCCTTTATGTGTAGCTAGTTTATATGGTGGTCATAGCTCTTCTTTATTGTTTAGAAATATAGATAGAACTCTTTTGTCTGCGATTGCCAGCTCAATAGAGCTTCCTCATGTATCGAGAAAAGTCTTAGGGATGAGTTTATGCAAGGACTTGATCTATAGTCTTTTTCCTTGTATTTATATCCAAATTAAATATATTTTTTAATAAGAAATTATTGGAAAATTGTATATAAGAAGACAGAAAATGATGAAGTTGAAGACCTTTATGAACTGCTATTGGAGTTAAAATATAAATATCCTCAGGTAAAAGGGATCGTAAGTGGGCTAATTTTAAGCGACTATAAGAGGCTGAGGATTGAAGATGCCTGCTCAAGGCTAGGGTTGGTCAGTATATGTCCACTTTGGAGAGCCAATAAGAGAGGGTTACTGAAGAAAATGGTTGAAGAAGGATATCAAGGGCTGGTAACAAGGGTTTATGATTGGAATGATATTAAAGAATATGATGGAAAATCGACTGGGGAACTGTGGAACTTTTTGGAGAGCCATAAAGAAATAGAAAAAGATATAAATTATAAGGGTGCTAATTTTCTATCATTTTTTGAAAAATATTAAAAAAATATATTTATAAATTCCCGTCCTATTAATTATGGGCTAAAGAAAACTTACGAGACCTTCGCTCTTGATGCTCCAATTATGAAGAAAAAGATTGAAATCAAAAAAATCAGCATCGGAGACAGCTCAATTCAGCAGTTTATTGTTAAGCATAAACAAACCAATAAAGCTGAAATACTTAAAGATGATGAGCCTACCACTTTTCCTCAGTTTTTCCAGCGTGGCAAATCTTTTTACACCGGAGAAATATCAGCAGAATCTTTAAACACAACCCCAGAAAACTTAGACGATGAAATTTTCACTGTTTTGAAAGGACTAAAAGAAATGCTTCATGCCCACAATTTTTCAATGCAGGACATTTTCTACGTCAATGTATATATATTTTTTATTAAATTTTTTATTAAAAAATTAATTTTTTTTTTTAAAAAAAATTAAAAAGCCTTGTATATATGAAAGATATGAGAGATTTTGAGCGTTTTAACTCAGTTTATGCAATGTTTTTCAATTTCCCTAATCCTCCAGCTAGAATATTCTGCGAATATGCAACTCAAAAACAGAACTTAAAAATAGCTGTAAAAGGCTATAAAGGACCTAAAATCTGCACATGGGTGAGAAGCATAACCCCTTGGTCAGTTGCAAATATTGGTCCTTATAGCCAAGCTTTTGACGTAAAAGGGATTTTGCATATGGCAGGAGTGATCCCATTGGTTCCAACAACAATGGAGATGTCACATGATCAGGTTTCTACCGCACTAAGAAACAGTGAAGCCATTGCAGGAGAGAATGGATTTAAGCTGACAAATTCAGACCTTTGTTTGGTTTATTATTCTGACTATAAGCCTATGATTAACCCTGAGCTGAATCCTTTCTATATAAAACCAACCAAAATTCCTAAAAATTCAGACATTGAATTTGAATTCCACTTAAGAGATACTGGGACGATGCTTGAAAACTCAGAAGTCACAATTGAAGGAGAAGGATATCATGCAAGAATCCAAAAAAGAGAAAGCACTGTCAAGCTGTATCTGATTTGGTACGCCCAGATCGAAAACGATACAAATCCTCTGAATTTAATTCAAAAACTCAAAAAAGACATTGAAGATTACGTCAAAAAAATTAAACGTACAGATAAGGTGGAAGATTTAGAAAAATATGTGAATGATGTAAGAGTATACTCACCAGACGCAGAAAAGTACAAGCAGGATTGGTTCCTCAACGTCCCAGCTGTCTTTATTGATACAGAAACTAGAGGAATCGTTATTTCAGTTCAAGATTTCAATAACTAATAAGTCTGCAAAAACTAAAATGACTAGCTCATTTACTAAATTTTTTTTAAAAAAATATTTAAATTAGCATTTTTTTGGCTTAATAGACTGGGAGGGATAGCTTTTTCTTTATAATAATTAAATGGATCTTGATCCAGCTCCACGAAAAAAACAGAAATTAGCAGACAATGTTTCTGATCTCTTCGGAAAGAATGATTTTTATAATTTTGAACTTAAGCCAGACCACCTTGATAAGCCTATATGAGTCTGCCCAAATGGACATGTTTTTCTGGAAGCACACTCACCAATATACCAACAAATCACAGATTTCCTGATAGCGATTGCAGAGCCTGTCAGTAGACCAGAGCATGTTCATGAATATATCATAACTCGCTATTCTCTTTACGCTGCAGTCTCAGTCAAACTGGACACTGATTATATCATCTCTGTGTTACAAACCTACTGCAAGACTGTAAACTTGCCATCAGAAGTTATTGAATTCATACAAGAAAACACTGCACAATACGGCAAAGCCAAACTTGTACTAAAACACAATCGGTATTACATAGAATCAGTCTACGAAGGAGTCTTAGATGATCTTTTACAAATCCAAAGTGTAAGAGTCGCTAAAGACACTGTACAGTCCATGATTATTGAGTCAGGAGAAAACCATATAGAAGATGTAAGAGAAGAATTAGACCGTTTAAGAGATGCAGAAAATGTTGAAGTCGCTGAAAAAGTCGAAAGTTTTGAAATTAACCCAGATATGATTGAGATAGTCAGAAGAGACTGCCATGATGAGAATTTCCCACTATTAGAAGAATATGACTTTATGGTAAACATGAATTCACCCTTTGAGGCAAATTACTAATTTTTTTTCTTATAAAAATGACGGTAATTTTTTTATTAATTATTTTAAATATAAAAAAATTTTTGAAATAAATTAATTTTTATCCACTTTATGAATGACACAAAAAATATTAAATTAGAAATTGACCTGAAGCCAAGTACACATATAAGATCTTATCAAGAAAAAAGTTTAAGCAAAATGTTCAGCAATGGGAGAGCGAGGTCAGGAGTCATTGTGCTGCCTTGTGGATCTGGGAAAACACTTGTAGGGATTACTGCTGTTTGCACTATAAAGCATCGAGCCATTGTACTCTGTACAAGTGGAGTAGCTGTTGAGCAGTGAAAAAGGCAGTTTGAGCTGTGGAGCACTGTAAACCCAGCTAATATTATTAGGTTTACCGCCACTTCTAAAGACAAATTCCCCGAAAACCAAGCAACCATTGTGATTTCTACGTATTCTATGATGGGATTCCAAGGCAAAAGATCAGCAGAATCTCAAGAACTCTACGACAAGCTAAAAAATCACGAATGGGGCTTATTAGTGATGGACGAAGTCCAAGTCGTCCCAGCCGACATGTTCAGAAAGGTCATTTTTGAAGTAAAAAGTCACTGTAAGCTTGGCCTTACCGCCACACTTGTAAGAGAAGACGAAAGAATTGAAGACTTAAACTTCTTAATTGGGCCTAAATTATATGAAGCAAACTGGCTAGACATGCAGAGTTTAGGCCATATCGCCAAAGTCCAGTGTATCGAAGTATGGTGCCCTATGACTGCTGAATTTTTCCAAGAATACCTCAGTGCAAAACCCAGAAAAAAAATCCTTTTATATGTGGCAAATCCTAATAAACTTATGACATGTCAATATTTAGTAAAAAAACATGAGGCAGCTGGCGACAAAATAATCATTTTCAGTGACAATTTATTTGTGCTGGAGCTTTATAGCAAAGCTCTTAAACTGCCTGTAATTTCTGGCCAAACTTCTCAGGACGAAAGAATGAGAATCCTTTACTCTTTTGAAAATACGTCCAATAACAATGTAATTTTAGTGTCAAAAGTCGCTGATAACTCTATAGATCTCCCAGGCGCAAATGTGATTATACAGATTTCGTCACATTTTGGGTCAAGACGTCAAGAAGCCCAAAGACTGGGCAGAATTTTGAGGCCGAAAACCAATATGGTCCAGACCAGCGAATTTAATGCATCTTTTTATTCTTTGGTTTCACAAGATACCCAAGAAATGTGGTATGCTGACAAAAGGCAACAGTTTCTTATAGATCAAGGGTATTCTTATAAAGTCATGAATATTGTGAATGAAGTTCTTGCAGACCAAACGCTGAAATTTTCTAATAAAAATGAACAAAAGTCGTTATTGGAAAGGCTGCTGCAGGCTAAAGATATAGATGATGAGGCAAATGAGGATCCAGATGATATTACACCTGAGACTATGTCAAGGAAAACGGGAGACTTGTCGAGGCTGTCAGGACAGTCAGCAGGATATGCACTGCAGAAGAAGTCGATGCAGAGGCATAAGATGTTTAGAATGAGATATAAGAAATTTAAACCAGGATTAAGTTAAATTATATATAAAATTCGGTTTCCTGTTTAACATCTCAGCCAATATTAATTGTAAGAGTTTTTGAAGGTTTTTACCAGAAATAGTGCTGCTCTTATTTTGGCCTGACTCTTGATACTGTCTTGGAGCCTTGGAGTGCACAGCTAAGGAGCTTATGGCTACTGCTTGTGTGATTGACGGGTCAAGCTGGAAAAGCTACCTAGCTTATATTGCAAATACTTCATTATTGGACGAGGTATACAAATATCAGCTAGATATACCCAATATACATAAACTTGTTCCTGCTTAGCTTAGCTTCAGGCTGTAGCAAGGTCCTAAACTAAACAGGTGCAGGATTTAATAATATCACCATTTTTGTGTTAATTTAAGCCAGGAACTTAAAATTAATAAATTAAGGGTCGATAAAGTGGATGTATACCATAAGCCCAATAAAAAAGACTTCGGAGTAGATTACTAGGTCACTCCATGTAAATCTGACTAATCGAGGTAGGAGTTTTGGGAAAGATTTATTTGTAGAGAGAAAGCTTCCTTTTAGAATGGGTTTATTTCGATAACTCCAAAGGAGAAAGCCAGATATATTGCAGATTATAATTGAGTAACCGAGTTCAGTGTGATCCAAAAGGAGGCTCAGGGTATATGCTTGTAAATTGAGGTAAGAAGAGTGCTTGACTATGTAGACATTACTGCTGGGGCAGTCTTTTTGGCAATATCACTGTTTGGTGGCTTGGTTGAAAGATGCCGAATCACAATTCTTAACATTAAATTTATAATTTAATAAAAATAAAATAAAGTTGTGTCTTATATATTTATTGATATTTTATTATAATTTATTGCTATAATGTAGGTTTATTTACTAATATATAGACTTATTAACAATTAAATTTGGCTATCTTCATATAATATTCATAAAAAAAGTCTGATGGTGCATTTATTTGCTTATTATATTTATTTATATAAATTTAGAGCAATAATTTTATTTATCTGCATTATCCTTGAAATTAAAATAATAAAAAATTGGCTTTATTTCTTAAAAAACCGCAAATAATAAATGCGTAATTTAAAAGATTTTTTAATAAATATAATGAAATCTAAGCAATAAAGATCAACAAAATAATTAACTAAACAAATTTATCAATATTTATTATATTTTCAAAAGTCAAATTTGCCTCCAAATTCTTAATTTTCCCTCCATTTCTGAAATTTGTTATACAAACTTTACGATTTCATATTTACGCACTTTACCTTTTTTATGAAGACCCGCTCAATGTCGAATTTGCCACACTTAGCAGCCCCCAGCTCGCCCTCTAATAAACACAAAGAAAATTTTAATATCCCAAGCTATCCCGAAGATCTTTTTCCAAAAATTAATAAAAACTCAGAGCAAATTAATGACTTTTTGCTTGAGGACCCAGATTATAATTTCAATAAAAACAGAAAACGAAAAACTAAAGAACAGTTAAAAATGCTTAAAGAAACCTTTTATTCTAATGCTGCTTGGACTAAGGAAATTGTGTCAGAATTAGCTAGGAAAACTGGGTTAAGCGAAAATCAAGTTTATAAATGGAGTTGAGATTATAAGAAAAAAATCAAACAAGAAGGGCCTTGAAATGACGTGAAAATGCTGGTTTGTCAAGAATTATTGGCGCCGTCAAGACTAGAATGCGATTTATATGCATTGCAGAGGAGGTATAAATCTGCATTAACTGATATCCAACAAAAGTATTGAAATTATTATAGAAATTAATGCAAAATGCTTATATTAATAAAAAATAATGTAATCATATGTAAAATAATTTAAATAAGAAAATAATTTATGGCTTTTGAAGCATTTTTATTAAAAACTTATAGAGAAGTCAGCAGTATATTTTGAAAAAGAATTTAAGATCCTGCAAAACTAATATAATTATCCCATTTTTAAATAAAGCAAATTTAGCAACTTAAGCAAATAATTGCATAAATGATTGCCCCAGGACTCACTCCATACTCAGCAAGGGTTTTTTCATCTTCAAGCCGTTTTCCTTCAAAAATAATAGTTCGCTCGTCAGCAGAATCACCAACTATTTCCTGATAAAGTTCTTTGATACGCTTAACAGTATCATCAGAGTTGATACTTATTTCATTGTCCACTTCAAATAAGTCCCTTAGAATAATTGTCATTAAAATGCCTCCTCTAAGACGTAAAACTAAATGCAGTGTTGATTCTTTCTGTATATTATAGTCTGCCAAAGTCCTCCCATCTTCTAATTGTTTTCCTGCAAAAATGAGCCTTTGTTGGTCTGGAGGAATTCCTTCCTTGTCTTGGATTTTAGCTTTTACGTTATCAATGGTGTCTGAAGACTCCACATCAAGAGTTATGGTCTTTCCTGTAAGAGTTTTGACAAATATCTGCATAATTATTAAAGGACATTTTCAATCAGAAAAGAGCAGAATTTTACAATTATAGATGCCGCTAATGATTAATGAGCAATAAAATATATCTAAATTAGACTTGCCTAGCATAAACGAAGCAAGATTCCCACTTTTATATATAGACAATTCATAGGATAGTCAAATATGGAAAACTACATCACATATCTTTTTGTTTTATATAATATATAGGATTTAAAATAAATATCATGAACATTTTTCCAAGATAATTTCTACTGAAAAATTAAAAAAATTATTTCTTAATAATTAATAGCGTTAAATCAGGAAAGCTAAATAGTAGTAAAAAATTTATAGGGCTTATTAATTATTAATAGCCTAAATAAGCTATTCTAAACTTCATATTTTAAGCATAAAATCCATTTTGCACCCTCGGCCCTCTGACTCCATCTATTCCATATTTATTCTGTTATAATAAATATTTGATCAAGTGTTTATGCTTTTCAGCTTAATTTAATCTGACGTGCAACAATTTATTAATGCATCTCACATTTTACTTCCATATCTATAATCTAATTTTATTATAGAAGCTTCCTTTATCCTTTAAAACTAAATACAGTGTTGATTCAAATGCAATTTTATGTTCTTTAAGTTGTCTATAATCTTCAATTAATTTTTTTCCTGAAAAAATTAGTCTTTGCATGTCTGGAGAATTTCTTCCTTGGCTTGAATTCTAGCCTTTAAATAGTCAACAGCATTTGAAGGCTCCACATCAAAAATTGTGGTTTTATCTGCAAGGTCTCTAATAAATATTCGCATAATTATAAGAGATGCTAATATAAACAAATTCTTATAATTTTTTCATTGAATTTATTTATACTGAAGTTTAAAATTAGCTGATTATTTGAATTTTTCCATCATTTTATTTAGCAGCCTTTTAAGCGAAGAACCATATGCATTATTGCCCCAGCTGTGATTCCGTATTCATTAAGCCTTTTTTCATCTTCAAGCTGTTTTCCTGCAAAAATAATTCTTTGCTGGTCGACAGGAACACCAGCTGTTTCCTGATAAATTTCTTTGAGACGCTCAACAGTGTCATCAGAGTTGACATTTATTTCATTGTCCACTCCAGTTAAGTCCCTTAGAACAACTGTAATTAAAATGCCTCCTCTAAGACGTAAAACTAAATGCAGTGTTGATTCTTTCTGTATATTATAGTCTGCCAAAGTCCTCCCATCTTCTAATTGTTTTCCTGCAAAAATGAGCCTTTGTTGGTCTGGAGGAATTCCTTCCTTGTCTTGGATTTTAGCTTTTACGTTATCAATGGTGTCTGAAGACTCCACATCAAGAGTTATGGTCTTTCCTGTAAGAGTTTTGACAAATATCTGCATAATTATTATAGGACATTTTTAACAGAAAAGAGCAGAATATATCCTTTTAATAAGTAATTTCCTAAAGCAAAAAATCTGATTCAATATTAGTGATTTTAAGAATTGTTTAACAGATAAAAATATATAAATTCAATTGCTAAATATTAATTATACATTTTTCATCTCATTAAGATAAGAATTTAATTATTTATTAGCATCCCCTCAAATTGATTATGAGGCTTAATGATGCTTCAGCATATATTCCATAATCTGCTAATGCAAAATCGTTACTAAGCTGTCTGCCAGCATATACCAGAACCTGTAGGTCCGGGGGAATGCCTTCTAAGTCTTGAATCTTTTCTTTAATATTTAAAGGAGAATCACTAGGCTCTGCATCAATAACTAGCGTCTTTCCAGTCAAAGTGCTTATGGATAGTTTCATTTATTATTAAATTATATAAAAATGTCGGCTAAGATCAGAAATCTTATATTATTCATATTATGTCTTACTCAATTTATAAGTCAAAAATATTTATAAAACCGAGATATTTTAGTACAATTTTTACAACCTTTATAAATAAATTAAAAATTTAAGGCAAAAAAAACGCTTGAATAGAGCATTTTAAAAATTCTAAAGAGAGGATCTTATTATAGGTAGAAGATTATTTAATTGAATAATTAAAAAGCTATAAATGATTTCCCAATGATGTTGGTGCTAAATTTTTAAAATATGGATAATAGTTGTATTAATAAAGACAAGATACATATAAAAGTGAAAACTAGAATCGTTAGATAAAACAAACTATTAAGGAAATCTTGGGCCAAATGGCCAGATACCTTCATTTTGATGTAGTTCTTAGCATCTCAACTCTCTGTGAATTTGTTTATCAACCTATACTTTTTACAATTCGAAAACTTTCATTTATGTAGCCGCATATAATATCAATGTGTTAATATGATCGCTGGGTATTCGCACTTCTATAGCCATTTCCAGCTCATACCTCTGACTATGTTAATCTCGCTCTATGAATCTGATCGTCAATCTAAAGACCTTTTCAGCTAAAAGGGTTGGATGCTTGTCATATATCAGTTTATATACTAGTCTCAAATTATAACTTTATTAAGCGCCTCCTCTGTTCCGTAAAATTAAGTACAGTGTTGCCTCTTTTCCTATATTAATATCTGCAATAGTTTTCCAATCTTCTAATTGTTTTCCTGCAAAGACTAACCTTTGCTCGTCTGGAGGAATTTCTTCTTTCTCCTGAATTTTAGCCTTTAAAAAGTCAATAGTGTATCAATGCTCCACATCTAGGGTTATGGTCTTTCCTTTTAGGGTTTTAACAAATAATTCCCACATTATAAGCAAGCACTAAGCCTTAGCTAAGATTATTTAAAGCTCCCTGTGATAATTCGAAAAGGCATTTATCTCCAACTGTCTGCCTATCGGGTATGCTCCTCCAGAAATGGGCTTGCACATTAGCGATTAGAGTGAGATGGGCCACCATGCTGCACGTCTCACTTGGGCTTCCCCTTCAAAAAATGGGGGTGCTAATAAGATGGAGCTCGTGCCCAGAACGCAACTCACAGTATCACGCTAGGAATGCCAGATTGGTTCAAAGGGCCTTGCCGAGTTTTTCCTTTCAAACTCCAAGCTTTCATCATCCCCTAGGTAATCTTAACCTGGAATGAGCTGAGTTCGGCCTAATCCGACATTGCGCTCACCTAGACCAATAAAACCTAGCCGGAAGCACATCATCAAACACCATCCTCCCTTTTACAAGGTCCCTAGGTCACTAGGCACAGTTCTAAGAGAGTAAATAGGTTCAACTCACCATTTCAATGTATATACATTATAAGTAAAGCATTTTAATCAGATTTACCCAAAATTTCCAATTTATAATCCTAAATAAAGTCAAGGTATTAATATTTACATATATAAATATTCTCTCGTAGTTATCCTAATTTAATATAATAAATAATACAACAGTTAGTCTGCAGAAATATTTATATTCATTCTAAATAATTATATTGATTTTTTCACTTTATAAATAAAATGAAAATTTCTTTCATTTTGCTTTTCTTTCTCTATGTTTCTGTAGCACAAGAAGAAAATTTCAAATTTCTGAAAGAAAAAGCAAGCGCATGCATAAAGCTTGCAAGACTTAAAATGATTGAGGAAAAAGATGATTTTGACAGGCTATTCAAGGATGTTCCTAAATCTCCCTTTTGTTAGCAAGTAAGATTATAAGCTTACTAGGTAGAGGCTAAATTTTAATTCAGATTGATATTGTAGCTGCTTGAAGAAAATCTAATTGTATTTTATTGTAAAATTTAAAGAAAAATCTAATTTAACTTATAAATTAATATAATTAGCTATAGGCAAATAAAAATTAAGCATTAAAGAATTCTTTTTTAACATTTTGTTTACTAGCCCAGGGAGTAAAGAACTTGAAGAAAGATATATTAATAGAGTCATAGGAGACATCATTTTAGAATGCGCAGAAAAGATTGCACCAGAAGAAGCCATCGATATAATTGAAAAAGGAGAAAAAGTGAAATACTTGCCTAAGCACAAACAATTGATGACCTGGAGTGAAGGTCCTATCGACCTGCAAACAAAAAGAGACTATACAACTGAGCAGCTTATTATTTTTCAAGAAATTGTTGACCAAACCAATGAAATGAAAAAAGCTATTGGTCTAGACGAAGATGACCAGCCTGTAGAGAACAGAAAACAAAAACTAGCCGCTTGCTTTGTGCTGGCTAGATTTATAGTAAGAGAAGACCTAGAAGAAATCACTAAACTATTAGAAAAATACCCTAAATTGTCAAAAGAAAGAGGAACTAACAAAATCCTCGGGGATATCCTTGAAAAATGTGTATACGGCATCACAAATGAAGACACATTCCAAATTTTAGAAGAAAAAGAAAACGCATCAGTGCTGCCTCAATATAGGAAATTTTTAGAATGGGACCGTAACCAATTTGAAGGCATAAGCGAAATAAGCTACACAAAAAAGCAGCATCAAATTTTCAAGGAACTAGTCGACGCACACAAAAAACTATCAGAAAATAAATACCAGCAAGACACAAATGAAGATACCACAAGTCCTCAAGAATACGCTGCTTATAATTTTGGTTGGGGATATGTGATGATTATTATTTTTATTTTTTCAGCTGTTTTTTATTTCCTGATAAAGAATGTAATAGCTGAAAATAAAAGAAATGAGAAAAAGAAAAGTGATAAAAAGAAAAAAAATAAATAGATTTTTAGTTATAGCGTTTTACCCTGAGCTACCAGGGCATATGATTCCACCGGCAATAAATCTGCCCTTATAGGGCTACTCAGGGTAAAACCCTATATCCCATTTAGGCTTTTTTCTTGGTTTATCTAAATAAGTAATATATATAAAAAATGGTGACGACAGACCACCCGACCTCTCGACTCTATTTCTTCAACATCAGCAGGCAACGGCCCAGTGTCGGAGATTTAGGTGGAAAGGGGCCGGTAATCCTTTATGTATGTTCGGGCTGGGTTTTCTTCGAGCCCGAGGAGCTAATCTCGGACTTGGAGTTTTTCCTCAAGGACAACCATTGGGAAAGGGCAGGTTGGCCAATGTTTGAGGGTAATATGACCCTCAGACCTGAAGACGGTATTTGCCCAACGAGAAACTGGGAGTTTCGACCCAGGTGGTTGGCCCTTAGACTCCAGAAGCCATGGAAGTCAAGACTGGTTGTGCGAATCCCTTGTTTGAGGCAACAAGGAGGGTGTCCGCCGAGGCTCCTCAGGGGCGATGAGCGTGAAGGGGTGCGAATCTCCGGCCCTGCAAGGCAAACGGCTTAATCTAATCTAATCTAATCTAAATAAGTAACAGTAGGCTCAGTAATAGTGGAATCTAAAGTCCCAGCAGCTACAAAACTCCGCTTGAACTCACTGATTAAATGGTCTTTTTTCTTTTGATTTAAATGCTCTCATAATAATAAAATGGCTTAGTGCGGAATTAGTTCTCTCCGAGAACTATTCCTTCCTTCGCTTTTATTATTATGGGGTTCAGTTTTCCACGTGGTCTTTTATCAGCAATACCAAAATGGAATACCGCATAGGGTATTTCTTTGGTCCAAGATGCTAAGAACACCTGGGTTTGCTGCTTGACACACCCGAGGAGGGTGACCTTTAGGCGGAACACGCGCAGGAGTCAAGTTCGGGCGAGGCAACGCTGCCGGTGCGGAACTTCTGGCCTGGCTAGGGTCGGAACTTTATAGAAGGCTTGGTCGGGCTGACCGGTCCAAGATGGCTTGGTGACGTCACTAGTTCTAGGAGTTAAAAGAGTGGGCCATGCATGCCTAAATCATCCTGCTGAAGAAGTCATGCACCTTAAATACCTAAGTAACTAAGTAAGTAAGATTTAAATGCTCTCTGAACTCTTGGATATTTGTTGACTGCTCAATATCAATTTTTTTCCCTCCAAAATTCGTGTATAATGCATTAGCTTTTTCTAAGTCTCAATAATTTCTTTGTTTTGGGGTGATTTTTTTGGATCGTTGATTTCTGAAATATGAGTCTTGCATGGCTAGTTCTTCAAGATCTTTTGGGACTGCTTGCTCATTATATTCCAGACTCTGCATAAGTTCTCCTGCAAATCTTTTGTCATGCTTAGTAAGCAAAGTATATGCAATTCCTTGGGATCCTGCTCTGCATGTTCTTCCAATTCTATGTGTATGGGTTTCTGCATCTTTCGGACAGTCGTAATTTATTATTGTTTTGATTTGAAGGATGTCAAGGCCTCTGCTGGCGACGTCTGTAGCTACTAACACTTTAAGCTCCCCATGACTGAATTTGTACATTGTAGATTCTCGGTCGTATTGGTTCATATCTCCATGCAAATTTCCAGCTGGAACTTTGGCTTCTTTTAAAATCCCACATAATTCTTCGGTACTGCTTCTATGTTTCACAAATATAAGGACGAGCCCTTTTTCTAAAAATTCGTGAATGTGCTCTAGCAGCCATGTTAATTTTTTAGAAAAATGGTCGAGAATTATATTTTTCTATATAAATAGATTGATTTTATTTTTTTTACCTTTCTAATAATATAGCTAATCTTTATTGAGCAAAATGTAATGGACAGTTGAATGGCCAAGATAGGATTTCTTAAAGGGAAGAGCTGGATCTATATACAAGGAAATGTTAAAAAGTGACATGCCAAAAAATGGTTAGCTTGAAGAAATTTGACAAGAAACATGCCAATTTTTAAAATGGCTTTATTATTAAATTCTTTTAAATTTAAGATACCCTTTTAGACTGAGATTGATTAAAATTTACTTACTTTTTTCTCTTTTCTGGAGGATATAACTTCAAAAGTAAATTAGGTTAAATTAAGTAGATTTTTAGATAAACAATGCAAATTTATTTATGATCAAATGCTCTATGAAAGCCAAAGTTTGTATTGAACGCTAGCCATTCATTATAAAATTCTTAATGGCTCATAGCAATGCTTTATATTTATAATCTCCAGTCAAAAGGGTATCTTAAATTTAAAATTAATTCAATACTAAAAATTTTAAAATTGGTGCGTTTACTTGCCAACTTTTTTCACATTTATCGACCATTTTTGGCATTCCACTTTTTAATACTTCCTTGTATAAAGATCCATCTTGTCCCTTTAAGAGAGTCTTGGTCATTTAACTGTCCATTAAATTTTGTTCGATAAAGAAATCTATATAGTGCTATAGACTATATCTCATTTCTCTCTAACAATCATTCTTCTAGGTATATAAATTCTTGTACAATATCTTCATTAGTTCCTCCTTCTTTTCCTATCACGATTTTAATTGGATTTGTCAGCACATCACTCGCAAACTTTTGCAATTTTTTTTTAAATGTAGCTGAAAATAATAAGGTTTGCCTGTCTGGCCTTATTTGAGATAATATAGAGCGGCATTGATAGTCAAAGCCTAAATTGAACATAATATCAGCTTCGTCTATAACAATATAACTAATCTTTCTTAAACTGGTAGCTTTGGATTTTATCAGATCAATTAGTCTGCCTGGGGTCGCTATAACAATTTCGCAGCCTGCTCTTAATTCTCTCCACTGCTCGTGCTTAGGAACGCCACCATAAGCATGAACACATCTCAGCTTGAAAACTCTGGCGTATTTTTTAGCTTCTTTGTAGACTTGGATACAGAGCTCTCTAGTTGGGACTAAAATTGCAGCTATTGGACCTTCATTTTTGCTACTTTTAGATTGGTCGGCTACGTGATAGAGCATAGGCCATATATAGGCTGCAGTTTTGCCTGACCCTGTTTTTGCAATTCCCATTATATCTCTTCCATTAATTTCTTGACAATATATTTACTATATAATTTTTATAAAAAATTATTATTAATAATATTTATTTATAGTCTTAAAAAGAAGTAAGGGCGCATGGCAGCGCTATACATTGAATTGGCGTTGGCTGCTCAAACCCCATTTTGATGATTTTTTCAACCAATTCATCAGAAAACTGAAGATGCCCAAACGACGCTATTGGGGAAGGCACATTTTCTCCTTCAGTATGAATCTCTAAATCTTCTTTCAATTTCTGGATTTTTTCTGGTGTCAAACTTGCAATATCTGGATGGATATGGTAAAAATCCTATATTAAGTAATACTTTTCTGAATGATTTATAGTTCTGTAAGCTATGATTAACAGGATTTAAAGTTGGGACTATTTTGCTTTGCTCTTTTGCCTGCTCAATTGTATCTTCAATGAAATTTTCCTCAAGAGGCTGAATGCTATTTGGGTTGAAATCTTCATTGGGATCTTCAGATTCAAGCTGCTCCCCTTTAGAAGCTGAAGATTCATCTAAAATTTTTTGGACTTCTTGCATGTACTTTTCAAGGGAATCGAGGTCATTAGTCTTCATTAGCTAACTATCAAAAAATACTCTACCTTTTTCTTTCTGTCCATATTATATACTAAATTTTGAATTGAGCAAAATTATTCCTAGAAGTAATTTTCTGATAATTCTGGGCTAATTAAAATAAATAAATAATTATTTTTAGCTAAAATGCATCAGTTTTTCTTCTTTGTAAGGCTATATAAATTTTTATTATTGTCAACTATAGCTTGAGGCGAAAATAATAAATTGTTATCATATTTAATAAATAATTTTACATAAATTAATATAAATTTATCATTCTTTATAATTCCTACAACAAAAGGGCTTACTAATACAGCCCTTATTATTAGAAATTATTGACACTACTTATAAAAGCCTTAATTCGCTTAATTTAATGCTGATCTTATCTCGTCTAATATTTTAGCAACTTCACAAATAAATGTCAGAGCTGAGTTTAATTGGAGAAACAGTGAGATTTGCGAAGTTTCCAGCACGAATAGTAGAAGTCCTTGCGAGTACACAAACTGTTAAATTATATTTGGCTAAAGATCCAGAAAACCGCACCGTGCTTATTATACCTATTTTAATTAAATTTGAGCATTAAATATATATTTAAAAATGGGATTATTTTATATAAAAATTAATATAAAAAGCTTTAAATATCTCTCCTTGCCACAAAATGAATTAAGCTTCAGACGAGAATTAAATGCCTACAAGAAAATCGGAAGCCACCCCAAGATTGTCACACAATTTGACTACCTTGAAGAAAGCAATTTATGGGGAGCTTTTCTTCTTGAGTACTGTAGCGGAGGGGATTTGAAGACATTTATGAACGAGGACGAAATAACAGAGCAACAAGTGATAACTATTTTGCGTGATATTGCGATGGCACTCAATCACTGTTATATCTATTACTTTTATATAAATGCTTTTAAAAAGCAATTTCAATTAATTAATGATAAATTTATTAGAAAAAAAATTTGTGATTAATTAAAATAAATTCAAAATACCCTCAATCATATCCACCAGAAGAAAGTGACTCATCGGGCCTTGCGTCCTGAGTGTATTTTTATTACCACTGATTTTAAATTCAAACTTGGCGATTTCAGCTCAGCCATATCTGAAGAAGAAATGAGTGGGCTTTACGGAGCAGCGCTCTCAGATGATATTGAAGCCCACACAAAGGGGGAGTACAGGGCTCCAGAGCAGCTGGACTTAACCCCAGGCTATCCTTTAGGAACTCAAGTTGACATGTGAGGCCTTGGCTGCTTAATTTATGAGCTTCTTTTTCATCAGTCCGCTTTTACCTCTGGAAATCAGCTAGACCAGCTCAGAGGAAAATATAGAACTCCTAATAAGCAAATCGGGGGATGGTGGCGTGCATTACTTGCAAGGCTTTTTGAGGTAAATCCGAGAGAAAGAGCGACATCACAAGAAATTCTTCAGATGATCCAAGACAATACTGTGACTAAACCTTTATATGCAGAAGGGCAAGAAACTCCTAAAGGCAGTACATCACTATCAAGTTTTTTTATGAAAAGCAGCAATTCATGGGTAAAAGCTATAACTTCTGATGGGGACGCTCCTCCTGATAGTCAATTTCTGAACAAACTTACTCCCATAAAACCCATTTAGAAAAGTGCCTACTTTTGGTAATATATAAACTATAAGTATTTATAATAAATTTTTAGATAGCTTGTATATAAAAATTTCTAAGAAAATATTTTTTTTTTAAAAAAAAAACTTGTTCGCGCTGAGTTATAGGAAAGGCATGGAATAAGCCTTTTAAAATTTCAAAATTTTTCAAAGCATTAATGCAGAGACCAGTAGAAAAAACGACAGTTGCATTAAAATGCTTGTTGGTATTACACAAATATATGTTTGGTGGCCCTAAGCAGATTTTCACCCAAGAAATAGGCCCAAATCAGTTTTTAGACACCCTTCAGCACACTTGGGCTTCCCCAACAAAAGCAAAAAAGGATAAATTTGCTAATGAATATTTTCGAGGACTAATAGGTCACTATTCAAACGTCCTCAAAGAGAAATCCAAGCTCCATCTCGAAACCCGTACCTGTGGGAATTGGACAGAAAACGACACATTAGACATCCCTGCAATAGAATCTTTGCTTACCTATTGGTACAAGCTTATCCAAGTCTCTAATACCCTCTTTATGGGTGTCGACGAGCTTTCAAAGCTCAGATCTTCAGTTGCTGCTTTACTATTAGAAGAACAAGAAAGACTTGATTCTTTAATCTGGCAAGGAATAAGAACCCTTCAGCCAGGCAACCAAGTAAACGAAATTACCTCAAAATACTACCAGCACCAACAATGGACTGCATCTCTAATCACAAGTTTCCGCCAAAGGCATTCTATAGTCACTATAAACCAAATCCCAAACACCAATGAGCCTGATCCTGACAAAACTTTAATTTTTGACGCAAAAAAACAAAGACGGCAGACCCAGCTACACCCTCTTCCAACTAAAGAAAGAAGCTTTGAAATTGAAATTTCCCACACAGCAGATACCAAAGTGACCAATGGTGACGATCCAAACACCCCTGCGTCTAAATCAGCTACTTTATCTAACGACACAAGCCCAATTTATATAGAAGAAAACCTAAATAAGATGTCAATTACCTCACCTGATATTCCGAGGACTATTGCAGAAGAAGACTCGCCGCCTCACAAGCCAATCCAAAATAATATGTTAGAAAAAGCGCCTAAGAAAAGCTTGTGGGAAAATCTTCAAGATTCCCCATGGCTAATAAAACCAGACGAGCTAGTCCCAGAAGAAGAAATTGGGGTCGGCAGTTCTTGTATAGTATATAAAGGACTGTATAGGCATACCCCAGTAGCTATAAAGGTGATGAAAAAATCTAATATTGAAGGAGCAATGGAAAATGAATTTAATAGAGAATTGACGACTTTAATGAGAATGAGGCATCCTAATTTAGTATCATATGATAAATAAAAGGCTATTTTCTATATTAAATACAAGGAAAAATCAAAATCATTTTAAATTGTATATTATTTATGGGAGCTTGCATAGAAAATCAGCTTTGCATTGTCACTGAATTTTGTGCAGGTGGAAGCTTATTTAGGCTTCTCTACGAAAATAGAGAAGTTAAGCTGTCCTGGAAACAGAGAATAAAAATAGCAAAAGATGTAGCACAAGGCATGGCATTTCTCCATTCGTCAAATCCTCCTATTATCTATAGAGACTTAAAGTCCTTAAATCTGTTACTATCAGAGCCTGTAACTACCCAAAATGACCATATTTCTGTAAAAATTGCAGACTTCGGCATCGCAAAGTTCGTAAGTGACGAACATATGACTGGACAAATGGGGACTTGCCACTGAATGGCTCCAGAAGTATTAGGAAGCCAACCCTACACATTAGCAGCTGATGTATATTCGTTTGGAATTGTCCTATGGGAAATCCTTGCTAGAGAAACCCCTTATAGAGGTATAAACCCAGTCGTTATCCCTTACAAAGTCCTACAGCTAGGCGAAAGGCCAGATATAAACAAAATCCCTCCTACAACCCCAATAGAGCTTAGAGACCTTATCACCCAATGCTGGGCACAAGACCCTGAATCCCGGCCTACCTTTTCAAGCATCTTGCAAGCCCTCAATAGCATTTCAATTTAAATTATATATTCTAATAAGATAATTTAGCTTACTTTTAGCTTGATTTGTCTCCTCCCAAGGCAGAATCTATCAGTTGTTCATGCTGCTTCAAGAATGGCCCGACGATGTGGTTATAGACCCAGATTGCGCCAAGAGTCTTAGGCCAGAAAAGGTACACAAGGACGATCAGCTGGTAAGATAACTTATAAATAGATAGTCTTCTGTTTTCTGAAGCCTTTTATGAGAGATACGGCTTCTGCTCTGAGCAACTGATCGGCAGCTACTTGATCGTTAAATTTCATTCTTCTCCCCAGCTTCAAAGAATACTCTTCTTCTACCCAGTGCCAGTAGATAGTGTCTCAATAGGTAAAAACTCTCAGAAGAACTGAAGCTCCCCTTCACTTAGCCCAAAATATAAGAAACTGCCGTTGCAGGCCATCTCCATTTTAATTGTGACGATAAGCTTAATTGTGTGATAAAATGGGAACCAGAAGAACAAAATGTCAATGAAGTGGTCTAGGAAACTGTAAGCTGCAAAAATGACCCAATAAGTAAGCCATTGCTTGTCATCGTCAGTTTCTTTGGACTCTATTGCTTTGAAGCTGACGTAAGCAGGATATAAAATTCCTACTATGTTTACCATAAGGCCTCAATTTAATTGGAAACATTTTTCCAATTAAATTAGATCAAAACTAATTTTAGTTTCCTTTAATATTTATCTGTTGAAAAAGAAATTTTGTGTTAAATTATCCAAAAAAAATAGAAATTTTACCGATATATTTTGTTCCAGTTTAAAAGGGGAGTGAGCAAATTCCAAAAAGCACAAGCATGAAGGAAAGTCCTATAAAGCCAATTGCGACATAGGAAGCTGGAAGACCTGTTTTCTCACTGAGCTGCTTTACGATTGGGACTGTTTGGAAGTGGGAGGTTAAGGAGTCGAGATAATCTGATTGTTGGGCCATTATTTATTGCTGAATATTGATTAAATTTATATTTTAAATAAAATTTGAATATATACCATTAAAGCATTTTTAAGGCGAACTTAGAATTATTAAAATGTATGATGAATTTATAAATAAATTAAAAATCCTAAGAAGCAATACTTCCTGAACGGGATATAAATTATGACTAATTTATGCAGAAGTTTCGCTGCTCTCTTCTGCGCTCTGGTCAGCTGTTTCTTCATCTGATGCAGTTTCTTCTTCAGTTTCATCAGATGTTTCATCGCTGGCGTAGTCTTCTAGATCTTCTCCTTCTTCAGTTTCATCTTCAGAGCTTGTTTCAGTTTCAAGTGTTTCACCTTCATCTTCATCTTCCACTTCGCTTTCCTCATCTTCATCACTTTCTTCTTCTTCTTCAGTCTCCTCTTCACTATCTTCTGTGCTTTCCGTGCTTTCTGTGCTCTCTGTGCCTTCTTCTTCTTCTTCATCCTCCTCATCTTCTGTATCCCCAGTAGCTCCCTCCGGTTCTACGTCTTCTTCTTCCTCACTTTCTTCTTCCTCTTCTGAAGTCACCAAATTTTCATCAATAAATTCATTTACAGACTCTTCCAAAGTATCTACCTCTACATTTAGTTCATTTAGCTCCTCTGTCAGATGGTCTTCAGTGTCCGCTATTTCTTCTTCAGTGCTTTGGCTTGATTCTTCTACAGCTCCTACAACTTCAGTCGTGCTCTGGTCTACAACTTCATTCATTTCGTCAACTACCTCTTCAGCAGTCCCTTTAGACAATTCTTGCTGATAATACATTTCGTCCTCAATTTCTTCTTCAGCTAATTCGTCAACTTGTTCGCCAAGGCCTTCTAGCTCATTTTCTACATATACAGAATCCACGTCGACTGCTTGGGCTTCTATAGTTTGGTCTTGGATGCTTTCGATTTCAGCTTGCAGCCTTTCGATTTGGCTGATTATATTTTCTGCTTGTTTTTCGTACTCGTCTAAGTTTTCTTCATAAATTTCAGTGGAATCTTGGCTGGGAGAAGGAGTTACTGTTTGGCTGCTTTGGACGACTGAGGCTTCTATTCCATAATCTTTTGTTTTAGGGCACTCATCTTTGCCATCAGCTGAAGAGTGATAAAAAAATGCGGAGTTGCAGAAGCCTGGGTCTGAAGGAGTCCCTTCTAGACAATAGTCTCCGTCACTGCACCAGCCACAGTTTTCATCATTTAGGCAGGTTGTGCAGGTCAGATATTGTGAGCAGCCTTCTTCAGGGCAGATACCGTATTCCCAGCTACTGCAGGATTCATAAAACGGCCCATCTTCATCTCCACTTGTGCAGATGTCGTCTCTGTCACACCATACACACTCGTTATTGGCGGTACATGAGGAGCAGGTATTGAAGTCTTCACATATGATTTCTGTGTTTTCTATTTCGTCTTCGGTGTATTCGATCCTGTCAGCTACTTCTTTTAGCTCCAATTTTAAGTCATTGGCTCAAGTTTTTTTCTTCAGAAATACCAAAAATTTCTAATTTTCTATTAAAAATACTATAAAAATATCAATAAAAAGCTAATTTCTATTGAAAAATCCTTATAAGTCACTTATTTCTGCATATAGGACACTTATAGCAAGTTCAGCAGAAGACTCAATAGATGCATCAATTTTTTCGTCAAGGGTGCTTAATGAAGAATCAGCTTGTTTTGAAAATTCAGAGACATTTTCGCTTAAAACTTCAACTCCGCCTGCCAATGTTCCTTTACTAGTTGACGTGCTGCTTGAGCTACCTCCAGAATCCTCAGTATTTGAGGAGGATTCTGATGTGTCGTCTTGGGTTATTGATAGAAATGACTGGGGTTTAGAAGATAGCAAGCCTGAAGATAAGAAAAGTCCTAAAACTAGAAAAATACATTTTTGCATATCCGTTTTATATGAACTTATACAACCTCAGCTTTGAATATGGATTATATGCTATGTCTTGCTATGATTTTTTGATTTTATAAACTAATGAAATACTATTGGAAGACTGAAGTCAATTAAATTAATGTGATTTTGATAGATTTTATGCTAGTTTACTATAGTTTTTACTTACTCCCCCCCTCCGTGAGTGAACAAAAAAATTTTGTCCACTCACGGAGAGGGGTTAATTTTTTTTTAAAAAAATTTAAATATATAAATTTTTTTTCGAAATTAAAAAAATCTCACTTCTATAAAAAAATTGGAAAGCTAATATTAATTTAATTTATAAAATTTAAGTTTTAAAACGCAATTTGTTTTAAAATTGAACAGAATTAGCTCGAGATTTCATTATACTACTAATTATCACTTATATATCAATATTTTTTTCCATAAAAAATTTTTGTTCACTCACGGAGGGTGGGGCTTTTGGGCAAAAAATATAGCGATTTTTCTAATGGTTTTGTTCACTCACGGAAGGGGGGGAGTTAGGCAAAAAATTTATATATATACAATTTATGAAGGTTTTTATGGTAAATTATCACATAAAATGGTATAAAATAAAAGATAATATGGGAGCAGATTTAATTTTCTTAGTATGACTTGGGATTTCAGGCCTAATTTATATACCTACAGGGATTTTACTATTATGATGGTCAAATAAAAAGCCAATAAGAAACCGCTCTCCATTTCTAGTATCAATTATTCACTGAAGCAATTTTTTAGAGACTTGTTTATTTTTAGTTACCCTTTATCTGTATTTTCATGGAGATCATCATAGTTTTAAGCTTGAAATTGCATTTCAAATTTCTCAAACCTTCCTGCACTGCTCGTTCATAATTCCTTATATACTTACTCTCTGCTAAAAATTATTTTTATAAGAAAATTGATTTTATATAAAATAAAAAAATGTTTTATAGGGACAGAATTAGGTGTTATCGAATATATTTTATTTTTCACTTATATTAATGGCTAATAAATAGATAGATAAAGCATTATATATGGCCTGATGATGGGATTTTTTAAATAGGTATAGATCAAGACTGAGATGAAAAAGACAGCAATTGGAGGCAGCATTTATATAAAGCCTCACAAGCCTGGCTATTCAAAATCTACTGCATTTGTATGGCGCCTGTAATTGCTTTTTCAATGTCAATTTTTATTATTCCAGGCTTTCAAGGATATTTTCCAACTTCTTACTACGACCGAAGTGAATTTGCTGACTCTATTACAGAAATGGTATATTTATTTGTACTTTTCATAGAAGAATTAGCATTTGTTTTATGTGTATATATGCTGAGAACGGTTAATGATGACTATAAAATGACTAAAGAAATTGCAGTTGTTTGCTTATTATGGACGATAAATGGCGTTATATCGACTTTTCCCAGTAATATTGTATGAATGATTGAAGGGACCATCAGGAATAATTTAATAATGCTTGTAAGCTCACTTTATCCAGTTTTAAGCTCTATAAGAGGAGACTCTTTTGATGACGCAATTACTTTAGAAGCTTTACAATCCCTTGACCTTGTCCTACAAAATCGAGTAACTCTTGATACTTTTGAAAAGGCGCTTATTAAAGAAATCCCAAAAATGACAAAAATCAAGGCTGCTTCAGAATATTTACAAATTTGGCTTAAATGTGAATATTATCAAAACTGCCCATCTTTTGAATTAGAATGTGAAATTATGGCATCAAGCAAAATGTTGGACCATTTCAAAGCGAATAATATTAATGTTATTCAGTTTGAAGCTTATAAAGTGCTTGCTTATCATCTTTTTCCATTATTCAAAAAAACAAAAGTGTATCAAAATTTATTGAAAAATGTGATTCATCAGCAAATTTATATATAATATTTTAAAAAGCTTGATTTTTTATTTTTTTAATGAAAATAGAATTTAATGCAAAAATATATAGCCAATGAAGAATAAATAGGATTTTACAGACATCATTTACATTAAAATCAGATTTGGAATACTCAATTACTAGCCAAAGCTTTGACTTGATTACGAACTCAAACTCCCTCTATTTCCAGTCTCCATCTCTTTTATCTCAAAATCAGTCAGGAGTGTTTTAAAAATATACTTACACGATTTTTATTAAAATTAAATTATTTATAAAAATTAAATTTTTAATTAATTAATATACCAAATACTTGCTATTTTAAGGAAGAAAATGGGATGCTGCTCAGGCAGGGTATCTTTTACGTAGCTGCAAAAGCATATGAATGAGCCTAGCTTAATGATGATTAAAGAAGGCCAAGAAATTGTTGATAAAACTTATTTTTCAAATGCTTCTAGTAATTATATGAGTATCAGAAGTAATCATTACAGCAAACAATTCAATGTAGCTTCAATAGAGAGCAAACATTTGAACCAAGAATTAGAGTAAAATCTATCTAGAGAGCTCAGCTTAGCTTTATCAAATATGAATTTAGAAAAAATAGAAGAAGTTTTCGAATCCAGCACAAGAATAACGATAGATGCCATTTTTCATTCCTGAGCGGAAAACCCAAAAACGATAGGAGAGCTAGCTATACATCAATTCGGGATTTTTGTTACAGAAAAAGGTTTAGCTCATGAGCCATTATTTATTGAATCAATCAAAAAAACGGAAATCGTTGATAAGCTACTTGAATATGCCAAAAGTCAAGAAAGGGATAAATATGAAGCAGCTGTTTTAGCTTTATGTTCCTTATTGGAAAATCAAGCTTTTTCTGAAATTTTAATAAAGAAAAATGCATTAGCAATATTCATCAAGCATTTGAATGACGAAAAAGAATGGCTTAGAGGGACTGCTGCTTTATGCTGTAGAAACTTATATGTAGCTAGGCCAAGAATGCAGCAGGAATTTATTGATGGAAAAGGAAGTGAGCAGCTGTTGAAGCTTCTTAGATCAGAAAATAGCATAACTGTTTTTGAAACAATTTTGAATCTTTTACTCCCCCTTCTCTCAATGAGTGAGCAAAAACTATTGCAAAAATCCCTATTTTTGGACCGAAAACCCACCCTGTGAGTGAACAAAAAATTTTATGAATAAGTGATAATTAATATAATGAAATCTCTTTCTAATTCTGTTCAATTTTAACAGCTTTCATTTTAAAAAACATCAGTTTTTACAAATTAAATTAGTATTTTCTTTAAAATTACATCGAATTTGGATTTTTTTTAAAAATTGAAAAAAAAATTTACTATAAACTTTCTATATAAATTGCTTGAAAAAAATTAATCCCCAGAAACAAATTTTTTGTCCGCTAACGGGGGGAGCTAGACTTAATATTGGATGATAAAGACAGAATCCAAATAAATATAAAAGAAAAATTACAAGATTTATGTATTATATAGTTTATGCACCATAATAGATCGATGTACTCCAGGAGAATACCGATCAGAAAAAAAATATTGTCTATGACACTTGCCTTATAGAGCCTAAGTCTGATTAGGCATCGTAAAACCATAATCAGAGATTTAACGTTTTGGTTTTTGTTTTTTCAAAAAATTGGCAAATGCAAATTAATTAAAAAAAGTAAAAATTGATGGTCAATAATGATCTAAAACATTTCAGGGGCTATAGATGAGCTGGATAGGATAATAATGGTAAATTGTATGCAGGAGACAAGTATTTATGACCAAGATACAATAAATGAAGCTGCTAACTTTTCTTTTAAATTGGAACAAAAATCCTGTTTCAATTTAGAGGAGGGCTTTTTGTTTAAAAAAAAATTATATTAAATTTTTCTCTTTAAAATATTTTTTCTTAAATTTTTAAAAATTAAAAAAAATATAAATTGAAATCAATACTTTGAATTTTAATTTATTTTTGTGAAGAATTAATTTAAAAAATTTAATCCCCTTAATTGCACTTTTTCCATTTAAATTATGCCAAAACTAATTTATAGAATTTACATTTTCACCAAAAAAAATTTTCTTATTAAAATATATATTAAATTTAAAGAGGGAGTAAGTTTAAAATTTTATTTAATTAATATTTTTATAAAAAAATCTAAAATAGGCAAGCATCATAATGAATATAATTTTTAATTGATTTAAATTCGCCAATCTATATTGCTCCTAAAGCTCGATAATCGACCATAGGCTGCGCTCTTGATATAAGCTGATCCACATTAAACCCTGACTGATAACTAATATTTTTTACTGTCGGAGAAATATTTCTTAACGCTCTTGGTGGACTTTTTGCCTTTAATTGCTTAATTTTTGGGGTTATTTTTTTGACCTCTTTTGTAGCTCTACCCAGCGCTGAGCTTGGTCTCCAATTATTCGAAACAGACCTATAATGCTTCTTATTGAGATAAATTTGGGTATAGCTCAAATTAAGCTGCGCAGGTGACGCCGATCTATTCAGCCCACTAAAAGAAGTCTCTGAATCCCCCCACTTTAAATTGGAACAAAATATAGGTAAAATTTCCACTTTTTTGGTAAATTAACCCTTTAAATTGGAACAAAATTTAATTTTATAATAAAAAATTATATATAATTTTTATCTAAAAAGTTTTGATATAAGTTAAATGTTTCTTCTTAACTAAAATTAAAAATTTAGTTATATCTTGCTCTGTTTAAAGAAGAAAGTATAAAGAGCATCTTATTTAAATAAATTTATTATCCTTAATTGCTAAATTTTAAAAAAAAAATTAATTTTTTTTTAAAAATTTTTCATTATTTTTTTGATAAAAATGATATTTTTTTATTCGGATAGCTTTGATATAAATTCAATAGGAATTCTTTATAAAAATTTCAAAATTTACTTATTTCTTGCTTTATTTTAAAGAATAGAGTATAATTAACATCTTATTTAAACAAAATTAGCACTTTGATGATAAATTTTCTAAAATTTTTTTTTTTAAATTTTTTTTTTTATCAATAAAAATAATAATTTTTGTGTAAATAATTTTGATGCCAATTAATAGTGGCGTATTATAATTAGTTGCTAAAATTTCTGATCGGCTCCCACGAGCCAAAGATGGATTTCACGCGTGAAAATCCAGAAATTCCACGTGAAAACCCATTTTTGGCTCGTGGGAGCCGATCAGAAATTTAGCCAAAATATTATAACTAATAATGAAAATTTAGTTATATCTTGCTTTGCTTTAAAGGATAAAGAGTAAATAGCATTTTATTAAACAAATTTATTAATCTAACTCGATAATTTTTTGAATTTTTATATATAAATTTGTTTTTTTATAAAAAATTTTATATTGATATTTTTTTTAAAAAAAAAAATTAACCCCCCTTTAAATTGGAAACAAAATTTTTAGTTCCAATTTAATGGGGGGGGAGTGAATAAATTCACCCTTGGGCTGATCTGAGGAGTAAACGTGCACCCTTCAATTTCTCTATCATCCTGTCTCTTTTTTTCTAGCTCAATTTTTTCTTTTTTATATTTCATCCAAAATTTCCCTCTTTCTAATACATCCATATCAAGCAAATCTGGGGGTTCTTCGTGCTCAAAGACCTTTGGCCTTGCTTTTACAGCTTGTCTGAGCTCTTCTAAAGATAGCGCGCTCACTTCGTGAGGCTTTTTAAGTGGTTTTTGGGTGTCGATTGAGCCTCTTGAGGTGGGAACTGTGGTGGCTCTTGCTGGGGAGCTTAAATTGTAAGAGTGCTGGGATTTTGCGAGAGATTTTGGGGAGGTGTTGCCTGTTGGGAATTGAAAAATTTTTGGGGAAAAAGCTTGCTTTGGGGAGGCTTCATTAGAATTTATTGCTTTTTCGAGCTCTTTTAAAGAAATTTCAGTCTGCTTGGGGACACTTTTAGAAGTACTTGGGGCTTCTGGCAAAGAGTTTAAAGTTTTTGGTTCAGAGTCTATATTTAGATTCTTTTTAGAGAATCTTGAGCTAGACAAAACCTCTTGGATTCTTGCCAAACCATTTTCTCTAACCCCCCCCCCCCCTCCGTGAGCGAACAAAACCATTAGAAAAATCGCCATTTTTTGACCAAAAACCCACCCTCCGTGAGTGAACAAAAATTTTTTTAATAGAAAAAATTTTAATGGAAAAAAATTTGGATATATAAGTGATAATTAGTATAATGAAATCTAGAGCTAATTCTGTTTAATTTTAAACAAATTGCGTTTTTTAAAACATAAATTTTGCAAATTAAATTAATATTTGCTTCCCAATTTTTGCAAATTAGGATTTTTTTTAAATTTCGAAAAAAAAATATTTTTTATAAAATTTATATATAAATTTTTTTTTAAAAAAAAAAAATTAAAACCCCCCTCCGTGAGCGAACAAAAATTTTTTTGTTCGCTCACGGAGGGGGGGGGAGTAAAGGATTTTTGCTCTTCATCACTTGCAAGTTTTGCGCTAATTTCAACAATTTTTCTTGATACACTATTAATTTGTGGAACTGGCCTCAAATCTTTTAATTCCTCAGCTTGATACTTCAATTTCAACGCTGTCAATCGGGCTTGAGATTCATGATGTTTCCTCATCAGAATTTCTTCAATTTTATACTCAAGTTTCTGAGGTTTTGCTTTCGGTCTGATTTGCTGTGTATACAAAAGGACATCACTATTAGTCTTCCTTACTGCTGAGTCTGACATAAGCCTATCAAAAACATTGCTCCTGGGATGATGCGCAGTTGGTGAATAGAGAAACTGTGACGAATGATTTAGCTTGTCATAAATGTGAAAATCATTCATTTTGATTTATTAGAAAAACAGAATATAAAAAATGTATATTGAATTATATAGATTTAGAATTAATGAAACTATTTATAATTAGCTGGAATAATAGTAATTAAGGTATATTAATTAAAACTCTACGTCCAGTCTAAACTCTTTTTCGCTTTTATCAGCCATAACTCCTGTCTTTTGGTAGTCACTGACTCTCTTCTCAAAGAAGTTGGTTTTTCCTTGCATGGAAATCATCTCCATCCACTCAAATGGATTGGCGGCTCTATATAGCTTTTCGTATCCTAAGCTGACTAATAGCCTGTCTGCTACAAACTCAAGGTATTGGCTCATAAGTCTTGAGTTCATCCCAATCAGTTCCACTGGTAGGGCATCAATGATGAACCCTTTTTCGATGTCAATGGCTTCACGAATGATATCATGCACAGTCTCCTGTGAAAGCTTGTTAGCTATATAAGTATATAGCAAACAGCCAAAATCTGTATGAAGTCCTTCATCTCTGCTTATTAGCTCATTACTCTCCTCCTTTAAATTTGAACAAAAATCGTGTTCCAATTTAAAGGGGAGTTAATTATTTTTAAAAAAATTATATTAAAAATTTTAAAATTAAAAATATTAATTGGACCCATAATTTTTAATTTAGTTTATTTTAATGGAGAATTAATTCAAAAAATTAATTGATTCAATGTGAAATCTGTTTAATAAATATTCTACCAGCACTTTTTTCTATGAAATTAGCCATAGCAATCTACATAAAATTTTGCATAATTTAAAGAGGAATTACTAAAAAAATGAAAATTCAGTGATATTTATTTCAATTTAAAGGGAGGAATTTAGAAAATGTAAGTCCTGGCATCAATGATCTTTTCTTTAGCCAAAAGATAGCACAGAAGCTTCCTGAGAAAAAGATCCCTTCAACTGCTGCAAAAGCTAAAAGTCTCTGGGCAAACGGAGCGTCACTTGAGGCCCATTTCAAAGCCCAGTCAGCTTTTCTTTTAATTGAAGGGTAGTTTTCAATTGCGTTGAAGAGGATGTTCTTTTCAGTTTGATCTGTGATGTAAGCGTCAATCAGCATGGAGTAGGTCTCGCTGTGGATGTTTTCCATTGCCATTTGGAATCCATAAAAGGCACGGGCTTCTGGGATTTGGATATCATTGAAAAATCTGTTAGCGAGGTTTTCAAGGACAATGCCGTCAGAGGCTGCGAAGAAGGCCAGGACGTACTTTATGAAGTGTCTTTCGTTGTCATTTAGCCTTTCCCAGTCTCTGAGGTCTTGGGATATGTCGAGCTCCTCTGCTGTCCAAAAGCTAGCGACATGCTTTTTGTACATTGTCCAGATGTCGTGGTAGTGGATAGGGAACATCACGAAACGCTGAGGGTTTTCAGTTAGGAGAGGCTCAGGCTTTGGCACAGAAATTTCTTGATCTATATCAGTCATATTATTATTTCGCGCCTTTTTGATTAAGATATCAATGTTTAATTGTGCGGGAAGATATGAAGCCATTATTAAATATAAAATTTCGTCCGAAAGTTGCGAGGTTTTGTAGGAGAGGGGTAGAATTAGAAGCTGAAACTTTATATGGATACTGGTTTGATGAATAAATAGTGCCTTTATTCTTATATTTAATTGTATAGGCTAATAAGTATATTTATATATAAAAGTTAAGCTAATGAAGCTTCTAATGATTTTTAGCAAAGAATTTGAGCTTATTCCTTATTAATAAGCAAAGTTCTAAAAAAAATTCAAAATTTTGCTATTATGCTAAAATTTTTCAACAGATTTCAAAGGCATTGGAAGATATGATGATATCCTATGTGGTTGCCATAAATAAGTGAAAGCGCGAAAAAATCTTAAAAAGACATTTATTGATCTAAATTTTGTGTAAATTTATTTTTCAATAAATCTATCAAATTTAAAAAAAATTCTAACTCTCCTTTTTTCTAGAAATTTTTTTATATTAAAATTTATATAAATAGAATTTTTCGGATTTGAAACAAGAAATCAAGTTTAATTTAAATATTAAATATAATTGAATCGCTTGGAATCTTGTTATTATGAAATTATTATTTTTATTAATATTTTATATTAAAACGCTTTTCTAATGCTTTATCGCTAACCAAGAGGGGGTTAAAGCTATTTATAAGAGGCTGCAACAGTTTGATTTACGTTTTCTCAACAACAATGTGTGCCCTTCTCTTATATTTTGCTGGTCAAGTGTTGCATTAAGAGGGAGAACCCTACCATTGTAAACTAATTCCATTTCATTAACCTGCAGAGTAGTGATTTTCAACGATATTAAACAAATCACATTCTCAATTGTTTCGTTATAGTTTGGATCAACACTTAAAGGCTCTATCCCAATATCTCTCTGAGTCTCAATATTGATTCTCATATTTATCCAACTATTTCGGATATTTATGTATAAAATAAATCCCAAAACAATTTTCTCATAGTATCCAAATATTAATTTATAATTTTAATTATATTCCGCTGAATACCTCATCCAAACCTAAAAGACTCATAATTAGAACTTTAAAGAAATCGCCATTTATAAACACGTCATGCGCACAGTATTCCTCCTTTTACCACTGCTAATCTCCCTAGTCTCCAGCAGTGTCATTGGCATCGACCTAGGCTCAGAATTTTTCAAAGTACTCCCTATATAGATTTCATTAATTCGGCCAGGCAAAAAGCTAGTAATTGTGGAAAATGAGCACTCCAAGCGAGCTACCAACACAATGCTTGCATTTACAGAGCAAGGAAGAGTCTTTGGTGAAAACGCTTACAAAGAGCAATCCAAAAAGCCTCAAAATTCTATTGCATACTCCCATCTCCTGCTAGGGATTTCTTTTAATGATGAAGAATCCAAGTCATATTTCCTCAAAAGTTTTCAGCCAATTGAGTTAATCCAAGACGAAAACAGGACAAGTATCAGTTTTAAGCTTGCAGACCAAGAATTATCAAATGAAGAAGCAATGACAATGATTTTAGAATTCGCAAGAAAAATGTCTGAAAAGTTCAGCGAAGGAAGCATTAAAGATTGTGCTATAACAATCCCTAGCTATTGGACTCGAGCTCAAAGGCTTTATTTAATATACGCCGCACAAGCAGCAGGGTTAAATGTCTTAAGCTTAATCCACGAAAATACAGCAGCCGCTTTTTACTATGCAATTGATAGGCTTGACAACGAAACTCAACACCATGCTTTATTTTATAACCTCGGCTCCTCGTCTTTACAAGTTACCATTGCAAAATACTTCTACACAAACCAAACTGCCTCAAAAAAGCCGAAACAAATAGAAACAGTCGAAATCTTGTCCCATACCTCTGACAAATATCTTGGTGGGAGTCTTTTTGACTCAGTACTTGCTGACTATTTAGCTGGGGAATTTGAGAAACACTCAGTTTTAAAAGTAAAAGACTCCAAAAAAGCTATGATGAAGCTTTTCCAACAGTCCCAAAGTGTGAAAAAAGTATTAAGTGCTAGTAAATCCTCCCCTGTGATTATCAATAATTTAATTGCTGGGGTCGATTTTAAGACAACTATTGCAAGAGAAACTTTTGAAAATCTCATTGAGCCTTATATGGAGAGACTTATCGCCCCTGTTGCTAAAGCTTTAGAAATTGCTGGGCTTTCTATAGAAGAAATTAACAGTTTTGAGCTTATTGGAGGGGTAACAAGAGTACCAAAAGTCCAAGAAATTCTGAAAGAAAAATTACAGGTAAACCTTGGGGCTCATTTAAATGGAGATGAAGCTATGGCGCATGGGGCTGCGATTTTTGCAGCTAATATTAGTGCTGTTATACAGGTAAAGCCACTGTGGCTGACTGATATTAATATGTATAATGTCTGGGCGAAATTTTATTCGACTTATGATATGGATTTTTATAAAGAGTCAGTCATTTTTAAGGAAGGGGCTAAGCTGAATACTGTGAAAAAGGTGGGGTTTAACCATAGCCATGATGTCAGGGTTGAGATTTTTATTGATTATGGAAAAGGGTATAACCAGGTATTGACTTATTATGTATCTGGGGTTGATGAAGTAGCCAAAAAAACAAGCGAGGAACCTTATATTCTGTTTGTGTTTAATTTGGATTATAGCGGGTTACCTTATTTAAAGAGAGTTCAGGCACAGTACGAAGAAGAAGTTGTGGTGGAAGAAAAGCCAGTTAACTCCTCCTTTAATATTTCTATTAAAAATTTTATAGGTGAAAATACAATTTTTATTATTTATAAGCTTGGCCTAATTTAATTGAGAAAATTCAAGGATGTTATTTAAACAGTTATAGCAATGAGCCAATTAATTTTTGAAATAATTCTTTATAAAAATCATTTAATTCAATAATTTATATTTGTTATTTTTTAAATTTGATGGAAAATATTATATTAATGTATTTTTCAAAAAATCAATCCAATTAAAAAATTTTGGTTTCAATTTAAAGGCGGGATAAGAAAGATAAGAAAAAAGAAGCTAAAGTTAAACAAGAGGAAAAAGAAGAAAAAGACGAAGAGACGAATGAAAATAATAGTGAAGAGAAAACAAAAGAGGATGGAGAAGAGCAGAATGACTCAGAAGAAAACACTAGTGAAAATAATGAAGAAAACAAAGATCCTGAAGATTCAAGCGAAAATAAAGAAAGCTTAGAAGACTCTAGTAAAGAAGAAGCTTCCCAAACAGAAGAATCTGCAGACTCTAAGCCTAAAAAAACCAAAATTGAAACCCGCAAAGTCAAACTCGATGCCAAAGAAGTCGAACACGAGCTTCCAACCCCTCTCACCCAAGCCCAAATCCGAGAACTCAAAAGCAAGCTGGACTCTTTCAAAACCAAAGAAGAAGAGGCCAAAAAGCTCGCAGAAGTCAAAAACGACCTTGAATCCTACATTTACTACCTCCAAGACAAAATTGAAGAAGAATATTTCACAAAAGTAACCACAGACGACGAACGAGAAGCCTATTCAAAGCTAATTTCAGAAACCAAAGAATACCTAGAAAGTGACTCCTACGCTGAAGCCAAAGTTACTGAAATAAAATCAAAAAAAAGAATTATTGAAAAAAATATTTCTGATGCCTTAGAAAGGGAAAAAGAAGCAGAAATCAGAGACCAAATGGTCGAGGACGCTTTTGAGCAGCTTGGCAAATTTTATGAAAAAATAATAAACTCCCCCCCCCCCTCCGTGAGCGAACAAAAAAATTTTGTTTCGCTCACGGAGGGGGGTTAATTTTTTTTTTTTAAAAAAAATTTATATATAAATTTTATAAAAAATATTTTTTTCGAAATTTAAAAAAAATCCTAATTTGCAAAAATTGGGAAGCAAATATTAATTTAATTTGCAAAATTTATGTTTTAAAACGCAATTTGTTTAAAATTAAACAGAATTAGCTCTAGATTTCATTTATACTAATTATCACTTATATATCAAAATTTTTTTCCATTAAATTTTTTCTATTAAAAAAATTTTTGTTCACTCACGGAGGGTGGGTTTTTGGTCAAAAAATGGCGATTTTTCTAATGGTTTTGTTCGCTCACGGAGGGGGGGGGGGGGGAGTAAGTATTAATACCACAAAGCCATGGATCCCACAAGAAGATATTGAAGCCGGGATTAAAAGGTATACGGAGGCTAAAGAATGGCTAGAGGAGAAGGCTAAAGAACAAAATGCCTTGAAGCCTTGGGAGCCACTTGCGTTTAAGACGTCAGATATAGAAAGCAAGCTGAGTTTGGTAGTAAAACAGATTGAGAAGCTGAAAAGAATGCAAAAGCCGAAACCAAAGGATATGCCAGATTTCGCGAATTTTAAAGATTTTGATTGGAAGAAGTTTAAGGAGGAAAGGGATAAGGCAAATAAGACTGAAGAAGGAAACAAGACTGAAGAAGGAAGCAAGACGGAAGAAGAGAGCAAGGCTGAGGAAGAAACAAAAACACAAAAAGAAGAAAAGACAGAAGAGGTTAAGCTAGAGCTGGGAGATAACCAAGAAGAGCCAAGGAAGACTGATCTTTAAGATATATTAACCTCTCATATTAGTTATAAATTCAGATAAAAATCATAAAAATAAAGAGAAAATCATTTGTGATGCTAAGGATCATTAATTAAGTTTTTGATATAATTAATTTATGTCTAATTGCAATAAATAAATCATTCCAATTGATTATATTATAAAATAGGATAAAACAGCTTAATTAGGTATAAATTTTAATAAAGCTTTTAATTGAATAAATTTTTGATTTATGAGGCTATTTATGACTATATGAAAATGGCTGGCATTATAGCTTCTCATTTTATTTAATTCATTAATATGGTATCAGAGAAGCGAAAAGGCAGCAAGAAGCAAGCAGTAACAAGGAAGAAACTAAAAGTCGAAAACCAAGAAAATAGCTTACCAGAAGTAGATAAAACAAGAAAAGAAGTTAACAAATATTATTCTAACTCTTTATTAAAATAATAAACAATTTATTTTTAATAAAATATTTTTTTCCGCTTATTATATGGCTTCAGCATTACAAAAAATAAAATTCCTGTGAAGTAAGATAATATCCAAAGACACAACAAATAAACCAAAAGTCATTGAAAAAGCCCTAAAGCTAATTGGGAATGATCTTTATTCAGCCTCAAGAAAGCATGATTTATGCCGTGTTATCCAAGCTTGCCTCAAGCATGGCAACGACCAACAAAAAGCACACATTCTTGAATGCCTGACTGAGGATTATGGAAAACTTGCGGCAGGAAAGTATTCTTTTTTCCTCGCAAAAAAACTCTTAAAAATCGGCAACAAAGAAGAACTGATGGAAAAAGTTTTGCCTCAAGCCAAAGCCATGCTTGCCAGCCCAAATGGTATCAAATTCCTTGATTTGCTTTATAGTGATGGAAACTACAAAAATAAATTAATGAAATCAATTTATGCCCCAGAAATCGAAGAACAAACAGGCCATTTAGAAGAAATAATCAAAAATCACCCAGAAATTGAGAATGACCTAAAGTCATCATTACACAAAACAGTCCGCCATGCCTTAAACAAAGGACTAATTGAATACTCAATTGTCCAGCACGTGGTTTGTGAATATACACAAATAATTGAAAAAGACCAAAAACTCGAAATCTTAGGGCAGCTTTGGGATCATTTGGCATCTTTAATGAACTCAAAGCCAGGGGTCAGACTTGCAATTGAAGCTTTAGCTGCTTCAGATATCAAGCAAAGGAAAAAAATAGTAAAACTTGCCCAGCCACTGATAAATTTAATATCAGATGATGAATCAAATGCGTACTTATTTTTTATCAAGCTTTTCGAAGTAATTGATGACACTAAAAGGATTAATAAAATCCTATCTTCTACTATAGTACAGAATATGAAAGAAATAATCAAATCAAAGAATGGAGTCAAAGTATTACTCTACATAATCCCAGCGAACCTAGATTTATTTATTTTAAGCCAAAGCGAAATTGATTTTCTTAAGGATGATTTGAATACGCTAACTCTCATTTGGAAATCGGGCAAGATTTTGGCTTGTGATTGAGGTTACTTTTTTTCAACAAAAAAAAATTAAAATATTTGAAATCAAAATTCTATTATATAAAATTTATACAAGCGGTCTAAAATGGGATGACAGGAAAAAACCCCCTAGGGGTTTTTTCAGGACAACCCGTCTAAAATTATTATAATTGGCCAAAGTATTTAATTATATATTATAGTCTGTTGAGACTTTTTGAACACCAGTAAACTTTGTAACTGGTCGCAAACAGCTACCTATTTCCCATTCAAAAGACTGCCAGAATAGGTGACTGATTGTGATCAGTTGTCTATATGCCAGTGCTCAAAAAAATTTCCAACTAACTAAAAAATATATTTATGTAAAGATATTTATTTGAATAACCAAGGGTGATAATTTTGCTATAATAAGGATTTTTCTAAAAAATCTGCTCTCTAGTCAAAGAAAAAGTAAGCAAAAAAGATTTAAATCAAAAGAAAAAAGAAATTTTCCTTAACATTTCACAGCCAATTATAGATGAAATTACAGAAAGCTTAGAAACTATGATTAAAAATCCAAGACTTTCAAATTTAGTAGTTGCTGTAGCCATTATTTTGTCACAAGGTTTGATAAAAGCTCCAAAACTAACAAGTGCGATATGCAAATTTGTAATAAATTGGGACATAATGGACGATAACATTAGCCATAGAGCATTGAAAAAAATTATTGTCCTAGAAAATAAGAACGGAAATAAAAAATTTGCAGGAAGAATGTTGAAGAATTTGAAAGAAAGAGAAGATTATGTTGAAAAATTAATCAAAAGCAGAGGGGTTTGGGTATTTGAAAGTCTAGCTACTTCAAATATTAAAGAAGAAGCACAAGAATTTTTTAGAAAATATCAAGACAAGCTTGAAAAGTCTCATACAGGAGAAAAGGCGTTATTTGAAGCTTTAACACAATCTAATTAAAAAATTATGATCGAAAAGGCTAATTAAGGAAGGTAATTGCTTTATACTTTATAAAAATTTTGAGGAGAATTATCAGCCAAAAAGGCTTTATTTTTTTTTATGTTGTAAACCGATATAAAAGCCATTTATAAAATTTAAAAATTAATTTCAAATAAGCAGAGTTATCAAGTTATCTCAAAACAGCGAAAATATAAAATAAAAATGCTTTCATAAAAACTCAAAAAATGGGTCGGAAAGAAAATTTCCATTCTTCCTCATATACCTCTAATAATTATCATCTTCTAATAATATAATTATTTTATAATGAATATAAAATATAACATTTTACTATTTTGCTAGCTCCCCTTCTCTCAGCGAACGAACAAAAAATTGGAAAAATCCACCCTCAGCGAGCGAAAAAAAAATCATATATTAAGCAATAGTTGGTTTAGTGAAATCTCTAGTTAATTTTGTTGAATTTTAAGCAGTTTGCATTTCAATATAAATTTTAAAAATTAATTGGGATTTTTAAATTTTGGAAAAAAATTTAATTCCCCTCCGTTAGCAAACAAGTTTCTTTTTCGCTCATGGAGGGAGGGTGGTTAAAAAAAATAGGAAAGCAACTACTAATAGGAATATTTATAATTTTTATGATTGGGATAAAACATAATTTTAAAAAGATCGGCACAATTTTGGTTCATGGCCCGTATTATATGTCAATATTTCAAAATGTCTTCAAATCGTAATGAGTTATTAATATTCAATAAAAAATTATGAGGAATTCAGACAGTTTATCAAGAGCCGATTTAGCTAGAAGATCCTGAAGACTTATGTCAAAAAACAACAAAGTACTCCCATTTTACTTAAGCTCAGACTCTTCTTTTCGAAGCTCGAAAAACAACGCCAATGCTGAGAAGCTGTGCAAGATCTGTTTCGACTCAGAGACCGAGACCCATGCTTTAATATCCCCTTGTCAATGCTCAGGGTCAATTAAATATATCCACCAAGAATGCCTCAAGGCTTGACTTTTATCAAAAAATGAAGACTTGTCCAGTGTGACCTGTGAGCTTTGTAAAACTCCATATCTAATGACCTATGATATCTGCAATAAATGCAAGCCTCAAAAAAAATGATGCGACCCATCCAGAACAGTCTACACAGTTATATTATTCGTTCTCTTTGTACTAGTGCTTCTCACTATGCTTCTTATAAGTCAAAACATCCTTATTTTTAGCGGAAAATGAGGCGATGTTTATAAAAATTGTTTATATGTAGTTTGTACATTTTTTGATACAATTATTTTTCTCACATTATTAAAGGTCCAGAAGGAGTCATGCTTTGAAAGCACCCTTACAAACTGGAAAATCTTAGATTACCCATTAGAGCAGGTAGAAAACAAATACTTAAAAGCAGAAAATACAAATATGGAATTAATTAGCAGCTCGATATACAAGATCCCAGAAGATATTATTATATCAGGGAAAAGAGTAAAAGCTCCTTCAATATTTCCAAGGTTAATTCCAATTATTCAAGGAGGAAAGTTAACAGGGTACAGCCATGCTTTAAGCAAGTCTGATTGCTTTCAACTGGAAAAAATTAAAGAAATGGCGCTTCATTCGGAGCCTTCATCAGTAGTGAATTTAAAGTCATGTCCTGATGAAAAGCGAAATTCTTGCAATGAGTCAGTCATGCAGAATTCTGGTGAGAAAACTTTTATTTCATAGGTGTATAAGAATTATAAATTAAAAAAATTTATAGATACTTGATTTTTGTCTTAATTTCAATCATTATATCAATGAAAACTTTAAATATGATAACAAGATAAAATCATTATTGGAGATATGAATTATTAAGTTATAATTTTAATGCTAAATAAAATACTTAAAATGTGTAACAATACGTTAATAATTACACAAAATAATTAAAAGAAAAATAATAATCAATTATGAGTCTTCCTATAACTGAAGGCAGCTACTCCGTGCTCTGGGATAGAGAACATTCTTTCAAACTCCATAAAAAACGCCTCGAAGAAATAAAAAATAAAAACTCCCACCGTGCAAATCAAGCAAATTACAATCTGAAACAACATTCCCGTCTAAAAGAAAAAGCAAGAGCTTTTCTAGAGCAAGAAAAGAACGACGAAATCGCGAAGCAGAACTTAAGAATCCTTGAAAAACTTAACGCAATTAAACTCGGCAAAAGCAATGTAAAACCTATGCAGAAACTTTCATTAAGCTCCAAAGATCTCGCTGACTTTAAAAGCTTAAATTCAACCAGGAGAAAAAAAGAAGTCGAGCGAATTTCTTATGAAAATGAAATGCTGGTAAAAAGACTTTCTGAAAAACCTTCAAATGTTTCTTACCAAAGATTTGAAGATGATTACGAAAGATCAGTTAAATATAAAAACACGATTTCTAAAACAAAATTGCATGAAAAATTAAAAAAAATCGCAAAATTCGAAGGAAGATATAATCATTTGCCTCCTCTGGAAGAAGACAAAAATGAGACTAAGAATCGAGAATCTAAGTCTGGGTCTCCATCAGCTCTTCCAAAAGATCGAGTAAAAAAGAAAAATTTATCAATGACTGAAAGAATTCCAGGCAAAAGAATCGAAAAAGAAAATAAATCGGTAATAAGAAGCAATCTGCAGTCAATAAGCCACTCAGATAAAGAGGTTATAAAAGAAGAAAATAGAAAGGTAGCAGAAGAAAATAAAAATAGTGAAGCACGGAACTCTGCATCTATTGAAAATTTGAAGAAATCAAAAACACCTGAATCCGTTTCAAAAAGTCCTAATATTGATAGTCAGAAGAGTTTAGAAAATAAAAGAAAAACTCCAACAGAGAGTGAAGCCTTAATTCTCAGCAAGGAAAGTTCTAAAGATAAAATTGACCATTTAAGGAAAAAATTAGAAGAGAAAAAATCCAGCTTTAGCCAATTAAAAAAAGAAGAAAATGTTGTGAAGGAAAACGAAATAGGTAGTTTTAATGAAAGAGAAAAAGAACTAGAAAAACCGCATACTCCTGAGCAAGAAGAAGGAGAGGAAATAGACGAAGACATTGAAATTTAATAATTTTTAATAATTCCATCTAATCTTATCATTTTCTTAAGAATTTATAATTATTTGCTTATAAAGAATGCCTTTATTTTTAAATAAAATTGTCTGTTAGATTAAGAGCTGTTCTACCGTATCCTTTGCCTCATCAATGCTTGGCTTCAACGGAGAACTTTTGTTAATGGTAATCGCGCAAGAAATGACAGGCCTAGAAACCCCACAGGCTCTGCCTAAAGCAGCTTTGCTTTTGATAAACACATAAGGGACGTTTTTATCCTCAGCCAGCAGTGGAAGGTGCAGAATGATTTCCAAAGGCTCAGTGTCAGCTGTAAGAATGATTAATTCAGCCTGTCCTCGGTTAAGAGACTTTGTGGTTTCATTCGCACCTTTCTTTAGCTGTGAGTAGTTTTGTGCTTGCTGTACAAGCTCTAATAAAGTATTAGTAAGCTTTGCATCAGCGAGAGGATAAGCTCTGGATTTTGGATCAGCCATTTTATTAACATTTTGCTTTGGTATTAAAGTCCTTTTATCCCAAAATTTATCCTATTTATAAAATTATAATAAAAATCGTTTCTATTTATATTTAAACAGTATAGTCATATTTTAGCTCATATTCAGTAGCTAATTATAAGTGCCTTCACCTTTCATGATTTTTCCATTACGTTTTCAATTTAAAATGTCACCCTAACAACATTTATTTAAGAAGCCAATTCGCAATACAAAAATAGCATATAATAATATTAAAACTATTTAAATGCACAATAATATAATCTTATGTCCAAAAGTCTAAAGCCGAGCTCAGAGAAAGCGCAAGAAGAAAATATTCGAATATCCCCTATGATAATTCCAAAGGTGATAAGAGTTGTTAATTGTTATTCATCTCTTATAGAAACAGATGTATTGCCTCCTCCGTTTAGTCTTGACTCAGATCATGAAACTTTGAAACCAAAGAAAAGCTATAAGAAGAAAATTCGTGTTGCCAAAGACTCAGTTGAAGATGCCTATTTAAATAGTGCGCTTGATTTTTTAACCAGCATAGAAACTGCCATTACTCCTGAAAATCAGTCATCAGATGGCAGCGCTTCAGATTATTCTGATCATGGAGAAAATTCAACTATTGTGAGGAACGCAAAGGAGAAACAAAAATCGTTTAAGCATTGTCTAAGTCCTCTGGATATGTCTAGATGACCTCAGATTGACTTGAGTGATGCCCCCACCACAATAAAGAATTCTCCTTTAAAAGACAGTTTAAATCAAGAATTCAGAGAAAAATATCCCTTTTTAGACAGTAGATTAACTCTTTGTAAAATTGTAAGTGTGAGAGAAAACATCATTTTTTGACTCTGCAAAAATTTTGATATTGAGGTCTGCACGATTTCAATAGCTTGAACACTTTTCCAAAGACTTCTCAGCATGAATGTGGTCTCATTTGACTATATAAAGCTCTACGGAGGGATTTGTGTATTATTAGCTTATAAATTTAATGAAGAAACCCATCTAGATATCGCAAAAGAGCAGCTGAGACTAATAATCAAAGCTGTTTGTAATATAGATAAAAACGAGAATTTACAGACAAGAGAGATCGCCAAATGGGAGTTTAAGGTATATTCACATTTAAGCTTCTCTCTTTTGCTTGATCCTGACGAATATGAAGGCAGTTTTAATTATATTCTTGGCAGATTGCATGTGACTGCTGAAGAATACTTAACTGAGTCTCCAAATCTCAACCCCAGAAGTCCTATTATTTAGATAAATTCTACTCCAATTTACTATAATTTTCCTCTTTAATTTAATATAAAAAAAATCTATTTATTATAATCTAAAAGAATAGTTAATTTAATTCTTACTGGGTATGCTTTTTATATTGCACCACTTCAACTAGAATTCTATGCAAAATGGCTTTGGCGTCATTTTCATCCCCATACCCGAATTTAAGTCTTTCAATCTGCTGGGTAACTCCAAGTAAGTCTCCACATTCTCTGATATAATATTCAATATCCCTATCAGAGTACTTATTGGTCAGCTGTGCCAGCTTCACAACTTCACTAGCAAATTCTTCATCAAGATCGAACATATCAAGTGCAGGCGGATTCGGCTCTTTTAGATTAGGAGGAAATACAGCTGGCATTAAGCTTGGCAATGGTGCTTCAAATTGTGGAGGAATCAAGGTAAGCTGTTCATGCTTAACCCCCATTGTCTCATAAAGTTTTCCAGCCTCTGGTACTAAATCAGTGTCAAATTTAAACAAAGACTCATCAAAAAGCTGCCGAAAATTAGCTGAAATATTTTCACTTGTCTGTAAGCATGATTTTAAAGACTCAGAAAGGGAAGCGACATCAGGGATGACGGCTAAGTCTTGTAAATCGTTATCCTCTTCGAGGCCTAGGTCTAGGTCTATGTCTCCTCCTAATAGTCACTTTGTGAGGATTTCCATCAGTTTAAAATTTTCTTCTTTTTCTAGGTAACTGTCAGAAAACATACTGTATGACCCAATAACCATAAGACGGCCTTTTCTGGCCTTTGGTGTGTAAATACCTGCTATAGGCCTATTTAAAGGGTATGAGATAGGCCCACTCGATAAAATCGGGATAGCTGGCTTTTGGACATTTAAAGAAGCTCCATACGGGTACAAAAAAGTCAGTCCTCCATGGTCATCTGTCAGCTCCACCCCTTCATTTTTCAGCATATGCGCCACAAAATTCTGGGCAATGAGACTGCCAGCTTTTGCTTTTTGTTTCCCTTTTGCAAAATTAGAGATTTCTCGGTTAATAATCCCATTAGAAATTGAGTCTTCTTTAGGGTGGAAGTATTTTCTATTGAAGACAGTCCTGATAACTGAGTCATTGTTTACAGAAATCCCGTATTCTTCTAATAAATAGTTCAGATTAGTCCCAAGCTTGGATTCGCCGCCTTCATGGTAAAAAATAAGGACATTTCCCCCGCCTTGGATATAGGTTTTTATAGCTTCAACTTCTTGGTGGCTAAACATCTCACGGGGTGCTGAAAGAATAACAAGGGATGCTTCTGCGAGCGTTTCGATTGAAATTTCTGATTGATTTGTGGAGACTCGGTATTTTTGGCGGAAGTAGGATGCGAGTTTTCTATAGGTGGAGTCAGGCAGGCCGAGCTCTTTTTTGCAGGTGTTGAAAAGGATGAGGCCACTTTGGGAGTTTTCTTTGTTAGCCATGAAAAATATTTAAATTAAGTATGAATGAAATTTTAAACTCAGGGAGAAGGGTAAAGGCTGGATTTTGGCTTGATAGAGAGAGAGATTTGATAGAGGATTTTATGTGATAATATATTTTTTTAATTTATAACTTACTTCTATTTAGAGCAAGTAAGACTTCAAAATAATCCTTCTGTGAGCAGACCAAAATTTATTTTATAGTAAAAAGTACTATTAAATAAATATTAGACTCAAATTTTTACTAATAAATTGTTGGCAGACATAGGGAAAGTTAACATATAAGACTCAATGTAAGATTCCCGCTTAATCATATAGAGTTATAAAAGTATCTATTCGATGATATAATACAAACAAATTCTGCACATCAAAATCTTATTAATATTGGCTGCTAAGCATACTCTCAGTAAAATCTAAAGTCGAGTTATCAATTTCTCTGCTTTCTCTATGAATAAACAAAGGCTTAAATTCTTTTATTTTATACTTTCTATAAGATCCAGGAGTAATTGACGTCGACCTTTTCACATATCCAAGCCCAGTGTTTAATTTTGGCTTTATCGTTAAACTTGTCCCAATATCTGGTGTCAAAATCAAAATTTCTTTTTGGCCACGAGGCCGTGATGCCGTTCTGGCTCGATCTTTTTGCTTTAAGAAGCCCGGTGTTAAATTCATTTTTAGCTTTGCATTAAATCGGTGTCGTGCATTAGATAAGTCTATGCCTAGATCTTGGTTTTGGAAGCTGTGTTTAAAATTAATGAGTTTTGGAGGTAGACGTTGATTTAATGTACTTGATATTGTAGGCATAAATGGTGTTGGGTTGAAAGAAGATTTTGTTTTTCTGTGAGAAAGTAGGTCATGTGCCATTCAGGAATATGAAATTAATTAATAGAAAAATTATATTATAATTTTCATTAGACCACCAGATTCGCCAAAAACAGTCTCTTTTTAGGACACGTCAAAGTCTTTTGTGCTACTTTTCTTGACTGAATACTATAGTTAGGAATTTCAACAAAATTCTCACTTCCTGACGGCAGCAGCTGAAATTTCGTAAAAGTCACCACAGCTCTGATGCTCATCGTGATCGGTATATCAAGTTTAATTAATTGCACTATATTAGTCAGATTTTCACTTGACAAAAATTTATAAAGCTTCATCATTGTTGAGCTTGAGGAGCTTAAAATTTTTAATATAGGCTATAATTTGTTTAACGAAAATGGGAACTCCTAACTAATCCACATATGGGCTTTTGAATTTTTCACAAGGTTTTTATTAATATCACATTTAGCTTCAGCTTGAGGCAGGTAGTCCAACCTGTAAAGCGATTTTCTTTGTTCCAGGTGAATTCTCCATAGCGAACAAGAACTAACTGATAGGTGCCATTAAATATTTATTATTTAGATATTTTGATAGTTATATTAAGCTATAAAATTTGAGATAATTTTAATAATTATTATGCAGGCATTTTAAAAACAGCTTTGCTTTTATAAATAGGTGGATGTGGCAGACTGTGCTCATATATTTTAGTATGCAGCAAATTATTCAGTATTGAACTCAAATGTTTCAGCATGGTACTTCGTGTCTTCACACGAGGTCTACTCCATAAAGACTTTTTTTTTTGGCCTATTTTTTTTTGGCCTATTTTTTTTGGGTCTTTTTTTCTCTCGAGGATAATTCATGAAGCTGCTGAGAGAACTAAATAATTATTGGGTAACGGATGTATTTCCTTACACGATTAATATTGAGTAAATTAAGTGGAAAAATCCTAGCATTATTGGAGTAAGAGATCTGTTAAAGGTGTATTTTATGCTGATAAAATCGTTTAAAATACATTAAAAGTCATATTAAAATCATTAGTATGAAATTAGGCCCAAATATTAGTAAAAAATAGCTAAAAAATGGCCAAAAAAAAGTCCAAAAAAAAGTCAAAACAAAATAGGTCAAAACAAAATAGGCCAAAAAAAATAGGCCAAAAAAAAATAGGCTAAAAAAAAATAGGCCAAAAAAAAATAGGCCAAAAAAAAAAATAGGCCAAAATAAATAGGCCAAAAAAAAATAGGCCAAAAAAACATAGGCCAAAAAAAAATAGGCCAAAAAAAAATAGGCAAAAAAAAATAGTCGAAATAAAATTAGGCGAAAAAAAATAGGCCAAACAAAAAAAAGGCCAAAAAAAAATAGGTCAAAAACAATAGGCCAAAAAAAAATAGGCCAAAAAAAAATAGGCCAAAAAAAAATAGGCAAAAAAAAATAGTCGAAATAAAATTAGGCGAAAAAAAATAGCCCAAACAAAAAAAAGGCCAAAAAAAAATAGGTCAAAAACAATAGGCCAAAAAAAAATAGGCCAAAAAAAAATAGGCCAAAAAAAAATAGGCCAAAAAAAATAGGCCAAAAAAAATTAGGCCAAAAAAAATAGGCCAAAAAAAAAATAGTCTTTATGAGTAGACCTCGTGTGAAGGAACCTGGTACTTAATATGAAACTTATATCGCAGATATATAAAATAGTTAGTTAAAAATAGTAAGCTTGCGCAACAAAAATATCAAAATATTTTAAACAATAAACATTTAAATGCCTTTTTATATTTTATTTTCTGAGCCAAGCCTTATAAATGCAATTAAATGGCAATTAAGTTAAATTTATTTTACCACTTAAACCTTTATGAGCATATTCAAAATGCTACAGGTTTTTTGCATTAGGCTAACTTGAAAACCTGAGTGATTAGCATATCCCTCTCAATTTTCACGAAATCAATGTTTTAGTGCCATTTCTAATTTTTGCAAATAAAATATTTTCAAGAACTTAAAAGTCTCCTATATTAAGACATTGGGCACTTAAAAATTTATTTCGAAATTAATATGAATAAGTATTAATTATGATTCATTTTAAATTAAGGGCATGCAGTTAATCTGATCATTTCTGAATCAAAGAAAAATCACTCTTCGACAGCTAAAATAAATTTCAGATACTTCAACTACCTAATGTCTCATGAATTTATTAGCTAGCTATTAAACTTGTATTTAATTAATTACACTGCATTTAATTGCATAAATTAAAAATCTCTGCTCACACATTTTAATAAGAAAATGGTACTTAGGTCGCTGTGAAGACTTGGAAGAGCAGCTTCCAGGCTCAATTGTAGTGCTTCTCATCATACAAAATCTTTGTCCTTCCTGTCTTGTCAAGCGAGAATGCTCTCTTTTCGACCAATAAGATTTTTTGTTTCGCAATCCAATACTATTGAATCACTTCAAATAAGAGTAGCCCAGCTAGAGAAAGAGCAAGGAGATAATAGCTTAAGCCTAATAAGCCTCTATGATCAGCTTGGAAATGCCTTTATAGGCATGGGAGACTCAATAATAGCAGCCACATATTTTGAAAATGCTATAAAAATCATTGAAAAACAGCAACAAAGAGATCTCGATAGCCTTAAAACTAGATACATAGATCTAGGCTCTATGTATCTAGAGATAAAAGATGCAGGGAAAGCTCTCAAATTTTTTGAAAAATCGTTACAATTAGCCAAAGAAATGCAAGGAGATAATAGTAAAGAAATTGCTATAGCCCTAAATTATTTATCAGTGGCTCATAAGCTTAACACCGACGATGAAAAATATAATGAATGCTTAGATCTAGCTTTACCTTACATGCAAAAAAATATTAATAGTAATGATGCGCAGATAGGTCTTTATTTCATTGTGCGCAGCGAAGCACTCGCTTTAAAAAATAAAGTTAATGAGTCAATTGATTGCTTATATACATCTAGAAAAATAATTGAGCGATCATTGGGGCCAATATCAAATGAGCTTGCTTTAATAGACAGAAATATGGCATTTCTATACTTAAAATTTGGAATGGCGAAAGAGTCTATAGACGCCTTTGAGCGTGCTATCCATGCTTTGCAAACTTTAAAAATTTTTGATGAGAGCCTTATAGAGCTTTATAGGAATCTAGCCTACCTTTACAAACGAATAAATAATTTAAAAAAATCTGACTCCTCCCTCTAAATTTGAACGAAATATTGATAAAGATTCTATTTTTGAGTTTTTTAGTGGAAAAAATTTTTATAGGTGAGAATACTAAGTTTTATGAAATTATTTTGGTATATTTTATGAATACTATTTAAACAGTTTTCAGACGAATCAACTAATTTTTTGAATTAACTCTTAAAATTTATTTATATAAAATTTAATTATAATTTTTTTTTAAAAAAAATACCCTTTAAAATTTAAACAAATATTTTTGGTCGGGAGTAAAGAAACTATAGAAAAAGGAGCAGAAGCCGTTAAAAAGATGAAAGGAGATAAGAAAAAACTTCTCGCAATATACTATAATTTTGTAGGATATGATTTTAAAGTTTTAGGAGATATAGAAACAAGCAAGGAATGCATTCATAAATCATTATAATTATTTGAAACCTTGGAAATAGAAAACACAAAACAGATGGGAATTTGCTACCAAAACTTTTCAATGTATGCTTAAGATTGCAATGATAATGATAAAGCCATAGAATATGCCCAAAAAGCCTTAGAAATCAAACGAGCTACAGGATTTAGCCCTGGCGAAATCGCCAATTCTATAATAGCAATTGGCCAATGGTACATTTTTAAAGGGGAGTTAAATACAGCTGAGTCTTATTTAATAGAAGCCAAACAGTTATTAGAAGATAAAAACGTTAAGGATGAAACTGCTTGAGACTTCTGCTTGACAGGATTTGCACTTTTATACAAAGCGCAAGAGAAAGATGCAGAAGCTCTTGAAACTTTCCAAAAAGTGGTTGAAATCAAGCGCAGGGCTTATGGCGATGTTCATGGGACTTTTGGTGAGGTTTATTCTAGTATAGGGCAACTCTATGAAAAATCAAATCGCATGCAGGAAGCTATTGAAGAGTATAAAAAAGCTATCGATGCAAATATAAAAGCATATGGAAGAGACCATCCAAAAACTTATCAATATCTCAGTCAATTAGGATCTGCTTATAGAACTGTTGGAAAAATTCAAGAAGCTATGGAAGCTCATAATGACGCTCTTGAGATAGGACTTACTTTATTTGGAGAAAATGATTTTAATACTGGATTTATTTATAGCGGCCTTGCTAAAGATTACAGAGATTTGCAATTTTGGGACAAATCAATTCAACTCCACAATAAAGCAATAAATATTTATAAGCAATGCTATGATAGAAATCGAGATTTTGAGCAATATTATTGAAGCGAATTATATTGTCTTGGGGAAACATATGAAGCGAAAGGTGATATTATCAATGCATTGCAAAATTATCCAAAAGTGAAAGGCTTCTATAATGACACATACGGAGAAAATCATGAGTTTGTTGCAGAAATTCAGACAAAAATTGATAGTATTAAAGCAACTTAAAATATATTTATTTTTTTAAAAATAATAGTTCTTTGAGTGAAAGCTTTAAACAATATAAAGCTTTTAGAAATAAGAAAATGCCATAAAATAATTCAGTTAACTTCAAAATAAATATCCTGCCTTGTGATTATCATTTTTTTAGTCCTATATAATTTATAATTTTAGATTTCAACTACCAAAATAAATGACTCAATTTAAGTGAAAGTTTATGAATTAGTAACAGCTTGCAGCACTGCCTAAGTTTTAGATAAGCTGCTAGTGCTCTCGAGTGCCTCGCTCTCAAAATTCTTCAATTTGAAGAAGCTAGATACCAGCCTTTTAAGCATTGCCTTAGCCTATATTTTCTTCGTGTTTGGCTCAAGGCAGGAAATAGAGCGAATTTAAACTAATCCCAGTTGTTTCTACATTGCATTAATAAGTTATTTAAAGCTTAAACTGGTTTATCTTAAATCAACGCTAATGCTGTTTTACAGTAGACATTTTTTAAATTATCAATTTTTAACACTATTTTAAATTATAGATTTAATTTATAAATATTATTTCTCACTCCCCCCCCTTTAAATTGGAGCAAAAGATAGATAAAATTTCCATTTTTTGGGTAAAATTATCCCCCTTTAAATTGAAAAAAATTCAATTTTATAATAAAATTTTTTATAGATAAAAATCATAGTTTTGATATAAATTAAATATTTCTTCTTAACTAAAATTAAAAATTTATTTATATCTTGCTCTTTTTTAAAGAATAGAGTGTAAAGAGTATCTTATTTAAAATAAATTTATTATCCTTAATTGCGAAATTTTAAAAAAATTTAACTTTTTTAGATAAAAATAATATTTTTAATTTAAATAATTTTGATATAAATTCAATGCAAATTCTTTACAAAAAGTGAAAATTTATTTATTTCTTGCTTTATTTTAAAGAATAGAGTATAAATACATCTTATTTAAACAAAATTAGCACTTTGATCGATAAATTTTCTAAAATTTTTTTTTATCAATAAAAATAATAATTTTTGTGTAAATAGTTTTGATGCCAATTAATAGTGGCGTATTAACTAATAATGAAAATTTAGTTATATATTTGCTTTGTTTTAAAGGATAAAGAGTAAATTGCATTTTATTAAACAAATTTTTGATCTAATTCGATAAATCTTTGAAATTTTTATTATAAAAAGTTTTATATTGATTATTTTTTATAAAGCAATTTTCTTAACCCCCTTTAAATTGGAACAAAATTTTTTGTTCCAATTTAAAAGGGGGAGAGTCAAGAGCAAGTGGAATATTTTAAATGATCTATAAGCGTTCTCATTACTAAAATTAGGAGTAAAAGAAATTAGATAGTTTAGCAGCAAATTCGATTAATATTAAATAACCATTCACAGCTATAATTCTAAAATGGTTTTCAGATCTTTGTGCAGATTAGGAAGAATATTGGAATTAATTAATAGAAAAATTATATTATAATTTTCATTAGACCACCAGATTCGCCAAAAACAGTCTCTTTTTAGGACACGTCAAAGTCTTTTGTGCTACTTTTCTTGACTGGATACTATAGTTAGGAATTTCAGCAAAATTCTCACTTCCTGACGGCAGCAGCTGAAATTTCGTAAAAGTCACCACAGCTCTGATACTCATCGTGATCGGTATATCAAGTTTAATAGGAAAAGAGTTAATTGGCACTATATTAGTCAGATTTTCACTTGACAAAAATTTATAAAGCTTCATCATTGTTGAGCTTGAGGTACTTAAAAGTTTTAATATAGGCAAAAATTTGTTTAACGAAAATGGGAATTCCTCACTAATCCACATATGGGCTTTTGAATTTTTCACAAGGTTTTTATTAATATCACATTTAGCTTCAGCTTGAGGCAGGTGGTGCTCGAAATTGCTGGACTCAGAAAAATCTGTGCCTAATATTTCAAAGTATCGGTTTTCAGATAATGGGACTTGCTCTACCCCTTTTTTCTTATACTTAAATAATGCTTTAAAATCCACTTTGAATTTCTGGGAGTTTCATTGGCTTATTTTTGTTTTAACCGGTTTTCCTCTTCAAGATAAACAAGGCTCGACTGTATACGAAATAAAAGATAAATCTCCTTGTATAGGCTCAGATTTCAAAATATCTCCAATCACCGCTAACTTTTCTTCAGGGTCGATATCTTCAAGAGGGTTAACAAGAGTTTTTTTGGAATGATTTGCGACGATTAAATCGGTCACTGAATTTCTCTTATCACCTAGAGCGTTATTTTTAAAGAAAAATGACATGTTTCTTCGCTTAGATTTTAATTTTTTTCACCCTACAAGAGTTGTGTCGAGCCGAAAGGATTTTCCGACTTTTCAGAGCTTGCAGGTGTCGTTAGGAGTGAAATGGCCGATAAGTGGAATGACCTTGCTGTCGAATTCTCACTTGATTTCTAAATAAAAATCAGGGAGGCTTTCGAGTGCTTCTAGGGCTAAATGGCGATTGATTTCTCATTTTTTCATTTTTTCTTCGTGGAAGTATTCGAATAAAATTCCAACGATTTCGCTGTTTTTCTGAGCCACTGCTTCGTCCATAACACTTCAGCCATTATGATCTTTTATATGTGGATCGGCACCGCTTCTAACGCGCTCATAGTTAATTTTTTTATATTTTAAGTATTTTAATTGATTTTTACATGTTTCTGATAAAAATTATTTTTTTAATTTTTAGGCCAAGCACAGGAGAAGTAAGAAGTAGGCGGATGATATCAATAAAATCTCTCTTCGATTGAGCTAGCTTAATTGCTAGCATTAGAGGTGTATTTTCATGATGATCTTGGAAGTTAATTATTTCTGGCAGATTCAGAGGTTTGCAGTTAATCAACTCTCTAACTCTCCACTCAGATAAAATTTTTTTTGCTTATGCAGGGAATTTTATTAATTTTTTATAAATTTTATTTATCTATATTTTAAGAAATCCAAAATTAATAATTATACTAAAATTTAATAGAAATTAGCTTACTCCCCCTCCGTGAGTGAACAAAAAAATTTTGTTCACTCACGGAGGGGGTTAATTTGTTTTTTTAAAAAAAATTTATATATAAATTTTATAAAAAAAATATTTTTTTTCTAAATTTAAAAAAATCCTAATTCGCAAAAATTGGAAGGCAAATATTAATTTAATTTATAAAATTTATAATTTAAAGAGCAATTCGTTTAAAATTAAATAGAATTAGCTCTAGATTTTATTATACTAATTATCATTTATATATCAAAAATTTTTTTCCATAAAAAATTTTTCTATTAAAACAATTTTTGTTCACTCACGGAGGGTGGGTTTTTGGGCAAAAAATGGTGATTTTTCTAATGGTTTTGTTCACTCACGAAGGGGGGGGGGAGTTAGTTTTTATTAAATAAAACGAAATATATTTTTACTCTTGTGAATGAGTAAGCATTTTCAGCTCGCACCGATATATCATTGCATGAATATAATAGGGATGTGATGAAACAAGTGAATTGAGCTTAGAATTTAGCCGCTTATGGTGTTTTTTGAATATTTTATGATGCTTTAATTTTGGAAAAGACAGCACTGAGACATCTGTAATAGCATGGTCTACAACTTCTGAGTCAGGGACTTCCAGGTCACTATCTGATATAGAAGTAAGATTATTGCTTTCAATTTCATTGTGTAATAACTTTTCGCTGTTTGCAAGTGTTCGAGAACTTGGTACTATGCTCGAATCCCAATCTTCATAAATCAAGCTCATTCTCTTTTTTCTTATATTTAAACTCAGTATATAATTATTTGAATTTTAGATTCAGATGAAATCAGTCAATAATTTAAAGCTAAATTCCCTGATTTCTATAAGATTAGATTAAAAGTTAGAATGGGTTTTCGGGGTTTATTTCAGCTCCTCTCCGCCTTTGCCAACTTCAGGCTTTCCACCTTAAGCATCGGGCTGCGCTTACGCCATTTTCTGTTGACGGCACAAAAAATGGTGACTTCAGCATCTCTGGGGAGGAGACTCTCCATTACCCTTCGCATCCAGAAATGTGGAATTGTCATGTGGACTCTAATCGGCTTGTCTCTAAGTCAAGGCAAAAACTCTTTGCTGTGTCCCTAGGAATAAAAACCTACCCCAACACAATTTCCAGGCCCGTCCCTCTTAAACCCACAAATGCCCTGAGGGTGTAGTAAAAGGACAGACTGGATAAATCACCAATTTATTTGTGTAAATTTCTATAAGAAGACATTTATTTTATACATCAGACACTAAACGTCTGGTTATAATTTTTTCTAATTTATATCAGCTATAAATAATTTAAATCTCTATAAATATTAGAAAATAATCTTAATTAAATTCTTATTTCTGATCTTGAAAATGATGAGGCTCAGCTCCAGTCGGAGGATAATAAGTCGCTACCCCAAGTCCAAATTGCTGTGACTGCAAATTTTTCTGTCTCACAGGATTTGAGTTCTTCCATTCTTGAAAATTCGGGATTGGCCTGCCTTGATATTGAAAATCATGTATAAAATGGCAGTTATCTCCTCTTTCACAACCTTCACCAGAATGAAACTTTTTGCATGGCACCGTTCTGTAATTTTGTGGTTTTTTAGTGATAGGATTAAACAAAACTCTTTTTTGTGAAGAAAACAAGTTATATGGATCTACAGGGCTCATTCCTGGCATTTGATTAAAAACTGGCTGAGGAGGAATCGGCTGCATTTGTGGCATTATTGGCTGCATAGGAATAATTGTAGGCTGCCCAGACATAGGTGCCATCATAGGTCTTCCAGGCATCTGTGCCTGAGGCATCATCAGTTGTGACTGAGGAATTAAAGGTTGTGACTGAGGCATCATAGGCTGTGGTTGAGGCATCATAGGAGGATGCATCATATGTGTAGAAATATTTGGCATTGAGCTTGGAGGCGCTGGAGGCATCGGAGGTAGCAAAGGAATGTTAAACAGCGACGCTCCAGGATAAGAAGGAACTGGCTGTGCTGGAGGAGGCTGCACATATGGATTAAAATATTCATTCCCTCCTATTTGTGTACCTAAATCAATTATCGCAGGAGGGTAAGAACCAGGCTATTTAGTTTTTACTTTGAATAAAGGTATAATTTGGATATCATTATTGTAAAAAGCATTATTGTTTTGCTGAGCAGGGTCTCTAGGAACCACTGGGATATCGTTATCTTTCTGGTAAATAACTCTTAGCATGGCTTTCTCACGGTTCATCTGCTCGCTGGCTTCTCCGCTTTCTGGCTTAGCATGTTGTGAATTATTAATTTTGATTCCTGCATATTTAATACTGAAAAGACTGGTATAATTTATTCTAGGCGCCATATTCGCTAGCGTTATTTTCAGCTGACTTGACCGTTCTTTTTCCTGAATTTCTTTTACTTTTCGGTTCAGCTCGCGTTCCATTTGGGTTTCTCGTCGTCTGAAGTCTTCGACGTTCAGAGTTCGCGTGTCTTCTAGCTCGCTTGGGCGGTCTTGAGGTCGAAATGATGCACATTTTGCAGAGGGTTCGTCGTTCTTATAGAAGTACTTGACACTCTCCAAACGTTCTTCATCGACCCATCTATTACAATTAGTCTTAGTCCATTTAAAGTATACTTCATTTATTTAATTTTTTATTTTTAACACCTTAACACCCTAACACCCTGGAATATTTATCTTAAAAAAATATATTAACATACCTCACTTTTTTCTTAATAGGAGTATTGTCGTCGATAATGTCCATTAAAGGTTGCGCCACATATTGTGGAGGAGATTCAATAGGTTTTTCTTGAGGAGGACTCGCTGGGATATAGACCTCCTCAATGTTTTCAGAAGTTTCTATTTTTTCTTCGATTTTTTGTCTGTGTTATACTTACTTCTTCGGCAATGGAATTTTAGTTTCTTTGCTTTTTGGCTTTGAAGGTCGCTTGGGCTCTTCAGGGGCTATCACATTTTTTTTCCATTTAGATACAATAGTTCCTGCCTTGGCCTGGATGCTTGCATCAGGGTGCTTGTGTAAGCTATTGACAATTTTCCCGATTTCTGTTTTGTCAAGGATTTCTAAAGTGATATTGAGCTTGTTCAGGCACGATAATGAGCTATGAATCACTTGCTTGTCCTCCTGCTCCAAACTGTGTTTGTGTTCTTTTAGTCAGTTCCCTAATATTTCGATTCCACCCAGCTGAATAAACCTGGTCAGGGTGGCCTTGTCGTTCTGAGGTGTTTTAAGCAAAACTTGGAGAAGAAACTCTTTGCCTTCGGTGTTTACTGTTTCTTTCATCAAATCTACCAGTCTGCCGACCCATCTGGTTTCTCCTAGTCCTCCACTTGGTGATAACATGTCTCTGAGCTGACTTTCAAGCTGAACAACTGCAGCAGATCGCTTCATATCCACTATTTTTATTACCATTTATCGCCCGCGATTTATGTCAATTATAATTCTATCAGAAGTAAAATTCAATGTGATTAGTTATCTAAAATTTAAACACAAAAGCTTATTTTATGCTGCATCATTCTATCTTGCGCTATAAAAAGAGTCACTAATTATATAAAAATTCATTAATCAGAGTCTTAAAGCATTAATAGCGATATGAAGTTATGTATTTGCAAGAATTGACAGAAAAAAATTAGTAATTATTTTGAAAATAATTTATAAACATCTGTGTCTTTGTAATTAATTCTAAAAAATTCCAATCACCTTTAGGAAAAACTGCCTTTAGAGACTCTAGTTGCTCTTTTGGGTCTGATGAATCTAAAGAGTTGTTTATGATTTCGCTTCAAAATAGATTAAATGACTGATAAATTTCAAGTGATGCTTCTTTTTGTGCTTCTTTTGGATTGAATATGTATTTGTTATTTTCAAAACATTTGTATGTATCTTTAATAGTATTTCTCAATTCAAGAGCTTGAGGCTCAATTACGTCGTGAACCACTGTTCGTCCTCCTTGGACTCTTTGGTTTATTTTTGGCTCATCAAGCATAACAAAAATAGTGTTTACAAGATCATGACGAATTCTTCAGCTTATATTTTGTATCCCAGTTATTATAGGAACTGGCGAATCAAGAAGCTCTACTAAAGAGTCAGGAAGAATCGGAATAGTTACATTGGACCATTTCAATGGTCTCAGCATCGCTAAAGCTCCAAGCACACAAGATGTGACCAGCCCCAAATTTTCAGACACAAAAACAATCGATTTTTCCTGTGCTAATGCAAAAATCAGCCACAAAAAGTCTTGTAATGTAAGTGAAGAAAATAACGGAATGCACAGTCATGGGACATCAATCGTGCTAAGATCTCCACAGCAGTACCAAATTTCAATTAATCCTACCTGGATTGAAATTTCTTTGCCTGGATGAATTTCGTCGCATTCCCAATAGTATCTTAACAATTCCACTTCATTTTCACATATTAAAGGCAAACTTTCTATCGGATTTTCTGATCTACTCATTCCTTTTAATTTTAATAAAGAAAATAAAATTTCAAAATGAAGCTCAAAAATAGGAATATAACTAGCAATACAATAGCATTTTGGCACCAGCCAGCCTAATTCGTTATTTTCTCCCATTTCAATATCATCTATCTGCACACAAAGTATATATAAAGCGTCTTTCGAATAATTCGGAATCCCTCTCCATACGTCAATATCTTCATATTCTTCAGACCGTAATGTAAAAATATAACAATTTGGCCTTCTATTTGAGGCTTGGCTGAATAAAATCGATGCATATTCAGATGATTTTGCAAAGGTCAGCTGGGTCATTTCAATTTGTGAAGGAAAACAAAAATCAGGGATTACGTGCCTTATAGCGTCAGATATAGAAGAACTTTCTTCAGGGTACTCAAATAATATAGAAGGTTTTACATTAGGATTCCCTAGATCTGATTTTGTGACGCCAACGAGAAAGAAAGCTTCATAGATGCCGGGGTCTGAATAAGCGTCAGCTATTCCTTCATCTGCATTGGCAGGGGAAGGCTTGTCAGACATTTTGTGAATTGGAGTTAAGCCTGAAGGACTTGAGATGGGAGAATTATGGTCTTCTCCTCTGAGAGTTGAAAAGAGAGAATTGATGTTTGGCCGCCGTGTGAAAATGGTTTTAGCGAAGTCATTTATTGCTTGGGATGATAGTTCTGGAGGGGAAAGTTCTTGAGAATTCCTTATTCCCTCTGTTTTTGGGGGAAATAATTAGTGGATAAAAATTATTTATTATAAAATTAGCTTTATGGAATATTTCGAGATTTATCGGTTTTTTCTGGGATAGCCCATAAAGCTGTCATTGGCTCATGGGGTTTAATTTTAGGTCAGACAAAAAATGCCACTTCGTGGGAAATCATGGCCTTACGGGGCTATTCATAGCAAAACCCATAATAATTTTAATTAAAGCTTCAACCATTTTTGTCAATTTTAGATAGCTTGATTCTAAAACATAAATTTTTTGAACTTGCAAATAAGTGATCATTTTAAATTATTAGCAGAAAAATCATTAATTTTAAATTTAATAAAATAAATCCCCTCTGAGCTAGCATCTTCTTTAATTTTTTGGTTTCTCTACGCAGTGATTTGATTTGTTCAGCATCTTGCAGCCTTCCTTGTAGTGACAGTTCGTAGTTTTGTTTTAACAGATTGTGCTCATTTTCCAGTTGATGATATTCCCTTGAAAGCTGTCTATATTTATTTTTCCAATATTCTTTACGATCTCCTTCCATCTTGATAAAATTATAATTTTTTCTTGGAAGTCTTTAAAATCGTTTTGTTTAATTTAAAAGTCTGATCAAAAACAAGTCTTTTAAATTATATAATTAATATATAAATTTTGAATTGGTTTATTACTACTTGCTATCATTTTTTTGAATTATCTACTTCAATCTACCGTTGAAGCCGCCCTGGAGAATCAATTTTCTCACAAGCAACAAACTTAGGGAGGCCTTAAAAGGAGCCACTGGAAAGACACCAACGCCAAAGTTGTGGCTTCAACCGGCCGCCAACCTCGCTAATTTGACTGTGTTCCAATTAAAGATCCATTCTCCTCGAGTGGTTTAGATGGAAAATCACTATGCCTTCCATTTTCCTGGAACCAGAAGTCCAGCTGTACACCTCTAGCTCTTTTTTTAACAAGGTATATTTGGGACAGGATTCCCTGTAAAAGCCGCTCCTCATGATCAAATATTGGTTTAGGGAGATATTGATCTCAACAGAATGCCATATTTGAATATGCAGTGTTTATTACAATTATAATTAGTTTTATATAAAAAAATAGCAACTGCGGTAAAATTTTAAAAAAAATTCCAGCAACTCGGCATAAAAAAGGTTTTGAAATTAATTATTTGCAAATTCAAAATGAAGCTAATAGAAAAACATTGGTTAAAATGGTGATTTTGCATATTAGAATTAATTTTTGTATTGGCAATGCTAGATTCTCGTCTTAAAAGGCTCAGGACAACTTTCCAATTAAAATGTGACACTTCAAAGATTACTTTAGATTCCACAATAAAAGGAACCCCACGGACCGCATCTGAAATTTTCCCAGACCTCACACCAGCCACATCGTCATTTATACCAGAAACCCCTAAAACCGCAAAACTTGACGGCCACGAGTACATGAAAAGGAAAATGTTCAAAAGAAAAACAATTGAGCCTGATTCCTTTGGTGATATAATTAAAATATGGCGTCTTCGTTTGGGCATGGCCTCCCGGCCATGTATACTCGACTCATATTTTAATTATATCCGGCAAGGTTTTGCATTTCAGAAACGGACGGCAATGCTAGGTAAGCAATTCTGGTTGTGCTCAGAGCCTAGCCCAAGTCTACTTTCGGGAATGTTTTTTCCTCATGGGAAAGGAGGCACGCAAGTTGGAAAGGGAAGCTCAGCCAGTCCGTTAGGACCAATCGGGCAACTCCCTAGCGTGAAACTGGGCGTTACGTCCCAGGCTTCGTGTTTTTCCTTTTTGCCGAAAGCCTACCAGAAAATCCATTTTTTATGGATTTTCGGAATGGCAACCCATGTCCTCAAGCGAAGTAGCTCAGGCATGAGCCGCCTTAGTCGGCAACACTGCTCCGGAGGCGCGTACTGGAGATCGAGGCTGACTGGCCCCAGACGGTCGGCGGCCCTATGCGGCGAAGAAGCAGCGGGAAGCTCTGGGAGGGGTTACCCCGTGAATGGCGTTAAACACAGAACCTAATAAGTTAAGTTAAGATTCCTTTGGTGATAGCCACATGCGAAGTTTAAAACGCAAACTGACTGTACTAGAAGAATTCGGATTGCCTAATGATATAGTTGTCAAGCCAGGTCTAAAAAAATTTGACTCAGAGTCCTCAAATGGCCTATCACGAAGATCAATCACCATGGCCGATTTCTGGGGAAATAAAGTTGCACAAAGCCTTCTATCGTCTCCAAAACTCAGACAAGCAGCCAATACCCTTAAGCATAAATATTTAATACAAAACCGAGCTACAGAGCATTCTTTACTTTACCCGAACCATCCCCGCAAAATGGACATCAGCACAGTCATCAGAGTCCAAAATCCAAACAGCTCTAATTCTCCAGTAAAACAGGAAATTCATAAGCCGCTTAAAACAGAAACTACCGAGCCTGTTTTCCATACTGCGAAAAGAATGAAAAAGCATAGAGAACTTTCTGCCATATACCAAATTATGAAAAGCTGCGACGACCTGTATAAAGCAAGCCAAGAAAATTTCCAAAAATTGAATACTCAAAATTCAGAAGAGCCGAAAATCAAAAAATTACCAAGAAGGGATAAAGAGCAAATAGAGCGATTTAAAAAATATTTGGATTAATGTTTAATTAAACGATTAGAATTTTTTTAACACTAATTTTGGTATATTTGATATTTCTGGTTAAATTTTTGAAAACAAATTATAATAAAATTTTGATTAAATCTCAAAATACGAATTTAATGCTGGTTTTCCTCTGCATCTTCTTCGCCTTTCAATTGGTTTATTTCATGTACTTCGTTCATGGGCTTACTGGCTTTGGTTCTCAAGGCGCCAGCAGCTCCTGCTGCGACCATCGTGCCTATGAGTGGAGCAAATGCATAAACCCAGAGATGATCCAGGACTGAATCGTCTCCTGTATGAATATAGTGGATAATATTAAGTGTAATACACTGCGTTGGGTTAAAGCAGGCTCCTGAAATCGGATGAGCCATGTTCGCCATAACCCATACAGTAATAATGACTGAAAAAATTGCAACCCAGTGAGGGTCTTTCCAAGTCTTCAAGTCTTTTATAATCATCAAAGTCAAAATCAATTGACCAGTTCACACTACTTCACTCCCCCCCCCCTTTAAATTGGAACAAAATTTAATTTTATAATAAAAAATTATATATAATTTTTATCTAAAAAGTTTTGATATAAGTTAAATGTTTCTTCTTAGCTAAAAATTAAAAAATTTATTTATATCTTGCTCGTTTTTAAAGAAAAAAGTATAAAGAGCATCTTATTTAAATAAATTTATTATCCTTAATTGCTAAATTTTAAAAAAAAATTAATTTTTTTTTTAAAAATTTTCAAAAAAATTTTGTTTTTTTTGATAAAAATGATATTTTTTATTTGGATAGTTTTGATATAAATTCAATAGGAATTCTTTATAAAATTTCAAAATTTACTTATTTCTTGCTTTATTTTAAAGAATAGAGTATAAATAACATCTTATTTAAACAAAATTAGCACTTTGATCGATAAATTTTCCAAAATTTTTTTGTTTTAATATTTTATCAATAAAAATAATAATTTTTGTGTAAATAATTTTGATACCAATTAATAGTGGCGTATTAACTAATAATGAAAATTTAGTTATATCTTGCTTTGTTTTTAAAGGATAAAGAGTAAATAGCGTTTTATTAAACAGATTTATTGATCTAATTCGATAAGTTTTTGAAATTTTTTTTTGTTGAAATTTTTTTATATGTTTTATAAAAAATTTTATACTGATATTTTTTTTAAAAAAAAAATTAACCCCCCTTTAAATTGGAACAAAATTTTTAGTTCCAATTTAAAGGGGGGGGGAGTCAGTGAAAAATGCCTGGGCTTTGTCTTTATCAGGATTAATCAAAATTGCTAAACCCCCTCCGTGAGTGAACAAAACCATTAGAAAAATCGCTATTTTTTGCCCAAAAGCCCACCCTCCGTGAGTAAACAAAAATTTTTTAAAGAAAAAATTTTTGATATATAAGTGATAATTAGTATAATGAAATCTAGAGCTAATTCTGTTTAATTTTAAAAAAATTGCTCTTTAAAACATAAATTTTATAAATTAAATTAATATTTACTTTCCAATTTTTGCGAATTAGGATTTTTTTTAAATCCCAAAAAAAAATATTTTTTATATAAAATTTATATATAAATTGTTTTAAAAAAAAATATTAACCCCTTTCCGTGAGTGAACAAAATTTTTTTGCTCACTCACAGAGGGGGGAGTAAGGTATCTCCTTCGACTGCCCAGCCGATCAGTCCACCTACCAAGTAGCCTAATATTTGAGTCATCATACAAAGGACAGTCTCAAGAGACTTAGTCCATGGATGATGAGTTTGGTTCAGCTCTCTGAAAAGACTGGCAAGACTGATGCACGGATTGAAGAAAGCAGCCCCAGCAGCTACGACACACATAAAGAGTCCCCATACAACCGCGATCCCGTTCCCTCCTGAGACATAAACAATGAAAGCCATCATCAAAGAGCCGTGAAATTCGACCATAGGCTTTAAATACAACTTCCCCATTTACTTATTATAAAATCCATTCCTAATTTTAGCTGATTTGGTAAAATATCAAACAAATATTATTGATCATTGAAAAAGATAAGCAAATATCTACTTTGCCAGAATTGTAGTTTAAAAATATTGAAGGCTTTTTAAATGTGTCGGCTACTAAAAATAATTGTTATAAATAAAATTATAAAATTTCAAGATATTGGACAGTTATTCATCCTTTGCCATTTTCTTAATCCTTTTAAGCAATTTTGTAGTCAAATATTGCCTCCATTTATTCGAATAATGCATCTGATAGGAATCAGTAAATGCGGCTGCTTACATGATTTCAATAGACAGGCAATTAAAAATTAATTTTTATTGAAAATGCAAGAAGAATAAGAAATTTGTTTAGGGAAAATATAGAGTTCAGAAATTAAAATTTTAATCAAAGATCATCGTGAACTATGGTAAGTCATCATAGAATTTTATTAAAATCAGACAAATGCCTCATGAAATCAGATTTCATATTCGTCATCGTTTTGTCATCATATGAAAATGTATAAAGTCTCAGATTGCAGTTAAAAAAGTCATCAATAGGCAGTCCGCCCGTTTTTATCTTCATTGCTAAGCGGATAAATCAAGGTTTTTGATTCTCGCTATTCTCAGTTCATTTTGTGGTAAATAATTATTATAAGCTAACTAATATGGAATCATAATTAGCTTTAAGAAATAATTTAGACTTAATTAATTATACAGTCTAGATTTAATTTAAGCATTTCTGTCTCATTTAGAATTAAAATAATAATTTTTGGCTCGAAAATTAATTTATGACTGAAAATTTTATTAATTTTTTTATTGGTCTTTTAAGCGCCTTAGACTCATTTCATGTCTTATTTCTAAAGTAATTGATCTAAATAAAGTATTGGCCCTTGATTAATTTCTTTATGACCTTTTAAACTCTAGATCAAAAAAACTTTTAAAATAGCTTTAATTATTTCTAGCTCTTAGCATAAAATTTTCTCACTTGGCACATAATCTAATAAGTTTGCATCAATTTATTTTATATTTTTAATTTAAAATAATTTATCACTTCTTTCCTCAAATTAGAAGAGCAAATTTCATATTTCCAAATATCTCAAAATCAAAAAATCCCTACAATTAGCATCTCCCTATAAATAAATAGTAGCGGCTCTGCCATTTAACTGAGTTTTAGAGCCCATTAGCGGTTTTCATTGTAGCCTGTGCTACAATTTAAATGCTAATATCATTTTTTGTCCATTAACCTCACATTGGCCCTTATAATTTAATTATCAAATTCCCTTTAAATACTTTCATCTTAAAATAAAAACAAAATCATTAAAATGAAATCACCTGATCACTCGATGAGATCACAGAACCCTCTAATGCGTGACGGGCATTTGCCTATTCCTTCAAAAGATATAAACCACTCAGGCGTTGAAAACAGCTCGTCATGCCACTCAGAAACTACTTGACAGCGGAAGCAGTTGAATGTGAAATTTTATTTGTGTTATTATTGCTTATTATCAGTATGTCTCGGAAATTCCCTTGTTTATTATTCAGTTTACAACTCCTCTGCAAATTTTTTATTCCTTAATCCCCCTCCGTGTGTGAACAAAACCATCAGAAAAATCCCTATTTTTTACTCAAAAAACCACCCACCGTGCGAACAAAAATTTTTCATGAAAAAAATTTTGATATATAAATGATAGTAATTATAACGAAATATCTAGCTAATTCTGTTTAATTTTAAACAGCTCGCATTTTAAAACATAAATATCAACAAAAAAAATTCTATAATATATTTTTTAAAATACAAATTAACCACCTCCGTGAGCGAACAAAATTTTTTTGTTCGCTCATGGAAGGGGTTAGCATAATCCTCCTTATCGGAAGCATTTTATTTAGCTTGGCGATCATGATAATGGAGGTTCGAATTGGCTCAAGCCATATGAATAAATATATGTTAAATGAAATGGTTTACTTATTTGTAGGACTCTCCATAGTGTTTTCTGACCCGAATATAGTGGAGATTTTGATACAAACAGACAAACATCACGAATCCTTTGTGACGAGTTTTATGTTTTTAATGATTTTAGGGGTAATCGCCCACAAGAATTTGGCAAGAAAAATCCGACAATTCATCGAAGTAAATGTGCTTCTTGGACTAATTACTTTCATATTGAATATGTTTGGAGAATTACAAAAAGGGCAAACAATTTTCCAATTCATTTTGTTTATTTTATTGACTTTTTATTTAGCAACTGAGCTGCAAAGTGTTGAATCCAATAGCATGAAGCTAGCCCCTGATAAGAGCGATGAATCCATAATGCTACATGAACATTTGGAGCAAAGATCTAAAAGCCTCAACGAAACAAAAGACCTAACAGTCCCTAGATCAGCTAATACAACTATTGAAGAAATTGTATCATCTCTAGTTAAATCTTTTGATTTACTTTCTGAAGTTAATTCTCAAGATATATCAGTTCGCGAAAGTATCCAAAAATCGTCTCAAATCATTCTTAGTGCCCTTGAAACCTTATCTCCCCCTCCGTGAGCGAATAAAAAATTTTGTTCGCTCACAGAGAGGGTTATTTTATTTTTTTAAAATTAGCATAAAATTTTATTTTATTATTTTTCGAAATTTAAAATATCCCAATTTACAAAAATTGGAAAGCAAATGTTTATTTAATTGTAAAATTTATGTTTTAAAATGCAATTTATTTAAAATTAAACAGAATTAGCTAGAAATTTCATTATACTAATTATCACTTTTATATCAAATTATTAAAAAAAATTTTTGTTCTCTCACGGAGGGCGGGTTTTTGGACAAAAAATAGGGATTTTCCTAATGGTTTTGTTCGCTCACAGAGGGGGGGGAGTAAGGACTTCTTCTAATGTATATTCCACAAATTTAAAAAATATAACAAAAAATTTAGATGAGCAAGATAAAATGTTTATAGAACAGTCTTTTATTGACGCAAATAAAAGTGCAGGCTCAATGCATTCTTCTCCACCAGTGACTAAAAGAAGCCATAAAGACCCTCTTTATACGACAGAATATGGAGTTCCAGAATTAATGGGAATTTTAATACAGATTGGAAAAGATTGGAATTTTAATACATTTTTGATTGATGAGTGTACTAAAGGAGCCCCACTTTTATGCTGTGGTGTTTATGCATTAAGAAGATATGGACTTGATGAGATTTTTAGCATCACAGACCAAAGCTTGAAGACACTATTACAAACATTAGAGTCAAAATATTATAAAAATCCTTACCACAACTCGTGCCATGCAGCTGATGTTATGAATTCCTACTTGTTTTTAATCCAAGCTTCTCAGCTGGTTGACGAGATGAGCAGCTTAGAGCTGATTTCAGGAATTTTAGCAGCATTGGCTCATGATGTAGGCCATCCTGCGAAAAATAATAGATTTTTGATAATGAGCAACGACGATTTAGCTATACAATTTAATGACATAAGTGTGCTAGAAATGCTTCATGCGTCTACATTTTTTAAAATTTTGAAAGCTCAAGAACCGTGCTTATTTAAGAGTCTGCAGCTTGAAAAATGGCACCAAATGAGAAAGTTAATTATTGAGCTAATTTTAGCGACTGATATGGGAAAGCATTTTGAGCTTATGGGGTATTTTAATTCAAAATATTTAAGTATGAGCGAACTCCCAGAGCTTTCGGACCCTGAGTTTAGACTAGACCAATATAAAATGGCTATTAAAGCAGCTGATATTGGCCATGCAGCGAAATCAGTAGAGCTCCATCAAAAGTGGTGTGGGCTAGCAATAAAAGAATTTTTTGCACAAGGAGAATTAGAAAAGTCATTAGGAATTCCTGTTTCTATGTATTGTGATAAAGATACAACAGATATTTCTAAATCACAAGCTGGGTTTATCAAAAATATAGTTTCACCTTTGTTTATGGCTTTAATATAAATAAAATGGCATTCGGTTAGAGAGAAATTAGCTTTGCTAATTTTTCTCTCCCTCATGGAATTTTATTTATAGGGTTAGGTTTTCACTCGAGAACTTCTGGACAGCAATAGCGGTTTAACTCTGGGGATAACCAGAGGAACTGCTCCTCAGTCCTCTCAAGATTTCGGGCTTTTACCTCTCAGCACATCCCCACGGGAGGATGACCCTTAGGCGGAATACGCGCAGGAGCTGAGTCGAGCGACAAGAGCGACAAGAGCGACGGCATCGCGCCGGGTGAGACATGCAGCAAGGCTGGTGAAGCAGGAGTTGATAGAAGGCTTGGCCAGGGCTGACCTGTTCCAAGATGGCTCGCCTACGTCACTAGTTTTTGCCATAGGCCCTTTTGGGCTGCGGCACTAGACACCTTAAACACCAGATAATTAAGTTAAGTTAAGTTAAGTTAAGTTAAGTTAAGTTTATGGCTTTAAATAAAGTTATGAATTCTCAAAGTATTGAAGATAACTGTATAGCTCAGCTAAAAATAAATGAAGGGTTTTGGAATTCAAAAAGGTCTTATAAGCGGGTGCAGGTCAAATGACTTTGTTTTTTTGATAGTGTCCATTTCACCGAAAAATTTTTGGCCGAAAATAATCAAAAATTTTTGTTAGTGAGACATTTGACGGAAAAAAATCATTAGTATTAGGCCAAATGTCCGCATTATCAAAAAATTTTCGACCAAATGGATTTCGATGAAATACACACTGTCAAAAATCCACGGTCATTTGGCATGGAGTCCTTATAAGCAGTATCAAACTGTCCTCATGCGTAAAGACGAAGAAAATGAAAAATCCAGATTCGATGGCCTCGTGAGTCGCAGTCAAATATTTAGGCACTCAAACTTGGCTGAAAAATATCTTTCATAAAAATTTTCAAATAATTAAATAGCTTGTTTATAGTAAACAAAAATAAAAGAAATCATTTGTAGTTAATTATAAAAAATATGCGACAAGAAATTCTTTATTTCTCCTATTAAATAATCTGGATGTGTTATTTTATTGATTGTATGTCTAAAATATGAATCGAGTTTTTTATATTTTTTGAAATTTGATTTATTTACAAATTTTATATTAGTTAGTGCACAATATGTGATAAAATTATTTATCATGTGTAGCTAGATTTACCCAATTTAGCAAGCCATTATAAATTTAAATTTTATCTGGTTTGCTTGGATTTTTCTCTTCTGTTGCACTTGTTTCTGTACTTTTGACTTTATTACACAGAGTGTAATAGATTCCCCAAGCAAAATAATAAAAAAATCCTGAAACCTCAAGAATTACTAAGGGTTTATTCAAATATAAATCAGAAATAGCAAAAATAAGAATAAAACAAGTCAATAGCACAATAAATCCAATTGCTAACTTAACAAATGCCTTGAAAATATTTTCTAACTTACTTAAATAAGGAGAGCTTCCTAAATGCGCTATTGTACAAAGAACTATTGTTCCTATTGTAAGCATCAAATACATTCCATGCAAAGAAAATGCCACAACAATTCCAGCCCTTACATCTAAAAAGGGATGATCCGCTTTACAATCATCTGTATCTACTAATAGCACTGGCATCATATGGCTACAATAATACAGCGAAATAATTCCTTTTGTAAAGAAAAATCGTTTTTTATTAATAAATTTTTGTGCTCTAGAGCTCAGTCTAATTAAAAAAATTCCGATTTTGTTCAATGTTGCTAATACAAAATTGACTGACATAAAGGCTTCAATATTATTGAGATCGTAAGTGTCGTCATCACAATTACTGATGTTAATTAATACAAATATTGCTAAAATAGCGCTTGCAACGATTAATCCAATGTCAATAAATCCTCGCAAAAAAGCTAATTTTGTGCATTTTAATTGAATATGTTCTGGTTTTGAAGGGTTGAAAAACTCAAGGTTGAGAGAACGGAGAATGGATTCGTGCTTTGATATATTAGATGGCTTGGGACCGGCTGGGTTTTTATTTTCGTCCATATTATAGTAGGTGACTTTATATGGCTTGGGATTACTGAGAATATCTAAGAGCTTAGGGAACTTGGAGTGCGATTCTGAAAGACAAAATAACGCCTCATAGGAAGTATTCACGATAGGCTGAGTTTCAAATTAAATAAACTTGATCTAAACTGAAAGATATTATAATTATAGCCTGAATCTTCAGATGACTTGGGCTATACCTCAATGATATATAGAACTCTTTGTGAATTTCATTAATTTTTTACTTTGAACTTTTTTGTGAGGAAGTCTTGCATGTTTCAATCAATTTTGCTATTTTGAGTTATTTTAACTGAAAAATAAGCGGCATGTTATTAGAAAAGCCAGAAGAATTACTATTTTTATAGCAGAGCATCTAATAATTAAAGAATGCATTTACATAGATTTTTTAGTGTTAATCTAAATTAATTAGCTTTTAAAAGTTATATTGATATTTAATATTGGGCTTGTTGATTAATTAAATATGATTTTTATTTATTTATACAGATTCTTTTACTCTTGCAGTGGAATTCAGATCAGCTCTCTGAGTTGTTTCATCTTTCTTGAAATTAGCAATTTGTGGATCAAAAATATACCCAACAAATAAGGGCTGTATTGAGTCATCCCTTATTGCTGGATCAACGTCCTTGCCCCAATCCTTAGCTTGAATTGGATGAAAATTGTGCATCAAACTTGGGATAAATGGCGACTCCAGTTTTTTTTCTAGGAGTTTTTTCCAAGGAAAATCTCTAAGCCAAGCATGATTTTTCAGTTCTTGAGGCCCATTAGCACCAAGTCGTTGTTCTGGCTTCCTCTGGATTAATTTATTTATAAAATCTGCAGCTTCAATCGACCACCCTTTAGGGACATCAGTTTTTTTAAGCTGAACTTGGCTTGCAATAATTCTTTCCTTTATCTCGTTTCTATTTCTTCCTACATATGGTCTGGTTCCTGTCATAAATTCATAGGCAATCACTCCAAGGGCATAATAATCTACCCCAATCCCATGATTTTGTCTATTCATTACCTCAGGAGCCATATACCCAGGAGTCCCTGAGGTATCTTTGCTGTTTTGAGGCTCCAAAATTTTTGCAATTCCGAAATCAGTGATTCTTAAATAGCCTTTATTGTCAAAAACAAGATTTTCAGGCTTGATGTCTCTGTGAAGGATTCCATTTACATGCAGGTATTCTAATCCTGTAAGGATACAGGCTATAAAAAAGCGGGTTTGCTCTTCGGTAAATCGGCGATTTCTGCATAAGTGGAACCTCAGATCTCCTCCTGTCATAAGGTCCATGACTAAATATAAATTTTCACGATCCTGAAACGCATATTGCATATTTACAATGAAAGGATGCTTTAAAATTGATATAGTGTGGGTCTTTATTTGGATTTTTTCGATAAAAAATAACACCTAAAGAAAAATTATTTTGCAAAGCCATTTTTCTATTAGGCCAAAAATAAATTGAAATTCAAAATAAGTTTTAAATTTACCATTTTATATAGGAAAAATTGTATTATTAATTAAATACATTGTTATTTGGGGTCTTTTATTTAAGGAACCTAAAAGAGGTCATAGACTATAGGAGTTTGCGCTCATTTAATACTGAAGATACACTTTTCTTGTTGACTATTCGAACTTTGTTCATTTCTTTTATTGCAAAATATTTTTTGCTTTTCTTGTGTGTCACCTCTCATACTCTTCCAAAGCCTCCTTGACCTATTATACCGTGAGCACGGTTTTAGATCGACCTGAGAGCCTCCCCTCCCATCCCTTGACGGTTTCAGCTTTATTGAAATCTACAAATTGAATTTGACTTGTCAAATCCTTAGTGAGGGACTTGCCATTTGAATTAACAATTTCGTTCAAGCTGAAACAGTCAGGTGGTTGGGTCGAAGGGGAGGGGGAGTTCAGGTCGAGCTATACTTGCTCTGAAGGTATATTTGATGGAATATAAAATCAGTTTTGCAAAGACCTGATGGAATCGGCCTTATTTTTTGATTTTCTTGTGAATTTCCCATATAATTTATCGGTAATTTTTATAATGAGGTTTTTTCTTAATGTCATAAATGGCAAAAATTTTAAATTTTGCCAGGTATGAATTACTGGAAATTTAGTCTTGAATTAATTTATTAGCAAAATAATGCTAAATATTCTTTAAATAATAAGAATTTTCGAATTTATTGCCTAGAAATTAATTCTAACAAAAATCATTTTTCCTTAATAATCATAATATTTTACCAATTAAAACCTATTATTGTCAAAAATTAAAAGCTCTTAAACTCTCACAATTTAAACATTCTCATAATTAAATTCAGGAGTGCTAGCCCTAGCACGTGGCATTCTTTCACTAATTTCTTCTCTAATTTCAAAAGAGTTATTCTCCGTAATCACAATTTTATTCGAAAGAGTCCTCAATAAATCAGTCGTTGTATCTAAAGTCGTCGTTACCTCTCTTTTAGGCTCAATCTTCATTTTTCGTTTCTCCAGCACAAACTCATAGGTCGTTTGGCCTTTGCATATCAAATATATGTGAAACATCATAAGGTAGCTTAATAAGAAAAATACAGCTGTTGTTATTAATGAGCATACTAATAAACCTGCTAATAAAAAGTTTTTGGATATACCTAACTCCCCCCCCCCCCTCCGTGAGCGAACAAAAAAATTTTGTTCGCTCACGGAGGGGGGTTAATTTTTTTTTTTTAAAAAAAATTTATATATAAATTTTATAAAAAATATTTTTTTTCGAAATTTAAAAAAATCCTAATTTGCAAAAATTTGGAAGCAAATATTAATTTAATTTGCAAAATTTATGTTTTAAAACGCAATTTGTTTAAAATTAAACAGAATTAGCTCTAGATTTCATTATACTAATTATCACTTATATATCAAAATTTTTTTCCATTAAAATTTTTTCTATTAAAAAAATTTTTGTTCACTCACGGAGGGTGGGTTTTTGGTCAAAAAATGGCGATTTTTCTAATGGTTTTGTTCGCTCACGGAGGGGGGGGGGGGAGTAAGGACCAATTATGGATCTTCGAAGGATAGAAATTTTTTCACAGATGATTAGAATTTAACAATAATGGATCTTCTTGTAGAGAATTGCCTGCTAGCTTACTGAGTTGGTGGTTAATGATCCAATTAGTAAATATAAGCTAATACAAAGCATTTGCCAACTTCCAAGTTAGTTCGTCAACTTTATTTGTGTTGCTTCATTAGTAAGACATTATCCTAGGGTATACCCAGTTCAGCTTAAGCCAGTCCTTTGCTTCATCTGTAGGACCATTGACAACTAAACTTATCCATATATAATTTCCTGTTACCATCCCGCACAATGTAAGCATTATGCACGAAAACAGCAATCACAAGAATTCATTATAATTTTCTTTTCCAATGCAGTTATTCACCCATTTGCAATGATGGTCAAACTTATAAACGCACCTGCAGCATCTCGCGCAGTGCTTGCTACCTAGTGTTACAAAACATTTGCATAGTGTACATATAAACTCTGATGGTTCTACAGGAGTACCTTCAAGCTGAACTTTTACCAGCTTATCAGTTGGATCGCATTTTGTAGTTAAATAAGCTGAAACTACTGCAGAAATTAAAAAAACAGTATAAAATGCTGATGTTACTATTACTCCTGCCCCAGAAAGCTGAGGGATCATTATAAAATAAAAAATTCCTGAAAAGCAAAACAGCAGTATTCAAGACAAAATTTGTAGCACATGATATGGTCTTTCAAATCCATTTCTTTTCATTGAAGTTAATATAACTTTCCAAGTAATATATATAAATAGACATATTCATATGAACTCGACCGGAATGTAATTACTTACACAGTGTTTTCATGAAATCTTTGACATGGTCAAGGGATTCTCATGGCCTCTTTGACTATGAGTCACGAAATATCCTCAAAAGAAATTTAAAAGCTTACGGGCCATGCGAAGTTTTAAGAAAAGGCAACGAAGTGACCCTTTGTACCTCAATGAACGGAGTCTCACAGCACACGGCTGAGTCCTTGCCTCTTGCATCATTATTTCAGACTGAAACAGGTTTATTTTACATAAAACCAGTAGAAAATGAACAGCTTTGGCTTGTGGTGAGATCTTACAAACAACCGGGCTTAGAAAATGGTTACCAGCTTTCAGAAGGCGACGTGGTCAAATTTGGCCGAGTCAGATTTAGAGTAAGATCTGTCAAGACAAGCCCTTCTGCAGAGCCTGAGGGAATAGATGAAGAAGCCTTGATAATAGACTCCAGCTTAGAAAGCGAAAATAAAACATGTAGAATTTGCCTTTCAGATGGAAGTGAGCATGACAACCCTATGATTTCTCCTTGTAAATGCTCAGGATCTGTCAAGTATATTCACTTACTGTGTCTTGTGAGGTGGATAACGTCCAGGCTGGCAATAAAAGCTGACGATAATTTGCATTCTTATTATTGGAAATCCGTGGACTGTGAAATATGTAAACATGCATTTCCAATGACGATAAATTATCAAGGGAGGATAAATGAGCTGTTTCCAATAGAAAAACCGGCAGCGCCTTATTTAATTTTAGAAGAAATTAGTAAGGAAAGAAGCAGCAAGTCTATACATGTGATTCATTTAAGAAGCAAAGATACGGTAAGACTTGGGAGAGGACACGAGAGTGAAGTTATACGAATTAAATTAATTTTTGGAAAAAAAAATAAAAAAATATTTATATTTATGATATAAAAAAAGGAAAAAACAGAAGAAAAAGGGTAGAATTTCTGATATATCAGTATCAAGATGCCATGCAATTATTTCATATAGAAATGGATCTTTTTACTTACTCCCCCCCCCTTTAAATTGAAACAAAAATTTTGTTTTCAATTTAAAGGGGGGTCAAGAAAATTTTTTTATAAAAAAATTTATATATAAAAATTTTTTCAGAGATAAAATTTTATAGAAAATAAATTATATAAATTTAAAGAATTTCATGAAAAATTAATTCATAAATTTCTCAATCTCAAAGTGTAAACTTGCTGAAATGGTATTCTTCTAACTCTCCCCATAACAATTGGACAAAATAGAGTTTAATTTCTAAATCTTATATGTTTGAAGCATATTAAATAGGGTATTAACGTGTTTACATATAAAATAATGATTTTTACCTATAAAATTTTGTTTCAATTTAAAGGGGGGTAATTTCCCAAAAAAGTAGGAATTTTACCCTATATTTTGTTTCAATTTAAAGGGGGGGAGGAGTTAGAAGACAATAAATCTAAATTTGGGACTCTTATAGAAGTATCCGAAGGGTACGCGTTGGACGCAAACTCACAAATTGCTATGCAGGTGGGGAGGACAGTTATTTCATTTTCCATCAAAGGTGAAGGGCAGAACCATACTAGCGAGTTGGAGTCTTTAAACATGTCTCTTGATGAAACTGTTGCCGATCCCGATTTTGAAGAAGATTAATTAACTTAGTTTTCTTTGGTTAAATAAAATTTTCTGGTGTTTTTCTTAATAAAGTGAAGTTAATTTTAAAGAATTCAAAATGTCCGACCTTTTTGAATTAAATCGGCCTCAGCTTCAAAAAATATTTGACGCTCATCAGAATGAAGGAACTTTATCTTTTACTGATATCCTTAAATTATGCAGCTCAGCAAGGATATTTCCAGATCTTTTGACATCACAAAATTTGAGAAAATTAGCAGCACATGCATCAAAAACTCCAGGGTCTGAGCCGTCATCGAAATTGACGTTTCCACAGTTTGAGAAACTATTGAAAATAATTGCCCAGCAATGCTTTCATACTTGTAAAGGGACGAGTGACCAATATAGACAGATCTTAAATCATATGAAAAATTCCTGCTTCATTCGGTATAAGGATATATGCATAAAATGGCAGGAGAAGACCTGTCCTATCAGTGGAGGGTGCTTATGTATATCCCAACTTGAATTTTTGGTGCAGAGCTGTCCAAGGGTTTGAGGAGAGAGGCCCAGAACTATTTCCTCTGATTTTTGGTCTGAATCAAGTGGCAGTTTTTTGCATCTTTTTTATTAGAAGTACCCAGCACAAGTTGGTTGCAGATAGAGGCAGTGCGACTTAACTGCCTAGGCTGCGGCTCCTTGGTGGCTCTACCCTGAATTGCAAAAGCTGTTGAGTTTTTTCTTTAGGATAACCAGGGAAAAGAGCTCTCAGGGTGCAAAGTCTCCCCAGCAAAGGGTTCCAAAGGTGATCTGGCCTAAACTAAGCAGGCTTGGGACATGCTGGTCTTTAAGTTGAAAATGGAGTCCCGGCAAATTAGTATGATTCTGACCATGGAAGGAAAATGCCTCTACCAAGAAGCCTGGAGTTTCAGCCTGGGGTCAAGTTGCCTTAAGGGCGCCTACGACCAACGCTGAGGAGTGCACGGTGGTCAGGAAGTGGGACTATAAATGCATATTAATCTAATCTAATTCGGTATAAAGTGGAGCTCGATGTAAATTCTCCAGAGAAAAAGACTTCAAAGTCAGTCAATGAAAGGAAAACTCCACAGTTAAATATCGATGCATTTTCAAAAGAAGGCGGTGTAAGAACTAACCATGGAATCCTTTTTAAGCCTTCTTCAACAAGAAGCTCTACAGCAGCTTCCTTTATATTTGGAGAGTCTCCATCATCCAAAAAGCTTATAAGCAAAAAAATAGAAAAATTGTATTCCATTGTGTCTCCAAGAATGAAAGATATCCCTCAGCTAAAATTAAGTGAAAATTATATACCTATTTATAAGTATCTAAATATATAAGCCGATTAGTTATTACTCTATTTAATTTTAGCTTATAATTATTATGCATAGGCATAGCTTTACAAGCACTATGCCAAAACCCTCATCAAGGCCTCCTTTGACAGACCGTATGAAGACAAATGTCCAGAGCAATTCAAGCTCTATTAATACCTCTATCTGTCCTAGTCCAAGCTATATCAAACAAATTAAAGTCACACTTGAAAAGTTTAAAAGTGACAGCAAAAATGTATTTAATTCTATAAGACCGAGAAAACCAACGAGAAAAAATATTCAAGAATTAATGAATGTATGCGAAAAAAGGAGAGAAAAATGAATAAAACTAAAACTGAGTTTCCAAATTTGGAGGAATTTTGCCGATCTCAATTAAGCTAGGCTGATTTTTCGATAAATTTTTATGCGATCAAAATAAATTATAATCTATTGAAGATAATAAAGATAATTAGCAATAAAGCATTAAATAAAGCCATTTTATATGCATCCTAAATCGCTTCAAGAGTCTTTTCAAGTTTTTCATCACACATCTCATATGAGACGTAAAGAAGATAGAGAATTTGTGCTGTTTTTGACAGAAATTGCGTCACTTGAAGAACTTTATGCTAGAGGCTTGGAAAAAATTGGAAATTATCCGTATGAATTTAAAGAAGAAGGTGGAATATCAGAAGCTATTGCTGAGCTTAAAGCAGAGCAATTGTATAAGGCTAAGCAAGTTAGAACTTATGCTGAAAAGATTATTACTGAGTTAGCTGATCCTTTTAAAGATTTACTTAAAAATCGGCTGCATGCTTTCAGTCTGCATTTTATTGTAAAATTTACTATTCATGTGTTCAGTAAAACATGAATTTTTTTAAAAAAAAATATTTTAAAAAGAAAAAAAATTCTGCAAAATTTTTACTATTAAAAGTCCAAAGAAAAACAATGCGCCATAAAAATCAATCTCAAGCTATCAAGAAAGCGTATGCCAAGATGATGAATATCGACAAAAGCCAAGAATTAATTTTTACTCCCCCATTTAAATTGGAGCAAAAAATCTTGTTCCAACTTAAAAGGATTTTTTTTTTAAAAAAACATTATCTTAAAATTTTTCTCCATAAAAAAATATTATAAATTTAAACGCAATGCTTTGATTTTAATTCATTTTTATTAAGAATTAATTTAAAAAATTGATCGATTTCAGTGTGAAAACAGTTTAAATAGCATTCTACTTGATTTTTGCCAATTAAATTAGGATGAAACTAATTTATAAAAATTATTTTTTCATCGATAAAATCTTCCTATTAAAAAACAAATTTTCTAATTTAAAAGGAGAGAGTTAGAAAAATACAAATCCGCAAGGAATAAATACTGAAAATCGTGCAGTGAATGCGAGCAATATGCAATATCATTAGAAGAGTCTAAATCCAAGATTAAAACAGAAAAAATCGTTCAAAAATTACTGGCAAGCAAAAAAGAAATTGATATAAGCCTAAAAGGCTACTTAGAAACAGTAGAAGAGTTTGATAAGCACAGCAAAAAATACAAAACAATGGTCTCTAATGTAATAGAAACTTATGAAAAACAAGAAGAAAAAAGGCTTAACTCAATCAAAGACTCCTTAATCAAAATCACAGAATATGAAGCTGAGTCTCTTGTAAACAGCTTATACGAAATTCAAGCTCTCAAAAGTAAAATGCATTCCATAGAAATAAGCCAAGAAATCGACAAATTTAAATCAGAAAGCCCAGACAGTTCTTTATTTACTTTAGAAATTGCATTTGAGCCCTATGAAGGAGTTCATCCATCCTTCAGATCACTTATGGGTTCTCCTATAATATCAATCCCTACAAGTGAAGACCAAAAGTGAGACAAGCTTTCGACTCAATCAGCAATAGAAGGTATGTATTTAAGTGGCCTTGAAACTATTATAGAAAAAGCTTGGAATGGTATAGAGCTGAATGTTGAAGATTATATTAACTTCAACCATCTCATTAAAGACCCTCAAGGCAGAAAATCGTGATCTCGATGTATGAATTTAAGAAGAAGCCATGGTATTTTTACCTTAAATGAGCTAGGTTTTAGACAAGTAGGAGAACTAATGATTTCAGTATTAAATGAATGTGAATTAGTTAATGACATACAAATTGGTAAAAGTGTTATTTCTATTAAAAATAACTGCTTTTCCTCTATTTATTATTAGAAAAATATTTTTATTTATATTAAAAAAGCATATTATTCTTTCGCAAACTTTCCACAAAATATTAGGCGACGGAGAAGACAAAAAGCAATTTCTTCAGAATTTTATCACTCATCATTCTTTATGGGCCCATATGGAGTTTTGAGATCAAGTAATACAGACATCAATAAATGAAGAAAATAAAAACCATGAAAACTTAGGAATGACGAATGCAGAAACTTCTCAAGAAACTTCACAAAGACTGAAAAGGGTTGTATTTTGCCAACTAATTTCGTATTCGCATATTATGATTACTTTTCAAGTAAATCAGCTTGCCGCAGCAGAATTGGTGTTAGGGTATGTAAATAAATATAAGATCATTCTTGAGGAAGCGAATCAGCTAATGGTGAGGTATATTTAGGCTATGATTGATAAGGATTTGTTGACCAAAATTAAGGATTTAGAGGGAGATCAGTATCCAAGGTTAGTTGAATGGGCAAAAGAGTATAGCAGCAGTGTAGTGGAGAGTGAAAATTCAGATGCAAGTGAAGATTCACTGATGGAATAATTTAATTTTTACTTAAAATACAGTTCTAAAAGCAGCTATCTATAACTTGCCCTGAGCTCTTAAAGGTGAAATAATACTTATTTTAAGTTTCAGTTTTCAAAAATCTAAATTTGCAAATATTTGAAAAGGAAAACCTAATTTAATTAGGAAAATTAAGTTAAAAATGCAAGCTGTCTTAAATTTTATCGAATTAATTCAAGATATCGCTATAATGATTATTTAGTTATATTAAAACAATATTTGAAAAAAATGATTTTTACATTATTTTGTTTTTTGCTATTGAAAGGGAGTCAGCATAAATATTTTTAAAAATGAAAGTGACCATTTTTGATTTATACGCCTTTTAGCCTTATTATTGATAAATTTTAACATAAATTAACATTTGTATAGCAATCAATAATTTAATCTAAAATTTTTACCTAATTTCATCTGATTAATTGAATTCACATCTATACTTTTTAGCTTTAATTTAGATCTTTTCTATTTGATTTTTAAAGGTCTTTTCTCCTAGAGATTAATTTAAATCTTAAAATATTCCTTTTAAAAATCATTTTTTTAATTAAGATTTTATCAAAAATAAATTTTCAATATCATTAAATTAAGACCATAAATTTATAAATGGCTCCAAAAGAAATCACTCATTTTACAAAATTCCGTACTGATACCCAAAAATTCAAGAAGCGCAAGCCAGCAATCACTAATGAATCGTCGATAAATATTCCCTGCAGAAAAAAATATAAAGAAAATCAAAGCTTTGAAATCATTTTTTCTATATGATATGACACATGGCCTGGGGAGCGTATTTTTATCACAGGAGGCTATGATTTCTTACTCCTTCCTACTTCTAACGAATTAACCCTTCGCTAGTGTGCAAATAATTTTTAAAATAGAATAACTTGATATGTAATTAATGATGATTATTGCTAATTATATCAAATTTTATCCAAAATCCAAAATTAAATTAGATTTTTTTTTAAATTCGAATTTCTAATCCAAAAATAAAAAAAATTCTATAAAAATCTCTTTTGCAAGGAGAAAACAAGTTTGCTCATTGATCATGAGAGATAGGGGAATGAAATATATGCAAAGCAATAGAAATGGCATGGTTCGAAGGAAATGAATGAAGAGCAGGTCTGCATTTAATCGCAAATAAATTTCCAACATTTGAATATAAGTATGCAGTTGTCAGCAGTGATGGAGTTAGATGGGAGGAAGGACCATTTCACCATATAACCCACCCTGAAGGGAATGAAGACGATGGGAGAGTTCTAATAACCAGAAATGATTTTTGGCATCTTTAAATGAGAATTATAAATTATAATTCTGAAAAAGAAAATATGACCTAGCGTTTTAAAATAAATAAATCTTTTATGGGTTACATAAATTACCTTATTTGATAAAAATGTCTCACACAGAGCGTAAAGTCTGGAGTCAAGAGGTACCTAATAAGTAGGAAGATGACGCAATTCAAGATCTAGTTGACGAATTCGGGGACAAAAATTGGATTTTAATTGCAGAAAAGCTCGTCGAAAAATTCCAAATTCAAGGAAGAACAGGAAAACAATGTAGAGAACGTTGGCATAATCACATTGATCCAGGATTAAAGAAAGCAGGCTGAACCAAGGAAGAAGAAAACATTCTTTTCCAAAAGCAGAAAATATTTGGCAACAGATGGTCAGAAATAGCAAGATACCTACCAGGAAGATCTGATAATTCCATAAAAAATCAATTCTACAGCACAGTAAGAAAAAATTTAAGAAAATACAATAGGAATAAGCCGACTGATAAGCGAATTGTAGGCTCTCTAAAGCAGCTTTTGCAGAACCCCGAAATAGCCAAGATTTTGATAACTTATAGTGGGCCTCATGAAGATCTGAAAGACCCAGATACCAAAAAATCTTAATTATCTATAACGCTTTACGTCCACTACGGGGCAGCCAACTCCAGAGCTGCAACCATATTTATCCATGTGTCGAGCCCAGAAATTGCTGGATCGATTCCTTTTGATCGCAATGCACGGGTAAATAAGGCGCTCCAGCTTCGACGGGCTTCGCTGATGCCACGGCTTTATTCCGACTCAGCTCCTGCGCGTGTTCCGCCTGAGGGTCCATCTCCCTTGGGATGTGCTGAGGGGTAAAGACCTGAGAGTCTTGATCGCACTGGGGAGCAGTTCCTCTGGTTATCTCCAAAGTTAAACCGCTGTTGTTGTGCAGAAGTTCTCGAGGTAAAACCCAACCCCATAAATAAAATTGCTTGAGTGAGAGAAAGTTAACTTCGCTTGAAGCGAAAGCCATTTTATTTATGAAAGACCCAGATACCAAAAAATCAAAAAAAAATAAAAATCTGAGAAAAGCTTCTATTAATACTGAAGAAGTCAATAACGAAGCTTCCTCAATTTTGCAGTCACTATATGATGACTCCAAAGAAAAGACGGAAAATCCAGCCCCTCCGAAACTTGAAAAAATAAAAGAGCTGGAGCTAAAAATAGATTCGGCGACCCCAATTGCGAGCTTGAATTCTACAACTCCACTGATAGGTCAAACATCGACTTTCCGAGGAGCACACGTTTTTAATTTCCCTGAAGATAGCACGATGTATTATAATTGGGATGGTTATAACGCTGGAGAATTAGATGGAATTCATGGGCCAGACTCGCAGCAGGACTCAATGCCTTTTCAAAAATTTGACTCTTTGCAAGGGTCTAGTAGGTCAGAAACTCTGAATTTTTTGAGGCAAATGCAGTCTCCACATGCAAATACTTTTATTTTGCCTCCATTTTCACCAATGGATTCATTTCAGCACTATCTTAGTCCAAGAAATAATAAATAGTGTAAATATTGTTACTTAAGCTAAATTTTTCCCAAAAGCCTTTTAATCATATTTTTCTCAATTTCATATAGCTGATGATTGCAATCACTCGCAGTACATTTTTTAAACCTTAAGATTATATTAAGCAAGCATGAATCTGCATTAAATTTGTGTGCACACCCAAGAACTATAGATGAATTATTTTTTGCGCATAATTCCTTTATAATTTCTTTATCAATCTGAATGTTTTTTTCTGGATATAATATCCAGAAATATTTATTTAAACTTAAAATAGTTATGAAATTCTGATAATTTGTCACAATTTTAAGTTTTAATTCATATTCTACTAGATGTAATTCGATCATCCCTATTTGTAAAGCCCTAAGAAGATTTCCTAAATCATCATCAATATTAAACTGTTTGTCCAAGAACTCATACAAGAACATAAGATCAGAAATAGGAGGAGTGTAATTAGCTTCATCTTGATGGTAAGTTCAAATTGAGATGAGCTTCATTAAAGCACCTTTGTCTTCGTAAAATAAATTTACAATATAATCTCTCATATCAGGGTAATTTCTGTTTATTGTTTCTAATGCAGCTAGCAGGACAGTTAAAACTCAACTTATTTTGTGGTTCTGGCTCTATTTGCCTTCTAAAATGACTATAGTAATACTCGGTATTTTCAAGAGTTGGCCACACTAAGCCAATATTGTTAATGTCCATTAGCTTTCCTATTCCTTGCATTTTTTATAGATAATTTATTTTAATTCTTTATAAAGCTCCTATAGCCCAGGAGCGATTTTTGATCGCCCTGGGCTATTTAAGGAGACTTTGATTTAATACTTAATGTATTAATCAATTTCTGGTCTTGTTCTGTTTGGGCTTGCTTAAATCTAAAAACACACCTATTTAATAACTACTTTGAGTCTTCGATTATGTCGTAGTTTGGTGGCTTTTCAAGCTCTTTAAAATACTTCAAAATTGTCTTTGTAATGGCATTTTTTTCATCTTTTATTTTGGTATGCAGTCCTAGTAATTTTTATTTTAAAAGTCCAGGCGTTGAAATCCCTCCTGCTTTTAGCTCAATACTATGCGTTTTGTTATCTTAAAATTCCTAATTTGAGTGCAAGTGTAGGCTCTTTGAAGCAGTTTTTGCAGAACCCCGAAATAGCCAAGGTTTTGATAACTTATAGTGAGCCTTCTGAAGATCTGAAAGACCCAGATACCAAAAAAACGAAAAAAATTAAAAACTTGAGAAAAGCTTCTATTAATACTGAAGAAGTCAATAACGAAGTTTCCTAATTTTGCAGTCACTCTATGATGACTCCAAAGAAAAGACTGAAGCCCTTCCGAAATTTTAAAAAATAATAGAGCTGGAGCTAAAAATAGACTTGGCGACCTCAATTGCGAGCTTGAATTCTACAAACATCGACTTTCCGAGGAGCACACGCTTTTAATTTCCCTGAAGTCAGCACAATATATTATAATTGGGACAGTTATAACGCTGGGGAATTAGATGGAATTCATGGGCCAGACTCGCAGCATAGCTCAATGCCTATACAAAAATTTGACTCTTTGCAAGGGTCTAGGTCAGAAACTCTGAATTTTTTGAGGCAAATGCAGTCTCCACATGCAAATACTTTTATTTTGCCTCAATTTTCGCCGATGGATTCATTTCAGCACTATCTTAGTCCGAGAAATAATAAATAGTGTAAATATTGTTACTTAAGCTAAAATCTTCCCAAAAGCCTTCTAATCATACTTTTCTCAATTTCATATAGCTGATGATTACAATTATCTGCAAGGCATTTGCAAGACCTTAACTCCTCTTCTATGTGTGAGGAAAATCCTTATTAATGTGAGTCAGCAAAAAAATTTGTTTAATATAAAATCTTTATCAAGGTCCTAGACAGAAGAGTTAAGGGGTGGTGTATTGGGATCATTTTAATATACATTTGTGAGCAAGCAAAAATATATTTTGCTTACGAAGAGGGTAAGATCATATCAAGCGTTTGTGGATCCGCATTAAATTTGTGCCCACACCCAATAACTATAGACGAATTGTTTTGAGCACACAAGTTTCTTATGATTTCTCTACCAATCTGAGTGTTTCTTTCTGGATATAATATCCAAAAATATTTATTAAAACTTAAAATAGTGATGAAATTCTGATAATTTGTCACAATTTTAGGTTTTAATTCATATTCTACTAGACGGAATTCGATCATCCCTATTTGTAAAGCCATTAGGAGATTTCCTAAATCATCATCAATGTTAAGCAGCTTGTCCAAGATCTCATACAAAAAAATAAGATCAGAAATAGGAGGAGCGTAATTAATTTCATCTTGATGGGGAGCCCAAATTGAATAGAGCTTTACTATAGCGGCTTGGTCTTGACTGAATAATTTTTGAATATCATTTTTCATGTCGGGGTAATTTCTGTTTATTGTTTCTAATGCAGCTAGCAGGACAGTTAACAAACTCAGCTTATTTTGTGGGAGTGGCTCTATTTGCCATAATTAAATATGGTGTTTCAGCTAGAGCATGGCCAGAAGGCCATGCAGCTTCGAGCTAAAATTTTAATTATAGCTGGCAAGGTTTTGCCATTCTGAAATTGACAGCAATGTTAGGTAAGCAATTCTGCAGGAGGAAGAGATGAGACCAAGTTCGAAGTCTAGGGTGGATTTTACCTCGTGGGGAAGGAAGGGCATGGCATTTAGAAATGGGGAAGCCCAGCAATGCCTTTTCGGCCTATCCGGCAACTCCCTAGGGTGAAACTCGGCTTTACGTCCCAGGCTAGAGGCCTGTGGACTGTGGAAGAGTGCGTTGAAGGCCTGGGCTTGCTAACTCCGTAGTGGACACTACGCGGTTACAAATTTTAAAGAAGTACGGTTCTATTTGCCTTCTAAAATATCTATAATAACGCTTGGCATTTTCAATCGTTGGCGACTTTAAGCCAATCTCGCTGACTCGTTATTGAGAAAGAGCTAAAAGATATAATTGAAAATTAACCCTTCAAAATTTTATGTATAAACTTTGATTTAAATATTTTTGTATATAATTATTGATTAAATTAAATTAAGCAAGCAGTTTCACCCTAGACAGGATTGGGGATTTCTATCCCTACATGTTCCGCCCCCCAAGGATTCCGGCAGACTCCCTTCCTCGCCGCTACAGGCAAGGGATTCGCACAGCCCATCTTGACTTCCATGACTCTTGGGATTATGGGCATATCACATTGGTCGAAACTCCCAGCTTATCGTTAGGCAGATGTCTGCTGGTGTTGATGAAAAACGGTCAGGAGGTAGGGCAGTCTGTCTCACCATTTTTATTCATATACAATTATTGATTATTTTTTATTAAAAATCAAGCTACACTGTGCAGAAAATTATCAATTTCTATTAAATTATTGAGACTGAAGGTTTTTTAAATTAAAAAAATCATGAAATAATTTTAAAACAAATTGGAGCAAAAAAGCATTGTTAGAGTAATGGGTATCAGATTTCCTATTGCTTGCATTTTTATGGTAAGGATTAAATGGTGAAGTTGATGGATAGATGCTTTGAGGCTCCAGACCTATAGAAACATCTAGGTCGATGAGCAGAATGACGAAATTGTTGGAGCAAGTAGACCTACCCGATGGAAGTAAACTTGAAGCAGTATTTTTGGCTCTTCCCTCCTAATGTTTCATTATATCACAGGATCAGGGACAGGCTTGCCTCCTATATTTTGATTCCTCTCAGAAAATATCAAGCATCTGACACAAGGTGGTTCTAAATTAGAAAGCTGATCCTTAGATTGGCTGGATTTTTTCCAGAAAACTCAAAAGGGTGAAATTTCGGTTAGACCATATATTATATGCATTTTAGGCATATTTATACCCAGTGCAGCTGCTCTTCTGAAGGCAATGCAGCGGCTTGGTCAATTATTTTCCTTTTGTCCTCATTTTATTTTGATCTTATTTATTGCATTTTTTATAGAAATTAAATTTTAATTCTTTATAAAGCTCCTATAAGGAGACTTTGATTTAATACTTAATGTATTAATCAATTTCTGGTCTTGTTCTGTTTGAGCTTGCTTAAATCTAAAAATACATCTATTTAATAGCTGCTTTGGGTCTTCAATTATATCGTAGTTTGGTGGCTTTTCAAGCTCTGTAAAATACTTCAAGATTGTCTTTGTAATGGCATTTTTTTCAGCTTTTGCTTCATCTTTTATTCTGGTCTGCAGTCCTAGTAACTTTTGCTTTAAAAGTCCAGGCGTTGAAATCCCTCTTGCTTTTAGATCAGCACTGTGTGTTTCGTTATATTTTTTCAATAATGTTGTCCTTTCTTCAGGATTTTCAAATAATTTGCGAAGTAGAGGCTTGTCGTTAATTCAAGGGACGCCTGGGTTTGCTTCACAAAAAATTGTAAGGCCGCCTAGTTCTTTTTTGAATTCGTCTAACTTCCTATTCTTGATTGAGTGGCCTGTCGAAGTTTATTTAAGAAAAAAAGTTATATAGATTAAGACATATGATTATTTTTCTATTGAATTTTTTTTTATATAAATTTCTATATATGAAAATTGTTTGATAAGTATAGGGTTAGTCTTTTGATCAAAGAGGATAAGCGGTTTTCGATTAATTCAATATGATCAAGAGTCCGTTTTTGCTTTATTGCTCATGATGACATGGTTTTGCCAAATTTCTTGTCAAAGCTTGAATCTTGGTTCTTTTGTGAAGGAGTCATTGATCTTACCCCACTTCTTTCAGTAAGTGGCTCATATTTTCCAATTTTTCTTAAATTCATTCTTGATGTAGAAATTCTCAATGTGTCTTTTATACCCATTTACAGTTATTTTCATCCAGCTTCTATATATTAAGGAAATAATATTGATCATTTACAGTATTTCTATACATTAAAAATAAGTATAATACATTTTTCCCCTTAAGTTTCCTTAAACTTTGAGTTATTATTTTCTCATTTCCTTCTACTGGTGCCTGCAAGATCTTTGGCACTTTTTTAATGCTTTCTTGGGTTTTAATTATTTTCTGCCTCTCCAAGATTTCTTTAAAATGTTCAACTTCTCTATAAATTTTGTTGATGTTTCTTCTTGACTCTCCATTCAGCTTCGATCTGAAAGCATTACTATGAAACTCTTCTAGTGAAATCGTTAAATTAAGTGTCTCATTTAACGTTTCTCTTAGCTGAAGCGCAAAATGAGTACTGTTATCTATATTCATTTTAATATAATTTATCTTAACCCCATTTAAGCTCAAACAAAGCTAATTCTGCTTTATGAACAAGTAAAAAAATTATATATAAATAATTTTTAATGTAATTATAATATTATCTCTAGTTAAAATCAATTAGATTTTAGATATTTTTTAATGAGAATTTATAAAATTTGTATTTTAAACCCAAAAATTTTTATCAAAAACATCCTTAAGAACACAAAAAAAATCTTTCTCGCTCTTAACTCCCCCCCCCCTCCGTGAGTGAACAAAACCATTAGAAAAATCGCCATTTTTTGCCCAAAAACCCACCCTCCGTGAGTGAACAAAAATTTTTTATGGAAAAAAATTTTGATATATAAATGATAAATTAATATAATGAAATCTGAGCTAATTCTGTTTAATTTTTAAATGAATTGCATTTTAAAACATAAATTTTATAAATTAAATTAATATTTGCTTTCAAATTTTTGCAAATTAGGATTTTTTTTAAATTTCAAAAAACAAATTTTTTAGAAAATTTATATATAAATTTTTTTAAAAAAAAAAAATTAACCCCCCTCCGTGAGTGAACAAAATTTTTTTGTTCACTCACGGAGGGGGGGGGAGTAAGGGGATATTTAGCATTATTTCCCTTTTCTTTCTTTGTGTGACCTTGACGCCAGCATGAAATTCCCTTTTCTTATATTATCTTTTTCACAAGCCTTACATATTTTTTCTTTTGCGCATCTTCCATGGTACGAGTGTCCACATATAAAAATGAACATTTTGTCGTCATGTCCTTTTAGCATGCTATCTGAATCAATAGTTAACTGACAAAACGAGCATTTAAACTCTTTTGAACTAACCCCTTTATTTCTCAATACCAGCATCTCTTGTGTCGTATTTTTCAAATCTGCATGCAGTAAATCAATAGCTTTTCTTACAATGTTTTTCTGATACGAATATTGTGAAAGAATGCTGACTATGTTTTCTTTGAAATACCTGAATGGAATATCCCCGAAATTGTTGACTATATGTGAAATTATTTTATTAAAATCGACATTGTCCATCATACTTTCCAAAACTTGTTTAATACACCATTGGACCATTGGCTCTAGACTGAGATAATTAGTAAAATATGGGGAAAATTGCTTATAAGTTGTCAATACACCAGTTAAAAGCTGAAACCAATGTTCTTCGTTTTCACTTTGGTCATCTGCGCTCCTAATACAAAGTGATACTGCATTACTTATTTCTGGCTTTAGCTCATTAATAAGAGTATTCGAAATCGGCGACCTGCTCAAAATTCTTCCAAATAGGTCAGATCTTTTTATTGTTATAATATCTAGCATTAAATCCAGTGCGTCTTTTATAGATCCAAGTCTTTCATAAATATAGGCAGTCGCGTTATTAATTTGGTATTTTTTGCAGATTTCTAAACATTCGTCTAAGCTATAGTCGTCTCGGCTTTTTAAAAAATCTAAAACTTGCCCTGGAGAATTGATGCATAAAAGCCGAATATATCGTAAAATCAAGTTTTCGTCGATATCTGATGAGGAATTTTTTATTAATTCTCCAAGATATTTCATTTGGAGTTGTGGAGCGTTGTCGAGTTTGTCGATAATGCTGCTATGCTCGTTATGGAACCAATCTCTGACGATTTTTGCAGTCCTATCACTGTCTATATCGACTAATAAATTTAGGTAATCCATTACCATAGCTTTTATGGTCTCAAATTCGGTCGAGCTTAATTTTTCGAAAATTTCATCAAGCCAAGCGAAAATTTTCTTTTTAATTTCAACGTTTTCAGCCCTTACAAAAGAGTTAACACAGCCTGTGTAATCTTTTTTAAGCTCTAATAAATATACAAGGACTTCTGTATAAGGAGATTTTGAGGATATTTTGAAAAGCTCATTGATTTCTCCTTCAGATAGGTCTTTGCAATTTTTTAGCATTTTTAGTATCAATTGGCCTTTTTCTTCAATTGACAAGTCAAAAGTTGTAGAAAACTCTGTCCCATCAAATGAAGCGGCTATGAAAAATTCCTCGTGACTTGTAAGTATTTTCTTAGAAAATATTAATTATTGATTATTTTTCCATGAAAATATTTGAATATATTTTTTCGAAAATATTCTCCCAAAAAAAATTATAGAATGACTAAAACCATCAAATGGATTGTGAGCTAAAAATGACTCAATTGTTGACCCTCCAGCAAAGCTAAAATTATTCAATCTCAGCTGTGTCGGCTCCATCAAATATTTAGCTGTTTTCAAACATATAGCTTTTGATATTATTTCTTGGTTCACAGATGAAGCTTTTGCAATAAAAACGGTAAACTGATGAAAAGCATATGTTTCTGGCTTACAATTTTGTTCTAATTTATCCAGTATTTTTTTATGTGTCGGCTTTGATTCCTCATCTTTATTAGCCTGCAAAATTTGATATGGCAGCCTCTCTTCAAAAAGTAGCCAAATTAGCTTTAAAATCGCTGAGGAATCAATATCAAGCAAAGTCGCTAAATGTTTTCTTTTAAGAAGCCATTCTACAATGCTATTTATTACCTTTTGCATAAGGTCTGGATGGATTCTTCCTGATGGAAACGTCTCTCCTTTAATACATAGTCGATAATACCACATAAGTTTATAAGCAAAATATCTCCTGGATTTTGGGTCTTCTTGTTTTGTTAATGCTTTGTAAATTCTTTTAAGTGGGTTTACATAGGACTGTAAAACTGAGTTGGTATTTATAAAAATATAGCCAGTTAGTAGGTTATATTCTTCGCATACAGGAATAAGCTGCTTTGGGTCAAGACATGTAGGGTCTAAATGAAGAATTAGCCTTTCTATGATGTCAGGTCTGTGTATGTTTAAATAATAAGCTACTATTTTACCTAAGATTGTGTTGGGGATTCCTTTTATTTCGCCATTCAAAATAAACGGCTCTAATGTGTCCATAAAATATCCAAGATTTTCGGTTCCAGACCCAACGTCGATAAAATAGTCATAAAGTTCATTAAAAAGAAGCTCAAGGGACTCTATTCCTATACAAAATTCGATTGCATGAGAAATTTTAGCATGCCAAGCCAATTTCCCAAACTTTACATAATCCAAAATGACTGCTTCAAGGACTTCTCTAAGGTCATCTTTCCTTTCTGGCACACCATACAATTTTTGTCCTTTCTTCTGATACAGATTCATCCCTAGTGACAGCACCTCTAGCCATTCTCCTTTTTCAATCAGCGTATCTACACATTCTTTTCAATTTAACAGTCTTCCTTTATGAAACTGCTTAAACCCTAATAAATAAATAACCCTCTCATAAGCTTTAACTGAGTTATAAAACGTCGTTTTTTCTTTTCCAGCCTCATCTTTAATTAAGGACTGTGTCGCAATATCTCGATTAGCCCAGGTAATGTCCAAAATTGCATTATTTGCATCATCGTTTGGCTTTTTCATGAAGCCTTTTGAGGTAACTACTCGTAATTCTCTGCTTAAGTCCATAATAGACAAAATATCTGTGCTTAGCCATAGTAAGCTTTTTATTTCATTTTCTATGTCTAAGTAGCCAGCTATGTGTACACCTTCTCTAGCTGCAAATTTGAACCTAAATAATGTGACTCTTTTGTCTCAGCCTAGGGCTAGTATTGGGTCTATAGGCTGGCTGTCATCAGGAGCTTGGGCTAGTTTTCAGGTAAGGCAAGGGAAAACTCCTAATTGGACATTATTAGGCTTGGAGTACTCAAAAAGGCATTTTAGCTCAGGCTCAAGGGAATAAATCTGCACACTTTCTGTGCTCCCGATTGCAGTCATTAATGCAGAGTCACAAGGATGTGGCCATTTTTCATAAGGAAATAAAGGCTCAAGCGAAATACAAATACCGTTATTTCCAGAAATTAGGATTTTTGTATTGAGGGTGATAGACATAAAGGAAACCGCATACTCTGACAGCATAACTTTTCCATTTGCGTCAGAAGAGATCACACAGCATTTGTGTGGGTGCCAAAACTTGATGGAGAGGACTGCAGAGCTGTGGACTGTATTTGAAGCTTTAATGCAGTTACCAGTGATGGGGTCCCATAGAGCGACTTGTCCTAGCTGGTATCCTGAGATGACCCATTGTTCATTTGGGGAAATATCAATACAGGTAACACTCCCAAAGGCTTTGCTTTTGGTTTTCATTGGTTTCAGCTCAGTTCCTTCATGATTAAAAGACATCATATTCCCATAAGAAGTACCTATCACAATATAGCTCCTAGAAGCTGCCAACGAAGTTGGCAAGCCAGGATTATCCTAATTTCCAAAAACTCTCCCTTTTTATATATAAAATTTCCTATTACTCCATTCTTTATAAACCACCATATACCCTGCAGCAGATATCAATTTCCCTGAAATTTCATTAATTTCATCAAACCTTATCACAGGGAGCTTGCTTTTGGTATATTGTCTTTTTAAATCCAAAGTCTTTGAAAACGTCTTATCTGTAGTAATTGCATCTTCCAGTTCTTTTTTGTGAATGAGGTCTAATGGATCTACAACTTCTATGTTTTGTTGAATAGGCTCAATTGGGTCATTTTGAAGCAAAGATTCAAGCTGAAGTTTTTCATCGTAAGAGTCTTCGATGGAGCCTGACATTGTACGCTGAGAAAAAGAGGATCGGGGTAGTTGAATAAATTTAAGAGGATCAACCTTAAGAACTTCAGGCATTTCTTCTTCTTCCTCATTGAGGATATCGTCAACCATGTCCGGATCATATGCATCTAAGTCTAATTCTTCTTCGCCCAGGTCTTGTAGAAGTTCGTCTGCTTTGGATGTCATATTGATTTTCCGATTAAAATTAGCACGCAATAAAAGTGGAAAATAAAATTGGTGTGAATAGAGCTGGGGAGAAATTATTGGAAAATCCAGTGGGTTTAGGCGATTTTATGGTAAATTAAAGAAAAATAAGACAGAAATTAATTGATATAAATAGTAAAAAATGAAGGATACTAACAGCTTATATCTTTCTATAGATGAAGAGGACATAGAAACAGGCCTTTGCATTTTAGATTTACTAGGTTTTAATGATGAAAACAAGACTGAGCCACTTTGCATCAATTTTAATCGCATTAAATCCCGCCTCACAGTATATCAAAACCCATCTGCTGATAAACAAACATACTGTTTACCTCTATACCACAGTGTGCGCTGTCCTGCGCGCCGCTATACCCAAGAGCTCGGCAACAACCTTACGATCCCCAAACTTATAAAAGTCTCAGCCTGCGTCGCAATAGAAAGCACAGACAATAAAATCCTCCTAGCCCGCAAAACTGAAATTCTTGACCTTTTCCCCAAATATTGAGGTTTTCCAGGAGGCAAAACAAATCATCGAGAAAACCCTAAAGACTGCGCCATAAGAGAAGCTATATCCCAAACCGGTATTCCCTTCAAAATTTCTCCTGACGGAGTATGATATAGCAATCAGCTTGTTGAGATCGAGCCTATTTTACTATATGAAAACTTGTACCCAAATGATTTAAACATAGGCCTAATGAGAGCTCAGCATGTTACAATGTTTTTCAGGGCCAAAATTCCGGTGGCTTCTCATGAAATTGCGTTAAATTTGCAGCAAAATGAAATAGATTTTGCAGTTTGGCTGGCGAAGGATGAGTATGATGATATTAAAATGGATTATAATGGGACTTTAGAAGGACTTCTAAGAAGTAGAAGAAGCATGCAGATAAATTACAGCCAGCTTGCAGGGGTAGCCCCAAATTCAATAGGAGAAGGAATTTCTGAAGGACACAAAATAGCGCTTGATATTATTTTTTCAGCACAATAATTGTTAAAAATAAATTACTTATCGATGTTTTTCAGGAAAGTGTCCAGATGTTTGCCTTGATATTCCAAGAAATCAAGCTCCACCTTTCTTTTAGCTTCGTTTGCAGCTTTCTTTTCTTCGTATTTCCTCAGAAGTGCGTCTTTTTTATATTAATTCGCCCTCCGTGAGAACAAAAAACTTTTTTTCGCTCGCAATCAGTAGTTAATTTTATTTTTTTAAAATTTATATATAAATTTTATACTAAATTTATTTTTCGGTCCCAATTCGCAAAAATTTGGAAAGCAAATATTAATTTAATTATAAAATTTATGTTTTAAAATGCAAGCTATTTAAAAAATTTAACAGAATTAGCAAGAGATTTTATTATAACAATTATCACTTATATATATCAAAAAAAAAAATTTTCGATCATGGTGGGTGGGTTTTTTTACCCAAAAAATAGGGATTTTTCCAAGTTTTGTCAGCTCATGAGGGAGAGTAAGCAGTTCTGATTTCTTGTTTTCCAGCCTGATTTTCTGTTTTTCCAGCTCGTCTTTTTTCTCCTGAAGCTCACTTTTCCCTTCTTCAGCCTGCAGTTGTTTTCTGGTCCCAAAAGTAACCGAGCTCTGATACAAGGTCTGATAAGCTGCAATTGTCATTTTTATTTCGTCCCTGACCCTCATTAAAAGTAGCCCTCTCTCTGGACATTTAATAGTAACTTGTCTAATAATTTCATCAAAACATTGAGAATACAGTTCTTCTCTTACAGGGCAGATTCCTGAGTCTCTTGCTTGTCTTTCCATTAGTTTTTGGTCAAGTTTTTCTTTTAGAGTGATTACGTCTTGACGAGAGGCTGATTGATGGGATACATATTGGATAAATCGCTTGTCGTCTTGAATTCATTCTCTGGGGGGAAGAATTGAGTTTAAGTATTCTTCAATTGTTGGCTTGCTTTCCATTGGAGGAAGAGTGCCACGTTTTCGGCCTGCTGGACCTAGAAGACGCTTTTTAGGGGAAATGAAGTCCGAGGAGATTTCGACTGGAGGGTCATATTGGATTAAAGTTTCTCTGGGTGGGCCTTCCATAATAACTGCTTTATTATTCTAAAATAGAATTTTAAATAGAAATAGATAAAATTTTAAAAAAATTGAGAGAATCGTGGATAAATTTACTTGCCATTATGTATTAATAGTATTTCTGCAGGATCAAGATGCGCATCATTTTTTAGTTTTTTCTTTTTATGCTTATCCCATGTGAATTTTCCAAAAAGCACTACAGTAGAAATAAATGCTTCTTTATTTTGTGTGAAGACGAAAGCTCATGGCTACTGTCTGGTATTATTGTAAAATCTGTTTTTACTTTAATCTCCCTAAGGTTTAGCCAGAGAGGTCTATTCGGCTCTTAAGATAAATTCCTATTTAAAAAACCTCCATAATAAAAATGCTACTGAATCACTAATTTCACCATTTTTTTCTATTTAATAGAAATAACAAATATAACAAGATATACAATCCCCACCAGTGGCCAATCAATCCCTTCAAGCGTGCTAGGATCAGCCGCATAATAGCTCGCTTGGCATTGGCTTAAGCAGCTATTACAAGAGCATGGCACAATTTCATATCCATATGCCGTTGTTACATTAGTCTGGCAAGGCAAAAATTCAAGATCTAAAGCTTGTGGGCTATCATCAAAAATAAAGGTTGTCCATACGAATCCAATTGGGATACTCTCATAGCCTTGAAATTGCAAAAATCCTTGAGGACTTTGCATTGCAGAGACTTGAGTAACGTACGGACATTTTTGGCATGACTCATAGATTTGGCATGCCAAGCTATTGGTAACAGTAAAATTCATTAGCAGAACAAGCTGCATTTGGGATGGTTCCACAGGGTTTGGGACATATTTCTGCTCGCCTGTGCTGACAAATTGTGACTGCAGCTGATTACAAGAAAAATGGCATCATAAATATTTCATATTTGCCGCACAGATATCACAGCCTCCTATGGAGTGTCCAAAGGTTTCGTCAAGGAGGAAATATTTATAATTCATATTTGAGTTTTGATCATTATTACAGCAGACGGTTTGGCCTAAAAACATGGGGCAGGCATAGGGAGGTGTAAAGTTGGCATGCCATGGAGGGATTGGGGGATCAACTTTTATGGGGACGTCACAATCATAAGGAGGGTTGGGACAGTGCTGGGTCATTGAGCAAAGGGAGTAAACGTGAGCAATGAGGGATAAAATGATAAGATGCACCATTTATTATTATTATTATGATAATATAATATTGGAATTTCCAAATTTATGGGCGGATTTAGTTAAGAGTTTAAAATCTAGTTGTTTATCAATATAAAAAAAATTGCCAAAATTGAAGTTTTTAGGGATGCAAAATGAGACAATAAAAAAAATGCTGGTTTGGCATAATATCCAAAATTAATATATTTTTAATAAAATGAATCTGAAATAGGTTTGCCACAAATCTTGATTAAAAAAGAACTATACTTACTGCATTTGACTTTTTCGTTAGCGGATGAAATTAATTCGCCTCATGTTTATTATGATAAAATGGACTTTATTTACCAAAGTTTCACCAAAATGGCAAAATTATCTATTATGAAATACCTATATCTTGAGATTAAGCAAATAAATATATTTTAAGCTTTTATAACTCTTTTTAGTTATTTTAGAGAACTCAAAAAAATTTAATTTTCATCTTCAGCTAAACGCCCATCCTTGAACATGCCTTCAAATTTCTCGCCAGTCGACAAAATTAATTTGCCTTTGCCGTTTTGAAGGCCATCAATCCATTCTCCTTCATAGATATCTCCATTTGCGTGAATATATTTCCCATAGCCATTTCTACGATGTTGACTCATGTTCCCTTCATAAATATATTTTAATAGGTTATCTACCAAAAATATGACTATAAAGTTTACAAGGCGAGTTCTATATTTTGTATAATAAATCTACCAAATTTCTAGATTTTATATAAATAATATATTAATTACCTTTAGTTCTATATATCTCCATTGCTATATTTCCAGGTTCCATATCCATGTGGCATATCTTCTTTTCATTCCCCTTCATACACATCTCCATTTTTATACTTAAGTACCCCATATCCTTCTTGGACCCCGAACTTAATTTCTCCTTCATATTCTTTTCCAGTCGCCCAAACAGCTTTTCCTTTCCCATTAAGCTGATTATCTTTTCATTCCCCTTCGTATGTATTTCCATTTACATAAATGCATTTCCCATCCCCTTCACATTTTCCATCCACAAAGCTTCCTTCATAAATGTCTCCATATGCCCATGTATATTTCCCGATTCCATTAGGTAAGTCATTGTTCCATTCTCCTTCATATACATCTTTTCCTTTGCTGATAAATTTTCCTTTGCCACACCTTTTACCATCTACAAAATCACCGTCATAAACTCCTCCATTTTTCAATGTCAAAAATCCTTTTCCATTTGGCTTGTTATTTTTAATTCCTCCATGGTTGGTTGAGCATGAAACTCACCCCCCCCCCTTTTTTAACTGAAAACCTAATCTTGATAATAAGAAATATAAGAGATATTGTCGTATTTTGGCTCTTATGCTATTGAAGAGTGATTTCTTACATGATTGCTCATATATATAAATTTTATTCTATATCTCAGCACATATAAAATTTTACATAGAGATTTAATAGAGAAATATGCTTAATTTAGCCTTAATATTGCATTTATAAGGAGTCTTGTAGTATTCAGCTTTAAAATTGATAAAGATAAATATCTCCTTCTAAAGAAATCCTGGACTTTTCACTATCATTCACAGGATTCCAATAAGCATTTTTTAAATTCCCAAAATTAGAGTCTATTTTAAGACTTCACGAATTATCATTTGGCTCCAGCAGATCTCTAATTTTTGATTCTAATTCAACAATAGGGACAAGATTTGGCTCCCTTATCATTATTTTGATGCACCAATCATTAAAAGCGTCACGTAAAAGTTCATAATTATTGAACTCTTCAGCTAATTTTTCAGTATTCATAGTAAACATCCTATCAAAATCACATACGAAATTTTGGGTGTTTATTTTATTGATTTTTTTAGTGGCTTCTATTAAGTTATCGTAGCTCTCTGCAAGCTTTGACAATTGAAAAAGGCCGATTTCTAGTGACCGTCTTATTATGTCAATAGCAAGACCAGCGTCATACGTAAGCTTGTCTCGGAAAAATTTTATTTTTTTCTTTTTTTCTTTGATTACTGAGATAAGGTTGTCTCTGTTTTCGTCGTTTACTATAACAAATAATTGGGTCAGCTCGTGAGGAGAATTTATATGTCTTTGGACGTGGGTGTTGCAGATTTTGGAATTAGGGGAGCATTTGCAAGAAAAGATTGCTTCCTCAGGACAGTTGGGGACAGAGCAATCAGAACTCATTAGGCAAGATTATTAAATAATATAGACATTTCTAGAGAATTGTGATGTGTTAACTTGGAAATGGATTATAGAAATAGGAATAAATAATTTTTTGTATTTTTAGTATATTGTTATAAGATAAATCTGATAGCAAAAGCTTAGTTTTATAATAGTGTCTAAGCTAATCATATAAAGTATATCAAGATAACTTAACTTCATAAAACAAATTAGCTGCACGATTACTTATACTTATCATCATTTCCTAATAGAGTTATGATTTGCAAAATATTCAATAATAAAATATGATTACCACTTTAAGGTACTCTGAAGGTTTTTTCAGAAATTTATCAGGCTATATCGGCCAAAGTGCTCCAATAAGACCTCAGCCTACCCATCTACCTCCTCCCCAGGTATCCCAGCCTGCCCCTGTAGTCCAAGTACAAGAGCAACAACCAGAATTAAACCCAGAACCCAAACATTTCAAGAATGAAGACCTTTATCTTGACTATGAAGACAAACCCGCAAGATCTCAAGCTCCTCTATCAAAATCAGCAACTGGCTTAAGCTACAATAAAAGAGAATGGATTTTACGTCAAAGGCAAGATTTATCTGAAGAAATTAACAAGGCAAAATCTAGAGTTGATGAAGAAAACGCAAGAAGAGACCAAATTCTGAAGCAGGAGCAGGAGAAAATTAACGAAGTATATGCTGCCCAAAGAAAGCTTGAAGATCTAATGAGAGAACAGAGCTCAAGGCTATTTAAGTAAAATTGGATTTGAATTAAATTCATGTGATTTTATTTATAAAGTAAAAGTATTATAGTTCGAACACAGTTATAGCTTAACATTAGCTCTCTCTAGCCATTTCAGTTTAGATTAAACTATCAAAATCAATTTCCAAACCCATATTGAGCCATAGCTGCTCTCGAAGTATAATATAAATAATCTCGAAAGTAATTAGAAATCTAGCTTTAGATAGTTATTAATAAATACCTCCTCTGCATATCTGCAAAATCTCGCTATTCAGCTATGGATTGGCAGATGTGCTTCCAGGTGGCCCTGCTGGAGTTATTGTTAAATCTTGTGAAAGGTCTGTAGCGTAATAAATGTAATTTAATGCTGAATCTTGTGTATAAGCTTCAGTGACGCAATCATAAATTCCTGCTGAACTAGGAGGAGTTACATGAGGGATGTTAATAATCATTAATCCAGGCAAAAATTCATAAAAATCAGTAATTCTCAGAGTATTTGACGAGATGGAGCAGGATATAGGATCAAAGCTGCTAATGCCAATTAGTCCAGAAACATATATTATTTCGTTTAAGAAAGTTTCTAGCATTCAAGATAAGATGATACATCTAGCTTCTTTGTAACATTTTCAAACTTTGATGGTATGCTTATAAACGGATAAACATTATTTTATTTATATAAATACGACTTCTAGTTCATAATTGAAATGTGATGTCTAAACTTATGAATTATTTGATGAATAGATTAAATTATAGGTATGATACTCAGCAATCGTTAAGTCTCTTTGTATATTATTTAAGTCTTGCCATTTGATCTCAATTTATTGTTAAATTATAATGCTCTTGGTAAAGTATAGTTATATTGTATATAAATGTGCTATGGCATGGATTTAAATAGCAGCAATTACAAATCAAAATCTTGGTTTAATGAAAAGAATATCTCAAGAAATAAAAGATGCAATATCCTTTATATTCTTTATAAAAAAGATATAAATCCAATAAAATTATTTGAAAAATATATCGAAAATAAATAATCTAAAAACTTGAAAATACCTAGAAGCTTGGATAGAATAAAAAGCAAATAGATATTAAATTGTGTCGATAAGTAAAATAAACGATAAAAAATAAAAGGATGTAGCAATCAGTGATATATTAGCACTAAACTCTGTTTAGGCTTATGAAATTTAAATATAATGCAAGACATAACCCTTGCTAATTAAATAACAAAATTTTTTGAGTGTATTTTTGATATAAATCTTTACTTCAATAGGTCAATATAAAATTTTAGTATTCATTTAAATAACCCTGATCGAATATTTTAAATTTTATTAGGTTTTATTTTAATTTTGAATCTCTATCGAATTTTCTGCAGTGAAAAATATTTTCTAAATTCTTAAGATAATAAAGATTGAGAGATAGATCATCTACTTAATTATTTAATTAGATTATCGAAAAGCTCCTTATGATACCACAGCTTTTGCGTTGAGTATTTATCTCCATAATAAAAATATGGTGTCACAGCGCTCCTAGGTCGGCTACCCCGACTTGCTTCGAGCACATATTTAATTATATCCGGCAAGGCTTCGCAATCCCGGAAATGAACTGCAGTTCTAGGTAAGCAATTCTTGACGTATGAGAGCCTAGCCCAAGTCCGCTTTCAAGGATGGATTTTACCTCAAGGAGAGTTTGACACGGAAGCTAGTAAGGGGTCGCCCAGCAACGTATACAGGCAATTTCAAGACCAATCGGGCACTTCACCAGCATGAAACATGGAGTACGCCCTGGGTTATGCGCTTTCCTTTTTTGTCTAGAGTTGACCAGATGCTCGATTTTTTGGATTTTTGTGTGGGCAAGCTTTGTTTCCTAAGAGGATAGATTAATTCATAACGCTTTATTTGTTAAAATGGTGTAAAAAATCAACCCACCCTTTTTTAACTCTTGTAACTGGCCCTGCGTCGATAAAGGCACCAGGCTTTATACTGCCAGGATAGCCACCACATATCTTAATTAATATATCAAGGTTTCTGCCTCAGAGGAAATGCGTTCGAGAGTTGGAAAAGGAGTCTTCGAGTAGACACAGAGGCATGGTCCATCCGACTACCAAGGAGCAAAGCGAAGGCCCTCATCCAATAGGAAAAATATTTGCAATGCTGTGAAACGTGAACTATGAGCAGGCGGGGAAACATTAGGATGGAGATAGTCCTTCTAAAATTGCAAAGAGCTTTTCGATAAATATAATTAAGACTAAGATTCGCCACGCTATTTTTATGTAGAGATAGATAAAAGAATATATTTATTACTATTTCTTTTAGACATTTTTTTTAATATTATTGATTTAAAAGGGAATTAACTCCTCACATACGTTTTAAAAAATGATTTCTTTAGATTTTAGAGACTTTGAGGTAAAATTTATTGTTTTAAGAAAGGAAGAAATATTGCTTTCTATTATTTTGAATTCAAAGTCCTTCTCAAAATTTTTTAACGTATAACTTGGTGGCACATTATTATATACAATTCATGCTAAAAATGATTCGTTTTTATATTAAAATGTTTTATTTGACAGCATTCAATTGATGAAACCTCTCTAAAGTTATTTGAAATTTATTAAGCATAAAATGAATGCATTTGCTAGCTATAAAAATTATTAAATTGGAGCAATGCATATAATGGAAAATTGCTTACTCCCCTTTTTTTTGCTCACGGAGATTGATTAATTTTTTTTAAAAATTTTATAGAAAAAAATTAAAAATATATCAACTTCTAAAAATTGATAAGTGAAATTAATTTAATTTGCGAAGTTTATGTTTAAAATGCAAGCTGATTTATTGAAATAAAATTAGCTAGGGATTTCATTATAATAATTATCACTTATAAATCAATTTTTTTTCATAAAAAATTTTATATTAAAATAATTTTTGTTTGCTCATAGAGGGTGGGTTTTGAGAAAAAAATAGAGATTTTTCCAATTTTGTTCGCAAACGGAGGGGTAGCTCTCCATTTAGAACAGCAATACCATTGAAAAATCCTTATCATTGGTAATTAGCTCTTTTAGAGAGAATAAAAAATTTTATATATAATTATTAATTTCTATAGTTAATTAATTAAATTAAACGTTACTAGGATAAATTTAATAATTAAATTAAAATCTGCTTTTAAAATATTTACAGATTTGAATTTTTAAAATATTTATATAAATTTTAATATAAATTTTTTTAAAAAAAAACCCTTTAAGATCGAAAAAAAATGCTTGCTCTTAAAGAGAGGTAGATGATTTTATGTATCAGTTTTATAATACAATTGAAGGATCTTTAATCAAATACCTACGAAGCTATGGCCAAGCCACCTTGGATGAGTTAATTGATCACGTCTTGAACAATAAAAACCTTAGGACAAAATACTCAAAAAAGTACAGAAACAGGAACATTGAAAAGCTAACCCTATCCAAAATCATATCTAAAGATCATATTTTCATTGAAAATCAGTATGGGATTTGGACGCTTGATGTAATTATTATTCAGGAAAGTTTTGCATCTGAATATGAAATTAAAAAAGTTACTGAAATCAAAGAAATAAAAGAAAAAGGACTTCAATCAAGAGTGGAGAAGTATAGAAAGGATAAAAGCAAGCTAAGAGACCAAGAAAATTTTACAATATTTAATAGGATTATAGATGAAGGTATTTTTAACAAACTTGAGCAAGTTGAAGAAATTTTACAGTCATCAAATGAAAATGCTCAGAATCAAATTTACGATATCTTTGAGTCTTTATTAGCTCATAATAAAAAATATAACACCTAAAACATTGTCTTAAAGTCTTAATTGTATATATACAAATAATAAAAATGGTCAAAAATAGCCTTAGTTTCCAAAACCAAAAATCTTCTCAGAGCATTGAAGAACTTCCTATAGAAAGAGAAAGAGAAGAACAAATTACTAATCTTGCTCCTAAAAAGCATCAAAAAATTCCTTTTAATCAAGGTTTGAAACAGATACCAAAAATAGGGCGGACTTGTAGTCTTAATGACTCATCTACGATTTTTGAAAATCTTGCAATTGGCTGTGTTATTAATTTTCTGAGAAAATTCAGCCCTTCTCCTATTGAAAATATAGTGGAACATGTAAAATCCAATGAGCATTCACTCATAAACTCAGTCAAAGGGAAATACAAAAAAAACGCTTTTCAAACTGTGGATTATGTTTTGACATGGTATCCAAAAATTTTCAAATTAAATGACAGTTTTCATTACTACTTGAATGTAAATATTATTTAGGAAGAAGAAGCTCTTAAATATGAGAGAGGATTCAAATTAAAGACAATCTTATTATCCAAAAATAAGAGGCTGAAATATAAAGAAAAAATAAAACAACAAAGAGAAAAATCAGAAAAAAAGAAGAGAATTAGTGAGAAAATTGAAGCAGAGTTGTCAAATGGTGCTGAGCCTTCAATTATAACGAAAGCTTACTTAGTGCTGACTTCAAGCAATGAAAAAGAAGCTGAGAGTTTACGCCTCAAGATAAGAAATGCTTATCTTACGCTTAAAAATTTAGTCTAATAGGCAAGCAAGCTTAATTATTCTATAGATTCTTATTCTTAATGGTCTATGGCAGTATTAGAATGCTTGATCTTCGTGCTCGCAATAGTAATCAGCCTTGTATTTTTTTCAAAAAATTTAGCTGCACTTTCTTTACTACTAAGCTAAGCCTGCAATTTGTCTTTATTGCCCAATTGCTTGATATAACTTTGCCGCGGCAATAATATCAGGCTTCTTCTAAATTGGCTCCATTTTATTTTGTCCCTTTGTACAAATATAGTTGCCAAAAGGACGGCTGTTAAATTTCTTCCATTCTTCTTTTATTAAGGTAGGAGACCTTTCTTAAAGCTCTAAAAGCAAAATTAGGCAGTCTGATCAAGTTTATTTTCAAATTTAGCTAATTTTACTCCCCCTCGGTAAGCGTGCAAAAAGTTTTTTTCTCTTAGGGAGTGGGTTAATTTTTTTGAATAAGTAAATTTTTTTGTTGCTAATTTAAAAGGATTTCAATTGAGAAATAAAGATTTAATTTGCAAAATTATGTTTTAAATGAAAGCTCAGCAGAATTTCATTAATGATGTATCAAAATATTTTTTTGATAAAAAATTTTTGCTGGTCATAGAGGTGGGTTTTTACGAAAAAATGTAGATTTTCCCCATTTTTTTCACTCACGGAGAGGGAGTTAAGAAAATGTAACATATAAAAATTAAAAATTTTTAAACCAAAAGCAACCCTTAAATCCTTTATTCCTTCCATGAGTTCTGAATAATTTTTTAACCAGTTAGATCTCTTCACAAAAACTATTTCCAGCCAATTTTTCAGCCTGTGAATCCTTCTCGATCGCCAACATCAGAAATTTCCTTTAAAACCAGCTCTTGCACCCCATTCCAAGCCTCCTTATTTCCCATTTTCATCCCCTTTTTCCCCCATAGTCATCTAGAATCATTTCCCCACCTTGCCACCCGCTTTCTAGGGGCAGGAGCTAAAGTTTTCCTCCCTGCATCTTTATTATTATAGCTTTCCTCGGAAAAGTCCTTATACTACACACAAATATGGAATCTCCCTTTCTTCGCAAAAACAAAAATCGTAAAAATTTTTTCCAAGACCGTTTTGTAACGCACTTATAAGCCAATTCGAATTTAAAATCTCAAAATGAAAAGTCTTATAAGCTTTCTCGCTTTAATATGACTTGCCTTAGCAGATCCTACAATGACTACGAAAAATGGATATTTAGATCCTGGCAGAATTGTGTGGTGGCAAGATAAGTGGGCTCCTAATCCAATTGAGCTCACCCAAACTAACGCTGGGGCTACTTCAGTCAGTGTGGTTCTTCATTTTAGACCTTTTACCTCTATAAATTCTGACAGCAACTCTGGAATTGTACAATTGATTGTTCCTTCAGCTTTCTCAAGTACAGGAACATATTCTTCAGACCCAATGACAATCACAGGAGGCACTGATATGACTGCGACATTTGAATTAGACACCTCCTTACCATACTTTAAATATGGCGTCTCAACTTAGGCTTGGCCTCTCGGCCAAGCAGTCTCGAACCCTATTTAAAGTATATCCGGCAAGGTTTTACAACGGAGAAATGGACAGCTATGCTAGGCAAGCATTTCCCGCAGGAGGCAGGAGCCTAGCCCTAGTCCGCTTTCGGAGTTGGCTTTTTCCTCAAGGGTAAAGGAGGGTTGAAGTTGGAAAGGAGGTGCAATGCCGCTAGTGAGAAACCAGGAGTTTCGTCCTGGGCTTCAACTTTTACTTTACCGAAAGTTCGCCAGAAAATCCATTTTTTTGGGTTTTCTGTGTGGACAGCCTTGTACCCCACAGCCTCAAGCAAGGCCGCAGAATTCCTAAATCTGCCCACTCAATACTGGAATAAGGTTGTAGGTGCAAGGAGGAGACGTTCAACAGAACAGGCTAGCCATTAAGTTGGAGTCCTGTAGGCGACGTCGCAAAGCGGAGGAACCTTCGGGTCTGGGTGACTGCGTCAAAACTAATAGCTTAGCAGCTAATAATCTCGTAATTAAGATTAAGACACCTCCTTACCTTCTGCAGGAGTTTATGGGCCTTTTCAAGTGCTTACTAGATCTTCATCAACTGGGCAAATTTACGACACAAACTACGTATTCGGTTGTGTCGCAGTTTCTGCCTCAGTCACAAGTTCTTCTTCTCTGGCAACCGGCGCTGCTACATTAACTTCAACGACTGGTTTTGTTGGCTCAAAAGATGCATTGACCTTTACTTTTAGTATTCCTTCTGGCACCAATCTGTGAAAGCATGATATTTTTGAAATCATTCCTGACTCCAGTTGGACTGTGACTACAAGCCCTACCTGTGCATCAGTTGATATAACTTCAGTCACCAACTATATCAAAGGTCCTGACAATGATAATACTTTACCTTGTGCTATTGCAGCAACTGGAGGGGCAAATGGAGGATTTAGCACTGCAGCCTCTACAGCTAGCCCTGCTAAAAATAGTATTTATATATATGGACTGTCTCAAGATGTGATTATTACTTCAAGCTACCAGATTAAGCTCCAAGTTTCCTCCTTTACTTTCCCATCTTCTGCTATTGCATCAGCAAGCTATTCCTGGACACTAAAAATATGGAGATGGGGGACCACTAATTTACTTGCCCAATATACAGGCTCTGGACCATTTAAACCAGCTACAGGTGCAATTACAGTGACTTCATGGGCTCCTTACAATTCCAATCTAGCTTCTACAGATATCCCAAGCTCTAATTCTTTTAATATTTTCACCAAGCTGACTTTTCAAATCGCCCATCCAATTTCATCAGGCACTATTGCTATCACCTTTACTGGTGCTGATATATATAGTCAAAACTGGTATGAAGACATTGGATCTGGTACTGGACAGCCAGCATTATGCTACTTGAATACTTATGTATCTTAACTTAACCTAGTATCTGGTATTTAAGGTGTCTAATGCCGCACCCCCATAAAAAATGGAGTTATAGCGAAAATTTGATGACATCGCCGGGCCATCTTGGAATCGCGATGGTTAGCCCACCGGCCAAGCCTTCACCTGCACTTCGCTCGTTTTCGCCGCACGTCTCACCCGAATACTTATGTATCAGGAGTCAGTTGCAGTGTATCAACTACTTCTTCAGTTGCTACTATTACTATAAGCGATACGACCCTAGCAGCTTCTACATCTATTTCAATCACTCTTTTGACTCAACTTACTTCTAGCGCTAAAGTTAGCACAATAATAAGCAATGATGGGACTGCAAACATAGATACATTGGCCTCTGCATATTCATGGTCTTTCAGCTCTGCCTCTTCTTATGCATCCATGACTGGTTTCAAATTTTATGCGACCAATGTAGCCCAGTATGGTGGGACTACAACAGTCAGCACAAATCTGCAAGTAGGAGGTAAACTTGTTAATTCTCAATATTTATTATGGTATGTAGTGCCATCAACAGCATGGACAACTGGAGCTACTTTAAAAGTTTATTTACCTTTCTCAACTGCAGGAGTACAATTAGCTCAAACCTATATTAAATCGTCAGCAACATACAAAGATGCAGCATTTACTTCTAGCACTAGTGATACAACTCTTTCTTCGACAGCAACTGGCACTGCATCACTTAGTTCTGGATCTCCAGGAACAATTACAATTACTTTTTCAGGAGCAACTATCCCAGCAGCAGGAGGCACCTATCCATACTTTGCCTTTGCATATGGAGATTCCGCAGATAGTACAACTGCCTTACCATTTGTCAACTCAAATGCTGGTACTTTTTATGAGTGCTGGGCAAAAGTGTTTACATCAAGCACCTCATCAACTGCATTTGAAATCTCCAATTATGTTTTCTCCGTTTATACCTCACAAACAGATAGTGCATTAACAGCTGTTCCAATGTGCACAGACAAATTTGCAGGAATTCCTATTATTGTTAACTATCATGCTTTAGATAGAGACTTTACGTTTGTGGACTCCACGTATCATTACTATCTTGACGTTGAATTTACTGGAGGGGTTGGTACTAATTTAGGCTCTGGCTTAAGTGATAACAGTGCTTTTCCTGTAACTATAGCTATTACCTCTTTATAGATATATATACATTAAAATGGAGACACGTGTCAGCCTGCCCTCTTGGCAGCAGTCTAGACCTTGTGGCTACGGCGAACTGGGACGGACTCCGAGCCTAGAATCAAGTTTAGGCTCAAGAGGTGTGGATCCGGGTAGGTTTTTGGCTGCTTTTCTGTGGTTAGAAATTGATGCTCTCAGCAATATCCTTTGGATCCGATGGCCAATGGGCATTTCTGCGCAAGCCACAGGGGAATAGTCTTTTTCTTGTTGCTATCTAAGAAAGGCACTTCAACACCTGATAGACTCCAAGGAGTTGATCCCTAAAATCAAGCTACTCAAATCGCCCGTAGAAGGGCCGCAGAAATTTATAAGCCGCCACTCAAGACTGAAGCCTCAAGGCAAGGAGGAGAAGGTACCGGAAGGGCACTCGTAAAGGATAGACCTCTGAGCTGGAGTCGAAAAGCGGTAGAACCTTCTGTATGGGAGGTCTTTGGTGACTGCGTCATCAATATGGCTCACGTATGACTTTTAATAATCCTAATCCTAACCTCTTTATAGATTTCCATTATGAGCATATAGCTACTTCATTAGACTTTATCACCAAATTCAGTTAGATTTCTTATTGCTATAAGAATTTTTCAATGCTTAATTTAAATAGCTTCAAGACAATAAATTCCAACTTTAAAATAGCTGGTTTTTTAAGTATTTTGAAAATATTGTTTATGCTAGATTTGAATAATTTAGCTAGCTAAAGGCTCGATGTTTTTTTCATTAGCATTAACTTTTATTTTATCATGCCTGATTAATGGTGGTTTCGCAGCAAATGAATTTGACTAATTTTGGATATTAAAAAAAGGTGCGCCTTAGCCATGTGCTCATAATGGAAATCAATATTGGTGGGATGAGCTATACTACATCTTCTTCAATTACTCCAACAGCCACAATCAAATCAAACAAAGTGACTATATCAGGATTAGGAACTGTCAGCAGCGATGGTAATGTTGTTCTATTATTGCCAAATGGCGAACCAACTGGAACTATAGCTGTTACTTTGAAATTTTATTATGTCATACATACATTAATTAAAGTTTTTAAGGTATCTAACGCTGCATTCCCACTAAGGGGATAGAGCCAAAATGATAATGTCACGATCATTTCCAAGCCAAAAGGTCGGACCATCCCAAATAAACCGCCTACCATCCTGATCAGTGCTTTCACCCGTCGCCCTTGCCACACTCAGCTCCTGCGCATGCTCAGCCTAAGGGTCCCTTCTCGGATGAGCTGAGAGGTAAAACTCTGTGTCTCTTGGTTGCACTGTATAGCAGTTCTTTGTTTATCCTCAGAGTTAAACTACTGTTTTGCTATGCAGAAATTCTCAAAAGCAAGGCCAAGTCCATGAATAAATTTCCATGGGGAGAAAATTAGTAGAGCTAATTTCTCTCGAACTGAATGCCATTTTATTTATATCATATTTTATTATGTCCTTATTGGAGGAGACCCTACTATAAAATATTACTTATACTCTGGATCATCTTCAACTAATTTAAACAGTGGAGCTGCTGCTGGCTACGGCAGTTCATCAGTAACAAGCCCTACATCTTACACTGTAGGAGGCAGTGCAGATACTACAACTGGGTCTGTCACTGTTAGCACTGCAGCTTCAGCTGCATCAGGAGATTGGGTTGGAGTTGGCTTACCTAAAGGCTTTACATTGTCATCATCTGGCTACGGAGTTTCATTAGGCGGTATTTCTTCAACAGCTTATACTGTCTCTTCTTCAAGCAGTACATTTACTGGAGGATTTATAGTAGGAAAGTTAGCAAGCGCAGTTGCTCTTTCAGATTCTTCAGCATCAACTTTTACTATTTCAAATTTGGTTCCTCCAACAACTACAGGGAAGTCCTCAGATGAAGCTTCGGTCAGTTTCGTTGTTTTTGCAGCATCAGCATCATCAACTACAACGTGCAAAGCTGCAGGCTCTGTATCTTCTGCATCTGTAACGCTTAATGCTGGCACAATTACATCAGACACATGCTCAATTGACAAAGCTTACGCTCAAGGCCCAGATTCGGTAGATTCCACCCTGACTCTTTCATTTGTGACTGTTAACACTATTCCTGGTGGTGGAAAAATTTCGTTGACTCTAAACTCTGGAGCTTGGACTATTAGTACTTCAGATGTAGAAACTACTTGTGAGGGTGTTGGCTTTACAGACTATTCTGACCTTACTGCTAAAAGCTGTACGATTTCAAGTTCAGTTATTACTTTAGAAGGATTTGCTTCAATTTCTGCAGGAACTGTTAATGTAAAAGTTTATCATATAATTCCTGCTTCAGCGTCGACTGAGACATTAACTTGTTTTTCATCAGTCAGTACTTATGATTCAAATGGTTATCTCATTGATATAATTGGCTCATCAATAGCAAACTCACTCCTCCTTTAAGTTCGAACAAAGTTTAGGTAAAATTTCCGCTTTTTAGGTACTTTAATTACCTTTAAAATTGTAAAAAAAAAAAATTCAAAGGGATTTTATAGGTGAAATACTAATTTTCATAAAATTAGTTTTGGCCTAATTTAATAAAAGAAATGCAAGTGAAATATTTTAAAAAGCTTTAATTATGAATCGATTTTTTAAATCAGTTATTAATAAAAATAATTCTAAATATTGTTCAACTTATATTTTTTATTTTTAAATTTTTTTTATCGAAAAATTTCAAATAAATTAAAAAAAATTTAATCCTTCTTTATATTGGAACAAGATTTTTTGATTCAATTTAAAGGGGGAGTCAGTTACTTTGACTGTTTCAACAGATACTGGGAGCACAAATAGTGGACTAGTAGCAAAAGCATATCCTAACGTAGCTAATACAATTGCAGACATTTATCTCAGTTTTTCTTTTTCTAAAGCAATCCCTGCTTATAGTACAATACAAATTAATCCTGGCTTTGTCAGTTCTTGGACTGTGTCCTCTTCTAATATCCAGAATTCGTGCTGGACTGACCAATATACTTATTCTTGCACTGTGTCTGGCAGTTATGTATCCTTAACACTAGCAAATTCAGTTGCTGCCAGCCAAGCCATCCAAGTTTACATTGAGAGTGCTTTGACTTTACCTAGTTCTAATTCTACATCAAGCGGATGGACAATTTCTACCTCATGGAATGGAGTGTCCATCACTGCTGACTCTACAACAGTCACTACTGCAACTTTCCCATTCGTTGTTGGTACTGCTGTTGAAAATGCTATCACCTTAGCATCTATTACCCAAGTTAATACGACGACTGCAGGCGAAATTTCTTCATATGCTTTTAGCTTTTCTTCAGCCTCAGCAGTAGCTACTACTGATTCATTCGTTATACAGTTTCCGAAAGAATTTGATCCACATGTAGGCGATGCTAAATTGGTGTTTAATGACTGCTTGCCTAATAATTTTTACCTAACATGTGGGTCAACTGCTCTGGGGATTACTAGCGGAACTCTTTGCTCTGTTGACCATTGGAAAGTTGTGATAACAGGAATTACTAACACCACAAACTTTAAATTGGAACAAATATAGTTAAATTTCTATTTTTGGGCAAATAAAACCTTAATAGGTAAAAATAATAATTTTTTTATAGTTTTGATCTAATTTAATTGAGACAATAAATTAGAATGCTGTTTAAGCAGCTGGTACGCTGGATCAATTAATATTTTAAATTAAATTGATTAAATGAAATTAAAATAAAAATATTGTGTTCTTTTTGTGTTTTTTTAATTTTTAAAATAATCCTTATATATACTGGAAAGATCTTTCTCTTCCAATTCAAAGAGGGATAAGACAGTAACTGCAGCCTCAAGTATAGATATTACAATCGATATGGTTCAAAACCCAGTATCAGTATCTGGAACATTCAGCTTTTACCAATATGGATCAGACGGGTCTGTAAAATCATACCTACAACAAAGTGGTACTGTTTCAACTACAAGCAATGTAGCAAACATCGTATCACTTAAAAACGTTACTATTGATTCCACAGAACTTTCAGAAACAGCAACCTATACCTTTAACTTCTACGCTGCAGCTACATACACCCCAGACTATATCATTTCAATATTATTCCCTCAACAATTCAATAACAAGCTAAAAATGGGCAGCTCAGCTACATGTAAATCTGTTTACTATGATGAGTCTTCCTCATCTACAAGCACAACTACCAGCACGACTTTCAGCTCTACATCAACTTGTACTATTAATGGAAATAACGTCACCCTTTCATTCCCATCAGGAACAAGCCTAACAACGGCATCTACCTCAAGAATCGAAATTCAACTGTCCTCTTTCTATAACCCAGAATGGGGATTCACAAGGTCTGCTGGATGGGATGTGACTGACTATGAAACTTTTACTGGAACTATTGAGCCTGACGAGTGGAGCAATAAATTCGATATTGCCATCTCCCAATTCAGCACAGGCAAAACTTATGCTAAAAGCTATGGTGTCCTTCACTCAGGATTTATTGGATATACATTAAGTACAACTAGTATCAGTGTTGGCTCTTATGATGCAACCAATGCTTCTGGAGGTATAAAATTGCTGCCTGGACAGCAAAGTTCTGATATCACTGTTTCTCTTCTTGATAGCAATAGTTGGCCATTGAAATCGAAATCACTTAAACTGTCTCCAACTTCAAATACTAATTACCCTGACAATGGAGCCCTTGCATATTCCTCACTTCATTACAGTTACACTGCATTCCAAATGACTTCTCAAATCAAATTCAGAGTGGCAGCCACCAGCAGTGCAGTATCTGGGATTTATTATATTGATTGGGGAACACCTGTTGAGTCCTTACAAGATGGAGTTTCAACAGCTTTATATAGTGCTCCATTGAGTATACTAGTAGAAGTTTGCAGTTCTTTAACAGCTATATCTATCACAGTCGATTCTTTACCAACCTTCTATCAATACTACACCAGTCTTCCAATCAAAGTGACTCTTGCAAACTCTCCAGCTACTCAGTTGATCGTTACTCCAGCATTCTCTGTCACAGGATTTACAATCACCCCTACTTCTCTTACATTTACACCTAATGTGAATGAGCTTTACTTCCAAGTTGTCGTCGGGTCAACTTATGTAGCCTCCACAACTTCTCCTACACTATCATTTACCCTTTCAGGGACAGACTCAGCTGCTTTTACAGCCCCAAGTAAGTTGACAGCTACAGTTTCCACGTCATATCCTTCAGTTGTTTCAGTCACTCCAGGATTGACTGGGACTAAAGTGAGCGGATCAGAGTACAAAATTGCAGTTACTACATCAATAGCTGGAGTTTTGTACTGGGGGCTTGGGTGCCAGGGCTCTGAAGTCCTTACTTTTGCTGGACTTTCAGCCTTGGTTTCAGATCTGGTTAGCCCATCAAGCTCTATTCAAACTCTTCAAGACCAATTGGATAGTGAATATCTGAGCACTGAAACTGATATTAGCAGCACTAAAGGGGATACTGATATTGCTTCTTTCTTCAAAAGAATTCATGCTGAGCACTGTGAGAACTATTGGGCGTCATCTCAAGTTATAACGACTTCAGGTGCTACCTTTGACTTTAATTGGCTTATGGCAGGGACCAGCTACACTTTTACAGCTTATATTGCTACAAGGCTAACAAATGATACTACAGTTTACCCTATCAAGACTTATAACTTTACCACAGACTCTCTTGGTTCTATCTATACCACCTCAGTCACTTTTTCAGGTACCGTTTCAACTAGCTCTAGCAATATTGCTAAAGTTTTAGCTAAGAACATGGGTGTAAATCCATCATGGTTATCATATGTAAGTTCATCAAGAAGAAGACTAGACGACACTACTACAACTACGACGTATACTTATAATGTTCTTGCTGACAGCAGATATCCAGCTTATACTTCTTCAGCTATAATATCAAATCTTAATACCAACCAAGCTCAGGCAACTGCTGACTTCCTCAGTACATACTCATTGACTGCTTCAAGTTTAGGGACATCTGCAGCTGTTTCTACTGGAACAACCCCATCATGGTCAACTGCCCCTGCAAAATCTGCAGTCACTGCAACCTCGGCTACCTTTACTGCAGCTTCTTCACAGGCAGGAACCATATATGTGTCATGCTCAGATAATGATTTAACAAGCCGCATTACTTATGCTTGGCAAGTTGTGGATGGGCTAGATGCTACTTCTTCATCAGTGCCTTCGTCAAGTGTAACGAGCGTTGCTGCGACTAGTGAAACTCTGACTGTAGCTGGATTGACTGCAGGGACGACTTATGCTTGCTACTTTACTGCTTGCAATAGTTATCCACTGAATCCTCTTTGTATTGATTATGTATCAAGCACTTCTACAGCTTTAGCAAGCGTTACAATTACAACTACAGCTACAAGCGACTCTAGCAATGCAGCTCTTATTGAAGCAAGCACGGTGTTGGCGTTCCTCTTAATTTTAGTTAACTAAAAAAACATTGCTTAAATGTATCGTTCTTAATCCATAAAATAAGATTTAATAATATAACAGTCTTTAGGCAGCTAAAGGTATTTAAAACTTTTCTGCATGAATTCATCGTAAATTGATTAAAAATAGCATTGTATGTAAATTATGAAGATCTGTACTAAATAGGCAGATTATTTTTTAAAATAATAAAAATATTTGTTCTAGTTTCTGAAATAAATGGCAAAGAGTGTTTAATTTGGGGTAAACTCAATTTTATTATCAAGCTCGGATTTTTTCATAATTTTGATCAAACCCTGAAGAACTAAAATGCTTCTACAAGAATGAAGCCCATTACAAAAAGGGGACAGAATTTGATGCTTTACTTATATTAAGCTGTTTCTCATAGCAGCTATAATCATAAGCTGGAGACTGGTTGCAACAATTTGGCATAAATATAGCCTTTTTTCAGAATTCAAGTATGATAAACTATTAAGAGATTCTGACTAAGGTGTTTCCTGAGTAAAATTAATTATAAGTCATATAAGTGAAATTTGGTAATCAAAGATTAGCTTTTTCAACTTCAAGCATAATAAATATCCCAAGTTATGCTAAGGCCAAGGATAAAGAGTCTTAACATGATTTCTTCTTCCGATTTAACTGCAGCAATATAAAATATGCTAGCTTCCCCTCCTAGGTCGAACAAAACCTTTCGAAAAATTCCTATTTTCTGAGTAAAATCCCACCTGTGAGCAAACAAAAATATTGTTTTAATATAAAAATTTTTTAATAAAAATTAATTTGATATATATATAAGCGATAATTATTATAATGAAATCTCTAGCTAATTTTTTTTAATTTTAAAGAGCTTATGTTTAAAGCATAAATTTTATAAATTATATTAATATTGTTTAAAATTATTATTTCTGATTGGCGTTTTTTTAAAATTTTTACTATAAAATTTCTATATAAATTTTTAAAAAAAAATTAATACCTAATTTTTTCGTTTGCTAAAAGGAAGGGGGGAGTAAAAATATAATTCGAAATCCTATAATTATCCTCAGATATGATTCATTCATGTTGGGACATAATTAAATTTTTTATTGTGTTAAGAGCAGTAAGTAAAACAGAAGGAGTTTTCTTAAATTTTATTTTAAGGCCTTATGTGATACTTTATATCTTTAGTTTAATTATGAGTAAATAAATTCAGACTTAATATGATTTTTAATTAAGGTCTTCTTTTTGAACGTCTTTACATAAGAATCTCCACGGCAACTCTTTTGCTTGAGATATTCCAATTCTTGGAGTAGTTTGCAGGTCAATTGGCCTATATCCTTCATCATAAATCTTTATAGGACAGTCATTATCCAAAACAGACTTTCCGTAATATGCCATCGGTATCCTCATGCTTTTCACAAGTTTTGCTGGTCCATTCAGCATTTTTTTCTTATTTTTAACTCCTTCTCCTCCTAGCAAAAGACCATCTCCTCTCAAAGGTAAGCACCCTCTTATAAGAACAGCACAGCCTCTCCCAGCGTACTCAGTTTTAAAATTAATGCATATATTTTGGCCATACACATAATATAAATAAATAGTGCCAGGCTCAGCAAACATAGCTTTATTTCTTTCTGATTTCCCTTTGAACGCATGACAAGATGCTTCGTCTTGGGTATAGGCTTCTGCTTCATTTATGATTGTTGCAATGGTACCATGCTCAGAAGTATGCTCCATGACTTTTCCTATAAGCTCTCTGGCTACTGTTACAGTATCTTGCTGATAAAAGGACAGCGGCAATTCAGTTTTAAGGCCGCTTGATTGTGCAGGCTGGTCATACATAGGTAGCAACCAGACACCCACACCCTCCCTAAAAATGGTACCCCCACCCCCCCTTTTTACTGATGGCACCCCCACCCCCCCTCTCGGGTTTATTCTATATAGAAGTAATTGATAGGAAGCAAGCAGAATAAATTAAATATAACCAAATTAAAACACTATATTGATAAATTAAGTCCACAAATTACTTTATATTTATGATTAATTAATAAATTTAAATTAATTAGCAATTAATTAGAAATAAATTAAGTTTGTTTTTTATATTTATAAATATAATGCTAATGATATAGATAATGCATTAATTATTAAATTAGCACAATACAATAACTTGCATTAAATTTATTAACTCATAAATCAAAGCTAATCTGATGGCCATTGTACAAGGATTGCAGGACTGAATTGGTAACAGGATTCAATAGTGCTAATAAAAATAGTATTTGCTATTGTCAGTTTTACTTTTGGATCTCTAATTCGACTTTTAGCCATTGTTCCACAAAGTTCATAAATATATGCAGGATATATTGCTAATTAATATCAAAGATCATTATTATGCTTGTTAAAAAATTTTTTCATATGTGGTGTGCTTAGTAGTTATAGGAAATTCTCACCTCGTTCCACCTACTCCTTAATCGATTGTGCTACGCTATATGGATATTGTTTATTTGCAGATTTTTGAACTTTACCATCTAAGTGTGGAATCTTTCCGTGTGTGAAAAAAGGATTCCACATGTGAAGCCCTTTTTGATTTCACATTTAGGTGGTAAAGTTCAAAAATCTGAAATAACGATATTGTATAAATCAGTAATTCTGAATATTTAAAATAATAATTTATTTATTAGGTCTGCTCTAAATTGGCATTTGTCATATATTTATGCTATATTAGGGGGGGGTGGGGGCCATCTAAGAAAAGGGGGGGTGGGGGTACCATTTTTTTAGGGGGTGGGGGTGTAAGGTTGCGACATATGCTTGACCATGCAGGCTCTTCTCTGAGGATTGGAATGGAATTTTCAGTTGTTGAAGGGTCGTTTGAGGATGCAGCTCTTGCTTGCCATTCTGCTCTTTGTGACTCATCTAGCTGTTTCCATTCATTTCCGATTTTTTTGGCGATTTCTGAGGAGCTAAGATTAGAAGATGTGGAACGGTATGTGTCTTTTCTGGCTTGAGCGAAAAGCATATAAGCAGATAAAGGTCTTTTGTTCGCTGCTTTTGGCGGTTGTTGATTTTTTAATGCTTTTTTCGCAACTTTTTTGACCATTTTATTAAATCACTATAGCATTTTGCAATTCATTATATACTTAATAGCACTAATTCGTTTATAGCTCATTAGCCAGAGCTATTTTGGCATATCAAGACCAAAAATATTTAAACGAAGTCTAATTTAATGTTATCTACTATAAAATTTACAATATAGATTCACATAAGCATAAAAGTAGAAATTTATTATAAAAATAAAATTTGCATGGCATCCAAATTGCCTGAATGTCCTGTATGCTTGGAGGAATATTCGCGAACACAAATGCCAATGCTTCTTCCTTGTGGGCATGCGTTGTGCAAGCTCTGCTTCGACATATCAACCAAAAGGAACACAGTTGAATGTCCCCAAGATAGAAAAAAATCCAATGTAAAGAATTTATCCCCTGCATACGATTTGATGTCGACTATTGAGCAGCTCCAAGAGCTTAAGCTTCAAATAAATCAGGAATCCAGCGTTAAAGAGGAAACGCAAACACAATGCAATTCTAAGATAGATGTATTGGAAAAACAATTTAGAGAAAAGTTGACAGAATATGAAAGAACCTACCAAGAAAGGGCTGAAAAAATGATAGAAGAAGTCAAAAGAGAAGAGGAAGAAAAAAGGATCAGATATGTCGAACAAATGAATGAAATTAGCAAGGTGAACACTGAAAAGCATCTCAAAAAACTTATTTCCCTAATAAATTGTGAAGAATATTTGTAAAGAATTACTGGAAAATGAAAAAGCTGGCTCTTTTTTAATACAATTAATTATTTTGTGGTTTGAATATATTTCAGCACTTACAAAAAATTTTTGCCTAATTATTTATTTTAGATATTTAAATTTTTAATTATAAACGTTCCACAAAATTAAATAAATTTTTATATATAGCCCAGGATGAATTTTAGATCATTATAGGTCATGATCTGATACTTCGACTCGTTGCCGAGTCAAATCCGCGAGTTGGCAAGTACGCCTATAATTAGTATATGCCTTTTTGTGGATTGGTTCGGGAAATTTTTGAGCAAACTAACTCCACGAGTTGAATTGCCAGATCATAGCTCTGGACGATCTATAATGCGTCCTGCTCTATATTTTTACAATTTTCATCATTTAATAAAAAATAAAAATTGCTAGCTCCCCCTCCGTGGGCGAACAAAACTATTGGAAAATACCTAATTTTTCATAAAAACCCAACCTCCGTGAGTGAACAAAAAATTTTTATGAAAAAATTGATATATAAGTGATAATTATTATAGTGAAATCTATAGCTAATTCTATTTAATTTTAAACAACTTTAATTTTAACATAATTTTGCAAATTAAATTAATATTTACTTTCCAATCTTGCATGAATTTTTAATTTAAAAAAAAAATTTACTATAAAATTTATATAATAAATTTTTAAAGATAAAAATGGCCAAACAAAAATTTTTTGTTCGCTCATGGGAAGTAAGTGGCAAATTAGCCAAAAAATTAGACAAGGGAAAATACGAATAAATGGATCTGAGAACCCCAACATCAATCGAGAAAGGCAAAATCCAAGGGATGATAACAGAATTTACTGGTCTTGGCAATCGTCAGACCATAAATGGAACGAATATGATCATAGCATTTCTTCAAAAATAGAGTCAGCATATAGGTCTGGTGTATCATATGCAGTAGTAAAGGCAAATAATCGATCTATAAAAATCGATTTTGATCAATGAAGAGAAACCAGTGGATCAAAAATAAAACGAATAAATACTATAACAAGTGCTCCTCTATGGAAATTTTTAAAAAGCCCCAAAAAATGGGTAGCATTACTTGACTCTGAATGCTTTAAACTTGATGTAGCATGAATTAACAATGAAAATCATGTTAGCATCAACATAGACGATGAAAAAAATGCAGTTTGTAATTTTGATGAAATGTCTTTGAGAATTCAAGACAAAAAATTTCCCCTTGTAAGAGAGATACTTTCTTAATACCTTTTAACACTATATGTTTGAATAGTATCACTATTTTTTAGAATCAGCTAGGACTGGACCCTCTAATATTATTTGTAATTATTGAAGGATAAAAATCAATTTAAATTGGAATAAAATTTTTGTTTCCATTTGCAGAAGGAGTTAATATAATTGTATTCCTTTTTAAAATTAGGTATTTTTGCAAATTTGTGAAATATCCATATTATAATCAAAATAAATATTCTGTTCTCGATCAGAAATTCTTCTTATGAACAGTTTTGATTTGAAGCATGGCCGACTAGCGAATTATTCTAACAATTATGATGTACAGGCCAGGCGTGCTCAATTTTGATCTATCATCTTCTAGGGAAACGGGAAATTTTGGAAGTGTGCTATCAACCCAGGCTTGAAAATTTGGATCTTAGCATGCTAGAAGGACGCAAGTTTATAGCCTGAGAGCTGAAAGGGCAGCCACCGAAATCCGAACACAGGAGCTGTAGGACCGGCTTTTAAGACCAAGAGGCGCCAGACATTTTAAAGGCAGGGTATCCAAAGCAGGAGTGAAAGCCCTGATATGGGGTGTGCTATTTGACGTTAAGCGAAAAGCCTAAATAATTAATTTGCTTTCACTAGTATTTGAAATAACCCATATTAAACGGGCTATAAAAGCCATTTAAAAATAAAATAGCATTTCACCTATAAAAGAAAAATATTGTTTCAATTTAAAGTTGATTAATTTATCAAAAATAAAACATTAACAGATAATTTCGTAAAATACGGGAGCTAATAAGGAATTTTGTGCATTAAATCTAAAGAAAAACTGATTTAATCTTATAGCAAGATTAGCAGCCGATAAAGAAAATAAAGAAAAAGCATTTTTTAAGCAAGCACTTCATAAACAGTAAGTTAGTATAGTTCAAAGATGCTAAAAACCTTATGAGACAAGATCTCTAAGGCTATTCAAGTAAAATTAAATATTAATTAAATAGATTTGGCTTTAAAATGGTTATCAAATGACCCAAACCCATTATATTTCAGAAAACTTATAGGATTTGCCCTAGGATGGCGCTATATGGCGCCATCCTAGGGCAAGCGAAAATTGGCTCCACACGGGAACCGTATTCCACGTGTGGAGCCATTTTTCCACGTGTGGAATCCACATTTTCCCACGTGGAAAAATGGCTCCACACGTGGAACACAATTCCCGTGTGGAGCCGTGTCTCCAATTGCCCGAGGATGGCGCAATATAGCGCCATCCTCGGGCAATTTCTATAGCTATAGATTCTGAGATGTGCTTCCATAAATAAAATAACATCTGTTAAAAATACGTATTCATTATCAAGTATGATTTCTAATCATTTTGCATTCATTCATTGATAAACTCCCTTTCAAAATTTATTTTAAATAAAACCGATTTTCTATTAATAAAAGATGAGTGCCACATTATCAACTCAATCATCAGGATATTTTTCTCGCCCTCAGTCTACCTCTCCATTCAAAAGAATTCACAATTGATCATCCCACGCTAGCTCCTCCAAACATATTCAGCCTGTCGAAAAAACTACAAAATCGTCTTCCAAAAATTTAAAGCAAGATTTCAACGATGATTTATCTTCCGACAAGCCACTTAGCGAAGCAGTTATGTTATGCCCTAAAGAAATTCTAGAAAATGAAGAAGATAATTCAGAGAATCCTAATGTAAATTATTTTTTCCAGAAAGGCAAAAAGCTAAGAATTAAAGGCGATTTTTTTAACGCTGTTAAAAGTTACAAAAAGGTCCTTTCATTTGATGAAGACCATTTTCCAAGCTTAATCAACTTAACTTTCCTAGGTTAGGAAGCAAGATATTTGTTAGTTTTAAAAAGTTATATGATTAAAATATATATCCAAATTTGCAATAGATATGCATATTTAATTTATAAAATTTTTGTTTTAGGATGCAAGCTACCTATATTGAAAATATTAGCTAGAGATCTCACTATAATAATCATAACTTATTTTATCAAAATATTATTTTTAAAAACAATTTTTTCATAAAATAAATTTAATTTCGAACTTTTCCAATAGTTTTGCTAGCTAAAAAAGGTGAGTTAGGAATTTGCTATTTAAAGTTGGGATTGATAACTGAAGCCATCTCTACATTTGATTATGCAATAAAAATAAATGAAAATTCATTTATTCCTTATTTTAACAAAGCCCTTGCACATATTTATTTGCAGCAGTACAGTGAAGCTGTTAAATGTATGAACAATGCATATATAATATTAAATGACAAAGCGCCTGAAGAGTTATTTAGAATAAGAGCATTAGCTTTATACCGGTCTGGTAAAATTGCTGCAGCATTAGACGACATTCAAAGAAATCATACCCCTTTAAAGCCTAAAAATTCCCAAATAGCAAGTACTTCTATAGAAATAGAAGAGAGAACATCTAATGAAAAAATTAATAAAAGCGTCAGAACAGAGCACGTAGAAAAGGAAAGAAGAGTTAATAGATCTTTTGACCAAATTTATGAAAAGCCAGTAATCTGGAAAATCCCACATACAATTAAAGACTTTGACACTAGAAGATTAAATACAAGGTCAGTCACCCCAAGCATGAAATCGCCGATGAGGAATAGAGAAATAAAAACTGTGACAAGGCCACAAACAAGGCAAAAACCTAAATTTTTCTTTGAAAGGAGAACTGAAAAACGGAAAAGCACAATCCAAAATGTAAGTCCTCGGGTATCTATAAAACAGTCTGAAATCCATAGCCCTGCGAATTTTGATAAATGGTTTTCACCTATAAAAGTTCCTGAAAGCCAAGCAGAGCTCTTAAAAGAAGACGCTTCAGGCTGCTTCCATAATGATTTATCATTTTCCCAAATAAAAGAAAATATTTTAAGAAATCACGAAATTCATAATAAAATCCAAGAAAAATTCAGCTTGCTACAAATTAAGCTTGAAGAAGACGCCAAAAAGCAAGTCGCAAAATTAAATGATGATTTTCTTCCTTTATTAACTAGCGGACTCTCTGAACAAAATATCCAGTCAATTAAAAAAGAATATTTAAAAGAAAAATCAAAGCGAAATTTCGAAGAAATCGACCAAATAATCAGAAATTTGAAATTTTTTGCAAGGTTTTCGAAAGAAGTAAGAATAAGCTTGTTGAAAATTTCTGAACTACATCATTATCATTCAGGAATGGTTATTTTTAAGCAAGGAGATCAAGGGGATATGATGTACGTGATCGTTAGAGGGTCTGTGTCTATTGAAAAAACTACAGAGGAATTTGGCAATCAAAATATTGTTGTTAATTCTCTTTATGATGGGAGTCAATTTGGAGAGCTTGCATTGATAAATAGTATTAGATCAGAAGGACAAGTTAATGAAAGACTTGCAACTGTTATTACAAGTGAACCATCAGAGTTGATAAATAGTATTTAAATGAATAAATCCTGCTAATTATAAGAATTAATAGAAAAAATTATTTATATTATAAATATGATCCAATTTACTCATGAAGAATATCAATTCCCAAGCTCGAGTATAACAGAATCCTTTTAAATCAGCTTAAAAGCAATATGGAAGCCAAAATCATGTTTTTAAGCAAGCTTCCTTTATTTAAAGGAGTTGATCCAATCTTTTTAATCCCATTAGCAAGCAATATTGAGCCAGTTACCTACGACTTCAACGAAGTAATTTTAGAAAAAGGCGAGCAGCCTAAAGGTCTTTATATCATTATGAAAGGTAACGCTGCTGTTATTACAGAAGGATACTCAGTCAAAGACCGTACAGGCAGCGAATTTGCCAACGTCAAAATAAGAAAACCATCCCCTAAGCCTTTCTATATGGGAAATATCAATCCTCCTGAAAAAGAAATCAAAAATAAAGACCCTCAAGTAGACCCTATAGAAAGACTAATAAATAAAGAAATTAACGATGCAGACGACAAAACCTGGGTAAAAATCAACAAATTTGTATCAGAAGCCGACAAAGAATTAATTGGAAAAGAAAAATATTTATATAAAGACAGAATTTTATTTGCAGCTTTACAGACAAATGACTTCTTTGGAGGAAGATCTCTAATTGAAGGGGAAGTTCTCCACAATACAACGACAGATTATAGCATTGAAGCAAAAAAAGTTTCTATAGAGCCTTCAAAATTTTCAGTGGTAAATTATATTTAGGTCGCTCAGTCTTCGTCGTGTGAGGTTTTTATTATCACCAAAAATCAAGCTGGGTATTTAAATGAAAAAGTAGCTGACCAGATGAAAACTATTATACAGAAAAGCTATGAAGTAGACTGTCCGCCAGAGATTGACCCAGAAGTTATGGATAAGTTATTTACAAAATGGCAACAATTCAGGGTTGATTTAGTTGAAAATATTAGAAGAAATAATTATGTGGATCGAAGAAGGGCCGGTTTCCCATTTGTTAGAGCTTAGTTCAAGAAACTGTTAAATAATTTATTTTAATTTAGAAAAATAATTAAATAATTATAATGGATTGGCAAAATTGCTTTTGTCCTGCCAGACATTTAGTAGGTAAATTAAAGGATTTATTAGAAGATTTGAGAAATATTTCCAATTTTTTATAATTAAATTGAAGTAATGTTTTATATGATCATTAATTATCCTCTAAAAAGAGGCGCTTATGCATTTATTTAGTTACGCTTTAAATTTCTTTGCAGAAAAATACACTGGGCCAGATTTATTTCCCATTAACTTCTTATTCTCTTCATTTCTAAATCCATCACTTTCTTGTCCTCAAAAATTTGGATTTTGGGTCAAAAAATTCCCTGACTGCATCATTTTTCAATTCCCAGCAAAGCTTGATCTTATTGATTTATCAAAATTGCTGGCAAAATGCTTTGGGGAGTTACATTTTATAATAGGCTTATCAATTTTATACTAATTGACCAAGAATAGCCCACTATGGAGCCATTCTTGGTCTGCCAGAAAAAATTTTGACAAAAAGATCCTAATCTGCCATTACCACTGAGTTTTGGTGTGTTTCCAAATTTTTGGGCAAGCCAAATGCAATAAAAAACATTGTTCTTTTGCGATGATGCATTTGGCTTGTCAAAAAAATTTGGAAACACCAAAACTCAGTGGTAATGGCAGATTAGGATCTTTTCTGCCATTACCACTGAGTTTTGATGTTGCCAAATTTTTTTGACAAGCCAAAATGCATCATTGCAAAAGAACAATTTTTTTTATTGCATTTGGCTTGCCCAAAAATTTGGAAACACCAAAACTCAGTGGTAATGGCAGATTAGGATCTTTTGTCAAAATTTTTTTCTGGCAGACCAAGAATGGCTCCTTAGTGGGCTATTCTTGGTCAATTAGTATATCTGCTTTGCTTGCCACAAGCTGCTGAGGTAATGACTCAAGACGAAATGATAGCTTTTTAGCTATAGGGGAGCTTGGCTCTGTAAATTTTAGCTTCATAGAGATTGGAGTGTAAGATAAGGCGCGCTCTTTATTAAATTTTGGAAACTGTGAATGAGGAGAGAATGTATTAGTTGTAACTGTGGGTATTTGAAAAGAAGGTTCGGAGAAGATTAAGATAAAAATATTTAAATATTGCGTGGCCATATGCGGCATCCCACTAGCCGGGCTGCCTTGACTCTAAAGAAAAGTGGCTTTCGCTGGGTGTGTATAAGGACCCCCCCTCATTTGTCCGATTTTCTAGTCTTTTATCATTTGTCCATTTTTCTAGTTTTTTTTATAGGAAAAAAAAATTTTTTAGGACCTCATTTGTCCAATTTTCTAGTCAAAATTTTGATAGAGAAAAAAAATTTTCAGGACCTCAATTGTCTCATTTTCTAGTTTTTTTAAAGTAAAAAACTAGAATTTAGGGCATTCGAAAAAATCCAAAAAAGACTAGAAAATTGGACAAATCATTTTTGACTAGATTTTGGGACAAATGAGGTCCTGAAAAAAAAAAATTCTTATAAAAAAAAGACTAGAAAATTCGACAAATGAGGGGGGGGTCCTTACAACAGAGTGAAAACGGTGTAAGGTCCAAATAAATTTTTGACAAAACTAACCTAGCCAAAGAATCAGTTTCCATTGGTTAGAGCCACCCTCTGTAGGTCTCCCCGATAATCCAGATAGACAAAGACTATGTGAGAGGTAAAATCTTTTCCAGCTTACCTGCTCCATAGGGAGTGCCTCGGAGCCGAATTTCCACCACTTAACCATTTTATTTCTATTCGGAGAAGGGATTTATTAAAATTTGTTGAGATGTTGCTTTATGGATTTTTGTTGGATTAATAAATTTATTAATCGGCTTTTCGCTGCCAGAAAATACGATGTTTGTTGGCTGATCAGTCCTTTGTGCCATTTTCAATAACCAATTACTTCAGATTACTTTTTATTACTTGCTGCTGCATTCATAATATGCAATTTAAGAGTTTTTATTTAATAAGCAAAATTTCTTTGAAATACAAACTCAAAAATAAATAATAAATTAAAAATTAAAGTTTGTGATATGTATAAAATTTATTCTAAAATGTTGGACTGAAAATAAATTAAAAGAGGATTAAACATTTAAGAAGAATCGATCGTGATAGTTTGATAAAAATTTGATTTAATAAAATTTAATATTGATATTCATCTCTTATAATTAATAAATTTTCATAGAAACTAGGGAGCTATGATATTAACTCCCCCCCCTCCGTGAGTGAACAAAAAAATTTTGTTCACTCACGGAGGGGGGTTAATTTTCTTTTTTAAAAAAATTTATATATAAATTTTATAAAAATATTTTTTTTTCGAAATTTCAAAAAATCTAATTCGCAAAAATTGGAAAGCAAATTATTAATTTAATTTATAAAATTTATGTTTTTAAAAAGCAATTCGTTTAAAATTAAATAGAATTAGCTCTAGATTTCATTATACTAATTATCATTTATATATCAAAAAAAAATTTTTCATAAAAAATGTTTTCTATTAAAAACTTTTTGTTCACTCACGGAGGGTGGGTTTTTGGGCAAAAAATAGCGATTTTTCTAATGGTTTTGTTCACTCACGGAGGGGGGGGGAGTAAGAATATTAGCAATAAAAATATCACAAAACATCAAATAATATTCTGATAAATTCATGCAATCTCTATATACTTTTCTAAAACACCAGAATTAATTTTACTGAATACGATATTTATTTTATTTATAGGAATCTGACAAATTTTAATTTTGCCTAATAATTTCTTTAATGAGCTAATATTTATTAATTTCATTTACCATTATTCAAATTTCTGCTCTTTTCCTGAATTATTCTTTGTCTTTATCTCAAAATCATTTCTGCAGCTTATTAGCCTTGCTGTTCTCTTTTGTCCATTGATTTCTATTTTTTCATATGTTTCTGGCAATACAGACTATTCCATTTTTAGTATACTAAATGCTCTGTAATAAAAATAAATGATAGAGTGTTTTGATGAAATCACAGAAATCGAATCTAGCCTATTTTATCCCTCTGATAAAAAAGATTTTATAGATTCTGATGGCAGTAGGGTGATATTCATTGATTTATTAAGTCTATCAAGCCAGGAAGAAGATGTGAGACTCACATAGGTACCGAGTATAGAAAAAGTCCCTTTAGAATTTGATGAGGAGTCACTTACTACCCATTTTATAGCGAAAAAGGCGGATAAGAAAAAAAAATTTTAAAAAAATATATATGTTTTATTTGCAGTTAAATTAGAATGAGTTAAAGAATTTAGTCGATCTTCATATTGCAGTGATATCACATTAAATCCGCAGATTTATGATATTTTATGAGACTATGATGCTGGAAAAACTAAGATTGAGCAACCAAATTCAAGAGACACAAAAATTATTATTCCAAGGGCACTTTTGACCCGAACAGTAAAAAGGGAAATCGGGACATTGACGTATAGAGAACGGCAAGAAAAAATAAAAAAATACATTGAAAAAAGACGTAAAAGGTCATGAAATAAAAAAATTGCTTATGACTGCAGAAAAAAGGTAGCCGATAATAGGCTCAGGGTAAAGGGAAGATTTGTGGCAAAAGATAAAGCGAGTGGTTATTTACATTTTGAGAACAGTCTTTTTAAAAAATAATAGTCTGGGATTGAAACACTACATTTTAGGTTTGATATTATTAAATTCTAAATTAATCAGAATTAAATTACGCCATATTTAAATAGTTCCATTCATTTTTTAAGTATGTTAAATACTGCGAATATTATTAGTTATATTATTTAACACAGATTATTTAGTGAATTATTTATTATTATGATGCTAATATATCAAAATTACCCTTCAATTATTTTCTCTTGCCAAATTCTGCTCTCAATCAGCCACCTATCTTTCTGAAACTGTGTTATTCTTTCCAAAATCCTTTCAAAACTCTCTTCCCGCTCAGCATGAAATCAAATACTTTCCTTCTTTATATTTTCTTCAATCATTTCTAGCTCTTTCTCAATATTTTCAATTTCATTTTGCACAAATTCAATTTCTTTTATATATTTTTCACATTTTGATGGGTCTGAAGAATATCTTTGCTTATTTAATTTTCTATTAATAAGCAGCTCAAATTCAGAATATTTTTTCATCGTTTTCTTATAATCAAAAATTGCATTTCTCAACGCTTCTGTTTTTAATGATTCTTCTTTAAGATTCATCGTCAAATTTTTTAGCTCTTCATTCGGACTTTTTACTGACTGAGAAATTTCTTCTGTAATTCTTTCAAATTTTGCTGAGTCAGGAAAACTCATATTTTCCAAGTTTGCTTGTAAATTATTTTGGGATTCTATAAGTGAAGAAAATGCAAGGTAAAATTGGTTTGTAGGCTCATATAGTAATGAAATTGCTTTGTCAACTGCAGCAAGCTCTTTGCTAAAAGGCTCGATTTTTCGTATTAAAATATAATTTAGCTTAGCTTCAAAGATAGAAATAATTTGATCAAAAGCGTCTTCAATATCAGCATATTGGAATTTATTAGTGGAAGCATCTAAATTATGCTGCTCAGTTACAAAAGTTTCATCTGGGCATTGTAAAAACAATTTAAATGGCAAACAACATTTCAAAATTGGATGTTTTCCTAGAATACTTAAATACATCTCAATCTCAATTCTTCTATTTTCTAAAAATTTTTTATTGCTGTTATTTAATATTGATTTTTCTGGCAAAGTAGGAATTGGCATTCCTTTATATCTTTCTCTTAAAATGCGGTTGAGCCATTCTAAATCACGAAACCTTCGTGTCACTTGAAATTGTTCTGTTTTTCACTTAGATTCAATGCTGTAAACATAATATGACTGCACTCCAAGTCAGCCTTCTGAAACAATTGTAGCTTTTTTAACAAAAATTTTTACTTCATTAGTGTCTTTAAAATAATCTGACATTGATTTTGCTTCTGACTTCCTTAAAACTGAATTTTGAAGGTTTTTAGAAGATCCGTTGGATTTATAAAGAAAATCAATCTTTTCCTCACTCGATCCAAGACTATTGCCATTTGATAATTTTTCATACTTTTCCTCAGATTCATTACTGACGTTTTCTAATTCAATTTCTAATAGCGAGCCAATGATTTCTGTTTCATCGTTTCTACCCTCTCCATTAGACAGAGAATCTACTTTATTCTCGAAATTTATCCCAGACAAAATTTCTTCTATTATTTTTTCAATAAATTCTGTGTTAAGAGGCTCTATTTCTTGATGCATATATTTAATAAAGCTATTACTTTCAGCTGCAGCAGTCATATAGAGCGATTGATCAATGCTGTGGGAAGTATCATCCATATTAATTTATTATAGATTTCAAATTGGGTTAATTTTTTAATAGCAAAAAAGGTATTATTAGTATAAGTCTATTTTTAAATAAATATGCAGTTTTAAATAATTGGTTACCCTTTCAAATGTTTTATTTAATTTGTATTGCTATCAATAATTCTTTGTCATTCGGCTCTGTTTTCTATGCAGTCATGCATCATTTTTTTGTAATCACTATCCAGCAAGATATAGTTCCTTGCAGGCTTATCAGGAAGGGCTATTGCTGCTCCGTTTTCATCGACTAATCCACCTGGCTGACTTTTTCTTGCCTTAATCTCTTCATTATATTTTTTCAGCTCAGCTAAATATTCATTATATCTCTCTTTCAGTTTATTTTTAATATAAAACTCTTTGACTACATCAGGAATTGATGAATTTCCTAATACAGCTATCGGCTCAATTGGTTTATGAAGATCTTCTTTACTCAATTTTCGTTTTTTTACAAGCTGCTCTCTATGAATTTTGTACTCAACCTTATTTCACATAGTCTTTCTAACAATCATGCTGGTCTTTTTCTCTAAAAATGCATGCCTTAACGTTCTTTGTATAAATAAAAGCCTATTTCTTCACCACGCCATAAGCTGAAATAGTGTGTCACAAGTAACAGCTCTCTCAAAAACATCAATAACTCTATTTTTATATGCATTTTTAACAAAATTTAAATGGCAGTGAATAGGTTTTGATAAAATTTGGAGCCGCTTTACCGCCAAATTCACCCTGGCTGCTTTTGAAAGAATTTTAAATTTCCCGATATATGTACAAAGAATAAATAGCTGCTTTAGCACTTTTTGTGATCTCATATGAAGATCTTTTCGATATTGGATTTTGCAAGTTATTTCTGTGTTTCAAGAAGCTACTACAAATAAAATGATCCAAGTTTTAGCTATTTGAGAAATTTGATGGCGCTTGACTTTCATTATAAGTCGTCTTTGTTTATCTTCTATTTTATTTTGGATATCAATTCGTTTTTGATACATTAGGTACTCTTTTTTTTTTTTGGCTTGGCTTATTCTCGCAGTTTCTATTTCTGATTTAATTTTATTTCTTATTATATAAAAATTTTGTTATTATGATATTAGTAAATGCTTTTTTGTAATATAAATAAGAGATTGGCGGCCTACACAGCATGAACGTTTAATTAGAAAAGAATAGTCAAATATATTTTATTTGATGGCTGATACTGTGCCATATCTTTATTTTGCTTAAAAATATCTGCAGCAGACTTGAATTTTTCTTGAGTTGATAAAATTGTGAGAGACTCAGGTCTCCTAAATCTTTGTGATGTACCAAACTGAAATGATGTTCCTCCAAGAGTGCTTAGTCCTATGTTATAGTAGCCAGGCCCTAGCTTTGGGCCTACACAATCTATGGTAAGGACCCCCCCCTCATTTGTCCGATTTTCTAGTCTTTATCATTTGTCCATTTTCTAGTTTTTTTTTTATAGGAAAAAAAATTTTTTTAGGACCTCATTTGTCCAATTTTCTAGTCAAAATTTTGATAGAGAAAAAAAGTTTTCAGGACCTCAATTGTCTCATTTTCTAGTTTTTTTAAAGTAAAAAACTAGAATTTAGGGCATTCGAAAAAATCCAAAAAGACTAGAAAATTGGACAAATCATTTTTGACTAGATTTTGGGACAAATGAGGTCCTGAAAAAAAAAATTCTTATAAAAAAAAGACTAGAAAATTCGACAAATGAGGGGGGGGTCCTTATAAACAGTTCTTCCACAGTCAAAAGCAGCTTGATATTCATTAAGTAGCCTTTCAACTTCACTTCGACTCTGTATAAATATTACAATTTTTCTCTTAGGTTTTGATAGATTTAAATTAAAATCAGTAATGCTTTGAGATTTAGGGGTTCGCTCTGTTGATGATTTAATTTTATAGAGCTCAGGAGTATTAGCAGGCTCCATAAAATTTTCTATGCTCAAAGAATTTCTTATCCCCATTTTAAATATTTTTTCATTTTTTTTTTTATTTTTTTACTTCTAAAATTATAATATTTTAATACAATTTTCTAAGTTTTCCCGCGTTTTGCTCATTATCTAATTTTCTTCTTAAGTTCATTTATTTCCACTTTTCTCTTTAGATGTTCTTCATCAATTATATATAAAAAAACACACATGAATCTTCTTATAAAATTTCAATATCTATTATGAAAATGTGCTGGATATTAATGAGAAAAGAGTTAGAGTTCTGGGATATTCTTTAAAGTTTGATGGTGAATCGCTTATATCTTTTGTAGGCGCTGAGGGAGTATAAGGAAGTGATATTTGCCTTTTTGATTTCATTACATATAGAATTATTTTTAGACATTCATTTGACTTCAGAATTCATTTTACTCACTAGTCATTTTAATTAAAACCGAAAGCGCTTTATAAATTAATATGCCAAAATAAGGTAAAAAATTCATAAGCTGAAAGGAAAGCTTTAAAATTTAAAAAATAATCTTTTATCTAGATATAAGACTTTAAAATATAGAATAATCTAATTTAATCTTAAATATGAATATAAATATAAATAAAAGAATAATCCACTAGAATTTATAGGCACTGCTAAACTAATCTCAATTTATATATATAAAATTTCACGGTTTTAATTTCTGAAAAAATGAAATATTCAAGACTAAATATAAAATATATGATCAACCTCTGACATTAGTCTAATTAAATTAAAATTCATTAGCACTACAAGCTCTTTTTAGCTTTTGTCAAATTATATAAGAGCCTATTTATTTAATGATAAGCTTATAAACTCTGTCTTTCTAAAAAATAAAAATCTAGAGTGCTCTAGCTATGATCTCCTGCAGCTATCTTCCCTAATATTGGCAATAGCAATGAGTTATTAAACTCATCATATAACATATTACTGAAACTAAAAAATTGATTTCTCAAAGCGCCATATTCAAGCATAAACAAATATTATAATAAATCCCTAACTTCTCAATATATCAATATAAGAAATAATTGCATTAGCCTAAAAAATTACTAAAATTCTTCACTGAATATCTTACTATTCTCTCCTTATCTTTACTCTTAATAAAATCTCTCTTCTAAGAGTTTCTAATAAAATGATATTTAATCTGTCTACGTCATCCTCTCAATTCTCAATAAATTCCAAAAAATCGCCAATTTTTATAGTTCCATAAGATCATTTTAAGTTTAAAATGGAGGCAAAGGTGGAAGAAATCAAGCAGCTCTTCAGAGATGACTATCTCATTCAAGCACACAAAAAACTAACAGAACTTGGTAAGAATAATTTAGAAGCTGAGCTGACAGATGAAGAAAAACTGTCTCTAGCTGAAATGTCTGAGGCCAGGGTCATAAAAGACGATCTTCAGATGGCAAATCTATTATTAGAGCATTTATCAGATTTAGAATCATGGGAGCCTGTAGCCCAAGAAGAAGATATAGTAACATTCTCTAAAAGTACTCAATCAGAAGTCATTGTTCGTGGCGAAATGCTGCTCCATCAGCCCATAACTCCTTTGCTGGCACTTTTTTCAGAATGCGATTTGTTAAAAAATTGGGTACCGATCCTCAAAGACGCAAAATGTTTGGGTCAGCCAAGCATTTTTAGGAGGATTATTCATTACTTTTTTGACCTGCCCTGGCCTGTTACAAATCGTGATATGGTTGTAAGCGCTGTTGGGGTCCCTATCCCTGAAAATAACTCAACGCTTATGATTATAAGAAGTATTGATCAGTATACAAACTTTTTAGGTATAAATATTCCTGCCCCAGAAGGAATCAGGATTACTATGGATTATGCGTGCTTAAACGTAACTTATTTAGGTCCAAATGAATCACAAATTTCACTGATTGCGAGGTGCAACCCTCATATGGCGCTGATACCAACTGTTTTAGTAAATTATGTGACTAATTCCCTCCTTTTAAATTGGAACAAAATCATGTTCCAGATTAAAATGTTTTTTAAAAAAAATTATATTTTTAGATCTTAAAAAAATATAAATTGAGCAAAATGCTTTGAATTTTTTTTTATTTTGATGAAGAAATAATTAAATAATAAATCCATTCTGCGTGAAAACTGTTTAAATAGCGTTCTGCTTGAACTTTTTCAATTAATTTTATAAAAATTAGTTTTTTTAATGGTTAGCTTTTTTTTAAAAATATAAATTGTACAATATTTTGAATTTTAAAAGAATTAAATAAAAAAATTAATCTATTCTGCGTGAAAAATGCTTAAATAAAGTTTCTACCTGCATTTTATCTATATCTATTAAATTAGGTCAAAACTAATTTTATAAAAATTAGTATTTTCATCGATAAAATTTTCCTATTTAAAAAAATTTTGCCCAAATTTAAAAAGAGTTAAAGTAACCTAAAATTCCAATTTAAAGGGGTGGAGTAAGCATGGAATTCTTTATTTTTTGCAGTCTGTTAGAGAGCAATGTGAGAAGTATGAAGGAAGCTTGCATCAGCAGTCGGTTAAAGCGAATCCTGCATATTACGAAGAAGTTGTGAAAAGAATTAATATCGACATCCTAATTTAAGATTCATATTTATTGCTGAAGAAGCTCTGCTGATACTCAAGGCTTAGCTTTTAAGCATAATAGGTCATGATTAAAGATGAATAATAATTATGAATTAAATTTCTAATTATCATTATTAATCAAATTTTATAAGATAAAATAATGTGAGCTCTAAGTGACGATGATTTATTTTCTCCTTATATGGTTTTTATAATAAAATCTTTAATTACTCCCCCCCGATCCTTGATCGAACAATTGACTGTAAAAATTCCTAAAAATCGGAAAAATTAACCCCCATCCTTGATCGAACGATTTTAATATCATCCAAATTTTTATATATATAAAAAATATATTAGTTATCAAAAGCTTGGGAAGATGTACATAATGAAGTTGTTTTCAGAGACTTTGAGACGGCAGAAAGCTACATAATCAACTATCCGAAGTCATTTAGTCATCAACCTAGGCTAAAAACTCAATTATCTAATAAAATAGAGATTCTTTAAAATTTAAAAAAAAAAAAATTTAATTCAATAAGGAACAAATTAAAATTTATACAGTTTAAAGGGATAACTAATAAATCAAAATATTAAAAATTGGTATTTATGAAATTAATTTAATTTTTTGCTGTAAAAATAATTATTAAATACTCTTAACCCTCTTATTTAAAAATAAATAAAAAAATAATTATATATTTTTATTTTATATATAAAATTTTTTTTCAAAAAAAATTTTTTTAACCCCTATCCTTTATAGAACGATGGCGAGCCGTCGATCAAGGATGGGGAGGGAGTTAGTAAATTCGATTATCACAACTTTAGCTAGCTTTCTATAACTAAGTCATTTATGATCGTTTACGCTTATATTTGTAAATAATTCAAATTTGCTCAATATTACTTTTTTAGCTTTAAATGAATTCTACATTCAATTATTAAATTAAGCTGCTTGCTCGAAATATTAGTTCTCAAGACTTTTTAAACCAATAATATCAAAATTTGTCATGCCGAATCTTATCTTCCAACTGATTCATAAAGCAACAGAATTGCCCCTAGGCAAATTTTGCCGTAGTTTTTTATTCAAAACCCTCTTTAAAATTATCATGATGACCCACACCCATTTTTTCTATACCTTTCTCGAAATCATGGGGGTAATAAAAAATAAAAATGGCTATATATACCGATCAAAACTATGGCAAAAATATAATTTAGAAATGAGAGAAATAATATCTATTCACGTCGGCCAAGCTGGCGTTCAACTTGGAAATGCTTGTTGGGAACTATTTTGCCTAGAACATGGGATACAGCCAGATGGGCAAATGCCAAGCGATAAAACAATTGGAGCTTATGATGATTCTTTTAACACATTTTTCACAGAAACAGGAGCAGGAAAACATGTTCCAAGAGCTTTATTTTTAGATTTAGAGCCTACAGTTATAGATGAAATAAGAACAGGAACGTATAGACAGCTATTTCACCCTGAACAATTAATAACTGGAAAAGAAGATGCTGCTAATAATTTTGCTAGAGGCCATTATACAGTTGGGAAAGAAATTATTGATTTAGGTCTGGATAGAATACGAAAATTGGCTGATAATTGTACAGGATTGCAAGGATTTTTAGTATTTAATGCTGTTGGTGGTGGAACTGGTTCTGGGCTTGGATCATTATTGTTAGAAAGACTTTCGGTTGATTATGGTAAAAAGTCAAAAATTAGCTTTACTGTTTATCCTTCACCTCAAATTTCGACCGGAGTAGTTGAGCCTTACAATTCAGTCCTTTCTACACATTCTTTACTCGAGCACACTGATGTAGCTGTTATGCTAGATAATGAAGCTATTTATGATATATGCAGAAGACAATTAGATATAGACAGACCAACATACACAAACCTAAATAGACTAATTGCACAAGTTATTTCTTCAATGACAGCTTCTCTTAGATTTGATGGAGCTTTAAATGTAGATCTCTGCGAATTTCAAACCAATCTTGTCCCATATCCCAGAATTCACTTTATGCTTTCTTCTTATGCACCTATAATATCAGCTGAAAAAGCTTTCCACGAAAATCTTTCAGTCGCTGAAATTACAAATTCTGCTTTTGAGCCTGCAAGTATGATGGCTAAGTGTGACCCAAGACATGGCAAATATATGGCAGTTAGTTTAATGTATCGTGGGGATATTGTTCCTAAAGATATATGCTGCTCTATCGCATCTATAAAGACAAAGAGGACTATACAATTTGTGGATTGGTGCCCAACCGGCTTTAAATGTGGAATTAATTATCAGCCACCAACAGTTGTCCCTGGAGGCGATCTTGCAAAAGTAGTGAGAGCTGCGTGCATGATCAGCAACTCTACAGCAATAGCTGAAGTTTTTTCGAGGATTGACCATAAGTTTGACTTAATGTACGCAAAGCGTGCATTTGTCCATTGGTTTGTTGGGGAGGGAATGGAAGAAGGAGAGTTTTCAGAGGCAAGGGAAGATTTAGCGGCACTTGAAAAAGATTATGAAGAAGTAGGGATTGAGACTGCAGATGCTGAAGGTGAAGAAGAGGATAATGAAATATAATGATAATTTTACTCTTTATATCATTTTTTTTGGCTATGGACTTAATTTTATTAAATGGTTTAATATCTGCAATAAATAGCAAGCCAGCCAATTGACATTAATTTTACATAAAAACTTGAAAGCGTTATCACCATCATTAATTTCGAGATTAAATTAGGTGAATATCCTAAATATTGATAAATCACCCAGGAGCCCAATTGTCAATGATATTCACAAATAAATTAAAAAATCATTAACCCATGCGTGAATAGTGCATGAAATTAGAATTCTTGGAATAATAAACTTTTTTATTAATGCAATTGTCCAGCATCAGCTATAAAATCTGTAAATTGCTGCCCAACTGGTTTTAAATGTGAAATTATTTATCAACAACTAGCAATTATCCTGGAGGCGATCTTGCAAAAATAGTGAAAAAAGTTGGCAGGGCAAAGTCGCTGATACTTGAGTTTCTAAAAATGGCGAAAATCAATTAATAAGATGGTTATTTATATGCAATATATGCAATAAATAGCAAGCCAGCCCCACCGATATTATTTGTAGCTTCAAACTTTAAAATGCTATCACCATTAATAATCTTCGATGATATATCAGGTGAATATAATAAATTTTGAAAATGTTTAAAGGAGCTCAATTGCTAATATATTCATCATTCACATATAAATTAAAAGAGCCATCAGCTCATGCTTGAAATATGTATAAAAGTGGATTTCCTAGAACATTGAATTTTTTTATTAATATAATAAGGGAATTTAAAGGGTTCTCTAAAAGTATCAAAAATACAAATTTTACCAATTTAAATGAGGATTAAACATGGAATTCTTTATTTTTTGCAGTCTGTTAGAGAGCAGTGTGAGAAGTATGAAGGAAGCTTGCATCAGCAATCGGTTAAAGCGAATCCTGAATATTACTAAGAAGTTGTGAAAAGAATTAATATCGACACCTAATTTAAGATTCATATTTATTGCTAAAGAAGTTTGCTGATACTCAGGCTTAGCTTTTAAGCGTAATAGGTCATGATTAAAGATAAATAATAATTATGAATTAAATTTCTAATTATCATTATTAATCAAATTTTATAAGATAAAATTATGTGAGTGACGATTTATTTTCTTCGCATATGGTTTTTATAATAAAATCTTTAATTAATAATATTTGATTATCACAACTTTAGCTAACTTTCTATAAGTAAGTCCTTTATGGTCGTTTACGCTTATATTTGAAAATAATTCGAACTTGCTCAATTAAACCTTTAGCTTTAAATAAATTCTATAATCAATTATAGGCATATCCCTTAGATAGCCCAATGTGGGTTAGGGATAAAGCCAAAACTTCCCACTTGGTTCGGACAAAATGGATTGGTCGAACCCTCAGTGGAAAGTGACAAATAAGTCTCCTTCCACTTGGTTCGGACAAAATGGATTGGTCGAACCCATAAGTGGAAAGTGACAAATAAGTCTCCTTCCACTTGAGGGTTCGACCAATCCATTTTGGTCGAACCAAGTGAAATTTAACCTCTATCCCTAGCCCATATCGGGCTATCTAAGGGATATGCCTATATTAAATTAAACTGCTTGCTTTTTTTCTGCTCGAAATATTAGCTCTCAGGACTCTTTAAACCTGTAATATCAAAATTAGTCCTGTATTATCGTATCTTCTAACTGATTCGGAAAGCAACACAATTGCCCCTAGGCAAATTTGCCGTCGTTTTTTATTCAAAATCCTCTTTAAAATTATCATGATGACCCACACCCATTTTTTCTATACCTTTCTCGAAATCATGGGGGTAATAAAAAATAAAAATGGCTATATATACCGATCAAAACTATGGCAAAAATATAATTTAGAAATGAGAGAAATAATATCTATTCATGTCGGCCAAGCTGGCGTTCAACTTGGAAATGCTTGTTGGGAACTATTTTGCTTAGAACATTGGATACAGCCAGATGGGCAAATGCCAAGCGATAAAACAATTGGAGCTTATGATGATTCTTTTAACACATTTTTCACAGAAACAGGAGTAGGGAAACAAGCTCCAAGAGCTTTATATTTAGATCTAGATCCTACAGTTATAGATGAAGTAAGAACAGGCACCTATAGGCAGCTATTTCACCCTGAACAATTAATAACTGGAAAAGAAGATGCTGCTAATAATTTTGCTAGGGGTCATTACACAGTTGGGAAAGAAATTATTGATTTAGCTCTTGACGGAATACGAAAATTGGCTGATAATTGTACAGAATTGCAAGGATTTTTAGTATTTAATGCTGTTGGTGGTGGAACTGGATCTGGGCTTGGATCATTATTGTTAGAAAGACTTTCGGTTGATTATGGTAAAAAGTCAAAAATTAGTTTTACTGTTTATCCTTCACCTCAAATTTCGACCGGAGTAGTTGAGCCTTACAATTCAGTCCTTTCTACACATTCTTTAATCGAACACACTGATGTAGCTGTTGTGCTAGATAATGAAGCTATTTATGATATATGCAGAAGACAATTAGATATAGAAAGGCCGACATACACAAACCTAAATACACTAATTGCACAAGTTATTTCTTCAATGACAGCTTCTCTTCGATTTGGTGGAGCTTTAAATGCAGATCTCCGCGAATTCCATACCAACCTTGTCCCATATCCCAGAATTCACTTCGTGCTTTCTTCTTACGCACCTATAATCTCAGCAGAAAAAGCTTACCACGACGATATTTCAGTTTCTGAAATCACAAATGATGCTTTTGAGCCTGCAAATATGATGGCTAAATGTGACCCAGGACATGGAAAATATATGGCATCTAGTTTAATGTATCGTGGGGATGTTTATCCTAAAGACATATGCCGCCCTATCGCATCTATAAAGACAAAGAAGACTATACAATTTGTGGATTGGTGCCTGACTGGCTTTAAATGTGGAATTAATTATCAGCGACCAGCATTTGTCCCTGGAGGCGATCTTGCAAAAGTAGTGAGAGCTGTGTGCATGATCAGCAACTCTTCAGCAATAGCTGAAGTTTTTTCAAGGATTGACCATAAGTTTGACTTAATGTACGCAAAGCGTGCATTTGTTCATTGGTTTGTTGGGGAGGGAATGGAAGAAGGAGAGTTTTCAGAGGCAAGAGAAGATTTAGCGGAACTTGAAAAAGATTATGAAGAAGTAGGGATTGAGACTGCAGATGCTGAAGGTGAAGAAGAGGATAATGAAATTTAATGATAATTTTACTCTTTATATCATTTTTTTTGCTATGGATTTAATTTTAAATAGCTGGTAAATAAAATTATTTCTATTTAATATCTGCATTAAATAGCAAGTCAGACCAACTGACATTATTTTTACATAAAAACTTGAAAGCTTTATCACCATTAATAATTTTCGAGATTTAAGATTTAAGATTACGATAACACTCCGTCGACCCCCACTTAGCTTAGGATCTGACAAGCAAGCCCATCCTTCCTGAATTCCATCACACTGCTAACAGCTCTGAACAACGGTAGGTGGAATTGGCCTAACCGTCGAACCGTTACAGTAGCCTATGACCTAGACGAGTCTCTCTTTCTTTCTTGATGTTGATTCAAGCACACAAGGAACTGCCGAAGCAGTTCCAGCGACAATATCCTTCAGAAAGTCTGAACTTCCCTCACTAGGATGACCTTAGGGAACAAGGACCCTAATTCATTCGCTCCATTTTTAATTGTATTTTTCGAGATTAAATTAGGGGAATATCCTAAATATTAACAAATCACCCCAGCAGCCCAATTACCAATATAATGATTATTCACAAATAAATTAAAATCATCAACCTATGCGTGAAATCTGCATGCAATTTGAATTCCTGTAATATTGAACTTTTTATTAATGTAATTGTCCCAACATCAGCTATATTTGTTTATAGCAAGTCACATATCCTTCAGCGAATCAATCAAATTCCAAGATACATTACAGAGATAGCGTTTATATATGTGTTGCCTTCCTACTAATAATAGTTAAATGAGGGGATGGCTTAAATCATAAGATATAATAATTGCCCGAGGATGGTGCTATCTTGCAACATCCTCGGGCAATTCAAAAATGGCCCCACACCGGGAATTGAACCCACGTGTGGGGCCATTTTTTTGGTGTGTGTAGAACATCGACTTCCACGAACCAAAAATGGCCCCACACGCGGGTTCAATTCCCGGTGTGGGGCAATTTCTATATATTTCATATGAGCATGAAAATAAAAAGTCGCCAATTGCTTTCATTTTATAATTGATAGCGGTTTCATTAATTTAAAACATTATCAGAAGAGTATAAAGCTATTTCTTACTTCTTACAATAAACTTTTTTGTTGCTACTCTCGCCTTGCTCTTAATGTTGATAAATGCGATATTTAATTTTTTATAACTTAAATTCCTAGTTAATTAATATTTTCATTATTCAATACAAATTAAAGCTCAAAAGTTGGGAGCTTAAGTGGTTCTGCTTATTTCTTCTAAGTCACCTTTTAGCTTCTGGATTGGCGCCCAACTGGCTTTAAATGTGGAATTACAACAGTTGTCCTGATGACGGTCTTGCGAAAGTAATGAGAGCTGCATGCATGATAAGCAATCTACAGTAGCAAGTGTGCATTTGTCTATTGTTTTTGTGAAGAATTATGGAGAAGAAGAGTTTTCAGAATCAAGAGAAAATTTAGCGGCACTTAAAATGATTATTTAGGCTTTGATGTTGTTGAAAAGGAAGGTGAAGAAGATTATGAATTTAGTGCCAAATTTTTTTTGCATAACTTTTTTTAATTAGATCTTAATTTTTATTTTGTTGATAATAAGATTATTTATATTTAATATCTGCAATAAATAGCAAAGCCAGCCCAACTGACATTATTTGTAACTACAAACTTGAAAGCATTTATACCATTAATAATCTTCGAGGATAGATCAGGTGAATATCCTAAATGTTGATAAATGGCTAGAGGAGCCCAAATACCAATATATTCGCCATTCACGTAAAAATTAAGAATTTCGTCAACCTATGGTCAAACCATATTGGGTCTATCTGACTCTATAGCTTTATCTAGCAGTCTGGCTCTATGATCTATAGTCCTGCTCTATATGGAAGTTTGGCTCTATATGGCAATTTGGCAGTCTGGCAGTCTGATTCTATCTGGCTATCTCAAATTCTATAGGGATTTCAATCTAATATTGAATCAAAAATAATGTTTTTTAAAAACAAATTTATATAGAAGATTTTAATAATAATATATATAAAAATAAAATAAATAATACATAAGTTTAACCCTAATTTTAAAAGCTAGCTATATCAGCAATTTTTACAATATTTAAGCTAATAAGCAGCATGTTAACATAATTATAACATTTTATAATATAATCTCTTATAAAACTTCTCTGGAAATATTAAAATCGATCATATTTTAAAGAAGCAGTCAATGTTTCACTTAGAAAATAAGCAATTAAAATTGATTTAGCCTTTTAATTAATAGAATCAAAGTTATTTTAGAGAGTTTATGAATATTTATATTGATTAAAAAATTTTATATCCATTGTGTTAAATTTTGAAGATTTAATCAAATTTTCATGAACATACGAAATAAGCCTCTTCTTTTATATCGTTATAATTTCTTTCTAAGCCTTTATATCTTTGATTTCCTATAAGTTAAAAAGTTTTTAGTCAGGTGCATCATATTAAACATTTTAAAATGTATTTGATGGTAAAATAACTTCATTTTATGAATGATTGCAATCATATAGCTTTTGATGGAAACATAATAATTTATTATGATTTAGCTTACTATGAGGATAATAATACGATTTATTTTGAGCATTAAATCTTTTTAGCAATTTATCAGCAGTTTATTCCTCTATAAAACATTGAATTACGTTATAGGCTTGACAAAATCATATATATTTGCATTAATGCAATAATGATCTAGGTCTTTTTAAAGTCTCATTGCAAATATTACTATCACAAATCATTGTATTTTTATCTAATACATTATAGCGCAATTAATTAAATTGTTACTTAAAAAATATAGGAAATTAATTTGATAGAGCCAGACTGCCAGAGAGCCAGCTAGAGCTAGTCTACCAGATAGAACCAGTTGAGTTGGACTGCCAGATAGAGCCAGACTGCCAAAATGCCAAGTAGAGCCAGACTGCAAGACTGCCAGGGATAGTCGGACTGCTAAACTGCTAGACAGCCAAGTAGAGCCAGACTTCCAGATAGAGCCAGACAGCAAGATAGATTTAGACTATCAATAGAACCAGATAGACCCAGCAGGTTTGGCCAAACCCATACTTGAAATGTGCATGAAATTAGATTTCCTGGAATATTGAATCTTTTTATAAATGTAATTGTCCCAGGATCAGAATACTTGTTTATTCCAAATCACATATCCTCCAAGGACTCAATCGGCATATACAAGATATTCTATAGCGACCGCATTTTTTATATATGCTTCTTTTTGCTAAAAACTGGTATTGTCGCTAACCATAAATAAATGATGTGTCGTATGGAATCTTGAAGAAACTCTTGTAGACACATTTCATATGAGCATGAAAATAAAAATGACTCTAAACACTTTCATTTTATATTCATTTTTACTGATAGTTCTAAGATTATTACTTGCACTTTTAATAAATTCTATAACTAATTATTTTATAACTTAATTCTAGTCAAGTTATAAATTTATTCTTTTAAGGTTAAAACAAGCTCAAAAATTGAAAGTTTGATCAGCTTCTGCTTATTTCTTCTAAGCCACCTTTTAGCTTTCTCTACTACAAGATCCCATAAATATTTATAGTCTTCGCATTTTTCCTTAAAAAGGGCAACAATTAAAGCAGTTATTGATTTCTTGCTCAATGTTGAAATATCCAAATCATGGCCAAGCATGCTATTTACCATCTCTGATAAATTGGTGGATAAATCCCAAAATCCATCAGTATTTTGCAAATGTATTATTTTTTCTACTTCAGAACCAATATCTGCGGATTTCATTTTGCTTAATTTCAATGCTTTTTTTGTTTCGGTTTTAGCAGGTTTATTCTTACTCCCTCCCCCCTCCGTGAGTGAACAAAAAAATTTTGTTCACTCACAGAGGGGGTTAATTTTTTTTTTAAAAAAATTTATATATAAATTTTATAGAAAATTTTTTTTTTCGAAATTTTTAAAAAAATCCTAATTTGCAAAAAATGGGAAGCAAATATTAATTTAATTTATAAAATTTATGTTTTAAAATGCAATTTGTTTAAATTAAACAGAATTAGCTCGAGATTTCATTATACTAATTATCACTTATATATCAAAATTGTTTCTATTAAAACAATTTTTGTTCACTCACGGAGGGGTGGTTTTTGGGCAAAAAATAGGGATTTTTCTAATGGTTTTGTCACTCACGGAGGGGGGAAGTTAGTATTTTCTATTTTAGGCTTTTTTTGAGGTGGGACTACTTTTGCTTCTTTTCTTCTTCTTTTCGTTTGCAATTCTACATCTGCTACTTTTGATGCACTCCGAGTTCTGAAAGCAATAGATGATGCTGCATTATCAGTCAATGCCGATTTAAGAGATACTCACTTCTTTACAGCAAGGTTCTTTCTTTTAACTTGTGGCTTTACATGGTTTATATCTTCTTTTTTATTAGGAATGAGGTTGTTTTCTTCTGTTGGTAATTTTCTTTGATATCTTTCAATACCGAAAGATGTGTAATCCTCTTCAACTTGATATTCTTTAAATTTTTGGATTGATAAATCTCTATCATAATGATTTAGGTACTTTTTGGCTTCTAGCACAAGCATTGAGCTGCAATTTGAAATATTTTCTTCATTTATATCTAGCTTTTTATAAATGGCGGGTTAAATATACGTTTAGAGTGTCTGGTAAGTTGATCCCAACCCCAGGTAAGTGGATCCCATGCTGTTTGTCCTATCAGGACACCATGAGAAGCTTTTTTGTATCTGCCCACATCGATAAATTGATGGTGTAGTTGGACTGCACTTCTGGAGAAACAATATTTGCCTGCATAAGCATTTTGGTCCCAGAAGGAGGCATTGTGTGGTTTACTCATACTCTTAGAACTGCTAGGAATTTAGACGCTTCTTTGCCGCTGATTGAGACCTAAGCACTGTATTCGGGTGAGTCTCCCGTGAGACTGCTGACATCACATTTTTGATTATGTCAAGAGAAAAAAGGCGCTAGGTGACCTCAGTGTTTAGGGCAACCAGTGCCTGAAGCCGGCTTGGACGAATAGTGGCCGAAATAATCCCCGAGACTCGCTTAATATAAACTTTATTTAATCTAAATATTTATGTCTATTCTTATCTCTTTAAAAGATTCAAGTTTTTGGCATTGAAATTGCAGTTATATGCTTTTAGGGATTATTCCTTCTTTAAATATGCCTGAAATTTCAATTTTTTGGCCTGGAAAAATACTAAATGGTTCTCTTGGCCAGAAAAAAAGTATCTTATTTTATTAAAATTATTGAAAAGCCACTGTAATTCTCAAAGGACTGCTCTACCCTTAAGGTTCCCTTCGCCTGCTTGCCAGTTCGCGTCCCCTACATCTCGAAGATTGTTTCTGCTTGACGAGGCCTGCTCTCGCTATCTGCCAGCTTGATGAGTTGTACCACCATACCACATGTCAAAAAGGCTGCCTGCCCATTAAAAACTTAAAATGGTTTATTTTTCTGGTCAACTCTCAGTCAAAATTGAGTCCTAAGCCCAGGTCTCACGCTGCGAAATTGTCCCGATTGCTCTAAAAAAATAATTCTGACATGGCTGAGATATCCTTTCCAGCTCTCTCTGAGGCAAAAACTCTGAATTGGAGTAAGCATGCGGCTGACTCCCAGCATTTCGTTCCAGCAAGACAGATAAAACCTGATCGATACACATTCCGAGCGCCAAGCCTTATTATCCATAGAATCGATTGCAGGAGTAAAGAGGGTAAGTTGGATTACCACGCCATTTAAATATATGGCCAAAAAAAATCAAAAAGAGAAGGATCTGATAATCGAATATCTGTAATGGCTGGATATAAGGCTTGCTTAAGAGAGCTTAAAACAGCAGGATTTATTTGATATAGAGTATTAATTTCCTGAGAAGTTCCTCCACCCATTCTAGCTAGTCAATGAATATAAGGCTCATTTGTGCAAATCCCAATAGTGTTAATCCTCGCATTATTTTTATGTTTTTCTATCAAATTCACTATTTTTACTTTATCATCCCACACATTTGCATCAGTTACTATAAAAACATTTAAAGGGCACCCTCGAATTCTCTCTTGCTCCAGTATACTTTCTAAAGGCTTTAAAAGATCAGTCCCTCCCATATTGTTTTTATACTGAATAACTATTCTATATGCTTCATCAGCTGAGGATTGATTATATTTTTGGCTGCATTCGAACATTTTTTCCCATCTACTCCCAAAGCTTATTACATTAAAATAGCAATTTTCAGGAAGAGAACGAATAAATAGCGCAACTGCCTGAATAGCTATATTAATTTTTTCATACATTGACCCACTTCTATCAAGTAATATAATAAATTCTCCAGCTTGGTCTGCTCCTCTTAAGTCATAAAGGGTATTATCTGGTTTATATGATAAATGAAAACTATATCTATCAACTCTTGGATCTTTTTGGACAATAATAAATGGCTCTTGAGGAGCTGGTTTATAATAAATAAGTTCAATGTCCTTTTTTGGGTCAATATTTTTATAGGTTGCAAAACTATAGACTCAGCCAAGAGTTATTGAATTCCCATAATGTTGAAAATAATGATCAGAATTGTTGATATCACTGAATTTTAGGTTTATAGCAGTTTCGAGATGCAATTTTTCAGCCATGAATGGAAAACAAGAAGCTGGAATTATGAGCTTTCAATAGTTTTCTAGGTGCGCCTGCTCTGCTTTGCATACATAAGTTGTTTCAATTTGAATGCAGCCCTTTGGGCTTATTTTTCCGACGTCATATACCCTCATATCTGTTTCTTGTAATTTTTCAAGCGTGTAGTCGTTTTCAGCTGAATTCTTTGCCTCTTCGTATGATTTTATAGGCTTATCAGAATCTTGAATTTTAAGGACTGATGGCTTTTTATCTTTAGAAATTCTTAGTCTAGCTAAATGTATGTCAGAAATGATCGGGAAAATATATTTTGCTTGGATTGATTTGTTGGAGTTGTTAGAGTATAATTCTTCGATGGTAAATTCAGCGTAATTGTAATGAATTATACCATTGATATAAAAACTTAGTGAGTTCGACATGCTCATTTGTTGGAGCTTACCAAAGAAGACATTTATGTTATTTATTAAATAAATATTTTAGAGAAATCATATATAATATATTAAATCAAATTAATATACAGATATTAATTTGAATGATTAATTTTAAAATATTATGAAGTTGATTAATAATGATTTATATTTTATAGCAAAAATGAATTTTTTGATTTTTAAAATCATATTATGAGTCTTTAAGGATTTATTAACACTATGACGATCAAAATATAATCATATAAAATATATCTTATGAAATTAAGTATGAATTAGCTTCTAAAGAATTGATTTCTTCAAATAACATTTTTATCTAGAGCAGAATGGATCTACAATCCCAATTATTTTAAAAAAATAACAATAATGAGAAGTAGCATCGATAGATAAAATTTACAGCTTTAATTAAGCAGAAAATTCTTAAAATCATGTACAACTTATTAATCTCTACCTATTTTAACATATTATTTAATGGAAAGTCGACGATATCTTCAACACAAAAACGACGGAGAATGAGCAGCTGTAATTAACGCTCAAGCTGCAACAACCAAGTTTTTACAAGAAGAAGAAAAACAGCTCCAAGCCTTATCAAAAAAATTCTACAAGGAAGAGCTTGATCGTCAGATTCGTGAAAAAGTTTCTTACAAGCAACAAACCCTTGAAGAGCTCAATAAAGAGCGGCAGTTTTTATCTGCCCAGCAATTAGCTATGCAAAATTTCGAAGCTAAAAAGAGAAATGAAGATAAGTCATTCCAAGACGTGTTCTCTAAAGAATATTCAAATATAATCAATGAAAAACAAAGAAAAATAAACCAAGAAAGAGAAGCCTCCATACTTGAAGAACAAGAAAGAATAAGAAAAGCTCAATTTGAGATGGACCATGAGTACCAAAAAACCTATGAAGGCAAATTAAGATTCGTTAGTTTACAAAGAGAAGAATTAAGAAAGCAAGAAGAAGAAAAAAGAAGGCAGCAACAATTAAAAGCAGTCGAAAAGTATAGAGACAAAGCTGAAATAGAAAAAAACATAAAAGAAATGGAAGCTAAAGAGCGAGCTTACAAAGAGTTCTATGAAAAGCGGCTAGAAGACCAGGAAAGAAAACTGAAGAATTATAAAGCTATTGCAAACGAAAAAGAAATATATGAAACTGAAATGAGAAATAAAGAGTGAGAAAGAATTGCCCAAGAAAGAGCTGCCATGAAGGAGCAGCTGGAAAAAAATATAAAAGAAAAAGCCTTAGCTGACATGAAAACAGAGCTCGACCGACAAATAGAAGCAAGAAAAAAAGAAAAAGAGCTGGCAAGCTTAGAAGGCATAAGAGACCAAGAAAGGGCTAGAAATAATGCTAAATATGTAGAGCTTCAGCGGTCGTTAGAAAATGAAAGGAATTTAAGAGGAAAAAAAGAGCTCCAGGAAGCGTTAGAGAAGCAGCTGATAGAAAAACAAAGTAGCTTTAAAACACAGCAAGAAATGAATGAGCTTGAAAAAAGATATAATATGAATATTTTGAAAAAAATCGAAAATCAGAATAAAATTGCGTTTCCTGGGGTACCTGGGATACATACTACAGAATCGCCATTAAGGCAGCAGTTTGCAAAAATTTATCTGAGGCCAGGGTTTGAAACTTCACAGTCATCTGAAAGGGCTGCATTAAATCAGTCTTATGATGATGCCCGCCAAGCATCAAAATCAGTTTTAGGGAATCCTATAACCCGCAAAAATATGTATTATTGGCCTGATCCAAATCAGCATAACCCTATTACAAATCCAATTGGATCTAATGCACCACGCATTTTGCCAGGACAAAGAGTTCCAAAAGGAAATGAGTCTCGCTCAAAGCTGGCTATAGCCACTGCTAATTCTATATTTGGATAATTTATTAATTAAGAAATGCAAATTTTATAAAATATTATTGTTACTTTTGTCGGCAAATCTGAAGAGTTTAATAAAATTCTGAAATTTATAATATCTCTTTTTAAAAAATACAATTAAAGACTAAATTCAAACGTAAATTGGTGACTTATGTTCTATCTCATGAACTTGGTATTAATACTAATAGATTAAAAAACTTATTTTGAGGAGAAAGAAGCAATATATTTCGGTTATACAAATGCTTTATTGCTGAGCTATAATCATTTCAAAATCACTTGAATTTTCTGAAGGAGATGAGATGGATGATATATAATAAATACCCGATAATTGCTCTCAATGTGCCATCATCGGGTAAAACCAGAAAAGGGCTCCACACAGGAAATGACACGTGGAGAATCCTCACTTCCACGCGCCAAAAAGGGCTCCACACGTGGAACCCATTTTCCGTGTGGAGTCCTTTTCTGGTGTTGCCCGATGATGGCGGCAAGGAGCGTCATCATCGGGTAACCTGTATATAAATTTTAAGCAAGTGATTTGCAGGTTAACTAGTTGATGGAAGAAAGCTAAACTGCTAACACATTTAAGCATTGGATTAAATCTAAATAATTAATGTTAATCCTTCCCATATGAGCTAGCAAAAATTTTTGCATACTCACGAAGGGCCATATCATCATCTCAATATTTTCAAAAATAATATCGGAAATCCAGATATATGGGCCCTATCGATTCACAACCTGGGCTGAAACTCCCGATTTCTTTTTAGGCAAAATGCTGCCTCTTGAGCCTTCTTCGAGGGACTTATCTATCACTCGGGGCTTCTGCTGGTCTTGTCCTTTTCGATGGTGTTTCCGAAGTAAAACCCACAAGTATCAGAGATTAACTCATGAGGTATAATCCGTTGGTAAAATTTCTTATGGACGTTATACGTGCCATTTTCATATGAAATTTCAAATTATGAATTTGCTGGACTAAAATCTGCGTTTTGAAACGTATATTTGGTTTTCACATACCAAATTCAAAATGGCATGCATATGCATGATAAGAAATTATTGCAATAATAATACGAGAAAATTTAGCCCGATATACATAAGCGTTTTCCGATCTCATCTGTCCTTTTCCTTCACAATGAGCCATTGCCTGCTGGAGGGTTAGGAGGTCGAACGATCTGTCAGCGTTATTTTTATGTATATAACGCCGGTCACTTAAATTATACAGGCTAAAATGCATTTGAGTGACAATATGAAGATAGATTATGAAAAGAGCATCTAATTATTTTTCAAATAATATCTCTATCCAAAGGGTTAATATAATAAAAATATTAGATGGCGTTTAAATGACCTTATCCTTTAATGGTTTCTTAAGGAATAATATTAGCAGTTTCACCTCAAGAATCCTAAAAGGGTGATGTTCTATCAAATCCTAGGAATGTTGGTTTTATTCTTTAAAAGTTAAAACTGAAGACCAATAATTAAAGAAAGCAAATAAATAAATTATTATAAGAACCTCAGATCAATTAAGCCAAGAAGCTTAACAGTTGATAAATCTTACAAGGATACACTAATGCTCGACAATAAGAACTAAAAAATTAAACTACCATATTAATGCATTACAGCACTAAAACATCTAAAGGAAATTGTTGATAGCTCTATTGCAGATCTTGAAAAAATGCCTATTACTGTCTTTTATGGTAATGCTAATCATACTTTCAAGGAATACAGATTATTTATGGAATTGAAAATTATACTTGATTTAAGGATCATCTAGAGAATGCAAGAAATAAAATAATTGAATTTTAAGCTGATAATTAAACTAAATATAAATTAATGTAAAAATTTATACTATAAATATTGATTGTAAAGATTCAAAATCAACTAAACTCTATAATCGAGGCAAATAATTAGTTTTCCCTCTAGTGTTTATAACTATCTTCTTTCATATTCAAATGAACAGTAAATCTTATATCACCTAACTAAACCATTAATTATTTAAATGAGCTTTGCGCCTCCTATCAACCACAAAGCTCCAAAATCCAAAGTCATCAAAGAAAAGCTAGTCAGCGACTCCAAGAGCCCAGCAGCAAAATTACAAATGCTGGAGCGCTCTGTTTCTGAGTATAAATTATAAAGGTCATCAACTGACAAGAATGAGTTTCTATCTCTTTTGCCACTCATCCCCCAAATTTCAAAGCTTCGTGAAGCAGAAGGATGACTATTAAAATCAATCGAAGACTACCAAAACCTCGAAAAAGAAGTAGAAGAACAAGCAAATTTTCTGAATAAATTAGTAAAAAGTACCGAAACCATTGAAAGTGAAGCAGTTAGCATATCTGCTGAAGACCATACAAAATTTGAAACAGAAATTGAAGGATTCAAAGACAAAATGATACTTTTACCTTTAGAAAGAAATATAGGCGTAAAGGTTATAAATATTTAGAAACAACAAATTGCATTAAAAGAAGGAGTTATTGAAACTCTAGCTCTGCTAACGACTGAGCTTGCAGCCTACAAAACTGAAATAGCAGAACAATATAAAGCATTTGAAGAACAAATAGAGATAATTATCCCTGAATTATTATATGAAGAAGCACTAATACAGCTAGAAAAAGACGCTGACTGGATAAAAGAAGAACTTTTTAAAGTAATCGAGCACTCTGTAGAAGAGCTAAATGCAGAGCTTGAAGTAAGTTTTATTCAGATTAAGCAATTCCGGCTTCGCCAAAAAATGCAGCAAGAAATTTTATCCCTGAAGTCCTTAATGCAATCTATCAGGCTAGAAATCAGATTCCCTGACTATTTGCTGCTAAATGTATAAATAACATAGGACGATATGCCAATTGAAGATAAATATGCTAAGCTTTCTGAAAGGACTAATCAAGATATCATGAACGTTTTAGGCTATGTGATCAGCGGATTAGAAATTCTAGAAGACAGCATAAACTCAGCCGTTGAATTCAATGAGACTTTTCAAGAAAAATTAAAAGAAGCCATCACACAAAACGTCACTTTTGATGAGGAAACTAAGAGCACGCTGAGAGAGGAAATCGGAGAAGTACAAAATAATGTGGAAGAAGCAAAAAATAGTCATGAAACTCTAAAAAGCAATAGTGCTAAAAATTTTGGAAAAATAAAAGAATCTGTTGGAATGATTGAGACGTTGCAAAGACAGCTGATGAGGTCAGGAAATAGCAAAAGTGAAGACTTCAGAGGAAAAGCGAGCATTGCGGAGAATAAAGTTAATGAAAAAATGAATGAGATGGGAAATGCTTTAAAGGTTATAGAAGGCCAGCTATTCGTATCAAGACAAATGCTAGAGACAAACTCAATTCAGAATTTCCAAGCTAACTTGTTAAGCGATTCTAATTCTTTTGTGGTGAGCTTTAAAGAGCCACCGCCTTTTAGGAATGTGCAGCCTGGCACAACTCCATTAGATAGCCCGGAAGAGCCAGAGGAGCCAGATGATAGCTTTTTTTAAATCTAAATTAAATTAGACAATAAATAGAAAGTATACCGAGATGATTATTAAATATTCTGGGAACTACTGTGATAATTAAGTGATTTATTAAAAATTTAAATAATAAGGCAAAATTAATTAGTATTACATTTACCAATTGAAAAACACTTGATTGATATTTAAATAAATGCACTTTATTATGAAGAGGTAATCAAGCCAATATGAAATTAATAGGTCTATTTCATATTAGTTTTTTTTTTATAATTCTATTTATTGCAAATAACCTTTTTGCAACAAGTTCACTTGGCAAATAATAGTTTTAAAAGTTTTCAGTTATGAAAAATCTTCACAAGAATTAATTGCCAAGTCCGATGCGTAAGCTAAGCTTATAACTGTTGCTGTATTATTATATAAATGGTTGATTACTGCAGAGCTCTAACCTCTCCTTAATAGCAAGCAGCTTTGAAATAATCATAGTTTTTTGAAAAATAATTCCTCTGTAAGTTATATATTTTTTTTTATCTACAACAAAAATTTTTCAAGAAAATAAATATTTTAAATTTTACCCTATAAATAAGGGGAAAAAAACTTCTTATAAAAGCAAACAAAAAATTTGTATATTTTTTGTCGAAGAGAATAAGCAACATATCAGAAGTTTCTGAAAGAAATGAGCACAGCGAAAGATCTTCACCCACAAACTACTCTTCCCAATTTAAATCTGGGAATCCATTTAAACAACTAAGTTCCATCTCCGAAGATGAATCAGACACAGATATATCTCCAGAGCTGGGAGTTGATAAAAATTCAAAATCAGGCAAAGGAAATAAAAGTACAGCAGAAGACAGCTTAAAAACTCAAGCTTCTAAACAAAAAAGAAGCGTGTTTAACTCAAACCAAAATTTAGATCAATTGGTATCAATGCGAATCAATGGCGATAAATGCTCTTGCACCTGCATTATGTTTTAATTATAATTTGAATCAATTTATTCCTTCTAATATCGAGCGATGAATTTTGTGAATAGGTTTTAGCGCATTAAAGTTAATATTAAAATTCAGATAAGAATTATTAATTTATAAGATTAGTTTATTTAAATATTAAATGGGAAAACCCTTCATCTAGTAACTCTCCCCCTCTGTAGCGAACAATACATTGGAAAAGTCCCTGTTTTTTGCCCAAAAAACCACCCTCCGTGATGAAAATAAATTTTTTTAATATAACAATCTTTTAGTAAAAAAATTTTGATATAAGATAATTAATATAATGAAATATCTAGCTGATTCTGTTTAATTTTGAATAAATTGCATTTTAAAAATAAATTTCTCAATTAAATAAATAAAATTTCTATATTAATTTTTAACAAAATTTTTTTGCTTACTCACGGAGGAGGAGGAGTAAGCAATTTTTTTATCGGACTCAAAGACAAAAAAATATGTAACTGATTTAAAAAGGATTTCAGTTTTCATCAGCAATAGCCATCCTTGAATTTTAAAATTAAGAATTAAATATCAATAAGCTGCCTAACCCCTGGCCGGACTACCTTGACTTTAAAGGAAGGCAGTGTACTTATGTACATTGTGTGAATGGTGATAAACTCACTCTTTTGAATTTTTTGTAAAGACTTACATTACCTAAGGATTAGCTCCCTAGGTTAGAGCCAATCTTTGTCGGACATCCCGATTGTCTCAATAAACAAAAACTATGTGAGAGGCATACCCCACTAGTCCATCTAATAGAAAAACCTTTGGGGATACGCTTGCCCAGAAAAGCAGAAATTAAAGATAAAACCAATTGTTATTATTACTTAAAATATGAACTTCAAGATAGGACCGATCAAGTGAAATAAGAATTTTAATTTTTGTCATGGTTATGAAAATCAAGATGGTGATATAATTAACAAAAATAAATATGCGCTTGTCAAGAAAGCGGAGTTAAAGCTACAAACAATCGCTATTATTACTTAAAATATGAATTTCTAGACAGGGCCGCATCAAGTGAAATAAGAATTTAATTTAGACCACAGCTAAATCTATATAACTACATAACTAATTAATTAATCAATCAACCAAGTCAATCATGTATAATGCGTCCCATATTTGCTTCATTTTAGTATATTTCTAATATATTTAAGACAAAAAAAAACTATAAGATACTCATAATTCTCAGTTAAAAAAGTAAAATTAATTTTATATATTAAAACCAAATAAAAATTGTTTTAATTTCCAAAAATGTTCACACCTGCCAAAAAAATTTTGACCAGCTATTTTTCATCTCGATATTTGGGCCAATCCATTTTGCCACGAAATTGCCAATTCCAAGCAGAAAGAGAGAAGAACTATTTTAATTGTAAAACATGCCTTAACTTTATTTTGCCGAGCTTGATGCTAATTATTAGAAATATTTTTGAAAATCATTAAAAAAAATTTATAAGCTATATTGAATTAGTTTAAAATTTTTATGATAATCTGGATATTTTTCTAAATAGTGAGGGAGAAATAAAACTTCTTATTCGGCAAGGCATCCTCAAGTCCAATGCATATTGAAAACGGCATCCATATTTACTGCATCTATATGGGCTACCTAGTCCATAGGAGTGCACCTCGGAGACCAATTTTTATCAACTTCGCCATTTTATTTCTATCATCCTTGAATGAATTTTGATTTTGATATAAGAGATAGGCTATAAATTTTCATGGCGAATAAAATCAGTAAAACATTCAGTAATTAGATAGAAATTCGATTTCATTTTGGCCAAATTTAAAGAAAATTGTCTTTAATAGTTTAGAAGGCAGAAAAAGTATTTAAATTTGAATTATCTAAGGACGATAGGAAAATGACGCAAATAAATATAAATAAGTTTAATAGCAAGCAATCAATGCTAAATTAGCTAAAAACTATTTATTATCTAAAATTCTGCTTTAAATTTCCAATATACTATAGATAGAGTTATTTAATAGCCCAGCAGAGCCTATCACTCCACTATGTCAATCGGTTGATTTCTCAACTCGATGCTAGGCGTTATATCCTGTATCTCGATTTTCATTTTGCTGAAAGAATGCCAGAAAATTTTGTTTTCAATTTCAGTCTTCATTCAAATCAGGCCAGGCGCGTGATGTTTTGATCTTGAGCCAATGAAATGATTAAGGAAGACACAAGTCGAAAGAAGTCACCAATCACTCTGCAATGCCGGAATCTACCTAATAATTTTTATCTAATCAAATCTACTAATTTTTAGCACTTACTAGATAATTTAATTATAAAACACATATAATTTTTTAAAATCTCAAAAAAAATTCAATAAAAGGCTCATAAGACTTTCTCTCATGCAATCAATAATTTTAAACAATAAACTACTTAATTTAAAGTATTAATTTAATGCGAATTTCATTGTAAAATAAATAATATTTTGCTGGATTAAATATTTCTAATAAATATGCCCTTATTCTTCATGAAATAGATAAAACATCTCCAGTATTTTATTAATGGAAGATAGCGTAGTGGTAAAGAAGTCATACTTTGTCATGTTTTCTCAGGAAGATATTAAAGATCACTACGATTAGGATAGGATTATTAAAAATCAGACGTTAACCATATTGGTGATGCAGTCATCAATGGCCTCCGTACTGAAAGTTCTACCATTTTTCGATTTCAGCCTAGAGGTTCTATGTCACTTCTGGCACCTTCTGTCTCCTCCTTGCCTTGAGGGTTAAGTCTTAGTACTTATGGATTTCTGCTGCTATGGGCGATTGGAGTAACTTGATTTCGCGGATTAAATGGAGTCTGTCTGGTGCCGAAGTGCCATCCTTCGATAGCTACAGGAAAAAGACTACTCCCCTGTGGCTTGGGCCGAAATCCCCAGTTTATCGGTAGAGGAATGCCATGGGTCCTCTGATCCAAAGCACTTTGCTGAGCACCTCAATTTCCAACCGCAGGAAAGCACCCAAAACCTACCCCAGATACACATCTCTTGAGCTTGCACTTGATTCTCAGCTCCAGTCGGCCGTAGCCATAAGGTCTGGACTGCTGCGCCAAGAGGGCAGGTTGACAGTGTCGCCATTTTAATATATATTTAAAGAACACTACGAACTCGGAAATAAGCTGGGGGATGGATCCTACGGAGTGGTTTATGTTGCTACACATAAAACGACGGGCCAAATTAGAGCAATTAAATCAATCCCTAAATCCAGAATCCGAAACCCTTCAAGATTGGAAACAGAGATCGGTATAATGAAGGACGCTGATCATCCAAATGTTATCAAACTCTATGAAGTCTATGAAAACTCAAGGAATATTTACTTATTATCACCAGCAAACTATTCAGGGAAAATCCTGATTAATTATAATATTTCATTGCCATTAATAAATAATATTTTTTTATATAACTGTGTTAGTTATGGATTTTTGCACTGGCGGTGAGCTCTTCAACTACATAATCGAAAACAAGCGCGTAAGTGAACGAATTGCAGCAGGGCTATTTCACCAAGTCTTAAGCGCAATAAGATACTTGCACATGCACGACATTGTCCACCGAGATCTAAAGCCAGAAAACCTGATTTTCGCTTCTAGCCCCGCATCTCAGTCCTCACTGAAATTAATCGATTTTGGCCTTTCCAAGATCTTTACCCCAGAAAGTAGCCCAATGCTAACAAGAGCTGGCACGCCTTTCTACATTGCTCCAGAAATACTAGCCGGAAGAGGCTACGGAAAGTCCTGTGACCTATGAAGCTGTGGTGTAATCTTATATATTTTGCTTTCAGGCTACCCTCCTTTCTTTGCCCGAAACGAAGCCGGAATCCTCGAAAAAGTCAGAGCTGGGTCCTACAATTTTGATAGGCCAGAATGGCAAAATGTTTCTGAGCAGGCAAAAGACCTCATATCTAATCTATTAAAAGTTAACGTAGAAGAAAGATTTGACGTTGAACAAGCTTTAGCTCACCCTTGGATTGCTGCTCACGAAGAATTACCTGACACTCCTTTAGACTTTAACGTCGAGTCTCTAAAAGAATTCAGAGACGAATGCAGACTTAAAAAAGCAGTTTTAATGTGTATTGCAACCCAATGCTCAGATAACGAAATTAATGAGCTTAGAAATGCTTTTATAAGACTTGACGCAAATGGAGACGGAACCATCACATTAGGAGAGCTTGAGCATGGGATATCAGGCTTAGGCGGCATTGGAGAAAATATTGAAGGGATCCTCAAAGGTATGGACGTCGATAAAAGTGGAAGCATTGACTATTCTGAATTCTTAGCCGCCACTATAGATAAAAGCATATATCTTCAAGAAGAAAGGCTACGAGGTGCTTTTGAAACTTTTGATAGGGACCAAAGTGGGAAAATCTCAGCTGACGAGATCAGACAAATTTTGGGAAAAGAAGGCAACCTAGATTTGAGCATGTATGAAAGCTTGATCAGAGAAGCTGACAAAAATAATGATGGTGAAATAGACTTCAACGAATTTATTTCTGTGATGAACTCAAGAAGACTCAGCTCTTTAGGAAGATCTTAATAACCCATTAATCTTAAATTTCTATAATGCAAGCTAACACTTCGGCAGAGCAGGTAGCGATGTAGCCACCTTTCCAGTCTAAGCCTTCAATTGAGCCATTGTGGATTCTTCCTATAAAGTCGTAGTCTAGGGTGCTTAAATTTATGATGAATAGGTTTCCGTTTTGAGTTACACAGGCAACACGGGATTTTACTGCGTCTATTGAAGCGTAGGTGACTGTGTGCCATTCTTTGATGATGCTGGTATTAAAAACATGAAGCATTGTTCAGGCTTTGGGGTCATATAGTCTTAGACTTTGGTCGTCAGAACAAGTTACGAAAATTTCTGTTAATATGCTGCCTTTTATATTGGTTTCAGATATAGCCGCCCATCGGACCCCAGTGACAGCTCTTTTGTGTTTTGGAAGAGTAACTAAACATTCACTAGTTTTCCAATTCCAAACTGATACAGTTTGGTCTTCAGAACCAGTTGCAAGTATTTCTGAAGAGCTTGGAGATCAGGCTAAGGTCCAAATTTCGCTGAATAAGGATAAAGATCCAAATTTGGCATCATCGTTTCATTCTTGTTTATCATGGGCCAGAATCTTCTGCTCTTTATAAAGAATGCCATCTTGGTATGTGAAGATGAAAAGGTCGCCTTTGGTTGTCCCTACAGCCATAAGGTTTTTGATTGGTGCTTCTTTTCAGCTCATGCAGATTACGCTTTCTTCAACTGTAACTAATGTAATTGGCTCTTGAATTTGGCCGAGCACGTTGGATATGAAGATTATTTGTCCATCTAGAGTTCCAATGTAAAGATTTATTCCTTCTAAGTCCCATTCAATGCATCGAACACTAGTATTAACATGCGTTCTTGTTACAAGTGTACCGTTATCTAATGTAAATATCATAACACTACCATCAAAGTCTCCAACCGCTACATGAGTTCCTTGAGGATTAATCGACAGCCCACAACACGTAACCTTAAACAAATTAATATGCTTACTTTCAATAATTTCTCCACCCTCTAAAAAATTCTTAAACCTTGCATTTGATATTCCATTTTCATTAAACCCAATAAGAGTAACCTCAGGCACTACCCAGCCATAATATCAAGTCGTTCTATTTATCCACTCTTGGTTTGTCCTAACAATATAAAGCTCAGGATAAGACCCATTTTTTACATCAAACAATTTTTCAAACTGAGGCTGATTAATTGAAAACCTACAAAAATATTCAGATAGAGGTGAAAAATATACATTTGTGCCAATAAATTCAATGCATGAGATAGAGCCATTGCCTTCCATATGAAGTGTATGAAGAGGTGTCAAGGTTTCTATGTCTCAGACAACGATCATTCTGGTCAAAAATCCAAGGACAACTTGGCCAAGGTGGTTTGACTTTATGCAACTTACCCTTGCATAGCATGGATAAAAAATAAAATCCTGCTCTATGTTGCCTTCTAAATTTTTTGTTAAAGAAATGTAGTAGCTTATCACCTTTTGATGCCTTTTTCCTATCCTTTCTTGATATTCCTCAATTGGCTCATTTTCTTCTTCTAATAAAAAATCAACAAGTGCGTTTTCTTCAGAAATCGGTAAATCACTTTGATGCTGGCTTAATGGTGCTCCATCATCAATAGCTGTTTCTCTTAACATAAATAAATGATCCAGATGCGAAAATTCACAATTTTTATAGTTCCCTCTAAATGTCAAAATTTTTGAAAACCCTTGATCAATGCTGACTTTTCAGACTTCAATAATGCCATTATAGTTCCCATATAGCGAAATTGTTGCTAATAAAGTTCCAAGATTATTGGTGCAGCCATGTCTGACTCCCCCTTCGTGAGTTGTCAAAAAAAAATTGCCCGCTTATGAGGGGTTCTAATTTTTTTTTTAAAAAAAAAATTATTTCGTAGTATTTTTTTCAATTTAAAAAAATCCTGATTCGCGAAAATAATTTAATTTATGTTTTAAAATGCAAGCAGTTTAAAATTCAACGGAATTAGCAAGAGATTCATTATAATAATTATCATTATAAATCAAAAAATTTTTTGCTCAGATTGAGAGGGAGTGAGAATTTTTTGAAAACCTTGATTTTGGTTTTCAATTTCCAAATAGTGAAGAAGAGAACCCTCTAGTGTGTATAAACCCATATCTCCTGAATATGTAAGTGAAATTAAGTGAGTTGGATTTAGAATAGGGATTGGGAGAAGCACCATAATTGATGTGTCATGAGCTTTAAAGGAATAAATCTCGTCTAAGCTTTCTGCATTGCGCTTGCATACATAGCTACCTTTTGCGTAATAAACTGAAGGGGTATCGCTGCGAGTAATAAAGCAGGATTGGAATCGAGAGGAGTGAAGTCCTATGTATTTTGAACGTAATCTTTCTATTCTGTTCTGTTCCATTATATACTTAATAGTTATTCATATTGATTTTTGTAATATCTATTAAATTATTCAATTAAATTTCAACGTCTTTTATTAGTACTTTAGATCGAATATGTGCTTTGCAGATTTTACACGTAGACAGTGTTTTGCAGTTCAAGCAGCATAAATGTCCACAAGATAGTGCGTAGATTGGCATATCTGACTTGCAATATGCACAAATATAAAATCCTAGAGCTTCTATTTTATTCTCTTCTTCTTTTATTAGTTCATCAAGCCTTGCATTATCCTCAAACAACATTTTAATTTCTTTTTCAATCTGTGCTTGGTCAAACCTAGGCTCTCTCTTCTTTTTTACTTCTTTTCGCTTTTCTTTTCGTTCTTCTTCCTTATCTTCTTCAACTTGTGTGCTGATTTCAGTCTCTATAGTTGTCTCAGTCCTTGATTTATTTGTAGATTCATTGTGCTGACTTAGAGATAGAGAACTTGGCTGAGTGTGGCTGCTAATAGAAAATGAAGAAGGTGCTCTAAGGTCATCATGAGCAAAAGGACAATATTTGCCTAGAGGGCATGATCCATCATTAAATCTGCAGTTTTTTGTTTTGTATTTTAGTGGGTGATACTTTAATTCATCTTCTGAATGAGCAAATGTGCATTGATCTCCTTTGTCACAATCATCTGAATAGTTACAAAGACGAGGTCTGTAGTTTCATAATCCATTTGGCATTCGTTTAGGAGGGCGTCTTCTTTCGCTGCTTTGATGATAATTTATACAATCGTTTTCTTTGCATTTCGTATTGCATGGCTTTGTGTGAAACTCTAGCATTATTTTTTTGTGTAGAGGGACTTCAATAGCGAATTCGTCTGAAGCATCTAACTCTTTTCTATCCTTTTGGGCGAAAAATATCTTTAATCAAACCACACCGTTGAATTTTTTAAAAATTGGGAAAAAATTCACCTTAATCGAGCAGTTTTTGTAGATTAATCATGCATTTAAACCATCTACCTATCTTTGATAGTAATAAATAATAGAGATTAGACGAACCCTTCATATGTAATTCTAATGTGATTAATAGAATTGCCTATGATTTTAGCATAAAATATTTTATATGGAAAAAAAATTAATATAAAAAATTTTAGGTAATAAAAAATTTATATATATTTTGTTTATCCAAAAATGTTTTAGTGAGAGTAGCTCATAGTGATAAGAGCTATACTGTGGAATCAGCTTTTCAATGATTTTTTTATCATAAAATTCTTCGGGCTTATCTGAAGGGTATTGACTGATGATATCTTTGACAAAACTTTGCTTTTGATCAAAATTGTACAATTTTGTCTTTGGTTTTTTATTTTTAGGCCGTTTTTTGTTAGATTGAGCTTTATTTCCTTTTCCTATGTATGAAGATTCTGCTTTGTTTCAAGCTTCTTCTATATTTTCCCTATTAGATTCCATTTTAATTTCACACTTAAGCTTTTAAATCTTACCCCTAGCCTTCATAAGTGAACGAATCAACTACGGATGGGGTTATTTTTTTTTTTGAAATTTAAAAAATTCTCAATTCGCAAAAATTGGACAACAAAAATTAATTTAATTTGTAAAATTTATGTTTTAAAATGTAAGTTGTTTAAAAATAAAACAGAATTAGCGTGAGATTTCATTATAATAATTATCAATTATATACCAAAAATTTTGTTTGCTTGCGGGTTGATTTTTTACCCAAAAAAAGGATTTTTCAATGATTTTGTAAGCTCACAGAGGGAGGATTTATTCTTTAAATTAAATGCCTCAAATAGCAGTGACGAGTGATCTTTCTCCCATGAGTAGAAGACCTCATGTATATCTGAAATTTTTTGATGAAGAGAGCTGCCAAAGGGAGGTCTGCATGATTCCCACTTATGAGTGTCCCTGATTAGAGGGGTATCATTTTTTGCCTTAGTACCGGCATTTTTACTCTCTTATCAATGTTAATTAAATAAAACATAAAATAAGGTAAAGCTCATGCTTTATATTATATATTAATGGAATTATCATACTCTCTTATTTTTATTGCTCTATTTGCTGATGCTATCTACTCAAAAAGCAGCTCTGTAGTTCAGCTCACTGCATCTAATTTTGATTCTGAAGTTTTAAAGTCAGAAGACTTTTGAATAGTTGAATTTTTTTCTCCATTGTGTGGCCCTTGCCAAAAACTAATTCCTGATTATGAAAATGCTGCTGAATCTCTTAAAGGCATTGCCAACCTCGGAGTTGTAGATATGACTAAAGATTATATTTTAGGCCAAACTTATGAAATAAAAAAATACCCAACTTTTAAGGTGTTTTCAGCAAATAAAAACAAGCCCCGAGACTACACAGGAGAAAAATCAGCTAAATCTTTTATTTCTTTTGTGTTAAGGCAGCTTGAAAAAGATCCATTACACAATTCTACGACTATAGAGAATGGCGTTTACATCTTAAATGATACAAACTTTGAAAGCACTGTTATAAAAAGTAAAGACCCTTGGATTGTAAATTTCTATGCCCCTTGATGCTTTTATAGCAAACAACTTGCACCAGAATGGACAAAAGCTGCTGATAAATTAAAAACTATTATAAAAATAGGGAAAATAGATGCTATAGAGAACTTAGAAATAGCGACGAGATTTAAAATCAGTGAATATCCATCAATAAGGATTTTCCCTCCGAATTCAAAAGAGGTATATGAATCCATAAGCCCAAGAACTGCTGAGAGTATAGTAAAGGCAGTTTATGAAAAACTTGAATCTTATGGGATTCCAATGCCGATTGTACAGCTTACAAGTGAAGAAATCCTAGCTCAGTATTGTGAAGAAAAATTTTGCATTATTGCATTTTTGCCTCATATATATGACAGCTCAGCTGAAGAAAGACAAAAATATTTAGATATGCTCCAAGAATTAATAAAAAAAAATAGAGGAAAATCGGTATCATTTTTGTGGGCACAAGCAGGAGACTATTATGATCTTGAAAAACTTTTTGGGATTGGAATGGGATATCCGGCTGTTGTAGGATTAGCTCTAAAATACTCAAGTTTTGCACCTATGAAAGGCTCATTTAGCCTTCAAGAATTAAACTTGTTTGTTAACAGATTTTTAGTCGGAGGATTTTCTTTACTTTTTTGATCAGAAAAAATTAAAAATTTAATTATTAAAAAATTGTTCATTTATGTAACTAAAGCCAAGAAAGAAGTTAGAAGAATTCAATGAGCTTCCATTAATAAAAAATATAGAGCCTTGGGATGGCAAAGATCAAGTAGCTGATTATCAATCTGAAGATCAAGTAGCTGATTATCAATCTGAAGATCAAGTAGTCGATTATCAATCTGAAGACCTATAAAGCAATAAATGCTAACAAATCAAATTTATTATTAATTCACATTTGCATAAATAGTATACTTGAAATTTATTATAACACAGCTTATTTTTTTATTTTTTATTTTTTATATATAAGAAATATTTGATAAATTTTATTATTTATTAATAAAAAATAATAGCAGAATTATTTCAGAATTTTATGTAAACTGTTCAAAATGCTAATCATCCATTTTTAACTGGTCATTTTATAATTTAATTTAAAAATTATGAGTATCCAATACAGCACCAAAAGTAAAATCACTGGCAAAGCTCCTGAGACCGCTCCCATGTCACCAACAAGCATAATTATTTCACAAATGAAAACTAATTTATCTTTAAAAAGCAGAACAGCTGAACTCGATTTCCAAATAAAATACAAAACTGAGATGTGCAAAAACTGGGAAGCTGGCCATTGTGAATTTGGAGAAAAATGTGCTTTTGCACATGGCGACACAGAACTTAGAGATAAGGCACAAATAAGCCTTGCTTTAAAAACCAAAGAATGTAAACTTTATCAAGACAAAGGATACTGTGTTTATGGGAATAAATGCCAATTTTCTCACAAAGAAAGCTCTCAAGAAACCGCCTCAAATAGCCCAGAAAATAGTGCATTTTCTAGCAGGCGAAACTCAAGTGAGACAATACACAAAGTCCCTTTATTTATTGATTTGGAGAGCAGATGGTGCTAAATTAATTAACAAATTTTGAAAAAAGTAATAAATATTCCATATTTGAAGATATTGTAATTATACTAAATTCATTATTCAACTTCCAGCTTGCTTTTTGCCTTTAGCATCTTTAAATGATACTCTTCTTCAGAGATTCCTTTAACTACTTCCAGAAATAAAAATTGTATTGCTGACGGAAGATGGGCTCCAAGGTGCACACTTTCTATGGAGTAGGTAAGACCCATCCTGATGAAGCTGAAAATAGTGCCTCTGTCACCTTTGAAGTAGACCTTCAGGCTAGGCGATGCCTTCTGAAGATGGAAGCTTTGTTTCTCCCCGAAGGCTTTCCCTGTCCTGCCAGATTGGTGAGTCAGACTTTGCCTCCCACTTTGTCTTTGCCTATCTGAGCTAATGATGCATACACAAAAAGTGGCTCTTGCCTAGGGAGCTAATCCTTATGTGGGCTTACGCCAGATATCCAGGCTAGTGGGTTATTCCTCTTATGTATTATAACGCTTAAGTTAGCTTTAACTACTTCTCCTTCTTCTCCCTCTGATCAATCATTTTCATCAGAAGACGAGTTATCTTCTTCGTCAGCAGACTCATGGCTTAAATCCCCTGGGATTTCTGGAGAGCTCACATATTCGCCTCTTTCGTACTTTAAAATGTTTTCATTTCTCTTTTCTTCGATATTTCTGATGTAGGCTTCGTAATCTTCATCAGTCATTTTGATATCTGAATTCGTCGCACTTAGTCATTGGTGCTTTAAACAGTCCAGGGCTGAAGCTCTTTTTTCTGGCTGGAATACAAGCATAGGCAGCATAAAATCTGATAAAAATTCAGCTTCAGATGGCTTATATCTGTATTTCTCTATTAAAACGTCTTTTAGCAGTCAAATTTTTAAATGGTTTATTGATCGAAGCCTTCCGTGCTTATTCAGAAATTGTTTAGCTTGACTGCCAGAAAGGGCCCAAGTTTTTGGCATAAGCCCAATAGTTTCCATCATCTGTGCAAGATGGTCTTGATTTTTATCAAAATCTGATCCAGACTTAGGCTCAAATAAGAAATCGCCTGTAAGCAGCTCAAAAAGCATGCATGCAAGACTTCATATATCAGCTGTATGGTTATAGGTTATCCCTAAAATTACTTCAGGCGATCTATACTGCCTCGTTTGGATTTCCGTTGCAAAATGATGATGGACCCAACAAGCATTTCCTAAATCCGCAATTTTAATATTGACTTCATCCCCAAGGTCAAAATGTGAGCTTTGTAAGCTTCTCAACAAGTCAGCTTCTTGGAAATCACATATTTCTTGCTCTTCTGGTGCTTCAGACTCTTTTTTCTTATGTTTTCGCTTTCTTTTCTTCGGCTTCTCAGTAACTGAGTCTTGAGTTGACGTGCTTTTTTGGATTTCGCTGGTTTCTTGTTTTTTCTTTTTCATTTCTTCTTTCTTTCTTTGCCTGTATCTTTTCCTTTTTTCTGCTTTTTTCTTCTTTTTTTCGTCTTCCTCATTACTTGTTACAGGCTGATATAAAACTGATAATGGTGGGTCTTTTGGTAATCTACTAACTTGGTCTTGGTTTAAGAGCAGCCCTCTTGTCAATATATCTTTTATCTGTGCTTGAGTAAGCTGCACAAGGACATTTTCAGGCTTTAAATCTGTGTGTATTATCCCACAGATCCTATGCAAGTAATCCAGCCCAATTAAGACCTGATGAGTTATATTCCTGACCATCTGCACTGGGATGCCTTGGTAATTAAATCTTTTAATTATTTCTAACAAGTTCACGCCTAAAATTTCAAAAACCATACACACATGAGTTCCATTGATTCCTGTGTGGGTAAAAGTATTGAGAAATTGAACCACAAAGGTAAACTCAGCGAGGTTGCCTTCTTCTTTAAGTCTTTGTTCATATGGGAGTACACAAATAAAATGGTGACTTATCCGGCGCCTCCTTTCATGGCATGGAATTTGATGTCCAGGGTGGGTTTTTTTTCCCTGATCAGGACGCTACAAGAGTGTTTTTTATCCCGTAGCACAGAGAAGAAAGCCAGAGTCTATAAAACAACTCGAAATTCTGGATGCGAAGGGTAGTGGGACCAGAAGGAGGTTTCGGAGTTGTGCCTTATCTCCCATTTCACCGATCCTAGCTTTAATCTAATCTAATCAAATCATATGGAAGTCCTTTTAGGTGGCCCGCCAACGACTCCGCCCATACTGGGTCTTTGTAAGAGCCTGCGATTTTTAATAATAGATCTACTTCGTCGTAGGCGGCTTCAGTATAATTTGGGGCTGACTTTTGGACTTTCATTGCGACAAATGTACCGAACTTTGTGTCCTTGCAAAGCCACACAGTCGAAAAATGTCCCCATCCTAGCTTTTGAACTACAATGTATCGATTGGCAAAAACTTCATTTAAATGGACTAGGTGGTATCCGCCAATTCTATAGTCCTTGCTGCTTTCTTCTTCGTTATCCATCACAACTGAACTGTCATCGCTTGTACCCATTTGCCTTGTTTAAATAATGAAGTTAAATATTTAAAAGCCATGATAAATTAGCTATGAATTGAAAATTTGTGGCTGTATGGACCTGTATCCTGGTGCAACAAAGTAGATCGATCCAGATACCTATGGGCCCGACACGTGGATAAATATGGTGGCAGCTCTAAAAAACGGCTACCCCGTAGTGGGCGTTAAACGTTATAGATAATATAAGATAAGAATTGAAAATTTGCTTATTTATCTTAATTTTGAGATATTTTTAAATAAATTTCTATAGAATTAAAAATTAATATAGACTATTAAATATTATTACCTGCATGACTTATTATTTATATTAAATATATTCGGAAATTTCTCTAGCAATGCATAAAGGTACTTTTGCATAAATAGGCTTAGCTGTTTTATATACAAAAAGTAACCCTCTGACATTTTCCCATCTTTCTAATGTTTTTATTTTCCGAGCGCATTTTGGTCCTAACCTCTCACGGATTAAAAATTGAATTTGGATTTTTTTATTTACATATAAAATTTCTAACAAATCGGCTCTATCATATAATAATACAACCCCCAAGTTGATTTCTTCTTTACAATATTGAACTATTAAGTCGCTGGTTGCCCCAATATCAAGCAGAATGCTTAAACGAGGCATTTTTTGCCAAATGGTATTCGCGATAATCCATTCTACAATTTCCCAATTGCCCTTACTCTCTCTTAAAAAAAAACATGGTGGTGGCAACAAATTTGTCCTTACTGATGACATATCACTGTGAGTGCTAAATGACTTTATAGCTTAAACCAAGGCTCAGGCCCTTTAAATCTAATCATAAGCACTCACTGTATAGCTGCTGTATAGGTTAAGTGGCTTTGGAAGCCAGCTGGTGGCCATTCCAGCCCAAGTATTAGCTATCCGGATGGTTTTTAGGTCACATGTTCTTTTCCCTCAGGTTCTTGAGGTTCGTGACTTTTTTCTTGGGTATCACTTTTCCTCAAGGTGGCCGAGGTGAGGTATTGGGCTAACCTTTACCTTCATTGCACGCAAGACGCACAGCACCGAGGGGTCTTTCTGACCTGTTGGAACTCAAAGATGTATTGCAAGTCCTTAGTTCTGGGGGAAGACTGCTGCTGATAGAGTTCAGGTAACCGAGCCCTTGGCAAGCAAGGACTTGGTGGTCACAATCGTGCAGAAGCATCAAATCTGGAAGACCTTAAGACTCTTTAATTTAATATACTCCCTCTTGATTAGCAACCATTGAAAAATTCTAGTTTTTGAAACCAACGCTTTTCTCATCAGCTAAATTTCTTTTTATAAAATTTTTAATACATATTTAATAATATAATAGAGAGACTCCAGATGCTTATATTATGGCTGCGAATATTAAAATTAATTTTATATAAAAAATATCAAATATTGAAAGCTAACCAAGAGGGCAATTTAGCATAATGGAGCACGGTACCCTTTCCACCGCAAGCAAAAGGATAGAACAAGGAGAAAAGTGTTTTTACAACATCCACATTCCCACTTCATGCAGCCATATGCAAGCAATGTTCTGAATTCTTGGTGACTCCATGAAAAGGAGCACCAGCTTTTATCAACTTGGACAGCAGGTCTGAGTTCCCATTTCTGGCTGCCCAATGGGCTAAAGATCAGTCTTCGCTATCTTTAGCATACAAATCAGCACCCTTGCTTATCAAAAACTCAGCCAGCTCAGTATAATTGTGCTGGACTGCCAGCAACAAAGGCGTCTGTCCATGTTTTCTCTGTACATCAACAGGGACTTTACAAGAAGACACGAGGAACTCTACGAGTTTTAGCCTTCCGTATATACAAGCGTAATGGAGAGCGGTTGAGCTTGATTTTCTTGTCTTGGTGCTTGGATTGACTTTCAGTTTATATACACAGTAGCACGGGATGTCAATATTTTGACAATACTTCGCCGCCTGGTGAAGAATCGTTTTCTTTTCTTTGCCGTAAACTCCGCCTCGTCTGACTTTGGCTTGCTTAAAATTATTAAGGTCGTCAGAAGCAAGGATAGCCTTTAATTCCATGGACAGCTTTAATTGGTCTCTCATTTTATAGTCCGAAATATGTCTCTTGACTCATTTGAAATAATCAAATCGCTTGGAGAAGGAGCTTACTCAACTGTGTCTCTCGTCAAGCGCAAGGATGATGGCCAAATGTATGCTCTTAAAAAAGTCAAGCTTGGACCTTTGAAGCCAAAAGAAAAAAGAAATGCACTTACAGAAGTCAGGATTTTGACGGAGGAAAAAACATTGGAAATTTTTATGGAAAATAATTCCCATTTCATAGAAAAAAGATTATTATAATTTATTTGGGGCTTTTTCACAAGAGCCGATTTTGGCAAGTATTGCGCATCCCAATGTGATTTCTTATAAAGAAGCGTTCATTGATGAAGAAAGTGAGTCACTTTGCCTTGTCATGGAATATGCAGACTCAGGCGATTTATATCAGCGGATTTGTTACTACCAAAAAAAAGGCCGTTATATGAGCGAAAACTTTGTGTGGAATGTGCTTATACAGCTTCTGAGAGGTCTTAAAGTGCTACATGAGCTAGATGTGCTGCATAGAGACTTGAAATCAGCTAATGTGTTTTTAAATAAAGATGGAACGGTCAAGCTAGGAGACATGAATGTATCAAAGGTGGCAAAGCAAGGACTGCTGTATACACAGACAGGGACTCCTTATTATGCGAGTCCGGAGGTATGAAAAGATAAGCCTTATGATTATAAAAGTGATATGTGATCTCTTGGTTGTGTAGTCTATGAAGCAGCTACATTAAATCCACCTTTTAAAGCAGAAGATATGAATGGCTTGTTCCAGAAAGTAATAAAAGGGGAATATCCTCCTATCCCAAGAATGTTTTCTAAAGAGCTTACTCCTTATATTAGTAAGGTAAAAATTGTTTAATAAATAATAAATTCGCATTTAAGCAGCTGGTATCTGAAACATAAATTTTATAAATAGCAATATTTCCCTTTAAATAAAAATTATAAAAATTATTGTTTGCAAGCCAAAAAATTTTGATCTGCAGCAAAGGAGTGGTAAAGTTAGTAAAGTTATAGGACAATTATTGCAGGTTGAGCCTTCGGCTCGACCAAGTTGTGAACAGCTACTTAAAAGCAGCATTATAAAGAAACACTCAGGAAAATATGAAGAAAGTCCTGAAGAGTCCCAAGAGAATTCTTTGATTGATGCAATCAAAGTTTCAGATAACATAAAAATTATTTCAAGCAGTTTACCAAAACCAAATTATGGAGATAATAGATCTGAACCTACCCCAGAAAGACCCTCTAAAAAATCCACGTGAAAAATTAACAGTTTTTCGCATCGATCTATAAAAAATGAAGAAAAAAGATCGCCAAGTAAGATATCTATTGAAGTACTAAAAGAAAGTTATGGAGCTCTAAAACTACCTAAAATAAAATACCCAGTTAAAACGAAGATGAATCCAGTCAAAATTAGAAATTCAAAAGGAAATATCCTGCATTTAATTGAATTTTTCAATATTTTTTTTAAAGCTCAATTTAAAGTAATCTTAATAAAACAAGGCTTATATTTAGTACTAGAAGTCTTCCACTCCAATATGCAGTCCAAATGGAACGACTTCAAAGGATAAAAGAAGTTTATCTAGCCAGAAGTGTCCCAGTCAGCTTATCACCTGTCCGAAGAGCAGCACCTATAAAGCCACCAAGCAAGGCTCAACTGTGAACTTAAATATTAACTATTATTTTTGCTGTAAATAAGTGGAAATTAGTTATCAGCCTCTGGAAAAGATGTATATAAATTGATTCCACAAACTCCAGCCCCGTCTTTCATAGCGATTCTCATATAACCGCTTTCACCCCAATCTTTGCCCCATGAGTTCTTGACGATCCAGTAATTAGGCTTTTTGACACTATTGTACCCAACAATCAGGACATTGTGATCTGGTTTGGTCCCACAGTTGTTAGTTATTATTCCTCCATGGTAAAAAACCCACGTCGCTTGGTCAGCTTGGACTCCAACAGTAACTGGTTGATCAGACCAAATAGTAACCAGACACCTTCGCCCTATATGCTTTTATATAAGTTTTAACTTCTAATAATGAAATAATATACATGCCAAGCTAATTAAATACTCTTTTGGCTCTTACAAATCAGAAAGAGATATATATTTATAGCATGCTACTATATAAATTATACACACGGGTTTCATTGTTACTAAAGATACGGCAATATCCTATTTCTTCATAAAATGAAATTATTAAAATGGCGAGATCTGATGTGGACTCCTGATAACCCGCGAGTTGATCAGGCCAGGAGTGAAGAGCCACATGGTGATAGTTCTCCGGGGTGGTTTTTTGATCTAAGGGATAACCTTGACCTTTTTTCCTTACCTGTAGAAGTCCCTATCGGCGCAAAGTCCTAATGCCACTCCATGGGAGCATTCCAGAGCCTGCAATACGGCTCAGACAGGCCATGGAGAAGGCAGGAAGCGATTTCCCCATACTCTGAGCCCTGTCAGAGGTTAAAGGAACCTTTTGCTCGACCGACCGGTAGGGGTGTCTCACCGACAGACCTCTGACTCCACCATTTTTTGGTGACGTCAGCAGGGAAAAAGGTGGTGTGAGGATAGCGCTTAGCGCCAAACGCGAAGCTATCCGTTAGACGGGTAGCGGCTGAAATAATCTCCGACGACCCGCTATAATTCTATTCTAATCTAATCTATAAAATGAGAAAGAAAAAACAGGACCATGGCTAGACTGCAGAAATATTTCCAGTGTGCAGAATTTCTTCAATTTAAATAAACTAACATGATAAAATTAATTTAGATATGTGAATTCTAAATAAAAAAATTCATATGGGCTTTATGAAAAGAAAGTCATTATGTCATTTATTTTTTTACTGAAACTTAAAGGGCTATGAAGCATAGAGTAAATAGCCATCAAATCCAAAAAGGCATCTTTTTTTATCCATGAAAGGAAATCATTAAATTTTATTTAAAGTTATTTTAACGTTAATTTTTTCAGCATTTCTCTCATTAACCATCATAATTGCTAGAAATTTTAAATTTATGATTAGGCTAATTGCATAAATATGAGTATTAAAGCTCTTCAATTCAAATAAAATTGGAATTATAATATTTAATTGCTTTAGAATATGAATATCATTGAAAATATATAGGAATAGTGAATGAGATGTATAATTTTAATTTTATTAAATAAAAATAATATTGTATTAGATAATAATGCTTTATTCGAATATTATTTTATTTACTGTTACTCTCTTCTTTGGGTGAGACGTGTGGCGAAGACTGGCAGCGAAACTTTGATAGAATGCGTGGGCGATGGGCTGTCCATCGTGAATCCAAGATGGCTCTGTGACGTCACTAGTTTAACTATAGCCCTCTTTCAAGGGTGCGGAACTAAACACCTTAAACACCTTAAACACCTTAAACACCAGCTAATAGCGTAACGTAACGTTACTCTCTTCTTCAAAAATAAACTACCGTCTTGATAATAAGGAATATAAGAGATATTGTAGTATATTCAATTTTAAACTATTCTAGCGTTATTTATAACATGCTTGCTAATATATTGAATACTTTATCTCTCTTTTAGCAAATAATACTCTTGTGATAAAAATAATTTTTTGTAAAATTTAAATAAGATATATTATTTTATACGAAAATTAAGTATTTAAGCAGCATAAATCTTTTAAAATTATTAATTTAGGATAAAAAAATGTAGATTATGTATGGATCCCCCCCTCATTTGTCCAATTTTCTAGTTTTTTATCATTTGTCCATTTTTTCTAGTTTTTTTTTATATGAAAAAAAAATTTTTTTAGGACCTCATTTGTCCAATTTTCTAGTCAAAATTTTGATAGAAAAAAAAAAATTTTCAGGACCTCAATTGTCTCATTTTCTAGTTTTTTCAAAGTAAAAACCATTCGAAAAAATCCAAAAAAGACTAGAAAATGGGACAAATGAGGTCCTGAAAAAAAAAATTTCTTACTCCCTGTGTGAGTGAACAAAAAAATTTTGTTCACTCACGGAGAGGGGGGTTAATTTTTTTTTTTATAAAATTTATATATAAATTTTATAAAAAATATTTTTTTTCGAAATTTAAAAAAATCCTAATTCGCAAAAATTGGAAAGCAAATATTAATTCAATTTGCAAAATTTATGTTTTAAAAAGCAATTCGTTCAAAATTAAACAGAATTAGCTCTATATTTCATTTATACTAATTATCATTTATATATCAAAACTTTTTTCCATAAAAAATTTTTCTATTAAAACAATTTTTGTTCACTCACACGGAGGGTGGGTTTTTGCGCAAAAAATAGGGATTTTTCTAATGGTTTTGTTCACTCACGGAGGGGGGAGTGAGAAAAAAAAGACTAGAAAATTGGACAAATGAGGGGGGGGAATCCTTATTATATTACATAACTATGCTGAAATTTTTATTTAAGTCTATCTATTTTAAATCTCAAGTAGGCTGAATTAATGTTTTAAAAGATGTTAAAATTAAATTCAACATGCTTCGCTATTGGCTCTCTTATTTATTAGAATTAAAAATGCTACCATTCAAAAATTCTGTATGTACTAGGGTGGGGTTAGTGGGTAGGGAGATGAGAGGTGGGGAGGATAGGGCTGTCGGGCTTCTATTTATGCTTGGCCAACTGGTTGCTGGGCAACAGTAGTCATTAAAGCTGCAGAGGTAGTATTAGTCATTTCACTGTATCCTTGGATTTCTGCCACTATTTTAGTCACATCTCCTCCATTGCAAGTGCCTGTTTTAGCTGTGAATGGGTAAACGGCATCAGAAGTGACTCCTTTGTCAGTAACATACTCATAGACTCCTAAAACATTGCCAAAATCGCAGCCATGATTGCCATATGTCCCAGAACAATCAATAATTTCTTGAACAGAAAGAGGGACTAAAGGATTTCCTGTGATATTCCAAATCCCTTCTATTGCACCTATAGCAGCAAATGCATATGACCCTCCAAGACAAACTCCTTGATCTAATACTGGAGTAACGGCTCCTTTGGTTCTCCAATCAACTGTTGCAGGGGTCCCTTGAACTGGATTTTCAATTTCTTTAATTTCCTGAGGCTTTATTTCAGGAAACTTGCTAGTCAGGTATTTTTCTTTGAATTCTTGAAATGTTATATCAGCGAATTGGGGCTGTCAAAACTCCCATTTTTCCTATAAAAGTAACAGTAATATAATTTTATGATGTTTTTATGGTCCAGCAAATTGGTTGATCCCAAGTACCCAATCTTGATTTTGCAAGTTATGGACTCTTATAAAAGCTGCATTGTCTCTAAAAATATTTAATCGTTTTAGATACTCTTCTCCTTGATAACTTTTGTGATAAGTCTGGAGAAAGTCTTGGAACTCAGATTCCTCAAGCTCTATTTGCTTGCTCCCCCCTCCGTGAGCGAACAAAACCATTAGAAAAATCCTTATTTTTGGCCCAAAAACCCACCCTCTGTGAGCGAACAAAAATTTTTTTAATAGAAAATTTTTTATGGGAAAAATTTTGATATATAATGGATAACTAGTATAATGAACTCTCAATCTAATTCTGTTTAATTTAAAGCAAATTATGTTTTAAACATAAAAATTTTTTCAAATTAAATTAATATTTGCCTATCGATTTTTGAGAAGTGGTTTAAATTTCGAAAAAAAATGTTTCTTTAAAATTCATATAAATTTTTTTTTCAAAAAAAAAAAATTAACTCCACTCTGTGAGCGAACAAGATTTGTTTGTTCGCTCACGGAGGGGAGTTAAGAAATACACTTGAGACTGAAGAGTTTGAAGAGATTGCAATAGCAGCAATAACTCCAACTAACCCCAGCATGCTTATGACTGCAATAACTCGTTTAGTAGTCCATGGATTTGCCTGAATCTTTGATGAAAGGAGATTATCCATTTATAAAGTTCACCAACTATGGTAAAGGGCTTTAGAATTTAGAATTCTTCAAGTAATGCATATAAGAATTATTATCATCAAAATATGGTTGAGTAAGACTAATGCAGAAAAAGTGAGATTCTCAGGCTTTCTCCATCTGATTTTATTAATTTTTCTGTCACAGAGAGTCCCGAATCAATTTCACAATTAGCTCTAACAAACCTGAGTCAAAGTTCAGTTGCATTCAAAGTAAAAACATCGTCTCATAAAAGCTTTTTAGTATCTCCTACACATGGAATTCTGCCTCCACAAGGCCAAATTTCCTTGAACATCACATTTTTGAAATCTGATGAAGCATTGCAGAAGCCCCACAAGTTCCTGATCCAAGCTTTGAAAACTAATCAACTTGACTCTTCAAAAATCAACTGAAGCGACCCAGGGTTGGAAGAGCATAAAATAAGCGCAAAAATATTGCAACAGAGAGATTCGGTGTATCAGGAATCAGAAGAGTTCAAGAGTTTTAGGGATAGCGTGAATGTTGAGGCTGCGCAAGATTTATATAAAGATGAAATGCAAGAATTGGAGATAAAGAAAAAGAAATTGACGACTAGAAGCAGCGAGCTGACGTTAGCGATTGATAGGCTTAAAGCGGAGATTGATAAGGCAACTCATAAACTCAGGTTTAGCCATGATATAGAAATGATGTTAAGCTCAGATAAAGGTGGGAATTTTACGTTTATGCATCTGATCATTGCGTTCATTATTGGATTTTTTATTGGATATTTATTTTCGGAAAATAATTTTTTTAAAAAAAAAAATTAATATAGTTTTAATTAATCTTAATTTGTTAAATTATGATAGTCATTTATTTCTCAATGCAATCATATAAAAATCATTAAATAGAGCTAGTTTCTTAACTTATACATCTTTTGGTTGAATTAATAAAAAATTCTTATTGATAAACAATTTATGTAAGTGATCACTCGATTCTCTGGGGGAAAAATAGTAGTATTCTTTTCATAAAGAGAAGTGCAAAATTACAAACTTAAAATATGTGTGGTGTTAGCATTTAAATTAAAATATAAGTATTCTAACATATTTGGATTAATTTATATGTGCTGCTATTTAACACAAACTAAATTAATTAAGTGGTTTTTTATTATTTTCTGATTTTTCTGGACCTTCAATAATCTCTCCAGGCCTATTCAATGCATTCTCAATCTTCTTAAGTACTCTTTTGATCCTATCTTGCTCATCATAAAACAGATTTTCTTCAACTACCTCAGTCAGCTTTTCTCTAATATGATTCCTCTGGCTCTCGCTCATTTGTTCCACACTCGTATTTTCTGCCAATTCCAACAATTCCAGAATTTTTCGTTTATCATAATGCAATATTCTTTCCATCGTTTCTTGATATGCAGCATTAATAGAGTCTTCTATCTCTTCAGGCTTTTCTTCTTCAAAGAATTCTCCAATATCATACCCATCTTCTAAATATTTTAAGGCTACAGAAAATACCAAAATTTCACTTTTTACTGGACCTTTTGTGAGTGGGTAAGCGGAATAATAAATTCATTCTTTTAGGCAATTTCTCATGTCGGTGTCTGAGAGAAACTCAGTATCAATCCCGCGCTCTTGGCAGCAAGCAATAAGTAAGGGGTATTCAATGAAATCAATATCTTCTGCTAAAAGGAGCATATCTTCTCCTCGCTTTTGTGATAAATAATTTCTAAGCTGATACATAACTATGTTCCTTTGGATTTGGTTAAAAGGAAAAGTGGTAGGGTTTCAAGTGCTTGGAATTTCAAGGCCTATATAACTGAATAACTTTGATAAAGGGAATAAAACTAGTTTACTAATAGACTTAAATCCAGTCCAAGGCTCCATTCCGAGGAACCGGCAAACAGATTTTAGCTCTTCTGCATTCATATTTCCAAAGTTAAAATCCTTCAAAAATAATTGGTGATTCATAACTAAATCTTCAATTTTCATAGAATTCGGCCTATAAATAAGCTTTTCCTTAAACGTTTTATACTTCAAGTCTTTGATTTCTTTGCTTTTTTCGATCAAATATCTATGAAGTTTATTTGCATAAACTTTTCGTTTTGCTATAATATTTTTTCAATGCTCATCTTCTTTGGTTTTGCTTAAAAAGGGCGAGGGGATCATATTTGGGAAAATAAATAAGAAAAAGGGCAAAGTCAGCTCAGCACCAGGGATAATAATGAAAAAGCTGAAAGGGATCATCTTTAATAGGTCTGGTGTGACCCTTGATATGATTCTTGAATCATGAATGGTCCAGGTATCTTCATAGAATGTTAGGCGGTATTTTGTTTTTATCATATATTTGCCGTCATGATATAAAAGTTTGCAGCCTTGCCAAACCTTTTTTGACTCATGCTTAATATATCCAGCTCATTTTCGAGGATTTCATCAATTTTCCGAAAAATTTCTTTTAAATCGGAAATTCGACTTTAAAATTATGGTTTGGACTTTATTCATGATTAGTATTATTAAAGAAATATCAAGTAAAATTACATAAAATTTTATTTTGGCTTTATATCTTGATCAACTTGAGCATGATCTGGCCAGAAATAAATTGTAATGATGGCATTTTATTATTATAATTTCCTAGTATATTCATTAATCTTAGCGACTTTTGCATTGCCATCTACTGTTTTAAGAGCTTAATTATTAGCTTCTTCATTTATTAGTCTTTTTTTATTTTCTAATGACGAGAGCTGTAAATTCTCTTGGACTTTTAGAGGATTCTGGTGTATTATTTCACACATTCATTCCAAAAAGATAGGCTGCATAGGCATTCAATAAAACACACAAGTATCATATAGAGAATATTGGCATTAAGAAAAGAATGAGTTTGAGAATAGTTTCCTTGTTCAGAAGCATACCGATTTATGGAGATTTTACAGGGTTCATCAAAAAAGAGTTAATCAGCAAAGGATTATGGGGGCTTTCTTAGGGACTAAGAGGTGGCCTTTCTTCTGATAGCTTGGCAGGATGAGGGTCCGAACCTCTAGAGGCAGGAGAACTTCAAGGATCTTCTGGATTAGGCTCAGTCGTGTTGCCAACACTCATTCTTTCCAAGTGCTTATCGCTGATTTTGCATTAATTGGATGCTTCTATCTGCATCTCTAATCCCAAATGTCTTTTTCAGCAGCTCTCTTAGTCGAGGATTTGAAAAGTAACTTGATTCATTATTGAGCCACATAATAAGCTACCTCTTCTTCTCCTGGTGAGATATGCTGTAGAGAAAATGCTGAGATCTTTGCTTGCTTTCTTATCTATACTAGCCTTTCACAAGATAAATCATCTGAGAAGGTCTTAACAATGTCTCAATTTATCACGATTTTTTAATAATTTTCCTTTTTTATTTATATCTTTGTAAATTAATTATAGAAGAAGCTCCAAATTATAGATGATTCCCGCGTTTTGCTTTTATGTTTACAATGGTTCTTAGGAATAATATATCTGAAACTCATCTATAGTGTCTGTAAGTTATTTTTTTCACATCTAAATCAATATTTCAACTTTTTAAAGGAGACTTAATAATGGTAAAATGTCAACACAAGCTTCTAAATTTTGCAATGAGGAATCCTTGCCAAATTTCCATCACATTCATCCACTAAACTCCCCCCCCCCTCCGTGAGCGAACAAAACCATTAGAAAAATCGCCATTTTTTGACCAAAAACCCCACCCTCCGTGAGTGAACAAAAATATATTTTAATAGAAAAAATTTTAATAGAAAAAAATTTTGCTATATAAGTGATAATTAGTATAATGAAATCTAGAGCTAATTCTGTTTAATTTTAAACAAATTGCGTTTTAAAACATAAATTTTGCAAATTAAATTAGTATTTGCTTCCCAATTTTTGCAAATTAGGATTTTTTTTTAAATTTCGAAAAAAAATATTTTTTATAAAATTTATATATAAATTGTTTTTAAAAAAAAAAATTAACCCCCCTCCGTGAGTGAACAAAAATTTTTTTGTTCGCTCACGGAGGGGGGGGGAGAGTAAGCATCGTAGATGAAGAAATGCAGCAAGGCTTGCATTTAGATGAGAAAAAGGATGAAAAACAGCCAAATACTTGCTATAAGCAACCCAAAGGTGAAGATATATCAAATGAGGCAGAAATATCAACCGCTACTGACGCATCGTCAAAAACACTTAAAGAGCAGTCAGGTACAGTAAAATTTCTAGGTCTATTTGAAAAGGATATAAGTTCAAGCATTAAAAGCTTTACAGCACCAGAAGATGATGAGTATTATAAGAATACAAGCTTTATAATAAACAATATCTCTCTTAATGAGAGCTCTCGATCCTCAATGCTCAGCGAATACGACTATAAGAAAACAGCAAATGGGGGAGGTAGGTCACAATGTTCAGGCTGCATAATAATTTAAATCATACGAACAAGCATGGTGAGGCCTTAATTAAGGAATAGTAATATTAGGCACTTCATTATTTTCTTTTGAAAAAAATAGAATCAGCCTAACTAACTAGCTAATTCATTTCAAAAACTCTTTAATTATTTTTATAAATAAATAATAGAAAATTTAAAAATTTATTTTAATTTTATTATCTTTTATACTATGTCTTTATCCGATCACTTCTGATTAGATAACACTCCAAATAATAAATAATGGAAAGAAGCTCTTCTCAATACGATTACCTTATAAAGCTCTTAGTTATAGGAGACTCAGGAGTTGGCAAAACCTGCTTTCTGCTCCGATTTTCTGACGACAATTTCACTTCATCACATTTGACTACAATTGGCATAGATTTCAAACTAAAAACAGTCGATGTTGAAGGTAGCAAAATAAAGCTACAAATTTGGGATACAGCAGGGCAAGAGCGGTTTAGAACCATAACTCAGTCTTACTATAAAGGAGCAATGGGGATTATCTTGATATATGATTGCACAGATGAAAACTCCTTTAACAATATCCGCAACTGGATGCAGCAAATAAAGACCCATTCTAGTGAAAACGTGGTAAAGATACTTGTTGGAAATAAATGCGATAAGCCAGACAAAAAGGTCAGCACTGAGCAAGGGGAAGCACTGGCAAAGGAGCTTGGAGTTAAATTTTTTGAAGCTAGCGCCAAAAGCAATGTTAATGTAACTGAAGCTTTCTATCATGCTGCTAAAGAAATAAAGGATAAAGGGTTTGGGCGAGATTTAGGAGCAGTAAGATTTGTCCCTGCTAAGAAACCAGCTTGTGATAACTCTAAAAAAGCTTGCTGTGGCTAATTAAGATATTTATACGATTTAAATATTATAGCTATGGCTATACTATAAATATCATCTGCATTTTTAGCCTGAGGAATATCAAGTCATTTCTCAATAGCTAAATGCAAAAATCAATAGGTGGCCAACAACAAGAATTTGAGATTGACTCTTGTCCAAATCACCTGATATAAAGCAAACAAAGAATAAGTTTCTATTTATAATTAAATTAACTAAGAGATGAGTGTGGACAATTTTGATAATTTTTTGATCGAAAGCAGGTCCAGTGACGGAAAAGAATCACTACTTATTCCCCCCTTTAAATTGGAGCAAAATATTTTGTTCTAATTTGCAGGGTTAAGAAAATTTTTTTATAAAAAAAAATCAATATACAATTTTAAATCAAAATTTTAAAAAAAAATCAAAAATTTATCGAATTAGATTAGTAAATTTGTGTAATAAAATGCTATTTACTCTTTATCCTTTAAAGCAATGCAAGATATACCTAAATTTTAATTATTAGTTAATAAGAACTATTAATGGGTCAACAAATAAAAAATAAATTAAAAAGCAAAATTTTTGAAAATTTATATAATTTTGTTTAAATAAGATGCTATTTATGCTCTATTCTTTAAATAAAGCAGGAAATATAAGTAAATTTTCAATTTTTGTAATGGAATTTATATCAAAATTACTTAAATAGAATATATTATTTTTATGAAAAAAATAAAAATTTAAATTGTTTTAAAAATTTAGCAATTAAGGATAATAAATTTATATATAAATAAAATGCTCTTTATTCTCTCTTCTTTAAACAAGAGCAAGATATTTTTACATAAAAAATTATATAAATTTTTTTATTATAAAATTGAATTTTCCCAATTTAAAAGGGGGTTAGTTTACCAAAAAATGAAAATTTTACCTATATTTTGTTCCAATTTAAAGGGGGGGCTAGAAAATGCAAAGATACCATTGAAGTCTTAGAAAGCGAACTCGACCAAGAAAGAGCTGGTAGACAAGATCTTGAAAGACAAAATAGAGAGTTATTGAGAAACATTGAGGTTTTCAAAGGAGAAGTAGATGACCTCGAAGCTGTAAACAATGCCCTTAAATTTGAAAATCAAGAGCACCAAGACACCATTGGGTTCTTGCAGACAAAAATCTTTAAACTTACAGATGAGCTTGAAAAAACTAAAGCTTCATTAGAAAAAGAAAAAAAAGCCAGCAAGGATCTCACATCTGATAATTTAAAGCTGCAAGAACTAAACGATGAGCTTAAAGAAGAAATAACCCGCCAGCACACAATTATTGAAGAATGAAATGAAGCTGTAATTGCAGTAGACACCAAACTGAAAACTATTTCTGAAGAAAACAGAAGTCTAAAACTTTCAATAGACAGCTATATTTCAGCCAATGAAGACCTGCAGAACAGAAACGAAAATTTAAACAGAAATCTATTATGAGTTGGCATAATTTTAGAGGGTTTCCACATGTTGGAGCATTTTCTCACATGTGGAACCACTCAATGTGGGATTTTGGTTCCACACGTGGGGAAATATCGCGACGTGTCGAGACCTTCCCAAAATTATGCCAGCACATAATAATAGAATCCCACCAAGAAAACGAAAGCTTAAAACATCAGTTGTCTGACTCAAAAACAGAAAGGGAAGATTTAATCGAAAAATTAAGAAGAGCGATTTTCAGTAATCAAGAACAAGCTTCTTTTCTAGACAAAAGTTCTCAAATTGCATCACAAAAGCTGCAGGATGTTAAAGAGAAGCTAGAAAATGAGAGGAAAAGAGGAAAAGAGACTGAAAATGAAAGAGATGAACTATATGCAAAAGCGCAAGCTTTGGAGGAGAGGTTCGAAACCATGAAAATTCAGTATGAAGAAAGGCTGCTTGACCAAAAAGAGGTTCAGTCAAAGCTGGAGCTTGAGGTGAATAATTTGAAGCTTCTGATGGATAGCTTACAGAGTAAATATATAGCTGATGATACCAAAAAAGAGCATAGGATTGAAGCTCTTGATGCAGAATTAAATGAAATCAGGCAGGAGCTGGAAAATCTCATTCAAGTCCATAAAGAGCTTCAAGCTCAGTATCAGGATTTAAACTCTCAATATCAAAGAGCTAAAGAGTTTCTTAATAATAAGCAAGAAGAAATCCTATCAAAAAACCAGGAAATCTATAAAATGGAAGAAAAATCAAGGCTTTCTGAAGAAAATTATATGAAAGATAAAAAAAATTTACAAGATCAGTTAGAAAGTATAAGAAAGCAGTATAGCCAAGAAATGATAAATAGGGAAAAGGAATATTATGATAAAATAGAAGAAATATCAAAAGAATACCGCCACGAAGTTGAGAAGCAGACAGCTACGGCTGAATTTGAAATAGAGAAAATCAAAACAGAAGTACAAAAATCAAAGGAACATTTTAATCAAATGCTTAATTATAAAGAAGAGGAAATAGATGCTTTAAATGACGACAGACAAAAGCTGCAGTCCATGATCACTGAGATGGAAAGCAAAATTTTTGAGCTCAGCACAAGTTTAGACCAAACAGTCACTGAATCAAAGAGAATGAGCAGCGAGCTATCTAGATTAAAAGAAAATGGTATAGAAGCAAGTATTAGATTTGATCAAGAAACAGCGAAACTTAAGGATGAGGTTGCCATTCTTAATGATAGACTTACTCCTCGTTTTGCAAGCACGGAATCAGTTTTAAATTTTGATTCAGATTTATTTAAATTGTGATACAAAATTTATTTTTCTCCATATTTAATAGAAAAAAAAAAATGCAATTTTAAAGTGCTAATTAAAATGGAGAGTCAGAGAAGAAAGTGAATATTATAAACAAATTATTGAAAGGAGAGAAACAGAAATTATCCAAATCAAAGACAGATTTGAAGACAGATTAAAGAAAAGGGTCATGATTTTCCAAGAAAAAACTAGCACTTGGAAAGAAAAAATCAGACAAGAAATCGATTTTCTTCACAAATACATGATAGATCTCAGCAGCCCTTCTCAAAAAGATAAAACTTTTGGCCTTCTTGAAAGACTCGAAAAAATAGTTAGTTCGATGATTAATTAATCTAAAATTCCAATATTTCTTAAAAATTCCCAAACTTAACTGAATTAAAATTCATTTAGTTAGCTATAGCTGGTCTATATGGATAAATGAATACTCTGACAAGCTTTCCAATCGCTTGTGAAGGAAGATTATGGGCAAACCTTGCTCTAACAACTCCATTAGTTCCATGGGCCGCAATAACTTTTCCTTGAATGCTTCTGTATTTGGTTTGTTTGTTCTTTTTGGTTTGTGCAGTGCGAGCTCTATAAACGTAGGCGACTCTCTTTCCAATGTACCATTTGGCGTCTTCTTTTGTCTTTACACCTTCCACTCTTAGTAATGATTGATTCTCGTTTTGGAGGGTAATTCCTCTTCTATATCCGAGAAATACAGCCCTGCTATAGAGACGATCAAGGTTCTTTACCATATTTATGACCATATGAGTGGTATAAAATATGCCACCAAAGGTAGACGCTACGTCCACAGAAGCAAGATACGGTAAGAACTAGTTAGTCTTTCTCAAATCTGTTGGTGGTGAAGTCGGAGCTGCAGCATCTCTCGCCCCTAAAGTAGGGCCTCTTGGTCTTTCCCCAAAGAAAATCGGTGATGATATCAAGGCTGCAACTGAAGCTTGGAAAGGAATCAAGGTTATGGTCAAGCTTACCATTATTAATAGACAAGCCACCGTTGAAGTCGTCCCTTCTGCTTCCGCTTTGGTGATTAAAGAGCTTGCAGAACCTCCTAGAGATAGAAAAAAGACCAAAAACATCAAACACAATGGAAATCTCAGCTGGGACCAAATCAGAAATATCGCAAAAATCATGAGACCAAGAAGCGGGGCTAAGACCTTTGAAGGAACACTCAGAGAAATTGTAGGGACCTGCGTATCTGTCGGCTGCACAGTTGAGAAGAAGACTCCTAAAGAAATCATTCAGATGATTGAAGGTGGAGAACTAAACGTTAGTGAGCCTTAATTTATTTCGTTCTTATTATTTTTGTTTAAAATGGAAAGGATTCCTCCTAACTCACCGCTTTGCAAATAAAACTATTGGAAAATTCTATTTTTTGAGAAGCCTACCCTCTGTGAACAAAAAATTTTTTGATATATAAATAATAATTATGATAAGGCTCATTTTAAATAGCTTGTATTCTAAACATAAATTTATAAATTTTACTTACTCCCCCCCCCCCTCCGTGAGCGAACAAAACCATTAGAAAAATCGCCATTTTTTGACCAAAAACCCACCCTCCGTGAGTGAACAAAAATTTTTTTAATAGAAAAAATTTTAATGGAAAAAAATTTTGATATATAAGTGATAATTAGTATAATGAAATCTAGAGCTAATTCTGTTTAATTTTAAACAAATTGCGTTTTAAAACATAAATTTTGCAAATTAAATTAATATTTGCTTCCCAATTTTTGCAAATTAGGATTTTTTTTAAATTTCGAAAAAAATATTTTTTTTTATAAAATTTATATATAAATTTTTTTTAAAAAAAAAAAATTAACCCCCCTCCGTGAGCGAACAAAATTTTTTTGTTCGCTCACGGAGGGGGGGGGGGGGAGTTACCAGATTCTTTTAAAAAACAAAAATAAAAACCCATCCATGAACAAGCAAATTATTTTAAACTCTCAAGGTAGAGGAGGGAGCAAGCTCTTGCTCATCTTTAACTTAGAAGGAGCCTTGTGCAAGCGGATATATTCAGCCCCTGCAAGCATAACAAATACAGATCCAAGTCCAAAGCTGCTTTTAAGAAATGATTTAGATGGGTTTTTGAGGTGAATGTTCATAAAAAACAAAATCTTTTTTAAAGTTGGTGTCTGGACTGATACCACCTCAGAAGCTACTGAAAGCCTCGTAGGGACTGTTTTTGGAAGATTTTCTGGAGGTCTGCTGTTCAAATATGCATCGCCAGCTGAGCAAGGACTAAAAGACTTGCAAAGAGTGTGGTACAACTATCCGATGTTCAACGATACTACCACGGTCTATATAGACTATAAAGATTCCGTCGTCCAGAAAAAAAATCAATTACTTCTCAAAGAATTTGACGACGACAAAACCTTATATATGCTTCAGGACTATTTTAGGTTCTTTTCTTATCAATATCATTTTAAGAAAATTCACTCACTTACAGATTTCATGATAAAAACTCCTTTTATTATGTTTATGAACGAGTCTGACAAAAAAGCTCCAGAAAATTATACAGAAAATTCTAAATTTAGGAACTTTACTTTATAATCTCTTTAGCTAATATTTAAATGGACTGAAAATTTAACAATGGAAAGAAGCAAGATTATGTTAAACCCAGAAGCTCGGATTCTTCAGCTGAATAAGACTGCTATGGGTTTATTAGGTAATGATAAAAATGCTCTTAAATATTTACAAAAAGCAGAAAAAATTCTCCTTGATGGCGATGCTCCAGAAATTTTAAAAATGAGCAACAGACTGAGATTGATGGCAACTACTTATAATAATTATGGATGCTACTACAAAACAATGAAGCAGCCAAATGCAGCTTTGTATTATCTTAAAAAAACTCTAAAACTTGAAGCCCAAGCATTTGCAGATCCTGTTGCTATAGCATCTACCCAGCTTAACATCTGTGCCATCTATTCTCAATTAGGAAAGCACGATATCGCTATAAGTTATGCAAAACAATCATTGAATTTGCTTTCAAAATTTGAAGAGTCTGATGAAATTTTCCCTGAAAATTCTTATTCAACGCTCGCAGTTTGCTATTTTAATATAGGGGCTGAGCTTGAATTTATGAGGAGATTTGATGATGCTATAAAGTATTATCAGAGCGGCTATAGGATCGCAATTTCTCATCTTGGGGCTTCTCATGAGCTGACTAGGAGATTATATTCTTCAATGAGTCAGTTAGGAGAAAAAAACGAAACTTTAATCAGATTGAAATCGCAGAGACAAGTCCAAAGATCGCTTGGAAGAATTTCTCATATCGAAATCAGGGCGAAGTCTGCAATAAAAGAGAGGATGGATACGACTATGAGTGTTGCTCCAAAAGAAAAAAGATTAAGAATACATACAGCTAACAGCAGGCCAAGATCAAAAAGCCACCCAAAAAGAAATTTAAATAAAAGCTGTAGCATTGACTCAAGAGCTTATACACTAGCAAGCACCCCCCATTTGGACTCAAAAACCCCTGAACTCGAGTATGAGAAATTAAAGCAATATCTCAACTCCTCAAAATATCTTAACAGCAGCATTGTATAAGTGTATATTTAATCACCATATTTTTAAATAAGTTTCAGTAGAACAAATAAACTAATGAATCAAACTTTTTCTGAAGGAACACTATTATATATATCAAAATCGCCAGCCCATCAGCAAGCATCCTCATTAGTCGAAACCCCAAAATCAAAAAATATAATTTACAACTATTTAACAAAAGGTCATACAAAATTTCAACTTAGAAACACCCCTGATTTGAGAAATATCCCTGTTTCACAGGTAAAAAGGAAACTAAAGGATCCTAAAGACATTGTAAGAGAAAATATTACAGCAGATATTGATGAGGAAGCAAACATAGTAAGGCATCGAACAAACTTGGTTAAGTCTCGTATTAATCATGATATAACCCGACAAAGGCTGAAGTTTTTAAGACCGCCTTCAGAGATGTTTGACCCACCGCTTAATACAACAACTATAGAAGGACAAAATTCAATGGATGACCTCCAAAAAGAACTTTATGTCTCAATTGGCACCATAGAGCCAGAGTCTTTATTTAAAATGCCGACAGATTTAAAGGAACTGAAAATACAAATCAAGCCTGGAGACCTTTTACTGAATTTAGAAGAGTCAATTGATGCTTTGGAAGTAATGGGAGACGAAGAAATACCAAAAGAGTTTATTTTGAATGGAATTTCAAAAAAATCATACAAAAATACTCTTCCTAAACTAGGAGGCCCTTCTAGCAGAAAAGACGTAGAATTGTTAGGAGAATGGCTTGATACAATGCTGACTCCCCCCCCCCTCCGTGAGTGAACAAAAACATTTAGAAAAATCCCTATTTTTTGCCCAAAAACCCACCCTCCGTGAACAAAAATTTTTTTAATAGAAAAATTTTTTATGGAAAAAAATTTTGATATATAAATGATAATTAGTATAATGAAATCTAGAGCTAATTCTGTTTAATTTTGAACGAATTGGTTTTTAAAACATAAATTTTATAAATTAAATTAATACTTGCTTTCCAATTTTCGCGAATTAGGATTTTTTGAATTTCGAAAAAAAAATATTTTATAAAATTTATATATAAATTTTTTAAAAAAAAAAAAAATTAACCTCCGTAAGTGAACAAAAATTTTTTTGTTCACTCACGGAGGGGGGGGAGTGAGGAAAATTTACGAGGATAAAAACCAAAACCCAGCAGAAATGTTTGAAAATACACAAATTGTATACACGATCTGTTTAAAAGAGCTGATTAGGCAGGTAAGCATGCACTGTATACAGAGAGGAGAACTGATCGAAAGAGTGTGAAAAGTTTATTTTTCTCTTATGCTGAAGGCAATTAGAATTTACCAAACATCAAAAATCCAATATCATAACAAATCTCTTACTCCCCCCCCCTCCGTGAGTGAACAAAACCATTAGAAAAATCCCTATTTTTTGCCCAAAAACCCACCCTTCGTGAACAAAAATTTTTTTAATAGAAAAATTTTTTATGGAAAAAAAATTTGATATATAAATGATAAATTATTATAATGAAATCTAGAGCTAATTCTGTTTATTTTTAAACGAATTGCTTTTTGAAACATAAATTTTGCAAATTGAATTAATATTTGCTTTCAAATTTTTGCGAATTAGGATTTTTTTAAATTTCGAAAAAAATATTTTTTATAATATTTTAAATATAAATTTTTTAAAAAACAAAAATTAATCCCCCTCCGTGAGTGAACAAAATTTTTTTGTTCACTCACGGAGGGGGGGGGGGGAGTTAATGCCATTAAAAGCAGCCAAAAAAAATTTATCCAAAAAAATAATGACTTGACTGGGCAGTTGCAATTTCTGCATAATGAGCTTGATGAAGCAAAAAAAGAAATTGAGGACCAAAGGAAAATAATAGAAAAAATGACTTTCAAAGAAAAAAAGTACAAAAATAGGATAAAGATATTGCAAGCCCAATATGAGAAAAATAAAGTCAGATTACTGAGGTTGGAAGACACAAATAAAAATTTAAATTATCTTATTGATCAAGTCCTTGAAGACTTAATCTCATCTCTTTAGTAAATTGATTTTTAGAAAGTTCCTATTGGAAATAAATTGGATTTTCATTATAAGTTTATATTTTATTAGGCAAGCTGCTTAAAATTTGATATAATAACCAAGAAATTTCATTATAATAATTACCATTTTTTATCATAAAAAAATTTATTTGCACAAACATTCCAAAAATTTTTCTAGCTCATAGAGTGGAAGGGTTAGAAACTGAAGCTCCTGGGATTAAAAAAGTGCAATATAAAAATAAAATACGATTCAGAGAGCTAAGCAAGCTGATTTTAAGTGATCCACTGCTTCAAGCGCTAGGAGAAATAAAAGAAGAAGAGGTCGGCAAAACTACTACTGACGAAATTGAGCTTGAAAACAAAGTATTCATGCAAGAGCTTCAAGACAGAATGGAAGAAACTGCTGAAGAAATGAAAGACATTGCAGTCGACACATCCGATTTTTTTACTTTTGTTCCCAAAGATTCTCAAACTGATTATGAAGACTTCCCTATCCCGCTCGTAGACATTGACAAAGTCTCACAAAACAACCATTTACTCAAAGAAGCAGAACAACTTCTTATAAGTTTAAACACAGCCGAAGCAGAAGATTCCCCAGCACAAGCAAATGACTGGTTTCAAGACAAAATAGGCGAAGATTCAGACGAAGAAATAGACGAGTTATTTGACTATGCCAACAAAAGAGCTGAAAAAGTCATTGAAATTGATGATGATTTTGTGGAATTATTATGAGACGAAACAAGTTTAGAAAAAGCACGAGAATTACTAAAAAATAAATTTATCTCAAATCAAGGTGAAACTCAGCAGATATTGAAAAGTGTCATGACGAAATATATGTCTAATCATCAATTTACCAAAAGCCTGCAAGAAACTATGAAAAAACTGAAAATAAAGCTGTTTCAGAAAATCAAAAGAGAAAGGCAGCTAGAAGAAGAAATAAAAATTCTCCAAAATGCGGAGGATGATACAGATGAGACTCCAAAAATAATAAGACCTGCAAGGAAACGTAGAAGCACACAGCTGTTGAAAGCACCGCCTCCTAGATTTATGCAGAGGGCAACAAAGGTAAAAGAAGTTGTCGCGAAAAAGAATACTGAAGCAAAAGAATTTAGCCTTGGCAATAAAGTGGTTTTATTTAAAAAAGATGATCTCTCTCCAGCTACCAAGATATTTGAAAAAATTGTCCAGGGCAAGCTAAAAATAAAAGTCACTGTTACCAAAAAGAGCTTAGCCAAGCAGCTTTCTATTATAATTGCAGATTACAGGACTCAAAGCAAAGAAAGTACAGCTGTTAGAACTCAGGATTTATATTTATTTTTATATGATTATTTTACGACTAAGCATGGACTTAAAGGAGTGGCTGAAAGAAAATTTGTCCAGCTAGTGATGGCTTGTGAAAGGCATAAAGACAACCCTCATATAAATTTATTTGCAAGATTTCTAGGTATTTTTGATCCTTTAACAATTGAGGATTTCAGGTTTTATATTGAGGTTTTAGAAGCATTGTATGGGAATAAATTGGGCTCTGATATTATTAATGATATTGAAGAACAAGTCCCGACAGTCAAATGTATTGATACGCTATATATAATTTTTTATAATAGACTTGAAGAAAATGAGCTGAATAATATCAAACTTGAGCTTTTAAGTATGGCAAAGCCTTGCCCAAAAGGAATTTATCCAGCTGGAGTAATAGAAAGAGCTGATTTTATTTTATTTTTGATTAAAAAATTCCAAGATTTCTTGGCGCTAAGGAGAAATTATGTAGAAGATCTGTTTAATGCAGCTGATTTAAATGGAGACGGCTACTTGCAGTTTGCAGAATTTGACTTAGTTTATCGAAATATTGAGTATAGAAATTATGATCTTGCTTCATCTAAAGAATATTTTGAGTCTTACTCTGACTTGATTGCAGAAGAAGGAGGGAAAAATGCATCAGCCATTTCATATTACAGATTCAGCATTTTATCCCTTGAAAAAAGCTTGTTTTTTATTGAAATTCAAGAAGAGTTTTTAAATGTAACTCACGAAAAAGGCATAATTGGCCATCTTGACCAGTTGAGAGGAAATGCAGATTTTATAACAAATCAAATGCTTTGGAGACTGAAAAAGTGCAATAAAATTTCTGATGTTTTTGAAGGGATTATTAATACATTGAATTCGAAATTAAAGGAAACTGATAAGCCGAGGCCTGTTTATATTGCGTTTAGACTTATGGAAGAAGAAACAAAGAGGCTGTTAATACAGTCAATTGCGAGCTCAATGCTACCTGCTGTATCTGATTTAATTAACTTGTCAAATGAAGCTCTGAATGATAAACGAAATAAGAAGGAAGAGATGCTTAGTTTAGGCTCTGGGAAATCATTTTCGAAGAAAGACTACAGCAATAAGCAGAGTGAAAGAATTAATGAATCAGATGAGGAATGGGAGGAAGATGGTGAATAATTTATATGAAAAGCTCTAAAATACATGTAATGGTTATATTATATTAAAATTAATAATTTTAATCAAAAAATTTTGAATTATTGATAACTATAAAAATTTTCTTTAAAATGCTAACTCCCCCCCCTCCGTGAGTGAACAAAACCATTAGAAAAATCCCTATTTTTTGCCCAAAAACCCACCCTCCGTGAACAAAAATTTTTTTAATAGAAAAATGTTTTATGGAAAAAAATTTTGATATATAAGTGATAATTAGTATAATGAAATCTAGAGCTAATAATGTTTAATTTTAAACGAATTGGTTTTTAAAACATAAATTTTATAAATTAAATTAATATTTGCTTTCAAATTTTCGCGAATTAGGATTTTTTTAAATTTCGAAAAAAAATATTTTTTATAAAATTTAAATATAAAATTTTTTTAAAAAAAAAAAATTAACAACCCCTCCGTGAGTGAACAAAATTTTTTTGTTCACTCACGGAGGGGGGGGGATTAAGTCTTATGTGAAAGGCGAAATAAATGCATATTCACCTTAAGTTCTATGCCAATTGCCAATTTATTATATTTAATATTCAGATATAAATAGAAAGGGATCATTTTCAATACCAGTTAAAACCACAAACTTGAGATTAATCCTAAATCTTCTGCTTAATATTATTTTCTCACTCCTTTTTCAATTTAATAATAATAGTTGCATTTGATGCGCACAATGAAATAATAAAATGGCTTCATCGGATAAGTTCAGTCGGAGAGCTTTTCCATAATCGCAATATTTTGTTATTATTTCGTTCCGTTTTCCCAGTGAGCTTTAGTCCAGCTATTTCGGGAAAGTCTTAGCTTATAGGCTAGAAAGATATATAGGGTTTTGCAGCTGACACTTCCAAAGAGAGAAACTGGAGTTACGTAAGGAGTTAGTGTAGCCCGCCTGTGAGGCTTGAAGGTTGGACAGGAAGCCAGCGGCATCGTGTAAAGCTTAGCGATGGCTGGTATAAAGAGCATTGGTGAAGATGGCTGGTTCCAGTTCAAATTTAAAAGGGTGGGCCCATGCCTAAATCATCCTGCAGGATCTAAGTAAGACTCTCACAATGAAAGATATTGATCTTCAGTCAGCAGATAACGATCCTCTCCGAGCTCAAATTTTTCCAATCGATACAGAAAGTATTTCAAATGCTCAATCTTCATCTCTTGATTCCGGACCAGAAGGGTCTCCTCCTACCTCTAACTTCACTTTTCTTTCTGGTGAACGATCAATTCTCTATCACTCCAACCGATCAAGCAATACCAGCTTACAGTGTATAATTGTTATTAACCCACAATGCGTCATACTAGGCCAAATGTGTGTGACGAATTTTAGGGTAAAAATAATTTAGATTATAATTGAGCCCTTAGAGGCTTCTTGATGTTACGAAAACAAATACCGTATGGAATATTTCGAAATCCCTTTAATGATGATACAAAGACTCGAAAGGCCTTCTGATAAAAACTATTGCATGCTCGACATCAGCACAAAAGATGGGAGAAATATTAGGATTGGTGTTACTCATCAAGCCCAGCATGAATTTAACCTTTTTACTGTGCTGTATTCGTACACCTTTCCACAAACGCTTGTCAGTAGGTTCGCTTTTCTGCATAGAGACAATGGACCGGAAGATGGGTGGAAAATTTATAATTTTGTGAATGACTTTGCAAGAATTGGGATAAATCCGTCAAAGCCGGAATCTAAGTGAGCGTTTTTGGATAACTCGAACTGGGAATATTGTGAAACTTATCCACAGACTGTTGTAGTGCCGAAAGAGCTGAGTAGTAATGATATTAAAGCATCCGCGAATTTCAGAAGCAAAAATAGGTTTCCAGCATTAGCGTGGGCAAATTCTAGAAATGGGGCTACACTATGACGATGTAGCCAGCCGAAGACTGGGATAAGGACTTCAATTTCAAGGTGCTTAGAAGATGAAGTTTTCTTAACTCCCAACCTAGTAAAATATCTATTTTTGGAAAACTAGAAGCCTTTGTTAATGAACAAAAAATTTTATAATAATACAAATTATTTTTGTTTAAACTAATTTTAATATATAATTAATATTTCAATAATTAAATCTCAAATAATTATATTTAACTTAAGACACTATGCATTATAAAAGATAAATTTTATTAAATTAGATTTTTCATCAAATATTTAGATAAAATATCCCTATTATGATTTTTTCTAAAAGAATATTAAATCCCTCCACTAGAAAAACAAAAAAATCTTGCTCGCTTACTAAGGGAAAGTAAGAATAATTTCAAAAAGCTCTGCCAGAGGACAAGGCCTACACATCTTTGATGCTCGGCCATATATGAACGCTCATGCTCAAAGAGCGATAGGTGGAGGTGTCGAAAACACGTCATACTATGAAGCTACAGAACTGCATTTCTTAGGAATTGATAACATACACATTATAAGGGAAAGTTGGCATGGAGCTTTAAATTCAAACTCAGTTAACCCATTTAAATATTTATCAGCGTTTGAAAAATCTGGATGATTAGAGCACATTTCTTTGCTTTTGCAAGGCTCAACTGCTATTACAGAAAGCCTTCAAAATGGGACATCAGCCCTTATACACTGCAGCGATGGCTGGGATAGGACTTCTCAGCTATGTTCAATAGTTCAGATATTGCAGGATCCTCATTACCGGACCATACGAGGGTTTGCACAGGTCATTGAAAAAGACTGGGTCAGCTTTGGTCATCAGTTTGATACCAGACTTGGTCATGCCAATCCTAACTCAAACGACGAAAAGCGATCTCCTATTTTTATCCAATTTTTAGACTGTATTTATCAGCTTGGCTGCCAGTTTCCCACACATTTTGAATTTAATAATAAATTTCTACACGATTTGGCTGAGTTTGCCCATTCTTGTAGATTTGGCACTTTTATGTGTAATAATATGAAGGAAAGAGTAACAGTGAACTTAGAAAGCCGGTCAACTTCAGTTTGGACCTATGTATTCGCACATCTTGATATGTACACCAACCCATATTATCAGCCAGGCCAAGAAGAAACGATAACTCCTTGCTTTTCTCCAAGGAGGCTACAAATATGGCATGAGCTGCTGTCACAGTGACAGCCTGATTACTATTATCCTGTAGGGCTACTATTGGGCCCTTCAGATCATAAAGAGGCTTTGATGAAGTCTACGTATGAAGGAATGCAAATGTATAAGGAACTAATCCAGCAAAGAGACAAAGAAATTCAAGAACTTAAAAGTCAATTAGCAAAATTGCAAGGTATCCGAGACATCGTTAGCTTTTATATAATATTCATAGTGGAAATAGAAATATTTAATTTATATTTAAATTGTTAGTTAATGCAGGAAGATATAAAGAAGCTGAGCACTTACCAGATATAGAATAAATAAGCTTTAAAATTAACCAAAAAATTATCTGCCCTCTTGCTTTTCTTTTCTTCTGGGTGATTTTGCCCACTTATGATGGTGAATTTTAACGCAGACCTCACAGCCGTCTGCTTTTTCTTCAGCAAGCTTATTGAGTCTTTCTAAGCTTTCTCGGCTTTTAGATCTCCGTTTTTTCAGTTTTTCTTGAGAAGATTTAACCTCTTCATTTTTATACTCTTTATTTGGCATATCTTTATGCAAATCTCTGCTGCGGCTTTTCCCTATAAATTCTGGAGACTTGTTGGTTGACGGGGAATAGACCAAATCTTTGCTGATCCATTGGCTATCAAAGCTGCCGTCTAAAAGGTGGGTTTCCAAAACGTCTTGGGGAGTTTCTCTTTGGGCTAAATGATTTCGAGGACTCTGCTCATTTTCATGTTTTTTAAAAGGGTTGGAAAAAATTTTTGCTTGGCTATTTTCTTCTTTGGATGATTGTTGCCAAGACTTCGAAGATGATGAGTAATGGTTAGCCATTTCAGCTAAATCAGGGGTTATACTATAAGATTTTGCCTGAGTCTTTGATTTATAGCTTGTAGATTTAAATGATGATTGAGGTCTGGAGATTTCTTTTTCTGGTTTTCTTTTCTTTCCTTTGCTCTTTTTTTCCTTCATAGTCTTAGAGTTGTTTAGGCTTTGCTTTTCTTTTGGATCATCTTTGGTATCCAATGATTTATTTTTGGAATGAAATTGATTAGCGCTTGAGCTGACTTTGTGGCCAGGTTTATGCCAAATATCATGATTTGGTGCTAATTTATCTGAAAACTCCCCTTTATCTTCTTTATAGCCTGACCCCTACTTTGGATTGGGATTGACTGATCAGATGGGGAGTTGACAAGCGAAAGTTTTCTGGCGAATCAACTCCCCAGATTACAATTCTCCAATAGCAAGAGGATTTGCCATCTGGGGAATTGACTTTACCAGCAAAAGTTGGTTCATCAACTCCCCATCTGACGTTTCCAGACCCGATCTAAAGCAGGGATAGGCTATATGACATTTATTTTCAAGCTCTTCTATTTTCTCTTCCAAAAATCTTATATATTTTCAGGAACTATCATGAGACTTTGCCATCGTCTCAATCTCCAAACATGTACCTGTTTGAAAATTTCTTACATTTTTTTCATACAGCTCTTGAAGCTCATGATATCTTGCTTTAGTTGATCTTAATTCCTCATTCAAGCTTTTAATATAATTCCCATTATTACAATATGAGCAATTCTCAGTCGACTGAGTTTGCTCTTGGAAATTTCTGTTTAATTTCTCTTGGCTTCGTTTAATTTCTTGGATTTCCCTCCTTAAATTTTCATTTTCTTGCTTTAACGCATCTTGCTTTTTTAATAGTTCACTATTATAAAACTCAAGATTTTTCACCTTCATCGGCTCCAAGTCAGCTGATTTTTTTCCTTCCAAGATTTTTACCATTGACTTCAATTTTTCATTTTCCACTTCCAACTCTGAGTATTTTAATTTTTGGCTTTCCAATTCTCTCCTCAATATATCCACATGCTCTAATGTGCTTCTTCTATTTCTGAGCTCATCAATTTCTATTGTTAAATTTCTTAAATTCGCTCCCATCAGTTTTAATTCTTCTTCAGCTTTCAGCCTTAGCATTCTTTCTTTGTGAAACGCTTCAATATATTTTTCAACGTTATCTTCAATTCGGTTATCTTTACTATTGCTTTGATTAAGTATCAGAGTTTTTATTCTTTCAATATCAAGAGGTCGAGGTATTATATCAGGTTTATCAAAGAAATGAATCGCCTTAAGCAGGTCTTCAAAGTTTTTTAATATCCTCGCTTTGGTGTCTGGGGATTTATTCAGCCTACTTATATGCTGCTTCATAATTTCGCACTGCTCCTGATAAAGAGAATCCCCTAAAGGGCTATAGCTTGACAGCCCAGAAAGCCTATTTCTCATAGGAGACTCATAAGATTTCATTCGTGATTCCTTGAGAAGCTGCTCTGACATTTAAATTTAAAATGAATTTCCAAGAAATCAGGTTATTTTGCTTATACAAATATCTATTTCAATCTAATGAGAAGGCTCATAGGATCGATTACAAATATGGCAGCGGCTAACAACGCACAGCTTTACGCCCAATTTCATGGTGCCCTAAAAGGAGCTGAACAAGGCGCAGTCGTGACTCGTTTTCCTCCAGAGCCAAGCGGATATCTACACATTGGCCACATAAAGGCTGCAATGCTGAACTTCCACTACGCCAAAATGTATGGTGGCAGAATGCTTCTGAGATTTGACGACACAAACCCAAGCAAGGAAAACGACGACTTCGTCCAAAATATCATACAAGACCTGGAGAAGCTTGAAATCTACCCTGACGCAGTTTCTCATACCTCTGATTACTTTGAATTGATGCAGGTAAAGATAAGAGAGCTGATTGCTTCTGGCCACGCTTATATGGACAATACAGATGTAGAAGTGATGAGAAAAGAAAGGTTTGATGGGGTTGAGAGCAAGTGCAGGAACCAAACTGTTGAAGAAAACTTAGCAATTTTTGACGAGTTTGTACTGGGGCATAGACCAGAATACTGTGTAAGAGCGAAAATTGATATGCAGTGCCCTAATAAGTGCATGAGAGATCCTGTGTTCTATAGGCAAAATGATATACCTCACTTGAAAACTGGGAGCAAATATAAGGTGTACCCGACTTATGACTTCGCTTGCCCAATTGTGGACTCTATTGAAGGAGTAACTCATACTTTGAGGACAAGCGAGTATAATGACAGAAATCCAATGTTTAATTGGGTTATTGGAAAGCTTAACCTAAGGCCAGTCCATATCCACGATTTCTCTAAGCTAAACCTCGTGAACACTGTTCTTAGCAAGCGAAAACTCCAGAAATTAGTTGACACTGGAGTCGTTGAAGGTTGGTTTGACCCAAGATTCCCAACAGTCCAAGGAATTCTCAGAAGAGGCCTCCAAATCAAAACTTTGAAAGAGTTCATGCTAAAGCAAGGCCACTCTAAAAATACAGTGTTTATGGACTGGTCCGATCTCTGGGCTGACAACAAAAAAGTGATTGATCCTATCGCTCCAAGATATACTGCAATTTCAGCTGAAACCCCATGTCTTATCAATCTAATAAACGGACCAGCAGAGCCATATGAAGAAGAACACCCAGTTCACGATAAAAATGCTGAGCTCGGCACTAAAAGAGTTACATACTCAAATAAAGTTTTAATAGAACTGGAAGACGCAAAAGAAATCAACCCTAACGAGAAAATCACTTTAATGAAATGGGGTAACGTCGTCATTGACTCAATACAAGAAAACCAAACAGAAACCTTCAGAGGTGTCCCACTAAAATACATCCTTGAAGGCCATCTTGTATTGGACGACAAAGATTTCAAAAAAACCAAAAAATTGACTTGGCTGTCTGCAATTGACGATAAAATCGCCCCAGCATCTTTGGTAGAGTTTGACGTTTTAATTACAAAGGCTAAGCTAGAAGAAGATGATGACTTTGATGCACTTATTAACCGTAATTCAAGGTTTGAAACCAAAGCCTTTGCAAGTTTCGATATAAAGAATCTTAGACCTGATGCAGTTATTCAGTTAGAAAGAAGAGGGTTTTATAGAGTTGATGCTCAGAGAGACTCATCGGTGCTATTTTTCATTCCTGATGGAAGGACTAAGTCAATGAGCGTTCTTGGAGGAAAAGTTGACCAAAAATTAGCGATGAAAGGAAGTGAGGCTGCACAACCATCAAAAAAACAGCAGCAAAGGCAAGAGAAGAAGGCAAAACAAAAGAAGGCTGAAGAGTCAAAAGAAGAGAGCAAGCAGGAGAAAGAGCAAATACCAGAAGTAGCAAAGAAGGTGCAAGAGTCTAAAGAAGACCAGAAGCATGAGGAGAAAGAGCAAGCAGAAGTGGCAAAGCCTCAAGAGGAGAAGAAGCAGGAATAATAAATCTAAATATCAATGACTTCTAGCACGTCTTTTCTTAATATATTTACTATCCCCTCTATCAGCAGGCAAAAATTATCTGAAAAATCCTATTTTAGCAAAAAAAACGCTCTTTATAGTAAAACAAAATTATTATATAAAATTTTTATATATAAGTTATAGCTATTAATTAGCTAACTTTGTTGAGTTTTAATAGATTGTATTCTAAAATTTGAATTCGCAAATTAAGTTAATTATTCTTTTCCATATTTTTAGTATCCCAATTTTTTGAATTTTAAAAAAAAGTTTACTATAAATTTATATATAATTTTTTTTTAATTTCCTGAGTGAGTCGTCGGGAAGTTAATATCAATCCATCAAGCCTTCCATAACATTTTTTTTCTAAATTCCGTAATTTCCATTATTTTCCCATAAATAATAAATATTTATATTCTAAAAATTATTCAATTTAATATCCTCTCAGCCGCCTTATTCACAAACCTTCTTCTCTCTTCATCTTTTTAAGCTGGCTTTAAAACAGTTTTAATCATGATATAGAAATCGCTTATTATCCGTTTTTATAAAGATGTCGAATTCAGAACCTCAATCGTTCATAGTTACCCCTGAGGAGTTAGGCCAAATGTTTGACCAAGATAACATACGAAATGGCAAAAGTCTTGAAAAATTTCAAAATTTACACGGAGTCTCAGGTCTTTGCAAAGGATTGCTCACAAGCCCTACCAAAGGTATAAGTTCCAGCCCACTTGATCTCAGCCTCCGTGAAAAATTCTACGGGAATAACCACCCTTATGTAAGAAAGCGTACCTCAATTTTAGAATTTATTTTTGACAGCCTTCAGGACACTGTTTTACAAATCCTCATAGTCGCCGCAATTATTTCCCTCGTAATCGGGATCATTGAAGACCCTACCTCTGGCTGGCTTGAAGGGGCAGCAATTTTGCTTGCTGTGTTTATTGTTGTGTGCGTAACTGCCACAAATGACTATGTAAAAAAGAAGGCCATAAATAAAATGGCATTCGGTTCGAGAGAAATTAGCTTTGCTAAATTTTCTCTCCCTCATGGAATTTTATTTATGGGGTTAGGTTTTCACTCGAGAAATTCTGGACACAGCAATAGCAGTTTAACTCTGGGGATAACCAGAGGAACTGCTTCTCAGTCCTCTCAAGATTTCGGGCTTTTACTCTCAGCACATCTCCACGGGAAGATGACCCTCAGGCGGAACACGCGCAGGAGCTGAGCCGAGACAAGGGCGACAGCATCGCGCCGGGTGAGACGTGCAGCAAGGGCTGGTGAAACAGGAGCTGATAGAAGGCTTGGCCAGGGCTGACCTGTTCCAAGATGGCTCGCCTACGTCACTAGTTTTGCCATAGGCCCTTTTGGGCTGCGGCACTAGACACCTTAAACACCAGATAATTAAGTTAAGTTAAGTAAAAGAAGGCCAGTTTATCAAGCTGAACGTAGAGACAAATCTTCATAACGTAATCGTAACTCGTGATGGGATCGAAAAAGAAATACCTGCAAAGGATATTTTGACAGGTGATCTAATTTATGTTTCGCCTGGAGAGGTCTTTTGTGTAGATGGGATATTGATTAGAGGAAATGGGCTGAGCGTAGATGAAAGCTCAATAACTGGAGAAAGCAAGCTGATGAACAAACAAGTGGTAAGGGCTGGTGATACAGACACTGACCCATTTTTGATTTCGGGAGCCAAAATAAATCAAGGGAATGGAGTCATGCTAGTATGCGCAGTTGGAAAATATTCAGTGTTAGGGAAAAACAGAAGCATGATGAACCAAGTTGAAGAAGAAGCAGAAACTCCTTTGCAGGAAAGGCTTGGAGAAATGGCGACTAATATTGGGAAGATTGGGTTTATTGCTGGGACTTTGCTGTCACTTGTGCTGATTGCTCATTTGTCGTATGATGCAATCAGACAAGAGCAATGGGGAGCTAGTGAATGGGAAGGCCTTGTGTCATCAATTATCCTCGGTATCACAATCTTGGTCGTAGCTATCCCAGAAGGTCTTCCTCTCGCTCTTACACTTGCAATGGCCTATTCCATTCTTCGCATGAAGAAAGACAATATCTTTGTAAGGCACCTAAGAGGCTGTGAAGTAATGGGCGCTTCCACAAACATTTTGTCAGACAAAACTGGCACTCTGACTCAGAATAAAATGACAGTCACCTGTGCTATGTTTTATAACCAGTTTTTCAGCGACGCTGAATGTGACGAGCTCCCAATCGAATGCAAAAAAATGATAGCCGAGTCAGTCGCCAGAAATACCACAGCTTTTATTACAACTAGAGACGATGGGAAAAGAGAGCTTGTCGGCGACAGGACTGAATGTGCCTTATTAATGATGACTAGCAAATGGAACTTAGATTATCACCTATACAGAGTCCCAGAGCAGCAGAAACTTCAATGGGCTTTTGATTCCAGAAGCAAAAGAATGACTACTGTTTATGAAATTGATAGTGGCGTCAGAGTTTATACGAAAGGAGCTGGAGAAGTTATATTGGACCAATGCTGCTATATTGCAACTTCTGCGAATCAGAAAGAAATCCTTACCCCTGAAAAGAAAGCAGAAATCAGAGAAGCGATAAGGAACTTTTCAAATGACAGCTTAAGAGTTTTAAGCATCGCTTATAATGCTACAAACTGGTCGTTACTAGGAGCTGACAGCACAGATCCAAAAGTTTCTCAAGAAGCTTGTGAAAATGGATTAGTTTTCTTAGGAATTGTAGGGATTGAAGACCCATTAAGACCAGAAGCCAGAAAATCAGTCATACAGGTCCAAAACGCAGGTGTCACAGTAAGGATGGTCACAGGCGACTCTATGGAAACTGCAGTTAAGATTGCAAGACAATGTCATATTCTTGATGATGATATTTCTGATCAAGAAATCAATGAATATGCTATGGAAGGGGCAGAATTCAGACAAAGAGTTGGAGGATTAAGAACAGTCACTGATGAAGAAGGCAAACTCCTCAATTTCCAAGTGGGAAATATGGACGCTTTTGTGGTTGTGGCTCAAAAACTCAGAGTTATTGCAAGATGCTCACCTGAAGACAAACTCTTAATGGTTATTGGCTTAAGAGCAATGGGAGAAGTTGTGGGAGTCACTGGAGATGGCTCAAACGACGCTCCAGCTTTGAAGCAAAGTGATATTGGCCTCGCTATGATGTCAGGTACTCCACTTGCTAAAGAAAGCGCTGATATCATTTTATTAGACGACAATTTTGACAGTGTTTTGAAATCAGTCAAATGGGGAAGAAATGTATATGCAAGCATTAGAAAATTCGTGCAATTCCAGCTTACGATAACAATTAAGATTTAATTATAGTGTTTAAGGTGTCTAACATCACTGCCACTAAAGAGCCTGAGCCTGAGTCAAAGTGGTTGTGTCGCAAGCATTTCCGATCTATAGATTGGCCACTACCAAATAAACCGCTGCCATCCTGATCAATGTCTCTCATCAGCGCGATACCGTCGCTCTCCCTAACTCAGCTCCGACGCGTGCCCTGAGGGTCACCTTTCTCGGTTGTGTTGAGTGGGAACCCTGAGACTTATGAATGCCTGGAGCAGCGCCCTAATCCTATACGACTAAAAGTTCAACCGCTATTCCTGTACAGAAGTTCTCGAGGTAAACCAAACCCATAATAAAATTTCATATGAGAGAAAAAATAAGCAGAGCTAATTTCACTTAAACCTAATGCCATTTTATTCATGCAATCCCAGCTTACAGTAAACCTTGTCGCTCTCATTATGAGCATCGTTGGTGCTTTAACTGTTGAAGAGTCTCCATTAACAGCTGTCCAAATGCTCTGGGTCAACCTAATTATGGACTCAATGGCTGCACTCGCACTGGCAACTGAGCCTCCTACAGACGGTTTACTTTCCTCAAAGCCTTTTGGCAGAAACAATGAGTCAATAATAACCCCTGACATGTACATAACAGTGGTTTCCCAAGCAATTTATCAAATTGCTGTCCTTATGATCATTTTATTCTTACTCCCCCCCCTCCGTGAGTGAACAAAAAAATTTTGTTCACTCACGGAGGGGGGGGCAATTAAATTTTTTTTGTTTTAAAAAATTTATATATAAATTTTATAAAAAATATTTTTTTTCGAAATTTAAAAAAATCCTAATTCGCAAAAATTGGAAAGCAAAAATTAATTTAATTATAAAATTTATGTTTTAAAAACCAATTCGTTCAAAATTAAATAGAATTAGCTCTAGATTTCATTATACTAATTATCATTTATATATCAAAATTTTTTTCCATAAAAAATTTTTGTTCACGGAGGGTGGGTTTTTGGGCAAAAAAATAGCGATTTTTCTAATGGTTTTATTCACTCACGGGGGGGGGAGTTAGGCCCTATGATCTTCAATATTGAATATGGATGGGGAAATGAGGAGTGGACTGAGGAAAACGGGATGCATTTCACAATATTTTTCCATGTATTCGTCATGATGCAAGTTTTCAATGAAATTAACTGCAGAAAACTCTCATTAAATGAGTGGAACTTGTTCAAAGGGTTCTTCAACAACTGGATGTTTGTTGGCATTATTGTGTTTACCATTGCTTTCCAGATGATTCTGGTTCAGTTTGGAGGGCAAACTCTTAAATGCTCAGCGCTGAGCCTGGAATTTCATGCTATTTGTATAGCAATAGGTGCAGCTTGTTTAATAGTTGCTTTAATTGTGAGAATGATTGTTTGTTTAATTAGAAAGTCGAAGAAAAGAGATGAAGATCTTGAAACTGTGGGATTGCTAGCTTAGATAATTAATAACACTTTTTTCTAATAAATAGATTGCGCAATTGAATCACTATTTTAAGGTATGATAGGGAAATTAAAGCTTGGGTACTTTAGAGCTTTTTCCCAAATGCTCATCAAGAACGCACAAAGTCTTAATTGCTGAATTTTGAAGGAGAATTTAGATTCAACACTTTATTTTACAGTGATAATAAAACCAAAATCTATTCGTAAAATTTTATTTGTAAATATTGAATTTAATCTTTCTCTTCGAGGCTGATAAGCATCTCACTCCCCTCCTTGACAAACAAAAAATTTTGTTCGCTTACGAAGGCGATTCATTTTTTTTAAAAACAATTATATAAATTTTATAGTAAAATTTTCTTTTTCCAAATTTAAAAAATTTCAATTTGCAAAAAATTTGTAAAATTTATGTTTTAAAATGCAATTTACTCGAAATTAAAAAGAATTAGCTTGAGATTTCTTATACTAATTAAACTTATATGTCATTTTTTTGTTTTTGGGCAAAAATAGGAATTTTTCCAATGGTTTTGTTTGCTCACGGAGGGCGAGTCAGGCTTTTTTTGTGGAACTCCAAACTTCTTCCTCATGATGCAAAAGAGAATTATCGCAATTGTTAATAAAATTGCAAATACAAAACCTAAAAATACTCCGAGTTCTGCATTAGTATATGCTTCAGCTCTATTTATATATGCTAAAAATAGAATAAGTGTCAATGACTTTAAGCTTGACATTTTATAATTATAGGAAATAATGTAAGTAAAATAAATAGAAAATTTATATTAAAATGTAATTATTAAAACCTAAAATAGTAATTAAGAAATGAATGGATAATTTTTCTATGGTTCATTTAAGGCAAGGAAAGAGAAATTTTTCTGTCTGGAAAAGAAGATCTAAAATATTGTTATATCTAATTTGAGAAAAGAAATAAGATGCTAATTATTAATTCTTTATAATTTTAGTCTTAGTCAAAACTCTTTTTGCATTACTGATCAGCAAACTTGTCTGCTATTAGTTCAATGCATTATCCTAACCCAAATAAATCTATTTGAAATATAATTAATCTTAATCTCCTGATACGATTGCTAATTTCTGATATATAGGCATTCATATTCAGTAAAAAATTCAGTCAATTTTCCATTTCTATTATTTTATATTACCATAACCAAATAAGTATTAAAAGCTGCCATAGACAATTAACTAGCCTACAATACAATTTAACATTAAAAATCCCCCAAAATTAAAACGCTCCCCAACTTTCTCGAATTAAATTTTATTTTGCATTTTTTATGTTACATCTGAAATTCCCTATTTAAAAAACGGACTTCCAGAAACTGTCATGGTTCTTAATTTTTTGAAATTCCATATTGGTTTATAATCTTTTTATATATGGGTAATATTTGTGGCCATTCCATAGAAAAAACCTCTCGTCCAAAATCCTCTTCTTATTTAAAATACGTTGAAAATCCAATCGTCCATGACTTCAGGATCCTTAGACCCTTAGGTCAAGGAGGATTCGGGAAAGTGTTCCTGGTCGAGCAACGCAGCACTAAACAGACCTACGCATTAAAATGCATAGAAAAACTTATGCTTAAACAAAAACATTGTCAAAATAAAGCTGTGATGGAGCGAAACATCCTCCGCGATGTGGAGAGTCCATTCATAGTAAACCTTCACTATTCATTTCAAACAGCTTCCAAGCTCTGTTTGGTCATGGACTACATGGAGGGAGGGACTCTATTTTCGCTTTTGCAAAAGCAGAGAAAAATTAGTGAAGACCAAGCCCGATATTTTGCTGCACAAATTGTCCTTGGGCTAGAAGCCCTCCATGACCATGATATCGTGCATAGAGACATCAAGCCTGAAAACATTCTTTTAGATGAGCACGGACACGTTAAATTGACTGATTTTAATGTGTCGGATAAAGCAAGCTCCAATTCAAGCTCATACTCAGGGACAATAGAATATATACCCCCTGAAGTAATTAATCACGATATACATAACAAACAAGTTGATTATTGGGGGTTAGGAGTTGTTTTGTATGAAATGCTTATGGGGTTGCCGCCTTTTGTAGCCCTGAATAAGAAACTGCTTGTCGAGAAAATTCTGACAGAGGAACCAAGGTTTGGTTCAAGTGTGTCTGAAGACGCAAAAGATCTGATTTTGCGATTACTGAAAAAAGACCCAAAGGAGAGACCAAGCCAAATTTCTGAAATAAAATCACACAAATTTTTCAGCGGTTTGGATTGGGATCATTTGTTGGAAAAAAGCTGGGAGGTCCCAACTAATTCTAAGGATTTAGTGAGGACGGCTTATATCAGCGAAATTTCGAACGATGAAGATGAAGTTGATGATCCGGAATTCGATTACGATGACTTTGACTATTGCCGAACACAAGAGGTCCTTAAGGGCCTCTAAACGCCTTATATATAGTAATTTAACCGATAACTCACTAATTTTGGCTTAATTAATTAATATTTTTTAAATCCTAGGCTCTGAAATATATTTAATGCAGGCTTCAACAACAGAGAATTTAGAGCAAAAATTAATTGAAGAAAACGAGAAGCTCCTAAAGCAATTATACGACATACAAGAGTCAATTGACCAACAAAATTCAATGGCTGAAGCGATTGAGAATGACACAAAAAAATTAAAACTAATGCTGCCTTTTGCTCAACTTTTTACAAATTGCTCTGTAAAAGAGCCTTCAGAACCTGTTAAATATGCGAGAAATATTCTTAATGAACTGAAAAGAATCCGTGAAGCTATTGCAGAGGAATCTGAGGATATACAGAAGCTTGAAAATGAAAAAGCAAGCTTAAAAGAATATGAAGCCCAGCTCAATAAAGACTTGGAGCCTTTTCAAGAGAAGCCAGTAGGAAATATCTCTCCAAGGAAAACTATTATGCAAGAAATCAAAGAAAGCAAGAAGAAAACTGTGAAGGGCTACAATTACAAGACAATTCATGGTAATAAAACATAAATGAGATTTTTAGAATAACTATTTGCAATTAGATGCCAATATTTTTCATTTTATCTGTTAAAGATATTAAAAGACCTTTTTTCATCTTTAATAACAGGAGCACTCTGAATTTCAACAATTGCATATTTTTTCAATATAAATAAAATGGCATTTGGCTCCAGAGAAATTTAGATTTGCTAATTTTTTCTTCCTCATGGAATTTTATTATGGGATTGGGCTTTTTCTTGGAGAACTTCTAAGCAGTAACAGCGGTTCAACTTTGGTCATAAAGCCAGTAAACTGTTCCAAGAGTGTCAAGAGGCTTAAAGCTTTTCCTTTCATCACGCCCCGAGAAAGGCAACCCTCAAGCGGAGCATGCGCAGGAGCTGAGTATGGCAAAGCAAATGAAACTCACCTCTTGAGGCTTTCTGGCAGTGTGAAGGTGTAACTTGTTTAGGATAGTCAGTCTCAAATATGGCGTGGCATCAGAATCTCCGTGACTTCACTACTTGGAGTTAAAAGGGTGGGCTGCAGCCTAGTCACTTACTAATGAAGATAGCACTTTAAGCAATAATTCCCCCATCCGTGAGCAGTAAAAAAAAATATTGTACACTCACAGAGGAGTTTGTTTTTTTAAAAATTTATATTATAGAATTTATTTTTTCAAACTTTAAAAAAATCTCAGTTCGATATAATTTTAAAGCAAATATTGATTGAATTTATCAAGTTTATGCTTTAAAATGGGTATTATGACGGAGGAGTGGTAAGTAATATAAGACTAAGACAATTGCATATTTTTCAACAAATATTATGATTGAAGTGATTAGTTCACTTGCTATCGATAAAACCAGCACTAGCGTGACCGAATCAATTGAAGCTTCGTCTTCAGATTTTGATAAGTTGCACGCAAATAAATAAAGCAGCAAAATCACAAGTTTGTAAATCGCATTTATGATAAGCAGCGCAGAATATAGCTTAAGATATTCTTTAATTCCTGACTTCTTAGACCCATAGAAACCGACAAAGCTCATCACAAACGTTAAAGTCCCTGATGTCAAAAACGAGTTAGTAAGCCACCTATAGCTAGTATTTTCTGTAGTAATTACTAGAGTTGCTCCACAGGCCATAACTGCAAGTCCAAAAAACCCTGATACAAGTGCCATGATCATAGCCATGCTTTGTAGTCTTTCCATGCTTTTAAAAGACAATCGTATCACGCACCTCCTTTTCCTTTGATTTTCTCGATGATTTTCAATTTCTCCAATAATCATGTTGATTACAAAAAGGATATCAGTTTCAGGAAACTCTATGTATTTGCATCCGTTTTGCTCTGCTTGGATTTTTGCTTCAATGGCTGATATTTTTCTCTCCTCTGAATCACTATTGCAGCCAACTAGGATTTTTGGAATGGGTATATTTGGGAGCATAGAAAGAGTATTCGGTAATGAGTTTTCAGCAGCTAGATCAAAAAGGACCAATGCACCATCCTTTTCGTCGATATCTTCAGGAATTACATATGCTTCAGCTTTATCTAGCACCACGTCATAAGGCAGCTCCATTCTCTTTGAGTTTTTATCGTAGCAAAGCTTAAATTTGGTTTTGCCAGCTCCTTTTCCGCCTAAAAGTATAATTTCGAGTGCTTGCCTGTATTCCATTTATCTATTATTATTATTGTATTAAAATGCAATTATAAAATAACACATAATTATGGATATAATTAAGAAGTTATAAATATGGATATTAAAGAAATTGTTAAAACTGTCAGAGTACCATTAATTTCAAGGTGTGGAAAAACCTTAACTTTTTCTCAATCTCACAAATATGGAAAAAGTAAGGCGCATCATCTTCAGAAATCGTTTAGTCATAGTGATTTGAAAAAAGAATTGGTTCGAGTAAGAACAGAAATGAGACTCTTGGAGAAAGAAAACTCGGAGAGAGGCGAAATGACGTCATCTTTTAAATGTCCGTCGAGAAATCAAAGAGAAAGGGTATTTTCAAGCAAGAATGAAGAAATTCCTCCAGCTACCAAGTATAATCCCCTTTTTACGCTTGTTAAGCCTAAAGTAAAAGGAGGATACTTAGGGCGGCCAAAAAGTGCAAGTCCCAAAAAGCAAAGAATAAATTTGCCTATCTGCCTAAATCATGAATTAGACTGCAAATATCCTATAAAGCCCGCAATAAAATCTTATTCTATTGCAAATGGGATGGAATTGAGCGAATATGAAAACTTAATTCAAAAGGTTTCGAGAATAAAAAAACATAGAACACCAGAAACTCAAAAACTGCATACCCCAGAAGTAAATTTCAACAAGCAAATTGAAAGAAAATATATCCCATTAAATTTAGTACACGAATCTCGGTTTGAGCTTAAAAGAGATCCATTTCCAAGAAATTCTTCTCCAAACTTTGCAAAATCATTAGAAAGGAAACAATCTGTTGCCAAAGATGATTTTAGGGCTTATCAGCCTAAGTTTGAAGCCATCTATAAAAAAACAACCCAAGATATCGACTTCAGCAAGATGAGCCCTAGGCTCCCAACTTTTGACATGAAATCAAAAAACTTTGATTATACTGTGTCAACAGCAATTACTAATTAAAATAATGTATAAGTTATGAAAGGAAAGCTCTTTTTGTTTTTATAAAGCTATAAGCCATCAGCATTACATTCAAACTGATGACTACAATAGCGAGTATCATGCCTTCTTTCATTTCAAAATTTTCGCTTTTAAACCTTTGACTGCTGGTTGATTTAATATCTCCAAATTTTCCCACACCAAGATATATTACATATCCTAGAGAATACCAAAAAGTTGGCATAATCAGAAATACCCACATAACTCTGAATCGGAAAGCAGACCTGTTAAAAGCTAAAAAGTGAAAGAAAATACAAGCAGCGATTGATATTAATGTAGCAATTCCTGAAAATACCATAACAGCTCCAGCACTTTGGAAATCATCAATATAGTCACAAAAATCGGGGCAACTTCCTTCTATTAGGCCTTTTAAAGATCCGCAAGCGTCACTTTTGACGTCGCTAATGGAATTCTCATTTTGGAGGTTTTCGAAATCTGTAAATGTGCCTGCGTAGATTAATCCGAAATCCCACCAGCAGTAAGAAAACCATCTATTGAGTGCAAGATCAACTATTATGAGAATAAATATAATTGCAGAGGCTGAAATGTAAATTATGTGATGGTATTTGGCAACTTTTGGCTTCTCAAACTGTTCTTCACGATACATTTTATTATTTTAGATTGTTCAACATATAGATTGTAAAATTGTTAATTTTTTAATTAATATATCAAACATATAATCTATTCTAAGGGTGTTTAGTTTTATTATAGGCTAATATAAATAATAAAAATTGTCATTTGAATTGCTCAAAAATGCTTTTTACATGATTTATTGATGCATAGATATCATAGTAATATTTTAAAATGCCAAAGAAACATTAGATTGCCTTGTGAATTTGCTTTTCAAGGAACTTTAGCTATCAAAAAAAGCAATTCTTAGGTCATAAATCTAAACAATATTAAACGTTTAATTTAGATAAAATATTAAATACAACAATAAGCACCTTAGATTTTTGATTGTTGTAAATAACCAAATTATTGTCATTTATAAGATTTTATTATCTCTGATCTGCTTCGAAAATATGTCCCGAGTTATCAAAAGCATATATTCATAATGCAATAAATTATCAGTTACCAATATGAGGTTTGTCAACAATTTATCATGGGCATTTCACGTAAATGGTTCAACTCTTTCAGGCGCTCTCGATGTAATAGTTATCGAGCATGAAGACGGCACTCTCCATTGCACTCCATTTCATGTTATTTTTGGGAAATTCAAAGTTCTAAAGAGCAGGGCAAAAATTGTAAAAATCACTGTTAATGGTGTTTTGACTGATATCACAATGAAATTAAATGACAAAGGAAAAGCATATTTTGAAGAAAAAAGCACTAATGAAAATTTCCCAGAAGAAGAGAAAAATTATTCACAAAAAAGAGTATCAAGAAATACGCTTTGGGCAAAAGAAAGCTTCCATGGAAATGCTCATCGCTCTAAATCTAATTCAAAGGCAGCACCTCTTGATAAGAAAAATAATGCTGAAATACAAAATGCAATTGAACAAAGAATTGAGCTATCTTTGTGTGGTGATGAATTTTTAGGGAGCGATAGCCCTGAAAGTGCATTTGAACAATATAAGGTATCTTTTAAGAATTTTGAAAAAAATTTATATGATTTTCTAACTCCCTTTTTAAATTTTTTTGGGGGAAATTTAGCCTTTAAATTGTATTTAGGATTAATGATTGCTTAATTTTTATCATCAAGTCGCCTATTGGTTTTCCTCTGAGCCTTGGAGTTTGTGTGTTTTTTGCAGGGGTGAATTAAGCAATGAACAATTGATATTAAAAATTGATGGAGAGTTTCACTCTCGAGAAACAGGGATCCCATTATTATATTCAATAATATCATCATACGAACTAGAAGACAATTTTGAGCATTTATCTTTAGAAACTGATAAATCTCCTCAATTTATTAAAACTTATGTGCTTGACTCAAATCGACTGCATCAGCTTGGACTGAGATATGGTGCCAATGACGTAGAATACACAGTCTTTAGCCGACTTCAAGGAAAAAGGACTTTGAAATGCAAATTTTATTTATGGCCTTATACAAGCAAAATTATAGTCTCAGATATAGATGGGACTATCACCAAATCTGATTTTTTAGGAATTGTATTGCCAGCTATTGGGGTTGATTGAACTCGGCCAGGAGTTGTCGAGCTTTATAGGTCACTTTCAGAAAAAGGCTATAAAATCATTTATTTATCTTCTAGAGCAATCGGTCAAGTAAAATCAACTAGACAGTTACTAACTTCAATTACGCAAGAAAATCAAGTTTTGCCTGAAGGACCTGTAATAGTTTCCCCCGATGCTGTATTCACTTCTCTAGTTCGGGAACTTATTAAACATGTCCCTCATATTTTTAAAGCAAATGCGCTCAAGCAAGTGCTAGATCTTTTTCCTCCTGATACACAACCATTTTTTGCAGGATTTGGCAATAAGCTTACAGACTCAATCGCATATCGCCAAATAGATATCCCTATAGAAAATATTTTTATTTTCAATGATCATGGTATCGTTACTCCTGGCTCAGGGGTTTCAATCCATTCATTTGATGAAATTAATAACTACATTTCTGCAGTGTAGCCAATTGTTAAATAATAATTAAAAATAATTTCTAAAATATTGGGAAGGTTGGCAGCATATTGATGCCACAGATTCCGCTTCCAGCGACGTTTGCTATTCTAATATAGCCTTCTTCACCCCATCAATTGCCCCAAGAATTTCTCACGATTCAATATGGTGTGGCATCTGTGTTATTATAGCCCACAATTACCACAGCATGATTAAGGCCAGTCCCGCAGTCTTCAGTTAATATCCCGCTGTGATAAAATTGCCATATTTTAGGATCAGCATCTACCATTACAGAAATCGGCTGCTGGGCGACTGCGTTTAATAGTGATTCTGCATCATTAGGACTTACATAATTAAAATCTGATATTTTCACATATGGTTTTTTTATTTTTTTCTTTTGGCAATCTTCATTGGTAGACAAATAAGGGTATTTGCTGTCTTTAACAATTCCGTTTAGAATGACATAAGAAAACGCTTGAGATGGGGTGCCGCCATAGCACCCCTCACTTCCAAATGAGCCTGAACAATCAACCAGCTGTTGTGGAGAAAGGCTTGCAGTCTTATTAGTAGCGATATATTGAAGACTTTCAATACTAGAAGCTGCTGAGAATGCTCATGAACTAAAGCAACGTCCTTGATCTCGTATTGGCAGAACTGCGCCTGTATCTCTTCAGTCTAAATCTACAGGAATTTGAGGATTTTCTTCAAAAGTCGCAATTTTCTTATTTGAGATCAGAGGAATATCAATTTTATTCATCAGGAATTGGCTCTGAAAATCTGTTGTAGATAAATCAGCGAATTTATTTATTGAAAGTGTTCATGATTTTCCCAGCATGTTATGATACCTAATAAAAGAGTAATTAATCAAAAAGTTTTTGAAATGAGTGAAATACTCGTCTTCTGTCTCATAGTTTTTATTATACCTTTCTAAAAATTCTTGGAACTCATTCTCGTCTGAAATCTTTTGCCTTAATTTTCTTTTGAAGGGATCGCTGAAGCCTTGTCTGATAGGATCATTTATAAAGTTTAAAATAGGTAAAATAGAAAATACAATTAAGATCAGGCCAAATATTGGTAGGAGGAAGCGAGTATATCTCTTGAAGGTCTTTTTGCTATCTATACCAAAAGAATTTTCCATCATTTATATCCATTTTTAACCAATCATTTTATGAAATTTATCCGAATAGGTTGAAATATGAAACAATGAAATTGAGAATTTCTGTTTGGTTATTGTGATTTAAGAGAAAATTCAAATAAATTTTTTATGAGAGTTTAAATATCAAACCAGCTATATGAGAATTTATGGACTTTAATTTAGTTAAGTTAAATGAGAATTGATTAAGGCTAGCTACTTACAAGTTGGTGTTCTGAGCGGCTCCGAAGAAGCCATCTAGCTGCCCAAGCAAATTGGGTTCTGGCAACTCAAAGCCCAGGCCGAAAACCCTGATTTCTTGGAAGTAGTAATTCCCTGATCCATCACTTTACCTTAAACACTTTGATCACAGATTTTTCCTGGCTAACTCAATCCCTTTACCCGTCTAATTATTCCATCCCTCCACTCTTCTGGGCAGTTTCACTCATTAAAAGAACCCTTTCACTGGAGGACCACTTCAATTTGTCTAATCTGCTTCCTTTTTTCAGGACATACCAAAATTATACTCAACCGCTTCCGTGGTTCTAGGCAGACCACAGTAGCAAATTGGGCAGGTAAACTCGCCCTATCCCATTTTGAGCACCCACTGTTTTGAGTGTAGCTGCCAGAAAGAAGCCACGAGTAACTTCCCATCAGATAAGGTAACAAAACCCCTCGCTTCAGGATACCAGATTTTGCTAGGCTAACTTTGTTCCAAAATCAATGGCCAGATATGCATGGCTAATCATCACTAAGAGGAATTGTCAGATTTCATATGCCATTTTATTTTATAAGCACTTTAATTTAATTTTATTCACTAAATTTCTATTGGGAACAAGCAAATCTTTTTATTAAATTTTATTATTGATCAAATGCACTAAATGTCTTTCTATGTGGAGTGAAAAATCTTCCAGTCTTAGGAGTTGGAGGAGTCTGGAAATCAGTTGCAGTTCTTAAATTATCTATAGCTTTCAGAAGTGATTTCAATACATCTGGAAGGGGAGAATCTTCTTGATTAAGCTTAGAACACAAAATATATTCAATCAATTTTTGTGTAGTTTTTGCAAAATAATCTCTTTGGGCTTTTTCAGACCCTCTTACAGGTATGCTGCTCATAAAAGAGCGTTGAATTGTGCCAATCTGAATAGCAAGCATTTTTATGAATTTATGAATTGATTCAAGTCCATAATTCGCTTTACTCCCCACTCAGTGAGCGAACAAAAAAATTTTGTTAGCTCACAGAGGGGTTAATTTAATTTTTTTAAAAATTCATATTAAATTTATAGATTTTTTTTTCAATTTTTTAAAAAAATCCCAATTATAAAAATTGAGAAGTAAAATTAATTTAATGTGCAAAATTTATGTTTAAAATTGCAAGCTGTTTAAAATTAAACAGAATTAGTTCGAGATTTCTTTATAATAATTATCACTTATAAATCAAAATTTTTATATTAAAAAATTTTTGTTCGCTCACAGGTATTGGTTTTTGGTCAAAAAATAGGGAGTTTTCTAATGGTTTTGTTCGCTCACAGAGGGGGAGTTAGCATACTCAACATATGTTGATTTTTGGTCTAAATGTTTCATAATTTCGCTTCTATCAGCTTTATAAGATATTTCGGTTTGTAGTTCTAAAATTAGGTCTTTAATAAACTTTATATCACTACTGTCATTATTTTTTCTTGAATAGAATACAAACATTTCGGATAGTTCTCTTTCCAACCGCATAAATTGCAAATCTCTGGCTTCTGAAGTGTCTGCAAGCTCATCAACTCTTCCTATTAGCTCATTTACTTTCTTTTCAAATTCTAAATTTGTTGAGATTGACGCGCATTTTTGTGTGAGGATTTTGAAATCAGATTTTGGAGCTTTTTCTGCCAAAGTTTCATCGAGCTTTAGTATTGCTTGTTCTTGCTCCTGCTGAACTCTATTAAATACTGCAATTTCGTTTTGAAAGTCTATGATTTTGGCTGAGACTTCTGATAGATTCTTACTCTCCAATTAATAATTAGCAAAGCTGTCAATTTTTTCCAAAAATTTTTAAAAGCATAGGCAAGCTGAACTAAATATAGAAATTATTTTACTCCCCCTCTGTGATTTCGCTTACGGAGGGGTTTATTTTTTTTTTATATAAATTTTATAGTATTTTTTTTTTCAAAACATAAAAAATTTCATCCGTAAAAATTAATTTAATTTGTAAAATTTATGTTTTAAAATGCAATTTGTTTAAAATTTAACAGAATTAGCAGGAGATTTCATTATATTAATAATCACTTATATATCATTTTTTTTAAAAAATTTTTTGTTCGCTCACAGAGAGTGAACTTTTAGGCAAAAAATAGGATTTTTTCAATGGTTTTGTTCGTTCACGGAGGGGGAGTAAAAATTTGCAGGACATGCCTGATGATTTAGCAAGCTCTACTTTTGACACTTTTCCTTCAACCTCAAACTTGAATTCCTCCCAATTTTTTTTCGAAATTTTATCTTCTATCATTTTCTTATTTTGTTCAATCAATTCTTTCATTTGATCTACTGATATCGATAATTTTCAATTCATATCTTGTATAGCTGCATCAGACTCATTCCATTTTTTATTCATTTTTGATCCAAAGTTCACAAGATCTTCTTTTGTAATAAATTCATCAAGAACATCTTTAGAAAACCTCTCCAGCACCTTGATATTACCTTTCATATTTGAAAGCAAAGAATAATCCTGGTCTATTTTAACACGTAGCTGGCTGATTTCTGCATAAATTTTATTAAAATCAGCAACCTTCGCACAATTATTAATCCCTTCAGTCAAAATTTTTGCATATGAATTAGTGCAGAGATCTTTAATTTCTTTTTCGATTTTATATATCTCAGTTTTGCCTGCTTTCTCTTTTAAATCATACGACATATCCTCAACAGTGTCTTTCAGGTTCCTTATATCTTTACTAAAATTGCTCACTTTCTCCAAAGAAATTTTAATCTCAGCTTGAGAATTTTGGAAAGCTGTTATAAATTCACTTAATTCAGACCGATTTCTTTTATATCTCCTTTCGATCTCTTCTTTAATACAACTGACTGTCAGTGTTCCTGCAATTCATCCATCTATTTCAGTTTTGATAATATCAACAATCTGATTTTTTAAAGAGCCTTCTTTAAGAAGTTGAGAAATTTTGCTGAGACGGTTCTCAATATGAGTAATCCGATCTTCCATCTAAATCTTAAATATTTATTAGCATCATATATAAAGCGATATTAAAGAGGAATTAATTTCTTTTTCTTAATTTGCATCGCGCTGGTCTTTTCTTCAGCGATGTCAATTTGCTTCTTCACTACCACGGCTTTTTCGCCAGGCCTCAAGACCACCTTATAGGTATCAGATCCAGCGTATGGTCCGGTGAGTTCAACATTCACTAAGGTCTTATGAATTACTTCGAGATCAAGTACCAAATCTTTTGAGCTATTTTCAATTGCATCGACAAGTTTAATTAATCTGGCCATAAGCGGACTAGCCACTAGCCTTTGGCTTGCTTCGGTTCCCAAACATTAGCCTCCCTACTTACCCTTTTGGCAACCATCTGTCGAAGGGATAAGCTTCAGAAAGCATACCACAATCTGGAATGTGCTTCAATGGCCCCGATAAGCAAAGGCCATGTGGTAGACAAAACCTGTCTAGCCCGTCTGGCAGGAACAGGAGGAGAAAGAAAACTTTACTCTTCGACCACTTACTCAGAATCTAAAGTCTACTTTAAAAGGATAGAGGCAATATTTTCAGCTTCATCTGGGTCCTATCTGCTCCATAGGTAGCATTTAAGAGTCATATTCCATCCATTCACCATTTATTTCTGTTTGCATCGACAAGGAATCCTTCTTTTACTTTTCCGTCCTTCCCAGTTCCATAATTGAGGACAGTATAACTGTAAATGTCAGGTCCAAGCGCCATTGGCTTTCCTACAGCTTTGGCGAAATCGAAGTTATACACTTCTTGTATGAAATTTCTTTCTTTGAAAGTAACGTCTTCTACAGTAAGAGGAGATGCTGATTTCCACCTTAGAAGCGAGCAAGACGTTTTGCTTTAGACAAAAGTTAAGTTTTTATCCAAATATATTAACGATGACCCCCCCCCCTCAATCTTCATGTCTATTGCAACAAAAATGCAATTTTTTTTTAATAAAATTTTTTATATAAAAAAAATAATAATTTTCATGTCTCTTGCAACAAATTATATATATTAAAATGGCGACATGTGTCAGCCTGCCCTCTTGGCGCAGCATTCCAGACCTTATGGCTAATGCGAACTGGGACGGACCCCGAGCCGAGAATCAGACGCAGGCTCAAGAAGTGTATATCCGGGCAGGTTTTGGCTGCTTTCCTGTGGTTGGAAATAGTTGCGCTCAACAACGTCCTTTTGATCCGAGGACCCATGGGCATTCCTCTACCGAGAAACTGGGGTTTTTGCCCAGGCCACAGGGGAACAGTCTTTTTCGTGTAGCTGTAGTAGGAAGGTACTTTGACACCCGAAAGACTCTAAGGAGCTGATCCTTGGAATCAAGCTACTCCAATTGCCCGTAGCAGAGACGCAGAAATCCATAAGCCGCCCACTCAAGACTGAAGCCGCAAGGCAAGGAGAAGACAGAAGGTACCGGGAAGGGCACTCGTAAGAGGAATAGACCCTCTTGGCTGGAATCGAAAAGCGGTAGAACCTTCCACACGGGAGGTCTTTGGTGACTGTGCCACCAATATGGCTAGCGCCTGTCTGTAATAATCCTAATCCTCTTGCAGCAAATTTTAGATGCGCATCTTAAATTTTTCTGTACTTTTTAGCTAGATAAGTTTAATAAAATGGCGAGCAATGACAATAGCCGTCCAAATCTCGATGAGAAGGTCATTGACACGCCTACAGCAGCGCTGTTTTATGGGGTTTTTGAGAAACTCACCTAGAGAAAAATGCATTAATTCTTTTTATAAAAATGTTGTGTTGCAGTAGGCATGAAAATTTTTTCGAAAATTTTTGTTGCAGTAGACATGAAGATTGAGGGGGGGGGTCATCGTTATAAATTAAACAAATTTCTATTAGAACTAGCTTGAGACTTCATTATTAAAAGTATTTTATATTATAAAACTTTTTACTAATCATGAAGGATATTAATTTTTCTAGAAAATAAAATTTTTCAATGTTTGAACTTAATAGCTATTAGGAGTGAGTAAACTGAAAAACCAAGCTGATTAGTGAAGTTTTCTAACCAATTAACTTCAACGTAAACCAAATAGGTTCCAGCTTCAAGCTCAGAAAGGACCCAAACGTCTCTATCTTCAAAGTTTCCAATAGAGTTAATATAAGTTAGCCTGTTTCCTTGCTCTCTGGCGTAGTTATCATTGAGTTTTGCTGCAATGATTCTTGTGGGGGAATACTGATATCCACTTTCTTCACCAAAAACTCTATCGTCTACTTGAGTGGAAATGAAATAAGTTTCTCCTGGGTTGGCTAAGGTTACTTTGAAAACTGCAAAAGCATCTTTGGATTGGGTGTAGTGAAGAGCTTCGTAGTAATAATCATCATGGACTCTGCAAATAGTCACATTTGAGAAATATTCAGCAAAATCATCAAATGCCATCCAGAAAGTGCCATCATTAACGTTACTCCAACCTAGCTCTTGTTTAAGCTGAGGAGTCCAAAGATCTGAGCTATCAGACCAGTCCCCTTGCCATTCTTGCTCACCCCATGGATTTCTAATTTGCAACAATTTTTCTGGGCCTCTTCTTGATGTGATTTCTCTTGCAGCGATGACTGAGTAAGCATGAAGAGTGACTAAGCCTAGTTCGTTCACTGCATCTCCATTCCCTTCTTCGCCTGAACTGGAAGCTGTGATTATAAAATCCCTCTGATCTGCAGTTAAAACTTTTTGCCATATATTATCATCTTCAATTGGGATTACCTCGCATGGTCCTCCAGTTAAGTCTCTAACTCCCCCCCCGTGAGTGAACAAAAAAAATTTTGTTCACTCACGGAGGGGGTTAATTTTTTATTTTAAAAAATTTTTATATATAATTTTATAGAAAAAATTAATTTCGAAATTTTTAAAAAATCCAATTTGCAAAAATTGGGAAGCAAATATTAATTTAATTTATAAAATTTATGTTTTTAAAACGCAATTTGTTTAAAATTAAACAGAAGTATCTCGAGATTTCATTATAATAATTATCACTTATATATCAATACTTTTTTTCATAAACATTTTTTTAATAGAAAAAATTTTTGTTCACTCACGGTGGGGTGGGTGGGTTTTTAGGTAAAAAATAGCGATTTTTCTAATGGTTTTGTTCACTCACTGAGGGGGGAGTAAGCGCATCTTGAGCAAAACCTCCATCAATTGCATAATAAGAGCCAAATCTTTTAGCCCATGCCTTTTCAAGTAAAAGCACCCATAATTCACTCACCCCACTCTGAATATTTGGCCCTGAAAAAGCACACTTTTTTGCTTTAGGATCATAAGGAAAATAATCATCAACTACGAAGTCATTCCAAATTCCCTGATCGCAAATATTGACTGTATAACATCCAGATGGCTGATACTCCTGAGTGTCAAACAGCTTTTGGATTCTATTTGGAAACTCTGCAATTGCAGACAGAGTTGACAAGAAATAACAGTCTCCTAAAGCTCCTTGCTTTATATCATTTGGATCAATGTTATTAAAGACTTTGATTGGCTGGCTGTATATCTCTGATGCACGTTTCCATTGGTAAGTTTTCCATAGCCTTTGATCGCTATATGGCAAAACAGAGAAGTCTTTTATTAAGTTAGATGCTTGAGGAGGAAATTGAGAATCGGTGTAAGGGACTTGCTGAGCTTCGAAGTTAGATCGGATACGATCTATTGCCCCTTTGTTTGAAGTTCCAATTATTAGTCCTTTGTAAAGACCAGTTCCAACTTTTGCCAGTTCTTCCTTAGCGCGAAATTCGACTTTTTGGGTGGTTGGGGGTAGAGCAGGAGGAGGAGTTTCCTTCTTTTCTTCTTTTACTACGATGGTGTTAGCTTTGGTTTCTTCCTTAGCTGCTGGTTTAGCAGCTTCTTTTGAGGTTGTTCTTGATAGTCTTGACTTGGACTCCTCTTTTTCTGATGTCTTTACTTCTTCTTTTTCTTCCTTTTTCTTAGGCTTGCTTTCCTCAGGTGTAGCTGAGGCTCCTTTTTTCCACCAAGCCATTTAATATACGAAATTACCGTTTTAATCTAATACAATTAAATCTATTATCTTTATATTTAATGTTGAAATATGTTTGATATTTTATTTATTAAAAAATTGTGATATTTTAATTGTGAGTATATTAAATTATTACAGTCTGAATTATTAGTGTGAATAATTGCAAAAATATTTTAACTCAATTTTTTACTTTCGAAAAATAAATTAAAAATAATAATTAAAAGATTTCAGCAATTAATATTTATATGTAATTCCACAACTAATATAGAGGTGTTCCGGTCAGAATAGTTCCCTCACTTGGGCTCAGTGAAGGGGGATTTCAACTCTCCTGGGAGTTTGCCTATAGACGTAAATCCACTGGCACTGGATGACGGGAGAGTGTTCTCTTTGAAGCTGTAGAAATTCTAACGGTCGTGAACTGCTCAGAGCGAAGCTGTATCTCATGTAGAAGGCTTCAGAAAACAGAAGACAAGCTATATAAGTGCTATCTTACTAACTAATTAATATGTAGTTTTAATTAATTAATCAAAAATGAAAAGAGGGAAAAAGCAAGCATTCGTTGGAATAGTAAAACCAAAAATTCCTCAAAAAAAAGCTGCTGCAGTTTCAAGATTTCTGAATTTACCTCATCCTCTTATTAGTGAAATACTTCATTATTCAATCGGATCAAATCAAGATCTATTAGCATTATGCCAAACTTGCAAAATGCTTTATAATTTAATTTTTCAGCACAAGTCTATATGAGCCAGCTTATTTCTATTGAAATTTCCAAATTCATTATCAAAGCTTATAAATATCAATACACTTTCAAATGATCTATCTCATGGTATAGTGGATCAATCAAAAGATTGAAAGAACCTTTATCTTAGCCAAGTCAAAAAAAATCAAGAAGCTCAGATTAAGAAACTAACCACACAGTTATCCAAGCTGACTTTAGACTCAACTTGTGGAACAATGGAAAAAGCGATGAAAAATGTAAAACCCAAATTCAATTGAAGGTGCGGGAAGATAAGAATTGATATCGAACCTACTAATGTGGTTTATTTTAGATCTGGAATGACAGTCAAATTATCTTTAGAACAGACCTGTAATCAGCTAGGATGTCTTGAAGCATCAATAAGCAATACCAGATTCCCCATAAAATTCTATAGCCAAAATGAGAAAATGCTGAATAGCGGAAACGTCCATGCAAAAAAATGTGGAAATGCAGTTTGCATCATGCTAAATGAAAACGATATCACATTTATGTATTTTACTATAAATTATAGAAGTTTCCTATGTTTGGCGCTGTAAGGCCGATAAATTCTGATCGGAATTTATCGGTTGGTTGCACCAAATCAATGCCTTGGTCGGACCAAAAAGCGACTTGGTCCGACGAACTTGGAAAGCTCCTGGGAAAATGTCTGCGCTTTTCAGCGCTATATAGAGGAAAACTCTATATATGGATATCATACCTCAATTAACAAAGTATGCTGTTAAGCCTAGAAGAGATGACATTGATAGCAACTTTGGGATGCATTCTTACACCCTGGGGCTCGAGATAAGGACTCCTCTTACTTCAATTGAAACAATTGTTTTTAGGGTTGTTGACTTTGTCCCTGAAGGCAATTTTGCTATATTTTATTCAGATGAATTAGAGTACAAAATAAACAAAAATAAATTCGTCATTAACTGAAAAACCATTGCATTTTCAGGGAAAATCCAAGACGTATGCATAGTAGATTGCATTTTGAGAAGCGAATTTGGAGAGCCTGTTTGGTGAATCAGCGAAGCTGACAAAATAGAAATCAAAGAACGCCATGGGTATAGAGGAGATGTATATTCCCTCCTACTTCAAAAAGACCAAGGAGAAATTGAACTGTTTTTTGTTGATAACGATGCTTGGGAGCTAAAATCAATCCAACTTAGGCTATCTCTCAGCTATATTTCCAGCATTTTTGTCAAATCTTAGGAACAATTTAAATAAATAAACATAATTAATGGAAACATTAGAAAAAGAAGACATAACAAACTACGCCTCACAAGGAAATCGAGCCAAAATCATTGGCTGCTCCTCATCAAGAAGCTCATGCAATGTCTCAAATATTTTGACAAATAAGCCTCGTAGATTATGAGTTTCAGCTGAAGGCCTTCCCCAAGAATTTACACTTGATCTTTCACAGCTTGATTCATACCCCAGTCAATACACTTGTTTTGGCTGATATTGCTGGCATTCTTATACCTCCAACCCATCTGTGGTTGACTTATATGTATCAAAAGACAATCAAACTTTTAAAAAATGAACAACGCTCTCTGCGAAGTTATCTTCATCCCCGCAGTATTTCAGTATCGACCCAATACAGCCTTCTTACAAATATATAAAAGTTGTAGTCAAAGAGACATTTGGGGCTTCAAATACTTATATAAACCAAGTATTTCTGTTTGATAGAATCCCACATGTGCAGCAGGAGGTTTCAATGAGCTATAACTTTAATATTTCTGATCCTTATGATTCGTCGTATTTTGAAGAAATTCAGCCGCAGGAGCCTGATTATAAAATAAAATTGAAGGTGCAGCTGACTGAGCTGGACAGTCATATAAAGTCAATGAAGTCTTATCAAGAGTTTGAAGAAAGTATGGCTAAGCGGGCTCAAAATTTGAATCAGCCTGCTTTGAAACCGGAAGGTCATGCATATAAAAAGTCGCTAGAAGATTTAAAGTTTACATTGGCAGGGATTATAAATAAAGTCGAACAGGTAGAAGATAAAGTGCAGCAAGATAACAGAAGCCAACTGCTTTCAACATACAGGAGCCATGCAATAAATGATTTTAGAAGCCCTAAAAGCGTTAAGTCAGTAAAAAAGCCAAATCTTTGTATAAATTCCCCACTTAGCTGTGCTGATTTAACTACTGTTCCTTCTACAGAGAGAAAGCCAAAGCTGCAAGATCAGCAATCAGAAGATAGAACAACTGAGCTTTTATCATTAATTCAAGAGAAAACAGAACTCAAAATAAGAAAAATACGAGAACTGCAAGCACAAAGGCTTAAAGTCGGACAAACAACCCCCCGCTATCATAATTATTAAATTAAATAAGCTGATAATGTTCTATACCAAACCCTTGGCAAACTATTATATTTTTATTATAGGAATTATCATTATTCCTATTGGCGCTAGAATATTTTTTCATAATTCTTAATATTTGAATTCAAAATGGAAAGACGAGAAAGTTCTCTATCTGTAAAATATATTTAGAATTATGAAATGATTTCCCCTCTTGGCAGAGGAGCTTACAGCTTGGTTTACAAAGTAAAAGATCGTCGAACAAACGAACACTTTGCTTTAAAAATCATCGATAAAATGAAATTGAATCAGCAAAGGCTTTATAAGAGGCTACGAAATGAAGTTTCTCTGCAGTCTCAGCTTAATCATCCTTGTATAGTTAGGCTCTATGATTATTTTGAAGACCAAGAAAACGTTTATTTGCTGCTTGAATTATGCTCAGGAGGAGAACTATTCACCTATTTAAAAACAGAGGGGAAATTAAGCGAATTAGAGACCCGCACTCTGATTTCTCAGCTCGTTGATGGGATTTCTTTTATGCACTCTCAAAATATTCTACATAGAGACCTAAAGCTTGGAAATCTCCTTCTTTCTGAAAATAAAACACAATTAAAAATAGGAGATTTCGGATTAGCTGTAAAATTAACAGATTTCGAAGAGGAGAGGAGCACATTGTGTGGGACCCCTAATTACATATCGCCTGAAGTCGTTTCTCGAAAACCTTATGGATTGTCATCTGATTTGTGGTCTTTAGGATGTATTGTATATGCATGTCTTGTAGGATATCCACCATTTGAAAGTCCTAGTGTTCAAGAAACAATGGTGAAGCTGAAAGATATGCAGTATGCCTTGCCTGAGTTTTTGTCAACTGAAGCAAAAGAACTAATTAATTCACTGCTAGCTTGGGATCCTAAAGACCGAATAAATATTCAACAAGTAAAAAACCATCCATTTATTAAAGGCAATATTAAAAAAAGCATTTCAGATTATGTAGGAAGAGGAATAAGCCCTATTCCTTATATCGAATCTGACTGTAGTTATTATGACTATATAGAAAACCTTAAATCTCCTCAGCCCCCACGATCTCAATCAAGATTAGAAATATCAAGAAGGACAACTCGTGTATCACAAGGAAATTGCTGCACCCCGACATTAAGCAACTCAAGACGAACCCATTCTATAGGAAACAAAGAAAATTTGCCTCCAAGCCAAGAAATCAAAGAAAATGCAGAGGCAAAAATCACTCCGCTGAGCACAAAAAATCTCCCTCCAATTAAGCATAAATTAAAAAACGGGGAATTAGAAATCGGAGAAGATGGGTGGGTAAGGGTTTTTATTGGCAAAAGAAAACTAGAGATTTCTGGAGACGGGCTAACAATTTTGTATAATGGCCATATGCTTCGTTTAAAAAACATGAGACGGACCCCCGCAAAGTTATATAGTGCCTTGCTATAATTTTGGAAGGCCTCTGGCATGCGAAGCCACTATATCTCTCAGCTTTCACATGTGGAAGCATTTCTGGCATCCCCAAAATTATAGCAAGGCGCTATATCAGTTAGCTGTAAATTTTATTGAAATTGTAAAAACAAAAACACCAAAAATTAAAATTCAAGAAAAAAATGCAGTATGCATGCTGATGAGGAATACTCCTTTTCCTAACTATGAAGTTGACTTTGACAATGGAGTTAGGGTCACTTTTCAGGTCGGATCAGAAAACTTTACAGTTTATCAATTAGACGGAAAAGAAATTTTGGTAAATCCCTATGAGGATTTAAATCACTTGAACAAAGACCTCAGTTCAATTATTGAAATTAGCATGGAAGGGCTAAAAAACTGTCTGGCTAAAGAAAGAGAACTCTCTTCATCATTTTAATCAAAATTAATTTAATTTGAATTTTTTTAAATTCTGATGTCAATAAATGTCTATTGAAAAATGGTGTACACCAGAATTAATATGCATTAATCAAGATTGGAAATTCAATGATTGATTAAATTAAGGTTTATAGCACAGAAAATAAGTCTTTCCCCAAAAGTTGCTCAGCAAAGGTATGATCTTTATCTTTCCTTGCTCTTTCTAAGGGGCTGGCTAGAGGCGTATTTTCTGCAGACTTTTTATTATTAATGCCTGTGTCAGGGCGCTTATGGTAAGGATGGATAACCGGAGCTGCAATTTCTCCAGTCACAGATAGCCAATCAATTCTATATCTTTCCCACCTATGGAAGCTTTCAAGCGTCTTTCTGGCAGCGGAATGGCTAGCAAAGTCAATAATTGCGAATTTAACCTTGGAATGGTCCGTTTTTATTTTAATACTAAGTATCCGTCTAGGGTTTTTAAACAATTTTTTTACTGTTGCTTCGTTATCATGGCTGTTTAAAGGTGAAAGTCTCAATGATTGATTCAAACAGTTCCCACTCGGAATTATTTGCCGATTGAGATTTTCATACAAATTCTTGAATTTTGCTTGGTCTGTGAACACATGGGAGTATTTCATTAGTAATTCGCACGCTTCTTTAGTTCTTTTTTCTTGGTGTAGGATGCTTGCTAGGTCTTTGATTGCACTTTCTGTTCTATGGCCCGTATCAATTGCTTTCTGATAGAGCTCTTTAGCTTTATTGAGGTCTTTGTCAACATACTCAACTCTTTTAGCGAGTGCATATGGAGAATCCCCTTTCGGAATGGGTAAAGTGTCGCCATCAGAGTCCGATTTAGTAGCTGGTGACTGAAGAGGACTGATCTTAGTGATCAATGAGTCTTGCTTTCTATAGCTGGGCATTGTAGCTATATCTCTAAATTTGATCCCATGGAGCTCAATATAATAGTCGGGTTCCCAGACGACGTCTTTTTGAACTGCCTTAGGTTTAAATAAGGAATCAATTTCTTGGTCTGTCAGATTCATTGTTTTATATTTTATATTAAAATGGTTGAAAATTAATATGAATTAACATCTGACATAATCTGATTTATTTATATATATATCTAATTAATTAAATTAATGAATGGTCTTGTGCTGCGATCAGAAATGAAAATTGTTTGGCAGGTAAATTGCTTATCCGAATAGATGCTTATAAATATTTTAAGTGAGGCTTGTAGGTTTTCGTTGAATGAATTCTTATTTATTCCTTAAAATGGTTATTCTGTTAAGCAAGTTTGTAAGTAATTAGTGAAGTTTAAGATTTTGGAGTTAATTACTTAGCAAAGGGGAGCAAGTGCAACGGGCACCGTGAAACTTTCTGGCCATGTAGAGGCGAAAACTTGTTTATTCTGATCACACAATTAAATAATTTTCCGAAAATATTATTTAGTCGATGATTTTGCTGCTCTTAAAAATGTGGGTAAATGTAATCTATTCCATTCAAAAAATAATCGATAATTTTTCTAATTCATACTTATCAAACCAAAAAAGTGATGAACTTCATTTAATGAAGTATCTTTAGCTCATGCTGGTCTATAGGTGCATTTGGAAAATCTTTAATTGATTTAACCCAGCTAATAACAGATTGATTAATTAAAAGCCCTTAAGGGCTGCAACGATGCATGCAGCATCATTATAAGTAATGGAATGGATTTAACCCAGCTGCTTGGCAATCTGATTTGATGAAACCTATTAAAGATACCTCTGCATGTTCTATAGCCCATGGCTAGTAGAAATCCTGCCTGAGCAATATCATTGAGTTATTATTTATAATCTATCTCTCTCTATCTCATTTGAACAAATTATATTTAAATAAAATAATATGCATCGGCTTTCTTTATAGCTCCTAAATTTGTGCAAGCATCTGATATTATCTGGTATTCTTGTGAATAGACGCTATCTCTCAATTTATAAAAATAAACATCATTAATATAAGTATTAATCGAAATAACTTCCAATTCTAATTGCGATTAGCTATTTTTTAATATCCATAAATGTATATTCAAAAAAATAAAGCCAAAGAAAGAGCCTATTTAATAATATGGAAAACGTATTCAATAGCCTAAATCTCCTTGGTGAAATATTCTCATACCTAGACTTAAAAGATATTGCCCACTTCCGAGCAACAGCTAAAAAGTGGCGAAAACTCGCTGAAAGAGCACAGCTTTGGAAGCCTATTTTGCATCGTTCATTCCCTCAGGTAAGGATTCTTGAAGATCTTCAGTGGAAAGCTGTAGAAGAAGTCTTTACTTCACTAAAAGATGTAAGGAATGCTTCTTTTGAACCAAAAAATTCTTATACAGTCGGAGTGCTTGGCTGTTTAGGAGAACTGATTCATCATAACGATTCAAGACTAAATGGTCTTGAAAAAGCTGGACTTCTTGGTGCATTTTCATGTTATATGGTAGGCCAGATTATGATATCCATTTGCATGCTTAGTATTCCTTCAGTCAGTAAAATAGAATTCCTTCTTGGAGCTGTTCATTGTTGGCTTATTCAAGTTGATGGCAAAAAACAGCACTGGGAGAATGACTTAAATCAATATTTAGAAGGCTTAAACCAATACGGGATTAGACATGGAGTAGTTTTAGTTAATTCTGTAGAAATCAATGAATCGGAAATATTACAAAGGTGTGGTCAGCAAGGATATAAAGTAATAACTTTGAGAACACTTAACGAAGATGCTGTAGATATGATTACACGTGAAGTGCTCTCTGTATCGAGAGAGCATGGCGAAACCGCTAGAATGAAATTTGAGAAGTCTCTCGAAGAAAAGCAGTTCCCTGATCAAGCAAACTCAAATAAAAAGAAAAAATGCTTAATTTACTAATCCACGATTAAAATAATTTTGAGAATATTTATATTTTATTAGTTTGTTTTAGTTGTGCATAATTTGCATTTATAAATAAAATGGCATTCGGTTCGAGAGAAATTAGCTTTGCTAATTTTATCTCCCTCATGGAATTTTATTTACGGAGTTAGGTTTTCTCTCGAGAACTTCTGCACAGCAACAACAGTTTTAATTTTGGAGATAGCCAGAAGAACTGCTCCTCAGTGCATCAAGAGGCTAAGGGTTTTACCTCTCAGCACATCTTCACGGGGAGATAACTCTTAGGCGGAACACACGCAGGAGCTGAGTCAGGGCAGAGCGACAGCAACGAGCCGGGTGAGGCGTATGGCGACTAGAGGCGAAGCTTTGATAAAAGGCTGGGTCGGAGGGCTTACCACCGCGATTCCAAGATGGCTCAGTGACATCACTAGTTTGCTAGAGCCCTATTTTATTAGAGTGCGGCACAAACACCTTAAACACCTGTTAATTAAGTAAGTAAAAGTAAAAGCATAATTTGTATTTAATTTAGGAAGACTTCTAAATGGAGATTTTTATAGCTAGAGCGCTTAATTAATCTACAAATAATTATTTGATGAGTTATTTCTGAGATCTCATAAAAAGTAAATACTTTTTCGCAATAAATAGAAGCATTTATAAGCTACTACCCTATTTAGTATATGAAAATCGAATTATGGCTACCAGTAGGAGTGTTTCTATTAGTCGTTAAAATTGTAAAAAAGTATATATATAAAGCGAATCATATAAAATTTTGACCTATGCATCAATTATCACTTATTTTAAATATAGGAAGGCAATATTAATACCTTAAATGCACATTCACTGATTACAAACATTATTATATAATTTAAAATATATTTCCATCTCGAATCTTCATTAAGGTCTCACCTAATCGATTTTTTCCTAATCCATTGAAGCCAATTCCCCAATATTTTTCATTTGAATCGCAGAACATAAGTTCTCGCCCAGAAGTTGACATCAGTAGCTGGTATAATCTTGGATGCTGCTTAAATTTCTCTTCACATACTTTTTCTATTATTTCGTCCTTACTTCTTATATCCAAGCTAAATATTAATTTTTTATTTTAAATAAAGCAGGAATTATAGCAATAAATTAATTTAAATAAGAAATTAATTAAATTATTTTTTAGTGATTTGTAAGATCGGAAGTTAGCATCTTCCCATTTGCTTGAGTTTTTCTGTGCATTTATATACTCTTTGGTGCTTTCCCACCTTCTATCATTAATCATCACAGGAATTGGTGCAGATAATGAAAATTCATAAAAATCGCTTAAATCATCTTTAAATATTATCGCTTCTGTTTCTGTATGGCTCAGCGTAGTCGTAAAAGTTTTATTTTGGCACTTATAGCAGATCTTCCAAAGATCATACTCTTTTTTTGAATGAATATCTGGACAATTTACTGCATACCCGCAATCAGAGCAAATTTTTATTTTCCTCGGAGTTATGTTTTCATTTTCTTCATCTATTCTCGAAAAACCTACCAAATTCAACGCCACTGATCCTGTATTTTTAAAAGGATCAATATCAGTCACCGACGGAGCCTTAAGCAATATTTTTGTATTTTTAAATAACGAATCATGCTCTTCATGCTCACTTGAACACTTCACACACAAATCAACTCCGCACCTATTACAATATGTAACTGCGAAAAAATTTGCATGCTTAAAACAATGTGCATGCTTTGCGACTTTTTTAATTCTTTCTCCATATACCCCTGACTTTAGTTCATTTTCTGTGTTTTTGATATCTTTGTGGATAAGTAGCTCTGAGTTAAAGTCAGCAGTATCCACACGAATGAGTTTTCTATTTCTCAATGGAGTTACGTCTTTGAGAATCAGGTCTTTTCTGCTGGATTCTCTGATTTTAGAAGGAGTGATAAAGGCAAGCTGTCGCCTTATGGTTACAGGAGTTTTGGAGCGCGATGTTAGACTTGGAGGATTAGAGAGAGTAGGAAGGTTAGGAGTTTGGATCAGATTTTGAGAATATTGGCCGAAACTTATTTCTGGGTCATTGTTGATGTCTGTTTCTTGAGTTTTTGAAATACTTAACTGTCTTTTGGTATAACGCACAGGTGACGAACTTTTAAGTTTGGGCAATGAACTCTCTTTTTTCTCTTTCATTTGTAAAGCTTCTGTATAGGGCATACATGGAACAAAATTCAAGCATTTATGCTTGTTTCCTTTTATATGGAGCTGCTTGCATTGAGAGCATCTTATGAATACATCTTCTGGCATTTTTTACCTAACAGTAAATCTTTAATTTATTTAATATTTGATATTACATTATCTTAATTAAATCTCCTATTCATTTTTCCCCCTTTTTTGTGAAATTATATTTATTTAATTTTTTGGTTATTTTTAATTCCAATCAGAAGAGTAAGGAGAAAATTCAGTGATCAAATTTTGGCTTTTCATTGTTTTCATAGTTATATAAGTTGTGAAATCTTCCTGTTCTTCATTACATACAAATGAGAAATTTGGTAAAATAGACCCAAAAAAATTCTTAAATGAAAAAGTAGACGAATTTTGATCTTCCTCATGGAATTTGACTGGAGAAAGGCTCTTATTTCTTGGCTTTGAGTTATATATAATGCAAGCTGATTCTATGACGTCACGAGAATTTTCGATTTTAAAATCGCAAGTAAGAGCTTTTAACAATTCTACATCAGAGACCTTTAAAACTAAATAAAAATTACGATTTTCACTTTCAACATCAAGCATGACTGCACATATATAATTAACAAGCTCAAGATCAGGCATATCAATATTATGGATTCCAAAAATAGCATCCCATATCATTACTGTATCAAAAATGGAAAATTCTCTGCTAAATAGGCATCTAAGCCATCTTACTAGAATTATTTGTGGCTCAAATTCGTGATTCAATATATGGGAATGCAATTTCGGTTCTATTTTCTGTAGAATTCTGTGAAATATATAGTGACTTTTTCTTATCAGTTCTGGGACATCTTCAAATTTAGATTTATCTAGCCTGGGAATATCATTTAATGAGTTTTCTAAAATGGGCTCTTCAACAGTCTTATAAAGCTGGCCAACCCCTAGGCTCATAATTTTATCAAAAATTCAATAGGTGTCTGCTTCAAGATGTTCCCAGCTGCTCAGCCCATCAATAGTTTCTTCTTCTTCCAGCCCAACCATCAAAATAACAGCAATAATTTCATTATAGCCTTGCTGGTAGCCAATTTCATGTAGCGAGCTTCACACAAATAATATATCTTCTAATATTCTTTTAACATGATCCCTCCTGAAAATTTCATTTTCAGGCATTGTTCTGTCGACATCCAGCTTTATTTTGTTTCTTATATCACTATTCTTGAAATGGCACATTCATGGATTCTACTTACTCCTCCCTCAGTGAGCGAATTTAATCATTGCAAAATCCCTATTTTTTGGTCAAAAACCTAACTTATGAGTAAGCATACAAAGAATTTATTAAGTTGAATATATAAGTGATAATTATTTAAATTAATTTTTTAACAAATTACATATTATAAAAGGAATTTGACAAATCAAATTTATTTTATAAAATTTATAGATTAAGCTTAAAAAAAATAACCCCTCCATGAGCGAACAAAATTTTTTGTTCGCTTACAATAAGGAGAGCTAGCCTTTACTTTATGATAAGTCGACAAAGGATTATGCAAATTTAAATCTTCGCCGCTCTGCAGAACTGAAGGACTCAGCTCTGTTTTTAATTTGTAATATTCTTCTCTCATTTTTCATGATTGTGTAACTCATTCATCAATAGTTCCAGACAGTAATCCAAGTAAGACTCTTCAGGTTACTATTCTGTTCCTCAAATTTCCAGAAATAGCGATCTTTTTTAATTCCTCTAACTTTCCTCCCTGAGTGAACAAAATTTTGTTGCTCATGGTAGTTAAATTTTTTTTTATTGAAATAAAAAAACTACCAATTTGCAAAAATGGAAAGGTAAATTAATTTAGATATGCTTTTAGAATGCAAACTATTTAAATTTCAATAAAATTAGTTAGAGATTTTATTATGCTAATTATCAAAATTTTTTTATTAAAATTTATATTTTAAAAAATTGTTTTATACTCACAGATGTAGATTTGCAAAAATAGAAAATTTTTACAATGGTATACTAGTTCACAGAGAGAAGAGGAGTAAAGAAATCTGTGCATACCAGCAATCCATTTTTAAATTTTCAATTAATTTCACTTACTTATTGTATCAATTTATTGAAATGGATAAGAAAGAGGCTAAAGTAAAACTTATATATAGGAAATTTTGAGTATCATAGATTGGATAAACTCACAAGATATCCCTGGTTGTGCATTGGTGGATACTTTATATACATTTTATAATGAATACAAAATGTGTACCACAGTAGATAGCAGGAAATGTTTCTATTTAATATGAATGGCTATAGATGATTTAAAATCAGGAATTATTGTTGGAGATATTGTGGCTGCTATGACAGGTAGAAACCATCTAAAAGATGTACAAAGAAGAGTGAGCTCGAAAAATGATGCTTTAAACAATTGAAGTATTATCATTAAAGAGCTTACTCTCTCTATTGGTTAGCGAGTAAAACTAACAGAAAATAAAAACATTCTGAATATGATATTCTTCAAATATTACTAATTAGGAATTTTTAAATTAAAAACAAATGTTTTATATTTTTTAATATATAAAAATTTAAAAAAACAAATTAACTACCTTTGTTTAAGTGCAAAAAAATATTGTTCACTAATCAAGATAATAGTTAGCACAATATCTTCAAGAGTAGGGAATTTAAATGCAGAAGATATTTTCGATGTAAATTTTATTTAGAACCCAGAATCCCTGAAGCATATCATGAAAATTATTATAAACACAAATTGGCAGGTGCATGCAAAAGCTATTCTAAAATCAGAATCAGAATCACAGCAGGAAAAGATTCTCAATAAACAAGAAGCAGTTGCCACACAGAATCATACTGAAACTCATGAGCTAACTGAAAGCTCGCTGCCATCCAAAGCTTCATTCATAAAACAAGTGCAAAAAGAAGCAGAACAAAACGATGGCACAGCTGAGACTTTTGTCCAAGAAATTTCCTCTGCTGATATATTCAAATCCTTTCAAAAGCACAGTTTGAATGAGACTTCAAATTTGACTGAGTCTCAAAAGTCTTCTATTATCCCAAAAAATAAGCTAATACAGCTTTCAGATATCCAGAAAGCAAATATTATCAGCTGAATTGAAGAATTAAGGATTGTGAAAAAAGGATTCCTTGACATTAGCATTTTACCAGAGATATGTAGGACTGGAGTAATATTATGTGATATAATAAACAGAAATGAAGGGAAGCAAGAAGCGATAAAAGGAATTGAGAGGCATCCAAGAAATAAAGCACAAGTTACATCAAATATATCGAAGGTGCTTGAATACTTAAGAAGCTTTCCAAGAATGAGTGCAAAGTTTTTATGGTCGAATGAAAGCATCATCAATGGAGATGAAATTGCGACTTGGGGAATTTTAGAAGATATTAAAAACTTTTATTGTGCTTCAAGAAAAACCAGCAGAAGCTCCTCTAGGACTTTTTCAAAACTACTGGAGCCACCAAAACAAGAAGAAACCACCAGCTGCAGCGTATACAACCTTATCCCAGAGCTAAAAGTCGAGTCTATTATGCAAACTTCAAATATGAAAAGTTTTCACAAATCAAGATCATACGCTGCTTCAGCAAGATCTAAATCTACCTCCCCTGAAATAGTTTCTAGTCGGTTGTCTTACTCATTCAAGAATCCTAATATCATACAAATGACCAGGAAAAGTTTTGCTTACTCCCCCCCCCCCTCCGTGAGCGAACAAAACCATTAGAAAAATCGCCATTTTTTGACCAAAAACCCTCCGTGAGTGAACAAAAATTTTTTTAATAGAAAAAATTTTAATGGAAAAAAAATTTTGATATATAAGTGATAATTAGTATAATGAAATCTAGAGCTAATTCTGTTTAATTTTAAACAAATTGCGTTTTTAAAACATAAATTTTGCAAATTAAATTAATATTTGCTTCCCAATTTTTGCAAATTAGGATTTTTTTAAATTTCGAAAAAAATATTTTTTATAAAATTTATATATAAATTGTTTTTAAAAAAAAAAAATTAACCCCCTCCGTGAGCGAACAAAATTTTTTTTGTTCGCTCACGGAGGGGGGGGGGGGGGAGTTATAATAAAAACTTTCAAGTCTCTGAAGAGGTTATATCAAAGGTAAAAGAGTGACTTATGGCACTAAATCTCGATTTTGAAGAAAGTGATAATATTTATATTGATACTATCAGAAATGGTGTAACATTTTGCCAGCTGCTATATGTTGTAGAAGGAGTTAAAATTATAATAAAACAGAGCCCAAGCAATACTAGGATGGTAATTGAAAATTTTTACAATGTGCTGAATGTTTTTATCAGCAAAGGAAAAGAAATTCCAAAAGCAATTAGAGAAAATCCTCAGATTTTAGCATATGATCCAAATGCTGTATGAACATTATTTGCTGCTGTCATGTCATGCTATCCTACTGCGCGACCACTTGAATATCAAAATAGTCCATTACAATATGGCGCTATTGCCATCAAAAAACTTGAAGCATCTATTTTAGAATGATTAAGAGAGCTAAAAGTCCTCCCTTACCCATCATGCTCAATAAGGGACGTCATGCAACTACTGAAAAAAGGTAAAATTTTCTGTGAAATCGCATCTTTAATGACCTCAAAACAATTATCAAATGTTATCGCCAATCCAAAAACAAGTCAATCGTCACTAAATCCCCATCCTTAATCGAATTATTCCATTGAAAATTTCCTAAAATTTGAGAAAAACTAATTGATCAAGGATACGGGCCAAGCATAAAGCCGCTCCCTACCCAGCCTCAAAACTAATTACCTATCTTAGATAATAATGAATTTTAGATATTACAAAATATTTTAAATGTAAAATTTAAAGCTAACATTTTAAAATAATTTTGTTTCCAAAAATATATTAACTCCTAATCTTGATCGAAACGATGGCAATCAGTTTGGTCAAGGATTATGGGGATAAGCAATATCCGAAAGGCATTAGATGTCTTTAGGAGGCTTCCTAACATGTCGCAAAGATATACATGAAACGAAAAAGAAATCGCAAGCGGCAATCAAGGAATCATTTTAGGCTTGCTTGAAGATATTCATATGTGCTATGATGGACAGTCAGCCAGAAAGAAAAGCCAGTCCAGCTCAGTGCCCTACATTGGCAAATCATCAGAGACTCGCCCTTTGAGTAATAAAAAAATTTCATTCCTTCTCAGAATTCCTAAAACTCAGGAAACTACTCCATTAGATTCGCCAAGGCGTGGATTCCAAACAAATAGGATGGACCTGAGCTCAAGCAGAAGAGGAATCTTAACTAAAAGCTATACAGAGCGAGGGACTGATGAAAACAGTAATAATCTATTTAAATCTAAGTTAAATTAAGCGAAAGTGACTGCAGATTGGTTTCTTCTGATTTTCCAGATCTCAGCCATCCCTCTTGACACCTTTGTCTGTTGCAGAGCTTCCTTTTCTACCTTATGATCGCTTGGTTTTCCAGAAACTCCAGTGTCTCTATATTGCAGAGCATAATTATACTGCAAAAGAGAGCCTGCATTATCAGGTCTGTCTAAGACAACCTTTTTCTTAGGCTTTTCTTGTTGTGCAGCCCCTGCTCTATCGTCAAATATATTACTTCTCATTTTTTCGTAATACAATGATTTCCTTGTAGGTGTTTCTTCAATAGGTTTTTTGTCTTGGGACAATAATTCTCCTAGTGAAGATTGTGGCTGTCCTTTGCCTCTAACTTTGGGCTGTTGCACTTCTAAATCAGCTGAATCTTGAGTGATAGGATTTCTCTCTGGAGGCTGGTAAACTGATTTTTTCAGCGAAATCGGCTGCTCATAAGTTTCACTTGTCTGTTGAGGTATAACTTTTCGCGATGGCACAAAGTCACCTGGAGTTTCATAACTCCCCCCTTCCATGAGTGAACAAAAAATTTTGTTCACTCACGGTGGGACGCGCTTTAAAAACATTTATATATAAATTTTATAGAAAATACTTTTTTTTTCGAAATTTAAAAAAATACTATTTCGCAAAAATTGGAAAGCAAATATTAATGTAATTTATAAAATTTATGTTTTAAAAAGCAATTCGTTTAAAATTAAACAGAATTAGCTCTAGATATCATTATGCTAATTATCGCTTATATATCAAAATATTTTTCCATAAAAAATTTTTTTATTAAAAAAAATTTTTGTTCACTCACTGAGGTTGGTTTTTGGGCAAAAAATAGCGATTTTTCTAATGGTTTTGTTCACTCACAGAGGGAGGGAATAAGAAAATGCAAAGGAGTCCCACTGCTTGTTAGAATAAGAAGCGCGAGCAATCCCTCGAGGTCTGTCACTTAGTTGCTTAGAAGCTTCCATATATGAAGGAACCGACGATCTAGATTTAGATGCAGGTGCTTCATCAAGCGTGTCAGGCACCAATGGGTTGCGATATGGCTGATTGTTATCTCGAGGTTTTGGAGGAGAAGAGAGCATCGTGTGCATCTCTTTATAAAGGTTTAGTTGGTATATGTCGCTCATATTAAGATTATTATTTATTAGTAGAAAATGTCATAGATTTTGAAGGAAGTTCATTGAGAAGCTGGAGAATTGCGGATGAAACCATTTTTTTCGACCTTTCGTGGGTGACCCATTTGGTGGATTTTACTAGTGTCCCGTCCCAGCGGTATGCGCTGTCTGGAACTGGCCTGAGGTTATATTTCAAAAATGGGGGTGGGTTTGCCCATCTTGCTTGCTGCGCAGAAAGTCCTCTGCCTATGGTTGATATGAGTTCTTGGGAAACTTTGGGAAACTTATTTTGGATTAGGATATCTGGATAATCAGGATGTGAAAGATTTTTTTCATACTCTTCAAGGCCAAAGTGTCTGAAATATCTCTGATTGTCAATTTTATTTTGCCCTGGATAAGGCCCTTCTGGAGGTACATAAGTGATATCAATTTTATATAGGTTTTCTAAGTGTAGAGTAAGCTCATAGTCTAATCGTTCAGCTTCATAAGTGACGAATTTTACTTCTTCTGTAGCTTTGCTGACTATATCTTTAAATGCTCCTCTGCCTGTTCTTATTGAATTGTCTCTTGAGGCAATTATTTGTCTTCTTCGGTCATCTAGCTCTCTCATTGCAAGAGAGGTTTTCCAAGCCTGTCAAAAGCTGAATAAGAAGTATTCCATCTTTAAAAGGGATATCCCTTTAATCCCTACATCTCCTTGGTAATTTTTAATAAAGCCATCGTGAAGTGACTCAAGCATCGCATCATATTCATCCGCATTCATACATAATAAAAGCAGCTGCCTATCTAATTTTTTCAAATAAAGATTTAGAAGCCAAATTATATTTGCTGCCATATGTCTTTTATGGTATTTTGCAGGCTGAACATCTACGAGAGCAATCTCCTTTAAGTCAATTTTAGCTGTATCTTGTCCACGAAGCTCAGCTAAAAGGCTTCTTTGCTGGTCAATATTTTTCCCAATATTTTTCGCAAGATCTCTAGCTTCTTTTTGATGAGAAAAAATTCTGAGATTTATATAGTCCACAATTTCAGGAACCAAAGCTACGTTAGACATTGCTCGTGATTCTTGGAATGCAAAACTTTCTAAAATCTCAATAAGCGTTTTTTCAATGCTTTGGGCTTTATTTGCAGGGATATAATTTTCCCAGCCAATTTTTAAGTCATTTAAGGCATTCATATACTTTTGCCTTTCTAGCTCCCAAAAGGTAATGTCATCTAAAATCCCTAAGATTGCACCTTTCCCGTCCCAATATAAAGGTCCACAGTCTTCTACTATGTCACAGCGAATGTTTTCTATTTTTTCTGCTAATAGAGCAAGATTTCTGCCCCACATAAATACAGATATAGATCCCCTTGGCTGGTCAAGTAGCGCCGCATTTTTTGCTCTTTCCCGATCTCTGTTTTTCTTCATTACTTCAGAGACTTCATATAAAAAGACATCACCTTTATACTGCTCATTAGTGAAAACGCGAGAAACTTCAATTTCGGGGTCATTTGGTTCAATTATATATTGAAAATAGCTTGGCACAATCTCAGGATCCATTTTTCTGATTTGTTTATAGTATCATTTCGTAATTTCATATTCATTTATCAAAGAAAGCCGGTCTTCAAGAGAGTCTTTTCCTTCAAGTGAGCCAATTCTTCTAATCCTCACTTCGGAAAAACCTATTTTTGACTTCATTTTGTATGAAGTGTGTGGAAAGTCACATGTAATTAAAACTGGCTGGATCGTCTCAATTATAGGTTCTTCTCCAATTGTCGTCAAACAACAATATCTTAGTACCTCATTTTTTACATTATCTGGAGCTTGAAGTAGGATTTCTCCTGAAAATGAAGCGAGGTTAGGACAAATCATCCTGATGATATCTTGCTTGTTTTGTGAGCCAATCACCATCTCAAAAAGACTATTTAAGTGCTGAGGGCCTAAAGGCTGAGAAACCAAGGCTTTATAATCCAAAGCAGAAATGACTTCTTCGAATGCTGCTTTTTTAGTTATAAATAAATATTGGCTGGCTTCAGATACCACATGGTATTTTATGATACTAAACTGCATATCTTTGATTAGCTCTAGAGCGTCCTCTTTTAATGTAAGAGCTTCTGGCTTGAAGCTTACAACCAGCTCTGAGTAGTTTTGGAGATCAGGGAAAAAACAATCAATTTGAGATTCAGCTGCTTCTATAGACTCACTGCATTCTGCGAGAACATTGAAAGAACGTGAAAACTCTCTCATTCTTTCTATTTCGCTCGCTCGTTTATAAAAGTTTGGCCGATCAGACATAAATTCATTTCCACTAATTTCTGTTTCAGCTATTGCATCGAGATCTATCAACTCATTGATACTAGAAAAGGGCCACATATTAAAAAGGCCACTTTCTCCATTACTTGGAACTGTGATGATGTCTTCTCTTATAAACCTGTTTTCTTGGACTTTTTCAAAGCCTTCTTCCTCTTCCAGCTTGATATGAAAAGGGTTTATCAGTTCTTTTTCTCTCCAAAAGCTGAGTTTTTCAACTCCTAGCAAGCGTTTTTCTGATCTTTTTCTACCAAATCTACAGCCATCTGAAAGAATTTTAGCATTTTCTATAGCACCAAATTTCGACATGGCCACTATGTGAGTTTCTCCTTCCAGCATATAATTAAGATAATCCTGTTCAGACTCAGGGGTCATGCTTATCGTGCTTCTTTTTAACAGCATTGCTTCTTCAATTGTTAATTTTTTATAGGTTTCTCTTAATATGACAAAATAATTACTTTTGAAAATGCTGATTAGTACTTTGTCAAGACCTGATCGAACTGCTAAAGGCCGAAATGCAATAATGGTTCTAGATGTAGATGATAGCTGAATCCCTCTTTAAATTGGACAAAAAATGTTTAGATGAAAGGAATATTTTTTTTTTAAAATTAAAATTTATTGATTTCAAAATATTTAAATAATATTCAATATCACTGCTCTTTTAAAATAGTGTAATTTATAGTAAATATATAAGTCTTATGGCATTAAATTTGATATCAAAGCTATTTGCATAAATTTATTTTTTAAAAAAATTTGGTTTTCAATTTAAATTAGTTAATTTAACAAAATGGAAAATTTTAAAGATATTGGTTCCAATTTAAACGGGGGAGTGGGGAAAAAATATTTATATAGCTCATAAGCTTCTTTTTCTGAAGTAAATCAAAATGATTCGGTAGAAAAAGGGTTCATTGAAAGCAGAAATGGTACACCAGCTTTGCCAGCAGCAATCCCAAATAATTTCGAATCAGTATTACTCGACAGCAAATACCTCATAAATGCATTTACCTTTGGTTTTTCCATGATTTTTGCTAGAACTTGCTCCATAGCTTGATTTTCTGTTTTTTTACAGACGCTAGAAATAGCAACATGCCCATTAAACGAAAGTATGTCAATTAATTTTTCAAGGTTCTGTTCATTTGGGTTTCCATTCTCATCTCCATATGATTTTCCTTTCAAAATATTGCTTTGCTTTTGAAAAAAGGCTAAAATAGGGTCTAAATCTTCAACTTCTTGTGCTTTTTCTTCTCCAGGAATCATCAAAATGCAAGAATGCTTAACTGCAAACACTTCTGGGAAAAACAGACAAGTATCTGTTAATCCTTGCACTGAATTTTTGCTTGCATAAACCAGTTTAAATGCTTTAGGTATCAGCTCTGCAGCTGCTTTCATGAATTTATTGAACTGTACTTGGCTATTTACATAAGAAGTTGATGATATGCAGAGTAAAAGGTAAGGATCATTTAATTTGTCATTCAATACAGTAGCTCTTGTTTTATTAAGATTTTGCAACATTGACGAGTTCCGGGTTAGAGTACTTGTAAGCATACTTTGAAGTGGCTGAAAAGCTTGAGTCACAGGCCTTGAGCCATATAAATTTATTTGCTGAAATTCTTCTTGCAGAAGGACTTTCACGCATCTTGAAATAACCCGGAAACCTCCATACTGCAGAATAAGAAACAAATCTTCCTCCTGGTCTTCTAATACCTGCCTTTGTTCGTCTAGAAGTGAATAATTCAGCTCAAAAACTGCAACTATCCCTTGATAATTCAAGTGGTCTTCTTTTAATAAATATTTGCGAAGGCCTTCTTTCAAATAATTAGGGAAAACTAAAGGTTTGCGATTTTCTGAAATTTGTGACATTAAATTCCATTCTTGAGGCTGGAGAATTGATTTTTTTGACTCTTCTTGTATTGGGTTTTGAGGTATCCAAGTTTTTGATTGTGTGGAGCTTTGAAGAGAATTAGGCGCTTCTAATTGTTTATTAGAGAAAGAATTAAGCCTATGGGGTCTTTCATTGAGTTGTCTTGAGAGTTCCATATAATCAGGAACTGATGATTTAAATTTGTATGGTGCCTCTTCTTCAATGGTTCCAGGAATTGAAAGTAGAGTTTGTTCCTCAGGTTTAGAAGGAGAGTTAAGCATTTTCTTTATTTCAGCAGAAAGATCTTGTTCGCGTGTGCTTTTCATCAAAATTATTTTATTAATTATAGCTACCGGGCAATGATGAATTCGAGAGAGTGCATTTTTATTCTACTTAAAAGTTATTGCAGATTTATCAAAGGATTAAATTAATAATGATACTTATAAACTCTTTAATTATCTATTCTATTCAATTCACACTCTGCAACAGCTTTGAAAAAATAATCTGGGTCAATTATTGCTTTATATGGATCGCACCTAAAAATGAACTTATTGATTACCTTTTCAAACGGAAGCGATTCTCTATTTTCTATATTTCGAACATCCAGGATGCTTTCAGAGTCATTTCCGATTTTATCATCAAAAAATATTTGATGGACCGAGGTTATTGTTTCATCAATTAAAAAGAGCTTTCCGCATTTAGGGTCTTTTTGGTTTTGCTTTCAATATGAGTAATCATCAATAAAAGCAAAAGATGAAGACTCATTAATTTTATTAAATAGCATATTGTATGAATTTGATGAATTGCCAATGATCTCGAAGCTGATATTATTTCCTGAAATTGATGGCTCAGAGATTGATTGGCCAAGAGAACCTATTAAAACTCTGCAATCAGTTTCTGAGTTCCTTTTTATGCATCCTATATTATTGTTGTTGATAGTCAAATTTCTTGTTCCTAATTCTCCATTCGATATAAATTTTTCTGTTTTATTTTTTCCATTATATAATGGATGCTTTCCATTGCAAAATAAATTAAATTCATTGATTACCTCTTCCATATCATTTCCAAAAGTGCGAAAAACTATAGAAAATTCCCTTTGACATGCACTCAATGATCTGATCAAATTAAAAAAAGAAGGAATTAAGAAATAGTTTCCTTCTCTGAATAGTCTCTTTACAAGTTCTTTGTCATTTCTTGACATATCTCTATCATCTATTTCTTGATTGTTATTATAATCAATTCCAAGATGATAAACCCTCCGAATATCTTCAGGAATGGTCAAGCACGATTTCATATTTTCATAAAATTGTCTAAATATTTCTCCTGAGTGTCCAGGCAAGATAAATTGTTCGATTAAATTGAGATATACCTGGACTTGATTATTATTTCATGACTTGCGAAGCTCGATATTCGGCTCTTCTTTTTCAGTTATAAAAGGAGTAGCTCTGTCAGCAAATTCTCTAGCTATCCTTTACTCATATGAAATCATGCTATCATCAGGTCTAGATAAAAATGGTTCTGTCACAGCAAAATTCCACACCCCATTTTCAGCAATTCCTCAGCACTGAGTGGCTAAAATTCTTTTTATCTGCATAAAGAATACTGAAAAATCAAATGAATATCCTTGTGCATCATCCTTCATAATAATGGTATTGTTTATATCCATATGAAGTATCAGTTTCGGCTTCTGAAATTCCATTTTATTTTACAGTTATATTAGCATAAATTTAAAGAAATTCGGTGCTCATTTTTACATCAATTGTCTTCTTCGGAATAAATTTGGTTTCTATTGATATAATTGGCTTATCTATATCTGAATACTTTTCGAAAGTCGAAGTTTCTGCTGACTTGTTTGGTTTAGGAGCTAGTTCTGGATATTTAGAGTGGAATTTTGACGATGTTGATACAACTGAAGGTGGGTCTAGCTTTTGATCAATTGCTGCAAACGGTGACGGACTTCTCTTAATCATCTTATAAGAGAAAAACCTTCTTTTCGAGCTCCTTTCGATTTTCTGCATTTTTGGCTTGTCTTCGCTTAAAATTAAATTTGTTTTCTGTATTATTTTTGCTCAAGAGGAGTCAAATGATTTCATTCTTTTGACTGAGTCTTGGCTTGGCTTTGATTTAATGCTTCTAAAGCTACATTGCATGCTTTGCAAATCCTTTCTTTCTGAGCTCAGCATCCCTCTAATAGTGAACTTCCCATCACTATGCTTAAGTGTGCTATCGTGAGCATGGTTTTCATAAACATTTTTTCATTGTCCTTTAAATTTCAAACTTCCGTCAGCTATTGAAAAAGACTTATTTGTGGGTATTTGACTACTTGCATAATTTTCTATGTATGGGAAGTATTCTTTCTGAGTCTTCGCTCTTGTTTGAGACGTCCTTTGGGATTGAATTTTTTTAATGATGAGAGGGACATCAAGTTTTGGATTTATAATGTCGGCCCTTACACACTTGTCCATTATTTATAGCAATTTGTTTAATATGCTAGTTGATAAAGAGAATAAATTTGAAATATTGAAATTAATTAATAGTAAGGATCTGCTTCAGAACCTATTAATCATCTGATGTTTGGCTTGTCGCTTTATATATATTCAAGTTAGAAATTAAATTTATAAATTTATTATAGTATGTTAGGCAAATTAAGGCTACACTAAATGCCTATCCTGCTTGACTTTGAAATAAATGCATTTTTATAATTCTAATTGGCGCAGACACATATGATTTACATCTTAAAGCCTGTTTTAAGGATATAGTCTTTTTTAGGTTTCGTTATACAGACATTTATCTATCCATTTAGTTTCTCAGGAGGAAGGTGCCTGTAATTTACTCATAAAGTAACATCACATTTTATTTTAAATTTATGTAGAAGGACTTTCAACATAAGAAGGGCTTCTTGCTACCTTGAGATCTGGCAAATTTTCTGACTTTCTCGTCGACCTTCTAGTAAGTGCTTCTTGCTCCTTTGACTCTAACAACTTAACAAGATAACTCTCTAACTCAGCAATCTTCTTATTGTTCGCTATTAACTGCTCTTTCATGCTGGCAAGTTCTTTATTCTGCATTTGCTCACTCTGCTTATATAGCTCCTCTTTATCATCTTTTTCATAGTTAATTTCCTGTAGCTCTTTTTTTATAAGCTCTTTAAAATCATTTGTGCTAATTTTTTTTATAGTCCCACTTCTATTAGTCTTTACCAGAACCCTCATTTCTGCCAATGAAAATTTAACCCTTTCATTTCTTTCTTCGGCAATTTGTTCCATTTCTTTCCAAATATTTGGAAACTCAATTTGTATTTTTTCGCAGATCTAAATAAAATTTACTCTTTGGGTCATTATTAATAAATGTACATTTGATGCTGCTATAGCCCAAGGCCTGCTATTGGCCACCCTGGGCTGTCCAATACCTGCCCAACTGGAGGAGTTGGCTCGGGCAACATCAGTAAACAAGCCAAATTCATAGTTTGGTGGTCAATAGCAGGCCCTGGACTATAAAATATTGTATTTTCTTGTTGTTCCTTTAATAACTTCATAATCTCCAAAGTATTGTCCTTCAGGCAGGATTCTAAAAACAGTATTTTCTTCTCCAAATACATAATGTAACGATGACCCCCCCTCAATCTTCATGACTATTGCAACAAAAATGCAATTTTTTAAATAAAATTTTTATATAAAAAAAATAATAATTTTGTTGTCTCTTGCAACAAATTATATACATTAAAATGGCGACACGTGCCAACCTGCCCTCTTGGCGCAGCAGTCCAGACCTTATGGCTACTGCAAACTGGGACGGACTCCGAGCCGAGAATCTTATCTTATCTTATAAAATCTAGCAGAAATCTCTGCCTAACGATCCTTATGGATCATTTTTGAACTTAAAATTGGGTTTTTTCATCAAAAATAAGCGATTTATACCGAACTGTTCGTGTTTTTTCCTCCTTTGCCAGGTTTTTCCACCACTATTGGTATTTTCCCCCTTGGACAACTGAATTTGTCCCCATTTCTTTAGTTCCATCGTTTTCTGTAATTTCCTTGCTCTCTCTGGCCCCCTTGATTTCTTTGGCTTCTTTGGTTTCTTTGGATTCTTTGGCTTCTTTGGTTTCTTTGGTTCCTTTGGTTTCTTTGGTTTCTTTGGCTTCTTTGGTCTCTTTGGTTTCTTTGGTTTCTTGGGTTTCTTTGGTTTTCTTTGGTTTCTTTGGTTTCTTTGATTTCTTTGGTTTCTTTGGTTTCTTTGGTCTCTTTGGTTTCTTTGGTTTCTTTGGTTTCTTTGGTTTCTTTGGTTTCTTTGGTCTCTTTGGTTTCTTTGGGTTCTTTGTTCTCTTTGGTTTCTTTGGTTTCTTTGGCTTCTTTGGTCTCTTTTGGTTTCTTGGTTTCTTTGGCTTCTTTGGTCTCTTTGGTTTCTTTGGTTTCCTTAGTTTCTTTGGTTTCTCTGGTTTCTTTGGTTTCTTTGATTCCTTTGGTTCCTTTGCTTTCTCTTGCTATGTCCAATATAAAGATTTCGGGTGATGAGAGATGAACCAATCCTGTGGTCAGGATCAACTCTCCGTTATCCAAAACCTCTCCTTTGAGCTCTTTTTGCTCATTCCAACAATTTTTCCTCAATTTCTTGCTCTGTATCCTCCAAATAATCATTTTCCTCATCTTCTTCCATTTCGCTCTCGGTAAGTTCGTCCTCCCAAAAATCTTCCTCGCATTCATCTAGGTACTCCTCCAGATCATCCAGTTCTTCTATAGTTTAAATCATCACATGTTGCTAAATAGTTGTAGAAAAGGTCATTTTCGCTAATTCCCAGCTTTTTGATCACTTGGGCAGCTCCTATTGACTTGTTTTTCTTCACCATTTTCGCGCTAAAAATAAAAGTCCGAGCCGAGAATCAGACGCAGGCTCAAGAAGTGTGTATCCGGGTAGGTTTTGGCTGCTCTGTGGTTGGCAATGGAGGTGCTCAACAATGTCCTTTGGATCCGAGGACCCATGGGCATTCCTCTACCGAGAAACTGGGGTTTCACTCCAGGCCACAGGGGAAAAGTCTTTTTCCTGTAGCTGTCGAAGGAAGGCACTTTGACACTCGATAGACTCCAAGGAGCTGATCCTTGGAATCAAGCTACTCCAATCGCCTGCAGCAGGGCACAGAAATCCATAAGCCGCCCACTAAAGACTGAAGCCGCAAGGCAAGGAGGAGACAGAATGTACCGGAAGGGCACTCGTAAGAGGAATAGATTCTCTGGGCTGGAGTCGAAAAGCGGTAGAACCTTCCGTACCGGAGGTCTTTGGTGAATTGCATCACCAATATGGCTAGTGCCTGTCTGTAATAATCCTAATCCTAATCCTCTAGCAACAAATTTTCGATGCGCATCTTAAATTTTTTCGTACTTTTTAGCTAGATAAGTTTAATAAAATGGCGAGCGATGACAATAGCCGTCCAAATCTCGATGAGAAGGTCATTGATACGCCTACAGCAGCGCTGTTTTATGGGTTTTTTGAGAAACTCACCTAGAGAAAAATGCTTTAATTTTTTTTATAAAAATGTTGTGTTGCAGTAGGCATGAAAAATTTTTTCGAAAAATTTTTGTTACAGTAGACATGAAGATTGAGGGGGGGTCATCGTTACTTTACCTCTGGCAAGAAACATAATATTATGTGACAATTCTCCTATCCCAAAAATAAGCTCGTGCTTAGGGATAAAACTTGCCTGCATATATGGGAAAACAGAAGCAATGAACTGCGAATCTTTATCACCAAAAAATGGAAACTTGCGCAGCGCTCCATGATGCATGTCCTCAGCGATTTCAAACCTCAATTGTTTAGGAAAATCATCCAGCATATCTTCTCTATCCTCTAAAGAAAACGTAGTTTTCTCAGCAGCTACTCTGATGCTTTTTTGCATTTTCCCTTTTATATCTTTGGGCAGCACAGCTTCTTTTATGTATTCCTCTGCAATTGCCATTTTTTGGTCAATAATATTTCTCTTGGTATCGGACTGTGCAAACATAGAAGAAAGGCTGCTGATAGTAAACGATAAAAAATAAATTCCTGTTATCATCCAGCAAATTGCTACAAGCTTTTCATATGTTGTGAATGCGTTTATATCACCATATCCTACAGTTGTTAAGGTAGTTAAGGCCCAATAGATTGAGGCTAAATAGCATGAAAAAGTACTCATATCAATGTAGCCAAGTCTGACGACCCATGTATTTGGATTAAAGTTGTCTAGTTTAGCAGTTAAAAAGAAGAGACAGCCAGATATGTGTAGACTAATAAGAATTGCTGATACCGCACTCAGCATCCTTACAAACCCATGATTCACATTTAAAAATATTTGAAGTTGATCTAAAAATCCGCTTCCTTTATTAGTTCTTGCAAGCTTAAGTATTCTAGACAGCCTAAACAGCCTTGGAACATATCTCAGCCTCAGAAGCCTCGCCAAAGTGTTATAATTTCTCAAGTTGATACTGACAGCCATCAACTCTTCAATCATCTCAAACGGCATGCTTGAGAAAGCATCTACAACTAGCCACCCACAAGCATAATTTAAAAATATTTTCTTCCTTTCTGTTATCAAAGTCCCATTTTTATCATAATAAGCTGTATTCAGATTGAGAATAATATCTAATATAAAAAATATATCCTGGACAAAATCCAGCCAAAACCAGACGTCAAATGGCTCAGCGCTCATAAAAGCTAGAACAAAAGGTGTACAAGTGGCTGTATATAGCAATAAAAACCCAATCAGCACATTTCACATTGAACGGAAACAGAGATTCGGATGAAAAATCAAAAATGGTAACTCTACATTGTCCTTGTCGAGGATTCCTTTTATCATATACGATGCTTTTAGCTGAAAATATTTGTCTAGCTGGCTGCTTTCCATTGTGTACTCTGTAAAGACGCCTTGGTTTGGCCCAAAGAGCTTGATATCATTGATCATCTTTTTCATTCGAAGGTTCATGATGATTTTGTTTTTGGCTCTTTGCCAGATCGCAGCGTATTTTAAAATTTTACCATCAATAGAAGTCATGTAAATAAGGGGCTCAGGAGTGTTGAGGTAGGTAGGCTTGCGAGTTGTGACGATACTATCAAAGTTAGATTCTGTGTGTGAACGCGTGAAGATAGGTGACACGAATGGAGAATTCTTCTGGGTCGTTTGCCTTTTTTTAAGAAGGCTTATGATGCTTTGTTTAGGATTTGGCATTTTCATTCGCCAAAGAATTATATTATAATCTCCGTTTCAAAAGAAATGAAGTTAATTTAAAAATTAATTTTAAGAAGCTAAATTTGGTTATTTATGAATAATCAGCAATACATTTTTTAATTATATATGCAAAAATTCAAAATTAATACAAAATATTTATAATTTTCTTTTAGAATATATCAGCAATAACTGATTATGGTTTTCTGTTTTTAACATTTGGTATCCCAAAGGTCACAGAATAAACTTTCAAATTTTCCAAATGTGGCTGGATTATCTTCCATTTATGCTCGGAACCCAGGAATCTCAAGAAGAGGGGATGAAGTCATCTCTCATCACTCAGAGAAAAAGAACGGCTCATTGACTCTTCAGGTGTTGTTTGAGCTGTTTTATCTCTGAAAAACCCTCTTCTGCGGAAGACACAGAACTTACTGAGATCGTAATGACGCCGATGTCAAATCCTGAAACAAACCAATCATCCAGTACATCAGAACCTATTTCTCCCAAATCATCCTCAGAAATCCCTTCAATTCCATTATCAGCTCCAGCCAAAAAGAAGAAGAAAAAGGCAAAAAAAGGCCTTTTAATTGCAAACTCAGTTGTGGAAGGGCTGCAACTGCTTGGATCTGGAAAAGAAACAACAGTCGTCAATGTCAAAAGCATTCCTATTGAATTGCCCAAGGTTTCAACATTTAGGCTTGATATAAGGAATAAGCCCAAGTTTGTCCCATTAAAATATTGAAACCAAAGATATAGCATTTTCTCTAAGTATGATTCTGGGATTATGATGGATGAAGAGAGTTGGTACAGTGTAACACATGAGCCTATTGCGAAGCATATTGCAGAGCTTTGCAAAGGAGCTCAATTAGTGATGGATGGATTTGCAGGAGCAGGCGGTAATGTCATTCAGTTTGCTCATTACTGCCAGACAGTTGGTGTCGAGATTGATCCAAATAGAATTGAGATGCTCAAAAACAACGCGAAAAAGTATGGAGTTCTTGATAGAATTAAATGTGTACAAGGAGACTTCTTGGAAGTAGCAAAAGGGGAAGGGCCAGTTGATGTACTTTTTATGTCGCCTCCTTGGGGAGGTCCTGATTATGTAAAGTCAAAAAAATACAATATTTTTGCACATATCACTCCAGATATTACAAAAATAATGGAAGTTTGCAATGAAACTACTAAAAATATCATTTTATATATGCCACGAACTGTAAATCCAGCACAAATTGTTCAGCTTTTTAAATATATGCCAAATATTGAGAGAAAAGTTGAGTTTCAGCTTTATTGTTTTGGAAACAAAATAAAGACTGTGGGATGCATTATTGGAGAAATGGTGAAAGTTGACTCCAATGAGGTTGCAAAGCTTATGCTTGACAGGATGAAAATTCCTAAATATTTACCTAAAGATAAAAATGCTGCGGTTGTTGCTTTTGGCCAAGAAATAGAAGAGAATGGTTTTAATTTTGCGTTAGCAAAGGCATGTGCAGCAAAAAAACCAAACCGAAATCGCAAGAAAAACAAGATATCAAAAGCAGAGCCAGCTGCTGTTTAAATCAATTTAATTGAAATCACTAATATAAATCAAAGCATTTATTTTATTTATAAAAGATATGATAGTTTGCATCTTTTTATCCTATATGCGCTTTTTGTATGCGCATCCATAATTCATCGCTTACTTCATGTCCTTATGGACTATTTGCATGCAAAGTTGCTAAAACCTGATCATATATTATTTCTATCTACATAATAGTTTTGAAGTTACTAGGCTGCTAGTATAAAGCTTAGAGCCTAGAATTTATTTATGAAAAAAGATTAATTTTATGGTTAGATTCACTGTAATAGCTGCCTGAAAACGAGCATGTATTAATTATAAAAAGCTGAAAGAAAAAAAGAAAATTATTAGTATAAAATAAAATTAGCATTAAATTTCTTTATTTATGAAAGCATGGTGCTGTCTATCTGTAACAAGCCTAACTAACTTACGCTGAAGTGGAATATTATCTGACTCAATCTTAATTGCCTCAAAAATCTGTACTTCATCTGAGCTCATTTGCCGCTTTTTCTTATATTTCACTTGTCTAATGTTTTGTTTTGCGTGAGTATCAAGATGGGGTTTCGCATCTTTGTTTCTTTTTTCTTCACTTAATTTTTCTAAAAGGTTATTATCCTTTGATATCCTAGCTTCTGATAATTAAAATATGGCGTCTTCGTTTGGGCATGGCCTCTGGCCATGCAGCCTCGACTCATATTTTAATTATATCCGGCAAGGTTTTGCCATTTCAGAGATGGACGCAATGCTAGGTAAGCAATTCTGGTGGAGTACAGAGCCTAGCCCTAGTCTACTCTCAGAGATGGTTTTTTTCCTCGTGGGGAAGGAAAGCACGGCAGTTGGAAAGGGGAAGCCCAGCAGAGTCCACACGACCCATCGGGCAACTCCCTAGCGTGAAACTGGGCGTTACGTCCCAGGCTACGTGTTTCTCCTTTTTGCCGAAAGTCTACCAGAAAATCCATTTTTTGGGTTTTCGGAATGGCAACCCATGTCACAAGCAAGTAGCTCATCCATGACCCGTCGAAGCCGGCAACACTTGCCCATAGGCGCACCTTTGGTGAACGAAGCGGACCGGCCCAGAGGTCTGTGGGCCCGATGCGACGAAAGGCGAGCGGAGGTCTGGGCTCTGCCAACCCCGCAGTGGACGTTAAGCGTTATAAGTAGTAAGTTAAGTTAAGTTAAAGATATCCTAGCTTCTAAGAGTTGCCTATTTCTTATATTTATGTCGTTACTATTCTTAGGTTGCATTTTTTTTAACTCTGTAAATATAAATCGATTGAGAGGATTCATGCTTTGAAGTCTTTGCTGGACCTCTTCGTGGTCAAGCTTTAATTCGACCTCTTTATCATAAGAAGGCAAAGGAGATGGAGAAACAGTCACAGAGCTATTTCTATATTTTTCTATGTCAGTTAATATCGTTTTTTCAGGATTTATTTCATGAAGGTTCAGCATTCTATTTGTTTTCCGCTGAGTTTTTTCAGGAATAGCTACAATTGGATCATTAAAATGATTCCCAAAATTTCTTTTATTTAAAGCCAAAAGCCTTGCCGTTTCCAAATCATAGAAATCTTTTGGCGTTATAAAAACATGCTCAGAATTTTTAAACTCTGGGACTTTTGGGATATTAATTTTTTCTGATTTTTTCGGCGATTTCAAAATTGACCCAACCTTATCGTACTTATGTACAAGGTCTGGCCGTTTGTTTATAGAGCTCAGCTTTTCTTTAATTTTGTTTTTCCCTTCATTATATACATAATTATTTTGCAACAACTTAAAATTCTTGTTGGATGCTTCTTGATTCAAATTAATTAATGAGCTTCTAGTTGATCTTGCAGCTGTTATAATTAAAATATGGCGTCTTCGTTTTGGTATGGCCTCACGGCCATACATACTTGACTTATATTTTAATTATATCCGGCAAGGTTTTTCTAGCCTTGAAATGGACAGCAATGCTAGGTGAACAATTCTGCAATCGGCAGAGCCCAGCCCAAGTTCAAATTCGAGACTGGTTTTTACCTCAAAGGAAAGGAGGGTTCAGATTTGGAAAGGGCAAGCCCAGCAAAGTCTACAGGTAATACCTAGACCAATCGGACAACTGCCTAGCGTGAAACTGGGTGTTACGTCCCAGGATCTGGACTTCACCCTTTTGCCGATAGGCTACCAGAAATTCGATTTTTTGGGATTTCGGAATGCCAACTTCGTACTCTCTCAGCCTCAGGAGGCCACACAAACCGTAATCTGCCCACTAAACACTGGAGTCTTTTACAAGAGACAAGGAGGAGACCCGACGGAAGGAAGGTCGCAAAGCGGACGAATCCCATAAGGGATCTTCGGTGATTGCGTTAAAATTAAGGGCACGAGCCCGTCTACGTAATGTATGTATGATCTTGCAGCTGTTGATGCATTTTTTCAGGTGCCAACCAAATCGTCTTGAATTATATTGCAATTGCTTATAATGCTAGAAATTTTTCTATGATGAGGATTAAGATGGTGACTAACTTCTTCTCCTCAGTCTATTGAACTTTTAGATCTGATAACTTTCTTACTATCAGAAAAATAAAGAGGAATAAATGTATTGGACTTATGGGGAGAATCTGAAGGAGAGCTGTTATATTCTTGCAAATGGTGTGGGGTAATTTCAGTAAGGTTATATATTGAGTATGATGTGCTTTGAAGCTGCTTGCAAGATGGAGAAGTATTTAAATTTCGACTGGGAAAAGTGAATGGAAATGACATACCTCAACAAATTTATATTCCATTAAATTTCAAACAAAATATAAAATAAAACTTTTCTTACTCCGCCTCTATGTATGAAATGAACAAAAAAATTGTACGCTCGCAGAGGAGGTTAAATTTTTTTTTATATATAGATTTTAGTAAATTATACATAAAAAAAAAATTCTATTTTCGTAAAAATAAGAAGTAAAATTAATTTAATTTGCGAAATTTATGTTTAAAAATGGGATTTATTTAAAATTAAACAGAGTTAGATATTTCATTATACTGATTATCACTTATATATCTAAGCATCTAAAATTTTGTGGTGGATTTTTACTTAAAAAGATTGGGATCTTTCCAATGGTTTTGTTCGCTTACGGAGAGGAGAGTTAGAAAAATGAATATACGCCTCTTCATTTATTATAATTTTTAAAGAATTTATTAAGGCCATAACGGATATGGTTTTTTAAAAGTTACCCTTCTTCGCTTTTCAAGGACCAATTCCCTTTTGGCTGTAAAATTTAATATTCAGACTTAAATACTCCAAAAAAATTACCAAGCTAAAATCTTGCTGAAAGTAATAAATAACTATAAAATTTTTTTAAATAATAATTCATTTATTTCTTTTTATGAATCAAAAATTAAAATATTTTCCATTACAATTCAAAATATACAAAAATATTATATTTACAACAATTTCATGTTTCTGGAATTTATTGTTTTGAAATAATATTAAAATGGCTCGCGTTATCGAAGCTCCACCACTTGAAGAAGACGAAATGCAAAGAATTTACGAATGGATAGATGACGTTCCCCTCTCTCGCCCAAAGCGCAATATCACCCGAGATTTTGCTGATGGCTGCATGATGGCAGAAGTTGTGAAGCATCATTATCCAAAATTAGTAGAACTTCACAACTACCCTCAAGCTTACTATATACATTAAAATGGCAACACTTTTCAATCTGACCTCTTAGCGCAACAGTCCAGACTTTATGCCCCCGACGAACTGGGATGGACTCCGAGTCGATAATCAAGTGCAGGCTCAAGAGACGTATCCGGATAGGTTTGGCCGCTCTTCTGTGGTTAGAAGTGGAGTGGTCCGGCAACGTCCTTTTTTGATCTAAGTACCCATGGGTATTTCTGATCTGAGAAACTGGAGGTTTCAGTCGAGGCCACAGGGGTAGTCTTTTCCTGCAGCTGCAGAAGGAAGTATTTCAGCATCCGGCAGACTCCAAAGAGCTGATCCTTGGAATCAAGCTACTCCAATCTCCCGTAGCAGGGACGCAGAAGTCTATAAGCCGCCTGTTTAAGACTGAAGCTGCAAGGTAAGGAGGAGATAGTAGGCACCGTAAGTGGCACCCATTATTGGGGCATAAACCCTTTGGGGTGAGTCGAAAAGTGGATGAACATCTCTTATGGGAGGTTTTTTGTTACTGCGTCATCAATATGGTTGTCTCTAATAACGCTCAAGCTCACTCAATTCAGCAAAAATTAAACAATTGGAATACCCTTAATGTTAAGGTTTTCAGGAAGATAGGCTTCCAAATTGCACGCACTGACATTGATAAGATTATTAACTGTGAACCGGAAGCTGTCGAAAAAGTACTTCATCTCGTCCAAGAAAAGCTTGAAGAGTTTAAAGAAAGGAAAAGTGATGAGCCATCTCCACCCCAAGCAGATAGACTGCAAGGATTAGCTAAGCCCAAAGGACAACCCCAAGTAGAAGTGAGAGTTCAGCCAAATAATGCAATTAGAGAAAAAGAGCAAGTTATCAATGAACTGAGGGAAACTATTGAAATCATGGAAAGCAAAATTGCAAAGCTTGAGCAACTTGTGAAGTTGAAGGATTCTAAAATACAAATTTTAACAAATAAACTGACAGCAGCGGGGCTGAGTTAAGATGTATAGCCCAATTATTTAATAAAATTTAGGTATATAATGCTTCTGGCGTAAACTTGAAGAAATATTCTTGAATGGATTCATAGACTGCATCTTCATATATATTGTTATAGCAATTGCCCGAGGATGGCGCTATCTTGTGCCATCCTCGGGCAATTCAAAAATGGCCCCACACCGGGAATCGAACCGACGTGTGGGGCCATTTTTGGTGTGTGGCCAACATCGACTTACACGCACCAAAAATGGCCCCACACGTGGGTTCGATTCCCGGTGTGGGCCATTTTTTGAATTGCCCGAGGATGGTGCAAGATAGCGCCATCCTCGGGCAATTCCTATATTAGATATCAATAAATTAAAGCCAATTTTGTGATATATTTTCCAATAAATATTTATTTTTATTTTTTCAATGAGAAAGAGTACAGAATGAATAAAAACTGATACTGATTAATTGCTTTTTTAAAGCTAAATAATAGTCAAAATTTTCTTATATTTAATCAAATTAATGAGCATCTAATATTATTTTAATTTTACTAAAACTCAATTTTCTTTCCTATATGATAATACCAACAATTCTTATTAATAAATAATATAATATAAAAATATTGAATAAACATGGGTAAGTTATCATTCATCAGCCGACATATAGTACTGTTCACAAACAACCGTCCCGTTTTTGGAATAATTCTTATAGAAGATGAAATAATTTTTGACGTAGTCCTCATAGAAAATTCAACCTCAATTCTCTCAGTAATGGAAAATTATCAAGAATGAAACCCAATCGATTTGGAAGACTTTTATATATCTCCAGGCATTATAGATTGTAATATAAAAAAGGAATTTGAGGATTACGATCATCTTACACGGCAAGCAGTCTCAGGAGGGATAACCTTTATAATACACGAAAAATCAAAACTTTCAGAATTCGAAGATAATAGTGATCTTTATTGCGATGTTGGTGAAATTTCTTTAATTGAGTCATACGAGTCATTAAAAGAGTGCGTTGATAGTGATTCCATCGCACTCAAATGCTATTTGAATGCCCCAGATAATAAAACAAAGCCAGTATCAATGCAGCTTGAAACCCTTTTTCAAGAGTTATCAGAGACGAATATTCCTTTGATAATAGACCCGATTCTGCCTTATAGTAGACAGCTATTTTTAGCTTCTCCATTTCACTGTAGCACAGCTGAAGACCGCATAACTGGAAAACTTCCTGATACCAAACTGAATCCTGCAGCATTTCCTGACTCAGTTGAAGAAGAAATTCCAAAAATCAGCTCATTTGAGTCTCCGAAAGAACGCAAAAAAGCTGGATCTCCAAAAATTCAATCAGAAAAGCAAGGAAAATATAAAGACTTAAGCCCAACAAGTCCTGCAATAGACCATGTCTCAATGACTCCTTTCAAAATAAATTCTGAAGAAAATGAAGAAGCCCCAGCTAGCCTCACTAAACTTCGTCCAAGAGCTATGACTTATACAATATTTGATGATTTAAATAAAAGAATCAAAGAAAACGAAGAGAGCACTGAAAGTATCAGCTTATACCTGCTCGCTATAGACAAAAGCATAGCTATTGTTTACTATAAGAAAATATAATAAAAAATAGTCAATAAAGACATTTGTATTCATAAAAATAGGGATAGCTGAACAAAGTGCTTATTCTGAAGCTGGCTCAACTGTATTTAGTCCAATGATTATTCCAGAATTAAGAAAAAGAAGCAGTTCTTTTGATATAATGATTTTAAACTCGAATTCCCTATCAAGCACTCCAACAACTGATGGCAGCCCAGTGAAGCCTTCTGCATTCTTGCAGAGGATGCAAGGGAGAAGGCCAACTCCACTGGTCATGATAAAAGAAGAAAAAATTAACAGTGATACAGAATATGTCCAGCATCTTGCCTCAATACCTGATACCTGGGAAATTCATGGAGTAGAAACTATAATAAGCAGCTTAAAACAGGTAAACTATCCTGTGCACCTAGCTAACCTTTCTTCCGCAAGCTCTGTAAACTTAGTCCGTCAAGCTAAACTTGAGAAAATCTCATTGACTTGTGAAACTTGTGTACATTATTTGTTTTTTACAAAAGACAGTGTTAAAAATGGGGATACAAGATTTAAAGATTTTCCTCCTATCAAAAGCAAAACAAACTTCAATTTGTTGTGGGATTTACTCAAACTGAAAGCAATTGATATGGTAAGTTCGCATCATTTTTTAGTTGATCCAAAATTAAAATTTTTAGAGTCTGGCAGCTTTAAAAGAGCAGTCAGTGGGGTAAGCACATTAGGGTACACTTTGCAGGCTCTATGGACTATTTTGACAATTCCTGCCACTCTTGGGTCTGAAATTGAGCATTATCTTTGTAGATTAGGAAAATGGCTCTCGTTGCATCCTGCACGATTTCTAAGGCTGCCAAATAGAGGGTCTATAGAAAAAGGAAAGGCCGCTGACTTAATAATATGGAAGCCTTATGAGAGAACTCAAATTTCAGCAGCAAACTCAATGCGCCCTGAAATGTGCTTGTTTTTTGATGAAATATTAAAAGGCAAAATTTATCATGTGTATATAAGAGGCTGTTTAGCTTACTCTAACAACCAATATTATCCAGTTGGTAAAAAGATAAGCCGTAAATGTCCATATTAACGTTCTAACTATAGTTCAATAGTCTGTCTCATAATTTGCTCTCTAATTAATTTTTGGGTTGCACCAACTGATTTGATTTTATTGTAATCCATTAAATCCTAAGCACATTTGAAATAAAATGGAGAAGTCAACGAAAGATAGAATCCTATACAAACTCGCTATGGAGTAGATAGGACCCGTCCAGATGAAGCTGAAAATAGTGCCTCTGTAACTTTTTGAAGTAGACCTTCGGATTTAGGATACCTACCGAAGAGGGAAGATTTGTTATTTCTGTCCCTGCCAATGGCTAGACAGCTTTTGCTTCACACTTATTCTTTGCTTATCGGGACTAGAGGGGCGTCCACAAGATGTGGCTCTAACCTAGGGAGCTATCCTTAGGTTAGACGAATTTATGCCAAAAGGCTCGACAGGTTTGCCTTACACTTAATCTTTGCTTATCAGTACTATTGGGGCGTCCGCAACAGGTGGCTCTAGCCTAGGGAGCTACCCTTAGGTTAGGTGAGTTTAGCCAGATAGGCTTATCCGCTTATACCTTATAATTTTAACTTAACCTAAGCCCATTCCCAATTCCTGATCTCATATTGAGTTTTTCTTGACTCACTCAAATTCGAAGCCAAAATGCGTGATTAGTTTTCCTATTCGAAATTTCACTGATCCATTAATTATTCATTATAAATAGAGAACATACTAAGCATGCTGTCGTCACCTAAAACAACGGATGACACTCCTGAAGATTACATAAATTCTGATATTTCCCAATCTTCCTCAAGAGTCAGGAGCATTGATACTTCAAAATCTCAGGAAGAATCTTATACTTACACAGTCAGGAGAATTCTCCCTCCGATTTTCACAGTAATCTATCTATCTTATCTATAAAATTGAACTTCAATACCAGGCGAACCTGCATTGGTCGTTAAACGAGATAGAACTAAGATAAAAAATTATAGAAAATTCCCTTTAATTGCCTTATCAGTGGGTGGAATTGCCCGTTAAGTTCACAATTTGGTCTGACCAAGCCTAATAATTTTGGTCAGACCAAATTGTAACAATTCACCCACTAATAGGGCTATCTATTGGAATTACGTATAGCGCATCTCATAAATTAAAATATGCAAGAGAAAAAATTTCAGTCAGAAACAGATAGTTCTGACGACAATATATTTAATTATACTATTTTCACAGTCAAAGCAGAAGAAAGTGAATTTCAAATGGAAGATGAAGAAATTGACCCATATGAAGAACTCAATAAGCAATGAAAATGCCTTCTTCAATAAATTCCTCTTGTAAAGTACCACAGACATAAATATAACATTCTAATATATCCCATTTGCAATAAACAGAAGCCTTCCTGTTTATCATCGATTTATCCTATTTATATATCAAAAAGAATTACGGCTAGCCAGTGCCTATGTTTCTGCCTCCGAAAATGAGCATAATATTTCATTAAAATTATTTATAATATAAAAAGTTTATAGAATCTACTTGAGAATATATAAAAAGCTAAATAGTTGTAATTATTTTCAATTAATCAAAGATATTATAATAAATTACATGCAAAATAGAGTTGACTGCGCAAGGAAATACCTGACACTTGTCAGAAGCAGGTTTAGAGAGAACGGAAACAAGTATGAAGAATTCCTTCAAATTATGAAAGCCTTCAAAGAACAGAGGTAAACTATATTCAGGGTCGATACTGAAGCAGTGTGCAAGCGCGTCCAAGAATTGTTCAGAGGCCACAGAGTCCTTTTATTGGAATTCAATAAACTCATCCCACAAAATTATCGAATATCAGTTGAATCGCGTCCTCATTATAACGAGGCCATTGAATACATGAGAAAGGTCAAAGAGGAAACTAAGAACGATCCTGCAATTTATGACGAGTTTATTAAAATCCTCAAACAATATCAGAGCAAAGAAATGTCCCTTGACGATGTCAATAATAGTGTTCGTAAACTCATGGTTAATTACCCAGTACTGATGGACTCTTTCAAAGCTTTTCTTCCAAATTATTATGATGAGTCGTCTGAGGAAGAAGACGCTTATGAGCCGCTCTGTGCCAAGCCTTTGAAAAAGAGAAAAGAGCCTTCAATTCCGTTGAGCGCTGAAAAGATTGTGGCTGTTGAGCTTTCAGACCCAATTGGTAAAAATGAATTAATATTCTTATTATATCAAGCAGCCATTTTTTTATTTTTTATTTATAAATAAATTGCAAATTATTATAAAGGGAATATTTTTTCAGAAACTTAAAAAGGTGCTGGATTTGAACTCGCAACCGAATACTGATTATTTTTTGGAATTCTCACAATGCTTTAATCTTTATATTGTCTGTGTTATTACTAAACTTGAACTTCTCAATGTGATTGAGCCGTTATTTAGAGTTTCCAATGCACATAATTTTGTAAATTATGGTTCAAGCAGCAGAAGGCACCAAAAAGAAGAAAATTCTGAGCTGACTCAATATGTGCAAGGAAGACTCAGGGATTTCTTTGAAACTTTTAAAGTTATTGCAGGAACCAGAGAAAGCGCTAGAAGAAAATATGGGTGGTTTTTCAAGCCGCTGTCTGATTTTGATAACTCCAAAGCCAAAAGACAAGGACATAGCTATTTAAACTTGCAAAGACCTGCAATTAAAAGAACGCAGCCAAACGAAAAACTCAACTCTCAGTGAATTTCTGTCCCCTATGGCTCTGAAGACTTTTCTTTTAGGAATTTTCGTAAAAATGTGTTTGAAGATGCCTTATTCAAGTGTGAGGACGAAAGATATGAGCTCGATATGACAATAGAATCTGCTATGTCCACACTAAGATTGCTCGAAAAAGCAGAAGAAAAAATGAATAGCTTATCTCCAGAGCAGCAAAGAAGTTTTCAATTCAACGAAAAAGCTTTTGACAGCATCCACATGAGATCTATTCAATCAATCTATAGTGAACACGCTCCAAAAATAATAGAAACTCTTAAGCGAAATCCTGTGAAAGCATTACCTGTCGTCGTATTAAGACTTAAAAGTAAAATAGACGGCTGAACAAAACAAAGTAAATTAGAAAGCGAAAGACTATGAGGAGAAACCGTCGAAAAAAATTTTTGGAAATCGCTAGATCACAGATCATTTTATTTTAAACAAAATGAAAAGAGAATGACCAACGCAAAAGCATTTCTAGGAGAAGCGAAAGCGAGGTATAATGCAAGAAATGAAAATAAAGAATGGGTGAGAAAATATTTAAAAGGAGAAAATTCAGACAATAATTATGAATTTATAGGTGGGTCTAGGCATCAATTGTTTTTTAATTCATTTTCAGGGCTCTCTGCTGCTGTTTCTCACAAGGTGCCTACTGATTTTGTAAATGAAGTTATTGAAGAATTCAAGGTGCTGGATTCTGCAAAATCTGTCCCAGTTTACGAGAACGGAATAGAATATGCTTCTTTGCCGCATTTCCGGCTTCTTTATAACTATCAGCCAGTCTTAAACGATGCTCTACGCATCTTGATTTTTGCAGTGGAAAAATCTAATTTATCTGACAAAGAGAAAATATCCAAATGAATAAATGTATCCTATTTATTAAAATTACAGGATTCTTCTTTGAAAGGCAAAATTTAATCTAATTAGAAGCAAAAGTATAATATTTCAAGACTTAATGCAAATAAAACTGCCATCTGATGTACAAAATCATAAAGTCGAAGAATTTTTTGAAAACATCCCAGAGGAGGAACCACAAAAGCCTCCAACTCCAATAGAAACTGAAGATGTGGAGCTAACAAGGAAGATTATCACGAGATGGATAGAAAATGACTCCTATACTGAACCAGAAGTCGATTCAAACTCTCTATCAGATTTAGCCCAAGATCCAATTACTTTAAAAAAAGATGACTCTTTTTCAGCCTTTATTCCTCTTTTAAAAAACAATCAAATAATGTACTGTCCAAGCTCTATTTATTGCTTTATACGATTTTTTTATGGGATTTATGAAAGGCTCTTAAAAGTTAAGCTAGTTTTAAGCAAAGACGGCAAAGATGAAGAAAAGCCAACAATTGACTATGGAAATTATTCGTTTTCTGAGCAGGTGGAATCAGAATATTTAGGATTTTTGAAGGTTGTCTGTCTTGTATTAAAAAATACGTATGATAATTCTAAATTTGAAGAAAAATGCCGATCTTTGCTGGGCAATGATGCTTATATTTTATTCACGTTTGATAAGCTGGCAAGCTATACAGCCAAAGCTCTCCATGCTGTTGCTCATGATGATTTAGCAATGAAGGCTCTTAATCCCTGCCCACTGTGAGCAAGCAATCTTTTTACTAAAAATCCCAATTAATTAAACTTATTTGTAGAGTGCAAACTGCTTAATAATAATAGAATGTGATTGAATTTAACGATGACCCCCCCCTCAATCTTCATGTCTACTGCAACAAAAATTTTTAGAAAAAATCTTCATGCCTACTGCAACACAACATTTTTTTATAAAAAAAATTAATGCATTTTTCTCTAGGTGAGTTTCTCAAAAAACCCCATAAAACAGCGCTACTGTAGGTGTGTCAATGACCTTCTCATCGAGTTTTGGATGGCTATTGCTAGAATCGGCATTTTATTAAAACTTATCTAGCTAAAAAGTACGGAAAAATTTAAGATGCGCATCGAAAATTTGTTGCATTGGATTAGGATTAAGATTATTGCAGACACTTCTTGAGCCTCTGTCTGATTCTCGGCTCGGAGTCCGTCCCAGTTCGCTGTAGCCATAAGGTCTGGACTGCTGCTCCAAGAGGGCAGGTTGACACGTGTCGCCATTTTAATGTATATAATTTGTTGCAAGAGACATGAAAATTATATTATTTTTTTATATATATAAAATTTTATATTAAAAAATTGCATTTTTGTTGCAATAGACATGAAGATTGAGGGGGGGTCATCGTTAATTTTAAAAATCATTAATTATTTTATAGAAATAGTTTTTTGCTTTCTCACAGAGGGATTAGTATTTTTTCCAAATTCAGCAAACACAAGCTTAATGAAGAAATGTATATGGCTGAGTTTTTAGCTCAATCTCCGAGTGCACAGCTTTTCAGACTTCATTGAAATGTAAAATATAAAATTCTTAGCATCACTTATATTGAAAGTCCATATGAAAAACTGCAAGAGCCGCCTGTAAAAAACGCAATATTAAACGCAAAGCATTTTCTTAGCACTCAGTTTATTTCTCCTCTGCATGAAGAGTTAGAATTTGTGCAGCACAGATTGGATGCATTTTATCAGAATCATAGCATCACTTACTCAGATTTAGCAAACCAAATAAAATGTTTTAACGGAGTCAAAGTTGGACTTAACGAAAACTCGTTCAAAATGAGCTTTATTCCTGGCCTAGAAGATTACTTATTTAATACTCATTTTTATCACAAAGACGTTAAACTTACGATGGAATCAGAGATTTTTATTTGCAGAGATAAAAATTCATATATTCAAAAAGTGACAGAAATAGGAGACATCGCTATTTTAATAGTTAAAAGCGCTCCCACTTAAAGTGATTGCTTTATTTTATAGAAAACAAATTTCTATATCCACAATTTATTAATTGATTTCTCTAAATGGTATAAAAAATTTCAAAGATGGAGGGAAAAAATAAATAAAACATAATAATTAGTAAGATGTCTAATATTTTCGATAAACAAATCTCTGCTCTAAATACAGCTCTTACCTCTTTGCAGCAGAAGCTCCAGCAAGAAGCAATCACTGAGTTATATGAAGACACTGAAAATGATGTAAAAACTTTAAACGAGAGATATCACAAGTTGAAAATTATTTTGCAAACACACCAAACTCAACTGGCAAATCTTCAAGATCTTATCAGTACAAAAGTTAAACTTATAGATAGCTTGAAGCATAAGCAAAACTCATTAAAAGAAAAGCTTGGGGTTGCAGCTAAGGCTAGCGATGAGTCTAGGAAAAGAGTTCTTCCTAAAAGTCCAATATCAGATTTACATGACAATTCGGAGGAATTATCAGGGTTACAAAAATGCCTTGAAGGGATTGAAGAAATGTTTTACAAATTAGATGCTGTGAATCAAAAGCCTCTATGCAAGAATTGTACTTTACTAATTAACTAATTTTTGCTGAAACAATATAAAAAGGGTTAGCAAATATTTCATCTTTAAGTCAAATATAAACTCCGCAAGTATATCAAGTGAAAAAATAATGAAAATAACGGAGGGGATTTCTTTTTCTTATGAATCCAAAAATTTTATAAATACTATAACAATACTATTAGAAAAATCCTTATTTTTTGGGTAAAATCCGAGCGAACAAAACGTTTTTTTAATACAAAAATTTTTTTTATAAAATAATATTTTGATATAAGTGATAATTACTATAATGAAATCTCTACTAATTCTGTTTTAATTTTAAATAACTCCCATTTTAAAACATATTTCATCGGAGAGGTTTTTTTTTAAAATCATATATATGCATTTTATAGTAATTTTTTTTCCCGAAATTTACAAAAATCTTTTTCAGAAATTAGAAGGCAAAAATTAATTTAACTATGTTGAATAAATTTTTTTATTTCGCTCACATAGAGGAGGATAGAAATAGTTACAAGAATTTTAAGACTACAATTAAGAATTACTGCTGCTCATGCGAGATGAATTTAATACTGATTTTTTTATATCCTCTTCATTCACAGAAGATAATACACTCAATCTATATTTATGCTTGACATTAGGAGTAGATCTGCCTTTTTTCTTTGAAGATTCATACTTTTTCTCTTTATTTTTCTTAATAAAAATACAGAGCGCTTGAGCTTTATCCTGTGTGGTTCCGCTAGGTATTTCGACTTCAAGGCTTTCAAAAGCTGGAGTCAAATTAGGTCTAGGAGTTAAGTCTTCAAAACCTGCAGCAGCACGAATAGACAACTCCGAATTCTGTATTTCCAGATTAGAAATAATTGCTTCAAAATCTTGATTTTCCTTATATGCAAATTTTAATTTTGCAAGTAGAGTTTTAAAGGAATCTGCTAACTCCCCCCCCCTTCTTGAGTGAAACAAAAAAATTTTGTTCACTCACGGAGGGGGGTTAATTTTTTTTTTAAACAATTTTTATATATAAATTTTATAAAAATTTTTTTTTTCGAAATTTAAAAAATCCTAATTCGCAAAAATTTGAAAGCAAATATTAATTCAATTTGCAAAATTTATGTTTTAAAATGCAATTCGTTTAAAATTAAATAGAATTAGCTCTATATTTCATTATACTAATTATCATTTATATATCAAAATTTTTTTCCATAAAAAATTTTCTATTAAAAAAATTTTTGTTCACTCACGGAGGGTGGTTTTTTGGCAAAAAATAGGGATTTTTCTAATGGTTTGTTCACTCACGGAGGGGGGGGGGAGTAAGTTATTATACTGACTTCTGTATTCTTCATTTTGTTGGGTAACAGACTTTAATTTCAATTCCATTTCTTCAGCAGCTCCTTGAATTTTTTTCAGCTTAGCTTGCAATTCAATTTTAATTTTTTCATCATCATGAATAATATCTTCTTGCCTCTCTATTACAGCATTTAAATCCATAATTTTTTTGAAATTTTTGCTTAATTGGTTTTCCAAACTAATTCTTTCATTCACATATCCTTTTGCTTCATATTCCAATTTTTCAAGTTTCATTCTAAAAATGTCAATTTCAGATTTCAATGTCAGAATAGTCTCATCCTTTTCTTTGCATTTTCTTTCAAATTCTTCTTTCATTGCTTTTTCTCTATACTTATATTGTTTTGCAGTTTTTTCTTTTTCTTTGTTTAATTTCACAGCGATGTCATAGATATAAAAATAAGGTATTTCTTCCGTTAAATCTTTCAGAGCGTCTCAATGCTTATCTAAAGATTCTTCTAGTATATCAGACTTTATATCTCTTTTATTAGCAAAAATAGCTTTATTTAATTCTTCTGTTATGAGTTTCATTTCTTTTGTATAATGTTTATCCTCAGTTGCGATAAGGTCAAGAAGTTTTAAAATCAGCCTTATCTTTTCAACAGAATTTTCAGGGTTTTCTTCATTAGCTACCTTAAGAACCTTATTAAATGCAACTGCAATTTCAATGCTTGGTTTTAGATCGCTAGTGCTTTTTAATAAATGCTGTAAAGGTATATTAAACATCTTGAAGTTAGTTTGAGTTTTACTTTGGATATGGCATCGACTTGTTGAATCCTTCTCAAAATATTCAGCACTTGGAGCTCTTCTTCTAAAAAGTATTTTCTCAACTGATTGCGATCTTCCATGATTACATAGTTTTGACGCTTGAATCGCAGCTGCTGTTTCAGTAGCTGAATTTTCTCTTTCTGATTTTGGCTTCTTTAAGCTTTTTAAAAGCGTTTTAATTGAAGCCAGCTTACTTCGCTCCTTTGAAATAGAACAATATTTATATGCGAAATTGCCAGCTTTTAGGTTAAACTCCCTTTAAATGCAAATTGAAAATTTTATAGAAGAGATTTAATTTTAAGCAAATAGCTGTGATCCAATTTAAAGAGAAAATTTAATTAGAATGCTATTTAAGCAGTTAGGGGTCATAAAAAATTAGAAAAATATTAATTCTCTTTATATTGGAACAGATTCTTTGCTTCAATTTAAAGGGGAGTTAGTGTTTCCTCTTATCATGCAATTATAAAAAATATGCTTTTGTGTGTATTCTTTTGTGCCTGCAAGCTAAATTAATGGATAAATATGCTAACTTTCTCCGATCAGCCAACAAATTTTTTTAACTCCCCCCCATCCTTGATCGAACGACTCGCCATCGTTCGATCAAGAATGGGAGTTAAAAATTTTTTTTTTTATATATGTTTTAAATAAGAGGGTTAAGAGTATTTAATAATTTTTTACAGCAAAAAATTGAATTAATTTCATAAAAATACCAATTTTTAATATTTTGATTTCTTGCTACCCCTTTAAACTTTATAAATCTTTAATTTGTTTTTTATTAATTTTTGATTTTTTTTATAATTTTAAAGAATCTCTATTTTTTAGATAATTGAGTTTTTAGCCCAGGTTGATGACTAAAGCACTTCGGATGGTTGATTCTGTAGCTTTCTGTCGTCTCAAAGCCTCTGAAAACAACTTCATTAGGCACATCTTCCCAAGCTTTTGATAACTAATATATTTTTATATATATAAAAATTGTCATGATATGAAAATCGTTCGATCAAGGAGGGGGTTAATTTCCCCAATTTTTAGGAATTTTTACAGTCAATAGTTCGATCAAGGAAGGGGGGGAGTAAGGGTTAGTTAAAATATTTGTTTTTATTTTTTCTATATAAAAAAAAGTTACTTGCTCGTTGATGTTAGCTATTTTCCACAAATTAATATTTTTCCAACGAGCTCACTAAGGTGAGAAGTAAGGGCTTTCTCGAATTTTGCTTTAGGCACATTTTCTAAGCCTTTACTCAAGTCTGTACCGTATAGAAATATTAATACTATAGCTCTCTGCAGATATTTCAGCAAGCAAACTATCAAAGTTCCATCAATGGGTGAGTCAATTACTGAAGGTGCTGTTCAATCTTGGGTCAAAAAAGTTGGAGATTATGTGAATATGGACGAAATTGTAGTCGTTATTGAAAGCGATAAGCTAAGTCAAGAGATCAGATCTCCTGTAGCTGGAGAAATTGTCGAGCAGCTTGCAAAAGAAGGAGATGACATCCCTGTTGGGGCTGATTTATTTATTGTTGATACAGACAAGGTTAAATCAGAAAGCGCAGCAAAAGCTGAAAAACCTAAAGAGCAAGCAAAAGAACAACCTAAAGAGCAGCCAAAAGAACAGCCAAAGGTAGTTGCTAAAGAGGAAGCCAAACCTCCAACAAAAGAGCAGCCTAAAACTGAGAAAAAACCAGAAGCCCCAGTAGTGACGAAGCCTAAAGTTGAAGCTCCAAAGGTTACAGGAGAAAGGACTGAAACGAGAGAAAGGATGAGCAAAATGAGAAAAAAAATCGCAGAAAGGCTAAAAGGCGCTCAAAACACCTATGCTTTGCTTACTCCCCCCTCCGTGAGTGAACAAAACCATTAGAAAAATCTCTATTTTTTGCCCAAAAACCCACCCTCCATAAATGAACAAAAAATTTATGGAAAAAAAATTTGATATATAAGTGATAATTAGCATAATGAAATCTCGAGCTAATTCTGTTTAATTTAAACAAACTGCGTTTTTTAAAACATAAATTTTACAAAGTAAATTAATATTTGCTTTCCCAATTTTTATAGAAGTGAGATTTTTAAAATTTCGAAAAAAAAAATTAAACCCCTCTCCGGAGTGAACAAAATTTTTTTATTCACTCACGGAGGGGGGAGTTAGCACTTTTCAAGAATGTGATATGAGCAGAGCAATGGAGCTCAGAAACATCTATAAAGACGATTTCCTCAAGAAGCACGGCGTCAAGCTTGGATTCATGTCTTTCTTTGTTAAGGCAGCTACACATGCTTTACTTCATAGCCCAGTCGCAAACGCAGTAATTGATGGAGACGAAATCGTGTATAAAAACTATGTCGATATTTCTGTCGCTGTTTCCACCCCTAATGGACTTGTTGTGCCAGTCCTGAGAAATTGTGAGCAGAAGTCTTTCGCTGACATCGAAAAAGAAATTGCGAGATTTGCAAATCTTGCAAGAGATAATAAGCTAGCTTTAGAAGATATGCAAGGAGGAAGCTTTACGATTTCCAACGGTGGAATCTATGGATCGATGCTTGGAACTCCAATTATCAACCCACCTCAGACATCAATTTTGGGCATGCATAGCATTGAAAACAGAGCAGTCGTGAAGGGAGACCAAATTGTGGCAAGACCAATAATGTATTTACTCCCCCCCCTTCGAAGTTCGACCAAGAATTTTTGGTCGATCTTCGAGCGGGGTTAAGAAAAAATTTTTTTAAAAAAAATTATATAGAATTTGTTTTTTATATAATTTAGTAGTTAAAAAAAAAAAAATTTACCATATTCTTCTGTATGGTTGAGAGGGTGTAAGGGTTAGAAAAAATAGTGCAAGATGGTTTTGTAACGCTTTTTTAGAACTTGAATACAAAAATCGCAAGCTTACCCCCACATAGTTTAAAATTTTTGAAAAATTGCTTATTTTCCTAGTAAATTTATATAGGTCTTGGTCGAACTTTGAGGGGGGTTAATTTCCAAAAAAATAGGCATTTTCCCTATATCTTGAACTTCGAGGGGGGGAGTTAGCGCTGACTTATGATCATAGATTACTAGACGGAAAAGATGCTGTTCTCTTTTTAAGAAGCATTAAGATGGCTGTTGAGGAGCCTACAAGAATTCTTTTAGATCTTTAAGAGATAATCTAATTTCATTCACTATAATCAAGAAATGCTTAAATTATTATAAGAAAAATCTAACTAGGATTTTCGCACTGAGAAAGCCTATTAAATAGCAAAAATTGCTATATTTTAGAAAATCACGAAAACCTATGAAGTTTAACTGAGGGAGAAGGTAACAATATAATTAATATTATGAATTAATCAGCATCTGCTGTGCTGTTGCTTCTACTTCTTGCCAAAATCGCTTGCTGAAAAAATCCAGTTGATCTTGGAGGTGAGCCTTCACTCTGTTCTCTCACCTGTCGCTTCAATGCATCAATTGTATGTTTTAATTCATTAATATTTGCCTGAAGTTTATCAATTTGCATGGACTGCTCATAAGTCGTTTTTTTCAAAATTTTTATTAATAGCTGGTCTTCTTCTTGCTCTCGTAATAATGTTTCAACAGAGTAGATGCTGGACTCAATTGCAGATGGCGTCAGTGAAATCGGAGGAGGAAGTTCAGCAGAGTCCAATGGTTTTATTTCAGGGCTTGGAGCATAAACTCGAAGTTTTTTATATTCGTGGTAAGCCATTGACGAATATGCTCGCTCTCTTACTTCCCCTCTGAGAGCGAACACAAAAAATTGTGCTCGCATATGGAGGGAGATATTCTTTAACATAAATTTTAACATTATTTTTCAAATATAGATTTGGTAATATATATAAATTTATATTACAGAATTAGCTAAAGATATCATTATAATAATTATCACTTATATTATCAAAATATTTTTTAATAAAAATTTTTTGCCTGTGCATTGAGGATTGGGTTTTGTAGAAAAAATAAAAATTCACCCAATTATTTATTGACTCACCAAGGTAGAATTAGCTGCGGCAAATCACTCATAATTTATTAATTATTCGCAAAGCCTGATTTTCATATGAGTTTATTTGATATTCCATTTTTGATAATTATTAAAAATATTATATTAATTCAAACAATCTTCTAATTAAGATAATTATAATAATAAATGAACACAAACTATCTAAGAACTAATTATAAAATACCTAACTTCACCAGCGAGGAAAGACTATTTTACCTGGGCCGAAATCAAGAATACGAAGAAGAGAGCTCAATTGTTAGACTTGGATACGATGAGAAAAAAAGTCCTACTCACAGAAGCACTTATTCAATTGATGAGTTTAAATTAAAAGCATTATCAACCCCAAATAAGCCAAGTCACAAACGAACGATAAGTGGGACACATGCCTATTTTACAGAACTCAGAAGTTTTGGGAGCAAGTCTCCACCTTCAAATTCAGAAAAAAGTGATGAGTTAAACGGAAACTGCTGTTTAAGCAAATACACTAATAATCAAGTATTGCCAGAGCTCTGCGAGTATGATGAAACCCCAGTTGTAGCCAATAACGCAGAAGAGCAAAGCCAGACTGATTTCCCTGAACAAGAATCTCCACTTGGTCTTGAGGTTTTTGAAGAGATGATGGAAATAATTTCAAGTAAAGACTCCGAAAAATCAAAAAATAAAGCAAAAAGAATCAGACAGCTTAAAGAAATACTACTAGAAAAACTAAAAAAGAGCTCTTCTTTCGATTCAGCATCTTTTTCTAAAAATGAGCTACTGAGTACTGAAAGACTTTCTGAGTTAATAAAAAGCTCTTTTACCTCAAATCGCACACAAGTTGGGCCTGGGAGTTCAATTTTACTAAATGAGCCAAGTATAGAAGCTCCTGAATACAATAATTTTTTAAAAGGAATCAATAAGACTCCTATCTCATACTCAAAACTAAGCGGTGAAAAAAATAACATGAGTAAAATTGAGGAGATTTTAATGCATGTTTGCAAAAAGAGCGCATATCAGATAAACAATATTAAGCGAAAAATGAACAATGCAAAGTGAGCTAAGAGGTTTGTGGTGATTTTTAATAGTTCAGAAAATTCAGAAAATGTAGGGGTTTATGGAAAAGAGTTTATTAATTTCAGAAAGATTGATGGTGATCAAAGTTTTCCAGAAAATGTATTTAAGCCACAAATTGAACGAGAGCTTGTGTTTGACGAAGAAAATGAATTGAAAGAAATAGATAGCGAAGACGAAGCTGATGCGGTTATTTTATATAAGTCATAAATTACTCATCAGACAATAATTAAATAAAGTCAATTCTGTATGTAGATAATATATTAAAAAATTCAACGATTTTTGTTTAGAAATAATATTATCAGCTGGAATGAAAATAATATAAGAAATAGCCTTGGCGAAAATCATTTAAGAAGTCTTACAATTATAGTAAATTTATAAGAATATCCTTTAATTTTTTCAAATAAAGCTATTTTAAGATCAAAACAACATATCAGGAGAATAAGAATAAAAAATAAAATAAAATTTTAATTACAAATAAAGATGACTTTAAGACATTAAATATATTAAATTTTGCTTCAGCCATTTTATCCTATGGATTAGTATTGCAGTCATATAGAATTTTAATTCTTTACTATTAAATTTGCTTGGATTCAATTTACTCTTTTATAAGGACCTTCAAGCCTTTACATATTGAATATGCTTAAATTTTATTTTATGTTATATTATATTTATTATGATAGGTTTACTTACATAAAAACGAACGAAAGTAATTTATAAATGGGTGGATGCGGATCTCGAACAACTTCTGTAAAAATCATATTTTCTTTTGACAAGCGATATTTTTCTAGCTGGACAAGAAAACAATGAATTCCAAAAGAAACCTCATTTCGCCAAATTCATAGCGAAATTAAGAAAGCACTACTTTCTTCATATTCACAGCAGAAATATAAAATTTTGCTCAAATTTCGAAGCAAATTTTACAGCTCTCATGACCCTACAACTTTTTTGGATCTAAATGCCAAAAATGGTGAAAAAGTCTCGATTTCTGTGGTTCCGAAAGAAGAAACTAACATGCCATTAATAATATCGTTTATTGCAAATTTTTGAACACTGTCGTGGCTTGATCAAAAGTGGGAACATAGATTGAAGGTACCAATTTGAAAAGAGACCTTTGTAATTAAAAATTAAAATTATCTATCTTTTCACAGTTCCACTTCTTCTTATTTTTGGAGATGAGCTGTTGCAGCTGTAGTCACATGAGCATTGGCATCATCATTATTTGTGCTAATTGGGCTTGAGATGAATCTTTTTCATTTCTGCTTTCATCATTATGATCTCGCTGAAATAAAGGGTTATCAGGTTCATAGTAGTACGTAAATTGTCTTTAAACACTCTTTTCCTAAGCACCTAAAGTAATAGATACTGAGTAAATAATATTTTTGGATTATTCGCAAGTGCTATTCTCACAAATTGGGTCTTTTTGCCTTTGCATCTTGCTGGAGGAAGCTGGACTTGGGATCTTATTGGTAGAGGTATTGTGGACATGTATGCTTATGCAAGAAAGCTAATGGATGTGATTGAATAATCAGGCAAATAATACCTGATATGCTGCAAAAGCGCATATATAGGTTTGCTTTATCATGATTTCCGACGGCCTGAGGCAAAGGAATCTATATGATATTACTTCTTGGTAGTTCATATTTTAATTAATGGAAAAATATTTCATATGATAAAATTTTTGGTACGGCAAAATGGCTGAAATGTAAATTCTGATAATTCTGATGTAATTACAAAAATGGCAAATGCAGATTATCCAATATACTAGGTAATAAAATAAACTTTGTTGTGATAGAAGTTAGATTTTGCGATTTAATTTAATATTTAATAAAGAAGTTAATAATAAAGTGGCATAGCATATACACAATGCATATGCACTATTAAAATTTCCATTAGTTAAATCAAAATTCATTCCATTTGCTTTTATTTCGCTTATATTTCGTTACAAAACTCCTCACCGGAACTTGCTCCTTGAGGGTTGACATTTTTTTTAAAACGCCATTTTTTTTTTAATTTTAGATAGTGAAGTTGAAATTCAAAGTAGCATAGCATAGCATCTGCACGATGCAGATGCGCTATTAAAAATTTCCATTAGTTGAATCAAAATTCATTAGATTTGCTTTAATTTCCCCTATATTTCAATGCCAAACTCTTCACCGGAACTCGCTCCATGAGGGGTGACATTTTTATAATAAGCCATTTGTTTTAATGTTTTTATATGAAGTTAAGAATAAAGTGATATAGCATGTACACGATGCAGATGCACTATTAAAATTTCCATTAGTTGAATCAAAATTTATTAGATTTACTTGAATTTCCCCTATATTTTAATGCAAAACTGCTCACGGAACTCGCTCCATGAGGGTAACATTTTTATAATAAGCCATTATTTTTTAATTTTTAAATAAATCAGCACTCATTATTGGAATCATCAATATAATCATTTATTTTATATATTTATAAAAATATTAATTAGATTTTCTAGCGCATCTGATTTCTAGTTAATATTTATATATTTACATATTTAAAAAAATGGCTTAAATATGTTAATCGCTAATAGGAAAGATAAAGGAAAAGACTCTATAAATGTAAGGCTTCATTGTTGTATAGAAGAGTGTATATGTGTATTTATCAAAAGAAGATCGACTTTTTGTCAGCTTCAAGAAGAAATTCTGAAGTCCAAGACATGTTGCACTCAAACAGACTTGAAAATTGTGTATAAAGATTTAGAGCTTTCACCTGAGGATTTAGTTCCTGATATAGGAAATGAAGCCCTCGATGTATTTTCTAATTCTAAGCCCTATGAAAGTATACTCAGCCCATGAAAAATCAAAAAATCAGGCCTGGTCAAAGAAGGGCTTTGTATGAACGTGGACTGCTTGGCCTACAAGCAAATTGTTTCAGTTAATAAAGGAATAGGCCATTTTAATTTAATTGCTGAAATGAGCCTCCTTAATAGCGAAAAGTGTGTAATTTGTAACGAAAAACTTCATAACACTCACAGAATAGGATTTGTGAACTGCGTATATTCATATTCTGCAGTTAAAAATGACGAAACTTCCCAAATCGAAAACTATAGAACAGTTGTGGACTATGAAGAGTTTGAGCTTATCAAACAAGACGAATGAATTCAGTTTGAAATCACAGTTTCTGCTAGGTCTGACAATTTCTTCTTATAATATTAGTAAATTTAATTCATTATTTAATACATTAATTCTTCAATGCCTGCTCCTTTGGCTGAGTGATATTATTGTTATCAGGCTGTAGGGTGGCATCGAAGAAATAGCCAACAAATAAGTCTTGCATTGAAGACTCCTTGACTTCTGCAAGCTCAGCTTCGTCTTTTCACTCATTCATTACTTGTTTGCTATCAAAGTTATTTTCTAGGGATGGAATATAATTGTTTGCATTGCTTCCTTATTGGGCTGGCAATGTCAGAATTATATAAGCTAATAAAGCTAAATATATAGGTTTAACAAGCTGAAAATATTTTTGGTGTGTCAAGACCATAAGAAAATTATACAGCTTATTATAAAAGGTGACGTTTGGGATTTTTCAAATATTTTTTGCCAGCTTACGTTTCTAAGCCATGCATGAGATTTTACTTCACTAGGGCCGTTTAGCCCTAATCTTTGTTGAGGTTTTCTTTGCAACAGTTTATTTGCAAAATCTGCCGCTTCTACCGACCATCCTTCAGGGATATCTGGCTTCCTTATTTGTACCTGTTTTGCCAAAATGGCATCCCTTATTTCTTTTCTATTTCTCCCTTGATATGGTCTTCGTCCTAGCATGAACTCATAAACTATAACTCCAACTGCAAAATAATCAGCTTGAATATTATGGTTCTGCCTACAAATCACTTCAGGCGCCATATACCCTGGGGTTCCTGAAGTTTCATTTCCATTTTCAGGCTGCCAAATTCTCGCAATCCCAAAGTCAGTAAGTCTAACATATCCTTTATCATCTAAAACTAGATTTTCTGGCTTGATGTCTCTATGAATAATTCCATTCATATGAAGATATTCAAGTCCACTCAAAATGCAAGCTACAAAAAAACGTGTCTGCTCCTCTGTAAACCTCCTTTGCCGTCCCAAATGAAAGCGCAGATCGCCTCCAGGCATCAAATCCATGGCTAAGTACAAGTTTTCTCGGTCTTGGAAAGCAAACCTCATATTAACGATAAATGGATGACGCAATATAGCAAGCAGCCTTCTTTCGTTCATTACTGAATGAACGCTTTTTTTAGATATAATTCGCCTTTTTTGCATTTCTTTCATTGCGTATGAAACTTTTGTTTTTTTGTGTACAACACGCCAAACTTTGCCAAAGCCTCCTTTGCCAATTGGGTAGTGAAACTGAAATTGATGATGGTTGAGAGCTGATTAGGGCTTACATATTGTAGGATCAGTGTTTTCGGTTCGAAAATTGCAGTTGCCCATTTATATTTATCGAGCAGCAGTAAGCCATTTCTCCGATGTTTTTTGGAATAAGGTAACGCTTGAAGTTAAAAATAGCTGCTCTAGCAAGTATAGAGACTCAGAGATAGAATGATTAATTAAAATTGCATATAAAGATGAGTCTTTTAAATATAAACTAATAGGAAAAAAATTAACGAAATGTTATTATATCATATTTGATGAAAAATTATGGAAAATATCAAATTTGACTATAACAGACAGCAGATATCTAAACAAATAAGCTTTTGCCCAATTAAACTCTGTTAAAAGTTAATCAATTCTTATTATTATATCGACAGAATTGAAATTTATAGATTTTTGATTACTTTTTTTATCATATTTAATTTGTATTGGCTGAATAATATTTACTCATATCAAAACTTACCATCTTTTTAAAATTTAAAACTAGAAAAAATGAATTAATTATTTTGGCTATAACACCCCAAAAATCCAAGAGGATCTTCTATTTTCTCTACTCTACTCGGTTTATTTTCTTTTTCCCCACTCTTCAAACTAACCACTTTTCTCTCAGAGTCTCTGAATAATCCAGCCTTGCTGCTTCTCTCAAACACATTCCCCCACGGCTCCTTCTTTTTCTCACAAAATCTCATGCACGCGTTCATGTCTTTTAATTTGACTTCAAAAATATCCCTATATTTCTTTAATTTCCTCATTTCCCTCAGTCTCACTTTTTTCAGCACCCCTTCATGATCACTTGTCGGGAGCTTCAAAATCTCTTTCTCAATGTTATCCCCTTTATAATGCGAAATGATCCCTTGCGATGACTCCTCTCTCCTTACAATGAATTCGTCTACTTGTTTGTCACTCTCCAAAGCGTCAATGATGTTAATAGGCATATTTAAAATATGGAGTGTTTGATTAGAAATATTTAGCTTATTATAAAGCTCTCATCATTGTTGCCGATGGATACCAAATAGAACTTCTTTCTTCTGGAATCATAGGACAAGATACGAGCATTTCTCGTACAGTAGGTATACTCGTTATCAAATTTGCCTGGCTGATGTCCCCAAAACGTGCCTTTCACTGGAGTTTGTCCTAATTCTTTTATGCTCCCTTCATAAATGATTTTCCAAGCATTGGGGTTCTCCTCACCTTCTTCATTAAGTCCTCCAAAAATTATGAAACTGTCTTCAAATCCGATTGCTCCGAGGCTTGACAATCTTTGGGGTAGTTTAAAAGTTAATTTCTCCCATCTTCTATTAAGTCTGATAACTGATCTGCAGGTTTTTCCTGATTTTATTCCTCCAACTACATATAAATCGTTCCCTACTGAAAAAGAAGCAGCATATTCTCGTGGCTTTTCTAATGGCTCAAGTGATCTCCAAGACAGCGATCTTAAGTTCAAGGCTTCAACTTCTACTGTATCTTTTCCACTAATTACTACTAAGGAGCCATTGTGGATACAAGCCGTATGGTGCTTGTGAGAGACTTTTAGATCGCTTATAGGTGAAAATGCATAGGTGTCCCAAAGCCAAGCTTTATTGCTGCTGACTATGATTAGACCAATTGATGTCTGAGTTAAGCTATAGTCTTTCTTTAAGCCTATTGTAACTTCGTGATGAGTTACTGAGCATTCTTTTGGATGATATCCTACAAGCTGATTGCTGAGTGGATTAATATAGAACCCAACTTCGGAGTATATCAATTCTTCATGTTGAGGAACCTGGAGGTCTAAATTGAATTCTAATTGAGGATTTTCTTCTTTACCATCCTCAGCCTCTTGTGTATTCTTTTTCTTGTTGCTTACTCCCTACGTAAAGAAAAAAAAATTTTTGTTAGCTCATGGAGGGTTTTTTCTTTTAAAAAATTATATAGTAAAAAAATCCCATTCACAAAAGTGGTCTGCAATATTTATTTACTTTGTTTAAAATTAATTATAATTAACTTACTCCCCCCCCTCCGTGAGTGAACAAAACCATTAGAAAAATCGCTATTTTTTGCCCAAAAACCCACCCTCCGTGAGTGAACAAAATTTTTTTAATACAAAAATTTTTTATAGAAAAAAGATTTGATATATAAATGATAATTAGTATAATGAAATCTAGAGCTAAATTCTATTTAATTTTGAACGATTTGCTTTTTAAAACATAAATTTTATAAATTAAATTAATTTTTGCTTTCCAATTTTTGCGAATTAGGATTTTTTTAAATTTCGAAAAAAAATATTTTTATAAAATTTTATATATAAATTTTTTAAAAAAAAAAAATTAACCCCCTCCGTGAACAAAATTTTTTTTGTTCACTCACGGAGGGGGGGGGCAGTTAATATTTCATTATGTTAATAATTGCATATATATCAAATTTTTTTTAATTTGCTCGCTCTAGAAGGGTGGGTAAAAAATAGGGATTTTCCAATATTTTATTTCACTCACACAGAGGCAGTTACCATTTGCAAGTCATCAAATCCTTCGTTGATTTCTTCCCTTTCTTCAACTCTCACTGTGACAACTCCTTTTGGTGGCTCTACTTCAACTTCAACTTCCTCTTGCTCTTGCTCTTCCTCTTCAAATTGAATATTGAAATAATTGCATAGTTCTTTGGAGACTTTTTTTTCTCTCGATTTTCCTTCTCTTGCAAGTTTCTGAAGCACGTCACTAATAGCTTTGCAAGACAAGCAAGTTCCTTTTCCTCCTTGATTTTCCAGAATAACTCCTTTCATAATCCCTTTTTTCCCACATACCAAACCTCCTTGAGCCTCTTTATTCATAGCAATAGGGAGTTGAAAATGAAATTGATCAAATGGAATTGCATTTGTCTTGTTTTTATCTATTACACCTTCCTTTCCAATAAACAAAACATTGATTTCTTCATTTTTTCCAATATCATCTTCATTAAGCCTAATTCTGCTTCTTTTTCTAAGCGCCTCTGCATCGTTTGCTTCAAGCTCAAGTTTCAATATGACGGCTTCGTCCACTATTGCGGCATAAATTTTTTCATTGAATTTTTGAGGGTTTTTGATCCCTGGAATCACCACTTGAAGTGAAGGTATGACAGACTTATCAGGACAAACGATTTTTGATACCAAAACATACTCAGGGGTCAGAAGAATTGATGAAAAATAGATATCGCCTCGAATTATACGACAAACGTTTTGTGAGAGCGAAAAAAGAGGGTCAGAGCTGGTTATTGTAAGGACTTCTTCTTTGACGAAGTTTAAAGTGACTTTACTTGAAGACCTGCAGGCTTGGACGAGCTCATTGTCTGAAGTTAATTTCTTTGTATTTAGGAAAAGAAAATATGAGCCTTTTCCAGCTTCTTTGAACATGGTTTTACATTTTTGGATGATCATTTCTAAGGAAGTAATGTTAGTGATCTGTGCTGTTTGGCCTTTGAAGTTGACAATGATCATTGTTTGTTTTCCGCAGCATGCACCCATTATTAAATTTATAATGGACTTATTAGTTTCAAAATAAATTTGAGCGTATTAGAAGTTTATTAGGACGAATTTCAGAGAGTCGTGATTTTTATTTAAAATGATAAAGATGATTGAAAGCTTCTTACAAGTTGTTCAACTTAACTTAAACAGACGGGCTCGTGCCCTTAATTTTAACGCAATCACCGAGGATCCCTTGTGGGATTCATCCGCTTTGCGACCTCCCTCTCGCATAAAGCAAGAGTACTGAGGCCTCCTCCCTGCCTCTTGTAAAAGGCTCCAGTGTTGAGTGGGCAGACTACGGGTTTGTGCGACCTCCTGAGGCTGTAGCAAACGAAGTTGGCATTCCGAAATTCCAAAAAATGGAATTTCTGGTAGCCTGTCGGCAAAAAAGGGTAAAGTCCAGATCCTGGGATGTAACGCCCAGTTTCACGCTAGGCAGCATTGCTGTCCATTTCAAGGCTAGAAAAACCTTGCCGGATATAATTAAAATATGAGTCGGAGGCTATATGTCTGGGAGGCTATATATGTCCCGGGAGGCTATATGGCCGTGAGGCCATACCTAGACGAAGACGCCATATTTTAATTATTCTTACAAGTTGGTCAAATGGTGATGAATATTTTTAGTGCCTTGCTGCAGATGCGACTTAATTTTTGAATTAAAGCCGACTATATGTCTTTTGATTTGAATGCTTTTATATTATGGCATTTCCTCAGAAAAATTTTTAATAGCGGAAAAAACCATTGAATTTCTATCAAATATCTTAAGAAGGAAAAACTTAGACTAAATATGCATGAGAAAATGCGACATTATCAAAATGTTCTGATCAAAAAGCATCCACCATTAAAGATAATTTCTGATAAAAAATGAATATCATTTAAATAAGTATTTTATCATAAAATTTAAATTTTTGAAGAGCAAAATGAGTAATTTTAATTAGGAACAATAATGTTAAATTCAGCCAAATATTAGGTGTTCTAAAACAATAATGAAAGTTAAATTTCAAATTAATAATTTATTGGCAAATTAAGCATTGTTTAAAATCAAAACGCTTTTTAATTTCATATTTTGGATTTTTCTTATAGTCTTTCTTGGCAAAGATTCGAGAAAAATGAATGGATTTGATAAACTATAAATATATAATTATTTAGGTTTGAAATATATATGTCTAATTATAAATGAATATAAAAATTCCTACTATGCTATAGAAGTTTCCTATGTTTGCGCTGTAAGGCCGATAAATTCTGATCGGAATTTATCGGTTGGTTGCACCAAATCAATGCCTTGGTCGGACCAAAAAGCGATTTGGTCCGACGAACTTGGAAAGCTCCTGGAAAATGTCTGCGCTTTCAGCGCTATATAGAGGAAACCTCTATATCGTATTTTCAAATAGCAAAATAAAATAGCAGTTAGTCAGTATTAATATTTTTATTCATTGCAATTAGGTATGATATTTTTATTTACATCATTTTAAAGCTGATTTATCAGCATTTCTCTCTTTATATCAGGTATAATATAAAATTTGAATATTAATTGATTTAATGCAAAAATTAATTCTATTTAAAGCATGCCAAATAAAAATTGATAAAGCGATTAATTATATAAATGTAGGTTCAATAAGTATTCCAGATGGTAATATATTGCACGATTTATAGTCCAGAGTTCTTCCTGCTTCGCTGAGCACAAACGGAGGATTCCGTTTTACCCTGAAAATTCTCTTTTTCGGTTTATGCTCAACAATTTCATTTCTGTAAATTCTCTTCTCAATCTTCATTTGAAGATTCCTTACTTTACTTCCAAAATGGCTTTCTTGGCGTAAAATCCTTTCTTTTTCTTTAATCTGGCGTAGAGCTACATCAAGCTCAGACTCAACAGCTGGAATATTATATACAAATTGCACTAATTGAAAGTCTCTATACTGACTGTAGTTTTTTATTTACCATAAAAAATAGGATAATGCTAAATATTGTATTTTTTTATAATTATAAATTTACTAATATTCATTTTGGGAAGATTTGCCTTTAGGAACTGAAACTGATCTCTTTCCAATTGAAATTGGAGAAAAATGAAGAGCTTCAGCAACCATATAGACAAGGCGGTTTTTTGTGGATTCTTTTAAGTATTTGTGGTTAGATAATACAGTAATAGGGATTCTTAGCTCTTTTTCTTTTGAAGTAGTTTTAAGTCGCCTGGCTGATTTCGGACGGATTTTTGGAGAGGGAACGTTAGTGCTAGAAATGAACGATTCATTTTTGTTAAGATTTATTAGTGTTGTTTCAGATATAGGTGTTTGTGAGGTAACTTTTGTGCTCTCAAGCTGGTCAATTAAGGATTTTTCTATCTCATCTTGAAAAGTAATAGACAATTTAAACCTTTTCTTTTTCTCAGGCAATGATTCTTGTGCTGGAACTCTTTTCAGAGGGTCCACTCTTTTTAGAATTGTTGGTTTAGGCCTTTTAAAAGATGTGTTTGTTGAATGTGCCGAAGCCAGACTGCTTTCCATTAAAGAAATTAATAACTTATTAGTATTTTTTATTTCAATTTTATTTAAGCAGTTAATTTCTGAAGACTCTTTAGTATAAATCTTCAGTATTGTTTGTTGCATCAGTTTTAAAAATTATTGGATTTTGAATAGTGTCAGTTTTGGTTTGGAAGCATTGATTCATCCCGATTTTTGAGAGTGGAAAGGTTGATTTGCCAATTGGCGTAGAACTTGTGGAAAATGTGGGAATTTCAGGAGCTAAAGGACTATGAGGATTTTTAATAGTTCTTTCATGAGGAGATAATGAGCAGGTATCTGATCTCCTAGAAGTATGCTGCAAAGGAGATTTGTAGAGACTTGGAGATGCTCTTCTTTGATTTTCGTTTTTTTGGACTTGGATTACTGGGAACATGAATTTCTGCTTAACAATAGGGTTTGATGATGGCAATCTGGAGTCATCACATAATAAAATTTCAGTTTGTTTTAGCATGGTCTTTCAATTTACTGGGGTACTTCTTCTATTTTGAGGCTTTTCTGTAACTTCGGATTTATTCCGAGGTTTCCCAAAGGCTGGCTTTACAATATAGCTTGGCAAATCATAATTATTTGGTTTTTTTATCGATTTTTCTTGAGTATAATCAGAATCAAGAAATCTTAAAGTGTAATCATGCATATGTGTCCTCTCTCTACCTAAAATTTTTGTTTGGGTCTTAAATAACATTTCACCATAACTGTCTAAACATTTGGGGGATTCTTTCCTTCCTCAAAATTTTTTATGTTTTGCATACAACTCTATATAAGGAAAAGGAGCTTCCTTTTTACTGCTTTCAATATCTTTTTCTTTGTAATTTTGCATTTCAGAAATAACGTCATGAACATTTAGTTCAGGCCTGATTTTTAGCATAATCCGATTTTCGATTTAAATAAGATGTTATTATATACTCTATTCTTTAAAATAAAGCAAGAAATAAGTAAATTTTAAATTTTATAAAGAATTCCTATTGAATTTATATCAAAAATATTTAAATAAAAAATATCATTTTTATCAAAAAAAAACAAAAATTTTTTTGAAAATTTTCAACAAAAAAAAAAATTAATTTTTTTTTAAAATTTACAATCAAGGATAATAAATTTATTTAAATAAGATGCTCTTTATACTTTTATCTTTAAAAAAGAGCAAGATATAACTAAATTTTTAATTTTAGTCAATAAGAAACATTTAATTTATATTAAAACTTTTTAGATAAAAATTATATATAATTTTTTTTTATAAAATTAAATTTTGTTTCAATTTAAAGGGGGGTTAATTTACCAAAAAAGTGAAATTTTACCGATATTTTGTTCCAATTTAAAGGGGGGGGAGTTAGAGACAATTTTCCAAAAATTTACTTTCTCAGATATTTGCTCGGAATAAACCATTAATTTCCAAACAAATGCTAACTATATTTACCGATCAATACCTCACTCATGATCAAAAATTATAAAGAAGAAAAAATTTAAACTTAATATTTAGATTTTACAAAAAAATTTAAAAATTTAGAACTGAAATAAGCTTCTAATATCTTCGTATCTGCATGAAAATTTAAGAGCATATCTTGTGCAATATCAATGTACAGAATTTTCTCTACATTTAATACCATCTTTGTTCAGCGTCTTAAGTATTTTTTAAATTGCTTACGCCCTCTGTTAACGAACCAAAAATTTTTTCGCTCGCATAATCCTTTGGTTAAAAAATTTATATGAAATTTTTTTTTTATACTTTAAAAAATCCTAATTCTCAAAAAATGGATAGTAAATTAATTAATTTGTGTAAGCCGTTTAAATTCAACAAAAAATTAGCTAGAAATTTCATTATAATAATTATGGCTATATAAAAATGTTTTTTGCTATAGGGACTTTTCCATGGTTTTGTTCGCTCAAATTAGCAGGGAAGTTATGGCTTTTATAAAAATAAATTCAGAAAATTGAAAATCTGGCTTGATGCAGTTTAAAAAATTCATATAGATTAAATCTGATAAAAAGATGACGAATTTTACAGCCAAATTGGTAATTTATAACATCAATTAATCCAAAATACTTGCAGGATGAATATAAAAGAAAGCGAAGGGATAGGTAATGAAATTTCTGAAGAAGGAGATCTTAACTTTAACAAAGCGCTGCCTCAGCTAGTCGAAATCTCACCTACAAGCAGGTTTAGTAGGTTTGACGAAGAAATCGGATGTGGAGCTTATAAGACAGTCTACAAAGCAATTGATAATGATACAGGCTGCGAAGTGGCCTGAAATATAGTCAGAACTCACGGGATGAGTAAGCTGGAAAAGGAAAGAGTCAGGGATGAAATCATGATCATCCAGAAACTAAAACACCCGAATATTTTACATTTTATAAAAGCCTGGCATAACAAAGGTAGAGAGGAAGTCGTTTTCATTACTGAAATTATGACTGGTGGGTCTCTCAGGCAGTATCTAAAAAAAATTAAAACTCCAAGGCTAAAAGTAATCAAAAGGTGATGCAAATTTATTTTAGAAGGCTTAAATTATTTGCATTCCCAAAAACCGTTTCCGATCATCCATCGGGATCTAAAATGTGAAAATATTTTTGTGAGCGCAAGAACTGGAGAAATTAGAATCGGAGATTTAGGTTTGTCGACATTTATGAAAAGTTCATACAATAAATCAGTTGTTGGGACTCCTCAATATATGGCACCTGAACTATTTGAAGAAAGATATGGAACTAATGCTGATATTTATTCTTTTGGCCTTTGCGTACTTGAAATGTGCACAGGTGAAATATCCTGATTTTTCTAAATAAAACACAATTTTTTATTGTTTTTTGATTATTTTGCTTTCTCTATTTTATCTAAATTCTCTTTAAATAAGAAAAAATGAAACTCCTAATTTTCAAAGGAGATTAGGGAGCAAATAAAATTATATTATATATAGCTACTTAAAAAAATATTAAATTTCATATATTTTTAAAATAGAATACCATATTCAGAATGTAAAAACGAAAGGGAAATTTATCAAAGGGTCTCACGAAGAATCAAGCCATTTGCCCTAGAAAAAATCGGAGACACAGATATAAAAGAATTTATTAAATTGTGCATGACTGATATGGACCAAAGACCTTCAGCAGAGGATCTGCTCAATCACCCATTTCTAATGATAGACGAAAGTGATGAAAAAACCCACGGAATAATAAAGCTAATAGAAGTTCCTTGAGTGCCAACTCTAGAGCTAATAGACGACAAGTCACAAGCCTCAAGTGATTCCCCACAGCGAGATTTACTCAATATAAAAGATGAAAGATTTTATTCTTCCAAAGATATTCAGCTCTCTATAAAGATAGGAGTTTTAGACCGACGGACTGGAAAAATTGTGAGGAGAAAATTGGATTTCTTATACAATTTAGAATCAGACACTCCTGAAGGTGTCGCTGAAGAAATTGTTGCGAATTTCGCTTTGGAAAGTGAATACACTGAGTCTATTGCAATGATAATCCACAAAAAGCTTGGCTAATATTAATCAGCCTATTTTTGTATAGATAATTTAGGTATAATGCTAGAATATATTACAGTTTCACTTTATTTTAAATTGCTTATTATTAAATGGAAGACGACTCAGAATTGAAGAAATTGTTGAATACTGATGAAGAAGAAAACCATGAAGCAAAGGTTTCAATGCGTGAAGAGCCAGTAGAAATCCCTGAGAGATATCTTCCTCCCTGGTCAGAAGCAGATAACAAACAAAAAATTGCAATAATTTATTATAAAATTGGAGCTTCTCTTCCTATAGCATCAACATTAGGAACTATTCTATGCTCATATATTCTTTATATTTGGCTTTATATTTATTATCTAGTTGGCGACACAGATGATAGGCCAGAACTTTATTTCTGGCACAGTGAAAGCGAGAAAGAAAACGCAAAATTGCGAGGATGGATTTGTTTCAGCCTCTTCACACTTTGGTTTTTAATTATTCTTATAAGCTATTTTCAAGCTTATAAAACAGACCCAGGGACTATTCCTCCAGACTGGCAAGTTCCTGCAGAATTGAAAAAAGATACAAATTTAGAACGCATTGGCTTGGTTGAAAAGAGACACGATGGAAAAGCAAGGATCTGCAAATGGTGCAATTTATGCAAACCTGATCGATGTCATCATTGCAAATTTTGTGGAAGATGTGTATTAAAACTCCATCATCATTGTGAATGAATTCCTAACTGTATAGGATATTTCAATTATAAATATTTTTTCTTGATGATGCTATATGGAGAATTGTCAGCAATATTAATTGTGGCTACTTTTTGGGAAACTGTTGTTGTGGTGCTCAACGACTCAGAGTCGTCGACTTTTCTATGCTTTCTAGTAGTTTTTGGATATACAATGGCTTGCCTTTTTTCACTATCAGCCGCAATATTTTTAGCTATAAATATCAAAATAATTAAAGGAAATTATACATGGCTGGAATTCTGGGAAAAAAAATGATTTGCGCCGAAACTGAAAAAATTTGAAGTTTCACCGTACGATAGAGGAATTTATAATAATTTAAAAGAAGCTTTAGGGCAGAAATGATACTGGTGGCTTCTTCCGTTTTATTATAGAGAAGAAGGAGAAACAGGGTTGTTTTTCAGGATCTCTGAAGAAGTGCAAACTGCTGAGTGCAGTATTTGCATGACTCCTTTATATACAAAAGAAACGAGTTTAGAAAACGTAGAAATGTGGGCACCAGTTCAAACTTCTTGTAACCATACTTTTTATATATACATAAAAATGGGGTGGTGAGTTAACCAGTCCTCTCGACACATAGCTGAAATTTCAAAATAGAGCTCAGGATTTATTGGATGAAAGAGAGAATGGCATCTGGAAATATCTATCCAGCCAGGCTCTCTTGTCAAATTAGCAGAATAGAGGTTATCTCTTATCTCATCCAGTTTTTTCCTTGCGGTATGGTAAAATTTGGAGCTGGAAATGGAAATCAGCACCGCTTAGAACACAACTAGGCTACTCTCAGATTGATACTAAGCTTACCTCCTTGCTCAAAGTTTCCATCTTGGTCGAAAAGTGATCTGAATATTCTATTTTCGAAACTTCTGGAAGGCGCACCTGCGTTGACTTAATATGATGGCCCAGACGCTTTCCTTCCGCGTAGAAAGTGCAGGCCCTTGCTCGGAGAAGCAAGACATTGCAAAGCTGTGTGCAGACAGACAAAAAGTAGTGGAGCTTTTATGAGGTGCACTAGTTTAGGCCTTAGGGTGTTTTCTCCATTAGTATTTATGCTAATAGCCACACTTTTCATAATAACTGCATTGTCGAATGATCTAAATTAAAGAGACAATGCCCGATTTGCAGATCATCATTAGATTGGATTATAGCATAAACCTTAATAATTTTTGCAATACATTTAATAATAATAATTAACAGCCAAATATATTTAAGACTAAAACTACGCAAAAGATTCCCACTCTCTGTTTCCTTCTATTATTATTTCATTAGAATCAAGAAATGATTTGGTTTCTTGAATAATTAAAGCAGATTGGTCTCTGATTTTGCATTTATACAAATTCCCATCAAGATGTGCCAAAATAAAATTAGTCTCATCAATAAAGCATCCTATGGGTCCGACATTGACGGTATATGGGCAAGTCCAGCTCACCTCAGGCTTTAAGCTTAATTTTGCTAGGGATCTATTATATTGAAAATAATTTGGCAAAAATCGGCTAAATCTACCTGCTGATTGAGGAGTTGGAGCTTTTAGATTCCAAACGTGAATAGTTGATCGGTTGCTTGATGCTAATAAATGATGACAATTAGGACTAAAAGCAATAGACGAGACTTGCGCTGGGCTAGTTCCTCTTCTTAGCTCATGCAATAGTTGAAGAGTTTTAGTATCAAAAACTCTTATAATTGTCCCTTGTTCACTAGCACTCGCTCCAATTGTTCCTGGAAAATTCAGTGCTAGTAAAGTTATTGGATTTTCATGTATTAGGCCAGATTTGACTTCTCCGTCATAATAATTTGTAATTTTTACATGCCCATGAGTTGTTTGCAGACTTGCTAATATGAATTGATCTCTATCATATGAGACAGCAGCAACACCATTTTCGTTTTCTATAGTGGGTATTGAATCAGTAGCTTTAAGTATTAGCAAATCATACACATATGTGATTTTTTCTAGAACAATCACAGCTTTATCTCTTCTCAGTAGCACATTTTTTACTTCTGATCGAAATCGTATTTCTCCTTTGAAATCTTCCTTCTGGTTATCTCAAAAATAAGCAATATTTGGAGGGTAGATGCTATTTCCAGGGCTTCCTACTAAGCATAGCAATTCCGTGGAAAACATTGGAGATATGCAAGTGAACCCGCCTGAAAAGTAAGTAGTAGCTTCATGATCTCGGCGAGATATAATTTTGCAATCTTCAGTTCTTATAATCCTGAATCCTTTTGTGGTTCCAACAAAGAGAAGGTCGTTTGTTTGATTGAATGCTACTTTAAGGATTCTATTTCCTATATCTTCTGAATTTATCATTTCTGTATTTAAAATGAAATTTATCATTAGTTTTTTCCAACATTATTAGTGAATTTCTAAAATAAAGCCATAAAAACAAAAAGAAAACCATAAAGATCACTACTCGTGCGTCAAAACCTCAGCGCATGAGTATCAATAAGAAGCACTCTATCATATTGCATAAAATTTAATTCAGACACTGCTTTCTTCTTTAAAAAGATTATGCTAAAATAAAACGAGAAAACTTTGCAATACTTGATGTTCAAAACATAAACTAATGACAAAATAATAATTTTTGATTTCTTTTATATTTCCATTTTTTATATATAATACAATGTCCTCTTTAGTTGGAACCAACAATGAGCAGCTTATATTGACTAAATTCCATTCTCGTAGCGTGATTCATTATAATTACGCAGAGTTTTATATTGAATCAAGCTATACCAACTCTTCTAAAGTTGCCATTGAAGCATCATATGTTTTTCCGAGCATTTCTGGTATGCACTTATCAAAGCTCTCAATATATACAGGCAAAATTGAGCTTCAGCTTAAAATTGAAGAGTACCAAAGGCCTCTAAAATCATATCAAGATGCAAAAAATGCAGGCGAAAGCGATTACACACTTGATAAATTAAGAGAAACGAACATGATATGCTATCGTGTTGGAAATGTTTTAGCGAATTCTCAAGTTGCATTACATTAAACCTGGTATTTAAGGTGTCTAGTGCCGCACCCCTTAATTAAAAAGGGTTATAGCTTAAACAGTGACGCCACCAAGGCATCTTTGAATGCGTGGTCAGCCAACGCCCAAGCCTCCTATAAAGCTTCGCCAGTCTCCGCCGCACGTCTCACCCAGCGCGTTGCCGTCGCTTTCCCTGACTCAGCTCCTGCGCGTGTTCCGCCTAAGGGTCCTCCTCCCCTTGGGGATGTGCTGAGAGGTAAAACTCTGAGCCTCTTGAATGCACTGAGGAGCCGTTCCTTTTTGTTATACCCAAAGTTAAACGGCTGTTGCTGTGAATTTTCGAGAGAAAACCCACCCCATAAATAAAATCCCATGGGGGAGAGAAAATTGGCAGAGCCAATTTCTCTCTAACCGAACGCCATTTTATTTATGAATTTTCAAGTTGCAATTAAAGCAGTTTATGTTTGCAAAACTGAGCAAACACTTCCTGAAAACTATTGGAAATTCAAAATCCCTAAAGATCTGTTACCTAATAAATTAGGAAGTATCAAACACTCTGCAGAAGCATTTATAATATGGAAAGATTTTCCTGTAGAGCATGGGAATTTTATTTTGAAAAAAGGAAATTTAATAACACTTGATGAAAAGCACAACTTAGCAGCCTTCAGGAACTTCGACCCTAATTATGATATTGAGCTTATTTATTATTATGAAATCCCAAAAGAGCCTTTGCTAATAGTCCAAAAAGATCAAAGAACTGATAGATATGCCTTTCATTTGTCCTATACACCTATTAAAGAATTAAATGAAAGTGGAAATGATGGAGAGTTTGTGATTTTGCTAGACAGAAGTGGATCAATGAGCAGCAGAATAAAATTAGCAACAGAGGCAGTTGCATTATTTATCCGTTCTCTCCCTGCAAACTGCTATTTTAATGTAGTAAGCTTTGGAAGTAGATATGAGTCGATGTTCAAGAAAAGCAAAAAATATGATAAATGCTCGGCTGATGAAGCACACCGTTTAGTTCTCAAGTATAAAAGTGATATGCATGGAACTAAGCTGCTCGATCCTTTGGAATACATTTTTAATTGACCGAGAATTCCAGGGTATCCATTAAATATCTTTATAGTGACTGATGGGAATATTTGGCTACATAAGAAAGAAATAGTTGCTTTGATCAAGAAACATAAAAATGAAGTAAAAATAAGCACTATTGGAATTGACACAAATCACGCTTCTATTGATGAATTTGCGAAGTTAGGCAATGGTACTTCTCAGCATGTATATAGCGAAAACCAGATAAAGCCAGCAATTTTGAGCTCGCTAAAGCAAGCATTAGCCCCTATGCTTTCTAATATTCAGCTATCAGACTATGACCCATTTGACTTTGTTCTGCCAAAAGATCCCTTTAGTATTTTTTCAGGTGAAAAAGTTGAAATTTCAGGAGTTTTCAAAAAAAGAAAACTCCCTAGAAACATAAAATTGCTATTTGAAAATGAAGGATTACCTCAAAGTTTTGAGTTAGAAATAAATGGAGATCTCATTCCAGCTTCTTGCTCTGTTCTCCTATTAGAAGCAAAAGAATATTTAAATAGATGTTACCGTCAGACATCAGTTAAAAAATCTAAAGAGTACTTAGTTGAAGGCCAATTCACATCATTTAACACAATAAGATATAAAAAAAAAGAATCGCCAGTCGAGATAAAATCTACAGATAATGCTGAAGATATGCAGCATTCTGCAATTGATCTACAGAAGACAGCTCAAAACCAACCAGCAAAAATCAGCCAAAGAAGAGCAAGGTCAGGAAAAACTGTACCCGAACTTACAGTGCAGACTAGATCTCAAGTTAAAAGAGCTGCTAAAAAGTCTGCTCCAAAACAGACAACTCCTAAGAGAGCAGTATCTGCCATAACCACTACACAAGCCGATACTCCCATAACTAGAAGTTCTTCAAAGCTAGAAGATGTAAGCCTACAGACTAAAAGAGGAAGGGCAAAGCAAGCAAAAGTAATTCCTCCTCGTAAAAAAGCTAAAGTAGAAAAGGATGAGGCTAAAATCAAAAACATTGAAATAAAACCAATAGAAAATAAGGAAAAAGAAGCTATTAGTGATCCTAGACCTCAAGAAAGCAAAGAAGTGAAATGCATTGATGTTGGATATGAAGTTGAAAAAATAATGCATCTACAAAATCCTGATGGTTTTTGGGAATGTTCTAGAGACTTATTAGATATTGCAATTAATTTGCTTGACTATGATAATAGAAACTATTGAACAGCGTTTGATGAAAATTTAACTACAGCTTTTATTGTTGCATTACTTAATGAAAAATGTGAAGATTATAAGTGCCTATGGGAGTTAGTAGTTATGAAAGCTAAAAAGTGGCTAGCTTCCCTTATTCACAATAGAAAGATTAGATTAAAAACTTCTCAAAATTTTGGAAAATCAGCCACTCAATTTTTTAAACGATTTTCATATATCAAAAATTTACTTTAAATATATAAATTTTTTCTAAAATCTCTATCCTCTATGATTGATCAAACTTTACAGATCTACTTTAATAAAGATAAGGAGCAAGCAAAAACAAACAAAGGTTGCTGTCACTTGCAGATTTTTAATTTCTTAATATCCTACAGCATAATTTTTAAAAGTATTAATTTGTTGATAATCATTTTAATTCCATATTTATAAGATGAACGATTCTATAGGAGCAGGACCTCCAGTTACAGTCCAATTAGGAAAAACTGGCTCAACAAGTCTTGATAAAGACAAAATCAGAGTAAGAATTCAAGAATCTTATGAATCCTCAAAAACTGACACACACAAATTTAAGCGAATTTGGGGAAAGAATTCTGCAGCAATTCTAATTCAAAGTCTATGAAGAGGATACTGAGTAAGAAAAACAGTCGGAAAGCATATAGGGGAAAGAAGCAAATACGCAACACTTATTCAAAAACACGTCCGAGGCTTTCTACTAAGGCTGAAACTTAAAAGAGATTTAGAAAATCTTCTAACTTGCCCTCCTCCGTGAGTGAACAAAAAATTTTGTTCACTCACGGAGGGGGGCTAATTTATTTTTTTTAAAATTTATATATAAATTTTAGAAAATTGTTTTTTTTCAAAATTTTAAAAAAATCCTAATTTGCAAAAATTGGGAAGCAAATATTAATTTAATTTATAAAATTTATGTTTTAAAACACAATTTATATGAAATTAAACAGAATTAGCTCGAGATTTCATTATACTAATTATCACTTATATATCAATTTTTTTCATAAAAAATTTTTTCTATTAAAAAATTTTTGTTCACTCACGGAGGGTGCAAAAAATATAAATTTTTCTAATGGTTTTGTTCACTCATGGAGGGGGGAGTAAAAGAAACCCACAATGACCATTTACTCTTTTCTCCTGAAGAATATCAGCAGTATATTGCTATACGAAAAATCGAAGACCATTATATTAACGTTTATAAGAAAAATAAAGCTTGGAAAAACCTAAAAAGCAAATCAGCTGTAAAAATTCAATCAAAATTCAAATCATGAAGAATCAGCAGATATGAACTACCGTTTATTAATGATAAAAAAATTTATATATTAAAGAGCCAGCAAAGGACTTTTATATGTATGCTAAGAGCTTTATCAAACTTCGATGAAAATCAGTACCATCCTGCCAATTCTGTAAGAGATAGAATGGCACCTGAGTTTTTCCAAAATTTAAAAATAAATTCTAGATACAACTTTACTGATTTGTTTAAGCGGATTAAAGACTGCTCCACAATAAAGGTCATTCGATTTCCTGACATAGAGAATTTGAAGTACTCATCAATACCTTTGGTGCAGTTTATAACATGGCTCCCATATGCGAAAATGGCTAATAGCTGAGAGCATAAGTCGATCACTAATGTTAGTGTTGTGAGTAAATACCAAAATAAAGAGGATTTACCACTATTAAAAAAACTTAGAATAAGAGGCTGCAATTTGACTTCTCAAGAAATCGAAAAACTAAAAGATCTAAAATTGTCATTAGATTCATATCTAGACTTAATTGAATTTGAGATTCCTTCTAAAGAATTTTCTAAAGAGCTTTTTATTTTGACACTAAAATATAATGAGCATGTCCACAATAAAGACCTTCCGATATTTTTGCCTTTATATGAATCACTTATTTTGAGAGTAAAAGCAGCCTGCACAATTCAAGCATGCTGAAGAGGCTATAAAGAAAGATCACAAATAAAAATAGGAAGAGATATAGTTGTAAGGCGCTGTGTTTATACTATTCAAAGATGGTGGAGATTTTTAAAATTTTCCAGAAGATTTCAATGCTTGGTTGAGCTTAAATCATTACTATCTGAAATAAATACACCCACAGTTTATCTTGAAGAGCATTTTTTTCAATTTTTAAATCATACAGAATCAGCATTTACAATATTAGAACAAAATTTTACTTTTTATTGTGCTGGAGACAGAGTATATGTAACTACTCAATGAATGAGAAAATTTTTGCCAGATTGATTGGGTGTTAAAGCATATTATGACCAATACGGAGGGACATTAATTTCCTCAGAAGAAAAAACGCTTCAAGCTGTAGTTTTGAGCGGTGCAAAAGTGGAAATTGTGAGTTTATACAGTGAAGTCTCAGAGAAGCCATATGTGACTGATGCATATTTAAAGTTCTTGAAAGTTGAATATAATTCAGTTGCTGAAGCAAGGCTGAGGACTACTATTATATTTTTGAAAACTTTGGATCATAAATCAAATACTTATATTCCCTTCTTATCTAAAAAAGCGCTCGAGCACTCTTTCTTGATGTCGAGGCTAAGAAAAGTTTGGAAAGCACGGAATATAGATCACAAAAAGCCATGCCCTGCTATTACAATTCTAGAAAAAGCCCTTTATCCAGTTATCGAAACGGATTATGTAAGAGTCCCAGAGCCTCCATCACCAGAATCTCAGCCTACTATTCTAGAAACCAAAGAATCAGAAACACAAGAATCAGTGTCCCCTGTCTCTCTCCCAGAAATTTCTTATAAAGAGTTAATTCAAGATAGGGTAAAGCGCTGCCGCGAAGAAACAAGAAGAAGGCAAACTGAAGCAAAGCTAGCTAAAGATGTTGAAAATGAAGCGAAAATTATGGCTTCTAAAGAAAACAAGGAAAGAACCCAAAGCTTGATCACTATAAAGGAGTCTTTAGAATTTAAAGAAAAAATACTAAAAAGAAATTTTGTGAAAAGACAAATTGAAAAGAAAAAATACGCTGATGAGCAAAGGGCATTTATTAATAATTTCGCTCAAGCCAAAAATATGATACAGAAACTAATGAAAAAGAGCGATTTAGACAGGTGGAAATTTAAAACACAGAATGAAATTAATACGAAAGTTAGCGAATTTAAGCAGAAATCTCAAGAAAGAAGAGAGCTTGTCCAGTCAATGCTGTATGAGAAATTTAAAGCCAAACAGAAATTGGCTGAGTTGTAATAATGATTTAAAATTCTTTTTAATATTAAATAATATATGTAGGTTGGTTGAAAAATTAAGGGCTTAAGCAGTAATAATGATTTAAATTTATTTTTATTATTGTTAAACCAAAGAATTATCAGACGGATTATCACTAATAATTTCAACTCCTTTGATATTTCTTTGCGATAAATCTTGTAACACTTTTTCATAACTATCTGGTTCAGCTCTCACAGTAAATCTCCATATTGGTATCGCCATATAATCAGTTTTCGGCTCATCAATCGCAAATCGAACCATTTTTTTATTTTTCATTCCATCTGCAGTCGCATCAAAATCATACTCTTCTAAAATGATTTTAGAAGTATCATATTCTTCAAGAAATTGGGTTTGCTTATAGAGATTGATTTCTTTCCCTAAGGCTTTGAAAATCTCTCTTTCTTTACCAATTTTTCTAGGAGCTGATTTTTGATATGTAGTTTCTGGTTTTCGTTTTTTAGGAACAGTTTGGATTCTCTGCTTATAAATCTTTGCATATTCTTTTAAGAATTCTCTGTCTTCTTCAATATCTTGATAATCAATTAGCCTATATATTGAGGAGTCAATTTCTACATCCTCCTCTTCTTCCTCATCTTCTTTCTCTTCAGAGCTGTCAAAGATTCTCTTTTTATTTTTATTTGCTGAAGAATTGACGTTAAGAGCACCTCTTGCTATTTTTGAGTTGTTTTCTTTTAATTCAGATTTTAATGGTTTCTCTTTTTGTATTTCTTCATTTTTTCGTGGCTCTTCATTGGTATTTTTTTCAGTTATTGTGTTTTCATTTTGAGTCTTTTTTGCAATTTTCTTTTTTGTCTTGAGAGACAGATTTGGTGGCGTGAGCTTTCGTTTTACAGAGATGGGTTTTCTTGATGATTTATTGCTGAGAGGAACAAGAGGTTGAGGAATCACATGCAATTTATAGTTGAATAATTCTTTACAAACAAGAAATCCTAAAGTTATGTATAAAAGCCTGGCGGTTTGTTTTTGCATTAATTAGCCCCCAAAAAATAATTTTATAAGAATTTATAATAAAAAATATACAAAATATATATCCTCAGTCCCAGAAGTGCTATGCAGTATCAAAACTTCTAGTTAACCCCCCTATAATTTGGAACGATAAATTCTGTTCCAATTTAAAGAGTGATTAATTGTTATTAAATTTAAAAAATATAAATTGAACGCAATCTTTTTGGATTTTAATTTAGGTTATGAATAATTAATTCAAAAAATTAATCGATTCAGTTTAAAACTGTTTAAATAATATTAATTTAATAATTGTTCTCACACTCTTTTGCAATTAAAAACTTAGATTATTGATGACTGTAAAAAATTAAATTACTCGAATAAGATTTTAAAATCATTTTTTTATTTATTTAATATCTGTTAATTATTTTTTATTTCAAATAAAGCTTTAGCTATTTCTACACATTTAAAACATATTAATATCAGGTAAATTTTCTTCAAAACTGATTTTATTATAATTACCAATTAGAATATAAAATTTTCCCTTTTAGGAGCCTTTTTGCTTTTAATAGAGGGCAATTTGATATCTTGAAGTTTAGGTTTTGTAATTCTTATTTTCTTTTTATGATTATTATCAATAATATCAACTTTCACCCCAAAAAAATTCTGTAGCATCTTCATTCCTTTTTCAAATTCATAAGGACTTCCTTTATCAAAAACCATAGCATTTGAGCTGGTCTGAGGTGGGACACCATATGAAACCCTATATCTTCCATATGAAGTTGACTTTTTAGACTGTGAAGCAGTTTTTGGGTTTGTGGTGTCATCCAGCTCATCACTATTTTTTGTTCTTGATTTCTTTGTCCTATGCGAATCTGAGCCAACATTAGCATCAGCTGCTTCGCTGGTATATTGACTTCGTGCCTGGACAATTGTTGGATTTAAAGACTTTGATTTGAGTTTTGCTGGGACACTTGAAAAGTTTATTGAATCTGTTGTGCTTTGCATCTGGCCATTATTAAATATTGCTTGGCTTTGTTGATTTCTCTTTTTATTAAAATTCGGGGTTTGTTGAATATGTGGAAGAATCGGATTTTTACTTCCTCTTAATTCTTGATTAGGCCCGTAAAAACTTTTCCTGAGTATCACATCATTTAATATCCTATCATTTGGCGATTGGCTTCAAATAGGGTCATTTGATTTTATGGCACTTTGCACTGATGCTAATCCACTAGATGTAAGTTTTAAGCTCTTATCTGAAAAAATAGAGCTTCCATCTGAGTACAAAGACAGTGCTGGGGTTTGTTTAGTTTTATTTGATGGGATTTTCTTGAGCTCTCTGAGTTCTCTGTCAAATGAAGATTCTTTTTCTTCAGTAAGAAGAGCATCTTTTATGTGCTGCAAATCAGTATTAAGGGTTGGGCTTTGAGTTTGAGAATATGGGTCAATAGATATATAGTCATTTGAAGTGACATTGGTTAATGATTTTTGTGTGTCATTGCATGTCATTTCTTCTGAATGAAGCTCTTTTACTTCTTCCAATTCAGATGAATCTATAGGCCGAGTCATTTGAGAATGCAGCTTATTTTGGTTCGCCTCTTTTCTTATTGCATTTTCTGCAATGTGCTCGCTTCTTTTATCTTCATGCTTAATTTTAGGTGAGATATGTTTTGGAGAAATTTCTAGATTTTTATTAGAGTCTTTTGAACTTTCATCAACCTTGCCCCGCTTTGTTGTTTTTATTTCTAAAGAAACTACTTTAGTCTCAACCAGTGTTTCTTCAGTTTTTATAATCTTTTGTTTTTCTTCTTTATTTTCTAGCATTAGATCTTGGCTTTTATTCTCATTCTTCTCCAGCTTTTTCGTTGTATCATTAACTTTACTATTTTTTCTTTTAGTATTGGAATCAGCTTTTACTTCTTTATATCCTTCATCTTCTATTTTATTTTCAACTTTTGCTACTGATTTCTTTTTCTCTTCCGAATATTTATTCTTGTCAGTAATATTTATTTGCTGCTGTTCTGCATTTTTATTTCTTCTTTCGCTGGGTGGACTTCCAATTTCTGGCTTTTCTGCTTCGTTTGCTTTTTCTCTAATGCTCTTACACCCCCTCCATGAGTGAACAAAAAAATTTTGTTCACTTACGAGGGTGGTTAATTTTTTTTTTCTTCGAAATTTTGAAAAAATCCTAATTTGCAAAAATTGGGAAGCAAATATTAACTTAATTTATAAAATTTATGTTTTTAAAACGCAATTTGTTTTAAAATTAAACAGAATTAGCAAGAGATTTCATTATACTAAATATCACTATATATGTCAATTTTTTTTTCATAAAAATTCTTTTCTATTAAAAAATTTTTTTTCACTCACGGAGGGTGGGCTTTTGGGCAAAAAATAGCGATTTTTCCAATGGTTTTGCTCATTCACGGAGAAGGGGGAGTTAGAATTATTTTTACTATCAGGCAGTGATGCTTTTTCAATAGTATTTGATTTTTCTATGCTTAATTTTGGAAGTTTTGGGCTTTCAACTTTTTTTAAATCTTTTTGAGGCTTTTCACTTGCATTTAACTCAGGAGTGTTTTTAATTTCAAGCTCTTTGAATTTTAAAGCTGGCAGTATTCTGTTTTTAGTTTCTATTTCAGAGTTATTGGGGATATCTGCCTCTTTATTAGTCAAAGCAATCGTTTCTTTTTTATTTTCTTTAACCTCGCTTTGTGCTACTTTTGGAGTGCCACTATTTTTTCTTAAGGAATCTGAATTTTGATCAATTGAATTTGTTAAAGAAGTTTTATGTGAGTGGATTGGTTTGCTGTTTATTTGTCTATCAGGATTTTCCTTTGGGGTTTTCGATATTTCTTGCTTATCCTTCACTTGATTATCTTCTTTAGAATTTGTTTCAAGAGTATTTTGAATGGGAATTTCTTGATTTTTGTTAGATTCTGTGAGCTTAGGGTTATCTGATATGTTCTTTGAATATTTTAAAGCATCTATCTCCTTTATTGCTAAATCTTTGGTGATATTATTATTTGGGGCTTGATCCTTAATTTCTTCTTCTGTCTTCTTCGAGAAATGATGAATTTCTTCTTTTGATTGATCACTTATTGGCATGTCTGAAGTTTCTCTTGGTCCATTTTCTTTTTCTTGAAGTTTTATATTGCTTGATAATGATTCTTCTACTTCTGGATGCTCAATAGATGGCTTTGAACTATTTTTTTGTAATTGAACTCCTGGGCCGCTTATTTTTGGAAGAGTTTCACTATGATTTTCTATCTTTTCCTTTTTTTTAGTAAAATTCTCATTACTATCAATTTCTACATCTTTTTCTTGTGCTTTAGGGTTTTCGTTTTCTTTATTAGTTTCTAACTGACGCTCACTACCATTAAGGTTAAAAGCATTTCTCGTTTCCTCTTCTTTTTTATTTATTTCTCCATTTGGATTTTTATTTTCACTCTTTAAATTTGGTATTTCAACTTTGCTGATTTGCTCATTCCCATGTTTCTTTTCTTCTAAAGCCGCTTTTGCATTTGTTTCAGTACTATTAGTGTTATTTTCATAGATTTTGTCTTCAATAATGTTTGTTTGCTTTTTCTTTAATTTTTCCTCTTCTGCTTCTCTTGGAGCTTGTGCCTGCTCATAAATGCTATTTGTCTCTTCGCCATTACCTAATTTTGTTTTAGAAAGAGAATTGCTATTTTTTTCTATATTCTTTTCAGACTCGCTCTTAATTGCTAGATCTTCTTTTTTAAGAGTGTTCTTTTTTTTGATATCTGAGTCTCCTTTATTTTCATCCTCTGTAACTGAATTTACGACTCTTACTTCTTTGCTGTTAAATTCTGTCTTTTTTCCTTCAATATCATTAAGGATCCCATTTGCATTTTCCACTTTATTCTCGCTAGCTTCATTCAGAATTTTACTTGGTAATTCTGTGGTGATATTTTGGATTTTTGTTGTTTCTTTAACTATTTCTTGCTTGCTTGACTTTACATCTGGAATTATATAATTTGTTTTATCTTGAATTTCTTCTTCTTTCTTTTCTTCTTTCTTTTCTTCTTTCCCTTCTTTTTTCTCTTCATCTTTCTCTTCTTCTTCTTTCTCTATCTCTTTCTCTGTTTCTTTCTCTGCTTCTTTTTCTTTTTCTTTCTCTTTTTCTTTTTCTTTCTCTTCTTTCTCTTCATTTTCTTTCTCTTTTTTTTCTTCATTTTCTTTCTTTTCTCCTTCTCCTTCTTCTTCTTCTTTTTTCTTTTCTTTTACTTCTTCCTTTTTGTCTACTTTTTCTTTTTCTTCTATTTCCGTTTTTCCTGCTTCTGCTGCTTTTTCATTGAGCTTAAGATCATTGTCTTTAATTATATCTCCAGATTTTATATTAAACTCAGCTTTAGCTTCCAATAAAGCTACTTCATTTTCAATTCTTGGTTCTTCGTGAGCTCCATTAATTTTTTCAATTTTGTCTACCTGGTGCTGGACTGCTTCAGGATTTGCTTGAGCTTCTTCTTGGGAATTTTCATTTGTTATATTTTCAACTTCTTTTGCATCAATTTCCTTCATTTCATCTATTTTATGTTGCTCTTCTATATTCTTATGGATAATTAGCTCATTCTGATCTTTAATTTCGACATTTACAGCTTCTCCATTTGCTTTATCAAGATTTCCATTTTTCCCAGCATCTTTATTTTCGAAAATTTTATCCTCATCCCCGTTTTTAAGTATATTTTCATTATTTTCTATACTTTTTGGAGACTCCTTTCTAGAAATGATCGAATTTTCTTCAGTGTTTTTGATTCCTTCTACGGCATTTTCATTTTGGCCATGCAAATTGTCATGAGTTAATGATTCTGCTTTCTCAATATCACTAATTCCTTCTAAGTTATTACATTACATTAGATAGACAGGCGCGAGCCTTTAATTTCAACAAAATCACCGAGGATCTCCTAGGAGATTCAACTGCTTTGCGACCATAAGGTCTCCTCCTTGCTTTGTGGGCTCCAGTGTTGAGTAGGTAGTCTGCGGGTTTGTGCAGCTTCCTGAGGCTGTAGAATACGAAGTTGCCGTCCCAAAAATTCCAAAAAATGGAATTTCTGTGACCTCTCGGCAAAAAGGAAAAATTCAGATCCTGGGGCTAAACTTCCAGTTTCACGCTAGGCAGCTGCCCGATTGGTCTGGGTGTTCCATGTAGACCTTGCTGGGATTGCCCTTTCCAAATCTAAACCCTCCTTTCCTTCGAGGAAAAACCAAGCTCGAAAATAGACCTGGGCTAGGCTTTGCGCTCCTGCAGAGTTGCTTACCTAGCATTGCCGTCCATTTCAAGGTTGGAAAAACCTTGCGGGATATAATTAAAATATGTGTCGAGGCTGCATGGCCTCCCGGCCATGCCCAGACGAAGACGCCATATTTTAATTATAAATTCTTTCTAAGTCACTTCCAAAAATTTCTTTATGATCAAAATGCTCTTTATCACGTGAGGTATTATTTTTATCAATACTCAAATCTTTGCTGAGCTCAGGACTTACAACTTCCTCTTGATTGCCATTTTTTGGAGTGTTCTGACTTAGCTCAGCTTTTTTATCGACAATTTTAGAAGAATTTTCATCAATTTCATTTGCTTTATCCAAATTTTGAAACTCTTCGCTTTGCACTTTACTGTTTTCAATAGCTTCCTTATTCTTATCCTCAATCTCAGGATTTTCAGATGTAGCATTTTTGGTTTCTTTATCAATTTGCTTAATATTTTCATTTATATTAGCATTTACATCTTCCTTATCTATTTGATTAATAGCTTCGATTTCGTTGGTAGGTTTAATATCCAGCTGCTCATCTTTTTCGAGGTTTTTTCCAGCACTTTTATCTGATTTTTTTTCTGTTTCTTCAATAAGCACTTGAGATTTCGGCTGAGTATCTTTTTGTGATAAATCCTGAGGTTTTGTGTATGTTAATTTATGCTTTTTTAATTCATTTACAAAATCGTCTGAAATAAGATTAGAATCATATATATTTCCTTGTTTTATGTTTTTTCTATTTCTTTGTCGAAAAACGAACGCTGAATACTCGGGCATAGCTACACACAAAGATTTTCGGGTTAAAGTTCCTCTGATTCATTTTTGAATCCCTATTACAATTGCATCTTTTGGTTTTGCTGTTGTCATTATTTATTATTTACTATAAGTATAACTGATTTCATTAGATTTATTTAGTTATTAATCTTTTGTAATAATTTATTCTGAGTAAAAATGATCTCCAACACTGCAGCTAGTACCGTCTACCGGTCTTCTTCTATTTATAACACTGACTCATCTTCTTTGCTGGAAACGCAGAGTTCTCGCGATTCAATACTTGAAAAATCAAAGCAATCTTCTGAAAAAAGCTCATTTTCTAGTGCAAATTCTGAGGATCTTGCAAAAGCCAAAGAAAGCAAAATCTGTTACATCTGCAATAAGGGGTTTATGCTGAAGCGAAAATTCATTTGCAAAAAATGTTTAAACGCTGTCTGTGCAGACCACTCCAAAGAAAAAGCTAATGGCGAGAAAACTTATAGAGTATGCGACCAATGTGACAATGAAGCTACCAAAAAAGAAATAAAACTCGAAATTGAAGACGAAATTTCAAAAATGAGTGAAGAGTTACAAATGGCCAAAGCCGCAAATGAAAGGCTGAATCGTGAATATTTTGATAAAACTGCAGCAGTGAACATGCTAGAGATGGAAATCGAAGGTGCCGAGATCGAGCACAAAGAAAAAATCGAGTTGACACAGAAACTCCTCAAAGAGCAGCAATGAAAGAAAAATACACTCTCAGCTGAGCTTGAAAAATTACGCAAAGCAGTCGAGTCTTCTAAAGAAGCCGAAAAAAACCTCTCAGAAAAATGCGTGAAATCTGAAGCTGACTTAGAAGAGCTCCCCGTTGAAGCCGGAACGCTATATTTGTACCCTGCCTGGCGCAACAAAGTGGATCGATCCAGAGATCCATGGGCCTGACACGTGGATAAATATGGTGGCAGTTCTTGAAACGGCTACCCCATAGTGGACGTTAAACGTTATAAATTAAATAAGATAAGACTTAGAAGAGCTCAGAGCTCAAGCCATCACAATTCATACAACCACTGAAGAAATGAAGAACGAAATTGAAAAAATTAATTTGAGAATTCGAAATAGCATGAATTTAGAAGAAGTAAGTAAGCTGTTATGTGTGAGATGTAAAGATAAAGTAAATGTTGCGTATCAGAATAGAGTAGATGATCCAAGCCTTGATGATCCAACACAAAGTACATTGAGTTTGCCTGAAAGAAGATCAATTATTGATGATGTAAGAGATATGAGAAATTCGCTGGAAAATGGCCGAACCCCTAAGAAGTGCTTATTAATGTAACTAGATTTATTAATAAAAAACAGGTTTACAAGAATAATTTTTTATCTAGCTAGTTATTTAAGGCCATGCTTGGTAACAGGAAATAAGAGCAGAAACCAACCCTCCGAGTCCGATCCATTTTTCTGAGAAATTTTTCCCGAAAATCTTGAGTGCAATTTGTGCCCCGCCAGCTGCAGGAATCATATCGCCTAGTGTTTTCACAAGGTTAATATAGATCTGAGTCCTTGCACCTTTCAAGGCATCAAGTGTCTGTTTAGTGGATTGTGCATTTGAATCAGTTGATGGACGCTTTAATTTTGCATCCTTCGACAAATTTATTACCAAATTTCTCAATAAATTGATCAGAGTAAAAATCAAAGCAATAAATCAACAAGTCATAGCAGATTTCGTCAGCTTTTGGGTGTCTCTCTTTATAAATTTGATTGCAGATAGAATTGCTAAATTATCAAAAAGCCAATAGAAAAAGAAAGCTAAACGTGACAAAAATTGAAGGGCTCGCTGAGGGTTATCAATTCCAACATTTTGAAGAAGCTTTACCATTGCGTCGTATTCGTGAACACTTTTCCAGAGACGAAACATTTTTCTGGCATCTCTGCTTGCAGTGAAAAGGCCGTTAAGCCGTTCCTTTGTGACTGGATTGGAAAGAAGGGCTTTTAGCATTCTACTGCCATATTGTAATACTTTGCAGAACTTGTCTCGGCCTTCTGTTTTATTGCTGAATACAATAAGCTTGTCCATTTTTTATTAATGACGTAGATAAATGCTAGAGATTTAAATATGACGAAATACATGTGACTAAAATGAATTGAAGCTTTTTTGGGAATAGAGGTAAATATTGATTAAAAAGAAGGAACAAAATTATTTGTTTTTAATTATAAAAGACATCATTGTCATTTGGGCAGATTTATGATTTTCATCCTTTTCATCTTCAGCTATTTCTTTATTGTGTTTATGGCTATTTATTTGTTTAGAAATAGTCTCATGCTTTACTTGTATTGATGATTGCTTGAGTTTAATATTTTCACCTGCTGGGAAAAGGGTAGTTTGCATTTTTAGCTTTTTTGTAGGATGCTGGTCTTCTATATGGTCCAGTTTTCTCTTGATTAAGTTATCCATTGGTCCTCTCACTTCTGTGTTTTCTTCAATAGTGTACAATTTATTTGAAAAAATATCACTTATTTCATTTTTTTGTTTATTTTCTTTCAATGTCTTTTTTATTTTCACAGGATGAGGAGTTGACACAATTTTCTTTTTTACTTCAGGCTCACCTTTTACTGGCTTAATAATTAATATGGTGATGATGACAAAATATGTCCTTGTCGACGACGCACTACTTTGGGAGCCTAAATGGCTTTATGTCCTAAATCAAGGTTCAGGCCCTTTGATTCTAATCTAAGCTTGCTTTATGGCGACCGTATGGGGTGGGTGACCTTAGTGACTATTCTAGTCCAGATATTAGTTATTTGAATGGTTTTTGGGCCACGTGCTCGTTTCCCTGCCCCTTCCGAGAGCTGGAGCTCTTTTTTCTTGGATGTCATCCTTCCTCAAGGTGGCCAAGAGGAGGTATCGGGCTAACCCTTTATAAAGCATGAGGAGACATCAAATCTGGAAGACCTTAAGCCATTTAATCTTAATCTTACTGGTGTAAAAGCGACTGATCTTTGAGTATTATTAGTTTTGCTATTTAAAATTCCTTTCAATCCTTGTGAAGCTGCTTCGTCAATTTCGAGATCCATGTCTTCATTATTTTCACTGAATTTCATAAATTTTCTTTCAGCTTGAGGTAGATTATTTAAAGATGCTGGAAAATACGTTAATCCTTGATTTCTTAATAATTTCAGTTTGAATTCATGATCAGTTAAGAAAAAATTGTTGCTCTTGTTAAGAGTAATTCCAAACAAAGCTTGATTTTGGCTCTGATTTGTACTGTAGATAAGTTTTATCTTATCAGGATGATAGTCTATATATACTCCACAAACTTCATAATTATTTATCAATAATGATAATTCTTGTGCTGATTCTTCGAGTGATAAATTATATTTTTTAGCAAAATAGCTCACAGAGAGAGAACCTTGAGAAAGAAGTAGGCCCGTCGCAATTTCCCGCCAATCCATTTATTTAAATATAAGAATTAAATTAGTTTAACAGTAGATAAGAATGCATATTTTTAAAATTAAAATATGCATCCTTATTTGAAAATTTTTTGAGTGCCTTTTTAAATCTTCGTTTACTCTTATAACCAAAACAACTCACAATATTTATATAAATCTATTCATATTATACTATGGAACCAATATTAATTCATCTCGCATATTACTGAAGAGTTGAGTTTGCATTACAGCATTAATAAATGCGTGATCTTCCTTTGGAAACTGGCTTAATATTTTATTCTGCAACCCATCAACTCCAATATATCGATTTATTTCAATTTCTGCTGTAATATATGAAAAATATTCTTTAATTGCTGAGGCAATTTCCAAAATAATCATTTTTTCTTGAGGGTTGGGATTGAAACATGCTGCTTTCTTAGGCAACAAGCCAAATATATTTTGGATTCTTTGTTTTAGCTGGGAGGCAGCTGGCTCTATAACAGTTTGTACAGTTGTTGTATCACCTTGAATTCTTGCACTTATCATAGGCTCATCAAGCATCACTCATATGATATTTTCTTTATTTGTTGGCCTTTGACAAATCCCAGCTAACAGCGGCACGGGTGCATCCAATAAATCTATCACTGAATTTGGAACTATTGGAATTAATAAATTTGGCCACCTAAACGGTCTTAAAAGTGCTGTGAACCCAAGCACACAAGAAGTTAGCAGCCCTTTATTGCTTGACACAAGCACAACCGATTTTTCTTGCAAAACTGCACAGAAAAGCCAAAAAAAATCATTAAACTCAAGCGTTGAAAAAAGCGGCCCACAAAGTCAAGGGATATCAATCATACTCATATCTTCAGGGAACTCATATATGATTTTATCTAAATTTTCAATAGAAATTTCTATCAATTCAGCATCTTGCACAAGCTCAATTTCAGCGTAAGCTGACAGAGCTCTTCTTTCATCTTTACACAATAATTCTTCTTTTCCTAAATCTTCTTCATTTATTAGCGATTTCATTCTATTGATTCTTTTTAATGAAAGCATGCTAAATATCATCTCATAATGGAGCTCAAAAATAGGGATAAAGCTCACAAAGCAGTAGACTTTGGGGACGACCCACTCCACTTGCTTGTCAGGCTGCATAGATAAGTCTTCTATTTGTAAGCAAATCATGTACATTACTTCTTGGTTAGAGTTGGGGAGCTCTCCGTGCTCTTTTTCAAGCTGAGTTGACTTTAAAGTAAAGATGTAGCAGTTATTTCCTCTTTTATTCTGAGTTTGGCCATATAGCAAAGAGTTCAATTCTGATGCTGAACTTGAGAGTTTCATAGGGCGGACGTCAACTCCAGAAGGAAAACAGCAGTCTGCAAGTATTTTCCTAATATCTGAAGATAATTGAAAACTACTTTCAGGATACTCATATACGATTTCTGGAGGGAAATTCAATCCACTCCCAAGCTTATCCGCAGAAACACTTATAATCAAAAATGAAACATATAAGTTTGGGTCATTGCACTCAAAAGAAATGCTCTGGTCAGGCAATGCTTGTTTTACACAGCTATCAGTATTTATTTCAACTGATTCTAAAGGATATCAATCATCATTTGAATAATAATTTCTTTTTTGAGGTGAAAAAAGATTGAGATGGGACAAAGTGCATTGAGTTTTTTTGAGATTTGGCTCAAGTGTGTTTATTTCTTCGCTCTTTTTTGTTATAGGACTGCCTTTGAGTTCTGAAATTGTATTTTTCAGCTGCTCATTTTCAAGCCGAAGCATATTCATTTGATTGATATCATGCAAGCTTCCTTCAATTGCTTGCTCGTAAAGAAGCTTTAATTGAATATGCTCGGATTTTAATTGGATAAATTCTTTTTCCAGACCTTGATATTTAAGCTTTCAATAGCTATGCTGAGTTTCCATTTTTTAATTTTCCGGCATTTCATTCGGAATATCCTGCAATAATCAGATAGGAAATATATGAAATTATTTGGAGAATTTCTATAGTCAAATAAGAAAAACATTTTTAAATTATATTTAATGATTTTATATTAAAATTCATTTCAGTTTCACCAAAATGGCGTCATAATTATATGCTTAATACTCCTCGGCATAACAAAGCTTTATCCGAAGGAGAAGGATATGAGAGCGTAAAAATCAAGCAAAGCCAAGCAAATAATATGGAAACAGTGCTTAATAAGAAATTTTCCTGGATTAGGAAAAGCTATTTGAAAGGATTAAGCAGAGAAATCCATAAAAGGATGGATTTTCAATCTGACGAAAAAATGCCTCACCCTGTCCTTATGAAGAAAGAAATAAAGGGAATTGTGCCTGATCTTCCAGAAAAAAGTAAAATCATATTGGCGTCACCAATTTCAATAGAATCAAAGCCTTTATTGATGGTCGGTTTTGATAACAAAACGCTGAAACGGCCTAATCTTCTGTCTTTGAAGGCAAATGCTAAAAGCAAAACTCATCACTCCCATAGAAACTCATCTTCAATTGATTATACTAGCAATGAAAAAACCATTAAAAGCAAAGACTGCTCATATTTCACAAAAAGAAATTTAATCATTCCAAAAATTAATATTACAGAATCACTAAATAAAAGTGATATAACAAATTCAAACATTTCTGACTCAGCCAGACATTTCCTTGAATCATATCTTGCTTTTAAATCATCTGGCAAAAAATATAATAATTGTAAAAGAAAATTGGTTACATATGAGACTGAAAATAGTCTTATAATTGACTGTAGGAAAGAAATAGAAAAACCAGAGTGATCAGAGAGGAATAAACTAATTACTAGAGATATCGAAATTCAAACCCAAGAATTAAATGATGATAAGGAGCCAGGAGAATTTCTTACGTCTAGGAATATGGAAATCCCCGTTTTCATTAATCGTAGTCATGCTAGATTGAAAAAAATTAAAAAAATAAATAGAAAAAGTGCATTTTTGTCATCAGAAACAAAGCCATTAATGAAAACTCTTAGTATGCAAATTGAAAATTTATTAAGCCCTTCCAATCATAATAAAAGTGAGCTTATAGGAATAGAAAAAAAATTAAAAGCATGCGTAATACAAATTGAAAGTATACCAAAAGTCAAAAGCCCAAGAGCAAGATCTGAAAAAAGGAGAATTTTATTATAATATTAAGCTATTTAAACTGAATTTCTCATTTTCATTATAACTATTAATAATTTATTGCCAATAAATATCATTTTTTCCGGAGGTATTTTATAATATTTTTTCATGAGTTTAATTTTTGGCAAAACAAATAAAAATGGCTAGTTATATTTAATAATAAAGCGAAAATTACAGACTCAGAAGAAAAAATAATTGAATTAGAGCGACAGTACTCAAAGCTCGAATCTGACCTCAGCCAAGAGAAAGACCTTCATGAAAGAAAAATAAAGCATCTAGAGCAGCTCCTCGAAGAATCAAGAAGCAGAGAAAAATCCTACTTAAGTGAGCTAAAATCCTTAAAAAAGGAGCACACCCAGTCAATTAAAGATATTTATTCTCGCAATGATTTAAAAATAAAAGATTTGCAAAGCAAGCTTGATATAGAAGCAGAAAGAGTCTCAGATCTTGAAAGGCAAATTGACGAAAAAGAAAATAATTATGAACGAGAAAAATCAAAATTAGAAGAAGAAACAATGAAAATAAAAATAACCATAACTGAGCTGAATCAACAAATTGAAGGAATTATTCTAAAGAATGAAAGAAAAGAAAACGATTACAAGAAAAAAATTGCTGAGCTTATGAAAGAAAACGAAACAAATATTAAACAATTTAGAAATAAAATCATAGAAAGTGAGGCAAAATATAAGGAAGCGGATAAAAGCTTAAAAGAAGTTCAGGCAATTTGAAAAAGAGATGAAGCTTTATTAAAACAAAAGCTGGAATTTGCAGAGCAAGAAGTAAGTGAAGTACAAAAAGAGCTGGAGAGCTATAAAAATAGAAATATTTCTATAGCTGAAACGATAAATAGCCCTTTAGAAAATATTGAATTAATTGTACATCGATTAAATAACCAGTTTCAAGAAGACTTAAGAAAGAGAGAAAATGAATTTTCAGCGACTAAAAAAAGTCTGGAAGCTCAATTAGAAATCTTGACAAAGGAAAAAAATGAGGTTGAGTTCCTGCTAAAGCTCAGTAAAAATGAATGGGACGCCCAAAAGGAATCTTTGATGCAAGAAATTGAGAACTTTGGAGAGGAAAATAAGAAGCTAATAGAGGATTTGAAAAATAATCAAAATGAAAATTCCCAGTCAATGCAGGATCTGCAAGCTAAATATGAGAAAAAAGTAAAGCTTCTAGAATATCAGATCGAAGAATCCAAAACTAAGCATAAAGAAGAATTGGGTTCTGCGAAAGCAAACGCTGAAATGACTTATAAACAGTTAAAAGATTTTTATGAATCTGAAAAATCAAGATTAGAGAAAAAAGTAATTGATGAAAACGAACGCTGCGAAAGGAAGTTCAATGATGTCTGCAAAGAATATGAGGAGAGATTGAAATCTCAAGCTGATGAAGCAGAAGCTGAAATTCTTCAAAGAGATGAAGAATTGCAGCAATATGAAATTTACCTGAATGAAGAAACCAATAACCTAAAGCATCAACTTGGACTTAGCGATCAAAAAATTCAGTCCCTAGAAAAGCAGTTAAAAGAATCCAAAGATCAGCTAGATTCTTTACAAAAATCTCATTTAAAAAACACTGAGCAAATGCATGATTTAAACGCAAAAGAAAGAACAGCTTTGAATGAAAAAATCGAAAAACTAGCATTGGAAATTTCACAGAAAGACAAAGAACTCTCATCATTAACATTTAAACAAGAGCAGCTTCTGTCAGCGTTAGAAAATAAAGAAATTGAATGGGAAGAGACAAAGATTCAGCTTCAAAAAGAAAAAGAAAATTTGTCTATTAAACTTGAGAACACCAAGGATATTTTAAATAAAGCAACTGACTCCCCCCCCCTCGAAGTTCGACCAAGATATAGGGAAAATTCCTATTTTTTTGGAAATTAACCCCCCTCAAAGTTCGACCAAGACCTATATAAATTTACTAGGAAAATAAGCAATTTTTCAAAATTTTAAACTATGTGGGGGTGAGCTTGCGATTTTTGTATTCAAGCTCTAAAAAAGCGTTACAAAACCATCTTGCACTATTTTTTCTAACCCTTACACCCTCTCAACTATACAGAAGAATATGATAAATATTTTTTTTTTAACTACTAAATTATATAAAAAAAATTCTATATAATTTTTTTTAGAGAATATTCTTCACTCCCCCCAACTCGAAGTTCGACCAAAAAAATCTTGGTCGAACTTCGAGGGGGGGGAGTGAAGAATATTCTCTAAAAAGCAATGATTTTAAAAGAGAAATGGCACTTGCTAAGCAAGATATGGAATTTAAATCAAAAAGAATTGAAGAATTGGAAAAAAGTTTGCAGCTGTCTGAAGAAAAATATAGGGATACTCTCATTAGCTGGAGAGATCAGACTGGGATCGATATTCCTGAAAAAATGAGAGAGTTGACTCAGACAAACGAAAAATTGCAGAAAAAATTAGAGGAAAAGAGAAAATCTTTTAAAGAATTATTATCTTCTAGCAATAAACAAATAGCATCACTTGAAAAAGAAAGAGCTGTTTTGGCTGAAAAAGTGGTGAATTTAGATTCTAAAAAACTGGAGCTTGAAAACCGATTTAGGGCTGAAATCGACCAATTGATGATTCAATTGAAAGAAAAAAAGGATGAAGATGGCAGTGAAAAATTTGGATTAAAATTAGAAAACGAACGACTTAAAACAATGCTGCAAGAAATCCAAAAAGAAAATGGAGAAAAAGATGCTACAAGAGATAGAGAAAGGATACTATGGGAAAATAAATTTAATTTTCTTCTACAACAAAGAGAAAAAGCACGACAAGATTTGATGGAAACCCAGAAAAAGTTTGATATCACTTTAGAGCAGCTCCAAAAGAGAGGAGCAAGCGATAAAGAAAAGCTTGAAGGCGCCACAAATTCTTTAATTACATCAATAGAGTCCCGATATACATCTCAAATCAGAGATTTGCAAGAAGCTCATCAGCAAGTGCTTATTGAAATGAACGATCGTAACAAACAGCTGGAAAAAGATGGAAGATCACTACGTGAACATTTAGAAATGGAAAAAAGAGGCAGGCTTATTGATATTTCTTCTTTTGAGAAAAAAATCCAGGACTTGCTTGAAAATGAAAATAAGCTCATCAATGAAATAGAATTTTTGAAAAAAAATAGAGAAAAATACAGCTCAGATCTTCATGAAAGTTTTTCATATGAAAAAGATAGGCTAAAAACAAAGCTGTTTGATTGTGAAAAAAGGATGAAAGAGCTTGAGCTGCAAAAAGCACAGCAATTTTTAGATCATGAAAAAGAAAAAGCTAAATGAAACTTAGAAAGAGACATTTTAGTCGCAAAAAATTCAGAATCGCTAGAAGTCATTGGCAGACTTGAGAAGAAGAAAGATTTACTTTTGAAAGATAATGAAAAACTAAAGGTTGAAAGAGGAGCTAAAAGGCATGCAACTGGAGTACTTTTGAAAAAGGAACATTATAGACAAAACTCGGGTAATATGTCAATGTCATTCGAAGAAGCTGAAAAAGATGAAGGAAACCAGAGCCCTTATAAAAATAGAAATATAAATCTTGGAGCATCGATGAACCTTCAAAATATTCAAAGCTTTAGAGATCCAACCTATAATATAAGGCCTCAAACTATAAGGGTAAAAAGAGGAGCTAGCCCTTTAGCTAAAAGTGAGCAGTCTCAAGACAGCTATAAAGATAGCAGCCCTTCAATATCAAAATACTCAGATAGCCCTCCTGTAAAACATGAGAGATCAAGAAGTGGAAAATTCACTAAATTTTAATTTAAGTAAACTAATTTCCTAACATATATTATTTAATTCTTAATTTTTCATAAAATTTAGCTGAACAATCATTCTTTTGGCTAAAATGCACAGAACTCATTCAAGCTCAAAACATATTACAAATTCTTCATTTAGTCCTATTAATAGAAGCCAAGCCCAAGAAATAATTAGCATATATATGATGTCCCTTTATTTTTGACACCCCAAAAGAAAAATTATAAAATTCTCTCCATTTTGACGAACAGTTACTTCCCCAAATTAGAAGACTGATAGAGACTCCATCACGTTTCGAAGAAAATTCTTCGATGTCTTCATTGACTCCTTGCGTACTCCAATGTTCTGAGACAGCATTAAGAGCAAGGCTGAAAGCCGGAGGAGGGAAATGTTGGCATACATACCCAGGGAGGTTTGCTATAGAAATTGCCCGATAATGGCGCTCAATGCGCCATCATCGGGCAGTCAGTATAGCAGCTGAACGAAGACTCGTTTCTTGTGAGACGTAAAAAGAGGAGAGCCTTATCTATAATTAATGCTAATGTCTTCATTGACTCCTATTTCTACATCCAAAATAGTTTATCAAATTCTCAATGAGCGGCCTTCTCGAAAAAATCGTTTGAGGCGCTCCAGCAAAAGAGGAAAAAGTATGGAAAATCTGAACAATAGCAAAATGACTGATGCTAGTTTCCCAAAAATATATAAAAATCACAATAAAATCAAATGTAAGAAGTGCGTAAAGTTCTCATATTTATTTGAAAAGGCACTGATTGAATAAAGTAAATTTAATCTATTATATTGATTTGGATGAAGTTATTAAAACCACCAAGTTAATGCATATTTAATTATATAAACTATTAATAAAAATAATCGATAAAATCTATTTCAAATCGGAAATAAATAGAAGATCTAAATAATCTTTTTTCTTAATAGTCTGAATATGCAAATAGTGTATATAGCCTCTTGAATAATGATTAATGAGTTTTAGCACTGTTCATTAAATAAGAACAGCTGATTATAGTATAATTTATAGTTATAAATGTCAGAAAAACCTAGGAGGATTTTGCCATGGCAAGCTGAGGGATTAAAGAAAAATCGCAATTGAACTGAAAGAAAAAAGAATAGAAAAATTCATGGCCTTGTGAAAATAAGAGTAAAAATTTCAAGTTTGGGGGCTAAAATAGCAGACTATAATGATAAAGTAGGGGAAAACATCATTTTGCATCATCCGCTGACTACATCTGACTTTTGCATGAACGCTCATCCTTCCAAGATTTTAGAGCCACCCCCACGAAAAATACGAAGATTAAATGAAAATATTAACATTTAATCAGTTTTTGAATTATTATACGGCATTAACCAGCCACGCGATATAATTTTAAATAAACTGCGAGAATAATTAATGTTTAATTTTAAACAGCTTACATATTCAAACATAAATTTTATAAATTAAATAAATATTTGCTTTCCCAAATTTGTGAATAGGGATTTTTTAAATTCGAAAATCCCTCCCTCGGTGAGCGAACAAAATTTTTTATTCGCTCACGGAAAGGGGAGTAAGTAACTTCGATAGTTGATATTTCTAAAAACTTATGTGAATATTGAATTTTTCTTCTCCCAGACGGCTCTCTTATATTTCGTTCTGTGCCTCAAAAGTGAAAAAAGCATCGATAACAACGCTGGAAAAAGTTCTATTAATCTACAAAGTTCATCTGCGGTATTATTCTCAAGGCAATTTGCAAGAATTCTATAAGAGGAGTAGCTATTTTCATAGTAAACTCCTGTAGCTATAAGTGCAAGAATAGCGAAAAATGCTTGAATAATCTCACACACTGATCATTGCTAAAATAAATTTTACCTAACTAATAAATTTCTTTGAATTTTATAATAGATTCTCTTGGGCTAAATCGACGGCTTTTCATATATTATTAATTACGTTAATGAAGTATCATTATTCATGTTTCTAATCATCTTTGACAAGTTGTCAGCCTTTTTCAAAAGCCTATTTACCTCAGCATCAATATTTGCGCAGCGGGCCCTAGCTTCTTTTATAGCTTTTTCTTTTTGCCCTACAATTTCATTAAGTTCTCCTTTTTTATGTTGAAAATCATATACTGCCTCTTTATACTTTCCATACAAGGACACCGAGATCGGGTGGCCTTTGCCTCTTTTTATTTTTGAAACAAAATATTTCATCCCGGCTTGGATTGTTATGGCAGCTGCAGAAGTCATCAAAATACTCATGAAGGCTTTATTTTGTTTTTCGTTTAAACTGACAAAGCTACCAAATCTAACAATGACGATTGTTAAGCTTAGTGCTCCCATAATGTATCCTAATACCACAGCTATTCTTCCACAAATGCTAATTGGATAGAAATCGCCGTACCCTACAGTTGACATGCTTGCAAACATACATCATAAAGCATTTAATGGATTTTGAAAATCTTGGCCTGTTATTTCATCAAGAGGCCTCTCGAAAATTCTTAGCATTTGTGATAGGATAAAAAGTGATGGAATCGCCATAAAAGTTATCGTTTTAATAACAGGAGACTTTTTCATCATACATTTAAATGAAAATCTTAAGTTTGCAGAGACATGATTTTTTTGGCAATATCTTCTTGCTATATAATTTTCATATGGTGTATAGTTTGCAAGCGCTCGAATTAGGAACATGAATCTGGCAAACATGAAGAAATATGTGACTTCTGCGAAGGTGTAGCAAGTTCATATAGTTTCATATTGGTGTCTTAATGGGATGTAAATTTTTCAATCAACATATGGATAAGGGATGATAAGTAAAGTAACAATTTCTATAATTCTTAATTTGGTGAAGAAGGGCTTCTTATCATAAACCTGCTCAACAGGAAATTTCGATAATGACATTGTGACGGGTATGTAAATCTCTTTTTCAGACAAATAAGACTCCCTTCGATTTTTAATATAATACCTCACTCCCCCCCCCTCCGTGAGTGAACAAAAAAATTTTGTTCACTCACGGAGGGGGTTTAATTTTTTTTTTTTAAAAAAATTTATATATAAATTTATAAAAAATATTTATTTTTTTTCGAAATTTAAAAAAATCCTGATTCGCAAAAATTGGAAAGCAAATATTAATTTAATTTATAAAATTTATGTTTTAAAACGCAATTTGTTTAAAATTAAACAGAATTAGCTCTAGATTTCATTATGCTAATTATCACTTATATATCAAATTTTTTTTTCCATAAAAAATTTTTCTATTAAAAAAATTTTTGTTCACTCACGGAGGGTGGGTTTTTTTGGGCAAAAAATGCCGATTTTTCTAATGGTTTTGTTCACTCACGGAGGGGGGGGGGAGTCAGCAGCAAAAATCATAAAGATATAAACGTTGTTAGTAAATTCAAAATTAAATACAAATCAGTTCTTCGAGTGCTTATTGAGCAATTTGTTGAATTTCTATCATTGCTATAGCTATACTCATAATCTAAAGTGACGACTACAATTCCAATAATTGCAAATATTGCATGAACTGTCTCACATGCTCTCCACTTCGAAAATAATTCTTGAGAAATATCAATCCTCCTATTTTTTCTCCTAACCCCTCCCCATCCTTGATCGAACAGCTCGCCATCGTTCGATCGAGGATGGGGGTTAAAAAAAAAACTTTTTTAGGAAAAAAAATTTATGTATAAAATAAAAAATATATATATATATTTTTTTTTATTTACTTTTAAATAAGAGGGTTAAGAGTATTTAATAATTATTTTTACAGCAAAAATTTGAATTAATTTCATAAAATTACCAATTTTTAATATTTTAATTTATTAGTCACCCCTTTAAACTTTATAAATTTTAATTTGTTCCTTATTAAATTAAATTTTTGTTTTTTAAATTTTAAAGAATCTCTATTTTTTTAGATTATTGAGTTTTTAAGCCTAGGTTGATGACTAAATCACTTCGAATGGTTGATTCGTAGCTTTTTGCCGTCTCAAAGTCTCTGAAAACAACTTCATTATGTACATCTTCCCAAGCTTCTGATAACTAATATATATTTTTATATATATAAAAATTTGCATGATATGAAAATCGTTCGATCAAGGATGGGGGTTAATTTTCCCAAATTTTTTAGGAATTTTTACAGTCAATCGTTCGATCAAGGATGGGGGGGAGTAAGTGATAAGTTTTCCTTTTCCGAGTCCATATCTTAATTTGTTTAAAAAATTGTTCTATTAATTAACACTGGATGAAACCAATGAGGGTTAGCTATTTGGCTATCAATTTCTATTGGCTTTGTTAATTCTAACTGTTTTGATAGCTCTAATATTTCTAGCTCTATTTGTCGAACCTGAGGTGGTTTTTGAATTACTTCTGGCTCTTCACTTATAAGTGTAACTTTTCTATATTCCCACGGCCTAACACCTAAATCAACTAGCATTTTGTTACTGACATAATACCGTAGTATATTCCACTTATCGATACACTCAGAAGTGTGCATTGTTTGGCAGCAGCTGAACTTGAACTTTTTACAAAGCTCACTTGGGCTGTCGTTTGAAAATAAATAATCTATGTACAACTGATAGGACTCTCGCACTTCATTGCTTTCGAAATAGGACTTGCAGTAGGAATTATTGAAGCTTTTACTGAGATCTTGGTCTTTTTCTTCCATTTTTTGTCTTTTAGTTTGGCCATCTGTCTTAGGTCCTTGCTCCGTTTTGCAGACTATTTGAAGCACTTCTTTGTTTTTTTCATAGCACTGCTTCAATTTATCGTATGCATCGAAGCTTTCTTTTGAGGTGTGAATTTGGTTAAGAGTTTTCCTTGGGATGATATTGTTTGCAATATTCCGGATTAATCTTTTGTGTCCTCGAATGATCTGGCATCTCAGGTATTCTTTTTTGGGTGGCTTTTTGCCTTGAGCCCTCCGAAAGGAGCCAAGAATGAGGGTGTCTTCTGATGTTTTTCTTCCTGCACGCTTTTTAGCTGTGATGGAATTTTCATTTGAGAGAATTGATGAGGAGCCATTTTGACCCATAGGGGATGGAATCATGATGAATGATGCACTGAATTCTGGGTCCATTTCAGTACATTGGGTTACAGGAGATGATTTGTCTGAACATGATTCAGAGCATGTTGAAGTCTCTTCGCTAAGCATATTTTTACAGATAAAACCCTATTATTCTATATTTCTCTATTAACAGAAAGCATAAAAAAATGAAGTTTCTGTGCATTGGAATTAATTAGAAATTTCGAAAATATCGAAAAATGGGAAATAAGGAGATATCAATAATTCAAAAAATCAAGCTTAACTCAAAGGCTAAGTTTAAAATTAATTAAAGGGGTTCCAATAAAATTATTCTAATTAAACATAAAAATATTTAATTATTTAAATTAACACTAGTTATTGGAATATAAAAAATTATAATTATTAATATTGATTAAAAGTTAATACTTAAATTATTGCTAGGCTTATATATACTTTGAAACATAATGAAATATTATAATTTATATGATTTAAGTATTTAATTCAGGTCTTTTAATATACTTTTTAAGATTATAATATTGCTTTTGGATTTTCGTTTTTAAATGTATCATATAGGTTTCGCATTAAATTCTTAAATAAAGATAATAAAATGGAAGAGGTTTTCCTAATTTTATTCATAATCAGTGGACTTATCATTGTTTGGGTTCGCCCAATAAGGAATACCATGATTGCTTGGAAAGAATACAAACGAAAGTGGCTGATTTATTGAATGAGTTTAGGAATTTTGACTTTCCTTGAAAGAAATTTATACCCAAACTTAGCTCGAAGTTTTGGATATTATTTTATTAGAACAATAGGTTTATTTTATATTTCTGAGCCTGTATTATTAAATGACATAAAAAAAGGCTTTGAAAAGATAAAATCAGGTGGCAGAGACAATAAAGGTTTAAGCACATCTATTGATAAAATCTCAGAAGCCAAAAGTATAAAAGAACTTGAAATCTTATTAGAAACCAATATTCCTATAAGTCTAGGTGAAGCTGGAATTCATCCATGGGCCACAAATCCAACAACAATGAGTTCTTTGACAGCTATGAGGATTGGCATGATTGCTTCAGAAAATAAATTTACTGAAGAAGACTATAAAGAGATCATTAAAAGCAAAATTTTAGATATCTTATTAGACGGAGTCAAAACTATCGATCCAGCACAAATTGATAATTGCCTACTAGCTTTGTCGTTTCTATCAGAAAAAAACAAAAAAATTCGGAAGCATCTATTAAGAAAATATGCATTTGATGATTTGAGAAAATGCATTTATGATGCCAAAACGATAAGAGCTTCTACAGCAGCAAGAATATGCAGGAATATTTATTTTAAAAATTTTGCTGCACAAAGAGAATTTATAGCGAAAGGATATATTGAGGCTTTAATGAGATTAATTAAAAAATGCGAGTCAGATCCGACAGGAACTTTGGAAATATTGCAAGGAATGATGGATTTAATTTTGGTAATATTTATTTAGCTTAACGAAGATAAGATGAATACACAATCTATACATTTATTGAGAAATATGGGGCTAATAAATATTTTACAAGAAATAGATGCAAAGCACGGCTCAAGAAATGAAGTCAAAATTGCTTTATCTATGCTTACTCCCCCCTCCATGAGAGAACAAAACCATTAAAAATCCCTATTTTTTGCCCAAAAAAACCCACCCTTCGTGAGCGAACAGATAATTTTTTTAATATAACAATTTTTTAAGGAAAAAAATTTTTATATATAAATGATAATTAGTATAATGAAATATCTAACTAATTCTGTTTAGTTTTAAACAAATCATTTTAAAACATAAATTTTACAAATTTCGAAAAAAAATTTTACTATAAACTTTATATTTAATTTGTTTTCAAAAACAAAATTAACCCCTCTCCTGAGCGAACAATTTTTTTTGTTCGCTCACGGAGGGGGAGTTAGGACAATTCTTACATCAGTTTAAAATAGTTAAATTAATTGAAAGCTTCTATAAGTTAAGATGAGAAAAGCTATTGCACATAAGATTCATTTATATTTTCAAAAAAATTATATGATTTTATTTTAATAGTAATATGGGATATATCATTAAAATATATAATAGATAATAAATAAAATTAATGATTGAATTCAACACATAATCTTATCCTATTTACTTTAAATACAAAACAACACAAATCAGACTAAAGGAAAACAGAGATATATAAATTATTTATGCGAATCATAAAATTGAAATAGAAGATGACTGCCAGATTGATCGATAAATCTGTTTCAAAACATTTTTAAATCACAGATTTGCGTATAAATCGCAGAATCTTTTATTATTTATTATTTCCAAGAATGGGTAGAATGAGAAAAAGGCAGTTGGGTGGGCTGGGGTGAGTTTTAAATTTGACCATCCTGAAATAAAATTCGTTTAATAGATTAGCGATAATTTATTGTGTTGAAAATCTATTAACTCTCCCTTCAAAATTGGAACAAAATATATTAATATTTACATTTTTGGGGTAAATAAATCTTTATTTACTCCCCCCCCCCCTCCGTGAGCGAACAAAACCATTAGAAAAATCGCCATTTTTTGACCAAAAACCCACCCTCCGTGAGCGAACAAAAATTTTTTTAATAGAAAAAATTTTAATGGAAAAAAATTTTTGATATATAAGTGATAATTAGTATAATGAAATCTAGAGCTAATTCTGTTTAATTTTAAACAAAATGCGTTTTTTAAAACATAAATTTTGCAAATTAAATTAATATTTGCTTCCCAATTTTTGCAAATTAGGATTTTTTTAAATTTCGAAAAAAATATTTTTTATAAAATTTATATATAAATTTTTTTTAAAAAAAAAAAATTAACCCCCCCTCCGTGAGCGAACAAAATTTTTTTGTTCGCTCACGGGGGGGGGGGGGGGAGTTAGTAAAAATTAATAATTTTTATAGAAATTAATTAGCGCCCTGAATCAATTAATTTTAGAAGCAAATTTTTCATAAAAATAAATTAAAAATTTTTGTATGTAATTTATTTGAAAGAATTTATGTAATTATTTTTCGATAGAAATTCTAATAATTTCTTTTCAAAAAGATAAGGCCCTTAAATTAAAGCAGATTTTGACTCAAATTTAAAGAGAGGGGTAAAGAAATTATCAACGTATTTTTGATGATTGAAATTATTGGGGTCATGATTAAAAATTTGCACTGTTTCTTCGTATAATCCTCCTTCTATATAATGTGCTAAAAATGCTTTTAACAAGAGTTCAGCCTCAGGCTTTGCAATTAAAAAGTCCACAATATCACCTCTTACTGGAACTATTCCTTTCTTTGCCAAAAGCTCGTCAAATAGTGTCAATACAAAGTAAGGAGTTGCTGTGGCTGGATTTTTCTTAAAATCTTCTAAATACGTCAATAAATTAGATTTTTCTTGTGCTTGTGAAACTAAAACAAAGTGGCCCGCTTTTCTCTTCAGCGGGAAAATAAAAATCGGTGAAGCCTTGGTTCTTCTCAAAAGTAAATCATATTGATGAGCTGTAATTACTGTAGACACATTATTTGGACGATTTAGGTGATATTCATTTCATATTCTTTTGATTTCTGAAGGCTCTTCCTTCTCAATAAGCGAAAGTTTAACGATTTCTCTCATTTTTCGAGGGCATGGGTATGTGAACACAAATGCCCTCCTTAATATCATTTTTTTGTAATTCTAAAATAAATTTTAATATTTTTTAGCTAAATTAGTGCTTCACCAATTTTCTCTGAGTTTATTTATATTACAGAAGTTTTATTAAGATGGGATGAATCTAAAAATCCTAGCTCACTTGTAATATTATTGATCTCAATCATTTTCTTTTTAAGGAAACTGCTTTTAGTTGAGGAAGGTGTTGATTTCACTGTTTTCCTTTTTCTAATTTTAGGTCGCAATTTAGGCTGTGAGAAATCACGCTTTAGAGTTGCAGTTTGATTTCTAAATGGCATTGATTCACTTCTTTTGAGTAAAAAACTATGCGCCAAATTCTCTGAAATTTTTGGAGCTGCTTGTGGGTTAATTTCTTCCAATAAATCATCAATTTGTTTTTGCTTCATTTCTTTATGCTTAGCTGCTCTAACTGCTTTTTGGTACTGAGATAAATTTCCTTTATCTTTTAATGTATAAGTTTTATAACAATTTCGGCACACAGGAACTCTTTCATAAAGCCTGGGGTTCAGCATCTTCGACAATTCTTTTTCTTCATTTTTATCATCTATCATCGCTCCTCTCAAAATCATGAATTTTCCACTTTTATCTTGATCTCCAGGGATATTAAATGAGTCAGATTGAGAATCATTAATTCATTAAATTATTATAGAGAAGCTCCGGCAAGCTTGAAAAAGCGTTTCACGTCACTTGCTTCGCACCACTCCTTATTTGCCAGTCTGATTCCACAGTCTAAGGCTTGTGACCGAATGCACATATCGAAAGCTACTCTCCCTTCTGCAAGGTCCCTCGCCTGGCTACAGGTGCTAAGAGGGCAAGTTTTTATTTATATATAAGATTAAGAATCCGAAATCAAATTAGAGCAATGCTCGCCTTGACAAATGAAATTTAAATTTTTTCCTTTAAGCTGCAAACTTTTGTGAATTTTTTGCTCACATTGGAAAGCTTTTATTTTTAAAAAATAAAAATTATTGAATTCGTCTTCAGCGAAATCCAGGACTAGCTGGCTGAGCCGCTGATTTTCTTTAGATAATAGAGAGGAGTTGATTCCTTTTCTTATTTCGTGAAGCTGCTTTATAGCTTTGTCATAGCTTTTGAGGGTCTTCATCTCATATATTACTGATTTTTCAGGGTTGCTGAAATCAGTGCAATACATGTTTCTTAATTTGTTTGCAAAATAATTAGATTAGATTAGATTAAGCCGTTCGCACTTGCAGGGCCGGGGATTTGCACCCCTACACGCTTCATCTCCCATGGTGAGGCCTCGGCGGAAACCCTCCTTGTTGCCTCAAACAAGGGATTCGCACAACGTGAGTTGTCTTTCCGAAAATCCATAAAAAATGGATTTTCTTGTCGACTGTCGGCAGAAGGTAGAACTCGAGAGCCTGGGACGTAACGCCCAGTTTCACGCTAGGGAGTTCCCGATTGGTCCAGAGGACTCTGCTGGGCTTCCCCTTTCCAACTCCCGTGCTCATCTTCCCCACAAGGAAAAAATCACCCCTGAATTTAGATTTGGGCTAGGCTCTGAACACAACTAGAATTGCTTACCTAGCATTGCTGTCCATTTCTGAAGTAGTAAAACCTTGCCGGATATAAATAAAATATAAGTCGAGTATGTATGGCCGGAAGGCCATACCCAGATGAAGACGCCATATTTTATTTATAAAATAATTAGATAATTGGCTTCCATCAAATGGAAAATCTTCCTCGTCTTCGTTACGAGTTACCTTTGATAAGCTGTGATAAAGTTTTTTCAATGAAATTTGAGGAGGAGAACTAGGTATTGACTCTTTTATATAAGAAATCAAATCCTCATCAGCATTTTTTTCAGCATAAATAGCACTAGATGGCTTAATTGGGACTTTAGGGGTTGATGAATGATCTCATTTAAAATGGTCATAAAATCCCATAGAAGTATCAAGAAACTTTGATGAAAATTTTTTCGTTTTATCATCTGAGATATCATAGTCAAATTCCAATTTTTCTAAATCTTTTGTTTTTTGATCATTTAAATGGGTCATCGATTTTATCCTCATTTCATGGGTTTTCTCATTCATTATCAATATCTCTACATTTTCTAAGGCTTTATTGTACTGCTCTTGATTCTTTACACTAACTTTTATATGATTTGTAAGAGGAACTCTATCATTTCCATACTTTTTTCTTATATCATTCACTTTGGTATAATAATAAACGCTGTCTAAAGGATTATGCTCCTTTTTTCCATCAAGTCTTTCAATATTCGTAATTTTGTACACTTTTATTTCTTTATTAGTCCATACGATTCTGATTTTGCACGATTTTCTCCCTTTTGGCAAAACATACCTTTGCACAATTAAATCTGTTTTATGTGCATTTTTTATTTCATATTTCAGCTCGCTTTCTCTCATTAAAATCCTATTAAATTGGCTATTAGGAGCAATAATTATGCATAAAGGGCAAACAACGCCACTATGGTTACTAAATCTCCATGTTTCCAAAATTTGTATAAGTATATCAATTTGAGGAGGTAGTAGCCTTTGCTGGACTTGGAGCACTCCTTCTTCATTTGTGTATAGCAACGTAGGACTTTCAAAGCCATATCCAAAAATAAGTGTTTCGGGCATATTTGCATAGATTTTAGTGTGAGATGCAATTTCAGCGATTCCTTTATATGAGTGCAATCCTGTTTGTAGTAGTGAAGAAGGGTTGGAGTTTGCATCAAATTTTATTTGTTGAATTATTTCCATTTCTCTCTGCTTAATTACTTCTTTTCCTGATTTAGATTTGGAAATTCATGTTCTCTTGATTTTAGCAGGAGATGAAAACTGAGGAGGTTAGGTTAGGCTATTTCAACATTGGTGACGTAGTCACCAAATTCCTCCTATACGGAAGGTTCTACCGCTTTTCGACTCCAAGCCAGAAGGTCTATCCCCCTTGCGGGTGCCATTTTGGTACCTTCTCTCCTCCTACCTTGCGGTTTCAGTCTTGAGTAGGCGGCTTAGAAACTGAGGAGGTAGTTTGGCTTTTTCCAAGAATATCTGACACAAGATTCTTGCGATATGCAGCCATTTTATTGTTCTTCTATAAGTGTTACTTTGTTTAAGATTTGGCTTTCATAGTTTGGATCTGTAAAGTTTTTTCTAACATATTGGTTTGCAGGGTGGATTTTTTTGACTCACTCAATAAGTCCTAAATGTTTCTTACGAGTGTCTAGTAGAGATTCTTTTTCTTTTAGTTCTTTAATGAAATGATCAACCATATATTTTTATTTTATTTTTGAATTTTTTATTAAATGAACTCCAGAAAGCCATTGAGAAAGAGTGCTCTTCTAATAATCATGGATTGAAGATTATATATAAATAAATATATTTGTAATTAAATAATTTCTGTTTTAAAGAAATCATGAGAAGAGGCAAAGTTACATCTAAAACCCCAGTGCACAGAGAAACAGAAGAAAATTCAACCTTAGAAGAGTGCGCCTCTGAAAGATTAATTGATGATAAGCCAAGAATTCAAGTCCAAGACAGGCAGCGGGATTATAATTCAAGATTAGAATTTGAAATAAAAGAAAAAGAAAGTGCCCTAGCTGGGCTAAAAGCAGAAATAAGATCAAGACAAAGATTGATATCACAGCTATCAGATAAACCTGGAGAAACAGAAATCCAAGAAAAACTAAAACGACTTGAAGACGAAATCTATGTAAGAGATCGGCAAATTGAAGTTTTAAATGATAGAGTTATCGTACTTGACGCCAAGGTTAAAGAATTTGGATCTCAAACTTCAAGCAGCCAGAAAGATCAACTAATAGAAAAACTTCAAGATGAGAGGAAGAAGCTCCAAATAGAGATAGAAAATGCTGAAGAAAAAATAAGAATTGGAGAAAATGTGCTTAAGGATGAACAAAATAAATGATATAAAGAAAAAGAGCAGCTTTTATAGGAAATTCTTATATATTAGAAATGATATATAAATTTTTTTAAAAAAAAATAATTTGCAAATTAAATAATTCCCCTTTTATTGAACAACGAAACGTTGAGCGAGTCTATTGAAGCTGGAAAAACTGAAATTCTTCAAAAAGATAGCCAATTAAACGATTTAAAGGTAGATGCTAAAAGGCTTGCAAGCATTATCAGTGAAATGTCTAAACTAAATACAGATTTAAATGAAAAATTAGATATTTTACACACTCAGCTAGATGCATCTAGTAAGGAGTCATTTCAAGCTCGTTTGAAAATTCAGCAGATGGATGAATTGCAGGGAAATTTGGAGGAGTTGACAGCAGAAAATTCTGAGTTAAAAAACAGGCTTAAAATAGTTACAAAGGAGCTAGAAATAACCCAAGCAAGCAAGGATAAATTGGAAATGCTCATATCTGATCAAGGAATAAAAATTGAAGATATTGAAGAAAGACTAAGAAGAGAGATAGAAAAATGTCTGCAATTGGAGCATAAGCTCCACACAACTGAGTTTTCATATCAAGGAGAACTTCAAAGCATACAGAAAGCGTTAGAAATGACTTTAGCAGAGCTTGAAAGAGTTAAAAAACAATTGCAAGCTAGGGAAATTCAAGAAGAGCAAGAAAAAGCTGATAGGCTAAGGGAAGCTCAGACAAGCATAAGAAACCTGGAAGAAAAGCTAACTCTCCATTTTAATTAATGAAGTAATATTTAATGTTTTAATATATTTTTAGAATAAATTGATTCGCTAATATTTTATATAAAATCACTTCTGCTTATATAATTATTTAAAATTCCATATTTAATTGTATAAGGTTATTGATATGAAGTAGCGAGAGTAAGAGATGCCGAAAGAGAACATAAGTTTATGAAAGCACAAGAAGGCACTTTAAAAAGTAGAATTGAAAACTTAGAAAATGATTTAGAATCAAAAAAAAAATCCAGTGCCCTCAATGAAAATCAGCTAAACTCCAAAATAAAAGAACTTGAGGATGAATTGAAAAATAGCAAACTTACTTACTTAAAGTTTATGACGTTTAACGTCTCCTATGGGGTGAGCTTCCCAGATCTTCCCGCCATCTCTTCCACGCACCCGGCCCGCAGGCCTCTGGGGCGACCCGCTTTGTGCACGATGATGTACTTGGAGTGGTGTTGCCGGCTTCGACTACTCATGAGTGAGCTACTTCGTTGTAACATGGGCTGCCTGCACGGAAAATCCAAAAAATGGATTTTCTGGCCGACTCTCGGCAAAAAGGAAAACATGCAGCCTGGGAGGTAACGCCCAGTTTCACGCTAGGGAGTTGCCCGATGGGTCGTGTGGACTCTGCTGGGCTTCCCCTTTCCAACTGGCATGCCTCCTTTTCCCACGAGGGAAAAAACCATCCCTGAATTTGGACTAGGGCTAGGCTCTGTTAGCCAGAGTTGCTTACCTAGCATTGCCGTCCTTTTCTGGAATGGCAAAACCTTGCTGGATATAATTAAAATATGTGTCGAGGCTGTATGGTCGGAGACCATACCCAGACGAAGACGCCATATTTTTAATTATGAAAAATAGCAAACAAAAAAACAATCCGAATTAAAAAAATCCCTCCAAAGCTTAGAGCTTGAATTATCCAAATCCCAAGCTCAATCCGTATCCTTATCCCATAGAATAGAGGGTGATCTGGAATAAAATACACTGTACATTTTTACGGTCGGAAATTTTGCTGAAAGTTCCAAGTTTTTTTTTACAGAAAAATGAACAAATGTAAAATTCAGAATTTTTTGAAAAAGTGCATTGAAGTTTTAATGATAATCTCCTAATCGTGATTACTTGGACAATCATAAATATTTTCAAATGAGAAAATCTTTAATTTAAGAAGGTAAATAGATAGTTTAAATATTAAAAATGATTGTTAAAGTTATACAGCAAAGTTCAATAATGCGTTCTCTTATTTTGCGATTTTTATTTTTTGAAAGGTATATAATTATTATTTTTCCTGCTCTATTTTTTTTCTATTGTGCTTTTTCATGCAAAATTCCAACCATAAAAAAGCACTTAAAAAAATTTATTTAAGTTTTTCCATGCGTTTTTAAAGATTTTTTAAAAAAACTATTCGCTTATATTTATTCAAGACTTTTAATCCTAATAATTTGCTATTAAAAAGATTTTTGAGTAATAATACTTTTGTGTTATAAGTAGGAAATCTAAATACTATTCAGTTTCCCAGACTATAATTTAAAAATTTTATAGGAGTTTTTCATGCGCAAAAATATCAATTGGCAAAGCTAAATTGCTTACCATGAGATGCAGTTTTCTGGCTTTATTTTGATAGATTATTAGAATTAGTATCAATTACAATGTTAAAAATATTTATCCAATTCTATTTAGCTTTTTTCTTTATTCAATGCTATATATCTGGCTAAAATATTTTTTTCTAAATTTGTACTTTTTTCTGAATTTTATTATTTTGAGCTTTTCTTGTGAGAATTTTCAGTTACTTTGACATTAAAATTTCCTACCGTAAAAATTACAGCATATTTTATTCCAGATTACCCTAGAATAGATGAACTCAAAAGCATGCAAGAAGTTTATATCCAAAGAAATGGACAACTAGAAGCATCTGCTAAAGCAGCAAAGCAAAAACTAGCATCATTAGAAAAAGAAAAAAGTGATTGGGAAACTTCCATGCTTCAAAAAGACGAAAAATTAAAAGAAATTTTATTCAAAATGAAAGCACAAGAAGCTGATATTTGAAACCGCGATACCGAATTATTAAGAAAAGAAGGTGAAAAAATGAAAATGTCTCAAGAAATAGAAGAATTGAAAAAGAAGCTGCAGGAGCTTCATGCGAAAATAAGAAGCATTGTAGCTGATGAACTTAAAGCAGTTAATGCGCAGCTAGAAATGAAAGATAATGAAATAGCAATTTTAAAAGATATGGTGAGAAGTCAGCAAACTCAGCTCAAACAAAAAGAAGGAGAAGTTTCAAGATATCGATCACAGCCTAAAAAAACAATAATAAAAAACCAAGACTCAGAAACGAAAAATGATGTGTAATAATTAGAGAATTCTATATTTCAAGATTAAAATATTTTAAATTTGCACAATTGTTATATTTCAGGTTAAAATATTTAAAACTTGCCAAAGCAGCATGCTTTTTTGCAAGGTTTATTTTTGGTACTTTTTCTTACAATATTTTCCACGCTAGGAGATTTGCTTTCTTTCAAAACTTTGTCAAGTGTGTTGCTAGGCCATTCTTTATTCGCTAATAATTCAACTATTCGTGCATGCCTCCATCTTGCTGCTACTTCAATACATGTAACTTCTTCACTTCCAATGCTTGATGTAATAAGATGATCTGCGCCGCTATCAAGTAATAACTTGACTATTCTTCTTAAAATGAAAATGAATGAAATTTGAATCATTTTTATATATAGGAACAATCGCTGACTAACATTGGTAATAATAACTACATCTTATTAGTATATATCATAATTCCCGTTCATGCTTGACAAATAAAGCGGCGTCATTCCTTGGCGGTTTCGTTTATTTAATAAAGATAGCGGATGATTACTCATTCTTAAATACCTATACGGGTCATTTTGAATTTCTTCTTTTAAATGCTCAATATCTTCAGGGGTCCCTCTTTCAAGACAATTAAATCAGCGTTGTTCTCTTCTCAGATCATTTAATGCTACTGAATAAGCTGAAGACCCTCGCCTTTCTGACTGTATTTTTCTATATTCGTGGTCTGTTGGGATTTTTTGAATTTCTCCTACTAGCTGTTCAGGGTCTTGACTAGAAACTACATCATGACATCTGAAAAGTGTAATAGCTCTAACTACGTTTCGAAGTAAACTCCAATGATCTTTTCTTGGTGTAGATGTGCTTGACTGGTCATAAGGTGTTATTTCTGTGTCTTTACTTATAGAAATACTTATATTATTTTCATCCAAAGTGTTGTCCATTTGTTGATATTTAATAGAATATTTATTTATATATAGAGATACAAACAGAAAATAATTATATTCTAGGATTTGCTATAGAAAAATTGAGGCAGTATTAGCAATAAAAGGTATTTGATATTTTGTTTATATTATATATAATAAATAAACTTATATAGACAAAAAAAGCTAATATGTTGCGTAGCATATATAGGCACTTTAGGTGATAAAATGGATAAAATATTATCGTAGGTTAACTGAGCCTAATCATCTAATATTTCAAAAATAAGTCTTATAATAATTTACTGGCTCATATTTTATAATAATAAAACACTACAATTTAAATAATTTTTAAACCCAGTCAACTAATTTCAAATCTTTAGAGACTATAAGTGCTTATCATGCTTATCTCTCTAGAAGATACATAAAAAATAATGAAATCATCGCTTATACACTCTAATTCTACAGAAAAGTCAAATAAAAAGCGAAAAATAGCTTGGCTAGCTAATAAGCACTTTCAAGAATGCCCAAAGCAAGAGAGGCACTTAGAAATGGGTCAAAGCAAAATTAAACGACAAATGACTTTTCCGCTGCAAACTCCGGCTTCAAGAAGTTTTTCAGTCCTCAAAAAAAGAGAAGATTTAAATTTCGTAAAAAATGAAACTAAATCAATCGAGCCACAAAAACTCCCAAAAATCTCAAGCCGCTCTCCAGAGCCATTTTCTCCAAAGCAAATTCAAATTTCTCTTTCAACAGATTCCTTTGAATCAGACTTTCAAAAATTAGAACTTCTCACAAGCAAAAACGACTTCGCAAGGCACAACTTATTATCCATCCAGCAGCAAATCATGGAATTAGGTGTTACACAAATAATCAAGGAAAGGTTTCCAGGCATAAAAGAAGACCAAAGCTACTTAAAAATTGAGGAAAACATTCCCCATAGCATTTATGATAACAAAGGCATCCACTTTATTTCCCCAAAAAAAGAACTATTCCCAGTTAGGAGAGCTTTTAAACTTCCTCCAATATGCTAAAATTAATTTCATAAATTATCTTAGGTTATTCACATTCAAAATCATCAAATTGCTTGATTGTTCACTTTCCTCATGTTTTGGAAATAGTTTCCAGAACCTTAAGGTTTCATCTCCTGCTCTAGTCACAATATTTTCATGATTCGGTGACATTGAAATGGGGCAAAACTCTGCTTGAGTGTCCAGTCAGGACTCCAACTTGCTGCAGATGTGGATATTTTGCCAGCCCGGGCAATTTTATTAGAAGGCAACTGGTGAATTTTAATAAAGTCGCACAAAAGCGACTGAATTTTTTTAAAATCAGAAAAAAATTAGAATAATTAAAAGATAAATCCAGTTATTTAAATCTAGATTTCCTATTTTCTCTTGATAAACCTGAGTCATCGACTACTTCTAGTGCAGCTTGCATGCAATTAGGACAATACCATCTTTCCGAACTATTCAACTGCCTCTCAATTTCACTATTGTGTAAGTTGATGCATTCCGGATGATACCAGTTCCCACAGAAACCTTCACATTTGAACATGATTTCTCCTTGGACATACGGTCTCTTGCAGATACAGTATAAGTCTGAGCCGTCAGTATTCTCCACAGCTACATTTTGATTCTCATTGGTCGTTTGGGGCTTTTCGTTGAGGTTTGGAAATTGTTTTTCCTGGTACGCGAATTTATCGGGTCTGATGCTGTTCTTTTTGTGTGAAATTTCAAGATAAGCTTGGAGAGATTTTGAAAGAGTTTTGTAGTCAATACTTTTGATGTAAAATGTTTCGGGACTAAGCTCTTTTTGGAGGATGTTTTTTTGGGCAGAGGACTTGTATTTGTAGAGAATTTGGGGTTTTCCTTTGACGTGGGGTAGAGTGTGTTTCTTAGCTGGTTTTTCTTTTAGAATAGAAATGGGTGCTAAAGGCTGTTTCAGCATAAATGGTATATTTAATGATTTATCGTGGGTGTAAAAAGGTATTAATAAAAATATTATAAGAGATTTTATAATTAGTGAAGTTTGACAAATTTACTATGAAAATAAATTTGGCAACTTATAGTAAGGATATACTGACGATGATAATGCTTCTATTGATGCATTTTTTATTTTTCTTATTTTAAATTTTTCATTCAGCAGAATATGTATCTATAAAACACTATTATAATTGATTAAATTGCATTTTCAACGTAAGATTAGCTGGATATTTATATAATAAAAAATAGAAATCCGTCAACAACACATTTATCTTATCAATGGATTTGGCGAGCAAAAATGAGAAATATGAAAAACCAATATTAATTTGGGTTATTATATATTTTCAAAAATATTAAAAATGTCAGTTAGGGATAGGTTCTAGCTCCTGGTCGATCCAGAATGGACCTATAGCCGAGCTCAGTGAGAGAAGTCCAAGCCCTTTGAAGGTCTCGACTTGAAGAGGAGAGGTCAGTGCTGAGGCTGGCACTGACTAGAGAGGTCTGGAAGGGCTAATTAACTTTAACGGTTTGACTGCTAGGCCGGCCCACCTACCGTTTTTTAGAGCTGTTAATGTAGCTGATCCTCAATAAAGACTTAGAAGCACAAACAGTGCTAGAGTAATTCATTAAAACTTAAAATTAATTATATATTCAGATTATGCAGTAAATTACGAACACTATTCTTTTCGGTATAAATATGCCTTTTGCAAATTTAATATAATAATAATCCAAAAATTATTACTCTTTCTGTATCTTAAATACGTAAGGTGCTGGATCCGCTATTAAATCTCCATATCTAATATGATCAATCATCGTTTTCTGTTCTTCTCTACTTGCTTCACATTTACTTCTTAAATTTATTTTCTCTTTACTCATCCCTTTTAAAATATTGGAAAAATTTCCATTTTTTTTGATAAATTAGCTCCTTTAAATTAGAGCAAAATTTAAATTTATAGATGAAAAAGAGTGTTTTTGCATATAGTTTTAATATCCAAACAAAATTAGTGAATTGATAAATTTGCAAATTAACTTGTCATATATTTTATATAATTTTTTTTTAAAAAATTACTGAAAGAGATTTTTTTCTTACTTAAAAGGAGTTATTTAAAGACTCTATTCTTTCTTGATACTGCCTAATTAAATCTTCCATCACTTTATTTTTCTTCTTTCTCCTTTCAAGTGTATTCTTCATAATCCGATAATTCGTCATCGCATTAAGAACTGTTTCCTTAATGCTGATGATTTCTTCTTCTAACGCTACCGTATGATAAAATTTCGATAAATTATTTTCCGTTTGAGTAAAATTTTCAGTAGATTCCCCAAGATTTTTTATATTATTTTCATTTCTAAGTGGCAACGCTGATTCAAGCAGCTGTTTTACTCTCCTGCTTTCTTCAGCATTTTTTTTCATAATCCTCAAGACTTCTTCTTCTGTGTTTTGAAGTAAGCTTTCCAACGACTTTTTCTCCTGCTTTAAAAGGTTAATTCTTTTGAGTACATATTCAGTGGACATTTACTAAAAATTTTGATATTAGATAAATGCCTGGGCTGAATTCTACACTACAACCATACATAGGTTTATCCAACCAAGGCGCCACTTGCTACATGAATAGTTTATTGCAAACGCTTTTTATGACTCCTGAATTCTGCTTAAGGTTATATCAGTGGAAATATGATGCAGAAAAGCATCAAAGCAAGGAAGACTGCATTCCGTATCAGCTGCAATTGCTATTTGCCAAGCTTCAGCTTAAAGAGTCAAGCTACGTAGAAACAACAGGACTTACTAAAAGTTTCCAATGGTCAATCCGTGAAAGCTTGCAGCAACACGACGTCCAAGAATTCTGCCGAGTTCTGTTTGATGCTGTTGAAGAAAGTGTGAAAGGGACTGACCAAGCCAAAATGATTACTGAGCTGTATGAAGGAACAATATTAGATTACGTCAGATGCTCACAGTGTGGCAATGAATCAAAAAAAGAAGATAAATTCCTCGACCTCAGCTTGACTGTAAAAAACGAGTTCGACCAAGTTTATAACGACAGTGTAGAAAAAGCTTTTAATAGCTATCTGAAGCCAGAGATATTAAGTGGGGATAATAAGTATCTATGCGAAAAATGCCAAGCCAGAACAGACGCAGTAAAAGGGCTGAAATTTATGAAATTGCCTTATATTTTGGTACTACAGCTAAAAAGATTTGACCTAGACTACACAACTCTGCAGAGAAAGAAATTGAATGATAAAGTCACATTTCCTCAAATTCTAAACATGAACCCTTTTATGAAAGGGGAAATATCTGGAGAGGAAGAAATAGCAGAAACAGAGTCTATGGATATTGAAGAATCAGAAGAAGAAAACTTGATTTCTATAGCTCCTTTAGACATAGATGATAGAGTCCTACAAGTCAAAAAAATAGCAGAAGTTGAAAATATTGCTTATGATAGAGAAAAATATAGCCAAAAATTAGATGCGATTGCCATTGAAAGACATAGGCAAATGGCTGTCGAAATCAGAGCAAAAAATAGAGAAAAACTAGTGAATCAGTATTTGGAGCAAGGAGAAGACGTTTATGAATTGTTTTCTATTATGATTCATGCAGGATCTGCACTGGGAGGGCATTATTATGCATATAATCTATGCACTCGTATAGATTTCTCTTTAGGACTTTTACAATGGACGGCTGAAGTGCTGGAATATTCAATACTAAGGAAATGGGCTCGATAACAATTTATAATAATTATTAGTATAGGATGATATATTGTTTCTAAGTCAAAAAGAAAGACATTTGTTTACGAAACAAGTTGAATTCGGGATCTTATCGGAAGAGTTTGGGTTGCTATGTAAGCGGACACTAAAAATGGAACTGGGCAAAGAGTGATCTGAGGAGAAAGTAGCCGATATGTGAAAGAAGTGCATAAAGACTGCCTTTATCGTGGTTCCCGGCAGTTTGGGACAGTGTAATCTGAACTAATCCTTGTTCCTGAGTCGCGGGATTTTGTTGTGTTCGATCCATTTTTATTGCCGACTTTGACAAGCCAAGGTAACTTGGCGAGCCTAATTATAAATGAAAATGGAAATAAGCAACGCTACAATACATACAAAATATATCAGTGCGCCAGACAATAGACCCTTGAAATTTAATAGGCAAGCAGCAATGCTTTTAATGATGAAAAATCAAAATGAAAATATCAACTTATATAGGCATCTTTCGATAAACATTTTTTAATTCTCTCTATACACCTCAATTTGCATTTGCGGAAAGAGTTATAGGGATGATAAAATAAGTTTAACAGAGTTGAAGGAAATGAGATCCTTAAAAAGTTAAATACTGTGCAAGAGTTAGAAATGCAAGTTTAAATATTTTAGACAAGATTTTTGATTACAATGCACATATAAGCTTCTCTTAGTGAGTTATTTTTGCTGCCGAATCCGCTTCAAGTAATATCTGTTAAATGCTAACGGCAATAAGTATCACCCTTTACCTATACCAGAATTGAATATGTAGATTGGAATATTTGTACAAGATTTTCAACGATAATTTACGCTTAAGCTTTATTCAATAATTAATTTTTGCTGCCTAATCTGCTCGAATCCGCTTCAAGTAATAGCTGTTTAAACGCTAAAGGCAATAAGTATCGCAATTTACATATACCAGAATTAAAGTGGAAGTTTGAAAGTATTTTGTACAAGATTTCTAATTCTAATGCACGCTTAAGCTTTATTTAATAATTAACTTTTGCTGCCTAATCCGCTCGAATCCGCTTAAAGTAATATCTGTTAAATTCTAACGGTAATAAGTATCACCCTTTACATATATCAGAATTGAACATGCAGATTAGAATATTTTATACAAGATTTTCAACGATAATCCACACTTAAGCTTTATTCAATAAGTACCTTTTGCTGCCTAATCCGCTCGAATCCGCTTCAAGTCATAGCTGTTAAATGTTGACGGCAATAAGTATCGACCTTTGCATATACCAGAATTAAACATGTAGATTGTAATATTATATACAGATTTTTAAACGATAATGCATGCATAAGCTTTATTCAATAATTACCTTTGGCTGCCTAATCCGCTCGAATCCGCTTGCAGTAATAGCTGTTATATGCTACCGGCAATAAGTATCACCCTTTGCATATACCAGATTAAAATGTAAATTTGAAAGTATTTTGTACAGGATTTTTAATTATAATACACATATAAGCTTCTCTTAGTGAGTACTTTGTGCAGCCTAAACCGCACAAATCCGCTTAAAGTAATATCTGTCAAACGCTAACGGCAATAAGTATCGCCCTTTGCATATTCCTTTACATATACTAGATTAAAGTGTAAATTTGAAAGTATTTTGTACAAGATGTTTAATTATAATATATCTATAAGCTTCTCTTAGTGAGTTATTTTTGCTGCTGAATCTGCTCTAATCCGCATCAAGCAATATCTGTTAAACGTTAACGGCAATAAGTATCACCCTTTACATATACCAGAATTGAGCATGTAGATTAAAATATTTTATACAAGATATTCAACGATAAATCAAAAATCTTGTATAAAATATTGTAACGTTGGTTATTTCCATTTTCATTTATAATTAGGCTCGCCAAGTTACCTTGGCTTGTCAAAGTCGGCAATAAAAATGGATCGAACACAACAAAATCCCGCGACTCAGGAACAAGGATTAGTTCAGATTACACACTGTCCCAAACTGCCGGGAACCACGATAAAGGCAGTCTTTATGCACTTCTTTCACATATCGGCTACTTTCTCCTCAGATCACTCTTTGCCCAGTTCCATTTTTTAGTGTCCGCTTACATAGTAACCCAAACTCTTCCGATAAGATCCCGAATTCAACTTGTTTCGTAACAAATGTCTTTCTTTTTGACTTAGAAACAATTATTACTTATATATCATCCTATACTAATAATTATTATAAATTGTTATCGAGCCCATTTCCTTAGTATTGAATATTCCAGCACTTCAGCCGTCCATTGTAAAAGTCCTAAAGAGAAATCTATACGAGTGCATGGATTATATATAAAATCATTTGACTCACAAAGATGGTTCAATTTTAACGACACACAGGTCAAAGAAATTGACGAAAAAGATATAGAAAAGGTCTACGGAGGTACTTCTTCACCGTCATGGGGAGGCCATTATGGAGCAAATGCTTATCTTTTAATGTATAGAAAAGTCCACCCAGCCAATATCACAAATGCTAGTGAAATTCAAATTCCTGACTATTTATACTATTCTTTATAATTAAGCATTAATTATTAATAGACTTTATATATATTATTATTTTTTAGCTTTATCTGATGAGGCTTACTTCAAGAGCTGAAGAGTGAAACAGAACAAAAACTTAAAGAACAACGAGAAAGGGAAGAAAAATTAATGCAGCTTCAGCTAAAAGTCTATTATTTATCAGAAGAAAAAAGTATCATTATCAGAAAAGATGCAACATTACATGATCTCAAAAGAAAAGTAATGGGAGAATTTCACGTGGAGGAGTTAAGAGATGAAGACACAAGACTAAGAAATTATAATGCCCTGCAAGATGTTTATTTAAATACATATACCGGCAAAGAGAACTGGACCATAGAGTCACTGATGATTTTGAATCATTATACTCTTGTGCTAGAAACAAAAGAACCTGATGAGGTTTTTGTTGATTATAACCCAAACCAATTTGCTGTTAAAGTGTATAGATGAAATCCTCTTTTAGCTGACATAAATTATAAGACTTTTGAACAAAAATACAGAAACCCTACAAGGCTTCAAATCGAAAAATCAGGAAAATTAAGTGAACTTATGGCTCTTGTGCAAAGTGTCTTTGGTATCCCAATAGAAAGGCAGCTTTTGTACAGAAAAAGCAACTTAAAAAACAATTTCGCATTAGAAGAAATATCGATTCTCCAGCTCTATAGCAAAGTGCTTATGAGCCTAAAGGTAGTTGAAGGCACAGCACTACTGTTGGAAGAAAAATGCCAAGACGAATCTAATTGGAAAAAAGAGATGGAAAAGGAATCATACAAAATCGTATTAAAATTCAATTCGGTCAACTGTGGAAAATATGAAAATGAAATCATCATGGACAAAAGGCAACTGCTTAAAAACTTAAAGTGCTATATATCAAGCACAATAAATGTTCCAGAAGACCTCTTTTTGATGAAACGGGGTAGCATGAATGGGCATGAACTGAAAGATATGAACGCTACCTTATCTGCAGCTCATCTAAGCAATGGAAGTATTGTACATGTTGAGCTAGGCAAACCTTCAAGGCCAGAAGAAATCCAAGTAGTTTTATCTTTGGCAGAATTTTCCAAAAGTGATGACCTAGACTCTGAATGTTTCCGATTTTTTTCATTGCAAGACTTTAAAGCTTCAAAAAATTCTACGACTTCAGAACTCAAAGAGATCATCTGCAAGCACACAAATAGTTTGTATCCTTCATTAGAATTAGTCCCGGAGCTAATCAGAGTTAGAGAAAAAAACATGAACCATCTTTTAAGGGTCATGACAGAAAATGATGTATTAAGCGACTTTCATGGGATAGAAAAAATTACCTTAGCTATAGAAATACTTACTCAGCCAGAAATCCTTCAAAATGAGCATATGATTGTTATGACTAGAATATGGTCTCCTTCCACATGGGAGCTGTCATTGCCAATAGAGCTTGTTATTAGCAGAAAGTCAAGAATTGATGAACTAGGGAAGCAAATTGCAAATACTTATGGCTTGAGTGAAAAATACCTGCAAGTTTGTCTTGTCCCTTATGTTTATGCATTTGCGAGAGTAGATTTAATTAATGAAAGATGAATCGATATGGATGGAAATACTGCTCCAATAAGTGGGAGTCCGTTTTTTATTAATAAAGATGGAAGTCTATTGATGTAATACACATTTAGAGCCAGAAATTCTTTAGAAGAAATGAGAGAAATGACTCAAGACGAAAAATACAGATTTTCTTATAAAAATTATGGAATTAAAAGCACAAGAAGTAAGAAATATTTAGCAACTGTCGCTCCTTATAAAGAAAAAGCAGTAAAAATAACTGTGAAGAAGTCAAAAAATAACAATTCTGAAGACAAATAATTGAAATTATAACTAAAAATTCGCAAAACAAATTAATTAAATAAAATATGAGAGCACTTAGGCTCATTCGGCGCTTTAGCGATAAGCTTCCTGTGCCTAAAACTTTTGAAGAAGAAGAGTTGGCTGCTAAAGAAAAAATCTATGCAGAGAGAATAGAAGATGAAAAACTGAATTGAGAAATTATTTTTCCCAGTGTCCCAAAAGAAAATTCCCTTAGACCAGAATATAAAGACGATCTCCCTAGTCTCTTTGGAAAATCAGACGAAGAGGACACAACTGCATTTTTCCTTGAAGATACAAAAGAAGTCCAGTACATTTACTCTCCTGGCAAAGCTCTTGAATTTGACGAAAATGGCCTTGCTCTCATATTTGATAGCTCATCACGATTTTATTGACCTGAAAAACTGAAATATGGCTGAAGAGTTTCCGTTTTGGCATTATTTGGATTAGGCATAGCCATCCAGCCTTTTGCATATTCAAATATTCACATATTTTTAGGTTTATCACTGCCTTTTATAGCTCTCAGCCGATGTTTAATAGTTGACAAAATTTTCCTTACTAAAGATGGAAAACAAATTAAAGTGAATTATAGGAGATTTAAGTTCTTACCAAGAACGAAAACCATAGACATCAGCTCGTTCAAAGAGCCAAAAGGAGATGCATTTATTATTTGGGATGTGTATGAATTTCCTGATGATCTTAAAACATATAACGAAACAAGCTCAATGGAAAGAATTGCATTTGCGAAGTATATAAGCTGATGGTCATTTTTAATGCTCCCTAAGAAGCCTAAGTATGTTAACAGAGAGGTTCTTATTAACGCATTGAATGGGATTTTCATTGACCCGCAACAGCAAGGAAAAGAAGAGATCGAGCAGAGGTATTTTGTTTTGTATAAGAAAAATGAAAATAAGGCATAGTTACTAGACTATTTTAGGTAAATCCGACTAAAAGGCTCAAAAGGAATAATTTTATAATAAAATGGGCTTGAGCTTAATTTTATTACTTTTGCTTCTCGCTTATTTTGTATCGTCATTTCATGACCCAGAGGGTCATTACACTGGTGGGGGCAGTCATAAATTAACTGAAGATGGACATACACACGGAGCGTCAGCAAGTCATTGGAGATCAATTGAAATGTAAATAATAATTCCTTTAATTGAAAAATAATGGAAAATAAAGAGAGCACCTCACATTATTATTTAGTACTCGAAGCAGATTCAACAAAAGACACACCAGGGCATGTTGATTTCAGCAACTTAGTTGAAGTTTTCGAAGTATAGTCTCCTCTATTAAATTTATCATTATTTTTATGATTTTTTCTATTATAAATGCACATTATTTAATATTTTAGGTATATTTTTTAAACAGTTTGATGACGCAAAAAACATTAGTCCTTATAAAGAAAACGTTTCAAGAGCTAAAATGATGGTTGATGAGCTTGAAGCGGTGGCTAAAGAAGTAATAATTTCTATAGATGTTCGAAAGAAACACTCAAATTGATGGAAAGTACAAAATCTCTTCCAACTGCTATACAGGCAAAGTAGAGAATAACCAACTTGCATGATTTCAAATAGAAAAGTCAAAAGAAGAGAGAAAAACCAAAAAAGTGGTAAGAATGCTTATTAAAGAAATCCCAGTATTACTTCGGAACAAGTTGAGCAGCAAAAGCTCAGCTCGATCGAGGTTCGAAGCACCAAGACAAAGTCCTCCATCAGCAAGGTATTCTGCGAATCCTCAAAAAATGCAAAGATCAAGCACAAAAATGCTCTCGAATCAGTCTAAATTTTTAGTTCCACCAATTACTCTTCACAATATAACTGGCTCAAGATCTAAATCTCCGTTGGTTAGCAAGCTGATATCACAGTATCTTGCTAAAAACCCACGAGCTATGACGCCAGCAGAAACAAACTTTTCAAGGGCTGAAATAAACTCTTCAAGGACTGAAATTAACTCTTCTAGGGCTGAGGGAAACTCTTTAAGGACTGAAGGGAACTCATCAAGAGACCATTCTCCTCTTTTGTCGTCAAGAATGCCAAGGAATATTCCTATTCCAACGATCTCTAAAGCACACTCAAACCCTCGTTTCAAGTTTATTAGAGATGCATATAAAATTTTTCCTAGACACATTAATTTAGTGACTAACTGTTATTTAATTCTATAGAATAAAATCACAACTCTAAGAAATCCTTTACTCCCCCTTTAACTTAGAATTTATCTATTCAAAATGCTAATTTTGTTTAAATAATATTCTAATTGCATTCCTCCCTTTGAACTTAGAATAATATAGGAATTTCCGTTTTGGTCACATGAAATTTTGGAACAAACTACTTACATAGAAATAAATATTTTTTACTTTATATAGATTAAATATTTGCTATAAGATAATCACAAAAAATTGCTTATATTGTTTCAATTATATAGAGCGGAGTTAGCTTTTTTCTATTAAATATACTATTCATTTGTATAAAAGTTAGCTGTTTATTTAGTATAATGAAGTATAGTTTGCTTAATAAACGTAATTGCTCACGTATAAGCTTTGGCTGGCTCCTTCTCCACCTGCTCCACCTTGATACTGTCCAAGAGTTGCTTGTGAGTTAGCCTGGGCTCTTGCAATAAATGCAGCTTGTCCAGCTTGAACGTTCTCATGTTTCCCTTGCCAAGCCTTTAAACAAGAAGCTTGTAAGGCTCTTCCGAATGAAAAGCTCAAGGTCCAAGGTCTTTTTACGTCAGGGAGTGCGTTAATGGCATTCAATTCCAATGAAGCTTCCTCTTCACTTTGTCCTCCAGATAAGAACATGACTCCAGGTACAGCTGCTGGTAAGGTTCTTGATAAAACTTGAATAGTTCTCCATGCAACATCTCCAGCGCTGACTTTTTCAGCTGATGAAATGCCTGGGGTGATCATATTTGGCTTAAATAGCATACCTTCAAACAAAATTCCATGGATATGAAGTGCGTTCATCACAGCTGCAAAAACTCTTTGGCTTTTCTCAGCACATTCCTCAATGGTATGGGTGCCGTCTGCAAGCACTTCTGGCTCCACAATTGGGACAAGTCCGTTAGCTTGAGAAATTGCGGCATATCTAGCAAGAGTATGGGCGTTCTCTTCAATGGCTCTTTCAGAAGGAGTGTTTGGGCCGATCTTTAAGACTGCTCTCCATTTTGAAAATCTGCAGCCTTTTTCATAGTAAGTTTTGCATCTTTCAGCAAGACCGTCGAGGCCTTGGGTGGCTGTTTCTCCGTCAGTGCCTGGGATGATGACAGTCCCTTTGTCGACTTTGATGCCAGGGACAATGCCTTCTCTTTGCAAGACAACTTGTAAGGAAGTGCCGTCTTCAAGCTTATTATCAAGGGTTTCCTCGTATTGGATGACTCCACTGATGTATTGGCCAATGCCAGGGGTTGTGAACAAGAGAGATCTGTAAGCTTGGCGATTCTCGTAGTTGTTTTCTACGTTGATCTTGGAAAAGCGCTGACCAATTGTCCCGGTTGACTCATCAGCAGCCATAATTAAAATATGGCGTCTTCGTCTGGGCATGGCCTCCGGCCATGCAGCCTCGACTCATATTTTAATTATATCCGGCAAGGTTTTGCCATTCAGAGATGGACAGCAATACTAGGTAAGCAATTCTGGTTGTGTACAGAGCCTAGCCCTAGTCTATTCTCAGGGTGGTTTTTTCCTCATGGGAAAGGAGGGCACGGAAGTTGGTAAGGGGAAGCTCAGCAAAGTCCTTAGGACCAATCGGGCAACTCCCTAGCGTGAAACTGGGCGTTACGTCCCAGGCTACGTTTTTTCCTTTTTGCCGATAGCCTACCAGAAAATCCATTTTTTGGGTTTTCGGAATGGCAACCCATGTCACAAGCAAGTAGCTCATCCATGAGCCGTCGAAGTCGGCAACACTAGCCAGGAGGCGCACCTTGGTGAACGAAGCGGACCTGCCCAGAGGTCTGTGGGCCCGATGCGGCGAGAGGCGAGCGGAAGGCCTGGGATTTGCTAACCCCGTGAGTGGACGTTAAGCGTGTGTATGCGTATTAAGTAAGTAAGTAAGTAAGATTCATCAGCAGCCAAAATTCCTTTGCCTGGGGTAGCAATTCTTCTAGCTGTTTCAATGAGCTCTTGAGTGAATGGATTGGTACGGTGGGCCATTTAATTATTATACACCATTTATAGATGGCCTAATAGAATTTTCTGAATCAATTAAAGCTTGGATCAAATTTATTAGAAGGATGGATAGGAATGGATATTGGAATAATATGAGCTGGGGAAATCCAGGAAATATGCATCATCCGATTTTTGAGTAAAAGTGAGGGGAATTTGTATATGCCCATTTAAGGTAATTATTTTGCAAGTACGGAATAATAGCTTTTAAGAATATTCACCAATTAAAGATATAAATTAAAAAATATTAAGTCAGTAAATAATACTTACTTTTCTAGGTGAGCCATTAAACTAGTTTTGCTAGCTAATAGTGGATTGAATCTAAATATTTTATATAAATGCTTTGGCGGGAATTTTCAGAATTTTAAAAAATCAAAATTTAAAGAAAATTTATAGCTTTGTATGTTTTAGGATATAAGCTGTCTAAAATTTAATATAACTATTTGGAGATATCATTATTATAATCATTAGTTGTCTATATTCATTTAAAAAGCATATTAAAATTTTTTTCGCTAACAAAGGAGGGTAATTGATCATAAATTAAGATTTCCAATAGTTTTGCTAGTCAAGGGAGGGAGTTAGAAAAATAAGATTGAAGAAGATATGCATAGCAATTACAATAAAGCGGCTTATCTATTAATCTAAAATGAATTCTATCTGGATTATATATAGCTATACCTGATTGCAATGAATAAAAAATGCCTATTGATTAATAATTATCTTATTTACTATTTGAAAGCAGGAAATGGCAGCCAGAAAGGAAGTTTAAATCCGCTTTAATTAAGTATATTTTTGTAGTAAACTTTAAAGATATTAAGCTTGGAATACTTTATTTTTGTTAATATTTTATTATTCTCTCTTAAAAATATATTCCAAAAATTTAAGTGACTATTTCTTATTATATATCTAAATATAATTTTATTTTTAAGCATCATTGATCATTTCTTCCTCTAGCTGATATATCCTATAAGTAATGGCATATTAACATATACTAATTGACCAAGAATAGCCCACTAAGGAGCCATTCTTAGTCTGCCAGAAAAAATTTTGACAAAAGATCCTAATCTGCCATTACCACTGAGTTTTGGTGTTTCCAAATTTTTTGGGCAAGCCAAATGCAATAAAAAAAATTGTTCTTTTGCGATGATGCATTTGGCTTGTCAAAAAATTTGGCAACATCAAAACTCAGTGGTAATGGCAGAAAAGATCCTAATCTGCCATTACCTCTGAGTTTTGGTGTTTCCAAATTTTTTTGACAAGCCAAATGCATCATCGCAAAAGAACAATTTTTTTTATTGCATTTGGCTTGCCCAAAAAATTGGAAACACCAAAACTCAGTGGTAATGGCAGATTAGGATCTTTTTGTCAAAATTTTTTCTGGCAGACCAAGAATGGCTCCATAGTGGGCTATTCTTGGTCAATTAGTATATATTATCTGACTCAGAAAATGACCGAAGATTGGGAATTTACCACGACTGCTAGTTCTCCAGACTACTGCTTTGACGATAAATCCACTGAAAACAACAAAACTCAAGTTTGTCTCAACATTTTACCCCGCAAAGTCTCAAAAAAAGCTATAGAAGCAAAAGAGCAAAAAATCGCTCAGTTAAAAAAAGAAATTACATTCCTAAGAACAGATAACGAAAGGCTAAAAGCTGAAAACCAAGCTATAAAACAAAGTATTGATACTTTCAGAGAAAATCTTTTCAAAGAAAGAGAACGAAATAAGATGAAAGGAAATTCAAATTTGTCACTATATACTATGTCGCTTGGCCTTATAATTGCCTGTACGTTGCATTTTAATTCAGCGTCTGATTCTTCTTCAGGGACATCAAGATTAAGATTAAAAGGCTTAAGGGCTTCCAGATTTCATGTCTTCGCACGCTGTGATTACCGGACCTTGCTTCCGGGTAGCTCAGTTATCTGAGCCCCATCAACAGTGGTCTACTCCAGGGATCTTGGATTTACATCATGTTCTTAAGTTTCGACTGATTAGAAAGACCCCTCTTGGTTCACTTCTTGCAGATGCTATGGAGTAAAAGGCTAGCTTGCTGCCTCCTGCTGCCGCCTTGTGGAAGGTGACACCCAGGAAAAAAAAGAATCACGGCCCTCCCGAACTGGCAGGGAAGAACCTGTGACACAAAAACTATTCGGATAACTAATAACTGGACTGGCCACCAGCTGACTCCAAAGGCTGCTTACCCCGTATGGTAGCTTAAGCAAGCTAAGGGTTAGGATTAAAGAGCCAAGACCTTGGTTTAAGCTATAAAGCCACTTTGAAGCCCAAAGCTCTGCGCCGTCAGCAAAGACATATTTCTTCGCCACCACCATACTAAATATTCTGGGGCATCAAGGAAGCTGCTATTTTATGAAAAGGCAACTTATAACTTGCCAATGTATGCTTTGATCATTCTTGTGTTTGCACTTATTTGGCAAACTTTTCTCAAGGTGAGAAAGCCGATTTATAAATTGCCTTACTCTTTAAGAATTGATATATTTCTGTGAAAAAATAATATAAATTTTATGAATAATAAAATTTTTATACAAAAGGAAGTTAGAATTTACTAAAAGGCTGTGCTAATAACATAAGTTAATATTTTATTATGGATAATTTTACAAATTTTGACTCGGCAACTGCATTAGCTATAGAGAGTGAAAGAATAAATGCACATCTAGAATTTGAAAATTTGAAAGTAGAAAGCCACCAAGGCAACGATTTTGAGATTTCGCCATGATTTGGAGGAGTTTATGATCAATTCCAAAGAATAAAACTCAAAGATGCGACTCAAAGCATCCCAAAAGATAGTATTGCAAATACCAATTCTCCAGCTGAACTAAATAAAACTGAAAGGAAAATTCACAGCCGAACTGGCTCTATTTCTCAAGCTACTAACTTCATGAAATAAGCATGCAGATTTTTTCTAAAAATATATTACAGATTCTTATTATGTATTGCAATAATTTCTTATCATGCATATGCATGTCATTTTGAATTTGGTATGTGAAAACCAAATATGCGCTTCAAAACGCAGATTTTAGTGCGGCAAATTCATAATTTGAAATTTATATGAAAAATTGCGCGTATAACCTCCACAAGAAATTTTACCAACGTATTATAAATAGAAAAATCCATATAAATTGAAATAATAGGAGTAGTAAACGAAACAAAAAATTATCGCCGATATCTTTGAATCTGAAAAGAGAATATTTAAATAAATCGAAAACAAATGACAGAATAAGAATTTATCAAGGCTTAGACGAGAGAAAAATAATGAAAACTGAGAGCAATTATATAGATTATCCGTCGATGCTTATTTCTGCTGACTCTATATCAACAGAGCACAGTTCAAGCACAAAAAAAGCTAAGTTTCAGCCACAGTTTAATCGATCTTCACAGGTCTCTTTAACGCAAAAGTATGTAGATTTGCCAAGAGTCAATTCTTTTACTTATTTAAATTCTTATCACCAGGGATCATCTGTGGATCGTAATCTTCAATCTCAATATAGCAAAACGAGAGGAAAAGCACTATGAGTTAGTGATTTGTTAAAGATCTTATCCAAAGAAGCAGAGAAGCAAATACATAGCTCGCCAAGTAAATCTGAAATTGTGATAGACCAATTTATTAAATCTGACAAAATTTCCTTGACAAAACCCTCAACCCCCAAAAAGAAAAGAATGCCAGAAAAAAATAATGAAGAATCAAACAAAACTAAGGTGCTTTACAAACAAAACCTTGTGCTAAACTTGCAAGAACCCAAGAAATTTCTTAAACCAGAGAGTGAAACTTGGGTTCTACCTACAATTAGAGACGATATACATTAAAATGGCGACATATATAAGCCGGCCCTCTTGGTGCAACAGTCCAGACCTTATGGCCACAGCAAACTGAGACGGTCTCCGAGAAAAGAATCAAGTACAGCTGAAAAGATATATATCCGAGTAGGTTTTGGCTGCTTTCCTGTGGTTGGAAATGGAGATGCTGGACAACGTTCTTTGGATTTGAGGACTCATAGGAATTCCTCTACCGAGAAGTCTGGGCTTTCGGCTCAGGCCATAGTGGAGCAGCCTTTTTCCTGCATTTGTTGAAGAAAGACACTTCGGCACTCAACAAACTCCAAGGATCCTTGGAATCAAACTACTCCAATGGCTGCCTCAATGTCGCAGAAATCCATAAGCCACTCTTATCTTATAGAATCTAGCAGAAATTTCTGCCTAACGATCCTTATGGATCATTTTGAACTTAAAATTGGGTTTTTTCACAAAAATAAGCGATTTATATACCAAACTGCTTGCGCTTTTTCCTCCTCTTCCAGGTTTTCCCACCACTATTGGTGTTTTCCCCCTTGACAACTGAATTTGTCCCCATTTCTTTATTTCCATCGTTTTCTGTGATTTCCTTGCTTTCTCTGGCCCCCTTGATTTCTTTGGCTTCTTTGGTTTCTTTGGTTTCTTTGGCTTCTTTGGTTTCTTTGGTTTCTTTGGCTTCTTTGGTTTCTTTGGTTTCTTTGGTTTCTTTGGTTTCTTTGGTTTCTTTGGTTTCTTTGGTTTCTTTGGCTTCTTTGGCTTCTTTGGTTTCTTTGGTTTTTTTGGTTTCTTTGATTTCTTTGGTTTCTTTAGTTTCTTTGGTTTCTTTGGTTTCTTTGGTTTCTTTGGTTTCTTTGGTTTCTTTGGTTTCTTTGGCTTCTTTGGTTTCTTTGGTTTCTTTGGTTTCTTTGGTTTCCTTGGTTTCTTTGGTTTCTTTGGTTTCTTTGGCTTCTTTGGTTTCTTTGGTTTCTTTGGTTTCTTTGGTTTCCTTGGTTTCTTTGGTTTCCTTAGTTTCTTTGGTTTCTTTAGTTTCTTTGGCCTCCTTCTTTTCTATGCTGTCGATTTCGTAGGGTAGTGATCGAATTGAATGAGAGGTCAATATCAACTCCCATTCATCCATCACTATTCCCTCCAATCCTCCAACAGCTCGCAGCAATTCTTGCTCCCAGTCATCCTCTTCTACTTTTTCTTCATCCTCTTCAACTTCGCTGTCCTCAGAAACTGTTCCTTCATCTCCAAGAATTTCTTCAACTCTATCCCAAAACTCTTCATCTCAAAACAAACTGTCTTCACTGTCACTAACACTATAATTTGAGTCAATTTCGTCAAAAGATCTTGCATCAAGCTCACAATCCTTGACTTTTCATCAAGGCAGAATATTTTTGCAATTCCCTTTTGTCTCCATGATTCACACAAATAAAAAGTATCCATAAGCCACTCACTCAAGACTGAAGCAGCAAGGAGGAGACAGAGGTATCAGAAGTGGACCTCATTATTAGGGAAAGACCCTTTAGGCTGGAGTTGAAAAGCAGTTGAATCTCCTGTGCGGGAGGTCTTTGATAACTGCACCACTAATATGGCTAACGTTGACTTTAATAGCCTAGCCTAACCTACAATTAGAGCCAAATTATCAAAAATGCAGAGAATGCATACATAATTTGACTATGCTTAATTAATCAGCCTTAAATAGCTTTATTTCAATAATTACTCGCTATCATTATTAAGTCATGCTTAAATAACTAAACCTACTAATATAAATGCTACTTTATAAATTAATATTTAAAATAGAAATCCTTAAAATTATTCATGCTAAAAAAGCATATTCTATTTTAGTTAAAAGAAGTATCCCAGAAGTTTTCCTCCAGTGTGTCTTTTACGAGCTTCTTCATGGTCCAAAATTCCGAAAGTTGTGGTCAAAACCACATATCCGAATTGTCTTGAAGGGAGTAAATCTGTAGCCACTTGCTCAATATCGGTCAAAGCAATGTCAAAACGAGGAGAAATGACTCCACATTTGTTAAGTCTCCCAACAAGGTCAACAACAATTTTGCCTGATCTGTGGTCATCTATGACTTCGAACTCTCCAATGTAGCCATGCTTCTGCATCAAGCGCAGGAATCTAATAACAACTTTTGAAGATGGTCTAATAAGAACTTGTCTTTTTCCTCGCTTTTCTGCGTTAATTATGCTCTTCAAACAGTCTGCAAGAACATTCATGCGCACCATTTGATTTTTATAATAATTAAGAATTTACATTGCTTTATAATTAGCTTTACTAATAGATTTTGGAATTGGGTCTGCAGGATTTTCAACTTTTTTGGTGATTTCTGGAGAGTTTTGAATTTCGCTATCTGATTTCATTAATTCGTCGAATTCTGTATCACTTTTTTGGTAATTAGCTTTACTAATAGATTTTGGACTTGAGTCTGCAGGATTTTCTACTTTTTTGGTGATTTCTAATGCTGGAGCGTTTTGAATTTCGCTATCTGATTTCATTAATTCATCGAATTCTTGATCACTTTTTTTGGCTTCTATTTCTTCCTCTTGTTCTTGTTCTTGTTGCTCTTGCTCTACTTCTTCTTCTCCTTCTTCATAAGGAATATTTTCGATTTCCTCATCACTTTCTTGCTTAATTGTTGAGCTTGTTTTGGGTTTTTGGATTTCAGTTTCACTTTCTGAGCTAGATTCCTTATATATCTGCGAAAATTAATTTGTGATTTTATGATTAAAATTTTGAATGCTTTTATATTATAAAATAGGTACTGATACTAATAGCAATATATGAATTTATTTGAATAAAAATAAGTTTCAATATTTTTGAGATTTTTCTGAGATTTATTTGACCCCACTGTTTTTCAAGCTCTGTTTATCAATTTCATATCTTCTTCTGACAGATAAGCAGGGCTAATTTTAATATCTTTCCTATTTGCGATTTTTAAATTTTTCTTACTTGCTTGTCTTGACTTCGACATTCTCTGCTTTTGGATAGCTGCATTTAGCTCTTTTCTCGCATTTATCGCTAGTGGATGATCATCAGATAAGTTATCCTTGGCAAATTTTTCAGCTTTTTTATAAATTGTTATAGCCTCTTGCGTCCTTTTAAGGAATTCCAACTCTACTCCCATATTGTGATAGGCAATTGATAACATTGGCGCTTGCTCTTCAAAGTTTTTAGAAGGCGCTTGCAAAGCACCGATTAACTCATCTTGCAAAATAATCACAGCTTCCATGGCGTGACTTAATGCTTCCTCGTGCTTCAGCATTTGTGAAAGCACAGCACACATATTAAGATGTGTAACAGCAAGATTTTTAGGAATTCCCAAGGCTTTTTGCAGATAGTTTTGAGCTATTCGAAGTTTGCCAGACTGCCGATAATAGCATGCTAGGTTATTTAGTGTTTTAACCTTACTCTCCTCTCTTTAAATTGCAAAAAAAAATCTGGTTTCATTTATATAGGGGTATTTTTTTAAATATATTATATAAAACTGTTTAAATAATATTTTACTTGCACTTTTTCTTTTAAATTAGGCCAATTGAATGGAAACATTTTCAATTTAAGCATCAAAAAATGGAAATTTTACCTATTTTTGTTCCAATTTAAAGCGGGGGGGTAGCCACTTCATCTTTCCCACACAAAGCTTCAGCTCTCTTTAATAAATCAAGAGCTAAATGAAAATCTTCTCTTTGCAAGTACTCAGTGGCTAATTGATTGCACATTTCACATAACTGACGATAGCATGCTTTTACCTCCTCACTTTCAAGCCCAAAAACCTCTTTTCTTATTTCTAACTTTCCCCTCCTTCCCTCCTTCAAGAAAAAAAAATTGTTCAGGGCGTTTTTTTTTTTCAAAAAATTTCTATATAAATTTTATAAAAAAAATTTGTTTTTTCGAAATTTAAAAAATCCCATATTAATTTGTAAAATTTATGTTTTAAAATGCAAGTTGTTTTAAATGAAGAGAACTAACAAGAGATTTCGTTATAATATTATCACATATATTTTTTCATAAAAAATTTAGTTCACTCACTGAGGGTGGGTTTTTACCCAAAAATAGGGATTTTTCCAATGGTTTTGTTCACTCACGGTTGGGAGTAAGCTTTGCTCTATCAGCTCTAAGGCTTCTAGACTGCTTCCATTCTTCCTGAGCTCTTGCACTCTTTCATCAATCTTTTCTAAATCCATTTAATATTTACACAATTGATATTTTCTTATTATATGCAATTGGTCTAAACAAGCTCAAAATATAATCATGGAGCTTATTCCCCATGTTCATTTCTGGGTAACTTTCAGGGCTAACAAATTCTTGGTTTCGGTTTTCATACGCCCATTCTATGATTTGATGGAGTCCTCCTGTGCATGACAAATCTGATCTTGCGAAGTCTATTTTTTCGACACTGAATTCTTGAATATTGCACAACAGCTTAATCTTTTCTAATGGCCCTATTGAGATCTCGAACCCATTAATATTGTATTCCACAAACAAAGAAAGTTCTTCAATGAAGCCTTTTTTCACCTCCATCTTGAGTATCACAAGAACATGATTGTGGACATCTGAGCCTTCTTTTGGCCTTTTAATGCAACGTATATCGCTTGGTCTGTAATTATGAATCTTCGTTTTCAAGTCGAAAATGCTGCTTGGGTTCCCTATTGAATGGCTGTAGTCTTTTATTAAAAATTTTTCTGCTTTGAATATGTCAAAGTTTATATAGGGTTTTACCCTTAATAGCACGATGAGTGTGGATGATTCCCGGCGGAACCATCGAGTTGGACCAACTCGATGATTCTACCGGGAATCATCTGCCCTTATCGGGCTATTAAGGGTAAAACCCTATAGAGTTTCGGGGCGTTTTGGCCTTAATTGGATCTTTTGCAAAGCATGCTCCCATTATGCTATTTTTGTTGTAAAAATATGGATTCAGAAGGAAAGGTTTTTGAATATTTTAACTGAGCAAGAGGGGAAGGTGTGAAATGGAATAAGGTTGAGTGATTTTTTAATAATAAAAATGTGACGATAAGAGCAATCACAGAAATCCAGCCTGGAGATGAGATAATTTTTGTACCAAATTCATGCATGATAAGTAAAGAAATTGCTGTTAGCAGTGAAGTTGGGATAATTTTTACTGAAAATAAGCACATATTTGAGAATAATAATGAGAGAGATTACGATTAGAGAGGGTTAAAACGGGGTTTATTTTAGCTCTACCAGTTGAGCTTATGTGGCGCTAAGAACTAACGCCCTTTTTCTTCTGGGACTACCAAAAATGATGACGTCGCAAGTCTAATGTGGAGACTCACCCAAGCTTGTTTGGATCAAAATTACAGCACAGAACTCTCTTAACCCCTGGCAGTGCTCAGGATATGAGGGATGCGTCTGATGCTTTCTGGAACTACATCTGCTATTTACAGGCAGTATAATGCTCCTCCAGAAGTCACCGATTGAAGTTGCGCTGTCGGTTCTCTTGTCTGTGAATCGAGGGGAGGCCCAGTGCACACTACCCTAAAATCGCAACCTGCGGCTCCAGCCCCAAATTCTTATTTTGTCGCTCTAGAGGCAACTGACTGCCATGATAGCAATTATTTTGAATAATAATGAAGATTCTCAAATCCTGATACTGGTGACTTTCTTAATTTGAGAAAAATTTAAAGAAAAGAACTCGAAACGATATTACTATATCAGCTCTCAGCCCAAAACATTTAAGCTAATTCAAGATTGATCTGAAGAAGAGCTAAAAGAGCTTCAAGACTTAGATCTCGTTAAGATGGTAGATATTAGTTAGTCAAAACAGAGGACAGTAAGTGAAATGAAAAGTTATTCTCAATGAAACAGAGTTATTAGAAATTATCCTCAACATTTTTCTGCTGGCATGACTAAATATAAAATTTTTGACTGGGCGTATAAACTTGTCAAGACTCGGTGCTTTAGAAATCCAGCTGGAGAGCTTGCTCTTATTCCAGTTGCTGAATTGCTGAATCATGGAAATAATTGTGCTTCATATAATTGATATAAAGAAGAATCAAAATTAAATGATAGACTAATGATATCGCCTTCAAATAATATAAGTGGTTTAGTGAAGGATTTAGTCGCTATAGAGAGTTTGATGATTGACCAGCAGCCGGCAAATAATAATTATAGTATAATGATAAATACAGATCCAAACAGCCACGTTGAAACTGGAAAAGAAGTATTTCTATCATATGGGGAATATCCAAACAGGACATTACTGTTGGACTATGGATTTTCTTTGAATGAAAACACCTATGATTATGCAATAATTAGTATTACAACTGATGATATATCAGAAGGTCTTTTTTTAGAAAGTTTAGCAAATAAAGAAAAATATTCGTTTATTGTCAAGAAAAATGAATTATGCAGAGGTAAAACAAATAAATAGAACTGATTTTTTTATTGAAAAGTTTTGATACCCATATATCTAATTTTGAAGGAGAAAGAAATGCTATCAATTTAGCCTTAAATATTATTCATCGCAAATTGATGGACTTTCCAACTTTAATTGATGAAGATCAGAAAATTTTAAACCATTCTCTTAATTTCAGAAACTTCGCAGCAGTAATAAGTAAAGAAGGTTAATTATCGAATCCAAATAAAAAAGATTTTACTAGATCAGATAGATATTTTACAAAAAATTTCTACGAGACTAAACGAGCTTGAAACTCTTACCGAGCTAAAAGAACAAAACTCTGATAGTTTATTAGACACTCAACTTTCATCATATTTAAAAGATATTCACCAGGGATATTATAATTTGCCTATAAATGAATAATTCTTATTGATTAATTTTATCTAATTTTAATATGCAATTTTTTACAGGGGAATTTGTGATCCTTTGCATCTTAATTTTTATCACAACAAGGCTTCGTCGAAGATTATCCACAGAAAAGCTGCTAAAAGGTCTCATGATATATATCCCTCCTGATGAGAAGCTAATTCAAAATGCTCAAAAGCATCCAGAAAAATTCTATCTGAATTGTGTAAGAATCGACGATGAATTTTCAAGAGCTTCTCCTTTTTTCGCAGACGCTGACTTATTAGTGCTCATGGCAACAATAGCAGGCACTTTAATTGCTGTATGCAGTATATTTACTGAAGACTTTTATATATCAATGGAACAAAATTTAAGCTTTTACATGTGTTTGCTAGTTGTTTTTATAGCAATTAGTGGAGCTTATTCACAAGCAATGGCATCAGGCTTTAAAAACCCAGACAACATGATTGGCTTATTTTTTACTTTATTGATCTTCTTTATGGGCTCTCTATTAATCTACCTTGATCATCAAGCAGTTTTTGATTTCAATTTTCACTTGACCTTGAAGCTGCTCTCCTTGCAGCTTACAGCAGCTTTTCAAGTATTTTGGCCTGCCTCAATAGAAATTGATCAGTTGACTTTCAGTATAACACTGGCAGGTATTTTTGCTATATGCATTTTCCCTTTCTTCAAGTACATTTTTAGAGCGACAATGAATTACTACTCAACGAGAGAAACTCCTTTTGATGTTAAAGGTGTCAAAGAAAATCGAGTCCAGTACACACTTGTTATCATTTCTCCTCTAATTGTGATGATTATGTGGATCAAGCCAATGCTGAAAAATCATCTTGTCCCTAATCTCATGTCTGAATGGGGATACGAAATATTCAGAATAGCAGTTGTCGTCGGAGTTATTTTATTGAGACTATTTAACATCCGAAATGAAGTCCAAGCTTTACTTAATCAATCCAAGCACTTAATATACGGCATCCTTCTCAATCCTACCAAAGAAAACGTAGAAACCTCAACTATGCAGGCTAAAGCTTTGGCCACTTATGCGTGGCCATTGGGACATCAGAGCCTCTGCAATATATGTGTCACTTTATTTGTCTTAATCCTAATGATTTCTCGAGGCTCATTATCAGCACCCTATCCAGTCCCAATTGAGCATAAAAATGAAATAATCAATAAAACCCCTGAATTTTATGACGAAGAAGAATTCATTATAAAAGATATCCCAGCGTACCCTATTATAACACCTTCAAGAACGACAGTTTATTATAATGAAATTAGACAAATGGAAAAAGAAATAGCTGATTTAAGGCAAAACAGGACAACTCTTCAAGAAGCGGCCAAGGATGAAAAAAATTTCGTACAAAAGCTGTTAAGCGTCAATAAGAAAGGACTAGTGCCAGCATTTTTTTATAGAGATTTGTTTGGATTCATTATATGGTGGCAATCAGTGACATGGAGTTTGGCAACAATCATGTCTTTGCTGTATACAAGAAGATTTACAAATAAGGCTAAAAAGGAATAATAGGTAATTAACATGGTATCTAAATAATATATAAATGGGTGAAAATACACCTATATACGACGAATCACCTCTAGGCGCAATTTTAAGTTCATTTTTAGCTATTTTTCTTTCAGAAATAGGTGATAGAACTTTCTTTATTCTGATTGTTCTGTCAATGACTTACTCTCCAAGCGCAGTTTTAGTTGGAAATCAAGTTATCATGACGGTAATGATAATAATTTCAGCTTATATAGGCTACGCTGCACAACTTCTGATAGACCAGATCTACATAACTATTATATCATCAGCTCTTTTTTTTATATTTGCTGGATTATCTTTTTATGAAGCTTTCAAAAAAGATGATGATTCTGATAGTGATAGTGAAGATCTGCATGAAAACCTAATTTCATCACCAAACTGGTTCAAAACGTTTTGGAAAACTATAGTCCTGGCATTCTTTGCAGAATGGGGCGATATATCTCAGCTCAGCATCATAACTATATCTGCTGTCACAGATCCAATTTTTACGATTATTGGAGCTTTCTTTGGAATTGGATTGTGCAGTGTTTGCTCAGTTCTAATTGGAAAGTTAACAAATAAGTATATGCCTGAAAAGTATATGAAAATTCTTGCAGGAATAGTTTTTATGATTTTTGGAGGATTAACTATTTTATCTATTTTTTATGAAATCTAAAAATTATCTCTTTGAGGTATTTCTTGATTTAACTTAAAACATTATGGTAATTTATGATAGCCACTTAAATAATCAATAGAAATTAAAAAAATTGTTAAATTCATATAATTAAAGACAATCATGGCGATTATTAATTTATTTTAAATTCTGATGAATTAATATACCGCAAAATGTCAGATTGAAATTCAGACTACAAAGAATCGCCGATCAGTTCTGTGCTTGGTGCGTTTTTAGCAACTCTTTTATCTGAACTAGGTGATCGAACATTCTTCGTCCTTGTTTTCTTAGCCATGACTAGAAGTCCAAGTGCTGTCTTTGTTGGAAATCAACTGGTTATGACTTTTATGATAATATTGGCTGCAAGCATTGGGTATGGTGCTCAGCTTTTTATTGACAAAATTTTTATCACAATTACCTCAAGTGTTTTATTTTTCATTTTTGCTGGAGTTTATTTTTGGGAAGCTTTTACGAAATATGAAGTGGAGACAGAAAATGAAGAAATCAGAGAAAGTTTGTTGCTAAATCAGCATTCATGATTAGGGACATTTTGGAAAACCATTGCACTTGTGTTTTTTGCTGAGTGAGGGGATAAATCTCAATTGAGCACAATCACAATATCAGCTGTCACAAATCCATTTTTTACTATTGTGGGGGCTTTCTTTGGGACTTTAGTAAGTGCTTTATGCGCTGTGAGCATAGGAAAACTAACAAGAAATTTTTTGCCTGAAAAATGTATGAAAATACTAGCTGGAGCAGTGTTTTTTGGCTTTGGAGTAATTACACTTTTGCTTTTGATTTATCAAATTTAATGCATTTATTTAACATTTGTTTTACTTAATATGAGCTATTGCTTGGCTATAATTAATCATTATATGCTATTTCATTAATAAAGACAAATGAACTAATTAATCAACAGCTATGAAATAATAGCATTCTTTCTTTAATCTCGTCGTGGTAAATACAATTTATATCGCGTTCATAATATATGTTGTGCTGCCCAATAGCTAAAGCAGATAATGATCCAATATTTCCTCAGTAATCATATTGTAAACCTGCAAATCACATTTTACACTGAACTTTTCAAAATTTTAGCATCCATAATCATCTTTTATAATTTTGTTCCTAAATCTTTATGATCCGCTAGCAACTCTTTAAAATCTTTTAAGCTTATATCTAATCTGTCAGCCAAATATCAGGAAAATTTTTTTGTCTATCACCTTGCCCAATCTTAATCTCATTTCTCCCTCTTTAAATTAACCAGCTAAAACCCTACTTATTTAATTGAATAATCAATCATTCACAAAGTACCTTGAAAATTTGATAATTTAATATTAATTCATTATAGATTTTCTATAATAAAACGGATATGTTGGTCTTACTTTCCATCTTAACACTTACTCTAGGAAAAGACTATGATACTCTTTATACCGAAAACCTTTATGCTGAACAAACCGATTGTTCTGGGACTCGTCAACTAGTTTGCTTCTATTGCAATACAAACTATACATATACAGTTGACGGAAATAAAGATTTTCAAATCGAAGGTCTCTTTCAATCTGAGCTCGATATAATGTATAATCTGTTGAATTGATAGCCAAATACCGAACTAATAATATTTCTTATAATAAGTTATATGTGTTTTTCGAAAAAAGTAATAATAAATAAGTATACTCAGTAATAGACGATCTAGAAGTTTATATAAACGGCACTGAGTATGTCATCGCATTAGGCAACTCTTCTACCTGTATTTCTATAGGAGAAATTTCAAATACCCCAGACTATTCCACAATGTTTGTAGAATTGATGGAAGTCGAATATTCAGACCAAGATTTAGCCTTTATTACAGACGAGCCTTTATTAACACAAGTTTTAGCTAACACCAAGTCAGGCGTCTCTCAAGATTATTACCTAATGCAACTTGTAATGGACTTTGAAACAAGCTCAACTGTTACCTATTTAGACAGAATTGATTTGACCATTGAGAAAAAATTGATTAATTTATACCAGCATTATGGGTATTTAGAATATGAAGGAAGTGTCCAAGCAGGCTCAGTAGATAGGGAAAGATTAAATTCTAGCTTGTGTGTGTCTGTGCCATATACAAATGAAGAAATAAACAAATTTAAGCTCACTATCAATGTAGATACAGAATATACAATGCAAGAATGGGTTAATGGAATTGCTGAAACTTCTGGATGCTCAGAAATCCAGTCTCCAAAAGGTTTGGAGTATTTGCAAAATTTGCCTGTAAGCCATACAGTTCTTTGGATTGAAAATAACAGCTCAAGCCAGGAAACAAGCCTTCTCAGCACTATTGTCTATATTATTGTGCCAGATTTTTCCATTACAACTGGTGTTTATTTGTCAAACCTTAGTGGGACGCTTTATATAAAAAACAATGACTGCGAAATGCATTTTTCAGGGACATGGGAAAATTCAATAAAAAATTTTTTAGTTGATATCGGCTCAGGACTTAATGAGTCTTATACTGGACAAGCAATCATAAAGCATGATCCAAAAGTAATAAAATTGGAAGATTTAGAGAATTTAATGAAAAACTTGTATCCTGATTCAAATAGCATTTTGCCACAGTACTCTGAAGATTCTGCTTTAAATATGAAACTCTATGAGACCTCCTTTTTCAGCCCTTCTTTATCTTTAAATTTTGACCCTGAAGTAGACATTTCGGTAACTGGGATTGGAAAAATCGCTGATTATAAAGACTGCTTTTTAAGCGTTTATTTTTCCAGATATGAAACTGTAATAGACTCATATGGTTTTATTGAAAATATCAGCGAGCAAGCACTTAACGTTCTTCATGATTTAGATTGGCTGAAAAATGATGGCGTCAGCTTTAAAAATGGCAATCTTCAGTTTGCAACCAGGAATATTTCTTATGGGGAAAACTCCACAATATCACCTGGAACTCAAATCAATTCAACTCTTTTCCTTAGCCAGCGTTGTTTTGACCTTGAATTCTGCTCAATAATAGCTAAAGGACTTAATGGTACATCAGCAAATGTTTCAAGTATTTATTTTCCATCTGATTTTTATTATTCTTCTTCTCTGCAGAACCTTACTTTTTCGTCTTTGGTTATTTATGATAATTTTTATTATGCTTATTTTGCTCCTCAAGAAACCCAATTTATATCAGGGTTCTTTGATATAAGTGGAGACTGAAATTCTGAGCTGAATTTCCAGGCGAATATTACTACAGTGTCTGGAGACGCCTTTTTAGCAGCAAAAATGACAGGAACGTGAAAGTCTGTGCTTAATATTACTAGTCTAGAGATACCATTGCTTGATATCACAGCTGACATCAATTTAACATCAATTTTATCATCTTCTGCGGAAGGGAAATGTGAATTTGTAGATTCAACTAGCTCCTGGCCAGGAGATATTATGGTGTCATTGAATATTAAAGACTATAACAAAAACTTCTTCGTTGCAGATATGTAACTCATTTTATATTACTTTGGCATTTTGCATTACCTTAATAAGTTTCGAATTTCCTATGACTATAAGCGATTATTATAAAAAATAATTCAAAATTTAATCTATTTAGGATTACCCAACATCTGCTGAATTATTCTTCAAATTTATCACTCTAAAAAGTGAACTTGACAGCGTCATTGCCACATTTAATTTTTCAGCTGGCTGTACTATTGAATACTCAGAACAGGAGTATACTTTTATGTCAGAAGGATTCTATCTCAATGGCCCAACAGAGTTTATGGGTCTCCCCTGCTCCTTCACAGCCAAGACTCTTGAGCTAACAGAAACACTAAACATGACTGTATATATGCCAGGATTCACTTGTGGAGAAAACAATATCAGGGTTTCAGAATACAGTGAAAAAATTGTCTGCGACGTGCTTGTAGGACAAACGAACTCTTCAGCCACTTTTACAGCAGAAATTCGATTATTTGGTATATCCCAAGTTGAGAATATGGCAATTACAGGAGAATATTTTGAGTTTTCTCTTGAAGGAAAGCCATTTGATGGCGCTTATGGCGCATATTTAGAAGTTTCAGCACCAATGAATGGGGATATCCAGACTGCAGAATTTACTGTTGACTTTAATATTGATTATAAAGAGCTTGAGTCTATGTCCACCTCAGTATCAGAATACTTAAATAAATGGATCCAAGTTGGCCTTGATGTTTTAGAAGACTCTGAAAATACTTTAGAACAGGCTGAACAAACGCTTCAGGGATATTCGGACTTGTTATGCAGCATTTCATGCCCATTAAAGAGCACCTGTGTATCTGATTTTAAAAATACCTGTACTAAGCAGTTAAGTTATGATTGCACTATTATAGGCGATGTGTGCTCTTCAGTGAATTACACATGCACAGAAACAGAAAATGCATGCTTAGATGATGCTTGTGAATATACAGCAGATTTATGCCAATACTGGAACAGTACATGTGATGCATACACACAAGGAGGCTGCGACCAACTAAACTTGACCACAATTGGAAAAGAATGTTTAGAATCAATTTATGCTTGCGAAACTGAAGAGCTTAGTGATTCTAACTGTGAAGCTGAATGTGAGTTTAATAAAATCGCATATTCTGAGTATTTAGGGTATTATGATGGTCTTAACGAAAATTATATAGAAACTTTTGCTGAACTTTCAGGGTTTAAAACACTATCAGAGACTTCACAGTTATTTGCTATTTATTCAGCATCATCAGTTGTGCCTTTAAATGAAACTGGAATCGGGCCTTCAGACATTGAATTTACAGTTAAATATTCAGCTTATAGCATACTTGAAACGCAATTAGTCAATCTTACTGTTAATATCAAGTTTGATTTTTATAATGAAGATAGGAGCAATTTGCACATGTTCAATATCATCAAAAATTCAATTATAGATAATAGTGGAGGAACACTTAGTGAAGAATTAAAGGAGTATACACCTATGGAGGTTGCAGCAAATTAATATTTTCTTAAGGTAGAAATTTAAATATTGCAAATTTACTAATTTTTCGTGTAAAATAGATTATGAGTTATAACAACTCACCTTTGTTTTTTTCTAAATGAGTATATAATTATAAGCAGAAAAAAATTAATTAATAGAATATAAACCTAACTCCCCCCCCCCCCCTCCGTGAGCGAACAAAAAAATTTTGTTCGCTCACGGAGGGGGGTTAATTTTTTTTTTAAAAAAAAATTTTATATATAAATTTTATAAAAAATATTTTTTTCGAAATTAAAAAAAAATCCTAATTTGCAAAAATTTGGAAGCAAATATTAATTTAATTTGCAAAATTTTATGTTTTAAAACGCAATTTGTTTAAAATTAAACAGAATTAGCTCTAGATTTCATTATACTAATTATCACTTATATATCAAAATTTTTTTTCCATTAAAATTTTTTCTATTAAAAAAATTTTTGTTCACTCACGGAGGGTGGGTTTTTGGTCAAAAAATGGCGATTTTTCTAATGGTTTTGTTCGCTCACGGAGGGGGGGGGGGGGGGGGGAGTAAGCAATGTGTGAATTAATCTTATATTTAGCAAATTAAAAACTTGTAGGCAGTTTGAAATAGATAAAAATGTTAAAATGGTACGATGAAACGATATTTTCTATAAAGTTCTTTAAAATATTAAATTTAATGAAAACAGCAGCAGAAGATTGATTTAAATAATGCAAAGATGTTAATAGGTATCTAAAAATTAAAGCCACTAATAATTCACAATTATTTATGCTTTACCTCTGGGCAATATAAACGGCGAAGAGGCGCCGGAGTCTGATTTCACGTATTGCATCGAATTTAGATCTTGTGAGTATTCTACAGAGGAGTTTAAAGATGAGGATTTTACTATATTTGAGATATTTAGAGGGCTTTCAAAATACGGACTCCCAGAAGCCTCTTGATTATGATCTGAGTTTGAATTTGCTTTGAGTTCAAAAGGTGCCTTAGGACGAGCTCATGTAATTCCGTCTCCAATTGGTTTACCAGTTTCCAAATAAACAGGTAAAAACCAAAGCCAAGGATTTTTTCCGAAAACTTGTCTTCAGTTTCATAATGGGCTTATGCTATAATTTTCAGCTTCTTTATCTAGCATTTCAACAGTAGTCGAGTTTTTGAGGACTAATTTTATATGAAAATACGTAAACCTTGACAAAATAATCATGAGAATAAGTAAGAAAAAATATACTGCAATGTAGTACAAGTGAGGAATTAATGATACTTGAATACTATCACTAAGGATAAGCTCTAATGAGCTATAAACTTGTCCAGTCAGTTTGAATAATATAAAAAATCCATTAATAAGTGAATATAGTAATAGCAAAATAAAAATTTTCCTATTGAAAAAACCTACACAGTTGTTGATTCAAGCTGATTTACATATTACGACAATGATGGTCCATGCCTAAAATACAAGTATCGCAAGTTGAGCAGTGATGGCAACGCTCTGGTTTGAATGAATGACATACCAGACAATATCGCTTCTTTTTAGTGTCAGAGTCGCTCTGATAAAATCCCTGCTTGGAGAATATTCTTAGCAAGACTAAGTTTTATGCAAAAATTAAGTTCAAATTTATAATCCTTTGGCTATTCCTCTTTATTAATTATCTCAATTTATTCTTATAAAGAACACTCAATTTCTTGGAGAATTTCCAGGCTTGCAAATGACAGCTTGAATAAAGCTCCATAACAGAAGAAATAAAAGGATATGGAAAATGAAGAATGACAGAAAAGATTCTTGATGACCTGATTCAAATTTACTTTGTGTTTTAGGGTAGAAAAATACGATAGCAAAAATATAATACACAAATCCTATCAAACCTATTGGGAGCATTAGCAAAAAGTCACCAATTAGTCTTCTGAAATTCATCTTCATATTTTAATTTTTGAGCTGAAAATGATTAAAAATCAACGATCATTACTAAAGTAATAACAATCTAAACAATTAAAGAAAAATTTCTCATAAATACAGACTCTTTTAAGAATTTAAAATAATTCATTTTAAAAGTTTACGAAAGTGACGAATAGCTCTACAGAATAAATATGAATAAAATTCAAACAGAAAAGAGCAAGCTACACTTTCAAAACCAACGATTTTCTTATCTAAATAAATTTTTAAACCATACAAATGGCGTTCCAGTCAACATTTAATCTAAGATCTTAAAATTCAAAAGCCCCTAACTTTCTAATTTCCCTATAACTTTTATGTTTAAAAACCATCAAAGTCTTTTTTATTCCTTTCAAAAACTTGAAATAATTTATAAATGGTCACAGCTGGAACTCCAGATTTAAACATTGATAACATAATCGACAAGCTTCTAGAAGTCCGTGGAAGCCGCCCAGGCCGTCAAGTAAATCTTACCGAACAAGAAGTCCGTGGTCTCTGCATTCGAGCACGTGAAATCCTCATTTCTCAACCAGTCTTGCTTGAGCTTGAAGCTCCTTTAAAAATCTGTGGAGATGTCCACGGTCAATACTATGACCTTCTCCGGCTCTTTGAATACGGTGGCTTTCCTCCTGAAGCCAATTATCTGTTCCTCGGTGACTATGTCGACCGTGGGAAACAGAGTTTAGAAACAATCTGCCTGTTACTGGCTTATAAAATCAAATACCCTGAAAACTTTTTCCTGCTCAGAGGTAACCATGAGTGCGCTTCAATTAACAGAATTTACGGCTTCTACGATGAGTGTAAGCGAAGATATAATATCAAGCTATGAAAAACCTTTACAGATTGCTTCAATTGTTTACCGATAGCTTCTATTATTGATGATAAAATATTTTGCATGCATGGCGGGCTTAGTCCTGAACTAAGCAACATGGAACAAATCAGAAGAATCATGAGACCAAGCGACGTCCCTGATACAGGGCTAATATGCGACTTGCTGTGGAGTGACCCTGATAAAGATGTGCAAGGATGGGGAGAAAATGACAGAGGTGTCAGCTTTACGTTTGGACCTGAAATTGTGGCGAATTTCTTAAGAAAACATGATTTGGATTTAATTTGTAGAGCGCATCAGGTGGTGGAAGATGGATATGAGTTCTTTGCGAAGAGGCAGCTAGTCACACTCTTTTCAGCACCGAATTATTGCGGAGAGTTTGATAATGCAGGAGCCCTGATGAGTGTAGATGAAACGCTTATGTGCAGCTTCCAGATATTGAAGCCTGCTGACAAGAAAATGGGAGGAGCTGTAGGGGTGGGAGCAAATAGGCCTTATACGCCTCCAAGAACTAAAGCTCCACAAAAGAGCTTTACTTAAATAATAGAATAATTTCTTTAATTTGTTATTCCTTACATTTGCTTACTCCACTGGCAATTAAAAAAAAAGCATAATTTAATTATATTTAAATGATTTATTTAATAATTTAAAACATGATAAAAACAAAGCAAGCATTTAGCATTTAAGCATCCATCGCATCTGCAAGAACTATTGCATGATTTTCCATTGGCATAGCATTCACAATATTTTTTCAAGCATCCTGATCTACGACAGTTGCAGCCAACTATTGGGACTTGGACTTCGCTTCTTCGAAAGGCTTCTGGGTTCCTATCAAGTACAAAGGTTTTTGCTTCTCGTCTTTCGTTTTCGAATTCAGGGAGATTTTTGCACTCCATACACCCGCAGCCTCCACAGTATTCACCTCTTGCAAAACAGTCACAGTACAGCTTTAAACAAAAAGTCTTTCGGCATTTATGATTTATATAAGTAAATGGAGTTGAAGCCGACAAATAAAGTTTTAATTCATATAAAAAATAGAAAATTCAATTTTAGAGAAAATAGTTTTGAATCAGGAAAAGATATGCATACACAAGTTTTAGCTGGGATAGCTTGAGAATTGTCAAAAAGCTGCAAGAATGGCTGGGCGTGATTTTGCTGAGAAACAAAAGGAGAGTCTAAGTCCATAGCTTGAGAAGGGGATTGTAAACTTTGTTGCAAAGGAGATAAAGAATTCAAGCAAAATTGGCTAAATGGTGAATATTTATTTGGGAAACTTCCTCCTGGTGTTCGATCCATAACTTGTAAATAAAAATATTTATTTCTTAAATTTTATTGATGAGCTGAAAGAAAATATTGCCTAAAATGTTTTAAATAGGAATTTTCATCCATCGCTTCAAAACATAAAACTAGCGAAGCTTAAGATTTAGCAAACAAATTTGTTTTATATTGAAATTTATGCCTCTAAATTAATATAGCACATTGCACTATTTTCAGATCGGCACTCCGCCTGCCATTTTTTTAGGCACTTGAAGGCCTGCAAAGTTCTGGCCTTCCCGTGTCATCATCAATTATTTATTAGGCCTAGCCTAATGCAGCTCTTATGAGTTTTTTACTAGTTTTTCTCCACACACTCTCCCCTTGTTTCTTAATCTTTTCTTTCCTTATGTCCCAGACTTTGTCTAGCTATTCGCCAATCTCTCATTTCTTTTGCTATTTCTAGTTAGCTTTGTTTGCTGCCTCTTTGATTTCTTTTGGTGCTCTTTTTTGTTTCTTCTTTTGGTACTTCGTTTGGTGCTTCTTTTTGTGCTTTTTTTGGTGTTTCTTTTGCTTCTTCTTTTAGTGCTTCGTTTGGTACTTCTTTTGGTGCTCTTTTTTATTCTTCTTTTCATGCTTTGTTTGATGCTTCTTTTGTTTCTTCTGTTTCTTCTTTTGTTTCTTCATTTGGTGCTTCTTTGGTGCTTCATCATTTATCTAAATCAATCATACTTGCACAAGCCTCTTTCCTAGACTCATTCTTTTATCCTTTCTTCAATATCATATGGTATTACTCTCGATGATTATACGGTCAATATAATCTAGATTATTCAGCACACATCTAGTCTGCTTTTCTGCCAAAGCCTTGACTTTAGCTCTAATTCTCCATCTTCTTCTACATCAACTCCCTCAGTTTCAAGTTTTTTCATCTAGCTAATTCTCATCTTGACACTTCAGATGTCCTGCTCAAAGTTACCTCCAAACATTATCTGTGCTTCTTTTGCGTTTGCTTTCATCATATCTAGTCCTCTTAAGATTTTAATGTCTACCCCCAAGATTCAACATCCTCTAATCCCATAATTTCCGTCTCCTCATCCTCAAAGTAACTAATATCACTAAAACTAAAATTTGAATCATCTTCATCTAAGGTTTCGTCACAGATGCTCAATCTTCGAACATAGTTTAAGGCAACATTCTGTGTTCACTCCTCTTTTTCGTAATCAATTGCTACAAATAAAAAATTGGCCTTCATGTGTCAAAAAATTTGGCAAGTGTAGTGCTGATAAGAAGATAATGAAATGCACTATATTTTCTTATTTATTTCTACCTAATTCTATTAAAAATTAAGTCAAAATGATCCGATTTTAATAAAAAAAATTATTCATTAAGCTCATCTGAGCAAATTTCTTTTTATTCATATAATTTTGATTAAGATTATTACAAAAATATAGAAAGATGTCCGTTAATGAACCGTGTATTGGAATTGACTTACTCCCTCCTCCTTGAGCGAGCAAAACCATTGGAAAATCGCTATTTTTTGCCCAAAAACCCACCGTGAGCGAACAAAAAATTTTTAGGAAAAATGTCGATATATAAGTGATAATTATCATAATGAAATATATAGCTACTCTGCTTAATTTTAAACAGCTTGCATTTAAAACATCAATTTGACAAAATTAAACTTAAATATTTGCTTTCAAATTTTGCGAATTGGGATTTTTTTAAATTTTGGAAAAAAAATTTAGTTTAAATTTATATTTACATTTTTTGAACATTGAGTGAACAAAATTGTTTTATTCGCTCACGGGGGAGTTAGGAACATCTAATTGCTGTGTAGCTGTTTGAGGTGATAATAAAGTTAAATAATCCCCAATGATCAAGGCAACAATCTGACTCCTTCATATGTAGCTTTTACCAATACAAAAATACTTGATGGAGAAGAGGCTAAAAGTCAACTTGCAAGAAACCCAGAAAACACTGTTTATGGCATAAAAAGGCTTATTGGAAGAAGATTTTATGACAAAATTGTTCAGCAAATGATGGAACTTTGGCCATTCAGAGTTGTCTGTGGCCCAGGTGATTGACCTTTAATAGGTGTCCAATTCAAAGGAGAGCCAAAATACTTTTCCGCTGAGGAGATAACTGCAATGCTTTTTACCAAGATGAAAGATTGCTGAAAAATACCTTGGCAAACCTATTAAAAATGCAGTGATTACTGTTCCTGCTTACTTTAACGACTCACAAAGACAAGCAACCAAAGATGCGGGCATAATTGCAGGTCTTAATATTATTAGGGTTATTAATGAAGCCACCGCATCAGGAGTTGGATTTGGCTTAGATATAATAAGAAAATGACGATGCTCAAAATTAGTTCTTTTCTCAGCTATAGCCCAGGAATCAATTTAGATGGTCGCGGGCTGGAAGGATGCTCCGTGAACGAACAAAACCATTGGAAAATACCTATTTTTCGCCCTACAACTCACCCTCCGTGAGCAAACAAAAATTTTTATGAAAGAATAATTTTGATATAACCAAATCTCTAGCTAATTCTGTTTAATTATAAACAGCTTACATTTTTAAATTTGAAAAAAAAAACTCTATAAAAAAAAATTAAACATCCGTGAGCGCCTTCCTAAGTTGGCTATCTAACTCAAGTTGTCGAACCAACTCGGGGAGTTGCTCATCATTCTCCCAGTCCGGGACCATCTAAATAGATTCCTAGGATACATTACATCCCTGGCAAATTTTATTATTATTTTGCTCGGTTTATCTGATGCACCTTTATCTAGCAACACTAACAAAATCTATCACATAGGGTAGAAGGCCTGGTCCTTATTTTTACGATTCATATGGATTTTAAAGCTTGAACTTCTATTGAAAAGAAAGCAAGGTGATATGTCAAAACGAGGATATTGCTAGCTAAGCTTCATAATCACCCTACTATAGACGACATATAAAACTAATAACTTCCCATTTAAGCATAAAAAAAATATTTTAAATTTCCATTTTTGAGTAAAGTGGAGATAGTGAAATAAAATACTAATTAAATATTTGGCACCAAAAATCGGTTAATTTTTTGAATTAAATTTTATATAAAAAATTGCATTAAATTTATATTATATATTCTAAAAAAAGAATCATTATTTTGCAACCCCTTCAAATTAGAACTGATTTTTTGCTCCAATTAAAGAGAGGAAGTAATTAAGCGATAAGCATATGGTTTCTATAATAAATATGAAAGAGAAATAAACACACTTATTTTTGATTTGGGAGGTGGCACCTTTGATGTATCTTTAATATCAATAGAAGAAGGTATTTTTGAAGTCAGAGCTACATCCGGAAATACTGGCATAGGAGGTAGCGACTTTGATAATATAATGACCCATTATTGTATAGCTGATTTCATGAACAAAACAGGAATCAGCTTAAATGGAAACACTAGAGCTGTAGTAAGACTGAGAGCTGCTTGTGAAAGAGCCAAAATAGTTTTATCATCAGCACAGCAAACATTCATAGAAGTCGATTCCTTAGTAGAAGGAGTTGACTATTCTGCACAAATTAATAGAGTAATGTTTGAAGAACAAAATAGTGTCAGTTTCAGAGAATGCATTCCTCCTATAGAAAGAGTTCTTAAAGACTCAGGATATGCTAAAAATCAGATACATGAAATTGTACTTGCTGGCGGATCATCAAGAATTCCAAAAGTTAGGCAGCTGATTCAAGAATACTTTAATGGAAAAGAATTGTGGAGTGGCTTTAACCCTGATGAAATAGTAGGGTATGGAGCAGCTGTAATAGGCGGAATCTTGTCAGGAGATTATTCAGAGCAAATCCAAGACATATTACTAATTGATGTGATTCCATTTTCACTTGGTGTTGAAACTTATTGCGGAGTGATGAAGGTTTTAATACCCAGAAATTCATCAATTTCTATAAAAAAAACTGAAATTTTCACCTCTTATGCGGATAATGTGTCTGGAATCTGCATTCAGGTATTTGAGGGTGAAGGGTCAATGACCAGAGATAACCGTTTCTTGGGAAGATTCAATTTAGAAGGTATCAATCCTGCACCAAGGGGAGTTCCTCAAATTGAAGTCACCCTCAGTGTTGATACCAACAGTATTTTGGAACTAAGTGCCAAAGATCTAAAAAGTGGAAAGACATTGCAACTATAGCAAATGAATGTGGAAGACTTTCAAAAGATTATATCAATCAGGCATTAAAAGAATTTGCAAATTATAAAGATTATGATTAATTCTGGTGGGTCACTGGGGTTTATTTCAGCCCCTCTCTCTTATTGGCTAGCTTCACATAGGCGGCGTTAAGTACTTGCATCCTTTTTCTCCATGAGCCGCCAAATAAAAGGTACGTCAGACAGACTGTAGGGAGACTCAACCGTTCAGGTCTTTATTCTTTTTCAATAACCAAGGACTGCCGTCAGCTTGCTGAATTGCCAAAATCTTAGAACATTGCTTCCAAAAATCATGGAAGGTGATGCGTTTTAGACTCCGAATGTGAGTTGAGGAATAAAAAGTTTGGTATCAAAAATCGCCACAGAGAGCTATATATTAAGCATTTGCATAATTTGGGGACGGTCGCCACACATCGGGGCATTTTCCCAAGTGTGAAACCCAAATCTTGCATGAAGAGTTTCCAAACTTGAGTGGCTTCATATTTTGGATTTGATTTTCACATGTGGAAAAATGCTGCTACGTGTGAAGACCCTCCCAAATAATTCTAACACATTATAACTTCCTCAGACATAGATGAATTTCAGGAAACATGAACTAACTCCATCCGCCATTAAATACTTTATTAAATTATAAAAAAGAAGAGGAATTATATAGGAGAAAGGCTGAAGGTAGAAATAAGTTAGAGGGCACTATACATAAAGCAAGAGTATATATATGAATGGCAGGAAAGAATCAGCCTGTCCTATCATTTCGGTTATCCTAATAGCTATTGGTATATTTATATAATGAGATGCTCGAAAGATGACAAGGCTGTTGATGCTGAATGAAGGGAAGGACTAAAGAGCGGAACCCATACACTTATTTTAACTCACACAGAGATCAGGCAATTGTCTATATTTTCAGGCTTAGAGCTGGATTTAACTCAGCTGTATATTCTCAGAATTTAAGGCATTTAAGCCATACAAGTTTATGTATGTGTTGTGGATGATGAAGAAAAGATGAAGTTCATATTATTTAATTGCTTTTTATATGACGATTATAGATTTGACTTATTTTTGGAATTACAGAAATGTGGAGTTTTAGAGGAAATTGCAAAAGAAAGATTCAACGTGAGTGAAATAGCACGGTATTCACATAAATTTATCAAGTGGATTAAGGAGAAGTATGGTGAGAAGTTTATGGAGGTTGATGCGAAGTAAAAAATTTTATTTCTAGTGTTATGAAGTTACGAGACAAGAATACTGATATCGATAACGGTAAAGTTTAAATAAATAAATATTTGGTATATTTATTGTATATTTGAGCTATAAACAGGAGCATGAGACAAAAGACAGAAGGCTAATATATGCTGATCTGGTCTTTGGTTCTTTGGAAGTTAATTCATCTCTTTGCCAGCAGCGCCCAGTCCAGCGGGTGCCTGAAATGAGACAAGAGGGCATACTGCCTAGGCTGCTATTTATTTGTTCTCTAGAATGAGCAAGATTAAGGGGAGACAAGCTGAGCATTACCTATATGAAGTTTCATCCAGCTGAATGGGCCCTTACAAGACTACCTAGTTGAACGATTATCAATATTTGTATTAATATGGGCTCCGATGAGGGTTGAAAATGGGTTCTCCGGCAGGAAGCCAAATTGCATCAAAATGAGCAATGCCTCTACTGGGAACTGGGAGTTTTGGGCTTGTCCAACTCTCGGCATGCTTCTTAACCCCTACAGTTAATGCTACAGAGTATAAAATTAACAGATAAACTAAACTAATTTACAATGCAAGAGTTATAATAGAACAGTTGTATAAAAAGATCAAGGAGAATGAAGATTGGATCGAACAGAATCCAGGTGCAACAGTCGAGGAGTTTGATGAAAAAACGAAAGAAATTGAAGAGATTTGTAGAATTTTGGATAAGGGAATAATTAACGAGGAAAGAAAGCAGGCTAACTTTGAAGGAGAAATGCCTGAAGAAATCCCCAGTAATGAAGAAGAAAAGAAAGATATTGCATAAATTATCTCATATATTAATAAAATTTTAAATTATTTAATGCAATTTATACTTTATAATTAGCAATATATACCATTTTATCTTTCTCTTGCAATATATTATTTTATCTAATCATATAATATCCAAATCAAATAATTCCAATTTCCCCTTATAACGCTCCAAATTATTACTCCTACCTTAAAATTTTCCAAAAATTTCTTTAAAAAATTTTTGGGGCCTCAAGATAATGGAAGATAAGATTTCATGCGTTTGCCAAGAGCACTATGACAATTTTCTCTCTTGTCAAAAATGCTTTCAAAGGTTCTATAAAGCCCAAATGCTAAAAGCTGAAAACAAAAAATTAATTGAAGAAATCGAGCAACGAACAAATTATCTTAAAAAAGTCCTTGGAAGAATTACGGCAATTGAAGCAAGGATGAAGATGATGTCTGAGCACCCACATCCTAAGCAGCAGTCAACAAATATAAAGCAGCAAGCACAGGGCTCAGAAGTTGACTTCATGGCAAAAGAACTTCCTCAATGCTTTTTCTCAATCTGCAAAGACCCAGAGCTTGCTATGGCATTTTTACTCAAATGTGGAGCAATCCCAAAAAGCAGAAAATGTGATAAATGTATGACAGAATATGGAGCTCCCGAAATGAGAATTGAAAACTATGGCTGCTTAGGCTACAGTTTCCACTGTACCAACTGTAATTCCAGATCAAATATAAAAGAAAATACTTTTTGGGCAAAATGCCAATTGAATTTAGACAAGATTCTATTATTTATGTTTTTATGAGCATTAGGTATGAAGGATTCTGAGATTGCGAATCTTCTTGACTGTTCTCCAACCCACATAATTCACCTCAGTCGTCGTATAAGAAAGCTTGCCTGCAAAGAATTTATTAAAAATTTACCAAAATTTAACGGAGTCGTAGAAATTGACGAGCAGAATTTCATTCAAAGGAAAATCGAAATTGGGAAAGGGAAAGCTCCTCAGAAATGGGTGCTACTTATGTATGAAAGAGACACAAAACTAGCTTACTTAGAGCCGCTAGAAAAAAGGTCGTTTGAGTATATTCTACCAATAATACAAAAGCGCTGCGAAATTGGAACAGTTATTTTGACTAGTAGAAATGGGGCCTATGGCAGATTAGAAGATTATGGCTACCCTCATTTCACTTTAGAAAAATTTAAAGGCTTCGAAAATGCTGACAATAAAGAAGTCCACATAAGAGGAACAATTACACTATGGCTGTGAGCTAAACATAATATAAAAGCCAAAAACCGTAGCGCTATCCACCTTGAAGAGCATCTCCAAGAATTCTTATGAAGACGCCAGATCAGACAAAGATGCCGCTACAAAAAGTTGTTAGAAAGTGCTGAGGTGTTAAGAAACGTGCTTGACTTAATTTCGAAAGAAAACCAATAAGATAATTTGAATAAATAACCATTGATATGATTTTAGCCTTAAGAGTCATACATATGCGCATGACCGAAATCTTCCAACTGTCTCATATACTTATTTCCTTATTACTTTCCATATAAAAAATAGCTTGGATTATCTACTGAACAATTCACAATAAATCTTTATATGCTCGCCAGCTGCTTTTAGTTCGCTTGATATAGAATCCCTTAAATAAACTTCATCCATTTCATAAACATTCTTAATAAACTGAACTGGGTTGCCTCCCCACACTTGCTTTGAGGGTATAAGTCTTCCAGGTGGAATCACACTATTAGGAAGCACTATTGCATACTTCTCCACTCTCGCTCCTTCCAAAATAACTGTCCCTGCACCAATTTGGCAAAAGTCTTCTAAAATGCAGGAATATAAAACACAGTTAGGCCCTACATAGGCACTGATGCCAACAATGAGTTCTGCTTGAGCTCCTGTAGGTAAACTTGCTGCGGTATGAAGCACAGAGTTTTCGCCTACATAGCAATGGTTCATAATGGTCACTTTATTGATGTCGCCTCTTACTACAGTACCGTACATCACTGCTGAATCTCTTCCAATGAAGACTTCGCCAATAAGACTAGCATTTGGGGCGACGAAAGAGTGCTGGTGGATTGGGTAAAGGTCGTAAAGAGGCAAAATTTGCCTGTGCTTGGTAAGTTTTTCAAAATAAGGGGTGCCTGTTGGAGGTTGGGCTGCTTTTCTGGCTTGTCTCAACTTGCCACACACTTAAAAATGGTATGAAGAGTAACCTGCCCTAAACATATGCACCAAGTGTCCAGCCGGTTTTCACTGTCTGGTTAAGTTCAATGTCCATAGGCTCACATCCCCTTCAATGTTTTACCTCGAGGAAGATAGAACTTGAAAGTTGGAAAGGGATAATCCAGCAAGTCCAGAGGGCTTTCTCTTCAAATTTTCAGCGCAATACTAGGAGTCCCGTCCTGGGCTGAAAGTTTCATTCAGGCCGATAGTCTACCAGAAAAATCACATTTATTGAATTTTTGGAAAGGGCAACCCCATTGACGTGCGACACGCTTATTCAATGTATTTACCTCCAGCTGTGAGTGCAAGCACTCGTCCCAATAGAACAGCACACCCTTAGGCTATTTAATCAGAATGGCAAGAAAGAGGGCTGAGAAAAGCAAGGGCCGTGAAAAATCGACATGGCTGGCTTGGAACTACTTTATAATGACTAAGTTAAGTCTAAACTTGCCAAATAGAGATTTGAGCATAAATGGAATATAAATAAATCTATAGGATTATTAATAGAGATGATGCCTTAAGGTTTAATTAGTAGCTTCCTCTGCAGGAGTGTTAAGTTTTCTTGCGAAACCGAATAATGGCTGATGAATCTCGTTGATTTGAGGGTTGCTTTCTAGTTCCTCAAACCATCTCTTAACAGCTGGGTATGGTGTAAAGTCGTAGTTCGCTAATTTCAATTGAGCAAGCTCACAGAAGCATTGGAGATCGGCTAAGCTTGCTTGAGAAGTTCTTGCTATGTAGTGGTGGGCTTCTAATGTTTGATTAATACCAGCCATGAAAGTGTCAACGTTAGCTTTTAATTCAGCCTCTTTTTCAGGAGCAATGGGTGGGAGTCCCATAAATACAGGCTGGGTAACTTTATGGAAAACATAGCCATAGACATGCTTGCGTGAGTTTGTATGATGCCAATGCAAGTATGAATTAATCTGGGCTCTTTGGTGGATGTCTGCTGGATACCATTGGTTTTCGACGTGGAAAGCTTCTGCTAGTTCCCCTCTTTTAAGAGTAAGTAAACCAAAAAATGAATTTTATACCAATTCTCAATTAATGCTATTAAATCTTATACACTTACACTTTTTAGCATAAATTTTATTATAAGTTATTAGAATTTCCTAAATATTAAAATGCTAGCTCCCCCCACTTGAAGAGCGAACAAAACCATTGGAAAAATTCCTATTTTTTGGGTAAAAACCGCCCTTCAGCGAATAAAAAATTTTTTATGAAAATTTATTTGATATATAAAGTAATAATTACTATAATGAAATCTCTAACTAATTCTACTTAATTTTAAACAGCTTGTATTTAAAACCTAAATTTTACAAATTAAATTAATATTTACTTTAAAATTATTTCGAGCCTGGATTTTTTAAATCTTAATAATTTTTTAAAAAAAAATTAATCGCCTCTGTGAGCGAGCAAAATTTTTGTTCCCTCACGCAGGGGAGAGTAAATAATAAATATAAATTAGTTAAAAACGATAGCTTCTCTAAAGAGTAGAAAAATCTTTGCCCTCTTTTAAAAAAGGAGTAAGTAGATAAGGATGGCTCCACTTTCTGAGAGTGTGAAATCTCCATGGGTAATAACAGGAATTAGTCCTTGTGGGTTTATTGCGAGGAATTCTGGGGATCTGTGATCTCCTTTGCCGAAGTCTATGGGATGGAGTTCATAGTCTATATGGTTCAATGCTAAGAAGCATCGAACAGCACGGCATGGTTGAGAAAATGGATTGGAGTATAGCGTTAATGCAGCAGCCATTATTTTTGTCGCTTTATTAGAATTGAAAATGGAAAATCACTTACTCCCCCCCTCCGTGAGCGAACAAAACCATTGGAAAATCCCTATTTTTTGCCAAAAACCCACCCACCGAGAGCGAACAAAAACTTTTTTAATAGAAAAAATTTTTTATGAAAAAAAATTTGAAATATAATTGATAATTATATAATGAAATTCGAGCTAATTCTGTTTAATTTTAAACAAATTACGTTTTAAAACATAAATTTTATAAATTAAATTAATATTTGCCTCCCAATTTTTGCAAATTAGATTTTTTTTAAAAAAAAAAAATTTTTCTATAAAACTTATATTGAAATTTTTTAAAAAAAAAATTAACCCCCCTCCGTGAGCGAACAAAATTTTTTTGTGGGGAGGGAGTTAGAAAATAATCATAAAATAATTGTTAAAATATTTTAATAAAAATTTCGTTGCATCATCATTTTTTTGATTTTAATTATTTTAACTGAGAAGCGTGTGTAATTTTCTATTATCCTTATTTATTCACATTATAAAAATTAAAATATTATAGGAATTATTCATCATATTCAATTTTTCTCCTTTATTTAATTAAAATTAAATTTATTGATTCCCATTATATAATTCTTTTTAAATTTCTGTCCACCTTTAATAGAGATTCCAACACTTCAATGTTATAATGGAGGAAAATCTTATCACAAAAAAATATAAATGGAAGAATTGCCAATAAAACTACTCAAATTTATCCTTCCAATTGTAGGCCCTTTCAATCAAGTAATTAAACTAGCCCAAGTTTGTAAAACATGAAAAATTATTATAGAAGAGTCGGAGCATTATTTTTCACTACAAGGAACAGGGACTTATAAGCTCCAGCCAGGATGTTTTGACCCTTCATGCGACTTATTCCAAATATTTTGCAAATTCTCATGCAAATTATCACTTGCAGAATATAAATTATTATCTTTAGATCTTCGAAATATAAATATCACAACTAAAAGACTGTGCCTAGTGCTTATTTCCCAGCCAAGTCTTCTGAAATTAAACCTCGCTAATACAAAGATACCATTAGAAGAGCTTTGAGATCGATTAAATTATATAAAGCAAGCATCATTATCTAAGAATCCTCCAGAGACTATCGATTTGCCTCTTGAAGTGCTAAAATTTTCAAACAACAAAAGCAGTTCATTGGGATATGAGTCTTTAGTTTCACTATTTCCGAATTTGAAGAAGCTTTATGCAGGGAATACTTCAACAACATTAGAAAATTTTAAAGAAATTGTAAAAAACTTAAAAAATCTTGAATTACTTGATCTAACCTATTGCCCTAAGATTGAAAATCTCAATATAGATCATAATGAATTACAAGAAATGTTGCATGGATCTAAATTGAAGAGGCTTTTTATAAAAGATATCGACTCAATAACATCAAAATGTTTGGAATCTCATGGAATTGATATAAATAGCACTAGTGTTGGGGATATTCTGTATAAAATTAAGGAAAATGCTGATCTCAAAAAATTAGAAAGGTTTCTTAGTGATGGAGGAGATGCTGATCTTATGTCTGATAGCTCTCTTTGCATTTGAAACTATCCACAAATGCAATTCATTCATAAGAATCACAAAACTGAGGCTATACTCGTGAACACTTTTAAAATAATGATTCGGCATGGTCTTGATCTTAGTTACCATACAACTGAATATAAAAACTTAACTTAACTTAACTTAACTTAATTATCTGGTGTTTAAGGTGTCTAGTGCCGCAGCCCAAAAAGGGCCTATGGCAAAACTAGTGACGTAGGCGAGCCATCTTGGAGCAGGTCAGCCCTGGCCAAGCCTTCTATCAACTCCTGCTTCACCAGCCTTGCTACACGTCTCACCCGGCGCGATGCCGTCGCCCGACTCAGCTCCTGCGCGTGTTCCGCCTAAGGGTCATCCTCCCGTGGGGATGTGCTGAGAGGTAAAAGCCCGAAATCTTGAGAGGACTGAGGAGCAGTTCCTCTGGTATCCCCAGAGTTAAACCGCTATTGCTGTCCAGAAGTTCTCGAGTGAAAACCTAACCCTATAAATAAAATTCCATGAGGGAGAGAAAATTAGCAAAGCTAATTTCTCTCGAACCGAATGCCATTTTATTTATATGAATATAAAAACAGTTTTGTAAACACTGCAATATTTTGTTCGCATCTAAAATTACTAAAATTATTATTAAGCTGCGGGGCCGACACATGGCCCATATCTGACTCAGATTTTGAATTAGAAATTCCTTCAATATCTCTTGCAGCATCAAAAGGAAACCTCTCAATTTTAAAATTATTCCGTAAAAAAAAGCTTCATCTAAAAAACCATTTTAATGAGCAATTCTGCAACCCTATTTGCATTTCAGCTGAAAATGACAGCAATGATCTTTTTAAACTTTTGCTTGAAAATTCATTCCCAATTTTTCCTTGCCATAAGCACCCTAATATATTGATAATTTCCCAAGATATATGCAAAAATTTTGCAACTGTTGAACATTATAAACTTCTTAATTCAATTCCTAAAGAAATTATTCATGAAGCTATACAGTATTATATAATCAAGCATAAAGAAAAAATTGGTATTGCACTTATAGAATATTTAGGAATTTCTTGAATTAAAAAAGAAGAAGCAAAAATTGTTAAAAATAAGGAGAACTCTCTTGTGCCTGAAATAGGAACGGATTCTCATAAACCGTTAATAATATTAGCAGCAGAAAATTATTGCGTAAAAATACTTAAATTTTTAGTGAAAAATGGATGTGATGTAGAGGCTGAAGATAATTTTGGATGGACAGCTTTAATAGCTTCAGCTGCTTCTAATTATGCAGATTTGATAGCGTACTTATATAAAAATGGAGCTGATATATAGCGCTTTCCCGAGGATGGCGCGGAATGGCGCCATCCTCGGGAAAGCCAGGAAGGCATCCACACGGGAGCTGGGAGTTCCACGTGTGGATGCCATTTTGACATGTGGAAGTTTGGATCCCACACGTCAAAAATGGCATCCACACGTGGAACTCCCAGTTCCCGTGTGGATGCTTAGTTGACTTTCCCGAGGATGGCGCCATTCCGGGCCATCCTCGGGAAAGCGCTATAAATAGAAGGGATAAAGCAGGGAGAACTGCCTTACATCAAGCTGCACAAGGTGGCCATAAAGCGGTAGTTGAAGAATTAATTCGCTTAAAGGCAATGCTGTCACCAATTTGTGCAGAAGGCTATTCACCTTTGGACTTAGCTCAAATTAATAATAGAACCGAAGTATGCGCAATTTTGAAACATTTTGGAGCTAATGCAAGTAAACACTGCGAGCTGTTCTAATAGTACAGTATTTATATCATTTATTTATCATTTTATATATTAATCTTTAGCTCATCTACCTTTTTAATCTGATCATCGTTGTTTAATTTATTTTTCTAAATTGCCTAATTCCTTTCATATATAGTGAACTACACTGACTGGCACGGGGTGCTTTTGGCTCAGTTTCGAGCCAAAAGCACCCCGTGCCAGTCAGTGTAGTTAACTATAATTTAATACTTTTTAAGATATACCAGGCTACTTTGTTCGTTTGATAAATTGCTCCAGTTTCAATTATGTGGAATTTATATGAAATTAAAACGCAAGCATTGAGATTATTGGGATTAAATTTATTCGAAATCTGAATCCGATTTTCCTCCTGCAGGTCCTTCAGAGTCTGATTCAAGCTGAAGAACTTTTGACTCCGATCCTGCCGACTCTTCATCTGACTCTTGCTTTTTCTTCTTTCTACCTGACTGCTTTTTTGGTGTATCCTTTTTAACAGGTGTTTTCCTCGGCTTTGGCTCTTTCTTTTCTTCAGTCGATTTTCCTTCTGCTGCTTTTGGAGGTCGCCCTTTTCTTGGCTTCTTTTCTGAAGGCTGTGCTGGTGTAGCTTCAGATTTTCCTTCCTCAGCAGGCTTGGCTTCTTCTGAAATGCTATTCTTTTTTGGTGTTTTTTCTTTACTTCCTCTGATTAAATTCAGCAAAAAATATATTCCAGTTTAAATTTTCTCCTGCTGGGGAAATTTTAAAAATAATCAAAAAATTGAATACAATTTTTTTTTGAATTATATAAATATATATTATTTAATTGCATTTCCTTTAAATAGAACAATAAATCGACTTATGCAAAATTATCCATTTTAATTTTATCTAAGCTATTTATATGAATGATAATTTGCATCCACAAATTTTATATCGAAAAAATTTGCTAATGGGGTTTATCCAAAAGCATCAAAACTTACATTTATTTTTCTAATTTAAATTGGCAAGTTAGGAGCATCTGCAGGTTTAGCTTCCTCAGAAACGCTGTTCTTTTTAGCAGGCTTTTCTTTGGCTGAATCTACTGATTCTTCAACCTTAGTTACTTCTTCTACTTTCGAAACTTCTACTTTGGTTTCTTCTGTCTTTTTGGTTTCTTCTGGCTTTTTATCAGTCTTTTTTGCAAATTTCATTGGAGGTGGCTGCACGAACCCAGAGATATATTGGGCTTCACTGCTTTCAAACTGTTTCCATAGCTTATTGAATTCTTCAGTATAAAGCTTGCAAAGTGGAGCATCATCAATAACTGTCAAATTTTCGCAATTTTTATTCACAGCTTGTTTTGTCCAGTTAAAGCTCCCAGTTAGCAATAAATAGTCGTCAATGACCACAAACTTGTTGTGCATGTGAGCGTGGGAATCTAAGTCTACTCTGCAAGGGATTCCTTCATCGAATATTCTTTGTCTAGTAGCATTATCTTTACGAAAATTAAAATCCTTTCCTTTTGAGCAGATAAATTATTTTTATATTTCAATATAAATTAGCATAGAAGTTTCACATCAGATCCCAGCATTTTCATGCACTCATCATCAGAAATGATTCTAACGTCAACTCCTCTTTTGACTGCATCTCTAATGGCGTCAGCCAAATTGTTGTTAGTAATTGTAAATACACATACCAGCATTGTCTTCACTGCTTTGTTGAGATAGCAGACGAGCTTTAGTTCTGACTCGGCGCTTGGGAAAAAAAACGCATCCTTGATTCTATTTTTTGGCTCCAAAACTTCAGTTGAGATGGTTTCGATGGCGGCTTTTCCCCATGAGAGCTGCTTAGGGTCTTCAGTGATTAGGTCAAATATTGTCGAAATCAGCTCACTTATATTGTTTCGTGTGCATGGGGAGGCTAAAAGCAATTGACGAAGTTCAATGAATGCATCCTTTTCGCCAACATTTTTCTTCAGAAACTCAATTACTTGTTCATTGGAGACTGTTAAGGATTGGTCTTGCATTGCTTTCTCTTGCTCAGCTATCAACTCATCATAAGTAGGCTTACGAGGTTTTTCCTTTTTCGGTTTTGGCGCTTTGGGCTCGCCTTCTTTTCCACCTCTTCCTCGCTTCATTTATAACTAATGAGCTGTCAGTTGTTGGCCACGATTTTTTTATTTAGCCTTAGATACTAAAGGCAGTGAAAATGAATTAAAATAAGCACCTAAGTATCGTGTTTTTGTATTACTGGTAAAGTTTTAAGATTATTTGCTATTTATTAGTTCTAATCGATTAATGTTTTAAATTATACTTTGAGAGTTTCATTTAAGCATTAATATATTATAGCCTGCCAATATAGATTTCAATAAAAAGTGATATAAAATAAATTCCCCCGTTTTAGATCAGATTTGAATTCCAAATTTAAAAATGGAAAAAAGGAAATCGGCTCGTTTATTGATGTGCTGCCTCTGCTTCAAATTATTTAAATCAAGGTCTTATTTGGCCCGTCACAAAATTTCTCATAGCCAAAAACGACAGTTTTTCTGCAAAATTTGTGGGAATTCCTACAAATATAAGCATGGCTTAACTAGACATGAAAAGAGGCTTCATTATAACGAGTGGCTAGCTTCGCTATGACTTCTCGCTCTCAAAGATGATGAAAAAACTGAAGAAAAAACAGAAAATAAAGAAGCTGTTGAGGATAGTTTTGATGTAGGCTATTATTTAAACTTACTCCCCCCTTCCGTGAGTGAACAAAAAAATTTTGTTCACTCACGGAGGGGGTTAATTTTTTTTTCCAAATTTAAAAAAATCATAATTCGCAAAATTGAAAGCAAATATTAATTTAATTTATAAAATTTATGTTTTAAAAAGCAATTCGTTTAAAATTACACAGAATTAACACTAGATTTCATTATACTAATTATCATTTATATATCAATTTTTTTTTTTCCATAAAAAATTTTTCTACTAAAAAAATTTTTGTTCACTCACGGAGGGGTGGGTTTTTGGCAAAAAATAGCGATTTTTCTAATGGTTTGTTCACTCACGGAGGGGGGGAGTTAGAAGACTCTGATAAAGAAAATAAAGGAACAAAAAATAAGCAAAAGAAAAAGATAAATTTTGGTAGCAGCGTAATTGAAACATCACCTTTTCCAAAGGTTGAAAGTAATTAAGGTAATTTTATTTATTGAATTTTTTGCTAATGCTTAATCAAATATAAAAATGGGAGTAACTCGACGCGTTAGAATTCAAAAGTGCTTGATATGCGAATCTACTTTTAAAAGTAGAAAATTTTTAAAGCAGCATGTTTTTTCACATTTTGTGCTAAATGACTTTAAGCTTAGAACTTATAAGGACTTAAAGAAGCATGATACCACATTTTTCAGAAAACCTACAAAGAGCGTTGAAGCTGAGCTACACAAATTTGCAATTAAGAACTCCAAGAATTTGGATGAAGCAATTTTTAACAAAGAAAATATTGATATGGATTCAATCTGTTTTGGTATTAAAAGAAGTGAAGAGAGTATTGATTAGTATAATAAATTTTTCAAATTATAATTGAAGTTAATAATAGAGAAATCTCTCATAATTAACTGCTTATAAATCGTAAAAATTATTATTTTCCTTATTGACTCTTTGGTTTTCAATAAGATATGCACATATTTTAATTTATTTTAAAAATGAATAAGAGCCTTATATCGCTTGGAAGTATAATATTTTGCAGCTGCTCTCTCTTATAAGTTTTTATCTATTCTTTATATCTCATAGCTTTTGTTTGAAAGCTAATATTTATTTTTGGAGGGAGATATAGAACTTTCTTTTCAATAGCGCGATAAGGCGTGCATCTTAGTTTGACTAAAAGGTATTTGGAACATGAAAATCTGCTGTTCCTTCTCCATAAGAGAGGCAATGAGTGAAAATGAAAGTTCTGCCCGGCCCATTCTCGAAAACTTTAAGGAATTTTTTTGGTTTGAATTAAGAATACCTGAGTTATTGTTGAATTTTGATTGCTTGCAAAAATTTATAATTTTAATATATTTTGGTTCGTCAAATAGTTTTGACGAGCCAATTCTGGCTAGTACTTGAAATAAATAATAAAAAATTGGCATAATTTTTTAATATTCTGATGTTAAGGATGATCAGAAATTTAATAAATGGAATAGAAACGAACAAAATATGCTAAAAAATGAATTTGTGCTCGAGTCCAGGAAGCGGAAAATAAAGGCACCAAATAGCTTAATTTAGTTCTCAAATATCAAGTTCTCAATGAAACCGCATGTGGTGACTTAAGAGTTTTAATTTTTTTTTTTAGCGTACAAAATCAAGATGGCGGCTTAAACGAATAAAAAATATCTAAACTCCCCCCCCCCCCCCGTGAGCGAAACAAAAAATTTTGTTCGCTCACGGAGGGGGGTTTAATTTTTTTTTTTAAAAAAAATTTATATATAAATTTTATAAAAAATATTTTTTTCGAAATTTAAAAAAATCCTAATTTGCAAAAATTGGGAAGCAAATATTAATTTAATTTGCAAAATTTATGTTTTAAAACGCAATTTGTTTAAAATTAAACAGAATTAGCTCTAGATTTCATTATACTAATTATCACTTATATATCAAAATTTTTTTCCATTAAAATTTTTTCTATTAAAAAAATTTTTGTTCACTCACGGAGGGTGGGTTTTTGGTCAAAAAATGGCGATTTTTCTAATGGTTTTGTTCGCTCACGGAGGGGGGGGGGGGAGTAAAGATAAATTTGTGCTCGAGTCCAGAAAGCGGATAATAAAGCCATTAAATAGCTTAGTTTAGTTCTCAAATATCATGCTTCGAATGAAACCGCATGTGGTGACTTAAGAGTTTTAATTTTTTTATATAGCGTACAAAATCAAGATGGCGGCTTTAAACGAACAAAAAAATATTCAAAAATGAATTAGTGCTCGAGTCCAGAAAGCGGAAAATAAAGGCATCAAATAACTGTTTTAATACTTTAAATATCAAGTCTACAATGAAACCGCATGTGGTGACTTAAGAGTTTTAATTTGTTTATAGTGTACAAAATCAAGATGGCTGCTTAAACGAACAAAAAATGTTAAAATTGAATTTGTGCTCGAGTCCAGAAAGCGGAAAATAAAGGCACCAAATAGCTGTTTTGATCCTTTAAATACCAAGTTTTGAATGAAACCGCAAGTGGTGACTTAAGAGTTTTAATTTTTTTTATAGCGTACAAAATCAAGATGGCGGGCTTAAACGAACAAAAACAGTTGAAAAATGGATTTGTGCTCGATTCCAGAAAGCGGAAAATAAAGGCACCAAATAGCTTAATTTAGTTCTCAAATATCATGCTTCGAATGAAACCGCATGTGGTGACTTAAGAATTTTAATGTTTTTATATAGTGTACAAAAATCAAGATGGCGGCTTTAAACGAACAAAAATTGTTAAAAAATGAATTTGTGCTCGAGTCCAGAAAGCGGAAAATAAAGGCATCAAATAGCTTATTTTAGTTCTCAAATATCATGCTTCGAATGAAACCGCATATGGTGACTTAAGAGTTTTAATTGTTTAATTACTTATTAAATCAAGATGGCGGCTTAAACAAACAAAAAATTGTCTAAAAATGAATTTGTGCTCGAGTCCAGAAAGCGGAAAATAAAGGCACCAAATAGCTTTTCTAATACTTTAAATACCAAATACCAAGTTTTGAATGAAACCGCAAGTGGTGACTTAAGAGTTTTAATTTTTTTATAGCGTACAAAATCAAGATGGCGGCTTAAACGAACAAAAAATTGTCTAAAAATGAATTTGTACTCGAGTCCAGAAAGCGGAAAATAAAGGCTTCAAATAGCTGTTTTAATACTTTAAATACTAAGTTCTCAATGAAACCGCAAGTGGTGACTTAAGAGTTTTAACTTTTTAAATGGCTTATAAAATCAAGATGGCGGCTTAAGCGAACAAAAATTATTAAAAAAATGAATTTGTGCTCGAGTCCAGAAAGCGGAAAATAAAGGCTTCAAATAACTGTTTTAAAACTTGAAATATCAAGTCTTCAATAAAACCGCAAGTGGTGACTTAAGAGTTTAATGTTTTATAGAGTGTACAAAATCAAGATGGCGGCTTAAACGAACAAAAAATTGTCTAAAAATGAATTTGTGCTCGAGTCCAGAAAGCAGAAAATAAAGGCACCAAATAGCTGTTTTAATACTTTAAATTTCAAGTCTTCAATAAAACCGCATGTGGTGACTTAAGAGTTTTAATTTTTTAATTACTTATTTAATCAAGATGGCGGCTTAAACGAACAAAAAATATTCAAAAGTGATTTTGTGCTCGAATCCAGAAAGCGGAAAATAAAGGCATCAAATAGCTGTTTTAATACTTTAAATATCAAGTCTACAATGAAACCGCATGTGGTGACTTAAGAGTTTTAATTTTTTTACATAGCGTAAAAAATCAAGATGGCGGCTTAAACGAACAAAAAATGTTAAAAAATGAATTTGTGCTCGAGTCCAGAAAGCGGAAAATAAAGGCACCAAATAGCTGTTTTGATCCTTTAAATACCAAGTTTTGAATGAAACCGCAAGTGGTGACTTAAGAGTTTTAATTTTTTTATAGCGTACAAAATCAAGATGGCGGCTTAAACGAACAAAAACAGTTGAAAAATGAATTTGTGCTCGATTCCAGAAAGCGGATAATAAAGTCATTAAATAGCTTATTTTAGTTCTCAAATATCATGCTTCGAATAAAACCGCATGTGGTGACTTAATCTTTTTTTTTTCTTTATTACTTAAAGGCCTTTATTTCAGGGCCATGTCCCGATTAAAAAATTTTTTAACTTTCTTCTTTTCCTAAAATCTTTGGATAAAATTTTAGTAAAATTTTCTGAACCCACGCAATCCGCGATTTTTTCGATTTCTGAGTCTGATATGAATTTTCTATATCTGATGAAATTTGAATCTGATCTAAATTTTATTTTCCTGATAATGTTTGATTCTGATATCAATTTTATTTTTCTGATAAAATTTGAATCTGATCTAATTTTTATTTTTCTGGTGTTCAGGATTTTCTTATCGATTGTCTTCTTATCATCAATGATCACCTCAGTCTTCCTATATTTGAAGGTTTCCTGAATAGGATCTATTTCATCTAGTATTTTTCCATCTAAACGACTTAAAAACTCCAATATTTTGTCATCTGTATCAACATTTTCTGCATCACTATCATTTCATTCATACTCTGATTCAGAATTATCAAGTAATCCTGTATCAATAAGTTCATTTAATAGTAAAAGTTCGAAAATTCATCCTGTAAAGCTCCGTTTTCTTCACAAAAGGAAGAAGAATAGGAAACATTACTTTCCGAATCTTCCATTAAAATAAAAGTATGTGGTGACTTAAGAATTTTAATTTTTTATATAGCGTACAAAATCAAGATGGCGGCTTAAACGAACAAAAAATGTTAAAAAATGAATTTGTGCTCGAGTCCAGAAAGCGGAAAATAAAGGCAACAAATAGTTTATTTTAGTTCTCAAATATCAAGTCTTCAATGAAACCGCATGTGGTGACTTAAGAGTTTTAATTTTTTTACATAGCGTACAAAATCAAGATGGCGGCTTAAAACGAACAAAAAATGTTCAAAAATGAATTTGTGTTCAAGTTCAGAAAGAGAAAACAAAAGCATTAAATAGCGAAATTTAAAGCAAGAAAAATTAATTTGAGAAATATATATAGCAAAAAGGTTTTAAATGGCATGTTTAAAGTGTTCAATGAGTGCGCGACGCTTGATTTTAGAAGAAGAATTAAAGCTGTACATGAAGGGAAGGGAATTACTGCCTTCTAGCCAGGTATCAAGGATGATGAAGCAGCGTTGGAAAGTCATGGATTTTGGCGGCATGTCAGAGAACGAGGAAGAATGGCTAAATGGTACAGATATTGCTCTCAATGCAGAAGAATACTTGATGCCACCAGAAGAGTTCTTTTCTGACTATGAATCTGAGGAGGATTACTGAAGCAACTACGGTGACCATGATGATTATGATGAAGAAGATGAAGATGAAATATGAGGAAGATTTGTATCCTGGGCTTGGAACCAAACTGAAGAAGTGCTTGATAGTGAGACAACTACGCCGCTTTATGCAACAACAGGCACTCGGCCTGTGAAATAGTTCAAACCTCAAAGTGATGAAAGTGGAATCAAGGACAACACTGAGGTTGGGAATGCTGGAGATAAAGCTGAAGGCCAAGGTACACCAGAGAGTAAGGATTCTGAAGGAGGTGATTCCCTAGAAAATGCTAAGTGTTGGAATTTAGGCGTTGAGTCGATTACAAGCAAAAAAATTTGCCCGCGAAAAGGGAAGGGATGAAATAAAATGGAATTTGCATGCAAGTCATGGAGAAAGAAAAATTGAAGAAAAAAAGAGATATGAATGCAACAAGATTTTGGATATACATAATATTGGGGTAGAAAATTATGAAAGGAGTTTAGGACGAAGATATCAAGTCTTAAATGAAGTAGAATTGAATTTGAAGAAAAAAGCCGAAAATGTGAGGTATGGACAGAATTTTTTAGATGGAAATAATTGGAGTTGAAGGGGAAGAAAAAAGAAGAAGAATTTGGAAAATATTGGTCCTCTAGAGGGCGATAACCGTTAAATAATAATAATAATAATAATAATTTGAGAAATATAAAAGTTAGTTCCTAAAAATTAGCTAAAATTTTGACAAAACTATTTATTAGAATTCTTATTATTTTATTATCAAATATCTTGGCCACTTATAGCTATAGCATTTATGCTTGCTTTCACTAGTCTTTAAGTTTGTTTTTTTGATTTTGTGCCATTTATTAAAATTTCTGATCATCCTTAATTAACATCAGAAAAATAAAACATTATGACAATTATTATTTTTTTATTTCAAGTGCCTGCCAGAATTAACTCGTCAGAACCATTTGACGAACCAAAACTTATTAAAATTAAAAATTTTTGCAAGAAATAAAAATTCCACAATAACTCGGGTATTCTTAATTCAGAACAAAATAATCCCCTTTCCAGTTCTCGAAACTGGATCGGGCAGAATTCTTCATTTTTACTATTTTCCTCTCTTATGGAGAAGGAATAGCAGATTTTCATGGTCCAAAGACCTTTTAGTTAAACCAGGATGCACGTATTTTCGCGCTATTGAAGAGAAAGTTCTATACTATTATTCCCAAAATTATCAAAGCACTAAATGATATTAGTTTAGAATGTTACAAGTTTTAATCGCAAAGTCATAAAAATAGAAAGCTAGTTATTAATGAGAATTAAACTAATCATTATTTAGTTGTAAAGAGTTTGCTCAGTCACTCTTGTTAATTCACCTTGTAAATGCAAGTTTTCTTGACCTCCAAAAACAGTCAAGTAAAGCTGATATTTCAAAGTGTCACCTTCGAGCCAATATCTTCTTCTGACTTTATCGATTTTTATATTTGTATTTGTCGGAGTTCTTATAAAATTTGTACTTTCAAGCAAAATTTCAGAACCTATAGCTTGGCCACAGTCAACTTCGCACAATCCAAATGGATGAGTAAGCATTAGTTCGACTGCAAAATTGCCAGCTTCAAGGTTCCTTAGTTTCATCATCCCAATCTCTGTGTGCATTGGGCGAGTTTGATAGTCACTTCCTGCAATCCAAGTCTTTGATGAAAAATTATAAATAATGCCTTTTGGTGTTCCAAATGGGGTAATTGAAATTTCCTCACCATAGTTGACATTGATAGGAGGAAGTACATATCCTGAGCCAGACCATTTGCCAATAAATCTCAAAAACTCTCCCATATTTAGCTTGAAAGTGCAAAAAATCAAAATTTATATGATATATTATGACTTGATCTTAAAGAACTTATAATGCTTATGAATTAGCATCATATCTCTTGGATAATTAATTATAATCATTTCTCAAAATAATATATAAAAATTCCCTTCAATAGCCCTGTCAGTGGGTGAATTGCCCGCTAAGTTCAAAATTTGGTCCGACCAAAACTAATAATTTTGGTCGGACCAAATTGTAATTGTAGCAGCCAATTCACCCACTGATAGGGCTATTTAAGGGAATTATGTATATTTTAGTTTGGAAAAACAAAAAAAATAACTTGGGATTTTGAGAAAGCACAAATCATTTAACGTTTTAGCAAAGTTTACTCAATATAACGATACAGATGCATGTGCGTAGTTAGAGGGTCATATAGCCCAGGAGCGATTATTGATCGCCCTGGGCTATAATAAGGCTCAGAAACTCCCCGAGTTGGTTTTGCAACTCAAATTGACAAACCAACTCGGGGAGTTGACAAATACCCTTTATAGGCGGCATTTGCCAACTTGAGTTGCAAAACCAACTCGGGGAGTTTCTGAGCCTTATTATAGCCCAGGGCGATCAATAATCGCTCAGCTATATCTATGCTGAATAATTTGTGATTATTTTTAAAAAAATTCACCTAAAAATGATTATAAATTTTTAAATTGATAATCTTAGTAAAAAAGTTAAGAAAATGGCTAATTTATTATTGTGATTGATCAATCAGCCTTGATGATTTCAACCCAATCTCAAATAAAATAAAGGCTCTATATCATTTAGATTGTGCTTAAGTAACGATGACCCCCCCTCAATATTCATGTCTATTGCAACAAAAATTCAATTTTTTAATATAAAATTTTATATATAAAAAAAATAATAATTTTCATGTCTCTTGCAACAAATTATATACATTAAAATGGCGACACGTGTCAACCTGCCCTCTTGGCGCAGCAGTCCAGACCTTATGGCTAAACGAACTGGGACGGACTCCGAGCCGAGAATCAGACGCAGGCTCAAGAAGTGTGTATCCGAGTATGTTTTGGCTGCTTTCCTATGGATGTAAATAGATGCGCTCAACAAAGTCCTTTGGATACGAGGACTCATGGCATCCTCTACCGAGAAACTGGGGGTTTTGGCCCAGGCCACAGGGGAACAGTCTTTTTCCTGTAGCTGTCGAAGGAAGGCACTTTGACACCCGATAGACTCCAAGGAGCTGATCCTTGGAATCAAGCTACTCCAATCGCCCGTAGCAGGGCCGCAGAAATCCATAAGCCGCCCACTCAAGACTGAACCCGCAAGGCAAGGAGGAGACAGAAGGTACCGGAAGGGCACTCTAAGAGGGATAGATCTTCTGGGCTGGAGTCGAAAAGCGGTAGAACCTTCCGTACGGGAAGTCTTTGGTTACTCCGTCATCAATATGGCTAGCGCCTGTCTGTAATAATCCTAATCCTCTTGCAACAAATTTTTCAATGCACATCTTAAATTTTTTCGTACTTTTTAGCTAGATAAGTTTAATAAAATGGCGATCGATGACAATAGCCATCCAAATCTCGATGAGAAGGCCATTGACACGCCTACAGCAGCGCTGTTTTATGGTTTTTTTGAGAATCTCACCTGGAGAAAAATGAATTAATATTTTTTATAAAAATGTTGTGTTGTAGTAGGCATGAAGATTTTTTCGAAAAATTTTTGTTGCAATAGACATGAAGATTGAGGGGGGTCATCGTTAGATCTGTATTAATCATGTATTTTTAATAGCCACTGGAGATGATCCTATAAAATGGAACCAATCGATGATTTTAATAGCGCAAACTCCCTAATCGACTATTTTACCTTTCTTCGTACTCCAAGAAAATCTGGACGACGACCGAGCTACGATACTTGGGTACTCAGCCTCTTTAACCGTGGAAAGAAAAGCTTGCACCCGAAAAAAGAATATTTAAGATGTCAGCTCATCAGAGGCCACAAAAGAATCAATAGAAACATAATGAAACTTAAATTCCCCAAAAAAACTTTAAATAAACTCAATGAGCTAAACGATGCATCAGTGGCTGCATTTGATTTACTTAAAAAATGCTTTGAGAAACACAGAGAAGAATTATCAAAGATAAGTAGAACAGAGGAAGGCCCAGAAACTGACGGTAAAGCAAAAAGATATGAAATCAAGCAAAAGTCAAATAGAAGTTTTAATCATTTATTCTGCAAAACGTATTTTGAGAAATTTTCAGTACGGGAATCATACCATTATTACGTCAGTTACTTATTCTCAGACTTTAATTTAGATTCCCTTTGTAAAAAATTCGGATTTCGGTGCTGCTTAATGGAATCAGAACATACACCATACTGCTACCAAAAATGGGGAATTCTTCACAATTACGCAGCATATGAAATGCTGAAGGAAATAGAAATCCAGCCTTTTGTAGACCCTCAAAGTATTATTATGACCAGAGCTGGAAACTGTACAGAAGAGCTTGCTCAGATTATGGGGTTCATGAACTTTTTTAAAAATGATTTTCCTCAAGAAATTAAAAATCAAATAGACGAATTTGTAAATTCCAACGAAAGAAATAGTAGCCCAGAGTTTGCTAGTTTTGCTAACAAGTAGCTATAGATAAGTAAATATTGTTTATTTTATTTCTTCTAATGGATTGATTAATTTTATAATAAATCAATATTATTTTATTAGAGTTTTTGAAAAGATTTCCGTTTAAAAAATTTCGATGAAGCGTTTGATTAATAAATTGGACGACTGATTGTATTAAACTCCTTTAGCTTTGAGTGCATATGGATTTTATCAATCAGAAAAATAATTATCCATTTAAAAAATTTTTAATTAATACTTATCAACTTCTTGTGTGAAAGCCAAGCATGTAAAAATAGCTGACTCCAAATGGGCTCTGCTTTCATTGTATGCATCCTCGAGCTTGTCAAACCCAGAACGATATCCTAAGACTAATAAATCTCTATAAGCACTATGCAATATAGATTCACTAGCTTCTTCAGAATAACTAAAGTTAGCCATATTTTCTTGTCCAGAAAGTGCTAATTCGAGGTTGACTCTTTCACAATTAAGTCAGTTTTGAAATAATGAGCTATCATTTCGTCCGAGAGAATTTTCATCTACGATATTTAAAAACTCTTGACTTCTAAAAGCCATATCAAAATCAACTGGAGCCAAAATATGCTCAGATCCAGATGGCAATATAATGAAGTTATTAGGATGGGAATTGCAATGAGGCTCAAAAGGATTGTGGTCTATAAAGTAACCTCATGATATATCATGATCTTCCAATATTCTTTTAATCTGCCCTGCTTCTCTTCCAATTTTCCAGAAAATTTTTGCAAGATCTCTAGCTATGCATTTTGCGTTAACTATTCTTCCATTCCCTAAATCAAGATCAAAGTTTTCAAAAATTTCAAAATCAGGGTCTTTGACTAGGATATTTAATAATGCAGAATTATCTTTATAAACCCCTTGAGAAGTCCATATGTGCAAATCTTCATGAAATAAAGGTCCAGTGTTTTTTATTTGTTTTTGAGTGCTTTCAATTTTATTTCCAATTTTACGAGAATTTGGAAATATAAAGCTTAACTTTTCATGATCACAATATATTTCGATCTCATTTAATAATTTATCAGCACCTCCCAATAAGTGAGTAGCTAATCTTCGATCCCCGAAAGTTTGGAAGATTCCACAAAATTTTTTAATTTGGCTTAAATTGTCATTCTGATATTCTCAAAGCCCATATGGTAAATTCCCAGTTTTAAATCCATAGTTTGATAATACTTCATTTATGTGTCAAGTCATGAATTGTTCTCTGGGACCTGTGTTTTCAAAGCAGCAACCTCTTATTTCTTTACCCTCTGGTGGATATGGCATAGGTTCTACGTTAAATCCATAATTAAGATTTCCACAGCCTTTTAATCTGATGAGTTGATTTTCATGATTAAAAATTGCGGATCTTTTTCCTGAAAGAAATAGCTGAATTCCGTCCTCATCTTTTGTCCAAGGACCAAATGGCGATTGCTCTTCTTCAGAAATCAGAACTAAATCATGGCAGGGTAAAGCAGGCAAATATATATTTTGATATTCTTGCCCAAGGTCGTTCAATGGCTTTAATCGACTACTCTATTAAGCTTGATTATCAATAATAAGATTAATATATATAGAATATGCATATTTATTAGAAAAAATATAAGAGCTTTTTCAGATGAAAGCTGAGAGAAATCTTGATGGAATTTTTCAGCAGAAAAACTATAATACTTAGTCCCCAATCCATGAGTGAACAAAATATTTTGTGCGCTTACGGAGGGGGTTAATTTTTTTTAAAACATTTATATATAAATTTTATAAGGAATTTTTTTAGAAATTAAAAAAAATCCCAATATGAAAAATTGGAAATAAATATTAATTTATATTGTAAAATTTGTGTTTTTAAAACGCAAGTTGTGTAAAATTAAACAGAATAGCTAGATAATAATTACTACTTATCAAAATATTTTTGATAAAAAACTTTTGTTCACTCGCGGAGGGTAGTTTTTTACCAAAAAAAAGGTTTCTTTCCAATGGTTTTGTTCGCTCACGGAGGGGGAGTTAGCATTTTTTGGTTTGGCATTACCAATTGCGACTCTAATTATTAAGTCAAATTGATTCGTTTCTGTCATTTTTATAACTGATAATTACTATTATAATTTTTAAACAATTACAAATATTTTCTAAATAATTTTTCTAGATGTAGCATGCCTAGGCTCATAAAATTCTTGATTTCTTGAAGTAGAAAATGCTGATCTACATCTTTGAGTCAATACTTTACTACCTTTTTCTTGAACAGGCCTTTTTTTAATTGAATAGCAGCTACGTAGAGAGCCTGGTTTATTATTAGCATTGCTAGGAGGTGTAGGAACGCCATCCAATAAAGCTAAACTTTGAAGCATTGAATAGCAATACTGTCTATATGCAGGCAACGGATTTCCTTCTAAAAATAATGACTGTAGTTTCGCATTTAAACTTAAAGGTCTAATAGACGCAAAAACATCATTCAATTGATTGTGCGACACATCTAAATATTTCAGCTCTTTCATCCCTTCTAATCCTTCGATTCCCCTTAAAAAATTTCCTCTCAATAGCAGTGTATGCACTTTAATACAGCTTCGAAGTCCAAAAGTACTCGCTAAGCAGTTATGTGACATATCGATAATTTCCAATTGGCTCAAATATCCCCAACCCTCAATCTGTCTTATCAAGTTATAAGAAAAATCAACTTCTCTTAAATTCACCATCAAATGGATCCCCCAGGTTGACGCTATTAAGTTATTTGATGCGTTTAAATAAGCTGCGTCTTCATCTTCTAGCTCTAATTCTTTTAAATTTTGCCTCGAAAAATTTAAAATTGACATTAATTAGCTTATAAAATGGAAAACAACGAAGACACAACTCCTAATATAAGGCATATGTATAATTTTACACATGAGAAAGCAGGAATGCAAGGACTTGATCGAGAGCAGATTGATAAAATAATTTATGAGACCTCAAAAAACTCAGAACATTATAAGCATGAACAGCAAAAAACTGAACAGATTTTGAAGAAAACACATCAAATGAAAATTGAAATAGAGAAATATAAAGAAATGGGACATGAGTTTTTAGCTAGAGCAGAAGCTAATGTAAATCATTTGGTGGAAAGTATTGAAAAAAGCAGGGTTATGACTGAAACTTGGCTTCATATTGATATGGATATGTTTTATGCATCGGTTGAAATTAGAGATAACCCTGAACTAGCTGACAAGCCGATTGCAGTTGGAGGACTTTCTATGATTTCTACAGCTAATTATATAGCTAGAAGGTTTGGGGTGCGCAGCGCTATGCCTGGATTCATCGGGCAAAAATTGTGCCCAGACCTGATTTTTGTTAAGCACAATTTTGGCAAATATCAAACTGAAGGACAAAAAATCAGAGAAATTTTTAAAGATTACGACCCTGAATTTGAAAGCATGGGATTAGATGAAGCCTATTTATGAATAACTCCTATTCTTGATGCTAGAGGCATTAATAATGATGAAGGCCGCCAAGTAATAGCATCTGAAATAAGGGCAACAAATAGATTAGATTATGCTAGGTAATTAAGGTCCTTACTTCATACAGATGGCATTTTGTGTGGTGCTAGCCGCTATCCTTCGCTCCGTGCTGGTATTGCTCCCTTTTTAGAGTCCTTGACTGCCTTGTTATCTAGCTTGTCTTCCCTTTTTTTCACTCTTATGGAAAAATACTCAATCGCTTCTGCGATTAGGGGCAGACTAACAAAGCAGCTTGAACAGATTATCCCCATTTCAGGCCTCCGCTGGCTCGGTGCTGCTATCAATAAGAAGTCAGAACTAACTGTTCATTAGATTAGGCTGCAAGCTAGCGGATTTATGCATAAGTCCTTTGCTGGAGGGCTCCAGATCTTGCTTTGCCAACTCCTGGCTCTAAAAAGAAATGTCGGATATACATCGGTAACTACCACATGTGAGGATGGGTCGGACATTATCGCCATTTTATGTATATAAATAAGTGCAAAAAAATTTATGAAAAAACTCAACTAACTGCGTCAGCTGGTATTGCCTGTAATAAAATGCTAGCGAAAATCGCAAGTGACGCCAATAAGCCTAACGGGCAATTTTATCTCCCCCCAGATAGAGACACAATAATAAACTATCTCCAGAACCAAAACATCAGAAAAATCCCCGGCATTGGTAAAGTCCAAGAAAAGATACTCAATGAATTGGGCGTAAAAACTTGCGCTGACATTTTAAGACTAAAGCTGGAGCTGAGTTTTGTTTATAATGAATCTTTAAATTTCTTTATTAGAGCAGCACTTGGAATAGGATCAGTGCACCATTCAGATGTATACGAAGACCAAAAAAGTATAAGTATTTCCAGGACTTTTAAAGCCACTAATGATATGTCGTTTATTGATTCAAAATTAAGGGATTTTTGTGAATCAATTTCAGAAGAATTAATTGAAAAAGATGCAGAATGTAAAACAGTTTCTGTGTTTGTGAAAACATATAAGTTTGAAAATACAAATAAATCTGAGACTTCAAAAAGGTTTATTCACAAAATAGATGACATTTATAATATTGCTGCAAGACTTCTCGCAACAATAAAACCATTTGAGCCGATCCGGTTGCTTGGACTCCGGGCTTCTAATTTAGAATTCAGCCGAAGCAAACGAAAATCCATTGACAGCTACTGAAAAATCCAAGAATTTACCGCCCCAGAAATCTCCCCAGTCTCCACAAGTGAAAAGGAAGAGCCAAAAACGGACGAATCAAAAGAAGAATTTAAAGAAATAATGAAAGGAATTAAATTAATCCGCCAACAATGCCCTAAATGCCAAGAATGGTTCACCATGAGTGAATACCGCATGGAAATCCACATAGGCGAATGCTCTCCAGAGAATTTCTCATTAAAGCGAAAAATCCCAGTCCAGCAGACAACAAAGAAAAAACTGAAAACAAACAATGGTGTAACTCTTGATAAATTTTTTAGTAAGACTTAGTTAATAAATTCTTACTTGGCCTTTTTTTGCTGTTGCATTTTCTTCTTGATGACCTTGACTTCTTCTGTAAGAAAAGCTCGAATAATTCTATCTTTGACGGTTTTATGGGACAATACTCCACCGTAGGCTCTGGAGACTGTTCTGTCTTTTTTGTTGATTCTTGAGTATTCTTTAGGTCTTAAGGCTGGGATACCTGCTAAGCGCTCTCCTGTTTCTTTGCAGTGTGGGCCTTTAGCGATTTTTTTAACGTAGTGAACAAGAAGACGGCCACCTGGTGTTTTGACTTGTCTGATCTTGTGGGACTTAGTGTGATATGGGCATCTTTTCCTAAGAATCACTCGTTTGACCATTTTATTAAGAAGATTATGTGATACAAGTATAGCTTTATTTCTTCAATTAATTTAAACATATATGAAGATAAATATAAGCATTTTATATGCTTTTCGCCAAAAGTTTATAGATGCTAGTTAATAAGTTTATATTCAGTGCCTTTATACCGTGAATTATTTTAATTTTCAATCATGACTCATTCAAATACTTTTATACGTTCATGATTGCAATAGTCTCTTTACTACCCCATTAAATCAGACCAAAAGCATGTTTCAAGTCAAAGGGATGCTAAATTTTTTTTAAAATAAGAATTATATGATATATTTTTGAACTTTAGTTTATTTTGACTTTAAAAAATTTAATCTATTCACTGTTTCTAAATTAAGATATTATGTACTATTTCATCTATAAATTTTTCGATTAAATTTTAAAAATTTTGTCCCAAATTTAAGTGAAGTATTTTTAACTTAAAAAATGAAATTTTATCAATATTTTGTTCTAATTTAAAAGGGTGGGGTTAATATCTTTCAAAAATATAAAATAAAGTCAGCAAAATACCATTTTCTGCACATATTTCAATTCTCCACAATATAAAAGTTCTATTCAAATATCACCAATCTTTAAAAAATCTAAATTATATGCATTTCATTTTTCAATTGACCCTTCTAAAACCATCTGCACTTAATTAGTCCTAATAAGTAGCCCTTATTATTGGATTCATAATTTTTTGATAAACAGTTATGGCACAACTCCTCGAAACTTGGTTGAACAGTGAAGTTGAACTTTCGAAAAAAGTAACCAACTTCGAAGAAGATTTTTCAAATGGCTACCTTCTCGGTGAGCTCCTCTACAAGTTCAATCAGCAGCCTGATTTTGATTGCTTTAAAGACAGGCACACACGAAACTATGTATTAAGCAATTTCACTCATATGATAGATGTCTTCAAGTCTCTTGGGGTGAAATTCGACACCAACATCATCAATGGCATCATCAAAAAAGAAAACGGGGCAGCCATCAAGCTACTCTATCAGCTGAAGATGGCCTTAGAAAAGACCTCCCCTCCAACAGATGTAACTTTACTAAAAAAAGGAAAACTAAACGAACAGCCTCCAGTCAAGAGTATAAGACCAGAACGTCCTCAATTTGACGAGATGGAAAAGAAAAACACAGTGACAAGGCTTCAAAAAATGAATAGAGCTCAAAAAGAAGTCGATCTCGATAAAAAGATGGATAGATTCGCTCAATTTCAAATAAAAAGCGAAAAAAGAGCCCAGCAAGATAAAATCAATGAAGCTGCAAGAGAAATAAAATTAAAGGACGAAAAAAGAAAAGCTTTGATCAATAAATTACAAAGAAATGCAGGGTTTATGGAGGACTGGGAGCAAAAAGGGGTTCAAGATTGGAATTATAACATGGAAATCAAGAAAAACAGAGAGAACATGGAGTTGACATATAAATTAAAGCAGTTTCAGCATGCTAAAGACGTTGCAGATACAATGTATACCAAAGAAGTTAACGAAGAAATTAATGGGATCAACGAATTTGAAGCAAAAACTATGAAGGAGCATGGGATTTCAACGAAGCCTTATAAGGCAACACAAACGATGGCCCAAACTGTGTCCTATTTTAGGGGCTCAACGCCAGCTACAATAACAACACAAGAAAGAGATATTAAACGCAGGACGATGGCAGCCAGGCTAAACCAGCTTGAAGTATCAGAGGAAGTTAATTACCGTCAAGACTTAGCTTTAAAAAAGCTAGACATTCTTTCTAATATAGAAGAAGATATAGCTAATGAAATATGAAAAGTTACTCATTATACAGAGCTTATGGTTGCTCATAGGAAACTAAGAGAAACCAGATATGAAAGAAGACGTGAATACGACTCAGAAATTGCCCAGCTAAAAGAAAGAAAGATGCTAGAGAGATGAATTGATAATATGTGGATTGAAGTAGAGCTAGAAGAAGCCAGAGCTCATCGGCTAGAGATTGATTTACAAGTTGAGCAGAGAAATGAGAAAGGAAAAGACATGGAAAACATGATTGAGCTGCTGCTTGGGATAACAGAAGAAGTCTATGCGTTCCAGCAAAATAAAAACTCAGAAGAACTTGACAAAAGATACTGGAATGAATGGGTTCATCTATTTAAAGATGGCTCAAATGTAATTGTTGGAAACAATGAAGCACTCAATATAAGAGAGCTTGATGATTATATTCTAGGAAAAGGACAATGGAATTATAACATCTCAGTTTTTAATTATAAATTTTCTGATGCTTTATTGAAACTGATTGACTGGAAATTTGACTCAGAGGTTGACAATAAAGGCAGCCTTTTGCCATGCCCTCCAATCAAACTAGCTATGATAGGGTATCCTTATAGTGGGAAAAGCACTCATGCAGGCCGACTAAGAACAAGATATAATATAGACATCATAGAAGTAAAAGACATAATTGCAAAAGCCAGTATTGATATTTTGCTTGAAGGCAAGACCTTAAGGGATGAAGACATTGTGAATTTAATTGTTGAAAAAATCATGATCTCTAATGAAGCTGGATGGATTTTAGTAGATTTTCCAACAAATTCAAGTCAGGCAAAGCTATTAGAAGAAGCTTTAACTAACTTTAAAGATCCTATTGAAAAAGAAAAATCCCAAAAAGAAATAAATATTGAAAAAGTTTTAAAAATTGCTCCATTGGAATGCAAGCCTCCAGAAAATAAAGATTTGTATAAATCAGGACTGGACTATTTGATATGGCTTTGGGCTGATAAAAGAGAGTGCTTAAGACGGTCATTTGGTAGGAGAATTGACCCTAAGACCAATCTTCTTTATCATATTGAAGATGATGTCCCTACATTAAACGAATCTCCATTAGTAGAAAACTTACAGCCTGATGATAAAATAAACGAGCATAGAGGTGCGATTGTAGACCGAATGATTGCATTAGATAGGCATACACATGAATTGACAGAGTGGCTTTGGCAATTTGGGAAAGACCAAAAATCGATTTTAGTAAACATTGATACGAATAAGCCAATAATGGAAAGCGGCGTAGAAATTGAAGAGCTTGTCGAAGAACTTATTCAAAAAAGGAGAGAATTAGATGAAAAGTTACAAAGAGAAGAAGAGGAAAGGAAGAAACAAGAAGATGCAGTGGCACTTGAAGCACAGGAAGCCTTAGATAGAAAAAGGGAAAGTGCAGAAATGCTTAAAGAAGACCAAAGGGAGACTGCTCTATTTGAAGAGCCTTATCAAGATAAAACTTTCCCGGTTGTCCAAGAAAAGCCTGATGGCCTATGGGAATTTTGGGAAGTAATGCAAGACATTTATGTAGCAGCCCTGCTACAAGTTTTTGAACTTGAAAGGTATCAGCGAACGGACTCCACTCAGCATTTAAAGCAAATTCAAGAAGAATTTCTCGAATTTTTATATAGACCTTGTGAAAAGCAAGATTTACTAAACAAATTCCAAATGGACTTCAATCAGTTTTCAGATGAAAATCCGGATATGAGAGAAGACCAAGCCACAATAGCTGAGCTCCATCAAAGAACTGAAGATTTATGCAACCAAATCTGGGACATCATTGAAAAGAGACAACTGGAAGCTGAAGAAGAACTGAAAGACATAAAAAATTGTGGCTGGCTTGAAGGTCAGTCTGATTTAATTATGAGACAAGTCCAAGCAATTCTTCAATCTGAATACCAGCGATATGGAGCTTCCATACAAGTTTTGACTGATTATTACGCAACTCTAGAAAAAAGAAAACTGCCGAAATGTGAAATTCCTCAGATTGATTTGGTATTGGAAGGGCTAAATCCAAGTGAAACTATTGATAAATTATGTGATAGAATTGCACAAACTCCACCATATGTGCCAGCTGCTGAAGAGGAAAAAGAGGTTAAAGATCCAAAGGCGAAAAAACCAGCACCTAAAGGGAAGAAGGAAGAAGAAAAGATCGAAAAAACTGAAATCCAGCTGGAAATGGAAGCAACGATTAAGAAAGAGCATGAAATTTTGCTATATAGAGTTGATCGAGCCAAAAATTGGGGTAAATCAAGGATAAAAGAATTAGAACAGGAAACGACCAAAATTTACCAAAGAATGGAAAAATGGATATATTCCGCTATTTTAGCAGAAAACAAAGCAGTAGACGAAATTTCTAACATAATCAGAAATTCTATAGAAAAACAGATAAAAATCCAGCCGCTTTTAGAGTTAAAGACTCTAGATGCAATAATCCACGAAAATATAATAACCTTTGAAACAGTCCCTCCTCCGATTATACCTCCAAAAGAGCCAATTTCTCCCACAAAAATTTCAATGCCCCAGCTTCGATCTATAGTTGAAGAATTTTTACAGTATCCTTTACTTATTAACGTAAATGTATTGGCAAATATAATTTTCAGAAGGAAGAAGCTAAGTGCTTTACTAGACAACGTGGACAGTCTTCCTGAAAAGTGGAGATTAAGGTCGTATGGAGAAATAATCGGATTAGTTAATACTTATGATAATGAACAAAGAGGGTTCTTAAAGTGGACTTCATTTTTATCATATTTAATGCAAGAAGCACAAAATTCTCAAATAGAAGAAATAAGCCAATTAATCAAACAGAAAGCAAGCAATGATATTTTGGAAGCATGGGAAAAAGAACTGACATCAAAAAAACAATTATCATAAATAGTCATAATGCTAAATTTAATGTTAATGTTAATAAGAATACTCTTGCATAAGACCTATTCCTTGACCTTAACTTGGACTGACTGCTTTGAGTAGCAGTAGGTAAGGTCAGCCTAAAACGCCAACCTATTTATGTCGCCTTGCCTCGTAGGACCTCTCTATATGCGCCAGCCTCAGTGGAGAACATCTCTCTTCACCTAGTTTCTCAAGCAACAAAGAACCCCTCTCACTGACCTCAGATTTAGGACGTAGTCCTACCCATAACTGCCATTTTATATTCTGATATCATAATATTTTATTTTAAAATAAAAAATAAAATTTTTATAATGTTTATTATAAAACCGATATTATTTTTTAACTTGTTAAGCTAGAATGCAAAATTCCAAGTAAAACACAAAATTATTAATTTTATTCAGTGTAAATGGATAAGAAATCTTCGATTTTCTCAATAATTTATATAGCAGTTTAAAATTTTTATAACATTTAGATTTTATAATTCTTAAATAAGCATTTCATAATATCATCTTTACATAAAGAAGGAAATCTTATTCTAAGTTTTCTGCAATGCGGAGTAATTTTTTAAATTTCCCTTTTTTATCAGTATGTATGAATATGACAGAAAAAAATGAAAAATTTTACTTACTCCCTCCCCCCTCCGTGATCGAACTAAACCATTCGGAAAATGCCCATTTTTTGCCGAAAAACCCACCCTCCTTAAGCGAGCAAAAATTTATTTTAATAGAAAAATTTCTTATAGAAAAAATTTTGATATATAAGTGATAATTAATATAATGAAATCTCTAGCTAATTCTGTTTAATTTTAAACAAATCGAGCTTTAAAACACAAATTTAGCAAATTTAATTAATTTTTGCTTTCCAATTTTTCCAATTTGGAATTTTTTTAAATTTTAAACACAAATTTTACTATAAAATTTATATATATTTTAAAAAAAACAAACAAATTAACCCCCTTTGTGGGCGAATAAGATGTTTTTATTCGCTCGCGGAGGGAGGGGAGTTACAATAATTTAAAAAATGGAAGAAGATATCAAATATACCTGCTATTACTCCTGGTGTAGTCGTCAATTCAAGAACAAGTACAATTTAAAACGTCATATAAATACAAGACATCTATTTTTAAGATCTTTTACTTGCAATATCTGCCATAAACAGCTTGTTAGCAAGCAAAATCTTATTGAGCATAGGTTTATTCATTCAGGAGAAAGGCCTTACGTTTGTAAAGTCCCTGGATGTGGCAAGAAATACAGGCAGCTGTCTCAGTTGTCTTTGCATAGACGAATTCATAATCAGCTGCCTTTTACTATAGAAAATGGATGCATACAGCTAGAGCCTATAGATTTTAACGTAAGCCAAGAGAAAAATCACTTTTCTTGTGGAGAAAACTGAATGTTTGAGCTGCCCTACATTTCAGAAGAAAGAAAAAATGAACAAAATAACGCTCAGCTTAGTTTCTGTTGTTAAAAGAAGAGAAAAAATCAATTTTAATATATATAAAACAATTTATCTGTTTAAAAATTTTGTTTAAATTAGTCCAGCTTAACTATAAAAAGTGGTAAGTGCTTATTTTCACTGATTAACAGAACAGATTGCATATTTAAAAAAAGGGCAGCATTTATTGCATATATTAAAAATCTAAGTAAAAAATTATTTATGTCATTATAATAAAGAGATATTTTATTTCTTTAATCATAAAGCTTGAAGTTCTGCAGGAAAAGGCGTGAAAAAAACGAAAAGACAAATTTTTTTTTAATTTAATAAAAATGAAGATTTACATAAAAGCGCTTTAAGAGTTTTAAAAAACCCTAAAAATCTATCTTTCTAAATAAATTCAGCATGTCATCTACATTTTTTCAATAAGTCTATTTCCATTTTCCATTTTACACAAAGTCGTTACAGCATGCTTTAAAAAGGGATTTGGATCTTTAAATTTTACAAAGAACCAAGTACACCACATGAATATAAAGAAAAATCTTGCATTTATAGAAATTAGCTTTAAAAGTTATTTATTTCTTTTTACAAAAAAAACTGATACACTTTTTCCCCAGTTTTCAATTTTGCTTGCTTTATGTTTTTTAGCTTCAAACTAATCAGAAATATATTTTTAGGCATCATCCTTCTTTTGTTTTTCTAAGTCTTGATATTTTTTCTGGATCTACTAAGTTGATATAGCTTAATTGCTTTATTTAGATTGCAAATGTGAAAAATCTCTTTTGGAATTTGTTGGCGATTTATTTGCTCATAATCTTATAAGATTTCCATCCTAAAACTTCAGACTTTCAATTTCTCATTAAAAATCTGTGCTTCCTCTTTTCGAATATTTGAGCAGAGCATTAATTGAGCAATAATCTATCTACCCATTATACTCAATGTACTCCATGTGAATTCATTAAGATTTATTAAAATAATCTATAGAAGTAGGAATTAGAATCCAGCCTTAGATATGTTTAATCGTTCTTGAGAGCTTAATATAATAAATTATTACTTCAAAGTAGCCGATAGAAAAGTATGTTTGTGACTTGATGAATATTGAAGCTCAGCTCCCTCATAGAGTAATCAGAAAAGCTATATCATTTATAATTCAAATTCATATACTAATATACAACTCTGTAACATATAGGAACACTTCTTTTTATAAATTCAATGAATTCCCTTTGCGACAGATTAGCTTTTTCCAAAACTAGTAGCACAAATTTCGAATGGAGCTTTGCTACTATAAATTTTATGTTTTTCAGAAAACGAATAAAATAATTTCAAAAGAGTCAAGTCAACTCTATGATAAATAGTTTTACCTCAAGACTTTGAATTATATGACTCAGGTTAAATTTTTAAAGCAGTAATTTTTAGGATCAACTTATCATCTGAACTATTTCTATTATAAATTAACATTTATAATAAATATAATTGTGCAATGATAATTTCAGGACTTTTTTTATTTCTTACGATAGCCAACTTCTTTATTTTGAAAAAATATTTTAAAAAAGTGAAAATTCGGCAAAGCTCCTATCAATTTTTAATCATGTTTTTAACGAATTACTTTTCCTTACTATATTTTGCAACCATTGATGAATGACTGACTAGCTCTTTTAAAGCCTGTGGCATGGAAGAATTAATTCCAAGTATACTTATTTCAATTACAAGCTGATTTACTTCAGCAAACCCTTCTTTCAGCAGCCAAAGTTTTTCACATCCCTATTATATCCTCTTTATTGCATATAACTTTGGCTTTTCACTCGCTGTCTATGCAACGAAAAAGCTTGGCAATCACAATTTGGCAATTTTATTATGACTTTCACTGTGCGTCATAAGCCTTCTTGCAGATTTATCTTGCATTACTGACTCATTATTGATATCTAATTCTTTATTTTGGCTTATTTTTGCATTTTTAAAATACATTGTAGCTTCATTAGCCATCCAGTTCTTTCATTTTTATAATTTTACAATTATGTATCAATGGCATGAATTTGGGAAAAATTTTGATGTAAAATCAAAAACTATTCTTTATGGGCATAAGCTTGGAATAGTTATGATGCTAATAATTTAAAATGAGAATAGAGCTTATACGCATATTAATAGCAATTAAGGATAGCAAAAATGCTGAAATAAACTTTCTTAAACTAATTGAAATTTTAATTGTCTTGCTATCTTTCTTTATTGCAACTAGCTGGACACTTGAAACTGTAGAAACTATGTGACCAAATATTTGGATTTTCAGAGAGGGCTATTATTTTTTAGTATCAAGAAGTATAGCGAGGCTCCTCAAAGATTTTGACGGCAAAATATGAGACCGAAGAGAATGTTGGCTCTCATTTTGCAATCAAATAGGTATATATACATACCTAAAGATTTTATGCTTGATTTATACTTTGAAGATTAATTAAATTAGTCTCTAACTCCCCTCCGGAGCAAACAAAATTTGTTCGATAACGAAGGAGTTTTTTTTTTCAAAATTCAACCAAGTTTTACTGAAATTTCAGTATAATAATTATCACTTATATATCAAAATGATTTTTTTATTTTAACAAAATTTGCTCACTAAAAATAGGGATTTACCAATGGTTTGGTTGCTCACCTAGTGGTAAATATTAATTATTATTAAATCTTTTAATGTCTTCAGTCCAAAAGCCCCCAAAAATAGCTTCCATCTATAACTAGATGCTCGAAAAATTTATACCTAATTGAGCAAGGCTAACATAGCAATTAATGGAACTTTAAAGCAACGGGAAAAAATATATCTAATTGAATTGCTAACAATAACGAATTTGAACTGTATTAATATATTGAAATAATGAATTTTTTAAGATTTAGTCCCCTCTTCATAATTCTTGAAATTAAATTTTCAATACTTGAAAATAATTCTTAAATATTAAATAGTTAAAATTAATCAATATAATTAATAACTCTTTCATTAAATTTATAAATAAAATTACATTATTCTTTCAAATATTCAGATTTTTAAATTTTTTATATGTAATTTTGCTATATTTTGCTGTTAAACAGGCGCTTATACCTATATAAAGGTTTTAAGATGTGCGTATGCTTTATTTATTCTTCCATAATTTCTAATAGATAATAATCGTGCCATAAAATATAATCATACGAGAGCAAGCAGGATGATTATTACAATTTTTGTAGTTTATGTTGCGATTTTAACCAATCGCTTTTTCAATTTGCATATCATTGACACATCATAATAAAATGGCTACGCACAGAATTGCGTTTATTTAGATTGCAAATGTGAGAAATCTCTTTTGGAGCTTGTTGGTATTTTATATGCTCATAATCTTATAAGATTTCCATCCTAAAACTTCAGACTTTCAATTTCTCATTAAAAATCTGTGCTTCCTCTTTTCAAATATTTGAGCAGAGCATTAATTGAGCAATAATCTATCTACCCATTATACTCAATATACTCCATGTAAATTCATTAAGATTTATTAAAATAATCTATAGAAGTAGGAATTAGAATCCAGCCTTAGATCTGTTTAATGCTCTTGACAGGCTTAATATAATAAATTATTACTTCAAAGTAGCCGATAGAAAAGTATGTTTGTGACTTGATGAATATTGAAGCTCAGCTCTCTCATAGAGTAATCAGAAAAGTTATTTTTTTTATAATTCAAATTCATACACTAATATACAACTCTGTAATATATAGGAAAACTTCTTTTTATAAATTCAATGAATTCCCTTTGCGACAGATTAGCTTTTTCCAAAACTAGTAGCACAAATTTCGAATGGAGCTTTGCTACTATAAATTTTATGTTTTTCAGAAAACGAATAAAATAATTTCAAAAGAGTCAAGTCAACTCTATGATAAATAGTTTTACCTCAAGACTTTGAATTATAATGACTCACTCCCCCCCCCCCTTTAAATTGAAACAAAAATTTTGTTTTCAATTTAAAGGGGGGTTAAGAAAATTTTTTTATAAAACAATTTATATATAAAAATTTTTTCAGAGATAAAATTTTTATAGAAAATAAATTATATAAATTTAAAGAGACAATAAATTGAGTAATAGAGTTTAATTTCTAAATCTTATATGTTTGAAGCATATTAAATAGGGTATTAACGTATTTACATATAAAAATAATGATTTTACCTATAAAATTTTCTATTATAATAAAATTTTGTTTCAATTTAAAGGGGGGGTAATTTCCCAAAAAAGTAGGATTTTTACCTATATTTTTGTTTCAATTTAAAGGGGGGGGAGTCAGGTTAAATTTTTAAAGCAGTAATTTTTAAAATCAAATCATCATCTGAACTATTTCTATTATAAATTAACATTTATAATAAATATAATTGTGCAATGATAATTTCAGGACTTTTTTTGCTTCTTACGATAGCCAACTTCTTTATTTTGAAAACATATTTTGAAAAAGTGAAAATTCGGCAAAGCTCCTATCAACTTTTAATCATGTTTTTAACAAATTACTTTTCCTTACTATATTTTGCAACCATTGATGAATGACTGACTAGCTCTTTTAAAGCCTGTGGCATAGAAGAATTAATTCCAAGTATACTTATTTCAATTACAAGCTGATTTACTTCAGCAAACCCTTCTTTCAGCAGCCAACGCTTTTCACATCCCTATTATATCCTCTTTATTGCATACAACTTTTGCTCACCACTCGTTGCCTATGCAACGAAAAAACTTGGCAATCCCAATTTGGCAATTTTATTATGATTTTTACTATGCGTCATAAGCCTTCTTGCAGATTTATCATGCATTATTGACTCATTATTGATATATAATTTTTTATTTTTGCTTATTTTTGCACTTTTAAAATACATTGTAGCTTCATTAGCCATCAAGTTCTTTCATATTTATAATTTTACAATTATGTATCAATGGCATGGATTTGGGAAAAATTTTGATGCAAAATCAAAAACTATTCTTTTAAGCATAAGCTTGCAATATTTATGATGTTAATAAATTTAAAATGAGAATAGAGCTTATAAGCATATTAATAGCAATTAAGGATAGCAAAAATGCTGAAATAAACTTTCTTAAACTAATTGAAATTTTAATTGTCTTGCTATCTTTCTTTATTGCAACTAGCTGGACACTTGAAACTGTAGAAACTATGTGACCAAATATTTGGATTTTCAGAGAGGGCTATTATTTTTTAGTATCAAGAAGTATAGCGAGGCTCCTCAAAGATTTTGACGGCAAAATATGAGACCGAAGAGAATGTTGGCTCTCATTTTGCAATCAAATAGGTGTATATACATACCTAAAGATTTTATGCTTGATTTATACTTTGAAGATTAATTAAATTAGTCTCTAACTCCCCTCCGGAGCAAACAAAATTTGTTCGATAACGGAGGAGGGTTTTTTATTCAAAATTCAACCAAGTTTTACTGAAATTTCAGTATAATAATTATCACTTATATATCAAAATGATTTTTTATTATTTTAACAAAATTTACTCACTAAAAATAGGGATTTACCAATGGTTTTGGTTGCTCACCTAGTGGTAAATATTAATTATTATTAAATCTTTTAATATCTTCAGTGCAAAAGCCCCCAAAAATAGCTTCCATCTATAACTAGATGCTCGCAAAATTTATACCTTATTGAGCTAGGCTAACATAGCAATTAATGGAACTTTAAAGCAACGGGAAAAAATATATCTAATTGAATTGCTAACAATAACGAATTTGAACTGCATTAATATATTGAAATAATGAATTTTTTAAGATTTACTCTATTGGTTTAAAATCAAGCTATTTTATTCAAAATAACTAACATAAAATTCAATATATGCATTTACTAATAAATAAAGATCCATGATAATTATTGCTCTAATCGTAGTTCTGCTTATTTTTATAGACAGATATTTACTTCGAAAATACGTAACAGGACAACCTATAAACTCTACTTGAGTTTTCGCTATCTTATTCCCTATTAATTATTTGCCTATATCAACTTCCAAGATTCTTGATGACTACTTGTCAGAAATGATAATTGCACTTCTTGAGTTCTTAAGTGATATTTTTTTCCCAGAAGAATGAAGCAAAGGTTTGAAAAGCATAAACTACTGGCTAGTTTTTGGATTATTGGTTTTATTCTCTTTTTTAGCTCTACAGCTGCACACCATTTGATTCAATAAAGGAAGCACATATATAACTCAATCTGCCTCACGAGGAATTTGCTGCAATTTAATTTGTTTACTACTCAATGATTATATTGGATATATTTATAAATTTTATTTGCTTCTACTTTTATTATGCCAAATTATCCAGCATTTCTTTAGGTTTAGAGATCCAATTCATTATTTGCAAACTTCATCTTTTTATCTACTTATAACAGCAGTTTATTCAACCATATGCCTGCTATCATTTTTTGAAAGGGACTTTCAAATTTCCAGTTTTATGATTTATATACTATTTTTAGCTATAAGATTAGGAGCGATGTTTTTCACTTTAATTTATTTTTTGTGCTTTTTTATAACAAATATTGAACACCTTGTAGATTATTATAAGTGATTTGAAAATTATCGTTCTATTGGAATATGCTCAATAGAAGAAATTTTAATGAAGTTATTACCTCCATATGGCTATGTATTAATTTTTATTGCTGCTTTCTATCTTGCATTAGAATTTTTTAATTCCAGTTATCAGCAAATTTGGCTATTTTACGAATGCTTGTTTTTAGTGGGAGTTGGCCATTTTTCAGTTATTATAAATTTGCCATATCCCAATGATGAAGTTGATAGAGTATTTTTTTCAGACTTAGCAGGATGCTATATCCAATTTTTAGCAATAAGATATTTATTAAACTATTTTCAATATCCATTTTAATCTGGATTTATAATTTAAAGCAATCCTTGCAAGCTACTTTAAGATTATTATTATTATTATTATCTGAGTTTTTTTATTTTAAATCTAATTTATGAGTAAATTAACAGCATGCAATTTGCTTAAAAGATATCGTCTATTAATAGGTATTGTCTAAAGTGAAGGGAAAAAAAATTATGAAGAGCCTATTGCTGTCGTGCTATCTATCTTAAGATTATCTTGCTTTTTATTGAAGAAAATGATAGAGAAATACATTCTTAAATCACTTATCAAGGTTCCTTATATTTATTACTCATTAATTATCAAAATCTTTAAATTACCTAAAGATAAATCTTTTAAAATGGCATTCCTGAAGTTTGGTAGATTATTGGAAGCTCTTTAAATAGGATTTCTTATACCTGTGATACTAAAATGGATAATTAACTGAGTTGAATACTTTAAATTGCAGAAACATGACCAAGAATTGGGATGCTGAGAGAAGGCTATTATTTTTTACTATTAAATTCCTTAGTAAACATTTAAGAAATATTGACTGCAATATGGATGATTCCTCTTTAATCTATTATTAAATTTTACATAAATTGTATTCGTAAACATAAATTTATAATTTAAATTGTTAAAAAGACTTAGTCCCTCTTCATAATTCTTGAAATTAAATCTTTAATAATTTAAAATAATTCTTAAATAATAAATAGTTCAAATTAATCAATATAATTGCTAAATATTCAATAATTCTTTCATTAAATTTATAAATTAAATTAGGTTCATCTTTTCAAATATTTGGATTTTTAAATCCGAAAGAATTTGCTATGTAATTTTGATATACTTTGCAGTAAACATGCGCTTATACCTATATAAAGGTTTTAAGACGTGCGTATGCTTTATTTATTTTTCCATAATTTCTAATAGATATAATCGTGACATAAAATATAATCATACGAGACAAAGATGATTATTACAGTTCTGATAATTTGTGTTACGATTTCAACCCATTACTTTTTGAATTTGAATATCATTGACCCTACCAAATATAGAAAGACTAAAATGATTCTCACTTTATGATATTTCGCATCTTATTTTAGGGCTTCTTATGCCCAAAAGCTGAATCAAATAATATTAGATATCAGAGACAATTTTATTGATAATTTAGATAAAGCAGTATTTACTTTTAGCTGCTTTGATGATTACTTTTTATGTGACTTTCAACACTATTACTTATCTAATTGCTTTTGCTTTACACTATTTTGAATTAACTATTTTTATAATCCACGCCAATATCCAAATCTCTCATTTTCATTAGGAATGATTAATATATTTATATCAATTTATGCAAGAAATTCTTTATCATTTTATCAATCAGCCTTTGTTTTTCTTAGCGTTTCTTTCTTCTCATTCTGCACAATCTGGAGAAGTTCAGTTTCGGGACAATCTTTTATTTATATTTGCATATTTCTCTTACTCCCCCCCCCCCCCTCCGTGAGCGAACAAAAAAAATTTTGTTCGCTCACGGAGGGGGGGTTAATTTTTTTTTTTAAAAAAAATTTATATATAAATTTATATAAAAAATATATTTTTTCGAAATTTAAAAAAATCCTAATTTGCAAAAATTGGGAAGCAAATATTAATTTAATTTGCAAAATTTATGTTTTAAAAACGCAATTTGTTTAAAATTAAACAGAATTAGCTCTAGATTTCATTATACTAATTATCACTTATATATCAAAAATTTTTTCCATTAAAATTTTTTCTATTAAAAAAAATTTTTGTTCACTCACGGAGGGTGGGTTTTTGGTCAAAAAATGGCGATTTTTCTAATGGTTTTGTTCGCTCACGGAGGGGGGGGGGGAGTTTAGATATTATGGCAGAAGCTATTGCTTTTAGTTCTAATGAGTTGAATAGAGTAAAATTACTTATCAATACTATTAGCTTTATTATGGATCTTTGGGGAATTTCTGTGATATTAATTTTCGTTTTAATTTGCTTTTGTATGCACTTGGATAGCTTTGATGAATATATTAGACTTTTAGATAAGAAAAAAGACAATGAGTTTTATTTTAAGGTAGCTGAAGTATATACTTTTCTACTTGCTTTAAATTTAGAAGCTATTTTGGTTGCAAATTTATGATCTAACTCCTGACTAATAAAAAATTTAGTGTTAATTTTTATTTCAGCTAGTCTAGGCTCTTTACTTGTTTTTCCAGACGATGATAATAGAAAATTTATGATATTTGCCTCAAATGTTATTGCGACATATTTTCAAGTATATTCTATCAAGACTTTATGGAATTTAATATAATTTACGAACACATTGCTGTGATAATAAGGCATAAAGTATATTAACTATGGCTTTAATATAATAAATAATTTCTGTTTTGGAAATCATGATATTTATTATCCTTATTGCCTTTTTACTCTTTTGCTTTAACTTTCACTTTATTGAAAGATATTTTGACCAAAAACCTTCAAAGTGTACTTGAATGCTTGCAACTCTATTTCCTATTAACTATTTTCCTATATCTATTTCAAAGATAATAGATAACTACCTTTCAGAAATTATTATAGCTGCTCTTGAGTCAAAAATTGAAATATTTTTTCCACAAGAATGAATAATAACTCTGAAGAGCTTAAGTTTAAGTTTTAAACGAATAACTCTAGCACGATTAGTGCCTTAAGTCTTCTTTACTTGAAGCCCAGCTAAATTAGCAGCTCTGAACAACGGTAGGTGGACCTGCCTAACCGTCGAACCGTTAAAGTTAATTAGCCCTTTCAGACTCCTCTAGTCGGCACCATTCAGCACTGACCTCTTCTCTTCAAGTCGAGACTCTCAAGAATCTTGGACTTCTCTCACTAAACTCAGATTATAGGTCCATCCTGTTTGACCATGTGCTAGGACCTATTCCTAGTTGACTTTTAATATTTCGTGAATAGCTTAAATTATTGGCTAATTTTTGGATTATTGTGCTTATGCATTGCAACTTACAAGCATTTTCGAACTATATGAAGCACAGATGGCATTTATCATACATATAGATCTGCTCTAATAGGAATATGCTGTAATTTTGTTTGCCTTGCCTTTGCAGACTATATTAAAGATGATTGCTATTTCTTTATTGCCTTTCTATCACTATACCTTGTAAGCCAGCATTTCTATAGCTTTCGAAATCTTATTTACCAATATAAGATTTCATCTTCTCTATACCTATTAGTAGCTATTACAAATTTAATTGTGGTTGTGTTATTGCTTTTTGGGCTAAAATTTCACATATCAGAGCTTATGATTGATTTATTTTTTTTTCTTTTCAAATTATTAATGCTGGTGGTAACTGTAGTTTATTTTATAATGTTTTTTATATCTAACATTGATCACATTTTTGATTGCTCTTTATGATTTCAAAGTTATAAAATAACAACTAAATTTGATATTGGAGAAGTTTTGGCAAAAATATCAGTACCATATGGATATATAGCCATCTACACTATTGCATTCTTCTCTATTTTAGATTTTTTTAACTCATGCTATTTGAAATATTGACTGTTTAATGAAGTTTTATATTTTATAGCTATATTTCAGTTCTTTTGAATGCACCAGAAACTAAAGATAGAGGAGATAGAGTATTTTTCTCAGATTTAGCAGGCTGCTATACTCAATTTATAATATGCAGAGCGATAATAATTTCGATTTCTATATAGCAGCTTAAAGTCTATTAATTATTCATGTTTTTAATACGATAGATATGTATTTTTAAAAAAAAATCGTATTTATTATTCTTTATCAGATTTTAATAATTTTCTTCACTCATTATATTAGAAATATTGGTATCATATTATATTCATTTTTAACGCCAAAAATGTTCTTTTGTCTAAAAATAATTATTAAAAATTTTTGAGTAAAAATTTTGGAGAAATCTCACCCTCATAATACCCAAATTTATTAAATTGTGCTATTTAATCATAATTCATATTCAATTAAGTATAAAATTGATGAAACAAATACAAGATTTCTACTGCCGTATGGATATCCCTTAGTTTGCATTGTTGCTTCTTACTCAAATTTAGATTTATTTAATAAAAGATATCAATACAATATACTATTTAATGAAATTTTATATTTAATAGAAGTTGGCTATATTTCTGAACTTTTAAACTATCAAGAAACAAAAAGGGCATAAAATATTTTTTTCTAATCCACAGAATGTTATATTCAGTTTGGGTAATAAGATACTTAATTATCTAGACTAAGTAGCTAATATATAAATATATATATATTTATTGACCTCAGAATTACCATTACTCTTAAAATAAAAAAAATTGTCAGAAAACGCATAATAAATGACATCTTTAATGGTTCCTGTTTAATTCACAAACAGATATGCAAGTAAAATTACTAGTGATGTAAAAAAATATGAGTAAGCTTCTAATTCTGATAATCATTTCCGTGGCAACACTTGCGATTCTACCCGGAATGACATCTCCATATAATCGTGTGGCACAGCCTCAATTGAAAGAAAATGGTAATGGATGTTGGAATGAAAATAGGTTGGGTGTGAGAGATGAATTATATAACAGAAAATATTATAGAAACTGAATTGATGAGAATTGCGAATATGATGAAGAAGATAAGTGTGATAAATATGATGAAAGTGATGAGTATGACGAAAGAAGTGAGTGCGATGAAAGAAATGAATGCGGAGATGAGATAAACGAATGTGGAGATGAGAAATACGAATGTGATGATAAGAGAAATGAATGCAGAGATGAGAGAAACGAATGCGGAGATGAGAGAAACGAATGTGATGATAAAAGAAACGAATGTGATGATAAAAGAAACGAATGCGGAGATGAAATAAACAAATGCGGAGATGAGAGAAACGAATGCGGAGATGAGAGAAACGAATATGATGATAAGCGAAACGAATGTGATGATAAAAGAAACGAATATGATGATAAGAGAAACGAATGCGGAGACGATTGAAGCGAATGTGGAGATGAGAAAAACGAATATGATGATAAGAGAAACGAATGCGGATATGAGAGAAACGAATGTGATGATAAGAGAAACGAATGCGGAGATGAGAGAAGTGAGTGTGGAGATGAGAGAAACGAATATGATGATAAGAGAAACGGATATGATGATAAGAGAAATGAATGTGGAGATGAGAGAAACGAATATGATGATAAGAGAAACGGATGCGGAGATGGGAGAAACGAATATGATGATAAGAGAAACGAATGCGGAGATGAGAGAAGCGATGAGCATACAATCATTTTCAAATCCATAAAATCTAATAAATAAACATATTTTCAAGTTGAACTCATTATTATAATATTAATTTAATACTTTCTTTAAAAATTTATCTAGCTTTTAATAAGATTTTTTATTAATATTAAATATTAATGCTTGTGATTAATGAGCCAAGTATGAATTTAAGTGATAATTTTATTTTGGCTCGGTGTGCGTTTGCAATTTGTCTTTCAGGGAATTTAAAGAATTCAATTATATAAGAACTAAAAAATCTAAAGTCAGTAAATGTTTAAAAAATTGACAAAGAATAACCAAAATCATAATTTTAGCAATTTCATGGAAATTTTTTAAAAAAATCCAAGCTCTTGAGTTCGATTTATAGACAAGTTTAATAATAAATGCTGCAAGCATGTGTATCTATTCAAATCTTCTAATTACCTTTTATTAATTTTTAAAAATTTATAGTTTTTAATGGAAAAAAATTAGAAGATAATAAAAACCAAATAATAAATTATCGAGGAGGCCACATCAAAAGTTCAAACCAGAAGTAGTAAAGATTATTAAAAAACAAATTTTGCATATACTAATGCTAATTTAATAAAAATAAGCTTGCATAAGTCCCGTTTCTTGCCCTCAACTTGAACTGACAGCCCTGAGTAACGTTATATATAATTTAAGATTAAGTTTAAGATTAAGATTAAGCTTTGGCTCATTTCCGTAACTACATTTATTAAATATTTAGTTGATAACTTATAATATTTAAGTTTTTTATAAACTTCTAAATTTGTTCCATTAAAATTTTTAAAGATTTTCATATTAGAATTAGAATCTTATCTTATCAAGTTTATTATGATTTGATTCTTTTTTGGCATTTTCTGACTTTAGTTTTTGAAGTTCTTCTGTTGAATTCTTAAATTACCTTTAAGACAAATTGCAAACTCAAACCAGCTGATAATTTTTGTAGAATAGCATTGAAGAGTAATTTAATTTAAATGAATCATCCATAGTTATCTCTACCATTATTACCGATTTATGCATATTTTGAAATTTAATTAACTTTATTTGAATGAATTTTAATTAAGGTAATTAATAATCATTATAACTCACTTTATTTCCTGTAAAAATATGTCACATAATTATAACTCGTCCAGCAGGAAAAGACTTCTGCAAAATCAATTTGAATGAACAGAAGGATACTTCATTGAAAGTTTAATTTCATATTTACAAGAAGGTTACTCGTAGAAACACAAATAAAATGGCGATGCCACCGACCCTTCTCGCCCGAGCCCATTTCGAATTTGGGACTTGCTATGGCCTAAAGCCAAACCGAGCAGAAAACTCAGTCTAAGGGTACTGGACATTTTTGTTCCGGTTGAGTTTGCCTCCTTCATCCGGGAATGAAGAATTTGAGTCTTCCCGGTGGACATTTGAGAAAAAAGGCTTTTTGCCCCTAGAGATCACTAGTGCAGACGACGAAGGCATAATCGGTATGGATACTAGCTAGGAAGTTTATCCCTAGCTTAAACTCTAATTACTCAAGCAGTAGCCGTCAAGTCCCAAATCTGCATGCCCAGGCAGCATTTAAGAGGCAGACCGAAAGTCAGAAAAGAGCTATCTCTGGTGGAAATGCTGAAATACTCACTGAGATTCTTTAGCAGTTGAAAGAGTCTTCTACGAAGACCTTAATCTTTAGATAATGCAAAATAATGGTTGCTCGATAGACAAAACTGAATTAAATTCTGCTTATCAAAAAATTTTGGAATCAGCCAACAATCCAAGAGATGTGCATAAACTCTATAATTCCTACATAAATTCTATTCAAAATTACACAGTTACATGCTTAAAATCTGAACTTTTGGATTTATCTGGAGAAGCTCTTTTATCATCTCTTACCAAGAGACTAAATTTTCATGATAAGCTTACCGACTTAACCAGAAAAATTTTTAACCACCCTCAGGAGTATGACAATGAAAAATGACTTTTCAGCTTCTGTCAGAAAGCACTAAATTTTCTGCCATATAAACTCGGAAAAGCTCTTATTCAGCATTTAAAATATGAAAGAGAAGGTTCAGTTATTGACCAAAATATTACGAAGCAATATTTTGATTTTTTATGAAAATTACTTATTGGAATGGGTGATGATGTAAATGGAAAATTTTGATGAAAAGAAAAGCAAGCTTTAAAATATTACGAATTTTGTTTCGAAAATGATTTTTTAAAAGAATCTCAACAGTTCTATGCGTCAAAAATAATTGAACTGATTAAAAATTTGCCATATTATGATTATTTGATAGCTATTGGAGAGTTTCTTAACGAAGAGGTAGAAAGGGCTGATAATTATTTAAAGCCTACCACAAAAAATAAACTTTTGAGTAGTTTTTTTAGAGAATTTCAGTTTTGAAATCCTCAGCAGCTTTCTGATATGGAAAAAAACTTATATGAAGATATGCTTAATGTCTCAAAAATTGAATCTTTTAAAGCAATATTCAATATTTTAAAGTATTCAGAACCTGATATTAGAAATCTGACAAAAATGCTTTACGACTATATAGAAAACAAAGGAAATTTAATTTTAAATAATGAGCAGCTTAAGCTTGACTGGATTGAGTACATAAAAGCTTCAATTTTATTTAAATGTGAAATTGATTTATTAATTAAAGCTACGTTTGACTGTTTTCTGCCATACAAGAAATGATGGGATAGCTTTTTCAGAAAGTTTATTAATGGAGTCTCGAATTCTGCAGCTTATTGTGCATGCTACTGTGACTGGCAAATGAGGATTGGTCTTAGACCCACTTCTGAAGTTGAAACTGATCAAATTTTGGACACTATAGTAAATATAATTTCTTTTTTGGATGACTGTGATGTTTTCATACACCATTATACATGATATTTGTCTAAAAGATTGTTAGAGGAGACAAGCTCAAGCGAATATGCCGAAAAATCGATGATTTATAAATTCAAGGAGAGATTTGGAGAAAAGTATGCCAATAAAATGCTGATAATGTATAATGATATTTCTATATCTGAAAAACTTATGGAGGATTTTAAAGAGTCAGGAAGAGGTAGCATGAGAGGGATTGAAATGGAAGTTAAGATTTTAAAAAATGGATGCTGGCCGGAAAATCCTCCTGAATTCTGCTCAATTCCTAGAGAATTAATATCTTGCACTGAATTATTCGAAAGTTTTTATCTAGAAAAATATCATAAGCGAAAACTCACTTGGACAATGGCATCAGGGACTATAGATTTGTCAACAATTTTTACACCGAATAATTATATTTGCATTGTAAATCCTTATCAAGCTAGCTTATTATTAATGTTTAACCATAAAAATTCCTTCACAGTTAAAGAAATCATTGAAAATTCCAAGCTACGAGAGTCAACTTTAAAAGCCAATTTAATAAAATTTTTTAATCCAAAATGCCAACTTTTAAAGAAAGAAAGCAAAGGGAAAAAACTGAATAACGATGAGAAAATAGAAATTAACGAGGATTTTCAGTCAAAAAATATGAAAATAAACTATCTTCCAAAGATGATTTCTAGGAGTGAATCAATTCAAAAGAAAGAAGAAACTGCGATTTTAAATGAAAGAAGAAACATTATTGATTCAATTTTAATTAAAATAGCAAAAAAATCGAAAATAATAAAGCATCAAGATATGATAGAAGAAGTGCTACAAGAAATGCAAAATTTTAAGCCAAGAGTGCCAATGATAAATGATCAAATAGAAAGTCTAATCAACAGAGAGTTCTTAATGAGAAGTGAAAATGATAATACAGTTTATCATTACATTCCTTAATTAATCTTATTTGAGATAATTAAGTGTCAAAAATTTTCAGAGAATAATATAATGGCAATAAGATAAAATTTAAGAAATTTAATTAATCTTAAAGTGCAGATTTCAAATATTTGTCATATAATCTATTTATTGCCAATACAAAATATTAATAATATAATATTCAAAGTTTTCATTTATGTTTTTTAAATTAGCCATTAGTATATCAAACTCTTTCTTTAATCATGCAAAAAGCTATAAAAATATGATAACTCTTTGGGTGATAATTTTCTCTTTATTTGTTTTTGACTGCTACATTTTCGAGAAACATCTAAAATTTTCATTAAGAGAAAAGCTACCAACTATGTTATTTCTCTTATTTGCTGCAAACTACATTCCTTTATTGTTGTCACAAATAATTAGTAAGTGAATTTCTGCTCTTACAAATGAAATTGATGCAGATTTTATACTTACACCTATTGTTTGATTAAATCCGATATGAAATTTAACTTTCGAAACGTTTCATTATTTATTTGATTTTATTTGAAGCTTATTTTGGATTTTTGGTATAATGTCTCTGTTAGGAACTTATAGTTCATCAAAATCTACTGATAATCTTATATAGAAATTTAGGTTGTTTACATTCAGCTATCATATAAATATTCTTTCAGAGCAAATAGTCAAATTTTCATAAGCGAAAAAAGTTTCAAAAATTAAAAAGTTCTAATGGACTATATCATGCTTTTTGGCAATGGCAAATGCGATGTGCTTCTTAATCTACTATATCTTCTCAAGTGATGAAAATGTTTTGATCCTTTATCTTACATTTTTTACAATATTTAGTATGACTTGGATAAATATTTGCAAGTCAAATAAATTAGATTAGATTATTGATAGGTATTTTAAGTCCCTGCTTAACTTTTTGCTCTGCTTCACGGTCGTTTGTTGTGGATGGCAGAGTGCTACCGTCTTGCAGCCTATGCCGAAACCCCAGCTTTGCGGTAAAACATATGCTCAAAGGTCCAAAGGATTTGCTGAGTGATAGACTCCTTAATGGTGCCAGCCAATTGTTAAATTTACCTCATCTTTTTCCCAGGCTGCTTAAGAAAAAACTAGCACCTTTCGTCATTTGGGGCAAATTGCCAGCAGCTTGAGAAGATAATCCACTCTGGTCTACGATTGACCACCTCTTGGCTTTATACTGTTCGAAAAAAGAGATTCAATTAACGTACCTTAGGCTCGGACTCATTTAAGCTGAAAAGAGTCTTATGTCTCTGTTTCGAGACTACTGACCCTTGCTGGGCTATAAGATCACAAGAGACAAGTCCGGTATACATAAGGATACCGTCTCTAAGAGGAAGGGTTGTCGTCTCTGGCCATTTATGCATGCAAATCAAAAATATACTCAAATCAGCTGGACTTGGCCATGGCCTGATACAATTTATTATTTTTAATTAATACACTTTGAACGATAAAAATACTTTGCTTACCAAATACAAGTACATTTGACATTCTTAAATTTATTTTTTATCTTGTATCATATCTTTGAATAACATTTTTTATTTTATTTTTGTTCCTAATATGCTATGTATCTCTTTTTGAATATTTGCAAACTTTATTCAATGAATTTATAGAACGATTCAAACGAGTTCATGATTTCGAGCGAAATTATCTAACTTACTCATCTTTATGAGCATCAATGCAACGAGAAGTCATAATTTTAGAGGAAATTTACACCAAAACAATTATTTATATAAAGTATATTTTGGACAATTAAATTTATTAAATACTCTCGAATGGGTGACCTCCAAGAAAGCAGTAAGAATTTAACTAATTGCCAATGCTTTATTCTTATTAATTATTTATAACTTTAATATTTTTTTTTATTTATGTTCCTATACAGGAACTCCAATACTTAAGAAAAAATTTATTTTATTAAATATCAAAATTTAAAAGGCGAATAAAAATTCTTGTTTATTTTTTAACATATGGTGTAAATATTATAAAAGTTTATGCGGTTTTTATGGGTTTTATAATTGAGATGATTTTTGCCAATAATTTAATTAGCTGAATAGTTGGAGAAGAGATATGAGTTGTAAAAGAAGGTCTACTTTTAATTGGGGTTGGAGCATATGGACATATTTTAATTTTTCCAGATGAAGATCAACAACAAATGGGTCCAAATTTCTCAAACATAGTTGGGGCTTGATTTCAAGCTTGGATAGTAAAAAGAATACTTATGATTCTAATAACTTAAACATAATTTATTAGAATTTTCTTAATTATTAGTGAAAAAAATCATAATTATCAAATAAATACAAGCACTTATTTTTAAATGCATTTCATTAGTAGAGTAATATTGCTTAAGGAGATATTAGTTCTTAATCAAGATGCCTTAACTACCAAATAAATAAAATGGTGACGTTGGCAGAAATTGGATATCGAGGCGTACTCCCTATGGAGCAGATAGGAACCATCCTGATGAAGCTGAGAACAGGGTCTCTGCTTCTTTTGAAGTAGGCCTTCAGGCTTGGATTTGCCTGCCTAAGAGAGAAGTTTCTCCCCCGAAAGTTTTCCTGTCCATGCCAGATGGACTAGACAGGTTTTACTTATCACATGATCTTCCCTTGCCGGACCATCTGGACACCCTACAGGTGGTGGCTCTGTCCTAGGAGTTAATCTTTTGAACAGAGGTTCAGGTCGAAAACTCAATACGGCAGCCTTTCTTTCTTTTGTCTCGTGGAGCGAAGGGGAGGCTATTCTAGAGCCGAGATGAGGTAAAGGCTAGTGGGCTTGCACATTTATGGCCTAGTTTAATTTTTTTAATTTAATTTATCTACCAAAAGATGCTAGGTTTTTGAATATATTCAGATATATTATAACATAGTAATGATATAAAATGAGTTTACAATTTTAAATTTTTAAAATGCTATTAAATCTACTTAAATATAAGAGGAGGTCAAATAATATTTATAAATAGGTGATAAAATGGCTCTATGACTTATTCACTAAAATTATATTTGGGGCATGATTATAAAAAGCAAATAATATCGATGAATGATTAACGATATCATTGAGAATTTTTTAAAGAAAGAGCATAATGATTTATGGAATAAACCAATAAAGCATGGGAGCATAAGATGGTACAATTGAAGATGGCTAATCGATTAAGAAAAAAGCTCATCAGAGCTGCGTCAGGCTAGGCCTAATAAAGGTAGATAAGTAAGAATAAATTTATCATTGCCATTTGGCCAGCCGATCTAAAGTGGTATAACAAGAATAACTATCATTAATAAATTGAGACTTATTCTTTTATGCTTGGCCATTATCAACATAATTTTGACATTATACTACATAGATCCAATAAAAAGTCGAGAGAAATTCGCAGTAGCCTTATTTTGGTTATTCTTCATCAATTACATCCCACTAATTCTTTTTGAAGCTTATCATAATGAAATTTCTCTCTATTTGAATTCTATAGGCTTAGAAAGCATAAACTTTACAGATTATTTGCGATATTTGTGAGATTGATTTCTTAGTCTTCTCCAACAATCAAGCTGAGTTTATTCATATGGCTTTTGAGCTTCAAGTTTAGTATCTCTGGCTATAATATATAAAAATTCTCATATAACAAAGGCATATTGGTCTTGTTTTTTTGGAATTATTAATTCTCTGTTCTTTTTGCTTTACAATAATCCTGAAAGAGAAAATGAGCACTCTGTTATGTATGGTGCATCAATTACAATATTTGCATTCGCATGAGTAGATTTTATGAATCACAATTGATATACTAATGATATTCATGATATTATGGGTAAATACGTTTTTATTATTATTATTGCTACTGCTTTTTGGCTAAAGCAATTAATTTTCCCTAAATTTGACATTTTTGATATTTCTTTCTTATTATTTTCTATCTTTTTATCAATTGGAGTTTTCTATTTACTTACTCCCCTCCGTGAGCGAACAAAACCACTTGAAAAATCCTTATTTTTCGCCCAAAAACCCACCCTCCGAACAAAAATTTTTTATGAAAAAAAATTGATATATAAGTGATAATTAGTATAATGAAATCTCTAGCTAATTCTGTTTAATTTTAAAAAATTGCGTTTTTAAACTTATAACTTAACTTTTACCGCTTCCTAATGAAGCATTTCTCTCTTTTTATTCAAAAATTCTTCACCATCATTAACTTCTTCGCTATCACCATCATCATCTTCAACTACAACAGTAGCATCGTCAACAAACCACAACATCAACAACAACACAACAAAATAAAAAATTCAGCATCAATAACAAGTATTACAAACTCCATCAAGCCTCATCTTCATCTTCAGATGCTCCATGCAAAATCCACAAAACTCCATTTGCTAATGTAGCACCAGCTCGAACCTCCGAAGCCAGCCATCAACATGCAGAACCCAACATTTGTGAATTCTCTATGTACCCATGCATCTCTGCATGAAATCAAGCATCACGATAATTCCCTCCGTCTTTGGCACTTTCGCGCCATTTTGTGCTGGATTAAAGAATTATTATAAAATTGCGTTTTAAAACATACATTTTATAAATTAAATTAATATTTGCTTTCCAATTTTTGTGGATTAGGATTTTTTAAAATTTCGAAAATAAAATCAACCTCCTCCGTGAACGGATAAGATTTTTTTATTCGCTCATGGAGGGGGAGTTACTTCTTATTTTGTAAATGCTTTCTTGACAGTTTATGATTTTTTTATAACAGCATGAGCACATTTCAAAGAGCAGTACAGAAAAAGCATCGAAATAGAAGAAAGCATGTGAAAAATATGCAAAATCTATTGCTTAAATTTATTTTTTATATATGCTATGCATCTTGCATATAATTTAGTATCTGCTTTATGAGGAGAAATTTGATACTTAAAAGAAATGATGTTTTTGATATCATCATGCACTGTAGGAAATCTTCTAATTTACCCAGAAGATGGAAATTATAGCGACAATTTCCAAGGGCTATCAAACTCCTTCTCAGTTTATTTCCAGGTTTGGGCTGCAAGGATAATTTTGAGAAATATATATCAGCTTATTTATTCCGGAGGTCTTAACGATTTGCATTAATGCATAGAGAAAATCCAAACTTTCTTTCATTTTTTTCTAAATTAATAAAATAGCTGAATGATTATTTGACTTGTTCTTTTGTCTTTAATCTTTCTTGACTTATTTTACACCTTACTCCCACCTCCATGATTAACAAAACAATTTATATATAAATTTTATAGAAATTTTTGTTTTCGAAATTTTAAAAAATCTTAATTTGCAAAAATTGGAAGCAAATATTTAATTTAATTTTAAATGTATGTTTTAAAACGCAATTTGTTTAAAATTAAACAGAATTAGCTCGAGATTTCATTATGCTAATTATCACTTATATATCATTTTTTTTCTACTAAAAAAATTTTGTTCACTCACGGAGGGCAGGTTTTTAGCAAAAAATAGGGATTTCTCTAATGGTTTTGTTCACTCACGGAGTGGGGAGTTAAGATACTTAAAGCCATACAAAAACCAAGAGAATATTGCCTATGCCTGATTTTTATTATTTTTTTTAAACTATATTCCTTTGGTACTTTTTGAAGCTTATCAAACTGAAATATCTCTTTATTTGAAATCTTTAGGGTTCGAATTCGTTGATAATGCAAACACTGTAAGCTTTTTACGATCACTATGAAGCTGATTTATCAATTTTCTTCAGTGATCAAGCTTATTTTATAGGTATAGCTTTTGGACATCAGGCTTTATATCTCTAGCGATAATATATGACTGTTCTCACGATTTATGGGCATACTTTTCTTGCTTGATAGGTATGACTAATCCTTTTTTCTTTTTGCTTTCCAATGTTTCAGTGTCAAATAATGATGAATATTTTATATTATATGGAATTAATATTGGAATATTTATTTTAACGTTTTTGAAACTCAATTATAGTAGCATAAGAACAAAAGGGACATCTCGAATTATGGATAAATATCTTTATCTTATTATAGTAACTACAATGTTTGCTCTCAAAAGAATTTTCTTTTATGACATTGATATTTTTGATATTTCTTATTATTTATTTGTTTTTTATTTTTCTTTTGGACTTTTGTATTTACTTATGGCTTATTACTCTATTTCATATGGAACTACGCTATTTTATTTTTCAATTCTTTGAGCAAGACTTCAAGAAAATCGCCAGAGGCATTTTAATATTGGAGAAAATGCATGAAAAATATTTATTATCACGATCATTAGCAAGCAAGGCTTTTTGCTCACCAAGACATGATTTTTTATATTTTAGAAATAAAATAGTAATAATTTGCGTAGTTCACTCCTTAATTTACAAATCAATATTATGACTTTAAAAAGGTCAGGCCTTCATTAACTATTATTAATTATATATCAAGCCAATGAATATAAAAAATATAAGTATAAAAAAGATATTGTTTGCTAGATAAGCTAAAAACTTCAGCTAAAATTTTTCATGCTGCCTTTTTATCGTCAAAAATGACGAAGGTTTTTTTCCCTTTTGTTCTCTATATCTTGCTCAGTCACAGAGGGAAAGTTAGCGCATATGCTTTAATTGCATTTTTTACATATTCTATGTTTCTTACTTATAAGCTAGTTGAAAACCTATGAGGAGAGTTTTGATCGTTGAAAGAAATAATGTTTATTATTGCAGCTGGAGGCATAGGATATGTCCTGGTTTACCCAAAAGATGAAAATAATGATAATCTTACTCAAGGTCTGTCAAATTCAATCTCAATATATTGCCAAATTTGCGTATTGAGAGGAATTTTTAGTTTGGTTAATTAGTCCTAGCTGAGTATTGAGCTTGGGGAATTATTAATTTTAATTAATCAGTAGGATTATTATGGGAAGTATTCTTTAGACCGCAAATGCATTCAAAAACTATAAAAATAAAATCATTTTTAAACATTTTGACTACTTGATTAAGAAATATTAGGTTAGAATTCGATTTTAATATAAAACTTCAAACGCGCATATATATAGCATAAACTATAAATAAGTCAATATAGGTCTTAAATTATAAATAGTAGACTATATTAAATAAAAATAAAAAATCGAAACTTTAAAATCGCTTTTGCAATCAGATAATGATGCCTTTTTGGCTCCTTTTAATCTCATTTCATTAATTTAATAAAAATAAAAAGCCAAAAATGATTATCTGACTTATTCTTTTATGCCTACTCATTTTTGACTTAATTTATGCTACAAAATCCATATCACCGAGCAGAGCTCAAGAAAAAGTTGCAAACTCCTGCATATTTTTATTTTTTATCAACTATTCAACTTTAACACTTTTTGAAGCATATAAAAATGAAATTTCGAATTATATAGAATTTTCATTCCTCAATCCTGTGGACTCTTTAAAATTTTTATGAATATGATTTCTTAATTTTCTTCAATATTCCAGCGTCATTTATTGATATGGCTTTTTCACGTCAGGATTTATTTCTCTGATTATAGTATACAAACATTCTCAAGATACATTGGCGTATTGATGCTGCTTATTTGGAATGATAAATCCGATTTTTTTCTTGTTTTACAATGTTTCAGCAACCGTTACTGAATATTATATTTTGTATGCAATAAGTATCGGAATATTTATAATAACAGTAGCTAAGTTGATCTATTTTGATGTGCAAACATTTCATACCTCTGACACTATGGGAAAATATGTTTTTCTTATGATAGCTGAAACGGGATTCTTTTTAAAATGGATTTTTTACTATAATCTCGATATTTTTGATATTTCTTATTTCTTACTTGTTTTTTATTTTTCAATTGGAATAATATACTTGTTGAGCTTTTATTTTCTTATTTCGTATATAAGCACTTATGATTTTCTTAAATCAACATTAACAGAACTTAAAGAGAAGAGCAAAAAATATTTTCATATAGAAGAAAGCTTATGAAAAATATGCAAAATATATGCTTTTAGCCTTCCATCAAAACTTGTTGAATTCATTTTCTATGTTTAATAAGCTAAAAGCATTCCGGAGCTATATATGCTTTTAATTGTGTTTTTTACATTTGCCATTGCTCTGTCTTATAATCTAATTGAAACTTTATGAGGAGAATTTTTAACTTTAAAAGAACTTATGTTTATGATAGTTGCTGGTGGGATCGGAGAAAGTTTAATATATCCTGAAGATGGAGATTCTTCTGAGTCCGTTCAACGCACGTTAAATTTTTTTCCAATCTATGCTCAAATATGGATAATCAGAGGAATTTTCAGAGTGATAATTTAAGGGATATTAAAGATAAAATTATGAGCTTTATTTTAGAATTAATTTATTTATATAACTGCTTGAGTATTCCAAACATCCAAACAGATATTAGAGGGGATTTCATATTGTTGAAATTTCAGATCATCGATATTTATTTTAATTGGAATAATCACGGCACATATTTAGCATATATCAATTTTACCTTTTGATACAACATCAATATCTCTTCTAGGCTAGAAATATTTGATATGATTTCAAATTTTGGGCAATAAGAATAATTTTTGGTGGTATTTATTAATATCAATAAATAATGATTAAAGAATATCATAAATTAAACTAACCTATATTTCCTTCTTTGATGCTTTGCCAAGAAATTTAAGAGCATTTTCTTTTCAGCATGCTTAGGTAAGCTTCTTATCAGCGGCATAATCTATAGTTTGAATTTTATAAATAATAGTAAATGTTAATTTGGCCTATTCTTATAGGTTTTATCATTGTTGATATAATTTTTGCTGCTAAATGAGTAGAAAAAAGAGAAAATCAAGATAGAACTCCATATATGCTCGCCTTCTTATTTATTGGGAATTACATTCCTTTAGCACTTTTTGAAGTTTATCAAAATGATATTTATCTCTGTTTGAATTCTCTAGGATTTACATTTTTAGGAAATATCAATTTTTTATATTTTTTGCGGTCTTCTTGAAGCTTTTTTCTCAACTTTCTTCAATATTCAAGCTCCTTCTATTGGTATTGCTTTTGAATTTCTGGCTTTGTATCTCTAACTATAGAATATGATTACTCTAAACTTGATAAAGCATGCTGATCTTGCTTCTTCGGGATGATTAATCCTCTATTCTTTTTACTGTATAGCGTTTCAGCTGAAGATGCAGAGAATTTTATTTTATTTTTAACTATGATGAGTTTATTTATTATCACATGAACCAAGATCTATTATTGTCATGATTTTAGCTGATATATGGTTGGTGATGTTGTTGAAAAATATAATTATTTAATTATTATTTCTGCAATTTTCTTAATCAAGCGACATTTCTTCTCTGAATTGGATATTTTTGATGTTTCTTTTTATTTTCTCTCCACTTACTTCACTTTTGGAATTGCATTTTTAGTAGCATACTATTTTACTATTTCTTATGTAATGACTTATGATTATCTTACTCCTCTCTTTATGAGCCTACTAAAACATTGTTCGTTCACAGGAGTCAAAATTTTTTTAATAATAAAAATGCCTATATATTGTCAATCTAATATCAAAGAATATTTTGCAAGATTTATTTTGTAACTAATTAAAGCAGAAATTTATTTTCAACATTTAAATAATCCAATTCAAAAGAATAGGAAGCAAAATTAATATAATTTGTAAAATTTATGTTTTAAAATGCAGGCTGTTTAAAATTTAACAGAATTAGCTCGAATTTCATTATAATAATGATCAATTATATTCAAAATATTTTTTCATAAAACATTTTTATATTAAAAAAACTTTTTGTTCGCTCACGAAGGGTGTTACCCAAAGAATATTAATTTTTCCAATAGTTTTGTTCGGTGAAGGAGGGGGTATTAATGCAGTTTGGAAAGAGCTTCAAGAAAAGAAGCAAAGATCTTTTCATATAGAAGATACTATATGGAAAATATGCAAAATATATGCTTTGATTGCATTTTTTACGTATGCTATGATTCTTTTCTGCGATTTGGCTGGCAATTTATTAGGAAAAAGTATAATTTTGAAAGAAGCTTTATTTATGGTTGGAGCTGCAGCATTTGGAAGCATTTTAATTTATCCAGAAGATGGAGATTTCGATATTTTTTCTCATAATATATCAAACTCATTTGCAGTTTATTTTGAGGTTTGTATAGCAAGAATGATTTTGCATATGCTTTAACTAAATTAACAGTTTCAGTTGATAAGAAACCATATGAACCAACTATATGAATTAGATTAAATGTTTATTTGTCTCATGAATTAAAAAAATTCTGAATTATTATAATTTTTAATTGAAAAATTAAAATATGAGCTATGAATTTATAGGCTTTCTAATACTAATATTATTCAAAAATAAGCAAAATTTTTATTATTGAGAAATAAGTTATATATTAAAATATCCGATACTATTCATGAATTTTTATAGGTATTAATCTATAAAAATTATTATGGTATTATGGAAATTCGACTATTAGTGTTGTATTTAGCCCTTTTAAACTTTCTTTAGCTCGAAATGCTTTATACGCAGAAAGATATGATAATTAGATTATTAAGATGGTATAAAGATGCTGTCTTTACTGATAAAATAGTTTAATTTGTATTTTTTGGGATCAGGCTGGATGCTATTCTACTCAAATTATCGAGGTCTTCACTAAAGTGGGCACCGAATCCAGGAAAGAGTTGCTTGAACTCATGGGGAAAACCCAAACTAGCTCAATTCAGTGTGAGGATCGTAATTATAAAAACTAGCGTCTCTTCCTTCTTCAGATAGGCTTTCCCTGCTGAGTAATACATCAGGCGATACAATGCCAGGCCTGATCAGCATATTCTTTAATTAGACATCTTCTCTTCTGGGAAATATCTGTCTTCCCTAGATTAGATTAATAATAGAATGCATGAAGAGCAAGCTAAATTATCTTGGTTTTATAACATAAAAATGGTGATGGCATACCACCCGACCTCTCGACCCAATTTCTTCAACACCAGCAGGCAGGCCAAGTGGTGGAGATTTAGGTGGAAGGGGATCGGTAATCCTTTATATATGTCGGGCTGGGCTTTCTCGGGCCTCAGGGAGCTAATCCTCGGGACTTAGAGTTTTTCCTCCAGAGCAACCATTTGAAAGGGCAAGGTCGGCCAATGTTTGAGGGCAATATGACCCTTAGACCCTGAAGATAGTATTTACCTAACGAGAAACTGGAGTTTCGACCAAGGTGGTTGACCCTTAGGCTCCAGTAGTCATGAAAGTCAAGAATAGTGAGCGAATCCCCTGTTTGCGGCAACAGGGAGGGCGTCTGTCGAACCTCCTTGGGAAGATGAACGCATAGGGGTGGAAATCCCGGCCCTGCAAGATGAACAGCAATACTTAATCTTAAATCTTGGGTTTTAATATTTTTTATGATTTATGCTCCTCTAGCCCTTTTTGAAGCTTATAGGTTTGAAATCTCTCACTGTTTGGACTCTTTAGGATTTTCATCTATTCTGAATATCGAATTTATCTCTTTTTTATGGTATCCATGAAACTGAATTCTCAGCTTTCGTTTTATTATTGTGGGATTCAGTTTTGCAGGTGCATCTTTAAATCGCAACATCTGAAACACTAGTGCACAATCTTTAGTATCTGGATCTTAGATCTTAGCAGGCATCGGGCTTTACTGTTTGGCATTCTCAAATAATTAGAATGGTGCATTTCGTACGCGGTCATCAGTCCTCATTGCATTTTCTAATTATGAGGCTTGGGTTTCCAAGGGATTCTATCCCGGCACAGTCAGATAAGCAACTGGGAGGGGTGGTTACAGCCCTCTGGCCTGACCTTAGGGAAAATGAAAGGCCCATGGACTTTCCCATTTCCATCCGACAGCAGAAACGGAGCCTTAATCGTCACACGGCATCAAGAAAGATAGAAGTAGCTCACGCATGAGCCGTCTTAGTCGGCAGCACCATATCAGACCGTGCCTTGGCTATCGAAGCAAATCGTCCTAGAGGCTTGCGAGCCGGCACCAGAATAAGACAGCGGATTGAATTACTAAATTAATTAGGACCCAAAAATAGTCAACTTTCTTCAATATTCAAGCATCTTATATTGATTTAGCTATTGAATAACAGGCTTTATATCTCTTTTTCAATTATCTGATTATCCTTATATAAATGCATATCATCTTTTGCTGTCTGGAATCGCTAATTCTTTTTTCTTTATACTTTACAATATTTCTGCAAGAGATTTTGAATATTTTATTTTATACACTATAATGATTGGAGTATTTATATTAATATGAGTTAAGCTGCAAAACGTCTATGCTATTGAAAAATATAAGCTGCTAATTGTCATTTCAACAGCTCTTATGTTAAAAAGGATTTTTTATTATGAGAACGATATTAGTGACATCTTTTATTTCTGTCTTTCCTATTTTTTTTACGCTGCAATTATATATTTTCTTACCTTTTATTTTTCTGTCTCATATAAAATCTTATATGATTATTTTGAAAATGCCAGGCAAGAGCTTCAAGAAAAAAGTAAAAAAACAGTTAGAATCGAAGAGAATATATGAAAAATGTGCAAGATATATATATTTGTTGCGCTTATTGCTTATGCTATGTATCTCACTCATTCTTTAATAACTTCTTTATGAGGTGAAGTTAGAATTTTAAAAGAACTATTCTTTATGATTTTTTCAGGAGCAGCAGGGAATATTTTAGTCTGCTCTGAAGACAGCAATTATATTTTACGCGAAGGGATCTTAAATTCTTTTTCATTTTATTGCCAAATTTATATAAATATATTAAATGACTGGCGAGCCTTCTAGCCCTCTTAACACTTGTGGCTAGCGAGAACCAGTGACTTTTGGAAGAGGATGGCGCTAAAAAATTATTTTATATACGGCTATAAGTGGGAGCCCTACTAGCCGGACTATCTTGACTCCAGGAAAGGTGGGTGCGTATAAGGCTCTGCCAAAATTATTTGAATTTTCTAGAGACTCACGCAATTTAAGGATCAGCTTATTACGTTAGAGCGACATACTGTAGGAAGCCCGATAGTCCTGATAGGTGAAGATTATGTGAGAGGCAAAATCTAGCCCATCTGGCAGAGAGAGAAAAACCTTCGGGGGAGAAACAAAACTTCCATCTTCTGCAAGATTTCCCAAACCTGAAAGCCTACTTCAAAAAGGGACAGAGGCTTTTTTCAGCTCCATCAGGGTAGGTCCGACCTGCTCCATATGGAGTGCTCCTCGGAGATCAATTTCCTCAACGTCACCATTTTATTTCTCAGATGGTGTATGGAATATATCCGACTGTGTTTTTAACTGACATGGTCGAGCCTAGTTTCGGGTTAGCTGACAGCTCCGAAGGAGATAAAAACCATGGTGAGAATGATTCCCAGCGAGATAACAGGTGTTGCATCCTGGGTTTTCCATTTTAGTCTTAAGATAGCCAGAAAATTTGATTTTCGAATTTTCTGAAGCTCACCCCGTTGGTTGTGACCCAGCGTCTCTGACTTGATGGCAGCTAGTGCAAGCCCTCTTCTGTGATGAGTAGCACAGTGGAAAGCCAAGTCCGAACTGGCAAGGCGAATTGATAATGGAAGCTACTAGTGACCTTCGAACCTGCAAAAAGCTTCTCTATCATCTAGTCTAAGATAATTAAGCCAAATATTTATATCAAGAAGAATTATTATATTGATTTTTTAACATTAATAATCAAAATAAGCGTCGTTTGTAATATCTATCTTAGAGCAGAAAGTATTTCTTTTACCAATTTTGAATATGAGGTGTGGCTCATCAATAAATTTGCAGGAAAGTAAGGGTAAATATAAAGCAGCATGAGACTCCTGCCATTAGATAAATGGATTTTTTAGAAGTGCGCCACCAAGGGGCTGGGATCTTTATAGTATCTTGCAGACTCGATTTGGCGCTCTCAAGGGCTGGGAATAACAACTTTAGAGATCCGAATCTCTGAATTAGATGAATCATTTATATTTATGTAAGAGTATCCAGACTATGGTGGCTTAAATTTCCAAATGTAAAGACAGTATGGAAATGTATTTGATGCTTAATGGAGACAATAGTTACTAATTAAGCATATGATGTCTTCAGATTAAATTAAATCAAATGATTAACTACCTTTAATAATATTAAGACCGTTTTGTTCTAAATATCCTATAATATTTTGTCGATCTAAAGTAGAATTGAAGCTCTGGGGCACTAAAATTGGCTTAATATTTACCTTTCTTATATTTTCTTTATGCATCTCGAATTCTCCTTTCAGCTTTTTATCTCTATATAATGTGACAGATTTTGAAACTGGCCAAATTGCTATTTCTGAACTGGGAATGTAGAAGGGCACCCAAACATTGTTTACAAACTCAGATTCTCTATATTTGATTTTATGCTTCTCTAATAGAGATTTATAAAAATCCATAAGCGGTCTTTGTAACCCAAAATGTTCGAAATAATCAAACTCATTGCTTGCATTAGACAGTTTGAATATTTTATCTTTATTATAGTAACTAGCTAGTAAAATTTTTTTGAAGAAAATATCATTTGTTTTCAAAACTCCATAGTTTTCAGCAAATCTTAGCATCGATTCTAATGGCTTTTTTAGCCTTATTAACGCATAAATTCAGTTAATTGTCCTATATTCATCATCAAAAGCTATAAGTTCCTTCTCCACAATATCAATCATTTGTTCAGCATACTCTTGTGCCCATTTTTCAGTTTCAAACCTTAAATCCGCCATTGAAGTTACGACTTCATATGTGTATCTTTCAGAGATTTTTTGTTTTTTATTGCAAAAAGTCATCATTATTTTTTCGTCAGAAATCCCAGTTTCGGCCAACTTGCTTATAAAAGCATCTCTGTATTTCGTGGTATAAAGTGGGCAGTTTTCAAGATTTTTTCTGATTAAAGGGAGGATGTCATAGCATGATGGGATTTTAGATAGATTTGCAAAATTAATCATATCATTCATTCTTAGCTTGGAAAGGTATTTTTCTATTGGCTTTTCTGAAGCTGCATAAATAGAGCTTAACAATTGCTGGTGCTTCGTATTATACCAATAAAAGGTAAATCAATAAACATTTTAAAATTATTTTTGGGAATTGGGAGTTACCCCAAATGGGCATATCAAGCTTTGATAAATGAGTAATCATAGATATCAATAAGTAAATATCAGTAATTTGTATCTTCGATATCCTTTCCAAAGCTGCATTTATCGCAATGCTATCATAATCTTCAGGCCATTGCCAATACTTTTCTAAAGTTGTTGCAAATGAATTAAATGGTATGTCTCTCTCAAAAATTTTGGTTAAATAGCTTTCTTTGTCAAAAAATTTTGATGTCCGTAAACCAATTATCAAAGGAGCTCTCATGACAGAAAAATCATTTGGGTTAAGAATCGTAGCAAATCTATCAGCAAGCGAAGGTGTTATGCAATTAGCATGAGCTAGCAATATGCCAACCTTTTGAGAGCTTTCAGAAAGAAGAGCCGCATTTGAGAGCTTTTCCAAAGAGCTGCCGACTCTAGTTAATAAATCAGAAATTAATGATAAATTTGATTTTTCAAGAATCATTCAAAAGATTTGAAATGGTAAATAAGATTCTGGGGACTTTGAAAACTCTGCAGGATCAAGCCTGTTTAGGATTGATAAATAATCATTCAAGTCATTTATTGTGAAATCAGCTTGGGCTAGGTAAATTGCATAATATTCAACAAGCTTTGGGTTTAAATTCTCAAGATTTGATAATATACTATTTTAAAATAAGATGAAATCCTAAAAATTGGTTATTATATATTTAGCTTAAAAATAATATTCTCTTTACAATAGCATAAAATACTTAAGGGTTTGAACGGGCATCTGCAGCATTTTATTGCATTTTCAATTTCACTCGGGGTAAAATCACTTAAATATTTATTGAAAAAATTATTCCAAACTTTAGGATCAGCATCATAAAATATCATGGACCATATAACTCTATTTATCCCACCTTCTTTGGCTTTCGGCCTTTCTAGATACTCGTAAATTTTTCCTTGTATTGATTTAAAGTGCTTCATTAATGTAGGATACAGATTTATTTCATTGCCTTTAAGAAACCTGACAACATAGCCTTCTTTTGAAAAATTTTTATCAAGCATTTCTAAAATTTCATCAAATAAGCTTTGAATGCTTTGTGGGTAATCTGTGGAAGAAATGCTATACAATATATCGAACAATTGATTAGGGGCTAGGCTTTCTAGATCTTTGATTGTAATTTTCATAAATTTTTTGAGCGACAAAAGATTTGTCATATTAATTACTTGGCCGCTTCCTATTACCTTGAGAGGAACTAGCTTCTTCGCTATTTGAAATATTTGTATAGGGCTAAAATTGGTCAACTCTAGTTGCTGTTTCAGCTTATCAGCTTTGGATTTTTCGATGGATATCTCAAGTGAGCTTACAAAATTTACTAAACTTTCATCGTCAAAATCTTCGAGATCGAGATTTTCCAATCTCTTATTGCAAATATCAATAAGATTTTTTGATTTTTCTGTCATTTTATATAGAAATTGCCCGAGGATGGCGCTATATTGCGCCATCCTCGGGCAATTGGAGACACGGCTCCACACGGGAATTGTGTTCCACGTGTGGAGCCATTTTTCCACGTGGGAAAATGTGGATTCCACACGTGGAAAAATGTGGATTCCATACGTGGAAAAATGGCTCCACACGTGGAATACGGTTCCCGTGTGGAGCCAATTTTCGCTTGCCCTAGGATGGCGCCATATAGCGCCATCCTAGGGCAAATCCTATATTTCAATCCCTTAATGAGAAGAGAAATTTCTTTTGGATTTAGTTTTGTGCTAAAATCTTCAATGATTTTTGTGACATATTCTTCTAATTCATAGATGTAATAGCCGTGCGAGTGAAGAGAATTATAAAGATAGCAAACTTGCTCAAGACTTAAAGCGTCCTCTAAAACAAACTCAGTAACTTTTGTGTCTAAACGCATAATGCTTTCCATAGGTAGAGCTGCATTTGTGCGGTTTAGTCAATAGCAATAATCAACAACTCCTTGAGGAGTTAAATTTGCAATAGAATCTTGTATTTTTTCTGATAAGCTTGTGAATTCCTTTTTATCTTCTGCTGACAAATTATCCCACTTCACTTTATCAGAAATTACGCGAAGACTTTGTGCTATCTGTGATACTGGAGCATTTTTTGCCTTTGCGAGCTTGATAGCATCTTGAGGTGAATTTATATTTGACCAGTCTAGAATTGTCTTCGGCCTGATATAATATTTTTGTGAAAAGTTCCTGTTTAGGCGAAAAACGAAGCTTTTCAATCACATATTAAATTTATTAATAAAATCATTAATTTTGGATTTCGATTTATATATCCATGCTCTATGACTTGAGACTATTTGTCTTAATTGCAAAACTTTTAATATAAATATAAATAAAACATCACGATATGACTTTAACACTGAATTAGTCTATGATACCTTATAATAAATAAAATATGAAGATTTTATGATGGCTTCATCTATTACAAATCATTCCGAGCTATTATGCTTTAAGAAAATGTACTGATGGTCATTTCTGTAGAGACAGAAAAATGCCTTACATTTTGTTATTATTATTTTTAGCGGATTACATCCCGCTTCTATTTTCTGAAGCGTTTTATGATGGTTTTTTTCGATTAGTCACTTTTGGATGAGATTATGAGTATTTTTCCAAAGAATTTTTATGACTAACTCCCCCCCTCCGTGAGTGAACAAAAAAATTTTGTTCACTCACGAGGAGGGTTAATTTTTTATTTTAAAAAAAATTATATATAAATTTTATAGAAAATTTTTTTTTCGAAATTTTAAAAAAAATCCTAATTTGCAGAAATTGGAAAGCAAATATTAATTTAATTTATAAAATTTATGTTTTAAAAGCAATTTGTTTAAAATTAAACAGAATTAGCTCGAATTTCATTATAGTAATTATCACTTATATATCAATTTTTTTTTGATTAAAAAAATTTTTGTTTACTCACGGAGGGTGAGTTTTGGTCAAAAAATAGGGATTTTTCAAATGATTTTGTTCACTCACGGAGGTGGGGAGTAAGCGCATCTATCCTTACCTTTACAAGGCAACACATATCTGTATATAGCTCATACAGTTTCTGAATATTTGGAGTTATATCAATTCTACTATCATCCAATCTCACAAATAATTTGAATTATAATTGACTATCCTTACCAGGGTTATTTAATTCATTATCCTTACTCTTTTATTATTCTATTTCAGGCTCTTTAGAATATTTCTTATATTATTTTATTTGCTTCTCAATTTTTATTATTTGAGGATTTAAAATTAGATATTGAATCACAGAATTAAACCCACTCTTTTATTTTTACAATATTTCGATGTTTGCTGGAATTTTGCTTGCTATAAAAAATGCATTAATCCCTGATATTGATTTAGCGACCTGTATTGCGTGATAAGTATAAAATAGTCAGTTAGCGACCCATTCTCCAGTGATGGGGCTCTTGTATACAGCCTGAGAACCTTTATGGCTCAGGCTTCCCGATATTTCCCGAAAAGAAAGATGGAGCCATAAAGGTGCTCGGGCGATACATATTTTTAAGGGCCATAAAAAATTAGAATAACTTCAATAAATAAAAGCATCATGCCCATAATCGTTAAGATAAAATCCTAAAAGAATTAATCTTTAGTGTGCTTTTATTCATTGCAATTAATTCTAATTTTTTGTTTTCGTGCTTTTAAGTAAGTAAATGAAAGAATGTAATTTTTATATCAATAAGCTTTTCAAGGGTTGAATCAGCCTGAAGTGACTTTTTATTTTTGCAGATGTGGAGCAAAAAGCAGAAGCAAACTAGTCTCAGAGCCGCGAAGGATGAGGAACTCCAAGTCCTGGATTTTGGCAGAGACGGTTACTGCTACGGCTTTGGAGCTCCCGTCAACGTATTACCAAAAATTGAAGACACAGGCTGTCATGGGAAAACATTGAAATTTTATTTATCAAAATTTGTGCTAACTCCCCCCCCCTCCGTGAGTGAACAAAAAAATTTTGTTCACTCACGGAGGGGATTTTTTTTTTTAAAAAAATTTATGTATAAAATTTTATAAAAAATATTTTTTTTCGAATTTAAAAAAATCCTAATTCGCAAAAATTGGAAAGCAAATATTAATTCAATTTGCAAAATTTATGTTTTAAAAAGCAATTCGTTTTAAAATTAAACAGAATTAGCTCAATATTTCATTATACTAATTATCATTTATATATCAAATTTTTTTTTTCCATAAAAAATTTTTCTATTAAAAAAATTTTTGTTCACTCACGTGGGTTTTTAGGCAAAAAATAGCGATTTTTCTAATGGTTTTGTTCACTCACGGAGGGGGGGGGGGGGAGTAAGAAGAGGAGAAGAAGCGAAGAGAAGTTTATACAGCTCCTTTATCATTGCTTTAGAGGCAAACACGGGAGATGGAGAGGTCTTGAGAATCCTCAAATTGCTGTCAGGAGATGCAGTGGTCACCTTCGGGGAAGACATGGCGTGAAAGGACCTGAAGGACAGAGGGAAAATAGTAATACAGCATGAAGGCAGAAAGCAAACAATTCCAGTAGGACCAGTCTTTGAAGGAGGAGAGATCAACTATGTGAGGTATAAAATGCAGGTAACTATTCCTACGAGAATTGAGCTAGGGTAAATATTGGAAGAGCTGGGCAAGGTGTGCAAGGTTGTGGAGATAGTTGCGGACAACGTAATCGCATCAGAGGGAGAGATCTACAGTGTTCACTTCAGCACCAACTCAAGGTACGCCATATAAGGGGAATTCGGGTGACTGGACAGAGCACTCGATCTAGGTGATGAAATTACTCTACTCCCCCCCCTTTAAATTGGAACTAAAAATTTTGTTCCAATTTAAAGGGGGGTTAAGAAAATTTTTTTAAACAAAAAATCATTTATAAAATTTTTTATAAAAAAAAAATATATATATAAAATTTAAAAAAAACAATTTCAAAAATTTTATCGAATTAGATTAATAAATTTGTTTAATAAAATGCTATTTACTCTTTATCCTTTAAAACTAAGCAAGATATAACTAAAATTTTAATATTAATTAATACGCCAGTATTAATTGGTATCAAAACTATTTACACAAAAATTATTATTTTTATTGATAAAAAAAAAATTAAAAAAAAAAATTTTAGAAAATTTATTAATCAAAGTGTAATTTTGTTTAAATAAAGATATTATTTATACTCTATTCTTTAAAATAAAGCAAGAGATAAGTAAATTTTTGAATTTTTTTGTAAAGAATTCGTATTGAATTTATATCAAAGCTATTTAAATAATAAAAAATATCATTTTTATCAAAAAAAATAATTTTTTTTTAATAATTTTTTAAAAACAAAAAAAATTAAAATGTTTTTAAAAATTTACAATTAAGGATAATAAATTTATTTAAATAAGATGTTCTTTATACTCTATTCTTTAAACAAGAGCAGGATATAACTAAATTTTTAATTTTAGTTAAGAAGAAACATTTAAATTATATCAAAACTTTTTACATAAAAATTATGATTTTATATATATAAAATTTTTATTATAAAATTAAATTTTGTTCCAATTTAAAGGGAGGTTAATTTACCAAAAAAGTGGAAATTTTACCTATATTTTGTTCCAATTTAAAAGGGGGGGAGTAAGAGGGAAAAGAATATGGATCAACCATGCTGCCTCGCTATATTGCGGGATATGTCAGCAACTGGGCCACAGCGATCGGGGTTCATGAGAGAATTGCAGCCAAAAGGGAAGAAAGTACTAAGAGGGGCAAACTGGTAAAGGAGAAGAGAGAAGAAGAGAGAAGAAGAGGTATGCTGGCGAAGGCAGAAATCAAGAAAAATCGAATGCAGACAGAGGACACTGATAAGCTAAGTAGTTTAGCCTACGTAGGACTAAATGGAGGTTCGGAAGGCAAAGAGCTGAGTGGAACGAGCGGGGGCGGAGAAAGTAAGGAAGCTGGAGACCCTACCACGAAGAGTAACTCGACAATTGTTCCATGCAAAAACTCAGGAGCGCAAAAAGAAGAACAAGAAGAACTAAAGAGAAAACCTGAAGTGGGAGAAAGAAATTACCAGCCCAGAGTGAAAAGGATAAAAGAAAAAGCACAAAAGAGACTAAACCCATAGCTCATATTAACATTAACGGGGTCAGGAAAAAGAGACAGCAAATAGACAAATTTTTGGAAGAAATAGCACCAGAAAGAATTCAAGGCCGAATTGAAAAGAATAAAGCTTAGAGTGTGGAAGGAAAGAAGGGTAGAGCAAGCCATTGTGAGTGCGAGGGATATGTGAGAAATAGCTAGGAGAATAAAACGATCCATGAGGAATAAGCCTGCAAGATTCACAAGAAATGAAGAAACTGCAGTAGTAGACTGATGGAGACGGCAATATGACGATAAAGGACAAACCTGGAAAGCAGAAACTGAGCCGAAGCCTCCTACGCTAGAGGAAACTATAGGAGCAATCAGATCCCTAAGCCTCTTGGCTAGATGGGGTTCAATCGGAGCTGGTCAAATATGGAGGAGAGGTGCTAGAACAGAAGCTGTGGGAGATGGCCTCAAAAATATGAATGGAAAGACACATACCAAAAAATATGAAGAGCGCGATAGTAGTGTTAATCCCAAAAAAATTAGGATCTAAGTCACCTGAAGACTACAGACCGAAAAACTGCTAAATACAGCTTACAAAATATTGGATAAAATTATAGCTAATAGACTAACCAGAGAAATATCTGAGAAAAAGATAATGCATCCAGCGCAAGCCGGATTCATGGCTCAAATGGGGACAGCTGACCAAATTTATAGGATAGAAACCGTCATAGAGCACTGCATGCTTGAAAAGAAAGGAGTAGTGTGTGCCTTCCTTGATATAAGCAGGCTTTCGACACAGTGAAGCATTCAGATCTGAACGAAGTATTGTCTGGGAGGGGAATAAGTGCAGATACTACCGCTGTACTGGAGCAATGTATGAGAACTGTGAAAGCAATATAATAATTAATGACAGGTTATCGGAACCGATCAAAATAAGGAAAGGTGTTGGAAGGGAATATATTTTAGCCTGATACCGAACGAATTAGCATGGGCAATAAGCAATATGAATCTTGGCGTCACACTGAAGCCTGAGGCTGAGAAACTTGGTATACTATATACGCAGATGACATAGTACTCATAGCACATACTGGCACACAGTTGCAGCAGCTAGTTGGCATCTGTAGCAGCTGAGCTAACAGGTACTCCCTCAGAATTAATCAACAGAAATCATAGTGGTGGACTACTCACTGAAGCCCACCAGACTACAAGTAGTGACAGATGCAATGCAGCTGAAGCAAGCGACACACTTTAAATATCTGGGCAAGGTGATAGGAACATCAAGAAGTAAAACCGCTGGCACTAAGGCTACACTTGAACATGTTAAGTCGGCTAGCAGAGCAGTTAAAACACTATTAAAAGGATTGAATTGTCTTCCAGTAATAAAAAATCAGTTGCTGCTGAAGCATGTGTAACCACTGTTGCAACATATGTTGGAGAATGTTCACAACGGGCATGGGATGGTGCAGCATTGATATGCGCTAAAAATGAGAGGATGAGGCTGGCTAGACTACTACTGCATGCACCTGCAGGCACTGCAAGGGAAACGTCCCTGCTAGACATAGGATGGGTTACACTTGTCAACCAATTGAGGACACGACTGCTCAGATACAGAAAAAGAATTTATGACATGAATGACCACCTGACAGTCCTTATGAGGGAACTGAACTCTCGCGAGCTATTGCCATGAGAGATGAGATGCTGGGAGACACTTGCACTAGTAGGCATGAGTAAATACCAGGGAGAAGGCAAGCTGCAGGAGGTAGACAAAGTAGAGTGGAAGCAAAAGATCAAGGATGCTGTGAGACTGCTGAACTGAAGGGAATCGATGCATAGGCTGAAAGCTGAAACTGAAAAATCTACACGAATGTACAGGTCTCTCATGGTATGGATGGAATCTACAGATGTATCAACATTTGTCAAGATTAATTCATATAATGGAGCTGCAATAGGAATGGTACATAGAATGAGAGCAGGCTTCAACTTCTGTAACGCTAATGCTAAATTAAGGCACTTGACACATGATGAAATGTGCAATGAATGTAAGGTACCTGAAACTGAAGAGCATGTACTTACAGAATGCACAAGGTACGGCAGGTATAGACTTGAACTGCAGGAGCAACTTGATAATACAGGTATAGCATGATCAGCACTTGGACTCATTCAGGTAATGCTTTATGGAGCAAAGTAAGAAGCTTATGTGAAGAAGCTATAGCTGGATGGAAGAGACGACATAATACACATAGTGGATACTGCGGTGAAATGGTTTCACTTGAAGGTCCTTCAAGATGTGGGTGAAGAGTTCAAGCTGAAACTGTAGGCAAATTACAGGTGCAGCATGGTAGACAGTTAAGAATAACAGATTGATTAATTAAAAGCCCTTAAGGGCTGCAACGATGCATACAGCATCTTTATAAGTAATGGATGGATGGATCAGCCTGAAGTGAAAGGCTCAGCACTATTTCCCCTAATTAGTGATCTGGCTCGAGCAGCATTTTTTATTTTTTAGCCAGACGTATCAGGCCCAGGCTGGATGTTTGATAGGGCAGAGCGATTTATAGTAATTGCCTAAGGATGGCGCTATCTTGCGCCATCCTCGGGCAATTACAATATCTACCTAGGTGTGCTTGGTAGCCCTGCTTTCTATTGTGAAAGCTTTTAAGTTTTTTTTGGGATGACTCGTCAAATATCTTAAGGATACGAAGTGTCTCAAGCAAAGGGTCCCAAATGAAGTGATATCTAATTGAGCTAACTCCCCCGTCCGTGAGTGAACCAGAAAATTTTGTTCATCGCGAGGGGGGTTAATTTTTTTTTCTCGAAATTTAAAAAAATCTCACTTCTATAAAAATTGGAAATCAAATATTAATTTAATATTAAAATTTATGTTTTAAAACGCAATTTTTGTTAAAATTAAACAGAATTAGCTCGAGATTTCATTATACTAATTAGCACTTATATCAAATTTTTTTCACTCACGGAGGGTGTGTTTTTGGGCAAAAAATAGGGATTTTTCTAATGGTTTTGTTCACTCACGGAGGGGGGGGGGGAGTAATTAATTTTAGGCCTAAGCTGAAAATTGAGGATCCGCCAAAGTCTATATGACCCGGACTATTTGGAATGTTTAACAACAAAAAGGGTTTTAGGCCAGAGCTCAAGTTGCCTTAATAAAGTACTCCTCACAGTGAACGCCACATAAAGCATGGTGTATATAATGCGGGGCTATAAATGCACATCACTAATCTTATCTAATCTAAATCTAATCTACCTGCATTGTATGGATTTTATGTGCAGGAATAGCAATGGCAGTCCCAGCCATGATTTTCATTTATTTTTGCATAAGTTTCGGTTCAGTTTTTGAACTACTACGTTCTTTCGATCAAGAATTCTGTAGCAACAATGAAAATGATAATAATTATTTGCATAACCCTGAGTATGTTTTTTGTATTTTCCAGAGTTATTTTCACATTTTTTTCTTTGCATTTGCAATGATATTGACTGCAAGCATATTTGAAGAAATACTTGGGAGTTGAAATAGAATGCTTGTAGAATTGCTTTATGTAACAGCTGCTGCTATTGTAGGCAATGCATTGTTAAGCCCAAGTTTAAGCTATGACAGCTTCAATATACAGATGAATATTTTAGGAATATATGCCCAATTTTGGTTTTTAAGAATCCTTGCAAATTTTTTAAATAGCATTTTAACCTAGGGAATATAATGATAAAAAGAATTATTAATTGGTACTCATAGATTTTGTTTACTAAAAGCTAAAGATATAAATATAGGCTATGATTCATATGAGAATATAAGCATTTTAAATTTCACAGTTAACTTCTTTGATCTAGTGAAATTGTAGGAAGTTAACTAATAAATAATGCATTTACAAGACTATTACGGTATGTTAATGATGCATAATAATAAATTGTCTTGTTTGAATCTGTTGTCTCAAGGGTTTGAACGGGCATCTGCAGCATTTTATTGCATTTTCAATTTCACTCAGGGTAAATCACTTAAAAATTTATGGAAAAAATTATTCCAAACTTTAGGATCAGCATCATAAAATATTATGGACCATATAACTCTATTTATCCCACCTTCATTGGCTTTCGGCCTTGCTAGGTACTCGTAAATTTTTCCTTGTATTGATTTTAAGTGCTTCATTAATGTTGGATACAGACTTATTTCATTGCTTTTGAGAAATCTTACAACATAGCCTTCTTTTGAAAAATTTTTATCAAGCATTTCTAAAATTTCATCAAATAAGCTTTGAATGCTTTGTGGGTAATCTGTTGTAGAAATGTTAAGTGAGCCTTCATCGTCAAAATCTTCGATATCTAAATTTTCCAATAAAGTCAATAATTCAATCCCTTAATGAGAAGAGAAATTTCTTTTGGATTTAGTTTTGTGCTAAAATCTTCAATGATTTTTGTGACATATTCTTCTAATTCATAGATGCAGTAGCCGTGTGAGTGAAGAGAATTATAAAGATAGCAAACTTGCTCAAGACTTAAAGCGTCCTCTAAAACAAACTCAGTAACTTTTGTGTCTAAACGCATAATGCTTTCCATAGGTAGAGCTGCATTTGTGCGGTTTAGTCAATAGAAATAATCAACAACTCCTTGAGGAGTTAAATTTGCAACAGCATCTTGTATTTTTTCTGATAAGCTTGTGAATTCCTTTTTATCTTCTGCTGATAAATTATCCCACTTCACTTTATCAGAAATTACGCGAAGACTTTGTGCTATCTGTGATGCTGAAGAATTTTTTGCCTTTGTGAATTTATATTTGGCCAGTCTAGAATTGTCTTCGGCCTGATATAATATTTTTGTGAAAAGTTCCTGCTTAGGCGAAAAACGAAGCTTTTCAATCACATATTGAATTTATAAATAAATCATTAATTTTGGATTTCGATTTATATATCTATAATAAATAAAATATGAAGATTTTATGATGGCTTCATCTATTACAAATCATTCCGAGTTATTATGCTACAAAGAAATGCTTTGATTGTTCCTTTGGAGACAGAAAAATACCTTGCATTTTATCATTAGTATTTTTAGCAGATTACATCCCGCTTCTATTTTCTGAAGCTTTGTATGATGGCTTTTATTGGTTAGTCACTTTTAGACAAGATTGTGAGTATTTTTCCAAAGAAGATTTATGACTAAGCGCATCTATCCTTACCTTTATAAGGCAGCACGTATCTGTATATAGCTCATACAGTTTTTGAATATTTGGAATTGTATCAATTCTACTATCATCCAATCTTATAAATAATTTGAACTATTATTCACTATACTTGCCAGGGCTATTTAATTCGTTATTTTTGCTCTTTTATTATTCTGTTTCAGGCACTTTAGAATATATCTTATATTATTTTATTTGTTTCTCAATTTTTATTATTTGAGGATTTAAAATTAGATATTGAAATACAGAATTAAACCCACCCTTTTATTTTTACAATACTTCGATGCTTGCTGGAACTTTGCTTGCTATAAAAAATGCATTAATCCCTGATATCGATTTAGCTACCTGCATTGTATGGATTTTAAGTGCAGGAATAGCAATAACAGTCCCAGCTATAATTTTCATTTATTTTTGCATAAGTTTCGGTTCAGCTTTTGAGATAATACGCTCTTCCAATCAAGAATTCTGTAACAACAATGAAAACGATAATAATTATTTGCATAATCATAAGTATGTGCTTTGAATTTTTCAGAGTTATTTTCAAATTTTTTTCTTTGCAATTGCAATGATATTGACTGCAACTATATTTGAAGAAATATTTGGTAGTTGAAATAGAATGCTTATAGAATTATTTTATTTAACAGCTGCTGCTACTATAGGTAATGCATTGCTATACCCGAATTTAAATTCAAATCGATACGACGATGAAAGCTTCAGTGTGCCGATAAATATTTCAGGAATATATGCCCAGTTTTGGTTTTTAAGAATCCTTGCAAATTTTTTTAATAGCCTTTGAACCTAGGAAATACAATGATTAGAAGAATTATTAATTAATACTCATAGATAATATATACTAATAAGCTAAAGATATGCAAAATTGGCTATGATTTATATGAGAATATAGACATCTTAAATTTCACAGCTTAACTTCTTTGATCTAATGAAATTGTAGAAGTTTAGCTAATAAATAATGCATTCAAAAGACTATTGAAGTAGGTTAATAATGTATAATAATAAATTGTTTCATTCGAGTATGTCATCTCAGAGAACTTTCCCTCCATTGACAATTTTATTATTATGGGTTCGATTTTTTTAGTGCATCTAACTCAGCACCACATCAGCAAATAGACTAGAGAGCCTGATCCTTGAGCTTTTTGGAGTTATAGGGGTTTACTGATTGATACTCCTGAGCAGTGAACCCCTTAGGATGAGCACATGCAGGAGCCTTGCATAGGACAAGGAAATGCGGTCAGCGAGAATTCCTGGCCAACTGTAGCGCTTAAAAGTTCCAAATGACTCCACTAGATAAAGATGCTGGCATAGGAATGTCCTCGAGATCACGAACTTTAGTTGAAATGGTAGGTTAGGTCTATTCACTCTGCAGAGGATATGGCACTTTAAATTAAGAGTAATGTATGCAATATAGGTTTATAATATAATTCAATTTGCATTATAGCAATATTTATTATTGAAATTATGAGGTAAAATAATAAATGCGGATATCTGAATGTCTCACATTTTCTTGCACTACTCTTTTATTATTCTCATTTTTATTATCTCGCTGGGATGCTTTTTTAATTTGAACAAAATCACTAGAATTTTATTATGCAAGGCAACAACAGATCTTAAATATGTTCATCTCTAAGTTTATTTGGTAAAATGCAACAGCAATGCTAAAATATTAATGATACAAAAGATGAATCAATAGTTTATTGATTGGCTTGAGGAGAAAATTTCCACAAGAATAACTTTAGAAAAATTGCCTTAAAATGCAAAATATAACTCCCTATCTTAGATATGATAGGTGAGTCGCTCTGATTACTGAGCTAGGGTTCATGCTATATAAACTTTCAAAAGTAATAATTATAATCAAGATTTCTTTTCAAAGGGAATTGACAATATAGAGTTTTTATTAATTATATGTTAAAATTAACGCTAATAATTAAATGCTGTACTTATGGATTATTCATCATTATATTACCTTTGTTCCTTTCCTTTACAGCATGATAAATAAAATTCCAAAGCCTAGAAATAACCGCATACAGCTATATTTTACAATTTTGTTTTACTTAATTAGTTATTGCTTGGAATATTTTTCTCACAAACTGGATAAAATATTTCCCAGCATTACAATCACAAATTGCTTTGTTTTAAAAGATTGCTCACAGTGGAATGTCCCTACATATATGTTCTGGATATTATATTTTCTTAAAGTTTGCCATCCTTTAATTGATTTTTGTAAGAAGATTCATGGACCTCTCCCAATTAATCGGCAAACTTTGATCTTATCTTTGGCGATAGTGCTAATAGACTCATCACTATTTATTTGCTATATATTGTCAGAAAATAAATTGAACTGCACCTTAATTTTTCTGATAACTACTTTATCTTGAAGCTTATTGATTTTTAAGATATATAAATATATGTGAAACAAGCCAGGTGAAATTTCATGAGAGATTACTTATGCTTTACTCTATATTTTAGGCTCTTTAATGCTGATTAGCTCATTCGCATTTGAAATTTTGACACAATTATTTTTAATTGAACTAAAGCTATCATTTTTGTGATGCCTCTTTGTATTCTTTTGCGATTAATTAAAAAGTTGTTATAATTTTGCAGGCGGTATCAAAAACATGGAACAAAGTTTTCAGCATATTTATAGAGAGCTAGCATTTAATATAAAAAAGGATATTTGCTTCTGTAGCAGATACCATTTTGTTTTTTAGACTCAGAAAAGTTAAGGAAAAGTGAGATCAACGATTTATCAAACGTTTTAGTCTACACCAAAGATTTCTTCGCTTGGCTGAAGTATATTTCTTTTCCATTTTTTCTATTTGTGGATTGTGAGCTTCTAACTGACTTTATATAGAATTGTTTGAATCAGAAATGTGGATATTTAATGAAGGAGTTTATTTCGGAATTTCGATGACCATAGCAATTTTGCTTGATTTTCAGTATTATCATATTAATACAATACATGCTATTGGAATTTATATTTTGATACGTTTTGGATATTGCAGGCTAATTCATTTTATAATAACTATTTGTAGCTAAGATATTTATATGTCCTCTGAGACAAGCTCAAAGGAGAATTAACTATGAAAGATTTCTTTATTTTTAATTCATAAGAGATTGTTTAGAGAACTTTTTAAATCTGTTAATTCCTCTAATCGAAAGAATTAAGTAAGGCAATATTTTGTCGAAAATATAAAATCCTCAAGTAGGTAAGACATAGTTTAAAATTAGCTTTTATATGTAAATTATATAATTAGATATATGCTTAAAATTAATTCTGAATAATTCTGGAATTTAGAAATTAAAATTTGATGTGTGATTCTATTTTTTTTCAATACCCTTTACTAAAGAGGAAACAGAGAAATGATTAAGTAGAATGCCCTTTAGTGAAGAGGGCAACAAACCATAATAGATATTAAATTTCCATATTAGATATATCAATAGTATTGAAATAGGATAAGATAATTTGAATTGGAAACAATTTTTGGTAAAACTGTAATACAAATTTACGTCATTAAATTAATTATTAAAATGAGCATCTATTAGTTTTAAAAAAGTAAATGATAATTATATGGATAGCGCACATCTTCTTGTATTTTCTTTACTATTGCTACTTTCACACTTTATATGACTTTATACCAAATTACTGAAATATTTCTTGCATCTGAATCCTTTTTCTTTTCGGCTATTTGTGGTTATACCTTTCCAAAATTTTATCTCAAAGCCTCTTAAGCATTAATTTCAGTTTGATCTCTTTACTGCCCTTCTCCTCCGTCAGAAAAGACATTTTTTGATCGCTTATCAAAGGAGTTAAATCTTTTCTATATTAAAAATTATATAAAGTTTGAAATTAAAGCTGAATTTACTTCTAAAATTTATGTCTTAGCATTTAAGCTGCTAAAAATAATAGAATTAGCAGAATATTTCATTATAATAAATATTACTATAAATCAGAATATTTTTGTTATAAAATTTTATAATATTTTACTCGCTAATTTTCTCAAATTTTATTAATGATTTTGCTTAATTTGGAGGTAGTTTGCAACTTCAATAAAAGGTATTCAATCAAGCGATTATTTATTTTTTTATATTCAACCTTGATTTTCTTTATCAAATATTCTATTAATTTGCTTTTGCTTAACTATGTATTTATCGTGATATAAAGCAAACCACAGGCTATCAGGGAAAATGATTGCAAGATTTTTTATAGTTGGAATTCTAAATATATGCATATTTTTCTGATATAAATCTATCTCACTCCTCTCACCTTTAAATTAGAACAAAAATAGTTCCATTCAAAACGGTGCGCATTTATCATAAAATTAATCTATTTAAAGAATCAAATTTGTTTAATTAATATTATAATTGCCTCCTCATTGACAATAAAATAGTATGTAGGTAAATTTTCATTTTAATCCAATAAAATCGCTTTAAACTGACATCGAAATTATCCATATTTTCATCTTTAAGAATTTATATTGAGTTTTAATTTAAAATAGGCCAACCTACATAAAAAGGAAATGCCACTAATATCAATTCGAAATTTAAATGGGAAGTCAGTAGAGTATTGTGTTTGAATGTGGATGGCTTCAACTATTATTTATCTAATGAATTTTTTAAGATTAATTTATTTTTCAGGATCAATGCATGATATCATGTTTTTAATCGTTCTATCTTATACGATATTATTTATCATTGGGACTTTAGCATTTTTAGGGCAAATTTTCAATTGATCCTTTTTAAGCTCTTTGATAAGCTTGCTTGTGTTTGAAATGAAAGTGTCGCTGTCGATAGTATTTTTATTATTCTCTAGTGAAGTGACAACAAGTATTAGATCAATGTCCTATAATATATTCAAATCTTGGAAAGCAAGGCAAGATAATGGCCCTAAATATATCGAAAAAGCTCTTTTATTCCTGTGACTATATGCAATAGCAATATTGAACATTTACTTATTGTGGAAAATGAATCAGTTGTTTCTCGAACTGTTTGAGGAAAAAACTTGAATACTTAAGGAAGGGTTTTATTTAGAACTTGCTACGACTTTTGAAATATGACTTTGTTATCCTGAGACAATTGAAGAGAGTAATTATAATAGTGTATTTGGAATTTATACTTTTATGAGGCTTGGTGCTCTGCTTATTAGTCAAAGTCCTTTTTAAATCCCTGAAAATTACTAATAGAGAAATATTTTAGTCATTATAGCTCATAAAGTAAATGATTAATTATATGCTAAGTCCTATTTTTTCCCTTTTAATTGTTTAATTACACCCAAAAAAATATATCTCACATCGTTTAGATTACTATCTCTTCGAAAAACGATAATATCAAGCAAAGTAATTTCGATTTAGTTTAGTCAACTTATCGCATTATACGAAGCAAATACTTTAGCTTCTTGCTTAAACATAAATTGCTCTTATTTTCCCAATTTTTTGGCATTAACTCAAAGTCAACTAAAAGGTTTTGAGTAATTATTTTTTCATTATTTGTCCCTTTAAAAAATCTTTTAAGTCATTTTATCATTTTATCCGCATACACAAAATGGAAAGAGCTCAACGAAAAGATAGGAAAAAATCATAATTTTCCTTTACTTGAATCCCAAATTATTTATCAAGATCCTCATAAAAGCTCAGTTGTTTTTCTTTTATCCAAGGAGCCAAAGAGCAAGTTATAATTAATTATTATCTAATAATTATATGTTTCTAAATATTCTTTAATTTTATTTTGAAATTCATCAATGCCTACATATATTTTACCTTCAATAGAAAAAGGGTCAAGTTTTGTATTTTTATTTAAGCCTTCACTAGGTATAGTTTCTTTTAATATTTCAATTACCTTTATCGCAGAATCTATCAAAGAAATATTTTGGACTATGCACTCTTTTACATTTAATCTATATAAAACAGCATAATACTGTCGACCTTCAGCTGCTTCTAATAGTTTTTCATCATATTCTGCCGTTGTAGCATATTGCTCAAGTGAATGGTTTAGTAAAGTTTTCATTCTCTGCATTACTGCCATCTCGAGATCAGGGTCACAAGGATAAAAAAAAGCTTTAGGCCTATTGCAGATAGCATTTCATAAGAGACCTCGTAAAACTCCTATAAGCTCCAAATTCAGTTTAGATTTTTTTATTTTAAAAGCCATTTGCATTTTCCCATTATAATTTTTACTCAGCTTTTCCACTTGAATTGGCTGTAAGAGCTGATTTAATGTGAATTTGACTCTTGCATAATTATATTTATTATTTTTCAAAGCAAATCCATAATTCGTAAGCAAAACTCTGTTACTCCCCCCATCCTTGATCGAACGACTCGCCATCGTTCAATCAAGGATGGGGGTTAAAAAAAAATTTTTTAGGAAAAAAAATTTTATATATAAAATAAAATAAATATATATATTTTTATTTAATTTTAAAAAAGAGGGTTAAGAGTATTTAATAATTATTTTTACAGCAAAAAATTGAATTAATTTCATAAAAATACCAATTTTTTATATTTTAATTTATTAGTTACCCCCCTTTAAACTGTATAAATTTTAATTTGTTCCTTATTAAATTAAATTTTTTTTTTTTAAAATTTTAAAGAATCTCTATTTTATTAGATTATTGAGTTTTTAAGCCTAGGTTGATGACTAAATCCCTTCGAATGGTTGATTCCAAAGCTTTCTGTCTCTCAAAGTCTCTGAAAACAACTTCATTATGTACATCTTCCCAAGCTTTTGATAACTATTATATTTTTTATATATATAAAAATTTGTATGATATGAAAATCGTTCGATCAAGGATGGGGGTTAATTTCCCCAATTTTTAGGAATTTTTACAGTCAATCGTTCGATCAAGGATGGGGGTGGGGAGTTAGAATATTTTCCATAAGAAATACAAACTTGAGAGCCTGCTTCATAAGATTCAGAACTCCCAGCAGAAATTCTAAATGAATTCCTTTCTTCATCAAATTTTTTTTTAATTTCTTTTTCTCTAGACGCAGCTTTCAGTTTCTTCATAAAAATTTTTCCATCAATTTTTTTGGCTTCTGCTTCGATTTTTTTTGAATTTTTTTCCATTGGTTCTGTCAAATGATCATATATGCCAAAATTTAATCTATGCAACTTTTGGCTAGATAAAGTCAAGCATGGAGGATCTTCAATTATAGCTTCATCCTCATCTTCGCTATCTGTATTGATTTCTTCATAATTCCTGCCTCACTCATTTTCATTTCCATACTTATAGCTTTCATAGTTAATTCCATGGTTAAATAAATCTGCAAGAGGCACTAATGATAAATTGGGCAGTCCTTTACGAAAGCTTCTTGTTTCTATAGTTTTTCAGCATTTATTGATTATTTCTTCTTCTATATACTAATTGACCAAGAATAGCCCACTAAGGAGCCATTCTTGGTCTGCCAGAAAAAATTTTGACAAAAGATCCTAATCTGCCATTACCACTGAGTCTTGGTGTTTCCAAATTTTTTGGGCAAGCCAAATGCAATAAAAAAAATTGTTCTTTTGCGATGATGCATTTGGCTTGTCAAAAACATTTGGCAACATCAAAACTCAGAGGTAATGGCAGAAAAGATCCTAATCTGCCATTACCACTGAGTTTTGGTGTTTCCAAATTTTTTTTTGACAAGCCAAATGCATCATCGCAAAAGAACAATTTTTTTTATTGCATTTGGCTTGCCCAAAAAATTTGAAACACCAAAACTCAGTGGTAATGGCAGAGATTAGGATCTTTTTGTCAAAATTTTTTCTGGCAGATCAAGAATGGCTCCATAGTGGGCTATTCTTGGTCAATTAGTATATCTTCAACTATAAAAATATGAGGGTATTCTTTTAATATGCTATTGAGCTCTTTAATAGATGCTTTTCTTTTCTTTCTTCTAAAATTAGTATCATATAATATTGAAATATCTTGAAGCTCAATTAAATCCTTTGCTCCCCAATCCTGCAAATTTTCTATGTTTCTTGGAAATGAATTGAAATAAGGAAACTGGGTTGAGCCGAGAAAAACCTGAGTGTTTTTCCATGTTTTTCATCCATCCATCAAAAATGATGAAGTTTTTTCCTAATTTTTATAAAAAAAAATAATTATAATAATGCACAGCAATTTATCCTCTAATTTTTAAGTAAAAAACTTTCGTTATTTTTTTGCAGATAAAAGGCAGTGTTAAAAAAACCCCAGGCTTTTTCCAACTCAGCCCAAGGAAACCAAAATGATCCTGGGCCTTTTGCAATCTCAAACAGTAAAAATGTTATCAGTCGATTTTCTTCATAATCTCTAGCTTTAATAGAAAAATACTCAGGGTGCGCTGAAAAAATTTCTTCCAGTTGAAGAGGTGTATGCAAATTTAAAGAAAAAATCACACTATTAGGGACTACTAAAAGACATTCTTCAGCAGAGATGGGAGATCGAGCTTGAATTCCATAATATTTATTTGAAAATTGCACAGGGTATAGCAAGTTTAGGTTAAGATAGATACCAACTTCTCTGGCTCAGTGAAAAAGCAATGCGATTTCTTCAGGCTGATCTACTTCTTTTGAATCTTCTTCCCTATGAATTTCCATATAAGAATTATTAATAGAATTTTAAATTTTTTTCAATAGATTTATTGTTAGTGAACGCTCTTAGAGTTCTCTCGTAGCTCTCTAAAATGAATTTAAGCTAATGCTCTTCAAATTCAAGCTAATGAGCAGTCTGATGTTAAAAATAATCAGGTTTATAGATATCTTTTACAAGCATCAGGTAGGATCACTCTGAACTATAGCTCAAAAACTATGTTATGCCTTATTCGGGTATACGCATCTTTATAAATTTAAAAAATTAAGAGAATTTTAGTTATCCTTAAAGTGCTTATAGAGTCAAATAACTTAAGCTTCTCTTTGATTGTTCACTGCAGGGATAAGCTGAGAAACTTCATAAAGTTTCTTTAGCTTATGATTTTCTCTTACTCCATGAGCGAAACAAAAAATTTTGTTCGCTCACGGAGTGATTATTTTTTTTTTAGAAATTAAAAAAAATTATATATAAATTTTATTGAAAAATTTTTTTAGAAATTGAAAAAAATCCTAATTCTCAAAAATTGGAAAGCAAATATTAATTTAATTTAAAATTTATGTTTTAAAAAGCAATTTATTCAAAATTAAACAGAATTAGCTAGAGATTTCATTATACTAATTATCATTTATATATCAAATTTTTTTCATAAACAATTTGTTTTAAGAGGATGGGTTTTTGGGCAAAAAATAGAGATTTTTCTAATGGTTTTGTTCGCTCACGGAGGGGTGGAGAGTTAGTATAATAGGCCAATATATGCATAAATAAGCCAGAATATAAAATAAGCCAAAGAAAGAGGTTAAGTAAATAATGTAATTTACTTGCAAATTTACAAAATCCATCGAACTTTGATCAAAAAGTGGAACTCTCGCTAATATCAAGTTTTGCAACTTTATTTGCCTACTCCAAAATCTATTAACTTCTTTCGCTATGTTTTCTGAGTTTGAATAGGCATAAAATGGTGCCTCACTTTTTAAAAGTATAGCTCCAGAATAAGTTCCAAAATCAAAAATAACATCTGGAGCATTAGGAATATGCTCAAAAAATAGCCCTTTTAATTGATTAGTAAATAACCCTCTATATTTCACGCTAGACGTGAGATGAGTTGATATACTATACCTTTTGATGGCATCAAAAATCATAAAGTTTGGGTCAGCAAAACCGTATTGAGAGCTGAGAATTTCAACTGTCGAGTAATTTTTTCCTATAGACATTTCTGACGCTCAATAGCAAATTTCGGAAATTTCACTAACTCTAAAAAAATAAGCCTCAAGTAGCTTAAATCTTTTTATTAAATTATTTTTGCATGATGGATATAGGTACATCCCTACAAGAAAGGTATGAAGGATTGAAGACAATATAAGCAATGAGCATAAAATTGTGAAATATTTAGAGAATCTTTCATTGATGGACTTTTCTTTTCCTTTATGTTTTCTTTGAATTTCTTGCTGATATGGAAAGCAATCATGAACTGCAGATAGCCTGTCCATGCAACTTTGATATAACTCAATATGCGCAGGATTTTCTTGTTTTCTTATATAATTCCATATTTCATTGTACTTTTTGTGGAAATTTATTATAAGAATCATTAATATGGCACTCAGAAAGCATATCAATACAAAATCCATTAAAATGAAGATAATTATCGCATTATCAACTTCATTTATCCTATTTAATTCACATTCAACAAGTCCTGCTAATGTAGAATTCATAATTTTATAGCTTGTCCCAAGTCCATTTTTTATTAAAAAAAATTTGTCTTCTTTATAATCATTGTTTTCTTTAAAATTTTTCATAAATGAATTTCCCTGAATATAGCTTACATGGATAATAAACTCATTCACCGTATCGTATAAAGTACGATAATCAAAATTATTGAGGCTTCACATAGGAATTATTTCGTTTTTTACAATTCTAGAGCTTGGACAATAGCTTCATTGACTGTAATCATGAGCGATAGCAGTACGCAAAGAATTTAAAATACTTATGCTTTTATTAAGAGAAAGCTCATAAAATGCCATATCAAGATCAGGATATTTGGTAGAAAGATCTATTGCTCTAGACCTGAAAGCCAGATTTGTTATTTCTTGCATAAAAACTGCAATATGCTCGACCTTTCCGAGATCGCTTGAATGATTAATTTCTGTGAGTATATATATTAAGATCCCTATATTCATTAAGATAACTCCAAAAATTGAGACTATAAGTGTCCAGTTAACTGCTTTTAAGGCAAATTGAGCGCTTTTTTTCATCTTTTTACAAGCATCTAAATATTAATTACTGGCAATGCGTGTTGACGAGTGGCTGCTTGCATTATATTAGAATTATTACGCTTTACGTCCACCACGGAGGTCAGCAAGAACCGGACCTATCACCTTCTCTTCCACCTGCCGGGCCCACAAGCCGCCGGTTCAACCTGCTTTGTATCCACCAGGGCAGGCTTGGAGGGATGTTACCGACTTCGACGACGCATGAGTGAGTTACTGGCCGTACCTTGACGTAGTCCGAAAACCCAAAAAATGGATTTTCTGGTAGGCTCTCGGCAAAAAGGAAAACAAGTAGCCCAGGACGTAACGCCTGTTTTTCACGCTAGGAAGTTGCCCGATGGGCCGTGTGGGCTTTGCTGGGCGTTCCCTTTCCAACTACCTGCCTCCTTTACCTGCGAGGTAAAATCCATCCCAGGAGATAAGCTTGGGCTAGGCTCTGAACACAACCAGAATTGCTTACCTAGCATTGCTGCTCACTTCTAGAACGGCAAAACCTTGCCGGATATAATTAAAATATGAGTCGAGGCTGCATGGCCGGAGGCCATGCCCAGACGAAAACGCCATATTTTAATTATGAGTGGCTGCTTGCAATTGTATTTGAGTTTCCCTGCTCATTTGGCTTGATTTCAAACTTTCCTAGTAATTCAGCATCTTCTTGATTATAGGCCATGTCTCCTGTACTATGCTGATATGATTCCATTCCTTTATACACGTTCAGCAGTTGATTGCCGTTTAAATTATTTTCAAAATGTTCTTGCTGCCATTCATCTTCTCCATTATCTCATTCATTAATTTCGCTCTTATTATGAATTAAAAGCAGCAAGTTTAAAGTATGTGATTTTACTATCAGTTTAATAAATACAAACAGTAGAGGTTTTCCGTTATGAGTTATTAGGACTGGAATTTGAGATTTTAGCTGAGAAAAATTAAGGTTGGGGATAAGATCGCTTATATTTTCATTCTTCACTGAGGGTTTTTCGCATTGGATATATTGTAAAAATCTGGCACTATGAGCGTAGATTTCTCCTTTGTCAGAAACTAAAACGCACTCTCTTTGTTTTAAAACTGGTCTCATTATAGCAACAAAATATATGTGGTTAATCAAAGAAACCATATGGACTTCGAGAGAGCACTCTACTAAGTACCCCTTTTCAGTTTGCAAAATTGGTGATTTTACAGGGCTGATTTCTGGATTTAAACAGTTTTTTATATATCTTATCAAGTATTTGGAATGGTTGGTAGAATAAGGCTCTGGAATGTAATTATCTAGCTTTGATCCGATAATACTATTTGCAGACTGTCCTAAAATGTTTGCTGCAATTGCATTTGCATAAACGAAAATTCCAAAAGATGATTTTTCGCCTGAAACTACCAAAAATCCGTTAGAGTCCGAAAATGATAAAGAAGTGCTTCTGTTTTCTTGCAAATCCTTTAAATAAAGACTTTCTTTTTTTAGAAGTAGTTTGTTCCCAAATTCATCTTTTTTCAGTATATCGATTTGCAAAGAACCGTAAAGTTCATGGCAAGCTGTTCTATTAGGGAACTTTTTTACAAGAGTAGAATACCCTTTATTTACCTCATCCAATGTTTCTGAAACTTGGCTGGATAATAAATTTAGCTTCTCAATTCTTGGCATTGAGGAATACACTTCCGCCCAGAAATCCAGTAACTTATAGCATAAGACTCTATCCATCGCTTTTATATGGTCTAATTCCAAAAAATAATAAATAGTGCCTATGTCTTCGTAAGCCCCTGTATTATTTTGTCCTAGATGCTTGGCGACTACTCATTCCTGATAAGAGCCTTCTACTGTAGATTTTAATAGAAAAATTTTGTGGAATTTTACTCTTGCTAGTCTTTCATTTTTGATAGAATAAAGACAGTAATTTGTTTCCCATATGCATAGAAGCTTGTTTGTTTTATGAGAGAATTTTTTTAGAGCTTTATTGAATTGTTTGGAAAGTTCTGCTAGGTGCTCTGAATCTTCTTCCATTAAAATGTCTCTATAATATTGTTCAAATTCATACTGAGTTTGCAAATTATCTTCTTGGACCCTGGAGAATCTTTTTAGCAAATAATTCATGATTATATAAGTTAATATAGGGTTAATTATCCAAAAAAATCCAATTATGAGCAAGGAATTATCAATAGCTTTTCCAAAGAGAAAAGCTAATGTCATAAAACAGATTCCTAAATTTCTGATGATAATAATTGAATTTATATATAAACTGTAATAAGGAATAAGCTTTATTGTCTTGTAAACAATGCAGATAGAATAAGCTAAAAGAATAGTTTGATGAAAATAATACGTATATTGATTAAATAGCACATAAGCAATTGATGCAATGTATGAAAAAGTGATCATATATAGATCAATAATTGAATGAGCTCTTGCTTTGATATTATCAGTTGAAAAAGTATGCCTTAACTCAGCAGAAAAAATTTCTCTTCCATATGCCAATAATGGTAATATAAATAAATTAAGCCCAGATAAAAGAACTCCAAATGAGCCAAAATTCAAGTTGCAGTTTACACATGACTCATATTCATCTACATTATTTTTATTCATAAGAGAATATTTCAAAGATAGCATAAAAATGAGGATGCATGGAATAAATCCAACAGTTGTAAGAAAATATAAAAAAATTTTGGGTATTCATATTAACTGAGACTCACAGCTTCCTCCTTTGTAGCTTCTTATAGCTAGCAATAAAATAAACATCAAGCACGAATAAATCAATACATTTAAAGCTAAAAAGCACCCAAATAGACTTTCCGACTCAGCGCAAATTTGATCAATATTTATGTATCCTATAATATTCCAATGTTTCTCCATGTAATCATGAGGATTTAAAATTGAACCTCAATTTAACCTTACTATCTGCAGGGAAAGAACTAGATTTATGCATCCTTGATACAATTTTTTGTTTAAGTTGTTTTTATGGAACTTTTTTTTTCTTGATGTATAAAGAAGAGAAAATGCGCCGAATACTGAATTCTTAGTAGTTTCAAATATGTTGGACCAATTCAAAATATGATTTTCTGATGATTCTGCTTTGAAATTCAAATTTTCTGATTGTTCTTCCATTATTTATTAGATCTTGCAACGATTATCTATATCAGATAAAAATATATATTATAAGTTCATTTTGGATCTGGAAATTCTAAAGCATTCATGGTTAGTGCTCGATACGATTGAATACAAATTACAAGCTAAACTAATGATTGAAAAAATTTATGATTGATTAAAATTAAAGTTTTTAAGCGCTTAAATTTCACTTAGACTCCAAAAAATATCAATTTTGGAATTTATCTTGATCGAGGTTTTATAAAGAGCTATCTATCAGTAATTTGCTTAAATTATTATTGGATTTTTAAACATTTTTATAGTTCAAGAAAAGTCTAATATGAAGATTTGTATAGAAATTCATGAGTTAATTCTTAAACTATCTTGGCTTTTATTATTCTTAACATTTTTTTATTCATGACTCTTTAGGAGAGCTTAACAGTTAAGAAAACAGAACTTCATTTATTATATTAAATAGTTAGCCTCCTAGGCTTTAAAATTGTGGCCTCTCTTTTAATAGTCAATGGTTAGTATCGAGAGCTTTATTGGCAGAATTGCGTTAAAGAGCTTTGCAGCTTAACTTGGTCCTCAAACCATTATTTTAAGTTCTTAAGCATTGAAAGCGTATATTCTAATTATATAAAATTTTCGTAATTTATATAGAAAGAGATTTGAAATTATTTATGCTTTAAGACTATTTAGCTAGACTGGATTTTATCTTTACTGATCAGATATGGTATAAGTTTCGAAATTTCGTAAATATTTTCTAATTTATGGTTTTCACTTATAATTACTGGCCAGCACAGAATAAAATATGCTGCTACTAAGAAAATCCCAAAGTAAAGTACGACATTAAAAATATAATTTACCTGAGAATTGACATAATCTTTAGATCCTTCATCAAATACTGGAGTTCTTGTTCTTATTAGAGTCTGTAATATTCAAGCTCGATTGATAAATTTATCTATCTGTTTAACTATATCCTTAACATTAGAATAAGCATAAAATGTAAAATCTCGCCTTAAAAGAATTGCTCCAATATAAGACCCTAAATGATAAATTATATTTGGAGCATCAGGATATTTTTCGAAGTAAAGAATTTCTAATTTTCTTGAAAATAATTCTCTATATCTCTCATTTGAGGTAATATGGACTGATGCATCATATCTATCAATAACATCAGAAAGCATATGATTTGGATCTGCAAAGCTATAGTGAGGAAAAAGAAGTTCAGAAGAAGAATCATTTTTCCCAAGTGCTAGCTCAGCTGCCCAGTAGCATGCTTCAGAAATTTCGCAAGCTCTTATATAATAAGCTTCTATAAGCTCATATCTCTTGATTAAATTATCTTTGCATAATGGATAGAAGTAATATCCAATAAGGATATCACACAGAATAGAGGTTATTATAAGTATTGAGCAAACAAGCACAAATTTAATATAGGATTTTTCATAGACTGAATGCATTTTAGAGTATTTTTTAATTTGAAATTCTTGCTGGTCAGGAATTGAGTTGTGAATTAATGAAAGTCTGTCAAAACATATTTGAAAAAGCTCAGCACGTACATTGATGGCCTTTTTTCTTATATAATTTCAAATTTGATTATTTTTTTGATGATAATTCGCTATTAAAACTAGCAAAATTGTACTTATAATGCTCAGCAGCATTATCGCTATAAAAACTAAAACCAAAATCATTTCATCATCATCTTCTACTCGTTTCTTCTCACATTCAATAAGGCCCGATAAAGATCCATTAAGAATTTTATAGCTTTCTCCTAAGCCGTTTATTATCAAAAAGAATTCATCGTCTAAATAGTATTCATTCTGCTGGAAAAGTTTAAGAAAAGATTTTCCCTAAATATAAATTACATGACTCATAAATTCACCAATCACGTCATAAAGTGTATGATAAGAGATGGGATGTAAAGAATTACGATTCCATATAGGAATTAATTCTTGCTGGACTACATCAGAACTTGAACAATAACTTCATAAATCATAGTCATCAATTATATTTTCGTGAAGAGAATCTAAAAGATTAAGACTCTCATTGAAGGCTGACTCATAAAATGTTTCATTGATATTTGGATGCTTAGTTGAAAGTTCAAGCATTCTAGAAGTATAGCCAAGAATAGTAATTTGCTGAATATAAGAAGCAAGATTTTTTACATTGGCTAGATCATTTGAAAGACTTACTTCTGTGGATATATAAAGAAAGATTCCAATATTCATAAAAATAACTATAAAAATCGACACAATTAAAATTCATTTGATGAGTTTCAATATCTTTTCTGCACTCTTTTTCATCTTTTCTTCAACACCTAAATGTCATTTACTTAAAAAATTAATAGATGAGATGCTGCTTTCAGCAGTATTTATATTCATTTTATCATCTGCCTTATTCTCAAATAACTCTGTATTGCCTAAACGAGTGTCTTCGTCACTTTCTTCATGTATTGTAAGTCTGTTTGAATTTTTTATTATTTCAAAATTATTTGGGCATTTTTCAACTAAAACCTTTTGCCAGTCATCATCCCCATTTTTTCATTCTTCAATTTCAGTCTCATCATTAACCAAAAGAAACAAATTTAGAATCGTTGAGCTCAATTTAATTTTTATTAAAACACAAAGTATAATTTGATTTTCATGAGTGAGTCGTACAGGAACATGTGATAAAAGTGACGAAAAATTGAGACTTGGAATCAGATCTTCAATGTTTTCATTATTTCCAGTTAGCTTTGTGCATTGGAGTTTCTGCAAAAATGATTCGCTGTGGGCATAAATCTGGCCATCAACAGAAAGTAATGCGCATTCTCGTTTTTTAGAGACTGGCTTCATTACAGCTATGAAGTAAATGTGTTTAATTAAGGAAACTAAGTAGACTCTAAAAAAGCATTCTACGATGTAGCCTCTTTCTGTTTGGAGAAAATGAGACATTCTTATACTTGATTGCAGATTAATGCTCTTTTTTATATAATTTTTCATAAGTCGTGCATGAGACCATGAATAAGGAGCTGGAATGTAAGTTTCAAGCTTTGAACCAACAATAGTAGAAATGGCTTGATTTAAGATTTGAGATACTGTTGAATTTGCATATACAATATCTCCAAAAGTACTTTTATCTGCAGAAACAATGAGAAAGCCATTTGAATCAGAAAATGGCATGAACTTGTTTTTGCTTTCATGATGATCTACTAAAGATAGATTGTCTTTTTTAAATGCAGATGATCTACTTTTATTTTTTCTGAGGATTTGAGTCTCCAACGAGTTATAAAGATCATGGCAGGCAGATCTATCAGGGAATGTTTTTAGAAGATTTTTATATCCTTTATTAACACTATCTAAAGTTTCATGCACATGATTTAAAAGCAAACTCAATTTGCCAATTCTTGGATTTTGAGAAATTATTTCGCTTCAAAAATCCATCATTTTATTGCACAAAATTTTATCCTTCCTCTTAATTTTGTCTAGCTCTAAAAAGTAATAAATTGTACAAATATCTTCATATATTCCAGTATTATTTTTTTCGAGTAATTTATGAATTTTCCATTCTTGATACCGTCCTTCCATTTGTGATTCTAATGAAAAACTTTTATTAAATTTTAGCCTTGCTAATCTTTCATCTCGCAGAATATACAAGCAATAATTTGTTTCCCAAATGATAAAAAGCTTATCAGCATTAAACCTTTTTGTTTTTCTACCATTGTGGAACTCGTCTAGCATTTTTTTCCTATCCACGCAAGAATCATCCATCAAGGTGTATCTATAATGCTTTTCAAACTCATATTGATTTATCAAAAAATATTTATTCTCTGTTACAGAATAAAATTTCTTTGTGGCATAACTTAAAATTATAAAGATCAATATTGGGTTAATAATCCAAAAAATTGCAATGGTTACTGAATTATTGTCAATGGCTTCACCGAATATAAAAGCTAGGCTTGTGAAAAATATTTCTGAGTTTCTGGCTATTATTGATGCATTTGAAAATAAATTGTAATAAGGAAAATGCTTTATTGTTTTATAAACAATATAGGCTGAATATGCAGTAATAATCATCTGGTGGTAATAAAATCGATATTGATTAAATAGAACGAAAATAATTGGGGAAATAAAAGAAAAAGTGATCATCTCGAGGTCTATATACGAATGTGCTCTTGAGTTTAAGCTATCTGAAGCAAAAGTATGCCTTAGTTCAGCTGAGGTAATTTCTCTGCCATATACAAGAAACGGCAATAAAAACAAATTAATAAGTGAGAAAAATACCCCAAATAATCCAAAATTCATATTGCAATTGTCGCATGACTCATACTCAGCTGTTCTCTCTTCATTAATTAAAGAATATTTCAGTACTAGCATAAACATAAGTGTGCAAGGTGCAAATCCAATAGTAGAAAAAATAGACAATATAGCTTTTGGAATAAATATTAAATGTGAATCGAAGCTTAATCCTTTATAACTTTTTATACTCAGGAATAATATAAAAATTGTCGGGATAGCTATTAAAATTCCACAGATAATAATGCATGCAAATAATAAACCTAAATCTGCGAAAATCTGATCAAAACTAGCATAGCCTAAAACTCTTCAATGCTTATCTACGCTATTTTGCGTGTCAAAGCTTATTCTTCAATTTAGCCTTATCAATTGAAGACAAATCACAGAGTTGATACAAATCTGGGATATTTTTTCATTAATTTTGTGCTCTATTGAGGTTTTCTCTTTGTAACTATAGATAATAGAGAAAGCTCCAAATAATGAATTTTGTACAGTTAATAAAAAGTCCGAACATCCGGATGTGCTCCTTTTAAAGGAATCTAGCTTAAAATTTGAACTTTCCAGAAGCTCTTCTTCCATTAATTTATTACATTAGAAGCTATTATATCCCAAGCACTTTTACTGGTAAGACTCCTTAATCTGCCTAATCAATTTAAGGAGTTGGATTTCTCACTACTGAATGAAAAGATAGCTATCCGAATTAACAAATATTTTCCCTGCATGAATTAGCCTAGGAGTTTGCCATGCAAGATCGACTGTAAATATGACTGCTAGAATATACAACAAAATACGTCCAATTCTAAAAACTAAGTTATATGATTAAAATTGTTTATTGAGCTTAATGAACTCTATTCAGATGAAAATATACAGCTAAAAAACGAAACAATACTAAATTCTTTACGGCTATTTTTCATTCAGTGATGACGTAATAAAATAATTTATTTATTGTTTAATTAGCAATAAAACATAATAAATTGAGTGACAAAAATTATTAGCTCAATTTATTCTTCTTTTTTTGGAAAAATTTATTAGATAGACAAAAAATAATAATTTTATTTAGCTTTGGCAAATTAATTCTATCTTATAGCATTATAATATTTTATAATGGCTAATTTCCGTTCTCGCTGATTAACTACAGGAATTTCAATTATTTAAAGTTATTTCATATTTCATGATGGGATTAACTAACTCCTTCTCCCATCGTGAGTTTGCAAAATATTTTGTTTATTCATAGATGGGTTTATTTGTATTATGCCTTATTTATAACTCAGCTGTTTAAAATTTAAGAAATTAGCTAGAGATTTCATTATGAAAATTTACTTATGCATTAAAAACTTTTATGCTCAGTAGCAGAGATATTTTTAATAGTTTTACTGACAGACGGCATTATGAATTTCATAAAGTTTATGCAATTTATGATTTTCTCTTATAATAATATAGCAAAAAAAACGGAAAGCGATAAAAATCTTAAAATAGTTTAGGTAAATAGCATAACCAAAATTTTTGAAGCCTTTAATAAATTATATTATTTTCTTTTATTATATGCCTATGCCTTGAACAGATATGTGTTAACTTTTAAATCAAAAATGTTGTCAGGTTTAAATAAGCTTGAGAAGTTATTTTTAAATAATTCTCTTACTTTATTCTGAAAAGGATTCTTACTTCCCTCCGTGAGCGAAAATTTTTTTTATTAAAATTTATATATAAATTTTTTTTCGAAATTTAAAAACATTCCAACTGAGAAGTAAAGAATAAATTTAATTTGTAAAATTTATGTTTTTAAAATGCGATTTGTTTCAAATTAAACAGAATTAGAGAGATTTTATTGTACTAATATCACTCATATATCAACATTTTTTGTTCGGGTGGGCTTTTGGGCAAAATATACGGATTTTTTCCAATGATTTTGTTTGCTTACGGAAGAGGGGGAAGTTAGAGAGTAAAATTTATTTAATTTGATTTGGCTTCAACATTAATTAATGCAAAATGATAAATATAGATTTTAAGGATGCTTTTAAAATTATATAATCAGTGTATATTTATAAAAGAAAGAGGCTAGTTTTAAGTTTAAATTAATTAATAAATAGAAGAATAATTAGATTTTATATGATAAAACTATAACTCAATTGTTGAATAATCCAAAAATATATCTTAATTAATAGTTTAGCTAGAAGTAAAGGTCTGTTTAGCCTATATTAGATATATCATTACATAATTATTTTTTATTATATGTAAATGGAATCATTGCATTACTTTAATTAAGTATTTAAGGTGTCTAGCGCCACATTCCTACTACAGAGACAACCAAAATAAACAACCCGAGCATTTCCGATCCAAAAAATCGGACCATCAAAAATAAACCACTTACCATCCTGACTAGCGCTTCTCACCTCGCACGATGCCATTACCTTACCTGTTTAGCTCCTTCACGTGCTCCACCTAATGCTCATCCTCCTCGGATGTGCTGAATGGCAAAATCCTGGACTTCTTGGCTGCACTGTGAAACAGTTCCTCTGGCAATCCCCAAAGTTAAAACTGTTGTTGCGCAGAAGTTCTCAAAAGAAAACAAAACCCGATAAATAGCATATCTAGGTATAAAAAATTACAGAGCTAATTTCTCTCGAACCGAATGCCGTTTTACTTATATTTGCACATGGAATCAATTGAGAAATTTCATAAAGTTTTTGCAGTTTGTGATTTTCTCTTATAATAATTGGTAAATACAATAAAAAATATGCTAATAGAGAAATAACAACAAAGCATATCATCACATAAACAATATTTTTGAATTGCGTGTTTACAAAATCTCTAGAGCCCTTATTAAAAATTGGAGTTTTACTTTTTATCATGTTTTGTAAAGTTCCCGCCTGGAACAAGAACCTGCCAATTTCTTTAGGAATATCTGAATCGTTTGAATAGGCATAGAAGGTGAACTCATTTTTCATAATCATTGATCCATAATAAGTTCCAAAATCAAAAATATGGTCAAGCGCGTCTGGAACCTCCTCAAAAAACAATTTATGCAAATTATTAGAAAATAGCTCTCTGTATTTCATATTTGAAGTAACGTGCAATGCTTGATTATATCTATCGGTGATATCAATAATCATATGGTTTGCATTAGAAAACCCATAGACACCTCCAAAAATATCTTCAGTCGTCTCATTTCTTCCAATAGATAGCTCACATACCCAGTAGCAAGCCTCTGAAATTTGGCTAACTCGAATATAGTAAGCCTCAAGCAGCTCATATCTTTTGATCAAATTGGCTTTACAAGATGAATTGTATTCCTCTCCAATTGACCATACACAAAAGCTAAAGCATACAATAATTATAGAAAGTGATCCAGCAAATCTTTTTGAAAAATTTTCACTGATTGGTTTTTCTGTGCCTTTGTTTATTTTTCTAATTTCTTGCTTATCTGAGATCCAGCAATGAACGGTTGAAAGCCTGTCAAAACAGCTATGAAATAACTCAATATATGCACCATTCGCCTGCTTTCTTATAAAGTTCCAAATCTCATTATATGCCCTATGAAATTGAATTATCAGTAAAATAATCCCAAGACTTAAAGAAACTGATAAAAATCCATCCATAAGTAGCAAAAGAAGAATTAACGCATCATCATTTTTTACCCTGTCTGTTTCGCATTTTAAGAACGCTTTAACAGAAGAACTTAGGACTTTATATGTTTGGCCTAAACCATTTCCGATTAAAAATAATTCATCATCTCTATAATCATTATTTGTCATATAAGCATCAAGAAATGATTTTCCCTGAATATGGATTACATGTTTTACAAAAAGAGACATCGTGTCATAAAGAGTGTAATATTGTAAAGGAGGAAGAGTCCTAATATTTCAAATTGGGATCATTTTATTATTTACAATTTCTGAACTGGGGCAGTAGCTTCAACTATCATAATCAGATAGAATAGTATTTTGAAGGGAATCCAATGAGTTTACACTTTTGGTAAATAATGATAAATAGAACGATGTATTAAGGTCTGAGTAATTGGTCGAAAGATCTATAGCTCGAGATAAATGAGCCATAATCGTCATTTCGTGAAGCAAACCAGCAAGATTTTCCGTGCTTTCTATATCATTTGAGTGACTGATTTCTTTCCAGATATATAATAAAACTCCGCAAGTCATTGTGATGATCATCAATATTGATGCAAGTAAGGACCATTTAATCCAACTCAAAGTAGCCTGCGCGTTTCTTTTCATTTTCTTTCCAATACCTAAATAAGGAATTACTTGAGAAGCTCATTGATGAATGGCTACTTCCTAACGTGTTTGAATTTAATCTCTCACTAATTTTATTTTCGTCTTTTATCAGCAATTCTCGGCTTTCCAGGTTGTTTTTTCCTTCATATTCATTTTCTTGAAAAGGATCGCTTCCATTAAAATAATTTATTTTTTGGAATCTTTTTATGCACCTGTCTGCTAAATCTTGTTGCCAGCCATCTTTTCCTTGACTTCACTCCTCAATTTCACCTTTATCATGGATTAAGAGCAGAAGGTTGAAAACTGTAGATTTTGTTGTAGTATTTATCAAGACAAATAAGACTGGCTTGTTGTTATAATTAAGGAGAACTGAATCGTGAGATTTAAGCATAGAAAAATTGAGGTCTGGGATAAGCTCATCAATATTTTCATTTTTTCCTGTGATTTTAGGGCATTGAATGAAGTTTAAAAATCGTTCGCTATGTGAACAAATAGTCCCATCTTTTAAAAGCAAAGCACATTCTCTTGTTTTCGAGATTGGCTGCATAATAACAACAAAATAAATTTCTTGAATTAAGGGAATTAAATGAGCCTCACATGCACATTCAACTAAGTACCCACGAGCAGTCTGAAGAAAATGTATCAAAAATAAACTCAATTCTGGATTTTTATTATTTTCAAGGCAATTTTCTAAGTGTCTATCGTGATTTTTCGCAAAAGGTTCAGGAATGTAGGCATAATATTTTGATCCAATGATAGAACTTACATCTTGATTTAATATAAGCGACACTATAGAATCTGCATAAGCAATTGTTCCAAACGAGTCCTCATTTGCAGAAATGACCAAAAATCCATTAGAATCAGAAAATGATAGTGATTTAATTTTATTCTCTTGCTGGTGGTGCACTGATAGAAGGCTTTCCTTTTTTTTTATTAAATGGCTGCCACTTTCTTCCCTTCTCAAGATATCAGTTTGCAACGAGCCATAAAGTGAATGGCAAGCGATTCTATTCGGAAATTTCTTCACAAGGTCAGAGTATCCAGCATCTAACGCATCTAAATGTTCTGATACAGCTTTTGACAACAAATTCAGCCTTTCTATTTTAGGGCTTGAAGAAATTACTTCATTCCAAAAATCTATCAATTTACTGCAAAAAATCTGGTCTTTAGTCTTGATATTTTCTAATTCTAGAGCATAGTAAATAGTGCTAATGTCTTCATAAACTCCAATATTAGTTTTTTCAAAAAAGCTTGTTATCAATCATTCTTGAAAGCAAGCTTCAACATTATTAGAGCTCAAGTTAAAAATCTTCTGGAATCTAAGCCTTGCTAATCTTTCATTTTGAATTGTGTATATGTAATAATTTGCTTCTCATATTAAAAATAATTTATCAGCTTTAAAGCATTGTGACTTGTGAGCTTGATCAAAATGTTTCATCATATCGAATGATTCAAGTGAAGAACTTGCAACTAATATATGCCTGAAATGCTGTTCAAACTCATATTGATTCAGCAGCCAATTCTCATTTTTACCAACATTATTAAATGCTTTCATAGCATAGTAAAATGTTATGAATATCAAAATCGGATTAACTAATCAAAAAAATCCAATTATAATGAGAGGGTTGTTGATTAAATCACCAAAAGCAAAGGCTAGAGTTGTAAAGATGATTCCGGATTGCCTGCAAATGATGATTGAATTTGAAAATGCATCATAATACGGAGGGTTTTTTATTGTTCTGTAAAGAATATGTAAGGAATAAAATATCAAAATTGTTTGATGGAAATAATTGCTGCTTTGATTTGTCATGACATATACAACTGCTGAAACAAACGCAAATTTAACTATTGCCAAATCTATGTCAGAATGGGCCCTTGCTTTTAGGTTAGTTGACGCAAAAGTATGTCTCAGTTCTGCAGAGCATATCTCATACCCATATGCAAACAAGAGCAGCAAAATTAAAGTAATACTTGACATAAATACGCCATATCCTCCAAGGTTTAAATTACAATTGGTGCAGGCTTTGTACTCTGCAACTTTATCTTCATTCATAGCAGAATATTTAAATCCCAAGGTACTTATGACTACTGATGGAATAAATCCGATTGTTGTGAGATAATAAAAAGCTATTTTCGGAATCAAGATTAAATAGGGATCAATATGTTTTTTTTTGTGGATTATTATAGCAAGGATGGGTATTAATATAGCAATTAAGCAGGTTATAAATCAAAGGCTGGCGCAGCAATTATATAAACCTCCGGCTTCAGCACAAATTTGAGCCATGCTAGAATAGCCTAAGCCTCTTCAATGCTTATCAATGTAACTTTCTGTACCAAAACTTACGGTTCAGTTAAATCTTACAATCTGGAGAAAAATAATAACATTCAATATAATCTGCACTATTTTTTCATTTATTGGACTTGCTGTCTGCCTCTTTTTATTTCAATCGCTAAGCAACAAAAGTGCTCCAAATATTGACTTTTTTGCGTTTTCAGTTTGTTTAGACCAGTCAATTAAGGATTTTTCATATATAGCATCCTTAAAATTCGTAAAACCGATATGCCTTTCTACCATATATAGTTATCACTCAAAAAATGCCGAAGAATTTCGAATTATAAAATAAATTTCTGACGTTTAAAGTATTGCAAAATAATAAGAAATAAATTATAAGAGCAAAGTCTAAGTAATCATAGATGATGACAAGCTTCTTATTACATTTAATAAAAAATAGTTAGGCTTTAAGGGAGATTACTGCTATATAATAAAGTTAAATTAAAAAGAAAAAGGACCTTGAAGCGAGTTGAAAAATTAAAAAATGTGATAAATGAAGCAAGCACTTTGCTTATTAATAGCTTTTACCATCATTTTAAAACTAATTCTTAAACAATCAATTAGAACGTCTTTGCAGCCTAATATGAAATTTAAGAAGCCTGATTTTTTAGTAAATTCAAGCATTTTCAAAATCAGCGTATATATTTCTAACGCCCTTAATGGAATAAACTGTAGTTTTCATTCTTAATCTGGTGCAAACGAGTATGTGGAAAATAAAGATAATACGTCATTTTCTTAAGATAAAGAATAAATCTTCTACTTTATTATTCTTATTAAATATTTTATAAATATATAAATGGGTTGAGTTAATTATTATTACTATTTGTTTTTATTTGGCCTTTATAAATTATGCTTGGGTCCACTCTTTAGGACTACTAATGTTTCTGGGACGGCTCATGCCTTAATAAATCATGCCAAAATATGGACGTATAAATGTAACTATGAGGATGAGTCAGCAATCACTATTCATTTTATCAATAATATTCGTTAAATTGATTTCAAATAAACCATAGCAATAGGAAATTAATTTTTTATTAAAGAAATTAATCCAAATTTTCAGCTTCTTGCATTCCATTTTGGTTTAGTCATTTGATTTTTATGAAGCAATCTATTAATTATATAAGTTTTATTATCTAGGAACGAGCTGGGAAATATCATAAAGTTTTTGCAATTTATGGTGCTCCCTTATAATGGCAGGTCAATACAAAAGAAAATAAGCTAGAAAATAAAGAATTGCAAAGATGATTGCCATATAAATTATGTGACTCACTTTATCATTAACATAGCTCTTTGAGTTTGAAACAAGCAATGGAGTTGCTTTCATTATCATATTTTGCAAATTTCACGCCCTTACAAAAAGTGTATTAATTTCTTCTCCTATATATTCAACTTTCGAATAAGCATAAAATATCATTTCCTGATTCATAAGAAGAGAAGCAGAGTAAATTCCCAAATCAAAATAATCGTCTGAAGTGCCAGGCAAAGACTCAAAAACTTGTTTTTTTAGCGTGTTTGAAAATAATCCTCGATACTTTTTGCTTGAGGTGACATGTAATGTATTCTGATATCTTTTGACAATATCAAAAATATTATGATTAGCATTAGGAAAATCATAAAATTTACTAAGAAGGCTATCAGATGAACTATTTTTACTAAATGACAACACAGAAATCCAATAGCAGGCTTCCGAAATTTGCCCGATACGATTGTGATAAGCCTCCAAAAGTCGGTATCTCTTTATTAAATTTTGTTTGCAGGGAGGATATAATACATATCCCACAATAAAATTCTGGAAAAATGATATAAATATTATTATCGAGCAAAGAATAGCAAATTTCTTTGAAAACTTTTCATTTATAGAGCCCTTTTGATGCTTCAATCTTTTAAGAACTTGCTGGCTATGATCGCTATCATGAATAGTTGTCAGTCTATCGAAGCAGCTTTTGATAAGATCTTTGTACGCAATAGCTGCATGCTTTCTGATAAAATTTCAAATTCGATTATAATTTTTATGCAAATTAATCATAAGGATTAAAAATATTGCACCGACGAGGCCAATTAAAGAAAATCCTATCACATATAAAATAACAATAATTTCATCGCTCTCTTTTATTCTATTTATTTCACACTCCATCAGCCCATTAAGTGAGTCATTCAAAATTTTATAACTTTGGCCTAGGCTATTAACTATTAAAAAAAATTCAACATCTTGGTAATCATAATTTTTTCCTACTGAATTTTGATAAGATCTTCCCTAAATGGATTTTACATGATCAATGAATTTAGCTATCATATCATATAAGTTGTAATAAATAGGATATGGGGTGTTTAAACTCCACATTGGAATTAACTTATGCTTCACAATGTCAGAGCTGGAGCAATAATCCCATTTTTTATAGTCTGATAATATAGGATGGTGCAAGGAGTCTAGAATATTTATACTTTCAGCCAAAGACACTTGATAAAAAGTTATATTGAGAGCAGAATATTCAGCAGCGAGGCTTAGCGCTCGAGATAAATGAGCAAGAACAGTTATGTGCCGCATTAATGATGCAAGGTGATCAATGTTTGCTAAATTAGCAGAATGGTTGACCTCTGCTCAGATGTATATCAAAATGCCAAGATTTATTGAAATTAGTACCATAATTGAGATCAATAGTGATCATTTGATTGAGTTTAGAACCATTTGAGCCTTTTTCATGATTTTTTCTCCAACGACTAAATAGGAATTACTCAAAGATATTGAAGATGATTGGCTGCTTCCATTTAGTGCCGGACTTGCAACAGTCTCAATATTATCTCGTTCAATAAATTCTTGGTAATCTAAATTTTCTTCGTTTATTTCTTCTCGGTTTATAAGCTTTTCCTTAGAAATGAAATCTTTTCATTCGAAATTGCTTGGCCAGCTTTCTTCTAATTCTTTCTGCCACTCATCCTCTCCTTTATTTCATTCATCCATCTCTTCTTTCTTATGAATTAAGAGTAGTAAATTGAAGGTTGTTGATTTTTTGGTTATTCGCTTCAAAACAAATAAAATAGATTTCTTATTCTGGTTTACCAATATTGGGTACCCTGATTTCAAAAGAGAAAAATCAAAATCAGGGATGAGATCATTCATATTTTCGCCTCTTCCTGTCGATTTTGGACATTCTATATATTGTAAAAAGTGCTCACTATGTGCATAAATCATTCCATTATCTGAAAGAACAGCGCACTCACGTTTTTTTAGCATTGGCTTCATTATAGCTACAAAGTAGATATGCTTAATCAAAGATACAAAATGTAGCTCAAAATTGGATTCCACTAAATACCCCCTTTCAGTTTGGAGAAAATGCGACATCCCAATGCTTGCTTCAGGATCTGTGCAAGTAGTTATAAAATTTTTCAAGTACTTATCATGGTGTGTCGAGTATGGGTATGGAACATAAGTGCGTAAATTTGATCCAACAATACCATTTATTGGCTGCTTTAAAATTTTTGCTGCTATACTGTTTGCATAGACAACGAGTCCAAGTGTACTCTTATCAGCAGAAATAATGAGAAACCCATTTGAATCGGAAAATGGGAGGGATTTGTGCTTAGATTCTTTCAGATTTGTAGAATAGAGGCTTCCTTTTTTTAGGAGCATGCTACTTCCACTTTCTTGCTTTCTAAGGATATTAATTTGAAGAGTCCCGTAAAGATCATGGCAAGCAGTTCTGCTAGGAAACTTTTTGGTAAGACATGAATATCCTTTATTAACAGCTTTTAAGTTTATTGATACATGATTTGCCAAGACCTCAAGTCTATCAAAGTTTGGCTTTTGAGCTACAACTTCGTTCCAAAAATCAGCTAATTTATGGCATAGAAATTTGTCCTTAGTTTTGATTTTTTCTAACTCCAAAAAATAAAATATTGTGCCTATGTCTTCATATTTTCCGATGTTATTTTTTTCGAGAAGACAAGAAATGACTCATTCTTGGTAATAGCTTTCTATTGTTGACTTACAATAGAATATTTTATGGAGTCGGATCCTGGCAAGCCTTTCATTTTTAAGTACATAAAGGCAAAAATTTGTTTGCCAAATGATAAAAAGCTTATCTCTTGTAAATCAAGGCTTTTTTAAAGCTTCTTCAAATTCTTTTAGCACTTTTTCTGGATCTTCTGTTGCTTCGTCCATTAATATGCATCTGAAATGATTTTCGAATTCATACTGATTCGATATCAAATTTATGTTTTTTTCTGAATTTTTAAATTTTTTTGCTAAATAATGTAATAATATGAGCAATACTATAGGGTTAACAAATCAAAAAAAAATAATTGGAATTAGTGAATCATCAATAGCATCGCCTATAATAAAGCCTAAAGTTGTTAGGATTATTCCTAAATTTCTGGCAATTACAACTATATTCGAAAATAAATTGTAGTAAGCTAAGTATTATAAGGCCATAAATTGAAGGGCCACTAGTCAATCTATCTGGTATTAAGTCCCTAGTTTAGATCCACATATTAGTATGCCCATTAGTCCCAATAATCTAAGACTAAATGAGATGCAAAACCTGTCTATCCTGGGGCAGGGACAGAGAAAACCCAGGGAGAAACAAAACTCTCCTCTTCAGCAGGCATCCCAAGCCAGGAGGCTTACTTTAAAAAGTGACAGAGGCACTATTTTCAGCTTCGTCAAGACGGTCCTATCTGCTCCAGAGAGATATATCTTCGAGCTCATCTTATTCCCGACGTCACAATTTTATTTCTAATTGCAGTAAGGGTTGCACTTTATTGTTTTGAAGATAATATATAATGGGTACATAATAAGAATTGCTTGATGAAAATATGCACTAAAATTGCTCAAAAACACATAGACAATTGGCAAAATAAAAGAAAAAATCACCATATCGATATCTATAATAGAATGAGCTCTTGCTTTTAAATTTTGGGGTGCAAAAGTATGCCTTAATTCAGCTTGAAAAATTTCATTTCCATATACTAAAAATAGCATCAAGAATAAGTTTGCAGCTGAGACAAAAATGCCAGATCAACCAAAATTCAAATTGCAATTGGTGCATGAGTCATATTCAAACATATCATTTTTCCTCATTACTGAATATTTGAATGTCACAGCAAGGATAAGTGTGGATGGAATAAGCCAAATTGTCGAGAGAATAGATATCAGTGCACTTGGGATAATAATAAAATGGGAATAAAATTGTTCATCTTTATAGCTTCTTATTGCTAATAATAGTAGTGAAGCTACAGTTAAAAATATTAAACAGCTATAGCCTATAAAGCACCCATCTAGAATTCCTGCTTGAGCGCAGATTTGATCCATGCTTATATAGCCAAAAGCGTTTCAATGTATTTCTGCGTAATTGTCCGATTTAAAATTTCTACCTCAGTTTAATCTTATAATCTGAAGCGAAATAATAAGGTTTGATAAAACCTGGGCTATTTTTGGGTTCAAATTGTGGAAAGATGAGTTTTTTTTCTTTGCCCTATAAAGCTTCAAAAATGACCCAAAGATCGCATTTTTCGTTATTTCCAGCATTTTTGATCAGTTAGCCCAAACAACTTCATGAGTTAAGATCTCGAAATTTGAAGCTTCTATAAGTTCTTCTTCCATAATTTTATTCCCAGCCATGGCCTCTCATAATTTTTGTGAAGTTTAAGTGAAATATGCAAAATTTAACATTAAATTTTAAATGGATATTATAAGCTACATTGTAAAGGCAAGCCTTTGAAAAGCCTTTCTTTTTATTTCTAATAAATATGCGAAGCGCTTATCTTCCTCAAGCAGCTGAATTAAGCTCTAGATTTTTGAAAAAGCAAGAAAATAGGGAGCAGGTTAGTCAATTTCATGCCTTATCAAAAAGCTGTCTTGCAAAGTAACCCAAAAGCTTATATAGAATTATCCCCTCCGTGAGTGAGTAAATTTTTGACATAATGCTGAAATTTGCAATTTTGTAAAGGTTTGGTTAATCTTAGCCTAATTGGAATACTAGCATGCTAAACAATTTAAGAAATGCAATGAGATGAAGCAAAATATGATCATAAGATAAATTCACTATACCAACTTTTATAAAATTATAATGAACTCATACAAACATTCTAGATTTCTATTAGATCACCATTTTTTCAATTTTTACAAACAAATTGCATAGATTAATTATCTAAAACTATTATCCACTTTCAAAATTAATCATAAAGCTCAAGTACATAAATTTTGAATTGTCCCCAAGAATATCACTCTCTCCAACTATTAAAAGTAAAATAATAAAGCAGCTCACTGCTTAAAATATTAAGTTTCAATCTTTCTTAAATTAAGTCATATCGTCTGCTAATATATAATATCAAAATATTGTGTTATATGACCATTCTTAATTAATTTGGTTTAAACTAATAAAGCTAAACAAAATAATGTAACCTTTATATATTGACCTTCAATAATTGCATGGAAACAATATTCGCTTTTGTAAATAATTTTCAGTATTTGCTTGAAATGAACTCTTGGATGAGCAATATAGCTTCAACATCTGAAAAATTCACTAAATATAATCTCATTAGACCAATGATTGAACCTCTTCCACTTAATTATCCCAAAGTATAAAAAATTTTCACATTTTGATATTTTAGAGACTAAAAGTATATAGAGCTCAATTGTATCGTAAAGAGAAACAATTAGCGATTTTAATGAATGCATTAATTTTCATTATTTGTGACTCCTGCAATTTTAATTATAAAATTCAAAAGAAATGACAAATATTGAAAATCTTCATCAGCTAATTACTTTGATTTTTATTAAATTCCCAAGAATTTTGAATGATTTTAAAATAAGAAATCCGGGTTTTTATTTTAATTTATTATCTAATTGATAGCTATTGCTTGCTTGCTTCTGAAAAAACCTCTAATAGGCAATGCTTATCTGATAGATTATTTGAGATGATTTCATACGAATACTGAAATTTACTGGCATGCAAAAATTTCACCCTTTAGTTTTGCAGCATACTGCAAAACACTTTGCGTTTCCTTATAAAACATGGATTTTATAAACTGCATTCTAAATATATCCTGAGCAAAAACGAGGTTCAAGCTATAAGACAATTGTGCAATTTATACAACAAAAGAGTAATTTTATGAATTATTTGGAATTAAAAGAACATAATAAATAATACAAATTTTTAAGCTGATAGCCTATGATGATAAAAATCTTTAAGACTTTTAGTATATTATTTAAACATAATTTTTTGATAAGTAATTTCTATAATTGACGAAAATAATTAACTAAAATTTCTATTACTATTTTGCCCCCATTTTTAAATTAAATAATAAATAAATGGAAGAAGCGCGGATTCAATTCACCAACTCAACTCGCAGCATTTCTACCTCGAAAGACAAGATCTTTGAAATATCTGATATTATGCTCGCTCACCAGGAGTCTTCAGCAAATTTCCTCACTTCTTTATGGTTCCAAGAGTTTATTCAGCAAAAAGATGACAAAAAGAAACTAGCTTATCTATTTGTAATGAATGACATTCTCATTAAAAGCTCAAAAGATGATAGAGGAAACCAATATTTGCTAGAGTTTTCATCAATTTTAGAAGATGCCATAAGACATCTTGTTGATACAGAAAGTGAAAATTTATTGGAAGAACTCAGAAAAATTGTTCTGCTTTGGGAAAGACCTGGAACTTGCATTTTTGTGCCGGAATTTATTTCGCAGATAAAGGAAAGCATTCAAGCTGGCATTTTTACTGTGCAAGATAAGAAGACAGGAGTAGAACTGATTCAGCTGTTTGAAGTCACAAAAAAATTAGCTGCAGTCGAGTGCCTTTCTGAAGCAAATTTAAAAGAAGCAGACAAAATTGACTCTATTGTTGGTCACCATCATCATAAAAAGAATTCAAAATGGAGCAAAGATGAAATAAGACACTTATTGATGGGGTTTCAAGAAAAATGCGAAAATGAATTGATAGATAGATCAAACTTGCTTATGGAATTATCTCAGCTGCTGGAGGAACAATACAAGATTTATAACACTACAAGATTTTAGATTAATATATAAAATATGGTTGCTTTTTTCAATAAAAAATTATAGTTTTATTATTTATGCAAAATTTGGTTTTTTGCACTTCAAAACCACTTATGCAATTATTTATTTAGATTAAACCATTAGGGCTTAGCTTATATCTTCAGATAAAGTTTTTTCTATAACTTCTCTTTTTTCTTGGGCCAGCTCCATAATTTCTCTAATTCTTGTTCTGTTTCTTTCATGTTTCTCGTACTTGAACTCTTCAATGAACTTCTCCATTTCACCGTCATAAGCTTTAGTGATCTCATCCTCTACAGTTCCAATCTGTTCCTTATAATCATCCTGCAAATTAGTTAGAGCACTCAACAGCCCTTCTCTATCTTGGTAAACTTCTTTTTGTTCTGGCGTGAAGTTGTCCATATTCACATTTTCTGCATAAAACAGCTTGATCTGCTCGTCTTTGATTTTCTGGAGTTCTCCGAAATATAAATCCATTAATCCAATAATTGCCTCAGAGAAATTTTTGGTATCTTCTTTGATTTCAGAGACTATATCTTTCATTTTCTTATCAAACCTCTCTATTGCTTCATTCAGCCTCTCTACGAGACTCAATTCTTTTTCTATCAGTACGTCTTCTAAGTCATCAATTTTCGGTATTAAATCTCTCAGCAAGTCTTCATCAGTCTCCACATCTTGTTCAAAAATTCTCATAGATTGCTTTTCTTCTTTTTCATAGTTCCCGATCAGTTTGATTGCTTCATTTTCTACTTCATCTTCTGCCTTCTGTACTGACCTCTTGAATTTATCAATAATTTGCAGCCTGGTCTCATTTTTTTCAATAATTGTTTTTTGGAAATCCTGAATTCTTGCATTGACTTTTTCAGCAAACTCTGCATATTGGTTGTCTTGCTCAGGCAGCACGCAGATTTTTTTCTCTTCGTCTTCGAATTCTTCTTTTAAGTGCTCCAAAAACTTGTGAGTCCCACCAATAAATGCGTCATCAAGCTCCTTTTTGGCTTTTTCAATTAGCTCGCGCTCCAACTCTTCTTGTTGAGCTTGTGCATCTTTTACTCCTAAGTCCTCACCTCTGTGATCTTCTTTGGCTCTCTGTATTTCTTGGGGTTCCAATAAGACATAATCTAAATATTTTAGCTGAGAGATAAATGCAATTACGTAGCTTTTGTAGCCAGAATCCTCGCAGATTTTATTTCCTTCTAGCTTTAGCACTTGCAAATTAGGAAAAGTGCGCAGGTAAGGGATCACTGCTTCATAGCTGGTGATCATATTATCTCCTAATTCCCTCTCCGTTCCATGAGTGAATTGATTTATATAAATTTTTATGGCTTTTTTTTCGAAATTTAAAAAAATTCCACTTCGCAAAGATTAGAGAGCAAACATTAATTTAATTGTTAAATTTTTTTTAAATGCAAGTTTGTTTAAAATCAAAAGTGTTAGCCAGAGATTTCATTATACTAATTATCCCTAATATATCAAAATCTTTTCTCAAAAAATGTATTGTTCGTTCACAAGAGTTTTTTTTTGACAAAAAATAGGGATTTTTCCAATGGTTTTGCTTGCTCACGGTGGGGAGGAAAGAAATTACATTCAGTTTTTTGCATGAATCAAGCGAAGGCGCTCTGACTTCTGAAATTTGGTTGTGAAAGAGGCTTAAATCTGTCAGATTCACGAGCTCCTCTAAGCCTTCTACTACCTTTATGTTGTTAAATGAGAGATCGAGCCATTCAAGATTGACTAAGTCTTCAGTTAGTCCTTCAATTTTGGTGATTATGTTATTGTCAAGGCACAGCTTTTTAAGACTGGCAAGTCCGCGAAGGTTTTGGATCTTTAAAATGTTTTGGAAGCTTAAGCGTAGCTCAAGGAGGTCAGAGAATGGCATATCATCCATCCCGTAAATTTTTCTCTCTGCATTCCATTCTTTGATATATTTTCTGATGAGATCATCATCTATTACATTGGGGTCAACAGTGTCTGCTTTCCGCTTAATTATGGACTGGAAAAATATGACTTCTTCGCTGATCTCTTTGTCGTCGTTTTTCATAATTATAAGTAACTCCCAAAATTAGAATCAAAAGCTGAAGCAGAATTGTCTTAGTGAGAATACTAGTTAAATTCATTTAAATTTCTTCAATATTGCTAATAGAAATTAAGTAATACCGCTTGAATTAAAGCTAAAAAATCAAAATGAATTAAATTATTTCATGCCGGTCATCCAGAGAATCAAGATGCTCTTCTATAACAGCAGTAAGGTGCTGCCTCTGGCCTCCAACCTCCGCTCCAAAAATCATATCCAGCTCTCTGAGAGTTTCAGTGATGTCTTGCTCTACCGTCTTCTCGAACAAATTGACAGTTGTGTCTGAGCTCAAAAGATCCATGACACTTTGGTGCTTTTCCTTTCTCTCCTTTATATTTTCAGATATGAGTCTTATTTGTTCAATTTCATATGTAAAAGCTGAGTCACCCTATTTTAACCTTACATTGAGTGTTCATTGGCCTTCTTGATTTTTTGAAAATGCTTTCTTTTTGGACAGAGCAGTCTGCATCAGCGTTGCTACGTCTTTTTTATATTTCCCGCCTTTTGGGTTTCGGAGAGAATCTAGTTTTTCTGTTGTATATCGGGTTAGCTCATCAAGCGTCTTTGGGCCTTCTTCTTTGATGTAGTTGATAAGAAATCCTTCTATCGAGCTGCGGAATTTTTCTTCTGCTGTTCGATGCACATCATCGCTGCAATCTTTGCTTTCTATAACTGAGCTCATTCCAATTTAACACAAATTTATTTATCACAAGGTTTTCATTTATAAAAGAAGGAACTGATTTAAGTGAATTAAAAGAAAACTGGATGAATTTTTAGTAATTTTCCAACTAATGTAGCCTCATTATAAAACTCCTGTTCAAAAGTTATACATTTCTATACACATGGGAAACATTTTACTGGCTAGTCTGTCATATTTTTTCTTTCATTTTAAATAAAATGGAATTCCGGTTGGATCGACCAATAAGAATGCTTCGCGTGTGTGCAATTTTGCATAATAATTTTTTACAAAATATTCCACTCCAAAAATTTTATTTTGTTTCTTTGATCATAAAAATTTTGGCTGATATGCAGAACTTAGTTTATATCTTTAAAATTAAAAGGCTTATTGGATAAATCTCCTATCATATATAGTAATTGCCCTAGGATGGCGCTATCTTGCGCCATCCTCTCGGCAATTTCAATACATTATATTGGCCTGATGAAACAATGCACCCTCTTAAATCCTTTAGTAGAATCTTGCAGGGTGTGCGGTGATCTTGAAGTGAGGATGACGCTCGAGAATATGTATCGGCAAGATTTTCCTAAAATCAAGTAGAATAGTAACGCTGAGCTGATTGGCCCAAGCTCTTCTGATGACAGGTTTTTACTCATGGGGCATGAAGCCGAGAGTTGGAAAAGGGTCTCCAGCCTCTCCAGAAGTTAGTATCTCAGCAATAGGGAATGCTCCATGACAACGGACGGAAAGGTGATACAATTCTTCAGCTTACAGGTAGTGAGTGTCCGCAAGGAGTTGCCTTCTCGATGTCATGAAACACAAACTGATCAGTAAGTGAAGAAGCGTTAGAAAGGAGATAGTCCTTCAGAAATAGGTTGACTTTTTAATAAGTCTAATTAAGAATATATACCTCCTATCAATTCTATGCACTTAGATAATCCTCCAATCATAATGAATTTATTCGCCATTGCGAAAATTAATTCCATTAATAGCAGGACTGCATTCAGTTCACTTCGGGTCGCATCATGGATACTAGTGAAATTTACTATAGCAATATCCGTTCCAAGTCTATTCAACAACTTGACAATTGAAATATAAATATCAAGAACTTTTATCAGTGCATATGTTGGCTTTGGCAACTTTAGCGCCCAAGTCATTTTCACTAGTTGGAAGGTCATGCTATAAACTGAGATGAACTAATTCGGTACTTGGTTATAATGAGGTGACAAAACTTTAGATATTTATCATATGAAATTTATTTTACTTTTAATTTTTAGCACAAGAAATCTCGCTTTTCCACCTAATGATTATTATTATCTATAAAATGCCTAAAATAATAGAACAATACAAATGAGCCTGTTTATTCAAATTAACTGTTCCCCAAAAATAAATTGTCCAGCCCGATCGATCTAAGCATAAAAATTAATTTTTTTACTGTGCTTAAAGTAATAAATTATTTATCCTCCATTTTAAATTCAGTGTATAAATCTAATATAGCGCCTTCACCACTATTGTTTGCCTTGATGCAGGCTCTTCGCGAGAACTTGGAGCTCTGACGGGCCACCTAATCTTGACAAGTTAACTCCAAATTGTTAAAAGCGCATCCTTTTTGTAGGATTTAGCAACTTGGAATTGGCTTATTGCCATTAGGTGACCCGTCAGAGCTCCAAGTTCCCACGAAGAAGATTGCTTCAAGCAAGCAATAGTGTTGAAGGCGCTTTATCTTTTCATTCAGCTCTTGGGACAAATCAGAATGTTCTGAAGATATTACGGAAAACGCTTGAGTAATATATGATGGATTCTGAGTCCCACTTTTCAATTCATCGTTGATTTGACGTTTGACTTTGCTTATCACCACTTTTTTATGCCATCTCTTTAATGCTTTATTTTTGCTCCTCAACTCAGCTCTTAGTCTTTCGACTGGATTAGTAGGCTGATTGCTCCTCATGTTTTGTTCACATTCCTAAGTTTATTGTACATTTACTTGGGCTCCTGCAAATGAGGATAGTGCATCTTGATTTGGAGTTCTTTCCATTTATATTTATAACAGGGATTATATAATTAAAAGAAAAAGGTTTTAATTTATAAAGCTAATATCATTTAAAATTTATTAATTTTTATAAGTATACAAGTTAGTCTTTGATCCAATATTTGCCGTTAAATTTAATTAGCTCTTAAACCATTTTAATTCAGCATTAGAGAAGCTAGATAGTTAGATTATTATTGCATACATAATTAAAACGGAAGCTCTTGACTAAGAATAGTTTTGTATAGCTAAGTTGTTTCAGAATCAACCACAAATGCATAAGCATCTTTCAAATGTCTTAGAATAAAGTTTTTATATGAAGAAAGCCAACTAGAAAGCTCTACTAGCTTTAGATATTTACTATCCAATACAATTATAATATGATGCTAAAAAGTCTCCAATTTTTACTTGCAATTTACAATAAGGAAGGAAAACACGTATGGAAGTTTTTCAATCAATTTCTCTACATTTAGAATATGCAATATATTCATCATTAAGTCACTATAAAATATTGCTAAGTTTATATAAATGCAATAGCGTAATTAACTCAAAAATGCAACAGAGGCAAATATTATAAAACTAAAACCAGATGATTTATCTAAAATTTCAAAACTATGGGTGTTGATTAAATCAAAATTTTCGATCTCTACGACATTTATCCTATTTCAATTGCTGAGAAATTGATTGAATAAATGGAGTGAGCCGTAGAATTGTTTTATTTTAAATACAGTAAAAAGAATTATATAAAATTAAAAAATAGTTATGATTTAAGTTGAGATTTTTGAGCCATGAAAAACTCTAAACAATTTTATTGAGATCTCAGAATAAAGAATTCATAGTAAAATTTTAATTTCTCCTCAAGAAAAATCAAAACCTGAACGAATCTGTAAATAAGCAAATAAATACATAAATATTTGAATTGTAGAAAGCTAGTAACTACTATTTATATATATATAATATACTTGTAATCTCCTCGATAAATAAGAAGATCACACACAGCGTGTAAAATATTATCTTCCCCCTTTAGTTTGGAACAAAAAAATATAAAATTTCGATTTTTGGGTTGCTTCAAACTCTCTTTAATTGGAACAAAATGTTTTCTATAGGATTTTATGGGTAAAAATACAATTTTTTTTCTATAAATTATTTGATCTAATTAATTAAAACGTCCAAGCAGAATATTATTAGACATTCTTACGCTGAGCAGATTAATTTTTGAAATAATGCTTCATAGAATAAATTCAAAAACTTGAGTTGTTAAAAAAATTTTATTATAATATTTTTAAAAAGAAATAACCATCCTTCAAATTGGAACAGAATTTTTTTTCTCAATTAAAGGGGGGGATGAAATATCAAAATTATCTTTGAACAAAATAACATTGAATTTTTATTATTAATCTTATGCTAATATTTAATCTAAGTTATCTTAATATAGATATCTGTGAATAGCGATTGACTCACATAGAAACCATTTTGACGTTAGACATAAGATAGCATGCAAAAAGTACACCAATAGGTGATGATTTAAACCAACTCATTTTTGGCAAGTTTGCCAATCCCCAGTTGCCTCTTGCAATTTTGATGAAAATTCAAATACTCCAAAATAACTATAAGGCTGATCTACTGAGTGCTCTAGATATTTAATCATACAATAATTCTTCTGCAAGGATCAATTTACAGTAAAATTTATAAAAAAAAAACTCTTCTTACTTACCATGATTTTAATCTTTTTAATCTTCATTAGCAACTAAAATCTAAATTCCAATTTATCTTAGCTATGATCAAAGATAGGGTTTAATCTAATTTGAAGAATTGAATACGATTTATGGCCTATTTTGAAGCTGTATTATTTTCTCATTTTTAGGAATCTACAAAAATGGAAATCTTAGTCGCTTTGGAGAGACTTTTATCTGAATTTTTGTCTCTAAAGAACTCAGATGCTGATAATCATGTCATTGTGCATATGCTTAACAATGATGTTTTCCACTGATATGGCGCTATATTAGGTCCAGAATCTACCCCATATGAAGGTGGATATTTCTTGTATCACATTGAGTTTCCCCAAGATTATCCTTCATCTCCTCCTGACTTTTACTTTATTACCCCAATGTTCCATCCAAACATAAGAAGTGACGGACGAGTATGTTGCGAAGTCTTTACAACCGAGCGCTGGCAATCAACTATTTCTGTCAGGGCAATTTTTTCTTATATTATAGGTCTATTAAATGAGCCAAGACCTCAAGCAGGATATATCGGAGAAGCTACAGAACTTTGTGAAACGAATAAAGCTGCATATAATCAAAAGGTGAGAGAATATACTGATAATTATGGAAATTTGAAATGGATTAAGAGCTTAAATAGCGAAGATAAAGAGATTGCTGATACTATTGAAACTTAAATTAAGTTCTTCGTGTTATTTTAGTTCATAAAATATATAGAGTAAGCAAAGATTATATGTTAAAATTATCTATTAATCTATAATCATGAAAATATGTTTCCATCAAATCTTCCTAATCCCGATTTTCCAATGCTTTTGTTTGGGGAGGGAAGTAGAATAATTACCTAAACCCTAAGCATCATAAATATAAATACGTGGCTCTTGTCAAAAATAAGAAAAATTTCCATTTTCCGCATTACCTGCTATAGCGCTTTCCCGAGGATGGCGCCATTCCGCGCCATCCTCGGGAAAGCGCTATATGAATACTTTAATATCTTTTCACTTAATTGATCATTGACTGCATATATCTTATAAGCCAATACGGATGAGATTTAACATTTAATGTTCTTATAACAACGAATATATTAAACACAACAATTAAATTTTCATTGTAAAATTAATATATTAAATTAATAATATTAATAGCTCGATTTTGTTTGTTTTTTCTTATTTTCTAATAACTCTAAAATCCATAAATGCCATCTTCAATTCTTTATGTATTTATATCCAGCCTTGCTAGCTCATCTCCTATCTTAGAAATCAATCCGCTGCTTCGTAATTTTCAGCCAATAATACAGCCTATCCTAAAGCAACTGAATCCAAATTCTTCAATCTCTTATCTCTATGAAGATTCTTACATTTTTCACTTCCATAACGATGCAAATTATACATTTCTCTGCATTACTGATTCCTTATTCTCAAAAGGGGCAGCACTCGGATTTCTATATGATTTGGAAGAGAGGTTTTTTAAGTGAATAAATGACAAAGAGTTTGAATCAAGAAAGAGCCATTTTGAAGAAATAATCAGAGCTCAGATGGAATATTTTAGCATCACCCCAGATAAAATAAGTGTTCTGAAAGATAAAATTGAGAAAGCTAAAGAAATTATGTCTGATAATATTGAGAAGGTGATTGAAAAAGGAGAAAAAATAGAAATTCTTGTTAAAAAGACTGAAAACATTTGCACTGATGCAGTCAGTTTGAGCAATAAAACTATAAAAATGAGAAGAGCTCTCTATTGGCAAAATTTCAAAATTATTATACAAATCATCATTTGTGTTATCCTATTCATGGGATTTCCTGTTTTATTGGCCTCAAGAGGACTATCTTTTTCGATTTTTAATTAATTACTAAGATGGAATAAAGAAGCAGATTGTTGCTAATCAAAACAGTTTATTTTAATTCATGAGAGTTAGAAATAATATTTAGCCTATATCTTCTTATATGCTAAACTATAATTAAATAAAGATGTTGGGAATGCTTATAGAAAAAAGTGGACAAGAACTTAACGGGATATCAGCAATTTTTCCATTCATGATTCTTGGAAGAGTTTTATTATGTGTAAATCAAGTTTCGGCAAGCAGTAGAATGATGACAGAAAATCTTTGTATTTTCTATTCATTTATATTTTACTTCGAATGTGCTAATATTATTTGAATATATCATCTCTTTTTAGAGAATAAGTCAAAGTGATTTTTGTCTTTTGTATGCATACCAATTTTTTGTGAACTCCAAATTTATTTATTCATATTTCTTTCTCAAAAAGATCAGATCAGCCCAGTCACATTTATTTCTATTATAGCATTATCATGGATTTCCTATTGAATCGTGGCATTATTTATGTTTGTTACTTCAAAACTCGTTGACGATAAAAGTATTCAATTTTTGACTTACTTAGTATTGATAATTATCCAATCTCTTTATAATAATTACACAGCCTGATATTTTGAATGATTCATTATGCGTTGTGTGTTTTGGATATATGAAGCAATATGTCTATCAAGCTTTATTTATTTTTCAAGCTACTTAATAATAAAATATTTATCAAAATTCACTACTTCCAACAAAAATTTGAAATACTTTGATTCTCTAATTTCAAAATTTTTAGAAGAAGAAGAAATGGGATATATTAAATTGGCCTGCTGATCATTGTTTTTTTGTGTAGAGTATAATGTTATTTATCGGATTATAGCTAATTGGCCATCATGAATGACAACTGAACTTATACTTTTTTCAACTTCAGTTAGCTTTGGATGGCTTTTATTCCTTACTCCTCCTTTAAATGATAATGCAGCAAAATGAGCAAATTTAACAATTTTATAAAATCAAAATTGTATATATTTGAAAGGGAAACCCAATTTAATTATTCAATTTATGTTTTAGTTTGCAAGTTGTCTAAATCAATATAACTATCTCAAGGTCTCATTATTATGATCGTTAATTATGTATCAAAATGCTATATATTAAAAATGTTTCCCTTTAGCAATAGGATTAATATATACAATGGCTTGGCTAGCTATCCAAAGATTGAGGGAGTTAGAGAAACATTTGACTTAAAAAACTATGAAACTCATTATGTTTTAAATATTTTTGCTTGCTACACTCAAATTCAAATGATTTATAATTTTTTTTGAATTTTTAGGATGTTTTTAAACGAATAAAGCATCTTACTTCTACCCCTATCTCTGTGAACAAATTATTTGGGAATTCTTTGGAAAATATATAACTTATAATAAATTATAAAGCGACCTCTAGCTAATTCTGTTGAGTTTTAAACAATTTGCATTCTAAAACATAAATTTTACAATTGAACATTCAGATTTTTGTGAATTGAGAACTTTTTAAATTTCGAACAAAAATTACTAAAAATTTAATATAAACTTTCTAAAAAAACAAATCTTTATTTTAGTTTACTCATGGAGGGAGGGGGAAAGTTAAAATGCTTTTTAATTATAATAAATTTTAATATTGCTAAACGGCATCAGAGCATGAAGCCCTTTTTACAAAAATTTTATAATAAACTAAATTATATGCATATTTTGATGAGGTAGCTTAAGATTCAAAGCACTCATAATAAAGAGTTTTACTTAATTCGTTATTATGAAGGGCCAACTTGGTGCTTAGAAAAATAGTTACTGAACTTTATTTAATGGGTAAAAAATATAGAAGGAGCTGAAGAAAAATTATAAACCCCCCCCCCCCCCCCTCCGTGAGCGAACAAAAAAAATTTTGTTCGCTCACGGAGGGGGGTTAATTTTTTTTTTTTAAAAAAAATTTATATATAAATTTTATAAAAAATATATTTTTTTCGAAATTTAAAAAAATCCTAATTTGCAAAAATTGGGAAGCAAATATTAATTTAATTTTGCAAATTTATGTTTTAAAACGCAATTTGTTTAAATTAAACAGAATTAGCTCTAGATTTCATTATACTAATTATCACTTATATATCAAAATTTTTTTCCATTAAAATTTTTTTCTATTAAAAAAATTTTTGTTCACTCACGGAGGGGTGGGTTTTTGGTCAAAAAATGGCGATTTTTCTAATGGTTTTGTTCGCTCACGGGGGGGGGGGGGGGGAGTAAGCAAAAAAACATAGCTAATTAAAATCCAGCTTAACTAGCCGGCAGAAATGAGGTCTTTCTGCTCAACAAGGCATAAAAATAACGGATCACTGAATCCCTTATTAGCATTGGGATTTGTTAATCCAAAAATAAAGTTGCTTGTCATAATTTTCCCCCTTTGCTTAGCTGCTTGCAAGCTATTTGCTGGAGGATTATTGGCATTAAACTCAAGATCAACAGTTTCCTTGCATTTCTTAATAAATTGGCTATTAGTTCCATTTCCTTGAGGAGGAATTTCATATCCTTCAATTCATGGAATATTATAATTTATTTGCTTTCGAAACACAGGAATCCATAACTCAGTGGGAGCTTCTACTTTTTCACCAAAGTTGGCAAAAATATCTTCGAAAAAGCTGTAAATATCCGTTCTGTTTCTTTTAGTCCATACTTTCAGCTCACCCTTTAAATCCTCTGATTGGATAAAAACTGCTGCCAAAGAGGGTTGGCTTGTAGGAATTTTATAAATTTCCAGATTAAACAATTTGAAAGCTTCAATCTCATTTGAATTAAAGCACAGAAACCTATATGGCCTGCCTGAAATTGATTGAATTGAATCACTGCATGACTTCCATTTGAACGATAAATCCAAAACCGAAATTGAGGATTTTCCAACTGGAGCTAAGTCCACTGAGAGCTTATTACTGTGAAGAAATTTTTCACATTCTTCATGCTTGGATAGCACCTTGCCCTTTATACTTGTAAAATTATAAGAATCAGCGGAGTTTATAATTTCCAACATATTAGTTATATCCTCTTGCAAGCGAGCTCCGTCACTTTGGGGCACAGAAATTGAATTTTTAGGAATGTTTCCAAATATATTTAATATTCCGTTCAATAAACACTGCCTATTCCCAATTTCTAGCATTTGCTCACAAACAATGTCTCGAAATTCGACTCTTTCATTGCTTAGCTCGATGATGGTGCTTGCTCTTAAGTTAAACTGGTGAGGAACTTCTGTATTTTTTCCTTTTTCATATTTTGGTTTTGCAAGATTGTTAATTTTTTCATTGAACATATTAGGGCCTTTTCCGTTAACCTTTGCTTCTTCTCAGCCATAATTTAATGAATATTCATTTGGGCTGTGCTCTCCAGGAGTAAACATTTCATTGATATAATCTTCAGCCATGTCGACGCTTTCGATCCTCACCAATGAAGATTTTGAAATTAAACTTGATTTTTTCTTCTCATATTGGCAAGCGCTTATTAGATTTTCTGCTACTTTATTGAGATTGCAACCATTAGTAAAATCTGTTAATAATTCTTCATAGATTAACTTTGAAAGTCTTTCTTCGTAGACTGATTTTCTTTGAGATTGAAGTTTTTTAGTCCTATCTAAACTTTTTGAAATTTGGAGTTTAGTTTCTATTTCTTCAATAAGTAAAGACTCCACCATAAAATCGAGCTTACTTTCATTTATTATGTGCTCAACAATACCTCTTAAAATTGCTTCATACATGCTAGCTTCTAAGAGTTCAAATGATTTTAAGCTCAAGCATCTAAATGAGTCTCTGAACAACTTTTGCTCTCTCAATTCCATTTCTTTATTGATCCACTGAGTGAGCTCAGACTGCATGCCATTCAAAAAATGATTTAAAAGCTCTTCATATAATATTTGGCTTACTCCATTTTCAATGGTATGGAGTTTTCTTAAGGTATATTTATTTTCATAAGGATCTTTAAATTCTTTATTTAACAATGAATTTGGCATAGCAATTGCTTTATTTTGAGGCGTTCTGCCCAGAGTATTTTCTGCAGCCGATTCAACATCTAAGTTTTTATCAAGAGATGTTGAAACTTTTATTTTTTTCCTGTTTGGGCTAATTGCATTTATGGCTGATCTTGAACTTGAATTGACGCATCCTCCCCCTTTTATAGCTAAATTAAGTGAAACTGTTTTTCCATGGCTTAATTTATAGAAATGAAATGAGTGTTTATCTTCTAGGATCTTGGCTTGAGAAACCAAATAAAATTCTTTAATAGGAATATTGGTAAGTCTAGAAACCTTCGTTTTAAAGCTTAAAACAGTTTCTTGAGATGATATATCAATGGCCACATGCTTTCCGTTAATTTCTTTTAAGTATATTTGCATTTTATTGAAAACTGATGAAAGCTCTTCCTTTTTTTATTTAAATGGAATTTCTTATGCTTAAGAATACCAAATGCAATTTTTTACAATTTATTAAACATCTTACTGGAAATAAGTAAACCATAATAATATGAGACCAGCGAATAAACTGATTAATAAAAATTATAGCAGATGAGCTAACTAATTATCTATAGACTGTTAATTAATTTAAGCTTAATTGATAAAAATTGATGGCAAGGAGAATTAGGAAATAATTGAATTGAATTATATAAATAGTGTTACTCTTTTATTATCTAATTATGATTGCTATTGAGGGTTATGCAATGCGTTTAAATTAATAGGATTTGTTTTTGCTTAATATGACATATCAACACATAATTTTCAAGGAAGCCAAAGAAAACCTATAAGAGAGTAATAAATTTCTCGCTAGTAAAGAAATAGCCTATTTACCTACTTATTCTAGGCAATAAACATGAAACCAAAAATTAAATCATTTTTAATTAGTGCATAATTTGCATCTTATTTTCCATATATTAAGTTGATAATAGTATTATCTTTGATCTTTTATAATCACGTGTGAATACTGCTAAACGCTGAAGGGTCTAGGTCATTTTCTAGAACCGAATTTTCTCTAGAATAAACCGTACTAATTGCCAATTTACCAAAAGATTCTGTACTTGTGCCAACTATTTTTTGATTTAGCACTAGTGCATAGATTTGGTCTTGGGTTTTTGAGTTATCCAAATTACCAGAGCAATGATCGGAGTAGCATAATTTTCATCAATTCCAATCTCAATTCTCCCTCGGTTCAGTTCAAGAATACAGATTTTCAACGCTTTCAAAGCCACTGCTTCGGCTTAGCATATACTCTAGAGGATAAATGATGTGTTACACTGAAGTGCCATTATCAATAAAAAAGTGTGGTAAAATTTAAAGATATAAATTATGCAAAATTATAAAAAGGTCATACTAATAATTAACTACTTAAGTCATCGGTGGATAATAATATTTTATTGGCTTTTGAGAAATTGTATTAGTTTCATCAAAGAAAATCGTACTTGGAGATTGCTCGCCTGCGTTAAGTGAAGTGAAATGGCTATCACCAAAGAAATCATTTATGTTATTTATTTCTACTCTCTTTGGGTTGACCTTTGCAGATCTAAGCGGTCGAGAACGCAAGCCTGCTTTCCCTTCCAATTTCTGCTTAATTACTTGGACTAATGTAATAATTGAGATAATTAAAGGAGCAACTGTTTGAATGCCCATAATTGAAATTACCGTATACATCACAGAGTTATCTAAGTATCCCAGGCTCTCTCCACTCATATCAAACAAATACCCAGAGAGCAAAAAGAAAACGACTGTGATCCCGATTTCAGATAAAGCATTGGCCCATTGCATAACAGGGTTATCAAAAGGAGCATAAACTATTATATAAAAAGTAAACTAAATATGGAATACTGCAATACATAAAATAACTCCGATTGTCAGCTGAGTATAAGGAGAACCGCTAAAGAAAACGAAAGACACTAAATAGACATTTCTCCTTAAAAAGAAAAGAGTGTAATACTGGGTGCTGAGTAAACCATTGTCATTTTTAAATTCATAGAAAAATGAGCCTCAAACATCATGAAAGCTTTTATTATTCTTTTCAGTGACCTTGTTCATATTTCTATATGAAAAAATAGCTAAAGATATAGGAGAAATAATTAACAATACCTACATAAAATATACTGTAAATATAAAACACATAAGGGTGTTTGTTATTTCAATAGGACTGTTTTGGAGCGATTTCCAATTCTGCATTGCTGTTAATAGTCCAATTACTGCTGCAAATCCAATATCAAGGTAAGACTGCACCCAAAATCTCAAAAACGTAGAAAACTTGTACTGCTTGAGAATTGCGTCAAATTTTTTCCCGATATACCTTTCTGAACATTTGGCGAGGAAATATATAATAGGGAAAATGCCAATTATATAGCATAGGACGGTTATAGTAATTGCCCGAGGATGGCGCTATCTTGCGCCATCCTCGGGCAATTCAAAAAATGGCCCCACACCGGGAATTGAACCCACGTGTGGGCCATTTTTGTTATGTGGAGAACATCGACTTTCACGTACCAAAATGGCCCCCCACACGTGGGTTCAATTCCCGGTGTGGGGTCATTTTTTAAATTGCCCGAGGATGGCTCAAGATAGCGCCATCCTCGGGCAATTACAATAGTTGGTTTCCTGCATTTATTAAAATCAAGTCATTGCTGAACCCAAATTTAACAGCATCTGCGTAAGGTGTGTGCCCCTGGCTTTGGTCTACAAAGAAATCGAATAAGTTGGGTATTAAATTCGCGTTATTCATGGCGTTAAAAAAGGAGTAAATATTGTCTGAAATTGGTAAGCCACTTATTGGGATAAAATACAAATAAGAAATGGTATTCAAAATTGCCCATAGCCCAGATGAGTTGGGATTGAAGCACGACACAGCTACACTTACCCCAATAGCTGCTTGAGTCCCAGCAGAGACTTGGTTTGAAGTGATAGAGCTTTGCTGCTGCGATGATGTTAAAAGGGATTTATTAAGGATCCCAGTCAGAGCTGAGTCTTTAAGCATTCCATTGGAAGTTGAGAGTACCTGAGTCAAATCATTGAAAAGGAGAGTGATTTGAGTGCCATAACTTACAGATGCCCCGAAGGTGCAGGTGATGAGATAATAGGTATTATTTATCATAGTTATATTCCAAGAAATAATAATTCCTTTACTAATTTTTAAGGTTATTTGGCTCTCTGTAAGTTGATTCATCAAGGTATCATTAACATTAGAAATTAGTCTTGGGTCTCCCCTATTGGTAACGCAGTCACCAAGGACACCGAAGGGTTCACCTGCTTTGTCCTTTCCAACTCCGAACCCTTCCTTTCCCTCGAGGTAAAATCTAATCCCAAAATGGGCTAAGGGCTAGACTCTGCACACAACCAGAATTGCTTACCTAGCATTGCCGTCCTTTTAGGTTAGCAAAACCTTGCCGGATATAATTAAAATAGGGCTCGAAACTGTCTGGCCGAGAGGCCAGACCCAAGTTGAGACGCCATATTTTAATTATGATTCATCAAGGTATCAGAGAAATTTAAAGCTATAGTATTATCATAGTTTACAGTCAAGTTCACGCTGAAGCTAACATAGAGGCATGAAGTCGATTTTTTACCATATCCAGGTTTGCATACACATAGTTGTGAGTCAAGAATTGCATTTTCGACACAACTATCGCATTCAAGCTCTCCTGTGCATGATTTACATAAGTCAGGACAGTCATAACATATGTGATCGCTAGCATATTGATTTGATGGACAAGATTGGCAAGAATCAGCTGTTGAATTTCAGACTAGGCTGTCTGTACATTGACAGTCTGCAGGATTAGAAGTGCCATTTTTGCATGTTGTACATGATCCGCTATTATATGAGTCACAGACCAAGCATTTTTTATCATAACACAAATTGCATTTGCTGCCTGAATCCTTGCAGCTTTTGCAAATTGCATTGCAGCTTGAGCAAGTATTATAGGCAGGCCCAATTCAGAACTGACTAATCAAACAATTCGGAATGCAGACTCCATTAATCGGACAAGCCTGGCAGGTTTCTTTGCACGAAGCTATAGGAAGTGCAAGGCTGGATATTAACTTTACAATATTATAACCTTGGATTTCAAAAATGAACCCTTTGAAGAAGTTTAAATATTTGCTGCTTGCTTTTTGAGCCCCAATAGTGACTGTAATCCCAGTTTTTAAGTCGTTGAAATAGTCGCTAATTGCGACTGATACACTATCAAAAACACCATTAACATAACAGCTAACTACAGTATTGGCAGACTGATAATCTGTTGTAAAAGCTATGTGGTTCCACTCTGAAACTTTGAGAATATTTAGTGATGTGAAGGCGATTTTCCCATTTGAATTAAATAGAAGCTCAAGCTGTGCATATCCCGCTTTTAACATTATTGAAAAAACAGTGCTCAGTGATGCATCTTGCTTTATTATTAGTATACCGTCATCTTTTTCAGGATTGATTCAGATACTTATGGTGAATGAACTTGTAAAATTCAAAACTGTTGAAGTAAGATTTGTAAAAATGGGGAGATGCATAACTGAAGTGGAGCCATCGAAATAAAACCCCCTTAATGGAGCAGCAATTGGATCCTCAGAGTCATAGGTTGGATAGAAATCTTGACTATTCCCAGTCATGGCTTGGATCTGGCTTTGCGAGTCAGTAAGGACTCCTTTCAAAGAATTGAATGACAGATCAAAAATGAAAGTCTTACCAAGGACGCATTTAGAGCCACTCACAACATATCCTACAGGACAACTTGCCAAGCACTGCCCGGAATACAAATATAATCCACTCGGACAGGTATCAATACATTTTCCAGAGCTCGTAAAATACCCACTTGCACAAGATACACAGTTGCTGTTCCCTGCCGCTGTGCACTTATCGCATGAGACATCGCATTGACTGCAAACCTCATTTGCAGTGTCCCAAAAATAATTATCATCGCATACGCACACAATGCCTGCTAAATGAGCATTCGTCATGCAGGTGATACAAACTGAGCTGTAATCGTCACACACACTGCATATGACATCTTGGCATAAATTGCAGTTCTTATCATACCTCACACAACCCCAGTTGCATTGAGTTTGGCAAGCTTGGCATGATGTCCCATCCCAATAATTAGAAAGCTCACAGTCAGGAAGGCAAACGTTTGCCAGCGCAATTGGGCAGACAGAGCAGCCTGAGCATGAAGAAAAGAGGATGAGATCAGCAGCGCTTTTTTGAGAATTGTAGACAGCAAAGCTTCATAAGAACCCTGTGTAGAAATTTGAGGAAGAGGATAGGGTTGAAAGAGTTGCTCCGATTGAGATGAAAAAGGAGGATTGGATGTCTTGAAACCAGGACGATGTAAGATCAGGAGAGTTATCTAATGAGGTGTCGACATAAAAGAGAATTTGCTGTGCTGGAGTGTCACTAATAATGCTGCTCGCCATGAGGAAATTCCAAGTTGAAAGGGTAACTGCGAGGGAGCTGCTTGAGTAGCTAGCATAAACTCCACTCTTCATCTTTATTGTAAGAGAAGGGAAGCCACCAGTGACCAATGAAAAATTAATAAGGTTGACAACTGAATTTGTACTGTCTTGTTTGCTGAAAATGCACCCTGAATTAGAGTGGGGTCTAATCCAAGCTACAAAAGTGAAAATCGGACTTATGGTCAAATATGGAGCGACATCTTTCGATTTCATATATGATGTTCCTCTAAAATAGTATCCTCTGTATTCTGCAGCATAAGGGTCTGAAGTCTTATAATAAGGATAAAAGCTGCTTTCAACTCCAGCATATAGTGGAATGTTCGATTGAGAATCAGTCACTTGGTCTTTAATTTGAAGCGGCTTGAAGCTAAACACAAAATCATTGCTAAGTGTGCATGAGATAGAAGAAGAGCTGTATCCAAGTGGACAAAAGCTAACGCACACATTTGAAAGCATAAGCAAAGGGGAGGCACACTTAACACACCCTGTGAAGGTAAAGTCTGTGCATGATTCACAGACCGAGTTGCACAAGTCACAAGTCTCAGTGGCCTCAACTCATAAAGCATTTTGATTGCATTGGCACTGAGTCCCAACAAAGTCAGCATTTGTAATACAAGTCAAACAGTTGCCTGAAAAAGATGTGCAGGAGTAGCATTCTTTTTGTAGGCAAAGTCTACAGGTTTGGTCAGTTCTGCATCCGTGAGTTCCACAAGAAGTTTTGCATGTTGAGCAAGTTGTTGTGTCAGGGTACTGCCAAATTGGGCAATAACTCGAGCAAAATGAGCCAGCGGGGCAACTGACGCAAGGACTGGTTGTGCAACTAGACGCGGGTCAGTCATCATCTTTATGGGTTTCATCGTTAAACACTTTTAAGCTTCACAGAAATCCTTGAAATCCGATTGTTGACGAGCTAGAGATCATCCCCAAGTTCAAGATTGAAGAAGAAGCATCTCTAAAGTATGTATTTGAGGCAGACGTCATGGTAGTGAGTAGAGAACTATCAATATAAATGCTAACTGTAGTGGCTCCGCTTACTTCAATAAAGGCAGTGAAGGCGAAATAATGCCAACTTCCCATAGTATTTGTGGAAGCAATAGCTGTCAGAGTTGATGCGTCATTTAAAGTTATCACTAAAATAAGAAATCCTGAAGAGTCAATTGTGAGTTTGAGGAACTCAGTTGATCCACTTGATTTCAGGAGTATGGCTCCTTGTCCCTGTGGATAGGTCCAAGCTAGAATAGTAGAGCAAGGACTAAAAATAGATTGCGAAGTCATTTTCATGAGACTATTTCCATTGAAAAAGTATCCTCTATTAATTGCAGGCACTGGATCATTCGCATCAAAGTTTGGATACTTGCCAGTGTTATCAATTCCAACGTCAAACCCATTCAAGGTATCAAGCACAATATAATCATTGAAGCTCAAATTTAGAATGAGGCTGTGATCAAGCTGGCAAGTATTTGCACCTTTTATAAATCCATCAGGGCATTGCGTATCACATAACATGCTTCCAAAAAGATAGTATCCAGATATGCATTGGCTACACGAATTATAGTCTGAAGATGTGCATGTAGAGCAACCAGAGAAGCAGTCTAAGCAGGTAGATCCGCTTGAGGATAAGTAATATGTTGAATCACAAGTACATGGCGTCCCACTTGCGTGAGCAACACATTCATAACAATCACCTGCATAGAAGCTTGAGCATTTATTACACAAAGGATCATCACATATATTGCAAGATGTTCCTCGCACACACCCATATGAGCATGAAGTTAGGCAAGGCTTAGTCCCAGAATCAACATAATAGGTGATGTCTGCATTTCATAGACATGATGTCCCAGATCCTCCACAAATATCTGCTGAGTATTCAGTTGAAAAGCTGCTCACAGCATAATTTCATAGTTTAAAAGTATAAACAAAGCCATCAAAAAATGAATTTTGACTTTTTCCAATATACAAATACCTTCCATTTTGATCTCTAACAATGTTGTTTGCAACTGAGGTCGTTCTATTCTATTAGATTTATACGCTTAACGTCCCTTACGGGGTTGCCCATCCCAGAGCTTCCGCCTGCCTATGGCGCATCGGGCCCACCGGCCTCTGGGTCGACCAGCTTTGCTACGCCAAGGTGCACCTAGTCGCAGGTGTTGCCGACTTCGACGGCTCATGACTGAGCTACTTCGCTTGAGGACATGGGTTGCCATTCCGAAAATCCATAAAAAATGGATTTTCTGGTAGGCTCTCGGCAAAAAGGAAAACACGAAGCCTGGGACGTAACGCCCAGTTTCACGCTAGGGAGTTGCCCGATTGGTCCTAACGGACTCTGCTGAGCTTCCCCTTTCCAACTCACGTGCCTCCTTCCCATGAGGAAAAAACATCCCTGAAAATAGACTTGGGCTAGGCTCTGAGCTCCACCAGAATTGCTTACCTAGCATTGCTGTCCCTCTCTGAAATGCAAAACCTTGCCGGATATAATTAAAATATGAGTCAAGGCTGCATGGCCGGGAGGCCATGCCCAGACGAAGACGCCATATTTTAATTTGCAACTGAGGTCGTTCAGGAGACTGCATTGTTAACATAGAACTTAAGCGTTGTTGAAGCAGATGAATAAGCTGCAGTGGTGGATAAATACACTCAGTCAGAAAGAGATGCATCTGTTGAAGTTTCAAGAGAGACAACTTCAAGTTCAGTCTCCATCAGAAATGACACAGTCCCATTCGAATTTATAGAAATGATTGGATCTTTTTGAAAAATGTCTCCAGAAATAGGATAAACCCACAGTCCCACTGAAAAATCATGAGAAAGGTAGATTGGCGCATCGGAAACCAAATATTGAGCTCCTGCAAAGTAAAGCCCTCTACTTTTAGCTGGAATGGGATCAGCAGGATCTGGGGAATTGAAGAATTGATATGTAGATGAATCTGTTGAAGTGACTAAAGTATCATAAGAGCCTTCAAAGCTTGTATCAAAATGCTCATTAAGAAATGGGACATTTGCAGCCGTGCATGGAAGAGTTGAAAAGCCAGTAGGACAGCTCCGCAAGCAAATAGTCCCAACCAAAACATTGCTTCCTGCACATAAAGAACATTCAAAGTAAATTGTTGAAGCAGTAGCGCAATTGCTGCATAAGTTGTCGCATATATCACAGCTCTCAGTTGCATGGACCCAAATAGCATTTGAATTGCAAGCGCAAATCATTCCTGACGGAGAAGCGTTGGGAATGCATCCAGTGCAATGCCCTGAGAAGGAAGTGCAGCTATAGCATGTTTTATCAGCACACAGTCTACAAGTGTCCCAACTTCGGCACCCCCTTGAACAAGAAAGTGCGGAATCACAGCTCCCACAACTTGAGCCGTTTTGAAATTGATTTATTGGGCATGTGCTGGGGCACACTCCTCCAACTGGACAATTAGTACATCCAGAGCAAGAACTTGACCAATCTGCTGCGTTTTTGTTTTGGTCAGTATAAATTTTGAGAGTGTAAATAAATCCTTTGAGTCCATTTAGACTTGATGAATCTGAGCCAATATAAAGTTTACCCGAGTCAAAGAAATATACTGTAGCATCTGTGCCGGTAACTGCTGAGCTTGCAGCATTGTTTATATATGACTGGATTTGGTATGCTCCAGATGAAATTATTTGTCCTGTAAACGCCATTAAATTTCACTTACGCCCCCTTTGTTTGCAAAATAAAAAAATTTTTTTTTGCTTAAGGAGGAGGACTAATTTGTTTCTAAATGTTTTGTTGAAGTTTAAAAATTTATTCAATTTCAAATAAAGTTGTAAATTGCTAGCTGTTTAAAATTAAACAGAATTAACTAGAGACTTCATTAATAATATCGATTATATTCCAAATATGTTTTTTATAAAAATTTTTTGTTCAGTTATGGAGGTGGTTTTTAGGCAAAAAATAGGGATTTTTCAATGGTTTTTTCGCTCACGGTGAGGGGAGTTAGAAGTAAGAGAGGACCCACTGGTTTGGGTAAGAGTAAGCAAAGTTCGGTCCGATAAGTTGATTTTTAATGAAACTGCAGTGCTGCTGGTAATTTTAAAGGTCAGAATTTCAAGAGTCCCATCTTTTTTCAAGAATACATATTGAGCATTCGTCCCGGTAGGACGAATTCAAATCGAAACAGTGAATCAAGGACTAATAAGGAAAGCGCCCCCTTGAAGTGAGTTTTTAGTGTTGAAGTAATAACCTCTATAGATTGCCGGGCTTGGGTCGCTGTTTTCTCAGAGCGGATAGAGATTGGTATTATCAAGGCCGACCGAAAGAGTTCCAACGTTAGTGACAGTATCCAGTTGAATAATTTCATTCAGTGAAATGCTTAAACTTGGGTTGGAGGAAGAAGTACAAGTATTTCCTGATGAACTATCATAGCCATCAGGGCATTCATTTGTACAGATTGTGTTCAGCAAATAGAAAGGAGAATTGCATGTTAAACATTGATTATATTGCGAGCCTGTCCCTGTTGCACAAGTTAAAGCCAATTTAATACAAGAAAACCCGCTTATATCGACAGTATACCCGGGATTGCAAGCACATGGGGTATTTCCTGCATTAGAAACGCATTGGGTGCAAAGACCAGCTGCAAATCCAGTGCATATGGCACACAATTTGTCATCGCATTGATTGCAAGAGCCAGTCCTTGTGCATCCTATTGTGCAGCTATTATCACAATCTGCACAATCAGCCCCATCGTAATATTGAGTTAAATTGCAAGTCCTCATGCATGTTACACCGCCACATATGTCATCAGTTGTTATAGTGAAGTCTACTGCCACGTTTCATAATTTGAAATCAAATATATAGCCTTGAAAATAGCTCTGTGATGACTTTCCTATAAATAATTGCGTATTGATAACATCTCTATAAATCAATTTCGTATAAGTATTGGGGGTAGAGAAAACGGCATTGTTGACTGAAACTGTAATCGTGGTAGCAATTGCTGCTAAATCAAGTGACGAGGCCAATGAAAGATATGTTCAGCCGGTAAAGGAAGTTGCTGAGCCAGATATTGTTTTGGCAGATGCAGAGGTAGTAGGAGATTCTAAAGAGATCTTGACATCCCCCTTGGAAGAAAAGGAGACTCTTGAATATTTTTGCATAAAATCACCATCTTCTATAACAAATATCCAAGCTCCCCAAGAAAAGCTGTGAGACAAATAAACATTCACATTCGACTGCATATAGTAGCTTTGCCCATCAAAATACAACCCACGATCCTTAACAGGAATTGGATCGACTGACTCTGGGTTATAAAAGAATTGATATTTTGTTGCAGAGGCTCCTGTCGTAAAAATTCCATAGGTTCCAAGGAAGACACCATTAAATGAGGTATCAATGACAGGGGTTGAAACAGGAGTACAGCCTGTCCCAAATCCATAAGGGCAGCTCTTCAAGCATACATTTGATACTGGCACATATGCTGAGCCACACGTAGAGCATAAAAATAATGATGTCGTTTGGCACTGATCACAGAGATTATCACAAATTGTACATGTAAGCGAGGAAGTGTCCCAGAAGGCATTAGGATTGCAGGTACAAACTCCAGGAGACGAAAAATAAGCATTTGTGATGCATGAAGAGCAGGGGCCATCAAATAGGGTGCATGCTAAACATTCTTTGTACAAACACAAATTGCATGATTCCGTGCTTCTACATCCGCGAGAACAACTCATAGTAGCGCAATTAAAGCAGGTTCCAGCATTATTGTAAAGATTTCAAGCGCATGTATCGGGGCATATCTTCTCAAAAGGACAGCTCGAGCATCCGTTACATCCAGAATTAAATCATCCAGCAAGAGCGTATGTATTATCATTATATATATTAAAATTCCAAATTCACCCAGTAAACCCTTCAGAAGTTGACCCAAGATAGAGTGCTCCTGTATCATTATAAAATAATGAAGAAATCGAAGCTAAAGTGGGCCCGGTTGCTGGTGTAGCTGAGCTTGTGGATCCTGTATACAAGGCTACAACTGTTTGGCCTGATCCATTTAATCCACAAGTAAAACCTAAATAAGTTCAAGAATTAGAGATGCTAGAAGAGCCAGTTATTGCTAATGTGGTAGTACCATCAGATAAAGTAAGGGTAGTTAATTGAGGCTTTGAAGAGGCTAATAATATCTTTAGCCATCAGGTTGCTCCATCATACTTTGAAAATATAGTTCCATTTTGAGTTGCCTTAATCCAAAACAGTAAAGAAAACCATGGTCCTAAAGAAATTGAGCTTGTAGTCAAATATCTTGTCTGTGTAAAATAGTATCCCCGGTATATTGATGGTATAGGATCTTTATTTCCCGATTCCCATTTTGGATAAGTGTTTGTATTAGAACTGCCAACAGTAATTCCATTTACTGCGTCCAATTGAATGAGATTTTGAAAATTTAAGCTCAAAACATTTGAATTGGAGAGAACGCAGGTGTTTGATGACGAATTAGAAGTGTATCCTGAGGGACACGAGGCTAAGCATTGGGTTTTCAATAGAAAATACCCAGAAAAGCATGATGAGCATTGATAGTAGTCAGTCCCAGTGCATCCAGAGCAGCCAGTCGAGCACGCGATGCAGCTGAATCCAGATGGTGATAGCATGTATCCTGCATTGCAGGTGCAAGGCGTTCCAGATGCATTGGTGACGCACTGATCGCATAATCCATCAATGAATCCTCTGCAAACGCTACAAAGCGGGTCATGGCAAACATTGCAAGATCCATTTCTCGTACACCCATTCGAGCAAGATCCATCGCATGCTGTAATCGTCCCGCTGTTTATCCAATATAAAAACTCACATGATCACAGGCAACTTGCTGTTGCTCCAGTCCCACATATCTGATCTGAGTATTGCGCATTGAAATTTGACACTGCTGAGTTCCATAAATAAAATTCCATTAGGGAGAGAAAATTAGTAGAGCTAATTTCTCTCGAGCCGAATACCATTTTATTTATGGCGTTGGGTTTTCTCTCTCGAGAACTTCTGCACAGCAATAGCTGTTTAACTTTGGGGATAACCAAAGGAACAGCTCCTCAGTGCATTCAAGAGGCTCAGAGTTTTACCTCTCAGCACAGCCCCACTGGAGAATGACCCTTAGGCGGATCACGCGCAGGAGCTGAGTCAAGGCAACGGCAACGCGACGGGTGAGATGTGCGGCGACTGGAGGCGAAGCATCGATAGAAGGCTTGGCCGGTGGGCTGACCATCACAATTCCAAGATGGCTCCATGACGTCACTAGTTTAGCTATAACTCCATTTTTATGGGGTGAGGCACTAGATACCTTAAACATCAGATCATTAAGTGAAGTTAAGACACTGCTGAGTTCCACAGTTGAAATTGGTAAATATATCCATTGAAATTTGAGGCTGAACTTTTGCCTAAAATGATAGTATTGCTTACTGGATCCCTATATAAGGACCCCCCCCCTCATTTGTCGAATTTTCTAGTCTTTTTTTTATAAAATTTTTTTTTCAGGACCTCATTTGTCCCAAAATCTAGTCAAAAATGATTTGTCCAATTTTCTAGTCTTTTTTGGATTTTTTCGAATGCCCTAAATTCTAGTTTTTTACTTTAAAAAAACTAGAAAATGAGACAATTGAGGTCCTGAAAATTTTTTTTCTCTATCAAAATTTTGACTAGAAAATTGGACAAATGATAAAAGACTAGAAAATCGGACAAATGAGGGGGGGGTCCTTATATAGCCTGACTGGGTAGCCGATGTCTGGGCTGCGTTATTCAGATAAGGTCTGATTGTTGTGGAAGGAGATGCAAAAGATATGACATAAGAAAGATACACCCATGCACTATTAGCAGGGGATAAGCTGTTTGTTGTGACAAGCAGAGCAGCTTCCAGTTGGTTTTCTAATGTAATTTTTAGCACACCAGTTTCCGTAATGATAATTCTATAGCCACTGCTGTGAGTCATGATATTTCCTGATCCTGGAATAATCCAGACCCAAATTCCAAGTGAGAAATTGAGAGAAAAATAAACAGCAGAAATTGTTTCTAAATAAGTCCCTCCTGAGAAGTAAAGCCCACGATTCTTGACAGGAATTGGGTCAGCAGCACTTTCAGGAGAATTGAAAAAATAATAGCTACTCCCGCTTGTTCCAGTTTTAAAAAGGCCATAAGTTCCATAAAAATACGTTGCAAAGTTTGTATCGATGACTATCGTAGAAACTGCAACACAAGGACTCGTAAAGCCATAGGGGCAAGCTCTTAAGCAAACACTTGATACTAAATAATAAGGAGATGGGCATGAGTTGCATAAAAACGGGGTTGAACTGATGCAACTCCCACATAAATCATCGCAAATAACACAAGTATTTGAAGCTGTAACGTAAATAGCATTAGCATTGCATTTGCAAACTCCACTAACAGGCGTTGCGTTTGCAATGCAAGCTGTGCAGGTAACTGTAGAAGAATTGCATGCTATGCATTTAAGGTCATAGCACATATTGCAATTGTCAGCAACACTGCAGTCTCCTTTAACCAATATAATTCCTGAAATCTTAGGATTTTCAGTAATTCTATAGAAATCAAGCACAAGTTTACCACTGGAATATGCGCCAGTAACAGAGCTTCCATTTATGTAAACAACTCCAGAGGTAAGCGTGAATTGGACAAAAAGGTCACAAGCATTTTTGGGTCCTGCTTGTGCTACCAAGTCTAAGCTTGATTTAACCACATAATTTCCGATTTTAATTGTGAAAACCCGTGAATTTGTTGTTGTAAAGTAAATTTCTGCGAATTGAAGGATTATTACGTAAGTTCCGTCTGTTGAAATTGGAATTCTGTACCCTCAAGAAGGAGTTGTTGTGCTATATCGTTCAACCTTATATGGGGTTTGGTTCTGGGTTCGCCCAATGCTGCACGAGCAAGCATAAGAGCTCCCAGTTGTATAATAGTTATCAGCGGCATAAACAAAACCAAAGGTTGACGTATATGGAGTAGAGGCTCCACAATTTAAAGCCAAAACAACGGTTGAAGGGTCTAGAGAGTAGACAAAGATAAGACCAACAAATAGGATTTCGACAACAAATAACGACTTCATTTTACATATAAATAAGCATTGTTGCAAAGAAAAATAAAAGTATTTATTCTTACTTAAGAATGGTGAGTTGCAGCTTTAATATATTTATGATAACTCCTTCTTTTGAGATTTATACTTTATCTATCCATATTTAATTATTTATCTTTACTTCAAATTTTACTGAATCTATTGCCAATTAATCTTCTAATAAGAATTCTGAATCCGCTAGATTTTTCAATTAGCTAATTTCATATCATATAAATAGCTTCTTGAAGAATCACTGAATAAATTAATGCTATTAAGTATTACCCTAGCTATATATAATTTTACAATTTCAGAAGAAAACGTTAATCTTCTTTTTACAATAAAGATTGCAATATTTATATAATTATATTAATCAAGAGGTTTGATCAATATTTAATTCCCTTATTATTCTAAATATTTGATCTAATATGAAAAATGCAAGGGTAAAGCCCAGGAGGATGGAAAGATTCAAGTACGGGAATTATCAAAGATACTACAGCCTTAGAAATGCCGAACATTGAAATGACCCAAGAATAAAAATCTTGGAGAGAGAGCTATTTGAAAATAAAAATGTTCTCGATATCGGATGCAATGATGGAACAATCACGCTTTTGATTGCATCGAAATTTAATCCTAACTCCCCTTCTGTAAGTGAACAAAAAAATTTTGTTCACTCACGGAGAGGGGTATTTTTTTTTTTAAAAATATTTATTTATAAATTTTATAGAAAAAATTTTTTTTCGAAATTTTTAAAAAATCCTAATTTGCAAAAATTGGGAAGCAAATATTAATTTAATTTATAAAAAATTTATGCTTTAAAACGCAATTTGTTTCATTAAACAGAATTAGCTCAAGATTTCATTATACTAATTATCATTTATATATCAAATTTTTTCTATTAAAAAAATTTTATTCACTCATAGAGGGTGGATTTTGGGCAAAAAATAGGGATTTTTCCAATGGTTTTGTTCACTCACGGAGGGGGGAGTAAGAGAATTTTAGGAATTGATATCGACTATAAGCTTATAGCCAAAGCTGAAGACAACCTTACTTATCTTGAAAAAACAACTGAGCAGGCCAAAGTGCTTAAAGAAAGAGAAGAATTTATCAAAGATGTCAGGTCTTACCCCTCAAACTTCCAGAAGTTCTTCAGTCTCCCTGAAAGCCTAAAAGTCCCTACTAAGAAAGCATTCAGAACTGATATCGCTGCCACTTCAGTGAATTTTCCGAATAATATTGTCTTTAGAGAAGAAAATTATGTGAAAAGTCCTGAAGAAGAGAACAAATATGATGTGATTTTGCTTTTATCAACTATTAAATGAATCCACCTTAATTGAGGGGATGAAGCTGTTACACTCTGTTTTGAGAAAATTTATAAAGCTTTGAGACCTAATGGAACTTTCATATTTGAGCCTCATCCGTGAAAATCTTACAAAAAAGCTAGAAACCGAACAGAAAAAATCAGAGAAAATTATGAAAAAATTTTATTCAAGCCTAATGAGTTTGAAGATTATTTCGTTAATCATTTAAAGTTTGAGCTTGTAACGAAAATTATCCCAACTGAAGGAAAAGATAAATTCAAAAGACCAATCATGATCTACAAGAAAACTTCAATTACCGAACAATAGGAAGAAGGCAAAAACATGTAGTTTAATTATAGACAATTGCCTAGAATTGCCTGGTAAGGCTGCAAGGAAGGATAGCTCCTCTTTCCAGTTGGACTGGTTAATTCAGTCTGTTCTAAACACTGGAGAATTGCTAATTGAGATAAAAGAAGCTCATTTTTCTTCTCTCCAATTTTTTGGCTACCTGAGAGTTGGCCAGACCAACTCAAAAGAGGAACTTTTGATCCTTACGCTCTTATTGAGCAATTCTAGGCAATTGTCTATAAAAAGTTATTGAATATAAGACCTTGTAGAAATAGTTTATTATAAGAAGCATCAAATTTCACTTCTTTTATATTTTCTTTGATATAAAGCTTGAATAGTTAAAATTTACTATATGAGTCGCTTCTGCATTAATAATCCTGTAATTTTTATGTTCGCTTTCTCCACTTTTAATATTTATGTTACTCCCCCCTTTAAATTGACGTTTAATATCATTAAAATTCTATTTTTTTGGGTAAATAAACTCCATTTATTTTTATAGCTACAAATAGCAAATATTTTTGATATCCCATTTAATTATGCGAAAATCAAAATTGGCCTATACTTGTTTTTAAATGGGGAAGTGCAAAAAGAATTCTTTATTCAGCAAAATTTCAAGAATTAATTGTTTTAAACTTTATATTATTTTTTATTAAAAAAATTAACTTCCTAAAATAGGACATGTTTTTTTTACACTCTGCAGAGTAGTTTACAGAAAATATTACATCAGTTGCTTTTTTCCTATCATTTCTCGTCTTAAATAAAAAATTGTTTTAAATACAACTTATCCTTACTGCCCCATCATGAGAGAACAAAACAAATTTTTTTGCTTATGGGAGGGTAGAAATGTTTTTTTTAAAAAAAAATCCCAATTAATGCAATTTGAAAAATTTATGTTTTTTAAAATGCAAGTTGTTTAAAATTCAACAGAATTAGCGAGAGATTTTACTATTCTCATTATCATTTATATATCAAAATAGTTTTTGTTCCAAGGAAGTGGGAGTTAATGAAATTAATTATACAAATATTTCTTCAGTTATCAAATTGGTCACAAAAAGTGCATTGAAAATGGATAAAACCGATTTCTTTCGATAAAATATGGAGTCGAAATTTTTTTGGCTTTCAGATTCAGCTCAGTCCTTGACCTCGAATCTAGACGGCAAGCACTTGCATTGGACAACAGATATCAATGAAGAGCTGCCTATATTCATGCCTCCTTACAAGCATGGTCAGGAGGCCCCGATAACATTTGTTGAGATCTTTCAACAAGCAGTGCTGGAGACCCCTAACAAACCAGCCTTAAGAGTTAAAAAAGCAGACAAATGGATAACCTGGACTTTCCAAGAATATTATTCAGATGCTCTTTTATTTGCCACTTCCCTCATTAGTCTAGGAATCTCACAAAGGAAAGTCGTCAACATCATTGGTTTTAATGCTCCTGAGTGGATTTTGTCATTTGCCGGGTCAGTTATGGCCAATTGCATTCCTACGGGGATCTATACAACCAGTGGCACTGAAACTTGCCACTATATAGCAGACCATAGTGAAGCTGAATTAATTGTAGCTCAAAACGAATCCCATCTCATGAAGTACCTCAAAGTCATTGATAAGCTGCCAAAAATCAAAGCATTCGTTGTTTATTGGCCTACAGGCAACTTGAAAGAGATCAATAGTCCTGTCCCTATCTATAGCTGGACTGAATTTTTAGCCTTACTCCCCCCCCTCCGTGAGTGAACAAAACCATTAGAAAAATCCCTATTTTTTGCCCAAAAAAAACCCACCATCCGTGAGTGAATAAAAATTTTTTTAATAGAACAAATTTTTTATAGAAAAAAATTTTGATATATAAATGATAATTAGCATAATGAAATCTAGAGCTAATTCTGCTTAATTTTAAACAAATTACGTTTTAAAACATAAATTTTATAAATTAAATTAATATTTGCTTTCCAATTTTTGCGAATTAGGATTTTTTTAAATTTTGAAAAAAAAAATTGTTTATAAAATTTATATATAAATTTTTTTTTAAAAAAAAAAATTAACCCCCCTCCGTGAGTGAACAAAATTTTTTTGTTCACTCACGAGAGGGGGGGGAGTTAGGGGAAAACGTTGATCCAGGAGAAGTTGAAAATCGAATGAGTTCAATTAGACCTTCAAGCTGCATGACGATTGTCTATACTTCAGGAACAACTGGGCCTCCAAAAGGAGTTTTATTAAGTCATGACAACTTAGCTTGGTCTGGAAGAAGACTAAGAGATGTGTCTGAGCCATATGGTGATGATGAGCATTCCATTTCTTATTTGCCACTTAGTCATGTAGTCCAGCAAACAATTGACTTTTTTGGCTGCCTCATCGCCAAAGTATGTATTGACTTCGCTGATGAAGATGCGTTACAAGGATCGCTCGGCAAAACAATAAAAGAAGTAAGGCCGACCTATTTCTTTGGAGTTCCAAGAGTCTACGAAAAACTTGAAGAAAAAATCAAGGCTATGTTCAACTCACTTCCGCCTAGCAAGAAAAAAATTGTAAACTGGGCCAGAGAAGTTGCTTATAGAAATGTTTTGAATCAGCTAGAAAATCGACCAGTTGAAAAGAGCTTTTATGTCGCCAAAGCAGTCTTTTTAGATAAATTTAGAGAAATGCTTGGCTTTGATAGATGCAGAACTCTTATGTATGGAGCAGCTCCATTGTCAAGAAGCACATTAAAGTTCTTTATATCACTAAATATGCCAATTATATCCGGATATGGGATGTCTGAAACTGCGGCACCCATGACTTTTGGGACATATAAAAATGGGAATATATGAAGCCAAGGAGCTGTGCTACCAGGTGCTGAGCTAGTCATCATGAACTCGAAAGGAGTCCAGCTTCCAGCAGGTGAAGCTGGAGAAATCTGCTATAGAGGAAGAAATAAATTCGCTGGATATCTCAAAAATGAGAAAGAAACCAGAGAGTGTATTGATCAGAATGGATTTTTACACTCAGGAGACGAAGGATATTTAGATAGAGACGGATTTTTGTTTATTACAGGCAGAATAAAAGAATTGATCATAACGGCTGGCGGTGAAAATATTCCTCCTTTCCTTATTGAAGAGCAAATCAAAGATATTTCAAAAATTTTCAATACAGTCTTGGTTGTTGGGGAAGGGAAAAAATACCTTGGAGCCTTAATTTCATTTAAAAAAGCGCTGCAGCCTGATGGATCATTCAGTGAGAAACTAACTCCTGAGGTAGTAGAAATTTTGAAGGCTCATGGAAGCCCTGTAAAAGAAAATCGTCAAGCTTTGGTATGCCCAATAGTGAAGAAATATATTCAATCCTGCATTGACAAATATAATAAGCATGCAACTTCTAGAGCTCAGCATATAACTCTCCCCACTTTAAATTGGAACAAAAAACTCTGTTTCAATTTAAAGGAGCATTTTTTTATAAAAAAGTGTAAATTAAATTTTTCTAGATAAAAAGATTTTATAGTCTATTGCAGATATTTCTTACTATGCAAGGAATGTGCGAAAATTCTTGACATACCAAAAAAAAATTCCACATGTGAAGTCTTAAATAAGTGCAGGCTTCACATATGGAATTTTTTTTGGCATGTGGAGAAATTTTCCACATGCCTTGCTCATAAGAAATATGGGTAACAGACAATATAAAATTTTTGAAAATAAATTGAGCACAATATTTTTGAATTTTCATTTATTTATGAGAATTAATACTATTTCGATTTAGCGTGAAAACTTTACCTATATTTTGTTCCAATTTAAAGGTGTTTAGTAAGAAAATGGGGATTTTTGCCTCAAGATTTTTCAATTGCTGGAGGTGAACTTACCGCTACGATGAAAGTTAAGAGAAAAGTAGTTCATAAGAAATATGAAGCAGCAATTGAGCAGCTTTTTATTGATCCTACTTTATAATCTAAGAAGCATTAAAATAAATGGAAATAAAGAAAATATATAATAATAGCAATTCTAGACCATGCTTGGTGACATATTTACTTTTGATAAATTTCCCTTTTGTCATCATTTAGCATACTAATTTCTTAAATGCGTTCAACAATTAATTTCTATCTTACTCGGATATTAAAAGACTTTCAAATCTTGGAAGAACCTGATATAATTGATAGTGGTATGATCAATGGCAAATTAAGAAGATTAAAAATCTGATCAGATTACTATTAACTCTATTATTAGCAGCTATTCATTAAAAAAATCCAATTTTAATATAGATCCATTAAAACTTTCATATATTTTTATGTTCTGATATTATCATAAAAATGGCCATTAAAATTAATAATTTAAAAATGAAGCACGGATCATCCAAAGGAGGTCAAAGCCATCAGGCCCATACTCAGTCATCAAATGTGCATAACTCAAACAATCCTGCTCATCATGCTGCAGCAGATAACAAGAGCAATCAGATGAATCCTAATAATCCGAGCTACTCTTCGAGTAGACAAGGATCTTCTCAAGGGTCATCTCATAAGCATTAAACTAATCACTTATTCTTAGTGACTAATAGTAAATTTAATATGAGCTAAGGTTAATTGACCATTAAAGGGCACCTCATTTTAATAAAATAGTAAACCTACCATTATATTGACCTAAGCCTATTTCTAATTAAAGTAATGATATCATTTAAAATTATACCCCTTTCAGTCTTTAATTAAGCTTTCTTAATAATTCTCTTATTTCAACCATATTAATCCCTCTAATTTCTATAAATTCAATCATTACATAACAAATCCCAGCAACGCTTACCAGAGAACAAATCAAAAATTAACACCAATAATCCACTTAGTGAAATATGCAGGAATGTAAATAAGGCAATCATGATAATTGCTCAATAGCTCCAATACAAATACTCATTGCTCTGGCTGTTAAAATTTTTCCTAAATAAAACCAGGAAATAGCCTCTATGCCTAGATAGACCCAGCAAGGTTTGAGCAAACATTATCCCTGAATCGATGATTAACCAAGTCAATGATTAAATTGCATCCATTATATCTGCTGGAGAGATTTCTCGGATATAAAGCGGAGTAATTGCAAAAAGTACCCAGATAGAATCCAGTTGCATGTCTTCCGATTCCAAAAGCATAAGTGTCAGGAATAATAAATAGAAGCCCACCGCCAATGTTTATGATATCATCATCCATAAGTGCTTTCTCCTTCCTACTCTATTAGAAGCAGAGCTAGCAATTAATGCGCCACAAAGAGCACCAAGAGACATGATGGCTGCCTTCATTGATATATAGAGCTCTTTATTTCCTCCTCAATCTAAAGTAGCTGATACATTCAATTGATTGGAATTAAAAGCGCCTGTGCTATAGCCATAAATAAAATGGCATTCGGTTCGAGAGAAATTGGCTCTGCCAATTTTCTCTCCCTCATGGAATTTTATTTATGGGGTTGGGTTTTCTCTTGAGAACTTCTGCACAGCAACAGCCTTTAACTTTGGAGATAACCAAAGGCACGCTCCTCAGTGCATTCAAGACACTCGGAGTTTTACCTCTCAGCACGTCCCACGGGAGGATGACCCTTAGGCGGAACACGCGCAGGAGCTGAGTCGGAGCGAGCGACGGCAACGCGCCGGGTGAGATGTACGGCGATTTATCTGGCGACTAGCCTTATAGAAGGCTAGGGTGTGGGCTGACCACATATTCCAAGATGGCTTGGTGACGTCACTAGTTGTCGCTTTGACCCTTTTTTATTAAGGGGTGTGGGCACTAGATACCTTAAAGACTATGTAAGTAAGTAAGTAAGTAAGCCTGTGCTATAGCCAAAAATAAAAGAGTCTACACTCGCGTTTAAAGCAATTCTTCATATAAATTTTTATTTATACGATTTTGGATTGAGATTTTCTTTATCCATTTGTAGATTTATTTAAAACCTCCTAGAAGACATTTATGACTAAGTTCATGATAAGCATTAGAATTTAAGGTATACTTAAATTATCAATATTGGAGTTCTAGACCTTTATCCTTTTTGTATTGCATCGTCGATTACTTTAATATTCATCAACAGCCTTATGTAGAATTAATTCCGGATAAGGGTCTACACTTTTCTTCTTACTCCCCCCCATCCTTGATCGAACGACGGCGAGCCGTTCGATCAAGGATGGGGTTTAAAAAAAAATTTTTTTTGGGAAAAAAAAATTTATATATAAAATAAAAATATATATATATTTTATTTTATTTACTTTTAAATAAGAGTGTTAAGAGTATTTCATAATTATTTTTACAGTAAAAAATTGAATTAATTTCATAAAAATACCAATTTTTAATATTTTTGATTTATTAGCTACACTTTTAAACTGTATATAAATTTTAATTTGTTCCTCATTAAATTAATTTTTTTTTTAAAATTTTAAAGAATCTCTATTTTATTAGATTATTGAGTTTTTTAAGCCTATGTTGATAACTAAATCACTTCGGATGATTGACTCCGAAGCTTTCTGTCGTCTCAAAGTCTTTGAAAACAACTTCATTATGTACATCTTCCCAAGCTTTTGATAACTAATATATTTTTATATATATAAAATTTTGCATGATATGAAAATCATTCGATCAAGGATGGGGGTTAATTTCCCCAATTTTTAGGAATTTTTACAGTCAATCGTTCGATCAAGGATGGGGGGGGAGTTAGAGGCAGAAGGTTTGTGCCACTAGTGCATTATAAATAATTATAATTAACTAGAAATGATAATGATATGAGTAAAAATTTGTTTATTTTAAGCACTGATTTTATAGCTATTGCAATTCAAGCACATAGGCTTAGAATTTAAATGTTTTTGGCCACATTTACAAATTCATCTTGTTTTTCTACACATCATGCAGCTATATTTATCAGGAGTCAAATCTAAATTGCAGGCTACACAGTGGTTGTCTCTTGTCCTCTTCAGACAATAATAGCAATTTTTATACTCTCCCATAGTCAACTTCATACCACAGAAGCAACATGAAAGCTCCTTATAATAGCTTTCTTCTGAGTGAGAGATAGGAGTCTCTAAATTTTGGTCCCTCTTATGGAGGATTTTACAGTTAAAGCATTCTTCATCAGTTGGCCAATTGAATTTATTGCAATTTTCACATTCCCATACTAATAGAACGCATCCTTTGCACAGTAACTTGGAGCTTTCAAAATAATAGCTACACTTGAGACAAAAATTCCCAGTTGATTCAGACTTGCATTTTCAGCAAAACTTTTTATCAGTAATCGCTATAGTTTTATGGCAAATCTGGCATCTCTCGGATATGCAACTAAGACAAAAATTGCCGATTGCTATATCTTCCCCACACTTATTACATTGATTTTTTTGAGGTGTACGAAATTGACACTTGCAATAACATATAGAGATTTCAGGTAGATGGCGCATTCCGCGCCATCTACCTGAAGTCACTATAAATAAATTGGCTTTCGCTCGAGCGAAGTTAGCTCTGCTAACTTTCTCACTCAAGCAATTTTATTTATGGGGTTGGGTTTTTACCTCAAGAACTTCTGCACGGCAACAGCGGTTTAACTTTGGGGATAACCAAAGGAACTGCTCCTCAGTGCGATCAAGATCTGGAGTTTTACCCCTCAGCACATCCAAAGGGAGATGGACTCTCAGGCGGAACACGCGCAGGAGCTGAGTCGAAACAAAGCTGTGACGGCAGCGAAGCCCGTCGAAGCCGGAACGTCATATTTACCCGTGCCCTGGATCAAAAGGGATCGATCCAGCAGTCTCCTGGCCCGACACGTGGATAAATATGGTGGTAGCTCTGGAGTCGCTACCCCGTAGTGGACGTTAAACGTTAATAGATAATTAGTTCTAGTTCTAGACACTTGCAATAACTTTGGGTGTTATAAGATCCACATAATTTGCATAGCCACACATTTGCAAGAAGTCTGCTTGACCCTTGTATTTTTGATTTTTTCTTAGAACAATGAGTGCATTCTTGGCACTTTGAACTATTAAACTCTTTACAAATTTTGCATTGTCAAGGTATATTTGGTTTTCCAGCTGAATTGCTTTGACTTTGAGGCTTCAATTCCTTTTTCATACTTCCACATACTTGGCATATAACAAAATAAGGATCATTTTTAAAAGTGCAATCTCTACAAATTCATCCACTTTCACCAGGCTTTAACTCTTTACAGCTTGGACAACACTGCCAATTTATTTCGTTAGTCCTTCCACAATTGCATCGTCACAACTCAGGATTTTGCTCTATTTGCATATTAGAATCGCTATTTTTTATGCAAGGGCTCTGGCTCTGAGATTTTAAGAAGATTCTGCTTTCTCTTGATCGATAGATTTTTGGAGTGAGGCACTTTTTCTGAGAACTTAACTCTGACCGTTTCCTCTTCCAAATTTTATTCATGATTTTGGCTTCTAATTCAATTCAATCTATATCTCTTAAGCCTTCATGCTCTATTTGGTCTGATTCTTCATAGAATAATCCTACAGGATAAAGTTTGCAATCAATTATTTCTTCAATTGCTTTTATTCATGATCCATTTCCTAGTAGCGATGTATTTTCATCATCCAATTTGTATCATAAATTATTCTCTGAATGCTTTACAACAAAAACATAGTGAAATCCTCCATATAAAATCATTCCCTTTAGTATATGGCTTGTATTATGAGCCTCTGCATAAATCCTGCCAAGTGACAAATTTAGAGGAATTGATGCCAAAATTTGAAGGATTTCGAGATAGTTTGGATTTTTTTCATGCCAAATTAATTGGATAGTAAAAATAATTGGGTGAGATCTTAAAATCAGTGAGTTTTTACTTCTATTTACACAGCAGTTTTCAGTATTTGGACATATGTCAAGTTTAGCATTTTCTCATTGGCTTCGAATGAATTCTGGGATTGCCCCTTCAATAGGTATGATACTGGAATACTTCAAGCACTCTGCTAAATTTTCTCTTATGCCTTCTCTCACAAGCTTCTCTGGATGAAATTTTTTGGTTTCTTCAAGAATATCATAGATATAGAAAGGATGAGAAAAGGAAGAAAAATCTCAGTCGTTTTCCACTTTACTTCCGCACTCACAGATTAATGATTCATGGACTTGAAGATCAATAACTTGATGCGCGATGCAAGATCTCCCACAGCTTGCATTTGAGATATCAGAATTAACACCCTCGCTGGTATCTCCGATTTCATTCGAATGAATAGCTTTCAGAATCGCCATTAAAGCTTCCATGCTGTCGTCAGCTGAATGAATCCCAAATCTTTTGACCGATTTGTAAACTTCTGATAAATGTCTTCGATATAGAGAAATGTCTATGATGTTTTCCTGAGATTGAAGTAGATTTTGTAGACTTTGGGTAAAAAGCTGCTTTAGTCCGCAAACTAGGCAATAATGATCATCTTGGAGCTCGCATTTGAGATTTTGCGTTAGAATTAAATCCCGAAAAGAATGAAAATGCCACAGAACTTGCAAGGCAGAGTTTAAGAAGCAGTTCATTTCCCCGAATTCGTTTTTAAATCCTATAAAGCCATGAATATCAGGCAGAGAAGGATACTGAAAAGAGTTTCTGAACTTTGAAGGGCTTCCTGATATTATTGATTGCTTTTTCTTTGATTTCATTTTATTTTCATTTTCTCGATTAAGTGACATAGTCTACAATAGGTAATCAGTATGATTTAAGCTATAAAGGGCTATTCATTTAAACTCATTATGGAGCTTTTTATTAATTTTGAGAATTCTGATGCAGCTATTAAATCTTATTATATTTTCTATTCTTTATTATTTAATATTCTCAATTTATAGAATCTAACTCCCCTTCGTGAGCGAACAAAACCATTAGAAAAAATCCCTATTTTTTGCACCCTCCGTAAGCGAACAAAAATTTTTTTAATAAAAAAATTGATATATAAGTGATAATTATTATCTTGAATATCTTTTATTTTAAACAAATTGCTTTTTAAAACATAAATTTTACAAATTAAATTGATAATTGTTTTCCAATTTTTGTGAAGTTGGGATTGTTTTAAATTTCGAAAAAAAAAATTCTATAAAATTTTTATAACTCCCCCCCCCCCTCCGTGAGCGAACAAAACCATTAGAAAAATCGCCATTTTTTTGACCAAAAACCCACCCTCCGTGAGTGAACAAAAATTTTTTTAATAGAAAAAATTTTAATGGAAAAAAATTTTGATATATAAGTGATAATTAGTATAATGAAATCTAGAGCTAATTCTGTTTAATTTTAAACAAATTGCGTTTTAAAACATAAATTTTGCAAATTAAATTAATATTTGCTTCCCAATTTTTGCAAATTAGGATTTTTTTAAATTTCGAAAAAAAATATTTTTTATAAAATTTATATATAAATTTTTTTTAAAAAAAAAAATTTACCCCCCCTCCGTGAGCGAACAAAATTTTTTTGTTCGCTCACGGAGGGGGGGGGGGGGGGAGTAAGTGTTTTTTAAAAGAAAAAAATTAACCCCCTCCGTGAGCGACAAAATTTTTTTGTTCGCTCACGGAGGTGGGGGAGCAAGCCCTTTCTGTCTATTTTATTTTAAAATTCTTTCTAATAGCTTTATTTTCTTAACCTGAATAATCTAATAAATAATGCAGATGTCAAGCCGCTCCAATTCAAGAAGCAACCAGCCACAGAGCAACCCTTCTTTTCAAAGCTCTTTTTCGAATAAATCATTGCAGTCCCAAGGCTACTTCGCAAAAGACTTATTTCCTCTGCTTCGCAAAGGGCTTGAAGGCTTAGGATTCCAAAAGACCAGAGTGATACAAGAAAATGACAGATACCTAATTATGATTGCAATAGGCGACCAGAGCGAACTGTATGAAGGCAAATGGGGGAATTTCCCCATCATTTTTGAGGCGAAAAATGGGATTTTGGAACTTCGACTTCTTTTAGCGATCAATTCCAAAGCAGCAATTTTTAATGAAGAGGCGTTTTATATAGCAAATGAGTTCCTCATTCGGGTTAACTACAAATCAGATATCGGCCATTTCCAATGGGATTGTGCAAAGAGACAAGTTTTATACAGGGTCGTGTTTTCTTGTATAGGACTCACAACTAAGGACATCCTGGAAATCCTTATCCCATTTTGCTATGATAATTAAATCCTTGTTTTAAATTAAACTTTTGAGAATGAGCATAAATTTTTATATAGAGAGAGCAAACAAACAGCTATGCTAATTTTACTTAAAATTCAAAAATACTATGTATATATAAGTTAAATAATTTCTCCCCCTTTTTAAGAAGTGAGGGTTAGAAAAATGATAGGGGAAGCTATTTATTCGTACAAAATTTATGGGTACGGCTTTGTGAAAATTTATGAAAACCCAGACCAAGATCCAGTACAACTAATAATGACCTGTGAAGACCGTATTACATCTGTGCTTCCCAGAACTTTTCATTTAGACGAATCATGTGAAAGTGAGGATAGAGACACAAGACATCTGAACGACTGATATGTAGCTGTTTTCGACAGCCCAGCCCAATTCCAAGCCGAGCTTAATCTAATAGAAGAGCTTGCAAAAGACGAATTTATATCAGGTGTATTCGAGTTAGATGGGAAAAGAATCAGCCACCAAATGATTGAGTACTGCCATATGCGTGGTGTGCCACTTGTCAAAGCTTTAGTAAATACTGACAAGGCTTATTCAGACTTCATAGAAGATATCGTTCTCGGGTTATTTGACTTGGGCTACGTTTTTGATGGAATTCCTTACAAATCCATGAGAAATTAAATGATGACGTCAACGGATAAAACACATTCCCTATTGAGCAGCAGCACCTAGACGAGGATGAAAATAATGTCTCTGTTACTTTTGAAGTAAGTCTTTGGGTATAGGACGCTTGCCGAAGAGGAAAGTTTTATTTCCCTCAAAAATTTTACCTGTCTCTGCCAATGGGCTAGACAAGTTTTACCTCCCACTTAGTCTTTGCTTATCAGGACTATCAGAGATGGCTCTAACCTAAGGAGTAAATTCTTAGGTTAGGTCAGTTTACGCCAGATAGGCAGGCTAGTGGCTATCTGCTTATGGTCTTATACTCTTAACTTAAAAATCCATGGTGGTTGTCAAAGGAGATATAAAAATTTGCTACAAAGGAAAACTTCAAGAGATTATAATCCCTATCACAAGCGACATTACTGAAGACGATTTGCTGCTAAACACTTACAGTGAAATGACTGATATTCTCTGTGAAATTATGAATGATCCTACCAATTATGCTTCTGATATTGACTTCATCAAATGCTCAGCTTTAGATGTCGAAGACGATTCTCTAGAAGCCTCCAAAACCCATCTAAAAGAAATGCTTAATACTGATGTAGATTTAGTCAAAATCGGGACTGATCAAAAAATCGCTGAAGAGCACTGAAGCATGTATAACTATCATTTATGCTTAAATAATGACTCTGTGCTCAGATGTTATGGGCTGTATAGAATCAAGTCCAATATCTACGCAGTTTTCGAAAAATGTTCACTTACACTTGAAGAGTTTTTGCATGAAAAAAATATCCCTTATGATTCAGAAATTGAGAAAAAAAGAAAAGATTGGCTGTCACAAATTGTGTATGCACTTAAGCATGTATATATGAAAGAAATCCCATTTTTCTGTGTTGATTTAGGACTGATTATGCTGAATAAGCGGGATGAAATTAAGCTAAAGATCATTAGTCATGATAAAGCTAGGCCATTTTGAAAATCCCCTGAAATATTGCAGGGCTTGATTGACGATAAAAGTGTGATTTTTTCTCTTGGAATGATCATTTATTATTTTATTGTTGGGTATAATTATTATGAACAAAAAATCGACGAAAGCGACTTGAAGAGTGCTATATGTGAAGAGCATATCAAGCCAATTGTTCCTTGGAAAATTGAGGAAAACTTTTCTGAGTTGGTGGATCTGATGAGGGATTGCTTGATTTATAAGAGTAGAAACAGAATTGCAATCATCGATGTAGGGAAAAGACTATCAAATATTTCATAAATTATTGGCAAAGTAGGCGGTTAATATATTAATATCAATAATTTTCTATTATAAATTAGCCAATGGGGAAAATTTTAGTCACTGTTGACTTATCATTAGTATAAACTCATTCAATAGATAAAAATAGCTTTAAATTGAAATAAGCTTAGTTTATCATCCGCCTTAAATTTAGTGTTTTCTGAAACCTTTTGTCTCGAGCTATCCCAACGTCTATTCGGGGAGGTTTTTGTAACAGCATTTATTGGTAAATCCACCTACACGGATGGCAAATCTTTTATAAGGAGTGGACTTGTCATCTGGGGAGTTGGTTTTACCAAAAAAAGTTTGGTAAGCGAATCCCTGATTGATTTCGGGAAAGTTTGGATAAATAGACACAAAAGGAGGCTTGGACTATATACGTTTGTTATAAATACTTTACGTCATGAACTCATGCTAATTAGCGTGCAATTGATATTCCTTGATTTTAAATGAGATATCAATATTTTTATTAAGACTAAAATGGTGAACTGCTTTTTTGATGCAAACAAGAAAGGCAGTTCACTGGCAAAAATAATATTTAAATGGTTAAAATTAAAATATGCATCTCCTTGAAAAATAAATAAAAATTATTTTTATCAAAATAGGAAGGTTTGAAATTATCCTATCTTAATAACTTATTTATAAAAAATTAATATTAAAATGGAATAAAGGAATGAATTAAATTCACTTTCTTAGTTATTAGACCTTTTTTTCTTCAACAATAAGGGCTTCAGTCAAAGTTGAAAGATTTTTCTTCTCCATAATTTGCCTCTTATTGCAGTAGTACCAAATCGAGACAGATACAAATAGAGCAGTGATAAAGATACAAACCACCAGCGTTGAAGAGAAGTTGCCACTAACCAATAAGCCTTGCTGGTCAGCAACCAATGTTTGTCTTACCTCTAGCTGATACTCACAAGCATCGCTCATGCAAAAGCTACACAAAAGTGTTATGCATAGTCCACTTGGACAAACTTCTTGTAAGATATCATTCCTTATGAAAATTTCTTCAACATATTCTGACCTGCTTTTATATTGCTTTTTGGCTTTGTTTGGCAGGGGCCAAGAAGCAGAGTTAGGGCCGATTTCAGCGAAATCAAAAATGGAAACATAGACAAGTGTTTCTCCAGAAATCCTATCTATTGATACTCTTGCAGGTTTTTCTGTATTCATAACATTGAAAAACCTGTCTTCAACTGTATTTACAGCGCTAATTGATTTTGGAGAATTGCTGGCCAGCTCTTTTGGTAGTGCTGAAGATGGATAAACTTGCACTGAAAATACTGAATTTACCTTGCCGTATATTCCGATGTGGTAATAGCAAGGCTCACCATTTTCATGGGCAGCAAGTCCTTCAAGCTGAGGGCAGTTGTTCATTGCGATTTTATCATTAGTTAAGGTAATTTCTTCTCTGGTTGAATTCAAATTTGATTTATAGTCATAAAATGCTGGAGAAGGTCTTCCATCATTGTCATTGAGTGAAATATAAATTTCAGCATCACCTTTATAGACATTAAGCACGATGGTAATAGTCTTGTGTCCATATGAAAAAGGAATTTTATAGTCTTTGAATGTCATTTCATCAACTTGGTCTCTATACGCTTTTCCTTCTTCTAATAAGAGTTCGTTATCTTGCTGAAGCTGAAGTCTTGGATAGCACTCTTGATAAGGGCAATGCCCCATTTATTATATGCTTGCTACGCGTTGCTACCTTTGCCCTCATTATGCAGCTCCCTGTATAGCTAGCTATATGTTAATGTTAAAACCAAACCCTCAATAATAAATTACTGGAAGTTAGAAAAGATCTTGGAGAGGGCTAACTCCGACTGCGCATTTTATTATTATGATAAGGGCAATGCAAGCAAATCTGAGCCAAACATGTTTTGCTTGGGCACAAGCTTTTCAAATACTCTTTCCTTAAGGCGACTGTATCAGAATCTTTCTCCACAATAAGCGTTGCTTTAGAGTCTAAGTTATTAGGCAGTTTTGACATATCTTTTTTGACAGCTCCATAATCATAGATACTCATGATCATTTTTCCAGCCAAAAGTTCGTCTACAAGAATGCTTGCATCATAGTTGCTATCAAGTAGAGAATAAAACATACCATGCTTGCTTGACCCAATTGACTTTACTTGCACAGATCCTGTTCTTAGGTTATCGAATAGATCATATTCATAATAAATCAATGAATATGTACCCTGGGAGTACCCATAAACACCCACATGATATACACATGGGTTAACACCTTCATGGCTTGCTGATAAGCTAACAGGACAGTTCTGCTGGGCAACGGAATCAAATGTAAGAGTGAATTCTTCAGCAAGTAGACCACCTCTTTGAAGCCTGTAGTCATAGAAAACTGTATCAGGGACTCCGTTATTTGCATTAAGTCTCACATATAAATCTACATCTGAAGAGACAGGCGTGAGTACAACTTTTATGTTTTTATGGCCGTAATAAAAAGGAACTTGGAAATAATGGAAGCAATTTAGGCAAATGCTTCCAGTATAATAAGTGTCTTTCTTCATATAGCTATAGCTCTGGTTTAACAAAGAAAGCTGAGCTTGACATGGGTCGCTCCAGCAAATTAAACAAATTTCTACGAAGCATTTTCTGCTGGGGCAAATAGATGCTAGGTAATCTTTTCCAAATTTAATTTCATCATAAACTTTGCTGCTATTAAAGCTATTTGGCGATGAATAAGGCATTGGCCATTTGGTAGACTCTTTTCCAACAGAATCATAGTCAAATAAGCTTACATAAAGCGAAGTTCTCCCTGATAGATTGCTTACTTTGACAGCTGATGGGCTGTTTACATCAAGAACCCCATAGAAAGATTTATGATCATAAAGGTTCATATTTGAAGTTATCGGACTTCCAATTTTGACTAGTGTAGGAACTACAGGAATAGATGTGAAGCTTATATCAAATTTAGTGCTTGTTGGAGAATAGACACCTATATGATAGGCGCATTGCTTTGAAGGATCGTAATGGCCTTTCTGGTTAGAGTTACAGTTAAGATAGGCAACTGAGTCCCATTTGAGGCTGATTTCTAAAGTTCCTTTTATAAAATTGCTGAAGGAGTAGTTATTTGAACTTAAATTTGGCTTGATGTTATTAGCGTTTAGACTGATGTATATCTGAGGGTTAGAAGACTCAGTATTTATCAATAGGGCGATGTCTTTATGCCCTTGATAAAATGGAACCTTATAGAATTTCCACTCAGAAGGTAAAATATTTTCATTGTAAATGACATTTTCACTAAGACCAAGTTCATTGTTTTCGAGGAAAATCATAGTCCTGACACCTTCTGTAGTTTTAGTGATTTCAGCTTCTGCTGCTTCAGACAGCTCTGAACTCGAAGATCCTACTTCATCTTGGAGTTGGGAGGGTTGATTTAGCTCGCCAAAAGAGCCTTTTTGAATATCAAAGCCGCAAATGTTGAAAAGACATCCGCTGAAGCAATTTTCTACCTGAGATTTGCATTGCTCTTTGCAACTTGCAGCACAGTCTTCAAGATTAACTCCGTGGCTTTGGAGAATGCTTGCATCATTCCTTCTCCGGTGACCAAAACCATGAAAAAATCTCTATTTTTGGCAGAAAATCAGTGAGCAATCAAGAATTTTTTATAAATAACTTTTAATTCTTAAAATTAATTGGAATATCTTATAATAAAAAACTCTCGCTAGATCTTTTGAATTTTAAAGAACTTTTATTCTAAAAACAAAATTTTACAAAACAATATTTTACAAAACAATATTTTACAAAACAATTTAATTTTACTTATAATTTTTTTGGATTTGTTTGTTCCAATTTTGGAAAAACATGCGAAAAAAAATTTTTTTACTCGATGACAGAGGGGTTAGAAGACAAATTAAAAGGAGAGATAACATTTTATTTGAATTAAACTTCTATATAAAAATATGCATTCTATATTTAATATAATAAATACTTTCAGATTATCAGTTGCCTTATATAGCCATACCCCTATGCAGATTATTTATCGAACAAAATGTAATGGAAGGTTGAACGATCAAGACTGACTTTCTCAAAGGGGCGAGCTGGACTTCTATACCAGAAAGCGTCAAAAAGTGGCATGCCAAAAAATGGTCGACAAGTGTGAAAAAGTTGTTAATTTTTAAATCCATTTAAATTTTCTAAAGAGCATCATATGAGTTATTAAGAATTTTATAAAGAGAATGAGTGTGCAATACAAACTTTGGGGTTTATAGAGCATTTGATCATAAACAAATTGGCATTTTTTATTTAAAAATCTACTTAATTTAGCAATAATAAAGCCATTTTAAAAATTGGAGCGTTTGCTTGTCAACTTTTTTACAATTGTCAACCATTTTTTGATATGGCACTTTTAGCACTTCCTGGATAGAGATCCAGCTCGTCCCTTTGAGAGAGTTTGTCTTGATTGTTCAACCGTCCATTATATTTTGTTCGATAAAGAAATCGATATAGGGTATGAGCTATAATTATTTACAGTGAAAATTAAATTATAGCTAGAAATTTTTTGGTAATTATTATTTAATAGATAATCAAATTTCAATCCCAAGAATTTTTAATATGTGTTTTTTATTAGTGCTAATATTAAATAAAATTAGATTAATTTAGCTTTTTACAGATATAAACCTTATAACTAAGGCAAAATAATTTCTTTCCAAATTATAAGAATATATCATGCAATTTATTATTGAATAAATTAAATTTTTTATAAAGTAAATTGCACAAAAGCGTTTTTTAAATCAATTCACAAGCATTTAAGTTTTACAAAAACTTCAATAAATCAAATCAATTTTACCATTTTGACTTTTGAAAATATTTATATATTTATATAAAATTTTTTTTTGACTAATTCCTCCTCATCCTTTATTGAGCGACCTGTTGCCATTTAGCCAAGGAAAGAGCTAAAGAATTTTTGAATAAAACTATTTGAGAATGTTTTATTAATTTATTTCATAATGATAATATCAAAAATTTTGTATATAAACTTTTTTATGTCTAGTTACATGAAATAGAGTATTATATTCTTTATGAAAGTCATAAAAAGTGACTGTAGGGTCTTGGCATGCTAAGCAAAGACAATTTTTATTGTAATAAATATACATTAATTCTTTTATGATTTTAATAACAGATTCTTTATTAACTATTTCTATATGATGCTGAAACGCATACACTTCTTTCTTTAGTTTGGTTAGAAAAAATCAAATTCGCCTAATCTGGCCAGTATATGAAATAGAAATTTCATCTTATCCAAAATTGTGCTAAATATTTTCAATGATTAAAATTTTAAAACCCTAAAGCAAAATTAAAATTTTTTTGATTTATTAAATTAATTTTCTTTATTTATACTTAAGTATTTCTTATAATAAGCTAACTAATTGTTTTTGATTGAATGTAAAAAATGCAAATGAAACTGACATAAACAATTTTACTTAATTTAAATCTTTTAGAATCGTTACATTTTTGTTGAAGTAGTCAAATTTTATAAAATCTCTAATCTGCTAGTTTCTGGTAATATCTATGATTTATCATTGAAATCAAGTTTAGCTGACTTGCTAATTATTAAATTTGTAATTAGCCAATCTATGCATTGAGTAAATGATCTTGATATCTCAATTCAAAGCAAAGTCTCAAAAAATTTTCTGAATAAGAATTATATAAATTCATAATATTAAGCTATTAAAACTCTATAATAGTATCTTTATTTTTATCTTTTTAGTAATAAAAATCTTAATCCCAAAGTTTAAATCTTCTCTAACTTCTGATTTAGTTATTTATTCAGCTTCATGGCTTAGAGTGCTTTACCAAAGACTTAAGGTTACCACTTCGTAGATTAGATTTCATTTAGGATAAATTATATGATATCATGGTGACTATCTTTCATGGTCTGCATAGTGGCTACTAATAGCAAAGCCTTTTCTATCATCTTTATCATTGATAATAAAAAAATTGAGAAGCAAAGCTATTGAAAAACAATGTCCAACACCCAAAAGATTTTACAAGATTTTAGTTTTGACGCAGCAGGCTCAAAAACTCTAACTATAACTATCCATTAACAAGCAAAATCATTAGTAAAAATCTTATATTTTTTGGTAAAACTAACAATCTAATTGATATAACTCATGACTATTGAAACGAAACATTTAATATAATATAAAGCCCAAATTGTTAATTAATTAAATTGCGCATTACTTTCTATTATTTGCTAATTAGGGTTTTTAATTTCCTAAAGTATAAAAATTCTGCATAAATATTTTAAACTAAGCCCTTTCGTAAGCGAGTAAAGCAACTTGCTCAGTCTTAAGAGTGAAATATAAAAGCTGAATAAATATAAAGTACTGATCGATTCAAAATTAGTTCACTTAGAAATATAATATTACTATTAGCAACTTCAAATGTTTTATAACTGACTCTTGAGTCTATCATTTTTAAATTTTATTTACTTAATGAAGATCATTTGATAAATTAAAAGCATTATTTTTATAATTTTAAGTACTAAAGAATTCTCTTTAGAATTGGCTATGCATATTTAGATATTTAAATTTCTAAAGATAATTTATTAGTCCCAAAAACATAAACAATCATAATTCAGTATACTGATTCTGTAATTATTCAAAAATTTAAGAAATGAAAAAGGAAAGAAACTAAAATTAACCATGTGTCTTAGTCAGCAGATATAGATTTCGAAGTCAAAACTCAGTCTAAATATTTCTCGGTCCTTTTTTTTGAACTCAGACTTCTATTCAAGATTCTTCATTCTTCCTATCAATTTCTAGTAATAAGCAACTCTTTGTTTACTTATAGAAAGGATATTATAATATTATTAAGCATCTTTAAGTTTTCTGCTATTAATTATTTATTCAAAAACATTATAAAATTGTTTTGTTCAAGCCTAAACTTGCTTTCTGAATTTATGCTGAGGCCTAAGGTTTTGAAACAATATTTCTTTTAAAAGATGCACTCTTTTCTAAAGGCTTTTTTATTTTTGAGTTACTTTCAAAGCAGCTGTGGCGTCTTTGCTTTATTATTTCTTTAACAGAGACTTCAAATTTTGTTAATAGCTGAACTTGTAAGTTTGAAAGAGAAGCAGTTTTCCTCATCGCATTTATATTCGGGAAATATTTTTTAAACCATTCACATCCAAGAGCTTCCTTTGCATTTGGCCTCATTTTAGGTTGAGACCTTGCAAGAAACAAAATAGCGTCTATTGCTTGCCTTGAAATGTTCTTTCAAAATTCTTTAGGAAATAATATAGAGCAATCTCTATTTCTAATTAAAGTTTCTTTTTGGGTTTTACCGGAAAAAGGTGCTCTTCCAGATAAAAGTATATACAAAACTACGCCAGCACTAAAAATATCAACTTTCGACCCATAAGGTCTTCTTTTAAGTATTTCTGGAGCGACATATCCAGGGGATCCGCAACTTTGTGTAAGATCAGCATCTATAAAGCATGCAAGCCCGAAATCACTGACTCCCCCCCCCTTTAAATTGGAACAAAATATAGGTAAAATTTCCACTTTTTTGGTAAATTAACCCCCCTTTAAATTGGAACAAAATTTAATTTTATAATAAAAAATTTTATATATATAAATCATAATTTTTATGTAAAAAGTTTTGATATAATTTAAATGTTTCTTCTTAACTAAAATTAAAAATTTAGTTGTATCCTGCTCTTGTTTAAAGAATAGAGTATAAAGAGCATCTTATTTAAATAAATTTATTATCCTTAATTGTAAATTTTTAAAAAAATTGGGTTTTTTTGTTTTTTAAAAAAATTTTATTTTTTTAGATAAAAATGATATTTTTTATTTAAATAGCTTTGATATAAATTCAATATGAATTCTTTACAAAAATTCAAAATTTACTTATCTCTTGCTTTATTTTAAAGAATTGAGTATAAAATAACATCTTATTTAAACAAAATTAACACTTTAATTAATAAATTTTTCTAAAATTTTTTTTTTTATTTTTTTTTTATCAATAAAAATAATAATTTTTGTGTAAATAGTTTTGATACCAATTAATAGTGGCGTATTAATTAATAATAAAATTTTAGTTATATCTTGCTTTGTTTTAAAGGATAAAGAGTAAATAGCATTTTATTAAACAAATTTATTAATCTAATTCGATAAATTTTTGAAATTTTTTTTTTTTTTAAATTTTATATAAAATTTTTTTTTATAAAAAATTTTATAATGATTTTTTTTTTTTAAAAAATTTTCTTACCCCCCTTCAAATTGGAACAAAATTTTAAGTTCCAATTTTAAAGGGGGGGGGAGTGAGTTTTATTTTATAGTCGTTATTATCAGAAACAAATAATATGTTTTCTAGCTTAATATCTCTATGAACAACATTTTTCGTTTGTAAATATTCAAGCACTTTTAGAAGATTTCTCATCAATTTAGCAGCATTCTCTTCAGTTAAAGGGCCTTTATTTAAAATCCTATGAAGTAAATCGCCACCTTGTGCGTAGTCAAGAACCATATGAACATGGTGTTCAGATTCATATATGCCATGAAGCTTGATTATATTCGGGTGATTCAGGGTTCTTAAAATCTCTATTTCGTTTACTAATATACCTCAAGCCTATTTTTGACTCGGGCTAATCGATGCATCGCGAAATTATTGGGGAGCTTAGCACGACAAACTTATGGAAAACTGGGCTTGCCATCTCTGAATTGTTTTACTAACAAATTTCGGTAATAATAAGTCCACAATGACGACGGGAAACATAGGGAGAGCCTATAATAGAAAATTTTTTTTGGTTTGAATTAAAGCTTTTTCTATTGACTTTACAGCGTAATCTTGGGAAGTTTCTACTTGTGTAGCTAGGTAAACCTGAGCAAAAGTTCCAGCTCCTAAGACTTTTTTAAAATCATAGTCATTTTTTATATCAGTCATTATTCCAATTTTTGATAAACAAGTAAGCCAATTGTCAAGATCATCTGGGAAATTGGTGTAAAAGTGACGGCATAATGCACCTTGGGTAACCCTGAAGCCATACTTTTTGCTTTTGCTGCCTTCTTCAATGAAAGGCTCAATTACCTTCCACTTTAGCGAAGAAACCTTCGTAAATGGCTGATTATCAGTTTTTGCTCTTAAAAAAGAAAAATTTGATAGGCAGTAATATCGTTCTTTAAACGTATTTTTTGGTGTCAGTTCTGTCAAAAATCCTTTTATAAGTATGCTTGAATTAACTGTACAGTTTGAGTTTGATAAATCGCTTCAAAAATCAAGGTTTCCTGGCTGATCAAATAGAGCAAATATAGATAACATTTTTTTTATTAAAAAATCAATTATTTTCAGTTATTAATAGAAAGAGATAAGTCTTTCGGCTATGATAATCAAAAATACCGGAAACTATTTCCGGGAAAAACCGACGTAATAGTAAAACAATTTTTTAGCATAAATTATTTTATATGCATTAGCTCTCCTTCTCCATAATCCTCATTCACGTCTCCTTCATCAGGCCAGCCTTTCTCATTATCCACTCCTCAAGGCTCTCTTCAAGATAGTAAGGAACCAGTTCCTGAAGGCGAGTTTATTGCCAATCATTCAAAAACCCTCGCACTCAAGATTTTTACCGTGTAATTATGCTGCTGCCTTTATCTCGTATCATCAAATGGATTTAAAAATTTTATTTTTTTGATTTCTCTGCTGAATTTCTGGCTTGATGACTACTCCATAAAAATATTCAAATTGAATAAATAATAAAATATAAATAATGCAATAAATAAATATCAAACTTTGCATAATTATGGATATATCACAAAAATAAGTATTTCATTTTTCTTCCATTTACAACATCTTTAAGTTTTATCTCTAATCTTGAATTATATTAATAAAATGTCGAAATATGCTTTATTAGCTGGAATGGGATTACTTTTCATTTCAGCATCAGGTAAATTCTTAATGCGAGGAATCCGACAATATAAATTAAACAAAGCTGCAGGAAATCCTTTTGACTCTTCTAAAATCAAGACATATATGGGTGGATTCAACACTCCAATGACACGAAAAGAAGCAGCATTAATTTTGGGAATTAAAGAAAGAAGCTCAGAAGACATCGTATTCCAAGCATATAAACGTATTATGATGCTAAATCACCCAGACAATGGCGGATCAACATACATGGCCATGAAAATCAATGAAGCCAAAAATTTACTAACATTAAAGTAATTTTCCATTTACATAATTTAATATGGCAAATATTCCTTATTATGCAGTATAAATAAAATGGTGACGCTGATGGAAGATGGACTCTGAGGTGACACTTCATGATAGAGTAGTAGACAGTTGAGAGAGGTGGCGTTACTTCTCCTTGGACTCTCTCAAAAGGAAGCCTGCCCAAAGCAGGGTGTTTTGTTTTCCCCGAGGGTTTTCCCTGTCCCTGCCAGATGGGCATATACATTAAAATGGCGGCACATGTCAGCATGCCCACTTGGCGCAGCAGTCCAGACCTTATGGCTACCGCAAACTGGGATGGACTACGAGCTGAGAATCAAGTGCAAGCTCAAGAGGTGTGTATCTGGGTAGGTTTTGGCTGCTTTCGCTTTCCTGTGGTTGGAAATGGAGGTGCTCAAAACGTCCTTTGGATCCGAGGACCTATGGGCATCCTCGCCGAGAAACTGGGGGTTTCGGCTCAGCCTCAGAGGAGTAGTCTTTTTTCTGTAGCTGCCGAAGAAAAGCAGTTCGAACCCGATAGATTCCAAGGAGCTGATCCTTAGAATCAAGCTACTCCAATCGCCTGCAGCCGCAGAAATCCGTAAGCCGCCCACTCAAGACTGAAGCCACAAGGCAAGGAGGAGACAGAAGATACTGGAAGGGCACTCGCAAGAGGGATAGACCCTCTTGGCTGGAGTCGAAAAGCGGTAGAACCTTCCGTACGGGAGGTCTTTGGTGACTGCGTCACCAATATGGCTAGCGCCTGACTTTAATAATCCTAATCCCTGCCAGATTGGCTTTACATGTTTTGCCTGCCACATGATCTTTCCTCATCGGGACTATCCGGTGCTATCTAGGAGAGGCTCTGTCCAAGGCGAGCTAATCCCCCTGGAATAATGATTCAGGTCGGAAATCCAAAAGGGTCGCCATGCCACTTTTGGAGCCGAGAAGGGGTAATGGTCAGCGCCTTCGGAGCACTTATGGTTGTACTTAACTAACTAAGAACTATCTTATTATATCGTCCCTCCATGCATTCCAATTCGTAAAAAAATAGTTGATGCCCAAACAGAGCTTTATAGGTCCCAAAAGAAACTTTTATATGAAGAACCTCCAATAATGATTTCTTATTATAAGAGCTTTATATCAAGAAAAAGTATTGAATTTTTTTTCGAAAATGTATTGAGACCAATGGAGTTATTTACTGATATAGAGACTTATAAAAAGAAAGAGGCTTTTTACAACCTTTATCACATTAAAACTTATATGCACATGGTCATAAAAGCACTCATTTGTGGGGTAGGAGCTTATTTTTCAATCAAAGTAGACCCTGAGTGGCTTTGGAAATACAAACTTATTTATATTCCGTATTTTCCTATTAAAGATCTCGTAAAAAGATTTGCGATAATCGCAGTTACTGGATTTTTTTATAAACAGTCTTATAGATTGGTGCCATGGGTAATTTGTTTGTGGTATCCAAATATTCTTGCTGACTTGCAGATTGGAAGTGACTTTGAGTTAGGGTACTGGACGCAGAAATTTGTTAAAGGAATTTAAGTTAAAATTGCAAATTAATTTTTTTTGTCTAAAACTGCAACTATAGCTGTTAAAACTTCTTCTAGACTTATACAAACTTTGGAAGAATCTACATATGGCTGGATTTCTATGCTTTTTAATATAAATTTTTAATTGAAAACTTCAATAATATTATTTATTACTAAAACTTTTATCATCTGTATTCATCTAACTAGGGGATACTACACTACTAGTTAATTCCCTAGTATTGAAAGTTGGAAATCCATTTAATTCTTGTTTCAACTTATTTACCATTCTTTTCAACTCGCTTGGCTTTTTAGGGTCCTCATTTCTAGCTGAAGCAGGCTTTGATTTGATAAATGAAGCCATTTTGAAAAATCTTTGAATTATTTGACAAGCTTGTGAAGTTTTTTCAGCAGAAAGTCTAAAACTTTGATCTTGAGGTGGTGGACTGTCAGCTATAGATCTGAGTTCTGGGGAATGGCGTTCTATTCTTGATTTAATTCTGCTTATATCGATCTCTCTCTGTTTTACCTGCAATTGGCTTCCTTTGACAACATTTTTTAGTATTTCTATTTGTTGCTCTTTTTCTTGAAGCTCCTTTATATTTTTTTCCATTTGCTTTGTAAAGTTTTTATTTTGCTCACTTTCAAATTCACTTACTTTTACCTGTAATTTTTCGGCTTGGGTTTGGTACTGTAAAGCGAGCTTTTTATATTTTATTGCATTTGTGTCTTTTTTAGAGATCTCATCACGCAAAACTTGGATAGTATTTGCGTATTTTTTACATAACCATAAGCTTCATGGCTAAGGGCATTGATTCAGTAAAATTTATTAGTTTATTTAAAACATAAAAGTTTTATCAAATACTGGCTCACATTTTTAATTAAAATTAGTCATTATAAATCTTTTTCGTTTTTAATATTATTTTCCAAATCAAAAAATTTCTGTTTTAGATTTTTATATTTTTCATTGAGTTCTGCAAATGATTTTTCTAGCTGATTTTTAATTATATGCTCTGCTGCAAGTTTATCATTAATTTTTTTCGTTTTTGCCTCTGAGCTCATTAGTTTTGCTTGAACATTATTCGCTACATTATCTAATTGATTTAAATCCGATCTTAATGCTTGTATATTTTTGCTATATTCTATTTCATTGATGTTCAAAAATGCGTGCCCTATTGCCATATCGATTTCAATATGCCTTTTAATAATGCATACTCTTAAAATAATAAATGTAGTATAATTGGCTTTTTAAATATTCATTATGCTGATAAATTGCTTCGATTTTCTTTTGGCCAATCTCTGCAGCCTCAAGTTCCTGCCTTTTGAGTAGCTCTATTAATTCTTTTTGTCCTTTAACCTGATTTATCAAAGGATTGCTAATTTTTTCTAATTCTTGGACTCTAAGTTCCAATTTTTTTATTTGGTCTTTTAAGCCATTGATAATTTCATCAGAGTTTTTTGTGAAATAATTTTTCTCTGGCCTTGTTTCAATTCTATTGATTATATCAGTCTTTATATGGGTTATCATATTAGCCCCTATCTCGATTTTTCCTTTATTAAATTCGTTTATAGCACTATTTATTCTTTCTAGTGCTATCCTTAAAAAATCGCAAGTTTCTTGAGTATAGCTTTGCAAAGCCCCTGACAAATTTGAAAAACTTTCTTGGCTTTTTTGATAATTAATCATATATTCCTGTAAACTATTTTCCAGTTCTTCAACGTTTGCGGCTTTGACCTGCAACTCATAAGATTTTATAGTCAAGTCTGAAAAATCATTATTTAATTTTTCTATTTTGCCTGTCAGATCTTTATTAATTTCACTCATTTTTTCTATAACTTCTGATAACTGTTTCACGTCATCCCGTGCATCTTCTGAATCTTTAGTTTTTTGTTTTATTTGATTTTTTAAATGCTCTATTTCTTCTGAGATTGCTTCATTCAAGATTTCTAACTGCTCTTTTTCATGAGCCATATATATAAAAATGGTGACGACAGACCACCCGACCTCTCGACCCTATTTCTTCAACAGCAGCAGGCAACGGCCCAGTGTTGCAGATTTAGGTGGAAAGGGCCGGTAATCCTTTATGTATGATCGGGCTGGGTTTTCTTGGCCCGAGAGCTAATTCTCGGACTTGAAGTTTTTCCTCCAGGACAACCATTGGAAAGGGCAAGGTCGGCCATTGTCTGAAGGGCAATATGACCCTCAGACCCTGCAGACGGTATTTGCCCAACGAGAAACTGGGAGTTTCGACCCAGGTGGTTGGCCCTTAGACTCCAGAAGCCATGGAAGTCAAGACTGGTTGCGCGAATCCCTTGTTTGAGGCAACAAGGAGGTGTCCGCCGAGGCTCCTCAGGAGCGATGAGTGTGTAGGGGTGCGAATCCCCGGCCCTGCAAGGCAAACGGCTTAATCTAATCTAATCTAACTGTTCTTTTTCATGAGCCCAATTTTGAGATTCTTTGAAATATTTTTCTTGGAAATCTAGTAACTTCTCTTCTAGTAAAGAATTTTCAGATTGAAGGTCAATGATTATTTGCTTCTTATTAGGAGAATGATTAGGGGAGACATTTTCTAATGGCTTGCTTTTCAATTGAAGTTTGGACTACATATTATTTTATTAGAACGGTTTATAGTGTGGCATTTCCTTGTGGAAATTTACTCTGAATTTGTTGATAGCTAGATATTACTTGAGGAAAAAACCACAGATTTCTATAAAACGTTTATGAAACAATAATTTGACTAATAATGTCGAGGAAATTTCACACGATTAAGTGCTGATCAAAATTAAGCACCGGAAGTTTGAGAGTTTCGATTTCTTTATTTATGCTACTTTAATAGAAATTTATAGCAAAATTAATTATATGATATAGAAGTCTATACAGTCTAATACAAAATAATTCTGATATAATATCATCTCTGGATTTTAGCTGCATAACGACTTCATCTTTGAAATCTGAAGTCTGCTCTTGAAGCGTTTCCAAAATTCGTTTGCGAGCATTGATACGGTCATTTATTGAGTTTAAAACTTCAGTAGGATCTTTTATAGGTCTTGCTTGCTTTGACTTAGATCTTCCATGACTCATTTGTTTATTCCCTTCCCCCCCTTATGTGAGCGAATAAAAAATTTTATTTTTAATTTTTTTTTAAAACTTTTATATATCAATTTTATAGTAAATTTTTTTTAGAAATTTAACAATATCCCAATTCGCAAAAATTGGAATTTAATTTGTAAAAATTTATTTTTTAAACACACAAGCTGTTTTAATTAAATAGAGATTTCATTATATCACTTTTATATCAAATATTTTTTTTATAAAAAAATTTGGTTCATGGGAGGTTGATTTTAGGGCAAAAAATAGGAATTACTCCAATATTTTATTCGCTAACTGAGGGGAATTTAATAAAATATAGAGAGAGTAAAATAAAATTAATGACCATTTTAGCTAATTTTTCAAGTGTATTCTTATTATATGTGATATAAACATATTTTTTCTATATAAAAAATTTTAACAAATTACAGAAAATTTTTAAAAATAAATAATTTCTTTTTTGAAAAAATAGCGATCACCAATTATATGGAATTTTCATTAGAAAATCGAAAAAATAGAATTCCCCTTATTAATATGATTTTCCTATATATTCCATAATGCTAGTGAAATCTAAATATGTTGGCTGTGGAAATAAGTGATCCATTGTAGTAATATTAATATGGCTGACTTTGACGAGCCTCTCTGTGGATGTCTACAAGATATGTTCAGTTGTCTCATTGTATTCTGTGTTCCTTGCGGCGGGCTTTGCATACAGGCTTATGCAGTTGACAAGGCAACGCAATCTGGAATGGTAGTTCCTTTTCTTTGGCCTTTATTGACATGCTGTATTGGAGCAGCTGTTAACCGTGGCCAAATAAGGCAGAAATACCATCTCGAAGGGTCTTTTATCATGGATTGCCTGTTATCATGGCTTTGTGGCTGTTGTACCACGACTCAAGAATACCGTGAAGTTATGAATAGAGAAAGACCTAAATAAAAGATAATCTTAACTAATTTACTAAAATTCGAATTCTTATTAGAAATTATTTTACATATATAATTATGGGTGATAACTTTAGATCTGGGCCTCAAAAATATAAAAACTCAAGGAAAAGAGAGCAAACTGAAAAGACACCTTGGTGGGAAAAATTGCAAACTGAATTAAATAATCGATGGAAAACGCTAGAAAGTGACCCTTCAGTAGAAATTTATAATGAGCCTGCATTGCCTCAAGCACGAACGACAAACATTAACTTTTTCGAAGAAATGAATAGATTGTGTGAAATAAACAAAAATAGCTAGTTAATTATTTTTTATATATTGTGGAGCATGGCTGTAGTCTGCTGCAACTCTAACTGTGTATTTTCCGTCTTTTAGTTCTGAAATGGTTATTGCGCAATGCCCTTCATGAACTATCCGAAAAGTCGTATTTTTCATGAATCCTGTTATTGCTTCTAGTCCAAAAAAGTGAGTAACTATTATGATCACGTCTTCTTCTAAAGAATTTATATGGTTAATAAAGCTATAGGGGTTTTCCCTATATGGCCTGATAAGAGCCGTGGGTTCTCCGTAGAATCCCTTTGTTGGTTTGACCAATTCACTGGCTGATTCAACCAGCAGAGGGATTTCACTGAGAACCCATGGCCCTTATCGGGCCATATAGGGAAAACCCTATAGAATTTGTTCTTGATTCCATTACTTCGTAAGTTTCTGGGAAAGTTGGCTTTGGAGTTAGACTTTCTGTATATTGCACATTAAATTTACTTGAGAACCATTCTGTAGCATAAGTGAGCTCTGTTGGTGCTGATGAAAAGTGAATTGGGTTTAAAAAATCTCCAAATCCTCAGTCTATAATTAAAGGCTTATTAAATTGTGAGGATAATGGGATTGCAGTTTGAATGCAGGCCAGATAAGGTGATGTAATAATTTTCACTGATTTTCCTGCAGGGATAAGATGGGATAATAATTGTGATGATCTATCAGATTGAAGGATGCCTAGCTCAGTTAATGCTGGATCACCTCGGATCGGATATTCTGGGCGAAATCGGGGATGAACGCTTTCTGCTAGCTGTCCATGCTGTAGAATAAAAATTGTTTTGCCCTGGTAATCCATTTTAAGAAATCTGATAGATTAAGTTAGTATAATGTGACATTAATTTTTATGATTCAGCTTTAATCTTGGTGCTTTCGATAAACTCATAAACATATTTCAGCTCTGTTTCTATGTCTTCTATTGATTCGTCTCAGTTTTGAGTTCCATTTATATTTTCTCCCAACTGATGCTGCAAAATCTGTATGTGCTGCTTATGTTTTTTTATTCTAAATAAATCTTACTCAGCTTTCAAATAATTTGTTTCATTTATCAGAGCTTCTTCTTCGACTTTTACATTATTTCATTTTTTAATATAATATTTCAGCCTATTTTTTTCGTTTTTTAATTTTGGCCCTATTTCTGAGCTCTGTTTTTCAATATCTTCTAAAGCAGAATCTCGACTTGCTCCTATAATTAATGAAGCAAATTCCTGAGCTTCCTTTTTAGATAAATGAACCCCGCTTCTGTTATCTAAAATTTTATCCAAAACACTTTTATGGTTATGAATAAAAGTTACATCTTTTATTTTGAAGTTTGAATTGTTTTCTCTGATCAATATGTTTAAATTATTTGAAGACCCAGACCGTTTGCTTTTGATGTGCTTTTTGATAATTTTGATTATCCTGTTTGCGTAGTTTATTTTCTCAGACGTATCCAGTAGAGATATATCAGGAAAGTCTCATAATAAATGCTCTGAAATCATGTATTTGAGTAAAGAGTTAAGCAAATTTGTGACTTCTTCAATGGTAGAAGATGCTGAAATTTCGATCGGAAAAAAGGAAAAAAAAATTTTGTTATTAGGGGAAGCTATTTCTGATGATTTATAAAATGATGGGGAATTTTTAAACTGAAACTGTGTAGATCTTGGAGTCGGGGCTGTTGAAGTTGTTGATATTATTGTAGAACGATCACTTCGAGCTTGCAGCGAGATATCAGAATTTTTAGACATTTTAAACCATAAAGTCATATTTGGAAAAAATCAAATTTGCCTGTGTGGCTAAGGCGAAATATGGAGGTAAAAAAAAGAAATAAGAAGACAGTTGCGAAATTTAGAAGAATTCTAAATAATTAATCAATATTCAGCGTCTTCAAGGTAATTTTGTTTTCAGGAAACCTTGATAAACGGTTCTAATTTTTTGCATTACAAAATTATGCATAGATATTTTATTTAAATAATTTTTCTAGTTTACTATATTATTTTGATTTAGATTTATAATATGAATTGCTTTATTCTTTAAAATTTATTACATTTCAACTTACTATCGGGACTTAGGTTTATAACAGAGATATGTTGTGATAATTAAAATTTACATATTAAATTAATGACCTCCGCCTGTTCCACTATTATTTCTTTCGATTTCGTCAGAAGTTTCATTATTCTTTCCACCTGTCGAATCTTTTTGAGAGTCTTCAGAATCCGAAAATTTTAAAAGATGGTGAGGTGTGTAAGGTCCAGGGTGATTGGTGAGTTGATCTCAGCTCCAGATAAGCGGATCCTATGCTTTTAGGAAGCCCAGGCTGGGTTTTGCTTGCTAGGACCCTAAAGTAGGCTATTTTTCTCGATTCACAGACGACAAACCCAAGAGGAAAAGCCAACTTATGCCTCTGGGAATCAATTATGCACCTAAGAGTAAGGTAGTCCAGCAGGATACATTAGACGCTTCGCTCGTACTCTGAGCACTAACAGGGGTTGACGGAGTCAAATGTCACAGGCTAGACCTCAGCATGGCGAGCGAGTCTCCCTGAGAGACTACTGATGTCGACAATAAAAAGTGCAGGGTGTAACGCCAGTGGTTTAGGGCACCCGAACTTGAAGCCAGCCTTGAACGGAGAGGCTGAAATAATACCAGGAGCTCGCTACATTATTTCTGATCTAATCAGAATCCGAATAAATTCCATATAAATCATAGGAAGATATAATAATTTCTTCAGGATTAATAGATTCACTCTCAGACTTTATGGAGTTCTCATTTGTGATTTTAGTAAGCTTTGATGACAATTCTGAATATTTAACAGGATAAGAAATTTCCTTATGCTTAAAATCTTGAAATTCATCAAATTTTTGGTATTTTTCAGGCTTTGGGGTTGGCTCTGTCATGATTATGTTTGATATATTATTCAAATCTTCTTCTGGAGGAAGTTGTAACGGGCCCTGAGGAATAATTCCAATTTGTAATCTTTTTTCAGTGCTTTGCTTTGAGTTTCTCATATTTGATGATGAGCGGGGTCTACTTTGTTTTTGTGAATTGCTATCAAAGCCTGCTATATGTGGAGTTTTTGCTCTTTTACTTCTAAAGGATGTATCCATTTTTCGGCTGCTTCTTATGGACTTTTTGGTAGCTGCCATATCTGATCTTATCTTATTAGATAGACGGGCTCGTGCCCTTAATTTTAACGCAATCACCGAGGATCCCCTGGGGGATTCACCCGCTTTGCGACCTTCCTCTGTCCGGTCTCCTCCTTGCTTCTTGTAAAAAGCTCCAGTGTTGAGTGGCAGGCTACGGTTTGTTTGTGCGGCCTCCTGAGGCTGTGGGTTACGAGGTTGGCATCCCGAAATCCAAAAAAATGGAATTTCTGGTAGCCTCGGCAAAAGGGTTAAGTCCAGATCCTGGGACGTGGCGCCCAGTTCACGCTAGGCAGTTGCCCGATTGGTCTAGGTATTCCCTGTAGACTCTGCTGGGCTTGCCTTTCCAAATCTGGACCCTCCTTTTCCTCGAGGTAAAAACTAGTCTCGAATTGGGCTTGGGCTAGGCTCTGCTACCTGCAGAATTGGTTACCATAGCATTGCTGCCCTTTTCAAGGCTAGAAAAACCTTGCCGGATATAATTAAATATGTGTTGAGGCTGTATGGCCGAGAGGCCATACCTAGATAAAGACGACATATTTAATTATGGTAGCTGCCATATCATTTTTATAATTCTTTTCAAATGAAGCTTTTATGTGATTATATAAAGGGCATTCATGAGGAATAAAATGTCTAGCTAGATCAATAGCTTTTTTGTGCCAGTTTTTACCTTCTTTGCCTTTAAATTGAGATTTTTCGACTCCAGCTAAAAATCTTATTTCTGTGGCTAAGCAGAAATGGCTGACCATAAGCAGAAAGATTTTATCAAACATTAAATCTCTGGTCAGTTCAGACTGGATTCCATACTCTATTTCAATTAAATTTATTGCATTAATAAATAATTAATAATCCTAATTTTTCTATAAAACAATGAAAGTCATTTACTCTTATCATTTGATTTTAAGTCAAAAAGCGTAATTTTATGCAAATTCATCACATCTTCAATATTATACGTATAAATTCAGTCATTATGATGATGCACCCCTAGCACATTTCTCAGCTCAATTTTTGGAGGTTTTGAGCTGTTTTTTTTCCCTGTGTTTTTTTCCTTCAATTTTTCATCAAGAAATTCCAAAATCGGCAGTGACTTTATGACGGAGTCATGGAAATTCTTATAATGGGGACTTTCAAATAGTTTATATTGTGGATGTTCTAATACTCTTGACCTGAACCTTGACGAACTGATAATTTTTCTATGCCTTTGCAGATGATCTATACATGCATTCAAACAGTCATTAATTATAGCATGACTTTTCTTAACAGCCAATTTTGCATGATTTAGAGCCGCTTCATGCTTATTTAATTGCGATAAAACTGCACAGAGCTGTATATGGGCCCGACATTCATATTTTGCCTTTTTAAGCTTGTTTGCAAGAGTATTTGATTTATTTTTGTCAGTGGTCACTAAGAATTTCGACTTTATATTGTAAAGACAGCCATCTAGATATGACGCGCAGTCATCAAGAAGTCCGAGCCTAATAAACAGTTACTTTTGAAAACATAGCGCTGAGTTGTGTATTGTCAGTAAAATAAAATCTGGATCTACAAAGCCGCCTTGGGTAGTTATCGCTTCTAAAAGTTCTTCACTTTGAGAGAGAGCATTCAGACTAAACGATTATGCTGGCCATAAGCTGACAAGCCAGTCGTCGTCACCTTCTTGACTCCTAAATGCCACCCTTTTGGATTCCCAACCTAATCCACCTGTCCAAGGAATTAGCTCCGAGGGCAGGGCCATCATCTTTGAGGTACCCGGATGGTTTGATCATGTAGTGGGCAAAATCCGCCTAGCCCAGGGCAGGAAAACCTTAGGCAGAGAAATAAACACCTGTTTGGCAGGCTCCATATAGAAATGGTCTGCTTAACTCACAAAGAGCTTACTTCGCTACCCATCGCGCCTGTCCACCGCTTCATCAGAAAGTGTCGCCTTGGAGTCTTATTTCGTCAACGTCACCATTTTATTTCTATAGCATTCAAGGCATTTTCAAATTCCTCTTTTTCAATGAAATAAATAGCAGCGCTTGAGTAGTCTGTCAATAGTTTTGGGATATCGCCTGAGTTATAAATACCTTCGGAAACAATGTTTTCATAATCGCTATCCATATTATTTTTGTTTATTTTGTCCTTGTAAAGTCCAAGATTTCATTATTTTTGAATTATAAAAAGAAAGGAAGGTATAAGAAATCTTTGGAAGAAATATGAAAAATATGCTATAATATAATTTATTAGCATCACAATATAAAATTTTGGCAGTTAAATTTCGATAAATAATTAAATCTTTATCCTCTAATAATTTTCTCAACATTTCAAATCCACAAATTTTCTTCCAAACCAATTTTCTCTCCCTTATCTTCTATCTATCTTTCTCAGCTACAAATTCTCCTGAATCTCTTATTAAGCCTTTTCCCCTAGTAAACACATCTATCCTTATTGATTAAAAAGCGGTTAATCTCTATTCATATTTAAATTAAAAAGCATCGTTAATGTCAAGATCTGAAAACATTCATGTCTCTCTCCGTTTTCGCCCTCTGAACACCCGTGAAATTGACGATTATGAATCAAGCATTTGAAATATTTCCAAAAATTCGGTCTCAATCAAGCCTGAGTATGCCCAAATTTTGCTTGAATCCAAACGCCTAACACGACCTCCAAAAGGTTATACTTATAACCATTGTTTTGCACCTAGAGACTCGAACCAATTTGTATATGATGCAATTGGGAAACGAGTGGTGCTTGCATCATTGGAAGGCTACAACGGGACAATTTTTGCATATGGGCAAACAGGGAGTGGGAAAACTTTTACTATGATGGGAGCTGATGAGGACGAAAATGAGGTAAATGAAGAAAGGAAAATACTGAACGCGACACCTTCTTTGAAGAAAGATAGGAGATCAGTTTCGCCGCTGTTTCGACCAAGCTCATCTTTTCAAAAAACAACTCCTGCACCTCCTGCGATCATCCCAGTTGGGATCAAAGATAAAGGGATTATTTCTTTAGCGCTGGATGACTTATTTGCAAATATAAAAAAATTTCCTGAAAAAACATATTTTTTGACTTGCAGCTATTTAGAAATTTATAATGAACAAGTTTTTGATTTGCTGTCAGAATCAGCGCAATTTAAAGGGGATATACTGAGTATCAACGAAGATCCGACCAAAGGATTTTACGTGAAAGGCTTAAGCGAGCATGTAATAAATTCAATAGAAGAAGTTAAAAGTTTTTTAGAAAAAGGTGAGTCAAATAGGAAATATGCAGCCACAGCTATGAACCATCATAGTTCTCGTTCACACACAATCTTTAGGCTAAACGTGACAAGTGTAACAGTTTTAGAAAACTTCGAAAATGATGAAAATGGTAACAGCATTACAACTGAAAGTGTATTAAATTTTGTCGACTTAGCAGGCTCCGAAAGAGTTAGCAACCTCCAGCAAGATGTTTCTTCAGATAATCTCAAGAAAAAAGCAAAAAATTCTCTTGACACTTTGGTTACTGAAGGGAAGCACATAAATACAAGCTTATTTTACTTATGCCAAGTAATTCATAGGCTTTCGGAAAAAGATACAATAAAATCAGAAACGCACATTCCATACAGAAACTCAAATTTAACCAAAATCCTGAGATCTTCATTAGGTGGGAATTCTTTGACCTGCATCATCTGTACAGCAACACCTACTTTATCTCAATTTGAGATGACATTAAGCACTCTTCGCTTTGGAGGTATAGCTAAGACTATCACAAATAAAGTAGAAGCTAATGTGACTTCCAATAAAAATGCTGAGCTTCTTCAAGCTTACCAGCATGATATTGAGCAGCTTAAAAAAGACCTTGAAATTGCTCAGCAAGGCGGAAAAGCAAAGATTGATGAAGCGATCCAAGCGAAAAAGCAGCTTGAAGAAAGGATTTCGAAGCTGATACAAATGCTCCTAAACCAGTCAAGAAATAACATACAAAAGCCAGTGAGTGGGATTTCTCAGCCATCTTCGCGTGATTTATGGTGTAAACAAGTTGGTGAATTGATCATTGACTTTCGGTTAGAAAATCATGATTATCTTAACAAAATTAATGAAAGCGAAACAAATCAACTAAGATTTGACGATAAAGGCTCCATGGCAATGGAAAGAATGAAATCTATGCATATCGAATTGAAAAATAAAGACACTCAAATTCAAGAACTAAAAGACTGCAAGCAAGCACTAATTGATTCAAAAGCAAATTTGAAAAATGACTTGAAAAAAGCTTTAACATTGTGCAAAGAATTGTCAGATAAGAAGCAAGCTTATAAAGTCAAATGCAAAAAGCTACATAAGCATAATAAAAATTTGGAGCAGAGGCTGAATTTGATAGAAAAACAGATAGGACTAGAAAAGTTGTCATCAGAACAGCTACAACAATTAGAAGCATTTTTCTTCCATTCTTTAGATGCAGTCAAAAACGCAAGATTTAGAAAAAAATACGAAAATAAGCTTAGCTTGATTACTCATCAAGAGTCCACAATTGCAGAGTCCCCTGTCCATAGAGTAAATGGCAGGCTGTTTTGCCACTTTGGAGGAGAAGATTTAACATCTTCAGGTAGCGACTCAGAGTCCTCTCTTGAATTTGAAACTTCTTTTTACAAAAATAAGAAGTTCGGTGAAAGGAGCTTTGCAGCGAGCTTTAACTCGCAAGATATCAGCGCCTTAATGCTTGGTAGTTTAATAGAAAACGACTATGAAGATTCCCCTAAAAAAGACTTGAGTAAAGTCGATGTAAATGTTGGGTTGAGGAAGGAGCCACTGTTAGAAATTCCACAAAATTCGGAAAAATGGTTGTAATTATTTTAAAATTTAGTAATTTTAAACTCTAGATAGTTCGTTTTATTATAAATCTTTGATTTCTTTTGTTGTTTTATCTTTTAAATTAAATTCTACCAATTTTTGTCTAGCTTGGATGAAATAGACTTTATCTTTATATCTCACTGAGTGAGAAAAACCAGAGTAATTATTCAAATCATTCGTCCCAATGATTTCTCAATTTGAGAGGTCGCTGCTTCTGTTTGTATAAGTATTTCCACGGACTTCAATGATATAAACTGAGCATCTAACTGTAAAAATATTTTTGAAGATATGCCCATTCAGAGTGAGATTTTTGATAGAATCAAGTGATTCATTATTAATATCATATTTCATAAGTTTAGTAAAGTAGTAACCAGTAATTAAAATATTGTCCGTAATTAGCGCACAAGTAGTCTGCAGCATAGATATTGCATTTAACGGCGCACATTCTTCTCATGTATTTAGCGTAAGATTGTATTTCACAGATAATGAAGACTCATGTCCTCCTATAGCATAAATATAGTTCTTATAATAAGTAAGACTAATCCTTCCAGCTGGCGGCCCTGAAGGCAGTTGCATTATATTTTTATTTTTGCTAATAAGAAAAGCTTCACCTATATATTCTGTTCCTGTTCATCCTCCATAGAAAAATGTTGATTGATTGCAGGGTATATAGACAGATCCGAAAGAAAAAAGTTTGTGTGATAAATCATAGTGCTTGGTAGTAAGCAGAGAATCCAGATTTAAAGTAAGGACTTCACAAGTGCTTCCTTTTATAAATACCAGCTCATTAAATTTCCTGCGGTTTGCCTCCGTTTCAGATACTAATTTTAAACGCTTACAAGTAGCTCCTAGCAAAGATATTTCGTCTTGGTCTAAAAACTCTAAAATAATATTCAGTAAGTTGGATGATAATCCGTCTAAGTTTATCTCTCGCTTTTTTGTCTCCATCTAAAGTAATTTATATTTATTTTTATCATAGAGTTATATTTTTTATATCTCTGAAATAAAGCAAATTTCACTAATTAAACTCTGTGGAATAAAAGTCTGCTGAGCGAGTTTATCTGCTAGCAACCAAATCATATTTTAGGTTTTAAAGAAAATACAGCAAAGAAGGTTCCATTTATACGATAACAAAATGGCTTTTGCTGATGTAAACAGTATGGTATTCTAGATAAGGATGTGATGTGTTTTAGAAAACAAAAAGTTTTGATGTCCTTCATGGCTGAGCTTAAATCTTTGGCAGTAGAACTAGCATATATACAAGTTTTAAGTCCTCCGAATGAACTAATATTTGGCCAATTAATTTCAGTTTTAGAGGCTAAAATAATTAAAATTTGGCGGATAAAATACAAATTTAGCATATATTTATTAATCCTTTTTTATAATTATTTTGGTAAATACATAAATTTCTATATATTTTTATAATTTAATTGATGACATATTAAATAAAGGTTCCTAAAATCTCTTCATTAATTCCTAAAATTTATAAATTCAATAAATTTAATTTTTATGAGCTAATCTGCTCTTTGGATTTTAGATTTTTTATTTCAGTAATTCGAATTTCTGATTGTTGATATAAATGGAACAAACAACTTCACCAACAGCGTGGTACAATCCTAAAATTCACGTAGAGCGGCTCTGCAGGTGGCATTTACACATGCAGAGCACTTTTGGAAACACAACTCTCATAGTTTTATTCTTGGTATACTTCGCCCAAGGCTTGCGAAACTTTATTACTCTGGCAATCACCCTTTTTTACAAAGACATTCTCGAGCTTCCTCCTGATGCGACGCAGTTTTTGAAATCCCTAATATGGATAGCTTGGTACATTAAGCCAATTTTTGGATTATTGAGTGATAATATTCCAATCTTTGGCTATCACAGAAAGAGCTATTTGTTTTTATCTGGGATCATGGGAATAGTCGCTTATATAGGAATGCTCTTTATTGAGACAGAACTTGAGTCAGTGATTCTCCTGATGATCAGTGAAGTAGGACAATGCATAGCAGACATAATTGCCGACGCAATCATGGTTGAAGCCTCAAGAAAAGACCTAGAAGTTGGCTCAGGGAGATTGCAGAGCTATTGTTGGTTTTCTTTCGCTTTGGGCGGCTTAATTGGAGGTACATTAGGAGGTATGGCTCTGGACTACATGTCTCCTCAACATGTATTGGCTTGCCTTGTAGTGTGTCCTATGATTTTGCTTGTAGTCTCGATCTGTATTAAAGAAAATAATGATAAAACTCATCTCTCCTGGGCTACAATTCTAGAAAAACTTAGAAAAGTTGGCAAAGCTTTCACAGACTCTGCCATCCTTAAAGCCTTGCTAGTAATTTTCATTGCAAGAAGCTGTTCTCCGTCTTTTTCTGAGTTAATGTCTTATTTTATGAGGGACGAGTTAAAGTTCTCACTCCCCCCCTTTAAATTGGAACTAAAAATTTTGTTCCAATTTAAAGGGGGGTTAAGAAAAATTTTTTTAAAAAAAAATTTATATGAAATTTAAAAAAAAAAAATTCAAAAAATTTATCGAATTAGATTAATAAATTTGTTTAATAAAATGCTTTACTCTTTATCCTTTAAAACAAAGCAAGATATAACTAAAATTTTATTATTAATTAATACGCCACTATTAATTGGTATCAAAGCTATTTACACAAAAAATTATTATTTTTATTGATAAAAAAAAATTAAAAAAACAACATTTTAGAAAATTTATCAATCAAAGTGCTAATTTTGTTTAAATAAGATGTTATTTATACTCTATTCTTTAAAATAAAGCAAGAGATAAGTAAATTTTGAATTTTTGTATAGAATTCGTATTGAATTTATATCAAAGCTATTTAAATAAAAAATATCATTTTTATCAAAAAAATAAAATTTGTTTTAAAAATTTTTTAAAAACAAAAAAAATTAAAATTTTTTTAAAAATTTACAATTAAGGATAATAAATTTATTTAAATAAGATGTTCTTTATACTCTATTCTCTAAACAAGAGCAGGATATAACTAAATTTTTAATTTTAGTTAAGAAGAAACATTTAAATTATATCAAAACTTTTTACATAAAAATTATGATTTTTATATATATAATATTTTTTTTATTATAAAATTAAATTTTGTTCCAATTTAAAGGGGGGTTAATTTACCAAAAAAGTGGAAATTTTACCTATATTTTGTTCCAATTTAAAGGGGGGGGAGTCAGCGACTTTTATGAGCTTTTTAACGACCCTAAGCTATTTTATGCTAGCGTTAGGAAGCATTTTATATGGGAAATTCATAGTGAATTGGGAGTTTTCTTCAGCACTTGGGGTGGGACAGATCCTATTGACTTTTCTAGGAGGAGTCGATATTTTGTTGGTTACTAAATCATACAAAAATATTGGAGCCAGTCCTTATTACTTTGTGCTTGGAGGAGATGCATTCGGAAGTGTTATAGAATACACATTTAGGAAATTACCCATGTTGGTATTAGGTGGACAATTATGCCCTCTAGGGATTGAAGCCACTTTATTTTCTCTTTTTGCGTCTGCGAGTAACTTTGGTGTGTCTGTAGCGTCAACTGAAGGAGCGTTTATTATGAAGATGACTGGGATCAATAGCTCAAGCAACAAAAATATATGAATTCTATTTGCGATAGCTGCGCTATCACATTTATTGCTATTTCCATTTTTAAGGCTATTGCCCAAAAAGGGAAAAGCAGATGAACAAAATGACTTAAAAGAGCCACTAATTTAGTAAATAATTTTATGTTTAATAATCAATTGCTTTTAATAAATTTCTTATCTTTTTTTAAAATTAAGGTTATTTTATTTCGTTAAATTTGGCTTAAAATGAGCATTAATTTTAGCACTGAATGTATTCGGTACGATATATCAAAAATATAAAATGAAATAAAAGTATAAGAATTAATCATATATAAAATGGAATATTCAGTATCTTGGATTTCAATCTCAAGGATTATCGGATATCAATCACGAAAGCTTAAAGAAGAACTCAAAATTGAGCAAAAGCTTTTGATCTCATCAGAAAAATTGTTAGCTTCAATCAATAATCAACTTCAATCCCTTCAATTAAGTAGCAGAAATTACACCATCCATGATGGCGAAGGCCGCAGTCCGACAGAAAAACAGGAAGTTCCAAAACTCGGGGTCATTTAATAAAATGGTGGCCCCGAAGGGCCACGGGGTCGGATGGGGTGTGGTTTCCCGGGGTGGGAGTAGGTTTGGGCTGACTGGGCCTCTCCTCGACCCACAGACGAAAGACTGACGGCGCAATACCAAGCAGGCACTTCTGGAGGAGCATTATGCTGCCTGTAATTGGCGGAGGTAGTTCCAGAAGATGGCTTTGGACGTTTCCCTCATACCCTGAGCACTACAGGGGTTAAGAGAGTCCTTTGCTGAAGTTTTTTTGGTCCAAGCAGGGTCTCGGGTGAGTCTCCCCGAAAGATGTCGACGTCACCATTTTTGATGACGTCGACAGAAAAGGGCGTTAGGTGGCTTTGGTGACTAGCGCCACATTGAGCGTGAAGCTGGAGCTCGACTGGATCAGGGGCTGAAATAAACCCCGCTTCTACCCTCTCTAATTAATACTCTCTCTCAATTAAGTAGCAATCCAGACCCATCAGAGATTTCGATAATTCAAACACGCATGATTGCTTTATATAGCGTTTTGAATATAAAAAGTCGAATGGTTTTATCAGAATCCTTAAATAATTGCTATAAGGGACTACAAAGATCTTTGCATAAGAAAGACACAAAAATTTATGAAGCTTGCAATAGAATTATTGAACTTACTCAATCTGAAAATGAAGGCTCAATAAGGCCAAAAGAAATGAAAAAAATTTTGAAGATTAAGCAGCTAGCGAGTGAGATATTATGTAACAAGAGACTTTAATAAAGTAAATTATCTATTAAAAACTAGGCGTTATTATAATCCAAAGATGGAAATTTTTATTGCATTTTTATTTAATGTAGAGCTGTAAGATTAGAGAGAGTCTTTATTATAGAATAAAAGAAAAATTTTTAAAGTCACATACATATTTAAATAGAGTAATTTAAGATTTGTAACTTCTTATTTCCATAATTTTTTTTAGGTTAAATTATAAGAATATAAAATTGTTTATTGATTTCAAGTAAATGAAAAATAAAGTGTATGTCGTTTTGATAAAGTTTTAGCTTGTCTTTAAACATTTCATTTTACTTACTCCTCCATGAGCGAATAAAAAATATGAGAAAAATTCTACTTCTTATGTAAAAACCCAAATTTCTATTGAATTTAAATAGCTTACATTTTAAAAGATAAATATAGCAATATTTAAAGATATTTCGAATTTGATTTTTTTAAATTTCCAAAAAATATTGACTATAAAATTTATAAATAATTTTTTTAAATATATAAAACTAACCCCTTCTCCTCTAGAGAGCAAAAATTTTTCTTTGCTCACGGAGGGGAGCTACACAAATAGAGAAATCAAAATATTTTTAAACAGTATTTAAGACTTACTCCCCACCCCCTCTGTGAGTGAACAAAAAAATTTTGTTCACTCACGGTTAATTTTTTTTTTTAAAAAATTATATATATAAATTTTCTAGAAATTTTTTTTTTTCGAATTTTAAAAAAATCTAATTTGCAAAAATTGGAAAGCAAATATTAATTTAATTTATAAAATTTATGTTTTAAAAAGCAATTTTGTTTTAAAATTAAACAGAATTAGCTCTAGATTTCATTATAATAATTATCAATTATATATCAATTTTTTTTCCATAAAACATTCTCTATTAAAAAAAATTTTTGTTCACTCACGGAGGGTGGGTTTTTGGGCAAAAAATGGCGATTTTTCTAATGGTTTGTTCACTCACGGAGGGGGGGGAGTTAGTAAACAGAGACTTTAATCTAAGTTAATTAGTGTTTCCTTCAATCTTTTGCTTTTTATGTATGAGTCGTTTATATTGTCTCCAAAGTGGTATTTTCCCTTTGATTGCTCCACCAAATAGAGCAGCCTCCCTCACTGAAAACATCAAGAGTCCAGTAAGTGCGCAGAAATCAGTGAAATACTGAGGATTTAGCGTCGATTCACGTCCTCCTATGATTTCTTCTAATTTATCGATATTTTCATCAGAAAAATCAAATTCCGTTACTTTTTCATTGAAAATCTTATCGACAGTTTTCTTATTTTTTTCCTTATTTCTAGAATCAATAAGGAACTTCCTGCACTCATCCCATGCTTTGCTGTCATCTTCAGGCAAGCTCTGACCAAGCAATTGGAAGAAAATCCTCCAAGCCCAAACTACATCTGACCTTGGATAGCGATCGAGGTAGAATTTGTCGTCATCCATTGTAGTTAATAGAGAAAGGGCACTTTTAGCTCCTACAGAAAGCTCAAATGGCTTTCCAGTTGTTAGCTCATCAATAGAGTGATTCTCCGTCAACGATGCAATAAGCTTATCAATTTCTTCGAGTGATAAAGTTGAAGTTGTAGGCTTGGCTACTGGACTGGATTCTTTTGATTCTTCTGTTGATGTTGATTCTTTATTTTCTTCTGGAGCTGAGTCTTGGTTGTTTTCTTGCGGTAGATCATTATTTTCAATAAGTAAATCTTCCGCATTTGCTGGCTCAATTGGAGAGCCTCCAGCATCTGAAACATTGTCGACATTTGGAATTTTATCTTCAGAATTTTCTTCAGGTTGGCTTGAAGGCTCAGCATTTTCTGGGTCTTCATGCTTTTCTTCTTCTGTTGTTTCTGGCTCATTTTTTCCCTCTTCATGGCTTTCTGTTTTAGTTTTCTCTTCTTCGCCTTTCTTTTTCTTCTCTTCTCCAGCCTTCTTTTTATGTTCTTCTGTTTTTTTCTTTCCTTCTTCGCCTTTTTTCTTGCTTTCTTCAACTTTCTTCTTACTTTCTTCTTTTTTCTTTCCTTCTTCTTTCTTTTTATCTTCAGTACCCTTTTTCTTTGCTTCCTCAGCTTTTTTCTTTTCCTCGCCTGCCTTTTTCTTGCTTTCTTCTTCTAGTTTTTTATTTTTAGCTTCCTCAGCTTTTTTGGCTTTTGCTTCTTCAGCTTTTTGTTTTTTCTCAGCTTCTTCTTGTTTCTTCTTTTCTTTTTCTTCCTCAGCTTTTTTCTTTGCCTCTTCTTTCTTCTTATTCTCTTCATCTTTCTTTTTCTTAGCTTCCTCTGCTTTTAATTTCTTTTCATCCTCAGCCTTTTTCTTAGCTTCTTCCTTTTTCTTATTCTCCTCCTCTTTTTTCTTTTTCGCTTCTTCTGCTTTTTTATTTTTCTCTTCATCAGCTTTTTTCTTAGCTTCTTCTTTCTTTAGTTTTTCCTCTTCCGCCTTCTTATTTTTTGGGTCAGCAGTGCCAGGTTTATCAAATCCTGGCTTTCTGCTTGGATTAACACGAGCAGTTTGAGGCCTTTTAGGCTCTTCATTGGAACTGGTTTCAACATCTATTGATAGTTTAGGTTTTCCTTTTGGATGAGTTTGAATATGTTGGGAGAGGGATTCAACAACTTGGATTAGTTCTTGGATTTGCTCATGGTGAGAGTGAAAGCCACTATAGAGGTTTTCAAGGCGAGGAGAGAGCATCTCTTCTACTTCGACAAGCACACGATCCCAATCCATTATTATTATCCAATAAAAGAATTTAATAAAATATGCTTTGGCTGGAGATATTAAGGTGGAAAAAAGCCGGTTGATTATGAAATCATTAAATTATAGCCAATTTGCCCAATTTATAGAAATTGTAATGGACTGGCATTAAAAGTAAGAATTAATTCTTAAATTATATGGCTTATTTAAATCTATTGGTTTTATTTTAAATAATATATCTACATTTACGATTAATTACGGCTTAACAACAAACTTTTTTTGCCTAAATTCTGCTAGCCTATAATGCTGAAGCTATAATTGATAATAAAAAAGAGGCATTTGGTGATTTTAAATAGTGAAACATCAAAGAGAATAGTAAAAATGGCTATAATCTTTGATTAGTAATCAAAAAAGATCTATCATTCTTATCTAAGAATTAATCAATTTATATCATTTAAATAATTAATTGCGAAATGGTCATTTATGATGTGATATTTTTATAAACATAAACTGATAGCACGATTATAACTTTAAGATGTTACATGAAAAGCTTTGCTTAATGCATACTGACATGAAATTGAAGAGTTTATGCTTTTTCATCTAATATAAATTATATTAATCTTAACTGGCATATATCGCAATTTAAGTTATTATAATTTAATAAATATACCAACAACGTTTTAACCTTTAAAAGATGAGATTCAGAAATTTTTAAGATCTCGCTTGGTAATAAGCAAATAACTTACTTCTTGTCTTAAATTTTAACGACAGCTTTATATTTTAAACACAAAATGTCACAAATTACAGACAGGCTTCGATCTCAGAACGGGAAGCTCCGCGAAGAAATAAAAAAACTCCAATATGCTCTTAAAGAGATAAATAATGACGTCCCAATCTCATCTTTCTCCCAAAAGGAGCCAAAAATACATTCACAAAATTTCAAAAATCAAAATCGTTATTACATGAAGCAAGGCTTAGATGGAAAAATTCAAAAAGAAGTAGCTTTACGAGAGTATCCTAGAGTTATCGAAGTTTCAATAAAAAAGAAAGATACAGGCTGCGATCCGATTTATTTCGAATCCAATTCGAAGTCTGAAAGCTTGCTAGATTCCTCTAAACAGTCAAATCCCTTTGACACTAAAAAAACGATAAACAGCTCCCATATAGACAGTTGGTCAAGCATAGGTCGCAACCCTACACCCCCACCCCCCTCCAATAACCCCCACCCTCACCACCCCTAAAAATGGTACCCCCACCCCCCTTTCACAGATGGCACCCCCACCCCCTCCTCTCGGGTTTATCCTATAGAAGTTATTGATAGGAAATAAGCAGAATAAATTAAACATAACCCAATTAAAATACTATATTTTTAAATTAAGTCCACAAATTACTTTATATTTATGATTAATTAATAAATTTAAATGAATTAGCAATTAATTAGAAAATATATTAAATTTGTTATTTATATTTATAAATATAATGCTAAAGATATATAGATAATGGCATTAATATATAAATTAGCCAAGCACAATACAATAACTTGCATTAAATTTATGGATTCATAAATTAAAGCTAATCTGATTACCATTGTGCAAAGATTGCAGGACTGAATTGGTAACAGGATTCATAGTGGTAATAAAAATAGCATTTGCTATTGTCAGTTTTACTTTTGGATCTCTAATTCGACTTTTAGCTATTGTTCCACAAAGTTCATATAGCTTTTTGCCTTGAGTGGCGCGGTATGGGCGCCACTTCGGCAAGCTCCTTCTTCCAGTTGGCCGAGCCAACTCAGGTTGGTTCGACCAACTGGAGAATTGACAAGTGAGGGCCTTTTGGGGAGACTTGTCAGTTCTAGTTGGCCGAACCAACCTGAGTTGGCTCGGCCAACTGGAAGAAGGAGCTTGCCGAAGTGGCGCCCGCACCGCGCCACTCAAGGAAAAAAGCATAAATATATGCAGGATATATTGCTAATTAATACCAAAGATCATTATTAACTTGCTAACAAAATTTTTTCAGATTTGGTGAGCTTACTAGTTATAGGAAATTCTCACCCCACTCCATCTACTCCTTAATCGATTGTGCTACGCTATGTGGATATTGTATAAATTAGTAATTTTGAATATTTAAAATAATAATTTCTTTATTACGTCTGCTCTAAATTGGCATTTTTTTCATATATTTTATGCTATATAAGGGGATGGGGGTGGGGGTGCCATCTGTGAAAAGGGGGGTGGGGCTGCCATTTTTTAGGAGGGGTGGGGGTACCATTAAAAAAGGGGGGTGGGGGTGTAGGGTTGCTACCTGTGCTTGACCAGACAGTCTATTCACAAGCACCTTACAAAATGATTCTGAAGACTATATCCGAGATAACTTTGAAAGTCCTGAATTTTCAAAGAAATTCAAAAATAAAAATCCAGAAAGGGCACTTAAAGATTCTTTTGACTCTTATTATGAGTCAGAACAAGAAAATCTTGATAAATCAGGAAAATGCGAATTAAGCTTCCATGATTATGAAAAAGACCATGAAAGAGGTTCGAGAAGAAAGGAAAGAAATTTGCTGCAAGAAATCGAGAGTTTGAGAGATGAAAATAAAAAGTTGAGGACAGTGCTTAAAACTAGTTTCAGCAGTAATGCTGATAAAGAAAATAGAGATACAAAAGTGAAAAAACTTGATAAAAGCGAAGAAATTGTGGTCATAGAAAACAATAATTGCATAGAAAGTGCTAAAAAGAGAAATGGAGTAAAAATTAAGGCAAAAACTCCAATAAAGCAAGCAAAAATTACGAAATCAACTACACCTAGAAGCAAAACAGTAGCAAAAGTAGTTAAGAAAAGCCAAGAAAAATCCAAAACTCCACGAAAAGTATTAACACATAGATCATCAACCCCACGAAAAGTTTTAACAAATAGGTCATCGACTCCTCAGAACTTCAGCCAATCTACAACTCCAAAAAGATCCCAAAAACATTCGCAAAGTTCTATATCTTTATCTCAAAGAGCTGAGAGATCACTAACGCCATCTCGTTCTCATCATTGCCAAAAATGTGACAGCCTTCTTACAAGAGGCAGATCGACATTTAGCTGTAAAAAACATGGAAGTTGCATATCTAAAAGTTCAAGCTCTAAAAACCTGTAAGTTATAAATATTGTTTATTAAAGTTTAGGACGTGCTTTTTCCGCTTCAATAATTCCCATAACTTTTTGCAACGTATCCGTATGAGCTTGTGGGTAATCCACGTTTCCAGTATAATTATTAGCTTCAGCCCATCTTCTTTTGATATCTTCAGCTCTGATATTTTCACCTCCATAAAGTCCAGGGCTTCTTTGCCATCTCATTGTAGCGATAAATCCTCCAGCGACCTCATAAAGGTTTCCAGTCTGTTGGCAGCTTTCATGGCACAAATAAACTACTAAAGGAACAACTCTTTCTGGGGTCAATAATCTCAATAAATCAGGAGTCAAAATATCTTCAGTCATTCTTGATGCTGCATTCGGGACTATGGTGTTAACTCTGATATTATTTTTTTCACCTTCTTTAGCTAAAGTAAGTGTAAATCCATGTAGCCCGTATTTCGCGGTTGAATAGTTGGCTTGACCGAAATTTCCATAAATTCCGCTTCCGCTAGAAGTGTTGATGATTCTTCCGAATTTTTGTTCACGCATCTTCAGCCAGGCTGCTTTGGTTAGGGAAAAAGCACCGCCCAAGTGGACTCTCATGATTAAGTCCCAGTCGTTGTCAGTCATTTTGCCAAAGCTGACGTCTCTGAGGATTCCAGCATTGTTGATTATAACATCAATTCTTCCAAATGCGTCGATTGCGGCTTTAACGATTTTTTCTCCGAACTCTACGGAGTCATAATTGGCTATGCTGCTTTTAATTGATTTTTGTTTAAAAAATTATTTATAAATAGGTGAAGAGTATAGTTCAAATATAAATATACAAAGAATACAGCAGTTCCTCCGAGTTTTCTGATTTCGTCAACAACATTATCAGCTACTCTTGCTGAAGAGCCTTCACCTACACGTGAGACACCTAAGTCATTGACTACAATTTTACCTCCTCTTCTAGCGAACTCAAGCGCATAGGCTCTGCCAAGACCGGAGCCAGCACCTGTCACAATGATGACTCTGTTATCGAATCGAAGAGTGTCTGCCATTATTATAACTTAATCTAAGAATTTTATGCCTTTTAAGGGATGCTATAGGACAGTTTTTTATCAATAATTTCATAATTTCTATAGAAAGGCTCCATCATAGTTTTTAAGGTGTAAAAAATCAACAAAAATCTTATAAGTGACGACATAACTTTTGCCAATATAAAAACTCCTTCACAAAAATATTTATAGTTAACAATTATTCATCCCTTGTATTACAGATACAAATGAGAGGGTCTCCGATTCCATTGTAAACCTATTCACCAATACAACCTGCTGCCTTGAAGTGAACTTTGGTATTGTTATGCAATGAACTCCTTCCTCAGTAACTAATTTCTGATAATTTGGCATCCCTCCAACTACATACAAATTAGGCAAATCCTCTACAATAAAAGGATCATCATCTTGCATGGGGATACATCCTAAGGCATCTGGGGCGTTAGGTGCTAAATGCCTTCATTTCATAGTTAGCTCCAGTATCTTTATAGGGTCTTGCGTATCAATGAACTGCATTATTGCATTAATATTCTGCCCTGAAGTGCAAAGTATATGGATCCCATCTATTTTGCATTCATAAGGATTAGGGAAGCTTCTTAATGCAGAATATCTTGATGCCAAAGGAAATAAATAAGGGTTTAAAGGCTGCTGAGGCATTGAGGAATTCGACGGATCCATTTCTCCAGGAATCAAATCAACAGGAAGTATCCCTGCAAGCTCAGCGAGAAAAGTGTCAAAAAACTCTAGTGATTTTGATATAGAAGGTACTATATCTGCACTTATGTCACTGTAGGCTTTTTGCTCGAAAGAATTTTCTTTATCGGCTTTATACAATGAATTTCCCAGGATCACAAATCTTACGATGTTTTTTGCAACTTCTGCGGAATCGTTTCCAAGGTTTCCTTGGAGAAAATTTGATAATAAATTTAGGAGAATTGGGTCCAATGAAGGATTTCCTATTTCAATTCCTGAAATAAAGCAAATAAATTCATCGCCTTTGCGCAATAAAGGTCTTGGTGGGTCTGCAGAGGGGTAAAATATTTCGATAACTTCTAAAACAGAATTTTCTCTCATTACTCCTCTTACAGCTACAACTAAACCAGTTATTAAATTTTCCCAGTCAAAATATTGCTTTAGATCAAGTCTGACCCTTCCTGACTCGTCTTCCAGATATATAAAATCTTCTTCTTTCCGTCTATTATAAAAAGTTGACTGCTTTCTATCAGCTAAAATCCCTATTTTCGATATATATTTTTCTACTATAGAGCTTCTGTCTGCGTAGGTACAAACAATAATTCCTGCAATTAAACAGCTTTGATTGACTTTGACTTCCATTATTTCTGAGAGAGAAAAATACCCAGACTCGTCAGCAGAAATACAGCGATATTTGAGAGACTTTAGCCTTGCACAGTATAAAGAGTGATATTGGGAGGTAAAATCGAGCTTTGCTATGAATTGTTGGCCGATGAAGGAATGCTGGTAAGTAATCTTTCGCTCGATCATTATTTGTATAAGGGGGATCTGAGGGTCTTATGAAATTTTTTAATAAAATTTAATTCGGTTTTATATAACATTAAGTTTACAAGAAATGAAACCTTCTCTATTGTCTGAATGTAAGAAGACTAAAAACCCTTGCTTCTTTGGTTTGAACTCATTTAATTTAGGGCTAAACTCTCATTCAGAAAAATCTCAAGGCATTCAAAGCGGAGAAGCATCAAATGATTTTCAGTTCACTAGAGACCCAGGTCCAGATATTTATTTTCATTTAAGTACTCATTATAGCCCATTACCTGTCAATATAAGAATCCCAGAAACTTTAATCAGAGCCCCAGGGCTATCAAGTCCTGTATTTTTATATTGAGAAAATCAATCAGTCCAGGCATATCAGAAAAAAGAGTAAAATTTATGCAGCGCATTTTCAACATTTATTGCTACCACTGAAAAATTCATAGACAATAGCTCCTTATTTCCTAGCTATATTCATTCCAACGGGAAAAGTAAGGTATAGAGGTTTCCTCTATATAGCGCTAAAAGCGCAGACATTTTCCCAGGAGCTTTCCAAGTTCGTCGGACCAAATCGCTTTTTGGTCCGACCAAGGCATTGATTTGGTGCAACCTACCGATAAATTCCGATCAGAATTTATCGGCCTTACAGCGCCAAACATAGGAAACTTCTATAACTCTCTGTAAAAACTCAAAACACGCAATAAGAATTTGAGCGGAGTGCAAAGACGACTATCAGATATTGCAGAGATATGTAGCACCTAAAGCAAATCAAGTAGAAAAACTAAGAGTTTATTGATATTATTCAGAGCCTACGAAATTCTATTTAATAAGAAATAAAGCATCAGCTATTAATTTAGGGAAAAGTTCAACACTAGCTACAAAGATTCCTATGGTGAATAGCAGCTATATGTACCAAACAAAAGACTATGCATTTGCAGGGAGGATTCTAAAAACTTCTTTTAGTCCTTCCTTTCCTTTCAGACCTAAATTAAGCAAATCAATTTCTCCAGTATCAAAGAGCTCATCTAAGATCTTAAATATATCATCTTATTATATTCCCTTGCAAAACGGCCCTGGAAATTCTTCCCCTACACACTCCCAAAATACTTCAAAAATAATAAATTCTTCAACACTTGACCTTAGCTCCAAGCCCAAAGAATTTGAAAAAGATCTCTATATAGTAAAAAGCCGAAAAGGAGGAATTAATGTAGAAGTTGTAGTGATAGAAAATGAAAATGAAGTAGAAAAAATGATGAATTTTATGGTCGGATATTTGGAAAATTGCATAATAATGCCGGAGAACACAAAAATTGTTGAGCTAATTGCAGATTTTATGCAGGATAGAAATGACGATTGATTTTTATTACGCTGTAAAGCACACAAAATTGATTATATTCATTCAGGTAACCGTGCGAAATATAAAAATAAAAGACTATCTGGAGTTTTGCGGTCACTTAATAGTGCTAAATTGTTAGCTGAAGCTTTACAAATTCATGAAGAAAATCGCAGAAAAAACGTCAATTCGATGATGAATTCTTTAAAAAGAAGACTTGACTCACTTATCCAGCAGAATTCAAAAATCCCAAAAAATTATGCATATTATAGCCCTAAAGAATCTGTTCAGGAAACCAGAAATATTTATTTAGCTGAGAGGAGAGCATCTAGACACGGTACAGTCCCAATATTAATGATTGGAACAGATGACGATCTTCCTGTAGACGACATCAATTCCTCCTTATTTTCCCCTATGCTAAAATCATATAAAAAATCTAAAAAGGCTCAAACCAAAAGCGAACCCTTTTCACAGGTAAATGAACTCATTGAAAAAATTTCAGAAGAAAGCTTAAGATACTCAGATCTAATTGGGATTGATAAAATCACGATAAAAGAAATCGTAGCAAGCTGCGTTTATTCTACTATTAATATTGCAAGTAGTGAAGTTAGAAATGTTTCATTACAGTCTAAAAGAGAGAGAGTTTAATTATAGGGGATTAAACGGAGGTTATTTCAGCCCCTAGCCAGTTGAGCTTCAGCTTCATGCTTCATGTGGCGCTAAGCCACACTTTCGCCCTTTTCTGGTGACGTCGACATCTTTCGGGAGGCTCACCCAAACCTGCTTGGACCAAAAAACTTCAGCAAGGAACTCTCTTAACCCCTGGTAGTGCTCAGGAATGAGGGTGCCGTCCGATACCTCTTTCTGGAACTACCTCTGACATTTACAGGCAACATAATGCTCCTCCAGAAGTACTCGATTGGTGCTGCGCCGCCGGTCTTCTTGTCTGTGGGCCGAAAGGGAGGCCCAGTTAGTTCAGACCGCACCCCACCCCAGAATTCCTTTACCTGGCGACCCCATGGCCTTCCAGCCGTTTTATTTTTTCAAACGGCCGGAAATTTTTCTTCTGTCGTAACGCCGATGGCAGAAATTAGTCTAAAAGAAGATTATTAAAAATTTTTGAAAGCAACTTGGTGTTACTAGGAGCAGATAAAGAGGAATATTTACTTTATATAGAAAATTTTAAGCGATTGTTGGAAATTCCAGATGATTAATAAATTAATGTGTAATAAATTTATTTATTTTAAAAACTGAGCTATCAGCAACCTTTGATGGGTATTTACTCTAGAGTTTTTGTATGATTAAGGGATTTCCATTTATTATTTAATTTTTTTTAAAAAATACATAGCTTCATTAATGGTCCTCTCCTATTAATAACAATAAAATGCAAAAAAATGGGTCAACGTAATTTTCACATAGTTTAATAATCAAATCGCTCACCTGGGCTCGTGATTCCCATGCCTTATTTGATTATGAAGCTCGTGAAGTCTCCAAAGCAACTCTAAAAACAGGCCACGACAGCTATTTATTCAGAACTGGTGAAAATGTGATGATTTCTTACGATCCTTCTGATCTCTCCAATCCGGGATCTAGATATCTATGCAAAATTCAAATAATTGATGGTAAATTCTATTTTAGGGTTTTTCACAGTTGCTGTGGTTGATTCAATAGACGGAAATGCACTTACCCGAAATGAATTTGAAAAAATTTGGCTTTGCGTTCGCAGTCTTCAGCCAAGCGGAGGAATTAAAGGTTACAAATTGTGCGAAGGTGACGTTATCAGACTTGGAAGAGTAAAATACCGTGTTAAAGAGCTTAAAGGTGGCACAGGGTCTAAAAAAGGACCCCAATTCAGCTTAAGTGATGCGCTTTTAGGGCTCAATGTAGAAGAAAATTCTGAAGAATCTGACGGAATCGCTTACAAACTCCCTTGCAGAGTATGCTTAAGCGAAGTCTATACACCAAACAACCCATTAATATCGCCTTGCAAGTGCGATGGAACTATGAAATATATTCATTTGAAATGCTTACAACAGTGCTTGCGCTCTAAATTAGCAACAAAATCTAGTGACCACATCATTTCACTATCATGGAAAAAATTATGCTGCGAGCTCTGTATGAAGCCTTATCCTTATAAGCTTGCAGTTGGAAAAGAAATTGTGGAATTAATTGAAATTCCGAAGCCGCCAAATCAGTATGTAATTTTGGAATCATTAAAAAAAGACAAAAATTCAAGTAAAGGCTTACATGTTGTAAGCTTATATAATAACAATTCTATAAAGATAGGAAGAGCCCATGATTGTGATTTGAGGATTTCTGATATATCAGCATCAAGGCTTCATGCAATTTTGAAATATCATGATAGAGGATTTTACATAGAAGACCAAGGCAGCAAATTCGGCACATTAATTCAAGTAAAAAGACCAATTGCATTAGAAACTAATGACTTATTATCAATACAATGTGGGAGATCTATGCTAACTTTTACTACTAAAAAGCCATGAAATCTTATCCCAGCCTGCTTCCGGTCAAGCGCATCACCATTTGAGTTATTCAATTCTCCTATTTCTCCGGGAAAAATCCCTTTATTGCCTATAAATACAGGGATTCCTCTCAGTATAAACGATCCTCAAGATTTATTATCAATTGCAGGAGCCAGACCAGTCAGACCTGAGCAATATAAAGAGCACAATAATTTATTATTCCAACATTATCAGCTAGGACTTAACAGCTCTTGTGAAGACGAGCAGGGCGATGAACAATCAATTGAGGAAGTAGAAATCGCTGAACTGCCTGATGATTTGCTTGATATCCCAATGAACCCTTCATGCGCTGCAGGCGATAAGTTGAATAAGTCATTTTCATAATATAATAATTTATAAATAAATAGTTATCTCAGATTTTGATTATGCAAGTTATTTAATTAGTCAAGGCTTTAACTAAATTCAAAAATAATTGGTTGCGCATGAGGGAAATTTATTTCCTCTTTTTCTGAATTTCCAAAATATTCACCTCATATCACCATTGCTAAATGGCTAATTTTTGTGTTTTCTGCATATTGTAGAGCCTCCAAATCTTGTAGGCAGTCAGTATCTCCAAAATATTGTGCAACTTGATTTTTTCCTTCTTGAGATGTTTCTGATTCTTCTCTACCGGCTTGTAGAAGCAGTGCTGAAATGTCAAGAATTTTTAACAAAAAATTTGGGCTATTATTTTCATCCAAAGCTTCAGGAATTTCCAAAAATATTCCGAGCTTGATTAAGCTTAATTTTTGGTTATTATTAGCTGATCTCAGCATTTCTCTCACCATCTTAGCTGCTTCGTTTTTCACTTCATGCGATTTATCATTTAACCCTCTAATTGTTTCATAAGCAATTTGGTGGCATAAAAATCTATCAATTTGTTTTTCCATTTGTCCACGGAAGCCAGAAACAACATTCCTTAAGGTTCTATATAAGTAATATTTTATCTTACAGTTCTGACTTTCAAATAAAGGTAAAAACTCATCCAAAATATTTAAGTCAAGCAAATCTTGCACCATATCAATGCTTATAGCCAGGAAATTACTAATAATTTTGATAGCATATATTACTGATTTTTCTGATGAGCTTTTTAAGGTTTTTACTATAAATTCAACGAGATTGTAGTTATTATCTAAAATAATCTCAATTCCGTCAATTCCTATGATGCTTATTTGGTAAATTGTGCAAATACAATCCTCTCTAACTGTATTATCTTCATATTTTTTATTTCTATTTACCCACTCGAGGATTTTTTTTAAATCTTCTAAATCGCATGAAGCGGCACAAAAAGCCAAGTTAAAGCCTAAATACGCAATTGATTTCATAAACTCTAAATTAATTTCAGATACTCCTTGAAGGCAGTTTGAAACTGTATCAATAACTCTAGCTTTAAGGATATCGGAGATATTCTTTTCTTCAGATGCTATTATCGCTATAGCGTTTATAGATTCAGTAGAGTTTGATAAACTGTTTGGGCTGATTTTTCTGAGTAAGGAAGGAAGATCTTGAAGTGTGAAGTTTTGATCTTCGGCACTTTTTGCTGAAGCGGCACCTGCAATGCTTCTCTTTTTCTTACTCCCCCCCTCCGTGAGTGAACAAAAATTTTGTTCACTCACGGAGGGGGTTATTTTTTTTTTTTAAAAATTTATATAGAAATTTTTGTTTCTCGAAATTTAAAAAAATCTTAATTCGCAAAAATTGAAAAGTAAATATATTAATTTAATTTATAAAATTTATATTTTAAAAGCAATTCGTTTAAAATTAAACAGATTTAGCTCTAGATTTCATTATGCAATTATCACTTATATATCAAAAATTTTTTCTATTAAAAATTTTTGTTCACTCACGAAGGGTGGTTTTTTGGGTAAAAATAGGGATTTTTCTAATGGTTTTGTTCACTCACGGAGGGGGGAGTTAGCGTTTTCAAGTCTTCGAGACTTTCTAAGCTCGATCCCATAGTTTTCAAACCTTTGCTTTGTTTCTCCGAAAAAATCAACTTGCTGAAAGCAAGATTGGCGATCCTTAAATCTGTCTATTCTATCTATTAATTCCATTCTCGCTAATTATTTTTATTTGATATTAAGATACACATTTTTAAATAACCGAATTTTATAGCGAAGCTCGCTGATAAATACTATATGCTAACCAAGTTAAAATTAATTTAATCTTTCGAAAAAAATCATTTCTAACGATTTCTAATTATTTTTGTACAAATTTCAACATGTCCCAAATCTCAAACCAAGAAGTGGCTTTAGCTCTTAGCAAGCTTAGCTCCCTGCTCGTTAAAGAAGGTGTAGTACGTCACAAACATGAAGAAGAAGCCTTAATGGTAGCTATGGAAAGTGTTGCTCACAAGTTAGCCATAACTGAGTCTCCAAAATCCCAGCCTTTAGCTTCAACACAATCCAAAGCAATTTCTTCCAAAGAATTTGTACAAAATACATTTTCAAGGATGAATGCAAAATATACACAATCACAAAATAAACTAGAAGAGCAAAGACACACAAAATATATCGAAGAAATTTCATGTCTCCAAGATAGGCCCAATATAAATCCCTTATCAAAGAAACTTGTATGATCTATTTAGTACTATTCTAGAAGTCCACCGATATATGATCGGGTTGAAGATGTGATTTCACAGAAAAAAGAATACATGCAACAGCTGCAAGAAGACGCAGGTAAAAAGAAAAAAGCAATTGAAGATAGAGAATGCACTTTTCAGCCTGAGAAAAAGCATCGGTCCCGAAGGTCTTCAAGAGAATTTACAGAGCAATGCTATTCATGAAATAAAAGGCGTGAAGAAGAATTAGAAAAAGAGCACAAACTAGCTGAAGATTTAAAAGTTGCCGAAGTAAAACAAAAACCGACATTAAATCCGAAATCCCAAAAACTAGCAGAACAAAGGGCAAAAACGCCAATTCTGGAAAGGCTACAGGAAAGAGGAAGAACTGAGAAGCCCCCACAACCTACATTTAGGCCAGCCATTAATGAGAGATCAGCTGGTTTAAAATTAGGAAATGTCACTGAAAGACTTTATGGGTCTCGCCACTCTTCTGTGACTGATGAATCCCCTAGACGGAACTCAGGATCTCCTAAAAAAAGTATTGAAAAAGTTTCATTCAGTTTAGGAAATTCGTATAAAATCAACGTCAACAAAGGTGCATCCACTGATAGAGAAGTCAATGAAATCAGATATACTGCAGGGCTTGAATTTTTGATGAGGACTATTAGATAGTGTATAATTAAAATCATATATATTTAATAATTCTACACAATGCAATATATTTTATATGTAAGCTTTATACAAAATTCTAAATAAAGATATTTAAACTCTATGAACAGCTCCATCAGTTTTCCATAATCTCAAGCCTTCAATTGAAGCCATTAAACAAGGGTATTTATGTGAATTTAGCTCAACAGCTAGAGAATGTAGCTGTTTAAACCCGCACTCACTACACATTTCAGCCAACACTACTTCTAGCCAAGGAGGTAAAGTTTTCATGTCTACTTCATATTCATTGGCATTTAGCTGTTTTAACACTTCTATTATACATATGAGCACTGCTTTAGGATTTCCTGAGCGGATATAAATTTTCATTAGTCTATATCATCCAAAAATGGAAAATCCTGAGTCCACTGCATATCTATAAGCCCTTTCTGCTAATTTTGGCCTTCTTAATCTTTCTGCCAATGCTCCTCTTCTGACCCAAATTTCGCCTCCATAAGGCACTTTTGTTTCTAACTCCCCCCCTCCGTGAGTGAACAAAACTATTAGAAAAATCCCTATTTTTTGCCAAAAAAACCCACCCCTCCGTGAGTGAACAAAAATTTTTTAATAGAAAAATTTTTTATGGAAAAAAAATTTGATAAATGATAATTAGTATAATGAAATCTAGAGCTAATTCTGTTTAATTTTAAACGAATTGCTTTTTAAAACATAAATTTTATAAATTAAATTAATATTTGCTTTCCAATTTTTGCGAATTAGATTTTTTAAATTTCGAAAAAAAAATATTTTTTATAAAATTTATATATAAATTTTTTAAAAAACAATAAATTAAACCCCCTCCGTGAGTGAACAAAAAATTTTTTTTGTTCACTCACGGAGGGGGGTGGAGTAAATATATTTTACTTTTATTCGCATCTTGTTGTATATCAATTTCAGTAGCTTGTTTCTGCCACTCATACACAGTTTTTAAATCTGCAATCAAGCATTTAAAAAGTCCATCTAGATTTTTCGATAAATTTCTGAATGAAGGATGCATTAAATGGCTTAGACGATGATCTGTAGGTGTTGAGAAAAAGTAATCCCTTGGCGTTATATCAGGTGTTGGCTCTCTTACTTCTTCAATATCCTGTCCTTGAGAATCTACAGCAATAGATTCAGAGTTATAAAAGGAAAAATGTTTTTTTATTGTGGATTGGTTGACGCTTTCATTCATACTGAATTCTTGGCTCATTTCTAGTCTAATTTCTTCTTCGTTAATCGCCTCTTCTTGGTTCTGGATGAACAGTCTATTCTTTAATTTTTGTAAGTTTTCTCATTCCATAGACTTTTCAAGGTTCACAATGATTTTGTACATCTTTTTGCCACAGTGGTTTAATTTAGTAGAAGGCAAGAAACACAATGTTTTAAGGATTTCTTGATCACTTTTAGATCTTGATTTTTCTTGGAAAGGTCGGTAATCATATTGTGTAGGCTTCATTCATATATTTCCTGCAAAGCTTATAGGGATTTTGTTAGGTATATCAATATCTTCTTCTCTGAAGATATATTTTGTATCATCAATCATAGATTCATAGGCAGGAAAGCAATTTAATGCCAGCAAAACGTTTGCATATTTTTTTTCTTTTAAGTAGCATCATGCCAATAATTCCCAAAAACAAAAAGTTTCTAAATTCAGCTCGATCAAATACTGGCAAATCCTTCTAGCTTGCAAAAAATCATTTTGCCGATAAAATGCTAAAGCTTGTGTATAATATAAAGAAAATGAGTAAGGTGAAATAGTCAATTGCATAGCTGTAGAATCAATAGCTTCTTGACTATTCCCTAATAGTATATTAGCTTTTCCAAGATAATTCAGCATAAGTGGGTCAACAGTTGACAGTTTTTTGAAAATTGCTGTATGGGTTAGAAACCTTTTTCGCTTTAACAGAAATTTGCTGGTCATAGCAAATAAGAGGTTCTCACCATATTGAGCTTTGTCATTCAAATCTCCTAATACAAATCCTAGTCTATCTCAAAAGGTTGCAGCTGCATCAATGAACTCCTGCATTTGAGAAGGCTGAGATGGACCTTCCAACAGCCTTGCTCCTAAAATAGGCTCAGCATAAAAATATCTTAGCGTTGAACTAACGTAACTGCCTTGCCAATGAATATTCCCAGCTTGTATTCTATTGCTGCTCCCGTTGACTAGATAATGCTTATACTCATAATTCTGATTAATTTCTATTCTGAAGTCAAATTTTGAAAATAAATCAAAAATACAAAAATAAGCTACCACAACCTTCCCTTTATTTTTATGCTTAGATAGCATATAACTTTTTAAGTATTCAATGGCGCCAATAGGTGAGCTCAAATTCAATCCATATATAAAGTGAAAGTAGCCTCTATTCATAGGTCTTGATAAAAACTTTTTAAGCCCAGTTTGCTTTATTTCCCATACAACATAAAACAAATCTGGCGGGCCTAATCCTCTGGCTTCTTTTAAATTTCCATTCCTCAAATCCAAAAAGTTTCCCACCCCTGGTGAGTCGTTGATTTCTACTATATTTGTGCCAGATTCCATTTATCCCTTAAATTTATTCATATTTATACTATTTTTTCTATTTTTCCACAAAAAAATTTATTTCTTCCCACCATCACAATTCATCCTTATCAGCATAGACATTTATGCTTCGAGTTCTCATAAGACATCATCGAGTCGTCAAGCCACGCAGAGAACCCACAGTTTTTGACTTAGAATTTCACAAATGGAAGGAAGACATGAAGCAATGTATAGATAAATATCGCAGAGAATTTTGGGAAATACAAACTCAAGTAGAAAATGAGTGGATTGAACATTTTAATGAAAGATGGACCATCAAAAGAATAAAGCAAGACATTCACTGGAGAGAAAGTGTGATAAAAATATCAAAAAATACAAAGAAACTGCTGGATTACAGGGCAGAGAAGGAAAGGCAAAGACAATCTCACCAAAAGATGCTGGATGAAATTGAAGCCAATGAAAATGCAAGAAAGTCATTGTACATCAGTGCTTTGAATTATGAAAGCCAGTTTTGGATCACTAAGGAGAATATGGATGAAAGGATTAGAGAGCAGCTCATTGTGCCTCATAATCTTGATTTTACCGAGTATTACACTCGACTGAGATACCACAGCCTTCAAATGGATGACGGAATAAGTGCATCCAAGTTTGACAACTTCAATAACCGTGAAGAAACTTTCAAAAGAAACCAACTTTTGCATCCTTTTTACGTCGAGCTTAAAAGCTGCATTAAGCACTTAACATACACTCCAGAGCATCAGCTTCAACAAGACTACGAAGGCATGAAATCCCGCTTATACACTCAGCCAGAAAAGATTAAACTATTACGTGAAAAGTATATACAAATTGTCAAAGCTTCTCGAGCTCTCGATCAAATGGATGACATTTTCTTAATCAGGACCCACAAACAATTAGGATTATTAAAAAAAATGCTTGGGTTTTGGGATCAATATATTTCCATAGTATCCTTTATAAATTCATTTTAAAACAAAATTATTATAATTTATTAAGGAATAATTAAGTCAAAAGAGAATAAAATTAGACGAAATTCAAATGATGTCTTATGTGGCAAGCTTAGATGGCAGCAACCAAGAGATTGAAGAAAAAGTGTTTGAAGAAGAGATAAACGATTTCGAAGAAGATATGAAGCCGCCAAATCCTGAAAGTTCTGATTACTTTGAAGCACAAAATACGCCAAAGGAACAAATTTTGGAAATCATGCAAGCAAAAGAAGAATTGAAAAAGCCTGAATGGCAAATGGATGAACTGATTGAGGGAGATCAAAAAGGAACTGATATTGATATGTATGGGGAAGAAGCATCATTTAAAAATGTAGAACCAAATGAATCAAAACAAACTTTAGATCAGCTGCTTACTCCCCTATCCATGATAGAACGATTTTTATATGTTAAAGGTCAAGCATCCAACCAAATTCCTACTTTACCTTAAATCTATACGTAATTAAAATGAATAAAAAAAATATACTGATAGCCATCATTCTATTTTATAAATAAAAATATGTTACAGTACCCCCAATAGATATGCTTTTATTTATTATAATTCCCTGGCTAAATTTCTTATAGACATTATACGTGCCATTTTCATATGAAATTTCAAATTATGAATTTGCCGCACTAAATCTGCGTTTTGAAAAGCATATTTGATTTTCATATACCAAATTCAAAATGACATGCATATTCATGATAAGAAATTATTGCAACAAAATATAATTTTATTTTCTATTTCTTCGACTATCTCATAATATTTAAATGTAATAAACTTAATATAAAATTAAGATGATAAAGCATTTGTTTATAATTTAAATAAAAATTTTCATTCCAACCTTAATCGGCTCGATGAAGGATGGGATAGTTAGAGAACTTAATCAAGAAATGAGCGCTAATGAGCTATTTAATATGGGACAAGAAATACCTGACTTAAAAACATATCAAGAGCACGATGAGCTTGCTATTAAAGCAAATCAGCCAATTGCTCCAAAAATCTTCAATCCTTCTATATCTTTGTTAGGACTTCATGAAAGAATTTCCAAAATAAATGAATATAAACTAGATCTTCAAGGAAGATGGAGGAAATCAGAATGTCTGGGCTTGATTGAAAGTATTAACAATACTCACATACAAGAACCTCACATGCTGTTGAAGGTATTTAGCCATCTTCAATATGATCCTCCTAAATTTGACTAAGCTAATAGAGTTAGATTAACGAAATAAAAATGGAATTGAAGAAACCCCAAAAATCAGTTAAGCAGCTTAGAAGTATTAGCCATGCCGTGACCACAGTTCAATTATTACGAATTATTAACCCATCAGCAGACTCCACAATAGATCTAAGTAGCATGGTAATTTTTATACAGAAGCAAATTATTGATCGTATCCCAAGTCCAGTGAAAAATCGAGTTAAAGAAATTTTCCAGAATTTCGTTTTCAAAAATCATTCGTTCACACTACCTACAGCTGAATTCTTAAAATTATATGACAAATCTATATCAAAAAAGCCAAGATTAAAAGAAAATTCCAAAGCTCCTAAAACTGCGTATGAGAAATCCAATATTTCCTTTATTGAAAGTAATAGAAATTTATCAGAAAACCTCAATATTAGTAAAAGGGTCAGAAATTTGTCACATGAAAGAGAGTTTATTCGATATGGAACTGATTTTCAAGAAATTATACAGCAAAGTCCAGAAGTTAAAAGAAGTGTTTCTCAAGGCCGAAAAATCTTAAAAAAACCGATTAAAGAGACCCCGAAAAAGTCACCCAAAATTGTAAATGTGTCTTATTCTGATCTTCATAAGAAAAAAGCTTTGACTATCTGCAACACTCCTGAGCCTAAATCGAGAAAAATATCCTATTTAACTCAGTCATATGATCATAATATAAATAATGACGAAGGAAAATCTTTTATTTTGGATATTACTCAAAGCTCAGGTGTTTTTAAAACGCTTTATACGAATATACAAGAATTGATTGAGATCAGAAAAGCTCATCTGAGCTTGAGTAAGCCAAAAAATAACGAAAATTAATAAGTGTATATTTATATTGCGGAAACTTTAATAAGGATAAGGTATTTCAAATAAAAAATTTTAAAAATGAACTTGCTCCCTCAATGAGGAAGTTTTTTTGCTTGATATTAAATGAGTACTATTCTTTTTTAAAATATTTTATTAAAATTATACATAAAAATAATTTCAGGCATATTAAATTCCCAATTTGCGAATATTTGAAATGAATCTAATTTAATTTCTATATTATGCTTAAGCACTAACAAATTCAATAAAATTAGCTAAAAATCTAACCGTTTTCTGAGGTTTGGTTAAAGCGGGAAGTTAGAAAATGCAAAAAGTTTAAAGCTTCCGAAAGTAAGAATTATTCAGGGTGATGAAATTATTAAAAAATTAAGCCAAGACAGAACTGACTCCCCCCCCTTTAAATTGGAACTAAAAATTTTGTTCCAATTTAAAGGGGGGTTAATTTTTTTTTTTAAAAAACAATATTAATATAAAATTTTTTTATAAAAAATATAAAAATTTCAAAAACTTATCGAATTAGATCAAATAATTTTGTTTATAATAAAATGCTATTTACTCTTTATCCTTTAAAAAAAAGCAAGATATAACTAAATTTTCATTATTAGTTAATACGCCACTATTAATTGGTATCAAAATTATTTACACAAAAATTTTTATTTTTTTATTGATAAAAAAAATTAAAAAAAAAAAATATTTAAAAAATTTATCGATCAAAGTGCTAATTTTGTTTAAATAAGATGTATTTATACTCTATTCTTTAAAATAAAGCAAGAATTAAGTAAATTTTGAATTTTTTATAAAGAATTCCTATTGAATTTATATTAAAACTATCCAAATAAAAAATATCATTTTTATCGAAAAAAACAAAAATTTTTTTGAAAATTTTTAAAAAAAAAAATTAATTTTTTTTTAAAATTTACCAATTAAGGATAATAAATTTATTTAAATAAGATGCTCTTTATACTTTTTTCTTTAAAAAAGAGCAAGGTATAAATAAATTTTTTAATTTTAGTTAAGAAGAAACAATTAACTTATATCAAAACTTTTTAGATAAAAATTATATATAATTTTTTATTATAAAATTAAATTTTGTTCCAATTTAAAGGGGGGTTAATTTACCAAAAAAGTGGAAATTTTACCGATATTTTGTTTCCAATTTAAAGGGGAGGGGGAGTGAGAGGATCAAATCAAGAAAAAATTCAATGAATAAAAGCATGGACCAAGACTCCACAAACTTTCCAAGTGTTTCTAATGGAGGCGATATTAGTGGAGTAAGGAATGAAGAACCTCCAAAAAACCCCAAAAAAGATAAAACTCGATCATATGGCAAGTGATTTTTGTTTAGCCTATGCAAATGGAGCTGCATAGATGGAATTGGATCATAATGAAAATTAAAAGAAGTTAATTTCGAGAAAGTCAAATAAGAACTTGCTTGCTTTTACTATAGAATATAAATTAAAAATATTTAAACAATTTTTATTATTCTGAAGAAGAAAAGATTTTATTTCATAAATCATAATAATTTAAACTAAATTTCCATATAAAAATGATCAAAATATTGGGTTACAATGATTCCAATTCAAACTTAAAAAGTTGTATTTGCAGTGATAAAAAAATATTAAATCTTTTTATAAATTAATCATTATCCCACATATAGCGTCTGCACCGCTATAGATTGCCTTGTACAGGGTTCTCCACACCAACTTGGAGCTCTGACGAGCCACCTAAAGGTGACAAGTCAACTCCAAGTTGGCAAATCCTTGCAAAAGGGCACGCTTTTGTCAACTTGGAGTTGACTTATCACCTTTAGGTGGCTTGTCAGAGCTCAAAGTTAGTGTGGAGAACCCTGTGCAAGGCAATCTATAGCGATGCAGACGCTATATCACTTAGAAGTCTTTTTCATCTAAACAACTCTCCTGCTCTAAACAATTTTTTCCTTATCTAAACTCCATTAACCTTATATCTGCTTTATAATTTAGGCCATATTTGATGGGTTGCATCCAAGCGCCAGCACCAGGCTCTGATTTTACTCTTCAGCCTGAAATTTCAACACCTCTGAACTCTGCAGAAAATAAAAAATTCAAATGCTCAAAGTTCGGAAAAGTTGCTGATACTTATTCTGTCCAAGAAAGAATAGAATCAGGATCATTCAGTACCGTGGTAAGAGCCGTTGATCAAGAAGGCAACGAAAGAGCAATAAGACTTATAAACAAATCAGTGATAGACCCAAACTCCATCTATAAGTTTAACAACGCGCTAGAGATTCTTATGGAATTGGACCATATGAATATGGTCAAAGTTTTTGAAGTAATTGAAGACGAATTTACTATGCTTGACTTCCATGAATTTTATTTATTTTTTAATTAAAATAGGACTTTTTTATTAATTAAAAATAAACATTTTAATGAGTAAGGTGTATCAATATAGTCACTGAGTTTTGCACTGGGAAAGACCTAATTGGAAAAATTGCTGACTGCAGTCCATTTTCCGAAAACCAAGCAGCTGTTATTATGTACCAAGTGTTATCAGCGTTAATTTCTACCCATGAAGCTGGGATTATTCATTGGGATCTGCACCCTGAAAACCTAGTCTTCCTTGATAGCTCTGATGAAGCGCCTCTAAAAATCACTGAATTCGGTGTCTTCCAGTGGCTGAAATCAGTTCCTTCAATAACCGAAAATATTGACGTCACTTTTTATACAGCGCCAGAAGTAATTGAAGGTAAATTTGACAATAAATGCGATATTTGGAGCTGTGGAGCTATGCTTTATACAATGCTAAGCGGAGAGCCACCTTTTACAGGCAGCAATAAAGATGAAATCTTTGCAAGCATCAAGGAAGCGAATATTAAGCTTAAGGGATCAAGATGGTCAAAAATTTCCCAAGAAGCAAAAGATTTAATAAGAAAAATGCTCGTGCTTGACCCATCTGAAAGAATTACCGCACAAGAAGCATGGGAGGATACTTGGATTCAAGATAGAGCAAACGGTGTTATTGACGACAACGAAATCAGTTCAAGAGTAGTCAGAAAACTCGTTGAATTCAAAGTAAATTTTATATAGGCAAAAAACAAACTTCAACAAGCTACTATGGCATTTATTTCCAGCTATTTATTATAGAAATTTCCCATAGATGGCGCGGTTTGCCCTTGATTTGCCCACTGGGGAAATTTTTTGGTTTGACCAGTACCATATGGTTTGGTCAAACCAAAAAGGTTTCCTCATGGGCAAATCAAGGGGAAGCAGCGCCATCTATGGGAAATTTCTATACCTTCTCAAGACCTAGCCGATCTTAAAAAACAATTCGAGTCTCTCGATGTAAATCATGATGGAAAATTGAGCCAAGATGAACTCAGAAGGGGCTTTGAAAAATTCCCTAATTTGGCTGGAATTAACATTTCCGAGGTCTTTAAGAACTGCGATTTAGATGCAAATGGGTTTGTAAGCTACCAGGAATTCATTGACGCAACGCTAAATTGGCAAAAAGAGTTGACACAAGAGAGACTTGAAGCGACATTTAAAGCTATAGATAAAGATAACAGTGGAACATTGACAGCTGATGAAGTCAAAGCGTTTATTGGGGATGGAGCTGACGATAGAGAGTGGAAAAGGATTTTGAAAGATGCTGATCTTAATGGAGATGGAGTTTTGGACCTTGATGAGTTTAAGGGAGCTATGGTTAGATTATTGCGTTTCCATACTTATGGACTCTTATAATCCCGATATCTCCCAAGTAGACTAAGTATTGGTTTGCCAGCTTATGTTGGTGAAGCATATCTAAAATTGTTAAATCTCCATTTTCAGACTGATTTGCCAATTTAAGGGTTGGCTTATTACCATAAGTGGGGAAAACGAACTCTCGGGGCTTTGGGAGTTCATAAGTGTGGATATACTATAATGTCCTAAGGATAAGACTTATTTAATCAGTTGAAAACGGATAGATATCTAAACTTTGTATATTTTATATAGCGAGTAATACAAATATAATGGGTTGCATAAATTCAACACCTCAAAACGCTACGGAGTTTAAGCCAACAGATAACCCTGATGTATCAGCAGAAGTTTCTATTACTAGCCCATCTAAAAATCTCCCAAGAGACTCAATTCTTATTAATCGCAAACAGTTCATTTTTTCGCGTCTCGGACAAATTACTGATTACTATATAATTCATGATGAAATTGGCTCAGGGGCATTTTCTACAGTTAAAAGAGCAACCCATAAAGAAACGAATCTGCCAAGAGCTATAAAAATAATTTCAAAATCTGGAATTGCTGATGAGGTAAGAGAAAAGCTCAATGCTTAGATTAATAAATTCTTAGGGGTCACTGGAATTTATTTCAGCTTAGATTCGCAATTAGGTGGCGCTAGACCATATTCAACTAACGCCCTTTTCCCGTCGACATCAAAAAAATGGTGACGTTAGAGAGGCTTACCCATTCAGGTCTTGATCCTTGACCAGCGATTAAAAGCTGCCTTACCATCAGCAGAGCTTGACTTATTGCTGAATCGCCTAGAATATCCTTTTTGGCCTGTCTTAGCACTATTACAGACTAAAGATTACCTCCAAAGATATGCAGAAATGATGCTAAGCCTCAGTTTAGTCTGTATCGGAGAATTATAGAAATTTCCCATAGATGGCGCAGTTTGCCCTTGGGAAAACTTTTTGGTTCGACCAGTACCATATGGTTTGGTCAAACCAAAAAATTTTGTCAGTGGGCAAATCAAGGGCAAATAGCGCTATCTATGGGAAAATTCTATATTACAAATGGGATCCACCGTCTTCTGACTTGGATCAACTCTTAGGACATTAATAACTTAACTCTGCTAGCCGTTTTAACAATTCTAAAGATCAATGAAGAAGTAGAAATTCTTAAAGAGCTTGACCATCCGAATATTATTAAAATTTATGAAATTATTGAAGATGATAGCTCACTGAATATTGTTACTGAGTTATGTGAAGGTCAAGAATTATTTAATAAAATTGTTGAGTGTAAGCCTTTTTCTGAAACACAAGCAGCTATTATTATGTATCAAATTCTATCTGGGCTGATTATGGCGCATCAGCGTGGCATAGTTCATAGAGACTTGAAGCCTGAAAATCTCTTATTTCTAAACAACAGTAAAGACTCCCCCTTAAAAATAATTGATTTTGGTTTATCCCAAAAAATCAAAGCTGAAAATAAATCAGTCAATTTTGTAGGAACTGCTTATTATATAGCTCCAGAAGTGTTAGAAAGCAATTATAATACAAAGTGTGATCTATGAAGCTGTGGAGTTATTTTATATTTAATGCTGTGTGGGCATCCTCCATTCAATGGAACTTCTGAAGAGCAGATTTTTAAAAAAATATCAAGAGGCGTTTTTCCATTCAAAGGTAATGAATGAGCTGTGGTGTCACGTGAAGCTAACTTCCCCCTTCTGTAAATTAACAAAATTGGAAAAATCCTTTTTTTGCGCAAAAACCCACCCTCCGTGAGTGAACAAAAATTTTTTTAATAGAAAAAATTCTATGAAAAAAAATTGATATATATAAGTGATAATTAATATAAAGTAATCTCGAGCTAATTTATTTAATTTTAAACAAATTGCATTTTAAAACATAAATTTTATAAATTAAATTAATATTTGCTTCCCAATTTTTGCAAATTAGTTTTTTTAAAATTTCGAAAAAAAAATTTTCTATAAAATTCATATATAAATTTTTTTAAAAAATAAATTAACCCTCCTCTGTGAGTGAACAAAATTTTTTGTTCACTCACGGAGCGGGGAGTAAGAATTTAATCAAAAAAATGCTAACAAAAGACATATCAAAACGATGCAGTGCTGAAGAAGCTTTTCAAGACCCATGGGTGCAAGAGAGAGTTCAAGGACTTGTTGCAGATCGGCTGATTGATGAAAATGTTCTGTTAAATCTTGTGCAATTCAGAACCAGAAATAAGCTTCAACAAGCCACAATGGCATTTATCGCAAGCCATTTTGTATCAAATCAAGAAATTGAAGGCCTGAGAAAAATGTTTGTCACCTTGGATGCTAATGGTGATGGAAAGCTAAATTTAGATGAATTAAGGAGAGGCTTTGCTAAATACCCAAATTTATCCAAGATGAATATTCAAGAAATACTTGAAAATTGTGATGTGGATAATAATGGATTTATTGACTATAACGAATTTTTAGCAGCAACGCTAAATTGACAGAAAACTTTATCACATGAGAGATTAGAAGCGGCATTTAAAGCTTTTGATTCGGATCAAAGTGGAAGTATAACAGTTAAAGAAATTAAGTCATTTTTAGGAGATGAGTCAGAGCTGGAGGAAGGAATTTGGGAACAGATTTTAAAAGAAGCTGACACTAATGGAGATGGGGTTTTAGATCTAGAAGAATTTAAAAATGTGATGCTGAAGAAAATTGATTAAAATTTTATTTAATCATTTAAATTAGTTAAATTTCATGGAATTTGTGCTTTTAAATGGGAAATTTTATGGTTTGAAAAGCAGTAGTCGTTTAAGCTGAAAGAATTAGGTTAATAGCTTGTAGGTATTATATTGTATTAAAAGACACTTGTGGTTAAGTAAAGCATAACTGATATATAGGAAATATATGATATGTGTTTTAAAAATAAACTCTCGGTGGTGTATCGTGCACGCCTGTACGAGATAACTCAGGAGGTGGAAGTTCGAGTCTTCCTCGAGAGACTTTTTTCTGGTTATTATCTGTAAAAAATCAAACTTATATATATTCATGATTGCTTTACACATAATCCTTAAATAGGAAATCACCAGAAATAGCAAAAATATAAGCATAAAAAATGTTTTTTAAATAAATAGACAAATATATTTTAATTTCACTTATTCTCTTATTTTTTCTTTATAATCTCTGACTCAGAGTTAAAATCTTTGCTTTTTTGCAATTTTTAGAATATAGGTCATTTGCAAATATTTCAGCAATAATAATTTAATAATCATAGCTATCAGTTATGAAAATAATTCAAGCAAACTTATCAAGTGATTGAATACTAAAGATAATAATGAAATTTTGAATAGTTTCTCATGAATATTTCATATTAAGAATTATCAGATTCAAATTTTCATATTTTATGCGTTTTAAGTTATTTTCCATATACAATTCTATAATTATTTTCATGCAAAAAGAAGAATTCTCCAGAAATGATATAAATCAACTATATAAATATAAAATCTTTTCCCAACACGTCAGCAATCATTCTTCAAATTCAGCCCAATTCAGTATAATGCCCCAGAATCTCCAAGAAAACTTATCAAATCATCCTCAAGCCCACGAATAAAGAGAAAAGAAGAAGAGCTTAACTCAATCATCGGTTCCCTTGAAGGCAAGCCTACCAGGTATCATCGGAATCGTAAGGTCACGATTACTAATTCTCGAGGAAAGCCTCAAAAAGTTGGCTTTTTCAATTGGATGATAGGAATACTAGGGTGTTCAAACTAGTGATGATTAAAATTAAACAGTCTTTTTAGTTAAATTACTTTGTAATGTTGGTGAATAAGAATACATAAGCGAATGGAAAGGCGAACTTAGTCGACTCTGGCAGCTTCAGGACAGTCTGATACCAATGACTAATTTCTGGTTTGTTGATAAAATATAGGCTTCTTGTAGTGATAAATCATGGATTATGGAGTTTATTCCTTCTGGGCCGCTGTATTCTAATATTATGTCTTGAGGTGTTTTTACATCAGAAATGAAATTCATAATTACTCGAAAAAGCTCGTTGTAATCTCGAGGTCTTTTATTGAGAAATAGTCTTTGGTCTTCATATACCAAATCGACAGGGCCATACAAATGTTCAGGCTGCACACAGGCAAGATTGCATCCCATATTGATACTTATAATGGACGTTTAAATTCGCATTTAACCTTCAAAACACGAATGAAGACTTTTCTAGTAAATTTTGAATGCATTTGTTTATTTTGACAATATAAAAATTAAGTAAAGCGATTATTAAAACTAAATTAAAAAGAACTGACATTGATTATAGATTTATTAGGATAGAAGAATAGAAATAAGATTTCAGGAATAATTTAACTCTCTCCTTTTTAAATTGGAACAAAATATGGGTAAAATTTCCATTTTTTGATGCTCCTTTAAATTGGAATAATTTTTTTTTTCTCAAATTTAAATTTTATAAGGTAAAATACTAATTTTTATAAAATTAATTTGACCTAATTTAATGAAAACAATGAAGTAAAATTTTATTAAAGAGTTTTTGCCTTAAATAGATTAATTTTTTGAATTAATTGTTCATAAAAATAAATTAAATTAAACTCAAGGCATTGCATTAAATTTATATTATTTTTTAATTTTTAAAATTTTATAAATTTTGTTTTTATTACGACTCCTTTAAAAAGAACAAATAATCAATTCCTTAATTATTTTTTTAAAAATATTTATATTAAATTCTCTCTGAAAAAATTATTTCAAAAAAAATAAAAATTAAAATTGAACCAAATGTTTTTTATTTTAATTTATTTTATGAAGAATTAAAAAATTTAATGACAAATGTTGAATAATATTCTGCTTGCACCTATTCTATTAAATTTGGACAAAACTAATCCGATAATAATTAGTCTTTTCACTTATAAAATTTTCCGATTTAAAACGTTAATTTAAATGTTAAAGTGCTCAAAAAATGGAAATTTACTTGTACTTTGATCCAATTTAAAGGGGAAGTTAATATAAATTTGTTTTAAAAAATTAGCCCCCTCTCTTAAATTGAAGCAGGATGATTTGTTCCAATTTTAAGAGGGAGAGTAAGAAAAAATCAAATATAAAGCTAAAAATTATATGTAATTCTTTATAACAAAGCTTATCCTCTTAAAAATTATCTCTAAATATCATGGCATAAATCCCATAATTTAATGGAATCCACACAGTACGACGAAAATATCACCTATGATCTCGGCAACTTAGCAGCATACGATATTTCATCACTTGATTATTCATCACTTTATGATGTGACCAGCAAAAATTCATCGAGGCTCCTAGCAAAGCTTTTCTCATTAGAAAAAGAAGAAGATGAGCTCTCAGTCCTCATCAAACTTCCACAACCTTTGATGGTTTTACCCAGGGAAAAAGACCCTCCCAAGCCAAAACCATTGAATAAATGGGAAAAATTTAGACTCAGCAAAGGGCTGGGAAGAAGGCTTAAGAGATCAAGAATGGTCTATGAGCCATCTGTTGATGACTATTTGCCACGATGGGGACCTTATTCAGTTAAAAGACTTCATGACAAGCAGACTGCTATCATTGAAGAAAACGAGGAAGGAAATGCAAGAGAAAAACGAGGCGAAGAAAAATCATTAAAAAAGCTATACTATATTATGATAAATTATAGCTAGAATTATGTTTTGAATAATGATGCAAAATGCCTATCAAAAATTAATTCAGCATAGCTCAGCATAAAACAAAAAGAAAATGAACTGAAAAATAAATTAAGCAATGCTATGGAAGGCAAGAAAGGGAAAAAAGATATTGATGCAGCATTAGATGTTGCGAAATCTTCGACTGTTAAGCATGAAAAACAAGCTAAGAAGAGAACGATCCCAAGAAAAGACAAAAATACAAGAGAAGAAAAACAAAATAATTTGGCACTTTTGGATCAAGTTATAAAGAAAGCTAAAATTTCCACATAAAACTTTTGATTTACTTATTGAAAATAGATATTAGATAATAAAATGGAGGATAGAGCATCAACAGTAATTATTTTTCTTAGTCTTCTCATTTTGGCATATAATTGGAATATCAAGTTTGATTTCTCTATATTGAACTGGATTTTATATGGCTCTTTAATAGGCTTGTATTTATTTTGGAGTTTAGGCTTATTTTTAAGACGAAAAGACACTAAACTTGACATCCTCACCAATCATGGAGCAGTTTCTCAAGGAATTTTTAGTATGTTTTCCTTTCAAAACAATAAATTTTACTGCATTGCCGGACTAATCATTGGCGGCTATTCTGGATATAATTTATCAATAGTTTACACAGCATACTCCAAAATGAAATTTTCAATTACCATATCCTTCTTGATTAATTCTATTGCATCTATAGTAACAACACTTATAATAACTGGCTTTGAGAACTCAAAAACCTTAACTCCCTCCTCCATGAGCCAGCCAAAATTGTGGATAAATAATATTTTGATATATAAATGATAACTAGTATAATGAAATCTCTAGCTAATTCTTTTGAATTTTAAACAGCTTGTATTATAAAGCATAATTTTGCAAATTCAATAAATTTTCGCTTTCCATTTTTTGAAAAGAAATATATATAATTTTTTTTAAAAATAAATCCTCTCCATGAGCGAAAAATTTGTTTGGTCACTCATGGAGGGGATTAAGAAATTTCTTGCCTTTTTTTTACCCTGACACAAATCCATGGACTGTTAGCAGCTTTTTGAGATCTTTATATACATGCATGGTTATTGGGGAGTATGTTGGACTTATGGCCATGCTATATTTGGGATTCTTTGAAATTATGTACTTTGTTTCATATGAAATTGCATCATATATAGGATGGTGATGGATTCTTGGAGGAGTTGGAGTCTGCTGCTGTATGAATGCCATCGCCAGTTACCAACAAGCAATGCTTAGAAGGAGAAGAAAGCTGGAAAAGCAAGAAGAAATTGAACTTAATAACTTCACAACAGTAGTTTAACCTATTTTATCTAGCCTAAATTAGCTTTAAAATAATGACGCTATCAAAGCTGTCACTATTAAAATCTCAGCTGAGCTGTCTTCATATGCCTTTTTCGCTTCATAAAATTCGGTTAGAAAAGTCTTCAAAACGCAAGATTCAGCACCTTGAATGTTCGCGAAATACTCATAGTAGGCATTATAATAAACTAACTTATTATAATTGTCACTGTCCCAAAAGTCCTTTATACACACTGCGCTATTTCTTCTTATTGTATTACATTTTTTGCTTTCTTCAGAATTTAGCCACTTTTTTAATTGAGTGAAATATTGAATAACTGGGGTATCTCCATAGAAAAGCGGACAATATAAGCTTCCAGCTTGGTTGTAAGCGCAAGCGCAAGGTTCTTCAGCAAATGCATTAGCACTGAAATATTCATCTGGGGTTGATTGGCAGAATTGACCTTCAAGATCACAAGTGTTTGGAAGAGAATTTGGCTGAGCTGAAGTTAAATTTTTACTGCATTGATAGTGCCCTGTTCCTTCTTTAGCAAAACAATATCCGGAAGAACATAAGAAATTCTGGCTATTGCTGCAGGTACTTACATAAGCATGTTCAGCGAATGAGCCAAAACTAAAGCAAAGGTTTTTTGTTACTACGTTAGTGACATTGCACCAAGCATTGTTTACGCAGTCATAGTCTTCGGCACAGTCGTAGCCATTTGTTTCAATCTGCTTTTGGCAAGTTCCTTTGGTTGTTGAGTTATATCCTAACTCCTCTCCCTCATTAGAGAACAAAACCATTAGAAAAATCACTATTTTTTGCCAAAAACCCGAACAAAAATTTTTTATTTAAAAAAATTTTGATATATAAGTAATAATTATTATAATGAAATCTATAGCTAATTCTGTTTAATTTTAAACATATTGAGTTTTAAAATATAAATTTCACAAATTAAATTAATATTTGCTTTCCCAATTTTTGCAAATTAGGATTTTTTTAAATTTCGAAAAAAAATTAAATCCCCTCCATGAACGAACAAGATTTTTTTGTTCGCTCACGGAGGGGGGAGTAAGCAGTAATAGCCAGGTAAACAATAGTTATGATCTATGCATTCTTCTTGATCTCCACTTCCTAAGCATCTGCTATCCTTGCAGCCGCTTGAATAAGTCGGGTTGCACATATCACTATTGTCGCATTTTTCGCCTGGCCATTTGTAGCCAGTCACAACATTTGATTGGCATGTGTAAGTTGTCGTGTCTCCAGAAGTTGCGCCAATTGCGCATGCCTCCTTTTCTGAGCAAGTAGGGGATGCATACACATTATAGCGGCCATCACTGCTTAGTTCTTTCAAACCACATTGGCCTTTACTAAACGATTGACCAGAAGTTTTGCAGTAATAACGATAGCAGGTATTTGTATCAGCCTTTATTGAGGAAAATTCTGTATCCGCTTGAGCAGTGTAAAGAAAGAAAATGACGGCGATCAAACAAATTTTCATTTTGTCCAATTTTTATTTATATTCGCCTTATTAAAATGGTTTTAACTGTTGTGAGAGACGAGAAACTAAGATGAATTATTAGAAAATTGCAATGAGAGGGTTTATTTAGAAAAAAATAAAAGTTGAGGAATAAAAATAGAAAGGTTTAATTGAAAGCTTATAATTAGGCACTTGAAAATAAAAATAGCATTTAAATATAAAGAATATAGTTATAATGCATTGGAAAATTGTTTTTAATAAACTTGATCGATATCATGCGACAAATTTTTTTAAAAAAAATAATTGTTTTAGCTTATATTTTAATTAATGAAAAAATTCATGCATAGATATGTCTATTCGCCATATTGATTTGTCATTGCCATTCTAAAAAATTAAAACTCTTATTCACTTGGGGCGGTTTGATTGGAAATGTTTATTTTGCAACCCTAGACTCACGCAGAAATGCATATTTCCATATTTTGTTTATTATTCACTATATTGATTTGCCATTAGTATTTTAAAAATTCAAAGAAAGGTAAAGGGTTTAAGTTTTAAAGTGGAAATGGCAAAAGTATAAAAAATGAATTGTACGCAAGCCCAAAAAAATCATTGTCATATATTAATTCGTTAAATTTTAAATTACCAATCAAATTACCCAAGTAGAAAAAGAGTTTAATTTTTAAAATGGTAATGGCAAATTAGCATGTCGAATAGATCTTTAAGTTTATATTACATTTTAGACATGCTAAAATAATGGCTATGTGTGAATATTTTCCATTAATAAAACATAAGCTAAAACGATTAATATTTCTTTTTAAAATTTGTGACATCATATTAGATCAAGCTTGTTTAAAAAAATTCAAAAGCATTATAATTAATACAATAATTATTTATAACTAACTGAAATTAGGGTATTAATATATATGTCATATTAAATATTAGGAAAAATCGAAAATCATATTCATCTTCATATTAACTGTTTTAAAATTTATACACTCCAAAGAAATTAATAGTCACTCTCGATGTTTTATTCTACTGACTAGTTTTAATTGCTAATAATTTTTCACATTTTACCAGAGTATATATTAATATTACTATTTTATTTGAATATCCATATTTTAGCAGATATTTGCATTTCAAAACCAAGAAATCTATCTTAATAGCATAAACTAAATTATGATTCAGAAAAAAAACATCATTTTTGATCAAAATTATATAGGTAATTTAAAAGCTTATTCAATTATTTTAGCATATGTGATTAATTTTTAAAATAATTCATTTCATTAAAGCATATAAAATATCATATGAAACCAGAGCAATAAATTTAATTTTCATTATAATTCTCTATTAATCCATTAATTGTTAAAATCAACTATTTTTTAAAATCCTCTTCCGAGTTTAAAAGCTAAGCTCATCGATACCTTTTAATTTTTTCTTTAAAATTCATATTCGTTTTTGCATTCCAATTTTATACAAATGTTTGCTTATATACTCCAGTTAATCATATTTATTTACATCTAAGAAGTAATATCTACTAAAGCATGGAAAGATCACTAACAGGCTCTCAAGAAGTCAATAGCACGCTAAGCTTTAATGGAAATATGAAACCAATATTGAAATCCCCGATTCCTACAGAAAAAATATTCGCCTTCACAGTAATTCCTGCTCAATCTGACCATAAAAAGAGTAAAGTTTCTTTCAGGAAACCTGTACAAAACGTAGTGTTAGTTGAACCTATAATTTATGAATCTGAAAAGAAAATTAAGAGTTGTGCATGTGAAATATTTTAAATTACAGCTAAGTTAATAATGTTCATATGTTGCCAATAAAAAGGATTGATAGTGTTTAAATCTTAATTATGGTGAAAGAATTGATTGAAATATATTTAAAAGAATTGCTTAAACGTAAAATTCGAATAAATGTTTATTACATGATTACTGACAAGTATGCTCAGTTTTAAAAAAATATTAATTTCATAATAATTTTAATAGAAAATTGAAAATTTTCCAATTTAAATGTTCATTGATTTAAATTCCCTTAAATTCCAATCTGAATTTATGAAAAAACTTTCTAAATGCTTGCATCTTTTTCAGTAAAATTATTCCAATAAGTTAAAATAAATTTGTTTTATAGGAGTATCTTTTAGGTATGAATATAAAATTATTGCAGTTTGATGTCAAAGAGCCAATCAAAAAAATTTATATATAAGCAAATTTTGTAAAATTACACAAAATAATATGAGAAGGTTCTTTTCTGCCACAAAGACTTTTATAGAAGAGCAGCTCATAAAAGCTATGAATCCAGCTTCTTTAGAAATAATAAACGATTCCTGAATGCACCAACGAGGTTCTGATACCCATTTCAAAGTTCATGTAGTAAGTGAGGATTTTCAAGGGAAAACCCAAGTGGAAAGAGAGAGACTTGTTAATAGAGCATTAAAAGAAGCTTGGGAGCAAGGCGTAATCTCTATTTCTGTAGTAGCCAAAACTCCTGAGGAAGCCAAAGCTGAGCCAAAATTAAGCAAGTCAATAAGGTGTATGAGTCACACAAAAGACCAATTTAATAATTCTTTTAATACAGAGCAAAAATAGTGTCGAATTGATATTTGAATTAAAAAACGTGCCTAGTTAATATTCTTAAGAGATAATAATGCAAATTTCTCTATCCAATTAAAAGCATTATCTATTAAATGATTATTAGATTATTTTTAGCTTTAAGGGATTAAACCTAACTTCTTTATCTTTATTTTTTAAAAATCAATAAATCAGACCCAATTGCCTCTTTTTAATCCTCCAATTAATGTTTATGAGATTCATTCTATTTAGTAAAAATGTATCAATTTAATCCCAATAACCTCATACAATTAGATTTTCAAGAACTATCCAAAGCACTAGCCTACATTTTTGCTACATTGCAAGAAAACGAGTCCAAAATTTCAGAGGTAAAAGCCACCTCCACCGAAGCAGTATTTGAAATTTCAAAACATAAAGAAAAATTCAAAGACATAGAAAGTAAATTTCTGATTTTCGAAGAGAGCATCAAAGAAGTCAACAAAATAAGCGACAAAGTCAATACATGGGGCGAGCGATTTAGAGAAATGGAGGAAAGAAATTTCGCATTTTCAAGCAAAATAGAAGAATTGAGTCATCAATTCCAATCACAAATAGATGAAGTAACTAGACTGATATCTCAAACTACTAGATCAGCACAAATAGATACTAAAAGAGACGTGATGATCAAAATGGAAGAAATGAATAACGCAGAAACGGTAAAAATTGGAATTATAAATAGCCAACTTGAGAGACAAATCTCTGAATTAAAGAATCAATTGGAAATGCTAAATTTGGAAAACCAAGCAAAATTTGTAGAAATCCATAGCTCGCTTGGATTGGTCAGCTCCCAGACTCAGCAGCCCGAATCCCAAAAGCAACCAAAGGAAAGCCAAAAAAACAGAAACGTTGTCAGTAGGTTAGCGTCATTAGAAAAAACATTTCAAAATTTTGTAACTTCAATGTCAAGTACAAGAAGCGTTGGAAATACCAACCAAGAGATTCAAATCCCAGCATTTATTGAACCAAAAATAAATTTAATAGAAAATGAGCCAAAGCCGATATTTTCTATGGTTAATGAAGGAATTGATCTAATAAAGCCTGCATCCAAAGAAAATGAATCAAATCCTCCAAGCCCATTATATCTACCAAATAATGAAAATTTATTACCTTTATTTGATAGGATAAGTAAGCTTGAGAAAGCAAATTATAAGCTAGGAGACTATGAAGCAATGGAAAATAAAATTGAGATACTGAATGAAAAAATTGAAATTTTATTTGAAAAAGCGTTAAATGATGCAAATATTGTGATTCCTTCTATTCAGATAGAAGCCCCAAAAGAGCATCACCAAGAAAAATCATTAGAAAAGCCATATGAACTAAATTTAATAACAATACCATCTCCAATTCCATCTCCTTCTATGTCACCAATGCCATCTCCAAGGACTCCTCGACTTGATAGTCTTTATGATAAAAAATTTTCAAAAATAGAAGAAGCAGTTCAGCTGTTACAAAAAAATATTACAGAAGTCCAGTTAAGCATTGATAATAATAAATTGAAAGAGTATTTAGATGATAAATTTACTGTATTTGGAAAAAATACTAGGGATACCCTAGTAAAGCAATTTTCAGGCGTTTCTGAAGAAGTATCAAGCAAACTATCCGAGTTCCAATCAAGACTAAATGGCTTCTGAAAAGATACTCAAATCGTTCATGAAATTATTGAAACCATTAAGTCTCAAATTGAAGAATCTGCGCACAGTTTAAAAGAGGAAAATAAATTATTATCAAGTAGTATAGAAGATATATCAAAAAGCATTGACATAAAATTAACAGAAAAATTAACTGAAGTTAAAGAGTTAATTCCTCAAGTTCAGGTTACTAACTCCCCCCCCATCCTTGATCGAGCGATTGACTGTAAAAATTCCTAAAAATTGGGGAAATTAACCCCCATCCTTGATCGAACGATTTTCATATCATTCAAATTTTTATATATATAAAAATATATTAGTTATCAAAAGCTTGGGAAATGTACCTAATGAAGTTTTTTTACAGAGCTTTGAGACAACAGAAAGCTGCGGAATCAACCATCCGAAGTGATTTAGCCATCAGCCTAGGCTTAAAAACTCAATAATCTAAAAAATAGAGATTCTTTAAAATTAAAAAAAAAAAAAAATTTAATTCAATAAGGAACAAATTAAAATTTATACAGTTTAAATAGGGGTAACTAATAAATCAAAATATTAAAAATTGGTATTTTATGAAATTAATTCAATTTTTTGTTGTAAAAATAATTATTAAATACTCTTAACCCACTTATTTAAAAGTAAATAAAAAAAATATATATATATATATATTTTTATTTTTATATATATTTTATTTTATATATATAATTTTTTTTCCCAAAAAATTTTTTTTTAACCCCCATCCTTGATCGAACGATGGCGAGTCGTTCGATCAAGGATGGGGGGGGGGAGTAAAGAAAAACCCGAACAAACCGAGAGTGACACTGTTCTTCGTAGCATGATTTTTAGTTTGAGGAATGAATTAACAAAATTAAGGTCATCAATTGAACAAATCGAGCATAAAAGAATGGTTGAAGAGTCAATTTTTGAAGAAAACGCATCAACTGTTTTTGTGGAGAATTTTGGAACAAAAGATGAAAATAATAACTTGAAAGGGATACTGAAACTGCATGATAATGCTATACGAAATTTAGCACTAAAAATCATGCCAGGATCTCAGATGCCTTCTCAACAAAATCAAGAAATCACTAATGTTTTGCAATATTTAGAAGATTTAAAATCTCAAATAAAAGAAGTGATAAATAAACAAGAACATACCAAGTCTTTTACCTCAAAAGATTTTGAGCTTCTAAATGAAATTTATCAAAATTTAGAAAATAAATCAAATAAATCAGAATTAATACAAAAAGTTGATAGAAACGAACTAAGAAGGATTTATCAGCTGCTTAAGAAAAGAATTGATGAATTATCTGAACAGTTAAAAAAAAGTGATCAGATGCAGGCATTATTAAGCACACAAGAGGAGCCTTATTTCATGAAGAAAAAATATGATTTTGGCTGTGCATCTTGTGGGCAGGTTTTTAGTCCGCAATCTGATACTCAAATGACTCAGCAGACTTGGTATAAACCTGGGACAAGAAACGGAACATTTATGCCAGGATTTTCAAACATTTTATCATCGCTAATACAAAGCCCCTCTGGGTCTTTTACTTTGCCAAGTCGAGCTGAAGAAAATATTGATAGGGAATCTATAAAAAGTCCAAAAAACTCAATTGTGACGCCTTCATATAGTAAAGGGAAAAATAGAAGAATTAGGCTTCCTTCTGTTAAAGAATCTTCATAATAAAATGATAATAAAATAGTTTTGAAGTATTAGCACAAGTATATAAAAAGAGTTTCAAATTGAAACCCAGCTAGACAGTATGGCCGAGTGGTTAAGGCGACAGACTTGAAATCTGTTGGGATCTCCCGCGCAGGTTCGAATCCTGCTACTGTCGTTTTTTGATATTTTTTAATAATGATCTTGACAATAAATAATAATCATCTCCATGCAAAATTAGCTGAAATATTAATTTTTCTTATTTGAATAGCTTCAAAGTTTTAAAATTCATCATAAAATGGAAAATTGAAGATTTCTTTGAAAAATATTGTAAAATTATTATTCTAGCATTTATCACAATAATATCATATTGGGCCATGTTTAGTTATTTTTATATTTGCAAAATCAGATCTTATTTTTAAGTAAATGATTAGCTGGTATTTTAAGTACTATGAAATAATTTAAGAATAAATATAAGATGGATTACATGTGTCCTATATGTCTTAGAGATGATCGAACTCCAGTCATCAAACTCATGTTTTCTGTCTGCGGTCATCAAATTTGTGAAGACTGCCTTAAAACTCTTTTTCGTACAGAAACTCAAATTAATTGTCCGACTTGCCGCCGACCTTTAAAAAGAGTTGATTTCTCTTCAAGATATTTAGAAGAAAAAGAAGTTGACAAAGAAAATGAAATTCGTCGCGAAGTTTTGAATGTATACAATAAGCTTGAAGATGATTTTACTGATAGAGAATCTTATGATGCATATTTAGAAATGATTGAAGATATGATTTATGAATATATTTCTCAAAAAAACAGTGATATCATTAAAAAAAAACTTGACCTAGAACGCCAAAACAATATTCAAGAGATCACTCAAAACGAATCAAGAAAAGAAGAAGAGCTAAGAGTCATGAGAGAAAACGCAGTTATTGAGGACTCTATGTTTGATGAAAGCTTAAAAGATAGAGCAAAGGAAATTATATGAGAAAGAGCTCACAAAGTTGAAGAAAATTTAGTTACTCCCCCCCCCCCCTCCGTGAGCGAACAAAACCATTAGAAAAATCGCCATTTTTTGACCAAAAACCCACCCTCCGTGAGTGAACAAAAATTTTTTTAATAGAAAAAATTTTAATGGAAAAAAATTGTGATATATAAGTGATAATTAGTATAATGAAATCTAGAGCTAATTCTGTTTAATTTTAAACAAATTGCGTTTTAAAACATAAATTTTGCAAATTAAATTAATATTTGCTTCCCAATTTTTGCAAATTAGGATTTTTTTAAATTTCGAAAAAAAAATATTTTTTATAAAATTTATATATAAATTTTTTTTAAAAAAAAAAATTAACCCCCCTCCGTGAGCGAACAAATTTTTTTTGTTCGCTCACGGAGGGGGGGGGGAGTTAGCAAAGAAATGCCAGAGTGCAAAAATTTTGATTCAGTAAATTTTATATAGAGTTATGACCTAAACACCCTGGATGAAGAATTAAGGAATTTATTTTTAAATGCCAGCGGGTTTGATATAGATGAAATAAAGAGAAGTTCTTATCAAGAATTAATTGATGGATTGAATATTTAATTGATAAATTTACATACAGCACTGTTTCTTCGGGGGAGGGGTTACAATAATTTCTTTTGTTTCTTGCTTTTTTTTGACGGTAATTCCATAAGCTTTGTTTTCTGTGTCAATAACTTTTTCGTTAATTCTTTTTAAAATCGCTTTGGCAGTATCTACAAAGGCTTCTCTGACCCCAACCCCAGTTTTTGCAGAAGCTTCTGCATAAAGCAGATTATTATCCATCGCGAATTTATTAGCTTCTTCATAAGTGACTTCTCTTTGTGAATTCAAATCGATTTTATTGCCGACTAGCATTACAGTCATAGAAGGATTTCCATTTAATCTTGCTTCGTTAAGTCATTCAGATAAGCGGTTAAAGGTGTCTCTTCTAGTAATATCAAACACTAATAAAGCACCTGCAGCAGCTCTATAGTAAGATCTAGTAACCGATCGAAATTTTTCAGATCCAGCTGTGTCTCATAATTGCAATTTTATTTTCTCGCCTTCTAATTCCATTATTTTTGTACCAAATTCGACACCTAGCGTTAAATCGTGCTGTTGGCGGAATTTTTTGTCTGTAAAGCTGAGCATTAGACAGGATTTTCCGACTGATGTCTCGCCGATGATAATGAACTTAAATAAGCAAGAATATGACATTTTTTATTAGTAAGACAGAAGAGAATAGAAAATTTGAAAATATGCTAAAGATAATCATGCTCATAAATGTGATAATTCATTTTGCATATAAATAGCATGCTTTAGTTTATTTTTAAAATAAAATAAAATGCCTTATATAATAATCGTATAATATTTTGCACTGGCTAATAAACATTCCATATGAAATATAGAAATAGAATTATGATGCAGACAGAAATTGGTCTCTGAGGCACACTATCTGTGGAGCAGGTCTGAATTATTCTGATGAAGCTGAAGTAGGGCATCTGTCCATTTTGAAATACGCCTTCAGATTTGAGGAGACCTTGTTAAAGAGCGAAATTTTGTGTCTCCTCTGAAGGTTTTCCTGCCCCTGCCAATGGATTTTACCTACCACATATTCTTCGTCTGTCGGAACTATCGGGACGCCCTACAGGAGGTTTCTTTAGCCAAGGGACTGATCCTTAGATAAGGTGAGTCTCCCAGAAAATTCAAGAGAGTGGAATTTTGATTAAGCTTTTACCATTTGCATTCCTCTGTATCCGCACCCAGCGTAGGCCACTTTTCTTGGAGTCAAGTATCCAGCTAGTGGATACCGCTTATATCCGCATAAATCTTTATGAAATATGAATGTTACTGCCAGAGAACGCTTAAAAAATTGATAAATATAAAATAATCAGTAAAAAATCTTAAACTATGTGATTAGTTATTCAATTGGTTTGTATTCTCCAGCAACAACAGCGTGGTCAACTTCATAAGGTTCCAAAGTAAGCATCTCTTTTGGCACAAATCCCATCTCCTTCAAAGTCTCTATTTCCCTCTCAAACACCACACTAGGCTCTACAGTCGAATCAATACAATTTGCTTTAATTGAAATCACAAAATGTCCTCCATTCTTCACAAAATGCTGTGCATTATGAGCTAAAATTCTGGCTTGGTCTCTTTGTGCGACATCAGCAAAAATAACATCAACCATTGGTACAAGCATTCTGTACCTCATTGGATGTCTAGCGTCATCTACAATTGGTACCACATTTGTCCTTCTTTTAGCCATATTCACTAAGTCTCTGCCAGATCTATGAGAAAACTCTACAGCATATACAGCTCCTTCAGGGCCTACTATATCTGAAACATGGCTAACTGTTGTACCAGATGCTGCTCCTAGATAAAGAACTTTAGCGCCTGGCTGGATCCAAATTTGGTCGATTCCACCCAAAATAGCTGCAGCGATTTTAGACCTATAAGGGTTCCATACTCTGTATTCAATTTTGTCTTCCCCAACTTGGACTGGGATTCTTTTTTCTTGATAAACGCTTTCTCCTGGGGCGAAACTTTTTGTAACTAGAGAGTCTTCATTACCTCTGGCAATGAAAATTCCTGGGAATCTGTGAGGCTCGACTAAGACTTTGGAGCCACCTTTCATGCCTCTTCCGCCACGGCCACCTCTTGGAGCGCCTCTACCTCTTGGACCTCCTCTTGGTGGGCCACCACGGCCTCTTGGTGCACCTCTTCCTCCTCCAAAATCTCCTCTAACCATGGTTAATATGGAATTATAATTAATTAAAGAATTTATGCAAAAATTTTCGAATAAAGAAGATAGAGATATGACTCCCAAGTATAGGGAAGCGTGCAGAAGGCTAGGAATTAATCCTGAAGAATTAGCCTATAAATCTATTGATGAGTTTAGAGAGCCTGGGATAAGTTATGAGGTGGCTAGGCTTTACTATAACAACTATGAAACGAAAAGAAACGAAAGGATAGCTTGAATATGGAGTGAAAGAGAAAGAATCAAAGAAAATGAAATGAAAACTAGACAAACAACAGCAGCTACCAATATTTCATGGACAAATTCAGTCAGTTATGAAAAAGAAAAGAGAGAACTTGAGTGACTCCAGAGAAAACAATCAATTGATCTTAATTTCTTAAAAAAACAGAAAAGCTATCTAATATCCCTTGAGACGAAAGACCGTGATATAGCTGAAAGAAATAAAGAAAAACTTGAAGAAAGGAACAAAGAAATAGAGAAAAAAAGAAAATTGCAAGAAGAAAATAAAAGAAAAAGAGACCAAATTTTAGCTGAGCGTCAAATAAAATTAGAAGAAGCTATATTAAAGCAATCTCAGCTAGATTCTCAAAAATCTCAAGACTTTCTAAAGATAAAAGCTGAGAGTGAACAGGAAAAGAAAGAAGAAGCCAAAAAGAAAGAAATAGAAATGAAAAATAAGCAAGATGAATTTCAAAGGAAAATTGAGCAGATGGAAACTTTTAAAAAAAGAATTGCTGAGGAAAAGAAGCAAGAGCTAGAAGAAAGAGAAAGAAATAGGATAGAAGCTATAAATAGCTTGAATAGAGAAAGAACAGAGGAGAATTTAAGGAAAGCTGAAGAGAAAAAGCAAAGAATTGAAGAGGCAAAAAGAAATTTGGAAAAATTAAAAGAAAAAAATAAACTGGAGACCGAAAAAAAGCAAATGATTAATGAAAAAAGGAGAAAAGAAATGGATGAGGAAAAGAGGATAGAAATTGAAATTTCTAGACAAAATGCTCAAGAAAAAGCTAACTCCCCCCACCCCTCGTGTGAGTGAACAAAACCATTAGAAAAATCCCTATTTTTTGCCCAAAAACCACCCTCCACGAGTGAACAAAAATTTTTTTAATAGAAAAAATTTTTATGGAAAAAAAATTTTATATATAAATGATAATTATTATAATGAAATCTAGAGCTAATTCTGTTTAATTTTAAACGAATTGCTTTTTTAAAACATAAATTTTATAAATTAAATTAATATTTGCTTTCCAATTTTTTGAATTAGATTTTTTTTTAATTTCGAAAAAAAATATATTTTTTTAAACAAAAAATTAACCCCTCCGTGAGTGAACAAAATTTTTTTGTTCACTCACGGAGGGGGGGGGGAGTAAGCACTTAGATTATGTTAAAAAAATGAATCAAGATAATGTAGAAAAAAGAAGAAATGATTTATTAAAATGTTCATCCATAGCAGATATGAGATTCAAAGAGCAGCAAAAAATAAAGCAAGATGAAATTCAAGAGAAAAAGCAAGAGCTTAAAGCTCACTATGATGCAATAAAACAAGCAAAGTTAAATCTCCAAATATCTGAGTCTGAAAGGCTAAATAAGTTAAGGGAAAAGCAATTTGAAGAAGACCGTAAAATAAAAGAGCTGAAAGAACAGATAAATAATTACGAAAAGAGCAAAAAAGAAATAAAAAATAAAAAACATCAAGAAAGGCTGGAACTAGTGAAAAGTGCTAAAGAGGAAGATATGCTGAAAAGGCAAAAAACATTAGAAAGGATAAGAGAAGAAGATAAAAGGTCAGAAAGAATCAAAGCAGAAAGAGAGGAAAGTATGAAAGATAGACAAAGAGCGAAGTCTGTTGCACAGTTTGAAAGGAGCTCAATGATTGAAAAGTTTAATAGTGAAAAGAAAAAAGTGTAAAATACCAAAAACTATTTAATTAAAATAATAAATTTGCCGGGATTTTTATGAGTATTCTGCTTTATCTGAAAGTAGTTTATTAGAAATTATTGAAATATTATAAAAATTAAAGTTGATGGCATTAAATTTAAAGAAATAGTATAAAGAAATAAATTAATTATGATAATTGTGCTATCATCGGCTAGAACTGGAATGGAAATGGCTCAAATTCAGCTTCACTCTCAGTATATGGAGAGGGAGCTGTATAGTAAATATCTCCTGATCAGCTTTCTTCAGCCTGTTTAGGCTGCAAGTTTTCTTTTATATCCTCTTCACAGTTCTCATTTTGAATTTCTTCTTGCGGCTGGGTTTCTTCATTTACATTATCTTCAACCTTGTCTGCTTCTTTGTCCGCTGCCTTTTCTGAAAATTCTGGACTATTAATATCATTCTCTGTGCATCCTGTGTTTAATTGAGCGTCACTTTCTGCCTCAACTACTCTCTTTTGTGGGGGTACAATAAATCTTACTTTTTAATAAACTTGTTAAATATAAATTAAAAATAAATTTTACTGTAACTTCTTTGATTAAATCCATTTCATCTAATGGCTGTTGAGATTGTGTTAAGTTTGTAAGTTTATCTTTTCTTGGGCGACGATTTATAGTTCTCTTAACAGCTCTCACAAGCGGGGTCTCTCTTCTTGTTCTTTTGATAGTGTTGACAAAAGCGCAGGTTATTTTGTTAGCTCCTCCTGGTCAGTCAGCAAAAAAATGCAAGGGATAGTTTTAATAAAAAAAAAATTAAATGCGGCAAATTTTTTAAACTTTCAAATCCAGATTTGTAAATATTTGAATTAAAAATATAATTTAATTTATAAAATAAATGCATAAGTATGCAAGCCATTTAAATTAAGATTAGTTGGAGATCTCATTGCCATATTCATTGATTATATAATAAAATACAGTATATCCAAAAATTTTATTGCTGAGGGCTAATTTTCCAAAATAGAAAGTTTTTGCCTCCTAATCAATGAGAAAAGTAAGTGCTTCAGGTTTTTGTACAATGAGCTTCATATTGATTTATTAACCACTTATTTAACAGAAATAAGTCTTGCTTATATGATATCAAATGAATTTAAAGCATATGCTTAAGATTTATATATATTTAAATGGTGGAGTAAATTGGCCTGCTCCTGTAATTGGCACTACACAGGATTTTGAGAGCTCGATGAAGTGGCTGGCATCTGATCAACTAAATCAGCAATATTTTCTTGATGCAGGTAATAAGGAACGATGAGATTAGCAGCCCAAGCTCAATCCAGGATCAAGTTTTTTCCTCATGGGTAAGTGGATCCGAGAGTTGGAAATGGATCTCAGAGCTGTATCAGAAGCTAATTCCATTTTTGATTAAGTGTTAGAAATTTAACCCTTTGGAGTTAGTGGGCAACCTATGTTGGCGCGTGGTCAGGTGGGTCAACTCTTCCGTCTCTATTAGCTAGTAAAAGCACTTGTCCATAAGAGTAACCTTCGAGATGTCGTGAACCTGCTGGTGAGCATGTTGGGAAGCGTTAGCAAACTAGCTAGGCCTTCAGGCAAACATCTAACTTTAATAAAGTCTTATTAAACGTAAAGTAAGCTAAAGATTAATTACTTTGCTGAATGAAATATTCAATAAAAATAAATTAACGATTTAATGGAAAATTTTAATTTTTTAGATAATATCTAGGACTAGAGTAACTCTATGTATCAGTGTATTTTATAATGCTCTATTTGCAAAATTAAACTAATGCCAGTATTAAAGCATTGCATATATATAAAATTGTCTAGCAAATGAGTTTAAGAAATCTAAACATTTTATTAAGCGCAATATTATTTAAGATTGAATTAAGGTTTGCTTTATTAAAATTAAAGTAAATAATTAAATTTCTTACTTAATAGGAGGTACTGCCTCTAGCGGACATGGCCGGATGTGAACAGTATAAAAACAAAAATTAAATCTAAAGCTTAAATCTCTTTCAACAATAAATATGTCTTTTGCCATCAAATTTGCTTTTCTCTACATTTTCATTTCCTCTTCTTTTGCTGCAATTTCTATTGACCTCCACCGTCGTTACAAAACCGGCAAAAAGCTTTCGGAATATCCATCAAATGTGCCGTTCTGAAGGAACATCGAATAAGGTTACTAATTTTGAAAATGTAAAACTTATTTAGTGACTTTACTATGGGATGGTAAATATTGGAACTCCACCCCAAGTTTTTACTTGTCACATTGACACCGGAAGTACAATGATATGGGTTGTTCAAACTGGATGCCAAGATTGCCATAAATGCAACAACACCTTTACGCCTTCCAAATCAAGTACATTTTCTACAGAATTCTACCCTTATAATTTAACTTACTTGAAAGGTAAGACTATAGGATATATTGCTTATGACACTTTAAGTCTTGGGGATGCAAGTATAAATGTAACTGACCAACCTTTTGTGCTTGCGATTGGAGAAGAAGATGACGATGGTTATGCATCAGATGGACTTATCGGATTTGCCTTTGATTCTTTAGAGCCAGGCTACCCATCCTTTATGACCCAGTTATATATTCAAGGGGAAATCAAGCATAGGACATTTGCTCTTTATTTAAACAAGGAAGGAGGAGATATTTCATCAAATCTCATGATCGATGGCTATGATTTGAAAAAATATTCAAAAGATAAAGACTTCCTCTATTTAAATATATACCAGCAAAGTGGCTTTTGAAATCTTTTAAATACCCAATTTAGCTTTGGAAATACAATTCTAGCGACTTACATTCCAGCTGTGCTTGATTCAGGCACGTCATGAATTTATGCCCCTGAAGAAATATATGAATCAATTTTAGATGAATTTATTGGGTCCTCCAGTTGCGAAATGATTTCAAAACAAATACAATGTCTTTGCGATAAAAAGTACCCTGATTTTAGCTGGATATTGAATGGGCATACGTTCAATATTTCGTCTGAATCTTATTTTTCTAAAAAACAAAAAATTGATGGAGTCAATTTATGCCAGTTCCTTCTTGGTAAGGGTTCAGAAGATGCATGACTGCTAGGTGATGTTTTTATGAGGAATTTTTATATAAATCATGACATGGATAATTTGAGAATAGGAATTGCAGAAGCTAGACATAGTGATAATGCACTTAGGTGGATTTTCGAAGGATGGAAGCTGATTCTTATCCTAATCATTGCATCTTAAGCAAATAATTAATCCTTATTAATTGGAATTAAAATCCTATTTTATCAAATAATCTAATAAAAGAATATTCCAATATGCAGATATTAATTGATTATTGATCTGATTTTAATATTATTCAGCTTATCATCCTTATTATCTAATATTTAAATTAATCTGGACGAAGGGTAGTACACAGAATGATGAAATAATCAAGTAATAATGATTTCATTACAAAAAACTTGATTTTGTAGGAAAATTACAAACATTAAGTTTATAAAAAATTTTACTTATTAAAACGTTTTTAATAATCAATTTAGCTTTAAAAATAGCATTATTTACTTATATTTCAGTAATAATATGTTCGGTTACTCATTAATTTAGCTCCTCTCAACTATATGCTATCCTTGGAAATGCAGCAGCAACTATTGCTGCCTTAGCTATGCTTTTATAACAAAATATTATATCAAAAATGATATAGTAAAATACACTATGTAGCAGGGGGCTTTTTTGGCTGGAACTTGAGCCAAAAAAGCCCCGTGCTACATAGTATATTTCACAATATGATAATTTGAAAGCCATATTTGCAGAAACCAATTATAATGCTATTCAATCTAATGGCATGAGTGGGAGCTTATCTTAATCTTAATCATTACTTCTTAGCAATATTAATAGCTAAAGCTTAATTAACTAAAATAACCTTATTTTTTTTAATTTCTTCAAGCAATCTTATAAAAGCAATTTTTGATTTTATTTTTCTACTTTAAAACTTAACTATACACATAATTAATTGCAATTAATTAAACTCTCAATTTACCACTATCATTATCCAATAATAGAAGTATAAAAAAGAAATGTCCCAAAGAGTTTGCTATAAACCCGGATGTGGAGCAAAAGCCAAATTCAAATGCGTCTGCACCACTCCTGAAACTTATATGTGTGAAAAACATATCGACGATAGAGATCCACTCTTCAGAAGTCACATGGGCCATGAACTGATCAATGTTTATTGCAAGCCAGATTACGCTTCGAAAGATGCCTTCCTTAACTCCCCCCCTCCGTGAGTGAACAAAACCATTAGAAAAATCGCCATTTTTTGCCCAAAAACCCACCCTCCGTGAGTGAACAAAAATTTTTTAATAGAAAAAATGTTGTATGGAAAAAAATTTAGATATATAAATGATAATTAGTATAATGAAATCTAGAGCTAATTCTGTTTAATTTTAAACGAATTGCTTTTTAAAACATAAATTTTATAAATTAAATTAATATTTTGTTTTCCAATTTTTGCGAATTAGGATTTTTTTTAAATTTCGAAAAAAATTTATATATAAATTTTTTTTAAAAATTAAAAAATTAACCCCCTCCGTTAGTGAACAAAATTTTTTTGTGGGGGGGGAGTAAGTTTCTTAATACTGAAATCATGAAACTTGGAACAGTCGAAAAAATCATTGTTGAAAACACAATGCTTGAAATTAAGGCTATCGAGAACAGTCTCCATAAAATCCTCTTTGGCATCAGTGATGCTAAAAACACTTTATCTCGTCTATTAGAAGAAATAAACTCCCTAAGAGAAATGCCTTACGACAGCTCCAAGTCTCTATACAATTGATTAAAACTCCCCATACAAGAAGTTAATGCTCTTATCGAAAATTTAAAAAGGACCAAAGAGTTGCCCTCATCAGAAGGTTTTTACCAAGAAATGATAGACTTTACCCTAGATTTCGCCTTAAAACCAATAGAGTCTCCTTTAGAAATTTTAGAAATTTTAAATGAAGGGAATAGAAAAAGTCAAAACCAATGCTTTAAGCAGCAAATGAATGTTATCTTAAACCTAAAAAATATTGTTGGGCATTATAAAAACAATCTTAATCAAGATTTAAGAAGCCCAATCAATAATGAAAGGTCTCCGAACTCGCTTTCTACGTATAAGCAAGACTTTGAAGCGTTGGCTAAGCAGGATATATCGAATTACAACATTCCTAAAAGAAATAGCCACATATTTACGAATAATAATTTGGCAGCACCTGATGCGGCTTATCATATGACGGTGGAAGGGGTTGAATTAGAGCATTCAGATTCAGATCAGCCAACCACAGAAGAGGCATCTTCAGTAAACACTACGCATTCTGCTTATACAGCAGAAACTATTTCAGATTATTCTCCGATGAATACGCAATTCAGCTAATAGAAAAGGAAAAGGCAAAGGTATAAATAATTAATGGTTATATTAATTAATAGACTGATAGATTAATATCTATAGAGATTGTTTAAAATTCGATATTATTACCGTCTGAATTAAGCAATATTCTCAAGATTTCAATTTGGTAAAGAATAATTTTTTTGATTTTAATAAATGATAGGGTATGATTGTTCAAGTAATATTTAATATGCAATATAGCTTTTCTCTGTAAAATCGTTTATAAATATAAGTTTATCTGCATTAAATATATCATAATTTTATCGTGATATCACCATATACTATATAAGTCATAATCAACAGAAAATTTATTAACATATTTTAAGGAGTCATTTTAATTAGCTTAAATCAGATAAACAAGGAATATATTTAAATGGCTGTGCTAATTTTATTAAGTTCAATTTCCCTTGCTCTTAGCATTCTTGTCTTCTTAAAAGTTAGCAAACTTATACTAACTTTAATGCAGTAATAGATCCAAAAACTGATATTTTTTGCTTCTGCAAATCACATTCTTAAGCTATCATGATAAATATAATATTTCCTCATAAAAGCATCACATAGTAGCCAAATAAGGCATTCGAGTTTTGCCAGGAATTATTCGGCATATTGGATTCTCATCATCAACTTTATATTTTTCAAAATAAAATCCAGATTCTATTTTAAACGTATACCCATTCCATAACTAGCTAAAATCAGGGTATTTCAAAATATGCGAACAAAAATAATTATTTAAAATTTCTTTACACCCATAGTGCCCAGCAAATCCATACATGATTGACTCATGCAGTTTCAGGAGCCACAATATGCGAGGAGCCTAAGTCAATAATTGATATAGCACTTTCCTTGAATAGCCCGATAACGGGCTGGCTTTCATCCCGTTATGGGCTATTCAAGGGAAAGAGCTATAGAAAATTATCATTATAAAAATAATTTCCAAAGCTAAATTGAGTATTTAAAAGATTTCAATGCCCACTTCCTTCATATACACTTCAGAAAGTAAAAATTTTTCTTTTAAATAGTTCTTCAGGTCATACCATTAAAAGAAGATTTGATGAAAAAAAGATGTTCCTCTTTATTATTTAAATAAATATTAAATGTTCTGTGCTCAATTTTCCCTTGAATATATAGTTGATTCATAAAAGAGGATAATATTTCTTACTCTCCCATCCGTGAGAAAACAAAACCACTGGCAAATCTTTTTTTTTGTTGAGTAAAAGCCCACCCTCCATGAGCGAGAAAATTTTTTAATAATATTTTTGATAATTAGCATAATGGAAATATCTAGCTAATTCTGTTGAATTTTAAACAGTCTTCATTTTACAACATAAATCAAATTAGTTTTTACTTCTCAATTTTTGCGAACAATCTTTCACATTTATCCCTATAAAAAGTTAAATTTACTAGTCTTCTCTTATTAAAATACTGAATTCATTGCTCCTTACTTCTTTCAAGCAATCCTGTTAGAAGCAGACCTCGCTTTCTATTTTAATTCTCATCGCTTTTAGCAAATCTGGAAAAGCTAAATATATAATTTAAAATAAACTAATTACCCTCCGTGAGAAAACAAAATGTTTTTGTTTGATTACGGAAGGGGAAGTTAGCACTCTAAAGATTTGCAGTCTGGTCAAGGCCTATTTATTAATTATGAATTGGCTAAATAATTATTTCCAACAAAAGAGACAAAATTTTCTGGATTATTAGCTTCGCTCTTTTGCCTTTATTTCCATAATTACAAAAAGAGCTAATAATATAGAGAAATTATAATCCTGGTAAGAACCCCAAAGTAAAAACTAGTGCGAAGATTCATACTGAATTATAGACAAAGAAAAACCCTATTTTTTAAATAAGCTAATCTTCGTATATCTAAAAATTCAATCTTAGAATTAGTTTTAAATGACTTTAAATAAATTCAATTTCACACAGCAATAACTAATCTTTGCTTGAAAATTGAGGTCTATGATTTAATTGTAATTTTGCATCAGAGTAGCTCCGTTGCACTCCTGCTTTATCTGACATCCTCAAAGGAGAAGGAGATTTTCGGAAATCACCGATAAGCATTGACACTTTATTAATCATTTCATCAATATCAGGTCTGGAAACTGACACTGAAGAAAATTGTACACACTGAGATCTCGGTAAATTGTTTTCCATTGTAGAATTTGAGAAATCTTGGTCGCCTAACTCTATAGATTTTCTCATTTTAATTATAGGGCTTTCCCTTGAATATCCGATAACGGGCTGGCTTCATCCTGCTATCGGGCTATTCAAGGAAAAGCCCTATATTTCTGACTGGTTTTCTTTAAATTCAATCTTAGGAACTTCTTTTATTTCTGTATTAAATCCGTCAATTTTATGATTTTTTTCTTCTTTTATTGTAGGGCCATAATGAGCTGTTGCAAAAGCTTCATAAAATCTGATAGCAGTTCTCAAAAATTCATATAAAATAAAAGCAGTTAACGTCCTATCAGTGGCTTTTACATCATCAACAGTAAACTTATCCAGCATTTGTTTAATTTTCTTGATGATTTTGCAAGAAATCATCTCGTTTTCAATAAAATAAAAAATCTGCCTAGTTGTTTGGACAACCATTCCTGGGTTTTTGGCATATTTTTGCATAGAATTAACAGCAGAGCTATCTCTTGCTTTGCTGCTTGGGAGTGAAATGGTTTTGTCTACTTCAGAAAAAAGCAAGAGAAATGATGTGCATATTGAATCAATAATATTATTACCTGGATTAAGGATTTTTTGCCAAATATTAATGACTCGTGGAGTAATTCTGTTAATTTTTTGCTTTAGCTCAACAGCAATTTCAGCTAAATTTTCTGATTGTGGAACTTCTTCTGGCTGCTTTCTTGGAGATGCAGGCTCCGCAGATGATATAGCTCATACACCTTTATAGATTTCCATTATGAGCATATAACCGTTTCATTGGGCTTTATGCACAATATAAATTAGGTCAGATTTCTTATTGCTATAAGAATTATTCAATATTTATATAAATTTTAATTGCTTTAAAATAATTAATTCTTGCTTTAAATAATTCCTTTATAAGCATTTTTTGAAAAATATTGTTTATGCTGAATTTGATATTTTAGCCAGCTCAAAAATTCGAGGCTTTTTCATTGAAAATAACTTTTATTTCATCCAAGTCTAAATAAATTAGTAGTAAAATAATCCAATTTTTAATGAGATTTAATTTTAAAATCAGCTAAACATTTTGCAAATTAAAAATTTTCATAAGTTAAGACAATATATTGTATAGTTCGTGAAGTCCAATGAAAGGGCTATATGCTCACAATGGGAATTAATAATGGTGGATAAGCTATATTATATTATTTTCATCTAAATCACTTGCTAGCTGTAATAATTTATTAGCTAAAGCTCTATAATCTGCTTTGTCGTTGCTTATAGCAATTTTTTGAATATCATTAATAGATGATTCCATCAAAGAGTAGAAATTTAAAGATAAATCAGGTATTGCCTCCAAACAATCATCGAGTACAACCCTCATTTGTCTAGCCTTTCTTAACAAATTTTCATTAATTTCAGTTGTTGAAGCTATTGATTTGCAAACGTCAGAAAAATATTTTTCTAAAATGACGAGTGAAATAGGTTTTTCCTTTTTAGGTTTTGGGGATAAACTTTTTCTTGAATAAACACTAGATTTAGGACTATCAGAAGGATTCAATAGGTTTATACTTAATGGCTGAGAATTAGGGAGTGTTTGATTTCTTTTGTGAGTAAAACCTGCTTTTACTTGAGGAGAGTTAGGTGAGCGCTCTGGAGAAAATGGTCTTGATCTATTTGATTGGGGCTCTTTAGGCTTTAAATTAACTTTGGCAACAGGTCCAACCGTTTTTGATGGAGATTTTTGTTTATATTTTAAAGGGGATACAGTTTTACGTTCAAGCTCAATTAATTCGATTTTCTTTTGAGTTTTTGGCACAGTGTCATAATTTTCTTCAAGCACTTCCTTAGTACCCTTAGCATCATTTATTTTAGTCTTTATCTCATTTGATTTGCTTTTGTAGTCTTCATGGATTTTAACTAAATCTTGCATAATCGGATTTCCTCTACCAGCTTTTATATTTTTAGCCCCTGCCTTTTGTATTGCTTTTGCTAGTAAACTCTTTCTTACACATCCTAATTGGCTCAAATCAGTATTTCCCACTTCGTCCTTGGTTGAGGAATCTACTAAATTTTCCATTTTATCCAATTAAAAATTCAAATTTTCAAGACGATTTTACTTGATTTTTAAGCAAGTAAAATATCGAATTTTCTTTAAAATTGCAGTTTCTTTATAAATTGCTCTGAAATTTCTTTATGACTTAAAAAATGAATTCGAAATAAATAAAAGAAATGAGCGAGCTTCAGGAACGAATTGAAAGAACAATGAGAAAGATAGAAGATTTTTACTTTGGAGATGAAGGAGATTCTGGTGAGCAGATGCTATCAAGTTTCGCTGAAAAATACTCTCATCTTTTCAATCGTCACATGAGGGCGACTGAAGTTGAAAACAGGCTTGAACATACCTTGGCTTATCAAGAATTCCAAAACATCTTTGAAGCCAAGCTAGATGAATTAGTTAGTTCTGAAGGCTGAACTGTTGACCAATTTTTTTCAGAGCTTAAAGGGAGAGTAGAAGAAGATGAAGATTGCGCAGTTTTTGTGCAAGTTATACTTTCAATTTCGGATTATTCTAGTTTTGTCGATATGATGGCGTCTTATTGCAAGCATCATCGTAAATAGCGTATTGAAAAATACTCAAAAAAAATCTAAAGTTAATTTATTAACATATCTCACAAATTATTTCTATGTTAATAGAGACCCGCTTTTTCACACATGGCTGAGTTATAAGAGCAGAATAAATAAATTAATTTACCCAATAATTAAATAATTTATTTTAGTATGAAAATTAGATCCCTTTTTCTCTTTCTAAATGTTGTAAATACTTAATGTATAAATAAAATGGCTTTGGGTTCGAGAGAAAAATTAGCTTTGATAATTATCTCCCTTATGAAATTTTATTTATGGAGTTTGGATTTACCTGGAGAACTTCTGCACGGCATAGCGGTTTAACTTTAGTCGCATAGGACTAGAGAGAGCTGCTCCTTAGTGCATTCAAAAGGCTTGGGTTTTACCATTCTGCGCACTCGTGGAGGGCAACCTTATGCGGAATATATGCAGGAGCTGAGTATACCAAGATTGGTGGGCGAAAAGTGCGGCTTTGATTGGCGACGGACATGCCAAAGAATGCCTTTCGTATGGTACGTTATTTTAAGTGATAAGATGGAACGCAACACCACTAATTGGGCTTAATTCCTTTAAAATAGGGAGAGGACATCGGTCACCTTAAATACCTTTCTAATAGTAATTGTAAATACTTAATGGATATTTTACAAATATTTAGATCATGTGTTACTGGTATGATCCCTGTCACAATTATCACAATTTCAGGAGCTTACCTTACATGAGCTAAAGTATTTGAAAAAAAGTCCAATGAAGTAATATCCAAAAGCAGTGCAAGGTTCTTTTTTCCTCTATTTATTGTTATAGCTATGTCAAAAGCTGTGGATACATCAACTATCGTATCTTTATGGCCATTATTTGTAGGCCAAGTTCTGCTTATTTTTATCACAATTGGGCTAGGGTTTTTAATGTTACCAATATTTAAGGTTCCTAAGGAATTTAAATATACGACAATATCAATACTTGCTTTTTCTAATGTAGGAAATGTGCCACTGCTAGTAATGAAAGGAATATGTGCATCTTATGGGCCTTTTGCTGGAGATGATTATTGTGATAACTCAGTAGGATATATATAGTTAGATAGGATGACTGAAATGGGATTTTTTTGGCTTGCTGGCAAGCCAAAAAAGCCCCGTTCCAGTCATCCTATCTAGCTATATCTATTGTCTGTTTTGTGTTTAATATTATGATTTGGTCAATCTGCACAGCCTTTGTTCGAATTGACTCAAGTGAAAGAGCAAAAAACGAAAACTCAGAAAATAATCCAAATAGCACCGACCTAAAAAAATTGATTATAAACGGGCTCTTATCCCCAGTCCCAATAGCATCTGTACTAGGATTGCTAATAGGACTTTTACCAGGCTATAAATGGCTATTTGTTTATAAGTCGTCACCTCTCTATGCATTCTTTGATACTCTAAGTGTCATTGGATATGTAGGGATTGTTGCGTCACAGATGGTAGTTGGGAGCAATTTAATGATGATAGAAAGGAAAGAAAAATTCCTTGATACTCATTTTTTATGGACCCTAACTTTCACTAAAAGTGTTGTGCTTTCAGGGATTTATCTATTTATTGTTTGGGGCTTTTGAGAAATAGGAGTTTTTGGGGATAATAAGGTAATGGCTTATGTGCTATTTATTGCTCAAACAAGTCCTGTGTCTGTGACTGTAATGATTGTATGCCAACTTTTTAACACAAACTTAAAAGAGTGCTGCATAACTACGCTTTGACAGTATATTGCTGCACCAGTTTATATGACTTTATACTCATATGCATTTTTCTTGATAATTTAAAAAATTTTACACAAAATTTGAATTGTAATCATAAGAATCAGCTTCTTTAAAAAATAATTTAATAGAAAAGAATAAATGAATAGACTTTTTATTTATAGCTTTTATTAAATCTATACGAGTTATTTTTTAAAAATATCAATAAATAAATACGATTATAAGTCAAATAGCGCTGCTATTTTAGGTTAATTCACCACTTGCTTGATATTTAGTATCTTTTAAAATATGCTGATTCTTTTATCTATTCTGTTTCCTTTATAAATTCCTTAGACTATAAAAAATAATTTAAAATGGCACGCAAGGCTTTTATTTCAAGACACATTGTTCTTTGTGAAGAAAACAAACCAGTCTTTGGAGCTGTTTTGATTGAAGGCAGCACTATTTGTGAGGTCAGGAAATACGACAAACTCAAAAAAATTGAAAACGTCTTGCAAGAGCTTCAAGAGTGAAACCCTGAAATCTATGAACATTCTTATATTTTCCCAGGAATGGTTGACTGCAATGCCAAAACCAATGGGGAATGAGAAGGAAATTCTTTTTTAACGAGAGCCGCTATATCTGGCGGTGTTACCACAGTGATTATTGAACCGAGTCTTTGGGAACAGCCTGAATCTCAAGAGGAAATTTTTTGTGATTATGGAGAAATTGGGATTATTAGCGGAAATTCAGTTTCCACTGACGGGGTTTTAGCTATAAAAGGATATCTTTATAAGCCAACCAGGTATATAGAAGAAATACTTGACCTAGAAGCAATACTCACAGAAGCAGCGAGGCTAGATTTGCCTGTTATAATTGACCCATCGCTACCTAACCCCAGAATGCTGTTTATGGCTTCTCCTTGCCGAACGGTGTCTCTAGCGAAAAGAATGGAAATTCAAGACCTTTCCGACATGCAGCACTTTGCTGGAGCATTTCCTGAAAATGTCATAGATTCAGGTGATAACTCCCCTGCTTCAAATGACGAACAAAGGGAATCGACAGATCTTGATAAGAGATTTTCATTAAGAGACATGAAAAAAGACTCTGATATAGTAAGAAGCCCTGAACATAGGATAAGCTTGATTTCTGATGCAAATATAGTTGAAAAAAATGATGGAGAAAATAAAGAACAAGTTGTAGTTAAGAAGCACCACAGGAAAAATTTATCTGATATATATCAAGATTTGGACAAAAGAATAAAAGAGTCACAAGATAACATAGAGCATCTAAGTATAGCACACCCTCGTGGTTGCTCGCCATTAAGTGCCCCCTCCCCATGTCGCCCACCCCCTGATGGTCCTGAAAATTTTAAAATGTTAAAATATTATTTGACAAGTCCTATCAAATATTTTTAACTTGTCAAATTAGTATTTAACATGTTAAATTATTTGTGACCGTTATGGGGGTGGGCGGCATGGGGAGGGTGCTCAAGGCCGATCCAAAATGGGGTGTAAGCTATAGAGCTGAAATTTCATTATATTCCGAAGCAGGCACTTCAGGAGACCAATCCAACCCTGAGCAGCCTACTTTATCACATTTTCATCCAATCCACTCATGCCCTGATATGTCTTTAGCTCTCAAATCTTCACCAGTTTCTCTTCAAGAAAGAAGGAAAATCCGCACTACATCCCTCGATGTCTCCAAGCAAAAGCCTAAAGAAGAATCTCTCTATGTCCGATATTTAGCAAATTGTCCTGACTCTTGGGAAACCTCAGGTGTTGAAAGAGTGATAAAGGCAATGGAAGGGGTCAAGCATAAAGTCCACGTATCAAACCTTTCCTCAGCTAGAAGTGTAAATTTAATCCGGCAATTTAAAGAAACCTCAAAGTACCTTACATGTGACACAACGTCTTATTTTTTATATTTCACAGATGTAGATATTCCTAATGGGGACACTCGATTCAAAGCTCATCCTCCTATTAGAAGCAATTTAAACTGCAATTTATTATGGGACTTGCTGAAAATGAAAGCAATTGACATGGTCTGTTCAGCTCATAACCCTATTCTTCCGATGTATAAGTTTATAAGCCTAGGAGATTTCCGAAGAGCTGTAAATGGGGTTAATTCGATAGGCTTTACCTTGCAGGTCTTGTGGACAAAATTGAGGCAGCCTGTTTTATCGTCATCAAGTCTAGAGCATTATGATTTTTTGTATTATTTTTAATGAATGCTAAAAGTTTGATGTCCTGATTTGTAAACATATACAGGGAGCATATTTTAAATACTGATATTAAATTAGGCTAAAATATATATATTGTAAGGCTTTCTAAATGGCTCGCCTTAAACCCAGCAAAATTTTTTAAAATTGACAACGTCAAAGGCTCAATTTCCCCCGGGAAGCACGCTGACTTGATAATCTGGAATCCTCATGAAACTATAATAGCAGAAAGTCATAGTAAATTCCCTGATATGAGTGTATTTAGAGGTAGAGAATTATATGGGAAAATTGAAGAAGTTTATGTAAGAGGACAGTTGGCGTTTAAGGATAACCAGTTTTATCCTGTAGGAACAAAAATAATTAGGTAATATTTAATGTGAGTAAAAAATAAATGGGAAATTGCAACAACAGTGCAAAACCGGAAAGTCCACAGACAGGAGTCTCGTATTCTGAAATTGCAATGCTAAAAATAAAAGAAAGGGACTTCGCAGGGCATGTGGTAAACTTGGATAAAATCAAATTCAAATTAACTTCTCCATGTTTAAGTCTGAATGCGAGATATCTGCATATGCCTTATGCATTTGATATCACAGGGACTGTATTACCTGGATTAGACCCCAGAGAACTTGTGGATAAAGAATGCCAAGATAATATAATTTTCTTGGAAAAAGAAAATACCCTTCTTGCTGCACTATTTGATGGGCATGGCCAAGATGGGTTTAAAGTTACTGAATTTTGCAAAAAATTTATGAACCGATATTTCAGGGAAAAATTCGAGGATTTTAAAATCAAGCCAAAAGAAGCGATATCAAGGATAATTGAAGATTGTGATGCTGCAATAAAAGCAAACCCTGGGGAAATTAACTATCTGATATCTGGGACAACTGCCGTAGTGTTATTTATAGACGGAAATAATATATATAGGCCCTTCCTATAGATGGCGCGCAATGCGCCATCATCGGGCCATGTCGGGAGAGGGTTCTCCACGAGGAATGATTCCATGTGCGGAATCCTCTTTTTGGCTCGTGGAAAAAGAGGGTTCCACACGTGGAACTATTCCTCGTGGAGAACCCTCTCACGACATGGCCCGATGATGGCACATTGCGCGCAATCTATAGGAAGGGCCTATATGCGGCAAGTGTAGGGGACTCTAGAGCGATATTAGGCACAATCCCAAAATCAGCTGATGAAGTGCCAAAAACTGCTCATAGCGCTCCAAACCCTTATAAAACTGTTGTAGAGCCTAAAAGGCTGCTGAATTCAATTGCATTAACGGTAGATCAGAAGCCAAATCATCAAGAAGAGCTTGAAAGAATAGAAAAATCAGGCGGAAAAGTCCAACAACTTACTGATGAAAGAGGAAATAAAATCGGACCTTTTAGAGTATGAAAAGGAAATGGAAACATCCCAGGCTTAGCAATGTCTCGCTCAATAGGTGACGGTGTTGCCAAAGAATGTGGTGTAATTTCAACTCCAATAGTCCATGATTTTCAGCTATTCCCTGATAGAGACCAGTTCATTATTATGGGATCAGACGGTGTCTGAGACGTTTTCGATAACCAAGAAGCCGTAAATTATGTCGAAAAATATCGCTCAGAATGTTTAAAAACTGCTCAAAGTAACTGTAGCTACCCTATCAAAGTAACCAAAATTTAGCCTGAAAATTCAACTATATCTCAGCTATTAGGTGAAGAAGCTAGATGTAGATGGTTCGGTATCTGTGAAGACGAAGACGTCATAATTGATGATATTTCTGTTATTATCATTGAAATAAGCACTCTAATACCTTTATCGCACATAGATACAAGTGAAGCAGAGGATAGAAGAACAGTAAGACTTAACAGCTTAGGTGAAATCAAAGAAGAAACTAAGCCAATGGTTTCTAATATGCTTAGAGGTGATGCTGTAAGAGGAAGCTTCATTCCTGCGAAGGACCCTAATGCAAAAAGAGTCAGAATTGACCCTAAAAGAGGCTCACATGCAATTGTAGAAGGCAATGAAGAGCCTGAAGGGCAAATTGATGTGCCGTTTGTCGATGACGAACACAAGCTTGATTAATTTAGAATAAAATGGATAATAAAAAGTGGAAAGGGATCACTGCACTTTTTGGATGTTTCATTGCCAATATGGTTTCAGGGACTATCAATTTGTGAGGAGCTGTTGGGATTTATTTTACTTCCTATTACCACGCGAAGGATTCTGCAATAAGTGAGTCTGATATGTATTTGGCATTCGCAGTGGCTTATGCTCTGGAATCGTTATTTTTTAGTATGAGTCTATATAGTAATTGCAAGCTCTCTGAGTGAAATTATAGGACCAAAATTAACCTCATTAATTGGTGTATGAATTGGGAGTCTATTTCTGCTTTCCTGCTCATTTATAGAAGAGCCTTATCTCTTTTGTGTTTTCTATGGATTTTACGGAGGAATTATTTCTGGGATGATTGATGTCCCTATAATCTGGGCTTGCTGGGAATTTTTCCCTGATAAAATTGGAAGAGTTACAAGCATAGGCTTCGCAGGGTACAGCTTAGGGCCTATGGTTTTTGGGTTTATATGAACCATGCTAGTCAATCCAGGAAATGATTCTCCACATTCCAGCCATAACGGAAATACAAGCACAAGCTATTTTGGGAGCAATGTCTATGATAAAGTCCCTGCATCCCTAAGGTGGATGTCATTAATGTACTTTCTGGTCGCTACAATTGGAGCACTTTTAGTTCGGAGTAAATCAAAAGAAAAGAAAAAAGTGAAGTCCACTCAAAAAATATCATCTATAGTTCAACAAAAGGAATTTTGGCTGATGTTTTTTAACTTTTATTTTCTTTTTGCTCCATACAGTTTTATTTTTACAAACTATAAGAGCATTGGCTTAACAAAAATCAAAAATGACCACTTTTTTGCTTATTTAGGCTCTGCTGGATTTTTTTCAGCATGCATTGCAAGACTTATATGGGGATATTTGGTAGACAAATATGGCTGGAGAAAAATTGCGTTATTTTCATGCATAATTCAGACTTTAGTCTGTGCTTCGATTTACTATGTAATAGAATTCGAAGAATTATATGCTATTTGGGTTCTTGTGGAGTTTATATTTGGCAGTGGGACTTATCTTATCTTAATGATGGGATGTTCTGCTTTATATCCTAAAGATGACTGGGTAGTTTCCTATTGTGGAATTGGGATGACTTTAATTGTCGCTACCTTATATGGTATTCAGTTATCAATCACTCCAGTATTTTTTATATAGATAATTGGCTATGGATTTACATTTATCATACTAGTAATCTGTGTGATTAATAGCTTTGTCCTTACTTATTTCACTCCAAATGCTGCTCCCAATGAAAAGCAAGATGTTTCCTTAATTAGCCTTACTAATTAGATCTAATTTAACTAGCCTGTATAACTAAATCTAATTTAATTAGAATATAAAGTGGAAAGCTGACCCCCTCCACCTTAAATTGAAACAAAAATTTTGTTAGTTAAGAAAAATTATTTTATAAAAAAATTATATAAAATTTCAAAAGTTTATCGAATCAGATTAATAAATTTGTTTAATAAAATGCTATTTACTCTTTATTATTTGAAAATAAGCAAGATGAAACTAAATTTTCATTATTAGTTAATACGCCACTATTAATTGGTATCAAAACTATTTACACAAAAATTATTATTTTTATTAATAAAACAAATTTTAGAAAATTTATCTATCAAAGTGCTAATTTTGTTTAAAATAAAATGTTATTCATGCTCTATTCTTTGAAATAAAGCAAGAAATAAGTAAAATTTTTGAATTTCGGTAAAGAATTCACATTGAATTTATATCAAAATTATTAAAATAAAAAATATTATTTTTATCTAAAAAAATAAAAATTGAAAAAAAAAATTTAAGTTTTTTTAAAAATAGCCAATTAAGGATAATAAATTTATTTTAAATAAGATGCTCTTTATACTTTCTTTTTTTAAATAAGAGCAAGATATTACTAAATTTTTAATTTTAGTTATTTAACTTACATAAAAACTTTTAACATAAAAATTATATGATTTTTATCTAAAATTTTTTATTATAAAATTGAATTTTGTGTTAATTTACCAAAAAAATGGAAATTTTACCTATATTTTTGTTCCAGTTTTAAAGTGGGGGAGTGAGAATATAGTTTCATGCATATCTTCAAGAAAACATAAGGAATGGCATCCTAGAAGGCTCAATAATAATTAATCCTTAACACTTAATTCTTACGCCTTCAAGAAAAGATCCTTAAAAAACAAGGCATGAGAAAATATAGCCTTATCGAAATTATCAGTTCAATTCTTACTTAAGCATGTCTTTCGTTAAGCATATAAGCACAAAATGGTAACTAAAATGAAATGAATCTGCAGCTCATGAGGTTAAAAGTAGCTAAGCTGCTTAATCTATTTACATAAACAATTGTATTTTTATATTTATGGCAGATTTTGTGATCAATATTTATGAAAATAGCAATTATGCTAAATTGATTTTACATCATATATCTTGTTCTTTAAAATCAGCCTAATAAGCAAACTATTTATATTTCGTGATTAAATAGCTGCGAAATACGTTATTAAATTATTGGAAATTTTTTGACTATTAAATCAATAATTTGTATGATGCCTTGTTTTATTATCCTTGTTTCGCTTCAAATATCACTCCCAAAAAAAATCAAGATATTTTATTAGTTTGCTGACTCATTAAATCTAATTAATTGCCATATTAATATTATGGAGCACGAAAAAACAGTCGATACCACAGCTTCTGAAACCTATCCACCACAAGTAGCATCCCTCAAAAAAGGAGACTACTGCGTCCTCAGAGGGCACTTAGCTAAAATTATGGAAATAGAAATATATATCGGAAGCCATGGCCCAGCCAGAACCGTAATTAAAGGAATTGATGTCTTCACGGGGTATAAACATAAAGAAACCTACTCGGTCCCACATAACATTGACTCCCTAAACATTACAAGAATTGATTACACCCTTTGCGATATAGCTAGAGATGGGTTCGTCTCGTTGATGGATGAAAAAGGAAACATAAAGGAAGATTTACGCCTTCCTAATACCGAAGAAGGAGCTATAATTCGCTCTTTGTTCGAAGCAGGACAAACTGTGAGTGTTACTGTTATGAAGGCTATAGGACAGGAATGAATCATGGCTGGTAAAGAAATTTAATAAATATTATGTACAGTTCCTTAAGATATAGTTCTAATTAGGCATGAGGAGAATTGTAAGACTGATTAACATTTTGGCATTTTAGATATATCTTTACGACCTGCGATTGCTAAGTTGGCAGGGAAACTTTAAGAGAAAATAACAGTATAATAATATTCTGACAGCAAAAATGATTACTTTAAGCTATAAATTCTCGAATAGCTTAAGCAACAGCTAAATCAAGCTTCTTCAAACTCTGAATTAACTTTGCTTTTGCTTCTGAATTTCATTGTATTTTTGTAAATATCATACTACTTCATCACTATGCTTTACAGCAACCTCTTTCTCACAAATATTATCCCAATCACTTTTTTGCCATTAATATTTTTAACCCAAAGTTTGCGTTTTTTTGGTTTATCCGCATTTTCTATTTCGAAGCTCATTAATAATACTCGAACCTGTCATTTTCCTGACTGTATAAAATTTGCACTTAGTGAGGATGAAAGATGGTTGTTATATGATAAATAATTCATAAGAGTAAGGAGGGGATTTCTGTATAATCAGATTTATAGTTAAATTGTCAGCCTTTATCACTTTGTTGGGACATAATTTTTACTGTATAAGTGAATTCCGTTTAATATAATATTCTATATTCTTGGTACAGATAAAAAAATAATGATATTGTGATAACTCTACGTTTGCAAACTGATCTAAAAATACTTTAGGAATTCGCGCTTGCTCAATAGGCCAATTTAAGAATTTATTTTTGAGATTACCTACTCTTGTGTCCGGCATTCCATATGACACGAGTATATACACTCTACCTGGTTTTAGCACCCTATAAATCCCTTGTACCATACTTGTAGCTCGTTGGAAGCGGAGGAATTATTTCTGGGATGATTGATGTCCCTATAATCTGGGCTTGCTGGGAATTTTTCCCTGATAAAATTGGAAGAGTTACAAGCATAGGCTTCGCAGGGTACTATGGTTTTTGGGTTTATATGAACCATGCTAGTCAATCCAGGAAATGATTCTCCACATTCCAGCCATAACAAAAATACACGCACAAGCTATTTTGGGAGCAATGTCTATGATAAAGTCCCTGCATCCCTAAGGTGGATGTCATTAATGTACTTTCTGGTCGCTACAATTGGAGCACTTTTAGTTCGGAGTAAATCAAAAGAAAAGAAAAAAGCGAAGTCCACTCAAAAAATATCATCTATAGTTCAACAAAAGGAATTTTGGCTGATGTTTTTTAACTTTTATTTTCTTTTTGCTCCATACAGTTTTATTTTTACAAATTGCAAGAGCATTGGCTTAACAAAAATCAAAAATGACCACTTTTTTGCTTATTTAGGCTCTGCTGGATTTTTTTCAGCATGCATTGCAAGACTGATATGGGGATATTTGGTAGACAAATATGGCTGGAGAAAAATTGCGTTATTTTCATGCATAATTCAGACTTTAGTCTGTGCTTCGATTTACTATGTAATAGAATTCGAAGAATTATATGCTATTTGGGTTCTTGTGGAGTTTATATTTGGCAGTGGGACTTATCTTATCTTAATGATGGGATGTTCTGCTTTATATCCTAAAGATGATTGGGTAGTTTCCTATTGTGGAATTGGGATGACTTTAATTGTCGCTACCTTATATGGTATTCAGTTATCAATCACTCCAGTATTTTTTATATAGATAATTGGCTATGGATTTACATTTATCATACTAGTTATCTGTGTGATTAATAGCTTTGTCCTTACTTATTTGACTCCGAATGCTGCTCCCAATGAAAAGCAAGATGTTTTCTTAATTAGCCTTACTTATCAATTATTGAAAATTTTTTTACTATTAAATCAACAATTTGTCTGATGTGTGATGCCTAGTTTTATTATCCCTTGCTTCACTCCCAAAAAAGCAAGATTTTTTATTAGTTTGCCAAACTTACTAAACCTAATTAATTACCATATAAATATTATGGAGCACGAAGAAACAGTTGAGACCTCAGCTTCTGGAGCTTCTGAAACCTATCCATCACAGGTAGGATCCGTCAAAAAAGGAGGCTACTGTGTCCTCAGAGGACACCCAGTTAAAGTTATGGAAATCGCCACAGCTAAAGTCGGAAAGCATGGCTCAGCCAAAGCCAAAATTACAGGAATAGATGTCTTCACAGGGAATAAATACGAAGAAATCCACCCGACCGCGCATAACATTGACATCCCAAACATTACAAGAATTGATTACACCCTCTGCGATATCGCCAGAGATGGGTTCGTCTCGTTGATGGATGAAGAAGGAAACACAAAGGAAGATTTACGCCTTCCTGATGACGAAGAAGGAGCTAAAATTCGCTCTTTGTTCGAAGCAGGACAAACTGTGAGTGTTACTGTTATGAAGGCTATGGGACAGGAAAGAATCATGGCTGGTAAAGAAATTTAATAAGTAATCCAGACAGTTCCTTAAGATATAGCTCTAATTATGCGTGAGGAAAATTGTTAAAACTGATTAAAATTTTGGATTTTTAGATATATTTTTACGACCTGCGATTGCTAAGTTGGGAAATTTATAATCGAAATTCTTATAGTTGAAACTTTAAGAAAAATTAGCAGGATAATAATATTTTGACAGCAAAAATGATTACTTTAAGCTATAAATTCTCTAATAGCTTCAAACAACAGCTAAATCAAGTTCCTTCAAACTCTGAGTTAGCTTTGTTTCTGCTTCTTAATTTCATTATATTTTTGTAAATATCATACTACTTCATCACTATGCTTTACAGCAACCTCTTTCTCGCAAATATTGTCCCAATCACATTTACTCTCATTAATATATACAACTCAAAGTTTGCCTTTTTTTGGTTCATCAGCATTTTCTATCTCGAAACCCATTAATTGCTGTACGTAATACTCAAACCTGTCATTTTCCTGATTGTATTTTGATATAAAATTTGCACTTAGTGAGGATGAAGGATGGTCGTTATATGATAAATAATTCATAAGAGTAGGGAGAGGGATTTCTGTATAATCAGATTTATAGTCAAATTGTCAGCCTTTATCGCCTTGTGGGGACATAATTTTTACTGTATAAGTGAATTCGGTTTGCTCCTTATTTCTTTCTGGAAGTTTAGTAGTAATTGAGCCAGATCCGCATCCCATTTTTTATTTGTTAATAAATACTTAATATATTATTCTATATTCTTGGTACAGATAAAAAAATAATGATATTGCGATAACTCTACGTTTGCAAACTGATCTAAAAATACTTTAGGAATTCGCGCTTGCTCAATAGACCAATTTAAGAATTTGTTTTTGAGATATCCTATTCTTGTGTCCGGCATTCCATATGACACGAGTATATACACTCCACCTGGTTTAAGCACCCTATAAATCCCTTGCACCATACTTGTAGCTCGCTGGAAGCTGTTTTCTCCACATAAAATGCAATCTAATGTGCATTTATCAAAAATCAAATCAAAGCTTGAAGATGGGTATTGCAGATTGCAAGCGTCCATAACTGCATATTCAATTTCAGACAGTTGCGAATTTCTCTCGCTCATCTGTTCAATTACTACAGGGGAGAAATCAATATTTGATATATAATGATACCCATCCTTATACAATTCTTCAGAAAATGAAGAATTTCCACAGCCTACGACAAAAATTTCAGCTTCTTTATGAGAAATTCTTGGCAAAAGAATAGATTTTATTTGTTGATACGATAGCAGCCAATCATAGGTATTATTCGGTTCTGATGAATATCTAGCATTCCAGTATTCTCTTGAGCTGAAATCTGGGAAGGTTTCTGGTAATTCTATGTCTTGATTCATATTTAAAATTTTTATTTAAATTAAGCGAAATCTGAATCTTCTAAGTCTACTATTCTAAACAATCTTTCATTAAACGTAAATGCTGCAATTCCCCTATTTTGATTTATATTTGATAGCGTGACTTCATCGTTGACAAATATTCTAGATTGAGTTTCAGTAGGAGTTACTTTTTTTTCTGATCCAATAGGACTCCAAACTAAGCCTTCTAAATTGATTTCTAATATTTCTGAGCCATTTTCAGCTGAACCCACTATCACGATTTGGAATTTATTTTTTGTGTATAAAGAAATATGCTTGGCGGTAATGCTAATTGGAATTTCCATCATTAAATTTCCTTGATTTGATAACGAATAAATGGAGGCATTATTCCTGATGCATGTAGCAACAATTATTGCTTCTTCATTTCATCTCATACTGAAATCTTTTGGAATTGTATTGGAAATTTGTATCCAGTTTTGCTTTATAATGTATTTAGGAAAAACTGATCGGCTATAGTTGAAAGCTTCAACCCACCGTTTTCTGACTTTTTGATACAAAGATATTAAAGAAGCCTCATCCCATGCTGAACCTCCTGACTTAAGATTGTTCCGAAGTGATTTGAAATAAATTCTATCTGAGTCACTTAAAAAATCTAACAGCTTTTTCATATTTACGGGAGACTCTTCTAACTGGTCTGCTTGCTCTTCTTCTTTATTTAGCCTTATATTTCCTTAATTAGGTTTTACAGTTAAAAAGCCAAGATAAGGTATTTTTTATATCATAATGAGCATCTGATATAAGTTCCATAGTGGTATTAGTTAATTTCAGCAGCTTGTTTAAATCTATATAAAAAATACTGTTTAAAATTTTCTGGAATTTTGACTTATCTAAACCAAATGGACCATATGTATCAGGACAATTTGCATAAGAAGCGAGAGTACTGATATAAAATGCTAAATTTTCCAATTGGTGATAAATATTTTGCAATAGTAAAATTTCAATATTTTTGACTTGCAGAGAAAGTTTCTAATTGATAAATACTTCTTCATTCAGTTGTATTTGCTTGGCATTCTGCATTCCATCCTTAATAAATTTAGCTAAGCAAGGCGGGATTACGCCTGTCCCTGCACATTGGAATAAAACTTCTTGCACACTTTCAACCACTCCATTTTCTGCTTAATTTTTACTATTAAACACTTCTTCAATACCGCCTAATCAGCTTTTTAAAAATGAATTCGATATAAATTGCCATTCCTTTTGCGCATCTTTTAGGCTTTTTTCTAAAATTTTAAATGAATCTTCGCATTTGGTGAAAATATGAGCAATGTCATAGATATTTTCGGATTTTCTATTTAAAATTAATGAATTGTAAGTTCCAATAAAAACTCCTGCAGGGCTTGTAAAGAGACCTACAATTCTTGTTAAATTTTCATTGAAGCTTAGGGCATTTAAAGAAAACTGCTCACCAGATAAATCTCGTTTTGAAAAAGTGGCAAATGGGTATTGACCATTTGCTATTAGATTAATATTTTCCGAGCCAATTGAATATAAAAGTGATAATCCATCAATATTAAGATTTGATTTGCTACTTGAATTTGGGATATATCTTTCAGCTATATAGCTTGCTTTAGAAAATTGGCGGGGAAAATCCAATCAATTTAATATCCCAATTGCTTCACTGTGCAAACTATGTTCAGAAACAAGAACTAGCCCTTTGCTTTCTAAATAATAAACCTTGATCAATCCATTATCTCCACCAATAGCTATTGCATTCCCGTCTTCTTTAAAAGCTAAGGTTGTGATTTTTATTATCTCATCAATAGAAGCAACATTTTTAGGCTTATGGGAAATTCGTTTGATAATGATTGTGTCATCTTCTGTGATGAGGGCTAATAGGTCTTTGTTTTTGCACCCACTTATAATTCTGATATCACTTGAGAGCACATGCTCATATACAAGCTGGAAGGCGTCTCCCATATTTAAAATAGTAAAAATATTTGAGAATACAATTATCACATTCAAGATATTATCTGCAATATACATAGAGATTGCATGAATAATGAAGACCAATTTTATTAAAAAATATAAATCCTAACGGCTTAAGGGGAAAACTCTTGTCTCATGAAATCAAAAGTCCTTACAAGTTCCAATATTTCATCTTATTTATTCATTTAATAATTATTAAAAACATGCACATATATTTATCTCGAGTAGATTCTGAACCAATCTACTTAGAAATTGACGAATCCGGTACTATTGAAGATATAAAAGTCATCATAGAAGTAGAAATCTCAATCCCTATAGCAAACCAAGCTCTATTTTTCTCAGGCAAGCTCTTAGAAAACTCTTCCAGAATTCTTGAAAATGGTATATATGAAGATGCTGTCCTAGATTTAACCCCGATCAATTCTGAGCTTCGTCGTCAAGCAATTGAGTTAATCAGTCAATATCAGAAAAACCCTTCTTACTACAACTATTTATCCCAAAACAACCCAGCTCTAGCAGAAGGCGTTAAAACAAGTGACCCAATAATTATAGAAGAAATCCTTCTAAGCACAATCCAAGCTAACAAGCAGCATGAAATAGAGCAGCGTCGCAAGGAAGCCGTGCTTGACTATGATCCCTTAAACCCTGAATATCAGCGACAAATTGAACAAAAAATCCATCAAGAAAACATTAACCAAAATTTAGAATATGCCCAAGAATTTATGCCTGAAGTATTTGCATCAGTAGAAATGCTTTATATTGACTGCAAAGTAAACAAAATGCCTTTGCAAGCTTTTGTAGATTCTGGAGCACAAAATACAATCATGTCAAAAGAATGTGCACAGAGGGTAGGAATCATGAGATTAGTAGACACAAGGTTCCGTGGAGAAGCAAGAGGAGTAGGTGTAGGAACTATAATCGGAAGGGTGCATGCAGCTAATATAGAAATTGGAGGGAAAATTTTTAATTGCTGTTTTCATGTTTTAGAAGTTTCGGATATAGATTTATTATTTGGATTGGATATGCTGAAAAGGCATCAATGCAGCATTGATTTGTTTAAAAATAAGCTTGTGCTTAATGCTGGGGAGATTGAGGTGCCGTTTTTAAGTGAAGGGGAAGTGAAACATAAAAGAGGAAAAGGCGGAGATTTAAGCCCAACAAAGCTTGAAAAGCAGCAGAGCAGTGAGGGGGAAAATCCGATCGAAGGATTGATGAAGTTAGGGTTTTCTCAGAAAGATGCAGAAGAAGCGATGAAGGTTTGCAATGGAAATCCAGATCTAGCAGCGAGTTATTTGTTTCAAAAAATGAATTTTGGCTAACTAAATAAAGATAGTTTTAATAATTTAATGCCAAACTAATTAATGGCTATATGATATAGTTTTTTGATTGTTTAGCCAGTATCATTTCACTGACAGTTATTGAGTTTTCAAGCCATCAGCCATCCAATAAAATATCAATCTTCACTAATATTCCATAGAAAACTCTATCCAATTTAATTAATCTTCATACTAAGCTATAATAAATGTCAAATCATATCCCTGAAATTTCAACTGCTTCTACATCAGGCTCTCCTTCCCTCCTTGAAGCTAAAAAACAGCGAAAGCAACTTCAGCAAGATGCTGCTCTTTTATCCAACCGTATCAAGCTTCTTCAAATGGAAGAAGAAAGGACATGGAAAAAGATCGAAGAAGCCAAAAAACGAAAAAATCAAGTTGAGTCCTCCAAACTTCGCAATGAAAACAAACAAAAAGAGATCGAAAAATTAACCCAAATCAAAGAGCAAATACGACAAGAAGCCCAAGAGAAAATAAAAAAACTAAAATTCGAGCGTAATTCAGGGAAAAATAAAAATATTGAATCCATACAAAGTGTGAGAAAAGACTGTTATAAATATGGGAGGGAATGAAAAATTTATAGTTTGCAGCAAAGACAAATCACTGATCAAGCTTATAGAGAGAAAAACAAACAAAAAGCACTGAGTGTTAAATTGGAAGAAAGGCACAGACAGGTAAAGCTTAAGAAAAGATATGATAAGCGTGAAGAAGAAAATAAAGAAGATTATTTGAAAAGAGTTAAACAAGAAGAGGAAGCTAAAAAGCAGCTAGAAAAGCATGTTATGGAAATGGAATTATTAGAAATGGAGCTAATAAGGAAATTACAGCACACCCAGTTGATACAGCAAGAAGCAATTTCTGATTTGGAAAAAGCTATTTCTTATAACTCTGGATCTGTTCAAGAATAAGGTTTAAAATTTTATTTATTATATTAAATATGCATTTTTTTGTTTTTATATAAATATTCTTTTTATTATTTTTAATTATGCAAAAAGCCATATAAGATAAAATAAGTTAATTGCTTATAATTAAGCTTCAATTTTAAGGAAAAACGGCGTTGCATCAGGATCTAGCCTTGAACCTCTGATTTGAGATCTTTCAGTAGGCATGCTCTCGGAAAGAAGGTCGTCGACAAATTTTACATGATATTGATCTTCTGAAGTAGTTCCAATTTCATAAATTGAATTTTTTCGTTCCAAGCTTTCTTTTAAGAAAAGTGGAGTAAAATTGGCTTCAGCAAATGGTTTGTGAAAATCGAGTTTGTCTTCTCTTGGAAATGTGTAATCTAATAGCTTATGCCTCAAATGATTCAAATTGAGAAATTCATATAAGGAGCTGTAACCATAATCCTGCCATTCTATCTTCCCGAATTTAGAAAATAAATGCTGCTCAAGTTGGGAAACGTCTTCTAAAGTGTTAATTTCTGCAACAATGTCTTCTAGCTTGATTTTAGATTCGTAAAACGCATATGCTTGAAATGCTTCTTTTGTCTCTATTTTTATATTTTCTATTGTCTGCAGCAAATCCTTTAGTTTTGGGAAACCAAATTTAGCAATATGATATTGATTTAGCGATTTCTTTTTCAAATGAGAAGGAATCTGAGCTAATGGGATTCCGTTTTTAGCCTCTTTTAAAACTTCTATGATATTTGTCTTAATTTCTTCTAAAGTCATATGAAAGCTTTCCTCTTCAATATCGTATTCAAACCTAGGATTGAGAACTAATAAAGCTTTATTATATCGGATAATATCTTCATCTATAGCTATTTGTACCATATAGCTTAATTTTCCTAAGGAAAATTCAGATAAATGTGTGGGGCCATAAAATTTTACGAGCTGTGCACATCCATATCTGCCTCCTTGGATAGCTAAACTTTTGTCTGGGTCGCTTTTAAAATAGTCTTTGAAAAAATCTACCAAACAGCTTCATTCTTTAGTGCTTTTTATATTTAATGGATCTCCAGCTTTGATATGTTGGTCATAAGAAAACCATTGCTCTTCACTTGGAAAAATTAATGAAACTACGTCGTTCTTTAAATCATTTACATTGCTAACTTGAAAATTATTTGATTTTTTGCATTCTTCAATCATATTTTCCCATTGTAAATTATCCGGCTATAAATAAAATGGCATTCGGTTCGAGAGAAATTGGCTCTGCCAATTTTCTCTCCCTCATGGAATTTTATTTATGGGGTTGGGTTTTCTCTTGAGAACTTCTGCACAGCAACAGCCGTTTAACTTTGGGGATAACCAAAGGCACGGCTCCTCAGTGCATTCAAGACATTCGGAGTTTTTTTATCTCTCAGCATATCCCCACGGAGAGATGACCCTTAGGCGGAACACGCGCTGGAGCTGAGTCGGAGCGAGCGACGGCAACGCGCCGGGTGAGATGTGCGGCGATTTATCTGGCGACTAGCCTTATAGAAGGCTTGGGTGTGGGCTGACCACATATTCCAAGATGGCTTGGTGACGTCACTAGTTGTCGCTTTGACCCTTTTTTATTAAGGGGTATGGGCATTAGACACCTTAAAGACTATGTAACTAAGTAAATAAGTAAATTATCTGGCTTGATGCCGAGAGCTTCTTTAAATCTTGATTGAATAGTTTTTTCAGTTGGAAGAAATTCATCAGATTTTAAAGATTTAAGAACCCATGATAAGCTTTCTAAGCTCAGGCTTTCTAATTTTAATCCAATAAAATTTTTGGAACCAAATCTACCAAATTGCTTTCTTGATAAAAATATGATTTCTAAGCTACTAGCTTCATCTAAAATTTTATGACATTTTTCGGCGCTGAAACCATATTTTATTGAAAAATCAGTTATCAACAGCTCAAGTTCTACCATCACTTGTCCTTTCTCAGCAAAAGTCTTTAATATTTCTATCAAAAAATCATGAATCTGCTTTTGACCACATTTTGGAATGAAAGCTTGCTGTTTATTACAAACTCCAATCGATACATTTAATTTTTCAGTTTTTATTTTGTCTAACTCAGAATCTTGAAGATCTAACTGGTTTGCGATTCTATAAAACTCAGAGGGATCGGGTAAGAAGCAAATGCTCTTTATTTCTAACGGAAAAATTGACATTGAAAACAATAGGGTAGCATTCGGTAAATTATTTTGGATTCTCATTAGATGCGGCTTCATATATGGTGCATTAGCACTAAGTACCAAAATATTAGTTAAATATTTTCCAGCGGTTACGGATAGATCCAAAATAAACGTTTCTATGTTTCGCAACTCTTTGGAAACTACAAAATCTATCCCGAATTCATCAAAAATCTTGCTCCATTTTTGATGATTTTCCCCGAAGGCTTTAATTTCTGTGATACTGCTATAATTTTTTCGAATATTTTTTATAGTGGATTTAATGTCATCTTTTTTATGTATTTCGCAGGTGTGTAAATCCCAGAATACTGAAACCTTTTTGATAGTAGGAAGCATCTCTTGAACATGGCTAAGATGGATACGAATGCATTTTTCGCAAAAAGGGACCTCACAAGTGCAGCATTTTCTTTGAGCTGTAGATGCGCAATGCTTGCATATGGGTTGCCGGGTATGGAATTTTCTTTTTCCTCCCCTATGGATCATATCATAGCATTTTGTGCAAAAAGCCTCATCGCATTCAGTGCAAGTGAGAGAAGCATTTAAAGCACTGCACTCTTCACAATACATTGGATTTATAAATTTTAAACTTTTTTTGAGAGGTTGAATAAATGGAGCTTAATATTTAGCTAATTGTTATACAAGTTATAAATTTTTCCTAGAGGTATATTGCTGCTGTAATAGAGGAATTTTGGTTAATTTTTGGAATTTATCAGAAAGTCTCACTTTTTTTATTTGATATTTTTTAAATTAGCTAGTTAATATTAAGCTGCTTACCTTAGCTTGGAGAGAAAAATTAACTTATTGAAGTCTAATAAAAAATTAATATTTATAAATAATCATTTAATATATGAAACCATTTTTGATTTTAATAATAAAACTATAAGTGAAAAAAAAATAGTTAATTATTACTCAATATGGATTTTACATCTACTTGGACATCTTATTTGCTTCATAATTTTTTCAGCAAAAGAGGAAGTATTTTTAAGTGCCCTTAAAGAGACTTCTTGATAATTCTCATTGGAAATCTTTAAATTTTCCAAATTTTCAGGAGTTTTAATTTTTCTTTTTTCACTGTTTCGATTAGATGAAAACATCTGCTCATAGTTAATAATATTCTCAAGCACTTGTTCACCTTTAACTGAGTTCCTAAAAATTTTTTGTAATTTCCAGAATGGCATTTCTCTTAATTTCAATTTATACCTAGAAGTAGATGAGCTTAAAATTCTTTTTGGTTTCTCGTTTTCGTTTTTCTTTGCAGGACTATCTTCAGATTTTAGAGATCTTTCCACAATTGGATTTACAGCAGATATTTTACTTAAATTTAAAGATGGAATTTCGTTTATGATGTGCTGCTTTACAGGTGTATGTCGTTTAGAAGATTGCTGGCTTTCAAGGATTTTTTCGATGTCAGATTTTTGAGATACTCTTAAAGCATTAGGAGAAATATTAGCAGAGCGTGAAATATTTTCTCTTTTAGTAAGTTCATCTAGCACTGGCTTAACTAATTGCTTTTCGCTGGAATTTTTGGAATAAATCAAATTCGAGCTATTTATTTTTTGTAAAGATTTTGGCAGAGAAAAATTAGTATAGCTGGTATTGGATTCTTTTAAGTTGCTTCTTGATGATTGCTTTGATGAGGCCAAACTGAAGGATTTATTGATATAACCATGCATCAAATTCCCACGGCTTGAACTTGAAGGTGTTCTTGAAGGAGTTAAAGATTTTTTACTGCTAAAACTTCTATCAACGCCCTTTGGGACATCTAGAAGTTTATATTTCTTTTCAAAAGTAATTATATTAATATAGCGCTTTTTGACGAATTTTTCTTTGGAAGATTTCATAGCCTTGACTTCCTTTACTAGAGAGTGGTTTTGACTTTTAGATGGCATAGCCAATAAATTTGAAGTATTTAATCCAATGCCCTCAATAACTCCAATATTTGTTTTCGAATTCATTTTTTCCGTTAGCTTCTTTTACTTATATAATGAAAATCAAAATAACTTAAATGTCAAAGATTCAAGAAAGAAATTCAAATAGATTAGCCAATGGTAGACTTCATATAGGAAAAAGCACAGTTTATAGACCTAGCATGCGCTATAAAGAATGGAGAGGCTCGAAAAGTGGAGAACTTTCAAAAGAATACTCAAAAGAAAATTCTTACAAAATGAAGCTTGAATTTCCAGAAAAAGAAGAAATAAATCATATTGACACTCAAACCCCTCATTTTATTGGAAAGTCAAATGACAAGCTCAGCAATTTTTTGTCGTCAATTGGACTTGAAAAATACATTTCTCAATTCAAAATGAACCAAATTTCTATGGAAGATTTGCCTTATCTTACAAAAGAAGACTTTCAAGATTTAGGCTTGCCAATAGGCCCAAGGAATCGACTCATAAAATTTCTTAATGAGCAGAAAGGTGAGAATCAAGAAATAAGAGAAAATGATGATTGAAATGGGATTGAAGAGAAGGAAGAATACGAAGAAGAAATGGAAGAAAAAGAACTAGAAGATAAGGAAATGAGCTTAAAAGAATTCGAAGAAGTTATATTAAAAATTTCAGAACAGCAGATAGGCATGATGGAAGCTATTGAAGAAAACCAAAGAGCTATTGTAAAATTAGCAAGCTCAATTGCTCAAGATACCGAATCGAATGCATCGGAAGCGATGTCTAGCAGACTTTCAAGCTATGAATCTTTTGATAGGAGTAAATCACCGTCAAGATTCGCCCAGCCAACATTGAGTTCGATGGCAAAACAAAAAGTGATCCCAAACAAATACATGAAAGTTAGCCCACTGAGACAAGCTTATGCCTTGAAATATTTGAGTAGCCAATAAATTTAAATATGATAAAATTAGTCTTAATTGTATTGATTTAACAAATTCTTTTAAGTTTCAACTTTTACAATTTTTATTATTGCAATGTTCTTTTGAGATTCAACGTTAAAATTTATAATATAAGTCAAATTTGCATTTGGCTTTAAGTGTCAGTCGGAATCTTTAAAATTTTAGCCTAATATATACAAAGATTTAATCCCATATTTTAAAAAATCGTTAAAAATTTAATGGAAATAACGAAGTTTATCATTTTACTTTTTACCTTTGCTTTTGCTTCAGATGTTATAGGGGAAGCGTACTCAGAAGAATTGAAGTCAAAAAGTACCTCAGCAATCACTTATAAGCTTGCCTCAGTAGCTGGCTATACAATTCAAGATCTCTCTGGTTGGATTTCTCCAAGGATAGTGAGCGAATTAACACTTGACAGTCAAGACGCATCAATTACAGGATCAGCTGATGTAATTCCATCAGAATCTCAATATTATGATGGGTCTAGCAATCTTCATGCGTCGAGCTTAAGATGCAGATTATTAGTTTCAATTAAAACTTGCACAGCTTTGCCAAGCTGTGGCTGGTGTGGGTCATCAAATATTTGCATACCTGGAAGTTTGGAAGGGCCACTTTATCCATGTGAATTAGGACATTACACATATACTTATAATATTTAACTGAAATTTTTAATCTTAAATTGGACTTACTAATTGGGGATAAAGATATTGAACTAGTAATATAAATTAAATTTAACAATCAGACAAAATTGTGAATTTATAATATATGCTTCCATAGCATAAACCTAAATGAAAGATTAAGGTAGCAGAAATAAATTATCAATGAACTTCTCACATTTGTAATTTATCTTATAATTAAGTAATAGAAAATTTTCGTTAGGATTTAAACTTAGCTATAAAGATTTTGTATCCATACTTACTTATAAGACGAACTTTCAAATAAATTATTTATAATTATTTTAATTTGGAATAACTTGACTTGCTCTTTAGTAAAATCCTATTCATGTTAAATAAATTAGGTATTGAATGCCAAATAATAGCTAGCCAATGCTAAGAGAAAGCTTACTTCGCAGACTAATTATAAAGATTCTAAATAGAAACTTAAAAATGTATTTAAATGCTTGATTTAAAAACGAAAGGTTTCTAAATCTTCTACATTATTTACAAAAATGGATATGAATTAAACGTGACATCTTATCAGATTCGCCATTTTTATAGCTTTAAAAGTATTCAAAGCCATTTTAACGATGACCCCCCTCAATCTTCATGTCTACTGCAACAAAAATTTTTCGAAAAAATCTTCATGCTTACTGCAACACAACATTTTTTATAAAAAATTTATGCATTTTTCTCTAGGTGAGTTTCTCAAAAAAAAAATAAAACAGCGCTACTGAGGTGTGTCAATAACCTTCTCATTGAGATTTGGACGGCTATTGCCATCGCTCGCCATTTTATTAAACTTATCGAGCTAAAATGTACGGAAAAATTTAAGATGCGCATCGAAAAATTAGTTGCAAGAGGATTAGGATTAAGATTATTACAGACAGGCGCTAATTATATTGATGACGCAGTCATTAAAGACCTCCCTTACGGAAGGTTCTACCGCTTTTCGACTCCAGCGCAGAGGATCTATCCCTCTTACGAGTGCCCTTCCGGTACCTTCTGTTGCCTTGGGAGTTCAGTCTTGAGTGGAGGCTTATGGATTTCTGCGCCCTGCTACGGGCGATTGGAGTAGCTTGATTCCAAGGATCCTTGGAGTCTATTGGGTGTCAAAGTGCCTTTCTTCGACAGCTACAGGAAAAAGACTGTTCCCCTATGGCCTGGGCTGAAACCCCAGTTTCTCGTTAGAGGAATACCCATGGGTCCTTGGATCCAAGGACGTTGTTGAGCACCTCCATTTCCAAACACAGGAAAGCAGCCAAAACCTACCCGGATACACACTTCTTGAGCCTGAGTCTGATTCTCGGCTCGGAGTCCGTCCCAGTTCGCTGTAGCCATAAGGTCTAGACTGCGGCGCCAAGAGGGCAGGCTGACACGTGTCGCCATTTTAATGTATATAATTTGTTGCAAGAGACATGAAAAAAAAATTATTATTTTTTTATATAAAATTTTATATTAAAAAATTGCATTTTTGTTGCAATAGACATGAAGATTGAGGGGGGGTCATCGTTAGAATATAGTTAAGCTTTAAACTTTGATTTGTCTGCCAATTTAATTTTTTGAATCTAGCATCTGCTCTCATAACACGAAAACATTTATTAATTTTTGGATAAATGCGAAAATTTTTTTTGCACGAAATAAGATGGCTAAAAAAATATCATTACAAAAGTCAGATAATATGGCTAAGTGAAAAATGTGCATTTATCTACTATTTTAGTTCTTTTATATAATAATTATGAAAGTTCTTATCTATTTTCTTTCAGCTTTAAAATTTTTTGCATCAGCATTTGGCGATGGATCTCTTGATGGATATTTTACTTATTCTGAAATCATAAGCTTTATGCAAAATTTAACTTCAACATTTCCAGGGCTTGCCAGATCAGGGACAATTGGCAAAACATATAATGGTGAAGATATCCACTATTTACAGCTATCAACCACATCAGGCTTAAGCCAAGATCAAAAAACTGGCATAGTTATAACAGCAGCCCAATTTGCAGGATATCCCCAAGGCGTTTCTCAAGTAATGTTTACTGCACAAGAATTCTCTAACAGTTATAGCTCAGACCCTAATGCAACTTTTATTTTGAGTGTTTCCAATATTTGGTTAATACCGGTCATCAATGTAGATGGCTACAAAAATATTGAAAATGTTTACAGAGAAAGTAAGAGTTTCGATGTTAATTTGAAAAATCTCAATACATCTGGATGTTCAACTGGAGGCGGGGTCAATCTTGATAGAAACTGGGGATACAAATGGGATCATGGCGAATCATCAAATGACCCTTGTGATCCAACTTATCATGGCTGAAATGCTTTTTCAGAGCCTGAAACGAGTGCTTTGAGGTCTTTTATTGAAGATAAGAATATTACTTTATGGGTGCACTATGACAGAAATGGGAGTTATTGCACAATTCCATATACTTTTTCTGAGTTATCTGATTTTTCAGTAGCGGAGCAGCCATTTTACGATCAATTATATTATTCTCAGGGGCGCATTTATTCAGTAGGAAAAGCAAAGCCATCCTATGGGTCAAACGAGGATGGAACATTGATTGATTATGCTTTCTCACAAGGAATCTTTTCCTTAGAGATTGGAATAAATCCACATAATAGCATGGAGTTGTTTTATGATTATTATAATGGGCTAATTGAAATTATGAGCCTTTCAAATTTTTACATCGACATTTCATATTCTTCTTTATATGAAACCAGCTGTAAGGATGCCTACCTTTGCATTAACTCTAATTCAAGCAGTTACTTTACTTTAATGATTGACATTAGTAATAATGGCATTAGAGACGCTCTAAATTTAAAATTGTTGCTGCTTGCTTCAAATCCAGCTGGAAATGGATATACGCTATCACCTACAAGTTTGGAAATGTTTTCGAGCTGGAATTATAATTATATTCCTATGACAATTTCTACAAATTCTAGCTATATATCGATGGATGCCAATTTTGATATTTTAGCCTTCAGTTCTATCAGGTTTTATTTGACAGTTGAAAAAGCTTTTATCGAAGAAGCTGATAAAGAGGTTCAAATTAATTATGAATGGCAAATTTTAGAAGGAAGTATACTGGCTTATGATGGTAATAATGAAAATTTGAATATATCTAGAAAATTAATGGAAAGCGAATATTATTATAGTAATAGTGAAGATGATAAACCTTATAGTAAATGGATAGCTGTTGGGATTGGCTTCGGAATTGAAACAATCGTGATATGCATCTTGATATGGCTTGTATGTCACTATAAGAAGAAATTGAAAGAATCTACACGCTTTGATCCGTCTAAAAATGAAGGAAGGTTCAATGGTCAGCTACAATTCAAGCCAATTGGAACACCTGGAGAAACTATTGACAACTCTCCACAAAGATTTGAGTCACCACAGATTTAGGAGTAACCATTTTAACTAATTTGTGCCGTTAAATATATTTTAAATTTAAAAATGATATTCCTACTTTTTATTTTAAACTTAGCTCAGGCTGGACATCCTGGATTATTCAAGCAATCTACAATTCTTACACAAAAACTCCAAAAATCTTTATGGGATGAAGCTTTAAATGACCTGGACTCAATCCAAAGCCAATTTAGCTATACATTTGACGATTTTCTTCAATGGAGAGAAAGGTTTGTGCAGCTTCAAGAAAGCACCAACGAGCAAATCTTACGAGAACTCTTTGGCAAGGTAGGGGAAAGGGACTTACGAAAAGAATTATCAAGATGCGGAATTTTAAAAACATTTGACCCTGACATCAAATATATCCAAGACGTCTGCAAAGCAAAGAATTCTGCTTATCAAATAGTGAAACTTGAGCTTGGAGATTTGGCTGATAAAACAAAAGACTGTTCTTTGGTTGTCCCAAAGTTCAAGGTGAGCATTGATACAGCTTATGATGATTTTTTGATCAGTCCTTTAAGCTTTCTTCAAATATCGAAAAAAATCGATGAAGATGAAGAAGCAGTTAACATTGTGGATACTGAACAGTCGGAGCTCATGCTCCAAGCAAATGATGAAATTATTGAGAAAGATAAGGCTAATACAGCGTTTCTAGATGAAAAGCAGCCAAGTGATAGCTCTTCTCAATCTCCACAAGCAGCATCACAACGAAAAAATCCAATGCAAAATATCATAGACTTATATGACAAAGAGGCAGAAAATGTGTGCAAAGACTACAAAGATTTGACGTCAAAATTGCTAAATTTATATCAGTCAGGACAATTATTAGTTAATAAAATTTCATTTTAAGCATTTTAAAAAAGACGACATTAATAAATGAGGCATAGAAATAGGCCTGAACCTCTTCCAACAGTTTCTTTTAACGATAAAAGCTTCAAAAATAATGATAAAGGTGAAGAAGAAGATGAAAGACTGGCTTATCTTGAGCAGCTAAGAACTATGAGTCCTATTTCTTTTAAACGGAAAGATCCAATAATGTCAGAACCTGCACAAATTTTAGCAATCATTCCACACAACCTAGGAAAAATCCAAAAATTAACTGCCTATAAAAATGATTTAGCAACTATTTTCCGTCAAGAAAATAATCAAAAATCACAATTTACTGAATCAATTATTAAACCTATGAAGGATTTTACTGAAAAATCCTTTCATAAAGAAATAGAAACCCTGGAAAATACCTTAAAAGAGAAAAAAAGAAGCTTAAATCACCTCCCCTTATTTTTTGGGTAAAAACTCACCCTCCGTTAGCAAAATAAAAATTTTTTATGAAAAAGGAATTTGAAATGAAATCTGTAGTAATTATGTTGAACTTTAAACAGCTTGATTTTAAAGCGTAAATTTTTACAAATTAGATCAACTTTTTCTTTCAAATTTTTGTGAATTGGGACTATTTCAAAAATTTCGAAAAATATTTTAATACAAGATTGATTTATAAATTTTTTTAAAAAAAATTAACTTCCTTGTAAGCAATCATAATTTGTTGTTTGCCTACGGAAGGAAGTGGAGTGAGCACAAAATACCCACAGAGCACTCACCATTATTTCAAAAAGAACTTACTCTCCCTTAATGATCGAGCAAAATATTATTTTAATTAAAGGGGTTTAATTTTATTTTATAATTATATATGAAGTAGTCTTTTTCTGACTTAAAAATCTATTTAATTAAGATTAAGATTAAGATTACGCTGGGTATTTAAAGTCCCCACTTCGTCCGAGGAAGCATTCTACGGTTTCCCGTATGGTGGCAGAGCGTTCACCAAGCCGGGCCGAAAAACCCCAGTTTTCGGTAGAGGTAATGGTCAAGGGACGTGTCATACCGTCTTTGCTGACCGCCTCCATTTCCAACTGGATCGTCGCCTAAGTTTACGCCAACACTGCCGCGTCGTCCGCCAGATCTGCCCATTGAAGGGCACCTTTTAACTGGAGAGACTCCCGTTTAGTTGTCTAACTCGCCTTCCCCTCTTTTTCGGTCATCCCGAGAAAGAACTCAACAGCTGTCGCCATTCGGGGCGAGCCACAAAAGCAGCTTAGGCAGGTAAGTCGCCCTGCCTCATTTCGGGCACTCACTGGGCTGAGCGCTGCTGGCAAAAAGAAGTCACGAGTAACTGCCCATGGGTCTGGTCGCAAAAACAGCGGCCTTTGTGCTTAGACCTCTCGCTTTGAGGTCCCAAACGTTGCTGGGCTAACTCCTGACTCCAAAAACCATGCCCGGATATACATGGGTAGCCACCACTGAGAGGGTGGGTCGGTCACCATCCGCCATTTTATGTACATTAAAAATCTATTTAATTATGAAATATTTAAGGATGTAAACTGTTTAAAATTTAATAGAATCTGAGAAGATCTTATTATAATTTTTATTGTATAATAATTTTAAATTAAAAAAATATTATGCTCACAAAACAAAGTGGGTATTTTTCCAAGATAGTAATTTGGCAGCACGGGGGAGTTAGGGATTTTTTCCCCTGGAATAGTAAGAATATTTCCTAAAGACGGCCGCCCTAAAACCCCAACCTCTGTAAAAATGGCTCAAAATGACTCAAAATCTCCCCATATACATAAAAATGGCGACTGGAGAGCCAGCCCTTTTCCTCAACACCTGTAGCCGGGCACCCCGAGGACCTTATGGAAGGGGAAAAGACGCTCGGAATGTGTATCCGGCTGGGTTTTACCTTGCACAGTGGAGCGCAATGTCGAATTTGGTCGACCGCAGTTCATTCTGTCACCAAGGGTTTTTCCTCGAGGAGGAAGGGTCTTCCAAGTTGGAAAGGGGAAGCTCAGCAGCACCAGGAGTCTCCTCCTGATCAATCGGGCAAACCCCTAGCGCGATACTGGGCGTTGCGTCCCGGGCTTGGATTTCCTTTCTGGCCGACAGCCCTACCAGAAAATTTGCTTTTCAAAATTTTCGGAATGGGCAACCTCGTACTCGCAGCCTCAAGCAAGGCCGCAGAATTCCTAAATCTGCCCACTCAAGACTGGAGCAAGGTTGTAGCTTGCAAGGAGGAGACAACCAACAGAACAGGCTGGCTGTAAAATCAGAGTCCTGTAGGCGGAAGTCGCAAAGCGGAAGAACCCTCGAGGGGGTCTGGGTGACTGCGTTAACAAGTAACAGCTTAGCAGCTGATAATCTCTAATTAAGATTAAGACTCAAAATCTCCCTCCCCAAAAAAAGCAAATTTAAGTAAAATTTCGACAAGGCTCAACATTTCGCCACTATAGCGTCTGCAGCGCTATAGATTTGCCTTGCGAGAGTTCCTCGCAGCAATTTGGAGTTCTGACAAGCCACCTAAAGGTGACAAGTCAACTCCAAGTTGACAAATCCTTGCAAAAGGGAAGCTTTTTGTCAACTTGGAGTTGGCTTGTCACCTTTAGGTGGCTCGTCAGAGCTCAAAATTGCTGCGATGAACTCTCGCAAAGGCAAATCTATAGCGCTTCAGACGCTATACTCAAAAGAACAGAAGAAGTAAGACTAACGCCTATGCACAGGCCTAAGCATATTGCCTCTCCACTATCAAAATCAATTTCAATAGAAAATGGAGAAGAACTAGTCAAAGATGAAAGTTCACAGCTTAGAATTGAGTGCTATAAAGGGGATTATTCAGGAGGAAAAAGGCACGGAAAAGGAGAAATTGTGTATAATAATGGAGATTCCTATTCTGGGAGCTGAGTAAATAATAAGAAAGAAGGGAAAGGCAGGTACTTCTATAACCATATTGGTGCAGTTTATAGTGGAGAATGATTCAATAATAAAAGGCACGGCCAGGGGAAGCTAAAATTCAAAAATGGTGATAGAATCTCAGGGACTTGAATAGAAGGGAGACTATCTGAAGACCACACCACAATTGACTATTCTGATAAAGCTAAATATACTGGAGAGACAAAAAATGGTCTCCGCCATGGATCAGGAACTATAAAATACAGCTGTGGCTTCTTCTATAGAGGAAACTGAAATAATGATATTCGTGAAGGAAACGGCATCATTGTATTCAAAAGAGAAATATTCTTTGAAGGGACTTTTCACAATGATTCTACTGATGGCCCTGGAGTTTTGGTTAGAAAAGATATAATTTATGCATCATTATAGATCGCTATAAGCCAGTAGAATACTGACCAGAAAAAAAAATGGTCCCAGGGCACCTACTTTATGCAGTCTAAGTCTAATTAGGCATCTTAAAGCCATAAACAGAGATTTGGCATTTTCTTTTTTACTTTTCTAAAAAGTTGACAAGTACAAATTAAATTTTTGAAAATTAAAATGGATAGTCATTAACGATATAAAGTATTTCAGGAGTATATCATTAATTATGAAAAAATCAATAGCTATGATGATGAAAATGACTCGCCGAGCGTCATTTTTATGTCAAAAGATTATGATGCCTATGACAGAAAAGCTGAATTCGGGAACATTTCCGTATTCCTTGAATTTAATCAAATTTCTCTGAATTCTGAAGATATAGTTTTTATTGCTTTATTATCAGAACAGCTCGATAAAAGGCTAGAGATCCAGCATCCACATATAGAATCTGGAAATTTTAAATCAGGAAAATTAGGAGGGTAATTTATATACAGAGCTGGACTAGCAAAATATGGAATTTTTGGAAAATATGAAGGCTCCTTTAAAGAAGGTTGCAGGGCAGGATGAGGAAGAATGACTTATTCAGATCCTGAGCACATCTGCAGCTGGTTTAATGAGACTGAAGGAAATTATGTAGGAGAATGAAAAGACGATTTTAGGCATGGATCTGGCGTAATGACATGGCCAAATGGCATGAAATATGAAGGAAGATATATAAGAGACCATAGAAATCATGTCACTGGAAAAATGACTTTTCAAAACGGAGAAATTTATGATGGAGGATGGGTTGACGATAAAATGGAAGGCGCATGCACTTTTAAAAAGCAAAATGGGGTTATTTTTAAAGGACAGTTTTCAAGAGGTCTGCCATCTGATATGGGAGTTTTAGAGTTTCCTGATGGAGCTAGGTATGAAGGAAAAATAGAAAAATGGGTTCCACATGGAATAGGGAAAATGAGATCTGCGAATGGAGATATTTATGAAGGCGATTTTGAGGAAGGAAAAATCAATGGAGTTGGAACTATGATATATGCGAATGGAGATATTTATAGTGGAGAATGGGAGAATGGGAAGAAAAATGGAAAAGGACATATGAAATATTCGAAAAATGGAGAAACTTATGAAGGAGAGTGGATAAATGATTACAGAGAAGGCAAAGGAGTGCTGAAAGATGCAGACGGGGATGTTATCTTTCTAGGGCAATGGGCTAACGATAAAAAAGAAGGAAGAGGGAGTATCGCCCACACACCGAGTGGGAAATTAGCTTTGGGCTACCTTTAATTGCTATTTATATTTCATTGTTTGCAAATTAAACAAATAAATACTTATTACTATAAAACCTTTAAGCTGCCTTAAGAATTTATGATAATGTTTTTATAATTGCTTCCTCAATTATGGGAATCATCTCAGGGTTAACTCCTTCAATATTAATAGAAAAAACTACTTGCATATTTATTTTTTTGCAGATTTTCTGTATAAAATATGTTCAGCTTTCTTCAAATCCCATGATATGCACAATATTCGGCAATGGATTCTATATTATGCTTACATATTTTGTCTGAATTCCCATAATCAGATTGTTAAAAGGGCACTCATCTTTCCCAATATACACATAAGCACACTCGTCTAGTTTCAAAATCTGTAAGTATAAAGTGCCGACTTCTAGTGGGAATTCAATAATTTCCATTATTTAATATAGGGAATTCCCTAGGATCGCCCTGTAAGGGCAGGTAACTGGGGGAGAAGCTCTTCAGTTGGTTGGAAAAGATAAGGTTAGTCAATCAACTGGAGAAAGGCTCACTTGCTAATTCTCAACCGCCTGTCCATACCAGGTGATTCTAGGGTCTTCCTATCTATTTTCTACATATGATCAACTATTTTCTCAACTATTATTTTTCTATTTCCTCAATTGATATGCAAATGGTATATAATTATTAATTTTTAACTCATAACATATTTTCTTAGTAGCGACCTAACCCCATAGCTATACAACAGCTTACTAAGCGAGTTGTTGATATCTCCGAGCTTCATAGTCAATTCATGCTGGCTGATTTCCTTTTCTACAAGAAGCTGCTTTGTGATTTCCCTTATAAACTCATCTTTTCCACTGATCAGCTTATCTTTATAAGCATCGATGTCTTCTTTGTTCATAAATCCTATCCCTTCTCCTTTAGCAAGCACAGGCAATATATTGGCACATACATCGACCATAGCTCCAAGCATTTCTTCGATTTCTGAAGGATCAAGCATCCCAGTTGCATCTACATCAAACTGTCTGAACAGCCAGTCAGCTTTTTCTTCAGCTGTTCCAATCCCTATGACAATTCCTATGAGTGACAGTTTTTTCGTGTCATAAAGCTTATTTTCATTTTTGACCTTTGATAAAAGATGATATGTAGGAGTGTCTGGAGAAGTTATAGATAACTGTATTATATAGAAAAATAAAGCATTTAGCTTTATTTTTATAGAATTTTATATAAATCAGTATAATTCAGATTCAGGGATCTGCAGGTCATGAAAAACTCTTTTGAGCTGAGGCAAACTTAAGGAATTCTGCAAAGATTCTGCTTTGATAGATTTCACTATTTCCTTGCTCAAAAGTCTGGAAAAGTGAAGCTTTTTTTCCTGCTCTAAAATGATTTTGTCTTCTAATGTCAAATCTTCTTCCTTTGGAACTGCTACACCTTTTGCTGCTGGAGGGAGGAGGTCATTATTATTTTTTGCTACACAGCATCCCATAGTAAATTATTAAGAATTATGTTAAAATATGCTTTTCTCATTTATTGTCTCTTTTGGAGTAGCATTAGAGTCAATGATTAAGTCAAAGTTGAGTTTTCTGATATTCATTTTGTCTCGCTATGTAATTATTACTCTGTCTTGCCAATAAGGATGTGTATAAATAATTTCTTTTAACATAAGAGAAATTTGATGGCAAAAAAAGCCAGACACTATATAGATAAAGCCATAAGCGGTGCCGATTTTTTTGTATTTAGGGTTTCTTTTAGGAAAAGGGATTGCAGCTCCATATCTCAAGGCACCTGGCCGATCTCTATAATTGACCATTTTCTAATTATTTTCAATTTTGTTTAAGCTAAATAGGATTATGCCAATTCAATTTATATAAATGTGTTAATTTTTATTTTAAAATGATAATAGCATTGATTTGTGCTTTCAATGTAAATTTTGCTTCATCAATTTTAAATACAGTAGTCACCCCTTTGCCGATCGGAGAAGAAATTTCAAAAACTCAAAATGACACTTGGGCTTATTTCAAAATTAAAGGCTTCGAATCTCCAAGCTTATATTTATCTGTCAGTATTGACCTTTCTGAACCTGAATCTGTATGCTTACTCCCCTCCCTCCAAAAAAATTTTGGAGAGGGTTATGCTTTTTTCTAAAAATTGTGCATACAAATTTTATAGTAATTTTTTTCTCGAATATCCATTTTTGGAAAGCTAAAATTAATGTCTTAAAACACAAGCTATTCGAATTCAACAGATTTAGCTCGATATTTCATTATAGTAAATATCATTTATATATCAACATTTTATTAAATTTTTTGTTCACTCATGGAGGTGATTTCGGGCAAAAAATAGGGACTTTTCCAATGGCTTTGCTTACTTACGGAGTGGTACGAGTTAGTTGTCAAGCAAAATACAGTGCCTCAGCTCTACGCAGGGTACCCTCAATATGATTGAATTGATATAGATAATTGAAAGTTGGGGTCAAAGAAACATGATGTTATTATATCTCCGTGAAAATATTCATCATATTCTTTGTACATAGGAGTTTATTTACAAACAGAAGCAGTTATACAATACACAATTAAAGCAGTGCAATCTGAATTTAAACCCTGTAAGAATAACTGCACTGAGAATGGAACATGTGATGGAGGAACCTGTGATTGTAATTCAGGGTACATTGGCAATGATTGCCAAGTCCCTGCAATTTCTTTAAGCCTAGGCTCTTCTCAACAAATGAGAATTAATCCTGGTTCAATAACTTATGCTTATTATGGAGATTTAAATTCCGAAACTGGGAAAAACATAAACGTGAATATAAAGTCTTTCGGAAACCCTATAACTGTGTATATTAAACCTTCACAAGCCAATATGGCAACAACTTTACCGTCAGAGTCAGTATTTGTAGCAACTGCTAAAAGTACAGATATCGAGTACACAATAAATTCGAAAGATTTGATGACTTATTTTGCAATAGTGAATGATGATATTATTGCTATAGATCTTAAGTGAGATTTATCTTATAATAGTAGTTCTGACAACTCAAAAGAAATAATTTTTTACACCTTAATTACAGTATCATCCGTAGTCGTTTTAAGTTGGGTTTCATTTGCTCTGTATAAATCACGAAAAAGATTTCAGGTCATTTCAAATCCAGCTGAAAATTACTTAGAAAGAGTTCTAGATTTAAAGATAATTGATGAGAATTTTCCAGAGAAAAAACTAAGGCAATCAGATATTGACCGCGGGAATTCATCGTGCCCTATTTGTTTGGAAAATTTTGCAATAGATGATATGATTAGAGAACTGTTATGCGATCATATTTACCATCAAAAATGCATTGATGAATGATTTGCAACTAAATCTTACTGCTGCCTTTGTAAAAGAGATTATAAAAGCATTGATAGCATGGATTTGACGAGACCTATTGAAGAAACTTTACAGATGAGCAACACCCTAGGACTAATAGTCGGAGCTAATGAAGAATCCCTAGGAATCACTATAAGCAACCCTATTCAAGAAGAGTATATCGAGGATGAAAACGAAGACGTAACCTTCAGAGCCAGCTCAAATTTTAATTAGACCTAATTTTTTTTTCTGAATACTGATATAAGTAAATTCCTTATGAGTAAAATTATTTTCTTTTTAAGAAAGAATATTTCAATCGAATTAAAAACTGAATTATTTTACAATTTTATATGACATTTTAATGCTTCCCTTACATCCTCCACATCACTGACTGCCAAGTTGACCAAAACCGGCAGTAGTTTTTTCAGCTCATTGTCTGACTCGTCCCCAGTAAAGGGACTGATTAAAATTCCATTATTTGGATGCATACTGAACGATGTGGGCCAGTCATCAATAATAATGACTTTTGATAGATCTCTGCCCAGTAATTCCAAGTTTTTTACATAAGGGCTGTTGAAAGCCCCTGTATGCTGCCTGTACAGCCTTAGCTTGATTTTATTTGAAGGGTCGATTTGTTTGATCGCGGAATCTGCGTAATCTTGTGAGCTTGCTGTGAATAGCACTAGTTCATAAAATTTGTCAAGCTCTGAAATGAATTCTTCAACGCCAGGTCGTTTATAAAATATTCCATTCTCTGTATGGCCTAATGTTTCGTCTAAATCGAGCACCAATGTCATAGTCTTATGAGAATAAGCGGGCAGAAATGGGGCCTGTCGGAATGTAAAAAAAGATTGAACAGATGGGAAAAAGCAAATTTTCGTCAAAATCTGCGCTTCTTTTCTTAAATTCGCGATTCCAATATATGCCAGCTCAAAAGGAATTTGCTGGAAAATGCTTAACATTTCTATCACAGTAAAAATGGTGAGAACTACGCCAGGCGACAAATTTCTACAAGCACTGGCGCAAAGCCCCAAGTAAATCCTCAAATTCCCTAAAAAGCCTTCAATGCTTTGAAGGAGCTTTCTAAGTAATTGTTGCTGCTTCTGTTTGCTTGAATTTTGCAGCGTTAAAGCAATTATTTGGAAATGCTTTAATACATCATTTTGCAATTTTTCTATAGTGTCATTCCCAGCCATAGGAATAAGGCCTACCACTTCGCAGAGAACTATACTTATCATCCCTAAATTTAAGGCTTTTTCAATAAAAGGGTTCTTCAAAACGGTCGAATTTTGCATTCATGCTAATCGTGAAAAAATTTTATCTTAATCTTAATCTTAAATAATTTATAACATTTTACGTCCACTACGGGGTAGCCTTGTCCAGAGCTGCCACCATATTTGTCCATATGTCGTGCCCATGGACCTCTGGATCGATCCACTTTGATTCGCCAAGGCACGGGAAATACAGCGTTTCAGCCTCGACAGGCTTCGCTGCCGCCACGGCTTTATACGACTCAGCTCCAGCGCGTTTTCCGCCTAAGGATCGCCTTCTTCGGGTGTGCTGAGGGGTAAAGACCTGAGCCTCTTGAGTGCACTGAGGAGCAGTTCCTTTGGCTATCCTCAGAGTTAAGCCGCTGTTGCTGTGCAGAAGTTCTCGAGGTAAAACCCAAACCCATAAATAAAATTTGCTTGAGGGAGAGAAAATTAGCGGAGCTAATTTCACTCGAACCGAATGCCATTTTTATTTATGAAAAAATTTTATCAAAAGACGATCCTGAAAAGGACTGTAGGTTTTTGAAAATGTCGCTGATACAAATCAGGAGATCGTCTTGGCTCGTCTGTCTGGAGCCAGCTATGCTATCTATAGATGCTTTTGATTGTGAATTGAGAGCCTCTAAGCACGCTTCCATTAAATATATATTTTTGTTTTACCAGTTGTAATGAAGGTATGAAATGCTGGAAATTACTGCTTACATTAAATGTTAGGATTAGTTTAGCGATTTAGGAAAATTAGGATTTAAAACTAATCTACAACTTAAAAATTTCTGATCAGCTGTGATAATAATTATATAGCAATTAACCACCAAATACTGGATTTTCAAAGTTCTCCATCTAAGCTTATTTATAAAAAGCAGCAAAAATTCTGCAATTGATATGAAAAAGCTTTATGTAAAAATGCAAGCTAAACAGATTGCTGGATTTTTCATATGAAGCTTGAGAAACCGAAAAAAGTTTCAGTTTTTTCATTGTGGTAGCACATAGCTCTACGTTAATAAAAATACCTATATATATTTACAAAAATAAAATCAATAAATAGTTGATTTTATTGCTGTCATTCAGAACAGGTCTGGCCAATTATTCTGATTTTATTAGATAAATAAATATAATAGACAATCATATTTTAAAAAGATGGAATTCTTTTGACGCAAACAGAAATTGTTAAAGCTATTAAAAACTGTTTATTCATGGTGCTTTCGCTAGTTTTTTCTATTATAGATTGATTTTAGTTCAAGATAATTTTGGATTTTAATAGCTCCAATAGAATTTTTCTCCCTAATTATTCTATTAATTAATTATTTATTTTCAAGCTTTGAGTAGAATTAGCACGGAAATTCGCTAAAACTACATTTAAATGCATGATAATAGAAAATTAGTGAATTTTCAAAATGATATGCAATTGCTATAAAGCAGAATAACATGGCGAATTTTTATTTATTGTAAATTCTCACTCTCCTCCGTGAGTGGACAAATTATTTTCTTCGCTCACGGAGTGTAATATTTTTTAAAAATTATATATAAGTAAATTTTTTGATCTCGAAATTGACAATAAGCAAAAAATTGAGAAGTAAAATATAATTTAATTAGCAAAATTAATATTTTAAATACAAGCTGCTTAAAAATTAAAAAAATTAGCTCAAGATTTCTTTATACTAATTATCACTTATATATCAATTTTTTTTTTTTTCATAAAACAAAATTTTGTTCACTCATGGAGGGTGGGTGTTTTACCCGAAAATAGGGATGTTTTCAATAATTTTGCTCGCTCACATGGTGGAGTTAGAAATATTGAATCTAACAATTTTTAGCGCTATTTATGCCTATTAAATAATTTATCATTAATTATAATAGTTTAAATGCTTCAATATTGAGTTGAGTTATCTGATAGAGCTTAGATTCATAATTAAGTTAGACTTTAAAAATTTTAACAAAGATTGTATAATCCCATTCTAAGAAATTTTAAACCCCTAAAATATGCAATAAATTATTAAATAGATTAAAATTTGTTCTCCTGAAAATTAACTTTTTATATTAGATATTGATTTCAAGAAAATGGGAAGCAGTAGCCTAGTTCAATTCCTCAAAAAGCTCCGAATTATTCACTCAAAAACATCAAAAAAACACAAGGAATTAATCCGAATTTTAGATTCTATTGATATGTGTCAATTACCTGTAAATTTAACTTAGGATTATCCTAACAAAATTGCAGTAAGCTCCAATTCTTTATCAAAATTTGCAGAGACCGCTAATGATCTTTATGAGAATGAAACAGAAACAAGCGAAATCTTAGATGCCTTTGAAGAAAAAATACTAGAAATTGGAAAAATCAAACGAGTTGCCAAAGGCTTAAAGCAGCATTTAGATCACATGAAGGAAAGAATTAAAAGAGACAATAAAACCATTTCAAATATTGGCAAACGAATCTCTTCAATTTTAAAAGAATACCGTGAGAGATGCCATGGAAGCTACGTTGAATTTTTAAAATCAGTAGACTTAGACCTCCGAAGAATTCTAAAGCCACTTGTCCCTAACAAAGTGATTGATGAAAATGTGCATTTTCCTATGATGAACCCAAATTTAAGCTTAATTGCTTCGTTTGAGTCATCAAAAGTATCTAAGGCTAAAGATGAAGATATTGGTGACGAATTAGCAGAAGATACAGAAACAGAGTCAGAAGACAAAGACAAAACAATTGAAAAACTTCACGAGCATGTAAGTATGCTTATAAACACACTAGAATCCGTTGCAAAAGAACTTATTAATATTCTTGCTGACACAAATTCAAAATATTATGAAATTGTTAACCCCAACATTCTGTCTCTGAACCCAAAAACTCCTCTAGCAAAGCCTCTGCCTGAATATTTTACTTTTGATATGGAAGAACCTGAGGATGCACCAAAGATTATGCAGGTACAAAAAGATGCATTAAATAGGTTGAAATCGAGGCTGAATGAGCTTATAAATAGTTGCGATTTGTCAAAGGAACAGGCTAAAGTTTTTGAGGAAAAACTTAACAAAATGGATAAGGAAGGGAAAACTGATATTCATGAAATTTTTAAAGATTCAGATGTTCCAATTAGCAAAAGGGAGGAAATTGTTTTTAAATTAATCGATTCAGGAAGAGAGGCTAGTAAAGATGTGGATATTAATGATATGCTTTCTGTTTGCTCAGTAAAAAATTTACACAGAAAAGAGTCAATTAATAAATTTTCAAAGCTAAAACTTCCTCCTTCAAATGAAAAAGTAACCAAAAGGAAAAATACTGAGCTAGACCCAAGAAGAGCTTTGACGCCTACCCCAGCTGAAAATGGATTCCACACACCTCAAATAGAATCAGAAAAAAAAGAACGATTTTTCTTACAAAGGGCTTCCAATCCAGCAGAAATTAAAGATTCTGATTTATTAAGCAATGATAGATCTGTGCCAAAAATACAGAAAAATAAAGAAATTAGAGTGAGATCTACGACGCCAACATTTACAAAGAAAAAACAGCAGTTTAAAACAGGGATTTCGCTGTCTCGAAAAAAAATTGCAAACAAGTCTTAATGTAAATTTTTTAATCCCATTTTTGGAACTTTATTATAATTTCTATAGTAAAATAATTTGATTTGGCCAGAGTTCATATAGTTAAAGTACTTATCTAAAATTAAAACCCAAATAAGCTTCTGATGTTCGGCTTTGGTTCTGTTGTGAATGCCAAGTATAGAATTGTAGGTATGAACCCCCAGTAGATTGCAGTTTTAGGCAAATTCCCTCCATTTTCAAGTCCTTTTCCAATATTATTGCTCAGCGTCTTCAAGCTTCGAGCCATATTAATATTACCAAACTAATTTTCAATTACAAATAAATAAAATTATTGTACAAAGCAATTAAACATGGAGCGATCACAAGCTATCAATAAGCAGCTCGGACATTCAAAGCATTGGTATATGGCTACTCCTTCCTTATCTGATTTCATATGGCCATGGTGCCTCATTTCATTGCTTGGTGCATCATCCGGGACGTACTTTACATATGCCTATGGGATTACTCCGAAAGAATGAATTGACAGAGAAAATTTGCGCTTTTGAACGGGGCCATCATTTTATATGAATTACTGTTTAGTATGATTCTGGATATATAAAGTGGTATCCATGATTCAGATTTTAAAGAAGGAAACTACATGGGAATCATATATACATATCTACGAAGAATTCCCAGCAAAGGAGCATTTTCGGATGGGTGGCAACTAATTAGGCAAGCAAGCTAATGTTTGACTAACCAAAAAAGGGTTTTAGAGGGCTATTCATCGTAAAAATTAGCATAGAGTTTGCGTCATTCGGGATATTTTCACAACTTTCGCGTTCTGAGCTACATATAATATCTTTGAGTGAATCTCCAAAAGATTACTTACTTTCACAATATCAGGGCACTCCTTTGTTTTAGTTGTTATAAGCAGCATGATTTTATTTGAAGCAGAAACAAATTACAGGCTAACATATAATGAATTGATGATTTACATTGGAAAAGGCGTCATCGCATATAATTATTATATATTTTTCTGGACCTGCTTCGCTTTTCATACGCTTAGCCACACAGTTATGGGGCTTGTAGTAGGGTTTACAATTACGTATTTCGTTTATTTTAGAATGGATAAAATCAGAATAACATAAAGGTTAACAATAATTATTTTGTCTTAAAAATAAGGTAAAGCTTAAATATTAGTTGATTTATTTTTTACATTATTGAATTATTTAACAAACTTTGTAAGGAAAAATCTCCATCCTGTTTGTCTAAAGGCTCTAGGAAAAACTTTCATAAAGAAATATTCTAACTCCAGCGAATTTTTCACTGTCGAAAATCCCTTTCTGATATTAAAAGACTGCAACTGTACTAAATAATTGAAATATTTTGAATCCTTTGGAATATCTACTGATTCTGATCCCCATTCTGCTTTTAACTTCACGATATGATTTGTCCCGATCACAGACAGCTTAAATACCTTCCCATCTTTACAAAATTCAATTTTATAAAGTGTTATGAAATTTGTATTGTCCAGCATTTCTTTTAAGTATTCATCATTCATCAGCTTTGATTGGCTTTCTTTTTCTAACTCCTCTCATTTAGTTTTTGATAAAAATAAAATTCCCCAATTTAATTGGGGTAATTTTTTTTTAAAACAATTTATATTAGAAACCTTAACAAAATTAATATATAATATATATTTATTAAATTAAACCAAAAAATTGAAATTTAGCCAACATTTTGTTGAAATTTAAAGCGCTTGCAGGCGTAAATAAATAAAATCTTGATTATCCCCTTCAATCCAAAATAAAGACCTATTAAGATGCACATAGCACATATATTTAGATATAAGATAAGCGATGTGGCTTGGTTTCACTTTAAATACAGTAGGCTCATGGGTGATAACACTTCTTGGTACTTCTAAGGCGTGGTCAATTATGCTTGGCTCTATACGTACTTCATTCTCATTTTCTGTAATTTCTACAGAGCATTGTCCTAGACCTTTAATTTTGCATATAATGCTATAAAATGTTGACCCATGCCTTTCATCATAAAAAATACACATAGAATTATCAATGTATTTGTAGTATAAGTGTGGAAGAATTTTCTTTGTAATGATGCGAAAAATTTGTTTTTGGTTCTGATAAGTATTAGAAATCGATAAACGAAGATTCAGCTGCAAAGCAGGTCCATTGATTGGATGAGCAGAAATTTCTAGATGCTCTAATCATTTATCACTCCTTATATTTATTAAGGTAGATACACTAGAGATAATAAAAATTCCTTGGTAAACGATATCTAGTTTTTGGAATTGCAAACTTTTTCTTACATAAAATTCTTCATTTTCGACAGAAGTTTCATCGGTTTTGAGGTTTTCTCTTTCAAGAGAAACTATAGAGCTTAGCCCTTTATTCAATTTCTCTAAAACCTTATTATCCATAAATTGTTCTTGAGTTAGTTTTTCTTGTTCAGGCAATGAAACTGCATTGAGTCTTAACCTCTCTAGCATTACAAATAATTCATTTTCTTTACTCCCCCTTGGCTAGTTGCAGAATTTTTCTTCGCCTAAAGGGGGTTAATTTTTGACCGATATTAAATTTAAATTTTTAAATATTTGAAATGAAAAATCTTTATTTATAAAAATTATATTATAAGATGTAAAGCCTATTTAAAATTTAATATAAATGCTGGAGAGCTCATTATTACAATTATTAAATTATATTTATTATTTATATATAATTGCTTTAAAAATTTTCATTCGCTTACAAAGTGCAATTAATTTTCCAAAAAAGGTATATTTTTTTCTAATGGCTCTGCTCATTAGCCAAGAGGAGAGCTAGCAAAATTATTCTCATAAGTGGCTAAATCACGAATAAGCTCGCTTTTGTCACTCATTAATTTGTGAAAATCATATAATAAAGATTTCATATGTGTTACAAGTTGGCCTGCCTTAGGGAGACCAGGAGGCTTATGTGAAATTCTACTTGTTGACCTTGTAGAAGGCCTTATTTGCGTAAGGAGTAATGAAGGGGCATTTTCTGAGTCATTATCGTTGCTTGCTGTCCTAGCTGTAGATTTTCTATAAGTTTTTGATGATTTGGGTCTAATTCGCTTATAAATCTTAGTATAGAGATCTACTCTCATATGATTTGAATCAGTAGTTGAATAAGTACCCGAAAGATCTCTCAATAAAGAATTTCCTTTTATTGGAATAGTGTTGCCATTCAAAGGCCTACTTCCCAATTCTGTGAACGAGCAAAACATATGAAAAAATCTCTATTTTTGGTAAAAGCCTCCATCCGCGAGTGAACAAAAAATTTTTTTATTAAAAATTATTTTGTTATATAAGTCTGTCGAATTTAAAACAGCTTGCATTTTAAAACATAATTTTATAAATTAAGTTTAATTTTTGCTTCTCGATTTTTTCGAATTGGGAAAAAAACAATTTTACTATAAAATTTTATATAATGTTTTTTAAAAAAATTAACCCCCTCCTTGAGCGAACAAAAATATTATTTTCGCTTACGGAGGAAGGGGAGTTAGCACTTTTATTTGAATCATCTATCATCTTCAATGCTAATTTTGAGATATAATCTATTGAATAATTTAATTCATATTTTTGAGTTTAAAATTAGGCGGTGCATCTTTCAATCCACTATTTGTAAAAACAAGAATCTCAGCACTCGTAATTCTCTCCAGCAGGGATAGAAATTGAACTTTTTTTCGATTTTTCAATTCAAATTTCAACTGAAAAATGAAATTTTGTCAATTTTTGGACTAAAATTAAAATTGCTAACTTTAGAGTAAATCCACCAAAAAATTTAACAATAAAATTTTCATTTTTCGATTTTATCTCGTATTTCTACCAATAGTGGATGGAAAGACTTGATACCCTTTAAAATTGCAGTTCATCATAACAATATTTTAGTTAAACTTTTGCGTCTAAATTGCAGTCAGATGAACTCAATAATTAAATATTTAAGCTGCCACAATTAATCATGAATTATTTAATAGTCATAAATATCTCTAAAGTTTTTATTTAATTAATACCAAGAATTTTCCAAGAGTATATTTAAAGCAGTTGCCATGCTATTCTGCTTTAAAGTGCAAGTTATTTTTGCAATAACACTATTTTCTATTATCATGCATTTAAATTTATTTATAGGGAATTACTGACTCCCACCCTCCGTGAGTGAGCAAAACATTTTGCTTGCTATGAAGGAAGTATTTTTCTTTTCAAAATTTTAAGTTGAGAATAGAATAGATCTAATTAATCATAAATTTGAATAGAAATAAAACGAAAAATTTCTTAAATGGCCCTGGTGATATGTATAAAAAATTTCAAAATTAATTTTTTCAATTATGTTGCAGTTCTAGGGAGCCATATCAATAAGTGCTAGAAATTAGTTCTTGATTTAAAGAATCCACGTATTCTTTTCTTTCAGTTTGAGAATTAGAATCTTCAGGAGCTTCTCTTGAAACTGCAGAATTAGAGCAAGATGGAACATTTGATATCATTCTTTTAGGGGTGTGGCTAACAGATGAAGAATCAAGCCTTCGATTTGTACTTTCATTCGTGAAGCAATTTACAGCTGACACTTTGTAAGTCAAAGACAGTTTCCTATTAGCGATTGCTTCATTTATAGCTCACGAACCCTTAAAGATGCACATTGAGAGCCATTTTGGGCTTTAGGCCTGATATTTCTGCTTCAAAAAAGAGGAGCCATCAAATGGGAGTTGACAAACCAAATCGTTTTGGCAAACTTATTAACCCCATTTGACAGTTAATTTTTGAAGAAAATTCAATTTTAGCCTAAAGTCGTAAAAACGGCTACAGGGCCGATCTAAAAGGGCAATAAGCTATACTTGTCTACAAAATTCATCTGGATCTTCACTGATTTTCACCCCTTCACATATAAATTCACTTAAAGAGTCATTCTGTGTTAAAGACTCACACAATTTTTCAATAGCCAGCATGTCTAAATTTTCTATTTCGACAGAATGAGAAATATTTAATTTTCTCAAACTTCTTGATTCTAGCAATAAAGCTGACAATGCAAAAAGTGCCGAATTTTCATTGAAATTGTTATAAGACACATCCAAACTTGTAATAACTTCAGGCAAGCTGTCTATTAAATCACAAAACCCTATCTCTGTTATGTGATTATTTTGAAGATCTAATGAAGATAGCGGCATTTCGTTTAAAAATGTGCTGATAATTATAGTAATTCCACTGTCCCCAAATCCAATACCTCCAAGCGCTATATGGTTTAGCGACCGATTTTCATGGATCTCTTTACAAAAAGCTTCAAAAACCGTAACATCACTCAGTGATTCGTTACCACTTAAATCTTAAACGTATTAAAGACAAGCTGTCGCCATATTGCTAACGCAGCCACCAAGATCCTGAGTGGGATTCATCCAATTGGACATCAAAGTCGATGGCTTGGACAGTGCAGAGGCCAAGCCGGTATATTGACTCGAGGAACACCTTGCTCACTTCTTCAAAGCCTAAATGCCAAGGCACTTCTGAAGTTTCGCTTGCTGTGACGCCTCATCCTTGACTTGCTGTTCAGTTTTTAATGGACAGTCTATGGATTTATGCAGGATTGCTTGAGGCTGATGGGTAAAACGTGAGTTATCAATACAAAAATCCTAAATCCTAATTTGTAGTTTAGGAAATTCCTGACTGGCTGAGGTATTGCCTGCAGACTAGGCTTTGGTTCACTTTTCCAACTCTATTCTTACCCATCCACGAGGTAAAAGCCAACTCTTAAAGTAGACTATGCACTGCTGGAATTGCTTGCCTAGCATAATTGTCAATTTCGGGTTGGCAAACCTTGCCAGGTATAATTAAAATATGCACATGAGGCTACACAGTCATGCCTGGGACTGAGACGCAATATTTAGTGTCACCACTTAAAATCAATTCTTCTATATACCTATTGCATCCTAAGCTAATTGCAAATCTCGAAACTATTTCATGATCTAAAAACGCTTGCGAGTTAAAACCTAAATTTAAATGCTGAATACTCCTGTTTTGTGCTAAAATATCAGAAATTGCTAACAATGCCTCTGATGATAAATTTGAATCATAAAGGTTAAGCTTCAAAAGCGAAAAATTGTGTGAAAACAAAGCCTCCATAGCTTCTCCACTCTGCAAAATATTCCCTTGCAAAATTATTGATTTTGCTTTATTTAAAGACACTTTTGAAAACAATTCAGAAATCGCATATGTAGCTTTTGCGGTAAATGCAAGTCTGTTATTTCCTAAATCAAGGACTCTGAGACCAGAGTCCTTTTCTGCCGACTGAAAAGTTTTGAGTATTTTATTTAGGACTTCGAAGCTCAGCATGCAGTTTTGTAAAATCAATGCTTTTATGCTCAATTTTTTCTTGAAATATCTTTTTAAGAGATTGCATAAGAACTCGCAGGAATTTTCAAAAATGTAGTGATTTGATAAGTCTAGGACTGATTTATGCCGCCCAAAGACTTTTTTGGTGTATTCAACTGTCATGAACTCTTCTTTCAATTTCAACTTAATTAACTCATCTTGAGCTTCTTTTAGTTCCATTTAAGATATTTAAACCAAAAAATTAGCGCTTAAGTAAGTCGGTGGGCCTTTTTGCATATTTTTCAGAAACATGCATGCTTTTACGCTTGTCAATAACTTCTTGGAAGCTTGGGGAGTGCTCGTAAACTTGATAAGAATTGGTAGCTCTTCTGGCTCGGCCTTTTTCTTCCCATATCTGCTGGTTTTCTTTTAGCTGGTTAAGGCAATTTTTATTTAGAATGTCTGACCGTAGGTGCCCACATCATACCTCGAATAGAGGTATACAGATATTTTTTAAAAACCCAGCTTGACTCTTGGCTATATCAGCATGCTCTCTATCACAATACATAGAAACTGGCTGTTTTCTGCTTTTTTCTATATCTCCTTGATTGTAAAACTCTTCACATACAAATTTTGTCCATTTTTCATGCAATTCTGGAACCTTTGCTGAGTGTCCTATATCAGCACATTTCAGTCCCATCGAAAAAATAAGGACTCTGTCATCAAAATTATCAAGGGTTAAATCAGACAAAACAAGGGCTCTGGTCCTGAATCTTCCTAAAATTTCAAAGTGTCTTGACATATCAGTTTCAAGGATCATCTCAATGATGGATTTTCTTGCCTTTAGCCAATCTTCATTGGACAGTTTTTCAAATAAATTACAGTCTTTTTTCCCCATTATAACGCTTACACGCATATAGCATGGTTTCACGCCAGATCTATGCCTGCAATTTGTAAATCTAACAAGTCAGCTTCAGGCTTAAAAGCTGGTCTTTTCTTTAATATTTGCCAGCTTAGAGTTGACTTTTCAGACTCACCGTTGTAGTCAAAGAGCTAGCTCAAGAGCACGCTATATACGTGCAAGCGCGATAAACTAAATGTCCTAGAGCAATGCATGTTTTCAAGAACACTGTTATCATTGTATTGGATTGCGACCTCTTCACGGTTATTTACAAGGAATCTGTTTGTTAAGCCTGGATGGCCTACATCGTGACCTAATGCAGCTATAATAGAAGTAAGCATATCAAGAGGTTCAAGCGAGGTTACATAATTGCTTTGGGTGAAAAAATAAAGCAAAGTATGCAAGACATCTGCGGCATGGCAAGCATTATGATAAGGGTTATTTTTATAGCTTTTTTCTAGTGTCTGAAAATATGTATCAATTACTATATCAGAAATCCCATACACAGTTTTCAAGTCATATTTCGTAAACAAGTATTTCGCGACTATAGAAATACTTTGCCCAGTTGCTCCATGGACAAACCATATATCAAAATTCCAGAGTTTGCCTACAGAAGATAGCACACTTTCAAGCTCATCCACTCCATAAGTTTCAAATGGAAAAGCATAGACTTTATCGTTAACATCATTAATTGTAGTCCTCCTTTCATTTGTATGCTCTGACAGCCTTCTTGATGCATCCATATCCATGAAGTTTTCATTAATAAAAGCTCGGTCTTGATCATCAATATTTAAATTGTGCTCAATCCTGACTTCAGCCCAAAACGTCCCTCTTGCAATTTTCTTTTTAATGTTTTCCAGCTGTTTCTGTGCAGATTTTAGCTGATTTTTTACATCTTTGAACAGTATTACAGATGATGCATATTTTATATTCTGCTTTATTTTATCGCAGGCTGAAACCAATAGCTCAGTTTCTGTTTTAATTTCTGCCTGATCGCTATTTTGGTTTTCTTTAAAATATGGCCTGGAGTTTTCTTCTTCTTTGGTTTTTCTCCAAAATAAGTTCCTCATCCTGTAGTCAGTTTGCTGGGCTTCTAGAGTTTGGAACATCAGATAAATGACTATAATTGTAAACTCGGCTGCTACGGAATAGTCAGAAGCTGGGGAATAGCCTAAAGAAAGGCCTAAAAATAGAAGGGCAGATAGTGAACTAAGAATAAAAATGTAATAAAAACAGTCAAAAATGACTACTCGGAACATTGAAATAAAGCAGACAATTCCAATTGATGTGGGCAATTGATTGTGAGTGTATGAGGTTCCTGTTATTCCACATAAGATCCGATGGTCTCCCAATATAATATAGGCTAGAAATACTATGGCAAGTGTAAAAAACCAAATTCTATTATTGATAAGAAAATTTGAGCTTTTGCATAATGCGATAAGTATAAGTAAAGCAATTAGAGCTATAATTGAAAGTGAGACCAAGTGAAATAATAATTCCCCGTCCGTTTGATTTCCTTCTGAGTGTATAAGTAAGGCAAATACGGCCTGTGCTATTATATAAAGTGCTAAAAATAAGTAAAAAATTAGTAACTCCCCCCATCCTTGATCGAACGACTCGCCATCGTTCGATCAAGGATGGGGGTTAAAAAAACATTTTTTTGGAAAAAAAATTTATATATAAAATAAAATATATATATATAAATTTTTTTTTATTTACTTTTAAATAAGAGGGTTAAGAGTATTTAATAATTATTTTTACAGCAAAAAATTGAATTAAATTTCATAAAAATACCAATTTTTTATATTTTAATTTATTAGTTACCCCTTTAAACTGTATAAATTTTAATTTGTTACTTATTAAATTAAAATTGTTTTTTTTTAAATTTTAAAAAAAATCTCTATTTTATTAGATTATTGAGTTTTTTAAGCCCATGTTGATGACTAAATTACTTTGAAGAGTTGATTCCGAAGCTTTCTATCGTCTCAAAGTCTCTGAAAACAATTTCATTAGGTAAATCTTCCCAAGCTTTTGATAACTATTATATTTTTATATATATAAAAATTGTCATGATATGAAAATCGTTCGATCAAGGATGGGGGGGGAGTAAGTTATTTCTGAACTCTTGGGACAGTTTTCTAGGATTTTCTCCTAAGCAGTATAATGCTTGGAGGTATTTTTTATTTAAACCTTTTTCATTAAACGAAAGAAGGTTCGGACTTAACGGGATTGCTGAGTTTTCGTGCTGTCCGTGATCAAGAATGGCATAAATCCCTGATTTGCTTTGTTTTGAAATACCTTGTTCTGCGACGTTAAGTTCCAGGCTCTTCGAGTTTAACATATGTTTATATTATGAAAAAAATTACGATTTTTAAGAGAAAATTAGATTATTTGGTTTCTTGTCTGGCTATTAAATTTTCCATCAGAATTTCCATTATCTTCTATCCTATGGAGTAATAAATTTGATAATAAATTAAGAGTTAATACAAATACATGGCTCTATAATTTATAGGCCTTAGAAATTCAATACTGCGAAAAGAGAGCAAAGCCAGTCAAATATCAAATTTTTTCAAATTTATAGTTGAAAAACCCAAGTAGAAAGAGCTATATTTAATATAATTATGGATTTAAATTCACCTTATAATGAAACTCTTGGCTTTTATAAGCAATTTATGCTGATAATAGGGAAACTTCAAGTAAATTTGAATACCCTGCGATTTGTTTGGTTTTTACTTCACTAATTACTTTTGTGCCACATAGCATCCCTCCAGTGACGATTAAAAAATAGGTTTTCAATAAATCCTCATTATGCCCAGCTTTATAATGTGGCCTGCTTTGGGTAATTTTCCTTATTTCTTCTGCAGTCGGAGGATAATATTTAAAAATCAGTTCTTGATTTAAACAGTTTGTATGGACACAACTGATATTTTTAATTGTACTTAAATCAGCAAGCGTATAACTCCCCCCCCCCCTCCGTGAGCGAACAAAACCATTAGAAAAATCGCCATTTTTTGACCAAAAACCCACCCTCCGTGAGTGAACAAAAATTTTTTTAATAGAAAAAATTTTAATGGAAAAAAATTTTGATATATAAGTGATAATTAGTATAATGAAATCTAGAGCTAATTCTGTTTAATTTTAAACAAATTGCGTTTTAAAACATAAATTTTGCAAATTAAATTAATATTTGCTTCCCAATTTTTGCAAATTAGGATTTTTTTAAATTTCGAAAAAAATATTTTTTATAAAATTTATATATAAATTTTTTTTTAAAAAAAAAAATTAACCCCCCTCCGTGAGCGAACAAAAAAATTTTGTTCGCTCACGGGGGGGGGGGGGGGAGTAAGGGGTTTCTAAAACCTGTTTAATTATATCAATAACACTATACAAGCCAATCAAAGGCTGCAAATCAATATGAGGCAAACAAATGGTCAACGGTGTAAATGGGTGCTCTTTTGTAGGTATTGGTGCATGCGTAATATAGATTGATGGATTTATACATCCTGAGTATTCAAGAATATTATAAGGAAAAGGCATTTCACAAGGGCTTAGCAGTAATGGACAAATAACTATTACTTTTTTGGCTTTATCTCCAGAGATTCCAAAATCATTGAACACTTGTCCGTAGTCTATATATCAGTCGTTATTTTTATTTACAAAGTTTTGCTTGATGTCTTTTCCTGTCTCTACAAGTTTATATGCTGCTGTTATATAAACAGCTTTTGTACACATTATAGTCAGAATATTAACAATTTCATTGAGCTTTAATTTTGAAACTAAAACAATTTGATAGTTTGTTTGTAATTCTCTTAAGGAATTCGCAAAATCTGAGCGGACTTTTAAATTCATCGTGTTTTCGTTTTGATAAGAAGACGTTAAAACTCCTTCAATTGATATTATTAAAATTGCGTTGTTTTCCGTTATTTTACGTGGTTTAAATAAAATACGATGCAGATAGCCTAACTGAGAAAAAATTTCTTTTGATGACAATAAGTGATTTCTTTGAAGGCTGCTAAACAATTTCGCTTTTTTACTATGAAAATTACTTGATCTGCATGAAGTCTCTGGGGTTTTATATTGAAAAATCGGGTATAATAGTGAGCTATTTGCACTCTCCTGGGTTGGCTTTGATATATCAAGGAAATTCGTGACTGTATTCAATCTATTCAGTTTTTGTACATTTTTCACTATAGGTTTTAGCACTGTTTTTGTGTTCATTCTTCTTATTTTCATTTTTTCAATCCCTGTGCCTTGCAGCGATATTTCAGAAAATGAGGGCTGCATGATATTCCCAGCTAAATTATTTGCTTCAATTTTTTCCCTTATTACCCTTGCACGTGTTTTTTCTTCTAGATTCTGCGCAAAAGAAGCATTTACGGATGGAAGGACGTCGTAGCTTTTATGAAAAGTCCCATTCATTCAGATGCTATTAAAGATATGTGGGTCGACTTGAGTGATTTTTCAATTTCCTCTTTTTTTTTCTTGGTTACTCTTCTTGTAATTCACGTTGTTAAAACTTGTTGAAAGATTTTTCTGGGAGCAGCTTCGCAATTTGCTCATCGAAGATATACAATTTTTGTTTTAAATACTGAATAAATAATAGATTCAGGAGAATAATTTATTATTAATTCTGCATATCATTGAAAATCAACTGGGATTCTAGACATAAGTCTTTTGTGATTGGGTTTTATTATAAGCAATTTAATTTATCATATTTTATGATTGAAGAACACACTTGAATTGGATACTCAGCAGTTGCAGCAAGCACTGAAGCTCATGGGACATCAATTTCTGAGCTAGCTAACTCTGACGATTGCAAGCCTAGCTCATGGGAATGTGGAAGATTTGCAAATTTTCCTCAAGAAGTTATCATAAGACTTGATAATCGTGTACAATTGTCATATATAGTGATCGCGTCAAAACCTGAAAGAAATATCCCTGAGGTAGAAATTCACGTTGGGGATGGTCTTTATGGGTCATTTGTAGACGCTGAATATCATTTAGCTGGAAAATGCGAAAATATAACTCACCAATTAAAACAAATCCCAATCAGAGGGATTGGAAGCTTCTTGAAATTTATTTTTACTAAAAAACCTAGGCCTACCCCAAATAACCCAAATGGCCAAATTGGGTTAGGTACTATAAAGATATGGGCAAGACCTTTGAATTATGCATCAGATATCAATGAAATAAATCCTGTCAAAACTCATAGCGACGACGTCGACAAAATCCTTATGTCAATGGGCGTCCCATTAGAGCTTTTATTGTGATCAAAAGAAGACCAAAACTCATATCGTTATGCACCAATTGATGAAGACTCACGAGAAACCATTTTAGAACTCGACCAACGCCGTAACCAAGCTTATGAAGAAGAAGACTATGGAGCCTTAAAGCAGCTCACAAAGGACATCAAAAGGGTCTTTGACATCGGAACTCAAATTTTGCAATTAAAAAGAGAGCTAAGTGTTGCAATCGCTAAAGAAGATTTCGATGCAGCCTTAGAGCTTAGAGACAGAATACGTGAGCTCGAAAAAGATAGAGACTCAATTGACGCTATGTATGAGACCAAACGCTATCAAAGAATGATTTTAATGGGAAAAGCATCAGATGCACATATGGCAATGGTCAATAAGCTGCTAGAAGAAGAAAGGCTAAGAGCGGAGCTACTAAGACGGCAAAGAGAAGAAGAAGCTGAAAGACATAGGCTTTATTTAGAAGAATTAGAAAGAAAAAGAAGACTCGACGAAATGAGGATGAATAAAAAAGAAGTCCCATCACCGCCACCTGCTAAAAAGCCGCAGAAAAGGGAACAAATTGTGGTAGAAGAAGAGCCGTATGGATATAATGAAGGAGATATTGATTTAGAGCCTTATTTAAGACCAAGGCTAAATGAAGCTGGAGGAAATGTGAGGGTCGCTGATATTGAAATTTTGAAAAGAGCAGATGTCAGGAAAATTTTGAGGGTTGTAGGAGTAAGGCTTTGGAGTGCACTGTATAGTGATAACTGGAGGCATAGAGAAGCTGCTATCAGAGCGTTTTTAGAGTTTTTAGAGTCCCCATTACTTCCAAAATACCAGCAAGACACCCGTGCGCTATTCAGGGCTGCTATTGATACTGCAATGATTGCCTCTGATGACCGCGTCATGCCAATTTATCTATACGGCCTCAAAGTCCTTATAACAGCCATGTCTTCCCCCATTGGTGACACCAAAGTGACTGCAAAAATGATAAACGATGGAATGCGCATCTTTATCCCTATTTTATTAGGAAAAGTTTCAGAGCTAAACTACCGCGCCCGTGACATTTCAATGCATACACTAATAGAGCTATTCAGACATCCTAACATAAAGCATGGCCCACTGATAGACTATATTATGTCAATTACTAACCCAACAGAAGGCCCAGTAGAAAAGCAGCAATGGAGAATCATTTTAGCCAGGCTTGAAATTTTATTGCACGTTATACAAGAATTAGGGGTTAAAAATGATGAGTGGAGCTGAAAAGACGTCTTCCATAAGCTCTTAGTACCACTATTAGGGCATGCGAATTCTGATGTAAGACAAACTTGTGTAGAAATAATCGTTGCATTGTATCAAAAAATAGGGATGGAGCTGAGGCTAGAAGTTGATGCTTTGGGGAGGAATATTAAACCTCAGCTGAGTCAGATCATTTATAAGAAAATGCTGGAGATTGATCAAAGCCAAGGAGAAAAACCAAATATGGATGTGATTGAAGAAACACATGAATGGGCTGAACAGACACCGCCTGGGACTGGAAAAGGGAAAATTAGCTGGAATAAGCTTAAAGATATGATTACTAATTTGGCTGAAGAAGAAGCACAGAAGAAAAAGAAAAAAGAAGGGAATTAATTGTAATGTTGATAAACTATTGAAAATTGCTGAAAAATAATCATAAAATGGTGAAAGTGCTGTATTTCGGTAGGGTTAGGGAAGATCTCGGGATTTCAGAAGAAAGCTATGAATTTAGTGGAAATTTGAATTTATTACTAGAGTTAATTAAAGAAAGGCATCAGAATATGCAGAATTTGATTGAAGGGGTGCTTGGCTCCAATAGTGACATTGCAATTGCTAAAAACTTGGAATATTTAACTACTCTTTCAAGTGAGATTTCAAATGAAGATGAAATTGCTTTTATTCCTCCTATTAGTGGTGGATAATCTATTTAAAATGTTTTTCGTCCTCTAAAATTAAAAATATCCTCAATTTTTGCTATAATAAAAGTATAAAATAATTTTAAGTGCCACAACAAACGTTCTTCCTAAAAAAGTTTTTCCAAATAATACATAGTATCTTAGAACTTAATAAAATGAATATGTGTGTGCTTATAATCTAAATATGGAAGAGCACGGCAGGCATTTTTATTATCGCTATTACACACAATGCTTTGTCTTCATAAAGAAGATCTCTTACTATAGATATGACCAAAAATTGCCTGAAGCTGAGAGATATGCACTGAGATTTATGGACGAATATATGAGGGACAAATCATATTTAGGAGGGGTTATTGGTGGAATTTGTGGATCAGCTATCTTGGCAGCTGTATTTTCATTTGGTTTGAAGCCTGATACGAGCATGAGGGTATTTATTCTCAAGAGTTTAATCTGTGTTTACGGCTTTTATAATTTCAAAACCTTTACGAATTGGGGAAGTCATTTTTCAATGATGATGTCTATGCCCAGGGTCTTCGAAATTCTAGACACTTTTCCAGTCGAAAACAGCTTTATAAGAACTGAAACAAAAAAATTCTTTGAAGAACTGAAAAAAGAAGAAAACAAAATCCAAGAAAATAAAGAAGTTTCTAATAATAAATAAGCTTATAATTCAATTACGCTTTTAGTTTCATCAAAGAATAAGCATGAAAAAATTTCATTGGCGAATTCTGGGAAATAAGTTACTGCACGCTCACAGTCAGGACAGAAATTTACCTCAAGAATGTATGGCTGCTTGTTTTCGTCAAGCATCACGTCAAGGCCATAAATGGCACGAGATTTAGGGTTGTGCATCTGTGGGTGAGAGGTTGCAGCTATCGTGAAACATTCTTTAATTGCTTTATAGATTGAGTCCTGTACTGGTTGCCATGGGAGGCCATATTGCTGCTCATAGAGCTCTGCAAGCTCAGTGTCCATGATTTTCTTTAAATTGTGCCCTGAGTAGTTCATGACTGTAAAATGAGTTTCATATACGGAATCTTGAGAGTATGTAAGAGTAAATGGATTATTTGAAGATCTCACCCAAAAGCGGTCATAAACATAAACTTTTAATGGGGAAATGCTCTTTAGCAAGACTATAAATCTCAGGTCAAACTTTTTCCCATTAATAAGTAATGGCCTGGTAAGGTATTTTTGGCAGATCTTAGGGCCAGTTTCCATAACTTTTATTATTGAATCCAAACTGTTTGTTATCCAAGTATCAAGGCTTCTGGACATGTTTATTGGCTTTAAGATCCAATGGTTGTCTTCGCCGTTGTCTTTTCTTTTTAAATATTCTCCCATTAAAGCTGGGAGCTCTTTATCAAGCTCAAATGTTAAAGGAAGCCAATTTACTTTGGCGTTTTGTTGGATTGTTTTTGCTAATTGGTTTTTCATCACTAAGCAGCCTTCATAAGGAAATTGATTTATAAATAGATCTGGCGAAAACGCATATTCTTTTTGACCTCCAATAAATAATTGTCCACGTATCCATAGGACATTTGCATCTTCTGGCTCACTGATTACAAACCTTGGGTCATTTAGTGACCTTTTAAAGAAATCAAGGTCTGTAGCGATTTTTAGAGGAATTTCAAAAACTTCAGCGCCACTGCTATTTTTTTCAGGCTCTACAGGTGAATTTGTCCCTAAGCATTTCAACCATTTATGATATTGAGTATCAATAGGTTCTCTTGGAATTTTGTACCATAAATAAAGTCGGTAAGACCTAAACTGTTCTTCACTAATCCCTGACAAGAAATTTCTTGTTACGATATCTCTTTCCAAAGCTGGAGTTATAGGCCACAACAGAGAATATGAAATTGGCTCACCTTGAGGAGGAATATATAAGAAAGGAGCTAAAGCAAAGTTAGGCATATCACTATGAGAAATCGAGCACCCAAATTCATCAAGAATATACCACACTGAAGTTTCATCATATTGAGAAGATGTGGCCAATCTGTAAGTGCCAAAGAATTTCCATAGTTTTTCTATCACTAAATCTACTGGGCTAGGCTTGTATTTGACTGTATCATTTCCGTTTAAATATTTAAGATTCGGAAAATCGTCTAAAGTGTTTCATATTAATTCTTCATAATTTTTATCAATTTTCAAAATTTTGAATTTGTTTATCGCTGCTAGCCATTCATTAGTGATTACATTCCCTGTCATATCAATAGAAAAAGCGTTCGGTATCTGTTTAAGAATTTCTGGGTCAATTCTGTTGATTTGTCTATCAGAAAAATCTATGTGGGTAACAGCAGTTAAATCCAGGGTATTCCCTAAATATTTTAAAGCCCACGTCCCAGCATTTTTGGTCAATTTCGAGTTCAGGATCTCTATATTTTTATAGTTATTTTCAATAAATTCAAACAGCTCTGACTCGTTCTCGCTGATTGGATTTTCATTAAGCCACAAAGCTTTTAAGCCACTTAAAACATTCTCAAATTGGCTGAACTCGGCGAAATTATTTCCCCACAAACTCAGCATTAAAATTCCCGGCATTATTGTAGGTATTTCGTCTATGCCTTGATTTTCGATATCCATCGAGTACGTCTGAAAGACTCCTGGCTTTTTTTCTTCCTGAATCCCAGGAATTTCCATCTTTTCTGGAATAATTCTTGCAATTCCTTCAAGTCTTTCCCATAGCCTTTCATTATTGCTTATTGTGGCTCTCATATCAGCCAATCTTGTGCTCCATGCATGATCTATCAGAAAAACATTAGAAAAAGGATGCAAATCGCGTATAAGCATTACTTCTTGGCCTGTAATTTCGTCATACTCATTCGCTTTTTGCATGATTTTGAAGAAATCCCCGGTGTCAAAAATTTCACTTGTAAGTTTTTGATACAAAAGCGGGAAAATTTCTTCAGGGAAATTCATCCCAAATAGCTGAATTCTATGTTTTTCTAAAAAATCAGCAAGCCCTGCCATTTTAATAATAAAAATTCTGGCATTAGAGTGAGCCTTAACGATTTTATAAAATTAAAATGAGAACAATAATTAAGAGGGAAGTCTTCTATTAGACTATAACTTTCTTTCTCTTTGTAACTCAAGGAGTGGCTCAAAGTACTTTGTGTCCTTTAGGAAATGTGCAAATGTATAGGCTAAAAGGAGATCATAAGTGATGAAAAAAGTCCAGAACCTAAAGTTTTGTTGGTATGGGTAAGTCCTGTAAGGAATATTCATATAGAAATTTGCTTTATATTGCCCTTTAGCTTATTAAGTATAGTAGACGTTGGATGGTTTGATTTAGATTGGTCAATAATATATGGTAGATTAATATAAAGCTTTTCTTGGCTGGGGATTTGTTTGTTAGCCAAGTAGCCACTGGAATGGCGAGAATTGATCCTAATAAGAACTTTGACCAGTAATTAAAACGATATTTAGTTACACGGTCATCATAATCTTGCAAGTAGCGTCTTGATGGGTCAGGGGCATAATTTCGATGGCGAAAGCGGCGATTTCTGAGCTCCCACTCCAGGTCGTCAAGGTATTTGAGCTCTTGTTCACGAGTTGGAACTGGAGGTATATAGTCTGAAGATTGGTTTTCAGCCATTATTTATAAGAAAATTAAGGTAAATGTTCAGGATTTAAATTAGCTGGCTTTTAATTATTTCTTTAACTCCTCTCCGTGAGCGAACAAACCATTAGAAAAATACCTATTTTTTGCCCAAAATTTTGTTAATAGAAAAAAAATATTTATGGGAAAAAATGATATATAAGTGATAATTAGTATAATTAATCTCTAGCTAGCTCGGCTTAATTTTAAACAAATTGCATTTTAAAACAAATTAAATTAATTTTTACTTCTCTTTTTACAAATGCAATTTTTGTAAATTTTGAAAAAAAAATTGTATATAAAATAAATTTTTTAAAAAAGAAATTAATCCCTCCGTGAGCGAATAAGATTTTTTTCGCTCACGGAGGGGGAGCAAGTTTTTTTTATTATTTCATTCCAAGCGATTGCGATATTTATATAAAGCAGAAATCTTTTGGAGATTTTCATAATATAAGGAAATTAGCTAATTAATATTTCTAATCATTTATGCAATAAGAAACCCTAAAAGCTTATTTGAAAAATTCAAATAAATTATTAGTTTAATTTTCACCTAGTAATTTGGATAAAATGATGTCACAAATATGTTAGGGAAAATTAATTTTTTATCCGAATTTAGATTGAATAATTTTATACCAGGCTATTTCTAGATAAAGCTAAGCTAATAGACATTAATGCTCATTTCTAAAACTTTCTAATTTATTTTAGATGTAAAAAGCTATTCCATATCTATTTTAATATAACTGTCGTAATAAAGAGTATCTGCTTTTAATGATAAGCTGATTTATTTTAGGATTGATAATGCTGCATAAAAGAAATCTTGAAAAAAGAAAAACAACAACCCTAGAATACTAAACTCAAAATAAGTAATTTAATTTATTTCTGTCGAATTTTCATTTTTCCCTTCATTCTTTTTCTTTTTTGCCATAAATCTTCTAACTCCCCCCCCCCCCCCCCTCCGTGAGCGAACAAAACCATTAGAAAAATCGCCATTTTTTGACCAAAAACCCACCCTCCGTGAGTGAACAAAAATTTTTTTTAATAGAAAAAATTTTAATGGAAAAAAATTTTTGATATATAAGTGATAATTAGTATAATGAAATCTAGAGCTATTTGTGTTAATTTTAAACAAATTGCGTTTTAAAACATAAATTTTTGCAAATTAAATTAATATTTGCTTCCCAATTTTTGCAAATTAGGATTTTTTTAAATTTCGAAAAAATATTTTTTTTATAAAATTTATATATAAATTTTTTTTAAAAAAAAAAAATTAACCCCCCTCCGTGAGCGAACAAAATTTTTTTTGTTCGCTCACGGAGGGGGGGGGGGAGTAAGGGATCTTGTGAACTTTGGTTTTCTCATTATAGTTTCTCTTCTAACTGGCTTTTTCTCAAGCTCTCTTCTTTCCTTTCTTGTTGGTGCCCTAAGCTGTAGCATCCATTCAGGAATTTCAGCTCCAGATCTTTTCATAAGATTAACAATCATTCTTATATAAGGCGCATCTTCAAATGTATAGAACGTCACTGCTTTTGCTTCTCTTCCAGCTCTTCCTGCTCTTCCAACTCTGTGTATATAACCCACAACGCTTTGTGGAAAATCGTAATTTATTACCAAATTCACTCCTCGAAAATCAATTCCTCTTGCAATTAAATCTGTACATATAAGAATCCAAATATTCCCAACTCTGAAGTTTTTGACAACAATATCTCTTTGAGCATCATTCATCCCTGCATGGATCATCCCGACCCTCAAATTATCATTTTTCAGCTCTCTAAACAGCTCTTTAGCTCTTTCTTTGGATTGTGTAAATATTAAGACAGGTGGCACCATTTCTCCATCTTGCACCATTTGTCTTAGCGCTATTAGCTTGCCTAATTCATTAGAGCAAAATGTTATCCCATTTATAGTGTCTTCAATTAAATTTTTTTAAATTACTGCTCTTTTTTAATTATTAATTGCTAAATTTTAGCATGCATAGAATCTGTCTATATAGTATAGCTTCTGCTCCAAAGTACTTACAGTTGTGTTTTTCATCCCTACAATAATTTTGACTGGGTTAATAAGCATAGCTTTTGCGACTATTTCGACTGTAGGAAGCATGGTAGCTGAAAACATCATTTTTACTTGATTTTTTCGTGTGCATTTTTTTAAAATTGTGTCAATTTGGTCAAGGTAGCCCATATCGAAAAGTTGGTCAGACTCGTCAAGAATGATGTATTGGACTGATTTTAAAGTATCAGAATCAAGCTTGTGAACCAGTAGTAATGGGGTTGTCACTATGATATCATAATTGCTGCTCCATTCCTTTGGCTCTGGGGATTTCTTTGATAATAAATGAACTCGTAAGTTTGTCCCTTCGCTTAAGACCAAAATTTCTTTATATAGCTGTCTTGCCAGCTCTTTTGTAGGCCCAATAATCAGCGCTCTTAATCTTTTAGGCTTCCTCAGCAGTGAAATCAGTGGCAAAGCAAAGCTTAATGTTTTGCCTGTCCCAGTCGGAGCAATTGCAATCAAATCTCTTTTATTAAGAATACAAGGAATTGCTTGCATTTGGACTGGAGTTAAATTTTCATAAAGTTCCCCGATTACCTTTTGTGTGTTTTCTGGAAAATTATAGTTATTAAAAATTTCCTCAAAGCTCTTTATTGGTTCTGGAATATCAGAGCCGTCTACTGAAATATGGAATTCCTTCCTGACATCTTCAGTTTGAGGGCTCGAAACTTCAGTTTTTATCTTTTTATATGGCTCAGATTGCTTAAACAGCGCAATATCACTGCCAAACCTTTTCCTATCGAATGAGGTCCCGTCCTTTAAAATGCTAAAAACATCCATATTATAAGTTCTGATATAAATCCATTAATAATTCTGTAAGATGTCCAGAAAGTATCTTGATCGACTTACAGAAGGCTCCATGGTCAGCTCCGAAAAGGTCAAATCTAAATTTGGCGAGAAAATGCTGAAGAAGATGGGCTGGAAAGAAGGAGAAGGCCTAGGAAAAAACAAAACTGGAGAAGTCGAGCCTATTCAGGTCAGGAAAAGGAAAGAAAACCTTGGAGTCGGTGGCGAGGCTACGACAAAGCCAAAGTGGAACCACAACTGGTGGGAGGAACTCTTCAATGACACAGTTAAGAACATTAAAGTTGACATTCCTAGAAAAAGAATAAAAGTTGAAAGTTAACCATAACTTTAACGATTTTTACTACGTCATTTAGAGGTTTTCGTTGGTTTTCGCTAAAAGTCTGCATAATCCCATTTTACATTTTATATTTAATTCATGTCTATTTATAGTGGATTTGCAACAAGAAACCTTGAAACAGCATATAATAATGGAGTGTGTAACCTTATTCAGCTTATTCAAACGAACCTATTATATCTATTAAAAGGAGGTATCTTCTAATCAGAGCCAATTGATACTGTTCTTTTAGCAGCCTCATTCACAAAAACTTTTAGAGAACTAAAACGTCTGGAAAAAAGAAAACATCTCCAGCCAAATTTCACGTCCTACTGCAACGATATCGCACTTTATTTTGGAACTATGGTAGTTTCTATGCAGGATAAGCCTCTATCGCAAGGAGGGTCTTCTGTAAGCTCAATCACAAGAAAAGAGTTTGATGCACAAGTTTTTAATGATTCCTTTAGCTTTGAAGAAAGGAAGCATAGATTCACGCCTGTTCACATAGCGTCAGAATTAGAACCAGTCACAGAAAAAAGGAGTCTGAAAAGAAGAGTTATGTCAAAAGATACATTAAATAGAAAAGAGTCAGAGCCAAGGCTTTCAGGCTCTCCGCTAGGCAGAGATATTTATCCTTTGTCTCTTAAAACTCCTCAACCTTATAAATCACAGAAATTTAAGTCGTTTAAGCCCGAAAAAGCTTCACAAATATATCAGCAACGAGCTTTTCTCAAGCTAAATAAAGAGCTTGAAAGCTTTACTTAAGGCATAATAAGTGATGATTTATTTGCCAAGAATAATTTAACTAGCTTATTTATTATTGGTCTATGTCTTTCTCGACGTACCTGTAAACATGCCCAGCTGGCGTATAAACGTATTTCTCAACAGGTATGAAGGTTTCACGATTGAATAGCAAGAAAAGATACTTCAGTGTCTTGCTTAATAAGGAGTCTGGCATAACACCTGACAACTCCATATTTGTTTTAAGGTTGCTGTACCCATAAGGAGACCTGCATTTCTCAACTATCTGAGTATAAACAAAGTAGGCAGCTTTTCTATACATTTCATCATTGGTCTTAGCTTAAATTATTATCGACCAGTTTCAAGTCCCTTACTTCTCAACCTTTTTATTGCCAGTCTGATTCCACGGCCTAAAGGCATGTGCTACTTCCTAGGACGAAGGCTTGGGCCCTAATCCTATTGCTACATGTTTTAAGAAAGTAAATTGACTCGCCACGCGATTTTTATGTATTATTTCATCACCAGTCAGCCTAAATAAATGCAAAAGTCCATCAAAAATATCAGGGAGGATAGTGAACCCTTTTTCTTCAAACTCCATCCCCTGTCTGGTAAACTGAACATAGTTAGGAGCTAAATTGTTTGGAGCGTCTAAGTACATATGAATGCAAGTTTCCATAAGCCTTTTAGCTAAAATTACTTCTGAAGCATTGTAGCCTAGAAGCTTGTTTTCAATAGCTAGCTGTCCAGCAAATGCGCAGGTAGCTTGATGCATCCTATAATTGTGCTCAGGTCTGTCCATTCCTCTGGAAGCTATAAAAAGCTCGCCTCTTTCTGTCTGCAGGGTTAGGTTTCGAATGATAAAGTTTTTATTTTTATCGTACATTTCTTTGATATTGAATGCTGTTTTGTTAGATAAAATCCATGCATTAAATAGATTTCGTTGAATATGGACGCTGTCTTGATCCATTGTGAAAGGTCCTGCAAATTTCAAAATATCGAACTTAAAGTCTTGACTTTGTAAATAAACAGGTAAATACTCATGGAGGATCTTTTTCTCGTTAAGCAGTTGGTCAAATTTGCCAGTGATATTCAGGAATCTTTCATCACCAGTGTATTTATAAAGCAGTAAAGCTTCAGCTTGATTGGAAATATCAGAAACCTTCATGCTTCCATGGCTTAAAGTCCCTTCTTTTTTGACACGATCGTAGCTCTCAAAAGGAAGGTATTCTTTATAGCTAAAAATCTCAGGCAATAGCTCTCCAGCTTCTTTTGCTTTCTCTAGCAACCCTTCTTTTTCACTAACATAAAATCCTCCTAGCAATCCACCTATCACATCTTTTACATAGTCTGCAGTCTTAAATTGTCCCTTGGGTAGAACTCCTTCTTTTTCGACAATTTTTAAAGCCTCCTCAAAAAGCTCTTCAGTCCCCATCAAATAAAGAGTATCTAAATTTGCAAAAAACATATGAGAAATCCCTCCTTTAGGGTTTTCTCCTGCCCCAGTAACAGGGTTCATGGTATCATTTCCCAAAGCTAGTGTGATGTATTTTTTCCAAATATAATTAAAATCCCTCACAAATTCAAATGTTCTGCCTTCAAGAAAAGTCACATATGTAGAGTAGGCGAAATCATTTAGATCCCGCTTCATGCATTGAGACTGATACTTATCCCAGGAATTCACATACTCTCTTATCACTGGGCGTTTGCATGAGTGCTCGTGGTATTTATCGTCTTCAAAAGATTTGTAGATTAACTGCTCAAGGTCTCCTTCGAGCTTTCTGACAGCTCCAAAGGCAAAAGGTAGTAGGACAAGCAGAAAAAGCGCCATTTATAACACGTGTTAAATTAAACAATTATTAGTTTATGTGACGTAAATCTATCGTAACAGAGTTGTCTTTGGAGATATCAGATTTTGTGGGATAATCATGGAAAATTCCTGATGGATAAATTACTGTAAATTTGAAGCATATAAAAATGACTGTAAATTTTTTTAAATCGCATGAAAAAAAAAATCCTAACGGAAAGAAAAATCTATATCTACGTAGTTGAGTAGAAAACACATATAATTTCAAAAGCTTTATAATAAAACTCTTTAGCGCAATTTTAATTTTTTTATGATTTAGCAGCATAAATGAATCGTTTTTATTTTTTTTCTCCTTTTGGGTTTTTTTTCACGCGATTTAAAAATAAGTATAGGTTTCAAATTTGCTGTAATTTATCCATCGGCTTTTTTCCATAACTATCCGATTTTGTGGGCTGGTAAACTGTGGAGTCTTGGTCTATGTACTCAAACATTTCAATGGTCTTGGACTTGAATTTTTCTAAAGCGATTGGGAGGTTAGAAGGGATAAAGTCGTGAAGAGTGACATCTCCTTGGACTTGGTATAGAAGTCTGGTCAGAATTCCTGAAAGCTGAGATAATAGGTATTCTTGACGCTTTATACGCTCTATGGTCAGTTCTCGATGCCTTTCTGTGTCTTCAATTTTTTTGAGGATTTGAGATTCATAGTCAATTTTAGGCTCAACCCAGCAATTAAGCTTGGTTATATTGCAGGTACCTTTTAGTTGCTCTAGCTCTTTTCTTTTGTTTTCAATTTTTGATTCTAGATCTGCTTTTGAGCTATTTAAAGCAGCTGCTGTTTCTTTAAGCTGGCTGTAATACTCTGACTCCCCCCCCCTTTAAATTGGAACAAAATATCGGTAAAATTTCCACTTTTTTGGTAAATTAACCCCCCTTTAAATTGGAACAAAATTTAATTTTATAATAAAAAATTATATATAATTTTTATCTAAAAAGTTTTGATATAAGTTAAATGCTTCTTCTTAACTAGAATTAAAAATTTAGTTATATCTTGCTCGTTTTAAAGAAAAAAGTATAAAGAGCATCTTATTTAAATAAATTTATTATCCTTAATTGCTAAAAATTTAAAAAAAAATTAATTTTATTTTTTAAAAATTTTCAAAAAATTTTTTGTTTTTTTGGTAAAAATGATATATTTTTTATTTGGATAGTTTTGATATAAATTCAATAGGAATTCTTTATAAAATTTCAAAATTTACTTATTTCTTGCTTTTATTTTAAAGAATAGAGTATAAATAGCATCTAAATTAGCACTTTGTTCGATAAATTTCTAAAATTTATTTTTTTTTTAATTTTTTTTATCAATAAAAAATAATATTTTTTGTGTAAATAATTTTGATACAGTTAATAGTGGCGTATTAACTAATAATGAAAATTTAGTTATATCTTGCTTTGTTTTAAAGGATAAAGAGTAAATAGCATTTTATTAAACAAATTTATTGATCTAATTCGATAAGCTTTTGAAATTTTTTTTTTTTAAATTTTTTATATATTTTATAAAAAATTTTATATTGATATTTTTTTTTAAAAAAAAAAATTAACCCCCCTTTAAACTGGAACAAAATTTTTAGTTCCAATTTAAAGGGGGGGGAGTGAGATTTCTTCAATAGAATTTACTTTTGCATGCTTTTTTAGCTGACTGAATACAAGATCTTGCCGTTTAATATAATTCAGGCAAGAGTTAAACTCAGCTTCTAGCTGTTCTTGGTCGTTTACTTTTTCCAAATCATTTTCAAGCTCTTGAATTTGCATTTCTTTTTCATTGACTTTATTTTTTATTCCATTTTGAACTTGCTGCTTCTTAAGGAATTCCTCTATAAGCTTTTTTTCTTCATACTCACTAATAAAATTGTCTTTTTTATTTGTTGCAATTTCTTTCTTTTCTTTTGAGTTTTCTACAAATCGTTCTGCTTTTAGTCCGACTTTTCTAGTATAGGCTTCATATCTTCGCCTTTCGGCTGTATATTCTTGGATTTTTATAATGACTTCTTCTTTTTCTTCTTTTAATTTCCTTATAGTTTCTTTGATGTTTTTAATACTATTTTGCCTTTGAGATATCATATATGCCTTTTTTGCAGTTATATAAGCATTCTAGCTGATAGCTTTTATTTATTATATAAATAAAAATAGGATCAGAATTATTATTATGAGCATTTATATTTATAATAGAAATGCATAATTTAGGCTTGCTTTAATCAAAGCTGTTTCATTATAATCTTCTCTTGCAGTTTCGATTTTAGCTTTTAAATCTTCTACTATATTTTCCATCCTTTCCCCTTCTTTCGCCATAGTTAAATTTGTAATGATTTGCAGCTTCAAACTTTTGAGTTCATCTTCTTTTAATTTTTTCAGAAAAAAAAGTTTGTTTAATGCTCTTTTTTTATATTCGACATCATTGCCAAGTGTGCATGTAAAATCTTGAGAGCTTTTGCTTTTTTCTAATTTTTTGATGGTTTCGACTAATTCTTTTGGATTTGAATATAAGTTTCCTAGTCTTTCTGTAACAGATTGATCAATAGTTTGTAAAAGCTGGTTTGTGCTTTGGTTGCCGTAACTCTGTGCTCTCATGTTGGATTTAGAGCGCAGTCTTGTGCTTTTGGAACTGCTTATACGAGAGGATTCTGGACTTGCTGTTTTTTGACGAGCTATTAATGATAACTTGGGAAGCCTAGTAATTGCTCTTCTGATTGTGTGAGCTGAATTAGGTTGCTCTTGATTTATTTGAGTTAATACAAAAGTTTCAGATGGCTCATACATTTATTAATCACTTTATTATTAGCTTCAACATTCAACGTGAATGCATTATCTAAATAGAAAAATAAACTTATATTAAAATAATAAGTTAATTTTTTCTAGAGGCTATGACATAGATTAAGCAACATGAATTTAGTTATACTGTAAACTTAATTTATCTATTTATAAAATTTATAAATTAAATTTTCCAATCAGCAATAATTATTCTAATTTTGCCTTACAAACATATTCAATCTTATTCGCATATATTTCTATATAGCTAAATTGCTCTCCAAGTTAACTTAGTTGAATATTATGGCGAAGCTCAGAGCAAGCAGTCCCGAAAAATCATTCTACGAATTGGTCATAAACATCCACTATATCCACGCTCAGCTTCCAGATCGTGATCTCATCAAAATCCAAGCCAAACGCGGGAACGAAATCCAAGAAACCCAGCCAATGCACTATAATTCCACAAATGGTTCCATCATTTTTGAATACCCCTTAGCATAAATAAAATAGCTTTCGCTTTGAGTGAAATTAGCTCCGCTAATTTTCTCTCCCTCAAGCAATTTTACTTATGGGGGTTGGTTTTACCTCGAGAACTTCTGCACAGCAACAGCGGTTTAGCTTTTGGGGATAACAAGGAACTGCTCCTCAGTGCGATCAAGAGGCTCAGGTCTTTACCCCCTCAGCACACCCGAGGAGGTGGACCCTCAGGCGGAACATGCGCAGGGGCTGAGTCTAATAAAGCCGTGGCGGCAGTGAAACCCGTTGAAGCCGGAACGCTGTATTTTACCCGTGCCCTGGTGATCAAAGTGGATCGGCCCAGAGGTCCATAGGCCCGACACGTGGATAAATATGGTGACAGCTCTGGAGGAGGCTACCCCGTAGTGGACGTAAAACGTTATAGATAATTAAGATTAAGAATACCCCTTAACCTTCGAAATCCCCATATCTAAATACAAGCAACAATTAGAAAACCGAAAAGTCAAGCTCAGCATGATAGAGCTGCGAGGCAAAAAAGAAACTATAAATGGCAAGGCTGAGATAGATGTTTCTCCTTTACTTTCTGGTCTGAAGCTAGATCGTGAAGAAGTTCCTTTGAAGTCTTGTACTGATAAGCTTGCAATTATATGTGTGAGTATTGATTTAATTACAGTAAGAGACAAGCGGTCAAGCACATTAATTCCTGCTTCTGCCCAAGAGACTGAAGAAGAGCTTTCCTTGCAGAAAATTATTGAAACGGAATGGAGGATCAAGAGTGAAGTAGCAAGGCCAACTATAAACACGAAAACACAAGTAGAGGAGGAAGAAAGAGATACTGCAAGAAGCACGATAATTTCAACGAAAGGAGAATTGGCTATGTTTTGGGAAGAGTCACCATCAATTTCGTCAATCGATGAAGAGATGGAAGTGACGAGAAGGAGGGTGGCGAGGAGTGGGACTATGCCTACGTTAACGAGAGAAGAAGTTTTCCATAGGAAGGTAGTAGAACCCAAAAGCGCTATAGAAGTATTCACTAGTGCCGATGAAAATGTTGAGCAAACTAAGACAGAAGAAGACTCTTCAGAAAAAGATAATAATTTCGATCAAAATTTAGAAAAATCTCCTGAAGTAGTTGTAATCCCACCGTCCATTATATCAGCTGACCCAAATTCTCCAAGCAAACTAGATGAAATCCCTACAAGAGTCAAATCCGCAACAATTTCCGCTCCAATTTCTCCAAAACTTAGATCAGAATCCATGTCTCCTAAAGCCAAGCTATTTTTAGACATAGATGCTGCAAAAGAAAAAACAATAAACCCTAGACAGTCAATGGTGGAATCTGAAGACTCCAGCTCTGAAGAAGATTTAGTAGATGTCAGTGCAGAGATTCTTCCAAGCGATGATATAAAACCAATTTCAATCTTGAAAAGTGTTCAGCCCAATTTAAGGAGCCAAGACATGTTTTTAGAAAAAAAAGAATTGAGCTCAGGAATCCATTCAAAAAGAAGTTCTACATGCTCTGGGTGCAGCTTGCAATAATTTTATATTTTTAATATTGAATAATTGAAAGCATTTTTGTCAATCAATTAATTATTTTCTTTAAATTCACTTTTGAATATCATAAGCCAAATTTGCATTAACTGTGATTTGGATTGAAACTTTAATAAATATTTTTCAAAATCGATCTCTTTAATAGACATAAATGCCAATAAAAAATTTAGTATAAGATATCAACAAATCTTGAAGTAAAATTCTCTATACCTGATTAATAATAAAATCCTCCACACACATATTTCCATTATTCAATAAAATAACTCTTAAAGTATTTTTCATCCTATCCTCTATATCCTTTTATATCCATTTTCTTGACTCTTGACTTTTTTTTATCTCTTTTTCTGTTCTGCTCCATCCACAAGATACCTATTCGTTTTAAGTAATTAAGAATCCTCATTATAATTAATTATCTTCTCCCTTTACCTTGAGGGACTGTTTTACGTGAATCAACTGTCTTAATACTTTTTGAGTTTTCTTCATCTGCTGATAGCACTTTATGTCCAGCATTTTTAAGGAAGTTAACTTTTTCATCCATAACTTTTCGGATATCCTCTTTAGGGCCTTCAGGTTTCGCAATTTTTTCCCTCCATTTTTTGCATAAACTGCTTGCCTTTGTCTGAATTTCGCTGTTTCTTGAGTCTTTGCTGAGTTTGTTAATAGTGCTCATAAGTGGTTTCATTTCATCGATTATTTTTTCTGGGAAAGAGTCTCCAACTCTTCGTAGCTGGGCTAAGATTTCTACATCAGATGCCTTTGCGATGGCTTCGTCAAGTCTCTTTTTTAGTCTGCCCCAGTCCTCAGCAGGTTCTTTTTCTATGAATCTTTTATAGGTCTATATAAAAAATACTTCTTTCAGACTTTTTACCAATTTTGTGCCTTTGTCTTTGACAGCTTCGTTTTCTACAGTTTTACAGTAACTCAATAGACTGGTCGGGAGTTTGGTGTCTACAAGGATTTTATATGAATAATCGCTGGGATTTGAAATAAAGAGTCTTTCTAAAGTATCAAGGATTTCAAGAGAAATAGTAGTTTCTACATTCCCGATATCATCAATCATCTTTTTTACATTTTCAAAAGACAGCGTAAGTGTGCTATAAGAGAACTTTTCTTCAATGTCCATTTTAGTGTCCTCCTCTGACTTATTTTCTTTCACATCTTCATCTCCCTCATCTTCAGTGCCAAAAATCGAGTTTTCTGAAGACTCGTCCCCTTCTGAATCAAAAATTTTTTCTTTTTCGTTCTGGATTTCTGACTCTTTTTTTGCCTGTGTTTTTGGTTCTCCGTCGACCTTTATTTTTACCTTTGTGTCTTCGCTGGGCTTTGGTTTTGGCTCATCTTCAGTTTTATTTTTAACTTTTTCTTCTTTGGGTTTCTCTTTTGTTTCTTCTTGCTTGGATTTTTCGCTTTCTTCAGATTCACTTTCTTCCTTTGGCTCAGGGACTTTTTTGTTGCTTGGCTTTATTAAAGAGTCTAGTTTTGAAGAGTCATAACTTTCCTCTTCTGAGTCGTTATCAGCTTTTCTTTTTTTTTGAGGAGCTGGTGGCTTATGAGGTATTGCTTCTGGCTTTTTCTTTGTTGGGGCTGACGTGGCTGGTCTTTTCTTTGGAATTGGACTTTCTGAGTCAGATTCAGACTCTTCGTCAGAAGCTGGTTTGTTTTTTGGCTTCTTAGGGATGGCTTTTGTGCTGAGCTCAAGCTTGGAGTAGAATTCTTTGATTTTCGATAAGAGCTTGCCTGCACTTGAATCTATCCGAGATTTGAACTCTTTTTGATAGGATTCACATTCGTTTTTGAAAGTCTCGAGTAATTCGTCAAGTGGATTGGAAGAGGGGTTCATATTTTTTAATAGTATTATAATAAGCAGGATTGCAAGCGCTTCATGACTGATAGAACAGAAATTTTAAAAGCATTTTAATGGAAAAAATTATGGTAGAGAGAGGCTGATGGAAATTGATTGCTTTGAAAGGGCAACAGATAACATAGGTAATGAATAGAAATGCATATGAAAGGAGGCAGAATATTAGTAATTTTAATAAATTTCTATTAATTTTTGTAGAGTTTTACATTGCTAGAAATTCTTTTGCCATTTTCAAATATTCAGCTATGCAAAAAATCAATTAAAACTTATAAGTTCAACTTTCAGTTTTAAAAATACTTCTAAATTTGCCAGCGGCTTTTTTATTTTATTTTTCAGTTGTTAAATTCGTTTGTCTTATGTCTAATATATATAACTCAAAACAGCAAAAACATTATTAAATTTTAAAATGCACAAATAATATTGATGATTTGCACCTAAACTTTTATTTTTACCATAAAAATAAATTAATAAGCTTTTCCAGAATATTCATCAGGGTTAATTAAATTCTCATACAATCAGCCATTGTTTATAATTATGATAAAAAACTTGAGAGGAAAACAACAAAGTTGCACTCCCACTGAATCCTCAATTTTCTTAAACTTGCCTTGAGAGCCAAGTGCTGAATTTCTAAGTAAACCAAACATACAAAAAGTTGTATATTCTGAAAGAAATTTAAAGAAACCAAAAAAACTCTTTGTCAAGCGCTTTGCAAATAAAAGGACTTCTCTTATTGTATCTCCTCAAAGAGAAAACCAAGACAAATTTCTAAAGCCTGAAGCTAAAAATACATTAAGGCTATACCCAAACTCTTACCACAATCATTCAAAATCTCAAGTCGCATTTCAGTCGATTTCACCCAGGATTTCTTCCCCTAAACCTGAAGAAATTTATACAGATAATAACGTAATGAAACTAAGTGTATTCTCAAGCGAAAAAAAGAGAAAAAATTGAGACACCAAGCAAGCGCTTCCTTTATCAAGAGTTTCTCCTGATTTGACTAATGAAAAAGTAGGATATTCGATCACTAAATATTCAAGGCCATTTTATATAACAAAAATCAAAGACGAAGACAAAGAAGAATTTTTACCGAACGTGAAAAATGAAAATCTTGAAAAATTTTTAAATAGATTTGATAGTGATTTCTCATCATATGGTCCGCCAAAAGGCCGAAAAGGGCTGAACGGATGGAAATTGACGAATAGGCTTACAGATAATCTAAGCCCAAAGATTTCAAAGGGAGTCTACCTATCGCGGCCTTCAAGCAAGATGAGCTCATTTTTGAACAACCGAAACACACCTGTCGGTTTTGCCAAGTATGTTTAAATAATTAAAGAGATTTTGAATATAATAATTCTGTATCATTTTTATTTAACGCAACCTAAAATAAGCTTATGAAACTCCTCAAATTTATCTATTAAAAGATATTTACTTCTTATTTAATATTATAAGAATTCTTCTTTAAATTAATAACACTACGCACCTATAGCACATAAAGAAAAAATCATCGCTTTATTCAAATCTTTCACAAATAATGAATTCAACTCAATTATTAACCATTTATGTTCAGCAGAGCCTTAGGAAAGACAAGCCTCTACGTCCCACTTCGTAGCTTCTCCGGCGCTGGCGCACATCCTCAAAAACTAGGTGACAAAACTCACCTTGAGACAGCAATTGTTGGCCAAGGCCAATACTTGAACGCCGGAAATCTGATGCTTGGCACATTTTGTAAAAAACACCCAAAGCTGCCAGTCGCATTAATCAGCGATAAAACTCGTCTCGTGGTACACGAGTTCTCAAAAGACCTCTACGTCCATGATTCTTAACTTAACTTATTAACCATCACGTTTAACGTCTCCTATGGGGTTGCTCTTCCAGGACTACCACCACGCTCTCGTCGCTCGGGGCCCACTAGTTGCTGGGACAGCTAGCTTTGATCTCCAACGCGCGCCTCCTGCGCGATGTTCCGGCTTCGACGGCTCATGATTGAGCTGATTTCTCTGTAACGAGGGTTGTCTGCTGGGAAATTCCAAAAAATGGAATTTCTGGCCGACTCTCGGCAAAAGAGGAAAACTTGTAGCCCGGGGCGAAACTCCCGGTTTCTCGCTAGAGATTTGCCCGAATGGCCTAGGGATTACCTGTAGGCACTGCTGGGCTTCTCCTTTCCAACTCCAAGCCTCCTCTTCCCTCGAGGTAAAATCCTAACCCGAGAACGGACTGGGATCAGGCTCTTTACACTGCCAGAATTGCTTACCTGATATTGCTGTCCATCTCTAGCTAGGCAAAACCTTGCCGGATATAATTAAATAGGGCTCGAAACTGTCTGGCCGAGAGGCCAGACCCAAGTTGAGACGCCATATTTAATTATATCCACGTCCATGATTCATATAAAAATGAGTCTTCAACAGGGAAAGCTATTTTTGCAGCTCCAAAGAAAGGCTTTTTCTACAGGATTGACAGCGACGTCCTCAAATTTGACCCTAAAAACAACAAGCTTGTGATGGCAGAAAAAACATTCACCTATGACCATCTTATTTTGGCTGTTGAACAGCTCTATGATTGGGGAAAGGTTAAAAATCTGGAAGAGGCTGTAAAGGATTATTTCAATTCTCATGTGATGACCACAGCACAGTGCAACTTTTCGTCTAATGTGGTAAGAGCTTCAAGAGAGTTCAGGTATGGCAATTTTATCTACGCAATTCCAAAAATTCCTCATAAAAATGAAGGTACTTCACATATTTTTGCATGGTTCAACGCCCTGGCTAATGATAAGTATACAGCTTCCCAATGGTGCAACTCCAAGTTTATAATCACCACTCCTGATACCTGCATCCACAGAAACCCAACTGTGAATGCTCAGCTGCTAGATTTGGCTCAGAAGAAAGGAATTGAGGTCAAATTCGGCCTCCAATTAACAGAAATTAGGTATAACAATATAAAAGAGTATCACTTACTTACTTAGTTACTTAGGTGTTTAAAGTGTCTTCCTTCTTCCGCAGGGTGATTTAGGCATGCATAGCCCCCACCCTTTTAAATCCCAACTAGTGACGTCAGCAGCAATCCTCCCTATATGTAGGCATTCCAGAAGACTTCCCTCGTCAGGCCAGAAGGTCCGCACTGGCCGCGTTTGGCCTCGCCCGAACTTGACTCCTGCGCGTGTTCCGCCTAAGGGGTCACCCTCCTCAGGTGTGTCAAGCAGCAAAACCAGGTGCTCGTAGTATCCTGGACCAAAGAAATACCCTATGTGGTATTCCATATTGGTGTTGCGGATAAACGCCCACGTGGAAAACTGAACCCAATAATAATAAAAACGAAGGAATGAATAGTTCTAGGAGAGAACTAATTCCGCACTGAGCCATTTTATTATTATATAAAAGAGTATCACAGGATTAGTGATGCAGTCTTCAAAGACGTCAAAACAGGCCAAGAAGTAGTTATGGATTATGGTTGGCTTGCTACATACCCAGAATGCAAGGCTCCTGAAGTTATTTCTCCATTCCTTGAGAACGAGGCTATTCCTCTTAACCCTGAAACTCTTCAGCATACTAACTCCCCCTATAGCCTTGATAGCAAATTAAATGTTGCAAAAATCAAAAATTTATGCTATAATAAGTCTATTTTAATGGGAGTACAATCAGAATATCATTTAAACAAAATTAGCAGCATGAACAGTAACTTTTTATAAAAATATTTTTATGCAAAAAATTTTCTATAAAATATTTTATGAGAAGAGAATAATTTTTTCTCCAAAAAAATTTAAATTGGCATAGAATGATTCAATTTAAAGGGAGGGAGTAAGTTCGAAAATGTCTTTTCCTTTGGAGAGTGCACAAACCTACCAACAATAAACAACGCAATCGCCCAAATAGCCCAAGCACAAGTGGTGGCTGGAAACGTTGGGTACATGAAGACAAATATGCCATTAAAGTACCATTATGATGGCACTTCAGCAACCCCAATATTTATTGACATGCATAAGCTCATTATGCCAGGCTTCAAATATGGATGGGAGCCTGTCTCCACCAGAATGGCACAAAACGTAGATGGCTTCTTACAAGGCCTTAAACAGTCACTAAGCTTCAAGCTCTTCGCCAAGAGAGAAAAGAAGATCTATGAAAAGAAAATGCAAGGCAAAGTATACGGGCCACCAAACTGGACCAGGCCAAACAAGCACTCCTCTTCCACAAAGACAAGTGTGGAGCCTGCCAAAGCTCATTAAGTTAAGCTTCATTTATAAACTAGCTTTTCTTTATGCATTAATCATAAGAATTTATTAAATGGATACAGAATCTCGTCCTGTCCAAATTACTTTGTTCTTGAACTCAGACCTGACACAGCAGAGAGATATCCTTGTATCCCAGCAAATGACTGTGCAAGATATAATTCGTGATGGGAAGGAAGCTTTTAATATCGATTCTTCAATCAAATGCAAACTTTATGACACTGGTGGAGGCGAGCTCTCTGACGAAGACGTCGAATATATAAACAAAGAAGAGCCCTTTTTTCTTTCACAGGGGGAAAAATTCTCATCTGAAACCCTTTTTGCAATTTATAAAGAGATCAGGACTTTAGGAAGAGGCGGATTTGGAACTGTGAAACTTTATAAGCACAAGCTCAGAGATCAGGAAGTAGCCATAAAGTTTATTGATATGAAAAGAGTGGCTTCTCCTGAAGACGTGATTCGTGTATTCAAAGAAATACAGCTCTTACGAGACTTGAGGCATCCAGGGATCGTCCAATTAGTTGATGCTTTCCCCAACAACAAACATTTTTGCTTTGTGATGGAATATTGCAAAGGAGGAGAACTAAAAAGACTAGTCAAGGAAAACGGAAGGCTCCCAGAAAATGAAATAATGTCCATTGGGCTACAAATGTGTGACGCAATGAGATATTGCCATACAAATAAAGTTATCCATAGAGACTTGAAGCCGGAAAATATTTTATTCAGTGACGTTTCCCATGAGTATATCAAAATTGTGGATTTCGGGATTGCAGGGATTTTTACAGGGCAAAACGGGGATCGCTCACAATGCGGGACCTTGCTTTATTTGGCACCAGAAGTTATTTCTGGGCTTGACAATACTTCGAAGCCAAGTTTAGACATATGGAGTATGGGCTGCATTTTTTACTATCTGCTTACCGCACAAAAGCCATTTACTGGGAACAGTAAAAAGGACATCATTCAAAATATTTTGCAAGGAAAATATACTCCTATGTCTGAACATGCTGATGTTTCTCCTCACTGACACAAATTAATAAGAGCTATGCTGAGAGTGGACCCGAAAAAACGCTGAACATTATTAAAGGTTAGTGATCATTTGTTTAAGTATAAGTATTCGCCAGATGCACCAATTGAGCCTGATACGGAAGATGAAGAGGAAGAAAAAGTCAAGTGCAGCCTTCTAATTACGCCAAATGCCCAAGGTGAAGGGAGAACTTCGAGAAAGGAAAATGGAAGAAGATCGAGGGCAGGCAGCCAATTGGAATCAAATCGCTCTCCGATGGGGAGATCTCCAGGAAGGATATCAAGAAGCCCAACATCCTCAGCGAGGAAGAGTGGTCGACCTGCAGCATCACCTAATACTTCACCTAAAAAGGGAATAGCTGAATAATTATTATAGTAAATTTTATGTAGAATAAGGAAATGTTTATTTTAAAATAAATAATTATTTGGAAAATTATGATTTGGCCAATTGAAGAATTTTGCTATTTTTAAGGATTTTATTAGGTAATAATATTTAGCGGTATATATATAAAAGATATATATATTACTGTATTTATATGAATTATCCTCAATTGAGTTAAATAAATTCTAATAATTCACTTGGCAGTTGAAAGCTATATTTGTCAAATTCCCATTTGCAGCAAATCTTGACGACTTTAAAGGAGTTTTATTTCTTGCTTTTATTACATTCGTATTATCATATGCTAAAAAACCTTTAGGTCCTGGTGCCACATTTACATATGTAGAGTCACTAACAGTAGTTAGCTCTCTAACGAAATCGAAGTTAGTCGGTCCTCTGGTAGAATTAAACATTGACTGTCGAAGATCGCTTCAAGCAGGGTAACTTTTGCTGGTAGTTACACTTTCCTTTAAATTCAAGCAGTTAATCAGCTTATTTTCAGAATACTGGCATTTTCGCGATTTATTCGAATGATCAGATGACCTTGTTCTCGGTTTTGATATCGGCGAATCATCATAATGTAGCTTAGAAGTTTCAGTCCTTTTATAGCCAGGTGAGCCTGCGTGCACTTGGTTTGATTTAATTCTTTTATCAATTGGAATGCTTGATTCCAAAATGCTATTAGCATTAACTGTGTTGTATCTCCCTCTGAATCTGCGCAAAAAGTTTGAGTCCATTTTATTACGTTTTTGTTGGTTTTATTTAAAATAAAAATTTTCAATGCTTCATATCTGTTTTTTGGCTTCTTTAATATTAAGAAATGGAATAAAATGGTTGTTAAGAGGATAAATAGGTATTTTAGTTTTTGAACAAATGTGCCCAAGGGTCTTTCGGATCCAATTCTTGGTATTTCTGAAGCGTTTAGGAAAGATCATTATCAGAGGAAGGTTAATCTAGGAATTGGGGCTTATAGAGATGATGATGGAAATCCATGGACACTTCCATCTGTGGCCAAAGCAAAAGAAATTATTTTGAATTCAAATTTAGATCATGAATATTTATGCTATATATATATTTCAATAAAATTGAAAATTGCTTTAATTTATTGGTTTTAATATAGAATATAAGTATTATCTTTTCAAAATATTATAAATATAAAAGCAGAGCTTAATTAGAACAATATACCTACAGAAGGCTTAAACACATTTCGAAAAACTGCAGCTCTACTTGCTTACGGCCAATGCCCTGAAATTTCAGAAAACAGAATAGCTAGCGTCCAATCTTTATCTGGAACTGGAGCTCTAAGACTTGGAATGGCCTTTATAAATCGATTTTATCCTCATCATAAAGTCATTTACGTCCCCAAACCTACATGGACTAACCACAAGAACATTGCCAGAGACTCTGGCTTAGAAGTCCGAGAGTATTCTTATTATGATCCTGACACAAAAGGCTTAGATTTTTACAATTTATTGCGCGATATAAACGAAGCTCCAAGAAATTCTATTATCCTTCTCCATGCATGCGCTCACAACCCAACAGGCCAAGATCCAACTCAAGAGCAATGGGCAGAAATTCATGATGTCATCACAAGGAGGCAACATCTTGCATTCTTTGATATGGCTTATCAAGGTTTTGCGTCTGGAAATCCTGATGACGATGCATATGGACTAAGATATTTTGTTAAAGAGCAAAATTCAGTACTGCTGGCACAGAGTTTTGCAAAGAATTTTGGCTTGTATGCAGAAAGGATTGGGTTGTTCTCAGTTATCACTGATTCGAGTGCAGAAACTGATAGAGCTGTTTCACAGTTAAAAATTTTAGGGAGGGCTATGTATTCTAATCCTCCTCTTTATGGGGCTAGAATTGTAAGTACTGTACTTAATACTCCTGAACTATATAAGCAATGGCATAAAGATTTATTGACGATGTCTGGAAGAATTAAAGATATGAGGGTAGCATTGGTTGAAAAATTAAAGGAAAAAGGATCTCGACACAACTGGAATCATATAGCTAACCAAATTGGAATGTTTGCATATACTGGGCTAAACCCTGACCAGTCACACAATTTAATGACTAAAAATCATGTGTATTTAACCTTAGACGGAAGAATTTCAATCGCAGGGCTAAACACCAAAAACGTTGAATATGTAGCTGAAGCAATAGATTCAGTAACAAGAAACTCTTCTAATATCTAAAAACATTAAGATTTATCTTTATCTTTGCCAGAAAATATGTTACTAATTCTCCATTTTTTCTTCTTTTTGAGAATTTCTTCCAGCTGTGATTTATATATATCTCTTGAATCTGCCAAGGTGACCATCTCCAGCTTGGCATCAATAGCAACTTTTTCTGCTTCCATAAGATCGTTCATAAGGTTATTGTTATGTTCTGCCCATTTTTCTTTAGAAAGCATAAGCTCAGTTTCTAGCCTTTGGATTTCTGCTTTAAGCATGTCCCTTTCAGCCTCAACGACTAAAAGTTTGGATTTTTCACTATTTGTGGCTACATTATTAGCTTGGCTTTTAAGCTTTCTTTTTAATTCCTCACATTCAGTGATAAGTTTATCCTGTGCTCTTTTCAAATCACTGAAGTCTTTTTTTAGCTGTCTATTAGAGGTGAATAATTCTTTGACTTGGTTTTCGAGTCCTTGCTTTTCGATGTCCATATTTTTGATTAAAAATTCTTTTTCAGCCTAAATAAAGGTTACAATCTCGACTTTGAGTTGGTTGGTTTCTTCAGTTTTTACTGGAGGAAGCTCGATTTTGGGCTCTTCTTTTGGAGGAAGCTTAGGTGGCTCTTCTTTTTGAGGAGGCTGAGGTGGCTCTTCTTTGGGTTCCTCTTCAATTGAGGACTCAAAAACTGGCTTTGGCTCTTCAGGCTTGGGAGGGTTAAAGAAAGGACTGATGCTTGATCTGACTTCATATTTTGTTTGTGGGACTATAAATACATTTTCTTTGGGTTTGCCGAATTCTAAAACTGCTTTGCTAAATTCAACAGTTTTTGGGCGTGAAAATGTACTGGGGCGTGGCCTAGGAAATATACTGCCTCTAGGTGTGGTATCAGCTGAAGGCGGAGGTCTTACGCTTTGCCGGATTGGAGCAGGTTTAGTGTCTGCTGAAACCTCAGACAGTTCATCAAATAAAGAATCTTCGCCTAAAAATGAAGTCTTATTGATATCTAATTGATCTTGCATTTCTTGGATTTTTTCTTTTAATTCTTGATTTTCTCTTGTGAGAACTAATAGTCTTTGAGTAAAATCATACTGCGCCTTTTTAACAGCGTTATTTTCGCTCTCTTCTAAAGCTCTTATACCTTTTATAGTGAGTTATATTTGGAGTATAAAATTTGTTTTAAATTACTAATAAAATAAGTGAATTTCTTGTCATTAAAATGTATGAATCACCTATTTTTTCATAATTTATTTTTTAAGTCTTCATTTTTCTCTGCTGCCAATTTGATTTTTTCAGTAAGCCTGTTTATTTCCTTATCTTTTCCATTAATTGCTCTTAAAAGTTCATTATATTTGTATTTTTCTGTTGTTAATTGACCATTGAATTCCTCAATTTTTTCTTCTCTATCTTTTTCCATTTCTCTTATATTGCGTTCCAATTGAGAGCACTTCTTTTGAAGATCCTGAATTGCTTGTGTTTTCTGTTCTTCATAGCCTACAGCTGCAGTTGAAATTTCTTCTTCCAAAGCATCAATAGCTTCTTGTTTATTTTCAAGTCCTTTTAGATAGCTTTCTCTTTCTCTTTCTAATTCCATAACCTTATCTTCTAAAACCTGGAATTCTTCAGCTAATTTTTCTCTTGATTTTTTCATCTGTTGCAATTTTCCTGCTTGGTCTTTTATCTCTTCTTGCTTTTCCCTAAGTTCCTCTTCTAAGCTCTCTATTTTTATTTTAAGCTTGCTATTTTCATCACTGCTTTTTTCTTTTTCTTTTTCTGCATTGTCCTCGTCTTCCAATTTCTGTTTCCTTTCTAGCGACTCTTTTAAAGATTCCGAATCCCTCAGTTTTTTCATCAAATCCTCAATATAAGACTGCATTTCTTCTCCATCAGTTTTTGCTTGTTCTCTTTCCTCTTCTAATTGGTTTTGCAGCTTATCATATTCTTTTACATATTCGTTATAAGCATCCTGCAGATCTTCTTGTATCTCATTTAAGCTTAAAATTTTTTTCTCTTTTTCTCTGATTTCTCCTAGAGCATATTCTTTGAACTGTTTTAGTTCTTCTTTAAGCTTATTATTTTGTTCTTGCAATTCTCTAATTAACTCTTGATCACCTCCACCAATGAAAGATCCTCCGCTGATGAAGGACCCTGACGATGATTTAGCATCTAAGGCATCTTTTAATTGTTTTTCTCGTTCTAAAGCTTCTTCTAACTGTTGCTGAAGCTCAGAGATCTGGGTGAGATTTGCACGCAAATGTTGCAAAGAAGATTCAAGAGATTGACTTTTTTGTTGCTCAGCTTGCAACTGTGCTGAAAGTTCGAAGATTTGGCGCTGGAAATTTCTTTCTTGGTTTTTTTGTTGTGAAGCTACGTCTTGGTATTTTTGACGCTCTTTGGCAAGCTCTTCTTGGAGATTGTGCAACGCAGATGTCCCAGATTCATCTATTCGCTTTGAAAAGACTGAAATCACTTGCTTTTATAAGCATCGAGACAGTTTTTTTATTTAAGAATGGTAAAAGTATTTTATAGTCAAGGACAGCTAAATCTATATTTTATAATAATTGGACATAAAATTAAAGTAAATATTTTTTTACTACAAAATATAAGAAATATTTATTGAAAATATTTTATCATAAAGATAGATTTTTCAATGTCTAATCAAAGAGAAGATTTTATTCTTTTCAAAAGTTATACCATATTAACAAAATAAATATATTTATTTAGATGCCATTTGAGTTTGATAGTTTTAAAGCTGAGAATGATAAAATAAGTAATATTTCTTCAATAATTAGTATTTACCTATTTTAAGATTGCTTTCAATTCTTTATTCATAATAATTTCAATATTATTTATTTATTCTCAACCAAATCATATAAAAGAAATGCTGCTATAAAACTTCAGGCTATTTAATTATCTGAAATTAATTTAAATTTATCTACTGTTAAATAAGCAGCAATAATTGCGTATAAAACGCTATTTTGTAGAGTCTGCGATTTCTAAAGTTTATTTATATATTTATAGCGAGCTTCCTAAATTAGAAGAACCAATTACAACAAACTATTAGCTAGACTAAATTTTTATTTGGAGCTTAGTTCCGACTTCAAACGACTTATTTCTCCACCAGCCTTTTCTAAGCACTCTTGAAGTTGAGTTATTTTGGTTTGAGAATGAGTCATATAATTTTGAAGTAATTGCTTTTCCATGCTTAACTCTTCTATCTTCGCTTTTAAATGTGCTGTTTGCTGTTCAGAATCTTCAATCTTTGCAAGCAGTTCGACATTTTTTTGGCGTTCAATTTTAAGCTGCTCTTGAAGAGAATTTACAAGAGAATTTTCAGAGCTGTCTTCCATATTATTCCATAATTTGTTATATTTGCTTTAGATAATTATATAATATTAACAATATCGGCTATTATAAGTGTGGATTTAACTGATCAAAATACCGAAAAAGCATATTCAACAAATGTCAAATGGCAAGTAAATATAGTAAATTATGAAATTTGAAACTGTATAAAAAAATTAAAATTATTTGCTGAGCTTATTTAATATAATAATTATTTCAAATTAAGAAATTTAAAACTTATAGCAATCTAAATATCTGAAAAATGCAAATTCAAACTCGCAAATAATTTCCTGTCCATTTTTATGATATAACTTATGAGGATTTATTGATTACAGAGGTGATAAAATTTCGTCAACCTCACAAATTTAGTTTTGACTAATTAAGCTGGTTTGAGACTGCTACTTAGCAGATGCTGAATATAAACAGAATTTATCAGCTTATTAGTTGGTAATCTAAAAAAAAATTGGCTTAGCTAATTTCATTCATTTAGACGAAATCGATGATTTTAGCAATCAATAAGTCAGCACAGGCCATATGCAAATTTACTATTTTTAACTCCAATAAAGATAATGGTAGTGGAATCTCTGATAGGCAGTGTCTGCTGCAGTTTCACCGTGCTTATAGCCACTACCCAAATTCTCATGCATCTTTGAAACTATAACGAGCCACGGCTCCAGCTTTATATCTCGAGAATAGTTTTAATGGTTCCTGTAGGAGTTATTTAGGCATACTCAATCCAAAGCTTCCTCTCCATCATATATCCTGACCGTTCTTTATTTTTTAACACTATTAGAGACTGTTACGAAGCTTATGTTCTCTATTTATTTACCAAACTTATCATCGAGTATATTGGCGGAGAAGAGCGAGTGGTCACTCATTTCTTACACAAAAAGCAAATCCCTCACTTATGGCCTTTCCAAAACAAGATCCTTATATTGAATGAAAAAAGCTATCACAGGATTAAACAAGGCGTTTTCCAATTCATCGTGATCAAGCCTCTTACATCTTGTCTTGCTTTACTATTAGCTGGCTGGAATGTATATAAAGAAGCTGATTTTTCGTTTGATAATGGGTATCTTTATTGCTCAATTGTCAACAATATTTCAGTGACAGTATCGCTATACAGCTTAATGCTGCTTTATTTGGCTTGTTTTGAACAATTGGAGCCTTTTGGGTGTGTAGGGAAATTTTTGTGCATTAAAGCTGTCATCTTTTTCTCATTCTGGCAATCTTGTGCGTTTGCAATTATTGTTAGACTGGGATGGTTCGGGGAATTTGAAGAGGCCACTCTATTTGTGTCTTCGCTGCAGGATTTAATTTTGTGCATTGAAATGGCGCTTGCGTCTGTAGCTTATTGGAAATGCTTCAGCTGAAGAGATTTTGTTATGAAAAACAAGAGAGAGTATAGCTTTTTGAAAAGCGTCCGAGATGTACTGAATGTAAAAGACGTCATTTATGATGCTAAAAAGACTTTTACACATACTGGTGTGCAGTTGGGTTATAAAGAAAATTCTTGGGAAAACATCTAATTATATTAGGGAGAATTATGAACAGAAATTTAACTTAAATAATAATATCATGCTAAGGGAGGTAAGGGTCTTGTGTGTCCCAAGTTTCAGTTTCAAGGTTGTAGATTAATAAATTCATTTCGTCATTGAATGCAAAAACTTTATTATTGTATAATAGAGGAGGATCTATAATTCCCATAGAAATACGTAAAGGCATTTCTTTTCTTTTGTCACTGCCTAGCCAGTAGCTGAATCGATTACTGTTTTGATCTCTTAGACCTCCAAAAATTAAAACTCTTCTGTCTGGAAATAATAAGCAGTAGTGAAGATAAGAAGGCCGAAGCAAAGGGAATTCGTTGATACGCCATGTGTTGGTTAATATATCATAAATTCTAATACAATCAAGCACTCTTGTGGACTCACTGTCTTTGCTTAGCCCTCCGGTAGCTCATATAAAATTGTCAATTCTGAAGCATCCAGGGAAAACACAAGGGTAAGGCATACTTGCTACATCAATTCAGGTGCGGAAATTTAATGAAAATTTATAGCAGTTGCCTAGTAATTTTAATTCCCCTTCTTTAGTCTCCACACATCCTCCAATAGTATATGCCTCGTCATTGTATTCAATTACCCTTAATCCTTTCATCTTACAGGGTAAAGGAGGAAGCTCAGTCACATCTAAAGTCTGAGAATCAATCAAAATTACTTGGTCAATCAAATGGCCAGTTGGTTGATAAATTCCTCCCACTATTAAAATATACCGCCTACTTAAGATGCCGATTCCATAGTCATCAGGAAAAGAAGTAGACATTATCAGAGAATTCTCTGTCACCTGCTTGGAGGATAGTGAATAAGTGCAAAAATCATGACTTCCGCCAATTGGTTTAATCAAAGAAAGTTCATTTTGAATTTCCATTGGGTTTATGTTGATTATTAAGATATAAGAAAATATGTAATTATAAAGACTAGATAATTAATAAGCTAATTTTATACTTATTTCCCTTTTAAAGCAAGATTTTTAGGGTTATCATTTAAATAAAATTTTATTTACTTTAAATAGCTCTGAAACTGTAGCTTTTAGTCGAATCTGCACTTTTTCCACACTTTAAGCTTCAATTTAATATGATGCATAGATCTGCAATCCTTAAATTGATTTGTGGGTCTTAAGCCTCGAATGTTGTGTAGAAGCCTTGCCTATGTGTCGCATAATGCAAATGCGCGCTGAATAAACTTGATAGGTATGCTTTGTATAAAATTGGAATCATAGCTGTTTCAGCATGTTTGTAGCGAGGCTTTTTATGGCATATATAACTCTTATATAACGGCTGCATGCGCCCTGCAGGCATATTGACGATCATACATAAATCATCAGCATCATTACTTTCATCATTATCTTCACTTTAAGTCTATTTTAATTTGCTAACGAGCTTTATGTGAGTTATTAAAAATATGGACTATAGGCTGGAATAGGTGGGGATAAGTAGCTGAGTTATGTTTTATCATTGATCAACAAGCTTTTCCACTATTAGTGTTACTGCAAATGATAAAGATATTAATGCCCAGACTACATATTCAATAAGTGTGCAATTAGCAGCATTAATGAAGATGTATCTTCTGATTTTACACTTGCAATGGTTTTACCAAATAAATTAACTGTAATTGATTCAGTTGGCAATAATCCAAGTACATGCATTCTGCAAGATCCTGTATACTTAATAGCCGATTATCCCCTAACAACTGCATATGATTCAGCAAATCCTCAGCCAGACCAATGTGGAGTTTCAGACACTAATACTTATACCCCAATTATGCCTAATGTAAGATTCAAAGACCTTAATTTTCAAATTGGAAAAAATCAAAATCCTAATGCTTCTTATAGCTCTGCTAATGTGGGTTCCATTTAATTTTATGGATACAAATTAGGAAGTACAAGCCCAGATTATCAAGGCAGTCAACCATTGGGTGATGATTATTTTACTGTAGGCACTTTGACTAGCATATCATTAACTCAAGGAAGCGTGGCTATTGGGGATTGAAATACTTACACTTTTTCATTTTACTTAGAAAATAACATTCCTTCAGGTGCAATTGTGGATTTTACTTTTAATAGTATTTTTTCTTTGAGCACTGCTTCAAATGCAGCCATTACAGGTCAGATAAATGGTGGATCGAGCATAGACATAACTGGACAAGCTTTAACAGTTTATAATCTTTTTAGCTCAAATCTTGCAGTCACATCTGGATCAACATATCTTACTATCAGCATTAAACAAGTAAGAAATATTCACCAGATATTAGTGTTGCCTCAGCTGTATCAAGCACAGAATATATCGATAAAATGGCAATTAATGCATCAGCAAGTACTTCATGCGATATAGGAGTTAGCTCATTCACTTCATCAGCTAAATATGTCCTTACATCAACAACTCTTACAATTGCATTTACGCATGGAAATTATGCAGCCAGCTCTTCAAGTTCTGCAAATGCATATTCAATAAGATTAGTAATTCCTACTACCTTTACTCTTTCATCAACATTCAGTTGCACAAAATACATAAGCATAAATCCTAGCTATAGCACTATAAGTTGCACAAATACCGTTCGAGGTATTGTTACAATAAATTTAATAAGTCAAAACTCGAACATTGTTGCGAAAAATCTGCTCGATGTCATACTTCCTCCTAATTCTAAAACAGCAGACTATATACAGAGCTCTACTTACACGCGCAAATGCAGGTGGATCAAAAATGTGCGAAAATACTCAATTCGCTACATACAGTGCAACTCCTAATGCAATTACTGAAGCTCAAAAACTAGAAGCAGCTCCTATGTTGGTGATCTTGGCTTTCATGCACTTACATTTAAAACTACAACTCTTTATGCGGAGACGATGCAGCCTTTGGTCTGATAGAGACTTCTCGATAAGTGATTAAGTTTAAGTTTAAGGAAGTGCAAGTCCATATATGAGGAACCATCTTTACCTGATTATTATTTTTAATATAGCCAGCTTGGTTAGCATATCATTGGTGGTTGCAGCCTGCTACATTTTTTCTTATTATTTAGATGCACACTGGATCGAGCATAAATTAATACTAGGCATAACTGAAGATTAAAGCAACTACTCTTACAATAGATTCACACAAGGAAATTATTCAACCGCCTTTAATCTTTTACATCCTTTAGTTGCACAAGAATCTGGGCTATATACAAGCCACAGCACACTTAGCTGAATCATCAAGGTGCTGGAATAGTGACAACAAATTTAATTAGTCAATACTCTAGCATTGCTACGATAAATATATTTATGTCATACTTACTCCCAATTTTAAAACAACAGATTATATACAGATCTCAACTTACATAGACTCAGGCGCTACTGAACCAAAAATATGTGAAAATACTTAATTTGCAACATCAGTACAACTCCAAATACAATATTGCAAGCTTAAAACTAGAAGAGCTCTATGTTGACGATTTTGGTCCATATGCGCATGCATTTAAATCTGCAGCTCTACTTAGCAAATTATAGCATCGCTAGGGCTACTCCTGCCAGGCGAGGGCCTAACTCACTACTTAGTATTTGGAAGAGTTGTGCCACCATGCCGCGCTTCATCAAAGGTGGATCATCATAGAAAATTCAAAATGGTTGTTCAGAGAATTGTGCAAACTGCGGCATCTATAATATTTATTAAAAATGTAGTTGTGGTGTATGGGCATTATGCAATAATCTATGTTCTCTAGATATAGACCTCATACCTATAACGCTTTAAAAATACTGGAATAGCATGCAATTTTCTTAGCACTCCTTCTTGTAGTAAATAAAATTCGTTTTTACGTTATAAATTTAGCTCCTCAATACCATTTTTGTTTTAACTTCAAGATAAAAATCATCAAGTGAGATAATCCTGTACATTGGGACAATATAAAATTACTAAAAGTTTATTAAAATATAATAATATAAATATGCGTCCATGCATCATGCTAGACATCCCACAATATGATGCAGGTCGAGTGTGCAGGTGTTATGTAGATTCGTGAAAGCAAGCTGAGGAGATATTTTTTGTATATTAATTAAATCTGGTTAATTCTATCTTAAAAAGCTCGAAAGTAAATGAGATAGCATGAAATCAACATTCTAAGGAACAGCATTGACTGCACTTGGCACCTCATGCTGAAGCAGCACATGAAAACCATTTAATGTAGGTCAATTTTTACCAAAATCAAAGATTAATTTTATCCGATTTTACTTCAAAAGATGCGGTGTAATCAGAATACTTTTAATAATTTGTGATTAGTTCCAATTAAAAGGGGCAGTTAAGAAAATTTTAAATACAATGGCTTCTAGCCGATATATGCTGGTTTAAGCACTATTTCAGGAATAAACATATATTGAAACAATTTTATCAACATACAATCTCTTTCCTTCTAGCTAAAGTGATACCTGGACCAGCTTTATTCACAATTTGTATTTATCAAGCAAGAAAGAAATATTAGTCACACAATTATAAATGCTGCAGCTGCATCAAGCACTGAACTTATTGATTTAATAAAATTTTCTGACCCTGAAACATTTCATGCAACATAGAAAATAGCCTATTTTAGTTAATCAGTTAAATATTTCTTACATCAACTGCAACCACAACTGTGCATATACAATGAATTTGCAAATCTTTTCAGGCTCTGCAAATCCATATTCAATAAGTTCAAGATGAAAGCTGTTTTATGAAAATTAATATTGATTTTTTAATAAAAATTTAAGAGTTTCAAAATTAATTTCTTATTAAATTTTTCCAATATATAAGAAGCTCTTTCAGCTAAACTTGCAATCGTTCTGATGCATGATGAATTAAGCTCTGTAGCCCTTTATTCATAACCTATTAATAACATAAAATTCAAATGATAATAAGCAGCATAAACCTCAGGCATAATCTGTTTTATCATTTTCAATTCCAAAATTCTAATGAAAGTGGAGAAATTGCTAAATGTTAAGATTATTAAAAGCTTTTATTTTACCTAAAAAGTCCTTACAAACATAAAACATTTTGGTCATAATTATTTATGCCATTATTTTTCGATTCTAAATAAATTCTGAGTCAAGTTAAAGGCATAGCAAAATCAACACTTGGTCTAGTATAGCAAAAGATGTTATAAACTTATAAATAGATTGATTTAAATTATTTAGGCTAAAATGTACGTAAAATGGAATGTGACTTTCAACACATCTTTTCTTGTGGTAGTTATCCATGCATATGCGAGCATAGCTTTTGGAGTCTGAAATTAGCCTAGCAATATTTGGTGTCCTACAACGAAGGACTTAATCACAAACCTGCTGGATTGTGGCCTGGTCAAATTATCGAAATCTTTATTGTATATTTTAAATGCAATTCTTTCACTGTCAAATAAATTCCTGCTATAAATAAAATCATGATAAAATAAAGTATGCAAAAAATTTATTTCATCATTCGAGATAATCAATTAATATGAAAAATTTAATTGCTCTCCTTCTGCTGATCCACTATTCTGCGGGATATACAAGCTTTTCCTCTCTAAGTATTACTGCAGATAATAAAGATATTAATGCCCAGACTACATATTCAATAAGTGTGCAGTTAGGATCATTTGGAGAAGATGTGCCTTCTGATTTTACACTTGTAATGGTTTTACCAAATAAATTAAGTGTAATTGATTCAGTTGGAACTAATCCAAGTACCTGCATTCTACAAGATTCAAACGGAGCATCTGACTATTCACTAACATCTGCATATGATTCAGCAAATCCTCAGTCAGGCCAATGTGGAGTTTCAGGCACTAATACTTATACCCTAATTACGCCTAATGTAAGATCCAGAGGCCTTAATTTTCAAATTGGAAAAATCCAAAATCCTAATGCTTCTTATAGCTCAACTAATATAGGCTCCATTCAGTTTTATGGATACAAATCCGGGAGTACAAACCCAGATTATCAAGGCAGTCAACCATTGAGTGATTATTATTTTACTGTAGGCACCTTGACTAGCATATCATTAACTCAAGGAAGCGTGGCTATTGGGGCGTGAAATACTTACACTTTTTCATTTTACTTACTTCCCTGCTTTAGATTGGAGCAAAATTTAGATGGGGTTCCTTTTCTGCGTAATTAACCTTATTGAGTAAAATTTAGTAGAAATAATAGCTCCTATATAAATAGCTTTGGCAGCCATTTAATCTCGTAAAAAATTAAATTTTTTCCGATTAATTATTAGACTTAAATGGGAGAGCAAGTGCAATATTATTTAAAAAAAGTCGCACTTCACTTTTTAAATTTAAAGGGAAGAGTTAGAAAATAACATTCCTTCAGGTGCAATTGTGATTTTTACTTTTAATAGTAATTTTTCTTTGAGCACTGCTTCAAATACAGCTGTTACAGGTCAGATAAATGGTGGATCGAGCATAAATTTAAATTGTGACATAACTGGACAAGTTTTAACAGTTTATAATCTTTTTAGCTCAAATCTTGTAGTTACATCTGGATCAACCTATCTTACTATCAGCATTGTACAAGTAAGAAATCTCAGATATATCGGCTCAGCAGATATCAGTGTTGCAACAGCTGTATCAAGCACAGAATATATCGATAAAATGACAATTAATGCATCATCAAGTACTTCATGCGAAATAGAAGTTAGCTCATTCACTTCATCAGCTAAATATGTCCTTACATCAACAACTCTTACAATTGCATTTAAGCAAGGAAATTATGCAGCCAGTGCTTCAAGTGCTGCAAATGCATATTCAATAAGATTAGTAATTCCTACTACCTTTACTCTTTCATCGACATTCAGCTGCACAAAATACATAGGCATAGATCCTAGCTATAGCACTATAAGCTGCACAAATCAAGGTGGAGGAATTGTTACAACAAATTTAATAAGTCAAAATTCTAACATTGTTGCAATAAATTTGCTCAATGTCATACTTCCTCCCAATTCGAAAACAACAGATTATATACAGATCTCAACTTACACAGAAGAAAACACAAGTGGATCAAAAATGTGCGAAAATACTCAGTTCGCTACATACAGTGCAACTCCTAATGCAATTACTGTAAGTTCAAAAACTAGAAGGAGCTCTTATGTTGGTGATCTTGGCCCTTATACGCTTACATTTAAAACTACAACTCAAATGCAAACTGTTTAAAAATTAAACTGAATTAGCTAGAGATTTCATTATAGTAATTATGCGTTATATATCAAAATTGTTTTTATTTGCTTATGGAGGTGGGTTTTTCCAATGGTTTCGTTCAATCACGGAAGGGGAGTTATTAATATCTTGATTATACTTATAGGGAAGCCCTAAAGGATTTCTTACTTCCCTAAGCTTCCTTGCATGCCTGCAGTTAGCGATTCATGACATCGAGGTTGATCTTGCCAGACAAAGACCTAAACTCACTGCTTGGTATTTGGGAGAGTTGTACTACCATACCCGCTAAACAAGGATGGTGATCATAGAAATTCAAAATGATTACATTTTCTGGTCGACTCTTGGCTAAATGTCAAGCTTAAAAATAGTAGTCCCAAAAGACTAGGAATATAAATGTTGACTCTATTGGATACCCCTTTTCCAATTCTTGACTCTATTTCCATCTGAGGCAAAAAGTTGTTTTGGGTTAAGCATGCTTTGGTTATTCTGACATTTCATTTCACCAAATAAGGTAAAAACTGGCTGGCTGCACATTACCTAAAATCATTCTCCCTTCTTAGGGCTCATAAGCTCTCTTCGAAGATTTAGCTGCAGGAGTTAAAAGGATAGTTGGATTGCCACTCCATTAAACTACAACTCAAATGCCCCCAAAATTCGTATATAAAACTTGTTCTGCCTATGGCACAGGTTGTGGAAAATTCAGGAATTGTATGCTATGAAATTTTATCAGGAACTATCCAAACCTCAAATGTATGCACAAAATCAAGTACCCCATCTGACTCTACAACGTATGAACTGTACATTCCAGAATGATGCTCAACTACATCTACTGGCTGCACAGGTTGCTGTAGTGGAGGTACAGAATTATCTGTTAGCATAGACGGAGTAGTTAACCCATACTACGTCAATTCAAATACAGGAACATCGGTAAAAATTTATACCTTAAATCCAACACAGGATGGAATTATAGATGATGTCACATCAGGATTGGAATTTACACCATCTTTAGTAGCAAAATCAATTTCTTCCACAAGTATGACAAGAGATGCCAACATTGTTGGCCAAGATATTAAAATCGATATTTCTCATACATCTACTGTGATTTATATTCAAAACTCTCAGGTGGTTTACTCTTTTCCAGCGTCATTCATCTATTCAGCTAGTAGTAACGTGAAGTGCACCAATCTTGGGACAAATACGGATACAACTTGCTCTTTTACAACTAATTCATCAGATGGCTCTATTTCTACGGTTACAGTAAGTAACTTGTGTACGAGTAACTGCGCTTCTGGCCAAACTTATAAAATCAGGATATATAACATTCAAAACGCTATTACTGTTGCGCAATTAACAAATCCTTCTTATACTGTCTCCGCATATTATAGCTCATATTTAATAGAGAGTGGGGCAATTGACTCGTCTGCTTTAGTTAGCCTTGACACTGGGACGATTACTTCAATAAAAGCATATAGATCAACTAATAGCATCAAATCAAGCATCACCATGTGGATTTCTTTTATACATCCTACAATGATGAAAAGCACAGGGGTCATTACTATCTCCTTTCCTTCTTTGATGGTTTATCTTAAGACTTCACTTTCTGTGTTCCGGTACTCTGATAATACTCAATTAACAATTAGTACTTCAAATGATGGAGCAAATAGTATTACTGGACTGACGATTACTAATTATTGCGCTTCAACATGCGCTGGGGGTGGAAATATTACGATTGCAATGACTGGAATTAAGAACCTTGATTATCTTCAAACGATTACTGGCTCTTTAACGATTACTACATCAGATAGTAATTCTAATAGTGATACTGGTACCGTTTCTGATATAACAACAATATTAGCTCCTTTGGAGACTGGAGCAATAACTGAGATTGATTTGCACCCAACCAATCCTACTATTTCTGAGACTACAGACTATAGGATCATTTTTACAACTTTTAATGATATCCCAGCTGGAGCGACTATAAAAACCGAATTTCCAAGCGGAGTCTCCCTCTCTTCTACAAGTACTACTACCTGCACAAGCTTTATCAATATATATTCTGGTCTTAGCTGTGCTGTTTCAGGTAGTGCACTGACTTTGTCCAACGGATTCCCATCAGGTGTAACTGGCCAAATCCAGGTTGGATTTGTAGCATCCAATATCGCTAATGGAGCCTCAACTGCATCAAGCTATGGACCCTTCAAAATTTCAACAGTAGACACAACCGGATATTTAATTGATGCTGGCTCAACAACTTTTACTTATTTATCTTATAAAGCCTCGAGTGATTGCTCTACTGACTGTAAAACATGCGCTGGAACTTCTGGTACGCAATGCTATTCATGCAAAAATCCTTCTTCTAAGCCAATTTTGCTTGGCTACTCCTGTGTTGCAACTTGCCCAGATGGGTACTACTTGACTTCTTCCACACCTCTTACATGCCTGAGCTGCTACTATACATGCAAAACCTGTCTTGGGCCTCAATCTAGTGATTGCACATCATGTGAATCAGGCTATTACAAGTCTGGCGGCTCTTGTGTTACTCCATGTCCATCTGGATCTACTCTTAATTCCAATAATATTTGTGTAAATGATAATGCATGCACTTCTCCCTGCGCTTCTTGTAGTGGAAGCTCAACTTTTTGTTTAAGTTGTGATCCGAATTCCTCTACACCAGTACTCGATCCAGAAAGAGGGGAATGTGTAACAGAAGAAACTCCAACAGAGGATTATTGCCCTACAGGATATTATGAAGACAGTAATAAAATCTGCCAGAAATGCTCAACTAATTGCGCAGAATGCTACTCAAGTTCAACTCATTGTACAAGCTGTCCATCAATTTACACATATAAATACTTGAATAAGCTTGACAATACTTGTGTTTCTTCCTGTCCAGCTTTAATATCTGTTCAAGACGATACAAATCTTGTATGTAATCCATGCGATAGTTCTTGCGCTACTTGCAATGGCGTTAATGCCAATAATTGCTTAAGCTGCTATTCAACTAATAAAAAATATTTGACTGCTGATAATCAATGTGTAGCAACTTGCCCTGCGAACTATTATAATTTTCATAATACTACCTCGGGCTCGTATAAGTGTATAGCCAGTTGTCCAACATCATCAGGTTATTATATAGATTCAACGAACACTTACTGCAATGAATGCATGACAACTTGCTCAACTTGCTCCAATGGGTCTACATGCACTTCATGCAGCACCTCAACTCCTTACTTGAACGATCAGTCTATATGTGAAGCTGACTGCACGTCCTCAGAATACAAATACACCGAAAATGGCAACAAAAAGTGCTACTCAGTCTGCCCTTCAGGAACTTCTCACTATACAGACAGCTCTAGTAAGAAATGATGCCTTTCCACCTGTCCCAATGGTTATTATGCTTCTACTTCTGGGACAGCAACATCTGGTCAAAGCAATTCTTTTTGTACTGCATGTGATACCACCTGTGCAACCTGCAGCGGAGGAGGGAAAAACAGCTGTCTCACCTGTTCCTCTTCCTCTACTTATCCTTATAAAAATGAAAATAATGAATGTGTTGAAGCCTGCTCATCAAGTGAATATACAAATACGTTAAACGGTAAGATGGAATGTGTAACTTCATGCCCAAGTGGCTCATACCAACTGACTGACAAATCAGGCAAAAAATGGTGCTCTAGTTCTTGTGGTGATGGATATTATGTTCAAAAAGTGTCAAGCACTGTCAATAACTGTAACCCATGCGACACAACATGCCAGACATGCAGTGGAGGATCAACTACTAATTGTTTGACCTGCACTCAGCAGTATCCTTATTTAAATGAGAAAAACCAATGTGAATCAAGCTGCTCCAGCAATGAATATACTTATGCACTGAATGGTAAAACAAGGTGCTACTATACATGCCCATCAGATACTTATCAATGGATTGATACATCAGGTAAAAAATGGTGCACTGATACATGCCCTAACGGCTATTATATTCAAAAAGTATCAGATAGTGTAACAAATTGTAATGCATGCTATACAACATGCCAGACTTGTGATGGGGGTAAAGATAGTGATTGTTTGACGTGCTCTCAATCTTATCCATATATTAATGAAGATAATCAATGCGAAAAAAATTGCTCATCTATTGAATATACTTATGAATTAAATGATTTATTAAAGTGCTATACCATTTGTCCTGCTGGGACATATAATACAAATAGCAGCTCAGGCATAGCATCATGCACGACTTCATGTGAAAAGGGATCTTATGTGGATACTGTAAGTACTTCAGACTCTACTAAAAGCGGTGACTATTGTGAGCCTTGCCCTCAAGATTGTTTACTGTGCTCAAGTAAGGTTGAATGCGAGGACTGCAAAGATAAGCATTCTTTGCCAAATACAGTGAATACTACTATTAGCATCTGCTATGGATGGAGTCCACCAGGACCTGCAACCCATCTTGGTGGGTATGTAATTTATGCACTCATATTTGAAACTATTTTAATTGCTATCCTTATTTTTATATCCAAATTTAAAAATACAGGGTATTTTGATGCAACTGCCACAGTTTTATTTATGTCAAGCATTATTGAGTTCACTGAAAAATTGATGCTATTAATTTTCTTATGGGTCGAATATGGACCACATGCAGATATTTTTGTAGCAATAACAGGGTCGATGCTAGTTGGATCTCTACTGATTTCAATGATGTACCAGAATCTGCACTTTGACTCTTTAATCTCTCTTTAAGAGGAATAAGAATGTTTTGCTCGCTCTTAAAGGTTTTATTTTGTTTTTAAAAAAACTTTGGTTAAAATTATATTAAAATAATCTAAATGAATTTAAGCTTAAAAATCTACTGTCCTAAATTTAATAGAATAAGCAAGATATCTCGCTATAGCAATTATTATTATAGAGCTCAGGGCCTCGTTTGGATCTCTCTGGGCTGCAAACTGTCCTACAAACTGGTGAAGTAGGCTAGGGCTGCAACTTTGCCAAGTCGACTCCATCAGTTGGTAAGTGCCATTATAGCTTTCATTTTTCAATTGATGAAATTGAGTTACTCCTCCTCTTTAAAATTAATTTGTTTTAAAAATATAAATTGATCCTAATATTTTTGATTTTTAATTTATTTTTATAAAGAATAAATTCAAAAATTAATTGATTCAGTGTAAAAAAGTTTAAATAATATTTTACTTGGACTTTTTACCTTAAATTAGATCGAAACTAATTTTTATAAAATTTAGTATTTACTGATAAAAATTGAAAAAAAACAATTGCTCCAAGTTAAAAGGTGTCAAGGTACCAAAAAAATGGAAATATTAGCTATTTTTGATTCCAATTTAAAGGCTAGGAGAGTTAGCAAAATTGCAGCCCTAGCCAACTTCATCAGTTCCTAGGGCATTTTAAAACCAAGGAGATCCAAATGAAAGCCCCAGGCTATATTTAAAAATATTTTACTTGCTCTTAAAGAAAATTTATTATCTCAAAAATTAGGCGTTTATAATAAATTAATTCGCTCTTAAAGTTGGAGAGTTAGTAGAAAGCAGTGAAACTCTAGAAGTATTTTCTAGCAAAAATAAGTGGGCTTTCAGAATAGTCAGATGTTTTTCTTTTATTTTCGGGATTCATTTTCTGAGAATCTTTTATAGTGGATTTATGGGATTTGCAATAGCAACAAATGCGAAAACACTTGGAAACGTTAATGCATTTAGATTCCCACTGGAAAAATTATGTGTTTTGAATTTAGCGCTTGTCTGTATTCCTATGCTGCTGGAGCAAGCTGCTATTATGGCATTATTTGATGTTGAAACAAATCCATGGCAGATATCTTTATTTGGTGTAGTGCTAAATATATGCATTGAAGGACTGTTTTTGTGGGATTACTTTAGAGGCCCATGGAGATTTTAACTCATTATTTAAGGCTTATTATGATTTTTTTAATTAGATAGCGATTAAATTGAATTTTATAATAAATTATAGATGATAAATAATCGCCCATAAATCCCAATACTTAATTCAGCTAAATGATAGGGTGAACCGTTTGAAAATCCATATGCAGCATGTGCATCATTATATTCGATGCGGAATTTCAGCTCAAACAAATGTGCGCCTACCCATCATCTTGTAGCATATTTCGCTTTAGAAGAGAAAAGAGGTAATGTTATAAAAATTATTATTTCTTGAAATAATTGTGAGGGCTGTCTCAGCATGTGGAAAAGCTATTCCACTTGCCGAACCAAAAGCTCACATGCTGAGCCATTATGAAGACTTCACATGTGGAATTTTGTCCTCAGACATGAATAATTTTTTCATGTATAGAGACCCTGCCACAACTTATGCAATAAATAATAAGTGCAATTGAAGATAGGCAAAACCATACTTCAGCATGAGATATCATGCGCACTTAATGTGCATGTCATGCATGACCCGTAGGGGGCTGAGTTGACCAATAGGCATCCCTGCTGTGGAATTTGAGAAGCAGACCGCAATTGTGTCATGAAATCGGAATAGAAATTTCAAGTATAATTACTTCGCGATTTTGTTTTTTCTATGCTTGCATTATTGAATAGTTTGCTGATGTGTGATTATGATTTGAAGTGTGGCTCGTATTAACGATGATCGATTATTTTGTGGTATTAGTAATTAAATAGCTAGGTTAAAACGTGCTAGCTTCTGCATTTAATGAAATTTCTTATGGTTGATATATGCGGTAAAAGTTAATTTTAATTTCAAATTAAAATATTTAGGATAAAATGAATGAATCATCATCTGGATATTGAACTAGGCCATTCAATATTGGTTTCTGGACTATATCATTTATACATGACAGAGTGATGCTCAATCCTATTTAGTAGCTGTGCAAGCTGTTATAGTGAAATACACATTATTTGTCACAAATAAAGAGTAATCAGTCCATATTACGCTAATTCATATCCAGAAATATCTTAACAATATATACTCTTATCATAGATGCTGCAATTGAAAATCTTGCAAATATAAGCAAGATGACGCCCCATATAAAGATTTTAAAGAGTTGCATTATGTGCCTAAATTACTCTATAAAAGAAATCGGCATGCTAAATCATAATTTTCCTGTAAGCGAGATAAGCAATTGGAATAAAAACCTATATTTTTTTTCTGCATTCAGAGTACTTTATGCAAGATATAAATAGTCTGCTAGCATCTGTAAATATGCTTGTATACCAATTTCACTTTCAATCATGCTTACAAAAGAAACTATTCAAATTCTTCAAATGCACATTCTATAAGATTAGTCATTTAGCTAACTTTACTCTTCGTTATCATTAATGTGCACAAGAAACAGGGTACAGATACTAGCTATAGCACAGTGAATTGCATAAATCAATATGGAGGAAGTCAAAATGCTATAAGCGTTATAGTGCCAGTATACTTATAATTGAGTTAGTAAAATTAACTGCTTAAGCCATTTATCAAATTAAACTCAAAAATATTTAAGAGCTGCTAGCCAATGTGCAGCAAATTGTCATACCTTCTAGATAGCTTTCTTTTTGATAATAAATATCAATGGTATACTATTTATTTGATCGGGTCTCTCTCATAAAATTATGCTGCCTTTTTCAGAACTTTTTTTACGATTTAAACGGCAAAAAAATTAGTGGCAAAAAATCATGGAAAAATATTATCAATTTTTTTAAATTATTACTGAAAGCAGCTTTTAACAAATATGCTTTAAGAACAGTGGCCGAGAAAGAGCCGGACTAAAATAAAAATTATTGGCTCTTATCTAATGCATTATTAATGATCTGAACTGAATTCACGAATTGCATAGTATCGTATATTTACTTATTTAATTATTAGTATGCATCTCATTTGATTTTGAGGATCGTGTCGAATTGTCACGAGGGCTAGCCCTTTCAAATATAAACTAGGGCGGTCAGAGGCATTTTCACATGATAGCTTTTTCATAGGTGGAGAACTCCGAAAAAAATGACATAACAGCCTTGCCACCAAGTCTCACAGGATGCATTCCCTTCCCAAATTTAACTTTTGCACGTGCTCGCCTAAATCTCTCTCTCCTTGGAAGTGTCAAGCAGTAAAACCCTATAGCTCCTAAAATTTAAAAGCCAAATCCTTCCACCTATTGGGTGGGCATTTCTGACATACGGGATATAAAGGGTCACTGAAAAAACTGAATACCATAATAATAAAATTGCCTGATAATGGAATTGTCTCTGAGAGAACTAATCAGGCCATGACATTTTATAATTATGCATAGTACTGTATGAAAATTTAATAAACTCACTTCATTCTGCTTAAATAAAAGATTTCTTCTAACTGAAGTTCATTTCTCATTGCAATAATGGGAAAGTTAAATGTAATAAGTAAAATGGATATGCAAGGAGATTCAAAACTGTATTTAGCCGATTCGAGCACTTCATACTTGCCAGTGAAAACGAGATCTCAGTTTATAAATATTCACAGCTCTTCTAAACTAACCAATCCAAATAAAGAGCACCCTCTCAGAAATCAGCCTATTAAAATAGTGAAGAAACCGCAAAACTTGGATTCGCATCCTCGGTATCACGAGCGAGGCCAACAAAATTTCAAAATCCAAGACATTTATGAAGATTCAGAACGCAAGAGGCCTCGCAGACCTTTTAAGGTACTTGATTATAATCCACATGAGTCATTTCACTCGAGAAGTCCGACAACAATTATAAAGGAAGTTGACCAGAGCTATCAATTTGTGTCAGCTTTAAGCAGTGTTCCAGATTCTGATCAATCACGCTCAATAATTTCAATTGATTTTTCAGATTGCCGAAAAGGAAGCTTTAATTTAGAATACCTAGATAATTCTGATGAATCGCTAACTCACTCTCAATGAGCGAAAAAACATTAAAAAATCCTAATTTTTGGGTAATCAGTCTTCCAGTGAGCAAAGAAAAAATATTTTGATATATAAAAATTTATTATTATAACGAAGTCTATAGCTAATTCTATTAAATTATATACAGTTTGCATTCTAAAACAACTTACCAAATCTAATACTTAATTAAAATTCTAAATTAGGATTTTATTTAAATTTGGAAAAATTACTCGCAAAAAGAAAAATCATTTTTTATCCGCTTACAAGGGGAAGTAAGCAATTTTTCTTTTACTGAAGAAGGTGAGGAGCCTAAAGAGAAAAGTAATATTAAGACTTCATTTAACTCGAACCAAGAAAGCACAAAGTTTTCGATATTATCATCAATGGTAGATCCAAAAAGCCAATATTCTCCAGATGCAAGGAAAACTCCGACCAAAAAGCCTATTGAAGAGCGATATTCACCAATATATAGTGCAGGCGTAGACACCTCGTCAAAAAAGGCTTATCAAATAAAGCCAGAAAAAAAATCTCCGCACTCAGAAAGGAATAATTTGACAACAAGAGTTACTGCAAATACAGTCCGAGCACTCTTTTGGCTTGGACTCCTTATCCTTTCTATAGGAAAAAGGAAAGTGATTGAACTAAATTATAATAGTGAAGCCAATAGCTAAATTGCTAAAGCAGAATCTAGGGTCTCTGCTATTTGCAGTTAGTATGATCAACATAAGCTGGCTCTACTAACTCCTTTTTTCATAGAAAAGATAGGGAAGCCTGAGCCAAAAAGATGTTCAGGCTATACTTTAGAAAACGAAACAGAATTGAATACAGAAGCTAATGAATTTCACTATGAAAAGAAAAATTTCTGTAACTTCGAATTTAATAGTGATGGGCCAAATATTCTTCCGACGAAAGCATATTGCAACAGCTGCAGGAAAATGGTTATGACAGCTGTAAAAATAGAGATGGCTGAGGTTCCACTGTAATTTTTATTCAGATGAAAACGAATTTGCTGCTCTAATTGCTATGAGGGTAATTCACTTAATAATTTGCAGGCGATCGTGCATTACTGTAAAAAATGCAAAACTTTAATTAGAAAAATTCAACCGGGAAAGCTATAAACTAATTGATGTTTAATTAATATAGCTTCTTATGGCCTATAAATCTTTTATATAATTTAATTAATACTTTAACTCTCAGCGAACAAAATCATTGGAAAACCCTAATTTTTCGAAAAAAAAACTGCATGAGCAAAACAAAAAATTTTATGTGAGAAATATTTTTATATAGAAATTATAATTACTATAATGAAATCTCTGACTAATTCTATTAAATTTAAAGCAGCTTGCATTTATATCATAAATTAACAAATTTAAATTAATTTTTACTTTCAAATATTTTACGAATTGGAATTCTTGAAAAAAAAATTACTATAAAATTTATATATAATTGTTTAAAAAAAATTGAAAAAAATTTTATTGTTCTCTCTCGGAGTGTGAGAATCTCATAAATTAATTATATGTTGAGATCAGATGAAAATTCTAATCCGCTTCTAATAAAAACGTATTATTTGTGATCAAAATTTCAGATTGTTTTATTTCTTAAATATTTTTCCATTTTGATTTACTAAAACACTGATTAAGCTTCAAATTATTAAATCCTCCTCTTGCACGTCGGGCACGAATTTTTCATCCTCAGCCAAGGCACTAGACACTCTGAATGAAATAAATGCCCACATTGAAGTCTATTTGCTTCTTTTCCTTTTTCAAAAAATTCCATACAAATCATGCACTCTTTTCCTATTAGCTCATTTTCAATACTTACAACAGGCAAATTCTCAATAAAGCCTTGAGAAACTTCATTTCTTTGGCCCAAGCCATCTTCCATTAGTTCCATTAAAACATGGATCAAAGCTCTCCTAGTGATATCTCTTCTCTCCATCTCTGATTGCCCTTCTGGTAAATCGTGAGCAAGCCTTCCAAATAGAGTGCTTGGGTTGATGACTAGTCTTCCGTTTTCTCGATGATTTCCTACATCAGCATCTTCCTCATTTGAACGATGAATTTCAAAAATAAAAGGATTTGGATCGGCTTGAAAATTTCCTTGTAGACCTCCGATTTCAGCTACTTGAAGAAAATCACTTCCACATCTCGGGCATAGCAGTTGAGAGGGATCAATAGAGGAGGTGACTTTACAAGCGTGACAATAATAGTGCTGTTCTTCAATATCTCTATCCATTTATAAGTACTTCGTAGATTATTTTTATTTGAAAGGAAAAAGTTTAAAAAAATAAATAAGACTGACAACCCTGATTATTGATAAGCAAGGCTTATAAATTTTCAATATCTCGAATTGATTATAATTTCTTTAATCCAATATTTTATATATTTTTTTAAATTTTTTTCTAATTTAAATTTTGATTAGCAATAAAAATATAAAATACTTATATAGAAGATGCTCTTTTTTAGGAGGAAACAGCTATTCTATATTAAGATATATAAATAGAAAGTATAGTTTCTACTGATTATTTGTATTTAGTGCTTTAATAAAAGATTTTCATAATTAAAATTTGGAATCAGATATTTTTATTGACTTAATTCTATAAAATGGTTTAATTTATTAAAAGATGCACAAGAGTTTTAAATATGAAGTAAAAACTTTTAATTTTATTTAAAAGCTTAGAGGTCTTATCCCTTTATATATAATAATTTTAAAATTCTGGCTATATTGAATTAGTCAATTCGCAGTTGATCTTTCTCAAAAAAAATGCTACGAATGAATTCAGAGCTTTAATGAAATTTAGTTTCTTGACTTAAGAATAGCACTATATTCTTGATAAGACAAAATATTCTTCTAAAAATGTTTTAAATATGATAAATACATAAATTCTTGTTAGTATTTTAATAATCATCAAAAATATTAAAGCGTCTTTCTTACCACTTGTTTCAGAAATGAACTGCATTATACTTAATAATTAACATATTCAAAATATATGTTTTTGATATTCAAAAATTCAGAAAATGCATCTAAATTGATTAGTCTCATTCTCTTCTGATTCTTTTTGAATAAAATCTCATATTCCTAACTGGCTGTAAAAATAAATGGATACATCGATGGAAGATGGACTACTCGCAGACACGCAACCTTTGGAGTAGGCAGGACCCTTCCCAATAAATCGAAAATCGTGTCTCTGTCATTTTTAGAAAGGCCTTATATACATAAAATGCGATGACGACAGGCCCGTCCTCTCGTATGACGGTAGCCCATACATATCCGGGCATGTTTTTTGGAGTCGGAATTAGCCCAGAATATCTGGTGTCCTTCAGCGAAGGACTTTAGCACAAATCCGCTGGTTTGTGGACTGATCAAATAGGCAGTTTCATGAATTCTTTTTGCCAACAGCACCCGAGCCAGCGGATGCCAGAATGAAGCAGGGTGAATTATCTGCTCAAGCTGCTATAGCGGTCTCCTCCAATGGAGGAAGCGGTTGAGTTTTTCTATAGGGATGACTGAGAAAAGGGAAGACAGGTTAAACATAAGGAAATCTATGAGGTTCAAAGGGCTCCAGACAAGGAGCGATGCGGGCCAAGGGTGATAGGCAGGGCGAAGTAGCTAGACAGTCGAAGGGGTCAAGTTGGAATAGTGGTCCGACAAAGGTTTTTTTAGCCCAATAGGGTAACACCACTACTGAGAAATCAGGGGTTTCGGCCTGAGTTAGGAGTTACCAGAGGTGGAAGTCAACCAATTCGGCTGTACCCGCGCAGAATGCCACCAGGAGAAGTGGGACTCTAAATACCCATCAAATAATATAATCTAATATAATCTATGACTAGGACTTCAGGTTTGGAATGCTGCTTAAGAGGGAAGTTTTGTTTATTCCCAAAGGTGTTCCTGTCCTTGCCAAAATGGGCTAGACAGCTTTGCCTCCCACTTCGTCTTTACCTATCGGGACTAACGGCATCCGCAAGAGGTTGCTCTAACCTAAGGAGCTAATCTTTAGTTTAGGTTGATTTACGCCATATAGACAAGCTAGTGGTCTATCCTCTTATGACCTTATAGCACTTAAGTTAAATTAAAAGGCTGCATATTCATACCTGAGTAAATATCAGCATTTCTATGTAAAAAGCAATCAATTCTACGATACGATAAAATATGGCTTGTGCTCACCTGACCCATTCCAATATCACTCAGAATTTGCAGGGAAAATTCATCCATAAAGACGAATGCACAAAATGTTTCGCAACATCTGTAAATTTTCATTTACTCTCCCCCTCCATGTAGAACAAAACATTAGAAAAATCCCTATTTTTGCACAAAAACCCACTCTCCATAGGCGAACAAAACATTTTTACGGGAAAAAAAATTTGATTAATTTTAATAATGATGTAATTTTTAAAAAAAAAATTAACCGTCCTCTATAAGTGAATACAATTTTTTTCTTCTTCACTCAAGAGGGGGCATTTAGAAATCCGAGCACGGAATCGACATTTGCTTAAAATGCTTCAATGGGTCTTGTCCAGATTTACACTCATCCCAGCACTATCTAAGTCAGCATCATCCTATTGCCCTTCACCTAGAAATGGTTAAAAGGCCTAAGGCATCAGAAGAGCCTCAACAGATTTCTAAGCTCGCAATTGGAGTTCCAGGAGGAGCAGGATACTCAGCTGATGAATGGGATCCCCACACTCTCCTAAAATGCTTAGCTTGCAACATCTTCCTCAATCCTACTGCAGAAATCCGGCAGCTGATTAATTCTATACTTATGGCTAACTCAGCATTATTCCAATCATCAGTAGATGCATGGGAATTGGAGTTACAGCCGTGTGAGCATACTTTATTATTAGAACAATTACCAAGACAGTTAGCAGAAAAAAGTTTGGCTTCTTGTAATAGCTGTGATTTAAAAGCAAATTTGTGGCTTTGTATGGTGTGTGGGAATTTAGGATGTGGAAGGAAAAATTATGATGGGTCTGGAGGGAATGGGCATGCTTTGACTCATTTTCAAACTACTGGGCATGGAGTTGTCTGCAAAATAGGGACGATTACGCCAGAAGGTACAGCTTCAATCCATTGCTATAACTGTGACAACGAAGTTTTAGACCCTTCTCTTGCAGATCACTTAAAAACTTTTGGAATTCTAATTCAGCAGCAAGTAAAAACAGAAAAAACTATCACAGAAATGGAATTAGAAAGCAATATAAACTTAACCTTGTCTAAAGCAGTTGAAGAAGGCAGAACTTTATCTCCAAGATATGGCCCTGGATATACTGGGATGGAAAACTTACTCCCCTCCATGAGCGAACAAAAAATTTTGTTCACTCATGGAGGGAGTTATTTTTTTTAAAAAGATTTATCTAAATTTTATACTAAATTTTTTTTTTTTGAAATTTAAAAATATTCCAATTCGCAAAAATTGGAAAGCAAATATTCATTTAATTTGTAAAATTTATGTTTTAAAATGCAATTTGTTTAAAATTTAACAGAATTAGCTAGAGATTTCATTATACTAATTATCACTTATATATCAAATTTTTTTTTTTTTTTTTTCATAAAAATTTTTTGTACCCTCGTAGATGGTGGATTTTTGGGCAAAAAATAGGGATTTTTCCAATGTTTTTTTTTCGTTATGGAGGGGGAGTTAGGAAATTCTTGCTATCTTAACTCAGTAATCCAGCTGATATTTTCTTTTCCTGAATGGCAGCATCGGTATACAGATGAAGACCACTTAAACGGATGCAAGTCAAATGATCCTTCACAATGCTATTTCTGTCAGCTTAATAAGCTTGGACTTGGATTATGGAGTGGAGAGCACTCACTTCAGAAATGGACAGAACCAGTCAACACTGTTACAGGAGAAATCATCCCACCAACTGAATACCAAGACGGAATCCGCCCTCAGATGTTCAAAGCGTTGATAGGAAAAGGCCACCCCGAATTTTCTTCTGCAAGACAGCAAGACGCTTATGAATTTTTCAGCCACTTTTTAAGTGTAGGCCAAAAAGCTGAAAAAGCAGCTGGTATAATTAGCTCATACCCAGGAAAAATTTTTGAATTTAAGCTGGCAACCAAAATGAAATGCTTAAAATGCCATGGAGTTAAATACAACAGCGCCAATAGTACTGTAATATCTGTTAGCGTTCCTATTGACTTAAAAGAAGATGGCCCAAATGTTGTCGTTGACTTTGACAGAGTTTTAAATACATTTACCCAGGCAGAAATCGTGGAATATAACTGTCCTAATTGTAAACAAACTACGAATTTTTCGAAGCAGTTTATGTTTGAAACTTATCCAAAGGTCCTCGTCGTTGTGGTTAATAGATTTGTATGTCCTGATTGGGTACCTAAAAAACTGGAGTGTGGTGTAAATGTCCCAGTTGACCCATTTTCGCTTGAAAATATGAGGCTGGTTAAAGGAAACGAGCAAGAGCTGCTTGGGTCTTCTGAAGAAGATTCAGGACCGAAATTTGATCAAGGGCTTTTAAATGAGTTATTGATGTTCGGATTTGGCGAAAATATAGCGAAAAGAGCATTAATCACTACCAGTAATAGATCACTTGAAGAAGCCACTAATTGGATAGTGGAAAACTTGGAAAATCCTGAAGCAAATGAACCATTAGTCTCTTCTAGTAGCCAAGGACCTCAAATCAGCCAGGACTTAATTGATAACCTTACAGCTATGGGATTTTCTGCTAGCCAAGCTAAAAATGCTTTAAAAAATTGCAACTGTGACCCTGAAAGAGCTGTAGACTATCTCTTTTCTCACCCTGATGATGATATGGAAGTAGAACAGCCTCAAGTACAAGAAGAAGTAGGAGATAAAGGCCCCGCAAATTATCAGCTTCAAGGAGTTGTGACTCATTTAGGCGCTTCTGTGCATTCTGGTCATTATGTCGCCCATATTTTGAAGGAAGGAGAATGCATCCTCTTTAACGACATCAAAGTTGCAGCATCGTCTGATCCTCCGCTTGGAAAAGGCTATCTTTATTTCTTTAGAAAACTTAACTAATTTAGCAAAGCAATAATAAAAATGATTTACTGGAATAGATACCACTGAAATAGATATTCTCAATAATTAAAAAATAAAAGCATGATTATTTACTAACTTCCTAAATAGATTAAAATTCTTTATAACCAAATTTTAATCCTAGGCTTTAATTTTATATAGACTGAGCCAAAAAGCGCCCAGGATATATATTATTTATTTTCTCAATTAGGATCTTTGGAAATCCCTTTATAAATAAAAAGTCAAAACTTTTATAAGTTTTATCCAATCATTATTGGCAAAGAATTTCTTTATAAATGGCAGGAGACTAAGTTAATATTAACAATCGATTGCAATTAGGGCATGTCGGGAACTCTAATTTTGCACTTAATCAATGATCTAAACAATTTGTGTGAAATGGATGCAAACAAGTAGTTATACGGGCTAGTTCACCTTCAACTACATCACTCAGACAAATCGTACAAACTGGCATTCCGGCAATTTTTATATCTTTTGTAAATTTTACTGCTGGGAGTATTTTTTCACAATATTCACTACTAATTAGCCTTGAGAGCTCAGCAAAGCTGCTCCTGTTTGAAGCATCACCAACTACTGTTACTGGAGCAACATATGCTCTTCTCTTAATTATTTTTCTTGCCAATAAGCAAAAACATACCACTCTAAATATCTCCTACAAAGAAACCATAACGAAAACTGCACTAATAGTAACTACTACTGAAAAAAATAGTTCAGAATTCATTCTATTATCATCATTTTTCCATGAAAATTACGGACTCATTTGTGCGATTTTAAATTTTCAGAGAAAATTTAGCTTACTTTCTGCAATTTTGGGTAATTTTGAGATACGAGTAGTATAATTAATTAAAACAATTAATTCATCATATAGTGAATAAAGACTTAATAAATGAAAATAAAGAGCATTCCTATTTTAATATTTCTTATAGTAGGAACATTGGGAGTCTTTCAAGAGGAAAACGATGTTTTAGTATTAGAAGATAGAAACTTTAACGATGCTCTAAAAGAATATCCAAAGCTCTTACTCCCCATTTCTCTTTGAACGAATAATATATTGGAAAGTCCGAACTGTGAGATATAAGTGATAAAAATTATAATAAAAGTCTCCAGCTAATTCGGTTAAATTTAAAACAATTTAAATTAAGTTTCTTTTCATTTTTGTGAATTTTTTTAATTTCGAGAAAAAATAACCCCCTCCATGAGCTAACAAAATTTGCTTGTTCGCTATGGAAGTAGGGGAGTTAGTTGAATTTTATGCCCCTTGGTGCGCTCATTGTAAAGTACTAGCTCCGCTCTATGCCAAAGCAGCTGCTACTCTTAAAGCTCATGACCCTCCTTATCGAATAGCCAAGATAGACGGAACTGCCAATGTCAAAACGAATCATAAATATCATCTAGAGGGATATCCTACTCTCAAATTTTTCGTAAACGGGGAGCCTTCTGACTACAAAGGACCCAGAACTGACGAAGGAATTGTTTCTTTTGTGCTGAAGAAAATGGGACCTCCAGCGACACACATAAAATCCTTAGAAGATCTAAAAGACTTTAATGCTGAGCACAAGCTTTCAATGATTTTATTTACCCACAAAGGCTCAGAAGAAGAAAAACTGTTCGAAAAAGTTGTGGAAAGCTTAGAAGGCAATTATTATGGGATTATTTATGATAAATCTGCATTTGATTTCTATATCGCAAGTGACCCTACTGTAATTGCATTTAAGCATTATGATAATTTGAGGTCTGATTTTTCAGGACCTTTTACCCAAAAGGATTTAACTGCATTTTTAGAGCTAAACCAAGTGCCTTGGATTTTGCCATTTGATGATAACACAATTCAACACGTGTTCGGCAAGCAGAGGCCTGCCCTATTTTTCTTTAGGAAAAATGAAGATGCAGGAGTTTACGACCCAATGCTGGTTTCTTTGTCATTTAAAACTCAAGGCTCAGTTATCCTTGTCTATACAGATTTAGCTCTAGAATCCAACAAGCGCTTAGCCGATTTCTTGGGCGTCCCAGCCTCAGTGATGCCAAAAGCTCTTTTATTAGATTCTAGTATGAATAAATATATCCACAATGGAGCACTTAATGAGCTAGCCTTAATTCAATTCTTAGACAATTGAAAAGCAGGATTATTACACCCATATTATAGAACACAGCCAGCTCCAGAAAAAGAGTATGAAGATGGGGTCAGAATTCTGGTAGGCAGCACTTTTGGGGATATCGTTTTTGATGAGAAAAAAGACGTCGTTGTAGAATTTTTTGCACCTTGGTGTGGAAATTGCAAAAAGCTAGCAGGGGAGTATAGAAAAGTCGCTAAATATTTCAAAAAAAATGAGAATGTTGTGATAGCGAAATTGGATTCAACTGAAAATGAGGTCCATGGGCACCAGATTTCGAATTACCCTGTTATTAAGATGTTCCCAGCTAAAAATAAAACTGCTATTGAGTACACAGGAACAAAGGATGCAGATGGAATAATTAAGTTCATTGAAGAAAACACGTCTTTTAAAAGTGAAAAGGTAGATTTGTAGTGGCCTTTGAAGATAAATATTTAATATTAGGTAGTTTAGGAGAATAAGAGCCTTGCTTTAAAATAAAATTTTAGGAATAAAGAAAATATTAGCAAATGATAAGGAAATTATGATTATTTTTTTAAAGTTATTGGGAAGATGTGTGAGATGAGGTAGACCGCCAAAATGACGGTACAAAAATCTCAGTTCCTATGGCGCAATTAAAAGAATGTCTGGACATAATACCCTTTCATTTACCCTTGCGCCATTTTAGTTTAATATTATAAGCTTATGTAATCTAAGAAAATAAATCTTTGATGCAATGAAGATAAGAGCTCAGAGTTTACTTTGTGAAAAATAAAATTATAAAATTATAAAATTATAAAATTAATTAAATAATTTTCGCTCAAATTTAAATGAATGAATTAAATTATAGTCTCGCATGATATCCTCCAGCAATAACCACAGTTTCCCCATTAACATAAGATGCTTCATCACTGCAACAGAAATAAAATGGTAATGCTGATGGAAATTGGTCTCCGAGGCGCACTCCCTATGGAGCACGTCAGACTCATCTGATGAAGCTGAAAATAGAGACTCTGCCTCTTTTGAAGTAGGCTTTCAGGTTTGGGGAAGCCTCGCCGAAGAGGAAAGTTTTGCTTCTTCTTAGAAGGCTAGACATGTTTTGCCTCTCATATAGTCTTCATCTACCGGGACTATTGGGGCACCTGATAGAGGGTGGCTCTAACCTAGGGAGGAGCTGATCCTTAAGTTAGGCAAGTTTTCTCCAGAAAAACTCAAGAGGGTAGAATTTTGGTTGGGCTTTGGCACCATTTGCACTCAGGCGTATATTCACCCAGCGAAGGCTTCTTTCTTTGAGTCAAGATAGTCCTGCTAGTGGTGGTCCTGCTTATGGCTTTATAAAACTTTACCTCATCACTGCACCAAAAACGCAGCAACACTTGCACATTCTCCAGGATTTCCCATCCTCCCCATCGGATTTCTTTTCACTTCTTCACTCTCCCAAATCGCTTCAGAGAATCTCGTCTTGATTATCCCTGGCGCAATCCCATTAACTCTGATTCCAGCCCCAGCCAGTTCAATTCCCAGCATTTTTGTCATCCCAATCAAAGCTGTTTTAGTCACTCCATAAATCCCAATTGCTGGCGAAGGGGCATATCCTCCATAGCTAGACACAAATAAAACTGAAGGGCTTTTGCTTTTTTTAAGCCAAGGCAGCGCGGTCTTCAATAAGAAAAATCCAGCCTTTATGTTGATATCAAACATTCTATCATAAGCTAACTCTGTGATATCCATTGTAGGTCCAAATGCAGTAGAGACCGCAGCATTATTGACAAGGACATCAATTCCTCCGAACTTATCTACAGCAAAATCCACTAATTTTTGTCTGTCTTTTCCTACATGGCAAACCACACCTTCAGCAACAATTCCTTCTTTCCTTAATTCTTCAACAGCAGCTTGGACGTGTTTTTCGTTTCTTGAGCTTATCACAATTTTTCCACCTTCTTGTCCCATTCTTTTGGCGATGGCAAAACCGATGCCAGTAGCAGAAGCGGTAATCACACAGACCTTATTTTGATATCTCCCCATAATAAAATGATATATTTAATTGAATTTTTACCCTAAAGATTGACTTCTATTAAGACAGTCTTCGTTTAAGAATGGCCCATGCTCTCCAAGTGTTTCATTTACGTCATTCCAGGCGAAGCTTAATAAAGTGGCTGGTGCGTAACTTTTAAGATCTTTTGTGGTAGCTTTGATTATTGTTTTTGGAGGTGAAAAGAAAAGGTGGAATTTCCGGCCTTGCTGAGCCAAAAAGCTTGCTACAAAAGCATAGATGTCTCTTTCTGTTTCTTTTACTGAAAAAGTGCCTTGCAAAAGCGTTCTGTCTGGGAATCGAATCCTTATTAAAGCTCTTGTATAGATTTCTCTGCTTTGTAAAGTTTCCAGCTGTTTTTTCCTTTTATTGTGGAATTTTGATAGCTCTTCTCTTTCTTTCATAACTCTCTGGATGTTTCTCAAATTTATCTGCCTTTCTTCATCCTCCTGATTAGACCTATTTTTTTCCTCTTCATTCAGCTTGGCCAGGGTTGCATTTAAATTTCCATCACTAATTCTATACACAACAGGGTCTCTGCTGACTGAAGTTTGTCTGGCTAATTGATCATGATTTTCTTCAAGTTTTTTAATAGCTTCAGTTATGGCTATAGGGTCATGCTCTCTTGAGTTAATTTTTGGCATATCTGGGTTGGTCTTAGTAATTGCAGGCTTATAAGGATTAAACACTTCTGGGGTAACTTCAGTTCTTGGGACAAGTTTTGGAGGTAGCCCGATGTTTTCTGCAATTTCATTGACTTCGTCCAACGCGCGGTTTATTTCTTCGAAATCTACTTGTGGCATATAATAGTTTTCCCTTTCATCTGTAAATCCTATTTTTTTGAGATACTCAATAGCAATATGATGTTGGCCTATTTTTGCATTGAATTTAGGGTTGGATTTTTTTAGCCTTCTGACTCTGTCGTCTATAGGATTTGTGATAGCTATATTATAGATTATGACTTGGAGAGTTTCGATGGTTTCCCTTAAATTTTGATGTCCATTATCACGAGAAAGGAAGTATTCTAGCAGCCTGTGCAGCAGAGATGCTGTAGATTCGACTGTAGCTTGCTGATTTTGATTGGATAGATCGTTAAGACGCTTTTTTACTAGTTCAGATACACGTACAGGTACTCCTAGTTGATTCCAATGCTCATCTGAAAGCTCTTTAAGAGATTCTGCAGAATCATATCATTCATTGGTGAGTTTTTCTATAATTGGTTCAATTCTTGATTGAGGAAATCCTTGCTCAGCAGCAAGTTGTGTTAAAAAATCTCTTGTTGTCAGAACGGATCCAGACATATTGATATAGAATTCTATTATTCTTTCTAAAAATATTCATTACTATAAATAATTAAGAAAAACGCTAATGAAGATTATTTGGATTTGGCTTGATAAATAAATGATAATTGGATTTTATAGAGCATATGCAGCAATTTTTGACTTAAATAAATAAAGATATATTAATTTAGCTAGCTTAAATTAGAATAATTGAGATTATTATTTTTAAGTAAATTGCAGTATAACACCTCACATGAATCAGCATCTGTAATTCATGTTTGAATAAATATCAAATTTGAAATGGAAGAAAGCCATTTAGAAGTAAGCAGAAAAAATGCTTTAGAGAACACATCCATAGAGATGTTTGAAAAAATTGAGTTTGAAACAGATGAACTTCTTAAGGCAGGAAATTCTCAAGAAGTTTCAAGATATTTAAGAAATATTTTAATCCCTAGGAGCAAAATTTTTAAATCACTGAAAAGAAGGGTTATTTTAAAATTTCGCATAAAGAAAGATTTTAAAAATTTTATAAAATTTATGTTTTAAATGAAAATTTAATAGGATGAGTTGAGATCTCATTATTATAATTATTTAATTATATATCAAATATTTTATAATAAATTATACGAAAAAGTATTTTATTATTAAATAATGGGCTAATTTCACTATATAGGATTTCCAATTATTTTACGTCCTATCAAAGAGGTAGTTAGCATTAAAAGAAAATTCATCCCATACCCCAGAAGCACTCCTATCAGCATCCAGATTAGTTGACAAAATCTCCAAGAAAGCTCTTTCATACATAAACGATCCCCACACATCTCTCCTAATCTTACGTAGTGCCAAGATAATCCTAAGTCAATATCCCAACATTTTAATTTCAGAGCGCTGCAATTTATTAAACAACTTGGCATGCACATATCGACGATTAGGAAAGCTTCATTCAGCAAAGAAATATTTAGATCAAGCATTAGAAATCTTAAAATATAACAGGCAAGCAGAAATTGATAAAGCATCCACACATCTTAACTGCTGTGCAGTTTTTTCTAATCTTAATCGGCACAGAGAAGCTTTAGATCATGCTATGGTAGCAGTCCAATATGCACAGGATGATATGATTAATATAATTAGTGATGCGCCTGGCCCTGATATCATCCACAAAATTTCTGTATTGTCGATTTCCTATTATAATATTGCTGTTGAAAATGAATATTTGAAAAGATTTGATGAGGCTTGTGAATGATATACAAAGGCGATTAAATTTTTGCAAAAACATCAGGAAAATAAAAACTTGAAGGAAATCTTGGATACGTGTATGGAGAATTATAATGAAATAAAAGATTCATCGACGTCTAGAGTCTTGCAGAGACCCTTTAGTACAAATGAAAATTCAAGGCTGAGGCCAGTTTCTGCTAAGTCTGCTACATCTTCTGCGTCTAGAAAAATCGTTGCAAGAGAGCAAGCATATAAGCCACCCTTAAAGCATCCTAAGCCTATTCCAATAAAAACGACTCTGCAAGCTGCTCCTTTTGATGCAAGATTCCCTTTAGAAGGCAAACAAATTACATTTGACCAGCTTAAAGCTAAAATAGAATACGAAAAAAAATTCAAAATTCCTAATATAAATGATAAAAACCCAAAAAATTTGTTTGATAGCAAAACTGAGAAAAAAATAAAAGCAATTTTTACCACGGACGAAAGCAGAAAAGCATTTAAAGAAAGGCCCAAAAGTTCAAAGCCAAATGATAGAATTATAAACAGTCCATACAGACCCTCTATGATTAAAACAAATATGAGCTTTGAAAATAATCCTGTAAAGTCACGAATATCATCTATGATAAATTCCAGCCCTGCAAGAACTAAATCAAGCCCTTTAAAAGAAAATGAATCAAGGCACAGAATTGTAATTGAGGAACAAAAAAATGTTAGAGAGAAAATATCTAACTCCCCCCCCCCTCCGTGAGTGAACAAAAAAATTTTGTTCACTCACGGAGGGGGGGTTAATTTTTTTTTTTTAAAAAAAAAATTTTTATATATAATTTTATAAAAAATTTTTTTTTTTCGAAATTTAAAAAAATCCTAATTCACAAAAATTTGAAAGCAAAAATATTAATTTAATTTATAAAATTTATGTTTTAAAAAGCAGTTCGTTCAAAATTAAACAGAATTAGCTCTAGATTTCATTATACTAATTATCATTTATATATCAAAATTTTTTTTCCATAAAAAATTTTTCTAAAAAAAACATTTTTGTTCGGTTTTTGGGCAAAAAATAGGGATTTTTCTAATGGTTTTGTTCACTCACGGAGGGGGGGGGGGAGTAAGCCAATTAGGCATGATATTACGCTTGGCTTGGAATTTGAATCTTTTTCAAATATTACTTTGAATGATTCCCATAATACTGAAATTTCCTTACCAAAATCTTACTCGCGAAATGAAATAAATAAAGATGAGCTCTTAAAACAATCTGTAGTAAAAATTCAAGCATTATTTAGGGGGAAAAGAGATCGGCTTCTTGCGAAATTATATAAAAAAAGCGCTGAAAAATCAAAGTATATATATAAAACTGGCAGGAGAATTGGAGGAGAATATTATATGATTTTGATAATGAAAGCAGAATATGATTATAAATTGTCAGTTACTAAAATAGGGGAAATTGATAAAGTATCTGAATTTTCAATTAGCAGCTCTCAGGCAGAAAACCCTGATGAGCTTATAAGCCATTTACAAGTAGATGAGTGTGGAAAGTTGTATATTGGCCTAAACACCAATAATTATTTTGAACATATACACAGAGCCGCAAAAAATGTTTCTGGAAAGGATCTTGTTATTGACTGCTATTCCAGCCGCTCTGGAGATTCAATGCTTTTAAAAGCCAAGGATATGAGAACTTCTAAGAATTTTTCCTTAAAAGTCGCAAAACAAACCCCAAGATCTCCATCAAAAATTACAAGGCAGCTGAAAGAATCAATTATCCCAAATCTGATTATTCATAAAGATTAGATTAAATAGAGTTATAGCGGGTCTTAGGGGATTATTTCAGCCCCTCTCCGTCCAACGGATAGCTTCGCAGTGACGCTAAGCGCTATCCTCACACCACCTTTTTCCCTTGTGACGTCACCAAAAAATGGTGACGTCAAAGGTCTTCGGGGAAGCCGCCCCACCAGGTCAGGGTCTCCGAATCTCAGTAGAAAACTCCTTCAACCTCTGAAAGGGCTCAGAGTATAGGGGAAACGCCTTCTGCCTTCTCCATGGCCTGTCAGAACCGTATCACAGGTTCAATAATGCTCCCATGGAGTGGTATCGGGATTTTGCGCCAGTAGGGTCATCTTGCAGGTAAGGAAAAAAGACAAGGGTCAGCCCCAAGTCAAAAATCCACCCGGAGAACTATCGCCATGTGGCTCGCCTTCCTGGGCCTGGATCAACTCACAGGTCACCAGGAGTCCACTTCAGATCACGCCATTTTAATAATTCTTATTCATAAAGATTAGATTAGATTAGATTAAAATTATAGCGGGTCGTCGGGGTTTATTTCAGCCCCTCTCCGTCCAACGGATAGCTTCGCATTGTCGCTAAGCGCTATCCTCACACCACCCTTTTTTCCAGTGACGTCCCCCAAAAAATGGTGACGTCAGCGGTCTGTCGGGGAGAAAACCCTACCGAATCGGCCGAACCTTTTCTTGGTCCCAAAGTTCAGCCAAAGACTCCCTTAACCTCTGACAGGGCTCAGAGTACGGGTGAATCGCCTTTGCTTCCTCCATGGCCTGTCTGAACCTTATTGCAGGTTCGATAATGCTCCCATGGAGTAGTATCGGGACTTTGCGCCGGTAGGGGCTTCTGCAGGTAAGGAAAAAAGGTCTAAGGTTATCCTTAGGCCAAAAAACCCACCCGGAGAACTATCGCCATGTGGCTCACTTTCCCCTGCCCGGATCAACTCACGGGTTGTCAGGAGTCCACGTCAGATCACGCCATTTTAATAATTCTTATTCATAAAGAAGATTTGGAGTTTTATGATGCAGCTTCACTTCCTAAGCAAAATCATTTTAATCTGCTTTTAGCGAGACCAGTTCTGCTAAACTCTGAAAAACGCCAAATGACAATATTTACCTCACCAAATCATTTGAAAATTATATGTGAAAATAATGATAAGCAAGAAGAAATAATTATAGAAAAAGATGAAATTGCAAAAATTTTGAATATTGAGAAAAAAGATATAGAGGCAAATGCAGAAAAATTGTTAGAAATGATAGAAAAGAACAATGATTTAACTTTTTTAACAGCAAACACTGCACTAGAAACAAAAGCATCAGAAGAAAAGATTCCACACCAATTTGAAGGATTTGTTTTAGAAGATAAACCAATGGGCTTATCTGCTGTCCCAGAAAATGCACCTACAAAATTCATAAAATCATTATGAAGAAATTTAGATGGAATTAATTATTTGTTAGAAGCAATACAAGAGGATGAATTTATTTTACTGAAGGCTACATATGTAAATGATAAATCAAAATTAATTTCAAAGCAATACTCAAAAGCTGAAATACATGAAAATTATGGGACTTCAGTTATGCTAGAAGAGCTGTTAAACACTCTCCAAGTAAAAAATGGAGAAATTTATCTTAAGTTTGAAAATAATAGTGTACAGGAGACCACTGATGTTCTATTATACCTTACAACTCGATATATAGATGATAAAGATTTTCTAATAAAAATAATATTAGAAAGAAATTTAGAAAATCCTTCAGATTCTGATACAATAAGGATTGAATTATTTCAAAAAAAATCGTTTTTCAATAAATGCTATGTTGGACTTAAAGAAGTATCTGATATATTATGCTTATCATACGAGAATTTAAAAGATATCGCTATATATATCGCCCTAGCCTCCTTTTGGCTAGAGCTGACTGGAATCTCCCTAGATGGCAAATCTCCAATATGCAGCTTATTTGTAATCTGGGAATTGGTTTTACCAACAAATGTCGGTAAAACCAACTCCCTTTCCGATATCAGGAGACGTCATTAAGGCTCGAGCCAAAATGAGACTCAGGCTATATAGCGTGATCAATGTTAAAACTAGATGGCCAAAATATTCAAATAAATAAAGATGCACCTCATTATGACCTTGAGCGTTGTGCTACAATGATTCAATCTTTATTCAAAGGATATTTAATAAGAAGTATTTTTAGTCCATTGCTAAAAAAAGCTGGCAGCCCAGCTACAGTTAAAAAGAATATGGTCATAACAGGCGATAATTTAACTTATAGCGTAGAAATCATTCAGTATCCCAAATTCATATTTATTCAGGCAACAAATAAGCAGCTAAGTTTGAAATTATTTTTGAAAATCGAAATTCTTAATGGCTATCCAGATGATTTTGGGCCTAAAGATATAATTGAGCAACACATAATTCCAAGGCTTCATATTAGTTTGAAAAATGGTCAAAAAGAGCTGCATGGTATCAAAGATTTTGAGATGATAATGTCTAAATAGATTTCTAATAAAAATTATATTTAATGTGCATTTATGTTAAAATAATTTATTTATTTAAAAAACAGAAAATAATAATAAATATCCTCATGTTGTGGTTAAAGAATAAGATATTTATTTCAGCATATTAGATGTAAAGCTTAAAAATAATGATAATGATGAAATTCTAACAGCCCCTTTCACTTTTATTAATATTCCACTATATCTTGCATTCAAACCATAGTGCTAAAGTTCAACTGAAATCCCAAAGCTGACATCGAAGCATCATATCCTTAAAGCGGTCTATAGGCCATTTTATTTAAATTTTAATCATATATATATTGATTTTTACAAATTATTGCCTCAAGAATTTTAATGCACATCGCTCAATAAAGGCTGGATTAATACTTCATCTGGGCTAACCTCATATAAATTTTCTGGCAGGATTGGGATTCCAATAAAGAGTGAGATTTCGCTTTCTATTGCTGGGTTTAATATCATTAAAGGACGACTTACTAAGCTTTCTTTGACATTTTTATAGCGATGTTGTGAAAGTCTAGCTTCATAAATTGGGAGAACTGAGCGGTAGTTTAGGCGAGTATGGGTTTCTTGATAATAAAGATCTCCTCTATTTTTTGATCTAAATAAAAAACAAATGCAAAGAATTGATAAAAATTCGCAAATCTCGCTGAATAATTTTGTACTTGTTTCATACGGCAATACATTAACCGCACCTTTGTAGCTTGAAAAGATCAAAAATGAGGGTATAAAATGAGATGCGAAATGAAAAGTTACAAATCCTATATAATTTCTAAGTATAATTTATTTGTTAAGCATCCTCATAATATTTTTAAGTCAAATCTTAAAATTAAATTCAAATTTCTATTAAAATCTCCGTATTTGATAAATAAAGCATATTTTTTAATTTCTGAATTACAATAGATGCCAAATCCCTCATATCAGAAATCTGCAAGAGTTCATATCTTAATTTCAGGCATTTTGTCGTATAAAATGCAAATTTCAATACGAAATATCCGCAAGTCGCTAGAAAAATAAAAAACAAAGGAAACATTACAATTTCATCTATTGAATACACACTGAACCAAGCGTAAATTATAACCATTATCAGGACTGTTACTGACAGCTCTTTTTTACTGAGCGAGGTTTTATAAAGCCCAAATCCTTGACTGATCAAAAGGAAAACCGGGTATAAGATTGCGTTGAAGAGCACATATGTCGATGTATGGCAGAACCAAAAGTAGTAAGTATTATGAGGCTCTACAAGTGCAATGATTACTTGGAAAAGACAGTGCATAAATTTAAATAAAATCATGAATGTCATTAATTTTTGCAAAAATGTGCTGTGATCTTTGTTTCAGAAATAGGTATTCAGAAGTCAAGTCACAAAAAATGAAAATCAAAGTGAGCTCAGCAAGCACTTAAAGTCAAGATCTACGGAGTTCGGATCGAAAGCCATATTATTTATTTTAATGAAATTAATGCTTTAAGTTTTATTTTTGTAATTTTTATGATTATTTTAAATTTAATTTGGAATGCTTATTTTTTATAGCCAAATCTTAGATAATATACTGTCTTTCGATATATAAGCATTAGGTTGCATCAGCAGTAGACTTCTAAGATTAATACTTAGATTTTCCTTTTCTTCTTTATTTCCTCTTCCTCTTCATTTTCCTTTTCCTTTTCCTCTTCTTCTTCTTCTTCTTCCTCTTCATCTTCCTCCTCTTCACTTTCCTCTTCAAGACCTTTTATAAAATCATCTAAGGAATCAAAATTTTCTTTTAAAATTTCACATCCTCCGAAACTATCTCCATAAAAATAGATGTGCCCATATCTTTCACAGCTGCCTGTAGAAAATCTATCTTGATCATGTATTCATTCCAAAATTCTCGCTTTTTTTCTATTAATTACTTCCTCATTGTAATCTTCACACAACAAACTAATAAAATAATCATCCAGTTCATTCTCATCCATTTTGCAAGCGCTTAGTAATGTTATCTCTTTATTTGCTTGTGAAGTGCAGCAGCCATCAATGATTTTAAATTCTATTAGGATTTTCATTTTATTATTTAACTATTTTTACCATTTTAAACAATTAAAACTTGATATTCCTGATAATTATCAACCAACAGGACTAAATATAAATTCTAGCAGATATCTCAGCTAAGACTCTAAAACCAGTAAAATAGCTTGGAGTGTTAAGTATATGCAGCTCTAAAAACATCTATTAAATCAAATCTTGTGTTTGAATCTTATGTCCTCAAACTTCATCAAAATCTCCAAAAGCATAAGACTTCCCACAAATTCCGCAATACAACAGAAAATTCATCTCTTGTATGAATTCATCCAAAATTTCTTCTTTGTTTTTATCGATCTTATCTATAATTTTGACACAATAAACCAATGAAATAATTGTCTAGGTTCTTTGCATCTATTATTCGCTTTTTCTTTAATCATAACTCCTAACGCTACTGTGAAGTGCAGCAACAATAATAAGTTTCAAATTCTATTATCGTTTTCATTTTATATCATCTTTATACAACTAATAAAACTTTCTTTTGCCTAACTTGAATTATTCTTTATGATTATCTACCAACAGAATTTAAATATAAATTCTAATAGATATTCCAAATTAAAAGCTCTAAAATCATTAAAAATTTTTGAGAGTCTTAAGCATATTCAGTGCCAAAATAACGGACATTCTAAATTAAAATAAAAACGTAAAGGATTATTTATTGGCATGCAAATAATATGTCGGAAGAAGGTGTAGACTATTTTACTTTGTTTAAAGAAGTTTTTGATCCTAAAAACAGAGGATTCATAGTTCCAGCTGAAATTGAGGCTTCATTAATTGCCAATGGATACTTAGATGAGAAAAACTCAGTTATGGACTTGATAGGTTATCTAGATGCTGACGAAAATGGGCGAATTGGTGTTGAAGAAGTTGAAGCTTTACTTCACCCAGACTTCGTCAAGCTAGAAGAGCCTAGCAATATCGAAGATGTGTTTGTTAACTTTGACAAAGACGAAGACCAGCTAATTTCAGTTGACGACTTAAGAACTACCAGTGAATCGCTCGGCTTTCCTTTAAGTTACCGTCAAGCAGTCCTCATGATCCAAGCGTTCGATTCTGACAATGATGGAAAAGTCAACCTTCAAGAATTTTCATCAATATTCCAGACAGCTTAATAACCTTAAATTCAAATTATTATGACTAATACTCATTAATTCGATCTAAAGTAATTCTGCCGAGTTTTCCTTCTCTGAAATGCTTTATTACAGCTTTGCATAAGGCTTGGTCGTCCCAGTGATATTTTTTTTGCAAATGCAAAAGCACTTCTTCTAATACATCAGTAGGCCCAGGGAGATCATATTTTTTAACATAATCAAACATTCTGTGTTTATTTAAACAAAACAATAAGTAATCGCAGATCACGTCAGCTCCTACAACATCATCTCTGATTGCCCCTATTAAAGCAAGTCTTATAGCTTTTTCTGCATTGTCAAGCCTTGGGAGCATAATTCCAGGTGTGTCAATTACATATAGCAAAGGATTCATGCTTACTTTAAACCCTTGGACACCTCTAGTAACACATGGCTCAGGACCTGTTGTGGCTACTTCCTCTAAATAAAAAATCACTGTTTGAATTAAAAGCTTTAGATTTTCTCCTCAATGAGTTAATTATCGAGCTTTTCCCCACATTAGGGACACCTCCTATCATCATCCAGCTTCCTACAGTTTTGAACTTTGGAGGCACAATTTTCTTTACAGCGTCCAAAATAAGATTAATATTCTGATTAGTCGCTGCCGAAAAAAGCAGAACTTTATCACACTCATCTTTGATTTTTTCAGCCAATTGGTTTGTATAGGTGACTGAGCAGAGATCCATCTTGTTTAAAATCACGATTTTTGGCTTGTCGATTGCGTTTTTGGATATAAAAGTGTTAGATGAGGAATATGGGATCTAATTTGAAATTACTCTGGCGTCTCTTACTTCGATGAAAACGTCGCATTTTTTAATTTTTTTAAGCATTTCGTCGGTGGCTTTTTTCATATGTCCAGGAAACCAGTTGATTTTTGGGATGGGGAAATGACTTCTGAATTGGGAAGTCATTGACATTTTAATAATTAAAAAATTAATAAATTTACTATACCTCTATGTTGCAGTCTTTTGGTGCTGTTTGTTTAAGCATAATTCGGTCTTCGCCTTGGAAATTGTTGTCAGCGAGATTAAGAGTTTTCAGCTTTTTGAGGCCAACTAAAATTGACGCTAGAGCTCTAGCGCTTTCTGTGCTTAAATTATTGTTAGATAGTCTTAATGATCGTAGCTCTGCCATACTCTTTATTGCTGCAGCTATAAACTTGGTCCCTTCATTCCCTATCTTATTATTCGACAAATCTATATTTTTCAATCCACTTATATCTTTTATTCCAGAAGCAATACTTTTAGCGCCTTGTGCCCCAAGGGCGTTTTTCGAGATACACAACTTTTGTAGATTTTTTAAGCTTGAAAGCCCTGATGCAATTTTTTTAGCTCCTTCAACGCCAAGCTCAGTGTCTGTAAGTCTCAATGATTTGATTTTATTGTACTTTGGTAGTACAGCTGCTAGCTGTTTTGCGCCATCCTTGCCTAGGCTTACTTTATTCAATTTAATTTCATTGATTGTATGGTGTCTTTCAGCTAAAACATCATCAAAAAGCTGCTTTATTTTTTCATTCATTCCTGCGCCATTTTCTCTTAAAAATTCTATAAGTTTTACATTTGACTGTAAAGGTTGTAAGGTAATTTGAAAAGTTAAGGAGCCTTCTAGTGAAATATTTTTTTCTCTTACTGTACATTTGCTATTAACAAGATTCAATGCATCCATATTAGGGGCATCAAGAACTTTGGCGAGGACTACATTTCCTCTTTCAATGTCTCCATTTGCCGGAGTTTTATCGCATTCAACTATTGCTTCATGTATGGAGCTTTGCTTTGCTCCGCACTCGCGGTTTAAAATTTCTTTTGCTTTGTCGTGCTCTCCTACAATGTGCTGGATAATTCTCGCAGCTTGATTTGATAATTGTGAAATTATATACTATTCTACGCTTTTTAAAATCGAAATATAGATATAAAAATTTATATTATAACTATGGTAATTTTTAATCATATCTATTTTAATAGATATACCTTCCTTGAAATGCCTAGCTTCCCCCTGTGAAGGAACAATACATTGAAAAATCCTTTTTTTTGACAACAAAAACTCCGTGAGCGAACAAAAAAATTTTTTACAAAAATATTTTGATATATAAAGATAAGTATTATAATGAAATCTCTAGCTAATTTGGTTAATTTTTTGCAATTTTTAAAATTTTGAAACAAAGTATTGTAAAATTTATTTATGATTTAAAAAAAAAATTTAACAAAGAACAAATTTCTTTTTATTGGGGAGTAAGCTTTCGAAGTTCTTCAGTCATTCGATACTTTAGCGCTTCTTTTTCCTCAATTAACTTTTGTTCTTCTTCTGGAGTCCTAGTTGGCTTTTTTGGAGCTGCTGGCTTCTTCTTGCCTCCTTTTTTGGTTCCTTTTAGCGCACGGCGGGTTTTGTTGAACTCTAACTGAATCTTCTCCAGATCTGGATCACCAATTAAGACTAGTTTATGTGGGCCTGTAGTTTTTTTTTGATGGTTTGGGACGCATGCTTTGCAAAGCTTTATGTCTTGGCAGAAACAGATAAACTCAGCCTTTTGTTGACAGTCTATGCATACGCTTTCCATATAATTAGATTATTACTCAATTAATTACGTAATGGAGAAGAATCCACCATTTATTTTAATCCTTCTATTTAACTGAAACACTGTATTTGTGTGATCCATGATTTTGCTTTAATTTGTGTATTCTCATTTTTTAAAATTTTATGCACTTTCTTAATTATCTCAAAAAATTTGTAATCTAGAATTCTCTTAAGTAAGTAAAAGGCTTTGAATGTTCTGCTAGCAAAATTAATATTAATTAAGTGATTTTTGTATTTATGATGCTTAAAAAATGGTAAAATAGCTCAAGATACCAGAACCTAAGCTTTGCTATCATGGTTTAGCTTTCATTTTAATTCCATCATATTCTTAATTAAGATGGATGCTTTTCTAGGTGAAATTTCAGATAAACTTCGTACAGAAATTGAAGCAATCAGCACCGAAGTAGAGCCTGAATTAAAACAAGTCATCGTGAGAAGCTATACCTGTATGGCAGACTGCTATAAATCCCCAGATCCACTCAGCCATTGTGGAAATTGTGCAGACAGATGCAATTTACTCGTAAAAGAGCCTCAAGAAGAACTAGAAAAGCACATCCACTACGTCCAAAATACCTTCCAGAACTGCATGCAAGGCTGCGGGCTTAAAATAAATAAATCCGATAACCAAGAAATCAAGACCTGCATTTTCAATTGCTCAAATGACGCTTTCAAATTGCTGGGTGATGTCAAAAAATCAGCCAAAGAAATAATAAGAAAATATCTTGATTAAAAACTTAATATAATTTATGGCGGAACATACCCTTCCCAACGCATCTATCAATAAAATCCTCAAAAAAATCCTCCCAGAAGGAAACAAAGTTGCAAAGGATGCAAAAGATTCAATTAACCGAGCCAGCGTTGTATTTTTACTATATATCACTACAATTGCAAACGAAATTTCACTAGAAAATAAAGGGAAAAAGAAAAAGGCGCAAATTATGCCTGAGCATATAATTCAAGCTTTAGAAGAAATGGAGTTCAGAAATATAGCCCAAGCAGTCAAAGGGATGAGTCCTGCACCAATAAAGAGAAAAGCGTAAATTAATATTACTATAAACGATAATAAATGGAAAACAGTGACGATTGGGTTACCTGCTTTTTGTGTGACACTGCGAGAATTAATCTTCAAAATGATGGCTATCATGAATTTCAGTCTCACAAGATCTGCAACTCCTGCATGATATCGTTACAAGAAAGCGGAAGCATCAAAGGCCAAGCAAATTTAAGCCCGTCTGACTGTACGATCCCTCAAGACCCTGAAATCATTGATAAGTCATTTCCATAAATAAAATGGCTTCCGCTAATTTTCTCTCTCAAGCAATTTTATTTATGGGGTTGGGCTTTACCTCGAGAACTTCTGCACAGCAACAGCGGTTTAACTTTGGGGATAACCAAAGGAACTGCTCCTCAGTGCGATCAAGAGGCCTAGGTCTTTGCCCCTCAACACACCTGAAGGAGGTGGACTCTTAGGCGGAACACGTGCAGGAGCTGATTCGGAATAAAGCCTTGGCGGCAGCGAAGCCCGTCGAAGCCGAACGGCGTATTTACCCGTGCCTTGGCGAATCGAAGTGGGTCGATCCAGAGGTCATGGCCCGACACGTGGATAAATATGGTGGCAGCTCTAGAAACGGCTACCCCGTAGTGGACGTAAAACGTTATAAATAATTAAGATTAAGATAAGTCATTTCCAGTTTGCAATAACCACAGCATAAAGTGTAAACTATTTTGTTCTAAATGCATTGAAGCTATTTGTATTAGCTGTTTAAAGCAGCATAAGTTTCATCTAATTGAAAGCTCGGCAGAACTTGCCAGAACCTTTCTAAAAGCACTCCACCAGTTGGAATTTTGTGCTTATTACTGCGAAGTAAACTCGACTGATGAAGAGTCCAACAATGCAGCCCAAGCCTTAAAACAAGAAGTTATCCAGACCTATAACAGAGTAAAAGACCAAGCTGCAAACTCCATTGCAAAAGAGCTGTCAATTTCTTGCCAAAAATATGACGAAACTTTAGAAGGGTTAAATTCAGACTTTTTAGGCTTATCATTGGATGAAAAATATAAGCTTGTAAGAGAAGGAAGACAAGTGTATACGAATACAAACCTGTTGCATTGGATAGAGTGAAATGATAGGACTGTGCATATGCTAGACTTAGCTACTATGACGAGATCTACACATATGTTTGCTGATGATTTTATCGCACCTTATTATGTGAGGTCTGCTATGGTGGCCCCAACTAATAAGTAAATATGGCGTTTCAGCGCTTCGCCGACTACCTTCGAGCACATATTTAATTATATCTAGCAAGGTTTTGCCATCCACGAGATGACTAATATGCTAGGTAAGCAATTCTGGTTGTATTTAGAGCTTAGTCCAAGTCTAATTTCAGGGATGGTTTTCTCCTCTAGGGAAGGAAGGCATAGAAGTTGGAAAGGAGAAGCCCAGCAGAGTCCTCTGGACCATTAGGGCAACTCGCTATCGTAAAACTGGTCGTTACATCCCAGGCTGCGTGCTTTTTCTTTTGCCGATAGTTGGCCAGAAATCTATTTTTTGATTTTCCGTGCAGGCAACCATTCGCAGCAGCCTGAGGCAAGGTCTCCGGAACCATTCAAAACTACAGCTATCTCGAAGTAGCGAGGAGGTGACGATCAGGCAACCCGACGATCAGAAGTAGATGTTACCGCAAAGCGGATGAATCCCCATGTGAGATCCTTGGTAACCGAGTTAACAAAGCGGACTTATACCCTCTTAATAAGTAAGTAAGTCCCCAACTAAAATTTTCATGTGTGGAGGAAGATTTGATGTAACATCGCTTGGATTGAGATCAGCCTGGCTTGTGCATATTGATCAAAACTATAAAGTGGAGCAGCTTTGTGATATGTTTATAGGAAGATCAAATCATTGGGTACTCTACCATAATGATTTTGTATATGTGATTGCCGGGTGTGACTCAAATAACGAATTCACTAATAAATGTGAAAGAATGAACCTCAGGACAAGACAGTGGGAAATGATAGCAAGCACTAATGAAATTCGAGATACAAGCACAGCAATTGTAAAAGACGAAAATATCTATATTTTCGGAGGGAGATCAGAAAGCACAAAACTAGCTAAAACTATTGAAAAATATATAGTTGAAAAAAATTCATGGATTGTTTTGAACTTTATCATGCCATTTGAAACAAGTGTACAAGGCGCTGTCTTGCTCCCAGGAGAAAGCAGAGAAATTTTAATCTTTGCAGGACAAGATTCAGGTGGAAAACCTCTTAATAGAGTTGCAAAAGTTAATTTGGAGACTGAGAGTGCATATGAGATGAATCCAATGCCATCGAAAGGAGGATGTGTAGTCAACGAAGTCTTGGTGTTTGGAAACAAGGTTTATTCTTATATATTTAAAGGCTATAACGCAAGAACATTAGAAACTTGGGACCTCACCACAGAAGAGTGGAAAACTGAAGCTCAAAGCTAATTAACGAATTTACAACTTTTTAAATTTAGTTGCATATTTATTAAGTCTTTCCATCCTGGCATTTGACAGTTTTAGCCCTTTTTGAATTATTTTTTCTTCATTCCGCTTACTCCCCCCCATCCTTGATCGAACGACTCCCCATCGTTCGATCAAGGATGGGGGTTTAAAAAAAAATTATATATAAAATAAAAAATATACACATATATTGTTTTTATTTACTTTTAAATAAGAGGGTTAAGAGTATTTAATAATTATTTTTCCAGTAAAAAATTGAATTAATTTCATAAAAATACCAATTTTTAATATTTTGATTTATTAGTTACCCTTTTAAACTTATAAAATTTTAATTTGTTCCTTATTGAATTAAATTTTTTTTTTTTTTTTAATTTTAAAGAATCTCTATTTTTTAGATTATTGATTTTTTAAAGCCTAGGTTGATAACTAAATCACTTCGGATTGTTGATTCCGCAGCTTTCTGTCGTCTCAAAGCTCTGAAAAAAACTTCATTAGGTACATCTTCCCAAGCTCTTGATGACTAATATATTTTTATATATAAAAAATTTGCATGATATGAAAATCGTTCGATCAAGGATGGGGGGTTAATTTCCCAATTTTTAGGAATTTTTACAGTCAATCGTTCGATCAAGGATGGGGGGAGAGTTAGAAACTTCTGATAACTCTCCAGCTCTTTTTAAGGTTTTATTAGAAATTTTGTTTTGAGGCTTCAGCAAACTGCTTGGGGATATATTTGTTTCCTTTTTGTCTGAGTCCATAGTTTCGAAAATAGCTTGTGATGGGGTGTTTTCTAATGGGTACTCTTTTTTTAAATACTCATCAGTACTGCTATCGTCTTCAATTATTAAATTTTCATATTTAAATTCTTCTTCCCCCACCAGCTCATTTGGCTGCATATTTCCTAACCCTTTTCATGTTATAGGGTCTGAGTTTTTTCTTGCCATTTTGGCTTTATAAGTTTCTGGTGGGCTAGGGACCACTTTTCTAGCAAAAATTATTGCATCTGAAGGAACACTATGAGCTATCACATGGGTGGAGCTTTTTCTCTGTTTATTATCCTGCTCACTTTGTTTTGTTTTTTTCCACTCCTGTACACTCTGCTTTAGTTTTTGCTTTTTCTTTAAATCAAATTTATTGGCGATATCGTCTGCAGGGATCCTCGTTAACAAGTCAGGGCCAAAAGGCTGCGAAAATCCTTTGCATTTTTTAAGGTAAATTTGTGGATCATGAAATCCTAAAATTTCATAAAATTTATATTTTTTATCAGCAGGTTCCTGGTCTTTGAAATCAGTTCCATTAATAGAATCATATTCTGCATCTAAAAAGAGCAAGGCCATTGAGTCTAAAACTTTTATAAAAACTTCTTCGTTCATCTCTCGATGGTTTATTGCATTTTTAATGAAAATTTGTTTAATTGCTTTTTTAGGGAGGGATTTTTTGTTAGGATTTTTCGAAATGTCTAGAATTGAGAAATCCTTGCAAAATATTGTGAATTTGCCTAGATTAAGGGTTTCTGAGTTCTTTTTAATTAGTTCAAAGTTTTGGTGGAGGCCCAGAAGATTCTGTTGGCAAGCATAAAAATTAAATACTTCGTGAATCCCAGATTTAAATCTCTCAATAAGAGGCTTTTCTTTAGAAATTCTTTTTCTAGGGTATTTTTCTTGGGACTTCTTAAGCTGAGTTTTAAGGCTTTTAAGTAAAGTCTCAATTATTGATGTATCCTCATTATTTTGTGTTTTTTCATATTTTATTTGCTCATAATCAGAAATTGTTTTCTGAAGTTTAATTTGGAACTCATCAAACTCTGCGTAAGGAAATTGCGAATCTCCTGTAGCCCCAAAAGTTTGAACACTTCCACCAAATGGTGAGGGGCTGGATTTAGACACAACGCTCATTTCAGATGATTTTATGGCTAATCTTGGAGAGCTACCAAAGTTCATAAGATTTAAATGATCTTTCTGGTCTAATTTTTTTTTATTCTGTTGTATCGGACTGGCTGAATTTTGTGGTATTAACTCAGGGTTATTATTCAAAAACCAGTTATTTGCAATCGATTTAAATTCAGCCAAAGAAATTCGTATAGGTGTAACTTCAGTAGGCTGAGTTTGGTCAGTTTCTTCATCACCAAATAACCCTCCACCAAATATGGATTTGGCAGCGTTTTTGCCTTCTTTCCAATTTTCATAGTCTTTGATGAAATTTTGTATCTGACTTTCATCAGCATTTACATTGACATTAACTAAAAGATTTCTGAAAATATTTATCGGGTCGTCTTTTTCAAGCGTTTCGTTTAGCCATTTATCAAATTTGTCAAGCCTTTTCTGAAATTCTATGGGTGCGTTGTAAGCTGCATCTTCTTTGCTTTCAATTGCTTCATCTAGGTATTCTTCAGTATAAAATGGAAAAGCTTCATAAATATCTTTATTATCATTTTTCGGTTGGTTTCTTCCCAGCTTCTTATTTTCTATAAGCTTTTGTTTAATAAAAATTACTAATTGGCTTAATGCAATATCGATGTCAATGTGTCTGTATTAAAATTACTCTGAGTCTTTCGGCTTGCTGATAGCGAGATTAAGGAGCTGAAAAGGAATACTGTAACTTGTGCATAACTTCTTAAGTATGGCTTGTCAGTTTTTAATATTGACAGATCCAAATTGATCAAGCACTCTGCTATACTCGCTTTGGATTAGATCTACGTTGGAGCCTTCAATGTCTCTTAATAGAGCTTCTAATCTGAATTAGGAGTTACACTTGATTTTCAGATGACATGGTTAAATATAATAAAAAACTTTAATTTAATTCCATTTAGTAAACTAATAAAATATTGACCTTATTATAAATTCTCAACTTTTTATGTTCCTCTCATCATTCATAAAAATCAATGCTTTAAAATGGACCTCTCTTATGAATCTACTGACAAATGAATCAAAAAGGTCATTTGTGTCAATAAATTAATATAGCGTGAATTAGCTGGGAGCTTGAAGATTATTTGAGATGATAGAGCTAAGTTTAAAATTTAGGCAATAGTGAGTGAATCAGCGGAAAAATAGCTCCATAAGAGGAATATATAATCCAGATTGTCTACTAAAAACTCCTGGATTTAAATTTGAGACTTAGGCTTTTAAGCATCTGCTTATCAGCCTATGAAACATTTTTAAATGCTTAACTCATCATACAGAAGACTAGTAGCATTTTCATGGCATAAGAGGCTTCGTCAGATACTGGAAGTTCGCTACTGAAATGCTAATAATACTAAGTAAAATTTTGAATTAAAGGAGAGTTATTTTAATGCTTGATTTTCTTAAAAATCCTTAGCAATCATAGTCAACAATTATTTATAGTAGCTAAAGCAGGCTAGTAGCACATAATTGATTGATGCTTTTTATATATTTTTGTGATTTAGATAAATTCAACGCTTTCAATGTGAATCATTGCTTAATTTATTTTAATAAATAAGCAGCAGATTAAGCACATATTAATTATCTTACTTAGTCAAAATCCTTTTGTTTCTAATGAAAGGCCAAACCTAGAGAGCTGCTTAGTGTTTTGATTATATAGCTAGTTAAAATACCAAGTATTATTACAATTCAGAGGGTACTCATATTTTCCTCACAAAATTGTACAAAAATTTCTAGGTTATCTTATTTGTGAATATAAAATTTAGGCTTAAAACCCATACCATAAATAAAGAGCCAAACAAGAATTTACAAAAGAATTCAGTCGTAAAACGAGGCTTCAATTATAATTTCCAGCCAGATGAAAATGAGATTTAATTTATTCGAATCAAAACAGTGTCTTATTAGCTGAAATTTGTAAACAATAGCATTTTAAATGAAGAAATATCTTCTAAAAATAAAACTCAACGTTTTGCATATGAAAAGGACTAATAGCCTTTAGAATGGTATAAAACTGATGTTGATCGAATTGGCAGACTTATAAAAGAAGAAGCGCTGTGAATAATAATAGCCTTAAGCTCGATAAAATGCTTTCTAATTGGTATTTTGACAAGAGTTTGATTACTACCCATTAGTTGAAGGGCAAAACTATTGAAAATTAAAATAATAATTTAAAAATGTTTTAAAAATAAAATTTATACGAGCTTCAATAATTCACGGAGGGGAGCTAATAAGGTGTATTTGAATCTTAGAGCATTTTGAAGATAATCTAAATAAAAGAAGTATCACAATTCCAAACTCTATAACTGTGGCAGTGCAATAGATTTATCTAGGCACTCGGAGCAAAAGCTTCTTAAAACAGAAGCTGCATACCTGCTATATTGAAGCAGACTATATCTTAAACTAATCATATAATTCCTACTTTATAAATAAACTAGCTCTATTTATTCATATCTCTAATGCAAATATCATAAGAGCACTCAGCGCAATTAAATGACCCGACCTTTGAAAATATTTCTCCACACTCATTGCAGCTATATGCACCTCCTGAATAATTTTTCGACGATTTATTGTTCCAGCGCAGCAGATGGTCATTCTCGCATTTCTTTGTATAAGGCGAAGACAGATGAAGAGCTAAGCTATCAGCGCAGTCATTACATAGATCAAAGCAGCATTTTCTGCAGTGAAAACACTCTTCAGCTTTAGTCAGTTTGCAGCCATTGCACATAAAGGATTTTGGCTTACCTATAGACTCATAGTATGAGCAACTATCAGCATAATGCAAAATGTGTTCTTCTGGACACAAAAACCCTGGATGAGGGCCAATAGGTCCGCTATAATAGCTAGAGCAGGAGTCACACAAGTCATAATCGCATTCATTGCAGTGTTGGCAAGCTGAATTTATAGGTGCTCTGCATTCATCACATCTTGGAAATCCGCCATATTTTGTCTGATAAATCTCTACTATATTATTTTCAATTGCCAAACGATGGTTTTTTCTGCATGTCATATCCAATCTCGGGTACTTATAGCCATGCTTAGTCCCACATTTTCTGCAGAGGTCATAAAGGCAAGTCCTGCAGTGCCAATGAGCATCATCACCTATCCCCTGGCATTCGTTACATGAATATGAAGTGGAACCATAATTGGTTAAATAGTATGAGACTACGTCACATCTCCATTGCAGCTCTTTTGATTCAGAGCACAGCAACTTAGGCGGGGTCATATTTTTTGCTAATCCACATTCTTCACACACGTCATATTTGCAGTCTCGGCAATGCCAGCAGCCCGTCGAAAAATTTTTTCCACAGAGATTGCAAAATATCATCCAAGTTCCAGAGATTTCTTTATAATGGAATGGGACATCATTTGCCCAGGCTAAAGCATGGCCACTGTCACAGGTGAATGGTTTATTAAGATCAATGGGTTTTTCTGATGGCTGACCAGAGTTTAATAAAATTGCAGTATCTGCGACAACTGCTTCAGACTCTTCTTCATTTTTATCTAAAATGGATTTTATTTTAGACTCAAAGATTTGAGCTGCGTTTTTGATGTCAAAAGGCCTGTACTGTTTGAGTAAAAATTGACGAATTTGATATGGATCTATCAATGTTTTTAGCCCTGCAGGTAAGTTTTTAGCTTTTGTTTTTAGATCTTCTAAGCTTATACTACTTTCTGCCATCACTGTCGTTCTTTTAACTAGCCCTAACGCCAGCCACAAAGAAGCCACTAATTTTGTTTCGTAAATCCTAAGCCTGCTTTTACTGATTGTTTCTTCATCATCTCCTTGAGCTACCCAAATCATCTTAATAGCAGTTGCGAAAACATCTCTTATCATTAGTTCAAACTTCGCAATATCCATTGCAGGAAGCTGAGCTGACTCTACCTTATTCATTTCGTCAGCTATATAAATTTTGTAGAGCTGTGAGACTTTTTCCTCCTCAGAGCCGAGTCCAAGAAGAACACAAACAATTTTCAGCTTTTTCGCGTCGATTTGTTCACTGTTGCCAATAGACCTATAAAAAGAGTTGAATGGGTTTGTAGGAAAGGAGAGAAAAGAGGAGTCGATTTTTAGCGATGCTAAAACTTCTTTTAGACCTGCAATAGTGATAAAACCTTGGTTTTCTTTAGCAGCGAATTGACTTACAAGGTTTACAGCTTTAGAGGTATGCAATCCCATTTCGAGCTGCTTGAGGAAAATAATCCTTTCGTCGTCTGATACAATTTCAATAGGAGCATTCGACCCACAACAGCCCATTGTACAAAGTCTATTATAACAAAAAATATGGATTTTTTGAAAAACACCTATCAAATCTGAATTTCATTATTTAATTTAAATTATTCTAAACTCATTCAAGCAGTGATCCTATTTCTTGCAAGAGCAATTAATGAGGCATAGAAATGCTGATTTTTATGGCTCTTAAGCAGTTTTCATTATTCGTCCCACAAGAATCCAATACATTTTATAAGGAAAACCAGCTTTATCTATGCATCTGATATTTGGGCTGAATGTTGTTCTTTTACTCATCAACTTCCGGCAGAGAACGTGCTATCAATAGCGTTATTATCTAATTAATTAATATTAATATCATGATGATTGCAAAAATTTTTATTTTAATAATAAAATGAAAGTGCCATCTTTTACAGATTTGCTTGGGCCACTTCCAGGGATTATTGCAGGGTTAAAGAGCTATAGGCTTTTTAAAGCCATTGATAGCCCAAATAATGCTAAAGCTTTAAAGTTTTTAAAGAAGAAAAGGAACATTTTTAACTTAAAACAAGCAAACACAGGTCTGAATCCTCTGCACTTAGTTACTATGAAAAATGATACTCAGTTAATTGAAGCGATCACAGTCAGGCAGGACTGCAAAGCACACATAAATGACCAAGATAATGATCAGCAATGGGCTGCTATTCATTTTGCAGCACAAAATGGCAATTCAGAAGCTTTAACATATTTCCTCAAACTAGGAGCTATATCTTTTTCTATAAATTTGCCTAAAAACTAATAATTTATCATATAATTTGCTTTCTTTTAATAAAACAAATTAAATGTGTAAAAGTTATAATATTTCAATTAAAAACAAAGAAGGCTCTGGGCCAATTCATATAGCAGCTGGGCACAATCACAAAGACTTCATTCAAAAACTAATCGAAAGAAGTGTCCATATAGATGAAAGAGACGCAAAAATGAGAACAGCCCTTCATTATTCCGCAGTCCAAAACTTCGCAGACCTCGCAGAATGGCTCGTCTCGAAAGGTGCCTCCACTTCTGTGGTCGACAGTGTTGGAATGACCCCAATTTATGTAGCTGTGCATGCTGGTAGCTTCAACGTCACTGAATTTTTGCATAACTATAAAGACGGATATAGCCAAAGAACTCATTTAGATGGTCCTGGACTGGGAGAATACAATCCAACTCCTCGAGTTGTTCAAGCTGACAAACCAACTTGGGAGGTTGACAAATACCTAGTATAAAGCTTATTTGTCAATTCCCAAACTGGTTTGCCAGCTTGAGCTAAAGAAACAACTCGGGGAGTTGCACTGCATTCTCCAGCCCAGACCCATCTAAGCGTATTCCTAGCCTATATACAAAAATCCCAGGAAGCAAATGCAAGCTAATCCATTTAGCTTGCAGACACCAAGACACAAAAATCCTTGAATTTTTGCATGCAAATGGGCATGATTTGTGGGATTTTGATAATGAGGTAATTGACAAGAAAGGTTGATAGAGAAAGTGTGTATCATTATGCAGCTCTTGATGGGGCAGTCAACTGCATAGACTATTTGGTTAGTAAGAATATAGCAATTGATAGACAGGACTCGAGAGGCTTGACACCGCTACATATTGCGGTAGGAGTGAAGAATTTGGCAGTTATAAAGAAACTATGTGAAGCAGGAGCGAAACTTGATATACCGAATATTGAAGGACTGAGTCCGTTTGATATGGCTGAGAGTGTCCGTGATCATGCGACTTTGACTTTATTGAGGAGGTTTAAGAGATAAATAATAATTAAGTGGTAGGATTTGGCTTTTTGAAATGAAAAATCAAAATTTTCTTATAGCATATACGATAAGTTAAGCAAATTCAGATGTAATGAAACATTTGGAATGGATAATTGTCGAAATATATGAATATTCAGAATCAAGCGTAGCTATCAGAGATCAGGATAGAAATTCATCATATTAATTGCAGCCCATAATAAAAATTATTATATTTAGTATGGCTTATGAGAATATAAATTAAAGATTGAAATTAAATAATATTATATTCGCTTATATGAGATTAATAGCTAATGATAATACAGTACGATAGCTTTATAACTAAAACAATAATATAAATGTTATTAGAATAAATATTTTAATTTTATTAAATTTAGAAATAAATCAATCAGAAATCTCAATTAAATAGCAAGACTATATAAAAATTAAATAGGGAAATTTAATTTAAAACCATATATATATTAACCATTTGATAATTTGCTAGCATTTGCATATAAATAAATAATTATCTTCCTATCACATATATTATATTTCGCTGAGCCCAGGCAATCCAAAAATAAATGATTTTAGCCTCCTATTTCAAATAACACCAATATTTTATTTCCATTTTTGCCAACGAAAAATTGGTGTTATCTAATTTATCTTTTTAAGTCTCGATAATTTTTATAATGGGGAACTGTCAACAATCTTTCTTCACAAAAACGATAACGTTTATCTTCGATCCTCGATTTTTCCCAGTCCCTAAGCGTACTCAGAAGGTCCCAGCCAATACCACAATAAAATCCCTTTGCCGAGAACTAAAATCGCTAATGTCCCCATCATTTCCTAGACATGCTCACTCAATAAATCTCCGATTTCGAGAAAAAACTTACTATCACAAAGACATCACCCTTCTTTCTGAGCTTTTCATTAAAAAAGGTGAAAAAATATTCGTGCATGTCGTTCCCAAATCAAAAGATTTCCGACTGATAAATGTAAAGATCCACTGCTGCAAACACTCAAATATATGCCTTTCAGTGTCGAATGAGTCTACTATTTCTCAGCTAGAAGATTCAATTTCAGGCTTAAAAGGCTGCTGCTCTAATCACTCTTGCAAGTTATTGTGCGACGACCTAGAACTTAGGTCAGATGAAAGCTGTGAGTTCCCTCCCGGGCATTCTTTGCATGCTCTTTACCAAGGACAACATTTAGGATGTGCCCCAAGTCCTTGAAAAATTAAACAGCCAGGGCTGATACAAGAAGGGATATGCATGAATCAGAACTGTCTTGCTTATAAGCAGTCAGTATGCATTAATAAAGGACTCGGGAAGTTCAACCTGGTTAATGAGAACGAAATTGGAGAGCACCGTTGTACAATGTGCGAACAAAATTTGTATAATACCAAAAGATTTGGATTTATTAATTGTTGGTATCAATATGTAGCATATGGCAGAGATGGAGGAACACAGCAAGAAACTTGTACAGCTGGCTTCACATATTGTGAATTCGACCTCTTCAAAAACTTTGACTGGGAAAGGTTAGATGTTTTGGTTTCAAAATTGTAAGTTTAATTATTTATTAATACGAATCCTTATGTTAAATTTCTTATTACTATTAAAAAATATTTAAATAGAAATCCCTGATATAAAATTATAATAAAATGATGGTGAAATCAATGCTCAGTTTTTGCTTATTTTTAGTAGCATTTGCAGAGGAAGCAGCAACAGACGATTCAAGCATTGATGTAGGACTCGAACAAATCTGTATTTGGCTCCCGATTGTGCTAGTTCTTACAGTTGGGTCTGCAGTGTATGCTCTCTTCAATATGGATGAAGGAAGAGACTCATTACTAAACGCAAAATTCTTAATTGCTGAGCCAAGCCATGAAAGACATTAAATAATCAAAATTCCTAATAGAAATAGAAAGATTATGGTATTAAGGCAACATATGAATAATTTATACTGTGCTGGATTAAGTTTAGCCTGTTATTATGATTCTTATATAAAATAAAACATTAATTATTAAAGATAATAGCATTTTGGAGTTTAGTTTAATCTATTATATCATATAAATCTACCTATAAAAGCTTCTACGCTTAACGACGTAAATTTTCTTTACATATTTGGCAATTCATACTTATCCCAATTGAATTTTACTTGAAATAATCAAGCGCTTAAAATTATTTTATTTACTCCCCCCCATCCTTGATCGAATGATTGATTGTAAAAATTCCTAAGAATTGGGGAAATTAACCCCCATCCTTGATCGAACGATTTTCATATTATGCAAATTTTTATATATATAAAAATATATTAGTTATCAAAAGCTTGGAAAATGTACCTAATGAAGTTGTTTTCAGAGACTTTGAGACGACAAAAAGCTACGAAATCAACTATTCGAAGTGATTTAGTCATCAACCTAGGCTTAAAAACTCAATAATCTAAAAAATAGAGATTCTTTAAAATTTTAAAAACAAAATTTAATTTAATAAGAAACAAATTAAAATTTATACAATTTAAAGGATAAACTAATAAATCAAAATATTAAAAATTGGTATTTTATGAAATTAATTCAAATGTTTGCTGTAAAAATAATTATTAAATACTCTTAACCTTCTTATTTAAAAAAAAAATAAAAAAAATATATATATATATTTTTTTTATTTTATATATAAATTTTTTTTTAACCCCCATCCTTGATCGAACGATGGCGAGCCGTTCGATCAAGGATGGGGTGGAGTTTTATACAAATTTTCCTTATTATTTCTACTCAATTTAAATCTATTAGAATGCTTATGAGGTATTAATATCTTGCAGTGCGAAATATTGCGTGACTGCTTGGTTGATTTGTCTCCTCATTTCTTGTTTCATCTGGCTCCTAGCTCTTAGTCTGTAATACAGCAAAGCAAATATTAATAAGCAGAAGAACCCAAGCAGTATCATTATCAAAGTGGTCATAGAAACCATATACTGATTTTCTGGCCAATCACTTCCATATCCATTATCAAAGCAGCTCTGAGGCGTTTCTTCAAAAGCTGAACAAATTGCATCAAGGACGTCTTTGCTATCCCAATTTCCCATGTACGTTTGATTATTAATCACAATAGCAGGGTAAAACTGCACTCCAGAGTGCTTCCACTTCCTCCTTTCTTGCCTTAAAATACTATTATCGTCCATTGTTACATTTTTGCCTCCTTCAGTTGAATCTTTTATGCATTTATCGATATCTTTATAATCCATCCCAATCTCATTAATAATTTTTTTTGAGCATTCTTCTGTAAATGATGATATACACCTTTTCCTGAAGAGAGACATGTATTTAAACCATACTTTGTGGGATCCTTTTGCCTCTGATGTCATCCATAAGCATTTTTGTCTTAAATCTTCAGCTACAATGCTTTTTCCTGTAAGTGGTCCGAGACCGTCAGGGTCTGCTGCGCAGTATCTGCCACCACTTAAGCAGTTATCGACTGGAGATGTGAAGTTGTTATCAGCACATACAGAACATCTCCAGTGTACGTAATTTGGAGAAAATGTAACAAGGCTGAAGTCAACTTCATTTATAGTGTCATACAATTCCGAGACAAAGTCCAAAATTTTCAAATTGTCACTGGACATTCATAGACCTAATTCGACATGGAGATATGATTTTCTCATTGAAAACTCAAGCCCAATTTCTACTATTTCGCCTGAAATGATCTCATTTATTATATCGTGCCCATCGCTCTTTGTTATAAGAGCACTTGGGATGTTCACGTCTGTACCTACCCCATCGTCACTTAGAACATGTTCATTAATATCTCCATCCATGCTATTTGCTATAATCACACAATTAACCCCGATTTCTTGGGCATGCTTTACTTTAAGTGTATTTGGACATCTGCCTATTTCAACTATAAGGAATGATGCCTGGAACTCTTCTGGCTGATGGACTGTTAAGTTTGTGAAAGGGAGACAGCCAAGTCTTTCACCTTCATTTGGCAAATAGACTTTTCCTATAATTTTTCTTCCATATGGCGGATTTCCAAAGTTTGCAATTGAGATTGGTATTGAATTTTTATCGTATCTTTGAACAATACTGTCTTTTAGAGTTCTTGGGCGATAAATTGTGATATCTGCTGAAATGAAAACGCTGAAGGTGATTAATAGAGAAAAGACTCTAAATAATACCATTTTCTTTATTTATTATTAGACTTATTGATATTTGAATATTGGAGAACTCTTTTTATATTCCAGATTATTTTTATATTTTTTTACACTAATATATAAAGACTCTATGAATGATCTTGACTTTCTGTCTGCAGCATGGACAATCAATTAATGGATACCCATCTTCTCTTTCTTTATCCATCGGCAACCCCATATATATGACACAACTATGACAATAAGAAGAATGCCCACATGGCAGAAATAGTGTGTTTTTCTTTTGATTCATGCAATAAATGCACAGCTCTTTTTCTTCATTATATAAAAATTGAGGCTCGCTATAAGTCCTTTCCCTGACTCTAATTTCGTCTCTTTCTCTAGTAATTGAGGCTAACTGTTCTTCCAGTACTCTATATTTTTCACGCAAGTCGTCAATAATTGCTTCATATTGGCTGTTCTGTATAAATGAGAGCTTTTTTTCTTCTTTTTTAATATGTCTTTTAAGCATCAATTCTCGATCAGCGTTTTCGTGCTTTAGGTCATTAATTTCATTAATAAGAAGGTCTCTTTCTTTAATAATTACTTCAAAATCTCTTCTGAATTGTTCTTCCATTGCTTCTTTTTGGTCATTTATTCGATGTTTTAGTTTTTTAATTTCTTCACTTTGAGCTATTATTGTTTCATTTAATAAATTTAGTTGCTCCATGTAATTTTCTTCAATCATTGCTATATCAGCTTTTAATTGCTCGATTCTGACTTTCTTTTTGTGGCTTTTGCCGCTTTTTCTTGCTAGCTCTTTGTTTTCTGCTTTTAATATGTCAAGCTGAGCGCGAATTTCTTCATTGCTTTTTTGTAACTGGTTGAGATACTCGATTTTTTTATTAAGTTCTTGTTTTAATTTTTCTTCGCTGTTCTTTAGATTATATTAGATTTATTGCTATTGTCCCGGGAATTATTTCAACCCTTCTTTATCCTGCCGCTGGCTTCAGCTTCAATGGCCCTATGGTCAAGTATAAAATTAGCTCCCACCCCCCTCAATATCAAGCTACCTAGATTTGATAATAAGAAATCTAAGATATATTACAGTATTTTCGCTTTTAAACACTAAAGTGCGATTTATAGCATGTTTACAGATATGTTTAATACTTTATTTCATATCCCTACTACAAACCAAATTTTTATATGGTTAAATTTTAGACTAATAAATAAAAGAGTTAATAGAGAAATACGCTGGGTTCGCTTAATTATTGCATTTTAAGCATGAATTCAGTTCAACTCTGCTTTAAAATGGATAGACACACATAAACCAATTCATACATAATTATGTATCATAGGCACATACAATATCTAGCATCGTTTTCGCTAAATTAATGCTTTTAATACATTTTAATATCCTTAAATAACTTATTTATCTATAAAACATGATATATCTCATTTAAATTTGATACAAAAATGTGAACTAAATTTTCTAGCTATATAAAATATTTTGTTCATAGTAGGGATATGGAATAAAGTATTAAACATATGTGTAAAACATGTTATGGCGTAGGAGCGAAAATACTGCAACATCTCTTATTCCTTATTATCAAGACTAGGTAGTTTGGTATTGAGAAAGGTGGGGATGGCTTTTATGCTTAGTCAGCCCTAGTCACCGATTCACACCACACCCTTTTCTTGTCGACGCTGCCAAAATTGGCGACTTTAGCAATCTCTCGGGACTATTGGCTTTTCAACAGAAGATTCTCTTAGCTCTCTAAGTGTCCAGAGCATGAAGGAAAATGCAACTACCTCCTTCAGGGCTACCTCGCCTTTATCAAATGTATATTGCTTCCCAGAAGTTCGAGTAGATTTTAACGCCTTAGATTTCATGGTATCCTGATCAGTGAAAATCCCACCCTGATCTTTCTAACATATGGAGTTCAATTCCCACTCAGCAGTGACTCGGACATAATCACCACTTGTCATCTTTTAAAAAGCCGCTATACTTTAAGAATGAAATTTCTTCTTCTAAGCTTGGCTCTCTAGTATTTTCACTATCTAGAAAAGCTTGTTTTCTGTCTTTAATACTAAATGCTATACTTTGTTCGAGACTGCTTGGCTGCAAGCAATCTTCAAACCAATGACTATTAGACCTCTCTCTATGGCCAGCATCTTCATTCTTGCAATTCTCTATTATGTTTTCCCTACAAAAATCATCTTCTTCTTGATGAAAATCTTTAATATCTGCATCTACTAATTCTTGCTTGCGAAGGCCAAGGGCAAAACAGCTTACATCCAAGCAGTTAATAATGAATAGAACTTCAGTTTTCCCACAATATTCTTGCCACCTTTAAAATAAAATATTTATAAAATAATGTAAAAAATTTATTTTAATTATGAGTTTATATCAAATTATTCTGGACTCATATTCATTAATTTCATATATATTTTTTAAGATCTGCTGCAATTATTTTATATGAAAGAGCATCCTCCATTTATTAAGAGATTTAGAATTTTTATAGAAAATAAAAACACTTCTTTATACATCATAATTGGCACACTCAAAACTTTTTGAACACTTGAAGATTGTCTAGGATTTGAAGTCACCTTCGATAAAAGTAAAACCATTAAACTTTCATAAGCCAAAATCCCACAGCAAATTGCAATTTCCCATACGGTTTGGTGTAAATAAAACACTAGCTCCCCCCTCCGTGAGTGAACAAAACCATTAGAAAAATCCCTATTTTTTGCCTAAAAACCCACCCTCCGTGAGTGAACACAAAAATTTTTTATAGAAAAAATTTTTATATATAAATGATAATTATATATGAAATCTAGAGCTAATTCTGTTTAATTTTAAACAAATTGCTTTTTTAAAACATAAATTTTTATAAATTAAATTAATATTTGCTTTCCAAATTTTTTGTGAATTAGGATTTTTTTTTTAAATTTCGAAAAAATATATTTTTTTATAAAATTTATATATAAATTTTTTTAAAAAAAAATTAACCCCCCTCCGTGAGTGAACAAAATTTTTTTGTTCACTCACGGAGGGGGGGAGTAAGAGCAGCGATTTTCCAATTGAAATGCATAAAACAACAATCAAAGATTTCATAAGAGAAAAACTGCCTGAAATATAGACTATTGTAGACAGCCAATAAAAAGCAAATACTTGAAAACTGTAATGAATTACCGCTATTTCAGGGCTAAAGAAAAGAGACAGTCCACTAAGGAGAACTCCTTCTGATACCGCTAAAAGAGCTATTGTTACAAAGCTGGAGCTTAGCTTTGGGTTCTTTGTTTTAAAGTTCAATATCACTAATATTGTGATAAAATACGATACGACACCATATACCAAGGCTATTGTTATTATTAAGTGGTTATTTGAGCTGATCATCATTGACAAAATATTCAATCCCATCGAGAACATAAAAGAAAAAATAGTTTTCGTTGCAAATATTGTGAGCACTAGTGATATCAGTTTATACCTCGGGAATGTTTTATATTTAATATTTTTGAAATTTCTGTCTATTTTTGATACGTCATGTTGGCTTGATAAAAGAGGAGAACTTAAATCAATAGCAATAACAATTAAATTTATTAATTCCTACCCTTTTGGAACAAAAAATCCATTTCCAATTTTATTGGGTTAAATTTTGTAAAAACAAATATTTTAAAATTGCTAAAATTAAAAAGATATAAATTGAATCTAATATGAAGAATTAATTCAAAAAATTAATTATTAAAGTGTAAAAGCCATCTAAAAATATTCTATTTGCACTTTTTCATTTTGGTTAAAACTAATTTTATAAAAATTAATTTTTCACCTATAAAATTTTCCTATTGAAAAAAAAATTGCTTAAGTTTAAAGGTTTAAAGTACCCAAAAAATGAAAATTTTACCTATGTTTTTTCCTATTTAAAGGGAGGAGTAAGATTCTCGTTTAACATCATCTCCAGGTTGCCTGTTGCCGCAACTGTCTTCAAAACCGCTCTGGGGTGAATTCACGCCATCTTCCTCCCCCCACCAAAGTGTGCCACCTTAGGCTCCGAAGATTCTTCTTCGAGCTCAAGCTACCTACTTAGGTCCGTTAGATACCCTAAAGGTCTCAATCCACCGCCTGAGTAAGTGGTACCTTTCTGGTAAAATTCGATTCCAGATCAAGAGTCATTTAGGAAAAAACACCCAACTCTTGCTTCCCTGCCTGGAAAACAACCTCATAATTAAATATGCAATGGAAGAATTTCAGTTGGGAGACCAGAAAATTCGAGCAATGCCATATTTTAATTATGGAGAACTTAAGTCAGAGCGATTCATTTTTATAAATCTATAAGTAAAATCTATAAAGTTTTTAGGCCATCTCAGCAATTAATTTTGCTATTTAAAAGAAAATTAAACATATGAGATATAAATATCTGAATTTAATTACAACTTATGATCTGCATTTTAAGCTAATAATAGCTTTCATATTCAATTTAAAATGGTATGACATATAATAGAGCGAGACAGATATATAATAAAATATTATAAATACACAAAAGTTAATAAAAAATAAGCAATAAATCTTATATGCTTAAGCTAGGTATAATAAGAATAATCTTTAGCATTGTTAAAATTATTGATTATTATTTTCTAGATAAAAAATATTTTATTCTTAGATTTCAAGGTTATTTAATTGATATTGTCTCAAATACAACAAAGAACTTCTAATAATTCTAAATTTTGATATTATTTAGATAAAATACATGCTCAAAAGAAAACGCGGGAAAACTACATCTCCTTTATCACCAAATAAAAGTACAATATCTATAAGAAATATACCCAAAAAAACAAAGCTCAATAATCATCACAAAGGAGAGAACGGTTATGAACAAACAACGCTAAGCCAGACATTCTTAAAGAAACCACCAGCTCAATCCCCAAAACTTAATAAACAAATTCAGCCAAAAATAGATGAGCAAAATTTCCCGCCACAAACTCTACAAACTTATCGTTTATATCCCGAAATTGAAGGTATAATTCGGTCATATCTCAAGGTATATAGGCCATAATAGGAGAATAAATGCATTGCTATTTAAAAGTCAATGGTATTTTATAATAAAAATCAGAAAATTAGTTAAAATAATATATCGAAATTAGTATATATAAAAAAACTTAAAGATAAAAATTTTTTTGCCCTTGAAGAACCTCAAAAATCGATAATTATCGAAGGGCCAAGTGGCTGTGGGAAAACATTTCTAATAAAAAGCTTATGTGAAGAATTAGGCTTAAGGATTCTTGAACTTGGAGTATCTCATAATCGAAATAGTGCGCAAACAATAAAAATTTTATCTGAAGCTACACAAACCTATGCCTTGACCTCAGGGGAAGTAAAAAATATCCAGGGAAGTATCATTCTACTTGATGACGTCGACATAGTTTTAGAGCCTGATAAAGGCTTCCACAAAAGTGTTTCAGACTTATTATACAATATAAAGCAATTCACATTGACATATTTTTAATTATTATCTATTTATTCTATAAATATAAGATAATTACAATTAAATTAAGTGTTAAAGGTGTTTAGCACCACTCCCATAAGAGACTTGGCCTGACAACTAGAGATCACGGAATTCCTACCAATTAAAATGGCGCAGCATATGGACAGTCATTCCAAAACAATGTGGCCATCAGCCCGGCTGCGCATCTAACTCAGCCTGCTTGCTGTCATCCTCACTTGACCTAGCCCCTGCGCGTGTTTCTCCTAACTCCCCCCCTCCGTGAGTGAACAAAAAAATTTTGTTCACTCACGGAGGGGGGGTTATTTTTTTTTTTTTTAAAATTTATATATAAATTTTCTAAAAATATTTAAAAAAATCCTAATTCGCAAAAATTTGGAAAGCAAAAATTAATTTAATTTATAAAATTTATGTTTTAAAAAGCAATTCGTTTAAAATTAAACAGAATTAGCTCTATATTTCATTATACTAATTATCATTTATATATCAACATTTTTGTTCACTCACGGAGGGTGGGTTTTTTGGCAAAAAATAGGGATTTTTCTAATGGTTTTGTTCACTCACGGAGGGGGGGGAGTAAGGGTCACCTTCCTCGGGTGTACCGAGTGGAAATCCCTGAATCTCTTGATTCCCTAGTTGTAATTCCTTCACCTTATAGGAGAAGCTAAACTAAATTTCAGGACAGAAGTACTCTAAGTAAAAACCAAACCCTATAAACTAAATTCTATGAGAAGAAAAATTAGCAAAGCTAATTTCTCTTAAATCGGATGCTATTTTATTTATCCTATAATATAACGTAACCTTAATTTTTTATATTACCATTTATGTTAAGTACTATAGGGTCAAATCGGAATCCAATAATAATGACCTGCCAATGCTCACCCAAAATTTTCAGATCCCATGATAACGTCAAAGTTTGCCGCATAGAAAGATCTCCAGAAAAAGTTTTTGGGTTTATAAAATGAAAGCGAGACGAATTAAAGTTAAAATTAAGCGACGAAGAATTAGAAGTTTTATGCACCCACACAAAAGCGAATTTGCATGCACTGCTAAATGCTATGAAGTTGATTGTAAGTTTTAGATAGAGACCTCTAGATTTAATTGGCTGAGACAATGCAAGACTTATCCCTCCTAACTCTGTGGAGATTGTAAAAGAATCAAAGGCTAATATGCTGGAAAGCGAAATGCTGAATTTCATAGAAAATAACTCGACCAGTATATACCTAGGAATTGATGAATATGTGAATTGGCTTGAAGGACTTGAAGAAATCGACATTTTGAACTTATTTAGCAAGAATATTCAAGAAAAAGAGAACCCAATCTTAAATGAATGCTCGATTTATAGTGGCACGATGGCCTATATGCAATATTTAAGCGACTATTTTATGAGGAATCAAGAAAGCACTTGCAGATGTAAGCTTCAAGAAATTGATGAAGAAAAATCTAATTTGACTATTGTTAGGGAACATTTGGCACATATGGGAGACCCAACTGATTATATTGGGTATTTTCAGGAAATCTCGAAAATGTCTTGTGATGTGGAGCCTTCTTATTATCTACGGACTAAGCCAAAGCTGGCAAATCTGATGTCGATATTCTTGCAGAGAAACCCGAACTTGTTTAGGACTTAAAATGTGTATTGCAGATTTTTATAAAAATAATATTTACGTTGTTATCTTCTTATTCTTAAGCTGTTACTGAGGAATTCGAATTCTGCGAAATTAAAACCTTTTTAAATATTATTTTGATTTATTATAAATAGCTTATTTAATATAATTTAATAATTATTTCTAAAGATTTTCAAATAAATATAATTGGTCCTCTAACATAAATTAAAAATAGCGCTTTGGTTATAAGAGGAGAGCTAAGAAATAAATTAAATTGCCCTGCCCTGAAAAAGCGGAGACATAATAAACCTGAAAAAATGTCGCAAAAAAGTTTACGAATAAAGCTGACTTGAAAGATTATTGTTCCTTTGATGATAGGTATGATTCTTATTTGCAGCGTCGCAATAGTCCCATTGTATAACGAATATCCTATTTGAATAGACAACTATATTAATGATATACATGATGATCAAGGAAAAGCAATGATAGATGTATCGCTATATCTCGTTAAAAGTGAGTCACTTAATATCATCCAGCACTCAGCAAACCTTATTCTATAATAGAGCTAAGCTCTTTAATTTTCAATTAAAAACCCTCTTTTTCTATAGAAAATAGAATACTGGCTATAATCATAAAAAGCTCAGTTTCTTTAACTAATTTATGATAATTGCCAGGGCTTTAATGAATTCTTACTTCGGAAATTCATTAGCAATAAAAACTCAAAATTATTCACCTGGGCTAAACTACGTAAGCGGAATAGCAATAGCTGAAAATAAAGCTAAGCTATCATGCTGAAATAACATAACAAATACAAGTTACTGTCAGGCTCTTTGATTTACTTCTCCAAGCGATGATAATACTGCTAACCTAAATAAAACTTCTCTTCTAAATCTGAATTCATCAGCTGTCTTTGATAGTTTCTTAAGACCTATGGCTGTGATTGGCTATAAGCTGAATCCATTATTTGGAGACGTGTTTATAGGCTTTGAAAATGATGGTCTTTACTATTTAAATCCAGCAGGAAATTACAGTTTTCTAGCTAATGCATCTAAAAACTCCTTATGCAGTAGCCCAACCTATCAATATGACCCAAGATGCACACTGTGGTTTGAGGAAACAAAAAGCAAGTCTTTTGAAACCAGAAACAGCGTGGTTTTAACAGACCTCAATTTAGATATAAACTCTTTAAGCCAATCAGCTTGTGTAGGAATTTGGAGTGACTCTGACGATTTTATATTGTCAAGCTGCCTAAAGTTTTATCTAAATTCATTCAGAAAACGCTTATGGGGAGTAAATGTAGGAAAAGGGTCTTATATATATGTGCTGGATGCTAGTGGAGAGGTTATTGTGTATTCTAAATCAACGTGGACTTCAGCAAATCCTCCATCAATTTTTGAGCTTGAGTTTGGGAAAAATGCAGATTCTATCTCTGCTGAAGTAAGATATTACAGAGACCATATTTTACCAATTTTTCAAAAAAATAAGACAGAATTGGCATATTATTATAAAAATGGCGATAAAATGCTGATTTCGGTTGCCCCTATAAAGATACAGCTTGGCCTAAATTCTGAGCTGACTCCTTGGGCATCTGTAGGAATTGTAATAAAAGAATCGGATACGACTAAAAAACTAGACAAGTTAAAAGATGATTTTTATTATCTAATGTATGGTGAAATTGCCATATTTGCTGTTCTTATAGTCTTTTTTGGAATTTGATGTTATTTTTTAACAAAATTCCTTTCAGCTGCAGTTACAAAACCTGTAGAAAAATTATCATGCATTTTAAAACGATTATTTAAGAAAGATCTAGGAGTTGATATCATGGAAGAATATGAGCCGGGTCCTCCAGAAATTGGCTCTTTATATGAAATCTTTGAGAAACTCCGAATTGTTCTTAAAATGCAGGATTCTATAAAATTCAACGACGAAACAGCTGGCATGATTAATTACGCTCAAGCTCTAAATTTATTCAGAGACTTCAGGAATAAAAAAGCTATGGAACTTTGCCATAGAGAACTCGGAAACATTCATTTTCAGAATAAAAGATACCCAGAAGCAGCATTAAATTATTATAGCTCATATAGACTCTCCAAAAACATAGAAGGCATTTCAGAGCTGGAAAAAGCCAGAATTAAAATCCAAACAGCAAAATCTATGCTATTTGCAGGAACCAAAAAAGAAGAAGCGATTGAAATGTTTAATGAAGCTATTGATTTCTATAAATCTCAGTCATATAAAAATATAGAGATTATTCTCTGTTTGCTGGATAAAATAGAAAGCCTTTTTGCAGTCAGCCAAATCCCAGTCTCAGATATAGATGAAGTGGAAAAGCTACTACAGGAATGAATTCCATTAAGCATGCAAAGCATTCTTCAGCAAAAATATTTATATTTTAGAGCTTTTCAATATGAAATGCAAGAAGATTTAAAAACTGCTTCAAGGCTGTATATGATATGCATAGAAGGATTTATTGATTTCGACCCTAATATAAGGAAAAAAACTCTTGAAAGATTAATTGGGATTTTTGAAAAAAATAGTCTGCCTTGCTATGAATTAAAGATTTTATGGAAAAATTTGAATGAAATTAGCAAAGATATCGCCCTAATTATTGATACAAAAATTTGCAACTTAGAGGTCCAGAACAATATATTGTGGCTTATTGAAGCTGTTTTTAATAAAAATGATAGGCTATCTATAATTGATTTTGATGAAGCCATACAGATTCACTTTAATTTAACCCAAAAAATCCCTAAAAATATTCGTTTCTCTATTATTGATTTAATCAACCAATCTGGAAAATCTGTGCTTTATGATGGAATTAATGCTGGGATTAACCAAATTTGTGCTTTGGATATCAAAAATTCAGCACTTTTGCCAAGCCCGAATATCCAGCAGAAATGGGTCATAGCGATTTGTGGAAGTGGAGATAAAGGAAGCGAAATTAGACAAGATTTTCTGTCTAAAAAGGTTAATGAGCTGGGGATAAATTTGGTGATTGTTTATATCAATTATGATCCTAATCAAGCTAATGAGTTAGGATTATTAATAAACTCAAGTCCACGAGGTGTGGTAATTTCAGTCTATTCAGACGATGATATCAGATCAGCAGTTCAAAAAACTGCAGCATTTATGTGCCCATCAAAATGTGTATTTAACAATTAATTTTTATAAATTTCATTAAGATAGGGTATAAATTTGTATAAATATAACGTGAATCTATTTCTCACCAAATTATAATCCATTTTTGCAACTTTCCTTACAAAAATTATTCAACATACTAAATGTCAAATACAGGATTGACAAGAAAGCTGACCTGAGGTATTCTTGTGCCTTTAGTTGCAGGGATGGTTCTGATTACCATAATTGCGTCAGTTCCTTTATACATTCAATACCCAACATGAATTGATAATTATATCAATCACATGATCAACGATCAAGGAAATGCTATGCTCAATGTAAGTAGCTTCGTTGGCAAAACTGGGTCATCGAATGTTGTACAACATGTAGGCATAATCATAAAATGGTGCCACTTGAGTTTTCTGATCTTCTGGCCGAGAATTTTCTTTTTGCATTTTATAATTATGGGGTTAAGCTGTCCCTGAGAATTTATCCCTGCTATGACAGGGCCTAAAGAGCTTGCGATGCGCAGCGCAGGGTTCCTGTGCCTTACGGATTTCGAATTTTAAGGAAGAATGTCACCAACTCAAGGCGGTAGATGCTGGAAACTTTAGAGTGCCTAACAGACCCAAGTTGGCTTTATGATCGAGTCTGAAGGAAGGCTGCTGAAATTTGAACGCACGAGTCTATGCACCACTTAGGGCGAAACCACAGTACCTGACGTAACAGAAACAGGGACGGGAGCCCAGATAAGAAGAAGATTAATTTTAATGTAATATACAATATGCAGCCAATTTAATGATTATTGCTAATATATTATTTCTTGTTAAATAAAACATCAATATTATTTATATACTTTCTAATTAAGGCTGCCCTTTTGGTATTAAAATGCATATACTCATGGAAGAATATTTAGTTCAAGATATTCTATCGGTAAAAAATGATTTCAATTATGAGGACAATTATGTAAGTGGAGTAGGCTTTGATGAAGGCAATATGACTGTGCCAGGCTTAATTGAAAAAACAAATATGAGCTACTATGCAGCCATGTGGTATCTTAACCCTGATATCAAAAATTCTTCACTTTTGCCTCCTGAATCATATAGGAATTTAAAGTCTTCAGCTGTGTTTGACAGCTTTTTAAGGCCAATGGCACAGCTTGGGGATGAAGCAAGCCCTTATTTTGGAGATGTGTATATAGGTTACGATATAGATGGCTTTTTTTATACAAATCCTACATACTATAGAGGCTATTTTTTAAACTATTCAGAGATGAATTGCAGCTATAACCAAGGAAGTCCAGCCCAATTTGACCCTAGATGCCGTCCTTGGTACGCTCAAACCAAAACCTCTACATCTCCTAACAACCCCAGTATTGTATTAACTGAACCTTATCAATCAATCAGCAATTTCAATTTAGGGCAATCAGCATGCACAGGGCTATGATACGGTAACCAAACTTATATTCTTACTGCCTGCATCGATTATTCCCTAACTTCTGCTGAAAATCATTTACTAAATGTAAGTGTCGGCGGCTCTACATATTCCTATGCATTAGCAGCTGATGGAAGAGTCATAATCCACCCAAAACTAAACAGGACCTCAAACGTCGTCCCACCTATAACCCAGCTGGAATTTGGTAATAACCCAGACCAAGACGAAGTTAACTATTATAATGAGCACATTTTGCCTTATTTTAAACAAGTCAGGACTATAAAAACTTATTACTACAAAAATGGGGAAAAAATGATGATTGCTATATCCCCAATGTTATGTTGTTATGCTAAGATGCTATGTATTTTAAGTCCCTACTTCGCCGTCGTGACGTTCTACAGGGATTAACCCCATAGGGTGGCTAAGGCATGGCCGCTTCAAGCCCGGGCCGAAAACCCCCGGTTTCTCGGTAGAGGTGATGGTCAAGGGACAGCTCATACTGTCTTCGCTGACCGCCTCCATTTCCAACTTGACTCGTCGCCCTGAATCTTGCGCCAACTCTGTCCGTACGTCGCCAGATCTGCCCACTGAAGGGCACCTTTTAACTGGAGAGACCCTCGATTTCTCGTCTAATTTGCCTTCCCCTCTTTTTACGGTAATCCCGAGAAAGAACTCAACAGCTTTCGCCATTCGGGGCAAAGCACAGAAGCAGCCTAGGCAGGTATGTCGCCCTGCCTCATTTAGGGCACCCACTGGGGGCTGGGCGCTGCTGGCAAAAAGGAGTCACGAAAAACTGCTCAAGGGTCCTTCTGGTCACAAAAACAGCGGTCTTTGCGCTTAGACCTCTCGCCTTGAGGTCCCAAGACATAGCTGGGCCAATTCCTGGCTCCAAAAACCATGCCCGGATATACACGGGTAACCGTCTCGAGAGGACGGGTCGGACGTCATCCGCCATTTTATGTATATGCTATATCCCCAATTTTAATTAAGCAGGATATTGAAGAGCACCAAACCCACTGAGCGTCAATAGGAATTGTAATGAACCAAAAAGAGATGACAAAAGATGTAGAAGGGCTCAAAGAAGACTGTAATATATTGCTATATGTGGAGTATGGAATTTTTGGAAGCATTGAGCTGATTATTGCTGTTCTATGCTACTATTTAACAAAAAATATCGCCAGGACCATTGTGGCGCCTATAGATAAATTATCAGAAATTTTAGATAAACTTATTAAGCATGACTTGGGATTAGATATAATGGAACAATATGAGCCAGGCCCTCCAGAAATAAACGCGCTATATGAGGTGTTTGATAAGCTTAGAGTTGTGCTTAAACTTCATGATCCAAGCCAGTTTAAGCACGAAACAAATGCTATGATGAATTACGCCCAAGCCCTCAATCTTTTTAGTAAATTCAGAAATAAAAAAGCAATGGAACTTTGCTATAGAGAGCTTGGGAATATTCATTTTAGGTCTGAGCGGTATCAAGACGCTGCTTTAAGCTATTATAACTCTTATAGAATAGCTAAACAGATTGAAGGGTTTCCAGAGCAGGAAATGGTAAAAAGGAAAACCCAAACTGCCAAAGCAATGATGATAGCAGGCGTCAGAAAAGAAGAAGCCATGGAGATGTTCCACGAAGCCATTGATTTTTACCAAAATTCGTCAAAAGATTCAGTTGACGTCATTTTATGCCTGCTAGAAAAAATTGAAGGGCTTTTTGCTATTGGAGAAAACACAGAATTCGTACTTGATGAAACTGAAAAGCTCCTTAAGGCAAGGTTTTCTGTAAGCTACCAAGATATTTTGCAGCAGAGATACTTGTTTTTTAGAGCCCTGCAGTATGAGACACAAGAAGACTACCAAACTGCAAGCAGGCTTTATGTGCTGTGTTTAGAAAATTTTATGGAATTTGACCCAATGATAAGAAAAAAATCAATAGAAAGGCTGATTGAGATTTTTGAGATGAAAAATCTGCCAGTAGCTGACCTTGTAGTGCTCAAAGAAGAAATGGAAAATAAAAGCAAAGACATTGCGTTGATTGTTGATACGAAATTTGATGGGAAAGAGTTCCATCATCTTATATTATGGCTAATAAGCAGTGTTGTGGATACTAAAGATAGGCTTTCAATTATAAATTTTGACGATGAATTCCATATATTGTTTAACTTAACAAAAAAACCTGCAAAACAAATTGAGTTTCCGACCTTGGATTTAATGAACCAAGGAGGAAAATCAGTTCTATATGACGGAATCAATGCAGGGATTGAACAACTCTATTCTTTCCGATCAGAAAACACTACATTTTTAGGACAAGAAGATATTCGTCACAAATGGATAATTGCTATTTGTAATAGTGATGATATTGGCAGCCAAATTTCTTTTGCTGAGATTTCTAAAAAGATTAGAGACTCTGGGGCTCGCTTATACTTAACCAAATTAAATTTCTGTCTTGGCTTAGCTTTTTCTTATTATAGAAAATATTCATTAATTTAAATTTTTAAATTGATATAAATAGATATAATAATTTTTTATATAAATTCTGACCCATCCCCACACTCTCAGCTTGAATCTTTGAAGAACTACAGCATAAGAGGAATATTTCTATCAGCTTATTCCCAAACTGAGATAAGACGTGCATTCCAAAGGATTGCTGCTATAATCTGTCCATTCAAACTATTTTTGGTTAATTAATTCTATTTCATAATTACTATAATATTGAAATGGTGAGTACTGAAGGCGAAGTTAATTTTTCCTTCAAATTAGTTATATATTTTTCTTTAATTACAATATTTTTTCCCAAAAAAATTAAAAAACCCTCATATTACCTAATTATGCATATCCTTGGCGATTCAGGAGTAGGTAAGACCAATCTTCTACAGCGCTTCACCAAAAATATATTTTCCTTACTCCCCCCATCCTTGATCGAATGATTGACTGTAAAATTCCTAAAAATTGGGAAAATTAACCCCATCCTTGATCGAACGATTTTCATATAATGCAAATTTTTATATATATAAAAATATATTAGTTATCAAAAGCTTGGGAAGATGTGCCTAATGAAGCTGTTGTCAGAGGCTTTGAGACGACAGGAAGCTACGGAATCAACCATCCGAAGTGATTTAGCCATCAACCTGGGCTTAAAAACTCAATAATCTAAAAATAGAATAAATCAAAATATTAAAAATTGGTATTTTATGAAATTAATTCAATTTTTTGCTGTAAAAATAATTATTAAATACTCTCAACCTTTTATTTAAAAGTAAATAAAAAAAAAAAATATATTTTTTTTTTTTATATATAAAATTTTTTTTCCAAAAAAATTTTTGTTTTAAACCCCATCCTTGTCGAACGATGGCGAGCCGTTCGATCAAGGATGGGGGGAGTTAGCCACAAGAAGTTCAATGGGTTTCAATAATGACTACAAAACTCTAGACATCGAAGGTAAAACAGTTAGGGCCGAAATATGGGACACGCCTGGACAAGACCGATATAGGGCTATGCTAAACCCATTCTACCGTGGAGCAGTTGGCGCGCTTCTCGTTTACGATCTCACCAATGCTGAAACCTTCACCAACCTTCAAAAGTGGATGAAGGAAATCAAAAACTACGGGGAGTCCATAGAAACTGTTCTTCTAATTGGCAATAAAAGTGATAAAGAAGAGGAAAGGAATGTAAAACAATCTGATGCGATGGCTTTTGCACAGAAAAACGGGATCGCGTATATTGAAACTTCAGCGCTGAATGCAAATAATGTGGACAAAGCGTTTGAGATCATTTTAACTAATTTGGTTAAAAATAAGACAAGCAATATACCAGCCCCTGCACCGCCGAAACTTGATGTAGAAGGGAAATCGAAGAAGATTGGGAATGAAGAACATAGACAATTCGATGACACTGTAAGGAAGACCTGTAGTTGTAGCTTACTATAAGATTTTAAGTGTAGAGAGGATAGGATATTTATAAACATTTGTGATAAAAGGATTTTAAATTTTGAAGGAATGGGGTGTGTGGAATGAGGGAGAAATGATAAGAAATGATAAGAAATGTAGAAATTTAAGGATTTTAGAGCTGAATAGTCATTTTTTGGGGATTTTAGTGGGAGATGGATATAGAAAAGTATTAAAATTTAAAATCCTGCAAGAGTATGCCTAAATTCAAAATATTTCTAGAGTCAGTAATTATTATGGAGTTTTGAGAAGTATATGAGAATTAATAGAAAATTTAATTTTAAAGCTAATAAAATTATTGAAATTGTTATTCAATGTTCCCTTCGATGCTTATTATCCTTTCAAGCCTTTTCTCTTTTAACTCAAATTTATAATAAGAATAACACCATATGTTCTTTTCATTCATTTCAATTAAACCCAAATAGACATTTTCTCTACATCTAATCCTATAGGATTGTGCATGTATTAAAGAATAATCAATTTTTCCTATTTTATTTCAAAAATATTCATTATCAATTTCGCTTTCTATATACATAAAAAGACGGTAAGGTCCGACCCGTCCTCTCGCGTGACAGTTACGCATGTATATCCGGACAGTTTTTAGAGCCTGGAGTTGGAGCAGCAGTATCTGGTGTCCTGAAGCTAGGGACTTAAGCACAAACCCTCTGCTTTGTGACCTGATTCAATGGGCAGCTATTTGTAACTTCTTTTTTCCAGCAACACTCGAGCCAGGGGGCGTATGAAATTAGTGAATTGCATGATAAACCGCTCTAGATGTCTGTCCTGAATCACGGAAGTAGTAAAGTATTTTTTCAGGGATGACCTGGAAAAAGGGGAAGCAGATTAGACGAAACAAACTATCTCTCCAATTCAAGGGCTTCTAAGCGGAGCGATACTGGCCAGGGTATTGCAGGACGGTCTAACTTGACGATCAAAGGGACCAAGTTGGAAATGGTGTCCCCGGCAAAATTTCGACCTGAGAGAGCAATACCACTACCAAGAAACCAGGGGTTTGGCCTATATTGAAGTCGCGAGAGGAGGCCACCCAATTTGATTGTTTTGCTAGGCGCTTCATTCCTCAGAAAATGCCACTAATAAGAAGTGGGGACCTTAAATATCAATCTAATATCTAATTTCGCTTTCTCAAACATTTTCTCAGCCTTCGAACAAATAGACTCTTGAATTCCCAACAATTAATAATTTATATGAATCTTCTCCAGACTCCAATTTAATTTTCGTAAAACTATCTAAATTGACATCGTATTCAAAAATATTTTCTTCATTGCTAAGTCCTGCTATAGACCCTGCTAGGCTTTTAGATTGCCCTTGAAATAAATTCTTTCTTTTGGTTTACCAGCTAAAATCTGACAAGTCAAAATCTATTTACTCTTTTAAAGAGGAAATTCCTCACTTGCTTTCAATCAAAATCAATATTTACATCTCCAGCACTCTAACATTCAGCAAAAGCTCCAGCAAAGAGCAGACAAAACATGCCCAGATCATAATAAAATTCTTTGTTTAAAAGGCACAACTGAGCAATTCATAGATTGTTCTGGAATTGAAAGCAAAGTTTCTCATCTATTTTTTGTTAAATCAAATCTTTGAACAATTTTTGAAAAAGTAAAATTTCCAGCCGCTGATGTTTCTAATCCCCCAAATATATAAACACATTTCTGGAAATACAAAATCCCTGCTTGGGAAATATTTTCTCCAGAGGGAAGAATTTTTTTAATTGTGTAAGAGTTTAAATCAATTATGAGGGTTATACCAGTGATTGGGTTCTCTTTTCCGTAGCAGAAAAGTTCTTTGTTTGGAAGCTGGACTATGCAAGAAGCAGCGGTCAGTGCATTATAATCTTCAATGTTTATTTTAGAGTGCTGAAAATTTGTAATATTATATAGTGACAGCTCAGCTTTATTTTTAAGCTCAAGATTTTTGTTGATTAAATAGAGAGTCTGACTGTCTTCATAGACATATGGAGAAAAATCATTGAGTATGAGGTTTTCGATTGCGGCATGAAGTCTTTTAGAGAAGCATTGATATTCATCTATATAAGCTGAATAAGATTTTTTAATAGCCTCATTATTGTATAATAAAAATTCTAATTTTTTGTCATTTTGATAGTGATCAACTATATCTTCAAACTCAGTTTTTAATTTTTCTTTGATTGTTTCTAATTCTTCTATTTTAGAATGCCATCATGGCATGCCTAGTAGCGACAGATGAACTCAGAATTTTTGCCAGAAATAAAAAAGCTGGCGGAAAGGCTACGAGGTCGCAGGTGGCTTAATTCCGGGGTGGGTGCGGTCTGGGCTAACTGGGCCTCCCCTCGACGCACAGACGAGAAGACCGACGGCGCAATACCAATCGAGGACTTCTGGAGGAGCATTATGTTGCCTGCAAATGGCAGAGGTAGTTCCAGGAGGAGGCATCGGACGGTTCCCTCATACCCTGAGCACTACCAGGGGTTAAGAGAGTCCTTTGCTGAAGCATTTTGGTCAAGCAGGTTCGGGTGAGTCTCCCCGAAAGATGCTGACGTCACCATTTTTGATGACGTCATCAGAAAAGGGCGGCAGGTGGCTTTAGTGACTAGCGCCACACGAGTGAAGCTGAAGCTCGACTGGATCAGGGGCTGAAAATAATCCCCGCTTTAACCCTCTCTAATCTAAAAATCTCTATCTCTCTATTTTAGAAGAATTATCTTCGTAGAATTGAATTTTAAAGGAATTGCTGAGCTTTCGTGTTAAGTTGCTTAATGTATCATTATATAATGATATAGAGTTGAATTTCATATCAAAGGCTTCAATCTCAGTTAATGAGAGTTCAGCATAAGAAATATTAAACTTGGATTCAAATTCCTTACAAGCATTTTCGATATCTTGCATTTTATTGTTTCTCTATTATTACTTTATAATTTCAGCATATAAAAATTAATATTATTATATTCAAAGAACAATTATCGTTATTATACTAAAATATTATTAGAAGAGCATTTTAAACTAATCTTTAAAGCTTGGACTCCTTGAATTCTTTTGAGTTTAAATTAAATTCAAAGAATGAAAATTTGCTTGAATTGAATTTATTTTTAAGAACCCCAAAATAATTTTTTTTCCTTCTTATATAATTCATTCGCGAAAGACTATATTGTAGAGATCTCACTAAATCTCAATTAAATGCTCCAATTTGATTCCAAACATACTGATTGCCATATTTGCATTCCCATAAATTTCCGCCTGTTAATAAATAAACCCTTGAATTTCCTGCAATTAATAAATTTCCTTTACTTTTTATTTTTCCTATCTCAATTTTTGAGAAATTTTCTAGGCTAATGTCATACTCATAAATATATTCATCAAGATTATTAGCTGTAATTAAAATTTTGTGTTTAAATGGCACTAGAGAGCAATTACCCAGCATTTCTGGAGTAGTAGCTAATGAAGTCCATTTATTTGAGATTAGATCAAATCTTTGATTAACATTTTTTCCCACACTCCTCGTTTAAACTGGACAAATTTTTATTTTTATAGTAAATTAAATTCGTCATAGTGGAATTATTAATATAGCTTGCTCTATGTTTAAGACTTGATTTTCAATGTTATTATTATTAAATTATTTTAGCGCTGCATAGCAGCATTTCTCCCTTTTTTTCCTTCAACTTCACTCTATAAATAAATATTTTTATTTCGTTATCTGCTTCTCCAAGTTCTCCAGCATGCTCCTCTTTCATCCAAACAACAAATTTCTCCGCACATAGCACAACACCATGCACCATAAATCTTCTTCTGATCACCTCCTCTAGCATTCCATTTTTCTCTAACTCCATTAATAAATTAGTTCTTTCATCTCATACAAAAAAAATCATTAAACAGATGTATTTCATTCTCATTTCACTTACATTTTTCATGTTTGGAACTCTGTCTTAAATGGCTTAAATTCTGAGAATAAGATGTTGCATTAAAACCAGCCCTTAATCTGAGGATATCCATAAACTTCTGCCTTCTATGAGAGTTTAAATATAAATATGAGTTCTCCTCAATTTTATCTTCCCCTTCACTTAAGGCCAAAAATAATCGCGTCGTTCCTCTCGCTTCGGTTTCAATTTTTAAGGGTTCATCATACCTTTCACTTTTCCCGCCAAAATTCAAATCATCATCTTTTTCAATTACCACTTTTTCGCGGGCACTTTCGTCTTCATCTTGACCTTCACTTTTTCGACAAGCTCTTCATCTGCTTCGTTTCCTGCATTATCTAAGCTTTCTTTTTCTATCTGCTTTCATTTACTATGCGCATACTTCGCCAAAAATATAAATGCTTTGCTGGTAATATAATACTCCTGCTTTATGAGGATAGAGTATAGATGGTAAAATTTGTTTTAATCTAAACGAATCTAAATCAATAATGCAAGCATGACAATTTTTATTATCGCATTTCATTCCAATCAAAAAGAGCTCATTATTAGAGATTTTAACTGCAAATACCTCATTTCCTCCTATCTGTCTATCAAAATCAACATTGATTTCTATATGTTTATAGTTTTCTATATTATGTTGAATCAAACGAGGTGATTATTTTATGTGATTGACAGAATAAACGAATTTAGAGTCATCGTAGGGGTATGGAGAAAAAGACTTAGAAATCAAATCTGCTATCATCGCTCTAAGCTTTCCATAATACTCATTATATATACTTACATAATTTGAATAGGCAGTTTTTACTTCTTCATCTGCTTGTGTTAAACTTATATATTTTTGATTGACTCGATAAGATGCTTTCATATGGCTAAATTCCAATTCTAAGTTTTCTTTAATTAATTCTAATTCCTCTATTTTTATATCGCTATCCTCATAAAATTCAATCTTAAATTATTCATTTGTCTTTTGATTTTCATATACTAATTCAGGCTCTAATGATCGGATATATTCAATTTTTGCTTGAAAGGACTTGATCAGCTCTGCTTTAAGTTGAGTTAATGAACTATTATATTTACGCTCAAATTCTCCTTGATTTGCTTTTATCTCTAGACTATTCTTTCAATTCCTTTCAAGATTGGGAAAAGTTGACATATTTATAAGACAATGGTGCTGATGAGTAATTTTTAATAAATAATTAATTAAAGCCAGACAGCAAATTTACTTAGTCAAAATCGTGTAAATTAATTAATTTAAAGCTAATATTTGAGAATTAAATTCTTGAAATTGTTAATAAATGTTCCCTTCGATGCTTATTATGCTTTCAAACCTTTTCTCTTTTAAATCGAATTTATAATAAGAATAACACCACTTGCCCTTTTCATTCATTTCAATTATCTAATATCTAATCCTATAGGATTGTGTATGTATTAAAGAATAATCAAGTTTTCCTATTTTATTCCAAAAAAATTCATTATTAATTTCGCTTTCTCAAACATTATTCCACCCTTCGAATAAATAAACCCTTGAATTCCCAGCAATTAATAATTTATATAAATCTTTATCAGTCTTCATTTTAATTTCAGTAAAACTATCTAAATTTACATCATATTCAAAAATATTTTCTTTACTTCACTGTCATATTATAGACCTTCTAGGCTTTTAGCTTGCCCTTGAGTAAATTCTTTCTTTTGGTTTACCAGCCAAAATCTGATAAGTCAAAGATTTATTTACTTTTTTAAAGCGGAAATTCCGCAATTACTTTTAATCAAAATAAATATCTACATCTCCAGCACTCTAACCTTCACCAAAAGCTTCAGCAAAGAGCAGACAAAACATGCCCAGACCTTAATAAAATTCTTTGTTTAAAAAGAACAACTGAGCTATCCATAGATTGTTCTGGGATTGAAAGCAATGTTTCTCATCTATTTTTTGTTAAATCGAATCTTTGAACAATTGTTGATATAAAATAATTCCCAGTCGATAATATTCCTAATCCGCCATATATATAAACACATTGCTGGAAATACAAAATCCCTGCTTGGGAAATATTTTTTCCAGAGGGAAGAATTTTTTTAATTGTATAAGAGTTTAAATCAATTATGAGGGTAAGACCAGCGATTGGATTGTCTTTTCCGTAGCAGAAAAGTTCATTGTTTGGAAGCTGGACTATGCAAGAAGCAGCAGTCAGTGCATTATAATCTTCAATGTTGAATTTAGAGTGCTGAAAATTTGTAATATTATAAAGTGATAGCTCGGCTTTATTTTCAAGCTCGAAATTTTTGTTGATTAAATAGAGAGTTTGGCTGTCTTCATAGACATATGGAGAAAAATCATTGAGTATGAGGTTTTCGATTGCGGCATGAAGTCTTTTAGAGAAGCATTGATATGCATCTATATAAGCTGAATAAGATTTTTTAATAGTCTCATTATTGTATAACAAAAATTCAACTTTTTTGTCATTTTGATAGTGATCAACTATATCATCAAACTCAGTTTTTAATTTTTCTTTGATTGCTTCTAATTCTTCTATTTTAGAAGAATTATCTTCATAGAATTGAATTTTAAAGGAATTGCTGGGCTTTTGTGTTAAGTTGCTTAATGTATCATTATATAATGATATAGAGTTGAATTTCATATCAAAGGCCTCAATCTCAGTTAATGAGAGTTCAGCATAAGAAATATTAAATTTGGATTCAAATTCCTTACAAGCATTTTCGATATCTTGCATTTTATTGTCTCTCTCCATTATTACTTTATAATTTCAGCTTATAAAAATCAATATTATTATACTCAAAGAAAAATTATCATAATAATACAAAAACTTATTAGAAGAGCATTTTAAAACTAATCTTTAAAGCTTGGACTCCTTGAATTCTTTTGAATTTAAATTAAATTCAAAGAATAAAAATTTACTTGAATTGTATCTATCTCCAAGAACCCCAAAATAAACTTTTCTCCTTCTTATAATTCTATTCTCTGCATATGATTTGAACACAATATTTTTTAGATTTGATTGGTTTGCTTATTTTTCAGATATACTTTATTAAATTACTCACTCATCTTATGCCAGAATTCATATGCAAAAGACTATAAGGTAGAGATTTAAATCATTCTCAATTAAATTTACCAATTTTATTCCAATCATATAGCCTGGGTATTAGTTTGACTTTCAATACCTTCACTTAGTTTAGCCATAGTATACTTTTTTATTAAATTACTTAAAATGTGGCAAAGCATATATAAATATGGGGCTATATAAATGTGAAAATTCAAATTTATAAAAATAAATTTAAGCATTAGATAATAGACCAATTAGGAAATCTGGAAAATTTGCTTTGTTAAATACATTCTTAGCTGGAAACAAAATTCATATCCCTAGGATATCTAAATTAGCCATTAAGCTATACTGATTTTCATTATTGCATTCTCATAAATTTCCTGTGGCTTATTTTGAATTTCCTGTAATTAATAATTTTTCTCTTCTTTTTATTTTTCCTATCTAAATTTTTGTGAAATTTTCTAGGCTAATGTCATACTCATAAATATATTCATCAAAATCGCAAGCTGCAAATAAAATTTTGTGTTTAAAAGGCACTAGAGAGCAATTGCCCAGTTATTTTTGAAACAGTAGCTAGTGAAGTCCATTTATTTAGATTAGATCAAATCTTTGATTTATAATTTTTGTTTTACTCCTATTTAAACTGAACAAATTTTATTTTTTATATGTAAAATTATAATATCTATGTAATTCGTTTTGATAGCTAATTTTATTCGTCATACTGGAATTATTAATATATTTTTTATATTTTAAAGGCTTGATTGTGAATACTATTTAAAATATTTGACATTTGAATCGATAAATTTTATAATTTAATTTTTAAGAAAAATTCAAAAATTCTATTTTATTTTTTATGTAAACATTTTATTATTTTTTTTCATAAAATTAGCTCCTTAAATTTAAAGAGGGAGTTAATAATAAATTAAATTGCTAACTAGCTATAAACGGGCAACCCACTAACCTTCCCCTGTTTCAGCTCCAAGAATAGCAGTTTCCATAAACCTCAGAGATCAAATGAGGAAAATGGAAGGTCATCATTTTGAATTTCTGACCTGAACCACCTGTCCAGAGGATTAGCTCTCCTGGGTAGAGCCACCATCTGTAGAGTGCCCGGTCCCGATAGAGAAGGGCCATATGGTAGGCAAAACCTATCTAGCCTATCTGCCATGAACAGGAAAACCTTCGGGGACTCTATTTCGGCAGGCTTCCCATTGAGATGGTCTACTTACGTTTTTATTTTTGCAATGGAGGAAAAAGAGTCTAATTTGTGAAGCTGAGGAGAAGCTGCTTTGGTCTATCCCCAAAGATTGTGCAGTATCAGCAATCGATTGGATGAAGTTGACTCTAAATATGATGAGCTATTTTCTGATGAGGAGTTCTGGGAGGAAGTAGATGATATTCTTGGCGGAGAAGAAGATTGGGATGAAGACGAATCAAGCGAAGATGATAGAGAAGAAGAGCTCACTGAGAAAATAAAGGTTTGAGCAGCTAGACAAAAGGGAGAAGTGCTGGATAATGGCGAGCTAATGCTTGTCGCAAGCCCATTAAGAGTGAGCTTCTCAATAGTCCCAGAAAAAGCAGAAAGAACGGAAACTGAAGTGGCTAAAGAACCCAAAGAGCTAAAAAAATCAAAAACAAGAAGCCAAAAAAACACAAGAACCAAAAAGCCAATAAAGCCCAAAAAATCATAAAGGCCCAAAAAGCCATTCAGACCAGAAAAACCAAAAAAACCCAAAAGACCCTAAAAACCCAAAAAGCCCAAAAAGCCCAAAAATACCAAAAGGACCAAAAAACCCAAAAAATACACGAGGAGATTAACAATGGGGCGAAATTAATTGTCAAGGTGGAAAAAAACATGGAAAAAGAGGAAAAAACCCAAACAGTTTGATATAAATTACTGGATATTGGTTAAGAAACCCATAAGGGTTTTCGGCGGGTTCTGCCCACTATAATCAATAGATAGATAGAGATTGTCTACTTAATTACTAAGAGCATTTTTCGCCCACCCATCGCGCCGGCTCACCACTCCATAAGGAGGTGTCACTAAAGGAGTTCTAATTCCTCCAACTTGACTTTTTTATTTCTAGGATGAAGTTAGGACGAGTATAAGATATAACCATCCTCATGTTTACACTTTGAGTCGTTGAGGGATCTGCTCCACCAAAAATATAAATGCTCTGTGTGTAATTTAATACTCCTGCTTTACGAGGATAGCGTAAAGATTGTAAAATTCGTTTTAATCTAAATGAATCTAAATCAATAATGCAAGCATGACAGCTTTCATTATGGAATTCATTCCAATCCAAAAGAGCTCATTATTAGAGATTTTAACTACAAATATCTCACTTCTTCCTATCTATCCACCAAAATCAACATTGATTTCTACTTGCTTAGAGTTTTCTATAATATATTGAATCAGACAAGGCGATTCTTTTACGTGATTGACAGAATAAAGGAATTTAGAGTCATCGTAGGAGGATGGCGAAAAAGGCTTGCTCCTAACTCAATAAATGTAGAGCAAAACTACAAAACTCAAAATGAGTTTTTTAATCCATCAGAATATATTTAATACCATTTTATTTAATTTAATAAATTCATCTAAATTTTATATAAATCTAAAATATTTAAAAACACATAAAATAAAAAATTAAGATTCAAAAATATTCTTATAAAAATAATTTTATTGAACTGGAGAAGTTAGAAATCAAATCTGCAATCTTCGTTCTAAGTTTTCCATAATACTCATTATATATACTTACATAATTTGAATAGGCAGTTTTTAATTCTTCATCTATTGTATTAAACTTATATATTTTTGATCGGTTAGATAAGATGCTTTCATATTGCAGAAATCCCTTGTAAAAACTTTTCTCTATCAATTTGTGGGTCACTTAAAACAATTCCATTTAAATGTGAATTCATAATATGAACTCTAAAAACCTTAATTATTCATATATCAATTTTTCTAAAATTATCTTATCTTTTGCCAGCTCTTGGAGGTGGTTGTTTTCCTCCTTTTTTTAACTGTTCAGCCTTAGCTTTTTTCGCGCAAATCGGAATATGCATATTCCCAAAATATTCGCTAAACGATCTTCCACAATATGGACACTTATTCCTCTGAAAAGATTTTGAGCTAGCTTATTAATGGTTAATTTATTTAAATTTATAATATTTTTTGGTGGAAACATTCTAAATTTTAATATAATTATTGAGCAATTCATTATTATAATCATTAATTATATATCAAATAATTTTTAAAAAAAATTCTGGGGATTTATCTATACTTCGCTCTTTAATCAAGGGGGATTAGTATGTTGGTACACAAAAAAATTATCCACAATAGCTAATATCATTTTATCATATGGTGATTTATAATCTCCAGACCCTGCAAGTCTAGTAGCTTTTAGCTGTTCACTCTGCATTATCAATTTATTTCTAGGTGGTGAGGCTGACTTTCTAGCTTTGTTATAGGAAATGCTTTTTTCCTCTTCAAAGCTACTCCTATTGCTTCTCATGAGACGCTCTACAATAGAAAGCGAAGGAATTTTTATCCCCAAAGTATTTACTTTTTCAATCACAAAATTTTGGCTTAAAATGTCATTTATAGAGGGTCTTTCGCTCATTTCTTTTTTCATGCACCAATCAACTATATACTTACTTTCCCCTTCGTGAGCGAGCAAGAAATTTTGTTGCTCGAGGAGAGGGTTAATTTTTTGCTATTTAAAATTTATAAAATTTTTTTTCGAAATTTAAAAAACTCCCAATTGCAAAACCTGGAAAGCAAATATTTATTTAATTTGTAAAATTTATGTTTTAAAATGCAAGCTGTTTAAAATTAAAAAGAATTAGCTAGAAATTTCGTTATAATCATTATCACTTATATATTAAATTTTTTTTTAAAATTTTTGTTCGCTCATGGAGGGCGGCAAAAAATAGGGACTTTTCCAATGGTTTTTTTCACTCACGGAGGGGGAGTTAAGCTCATTCGAGTAATAATCTCTAATAGGTGAGTGTCTTTCATTCTGAACTTTATAAGCATTTCCTTCAAATGGATGCTTAAGCTGGCAAAGGAAATATAAAACGTTCCCAAGAGCCCATATGTCGCTTTCTTTGGATGGGAGAACCCCTCTTCACATTTCTGGAGAATAGTAAAAAGGAGTCCCTCCCACAGATGATGTAGTTAGATACCTGGAAAGCCCGAAATCTCCAATCTTAACGTTGTTGTTTTTGTCTAGTAAAATATTCTCTGGCTTTATGTCTCTATGGATATAGCCGTTTGAGTGCATGCATTCTAAGCCAAAGCAGATCTGAATAAAATATTTTCAGATTTCGCTTTCTGCAAAGGGTTGGCCAGTTTGAATCTGGTCAACTATTAGTTTAAGCAGATCAGTGGTTTTCACAGTAATCTATAATCATGTAAACTTTATTGTCTTGGTCAATTCTCCTTTCTAAGTGGAGAAGGTATGGGTTATTCAGCTCAGAAAGAATTTTAATTTCTGTTTCCACATCTTTTCAGCTCTTAGCATCTCCATACTTCTTTACAACAGTTTTCATTGCATAGATCTTATTGTCAGCTAAATAGCTATTACCAATCCTTCTAACTTTGTAGACAACTCCAAAGAATCCAAAGTTAATGTCATCTACAACTTCAAATTCGTTTGTGATTTCTGCTGGAAAATGTAGCATAATTAATAAATCTTTATGCGAATTTTATTTTCACAAATCGAAAATATTAATTTAATAATTATCAGCTTTCTAAAATTCTGAAACCCAAGCAGTTTATTTATGAAAAATGTGACAAAAATTTACTTTAATGCAAGCTGTTTTACTACTTTTTAAACTTAGCCTTATCAAAAAGTAATAATTGAGGGATGAATTGGCTAGTATAATTAAAGAACTTGAAATATTTACCATGAAAGGCTTTATATTTAAGTCACAAACTGCACTATTATCTTCAGAATAGCATTCATGCTCACCTGATTGAAACCTTGTAGGAACGCACATCCATTATAATGTCCTAATTGCGCATTTTGATTTTATGCGTTTTAGCGGAATATTCGAAATTGGATTATTTAGCCCACTCTCATAAATCCAGCTGCGGCAGTGTATAATAAGTTCTGTATTTCCAGGAATGATAACCTTCGAAGCTTCAGAAGCAGCATTTGAAAGAATTGAAAACTATTTAAATATAAATATTATATGCAGGCATCCTTTTTGTCTGATTTTGTTTTTAAAAATAAAAGCCAAAAATGAAATTTCATGAACTATTTGCGCTATTTCCATCGGCCTATTTCTATTTACAAGTAATCAACTTTGGATAAGCTTGTAAATTATATACTGAATCCTTTAGTATAGAAGCTCGCTTCTGGTAGTGCACCAGCTAAAAGAAGTTCATGTCTTGCTGCACTCTTAATCAAAGGCTATTAATACGTGAAAATTTTGGGACTGCACTTGTTTTAAATTGGATGATTTCTATGTAATCCAAACTTGATAACTTATTAGGAAAATTATCTTATTATTTGGCAGGTTAGCAAAAAAGGCGTGCATTTTGTCTCATTTTAGATAATGTCCTCTTTTAGCTAAATATATTAATCGATCTAATTGCTGAGCGTTCTTTGCTTTTAAATGTAAATAATAATTTCTTTTTAATGGGGTTCTGGAAATTCTTTTTAATCGTAGCTAATTATAAATGAACACTTTGCTAGTATAAAGAGTATGGTTAATATTGATATTATACCTCTAGTCAAAGAAGCTAGAGAGTAAAAAATGAATGTTTGCTATCTGAACATTTCAATTAAGATTATTTACTTATACCACAAATATTGTAAAAGCTAAGCATAAAAATTCGTGATTTTTCTATTAAAATTCTTATTAAAGACAAAAGCTATGAAATGCTCAATCCCCATTGTATAGTTACAATTGCTCTCCCAATTTTTGTAAAACGCATTTAGACATCCAAAGTGCTTTAATGCCTAATAAATATTATCTAATATCTAATCTAATTTCGCTTTCTCAAACATTATTCCAGCCTTCGAATAAATAAATCCTTGAATTCCCAGCAATTAATAATTTATATAAATCTTTATCAGTCCTCATTTTAATTTCAGTAAAACTATCTAAATTGACATCATATTCAAAAATATTTTCTTTACTTCAGTGTCATATTAACAAAACTCTTTGTTTAAAAAGTGCAACTGAACAATCCATTGATTGTTCTGGAATTGAAAGCAAAGTTTCTCATCTATTTTTTGTTAAATCAAATCTTTGAACAATTGTTGATATAAAATAATTCCCAGTCGATGATGCTTCCTAATCCCCCAAATATATAAAGACATTGCTGGAAATACAAAATCCCTGCTTGGGAAATATTTTTTCCAGAGGGAAGAATTTTTTTAATTGTGTAAGAGTTTAAATTAATTATGAGAGTTATACCAGTGATTGGGTTCTCTTTTCCGTAGCAGAAAAGTTCGTTATTTGGAAGCTGGACTATGCAAGAAGCAGCAGCCAGTGCATTATAATCTTCAATGTTGAATTTAGAGTGCTGAAAATTTGTAATATTATAAAGTGATAGCTCAGCTTTATTTTTAAGCTCAAGATTTTTGTTGATTAAATAGAGAGTTTGGCTGTCTTCATAGACATATGGAGAAAAATCATTGAGTATGAGGTTTTCGATTGCGGCATGAAGTCTTTTAGAGAAGCATTGATATTCATCTATATAAGCTGAATAAGATTTTTAATAGTCTCATTATTGTATAACAAAAATTCAAATTTTTTGTCATTTTGATAGTGACCAACTATATCATCAAACTCAGTTTTTAATTTTTCTTTGATTGTTTCTAATTCTTCTATTTTAGTGCTTGGCTTTTGTGTTAAGTGGCTTAATGTATCATTATATAATGATATAGAGTTGAATTTCATATCAAAGGCCTCAATCTCAGTTAATGAGAGTTCAGCATAAGAAATATTAAATTTGGATTCAAATTCCTTACAAGAATTTTCGATATCTTGCATTTTATTGTTTCTCTATTATTACTTTATAATTTCAGCTTATAAAAATCAATATTATTATATTCAAAGAAAAATTATCGTAACAATGCAAAAATCTTATTAGAAGAGCATTTTAAAACTAATCTTAAAAGCTTGGACTCCTTGAATTCTTTTGAATTTAAATTAAATTCAAAGAATAAAAATTTACTTGAATTGTATCTATCTCCAAGAACCCCAAAATAAACTTTTCTCCTTCTTATAATTCTATTTAAAATTTAATAAATTAGCTAGATATCTCATATATCAGCTTCTAATTATTTATTATTTAAATAATATTAAAAGGACTTCTAAACCTCATAAAATTGTAGATTAGTTAGTTCATATATTCTTTTCATTTTATTTTTTACTGTAGGATCTGATTACTAGGTAAAAGTCACTTTTTTTAAATATCAACTCTCTAGCCTAATCTCTGTATAAGGAAAATCATATTTAGCACCTGATTCTTGTCAGTTCCTATAAGGCTACAATGTCACTTTCATTATTGAAGTTTCACATATTTACCATTAAAATTTAATTACTGCTATTTTTTGGTGCAAATGCAATTATAATCTCTTTGAGAGCTGATTAATTAAAGCTAGATCTAATTTCATATATAGTTAAATCAATTATTATTAGTCATAAGAATAGGTGAAGCTTAATTCAACCATTGGGCCTTCAAATTTTTGGATTTCTTTTAATTCTTTTTTCTTCAAATCGAATTCGTAATATAAAAGCATGCTTGGACCGGAATAAATATCATAAGCTCCTAAATATACTTTTTTCTTGCTTATAACTCTATATGACTGAGCAGTAAATAAGCTTCCTTTAAATTCTCCAATTTTTGTCCAAACATATTCATTGTCATAATCGCTTTCTCACATGCATAATTCTCTGCTTAAAAGGAACTGCTGAGCTAGATGTAAAATCTTCACTTAAAAGAGGTAGCAAGGACCATTTATTTTTGATTAAATCAAATTTTCGATTGCAATTTTGTTCATCAGAAAAAGAGGGAAATAGGTTCCAAGAAGCTGCGTTAATCGTAGGAACTGCCACCCCACCAAATATATAAACATTTTGCTGATAATAAAAGATTCCTGATCTGTGAAGATAGCTAGTAGATGGCAAAATTCGTTTTATTTTATATGAATTTAAATCAATTATGCAAACATAGCAAGCATCATCCTTATTTCCGATACAAAATAATTCGTTGTTGGGGAGTTGAACGACACTGACTTCATCATTGGTTAGTCTCTCAGATAAATCAATGTTTATTTTTTCTTGTTGAGATTTTTCTATGTCGTATACAACAAGTTCAGTTTTATCCATTTGACTGCTCATAGAATAAAGGTATTTTGGGTCTTGATAGATATATGGAGAAAAAGACTCAGAAATTAGACCTTCTATTACCTCTCTAAGTATGCTAGAAAATTGAGTATACACTTCAACATATTTCAAATAAGCATTCATAGCTTCATTATCTGTTTGCAATAAATCTATGAATATTTGATTATTTTGATAAGAAGAACTTATATTTTTGAATTCTTTTTCTACTTCTTCTTTAATTTTTTCTAATTTTTCTATTATTGGATTTTTATCCTCATAAAATTGAAGTTTGATTGAGCTTTGTGGTTTTTTATTGACTTCATTTAGAGAAAGTTCAGTCGATAAGATATAATCAGTATTACTTCTTAATCATTCTACTGTTTTTCTTTTCTGCTTCACATTCTTTGTTTTAAAATTTCAATCATGAGAATTGCTTCTCTTTGCCATAACTGCCTCAAGGTTTCCCATTTATAAAAAGAATGCAATAAAATCTGAAATTAATTAATTGTTTAGAAAATTCAACTTGACTGCCGTTTAAATAAGTATTATAGAAATTGCCCGAGGATGGCGCTATTTTGCGCCATCCTCGGGCAATTCAAAAAACCGGCCCCACACGGGAACTGAACCCACGTGTGGGGCCATTTTTGGTATGTGTAATACATAGACTTACACGTACCAAAAATGGCCCCACACGTGGATTAGATTCCCGTGTGGGGTCATTTTTTGAATTGCCCGAGGATGGCGCAAGATAGCGCCATCCTCGGGCAATTGCTATATCAAATGAAAGTCGGTGAAACTATAATGCACTAAAAAGCCCAATTCTTTTAAGGCAATTAATGCTAATTTCAAAAAATATAAATTAATCATATGAATATCTGAAAGCTAAACTAACTCTGGGCCTTCAAAATTTTGAATATCCTTAAGTTTCTTTCTTTTCAAATTGAACTAGTAATACAAAAATTGGGTTGGATCGGAATAATTGTCATATACTCCAAAGTGACCCTATTCTTGCTTATACTTGCATACATTAAGCTAAACTTTAGCGATTATTCTTTTATTGTAATAAAAAAAAGTTTGAGAAGCTTCCATCCGCTATAAATAGTATATCACTCTGTACGGCTGAGCTCTAGATAACTCTCCATCATATTCTCCAATTTGGTTTCAAACATACTCATTATCATATTCGCTTTCCCATAACGACATTCAAGCCTCTATTAAATAAACTCTTGAGTTTCCAGCAATTAAGAGCTTTGCTGACATTCCAGTGTTAAATTCAAATTTAGTAAAGCTCTCAAGATTTATATCATATTCATATAAGGACCCCCCCCTCATTTGTCAAATTTTCTAGTCTTTTATCATTTGTCCATTTTTCTAGTTTTTTTTATAGGAAAAAAAAATTTTTTTAGGACCTCATTTGTCCAATTTTCTAGTCAAAATTTTGATAGAGAAAAAAAATTTTCAGGACCTCAATTGTCTCATTTTCTAGTTTTTTTAAAGTAAAAAACTAGAATTTAGGGCATTCGAAAAAATGCAAAAAAGACTAGAAAATTGGACAAACCATTTTTTGACTAGATTTTTGGGACAAATGAGGTCCTGAAAAAAAAAATTTTCTATAAAAAAAAAGACTAGAAAATTCGACAAATGAGGGGGGGGGGTCCTTATATTTAAAAACTCAAGCGCTGATAGCAAAATTTTCTGTTTAAAAGACACTGCTGAGCAGCCTGTAAAACTTCTTATTGGTGCTGAAGGTAGCACAGTCCATTTATTGTTGACTAAATCAAACTTCCGATTACAAATTTCATTAGGATTATGAGAACCGAGAATGAAAGGCTTTGAAGTTAAGCCAAACTGAGGTATTATGACTCCGCCAAACATGTAAACGTTTTGCTGATAGTAAAAGATTCCAGAATTTCGAAAATATGTAGTGGTGGTAAAATTCGTTTTACCTTATACGAAGTTAAATCTAAAATGCAGGCATGGCAAGCGGTTCCTTTATTACCTACAAAATAACTCATTATTGGGAAGTTGAACGACGCTGATTTCATCATTAGTAAGCTTCTCGTATAAATCAATGTTTATTTTAGTTTGTTGGGATTTTTCTATATCGTATGCAGCAAGTTCAGCTTGATCATTTTGAGTATATATTGAATATAAAATTTTAGAGCTTTGATAGACGTATGGGGAAAAAGACTCAAAAACTAGATTTTTTATTAATTATGATAATATGGCGCTATTGAATTTCTGCTAGAAAGTGTAAAAAGCTCTTTTGGAAATTTACTATGGGTTTAGCTCAGTGTATGCATTAATCTAGGCTAATCAGGAATTATGTGCTGAAGTCTGCAATCTTAGGTAGTAGTTCAAGGAAGTAGAATTTTCCAGAAGGGCAGCACACACCTAGACGATGAATATAGCTAGGGAGGATGTCTAGCACGGGGCTTTTTTGGCTTGAAAGCAAGCCCAAAAAGCCCCGTGCTAGATATCCTCCCTATCTATATTATGAATGATATCTTTCTGAGGGCTGAGAGATTAGATTTCATAAACCGAATTCAAGACCTAGAAACTTCAGAAGCAGTGATAGCCGATTTATTAGTGGAAGTAAAGCATATGCTATAATTAAGCTAATTTTCTATAGTTTCTCTAAGTCTATTTGAAAAATTAGTGTAAACTTCAGTATATTTCAAATAAGCATTCATAGCTTCGCTATTTGCTTGCAATAACTTTATGAATTCTTGATTATTCTGATAGGAAGAGTTTATATTTTCAAATTCAGTTTCTACTTCTTCTTTAATTTTTTCTAATTCTTTTATTATTGGAGTTTTATCCTCATAAAATTTAAGCTTGATTGGGCGTTTGGTTTCTTTGCCCATTTCATTTAAAGCAGGCTCAATGGATAAGATATGTTCAGTTTTACTTATTAACGATTCTATTGGAGTTAAATCTTGCTCAATATGTTTTACTCTTGGATCTATTTGGCTAAGTTGGTCTTTGCTTCTATTCCTCTTAACTGTTCCGAAAAAATTCATAATTTATCATTGACACGAACTATAAAAGTAATATTAATATTGTTTATCCTGAATATTTATATTGATTCTCATCACAAAGCCTTAGTGCTGCCAATCTAGCTAGGGAATTCATTTGTCACTTTTTGGATAGCAAGCTTTTTTAGTTGATTTCTATTGAATATTTGTTAAACTTGACTGCTAGTTTTAGCCCAGAAAAGGCACATAAAATTCCCAAGTTGGTAGTAAGGCATTTTACGAGCAATATGAGTATTCCACCTATATTTAATAATGTTTTAAGAAGTTTTCAGGCGATAAATAACGAGATATAAAGTTAAAAATTAAATTGAATTTTCAGCTTAATGAAGCTAAATATCACTGGGTTCGTAACTATAATATTATCGATACTAAGCATACACGAATTTTTAATTTTTATATTTTATAATAATGAGTAAACTAAAAGATGATAAGCTAATAATGCATAAATACTTTTATAGCTCACCATTAAAAATGCAGACTGAATTTGCTAGCTTTATTTCAAGATAACAATCAGTTAAGCGCTATTAATCATAATCATATTCAAAATTTTTTCTATTTCTTGGCATATTTTTTGGTTATTTTTTTAATGCTAAAAATTTTATGATATAATTTCAGTTATAAATAATAGGACAAAAATGTTGTTGTGTTATAAGCATAATGTGAAGTTACGAGATGCATCACTATATATGCATGAATTTTAAAGCCTTAATAATAAAAATATTATTATATTAACGGCTATACAAATAAATACTAAAAGTCTAAAATATTAATTATTTTATATAGTTAAACAATTAGGCTAGCTTGCTAATCTCATAATATATATGTTTAATTTTAGACGCAATATTAATTAAGTCCTATTAATCATACTCATACTCAAAATGTTACCCCACTTCAGGACCTTTAATGCATTGAATTGACATGAATTCCTTTTCTTTCAAATTAAACTTGTGACATCAAAACCTAGTTGAACAAATTTCAGAAACTCCTATATAAATTTTTTTTCTTGATATAACCCTATACAAGGGATAGTGCTTGGATTGCGATGGTGGACAGGCAAGTCAAGTTGTTCCATGAAGGAATTCTGAGGATGAAAGCAAAGGAGTTAGAACAAAAAAAGGGAAAACCAGCAATAGCAGACATTCCGGACAAATTAAAAGTGCAAAAGTCTCTAGATAGTTGAATTCTTAAAAAAAACCCATAAGGGTTTGCTGAGAGCATTTGTGTGCTCTCTGAATAATTGATGATATAACCCTATACGGTTGAGCACTAAAAAAATCTCTGCTAAATTTACTGATCCGACTCCAAGCATACTCATTACCATATTCGCTTTCCCATAAGCTCCCTCAAGCCTCTAATAAATAAACCCTTGAGTTTCCAGCGAACAATAGCTTTTCTGTGGGCTTCAGGATTAATTCAATTTTATTGAAATTTTCTAAGTTTATCTCGTACTCATAAACACAATCCTGGCATTCTTGTCCTACAACAAGAATTTTATTCTTGAATAGCACCGCTGTACATAATAATAAAATGAGTACGCATGGAAACGGTTTAATCAGTAAACTATTCTTCCTCTGTGATGCTCATTATTATGGATTCGGTTATCTGGTGTGCCTTTATCTACAATGAAAAACGTGGCTTATTCCATAGGGTAAAACAGTTTAGCCCAGGGATTCTAGGAAGCTAAGTTTCGCCGCTTGGCACACCTGAGGAGGCAGAGCACGAGCAGGAGCCAAGTCTAAAGCGAGACAGCGCGTCTCGCGTGTGGTTTCTGGTGATCCAGATGGAGCCGGAGAATCTTCAATAGCCCTCGCCATTTTTATGTCATTGGCACTATTTTGGATGTTTGGAATACCTGCTATGTCTCTGGGTACCTAAATCATTCTGCTGAAGAGGCTAGCACGTTAAAAACTAAATAATTAATGAATTAAGAATGGCACTACTGAACAAAAAGTTATTGAATCAGGTACTGAAAGTAACGAAACCCATTTATTTGGGGTTAAATCAAATCTTTTATTCGAATAGTGTTTTATATTGAATTGCCCATGAAATCTGATGGATATGGATATCAGGAGATAATCCAAAGACAATATATATATTTTCTTTTTTGTATGAAGAAGATAAATGAGCTCTCAAGGAGGAAGTAGTAAGAATTATTGGTGAGAGCCCACCTATGATGTAAACACTACCCTGATAGTATAAAATTCCCGATTTTTGGGGATAACTTGTAGACGGTAAAGTTCGCTTGATTTGATATGAATACAAGTCAATAGTTCAGGCGTTGCAACTGTCTCTGTTGAAGTTCCCAAAACAAAATAGTTCATTGTTAGGAAGTTGAACTACGCTGACTTCGTCATTAGTTAGTGGCTTAGGCAGATTAATATTGACTTTTGTTTGCTGAGACTTTTCTATGTTATATTGAATAAATTCAATCGGATATGCGTGGCTGTTGACAAAATAAAGAATTTTAGAATCTTCATATGAATGTGGAGAAAAAGATTCGGCTATCAGGTGTTTTATTGTTTTTCTAAGATTTATAGAAATTTGCTGTAGGTTTCTGTATACTTTAAATAAACATTGCTAATTTCTTCGTCTGCTTTTAGTAATTGTATGAAATTTATATCATTTTGATAAGAAGCATTTATATTTTGAAACTCAGCATCTAAGACTTCTTTGAGGTTTTCTAATTCTTCGATTTTAGAATCATTATCCTCATAAAATTTAAGTTTAATTGGTCAATTTGCCTTTTTATCCTCCTTTCTTAAAGTTAAATAGCATGATGATATATGATCGATTTTTGCTTTAAGTGATTTTAGTACATTTGATTTGAGTTCAATATTTGTTTCTTTAGATCCTCTTGGATTTATTAAAATATCCTGAGAATTGATTCTCTTATCAATTTCACTGGGATTCCTCATATTTACTATGATAGAATAATTGCATTAGCAATGAAGTTTAATATGAAAATTAAATCAAATTGAATGCAATAATTTATCTGAAAATAAACTCTTCTCCTATTCTCAACTCTATAAATTGTTCGTTTGGCAATGCATTTATAATGAATCTGTTTATTTAACAAATATTTGCTATCGGGCACGCTTTCCCATATACTAATTCATGCTTCCAATAAATAAACTCGAATTTCTAGTATTCTGGTTTTGCAAAATTTCTAAAACTATGTCGTATACATATATAAACTTTTACAATCATTTCCTATTTCCTGTAATAATGGCTTTGAAAAAGGCACTGGAGAGCATAAAGTCAATAAAATTGGAACGGTTGCAGAAATGCTTATGCTAAAAATAATAATTTCTTTATGTTTCAAGAAATGTAGCTTGGCTCTAAAAGTTTATAATGTTTTGGAAATGTTTAAGAATTGATAATATAAATAATTTCCTTTTAACTTTGAATTGAAAGAAAATGTTTTTAAATTTCTATTTTTTGGTAAAACCAGAATATTTTCACAAATATAATTAAATTTTATTTTTAGAAATAAAGAGTTATTAATCGTATTCATAATAATGACTTAATTGAACGACTGGACCTTCAAAGTTTTGGATTTCCTTTAATTCTTTTTTCTTCAAATTGAACTCGTAATATAAAAACATGCTTGGATAGGAATAGATGTCATAAACTCCCAATATACTTTATTTTTGATTAAATCAAATTTTCGATTTTCATTTCGTGAAGGAAATGGACGTTGAGAAGTTATCAAATTAATCCGTGTAAGTCCACAAAATATATAAACATTTTGTTGATAATAAAAAGATTCCTGATCTATTACTATATCAAGTAGGTGGTAAAATTCGCTTGATTTCATATGAATTTAAATCAATTATGAAAGCATAACCAAGATTCTTCTTTTTTCCGATACAAAATAGCTCATTGTTGGGGAGTTGAACAACGTTGACTTCATCATTGGTTGAAAACTCAGATAAACAAATGTTTATTTTTTCTTGTTGAGACTTTTCTATATCATATACAACAAGTTCAGTTTTATTCATTTGACTGCTCATAGAATAAAGAAATTTTGGGTCTTGATAAATATATGGAGAAGATGATTCAGAAATTAGAGCTTCTATTGAATCTTTAAGTTTACTAGAAAAATTAGCATACACTTCAACATATTTCAAATAAGCACTTATAGCTTCCTCATTTGCTTGCAGTAAATCTATTAATATTGGATCATTTTGATAAGAAGAACTTGTATTTTTAAATTCTTTGTCTACTTCTTCTTTAAGTTTTTCTAATTTTTCAATAATTGGATTTTTGTCCTCGTAAAATTGAATTTTGAGAGAGTTTTTGGCTTTTTGGTTTACTTCATTTAGTGCAAGCTCAATCGATAAGATATGATCAGTTTTTTTTCTTAATGCTTTTATTTGGTTTTTTGTTTGCTTGATATTCTTTCCTTTAATATCTGAATTAGCAGCTTGATTATCGCTTCTCTTTATATCAACTGTCCCAATATTTTCCATTATTAACAGAATATAATAAAATCTGAAATTAATTAATTTCATATTTTTGTACTTTAGAAATTAAGAAATATCAATTTTGATTACGTTTAAATAAACTATAAAATACTCTAGTATAAATTTTTATAGTTGCTTATTTAAATCAATTATGAAAGCATAGCCAAGATCATTTGCTTTTCCGATACAAAATAGCTCTTTGTTGGGGAGTTGCACAACATTGACTTCATCATTGGTTAGTACCTCAGGTAAATAAATGCTTGCATTTGCTTGTTGAGACTTTTCTATGTCGTATACAACAAGTTCAATTTTATACATTTGACTGCTCATAGAATAAAGGTATTTTGGGTCTTGATAGATATATGGAGAAAAAGACTCAGAAATTAGAGCTTCTATTGAATCTTTAAGTCTACTAGAAAAACTAGCATACACTTCAACATATTCCAAATAGGCATTCATAGCTTCCTCATTTGCTTGCAGTAAATCTATTAATATTGAATCATTTTGATAGAAAGAACTTGTATTTTTAAATTCTTTTTCTAATTCTTCTTTAAGTTTTTCTAATTCTTCAATAATTGGATTTTTGTCCTCGTAAAATTGAATTTTGAGAGAGTTTTTGGCTTTTTGGTTTACTTCATTTAGTGCAAGCTCAATCGATAAGATATGATCAGTTTTTTTTCTTAATGCTTTTATTTGGTTTTTTGTTTGCTTGATATTCTTTCCTTTAATATCTGAATTAGCAGCTTGATTATCGCTTCTCTTTATATCGACTGTCTCAATATTTTCCATTATTAACAGAATATAATAAAATCTGAAATTAATTAATTTCATATTTTTATGTTTGAGGAATTAAAACATTTCAATTTTGATTACGTTTAAATAAACTATAAAAAGCCCCAGTATAATTTTAATTAGCTTAAACTTTTTGTATAGAGCTGTTTTTGGTTTCATCTAGCGATGCTAACTCATTTGAAACTTTTCTTTATTGCTGCTGCATGACTCTGAGTTGATTTAAGCTATTTTAATAATTGAGTGTGAAGTATTGTGCAGTATGGTTTCTTTTATAATTGTAAAGTGTGAGATGAATTTATGATGTGAAATTGTAGTTTAATGTATTCCTTAAGGATTGTTATGTATTATCTTGCCATACTAATGTGATAATAATCTATAGGTATTCTAATAAAATTTATATGATGGGAAAGTGTAAAAATTTTGTACCATGAAATTATTTAGTGCTATTTTTAAGGTTTATTTTGGATATACATAAAATGACTATTTTTCATTCTGACGTGGTATTTTGGTTCAAAGAACTCCTAAAGATTAACTTTGCCTCAAGGTGAGTGGCCCATGACTATTCCGCTAAATATTTCCTTTGACTTAAGTTTTGTAAGAATTATCATATTTTTAAATAAAATGACAATCTATGGAACAAAAAGAAACACAATCTCTTTTCAAGCTGATTTGGCTAAAACCATACACTAATTCCATATATATCTTTTAATTAAATATCGGAATTAATTAATACATTTTTAACTCCTATAATTAAATCTAATTTAAAGCATAAGAATTATTAGTCATAAGAATAATCGAAACTTATTTGAGCACTTAAGCTTTCGAAACTTTGAATTTCATTTAATTTTTATCTCCACACTGAACTCAAAATATAAAACTTACTTGCAGAATTGATGTCAGAAACTCTGAAAGATACATTTTTCTTACTTATACTTATATATAACAATCTAAATTTAGATACTATTTTAATAATCATAATAATAAGGCAAAATTCAAATCTTGCAAACTATAAATAGGGATATAAATTTATATGAGCAGTAAATAAGCTTCCGCTAAACTTAAAATTTGTTTTAAAATATATATTCGCTTTCTCCTTAGAAAATAAAGAGTTATTAATCTTATTCTCAAAATGACTTAATTCAATGCTCGGGCCTTTAAATTTTTGGATCCTTTTAATTCTTTTTTCTTCAAATTGAACTCGTAATATAAAAACATGCTTGGATAAGAATAAATGTCATAAACTCCTAAATATACTTTATTTTTGCTTATAATTCTATACGGCGAGCAGAAATATTTTTTAAATCTCTTTTTTTCCAAACGATATTCTTGCTAATCCTTCTACATAATATATTTTAGAAGAATTATCTTCGTAGAATTGAATTTTAAAGGAATTGCTGGGCTTTTGTGTTAAGTTGCTTAATGTATCATTATATAATGATATACAGTTGAATTTCATATTAAAGGCTAAATCTCAGTTAATGGCAATTCAGCATAAGAAATATTAAACTTGGATTCAAATGCCTTACAAACATTTTCGATGTCTTGCATTTTATTGGCTTTTTCCATTATTACTTTATAACGTCAGCATTTAAAATTAATATTATACTCAAAGAAAAATTATCGTAATAAAAATATTATTGAGTTTCCGACCTTGGATTTAATGGACCAAGAAGGGAAATCAGTCCTCTATGACGGAATCAATGCAGGGATTGAACAGTTCTATTCTTTCCGATCAGAAAACTCTACATTTTTAGGACAAGAAGATATTCGTCATAAATGGATAATTGCTATTTGTAATAGTGATGATATTGGTAGCCAAATTTCTTTTGCTGAGATTTCTAAAAAGATTAATGATACCAAATTAAATTTCTGTCTTGGCTTAGCTTTTTTTATTAAGTCAATATAATTAGATATAATGATTTTTTTTTATAAATTCTGACCCATCCCCACACTTTCAGCTTGAATCCTTGAAGAACTACAGCATCAGAGCATATTTCTTTCAGCTTATTCACAAACTGAGATAAGACGTGCATTTCAAAGGATTGACGCTATAATCTGCCCATTCAAACTATTTTGGTTAATTAATTCTATTTCATAAGTACAATAATATTGAAATTTAGCATATTTACATAAAAATAGATTACTGTTATTATATAGAAAAAAGACAAAAATTATCTCTTTTGAGAGCTGATTGATTAAAACCAGAATGCTTTTACAAATATAATTAAATTTTAATCTAAGAAAATAAAGAGTTATTAATCGTATATATAAAAATGATTTAATTTGACGCTTGGGCCTTCAAATTTCTGGATTTCCCTTAATTCCTTTTTCTTCAAATTGAACTCGTAATATAAAAACTTGCTTGGATTTGAATAGATGTCATAAACTCCCAAATATACTTTATTTTTGCTTATACCTAATATAATAATATCTTAATCTAAAATTTTAGCAACTATTCTAATAATAGGGTAAAAGTTGAAAATTTTTATATATTATAAATAGGTTTATAATCCTATATGGCTGAGTAGTAAATAAGCTTCCTTTAAATTCTCCAATTTTTTTCCAAACATATTCATTGTCATAATCGCTTTCTCACATACATATCCAAGACTCAATTAAATAGACTCTTGAATTTCCTGCAATTAAGAGCTTTTCTGTGCTTCCCATATAGAATTCAAATTTATTATAGCTTTCAAGATTGATATCATATTCATATAAATACTCAAACTCAAGGGCTGAAAGTATAATTCTTTGTTTAAAAGGCACTGCTGAACTAGATGTACAATGCCAGCTAGGCAAAGGAGGTAGCGAGGACCATTTATTTTTTATCAAATCAAATTTTCGATTATCATTTTCTGCTCCAAAAATAGAGGGAAATGGACCTTGAGAAGTTTTATTCACCTTAAGGCGTGCAAGTCCACCAAATATATAAACATTTTGCTGATAATAAAAGATTCCTGATCTATTACTATAGGTAGTAGGTGGTAAAATTCGCTTGATTTCATATGAATTTAAATCAATTATAAAAGCATAACCAAGATCCTTCTTTTTTCCGATACAAAATAGCTCTTTGTTGGGGAGTTGAACAACGTTGACTTCATCATTGGTTGAAAACTCAGATAAATTAATGTTTATTTTTGCTTGTTGAGACTTTTCTATGTTGTATACAACAATTTCAGTTTTATCCATTTGAATGCTCATAGAATAAAGGAATTTTGGGTCTTGATAGATATATGGAGAAAAAGACTCAGAAATTAGAGCTTCTATGGCCTCTTTAAATCTACTAGAAAAATTAGCATAGACTTCAACATATTTCAAATAAGCATTCATAACTTCCTGATTTGCTTGTAGTAAAGTGGTTAATTTTGGATCATTTGATAGGAAGAACTTGTATTTTTAAATTCTTTGTCTACTTCTTCTTTAAGTTTTTCTAATTTTTCAATAATTGGATTTTTGTCCTCGTAAAATTGAATTTTGAGAGAGTTTTGGGCTTTTTGGTTTACTTCATTTAGTGCAAGCTCAATCGATAAGATATCATCAGTTCTTTTTCTTAATAATTTTATTTGGCTTTTTGCTTGCCTGATGTTCTTTCCCTTAGTATCTGAATGAGCACCTTGATTATCGCTTCTCTTTATGCCAACTGTGCCAATATTTCCCATTATTAACAGAATATAATAAAATCTGAAATTAATTAATTTCATATTTTTATGCTTTAGAAATGAAGAAATATCAATTTTTATTTGCGTTTAAATAAACTATAAAACACTCTAGTGTAAATTTTTATAGTTGGGTGCATCAGGGCAGCATTGACATTTTGATGTTAAAGCATATGCTTAAAAAATATATAAGCTTAGAAATAAGAAAAATAAAAAATTCGATTATAAATTTAGTATCAAAACTAATACCATCCCATCTTTATATTTAAATAATAAATTAGCCATTCTAATCTTTTATTTTATATCATAATCACCATAAAATGATGGCTCATTTATCTTTAAGTTGCGCTTGCTTATGAAGGTTTTGAGGTAAGATATAGTCAATTTGTTTCGTAAGCACTGAATCTCTTTCGCTTAAGTTCTGTATAAGAGCAATCATATTTAGCACGAAATTGTTAGAATTCCTTAAAGGTATATATGGATATTAGTAAATAATTCAAGGACAATACATATAGTTTCTTGGATGATTGAAGAATGCACATAATTTGTCAAGGAAACCATAGGAACTCAAGGCAGACGCCCACCTATGATGTAAACACTACTCTTATAGTAAAAAATTCCTGATTTGCTGGAATACAGTATAGACGGTACAGTTCGCTTTATTTGATATGAATTCAAATCAATAATTCAGGCATGGCAACGGTTTCTGTCGGATTTCCCAAAGCAAAACAATTCATTGTTAGGAAGTTGAACTACGCTGGCTTCGTCTCTAATTGGTAGAGTAGGCAGATTAATATTGACTTTTGTAAGCTGAAATTTTTCTATGTCATATTGAATAAGTTCAGCCGGATTTGCATGACTGTTGACAGAATAAAGAATTTTAGAATCTTCATAGGAATATGGAGAAAAAGATTTGTCTATAAGGCATTTTATTTTTTTTCGAATATTTATAGAGAATTCTCTATATGTTTCTGTATACTTTAAATAAATATTGCTAATTTCTTCGTCTGCTTTTAGTAATTGCATGAAGTTTATATCATTTTGATAAGAAGCATTTATATTTGAAATTTATTGGCAATCTAAATGATTATTATTGAGAAGTCTCCTTTAGGTCATATGCCATTAATCTATTGCATTATCACTTCATCAGTCCATGCACAACCTACGCTATGCTACTCTTTCAAAAAGGGCCTCATGGTATCTAGAACAGAGGATTTAGTTCATCGTTCTGTCCGTCAATGCAGATTGCCTGGTTATTCGTTTTCCTATTCATATATAAAATAGAAAAAATAGCAATGCCACAGCTTTTTGCTTCTTTAAAAATTTATAATTTAGGATATGCAAAATTAAATCAAATTGAATGCAATAATTTATCTGAAAATAAGCGAGCTTTACTCTTGATTTTATCTTTAAAACTTTGAATTTCTTTAAATTTCTTTTTTTTTCCAAATCGAGTTTAAAATATGAATTTTTATAGAATAACTATTAATGATTCAAAAAAAACTCTTCTCATATTCTCAATTCTCTGAATTTTTTATTTGGTAATGCATTTATAATCAATCTATTTATTTTGTAAATATTTCCTATCGGGGACGCTTTCCCATATACTAAATCATGCTTCCAATAAATAAACTCTGAATTCCTAGTATTCTGGTTTTGCAAAATTTCTAAAACTATGTCGTATACATATATACACTTTTACACTCATATTCTATTTCCTGTAATAATGGCTTTGTAAAAAGGCACTGGAGAGCATAAAGTCAATAAAATTGGAACGGTTGCAGAAATGCTTATGCTAAAAATAATAATTTCTTTATGTTTCAAGAAATGTAGCTTGGCTCTAAAAGTTTATAATGTTTTGGAAATGTTTAAGAATTGATAATATAAATAATTTCCTTTTAGCTTTGAATTGAAAGAAAATGTTTTTAAATTTCTATTTTTTGGTAAATTACCCCTTTTAAATTTTAATTTTTCAATAGTAAATTTTATTGCAATGATGCTAATTTTTATATAAATGGTTTCGACCTTATTTGATGGAAGAAGTGCAATCAGAACGCTATTTAAACAGCTGTTGTGCTGAATCAATTAATTTTTTTTGAACTATTCCATAAAAATGAATTAAGATTTAAAAATATTGCATACAATTTATATTCTATACAATTATTCTATATTAATAATAATTTAATATAATTTTTTTTTTTTCAAAAAAAATTTTTGTGTTTAAAGTTGTAAGAAAATATTTATTATAGTTTAGAGTCCAGAAAAATTTTTAATGACTTTAATGATTTTTAATGGCATATGGGCCCATAATAATAGTTTATTATGAAATCTTGGAGAGCTGGTGAAGCAGAGCAAAAAGTCCTTTGCATCCTTTTCCCCAAAGATTTAAAAGATCGCCTTGAAAGTCTAAAACAAGAATTTATTGTGCAGTCTAGGGTTTCTAACATAGAAATTAAAGACTCTCATTTCGATAACGCTATTGAAGTCTTAATAATTGGTGATCGCAATACAATTGTTTCAGCATGCAGCGTTATTTTTAGCAGCTTTATCCCTGATCCGTTAAGCGAAACAAGGATGGATATACTTGTTCCCGAAAAAAGTGTGGGCAAAATTATAGGCAAAAAGGGAAAGAATATAGAAATGATTCGTCAAAATACAGGAACAAATATAATTTTTGCTAAATATTCTACTGCTTTAAAAGTAGGAAAAATTGATGGTACATTTGAAGGAATCCTTAAAGCAGTGCAACAAATAATTGATATAATTTACGAAAAGCCTAAAAGATCAGGCAGCGTGAATTTCGGGAAATAAGGGAAGATGGAAACGGAGGAAGAAATAACAAAAATGATGACAGTTCCTCAAAGTGCTGTAGGATGGATTTTAGGAAAACATAAGGCTGGATGGTCAAGCAAAAACTTCCCTTAATGCCAAACTGCTTTGTCTTGATAATAAGAAATATAAGAGATATTGAAGTATTTTCGCTTCTAAGCTATTAAAATGCGATTTATAGCATGTTTAAAGATATATTTAATACTTTATTTCATCCTAATATATACAAAAATTTTATTGGTAAAAATTTTTAGAGTAATAAATAAAAGAATTAATAGAAAATAAGCTGGATATCGCTTAATTATTGTATTATAAGCATGAATCCAGTTGAATTTTACTTTAAAATGGATAGAGACAATTAAATGAATTCAAGCATAATTATAGATCATGGGCATATGCAATATCTAGCATTGTTTCGCTAAATTAATGCATTTTAAAACATTTCATATGCTTAAATAGCTTATTTTAAATATAAAATATGATATATCTCATTTAAATGCAATACAAAATATGAACTAAATATGCTAGCCATATAAAAGTTTTATATATAGTATTTATATGAAATATAGTATTAAATATATGTGTAAACATGCTAGAAATCACGTTTTAATGGGATAGAAGTGGAAATATTTATACTTTTTATTATCAAGAATAGGTAGTCGGGATTAATAGGAGGTAGGGGAAGTGGAGTGGTTCTATGCTTGGCCAGCCGGACTTCAAAATTTAAAAGATATGTCTGAATGTGATATTACATTACAGTATAATCATAAGAATAAGCTATTTGATATAAAATAAAAAGATATTAAAAAAAATTAAAATAAATTATAATTTTAGGATATTATTGTAATTGATTCTGCAAGCGTAAATACAGGAGTAGACGAAATGAGAATTTTTCAAATAAAAGGACTACCTAACAAGGTAGATATTGCTATTAAATTAATACAAGCAGAGGCTAGCACATTCAAGCTACAAGAGATCGAAAAGAAGTCAAAATCAAAGAGTAAAATGCAGGTGAAGAAAAAAGGAAATGAATCTAGTGAATCAGAAGAAAACGAAGAAGAAAACAAAGAAGAAGAAAAGCAAATTGAGGCTGAGCAGGAGATTGAGGAAGAAGAAAAATTTATTCCGTTTATAGAAGATAAAACAAAACTTAATATCCCAAGTAATCAAAAAGTCGTTTCGCTAATCATTGGGCAAACAGGATCTGGAAAATCCACATTTATCAACTATCTCACCAACTTTTTCAGAAAAGGGACTCTCGAAAATAGAAAAGTAGCAATACCTACTAGAAATTTTCCACAAACTGAAATAGATTTTAATCACACAGAAAGACTGGTAAGTTCAGATCATTCTCAAACCAATAATTGCTGTGCATATGATTTTATTGACGATCAAAGTTCAAGCACTTTCACCTTTATTGACTCTCCTGGTATAGGGGATACTAGAGGTGTTGAGCAAGATGACAAAAATATTAGAAAAATAATAGATGGGGTTTTAAATTATCAACAGATCAATGCAATTATAATTGTTCAAAATGGAAGTGAATCTAGAAATAATGCAACTTTAAAGTATACCTTGAAAAAGCTTAGAAACTCTCTTCCAGCACTTATGGAAACTAATATAATGCTTGTCCTTACAAGCTGCCCAATTAGTTCAAACTTTAATGATGCCTCTTTAGAAATAATTCCCAAAACAAAAATTCTGATGGACAACAATGCTTTTACTGTTGAAAACATACAAAATCTTAAGGAGAATCAGCGAAATCAATTGCAACTAAGCTGGGATAACTCTATGTCACAAATCAAAGAGCTATTAGAATTTATCTGCTTAATGGATACCGTAGACACAAAAGTATTTCAAGAAATGATTGATGAAGTAAATATTGCAAAAGAAAATTTCGATTACGCACAAAAGTATCTTACTAACCTTTACAGTTTAAAGAAAAAGCTAGAAGAAGTGAGAGAACAAAAAGGTGCATCATTGCAAGAGGCTAGAGCATATCAGAATTATATAAAAACAGAAACAGTTGAACAGATTGAATGGGTTGATAACCCAGATGTTCACAGAGTTTGCCCCACTTATAGTTCGTCAGGTAGTTCAAACGGAATAAAACGCATCCAAAAAAAAAGAAAGGTAACAACAAAAATGGTCACACGTAAATATAAGAAACCTGGTACATGCAAAATGTGCAGATTAAACAAATCTGACCATTATCATACTCGAAGAGTTCCAGTGAGGGTTGTAAGATCAGTTGCAAGTATTCTCAATAATGTTAGACGAAATATTCCAGAAAAAATTCAAAAAAAAGTTCAAAAATCAGTTCAAAAAATTGACTATGATGCTAACTCCCCCTCAAAACCATCGGAAAAATCCCTATTTTTGGGTAAAAACACATCCTCTGTAAGCGGACAAAAACAATAGAAAATTGTTGATAAAAAAATTATGCTATATAAATGATTATTAGTATAATGAAATCTCTAACTAACTCTTAAAACAAAATTAAATAAATATTTGTTTCATAATTTTTCGAGAGCAAACAAAATGGTTTTTTTTTGCTCACGGATCGGGGAGTAAGGCAAAGCATGAGAGGAATTTAGAAAGAGCTAACCAGTTACAAAATCAGGAATCTGGTTTTGAAAGAGATATAAGATTAGTAGAAATCTCTATAGAAGATACGAAAATGAAAATTAGGACTGCAGTTCAGAATTTGAGAAGAGTTGCTCCGCATTATAATATTGCCGAAGAGATTGATGGGGTTCTGCAGCAGGCAAAACAACAGCTGAAAATAGATAGTCTGCCAAAAGAAAGAGATAAAACAAGGATTGTTATAAGAGTGCTTGAAGAAATTTATAATAATCTTTTAGGATAAAAATTTCTTTCCTTATAACTATTGCTATTTACTTCACTAATGAAATTATATTGTTAAATATTTTTTTATACTTCTTTATGGCACTTTTATTGATATTCTAATCTTAATCTCTTTATTCCCTTTTTAAATTTTATGATAAAATATTTAAAAAGCATAAGATAAAAACAAATATCTGTTATAAATTTAGTATCATCACTAATGCCAATTATTAGTCTCATCTTTATATTTATATAATAAGTTAACCATTCTAATCTTTTAATTTATATTATAATCATCATAAAATTGATGGCTCATTTATCTTTTGGTTGCATTTGCTAATAAAGGTTCTGAGATAAGATATAGCCAATTTGTTTTATGAAAACTCAATCCCTTTCGATTAAGTTCTGCATAAGAGCAATCATACTTAGCACCAAATTGCTAGAATTCCCGAAAGGCATATATCATCACTGGAATTTAGCATATTTACATAAAAATAAATTACTGTTATTCTATAGAAAAATGACAAAAATGATCTCTTTTGAGAGCTGATTGATTAAAACCAGAACATTTTCATAAATATAATTAAATCTTATTCTTAGCTCCACCAAATATATAAATATTTTGCTGATAATAAAATATTCCTGATCTATTATTATAAGTAGTAGGTGGTAAAATTCGCTTGATTTCATATGAATTTAAATCAGTTATAAAAGCATAGCCAAGATCCTTCTTTTTTCCGATACAAAATAGCTCATTGTTGGGGAGTTGAACAACGTTGACTTCATCATTGGTTAAAAACTCAGATAAATAAATGTTTATTTTTTCTTGCTGAGATTTTTCTATGTCGTATACAACAAGTTCAGTTTTATTCATTTGACTGCTCATAGAACAAAGGAATTTTGGGTCTTGATAGATATATGGAGAAGATGATTCAGAAATTAGAGCTTCTATGGCCGCTTTAAGTCTACTAGAAAAACTAGCATATAGCCCGTTCCCGGTTATAGATCGGGCTATGCCCAATCTTTGCCGGGGATTTGACTCGTCACCTCGAAGTGACGCAGACAACCCCCCGAGTTTCCCGCCAAAGATCGGGCATAGCCCGATCTATAGCCGAAACGGGCTATACACTTCAGCATATTCCAAATAAGCACTCATAGCTTCCTCATTTGCTTGCAGTAAATCTATTAATATTGGATCATTTTGATAGGAAGAACTTGTATTTTTAAATTCTTTTTCTAATTCTTCTTTAAGTTTTTCTAATTCTTCAATAATTGGATTTTTGTCCTCGTAAAATTGAATTTTAAGAGAGTTTTGAGCTTTTTGGTTTACTTCATTTAGTGCAAGCTCAATCGATAAGATATCATCAGTTTTTATTCTTAATGCTTTTATTTGGTTTTTTTCTTGCTTGATATCTTGATCATTGCTTCTCTTTATGTCTGCTGTCTCAATATTTTCCATTATTAATAGAATACAATAAAATCTGAAATTAATTAATTTACATATTTTTATTTTTTAGAAAATAAGAAATATCAATTTTGATTTGCGTTCAAATAAACTATAAAAAACTCCAGTATAATTTTAATTAGCTTTACTTTTGCATTGAGCTATTTTTGATTTTATTTAACGATGCTAACTCACTTGAACATTTATTTCTGGTGCATGACTCTGAGTTGATTTAAGCTATTTTCAATAATTGAGTGTGAAGTATTGTGCAGTATTGTTTGCTTTTATAATTGTAAAGTGTGAGATGAATTTATGATGTGAAATTGTAGTTTTATGTATTCCGTAAGGATTGTTATGTAATCTTGCCATACTAATGTGATAATAATCTATCGCTATTCTAATAAAATTAATATAATGGGAAAGATTAAAAGCTTTGTAGCATGCAATTATTTAGTGCTATTTTTAAGGTTTATTTTGGATATACATAAAATGGCTATTAATTCATTTAAATGTGGTATTTTGATGCGAAGAACACCTAACGATTAGCTTCACCTCAAGGTGAGTGGCCCATCACTGTTTTAGCTAAATATTCGGGTTGAACTGAAAACACCGTCATCTAGAAAATGGCTTCGTCCAATATGATGAATTAAAGGGTATACAAAAAATGGATTGACAAAGATAAACTGTGACAAGTAGATGAGCTCATTTTTAAAAAATTTACTCTCCGTGAGCGAGTTTAAATTTGTTGTTCAATCACTGTGTAGTTCGGTGCACCAGGGCAGCATTACCTTTTGATGCTAAAGCAAGGCCTAAAAATATTTAAGTAGAATAAGAAAAGTAAAAAAATCGAAGTATTTATATATAAATAATAAATTAACTGTTCCAATCTTTTATTTTTATATCATAATCATCATAAAATTGATGGCTCATTTATCATATACATCGACGGCGAACCAGCCCTTTTTCTCAACACCTGTAGCCGAGGTCTTAACGGGCAACAGGGACCTTGTGGAAGGAAAATTTGCGCTCGGTAAAATATATCCGGCTAGGTTTTACTTGTTTTGGTGGAGCGTATTGCCGAATTAGGTTGCTTAGTTCACTTCATATCAAAATTTTCACTCAGGGGAAATGAGATTCAGAATTGCCAAGGGGTGGCCCAGCGACACCCAAGGAGTACTACTTGCTCCATCGTGCACTTCTCCAGCACGATACTGGGCGTTGCGTCCTAGGCTTTGGATTTCTATTTTTGCCAACAGCTAGACCAGAAAATTTATTTTTCAAATTTTCGAAAAGAGCACCCTCAATTGACGTACGGTAAGGTGACACAACTCATCCGACTACAGGTAGTGAGTGCTAGTTCTCGTCTGTAGGAGCGAAGCTTTGAAGGTCGTGATACGATTGGTGGAAGGCAACCAAGTGGAGTGGTACAGGTGAAGGTAGTCCTTCTGGAATTTACGATGGGTTTCTAATTAAGTTTAAGTTAAGATGGCTCATTTATCTTTTAGTTGCGCTTACTTATGAAGGTTCTGAGATAAGATATAGTCAATTTGTTTTGTAAACGCTCCATTTCGCTTAAGTTCTGCATAAGAGCAATTATATTTAGCACCAAATACCTAGAATTCCCGAAAGACATATATCATCATTAAAATTTAGCATATTTACATAAAAATAAATTACTGTTATTATATAGAAAAAAGACAAGAATGTTTCTTTTGAGAGCTGATTGATTAAAACCAAAATATTTTCACAAATATAATTAAATTTTATTCCAAGAAATAAAGAATTATTAATCGTATTCATAATGATGACTTAATTGAACGCTTGGACCTTCAAATTTTTGGATTTCCTTTAATTCTTTTTTCTTCAAATCGAACTCGTAATATAAAAACTTGCTTGGATAGGAATAGATATCATAAACTCCCAAATATACTTTATTTTTGTTTATACCCAATATAGTAATATCTTAATATAAATTTTAGCAATTATTATAATAGGATAAAAATTAAAAATTTTTATATATTATAAATAGGTTTATAATCCTATATGGCTGAGCTGTAAATAAGCTTCCACCAAATTTTCCAATTTTTGTCCAAACATATTCATTGTCATAATCGCTTTCTCACATGCATATCCAAGACTCAATTAAATAGACTCTTGAATTTCCTGCAATTAAGAGCTTTTCAGTGCTTCCCATATAGAATTCAAATTTATTATAGCTTTCAAGATTGATATCATATTCATATAAATACTCAAACTCAAGCGCTGAAAGTATAATCCTCTGCTTAAAAGGCACTGCTGAACTAGATGTAGAATGCCAACTAGGTAAAGGAGGTAGCGAGGACCATTTATTTTTTATTAAATCAAATTTTCGATTATCATTTTGTGCTCCAAGAATAGAGGGAAATGAAAATGGACCTTGAGAAGTTTTATTCACCTTAAGCCGTGTAAGTCCACCAAATATATAAACATTTTGCTGATAATAAAAAATTCCTGATCTATTACTATAGGTTGTAGGTGGTAAAATTCGCTTGATTTCATATGAATTTAAATCAATTATAAAAGCATAACCAATGTCCTTCTTTTTTCCGATACAAAATAATTCTTTGTTGGGGAGTTGAACAACGTTGACTTCATCATTGGTTAAAAACTCAGATAAGCCAATGTTTATATTTACTTGTTGAGACTTTTCTATGTCGTATACAACAATTTCAGTTTTATCCATTTGACTGCTCATAGAATAAAGGAATTTTGGGTCTTGATAGATATAAGGAGAAAAAGACTCAGAAATTAGAGCTTCTATGGCCGCTTTAAGTCTACTAGAAAAACTAGCATAAACTTCAACATGTTCCAAATAAGCACTCATAGCTTCCTCATTTGCTTGCAGTAAATCTATTAATATTGAATCATTTTGATAGGAAGAACTTGTATTTTTAAATTCTTTTTCTAATTCTTCTTTAAGTGTTTCTAATTCTTCAATAATTGGATTTTTGTCCTCGTAAAATTGAATTTTGAGAGAGTTTTGGGTTTTTTGGTTTACTTCATCTAGTGCAAGCTCAATCGATAATATATGATCAGTTCTTTTTCTTAATGCTTTTATTTGGTTTTTTGCGTGCTTGATATTCTTGCCTTTAATATCTGAATGAACAGCTTGATTATCGCTTCTCTTTATGTCAGCTGTCTCAATATTTTCCATTATTAATAGATTATAATAAAATCTGAAACTAATTAATTTACATATTTTTATGCTTTAGAAACTAAGAAATATCAATTTTGATTTGCGCCAAATAAACTATAAAAAACTCCAGTATAATTCTAATTAGCTTTACTTTTTGCATTGAGCTGTTTTTGATTTCATCTAACGATGCTAGCTCATTTGAACATTTATTTCTGCTTCATGACTTGAGTTGATTTAAGCTATTTTCAATAATTGAGTGTGAAGTATTGTGCAGTATTGTTTGCTTTTATAATTGTAAAGTGTGAGATGAATTTATGATGTGAAATTGTAGTTTTATGTGCTCCGTAAGGATTGTTATAAATCTTGCCATACTAATGTGATAATAATCTATAGGCATTCTAATAAAATTAATATTATGTGAAAGATTAAAAGCTTTGTAGCATGCAATTATTTAGTGCTATTTTTAAGGTTTATTTTTTAGTTGCATTGCTAATGAAGGTTAAGATAATATATAGTCAATTTATTTTGAAAACACTCAATCCCTTCGCTTAAGTTCTGCATAAGAGCAATCATACTTAGCATCAAATACCTAGAATTCCCGAAAGACATATATCATCATTGAAATTTAGCATATTTACATAAAAATAAATTACTGTATTTTATAGAAAAGAATAAGAATGATTTCTTTTGAGAGCTGATTGATTAAAACCAAAATATTTTCACAAATATAATTAAATTTTATTCCAAGAAATAAAGAATTATTAATCGTATTCATAATGATGACTTAATTGAACGCTTGGACCTTCAAATTTTTGGATTTCCTTTAATTCCTTTTTCTTCAAATTGAACTCGTAATATATAAACTTGCTTGGATAGGAATAGATGTCATAAACTCCCAAATATACTTTATTTTTGTTTATACCTAACCATAATAATATCTTAAATATAAATTTTAGCAACTATTCTAATTATCATAATAATGGGGTAAATTTCGAAAAATTTTATATATTATAAATAGGTGTATAAATCCTATACGGCTGAGCAGTAAATAAGCTTCCTTTAAATTCTCCAATCTTTGTCCAAACATATTCATTGTCATAATCGCTTTCTCACATGCATATTCAAGACTCAATTAAATAGACTCTTGAATTTCCTGCAATTAAGAGCTTTTCTGTGCTTCCCATATAGAATTCAAGTCTATTAAAGCTTTCAAGATTGATGTCATATTCATATAAATATTCAAACTCAAGTGCTGAAAGTATAATTCTTTGCTTAAAAGGCACTGCTGAACTAGATGTGCAAAGTTCACTTGGTAAAGAAGGCAGTAAAGACCATTTATTTTTTATTAAATCAAATTTTCGATTTTCATTTTCTGCTTCGAGAAAATCTTGAGAAGTTATATCCACCTTAAGCTCTCCAAGTCCACCAAATATATAAACATTTTGCTGATAATAAAATATTCCTGATCTATTATCATAGGTAGTAGGTGGTAAAATTCGCTTGATTTCATATGAATTTAAATCAATTATAAAAGCATAACCAAGATCCTTCTTTTTTCCGATACAAAATAATTCTTTGTTGGGGAGTTGAACAACGTTGACTTCATCATTGGTTGAAAACTCAGATAAATCAATGTTTATTTTTGCTTGCTGAGACTTTTCTATGTCGTATACAACAATTTCAGTTTTATCCATTTGACTGCTCATAGAATAAAGGAATTTTGGGTCTTGATAGATATAAGGAGAAAAAGACTCAGAAATTAGAGCTTCTATGGCCTCTTTAAGTCTACTAGAAAAACTAGCATACACTTCAACATATTCCAAATAAGCATTCATAGCTTCCTCATTTGCTTGCAGTAAATCTATTAATATTGAATCATTTTGATAGGAAGAACTTGTATTTTTAAATTCTTTTTCTAATTCTTCTTTAAGTTTTTCTAATTCTTCAATAATTGGATTTTTGTCCTCGTAAAATTGAATTTTGAGAGAGTTTTGGGCTTTTTGGTTTACTTCATCTAGTGCAAGCTCAATCGATAAGATATCATCAGTTTTTTTTCTTAATGCTTTTATTTGGTTTTTTGCTTGCTTGATATTCTTTCCTTTAATATCTGAATGAACAGCTTGATTATCACTTCTCTTTATATCAGCTGTCTCAATATTTTCCATTATTAATAGAATATAATAAAATCTGAAATTAATTAATTTACATATTTTTATGCTTTAGAAATTAAGAAATATCAATTTTGATTTGCGCTTAAATAAACTATAAAATACTCTAATATAAATTTTTATAGTTGCTTAGCTTAAACTTTTTGTAGCGAGCTGTTTTTATTTCTTCTAGCAGTGCTAACTCATTTGAAACTTTTGTTTACTGCTGATGCATGACTCTGAGTAGATTTAAGCTATTTTCAATAATTGAATGCTAAGTATTGTGCAGTATGATTTGCTTTTATAATTGTAAAGTGTGAGATGAATTTATGATGTGAAATTGTAGTTTAATGTATTCCGTAAGGATTGTTATTATTAACTTGCCATACTAATGTGATACTAATGTATCGCTATTCTAATAAAATTAATATGATGGGAAAGCGTTGAAAGCTTTGCTGCATGCGATTATTTAGTGCTACTTTTAAGGTTCATTTTGGATAAACATAAAATAACTATTTATTCATTCGAAGGTGGTATTTTGGTGCAACGAACTCCCAACGATTAGCTTGGCCTAAAGGTGAGTTTCCATGACTATTTCCTCTCAGTATTCCCTTTGAAGTAAGTTTTGTAAGAACTATCATATTTTGAAAATAAAATTACAGCTATTCTATGGAACAAAGAGGAACCTAATCTCTTTTCAAGCTTATTTGGCTAAAACCATACCTAATTTCATATATATCTATAATTAAATCTTGGAAGTAGTATAACGCATTTCCTAATTCCTATAATTAAATCTAATTTAAAGAATAAAAATTATTAGTCACAAGAATAATCGAAACTTAATTGAGCACTTATGCTATCGAAACTTGAATTTCCTTTAATTCTTTCCCCCACATTGAACTCAAAATATAAAACTTACTTGTACTGAATAGATGTCATAAACTCTGAAAGATACATTTATCTTACTCATACCTTATATAACAATCTAAATTTGCTACTATTTAATAATCGTAATAATAAGGCAAAATTTAAAATTTCGTACACTGTAAATAAGCATATAAATTTATATGATAATTTAAATCAAATTGAATGCAATTATTTATCTGAAAATAATTAAGCTCTACCCTCAATTCCTTAAATTCCTTTTTTTCTAAATCGAATTCGAAATAGGAAAATTTTTTATTAGAATATTTATCAATGCACCCAAAATAAATTCTTCTACTATTTTCAACTCTATAATATTGTCCATCTGGAAATCCCATATATAATCAATCTATTTTATTTCACACATATTCGCTATAGGGTTCGCTTTCCCATATACTCCATCATTTTCTAATAAATAAACTCTTGAATTTCCAGTCAGAAGTAAAATTCTGGTATTCTCTAATCTGAAATCTATTTTTGAAAAACTTTCTAAAGATATGTCGTACTCGTATATATAGTTTTTAGACTCGCTTCCTGCGATAAGGACTTTGGTTTTAAAAGGCACTGCAGAAAATGAAGTCAATAGATTTGGGATTGATGGCTGAACTATTCATCTATTCGAAATTAAATCAAATCTTTGAATGAGAGTCTTTTCTTCAGAAGATCTTGTGAAGGGGTTTTCCTCCAATAATATAGACACTTCGCTGGCGATGGTAATAAATATTCCTGATTTATAGTTATAGTAGGTTAAAGGTAAAACTCGTTTTATTTTGTATGAATTTAAGTCAATGGTGCATGCGATACAATATATTTTATTTATTCCTAAGAAAAATAATTCATTGTTTGGAAGGAGGACTGTCATGATATCATTTATTACTATCTTATCAAAGCCAATATTTATTTTCTTTTGCTGTGATTTTTCTATATCAAATTGAATCAATTCAACGCCACAGACCATATTATCAAATAAATAAAGATATTTAGTATCCTCATATATATAAGAAGAAGAACTAGCTTTTAGGCTTTGTATCATTTCATTAATTTTTCTAGAGTAATCGTTATAAGCTTCAATATATTTAGAATAAATATCCCTAATTTCTTTTTCTGTTTTAAATAAATATATCAAATTTCAATTTGTTTGATAAGAAGTTTTTATATTTCAAAATATTTTTTCTGAGCTCTCTTTAAGTGTTTCTAATTTATCTAGTTTTATATTGTTGCTGCCATAAAATTCAAGCTCATTTGATTTTTGGCTTCTTCTTTCCAAAACAAGTTTTCTTGATTTGATGTTAGCAATTTTGAGTTTAAAGAACTTAAGTTCTTTTAATTTAAGCTCAGTATAAGCATTGCTGCTTTTTGAATTGCTAATCATTTATATATTTTTCAATAAATGTTTTATATTTTTATTCCTCTTTAAGCTAAAATCATAAATTTTTTAAGTTTTGGAAATATAGGCTAGCTCGAAAAGCGTAAATTTCTTAAAGGATTTTTATAAAAAAACACTTTTAAATAAAATTTATAAAATATTAAAAAAATTTATTATTGAGAAAAATATTATAGAATTCCATATAATTAATTTATTATGCGGTCTTGGAGAAGCAGTGAAGCAGAACCAAAAGTCCTTGGCATGCTTTTTTCTGAGATTTTCAGAGATCATCTAGAAAACCTAAAGCAAGAAGTTAAGGCACAGTCATTGATATCTGAAATAAAAATTGAAGACTCGAAGTATTTCGATAACACTTTTGAAGTCTTAATAACCGGTGATCTAAATTCACTTGTTTCAGCAAGCAGCGTTATTTTTAGCCACCTCATTGCAGATCCTTTAAGCGAAACACAGATGGAAATACTTATTCCCGAAACCAGTGTAGGAAAAATTATAGGCATAGAAGGAACAAATATAAGCAGGATTCGTGAAAATTCAAGAACAAAAATAGCTATTAATAAATATTCCCCGACATCACAAGCAGCAAAAATTGATGGCACGTTTGAAGGAATTCTTAAAGCAGTGCAACAAATAATTGAACTCATTTATGAAAAACCTAAAAGGTCAAGCAGTTTGGCAAAGCCTGCTTATCAAAAACGGCCTAACTCAGCAGCTCCAAGACCTAAAATTTCAAACAAGTGCAATAGTTTCGGGGAAAAAGTTCAAATGGAAACAGGACCAGAAATAACAAAAATGATAACAGTTCCTCAAAGTGCTGTAGGATGGATTTTAGGAAAGCATAAGGCTGGACTTCAAAAACTAGAAGATAGGTCTGGATGTGGTATTAATCTACAAGATTCCGTCGTTGGAGAAATGATGATATTTGAAGTGACAGGACAGCCTAACAAGGTAAATGCTGCTATGGAGTTAATAAAAGAAAGTTATAATAAGTTGAGGATGAATGAGATAGATCAAAATCCTGAAGCAAGGATCAGAAAAAATCGAAGAAATAAAGGAGAATCAGAAGAAGATGAAGAAGAAGAAAAAAAATTTATTCCCCGTATAAAAAATAAATCAAGACTTAATATCCGAAGAAATCAAAAAGTCGTTTCCCTAGTCATTGGGCAAACAGGATCTGGAAAATCCACATTTATCAACTATCTCACCAACTTTTTCAGAAAAGGGACTCTCAATAATAAAAAAATAGCAATACCAACAAAAACTTTTCCAAATCAAACCGAAAGAGATTTTAAACACACAGAAAGACTGCTAAGTTCAGATCACTCCCAAACCAATAATTGTTGTGCATATGAATTTGCCGATCCTGAAAGTTCAAGCACTTTCACCTTTATTGACTCTCCTGGCATAGGGGATACTAGAGGTGTTGACCAAGATGAAGAAAATATCCAAAAAATTGTAAGTGAAGTAGTAAATTATCCAGATATCAATGCAATTATTATTGTTCAAAATGGCAGTGAAGCTAGAAATACTACAACTGTTAAGTATACCTTGAGCAAGCTCAAAAACTCTCTTCCGTCACTGGTAGAAAAAAATTTAATCCTTGTCCTTACAAACTCTGCGGTTTCTGCTAATTTTAACGTGAATTCTTTACAAATAGTTCCAAGAGAAACATTTACAATGGACAACAATGCTTTTAATATTACAAACTTACAAAATCTTAGCAGATCTCAGTTACATCAATTGCAATTGAGCTGAAACAGTTCTATGGAAAAAATCAAAGAGATAGTCGAATTTATATCTAAAATGAATACTGTAAATACAAAACTGTTTAAAGAAATGTGGAGTAATATAAATATCGCTAAACAAAATTTCCATTTAGCAAAATTGCAGCTTATTAACCTTAGCAATTTAAAGGAAAAGCTAGAAAATGTAAGAGGACAAAGAGAATTATCATTAAATGAAGCTATAGCATATCAGAATTTCAAAAAAACTCAAACAATTGAGCAGACTGAATGAATTGATATCCCATATTATAGCACAGTATGCTCAAATGATGATTCGTTATGCCATGAACGATGAGGGTTAAATTATACTCCTGATAAAAATTCCTCAATTTTTACTGGATGTGCATGTATGGGAAGATCACCTAATTGCACTGTATGTAAATGTGGACATAATAGTCACTATCATACTAACAGAATTCCAAGAAAAGTCCAGAAAACAGTTGAAAATATTCTTTACGATGTTAAGAGGCAGCATGATAAGCATAAAGCAAGAGCTAATGAATTACAAATAGAAGAATCTAATTGTGAAAAAGATTTGAAGAATGTAGAAAATTCTATAGAGGACACAAAAAGAAAAATTAGAACGGCTGTTCAGAATTTAAGAGAAATTGCTCCAAATTATAATATGGCTGAAGAAATTGATGGGGTTCTTCAGCAGGCAAGAATGCAGCTGAAAATAGAAAAACTGCTAGAGCAAAGAACTAAAACAAGGCTAGTTATAAAAGTTCTTGAAGAGATTTATAATAATCTTTTAGGATAAATATTTATTTCTCATAATTACTCCACTATTTAAATAGTGAAGTTTATTATAAGTTTTTTTGCAAAAAACTAATGTGTGGTATTTTTGTTTGTATTTAATTAAATTTTCTATTCCTTCATCAAATTTGATGCTATCAGGTCACAAATCAGAGATTTCATGCTTAGGCCTCCCGCTTAGAGACTCCTGATATAGTGTCAGCGAACTTATTGGTCCTTGACACAATCTACTTATCCGCAACTTGGAGAGTTGGCGAGCTGCTTAAGGTGGCAAGCCAGCTTTAAGCTGACACATCTTGCCAAAAGGATATCTTTTATCAACTAGAATTACTTGTCGTTTTTAGGTAGCTAATTAACTCTTTAAGCTGCGTAGAAGGATATTAATTCATGCAATAAGCATGCAGTCAGCATATTGCTGAGCCAACTCAAACTCAAAAAACCATGCTGGATATGAATGTGTAAAGGTAACATGGAGGTCTGGTTGGCCGCCATAATATATGCATATCAATCCCTCTTTAATTTTAAATTTTTTATTAGTAAATTTTATAAATTAAATTTAAAAGTATGCAATTTATATTTTCAAAACATCCTAAATGATATTTTTTTAAAAAATTAATAACCTTTAATTTAGAATAGAATTTTTTGTTTCAAGTAAAAAGGGGAGTAGAGAAATTTTTTGTAGAGTATCGAAAAATTTTATAGATTTCCATCATTTTTTAATAGCTTAAAGGCATGCAATCATTATGTTTATTAGGAGATCTTGGAGAAGCAGAGCTAAATTCCTTAGCATGCTTTTTCCCGATTATTTCAGAGTTCGCCTAGAAAGCCTAAACAAGAAGTTATAGGCATATCCTGCAAAGAGCCCGATATGGGCTAGGATAGAGGCCAAAATCCCACTCGGTTCGACCAAAATGGGCTGGTCGAACCAAGTGGAAAATGCCAAATAAGCCTCCTTCTACTTGGTTTGACCAATCCATTTTGGCCGAGTTAAGTGGGGTTTTGGCCTCTATCCCTCGCCCATATCGGGCTATTTACAGGATATATGCCTATATAGTGCAATCTGAAATTTTTGAAATAAAAATTTCAGATTCGAAGTATTTCTCTAACGCTATTGAAGGCTTAATAACTGGTGATCTCAATACAGTTGTTTAAGCAGCGTTATTTTTAGAAGCTTTATCCTAATCCTTTAAGCAAAATATGGATTGGTATACTAATTCCCGAAATCAGTATAGGCAAAATTATAGGCAAACTAAGAAAAAATATAATTAAGATTCGTCAATAAAAGAACAAAAATCGTTATTAATAATTATTCTTCGACCTTAAAAGTAGGAAATATTGAAGGCGCGTTTAAAGACATTCTTGTAGCGCACAACAAATAATTGAAATCAAAGCGTAAATCCAAATTATAATTTCGGGAAAAAAGTTGAGAGGCTAATAATGAAGAAATGCCAAAATGATAGCAGGTCCTTAAAATATTGTATATGCAAATAGAAGAATGTATTCAAGCATAACTTATTAAATTGCCCCCATCCAAAAACGAGCAGAATTTTTTTCTGCTCGTGATAAGGATTAATTTGTTAGAGTCTCCTTTGTGGTCAAGCATGAAATCCAAACAGCCCACTACTCCTAAACTCCTCAATAACAAAAAAAATTAGTCTTGATAATAAAAAAAAGAAATATTGCAGTATTTTAGCTCCTATTGCTATTATTGCACGATTAATAATATTATATAAATATATTAAATACTTTATGAAACCTGCAGGATTTTTTTATATATATCAAGCTTGAATTATATTTTTTTGAAATTTATATGAGAGATGTTAGGTATTATATGTAATATAGATAAACAGATTATATTTATTAATTAGCCCAATCAATGCTAGGTTGTGTATGTGTCTTTGATACATAATTATGAATTAAATTGATTTTTTAGTGTCTATCCATTTTAAAGCAGAATTAGGCTGAATTCATAGTTTAAATATGATGATTTTGTGAAATTCAGAGTATTCCTCTACTAACTCTCTTATGTATTAGCGTAAAAAAAGGGGTATAAAAGTATATAATATATTTGTAAACATGTCATGAATTACGTTTTAATAGCTTAGGTGTGAAAATGCTCCAATATCCCTATATTTCTTATTATCAAGAATAGGTAATTTTGATATTGAAGTGGGTGGGAGAAATGAGGTGGATTTCATGCTTTACCATCCTTATTTAGCGTCATACCAAAAGTAAGCCTACAGAAAAGTCTTCCTCAGCTAGAATTGAATTTCGGTGGTTTTTTTATAAAGTTTATATATAAATTTATATTGTATTCATCAAATTAATGCTATAGATTGCAAATGTAATACATAAAAGAATTTAATATTTAATGATAATTATTTTTAGATTAAAATTATTTTTTTATTAAACAACTGCTTGCTCTCTTACGGAGTTTTTTTTTTACAGAGTTTTCAATTATTTTGTTCACCAGAATAAGAGGGAATAAGATCTTTCATAATTATAATAATTTAAAATGAGATCTGGGAGTCTTGATGAAATGGAACTAAAAGTCCTTGGCATGCTTTTTCCCGAATTATTTAGAAATCGCCTAGAAAGCCTAAAACAAGAAGTTATAGCGCAATCTGGGATTTCTGAGATAAGAATTGATATCTCCAAATGTTTCTCTGATGCTATTGAAGTCTTTATAACTGGTGGAAACAATGAAATTATTTCAGCATGCAACATTATTTTTGAAAGCTTTATATCAGATCCATTCAGCAGAGCACGTATGGATATACTTATTCCCGAACAAAATGCAGGCAAAATTATTGGCTTTAAAGGGAAAAATATAACTAAGCTTTGCAGAAATACTAGAGCAAACATAAATATTAGCAAATATTCCTCTACATTAAGAGTAGGCAATATTGAAGGGACGCTTGAGATGATTCTTAAAGCAGTAAAACAAATATTTTATTCAATTTATGATATCCCTGATAACTCAGAAAATTTAGATGAGTCTTTTCATTCAACTCAGTCTAACCCAGGAGCTCCAAGGGTGATTATGAAAAAAGTATGTTGTTTGAGGGCAAAAACTGTCCATATACTTTTTATGCATGATTATTAAAAATTTCGAATTTTTTATATTAAAAAAGGCTATTAAAAACACAGTGCACTTTTTTCAAAATTACCCAGCTCCAAAACCTCCATCACAAAAGAACAAAAAGAAAAACTTCGAAAAAAGAGTAGAGAGGGAAACAGTAGAAGAAATAACGAAAATGATAACAGTTCCTCAAAATATGGTAGGATGGCTTTTAGGAAGACATATGGTAGGGCTTCAGAAGCTAAAAGAGCTGTCTGAATGCGATATTACTCTACAGTATAAGTTAGGAATTAGCTATTTAAAAAGATTAAAAAGATTAAAAAAATTATCGATGAAAATTATTAATATTATTGTACTTGATTCTGCATGTGTTGGCATTAATACAGAAGCAGAAGAAATGAGATTCTTTCAAGTAAAAGGACTTCCTAAAAAAGTAGATATTGCCATTGAACTAATAAAAGCGGAGACTAACAAATTTAAGCTAAAAGAAATTCAAAAAGAGTCAAAATCAAATAGTAAAAACCAAATGAAAAATAAAGAAAAAGATGCTAGTGGGCCAGAAGATGAAGAAAAGAAAAATGAGACTGAAAATGTTACTGAGAAAAAGTGGAAAAAGAAAAATAAAAATAAATATACTAAAAAAGAGATCAAGGAAGAACAAAAAAATATTCCGCTTATAGAAGATTTTACAAAGCTTAATATCCCAAGAAATCAAAAAGCTGTCTCTCTCGTCATTGGACAAACAGGATCTGGAAAATCCACATTTATCAACTATCTCACCAACTTTTTCAGAAAAGGGACACTCGAAAATAAAAAAATAGCAATCCCAACAAAAACTTTTCCAAACCAAACCGAAAGAGATTTCAATCACACAGAAAGACTGCTAAGTTCAGATCATTCCCAAACCAATAATTGCTGTGCATATAATTTTAAGGATCTTGAAAGTTCAAGCACTTTCACCTTTATTGACACTCCTGGTATAGGTGATACTCGAGGTGTCGATCAAGATGACGAAAATATCCAAAAAATAATAAAAGAAGTAGTAAATTATCCAGATATCAATGCAATTATTATTGTTCAAAATGGCAGTGAAGCTAGAAACACTGCAAGCGTTAAATACACCCTGAACAAGCTCAGAAACTCTCTTCCGTCACTTGTTGAAAAAAATGTAATTCTTGTAGTTCAAATTTTAATGAAGGGTCTTTACAGATTGTCCCAAGAAAAAAAATTATGATGGACAATAACGCGTTTAATGTCGAAAATTTCCAAAATCTTGATGAATTTCAACGAAGCCATTTGCAATTGAGCTGAAACAGTTCTATGGGAAAAATCAAAGAGCTAGTCGAATTTATATGTACAATGAATACTGTAGGTACAAAAGTGTTTAAAGAAATGTGGAATGAAATAAATATCGCAAAACAAAATTTCCATTATGCAAAGCTACAGCTGGCTAACCTTTACAATTTAATGGAAAAGCTAGAAGATGTAAGAGGACAAAGAGAATTATCATTAAATGAAGCTATAGCATATCAGAATTTCAAAAAAACTCAAACAGTTGAGCAGACTGAATGAATTGATACCCCATATCATAACACAGTATGCTCAAATGATGATTCATTATGCCATGAGCGATGCAGTCTAGATTATACCCCTAATGCAAATTCCTCAATTTTTACTGGATGTGCATGTATGGGAAGTTCGCCTAATTGCACTGTATGCAAATGTGGACACAATAGTCACTATCATACTAAAAGAATTCCAAGAAAAGTCCAGAAAACAGTTGAAAATATTCTTCATAATGTTAAAAGACAGCATGATTGGCATAAAGCAAGAGCTAATCAATTGCAAATAGAAGAATCTAATTGTGAAAAAGATTTGAAGAAGGTAGAAAATTCTATAGAGGACACAAAAAGAAAAATTAGAACGGCTGTTCAGAATTTGAGGAGGGTTGCTCCAAATTATAATATTGCTGAAGAAATTGATGGGGTTCTTCAGCAGGCAAGAATGCAGCTGAAAATTGAAAAGCTGCCAAAGCAAAGAGCTAAAACAAGAGTGGTTATAAAAGTTCTTGAAGAGATTTATAATAATCTTTTAGGATAAATATTTATTCATTTTATTAAAAAATTTTCATAAACAGAGTCTCAATTTTGTAAAAGATTAATAAAAATTTTCTATTTTTGATAACTTTTTTGCCGCATTAGCTTAAATTTTAATTCTTCTACAATTTCTAATTTTGAAAGAAGTTCAATTCTCTCTTCTCTCTCAATAAGAATATATCAAATATATTTACTTTATGGCTGTATAATAAAGACAATTTACAAAATTATTAAAAACTTATTATTCAATTTTTAATTCTTCTATAATTTTTAAAAAATTTGATGCACTTCAAAGAAAACTAGAGTTTTTTATTAGATAAAAGGCTTAAAATCCTTCACCATCAGACAGATGGGACTAAGAAAAATTCAACTTAATTTTTATCTTTATTTCAAGGATCTTTGGTAAAAGAAGGCAAATAGTCTACGCTCTAACAAAGTGCAGAAGTAAAATTCAGTTTAAATTGCTAAAAATATATTCATATGGAACTATATCTGGAAATTAAAAAATGCAAAGAGAAGTAATCTCCTTTCTATGAGCGTCTTGCTTCTTATTTTAATAGGGTTTTACTACAATTTTAAATATGCAAACCTTAGAGTTAGACTAATATTCCTCATTTTCTAAGTCATACTTTTTATATAATCCTTAATGATTTTATTCTTTCTATAATTTTTAAATGGGAAGTTGCTTTTCAAAATCAAAGAAATCTAAGTCAAAAGATATAATAAAGACAAAAATACCTACTAAGTTTGAAGAGTTTTATTACTTAGATAGACATTCAGCAATAATTCTTCACCATAAAGCTGACGGTATGATCGAAATTTTAGAATTCAAAAATCGAGTCAAATTCAATATTAACTCAGCAGTTGGCTATATGACTAAAACACGCTTGATAGTTGCTGGTGGCTCAAATGGTGGCAAATATAGTAAAAATGTTTATGATGTGGATTTTGCTACAGCAGATTTCGTAGCCCTAAAAGAATTACCAATCCCATCTAGAAGTGGCACTTTAATCAAATATGAGAATCGAATCTATTTTGTCGGTGGGATTAGTAAATCAAATAGGAGAGAAAAGCCTGCTCCATTGATGTATTTAAACTTAGCAGATTCGACATGGAAGTTTCTAATTTGCGAACAATTAAATCAGGATTATAGGAACTATGCTGACTTAAATCCTGAATTCCCTATTCAGAATTTGTGATTTCCTGGAGCATTTTTATGAAATGATAGAATTTACATTGTTGGAGGCTATAAGATAAACAATCAACGGCGACCGGAGTCAAATTCGGATGTTTACAGTTTGAATTTAAAAAATAATTCTTTGAGAAAAGAAAAATTCATTTTTCCTATTGAAGGGGCTCATCCATTATGCAGCGTTAATGGCAATGAAGTTACCATCATTAGCCGATATGACCCATTAGATGGAAAAAAAAGTTCTAAGTGATGCATAGTTAAAATGATAGAAGACTCACCTATGATAAAAACATCATTAAATCCAATAAACATTGAGCTTACTGAGTTTTATCCTGCAATCAAATCTCTAAATGCTACTATATTTATTTCAAATCCTCATTTTATATTAAAGAGAAACAATTCTTATAGATGGCAAACATTCGAACTTCAAAGAGTTATTTTAGTGAAAAATTTAAGAAGTATGGAAAATCAAGCCTCTAACCATGGAACAATAGGCAGAGCAGAAAAATTTTCTGAATTAGATGAGTCTCAGAATTCCCAATGGATGTCTCCTGAGTGGCATCATATTAATAGCAAATATTTTCCATCTCTAACTTTGATTGAAATTGACTGCAAGGAAGTTGTTAAAGCAAAAATACGCCAAAAAAAAGGCGAAAAATCAATGAAAAGATTAAATGATTTAATGAAAGCTATAAAGTCAGGTCGAAGAGGACGAAATAGGGAGGACAGTGAGAGTGAGAATGGCAGTCAAAATTCAGTTGAGGAGGAAAGCGACAGTGAGGGAAAGAGTGAAGATAGCAGACAAAGCTCATATAATGAAAGTGGAAGCGAGGAAGAGATCGATCTTTCGGAGATTTCCATAAACTACTAATTTCCTTTCTAATTAGTCATTATTTGATAAAAAAGATAATTAAGTGATTTAAATCAAAAATTTTATTTAAATATAGATCATTCAAAGTATTTGCAAATAGGAATATTTTTGCATAAGTTTCGCGATTGTAATAATTATAAATTTCAGACTGGCTGTAAAGTCTTTAGTCTTAATAATTTGCATTCTTAATTAGGCAAAATATTTGTTTGTTAAAATACTTAATTATCGTCTTTTTTCTTTTTAAATTCAACTTTATATCTGCATTTAGTCTATCTATTCTTTATACTCATTATAGCTTTGCTAAATTATCCCTAAAAACAAATTTCGAAATTTTTTTTTTTTATTAATCTAGAAGTTAAAAATAACTCCTAAACGCTTATTTAAATAGCTTTCACAATGCTAGAACACTAAAATGATGCTTAATGAACACTTGCCTACTTCTCTTGGTGCTAATCAAACATATTTATCCATTAAATATATTCCTTCTATAATTATTTAAATGGAGCTTTGGTCTAAAAGAGAATTTTATAATTCACAAGCCAATTCAAAACATCAAATATTTATTAACAATTGAGTCGAGAAAAGTGATGGATCAGAAACAGAATGCCCAGCTGATACTTTCTACTTTCCGACCCCAATGAACTTCCCAGAGCTCGGTAATCTCGATCTCAGCCAAGAGGAAAGTTATAACAAATCTTGCGTAAGATCCCCTCAAAAGGAGTACACCAATAAACATAGTAAAAATGAAAGAAAATATAGCTCGAGTTCTTCTGATAGAAGTAGCCATCATGACCAAAAGAAATATAGAAATAACCCAAAAAGCTCATATGAAGGTCCTCAAATGTTTGAGTATCTTAAACCAGTAAAAGGGCAAACGAGAAAGAATCCTCATGAAGATTTCGGTGAGGAAAAAAAATATGTTAAAGAAGTCCATAAAAAGCATCATAAAAAGCATAGAGAAAGAAAACATTCCCAAGCCTTAATCAGTTCAAGTGATTATGAAAATAGTAGTCAAGAAGATGTACGAATGAATCATGCTAAGAGGAACTCTAGGCATAAAAAGAGGCATGAGTCTGATTCTTCAAATTCTTCAAGGTCGGGCTCAAATGACTATAAAAAGAAAAAACATCATCACAAACAAAAAGCCAAAGGTTTAGAGTATAAGGTGGATATGCTTTTAGAATTAATGGCAAGCGGCTTTCTTGATAAAAAGCATAAAAAACCTAAAAAGCCACCACAAGCAGAGCTCTTTCCTGGGATTATTAGTTTTCCAGCTCAAAATGAGAAAAAAAGATATGAAGATTATGAAGAAGTAAAGATAAACAATCATCAAGAAGAATTGCCTGAGGATAATAGGAAACTTAATATTGGCCAATTTCAAACTGTCGTTTGCTTAATTGTTGGAGAAACAGGGTCTGGAAAGTCTACATTCATTAATTCTATTACCAATTTTTTCAGAGATGGAACTCTTAAAAATAAAAAAATTGCCATACCCAATCAGTTTTATCCTCAAACTGAGCATGATTTTAATCAATCAGAAAATGGTCAAAATCAAAAAGCCAGCCTAACGAATGATTGCAATAGATATGATTTTGAAGACGCTATGAGTGCTAGCCAATTTACATTTATAGATACTCCTGGACTAAGTGACACTAGAGGTGTAGAGCAAGATGACAAAAACATAAAAAAAATTATCCAAGAAATTAAAAACTACGAAGAAATCAATGCAATTATAGTAGTTCAAAATGGAGGTGCAGCCAGAATAACTGCAAGCTTAAAAAACTCAATTGTTAGAATCATAAATGCTATTCCAAAAATGGCTGAGGATAATATAGTTTTAGTTCTTACAAATTCTCCCTATACTCATAACTTCGATGCTGGCGCTCTTCAATTAAAACCGCAGAATACATTTTTGATAGATAATGCGTGCTATAACATTCGTTTTGAAGATATTAGAAAGTCTGAACTAGCTGGTTTTCAAATAAATTGGGACCTTTCTATGAAAAAAATAAAAGAAATAGCAGAATTTGTATGCAAAATGGGTAAATTTAATGCTAAATGTTTTCTAATGATGAACGAAAAAGTAGATAAAGCAAAGCAAGTCTTGCACGAAGCGAAAACAAGACTCTTTAATCTTTTTGAACTAAAGGCTGAACTTGATGAAATTATAATGCAGAAAGAGTCAAAATTAAAAAATGCCAAGGATTGCGAAAATTATACTCAGACTAAAGAAATATCTCAAACAGACTGGCAAGATGTTAGTTACCACAATACTGTTTGTGGCAATGATGATTCTTTATGCCATGATCATTGCGGATTGGAATTTCAACCAACTAAGAATACACAGCATTTTACTCAGTGCGCTTGCATGGGAAGCGATCTTAAATGTACAAAATGCAAATGCGGGCCTGATAGCCACTATCATACTAAGAGAATTCCTGTAAAAACGACCAAAAAAGTTACAGAAGTATTGCAAGATTTAAAGAATAAATACGATGGCCTTAATTCTGAGGCAAACAAGTTATCAAATAAAGAGGAAGAGCTTGAAAATAATATAAAAAATGTTGAAAAATCAATAAGGCAGGCTAAAGATAGAATAAAGGAAGCAATTAAAAAGATAAAGGAAGTTGCTCCTCGCTATAATATATCAGAGGAAATTGATTGCTATATCAAAATTGAAGAAGCCCATTTGAAAGAAGAGACAGACCCTAAGAAGAGAGCTAAAATCTATTCTAGCATTCGGGCACTTCAGGATATTTACCAAAGTCTTATTCTTTAAGCAGATTAAGCTCTTAATATTTCAGCACCAAAAGTATATTTATGAATAAAAATATTATTAAGTTTAACTTTGCAGATTTCTTTTATCCTTTAAAGAGAGCTTTTAATAGTATTATTGAAAAATGGCTATTAATTAAATTTAGATGTTGGACTATATTTAAAATGAATTTATCTTTAACTGATAGAGCAGACATTCAAATAATCTAAATTAGTTTAAAATAATAAAATGCTTAGTATAAAGGTTTTAATCAGAGCATCGGCAACTTTGTGATAACAAAGAATATTTATGTCCAGCTTAAGGGGTCTTTAGTGTCTTTTTAAGTTTTCTTAATCACCTACTTTAATATATCTCGTTTGCTGAAGACAGTTTAGGTTAATTAAGATTGCGACTTCCTTTTTTAGCATTTCACCTAAGATAAGGAGACTTTCCTAGCCGAGGGCGAACTTCCTTTATTTATCAGCGTTTACACAAGAGATTGATCTACTTTGATTTTGGTTTCTTAATGTTACCTAGGAATATTGAGTGCGTAGCTTAGGGACGTGATAGCTATGCTTCAATTATGGAATTTCAGCTTATGGTAAAATTCCTAGTTAGTATCTCCACTAGCATCCCTTTGTTATAAGGATAAAAAGCCTTTTATAAACTTCCAATAAGACTGAAATGTTTGATTGCCAGACAAGAGAGGCAAAATCCAGCTGAAGAAAAATACCTAGTACACATAATTTCCCTTTTCCTGCTTCTTGGCTAGACTATAGTAGTTACCGTTATATATTTAAAGTAAAATAATGGATTTTATTATTAGTTATTATTAATTATTTATAAAATAGAAAGCATTGACTTTCTTCATCAGCATGCCTAAAAATTAAATTTAATATTAATTCGAGCACATATAAATATAAGATTTTTCTTTATATTCAAGTGGTGTACTTGATTCTTTGTAAAATTTAAAAATCCAAAGCCCTTTTTAAAGCATGCTGTAACGACTTTGTGTGAAATGGAAAATGGAAATAGACTTATTGAAAAAATGTAGATCACATGCTGAATTTATTTAGAAAGATAGATTTTTATGGTTTTTTAAGACTCTTAAAGCGCTATTATATAAAACTTCATTTTTATTAAATTAAAAAAAAATTGTCTTTTCTTTATTTTTCACGCCTTTTCCTGCAGAACTTCAAGCTTTATGATTAAAGAAATAAAATATCTCTTTATTATAATGATATAAAGAATTTTTTACTTAGATTTTTAATATATGCAATAAATGCTGCCCTTTTTTAAATAGTAATCTGTTCTGTTAATCAGTGAAAATAAGCACTTACCACTTTTTATAGTTGGACTAATTTAAACAAAATTTTTAAAAAGATAAATTGTTTTTATATATTAAAATTGATTTTTTCTCTTCTTTTAACAACAGAAACTAAGCTGAGCTTTATTTTGTTCATTTTTTCTTTCTTCTGAAATGTAGGGCAGCTCATACGTTCGGTTTTCCCCACAAGAAAAGTGATTTTTCTCTTGGCTTTCGCTAAAATCAATAGGCTCTAGCTGTATGCATCCATTTTCTATAGTAAAAGGCAGCTGATTATGAACTCGTCTATGCAGAGACAGCTGAGACAGCTGCCTGAATTTTTTGCCACATCCAGGGACTTTACAAACGTAAGGCCTTCTTCCTGAATGAATAAACCTATGCTCAATGAGATTTTGCTTGCTAACAAGCCGTATATGGCAGACATTGCAAGTAAAAGATCTTAAAAATAGATGTCTTGCATTTATATGGCATTTTAGGTTGTATTTGTTCTTGAATTGGCGACTACACCAGGAGTAATAGCAGGTATATTTGATTTCTTCTTCCATTTTTTAAATTATTATAACTGCCCCCCTCTGAAGGGAGCATTTTTTTCTGTCATATTCATACATGCTGATAAAAAAGGGAAATTTAAAAAATTACTCCACATTGCAGAAAACTCAGAGATTTCCTTTTTTATGTAAAGATGATATTATGAAGTGCTTATTTAAGAGTTATAATAACTAAATGTTATAAATTTTTTTAAATTGCTATATAAATTATTGAGAAAATCGAAGATTTCTGTATCCATTTACACTGAATAAAATTAATAATTTTGTGTTTTATTTGGAATTTTGTATTTTAGCTGACAGGTTAAAAAATAATATCGGTTTTATAATAAAACATTATAAAAATTTTATTGCATAAATCTTCAGTTCTTTGATGGAAATCAGCTATTGTAGCTTGATCTTCTCTCATATCTGGATTTTCATATGAAAACTGATTGAAGTCCATTTGGAATTTGTTTAGCAAATCTTGCTTTTCACACCTTTCAAGCTCAAAAACAATAGATGGGCTGCTACATAAATCTCTTGCATTACTTCCCAAAATTCCCATAGGCCATCAGGTTTTTCTTGGACAACCGGGGAAGTTTTATCTTGATAAAGCTCTTCAAAAGCAGTTTCCCTTTGATCTTCTTTAAGCATTTCTGCACTTTCCCTTTTTCTATATAAGGCTTCCTGTGCTTCAAGTACCACTGCATCTTCTTGTTTCTTCGTTTCCTCTTCTTCTCTTTGTAACTTTTCATCTAATTCTCTCCTTTTTTGAATAATTTCTTCGACAAGTTCTTCCGCTTTCCATTATTGGCTTATTTGTAACAATCTTTACTAAAATCGATTTTTGGTCTTTTCCAAATTGCCAAAGCCACACTCTGTCAACTCATGTGTATACCTATCTAATGCAATCATTCGGTCTACAATCACACCTCTATGCTCGTTTATTTTATCATTAGGCTTTAAGTTTTCTACTAATGGAGACTCGTTTAATGTAGGGACATCATTTTCAATATGATAAAGAAGATTGGTCTTAGGGTCAATTCTCCTGCCAAATGACCTCTTAAGCATTCTCTTTTATCAGCCCAAAGCCATATCAAATAGTCAAGTCCTGATTTATACAAATCTTTATTTTCTGGAGGCTTGCATTCCAATGGAGCAATTTTTAAAACTTTTTCTATAATTTTTTTTTTTCTTGGGATTTTTCTTTTCAATAGGATCTTTAAAGTTAGTTAAAGCTTCTTCTAATAGCTTAGTCTGGCTTGAATTTGTTGGAAAATCTACTAAAATCCATCCAGCTTCATTAGAGATCATGATTTTTTCGATAATTAAATTCACAATGTCTTCATCAGGTCTTGTCTTCAAGCAAAATATCAATGCTGGCTTTTGCAATTATGTCTTTTACTTCTATGATATCTATATTATATCTTGTTCTTAGCCGGCCTGCATGAGTGCTTTTCCCACTATAAGGATATAGAAGTTTCCTATGTTTGGCGCTGTAAGGCCGATAAATTCTGATCGGAATTTATCGGTTGGTTGCACCAAATCAATGCCTTGGTCGGACCAAAAAGCGATTTGGTCCGACGAACTTGGAAAGCTCCTGGGAAAATGTCTGCGCTTTCAGCGCTATATAGAGGAAACCTCTATACCCTATCATAGCTAGTTTGATTGGAGGGCATGGCAAAAGGCTGCCTTTATTGTCAACTTCTGAGTCAAATTTCTAGTCAATCAGTTTCAATAAAGCATCTAAAATTTATAATTAAAAATTGAGGTGTTATAATCCCACTTGCCTTTTCCTAGAATATAGTCGTCAAGCTCTCTTATATTGAGTGCTTCATTGTTTCCAACGATTATATTTGAGCCATCTTTAAATAGATGAGCCCATTCATTCCCTTATCTTTTATCAAGCTCCTCTGAGTTTTTATTTTGCTGGAACGCATAAACTTCTTCTGTCATCCCAAGCAGCAGCTCAAACATGTTTTCCATGCCTTTTCCTTTCTCATTTCTCTGCTCAACTTGTAAATCAATTTCTAGCCTATGAGCTCTGGCTTCTTCTAGCTCTACTTCAATCCACATATTATCAATTCATCTTTCTAGCATCTTTCGCTCTTTTAGCTGGGCAATTTCTGAGTCGTATTCACGTCTTCTTTCATATTTGGTTTCTCTTAGTTTCCTATGAGCGACCATAAGCTCTGTATAATGAGTATCTTTTCATATATCATTAGCTATATCTTCTTCTATATTAGAAAGAATGTCTAGCTTTTTTAAAGATTATCTGTTTGGATAATATGCGGTTGTAGTGTATAATAATCGTTATCATATCTAAAGAATTCCAAGAGAGCCCAAAAACAGTTGGAAGTATTATCTATAAGCAAAAGAAGGTATAATCGTCATAAAGCGAAATCTAATAACTTATAGATCGATTAGGATTAAATTATGAATAAAAAACAAAAAATTTAGAAAATTTCTAGAGTATAAATAAATAATCAGGATAACAGAATTTGATGAAGGTGATCAAAATTACATAATTTCTGAAGAATTAAGCTGAAAATAGGAAGGGTTACTTAAAATAAAATTCCAGCATACGGATTGCAATAAAGTGCTTGAATATTTTCAAATAGTTAATTTTAATAAATTTTTATAAGCATTTAAGGAATTTTTGGCTATTAAAATCGTTTTCTTACAATCCTAAAATATTTACCATCTATTTGACATTCTATCTACAATTATAAATGGAGTATCCTTATATACCAAATAGCAATCCTTTTACGTCTTATATATATAAGAGCAATGATTTAAGATTGGGTGCTAACAGAGTGCAACCATTAGAGGAACCCAAAACTTTTGGGAAAAATGCTAATTCTCCAAAGCAAAATTTTCCAAACGTTAAGCCTAATCCTCACGCTCACCCTTATAATCCAAGACTTTTGAATATGAACCCATATTCTCCTCAATATAAAAATAAAGATCCAGAACCTAGATTTAGTGATTTAAATAATATAGACGGTGACCAAAAAACTGAAAAAAACGAAGGCAACTTATTAAGGTATCCATCGCTTACTTCTTTATCTGAAGGAGAGCAGGAATATCCTGGTGAAAGTTCCAATTATAAAACCCCTCCTCATGAAGACTCAGGAAGAACGCATAGAAAGTTTCATGAAGATTTAAATGAAATTCATAGAGAAAAATACCCAAGAGATAGATCAGAAAAACGAGTTCCTCATAGACATCGTGAACATGAATATGTTACCAAAAGAACTTTTATTCATATGATGGATGAGCTGAGGAAAGAAATAAAATTATCTAGATTGAATTCTCGAGAAGTGGTAAGCCGAGCAAGAAAGGAACTTGATAGCAGGCAAAGCGATGAGGAACCAGAAGATTCGCAGCATTTTACAAAGGTACGAAAAAATGAGCAGGAAGAAACAAAAATCAAACCAAAAAACCCAAAAAAAGTCCCAAGACAAAAAAAGCTCAATATTCCTCCACACCAAAAAATAGTTTCTTTAATTATTGGGCAAACAGGGTCAGGAAAGTCCACATTTATCAATATTATCACAAATTTTTTCAGAAATGGAACCCTGGAGAATAAAAAAATTGCGATACCAACCAAAGATTTTCCCCAAACTGAACTTGATTTTGGTCATGCAGAAAACGGAAAAGGAGTAGACCAAAGCCAGACAGTTAAATGCTGTCGGTATGATTTTAAAGATCTTGACAGTGGTAGTACTTTTACATTTATAGATACGCCAGGACTAAGTGACACTCGAGGTGTAGATCAAGATGACAAGAATATAAAAATAATTGAAAATGAAATTTTAAAGTTCACAGACATCAATGCAATTATAATAGTTCAAAACGGAAGTGAGGCTAGAAAAACAGCAAGCGTGAATAATTCTTTGGTTAGAATTAGAAATGCTTTGCCAAGAAAAGTTGAAAATAGCATAGTTTTAGTCCTCACAAATTCTCATATTTCTACTAATTTCAATGTTAATTCGTTACCTGTAACTCCAAAATACACGTTTTTAATGGAAAATAACGCTTTTAATATAGCTAACCCTAATGAGTGAGTTTTAATGGAAATGCAGCCATACTGGGATAAGTCGATGAGAAAAGTTAAAGAAATAGCCGAATGTTTATGCAAAATGGGCAGTTTTAGTGTCAGATGCTTTAAAGAGATGATTGAAGAAAAAGATAGAGCCAAACAAAGCTTCCACCAGGCAAAAATTAAACTTCAAAACCTCTATAGCCTGCAGGAACAGCTTGAAGAGATTAAAATAATGAAAGAATCATCATTGAATAATGCTTAGGAAAATAAAAATCATGTCATTTAAAGAGACATTTAAATGTTTATGCATATTATATCGAGTAAATTTCATCTCAGAAATCATAGATTATAATTTCTCTATTGCTACTGAAAGAATTCAGAGAAATTAAATTAATTGGAATATCGATGATTAATTCCAAGTCCAAAAATTTTTGTAAAGAAAACCTCGAGAAAGATTTTATTATTAATATCGTTTAATATAATGTTACTCTTAAGGATACGTTTCCATTTTTATCAAAAATCAATTAATTCTTATCGATTATAATGGAAAATGCTCAAAAGCTATTTAGATATTATTAAAACCTACCATCTTAGTTTTATAAATATCCTGCTAGCAGAATCAGCAAAAATTAATTTCCAATAATGATTATTATGTCATGAGCAATCTGAAATAGATACAATCAAATGATTCTCAATTTTTTCTAGTTATGTATGCATGGGAAGATCATCTGCTTGGATAATATGCGGATGCAATTATAATAATCGTTATCATATCTAAAGAATTCCAAGAGAGCCCAAAAACAGTTGGAAGTATTATCTATAAGCAAAAGAAGGTATGACCTCATAAAGCAAAATCTAATAACTTATAGATCGAAGAATCTAAATTATGAATAAAAAACTAAAAATTTAGAAAATTTCTAGAGTATAAATAAATAATCAGGATTGCAGAACAGAATTTGATGAGGGTGATCAAAATTACAACATTTCTGAAGAATTAAGCTGAAATAAGAAGGATTACTTAAAATAAAATGCCAGCATACGGATTGCAATAAAGTTATATATAAAACCTTAATATAAAAATTAAATGAATCAGACTGAACAGTTTATTTTTTATTAAATCTGCAAGAAAATTTATAAAGGATCTCTATTTTCAATAAGCTATAATCTGAATTTTGTATTTTAAATTTTATCCATTTTAACTAAATATTTAATTGTTCTACACTTTTATAAGCCTCAAAATAAGTCGAAAAGCTCTAAAACTTCTGTTTTTCAATATAATAAGCACAGTCAAAAAACCATTGACTATTTTTTAAAATAACTAAAAATTTCCAACTGCTTAAAGCTTTAATTTCTTTCTAAAATTATTATGCATTTAAATTAATCTAGAGATTGACATAAAAGCCTTTCATTTATTTTCAAATAGATTTTAATAAATTTTTATAAGCATTTAAGGAATTTTTTGCTATTAAAATCGTTTTCTTACAATCCTAAAATATTTACCATCTATTTGACATTCTATCTACAATTTTAAAATGAACTATCCGTATCTGCCAAATATCAATCCTTATACGTCCTCCGTATATAAGGCCGATATAAGATTGGGTTCTAGCAGAAAGCAACCATTTGAGGAACCCAAAAATAGCAATATTCCAGCCAATAACCCTCACACTGCTCATTACCCTGCTCCTCACCCTGATCCTCACCCTGCTCCTCACCCTGATCCTCACCCTGCTCCTCACCTTGCTTCTCACCCTGCTCCTCACATTGCTCCTCACATTGCTCCTCACACTGCTCCTCACACTGCTCCTTACGCTGCTCCTTACATTTATAACCTAAGACATATGAATATGAACCCAAATTCTGTCCAACATCTGAATCATCCTAATGAATTTAATTATAAAAGTCCAGGACATATAGCTAATGATACAAATAATATGAATGGGGGACAAAACACTAACAATATCAACTTACTAAGATGACCATCGCTTCCTCCTTTAGCTCCTGTGCATGTAGAGCCGAAACCTCCTTATGAGGGTATCGATAATAAAACCCCTTATCAAATTCCTCATATAAATAATGTAAATGAAAATAATACCTTACAAGAAGTAAGAGCTTTGCATCAGAGAATTGATGAGATGAATAGAGGAATAGAATTACTCATTCAGAATGCTCAAAATTCATATTATGCCTTTGATGAAGTAAGAATTTTGCATGAGATGATTAGTGAGGTGAATAGACGAATAGAATCATTCACATTGAATGCAAAAAATGTGTGCAATCCGCAGCAGCTTTTTACAAACGTAAGACCAAACAATGAAGAAACAAAAATCAAACCAAAAAAACCAAGACCAAAAAAGCTCGACATTCCTCCATACCAAAAAATAGTTTCTTTAGTTATTGGGCAAACAGGGTCAGGAAAGTCCACATTTATCAATATTATCACAAATTTTTTTAGAAATGGGACCCTGGAGAATAAAAAAATTGCGATTCCGACCAAAGATTTTCCCCAAACTGAGCGTGATTTTGTACATGCAGAAAGCGGAAAGGGAGTAGACCAAAGCCAAACAGTTAAATGCTGTCGGTATGATTTTAAAGATCTTGACAGTTGTAGTACTTTTACATTTATAGATACGCCAGGACTAAGTGACACTCGAGGTGTAGATCAAGATGACAAGAATATAAAAATAATTGAAAATGAAATTTTAAAGTTCACAGACATCAATGCAATTATAATAGTTCAAAACGGAAGTGAGGCTAGAAAAACAGCAAGCGTGAATAATTCTTTGGTTAGAATTAGAAATGCTTTGCCAAGAAAAGTTGAAGATAACATAATTTTAGTCCTCACAAATTCTCATATTTCTTCTAATTTCAATGTCGATGCTTTACCTGTAACTCCAAAACACACGCTTATTATGGATAATAACGCTTTTAATATAGTTGAACCTACCCAGTATGATTTAATGGATTTGAAGCCATCCTGGGATAAGTCGATGAGAAAAGTTAAAGAAATAGCCGAATATTTATGCACAATGGGCAGTTTTAGCACCAAATGCTATAAAGAGATGATTGAAGAAAAAGATAGAGCCCTACTCAAGTTTCATCAGGCAAAAAGTAAACTCCAAAACCTTTATGGCCTACAGGAGCAGCTTGAAGAGATTAAAATAAAGAAAGAGTCATATTTGAAAGATGCTAAAGCTTATCAAAATTATAAACAAACCAAAATAATTGAGCAGATTGATTGAAAAGATGTAGATTACCATAATACTGTTTGTAGCAATGATGAGTCTTTGTGCCATAAACAATGTGGTCTGGAATTCACCCCAGATAATGATGGAAACGTTTTTACGAATTGCGCATGCATGGGAGAGTCTGGGAAATGTAAGGCATGCAATTGTGGACCTGAAAGCCACTACCACACGAAAAAAATTCCTATAAAAATTCAAAAAAATGTTGAAGAAATCCTGCAGAATGTAAAAAAAAGTTTGATAAATTTAACGCACAAGCAAATAAATATGAAACTGAAGAGCAGAATTTTTTAAATGAAATACAAGAAGTGGAGAAATCGATAGATGATACTAAAAATGAAATAAAAAATGCAGTTCAAAGATTAAAACAAGTTGCCCCACATTATAATATATCCGATCAAATTCATAGCATCATTGAGCAATCAAAAATGCAACTGAAAATAGAGCGGAGGCCACATAAAAGAGGTGAAATTTTATCTACTATTAAGGTTCTTGAAGAAATTTATAAGAGTCTTATTAATTTTGAGTTGAATAGACTCTTATTATTTTATACCAATAGTTATTTTGTATAAAAAATATTAAGGAGCTAATAGCCTAATAATGCTTCTATTATCATTTAATGAGAACTTTGATTAAAATTTTATTGATCTTTAAGAAATAATATATTTATTTTATAGTCCGAACCACTTTTTGGCTCAGATATTAAATATTATACATTCTAACGTGAAATTTTATCCTTTATTTGTAGGAAAATAAAAATCATGCCATTTAAATGTTTATGCATATATGAAGAAGTTCATGATAATATTGAGCAAAATCCTATCTCATAGACTCATAGATCAATATCTCTATTGCTTATATCAAGAACTCGAACTAATTAAAATCATTGGAATATCGTATTAATCCCAAGCCCAAAAAATGTTTCTAAAATAAACCTCTTGAAAAGTTTTTTATTATCAATTTTGATTATAATTAGAATTAATGCATCTTTACTCTATTAATATCATATATAAAGCTTACACTAAAGTAAATTAATTTTTCTTTATGCACATATCTATAGATTTTCACTCATTTATTTTCAAAAAAAATTTGTATCATCTAAGGCTAAATAAAATATTTTTTAAAATTGATTTATCAATTAATCCTAATTCTTCAATTCCATTTTTATCCTAAATTTCTTAAAATACGTTTCCATTTTCTTGTCAAAAATGCAATCAATTCTTATGGACTTATAATGGAAAATGTTCAGAAGCTATTTACATATCCTCAAACCCTACAAATTTCAGCCGTATAAGTGAATCGATGGAAGCAGATTATCAGAAGCAGCAAAAATAAATTCTCCGCTCCACTTCCAAAACCTCTCAGAACGTCGAGTTTACAAGCAAAAATCGGAGCCGCCTGAAGTCTCTTTCCCTAAAATCAGTGTCATTAACAAGGCTGACATAATTTAACTGACCTTATAACTAAAATTTCTTTCTTATTCCAGATCTTTTAATTCTCTTTATTTATTCAGTAATCTAGATTCTTTAAGAAAAAACTTAATCCTTGTCAATCTCTCAGAGGCCTTTGTTCTTTTCTTTGATTATATTCGAAAGATAATCATGGAAGTTCCTGCACCTAAAACTAAGAATGTAAGGATTCGTAACAGAACTGCAAGTCCTGAATTGAAATCAATAGTCAACACCTCGACTGAGCAGCCTGAAAGCACATCAAAAAGGACCTTAAAGGTGCATAGAAAAGTAAAGGAGGCTAAAGATGACGGCATGCCACCACCCGGATCAATTGAAGAAGATTTCATACTTGAAAAAGAAGGGGATGCAACAAATTTCTTAAAAGAAAGAAATTCTGCAACAGGCGAGTATACACTCGACACCTTTTTAAGTGGCCCACATTATGATGATAACGGAAACCTTATCCCTTATTCAGTTGTTGGGCCATCTAAATTATTCGACCAAAATAAAGCTCCAGACTGGGAAAGTTTTGAAGCGAAATTACCAGAAAATGACAAAAGGCGAATGAGTAAGCATGCGAATTTTAATAAAAAAGCGTATAATCTTGACCCTGAAAAAGAATTTCAAGAGAAATTGAGAAGGATTGAAGAAGGAGCTAAAAAAGAAGAAACTCTAAAAAAACAAAGGATGAAAACCATGGGGAATGGGGAAAAAATAATACAAGCAAGGCAAGAAAAAATACTTGAAGCGTTCAGAAATATATTTAATTATTATAAATCCGGTAATTCGCTGAAAAAAATAATAAAAGGATGTATTTAGCCAAATTTAGCATACTGAATACAAGTGGAGAGAATTAGAAAAATCATTAGGAAAAATTTCTAATAAAAATGAAGGCGATTTATTAGCAAATCGGGCTCAAGAATACAGAGAAAAAGTAGAGGAATGGGACTTTTTAGACAGATCTATATCCTCTAAAGAAAAAGCTGGCGATTTTGCATGGTATATGTCATTGAGAGATAACTCAAAAGATAAACTTGATACTTATTTGCATGTAGGGAATATATTTTCTGGGCTGTTTTCTAGAATAGCTGAAAGATCTGATGAGGTTGAGCCAATTATTAGAAAGCCGGGGCTGCCAAAAACGCTTAACAAAACATTCAGAGATGACCCATATTTCCAGAAAAGAGTACAGTCAGAAGAGTCTAAAAACAATATTAAGCCAGTTAATTGTACAGAAATAGAAGATTTGTATGTGGTTGGGTATGCAAAATTGCCTATGGAATTAGAAGCGGCTAAAAATGTAGGAATTGAAAATGTCAGACCTAATTTGACTGAAATTCAAGAGCAAGAAGAAATTATTGCGGAGAGTTATGATAGTAACTATATTCGAAATAAGTATTAATTTTATTTAATGTTGTATTTATAAAAATCTGAATAAAAATTGTGGAGTTTTATTAAATATTAAAGTTATTGTGGGGAATAAAGTTAATTTAATTATAAAATTCTAACTTCTAAACATTTTTATCCTTTTTTTGTATATTGATTCTATAATAAATTAATTTTAAAATCCTCATCTTCACCCTCTGCCTTAATTTACCTATAAAAGCCATAAATATCTTAATGCTAAATTCATTCTAATAAAGTTTAATATCTTTTGCCCTATTGGATCAGTGCAATATGATACCCATTTTTACCCTGATCCCAATATTTGTCCATTTTTCTTATTAAAATCCTCGAATTCTTATGGACTTATAATGGAAAATGTTCAGAAACTATTTACACCTCCCCAAGACTTTCAAACTTCAGCCCTTTAAATGGAACGACACGAGCCGGATGCAAGAAGCTGCAAGAATAAATTCCCCACTGGTCTTTCAGAACCTTGTTGAGAAACGGGTATATAAGCAGAAATCCGAGCCGCCTGAAGTCTCGTTGCTCAAGATGAGATCCATTTAAAGAGCTGACGGTATGTAACTAAGCTTTTCTCAGTAAAATTTGACTTAAAATTTAATTCTTTAAGTAAATGGTCCTTCGTCTTTACCAATGATTCTGTCACTGGCTCACTGTTAAGTCAGCTATATAAGGATTAAGCGATTTATTAGGGACAATTCAAGGAGAATATCCTGCTTATATATGAGGATTTAGGAGAAAATTAAGGTGGATAATAAAAGAAAGAAGACAAGTAAAAATCTGTGTGTTGAGGAATTGAAAAAGATGAGGTCAGATGATGGTAAAGGAGAAAAAGGTAATAATGATAAGAAAAATTAACGTAAATAAAATTTTGAAATTTAGAATAGGAGAATTTATATTAAAAATTTAAAGATTGGCAGGGATTGAGTTTTAAAAATTTAAAAAATAAATAAAAGTGATTAAAAATTATGTCAAATTAAATTATTATTTTGCCGCTGGTGGAGCTTTTAGAGGAGGCAAGCCCATTTGCTGCCTTATGCTGTTCCAATATTCAATGCTTTCAGGAACTGGTTCTTTTTGAGGATTTTGGCCTCCTTCTCCAAGCTTACTTTTCTTCTTTAGATTTCTTTTTCTTTCTCTTTCTTCTTCCTCATGATGCTGCTGCACCACATTTTCTTCAAATTGTAATTCATTATCAAGTGCGCTTTTCCTTGGGTTTAATATTCCTATATGCATCAAAATGATGTGGAAAACCTACTCTTAACATCTGCAGCTGGGACGGCACAGGGATCTTGTGGACGGGAGGATGGAGTTCGGTGATGTTCATCTGCCAGGCTTTTCTTGGTTTGGTGGAGCGCAATGCCGATTTAGCAGACTCCATGCTCACATCCAGGCCAAGGCTCTACCACGTGGGAATATGGAGCTCAGAGTTGAAATGGATGTCCCAGCAGCACCAGTGAGGTCCTTATGGTAAATCGGGAACGCTTCCCAGCACAATTCTTGGTGTTGTGTCCTGAGCTAGGAGTTTCCATTTTCGGCAGGTCTATTTTTCGAATTTTTTGGAAGCCTAAACCCATCGACGTATATCATGTGGCTTCTCATCTCTAGCTCAAGGGTGGCAAGCGCAAGCCCTCTTCCATAAGAGCAAAGGAATGAGAAGTCGTGCTCTGACTGGTAAGCAATTGGTGGAGCGTTATAGAGATGAATACAGGCTGATCTTTTGGGTCTCCAGGACCACTTTTATATTCTTAGTTAAGTTAAGTTTAAGGTTTAATATTTCTAATTCTTCTAGCATATGCCTCTTCGGCAAATGAGGCAGGACCAAATCAAAAACAATTTCTTTGCTCAACAAATCCTCAATAAATTCATCCATATGTGACACTGATAAAGTGCTATCTGAATTCCTTATAAGTATTTTTCTGTAATCATTATAGACAGGCTCCAGTATTTCATAAGCTTCCTTAGGTTTTCCAATTAATCTCACATATAAACATCCTAAAGCACGCAAATATTTATAGTCTTCTTGCTCTATATATTTTTGTATAATTTCTCATTCAGGATTTATTTGGAGCAATTTTAAAGCTAAACAAAGAAAAGGGGTAGGTTTTCTTGCACCTCCAAAAGTCCCACCAATTGACTTCAACTCGACAGCCCGATCTATAATAGTTTTTGCATTTAATGCAAAACAGCTTTCTTTGTAATAAGTAGAAGCGTATATTTTGGCTCTAATTATTTTATCTATAAGCAATACTGGATTTATCCCTGTCACTCTGCTTCCTTCATTCGACATTTATATAATATGTCAGGCAGATTTTTTATTTTTTTATTTTTTAATTTATTTTTATTTTTTTTAAAAAAAAATAGAGAATCATCAGGCGATCCCATACTAGAAAACAAAGCATTTCGGAAAGGTTCTTATCTCCATCATGTTTCTGACCCAGATGAAAAAAACATCGCAATTTTTTCTCATCTGGAAGCTCAAGATGAAGATTACGCTGACGAAGGCATCCATTGGGCCATCAAAGATTTAAAAGACAAAATTCAGCTGGGCCATATCGTAGGAGGGAACGCCCGATGTAAAGCTATGCTAGAAGCTCTCAAAATTTTCATCAGAGAATACGAATTCCCTAGAAACCGCGCAGCTAATAGAGATTTAGAAGACAAAATTGACCATTTCATTAACTATGTTAAGAAAAGCCGCCCATTGAGTTTTGGCATGGAAACTGCAGTCAAATATTTGAAGCTCAAAATCAACAAAATTCCTCTTGACGCTGAAAACTATTCAGATTTTGAGCAGAAAATCAAAAAATGACTGGTTGACCAAATCAAAGCCTTTATCAGAGACAAAATTGAGCTGCCTATTTCTATAATTGCAACTAAAGCTTCAGATATAATCAAAGATCGTGACGTAATTCTAATTTACGGCTGCTCTTCAGCTGTTCTTGCATCTCTTATTAAAGCAAAAGAATTAGGACGCAATTTTAGGGTTATTTATTTTTTTATAAATAAAACCATTTTTTTATTTTTTTTTTAAAAAAAAATTAATTCACGTAAAATTTTATATAATTTCTGATTCTCGGCCACATTTTGAAGGGAAAAAAGCCTGTGATAGGCTAATTCAAGCAGAAATCCAATGCACTTATATATTGATATCCAGTATTTCTTATCATATGGTGGAAGTTACTAGAGTATTTCTTGGAGCTTCAGGATTGACTACAAATGGTTTTTTATTAAGTAGAGCTGGGACAGCTCTAGTCTGCTGTGTTGCTAACGCATTCAAAAAGCCAGTCCTCGTATGTACAGAAACTTATAAATTCAGCGAAAAAGTCCAGATTGATGCTATTTGTTACAATGAAATAGGAAACAGTGACGAACTTGTGAGTACTCAATTTTATCAAGGCGACGTGAGGCTAAAACCTACTCTTGTAGACTGGAAAAACCAGCAAAACTTGAATATTTTAAATCTGAAATACGATTTAACCCCTGCTCATTACATAGATATGCTGGTCACTGAAGTCGGGTGCATTCCAGTCACATCAGTACCTGTTGTCCTAAGAGAATTTTCTTTAGACGCCCAGCAGAGTGACAACAAAGACCCAGAATTAGAACTGATGCTAAATACCCAAGCTGAAAATAAAGCTCCAGAATTAAATACAGTTTAACCTAACTATTAGCTACATAAATTTCATAAAAATATATGGCAAACACATATGACAAGATTAAAGACTTTATTGGGATGCTCAATTTGCATGTAAGAGGCAAGAAAATGAAAGCCTTAGAAAGCCTGGACGAGTTTTTATTTTCCCAAAATCCTCCGAAACTGACTATGAGAGATGTCACACTACTATTCATGGGCTATGAAAACAAAAAAGGCCTTTTACTCGCAATTGGGATGGAAAATCATCTACGAAAAACCTTAAAATCAAGCGCCCACTATGCATTGCAGCTTATAGCCCGGCTTTTAGAAACATCTCCAAGCAAATCTGACTGTATACAAGTTTTAGGACTTACAGATAGAATGATTCTTCAACAAATGAAATTTGATAAGCATTTTAAGCACGCAGAAAGCACAAAAAATAAAGGAATTTATGTAGTCTGCAAAAGTTTGAAAAAAATAAAACCATCAGTTCCAGTCGATGTCTATATTACAAGCAAAACTTATAGAGACAAATTTTTGAGCTGGCTTACACAAAATAAAGATGAGGAAAATAAAATTGAGGACGAGCCTTCAAGGTGAAGCCAAGTCCCTAAAGAAAAAATTGACGACAAGCCTGATCCTTTAGGAATTAAAAGTAATATTTCGATTCCTAACCAAGGGACAATGTCCTTGGATTTAGTTGATATAAAATCGCCATTATTTAAACCTGCAGTATTTTTGTCAAAAGTCCATGGAAATACGACTATTCCAGAACTGAGAAGGGGGCTGGAAAATTTGAAAAAAGGGTTTAATGATAGACAGGCTCAATTTTCAGCAATGATAGGTGAGCATTCTAAGGTATATGGAGAATGCAGAAGCTTGCTAGACGAAATGAGGGATAAGCTTGTAAAGGTGCAGCTTTCGTCTGGGTCTGCAATGAACGCCCATGAAGCTTTACAATTAGCTGAAAAATCAGAAAATTATGCACTAACACCGCTGTTGAAACAAAAGGCAGAGATGGAGAGGGTGAAAAAACTGATTTATTTGAGTAATAAATTTAGCTACTTATTTAAGCTACCATCAATGCTGCAAACTCATCAAGCCCATTCAGATATTGATACTATTGTAGAATTATATCAAAAACACATATACAATTTACCCCAATAAAGAGAAATATTATAAGGCTAATTAATTAAAATTTTATTCAGAGTTTTTTAGTATATCAATAATTAAATCAAATTCCCATTTACCAGTATTCTCTAACGTCGTAAAAAACGTTGATGCGATTATAGGAAATGTAAAAGAAACAATACTCCAAAACATTAAAAGGGAAAGAAATTTAAATTTTGATATGATATGAAAAGCTGCCCATCAGTTAAGCGTGCTTAATCCTGATTCTGATGGAATCCAAACAATTTTGGAAAATTTGTATCAGTTTATTAAAAATTTTATTGAAGATATGTGGGGAAAAATTGATAAACAAGGCGAACTACCGTGGCTTATGAAAGATGAAAAAGAAAAAAATGATTTTGATATAGAAAGACAGGCAACTGAGCAGCTGATTGAAAGGATTTTGGAAAGATGTGGGCTTTATATTGGGATTTATACACAATTAATAGAAGAAACTAAAGCAAATTCTTCAAAATACCAAAGGGCTATGAAGAAATTGCAAAGAATAGGAGTTTTGCTAGCAAAAAGGCTGAGGGATAGCTTATTTGATGAAAATTCAGAAAAACCTTTAAAAGCAGTTGACATTGACGCGTTATCAACAAAAATGAAACAACTATGCCAATTAATAAAAACTAATGAATTCCAAGAATTTGGCATAGAATACACTTGTAAAGTCATAAAATGCCGGATGATTGATCTAAAAAATGAAGTCTCTGACTTATGAAAAGAAGAACTCTGAAGCAAAGATTTTGAAAATAAATACGGAACCTGCTTGCCCAGCATTTTTCACTGCATGGCAATCCAGCAGATAATGAAATTAAAAAATCATTTACCATCAATTCATGAAAAATTTATTTTAGAAATTTTAGAAGGATTGAGCGAAGCCACAATAGCTTTAGTTCAATCAATGCAAAAAACCTTAAATACAGACATAGCCCAACAAGTAAGAATCACCAATTCCCAGAAAACGCTACTTACACTATCTAACACATTTTTTATCCAAGAATTTGTCCTTCCAAACATCTCTCAAAATATCCTCGAAATTTTTAATATACAATTCTCTGATGAAGCCCAAATAATTATAAACAAAACCATAGAAAAAATATCAGAATTCCGAGAAGCATTAAAAAAATATTTTATTCAAAAAAAATCAGATAAATTTGAAAAAATAATTGAAGCTGGGATAAATTATTGTGATGAAAATATTGGGCTTGATGCCTGCATTTTCTATAAACATATGTTGGCTGACCAAAAAATCGCGACAGAAATTCGTCCTTATGTTTTCAATTTAATTGGAAAATTAGTCAGGTCTATTGAAGAATTAAAAAGAAAATGCCCTGATTTAAGGAAAGAATTAGAACAAAGCTTCGCTGAAGAAATCGCTCACTTGTGGAGACGAAGCATTCAGGTCCATCATAAACAGTTCGATATTAAAGAAACCATCCAAATCTGAATTGAGCTGGAATTTTACCAAGGAATTTTGCCGAAAATTGAAATAAAAAATCTTGAAAAATGTTTTTATTATTTAAAAAAAATTTATTCAAAGCTGAAAGGGCTAACTCCCCCCCCTCCGTGAGTGAACAAAACCATTAGAAAAATCGCTATTTTTTGCCTAAAAGCCCACCCTCGGTGAGTGAACAAAAATTTTTTTAATAGAAAAACTTTTTATAGAAAAAAAATTGATATATAATAATTAGTATAATGAAATCAAGAGCTAATTCTATTAATTTTAAACAAATTGCTTTTTAAAATATAAATTTTATAAATTAAATTAATATTTGTTTTCCAATTTTTGCAAATTAGGATTTTTTTAAATTTTTAAAAAACATATTTTCTATAAAATTTAAATATAAATTTTTTTAAAAAAAAAAATTAAACCCCCCTCCGTGAGTGAACAAAATTTTTTTGTTCACTCACGGAGGGGGGGGGAGTAAGTAAATTAGTAAATACAGAAGAGATATTTATTGGTAAATTGAAAGACGCAAAAGATGAATTAATTATGGGCTCGAAGTACAAAATTAGGTTGATGAAAGAGTGCTTAGACATTAATTAATAAAGTTTAATGATTTTTTAGTTATTCCATTCTGGGATTTTTTCTTCGAATTTCTTTTTGCATCTTTGGCATACCTTTACTGGTCTCTTTTTAGGAGGCCTTACTTCTCTAGACTTGTTGTTGTCGTTTTCCTTCTCTTTTTCAATTTGCCTTAGCTGTTCTCTTAAACTTTCTACTTCTCCTGTATATTTATTTGAGCTGATTCTTCTTTTTTCTTCTAAATCTCTATAATTTTGCGTCAAATTCATTAATTTATTTTCTAGCTCAGTGATTTTTTCAGCGTAAACGCCTTGGAGTGTTCCGTATTGTTCTTTTATGATATTTAAGCTTTCTTCGTTTTCCATTGCTTGGTTTCTGAATTTATTAGCAAAGTCCTTAGTTTTCTGTTGTGCTAGCCTTTGGGTTTCTTTAATTTCTTGTTTAGCTTCATTATTCTGCCTTTGAAATTCTATTTTTCTTTCTTCAATTTCGCGTTCCAGCTCCTGTTGTCTTTCTATAAGCATTTTTTCTCTGGAAAGCCTTTCATGCCTAAGTTTCAAATATTCCTTACTTCCCTTCTTAGCAAGCAAAATCTACTTTTTAACTAAATTATCTCAAATTCATTTCAAAATAATAAAAAATTAACTTTTTCGAAAAATTTAAACCTGATTAATTCAAAAACTTACTTACTAGCCAGGGAAGGAGTTAGTCAGCTGAATTTTTGCTTCTTCATCTCTTTCTACCATTGATTTTAGCTCTCTAATTTTATCATCATCCACTTCTTTCCTCATAGCCATTTCCTGCTCCCTCACCTTATCTTCATCCGCCAAAGCATCAAGCTCACTTTGATAATTTTCTCTTTCTCTTGCTAACTGCTGCTTTAATAGATCTACTTCTATCGCTAAAAAGTTCATTTCTTCATTAGGCAAATACACTGTCCTCAGCAAATGTTTAGGAGTTTTCGTTGTTTTGCCTACTTTGCAATTATGGCCAGCTCCATTATAAGCTTTACATAGAGAGCACCATGAGCAGTCTTGGTTTTGTTTTCTGGCGGAGCGTGGTCTTTTGTCTTGGAAAAAAGTGTTTTGGTGAGGCTGAGTTTTGGAGACGGTCAAAAATTCTTTGATTTTCATCATATCTTGCTGCTCCTGGAGCCTCAGCATGTCGTTTTCTTGAGAAAGCTTCATTATTTGTTGGCGCTCATTGAATATTATATTTTGAATTTCTCCTAGTTTTGTCTGCAATTCGTAAATTTTGTCGTTGGAATTTTTGACGTCCTTAAGCTTTTTGATAAAGTCCTTTTGGTTGTGGTGCAAGGCCTCAATGTTTTCGAGCCACTCTTCACGGCCTTTCTCAAATAATGAAGTCCTAGCTCGATAATGTGAAAGAAGCTTGATTTTGTCAGCTGGAATCGCAAATTTCTGGGAAAAATCGAGCTCGATGTCGTTGAGGAACTCGGTGCATACGCTTTCAGACATTTAAATTAAGAATTATTAGCAATATTTAAGCTACTTATAAAAAATGAATTAGGATTTATACTAGTTTATAGTAAATACTTGCTAATTTGTTTTTTTATTTAAATAAAATAAGTCCGATGTGTGCATTTGGCTAGCTTTTACAGGTTAATTTTGAGCTAATCAGACATAAATTAAATCCTGGGGCAGCTTTTCTTTATGTGCAAGAAGAAAGCATTAATTTAGCCCTATCCTACAGCTCCCACAAAGTCTCCCACAGCACAACTCCTGCAACACAACTCCTACAGTCCAACTTCCACAACACATCTCCACCATGCAGCACCGCAACACAATTTCCCCAACACCCACTTCCACACACCACTCCCACAGCACAAATCTTTATGTGAAAGGAAGTTTGAAAGGGTTTTTCTTAACAGTGCTTGAATTATTTCTAGGCTAATCAGGGTATAACTCAGTGAATATAAGGCGTTGCATTCTGGGCTTCGAGTTCTCATTTTAAATGATAGAGCAGAAATTCAAAAATTTTGGAGGCATCGCATGATGGACAGAATAATGAAAAAAACCTTATTATTTTTAGGGAGCAAGTGCAAGCGCTTGCCATATGCTGGCTGGTGAGAAAGAGGTGAAAATTATCCAAGGAAATGTGGGCATCTAGCATCTGGCAGTGATCTTCTTATATAAGTTTAAATAAAAATAATGGTATATATTTTCCTAAGCTTAAATATCAATCATAAAGCTTAGTATTAGTTCAAAGATGAAAGCTAGAATTTAAAATTGATAAAATCAGTTTATAATTATTAAAGTAAAATAACTTAATTGGCACAGCAGTGAAGCTCAAAGAAATTTAAAGTTGCCGAAGGGTTTTTATATAATATTAATTAATTAATTTGAATTATACTATTGATTATATCTTCAATGACAATTTGATTTTAATTACTAATAGTTATTTCTTTATATATAAAAAAAGACTGAAACATATGGAATTTTAGGTAGAATTTTTTGTTTTCAATCTATATGGAATTTAGCAGAATATTTAGCATTTTCAATGCAGTTAGGTATGAAAGTAATATAAATAGAAAGCCTTCTATTAATAAAAATTAGCCTTCTAATTATCTCTGTGCTTAATTTTATTTATAGGCCTTTTCTCAATTGTAATTTACATAGAATCCCATAGGATTTCAAAATTAAATTGGCAGACTGCCGTCATTAATGATTATAGATTTTAAGTAGCTTTAACAAAAAAAGAAGCTGCTGAAGTCAAAAATTTGCCTAGAAAAATAATAACCAAAAGGCTAATTTGTCTAATATGAATCTCATGAAAAGTCATCAAAGTAAACCCAATTTTTTTTATATAAAAAATATGCTTTCTTAACATAATCCTTGAAAATTTTTATTTAGATATTTAAAAGGACATTTCTAGATTATCAAGATCTGCTTTCAATGCATCATTTTCTAATTAACTACAGTCATATTGATATTAATTCCACTTATTCTCTTCAAAAATAACAGAAATAGCACCCTCTATCTTTCCTCTAATTTATAACTAAATAACATAGTTTAAATTTATGAGCTTTCCAAATCCAATGAATTAATTCTGCATCTCGAGTTCATAAAACGTATATTTTTTAAATGGGTACTTGTCCTTCGGCGAAATTCCCTGGATCCAATCCTAAAAAGATCCCTTCATTTTATTACCTAGACAGAAAGCGGCAAAAGATTTACTTCATTGAGCCTGGAAAAGTCACTTCCTCCCAATTCCAATCATCCATGGTTTTTCCTTATGACGCTGCAATTGCCTATATCCAAGACTCTTGCATACTTATAGCTGGCGGCACATATCTAGGCCAACTTATAAGCAGAGTAACTTTAATTGACCCCAAAAATAAAAAAGTCCGTTTTCTTTCCTCACTTCCAACCCCAGCCAAAGAAGGAAGACTTTTTGAATATCAAAATTGAATATATTATGTAGGAGCTGTTTCAAAAGCAATTTTACATCCAAGATCATCCCAAGAGGAGCCTGCTCCTCCGTGACCCCTCACTGAGACTAATTCTTTCAGACTAATATTTTTTCGCCTATTTTTTTTTTTGCCTATTTTTTTTTTAGCCTATTTTTTTTTTAGCCTAATTTTTTTTTGGCCTAATATTTTTGTGCCTAATATTTTTTGGCCTAATTTTTTTTGCCTAATTTTTTTTGGCCTATTTTTTTTGGCCTAATTTTTTTTTGGCCTAATTTTTTGGCCTAATTTTTTTTGGCCTAATTTTTTTTGGCCTAATTTTTTTTGGCCTAATTTTTTTTGGCCTAATTTTTTTTGGCCTAATTTTTTTGGCCTAATTTTTTTGGCCTAATTTTTTTTGGCCTAATTTTTTTGGCCTAATTTTTTTGGCCTAATTTGTTTGGCCTAATTTTTTTTGGCCTAATTTTTTGGGATAAAATTTCTCTATCCAACTCCTCAATGCTCTATAATATAATACTTTCAAGTTATTTATGCGGATGTGAGATAGATTCTAACTTTAATACTCCTTCTTATATTAAACTTAATATTTTGATGAGTAAATATAAGCATATCTCTGAGCTCATTTTCCTGTTTTCCTCATATTTTAAGCTTACTCCCCCCCCCCATCCTTGATCGAACGATTGACTGTAAAAATTCCTAAAATTTAGGGAAAATTAACCCCCATCCTTGATCGAACGATTTTCATATCATGCAAATTTTTATATATATAAAAATATATTAGCTATCAAAAACTTGGGAAGATGTATCTAATGAAGTTGCTTTGAGAGTTTTGAGACAACAGAAAGCTGCGAAATCAACCATTCGAAGTGATTTAACCATCGGCCTCGGCTTAAAAGCTCAATAATCTATAAAATAGAGATTCTTTACTCCCCCCTTTAAATTGGAACTAAAAATTTTGTTCTATTTTTTTTTTTTAAAAAAAATATCAATATAAAATTTTTTATAAAATATATAAAAATTTAAAAAAAAAATTTCAAAAACTTATCGAATTAGATTAATAAATTTGTTTAATAAAATGCTATTTACTCTTTATCCTTTAAAACAAAGCAAGATATAACTAAATTTTCATTATTAGTTAATGCGCCACTCAAAAAAAATTAGGCCCAAAATATTAGGCCAAAAAAAAAATTAGGCCAAAAAAATTAGCCCAAAAAAAATTAGGCCAAAAAAAATAGGCCAAAAAAAATTAGGCCAAAAAAAATTAGGCCAAAAAAAAATTAGGCCAAAAAAATTAGTCCAAAAAAATTAGGCCCAAAAAAATTAGGCCAAAAAAAATTAGGCCAAAAAAATTAGCCAAAAAAAATTAGGCCAAAAAAATTAGGCCAAAAAAAAATTAGGCCAAAAAAATTAGGCCAAAAAAAATTAGGCCAAAAAAATTAGGCCAAAAAAAATTAGGCAAAAAAAATTAGGCTAAAAAAAATTAGGCCCCAAAAAAATTAGGCTAAAAAAAATTAGGCCAAAAAAAATTAGGCCAAAAAAAATTAGGCCAAAAAAAAATAGGCCAAAAAAAAATTAGTCCAAAAGAATTTGACCCAGAGAGGAGGAACCTGCTCCTCTTATGAGATATGATGTTAAAAAAAATAGATGGGAATATTTTACAAATTCAAAAACTGAAGAGTTAATAAAAAGAAATGTTCAAGGTAAATCTGAAGAAGATATTGAAGAAATCAAAGCTCTTGAATTCAATTTAAAACACCTTACTTTAAGAGATTTATTATTACCTGGATCATTTATGATTGCTGAAAAGATTTATTTTGTGGGTGGATTTATTATGGACGACCTTGGAAGATTGGTACAAAATAATCAAGTTTTTTCTCTGAATTTAAAAGATAGGCTTCAATTCAAAGCTGAGCCATTTCAGCTACCGTTTTATGTGTTAAGGCCGATTTGTTCATCAGGAAGTAAACATGTAATTATTACTGGTGGAGTAAATCCATCATCAGGACGTCCGAATGAATGCAGCTGCATTTTAACTATAACTGACTCGGTATTTAAATTTACCCCTTTAGATATACCTGTTTGCCAAGAATAGCCACTAAGGAACATTTTAGGTTCGCCATTGTTAAATTTGGTTAGCCAGAAAATATGCATGCTAACGAATTTGGCAAGCCAGCTATTGCCTAGCCAACCAAAAAAATTTTGTAGTGGCCTATTTTTTGGTAAATAAGTATATATTAGAAGTAACTTTTTATGAAACTTGTTGTCCAATTTACCAAGACTATTGTGTCTTTTTCCCTAGATACCCAAAAGTTCCTGTACGAGGTAAAAAATGCAAAGAATGAAAATTATTTGACATAAGAAAAGAAAGAAAAAAAAAGTTCATAGAAACAAAAGGATTCATCAAAAAGGAAAACGATTTTGGAGAAGCAGAAATTCCACCAATAAAAAGAATAAGAAAAATGATAATAAATTTTGATATTTGTGTTCATAAAGAAGAAAGAATTGAGTCTATTAAAAAAGTAGCAGAGCTTGATGAAGAAGAAATTGATATTTATTTTGAAGAGTCTGAAGAAGATGGAGATTCTGAAATCCCTGACGATCAGCTGTCAGGGGTCAGCGAAGGAATTATTATTGAAAAAGGTGCTGAGGTGAAAAAAATAAAAAGAAAATACTATTTTGATTCTGAAAAAAGCCTGACAAGTCCGAAGTCAAATACAGATTTTGAGTTTTTAATTACACAACGTGCAAATAAACTGTATGAGGAAGAAGAAATTGATAATAGTTTTGAAAAGTCGAGCGATTCTCAAATCCCTGACGATAGGTTATCGCAGATAAGTGAAGGAATTATTGAGGAAAAACGTGATGAAATAAAAAAAATATATAGAAAATACTCTTTTGACTCACAACAAAGCAAGAAATCAGCTGCAGATTTTCAATTTATTGATGCACACAATAGTAAACTATGTGATGAAGATTCTGACCCAGGAAGCATAAGTGAGCTATCTCAAGTCAGCGAAGGAGTTATGTCAAATAAAAATGAGATGATAAGAATGATAAATAAAAAAAAATCTGCTGATAGGACTATATGGAGCTCAACGGGGTCAATAAATATAGGTGAAGTAGATATAGCAATTGCCCGAGGATGGCGCTATCTTGCGCCATCCTCGGGCAATTCAAAAATGGCCCCACACCGGGAATCGAACCCACGTGTGGGGCCATTTTTGGTGTGTGGCCAACATCGACTTACACGCACCAAAAATGCCCCACACGTGGGTTCGATTCCCAGTGTGGGGCCATTTTTTGAATTGCCCTAGGATGGAGCAAGATAACGCCATCCTCGGGCAATTCCTATAGCTTAATTCAGCCAATGAAGGGTAGAGTAAACGATATGGATGCAAGGTTAAGGAGTCAAATTGGTATTGAAGATGCATTAGAAATAGAAAACAGCTCTATTGATTTGAAAAACTATGAGACTCCAGATACAAAAAGTAAAGACAGCTCGATCCCATAAAGATGAGCACAATTTTAAATGCGTTTTTATAATAAATTTTTGGATTTTGGTTAATCTTAGATTGAAAAATAAATAGCTTAGGCTAAATCAACATTAAAAAGATATATATAATCATTATATAAAGAATCTTTGAGTAATCAGCTTTAAATAATTTATCTTAAATCATGAAAATTGAGTATTTAATACATAAAAGGTAATAAAAATTCCAAGCCATAATCAATAAAATAATTTAATTAGTATTATTATATCATAATCTATTGAAATAATTTAAAAATTTTCTTAGAAATACTGATTTTTTTGCACAAATATTCTTTTAATTCTCGACAAACAGCATTCTCTCATTTTCTATCATAAATTTTGAATAATTGAGAGAGTGAAGAAATAAATAAATCCATAAAATGTCCTCATTTTCGAGACAAGGTTTACCTCACTCCCCCCCTTTAAATTGGAACAAAATATCGGTAAAATTTCCACTTTTTTGGTAAATTAACCCCCCTTTAAATTGGAACAAAATTTAATTTTATAATAAAAAATTATATATGATTTTTTTCTAAAAAGTTTTGATATAAGTTAAATGTTTCTTCTTAACTAAAATTAAAAATTTAGTTATATCTTGCTCTTTTTTAAAGAAAAAAGTATAAAGAGCATCTTATTTAAATAAATTTATTATCCTTAATTGCTAAATTTTTAAAAAAAATTAATTTTTTTTTTTTAAAAATTTTTTATTTAAACAAAATTAGCACTTTGATCGATAAATTTTCTAAAATTTTTTTTTTTTAATTTTTTTATCAATAAAAATAATAATTTTTGTGTAAATAATTTTGATACCAATTAATATTGGCGTATTAACTAATAATGAAAATTTAGTTATATCTTGCTTTTTTTTAAAGGATAAAGAGTAATATTATTTTATTAAACAAATTTATTGATCTAATTCGATATGTTTTGAAATTTTTTTTTTTACAAAAAATTTTATATTGATATTTTTTTTTTAAAAAAAAAAATTAACCCCCCTTTAAATTGGAACAAAATTTTTAGTTCCAATTTAAAGGGGGGAGTCAGAAAAAAGGCTCTTCAGACAAAAATGTAATAATTTCACAAGAAAGAAACCATTATAGACTCGGAGGGTCCTGAAGAGCTCCACATCCACAATTAGTCAAAGTTATCAAGAAATTAAATCCACCAAGCCCATGTAAATTAGTTAGAGACAAAGAGCAGCCTATTTCAGGCAGCATATTAAGGGCTATTGCAGTTATTGATGAGCCAGAAACTAATGCTCCTCCAAAAATACCAGAAAAAGAAGTGACTACGCAAAGTAAAAAGTCGCTGTCTTTTTCTCTGGAAAATAGCTCTATTCTGAAAAGACGAGTTAATCGTGTTGGAATACAATAAATTATAGTGCCTTACCCAATTTTGGGAGGCCTCTGGCATGTGGAGATCCTCCACATACTTTCACATGTTAAATCACAGAAATATAGTGGCTTCACATATGGATGATATCTCCGCATGTCAGAGGCCTCCCAAAATATGGCAAGGCGCTATATAATTTAATGTTGTTATCTTCTCATGAGATTATTCAATCGCTCTTTATGAATTATTGGTTAAAAAGAGAACATTATTCCTCAATATGAATAAAAAATTAAAGAAATGAAGCTATTAGTTAATATTCACTTTAATTGTATTAATTTCAAATAATAGCTTAAATTTTTAAGTTTCATTTTAAAAAATGTAACTGCCTGTATCTTAATTTATTTTTGAGAATCTTATTTAAGCCTTAGAACTGATTTTCAAAACTCATAAACTAATCAAATAATGCCAATTATATTACTTCCTTTTATAACAAAAAAATATTTTTTATTCTCGCTCATGGATTTTAATATTTTGAAAACAAATTAATTCACTTTTTTATAGATATAATAAGCTTTCTAAAATTTAATAAAATTAACTAAAAAATTCATTATAACAATTATTAATATAAAAATATTTTAAAACCAAAAATTTAATCAAGAATTTCACAAAAATTCTAATTATTTGCCCAGCTAAAAAGCTAGAATTATAAGTAAAAAATTTTTCTTTTTTTACTTTTAACAGAACTTTACCACATTCTAGAATAATTTCAATTCTTTTCTTAACAAGCCTTCTACACAACATTTTATAATTATTTAGGCTTATCGACTGAGCCAACACAAATCTTTTAGAATGAGAATATATTAGAAAGAATAAAAATGTAAAACTAGACAACCAACATGCTGATTTTTATTTCCCTGATTAATCTCGCATTTTCAACTTGAGAATATCACCAAATTAAAGGCTCTGACACCGTAATCCCTATTTAGACTTTCAATTTCTGTCAATATTACAATTCCCCTTGTTCTACTCCTGACTCCTTTCCATTCCCCCGACATTCTTCAACCTCAGTCTTATACACATCCTGGACGATTGACGATATCAATAATTTATGTCCAGGAACTGAATGTGGGCCTTTATGCGATTATAGTAAACCTTCCTGCTACGTTGATTTTCGTAATCCAAAAGACTCTAGTGATACAACTAAAGGTGGAAGAGGAGACCTACCGACTCCGTCAGGCACCACAACAGCTATTGGGAATGTCTCAGTTTCATGGTGTCCTACCTCTTGTTGCAATACAGAAAACTGTTTAAGGACACATGATGTGGTAGGATACCCTGTAAATGCTAGCGAAGAGTATAAGAATTTACAATAAATAGCCTATTTATAAAACAAATAATTAAAACTTATAAATATTATGGGAAAATGTATATATTTTGGTATTTGGAGGAGTTTCTTTAAGAAATGTGACAGTAGATGGACAACTTTTATATGACACTTGTAGCGCGGATCTTGAAGAAGCGCTTGCTAAAGGATATACAGTAAATTTCGCAAACCCTTGTGGAGGGCAGCTTTTGAACGAAATTTGAAGATACAATATCAAGAGAAATACCTGAGAATATCTAAAGCCGACCATAAATTTACTTAAAGCCAGCACTTATCTGTCTCCATATCCTAGATTTGGCCACTCTTCTGTCTATATCGAACTTTTAAAAAATGACACATTAACCAATACCAAAGTAACTAGAAAATACATGTACATATATGGCGGATTTGCATTAGAATGCATGGACGCCTGCAGTGACTTATGAAGATACGAAATCCCTTGAGCTGCCCAACGGTACTACCCTGAGCCTTCTTCCAGCTCAGACTACTGAAACAGAGGCGACTCTTGAGAAAACTTAACTACCATAGTAAACCCAGGTGGCCGAACCAAGCACAATATGGTCGCTTCTCCTGACAATGACTATATATACTTATTCGGCGGCTACGGAAATGAAACTTTTTATAATGACTTATGAAGATGAGACATTCAAGACGGTTCATGAGGGACAATGCAGACATTTGGGATCAATAAAATCACACGGAGCATTACTTTGAGAGACGGGACAAGCTACCAGCTACTTATGAGTGAAGACGAAAGGAAAACGACTGATTATTTAGAATACTCCTCTAATTCTAATATCCCACAGGCTAGGTCTTCTGCCTGCATGATCTATTTTAGGTCACATGAAGACTATTTATTGCTTTTTGGAGGCTGAGGACTCAGAACTCAGCCATATGGGACTATGACTATTGGGGTAGCTCTTGACGATTTTTGGAATTATAGCATAAAAAACAAAAAATGGACCCGAATTTATTCTAATGACACTGGGCCTTCCCCAAGAATAGAAGCTAGCATGATCCAGCTGGATTCTTCAAGAGTGCTTCTATATGGAGGCAGAAAGCAAGACACCACTTTTAATGATGTCTGGGTGTATAATTTAGATACAAACCATTGGTTTAATTGGACAGATCTGCTATTAGACCAATCTGATTACTACCCAAAAGGCAGCTACCGAGGTAACCTTGTATTGACTTCTAAAGGAGTTTTCGCATATGGTGGGAATTATATAAATGCTACTAACATGAACAAAATGGACACCGCAAATGCAGCATATAAAAATTACCTTGCAGAATGCAGTGATACCCTTAGTGAATATAATATCACAATTACAAACCTTACTAATACTAAATTTGCAGAGAAATTGTATAATCAAACTAATAATACCTGTTTTTCTGACATATCTTTTGCCCCAAGTTATGTAAAAAATGTGGAGTTTATACAAGGGGTATGGTTTTTAAACCTGACAACATGTATGAATGACTGTAGTGGGAATGGGACTTGTTATTATTCTACATGTATTTGTGATATTGGGTATTATGGAGAATATTGCCAATATAAGTCATGTCCTGGGTCTTTGTGCTATTATGATAATGAATTTTTTACGATTTCGGAGTGCTTGCATTGCTCTGGGAATGGAAATTGTATAGATGGGGCTTGTGTTTGTAATAGTGGGTATTTAGGAGATGATTGCTCTATTACAGACTGCAAAACGGCATGCTCAAGCGGAGGCAGCTGTGTTGAAATGTACCCGATTTCTCAATGTGATTGCAATGGAAAAAACGGGGATGACCAATGCAGCGTAACTTTTTGTTTGAATACCTGCAATGAGCCGAATGGAGCTTGTAATTTGACACTAGGGGAATGTACCTGTAGCTCTGGATTTTATGGGCTAGACTGCTCTGTCCAGGCTATTCAAAGCTGGGGGATTGACTTGACGATTAGCTTCATAACTTTAACAATATTTTGATAAATGTATCTGAAAATTAATTTAATTGAATTCTACAAAAAACTATTTTTTATTGTTTTGCTATCAATTAAATTCTCTAATTAAAATTTGTATTAACTTAAATCAAATCATAAATTTCAGCTTTTCCTATTGTGATGATATTTAAGCTATCCCGTCTAATTAATATTTTCTATATATTAAATATTCTATAATCCGTTGGTAAAATTTCTTATCGGCCATGATCGAACCAGAGGTTGCAATAAGTCTTAAAAAGAAAGATTAATTTTTTAAGTCTAGAATCTAATAATTCAGATAAAATAAGAGCGCTGTTGGCATGTAGGCTGAAGCAAGAAAACTAATCGATGACTAGAGAGTTCAGGTAAATAATGCTCGATGTGCTGCAAGAGTGCATAGAGACTCGCTTTATCGTGGTTTCCGATAGCTTGAGATCAAGAAACTTGCCTTATAAGTACCCTCCTGATATTTTTATATTTTAATTAATGGAAAATAATCACACATAGCCATTATTTTGGCACACCCAAAATATAAAATGGCTTGAATTTTTGAATCTATGTATTATATAATGGATTTTGCAAGTATAATTTCTTTTAAAATTTAAATTTTTTAAGATATAGCTTCAAATTAAAGATGGCGAAAATAAAAGTTAATAAGTATGCTATTTTTAAATTTGTGCTCAAATCCAAAACGCGGAAATTAAAGATCTATATAAGGTGAGCTTATATTTAAATTATTAAAAGAAATGTGCTGCTGCGAAAAAAGTTCTTAGTGTTTTTAAATTTTAGATATAGCTTCAAATTAAAGATGGCGAACAAAAAATATTACATTATTTTTAAAAAAATGCTCAAATTCAAAACACAAAATTTAAAGACATAGAAAACTAGCATCCACAAATATCTTGCGAATAATAATTTTAATCAAATATTAATAATAATATGGCGTGCCAAAATAATGGCCATGTGTGAATATTTTCCATTAATTAAAATATGAGCTATCAAGAGGTAAGTATAAGGCAGGTTTCTCTATCTCAGGCTATCGGAAACCACGATAAAGCGAGTCTCTATGCACTCTTGCAGCACATCGAGCATTATTTACCTGAACTCTCTAGTCATCGATCAGCTTTATTGCTTCAGTCTACATACCAACAGTGTGTTTATTTTTATCAGAATTATCAGATTCTAGACTTAAAAAATTAATCGTTTTTTTTAAGATTTATAACAACCTCTGGTTCGATCATGCCCGATAAGAAATTTTTACCAACGGATTATAATTTCTCATACATAAATTTTTAATTTTTAATCAGAAAAAAGTAACCCCCCCCCCCCCCTCCGTGAGCGAACAAAAAAATTTTGTTCGCTCACGGAGGGGGGTTAATTTTTTTTTTTTAAAAAAAAATTTATATATAAATTTTATAAACAATATTTTTTTCGAAATTTAAAAAAATCCTAATTTGCAAAAATTGGGAAGCAAATATTAATTTAATTTGCAAAATTTATGTTTTAAAACGCAATTTGTTTAAAATTAAACAGAATTAGCTCTAGATTTCATTATACTAATTATCACTTATATATCAAAATTTTTTTCCATTAAAATTTTTTCTATTAAAAAAATTTTTGTTCACTCACGGAGGGTGGGTTTTTGGTCAAAAAATGGCGATTTTTCTAATGGTTTTGTTCGCGCTCACGGAGGGGGGGGGGGGGAGTAAGTAAAAATCAACAAATTTTTCACCTGCATTTGAATGGGTCGGGAGCAAATGCGTAACAATTTCTTTTAAATGGTCAAGTGTGGGTAGATATGTGCATGATCTAAAAACTATCCTTTTAGTCTCTTCAACAAAAAAGTAAACACCATAAGGTTCATCATTATTCAATGGTATCAATTGTTTCAGTATTTTTTGGACATCAATATCGTCTGATAGTGCAAATTCAGTTTCCATGCTCAAAAAGCTTTCTTTTTCTAGCTTGATAATGGTCTGCAGAAGAGCTCGTATGACGCCTTGTTTTCATTCGCGAACTTGGTTGATGACAAAAATAGAAGTTTTCTCTGGGTACTCTTGAAGATTTATAGTTGCTGACAATAATCTTTCATAATTGGCTTTTATTTCAATCATATCTGTCTTATATGGTTCGTCAGCTTCAAGAGAACTCATTTCACTTTTTAATAATTTTATTGATAAAAATCCCAAAACTCTGCAAATTTTTTAAAATTAATCAATTAATTATCAATTGGATTAGCAAATAAATGATTTTAATGTTTTTGTTATTTATGTATAAACAATAGGTAGTTAATTTCTTTCATTTTATTAATTGCAATAATTTTAATTTACAATCTAAAACGAATATTAAACTATTGCATATTGGCCATATTGCTTTAGCAGATAATGTTATCATAAATTTTTAAGCGGTTTTGGGCTGATTTTTAAGATTTTATATAATAAATTGCTTTAAGCACGCATCTGTATTGCGTAAAATATTATTTATACTATATAATGTGGCACTTCGAATACTTTACATTTATTTTTCTTTTCTTTATAGGAAGTCACTCAATTTCTCAGCGCATCATGGGACCAACTAATCCAGCTCTGCTCTCTTCAAAAATCCCTAATCCAGGCTGCACATCTGATAACTGTGATTTAGATAAAAATTTTGACAATGAAGCTTCATTGGAATCTGAAAATTCAAGTTATTTCAAATTTTTCGATGTTTTTCTGCAAGACGCACAAAATCCTTTAGAAAGAGATGAAAGCGAAATTCCGTCAAGTATTGATGAACATGGGGATGATTATAATGATGGCGATCTTTTATTTGTACTAGCAACTACTTTCATTGATGGTGAGTCTGGCACAGGCAAAATATGAGTAATCCCTACTGATGAAGAAGATAAAGAAAACAGTTATTCGCTAATAGTAGGTTTAGAGAGACCTACTGGGCTTTGTCTAGACGTAAACCATAATTTTTTGTATGTAGTAGATAACGGTGATGATATAGAAGGGTATATTTATCAGTATGAAGTACTATGGAGTGACGATGATTATATGATCCTAGATAGAAATGTCTATGTAGTAATTTATCAAGGCAAAACTCCTTATGACTGCAAAATAGATCAGTATGGCAATATGTATTTTCTTAACTCAGAAACTGACGAAATCAGCATGATCAGCTACCTTGACTTGTATTCAGGCTTCACCAATATGAACTACACCATCTATCAAGCTGACGAAAACAATAACAAAATAAACTCCCCTGTAGCCCTAGAAGTAATTGACTCTGAGTATATTTACTTTGTAAATAACGCTGATGGAGATACAGCAGGCACCTTAAACAAAGCTAAAACTACAACGGAAAGCGTCAATGAGGAAACTATAGAATCATTAGTTTATAATAAATACCCAGCTTGGGGTGTCGCTTATACAGATGATAATAGAATTTTCTTTTCTCTGGATACTGGAGAAATTTGGTCAGTTGACACTCAGGATACCACAAAACTATATGAAAAAACAATAGAGCCGATGAATAATCCTAGAGGAATGTGCCATGGAGATGGAAAAGTGTATGTTGCTGACCAAGAATTAGGAGAAATCGTAATGTTCAATACAAATGACGAAAAAGAAGACCCAAAGAGTTTTGTGAAAATCCAAGGAGTTTATATGACATTTTGTGTTAATTCAGCGTATGGATTGATTGTGTCGCTTTTCATAATTAGTTTAATCTAAAATCCAATTAATTTACTATAAAAATTAGTATATGAATAAGTTTAAAACTAAAAATAGCTGAATTATAATATTTTCAAATGAGAAGTAAAACTGCACCAAGCGACACCCACAATAATATTCGAAAACACCTCTCAAAAATCCGCGAAATCAGGTCTGAAATTGAAAAAGTCCCTGACGACTATACTCCTCATGTAACTGCTTGAAGGTCTTCAATTGATACTCTCCAAAGAGAGCTGGAGCTCCAATTATCTTATATCACAAGTTTACGAGCTACCACTGAAGACCCTGAAAAACAAAAAGAATTGAACTTCAGGGAGTCTTTATATGAAATAATCAAAGAGATGGGAGAAGAATTCAGAAATTTAGTATTCCCTAATTAATAAAAATAATTATTTTTTTTATAGTCAAGGCTGCTTATTTTTCTTATATATATAAGAATACAAATTCTGAAACCCCTTGTCCATATCCCTAAAACTTGTGAATTTAAAAATTGGGATATGATTACTTTAGACTTGAGGACAGAATTAAGCAAAGCTGCAATAGCAGCTGAAAGAGAAGGCCCTGAAAAGACACTTGAGGTATTAAAAGAAGTTTATGCATATAGAGACCAATTGATTTCACAGATAATTTATTCTCTGCTGCATAAGAAAATTGTATTGTGGATGGATTTGGGGATTCAGCAAGAGGAGTATGTAAAAGGGGAAGTCCTTGTGGCGACTCAGAGTATTTTGAAGTATCAAGAAGAGAATGGACATATCCCGACCAAAATTGAGTATAAACATCCGAGGAATACGAGTGAAGAAGAAACTGGGTATGTCCCAAATCTTTTGTCGTCAATTACAGCGTTTTCTGAAGAGTTTATATAGATTATTGGGAATTTTATTATATGATTTATATTTTCAAGGCTTTTTTAGGTATAAAAATTGCTTGTTTATATGCTAAAAATATAGGAAATAATAGAAAATAGAAATAAAATAACCAATAGACTTTGTCTATTTCAAGGATGCTAGAGAACAGCTTCAGCTTGCTATCAAAAAACAATAAAATAGGCACCGCCGTTATCAGTCTACGAGAAGAAATTGAATTCGTCAAAAAAGAAGCTGCGAAGTATGAAAAAGAGCTGCAAAGTGCTAGAAGCTTACTGAAAAGCCCAGACCGCAGAGAATGGGTCCAGATAAACAGGGAGCTTCAGCAAACCCATGAGCAGCTTGAAAACGCCAATATGAACATCCAAAGGCTAAATATGGAAAAAATAAACCTTGAAGCCAGCAATAACGAGCTGTCTCAAAACATGAGAGAAATGGAAAGCAGGCTTAAGAAGCTTAATGACTCTGTATTTCCACGGCTCGACGAGCTTGAAAGACTTCAAGGCGAAATCATAGCTGAGCTTAAAAAAATCCGCCAAGATGCAGATTTGCTTCCAGAGATGTTCCACAGTGGTCTAAATTTTTATGAAAATAATTATCCCAAGGTAAATTTTTAAAAAATAATTCTCCTCAAGGTAATTTACCTCAGAAAATATTAATTCCGCAGTGAAGTAAAACTAAAAAAATTAATAAGGGACGAAAAGCTTCAAGCTGAAGAAAAAATGAAACAAGCTTATGAGGAGCTTTTTGTTATAAAATCAAATAGAGGCAAGCTAGAAAACGAGCGAGACCGAAAAGAAAAAATCGCAATGCAAGCTATTGCAGCTAGAAATCTGCTTGACGAAAGGCTAAAAGAAATGCAGTCATCAATGGGTGGGGTAGAAAAAAACTTAAAAGAGTCCAAAGAGCTTAACGAGAAGCTGAAACATGAGCTAGACAGCTATAAAGAGCAGTTTAAAGAGCTGGAAGAGCATGTATATGTAATGAATAATAGAATTAATGAGCTGGAAGACCAAAAGAAAAGCTTAATAGATCAGCTTAAAACCTTAGGCGCACAGTCAAAAGCTCATTATACATATAGGAGGCTGAAGGATGAAAGTTAATTTTAACACTGATTAGTTATGCTTATTTAAATAGGACTATATGCCTTTCATAATAAGCTATTTACTATTAGAAAATAGGGTAAGATTTTTTATTAAAAATGCTTATGAGGTATATGATTTATAATATATAGAAAAAATTTATATATTAAGAAATATATTGGAATATAAGTCGGCTTATAAAGTTTCAGCTGTAGCTTCTAAGAAAATATCTGCATGCTTCTTTTCGAATATTAGTGAAGGCCTAAGCTGAATTACATTTTCTTTTGAAACTCCGACATGAACTCCTTTATTCAGCATACTCCTATAAAAATTCCAAGCCATCTCTCTATTTGGCATATCAAAACCAATATGCAGCCCAATCCCTCTGATATTGCTGATTTTCCCTTTTTTCCCTTGGATTTTCATCAGTTCTTTAAGAAGATAATCTCCAACTTCTCCAGCTTGGCTAATTAACTCATCTTCTTTTACTATTTTGTACACCCCTTCCAACAATTGTAGACGAAGTGGGTCTCCACACCATGTATTCTCTATTAATAAGAATTTATTTTAATAAAATCATGGTATTAATTTAAGCCAAAATCAGCCATTTTTAGTATATTCATTATCTGGTATGGTTTTGCAGGCCTGAATTCTTTTTTACAAAAATACCCACTTACCTGTGCTTTTTTGGAAAAAGTCATAATGTCAGGCTGGATCCCAAAATTCTCATGGCACCATAATTTCCCTGAAGCTCCAAAGCCTACATTAGTTTCGTCCACAATAATAGCTGCTTTAAATTCTTTAGCAATATTTTGCAATTGTTGATAATACCATTTGCTAGCAAAATAGTTCCCATCGTTCATAATTGGCTCAAATATAATCCCTGCTATAGGATTTGGGCTATTTTTAAATAAATTTCTGGTGTCTTCTAATGCTTGGGCTTCAATTCCTTTATTTTCTATGAAATTTTCTAATGGGTATTTTAGCTTTGGGAAAGGTGCTGTTGGCCAATTAAATGCAGGGAAATCTAATTTGGCATCAGCTGAGGCTGAAGATGCTGATAAAGTCCCTAGAAGTTTGCCATGTGAAGCACCAGTGTGGCTTAAAATAACGTAATTTGGCACCCCAGGAGCTTTGCCTTCCATTGTCGTTTTAAGCTGCTCTTCAGTCGGTTCTGAGCCATTTTGGTTTTTATAGTATCATAAAAATGCAGCTTTTAAAGCATTTTCGTTAGCTCCAGTTCCACAGCCACAAGAGTTGAAAAGCTCATTTAGATCTTCAGGTGCCAAAGGCATAAGGACATCTCTTAGCTTTTCTGGCCAGTCTTCAGGAGGGTTTAGTGCACAGGATGATCTGTGGATTATTGAATGACTCATATAGGTGGTTTTCAAGTATTCCACAAATTCTGGGTGGTTATAGCCTATTGGCAATGATGAAGATTGGGCATTGGCATCCAGTATTAAATTCCCATCAGCATCAGCTATAAAATTTCCTGCACTTTTTTCATAATCTGTAAAAAATCTGACTGTACGGAAATCCTGAGTTACAGTTTCTAAGTTATTTAAAAGGGCACGGCTTTCTAGGCCTGGTATATTTGTTTTTATAATTGGTTTAAGTGGCTCTATCGATGCAAGATTGGGGCTTGGCCGGAGTTTTTTTAGCAGGGAAGTTAACATTTATAAATGATCAGATTTCCATATTGAATTCTGATCAAAAAGCAGACTGAAATAATGTGGAGGGATTTTGAATAGGCTTAATACTTTAGATATTTAAAAATTAGTGGCATCCGTTATATAAACGATTTATTTTAATTTAAGAATTTAATTTATAAACTTCTTCTGATATGCACAACAAATTAACAAAGGCTTAATAAAGTCAGATGATTTACCCAAGATTAAGCATGCTTAATATCACTAAAGAAAAAGGAAAATTATAAACATTGCTAAAATCATACCTGTCTAAACAGAATTCCATATTTAAAATTAAAGACATAAATTTCCTTATATATTACAATCTGTTCATATATCGCTGAAAATAAAACTGAAAAATCGTATTATATAGCTGAATAAGTTTCGTCTTTATACGGATTCATATATCTATCACAACAGGTGCAGCAAGCACAACATCTTTCTTTAACCGGATATCACCAACAAGCGCAGCACCTCTTTATTTGATTTTTTGTATATACAATTCCGTTGTAGGTATACCTACAACAAACAGCAACTCCTTTACAAAATGCGCTGCAACAATCGCCCATTTTATATCAATAATAAACAAAATCCCATATTCTGGCTCTATTTTACTATAATTTCATTTCAAAACTAAATGATATTTTATCTTCTTTATTTTTCTTATATTTCCTAGTTATATATTTTTATCTAAATGTCTGGTCGATAAAATAAATCATGGGAATCTGGGACTTCAAAACGTTCGAATGTGCACAAAATCCAGTCATGTGTCTTTGGGCTTGGTGCGTTCCATGCGGATCATGCTGCATGCAGGCTATAGATGCCAAGATATCAGACCCTGAGAATAAAAATGCGGCCTTGATCGCATGCTTATTTGATTGTTTCTTATGCTGCATTGGCGCTACTATAAATCGCATGAAGTTGAGGAAACAAATGTCAATTGAAGACAGCGTGGCTATGGACTTCCTTTGTTCTTGCTGTTGCGGCTGCTGTTCCGTTACTCAAGAATGGATGACAACGATGAAGCGTTATAAGAATAATCACAAGACGTTGATCTGGGCATTGGACGAAAAAAGCGGTGGAGAAGATAAGGAAAGAGCTTACTCCCCCCATCCTTAATCGAACGGCTCGCCATCGTTCGATCAAGGATGGGGATTAAAAAAAAATTTTTTTGGGAAAGAAATTTTATATATAAAATAAAAATACTTTTAAATAAGAGGGTTAAGAGTATTTAATAATTATTTTACAGCAAAAAATTGAATTAATTTCATAAGAATACCAATTTTTAATATTTTGATTTTTTTTGATTACCCCTTTAAACTGTATAAATTTTAATTATCCTTATTGAATTTTAAATTTTAAAGAATCTCTATTTTTTAGATTATTGAGTTTTGAGCCCAGGCTGATGACTAAAGCAATTCGGATGGCTGATTCCGTAGCTTCCTGTCATCTCAAAGCCTCTGAAAACAGCTTCATTAGGCACATCTTCCCAAGCTTTTGATATAATAAATTCCCTTAAATAGCCCTGCTAGGCAGGCATTTTAAGCCTGAATTCCTGATTTAGTTAGAAATTCCAGCTTAAAAAGCCTGCCCTTACAGGGCCCATTAAGAGAAAGCACTATAACTAATATATTTTTATATATATAAAAATTTGAATGATGTGAAAATCGTTCGATCAACGATGGGGGTTAACTTCCCAATTTTTAGGAATTTTTACAGTCAATCGTTCGATCAAGGATGGGAGGGAGTTAGAAGAAAAATCATAAATAATATCAGAATTTCTTTAAAAGTAAATTTTTAGGGAATCAGTAATTGAAGTTAGTAAGAAGTAAGAGGTTTTAAATATAAAAATTATTGGAGAAAAGATTTGGAAGGTGAAATTAATGGAAATAAGGAGGATTGATTAATAAAAACTGGAGTTTTACGGGATTTATATTTTGTTTGGAAGAAAAAATTTTAGCCTTAGATTTTTTTATTCAAATAATGTAATTATATTTGTTTTTTATTGCTTGCTAGATTCTTTAAAAGCATGCTCTACTATATTTATTGGGCAATATGCATGAAATGGCTAGTAATAGGCAGCTGTGCATATAATTAATATAATATCTTTGCCTGGGTATTCCTCCTTGCCACGTAGCCCTCGAGAACATATTTATTATACCTGGTAAGGCTTTGCCAGATCAGAAATGGACAATATGATAAGTTAGCAATCCCAGAGTATTTGGGGCTTAGCCCTAGACCGCTTTCAGAGCTGGAGGGTAGAGTCACTATAAAACACTTCATTAATCATATCATACACTATTGGGCACCTTCACTGTGACCATATTTCCTTTAGAAAGTGAAGAATTCGGTAAAGACGTGATTGCTGTATACATTTTTGCTATAGGCCCATACGACCAACTTTTCAGCACGAATTCTTTCTTATGTGTCGCAATGCACAAATGAAACTGGTTATCAAATCCATGCACCTCCAATTTATCAATTTCTTCAACTTTTACCTTCGCAATGATTTCTCCTTCAACTAAAAACAGGAAATTCTTAGTCGTGAGTATCACAATTAAATCTTCTTCTTCGTCTAAATGCAAATAATATACCATCTTTTCTTTTTTGCTTAAATTCAAAGATCTTAGGAGCTCTTGAGCTTGGGAAAGTTCTTGGTTATAAGGCTCCAGCCGAAATCTGGCCCCAAAGTGCCTTGGGAATCGGCTTCTGCCAAAAGTTTGGACTTTTCCTTTGGTCACGAGAGTAGCAGCATGGGCGACACTTCCTGTCAAAGTGTTCCCGAATTTTAAGATTGCGGCAACTGGGGAGATGACGATTCCTACGACGCCAGAGCCAAGGCCTTTGAAAAATCCTCCAGTGCCACCTTCTTTAGCTCCATGATAAGGCTTGGTGAAAACTCCTGTGACTCCATTTTTTATATCGTTTACCCCACCTTTGAAGCCTTCTAACATGTTTTTGCCAAGACTTTGGGATTCTCGAGGTTTGTAATTTTGGGCATTGGGATCTCCGCTGACTTCTTTGACGACTTTGTATATTCTTTTGTAAATAATTATTAAATTTATTGATAAATTAATGAGAAATATTTTCATTTAGCATAAAAAGCTATAAAGACCCTGTAATTTTGGAAACTGAACCAAACCCACCAATAACCGCATTTCCTACAAGGGACTTGAAGCCTTTTCCAACACCTTGAGCAAAAGCTTTGGGGCCTTTAATAAATCCTTTAGCGGGCTCATTTATGAACTCAAAAACCCCTGACCCAAGTTTATCAATAAGCCCCATAGGGTTTCCTAATAAATCAGAAGACCCAATAATTTTGTAAAACTGAGTGATTGCTTGCCTGAGGTAATTTTTTAGGATTATTCACATCAAATTATTGATAGTTTGGAAGCTGTATTCAAGCATTAGCTCTTTAAAAGCCAAAGGAGAGTCAGAAATAGTTATAAATGCACTGCCAACTGAATTAAGTATCCCAATTAACCCAAAAGCTTTTCCAGGATCGCCCAGTACAACTGCTTTATGACTTTTCACAAAACTCACATATATTTGTATAGCACAGAGCCTTATAAATTCAAAGCAGGCTTTTCTCTCTATTCCTGACGGATGATAAGAAAGGACTGGGCATTCACAGCTTAATTTTGGGTACAATTTATTCATAAATTCCATCCCTTTAATTTCCCTAATTTCTTTGATTTTTATTTTATTTTCTATTTTCTCTTGGATTTTTAGTAAAATAAAGATCATTTCTTCATTGATTTTAAGCTGCATGCTTTGGATAAGCAGTTCTAGCCATGTGATTTTTTCAAAGGTTTCTGTCATTTTTTTACGTTGTTTTGTGGAAGAAAATTTTTGGATTTTAAGCTGAATAAATGGTATATTGATCCCGTTTTCGTCTTTGTTTGTTTGGACTGGGGAAAAAATGACGGGGAAAAATCCATGATGGCTGCTCATATTGTCGATTTGAAGGTGGCCAAGCTTGAAGTTTAGCTTGGTGGTTTTTTCTGTTCTTTTAGGGGTGAATTCTTCGATTCGTTTTATTTTGAAATTCATCTGTTCTAGGGAAAGGTAAAATACTTCAGACGGTTTTTCGTCGATAATTGATAGCCCGACTCCAGTTAAGTTTGCAGTAAATTTAAAAGTTTTTTTTACTGAGTTTTCTTGAACGCTGTTTACTTCAGAGCTAATAAGTTGATCAGGTTCTATTATATTTCATTATAATGAATTTTCACATATAAATACCTATATAATTCCTATATTTTTACAAATAATAGGCTATTTCTTGTCATATTAATTTATTGCCATATATATATTTTAACTGCCTAGTTATTCCTTCAATAACTAGATCAACCTTAAATTCCCCTAAATCCTTATCTTCTTTAACCTTTTCTAATGAATATTTTTTAGAAATATCATTTATAGTCACAAGCACCTTTTTGTCCTCTTTTAAATGGTTATCATAAGCCCAAGGAATTTTTGTGTATGGAGGAATTACTATTGATAAATGTTTATATTTACGTTGACAAACCGAAGCGTTTTCTTTTGTGTTGTTATATATACAGAATTCAGGGTCTTTTGGAGTCACGAAATTTATATGGACTGTAGCCTCATCTTCACTGACTATGACTACTCTGACAAAATGCATATAATTATTGTTTTTATTTGGAATCCACCATTTTTTGGCTTTTCCTTCCTCAAAGTCTGAATATTTCCTGATGCTGAAAAATCTGATTTGGAAATCTTCTAAATTTTCTATGCTGAATGGTCCTGACCACAGTTCTCCAGTTTCCGATATAACCATATATTAAATTTTAATAATTATTATTCAATTTAATTGTCTATTTTTATAGAAAATAATCCTAAATTACTTAAAATAATCCTGATTTACATTTAGTTCAATACTTGTACAGCCACAGACTTTGTAGAGTCTTCAAGCTGATATGGAATTGATTTTCCATTTTCAATCAATAACGTCGACAAAGCAGACTCATTTTTGATATACTGCCTCAAATGGATCCTAAATCCTAAATAATTCGACACAATAAATCTTGGGACCAATGAAATTACTCTTGTTTTTATCAAAGGTGCAGGAGCTTGAGAAATTGCTATGCCAAACTGCAAGGATTTTGGAAGCTCCTCAGTGTTTTCCAGCTTAATACAACCAGCAATCCCAATAGTTTCTTCATTAAACTCATTACTTCAGCTGCCTCCGTTCGCAAGCTTTATTTTTGAATGTTTTTTTCTTGAGGAATAAAACCCACAGGAATGGTTTTTTATTAGCAGCCTCGAAAATTTTATATCATAATCTGTCTTATTAAGCACAATTTGGTTAAAAAATAGCTGAACTAGCTTGTTTTTAACCCCTCTAAAAAGCACAGGGACCACTTTATGCCGGTCATTTAAATCTAGACCTTCACAAGACCTGAAATCCTTTATTGAAATTTCTGCATTTATTTTGCTTTTCGGGACTTCTATTAGGGGTATTGAGGAATTTTCACTAATTTCAGCCCATTCTGTGGTGTAAATTGTATTTTCATCAATTAATAAGTCATATTTAAACTGATGCTCTCTTGATGGGTTTAATGAATAAACTTTTGCTTCTTCGCCTGATGGGATATTAAATTTATTTTCATCAAAATTTGCATAAAGGACTATAGGGCATGGCATTAAATTTTGGACTATTAAAGGAGGGTTTATTTCGACAACTGTTAAGCTTCCTTCTGAATCTGTCGTATAAGAATAAATTTCTAATACAAAATTCGCCTTTTCTTCAGCTCGGAAATAGGTAGGGGTATCAATAAACGCTTTGGTGTAGCTTGTATTAACGTATGGACGTGTTTCAGAGAGCAGCCAGTCTATTGGGATAGGCCAAGACGATAATTCAGGAACAGTTTTTGATTGATCAGAATTATTTAAAGTGATAGGGAAATCTGTGTTATTTATAACCCTTAATGCACTTTCTATAATAATTTCATGCTTGTTTTCAGCTGCTTGGATTCTTATTAAGATAGTGACTTCTTTTTCTGAGTTGTGGAGGGTCACAGCTTGCATCCCGAATTTTTCAATTAATATTCCATGGGCTGTTGTAAGCCCAGCAACTGATATAGCGATTGAGGCAGGTGTTTGTATTGTATGGAGCATTGTGCCAGTTAAAGAGTTTCCTTTAAGCTGGGAGTATACTTGGTTAACGTATTTTTGGCTAAATGTGATACTTTCATCATTTTTAATATTCCAGGCATCTGTATTTTTTGGTATATACCATAATAAATTTATTTTTATATAAATAATTATTTTTTAAAAAAAATCAAAATTAATTAAAATTGCTATATCAACCCATACCCAAATCTCTTTTCCCAGCAGATTTTTTACCTCATAAATATAGCCATTATTATCATCTTCATTTCTTTCTATAATCTGTTCTTTATCCCATTCTTCAGCTTTCTCGTATATTCTTTTCTTAATGATGCAAAAAATGTCAATTAAACTTGACGATAAATTTATATTCAAAATTTCATTGCTTATAAATTCAATTTCTACTGGGACGTTTATGCTGGCTTTTTTCATGCTTATTGCGAACCTTCATTCCTCAACTAGCGGCTCCCAAGACGCGATTTGGGTGTTGTAAAAGTTTATAAGGACTATTGTGGAAAATTCGAGTTTTAGGTCACTTTTTCGTTCTCCACAAGCCATCATGTTGCTGAATTGGACATGTAATAAATTATGCCCGTTTTCTATATATAAATTGATATAATTATTTATAAAAATAGTTATATACAGGAAAAATGATTATTTATTATAAATAAATAATATAGTATCTTCAATCAAAAATAATTGCAATGAACTGCATACATAGGAAAAACTATTATTCACAATTTCTCTGAATGGCTTGTCAGGGTCTTCAAGACTTCCTGAACTAGAAGAATCCCAATCAATTGCAAGTCAAGGGGTTACCCACTCAGTAAAGAACAGTACCTCTCTAAAACCAAAATAAATACACAAGCTCTCTATCTCAAAATCAGTGTGCAGCTGCGTCCCTTTTTCAGTTGATTTTTCAAGTCTAAACTGTACTGACATTCTTGTAGGGGCAATTAAATCCCTAGTAATTCTATCAGGTTTCATCTGTGTTTTGTCAGCATACCCTAAAAGTACCCCAAGTTGCCTGAAGTCTACATTTGCTTCATCATCTCTCCATACATAAATTCTTTTTACCCTCCTTCACAAGATATCATAAGTGCTATAAATTTCTACACTTGATGAATAAATAGAAGAAAAAGTCAAATAAATATTCGCAATTTTTGACCTAGAATTTGACATTAACATTAACTTAAATATTGAGAAGTTCGCTGTAATGCCTCGAAGGCCTACCTCCACCCGTATTGCTTCACTCGGCTGCTCACCACCGACCGACCACGGCCTTCTAAAGTGTTGCTCCTTCTGGACGAGGATGTGCACTCGCTACCCGAAGTTGGATGAGTTGCGCCACCGTGCCGTACGCCAACAGAGTTGTCCTTTCCGAAAATTTGAAAAACAAATTTTCTGGTCGAACTCACGGCCAAAATGAAAATCCAAAGCCTGGGACGTAACCCCCAGTTCCACTCTAGAGAGTTGCCCGATGGACCAAGAGGAACCTCATTGGCGCTGCTGAGCTTTTCCTTTCCAATCTTGGACTCCATTTCCCCTGAGGTAAAAACCTTGTCATCAGAGTGAACTGCGGTCGACCAAATTCGACATTGCGCTCCACTGTGCCAAGGGAAAAACCTAGCCGGATACCTATACCGAGCGCCAAATTCCCTTCCACAAGGTCCCCAGGTACAGGTGTTGAGAAAAAGGGCTGGCTCGCCGTCGCCATTTTAATAAGTATGACCTAGAATTTGACATATTTTGAGGGAGCCATAGCTCGACGCTGGAAAAAAATATTTTTATTATTTATTTAAAAGATAATTATTTTTATGATAAAAAGAATAAAAGGAATATAATCTAGTACAGTATAAAGTATAACGAGTATGAAAATGGGTAATTGTCTTATAAACTTCTTTATTTTTAGAACGGCGTAAAGAGTCATCAAAATGCTTTGTCATTAATTCAGAATTTTTCATAAGAAAATTGTATAAAAAAATTACATAGCTTGAGCTTAAAATTATCCTCACATCATTGATTCTGAAACCGACATCAAGTTTGTCTTCTTTTGGGATTATATGGACCATTCCTTTTACTTGTGGAACTTCTTCAGCTTCTTCAGCGAATTCATCACAATCAAGAATATCGTATAAAGGATTTGAAATGACGTCTCTGAATTTTATGTTTGGTCTCATGTCTCTTAAACTCAGTTTTGATATATAAAAATTGGTGATCACGTCTCCTATTGGGTTAGTTTTTATATCATAATGGATACCGTTAATAAAAAATTGTGTAAAAATCTGCGAGTTCTCGATAATTCTGAAATTTATTTCTTTTATATCGGCTGAAGCTGCCATTTCTATGATGTTTTCCATATCTTTTATGACGTCTTTGAAGGCTTGACGCTCAATTAAATCGTTTTCTTCTTCAGAATTGTCGTCTATTGGGCTTAGAGAATTATTATAGGATTTTTCAAAATTCATAAAATTGCCGAGAATTTGGTAAATTAAGCAGAGCTGTTTATCAGATATTTGCATTTCTAATTTTTCAAGCATAACTGACAATTTTATTCGAGGATCGTTAGTATTTGTGGACTTAGGAATTAAAATCACTATATCAATTGCTAATGGCTCAATAATGCCTTCAACTTCTCAGTTCTTATTTCCATTTATTTGGTCAGATAAAGTATTAGAGCTCATTCTTGAATTTTCTGATGAAATTTGATATTTATCATACTGCTGCTTATTAATTTCTGCATTCAAAGATACCACTTTAAAAGTCCCAAAATCAATATAAAGCGCTGGATGCTCAAAAGAATGAAAATCAATTGGAATTATTATTAATGGCGCTTTTATCATAATATCCATTTCTATTCTCTTTTTTGTGCCTGTCTGAATAGCATTTTGAAAAATTTTCTCCCCTTTTTCAATAAAATTCGCCACAATTTTCGACGCTTTTTCTTTGTATTTTGATATGTCAACTTTTTTAATAAAAATTTCTACAAAAACTTCAGTTAGCGTATAAAGGCTTTCAACGTTTATTCAGATTTTAGCTTCTTCTGCTTTTATTTTTAATGATTTTTCTGGATATGTGTCTATTTCTATTGAAACTGCTCCACCTTGTAGCACATAAGGGTAACAGACACTCTTAGCGATATTGTCGTGCAATAAATAATTATCAAATTTTACAAAAATAAACACAGATGTTGGCCTTATTCCAAGGTTTACCATAAAATCATCAATTTCTCCATATATAAGTGGCTGGTTATTATTTGAGATATGGGCTGAAATCCTCCTGATGCTGAACACTAAAATTATTTTTACCCAGCTTGGGCTTTCTTCTACTATTTTTTTATTTTTATTGTCATTTTTCAATTTTTTTTTCTGTTCTAAAATATATTTCAGCTCTTTTTCAGCTTCAATTTTTTTCGCTTTTTTCTTGGTATCAGGCTCATTTTTTGCTCCAAACCAGCCTTTTATTGTAGAAAACCCGAATGAGCTTTTATCATTTTCAAGCTCATTTATTTCTTTTCTTTTTTCCTCTTCTTGCTTTACCAACTCGCTTTCTTGTATAACCCTTTTCCTATACTTTTTAATATTTTCTAATTTAATTCCTTTTTCCATATCACATAATATTTTTCTTAATTGTTCTGCATCTTTTTTATCAGTTTTTGTTTGGGAAAAATTTTTTGACCTAAAAAGTGCATATGTTTCTTTATAGTTCCTTGATTCACTTTTTTTGAATTTTCTTTCTTCTATATGGCTGCGAATTCCATCAATAAAAGTGTCATAAAGAAGCATATAATCAATTAGTTTTATATGTATTTAAAGAAAATAAATGCAGTTCGTAAAAATAATTTTTTGATTTTTATTAACTCCCCCCCCCCCCCCTCCGTGAGCGAACAAAACCATTAGAAAAATCGCCATTTTTTGACCAAAAACCCACCCTCCGTGAGTGAACAAAAATTTTTTTAATAGAAAAAATTTTAATGGAAAAAAATTTTGATATATAAGTGATAATTAGTATAATGAAATCTAGAGCTAATTCTGTTTAATTTTAAAACAAATTGCGTTTTAAAACATAAATTTTGCAAATTAAATTAATATTTGCTTCCCAATTTTTGCAAATTAGGATTTTTTAAATTTCGAAAAAAATATTTTTTATAAAATTTATATATAAATTTTTTTTTAAAAAAAAAATTAACCCCCCTCCGTGAGCGAACAAAATTTTTTTGTTCGCTCACGGAGGGGGGGGAGGGAGTAAGGATTTTTATAGTTTTTAGTGTATTTATGCAAGTATAAGAAGTGAGTCATTTGATTTCCATATAGCCCAAGCTTTAAATCATCCTGATCTAGTGATAAAGAAAACAACGGACTTTCATGATTTTCTGAGTCCAAGCCAAAAATTAGTTCTATTTTAGTATTTATCGGATCTATCAGAAACTTGTGAGGAATACTATACGAAAGCTCGTCTCTTGCGAATTTTTCCAATGATTTTTCTTGTTCTGAACAATTTAAAATTCCTGACTCAAAATCAAAAAATACTGACAAGCCTTTAACAGAAACCAATTTAAATGACGCTTTACGGTCAGTCAAAAATGCAGGCTCCCAGTTTTGGTTACAAGAAATAGCTGTCAGTTCATTAAGAATAAACCCAAAGGCAAACGGTTCAAACGAACTGACAGAGTCTTCAAATCTTATATACAGATTTTTTATGCTAACTTGTATATTGATAATTATTGAGTACACTAGCTTGTCTATTCAGCCTTCATCAGTCTTAAGATATACTTTCCTCAAAAGACTGCAAATAATTTCCTCTAAAAATGTGCTAATAAATTATCATATAAAAAAAGAATAATTTTTATCAGGGTTCATTGCTTCAAAATTATCCAGTATCAGCTGTTTTGACCGCATAATATTTTGCAGTTCTAATGCTTCATTTCAGTCACTAGAGGGACGAGGCTTAATTAAAGCAAAAACGTCTTCTATTTCTACTTGCACAGGACTGGATTTAAGAGAAGTCCAGGGAATTTTTACAAATAGTTTTCCGAAAAATCCTGAGGTAATTTGAAATGGGAAACCAAGGTTTTTAAAAGCGTCTTGTTTGAGGGATAAGTTTTCAAGAAGGATCTGACCTGAGAATAAAGAAAGATTAAGCTGGTCTGAGTTTAGATTTTCAACTCAGTCCCCGAGAATTGTGTTAAGGACTCGTGCTAGTGCTGAGTTCATATTAGTTTTTAAATAACGCACAGTAAATAAAAAGGCTTAAATTTAATAATTTTTTTAGGATCTTGATAAGGTCATAAGTGGATAACCACTGACAATCGCCTTGTCTTGGACAAAAAATGCCAGTCTCCTCGAAATCAATTGCACCGGTCCACCTGTTCCATCAGGCGCCCCTTATTCTGCTAACACCGCAATTTTAACTCTGAGGATCTTCAAGGATTTTCTTGAACTTTATAAGAATTTCTTAAAAAATAATGCGAAAACCTATAATTTTGTTAGTAAAATATAAAAAATAAATTATATTTAAAAATATGTTTATATTATTATATGTAATATTTAGCATGATTTTACTTTAGGCATAAATAAATAATAAAGCTCAATTAATAAAAAATTTATTTTTATGCTAATTCTCTCGATCTTTATTTTTAACATTTAATAATTCCACATACCACCATGGAAGACTGGGCGCCTTTCTACCAATTAATTACAGAAAACCGTTCAAAAGATATCGAATCCTCTTTACTTAATTACCACGAATCCCTCCAATACATTTCTGATGCCAATGGCTTCACCTTAATCCATTCCTGCGTTATCCACGAAAAGGAAGCAATTCTCGACTGCTTAATAAAACACGTACCTTTCCACATAGGAAAAATCTCTCCCAGACGCTAACAATGCCTTAATTTTAAACTGAATAAATAAGCCTAACCGAGATGGCTACACTCCTTACCATCTTGCCATCACAAAAGGAAATTTAGTAACCTAAAACTAGACCATGGTTAAGTATTTAACCTTATCTGGCGCAGACATAGACATAAAAACCCCTCTAGGCCTTGGCCCAGTCCATTTGGCAGCCCAAGGCGATTTTGCAGACCTAGTTGCATATTTTGCGGAAATTGGCATATCACTGATGGACACAGACTCAAAACAGGCGACTCCTTTACATTTGGCAGCTTATATGGGAGCTTATTATTCTTCAGCTGTTTTGGTATCATTAAATGTCCCTTTTGATTCAAAGAATAGAGATGGGCATACTCCATTGCATTTAGCAGTTTTATCTGACAATGCTAGAATAGTGAGACTTTTGTTACTAAAAGGTGCGTCTAGGAGCATAAAAGATGCAAAAGGAAGGACTCCTTTGCATATTTCGAAGGAAAGTGGACTTATTGATATTGTTGATATGCTGAAACCTGAAGGGGTTTTAGCAAAATGTGGGTATAAGCCACTGTTAAGTCCTTATAAATATTCGGTGAGGCCGTTTATTATTTTGTGCACTTTGCTGCTGACAGTGTCGGTTTTGGCAATAGTTTTTTGTTCACAGTGTAAGGAATAGGTAGATCATACACTTGCGTGCTATAGCTTTGCGGCGAGTGCAATTTTTGTATTAATAATGCTTGTGATAGTGTCAAATATTAACCCTGGATATTTGTTTAAGCTTAAAGGGGATAAACTTTCAGTAACTTTTATATTTAATTACAGTAAATGCATAAATTAATAGATTTTTTACCATTAATAATCAGCAATTAGATATATTTTTAATGATTTAGTATACTTACTCCTCCCATCCTTGATCGAACGATTGAATGTAAAAATTCCTAAAAAATTGGGGAAATTAACCCCCATCTTTGATCGAACGATTTTCATATCATGCAAATTTTTTATATATATAAAAAATATAATAGTTATCAAAAGCTTGGGAAGATGTACATAATGAAGTTGTTTTCAGAGACTTTGAGACGACAGAAAGCTTCGAATCAACCATTCGAAGTGATTTAATCATCAACCTAGGCTTAAAAACTCAATAATCTAATAAAATAGAGATTCTTTAAAATTTAAAAAAACAAATTTAATTTAATAAGGAACAAATTAAAATTTATACCGTTTTAAAGGGGTAACTAATAAATTAAAATATAAAAAATTGGTAGTTTTATGAAATTAATTCAATTTTTTGCTGTAAAAATAATTATTAAATCTCTTAACCCTCTTATTTAAAAGTAAATAAAAAAAAATATATATATATATATATATTTAATATATAAAATTTTTTCCCAAAAAAATTTTTTTTAGCCCCATCCTTGATCGAACGATGGCGAGTCGTTCGATCAAGGATGGGGGGGACTTAGAGACTGTATCAAGATCACAATTATAATGAAATTTGTCCTGATTGTATAATATTAAGGCCGCCAAGATCTAGACATTGCCACTATTGTGAGAGATGTGTGTCAAAATTCGACCATCATTGCCAATGGGTAAATAATTGTATTGGCTCAAGGTAAATTTTATATAGAAATCTTGGCTGGTTTTATGGATTTATATGGTCGTTGTGAATTTCTGACTTTTTATTGCTGTATATATGCAGTCATGCTTTTGTGTTTGGAAGTAAACAGGGAGGTGAGATTGAAAAGTTGCCTTATTTTGAGTCAGATTTTATAGCGGGGCTACTTGGAGCTCTTGGACTTTTAGGAATTTTTCCTATTAGTTTATTTTGGTACAGGATATATGTACTTTTTTCAGTCTTTTTTTGGATTTTTCTCTTAAATTATCCTTTTTTATTAATAAAAATTTTAATATAATGAAATACACTATATAGCACTTTTTTTTGGCTGGAACTTGAGCCAAAAAACCCCCGTGCTACATGGTGTATTTCACAATATTATTTTTAAATCATAAAAAACTCAGTTATTTAGTTGTAATTCAAACAAAAAATTTTTGTATTAATAAAACTACAAGCGAGCAGTTTTCTAAAGGTGCCTCCAAAGATAAAACAAATGAAAATAAAAATTGCTGGCTATCTAATTTCTATTTAATGTGTTGCAATGAAGGAGAAGGAAGCTATAAGCATGGAGCGAAATCTTTTTCAAGCACAAATTCCAAAGCAAGTGACTATCAAATGATGTTTGAAGAATCGACATAAATTTATTAAATGCTAAAATTGTTTAATAACTAAAAAAACTTACTCCCCCCCCCTTTAAATTGGAACAAAACATCGGTAAAATTTCCACTTTTTTGGTAAATTAACCCCCCTTTAAATTGGAACAAAATTTAATTTTATAATAAAAAATTATATATAATTTTTATCTAAAAGTTTTGATGTAAGTTAAATGTTTTTTCTTAACTAAAATTAAAAATTTATTTATATCTTTTTAAAGAAAAAAGTATAAAGAACATCTTATTTAAATAAATTTATTATCCTTAATTGCGAAATTTTAAAAAAAAAATTCATTTTTTTTTTTAAAAATTTTCAAAAAAAATTTTTGTTTTTTTTGATAAAAATGATATTTTTTTTATTTGGATAGTTTTGATATAAATTCAATAGGAATTCTTTATAAAATTTCAAAAATTTACTTATTTCTTGCTTTATTTTAAAGAATAGAGTATAAATAATATCTTATTTAAACAAAATTAGCACTTTGATCGATAAATTTTCTAAAAATTTTTTTTATCAATAAAAATAATAATTTTTGTGTAAATAAATTTTGATACCAATTAATAGTGGCGTATTAACTAATAATGAAAATTTAGTTATATCTTGCTTTATTTTAAAGGATAAAGAATAAATAGCATTTTATTAAACAAATTTATAGATCTAATTCGATAAGTTTTTTGAAATTTTTTTTTTTTAAATTTTTATATATAATTTTTTTTTATAAAAAATTTTATATTGATATTTTTTTTTAAACAATAAAATTAACCCCCCTTTAAATTGGAACAAAATTTTTAGTTCCAATTTAAAGGGGGGGGAGTTAGCCATTTATGAATACTTATAGTTAGGATCTTCTATTACGGGTCTGTAATTTCAATATAAAAAATGCAATCAGCCTGACACAAGTGCTTAAAACAATAAGTCCAACAATTCCTTGCCATTGCTGATCAGACCATCCTAAGTCTTCTAATGGGTCACATTCTGTATCACAATCTTTTTCCCAATCGGTATATTCATTAACAGTATATCCTTGAAAAACCCACTTAAAAGGCTAAATAAATCTTACAGTGATATAAGTAATCCATCTCCAACTGATAGGAATTGAGTTTATCTTTACATTTTCTCCTCCAAATGCTTGCAAAGGAAATAAAACAATTGTACTAAAGGCATGAGCTGCTTCTACAGTCGAAAATAAAAACCCAGTGATATAGCCAAAGCCCATACCGCATTGTAGTGCCATGACATAAATGCAGTAAAATATCATAAATTTTGACCCATCATGGAGGTTTAACCCTAGGCTGAAATACACTATAACATTAGTAAGAATGGCAGCTACAAAGGTTCATGGCAAATCAATAATATTCTTAGATAAGAAATACGACCATGCTCCATAGAGCCCTTCATCATGTTCTTTTAAAAAGACTGCTCTTTCCATATAATCTAAATAAATTTTACAGTTCATTATGACTGACCCATTTCCATTCATTATTGGCCAGATAGCAAGCATATAAAGGACTCCATTGATATTTTGTATAGCTTTTTCTCCATTGCCTAAGTCATTGAAAATTAAAGCTATCAAAATTCCTATCAATAGAGACATCATAAGCCTTAGTTTTAGCGCAAATCTGTTCTTCGCTGAAGTCTTGACCGATCTTCTAACTCCCCCCCTCCGTGAGTGACAAAGAAATTAGAAAAATCCCTATTTTTTGCCCAAAAGCCCACCCTCCGTAAGCGAACAAAAAATTTTTTTATGGAAAACATTTTGATATATAAGTAATTAGTATCATAAAATCTCGAGCTAATGCTGTTTAAATTTAAAAAAATTGCCTTTTAAAACATAAATTTTACATATTACATTAATATTTGCTTTCCAATTTTCGAGAAGTGGGATTTTTTTAAATTTCAAAACAATTTTTTTCTTTAAAATTTTATATATAAATTTTTTAAAAAAAAAACCTCTTAGTGAGCGAACACAATTTTTTTTTTATTCGCTCACGGAGGGGGAGTAAGTAGCTCAAAGAACTCAACCCAATAATTTGGATGATAACTTTCTATCTCATGCAGCTGAGTAAGTTCATATTTTGTCTCTGTGTCTTTCACATGGTTTTCTTTATAGCTTTCAACAAACAAGTCAAGCTTGCCTTGCTCCTCTTCAGTAATCTCGTGTCTATTTGTTATATGGAGTATTCTCATATAGTAATCGGCTGGATTTACTTGTTTTGGACATTTGTATCCGAGCTCTGCGAAATATTTTCTTGATTTATCGCATGGACCATGATAAACTACGTTTCCTTCAGCAAGAAGCAGTAATTTATCAAATTTTTTAAAGACATTGGAACTTGGTTGGTGGATTGTGGAAATAATTGTTCTGCCTTTAGCGGCTTGCTTTAAAAGTAAATCGACTACAACTCCTGCATTATAACTGTCTAGACCCGAAGTCGGTTCGTCTAACATAATAATGCAAGGATCAGACATAAGCTCGATTCCTATGCAAACCCTCTTTTTTTCTCCACCAGAAATTCCTTTGATCATTGTATTGCCAATCAGATTATCAGCAATTCTTGCAATGTTGAGGTCGTTCAGAATTTCCTCGACCTTTGCAAGTCTTTCATTATCTGTACCAGGGCGTCTTAGCTTAGCGTAAAACTCTAACTCCCTCCCCCCTCCGTGAGTGAACAAAAAAATTGCGGAGGGGGGTTAATTTTTTATTTTTAAAAATAATTTATTATGAATTTTATAGAATTTTTTTTTCGATATTTAAAAAAAATCCTAATTCGCAAAAATTGGAAAGCAAATATTAATTTAATTTATAAAATTTATGTTTAAAAAAGGAAATTCGTTTAAAATTAAACAGAATTAGCATTAGATTTCATTATACTTAGTCTTAGTCTGAGTCTTAGTTAAATTTATAGAGTAGCTCCCGGCCAGGACCGAAGGTCCTTTTCTTTCACCTTTTGGACGCCTCGCTTGCTTTCCTTGCCCTGCTCCCAGTGTGCCCCTAACTCACCCCCCTCGAAGTTCGACCAAGATTTTTTTGGTCGAACTTCGAGGGGGTTTAGAAAAATTTGTTTAAAAACAATTATATAGAAATTTTTTTATATAGTTTAGTAGTTAAAAACAAAAATATTTATCATATTCTTCTGTATGGTTGAGAGGGTGTAAGGGTTAGAAAAAATAGTCCAAGATGGTTTTTGTAACGCTTTTTTAGAACTTGAATACAAAAATCGCAAGCTCATCCCCACATAGTTTAAAATTTTTGAAAAATTGCTTATTTTCCTAGTAAATTTATATAGGTCTTGGTCGAACTTTGAGGGGGGGTTAATTTTCCAAAAAAATAGGAATTTTCCCTATATCTTGGTCGAACTTCGAGGGGGGGGGAGTAAGTGCCACAGGCTACCACTCAGCTCCTTCCGGTCATGGGGCTTGGCCATGCTATCCCGGAAGTAGGCGGGACTGGGCCACCGTGCTTCACGTCGCCAGACTAGGGTTAGAGCTAAGGATTAACTCCTTAGCTCTTGTCGGCTCCTGCCATGCCCTCCTAATTGGCACTAGAGGAAAAACCATTTTTGCCCGTGTCCTATCGGGACGACCCTAGGATCGTCGTTGCTGGACTGGGAGGGAAACCTAGCCGGACACAAACTACCAGTACCCATTCCAGACCTTTCCCTGGGCGGATTGGCTTCAGGCCGCAGCAAGGTCCCCAATCTCGCCTCAGTTCCGGGAGAGGACGGGTCGGTGTCGTCGCCATTTTATTTGTGCTAGATTTCATTATACTAATTATCACTTATATGTCAAAATTTTTTCTATAAGAGTGGATTTTTGGGCAAAAAATAGCGATTTTTCTAATGGTTTTGTTCACTCACGGAGGGGGGGGAGTAAGCAATCTCTTGGAGTCAAAACTGGGAGTAAAACATCATCTTGGGTAACATAGGCTGCGTACTTACTTATATTGAATTCTTTGGCATCTTTACCATTCGCAAAAATAGACCCAGTCATTTCTGCTTTATTTCCGCTCCTTACTCTATTTGCCAAAATATTCAAAAGTGAAGTTTTGCCTGAGCCTGATGCACCCATAATAGCCAAAAACTCTCCAGGATTTGCATGTCCAGAAACACTTTTCAAGATATGCATTCTTTTACCCTCAGCAGACGCATAATAATTTACATCTTCCCACGAAAGCTGTACATAGCGATGAAGTTGATCATCAGCTTGCAAGTGAATTTTCTCATCTTTCCCATTAGTATGGCTCTCAGATGAGTAGTTTTCACTTGGGCTTTCTTCGCTTTCTTTTGGGGAAATTTTGTTAGCAATCATTATATTTCATTTTAAGGGTTGTTGAGCTTTTGAGCTATTACGTCATAAATGTATAAACAGAAATTTTTTTATTCCCCCATCAGTGAGCGTGCAAAAGCATTTTTCTCGCTCACGGAGAGTTAATTTTTTTGTTATAAATATATAAATTTGATAGAAATTTTTTTTTCGAATTTTAAAAAATCCCAATTAAATTATGTTTTAAATACAACTTGTTTAAAATTTATAGAGATTTATTATAATAATTATCGCTTATATAGATAGAAAAAATTTTTTTTCATAAAAAATTTTTTGTTCACTCACTGAGGGCACTTTTTTTCCCAAAATCGTTTACGAAGGGGAGTTAGTCTTATGCTTTTTTTTTTACAGGAACTTAAGAGATTTTAATTTAATTTTATTATTTGTCTCCATTTATAAATTATTGACAATAAGATAAAATAATATGCGAAAGCGCATACTCGCTATTGTTTATTTAAGAGAAAAACGCATGAATATTCAAATTAATTGTAAAGTTATTTTTAAAACTTTGAATTTAAAATTCATATTTAAGATCTTTTATTCCGAGTTTGTAATTTCAATATAAAATAAGCAATCAACCTGACACTAGTACTTAAGACAATAATTCCAATAATCCCTTGCCATTGTTGATCAGACCATCCTAAATCTCCTAATGGATCACATTCTGTGTCACAATCTTTTTCCCAATCTGTGTATTCATTAACAGTAAATGCTTGAAAAACCCACTTAAAAGGCTAAATAAATGTTACAGTAATATAAGTAATCCATCTCCAACTGATAGGAATTGAGTTTATTTTCACATTTTCTCCTCCAAATGCAGTTAATGGAAATAGAAGAACACTACTAAAGGCATGAGCTGCTTCTACTGTGGTAAATAAGAACCCAGTTATATAGCCAAAACCCATCCCACATTGTAATGCCATAATATAAATACAATAAAAAATAATAAATTTTGACCCATCATGGAGATTTAACCCTAACTCCCCCCCCCCCCTCCGTGAGCGAACAAAACCATTAGAAAAATCGCCATTTTTTTGACCAAAAACCCACCCTCCGTGAGTGAACAAAAATTTTTTTTAATAGAAAAAATTTTAATGGGAAAAAAATTTTGATATATAAGTGATAATTAGTATAATGAAATCTAGAGCTAATTCTGTTTAATTTTAAACAAATTGCGTTTTAAAAAAACATAAATTTTGCAAATTAAATTAATATTTGCTTCCCAATTTTTGCAAATTAGGATTTTTTTAAATTTCGAAAAAAATATTTTTTATAAAATTTATATATAAATTTTTTTTAAAAAAAAAAATTAACCCCCTCCGTGAGCGAACAAAATTTTTTTGTTCGCTCACGGAGGGGGGGGGGGAGTAAGCTGAAATAAGCAATTACTCCAGTAAGGATCCCAGAAACCATGGTCCAAGGTATATCTATCATATTTTTAGATAAAAAATATGACCAGTCCCCATATAAGCCTTCATCATGCTCTTTCAAAAAGACTGCTCTTTCCATATAATCTAAATAACTGTTACAATTCATAATAACTGACCCATTCCCACTCATTACTGGCCATATAGAAAGCATATAAAGGACTCCATTGATATTTTGTATAGCTTTTTCACCATTGCCTAAGTCATTGAAAATTAAAGCTATCAAAATTCCTATCAAAAGAGCCATTAGAAGACGGAGTTTTAAGGAAAGCCGATTTTTGGCTGATGTCTTGGCTGATCTTTTGAGCAACTCAAAAAATTCGACCCAGCAGTTTGGACGATAAGTCCCTATTTCTTGTAGCTGAGAAAGCTCATATTTTGACTCGGCATCTTTTACGTAATTTTCCTTATAACTTTCAACAAACAAATCTAGCTTGTTTTGCTCCTCATCTGTAATTTCATGTCTATTTGTTATGTGGAGTATTCTCATATAGTAATCAGCTGGATTTACTTGTTTTGGACATTTATATCCAAGCTCTGCGAAATATTTTCTTGATTTGTCGCAGGGGCCATGATAAACTACGTTTCCTTCAGAAAGGAGCATTAGCTTATCAAATTTTTTGAAAACATTGGAACTTGGCTGGTGGATTGTGGAAATAATTGTTCTGCCTTTAGCGGCTTGCTTTAATAGTAAATCGATAACAATTCCTGCATTATAACTGTCTAGACCCGAAGTCGGTTCGTCTAGCATAATAATGCAAGGATCAGACATAAGCTCGATTCCTATGCAGACTCTCTTCTTTTCTCCACCAGAAATCCCTTTGATTATTGCGTTACCTATCAAATTATCAGCAATTCCTGCAATATTGAGGTCGCTAAGAATTTTTTCTACCTTTGCATATCTTTCTTTATCTGTTCCAGGGCATCTTAGCTTAGCATAAAACATTAGGCAATCTCTTGGAGTCAATGCAGGCAGTAAAACATCGTCTTGGGTTACATAGGCTGCATACTTACTTATATTGAATTCTCTTGCATCTTTACCATTTGCGGAGATTATTCCTGTCATTTCAGCTTTATTTCCACTTCTTACTCTATTTGCCAAGATGTTCAATAATGTAGTTTTTCCTGAGCCAGATGCACCCATAATAGCTAAAAACTCTCCAGGATTTGCATATCCAGAGACGCTTTTTAAGATATGCAGAGTTTTGCCTTTCGTGGTCGCATAATAATTAACATCATCCCATGAAAGCTGTACATAGCGATGAAGTTGGTCATCAGTTTGCAAGCAAATTTTCTCATATTTTTCACTATTTTGGCTCTCAGAAATGTAAAATTCTCTTGGGCTTCCTTCGCTTTCTTTGGGAGAAATAGTAATCTCTATCATTATAAGCCATGCTTGGGAAGTGTTGAAATTAGTATGTCATCAAAATATAAAAAAATATTTAGTTGTATATATTTTTAATCGAAAATTTATTGATTTTTATTTTATCATTGATATGACTTATTTACTAGAAAATAATACTCCAGCATAATTGCAGCGTTTTGGAAAATGGTTTTTCATGCTGTCTGGATATTTATGAGATATTGAAATTTAACTTTAAAAAGCAAGGGTCACTGGGAAAGAAAAAGTTCCAACTCCCTTTTAAATTGGAGCAAAAATCCTGTTATATAAAAAATGTTTTATATGTTTTTAAAAACAAAAAATATAAATTCAACGCAATATTTATAATTTTAATTTATTATATGAAAAATTAATTGAATCAGTCGGTGTAAAAACTTTAAATAATCTACTTTTTTTTTTTAATAAATTAGGTCAAAAAACTAATTTTATTAATAATTTCACCGGAAAATTTTTTATTGTTGAAATTTAAAAGGGTTAAATTCCCAAAAAAATTATATATTTTATTCCAATTTACGAGGAGGTAGGCCGATTTATTACAGTAATTGCAGTATATTAATCAATCAGTAAATTTTCTCAACTCGCTCCCCTCCGTGAGCGAACAAAAAGTATCTCGTTCGCTCACAGAGGGGGGTTAATTTTATTTTTAAAAAAAAAATTATACATAAATTTTATAGAAAAAATTTTTAAATTGGAAAGCAAATATTAATTTAATTTGTAAAAATTTATGTTTTAGAGCGCAATTTGTTTAAAATTAAACAGAATTAGCTAGAGATTTCATTATAATAATTATCATTTATATATCAAAATTTTTTTTCCATAAAAAATTTTTCTATTAAAAAATTTTTGTTCGTTAACGGAGGGTGGGATTTCGGGCAAAAAATAGCGATTTTACTAATGTTTTTGTTCATTCACGGAGGGGGAAATAAGAGCAAATTACATAGGAAGCTCTAATAAGTCGGCATATTTTATAAATTGAAAATGAATTATATATGCAGCTTCTTTCATAATTTAATCAGAATGTTAATCTAGATATATAAATTACTCTTAATTGAGCTTAATTGCATTACTTAAATAAAGATGAGACTGAGTTAGCAATTTCTGTTAAAGCTGCTATTATGCAATTTGTTTCATTTCTGTTTTTCATTTGTTTTTCATTATTCAGCTCATATCTAGCCTTATTAATATCATACCCAATTTCATTCATAATGTTATAATCTGGGTTTACAGCTAAAAGTTTTCTTACTGCTTCGAATATCTCTTCCTTTGCTGATTGAACTCTTCTATCGCAATCTTTACTCTCCAATATGTACTTGGATTCTTCTTCTGATAATTTCTTGGATTTTTGGTCGAGATTTCGTATTTCTCTTTCATTTCCATTGATACGTTTGTGATTTCTTTTTCTACTTTTATGGGCTTTTTCATATCATGAAAATGGGAAGTATAGTCGCAATTACAAACCTTGCATCTTGCATCCCTCATACAATCGAATTATATTGCATTAATTAAAGATTAGGGCTCTTCTTCCTTTTATATCTCATCTTAGATAAGTCTTAGTAGAAGACTCGTTCTGCTGCTAGCGAACCTCTCTGGGTATGTTAGCATTTCCACCAGAGATAGCTATCCTCAGCTTTCGGCCTTGCTCTTAATGCTGTCTCGGAGGGCTTGGAGTAAGCAGGTTTGGGATTTGACGGCTGCTGCTTGAGTGATTAGAGTTTCAGGAAAAAAACACCCCAAAATTATACCTTCGTCGTCGGCACTAGTGGTCTCTAGGGGTAAAAAAGCCTTTTTACATAAAGTCTTCATTTCCGGATGAGCGAGGCAAACCCAACCAGAACAAAAATGCCCCCAGTACCCGTAGTCTCCGTTTTCTGCTTAGTTGGCTTCAGGCAGCAAGGCTCCCAAACTCGAAGCAGGTCCGTGAAGAACGGGTCGGTGACGTTGCTATTTTATTTGTGTCGTATACAAGCGCAACCAGTAAATATATTCGCGTTTGTATTTGTAGTATATTGTAGAGCACAATGTTCGTGACATAAGGTATTGCACCTGGAACAAAGCGTATTATGGTAGGATGTTTCAACAGTTTCTGTCTGCCAAACTTTTCTTTTAATTGTATAGTTCATGTTCACTTTAGCTTCAGCATCCAATGATTCTCTCTCAATGCTTATTTCTGAAATTTTGTCTTGTATGGCTATTCAGTTTTTCAAGTTATTCTTTGCATAATTATAACCTTTTAATGCATTATTAATTTCCTCTTTCATGATGCGGAAATCTCTTGTATCGACCTCACTATATTGTGAGAGATCTTTTATTAGCCCTTCAATTACATCCATTGACAATTCCCATTTCAAATCCAACAATTTTTTTTCGGTTTTGGTCATTTGAGAAATATCTTCTAGCTTTATAGTGTCTGTTGATACTGAAAATCTTAAATATAAGAGTTGCTACTCTTTTTTAATAAAAACTAGATTAGATTTAATTGCCTCTAACATATCTAGTGCAGAGTTGTATACGTTGAAAGCACTATTATCCATCTTATAAGACTCTTTAATTATCAGTGGGATGCATGCTTTGTTAAATGTAGCAGTTTCAGCTGAATTTGTTAGTACAAGTGCGATATTTCCTCTTACTGATAGAGGTAGAGAATTTTTTAATCTTTCTAATGCATTTTTAACACTCACGTCAAGTTTAGCGGAGCTCCCATTTTGAACTATTATAATGGCATTTATTACTTTTGTCGTGCTAAAGGTATAGAGAATTTTCAAAATATTTATATCCTCGTTTATAGTAAGTAGCATTTAGGCTTATAAAAAACAGTTTTTAGTCGCTATCAAATAATGGGTTGCGATTGCTAGTTTTAGTTGGTATATTGTCTTGATCTGGCCCACTTGTATCACTTAATCCTGTCTAAAAATAATTAATTAACTATTCTTATAGTCCTTGATGGGGTCCCTTATTTTTGCAAGTAACCAGTAGCCAGTATTTAGTTTCAAGAGCCAGAAAATCTGACTCTTGAGAATCACCCTTATGGGCGAATTTTAATAAGATGAAATATCTATCCTAGGTCTTCCTTCATGCTGCTGAGCCTTGCCCAATTCAGTCCGCCCTTGCCCTACGAACTTTGAAAAATTACACCAAGCATAGCAATTTATTCCGGCTAGAGTCTGCTTCCCAATCGATTGGTCTCTTCCACTTAAGGTTCTTTGGCCGTTAAAGAGCTCTTAAAAATGTCAAGCCTGACTCCTAAAGAGGTTCACTAAAGTTACTCATAGAGATCTCCACCCAATGTGGCACCTATTCCGTAAGTGAGATCTCTCGAAGCAGTCCTTATTGCCAAGAGCTGGTCAATCCTTTGTAACTTGCTGAAGATATATTCCATTTTATGTACCGACCCCAAGGTCGGTTTTATGCCTAGGCTCTCCTCTGGGCCTGCCCAAAGTACCTATCAAGCTTTGCTTGAATCAGCGGTTTTGGGTCGGTCTGCTCCTCAAGTTTCTCTACAGGTCTTTGTGCCAGCACCACTTCCTAGAACCTTAACCGCTCTGTCCGCCGGGAGGGCAATATCGCATCTTGCTTGACCATCTCCTCGAGAACTTCAAGGAACTCATATTTGTATAATGCGATATCCAATAGCCTAAAGCCCAGGAGTGGCGGGTGTATTTCATTTATATGCTCAGCGAGTTTCTGTCTCACGTCTCTGTACCGTGTGCACGCCTCGATTATATGGGCTTCGTCGTCAATTACCCCACAAATGGTTGTTTGTCAGTCTCCGCATATGAATGTTAGCAGTTCAGGAGTTAAAGCCAACTCTGTACCTGTGTATTGCCCTAAGGATGTGTCAGCTCTCTGTATTTATGCGAATATATAACGGTCTTTTCATCTCCATATTGCCTTGCTGCAGATAGGCGCATAGCTTGGCTGCCTTCTTTTCCTCCGATATGAACCCAAGTTGTTGGTATACTCTGTAGTCCTGATCTTGCTCTGGACCTCTGACCTCAATTGCTTGTCGTCGCTGCTCCTTTGATTGCAAAGGCAATCCTCAATAGAATAGCCCCTTAGCTGATCCAAATACCTAATTTGCCAGTCAAGACTTTCTTCAACGTTAAGGAGCATTAGGGCTTTGGTAAGTCAGTTGTTGCTTCTTTGGCATCTCAGTCTAAAATTAAGGGTCCTTACTGCGATTCTCCCACATATGGATATCCATCTCAGCTCTATCAAAGCTGCCTCATTAGCTGTGCCATTTGGGGCTTCTAGGAGCCACCTGGCTATTCTTCTCTGGATCCTTTCCATGCGATCCCATTTGGACTTCGACATGCTTGGCATGTTTTCTGAGCCACATTCCTTTGCATAAACACTAACGGTAGTGAGGCAGGCTTTCAGGATAGTTGCCTTCCTTTCAATAGAAACATCTCTTAAGGAGGCAAGCATGTCAAACTGAGCCATGCAGCTTGCCCTAGTCTTTGCAGTCGAGCTATTGAGTCCTCCAGTGCCATTCCTTCTTGTCTGGACGATGTAGCCGAGATATCTAAAGTTCTTACTTGTCTTAAGAGGCACTTCGTTAATAACCAGAGCCTGTCTCCTCGAAGAGTCAGGCATATGCATGGTTTCTGAATTGTTCGGGTTTATCGCCACTGAGAACTTCTCCGCTCATCCGTCACATATATCCAGCATTCTCTGTAGCTCCTGGCACGTCGGTGCTAATAAAGCAATGTCATGTGCGAATAATAGTTTCCTACCTTAGCCTGGTCAAGTGGCGTCTCCAACGTCACCCCAAACCCTGCGTCTTTAATGTCCTTGACAAGCTCGTTAGGAATAAAATTGAAGCATATCGGTGATGAACTACCTCCCTGTCTGACACCCCTTACTTATCGAGATAGGCCGTGTATGCTCGCCATTGATGATGAATGCACTTGTTTCTGCGGTGTGCATGACCTTAAGCATAGCGACTGTCTCCAGGCTAATGCCCCTTGACAGCATAATATTTAGCAGGTCTGATCTTCTCACTGAGTCGAAGGCTTTCCTTAGGTCCAAGAAGGCGCAATGTAGCTGCTTTCCATACTTCCTGTGTCAGTCTATTATGGTTTGGAGTTTGAAAAATCTACGGCCAGGTTGAAGGGTGTAAAACTTTCCAAATATTTCTTAGAATATCCCCATAATCCTGGAGTATCTATAAAAATATACTTGTAGTTGTCTTTCCTATTTAAAAATTCATAATATGAACAATTTTCAGTTTTACTCAAATAGCTTTCTGTATTTCTTTCAGAATGATTAAATCCATTTTCTGTTACCAATTTGTAATTCTCTGTAGGTATAACTATTTTCTTATTCTCTAGAGTGCCATCTCTGAAGTAATTCGCTAAGTAATTGATGAAAGTTGATTTACCATGGCCTGTATGGCCAATCAAAACACAAACAAATGTTTTTTGTGTTTCTTGACACATTTTCGATTCTACATTTATCTTATGTGGACATTTTAATTGAATAAATGTGAATTGTAATTAATTTTTATAGAATCGTAAATTATGATTTTATATAGTGAAATTTTTATTTTTAAATTTGTCTAGCAAAATATTAGGATTTTTACGCACATAAGCTTTATTTTTTATAGAAGATAAATAAAATTTCTTAAATACTGGAAAAATCTAGCTAGACTGAAGGGGTTTTAGCCAAATGTGGGCATAAGCCGCTGTTAAGTCCTTATAAATATTCGGTGAGGCTGTTTACTATTTTGTGCACTTCGCTGCTGACAGTGTCGATTTTGGCGATAGTTTTTTGTTCAGAGTGTAAGGAATAGTTAGATCATACACTTGCGTGCTATAGCTCTGCGGGGAGTGCTATTTTTATATTAATAATGCTTTGGATAGTGTCAAATATTAACCCTGGATATTTGTTTAAGCTTAAAGGGGATAAACTTTCAGTCACTTTTATATTTAATTACAGCAAATAAATAATTAATAGCATTTTTACCATTAATAATTAGTAATTAGATGTATTTTCAATAATAGGTATACCTAGAACCTGTATCAAGATCACAATTATAATGAAATTTGTCCTGATTATATAATATTAAGGCCGCCAAGATCTAGACATTACCACTATTGTGAGAGATGTGTGTCAAAATTCGACCATCATTGCCAATGGGTAAATATAGTTAGATAGGATGACTGGAACGGGGCTTTTTTGGCTTGCCGGCAAGCCAAAAAAGCCCCGTTCCAGTCATCCTATCTAGCTATAATTGTATTGGCTCAAGGTAAATTTTATATAGAAATCTTGGATGGTTTTATGGGTTTATATGGTCGTTGTGAATTTCTGACTTTTTATTGCTATATATATGCAGTCATGCTTTTGTTTTTGGAAGTAAACAGGGAGATGAGATTGAAAAGTTACCTTATTTTGAGTCAAATTTTATAGCGGGGCTATTTGGGGCTCTTGGACTTTTAGGAATTTTTCCTATTAGTTATTTTGGTGCAGGATATATAAGCACTTTTTCAGATTTTTCTCTAAAAATTATGCTTTCTTATTAATTAAAATTTTAGATTATTTTTAAATAAAAAAAGTCTCAGTTATTTAGTGTTAACTCAAACAAAAAATTTTTGCGTTAATAAAACTACAAGCGAGCAGTTTTCTAACAGATAAAACAAATAAAAATAAAAATTGCTGGTTATCAAATTTCTATTTAATGTGCTGCAATGAAGGAGAAGGAAGCTATAAGCATAGAGCAAAATCTTTTTCAAGTACAAATTCCAAAGCAAGTGTCTATCAAATGATGTTGGAAGAATCCACATAAATTTATTAAATGCTAAAATTGTTTAATAGCTTAAAAGCTTAGCTATTAATGAATACTTATAGTTAGGATCTTCTATTACGGGTCTGTAATTTCAATATAAAAAATGCAATCAGCCTGACACAAGTGCTTAAGACAATAATCCCAACAATTCCTTGCCATTGTTGATCAGACCATCCTAAGTCTCCTATTAGGTCACAATCTGTATCACAATCTTTTTCCCAATCGGTATATTCATTGACAGTATATCCTTGAAAAACCCATTTAAAAGGCTAAATAAATGTTACAGTAATATAAGTAATCCATCTCCAACTGATAGGAATTGAGTTTATCTTTACATTTTCTCCTCCAAATGCTTGCAAAGGAAATAGAACAATTGTACTAAAGGCATGAGCTGCTTCTACAGTCGAAAATAAAAACCCAGTGATATAGCCAAAGCCCATGCCGCATTGTAGTGCCATGACATAAATGCAGTTAGTAATCGGCTGGATTTATTTGTCTTGGACATTTATATCCGAACTCTGCGAAATATTTTCTTGATTTGTCGCATAATAAACTACGTTTTCTTCAGAAAGGAGCAGTAATTTATCAAATTTTTAAAAGACATTGGAGCTTGGTATGGATTGTGGAAATAATTGTTTTAACTTTAGCGGCTTGCTTTAATAGTAAATCGATAACAATTCCTGCATTATAACTGTCTAGACCCGAAGTCGGTTCGTCTAGCATAATAATGCAAGGATCAGACATGAGTTCGATTCCTATTGAAACTCTCTTCTTTTTCTCCACCAAAAACTCCTTTGATTATTGCGTTACCTATCAGATTATCAGAAATCCCTGCAATGTTGAGGTCATTAAGGATTTTTTCTACCTTTGCATGTCTTTCTTTATCTGTTCCAGGGCATCTTAGCTTATTCCTCCAAGTAATAAATAGAACAGCTTACTGAATCTGCATTTTTATTATTTTTGAAGATAAAAATTATTTATAATTGTGATGTTTTTTTAAAAAAAATGACAATATAAATTTCTATTAATAATAAAAATAATGTTTTCTTGCTAATAAGAGTTAGCATAAAACATTAGGCAATCTCTTGGAGTCAATGCAGGCAGTAAAACATCATCTTGGGTTACATAGGCTGCGTACTTACTTGTATTAAATTCTTTGGCATCTTTACCATTTGCGGTGATTTTTCCTGTCATTTCTGCTTTATTTCCACGTTTTACTCGATTTCCCAAGATGTTCAATAATGTAGTTTTGCCTGAGCCAGATGCACCCATAATAGCCAAAAACTCTCCAGGATTTGCATATCCAGAGATGCTTTTTAAGATATGCAGAGTTTTGCCTTTAGTGGACGCATAATAATTTACATCATCCCATGAAAGCTGTACATAGCGATGAAGTTGGTTATCAGTTTGCAAGCAAATTTTCTCATATTTTTCACTATTTTGGCTCTCGGAAATGTAAAATTCTCTTGGGCTTTCTTCACTTTCTTTAGGAGAAATAGTATTCTCTATCATTATAAGCCATGCTTGAGAAGTGTTGAAATTATTATGTCATCAAAATATAAAAAAAATATTTAGTTGTATATATTTTTAATCGGAAATCTAGTGATTTTTATTTTATCATTGATATGACTTATTTACTAGAAAAATAACACTCTCACATAATTACAGCGTTTTGGATATGGCTGTCTGACTATTTATAAGAGCTAGAATTTTAATTTTAAGATGACTGAGAAAGAAAAAGTTCTAACTCCTTTTGATTATGGAATTTTAATTTATCTTATGAAAAATTAATAGTATCAGTTTAAAATCTTTAAAATAATGCACAGCTTTTTTCAATTAATCAGGTCAGAACTAATTTTATGAATATTAATATTTCTATCAAAAATTTTCCTACAAAAATTTCGCTCCAATTAAATTGGGTCAAGTCCCAAAAAAATATATTTGTTCCAATTTAAAAGGGGGTAAGTTCGATTCATTGCAGCACTTGCAGTATATTAATGAGTCAGAAAATTTCCGAAGAGCAAATTAAATAGGAAACTCTAATAAACCGGCATATTTAGTTCGAAAATGAACTATATATGCAGACTCTTTCATAATTTAATCAGAATGTTAACCAAGACATATAAACTACTTTTAATTGAGCTTAATTGATTACTTAAATAATGATGAGATTGAGTGAGCAATTTCTGTTAAAGCCTTTATTATGCTATTTTTTTCAGTTCTGATTTTCATATCTTTCTCATTATCTAGCTCATGTTGGTTCTTTTTAATATCATATTCAATTTCATTCAAAATGTTATAATCTGGGTTGACAACTAAAAGTCTTTTTACTGATTCAGTTATCTTTTGCTGTGCTGATTTAACTTTATTATTGCAATCCTCACTCTCCAATATGCACTTGGATTCTTCTTTTGATTTTATCTCGTAATTTTTGGTCGAAACCTCATATTTCTCTTTCATACCAGCTAATACGCTTGTGATTTCTTTTTCCACTCTTACAGGCTTCTTTTTATCGTGAAAATGGACAGTATAGTCGCAACTACAAACATTGCATTTTACATCATCCATACAAGCGCAGCCAGTAAATATATTCGCGTTTGTGTTTATAGTATATTGCAGACCGCACCGCTCGTGGCATAAGGTATTGCACCTGGAGCAAAGTGTATTGTGATAGGATGTTTCTACAGTTTCTGTCTGCCAAACTTTACTTTTAATTGTATAGTTCTTGTTAATTTCAGCCGTAGCATCCAATAATTTTCTCTCAATGCTTATACCTGTAATTTTGTCTTGTAGCGCTATTCAGTTTTTCAAATTAATTTTTGCATCATTATAACCTTTCAATGCATTATTAATTTCATCTCTCATAGTGACGAAATCTTTTGTGCCGACTTCTTTATATTGTGAGAGATCTTTTATTAGCTCTTCAATTACTTCCATTGACAGTGCCCATTTTGATGTCAAAATTGCTTTTTTGGATAACCTCATTCCAGAGATATCTTCTAGCTTTACGTTGAAAGAACTATTATCCATCATATAAGACTTTTGAATATCCAGTGGGATGCATTCTTCTTTAAATGTAACAGCTTCAGCTGAGTTTGTAAGTATAAGTCCAATATTTTGTCTTGCTGATAGAGGTAGAGAATTTCTTAATCTTACTAATGCATTTTCAACACTCAAGTCAAGCCTTGCGGAACTCCCATTTTGAACTATTATGATGGCATTTATTTTAGTTGTCTTGCCCAAGAATTTGAGAATTTTCTGAATATTTATATTGTCTTGATCTGGCCCACTTGTATCACTTAATCCTGTCTAAAAATAATTAATTAACTTTCTTACAGTCCTTGATTGAGGTTTCTTATTTTTACAGGAAGCCAGCACTACTGCAATGATAGATCTTCTGCAGGTACAATCTTATAAAGCTAGTTATTTGCCTAATTCAAAAATAATTTTCCTAATGATTTTGTATCTCTTTGAAAGAAAGAGATAAAATGGTTTTTCGACCTCTAATGATTGATGCTCAAGGCTCCTTAGAAGATAAATTATTGCACAATCTACGGCCAGGTCAAAAGGTCTAAAACTTTCCAAATATTTCTTAGAAAAGCTCCATAATCCTGGAGTATCAATAAAAGTATAATTGCAGTTGTCTTTCGTATTACGAAATTCATAAGATGAGCAATCATCAGTCTGACTCAAATAGCTTTTTGCATTTCGTTCAGAATGAGTTTGTCCTTTTTGTGTTAATTTATAATACTCTGTAGGTATAACTACTTTCTTATTTTCTAAAGTGCCTCCTCCGAAGTAATTCGCTAAGTAATTGATGAAAGTTGATTTACCATGGCCCGTATGACCAACCAAAACACAAATAAATGATTTTGATTCTTTAGGCAGCTCTTTAGATTCTTCAAAAGTCTTTTTTGTTTCTTCGACGCATTTCTGATCATTTATAAAGCTTCCAGTTGGTGCATTAAACTCAGGATTGTCACTTTGCGTTTGATTTATCATCTCGTCTCTCTTTATTAATTGCTCAGAACTCTCCATATTTTTATAATAATGGTGGTTGTAAGTTAATTATTTGGACATTTTATTTAATAAATCGGGATTTCATTAATTTTGTAGAATCATAAAAGGGATTTTTAAGTACATAGGCTTTATTGTTCTGAGAAGATAAATAAAATTTCTTAAAGACTGAAAAATCAAGCTAGATTGAATTTAAATAAAATATTGATAGAAGCGTAATTAATTATTCTTATATATTTAAAAAATATTAATTTAAAATTTATGTCTCTATAAGAATTGGGTAATTTCAATTCCTATTTCATATAATAAAAGAGGAGTAAACATGCATATCTTTACTAAATTAAAAGAACAATTTATTTCTAATAAAGACGGTTAAGATCTTTTATTACGAGTCAGAAACTTCAATAAAATGAAAGTAAAAGCCGTACGCAGGTACTTAGCACGATAATTCCAACTGGTCCTTGCCATAACTCATCAGACCATCCCAAGTGTCCTAAAGAATCACAGTTATCACAGTCTCTTTCCCAATCGTTGTATATTCTTTTCTTATATATTTGCCTTAAAATATCCATTATTTTGATTAAAAAAATTAAGACCTTTTTTTAGTAAAATCGTATATTCATTAACTGTAAACGCTTGAAAGACCCATTTAAAAGGCTAAATAATATTTACAGCAAGATAGGTAATCCATCTCCACGCAAGCGGAATTGAGGTGACTTTTACATGCTGCCCTCCAAATGCAGTTATAGGGAAAAGAATGACAGTACTAAAAGCAAGAGCTGTTTCAACACTTGACATCATGTACCCAGTGATATAGTCAAAGGCCATACCACACTGCAGTGCCATAGCATAAATGCAGTAAAAAATCACATATTTAGATCCATCATGGAGGTTGAGATCTAAGCTGAAATAAGCTATAGAAAATTCCTGGGGATAGCGCGGAATACGCTATCCCCAGGACCAACCGGGATCGGATCCCACATGGAGCGAGGGTTCCATGTGTGGATCCATTTTTCACACGTGAAAGTAAATATCTCACATGTAAAAAATGGATCCACACATGGAACTCCCGTTCCATGTGTGAATCCGATCCCGGTTGGTCCTGGGGATAGCGTATTCCGCGCTATCCCCAGGAATTATCTATATAACACTTGTAAGAAATCCAGAATTAAGATTCATGGCATTTCTGTAATGTCTTTTGCTAACTCCCCTACTTTGAGCTAATAAAAAAAATTTTGTTCGCTAACGGAAATTAATTTTTTTAAAACATATTTATATAATTTATTTTTCAATCCAAATTGTAAAAAAATGAGGGGGTTAATTTAATTTTTAAAAATAAATTTTATAGAAAAAATTTTATATTGGAAAGCAAATATTAATTTAATTGTAAAATTAATGTTTTAGAGCGCAATTTGTTTAAAATTAAAACAGAATTAGCTAGAGATTTCATTATAATAGTTATCATTTATATATCAAAATTTTTTTCCATAAAAAATTTTTGTTCGCTCACGGAGGGGTAGGATATCGGGCAAAAAATAAGGATTTTTCTAATGGTTTTGTTCACTCACGGATATGGGCAGTAAGAGCAAATTATATAGGAAGCTCTAATAAGTCGGCATATTTTATAATTTGAAAATGAATTATATATGCAGATTCTTTCATAATTTAATCAGAATGTTAATCTAGATATATAAATTACTCTTAATTGAGCTTTATTGCATTACTTCAATAATGATGAGACTGAGCTAGCAATTTCTGTTAAAGCTGATATTATGTTATTATGCAATTTGCTTCATTTCTTTTTTTTTTTCATTATTAGCTCAATTCTCGCCTTATTAATATCATAGTCTCTAATCTCTTGTGGAGGCTTCACTATATTGCGAGAGATCTTCTATTAGCTCTTCAATTACTTCCATTGACAATTCCCATTTGTAATTCAATATAATTTTTTTGAATCTGCTCATTTTAGAGAAATCTTCTAGTTTTACATTAAAAGCCACATTGTCCATCATATAAGACTTTTTAATACTCAACGGGATACAATTTTCATTAATTGAAGCACTTTCAGCTAAGTTTGTTAGTATAAGAGCGATGTTTTCACTTATTGATAGAGGCAAAGAATTTTTCAATCTTTCATATGCATTTTTAAAACACAGGTCAAGTCTGTAGTTCCCATTTTGAACTATTATAATAGCATTTATTTTTTTTGTCATATTCAAGAAATTGAGAATTTTCTGAATATTTCTATTGTCTTGATGTGGCCCGCTTGCACCACTTAATCCTAGAGTATCTATAAAAATATACTTGCAGTTGTCTTTCCTATTTAAAAATTCATAAGATGAACAATTTTCAGTTTGACTCAAATAGAGTTCTGGATTTCTTTCAGAATGATTAAATCCATTTTCTGTTACTAATTTGTAATAATCTGTAGGTATGACTACTTTCCTATTCTCTAGAGTGCCATCTCTTAAGTAATTCGCTAAGTAATTGATTAAAGTTGATTTACCATGGCCTATAGGACCAATCAAAACACAAACAAATGATTTTGATACTGCTTGAATCTTTTTCGACTCTTCAGGGGGCTTTTTCGATTTTTCAGGTGGCTTTTTTGCTTCTTCGACGCATTTCTGATCATTTATAAAGCTTCCAGTTGGTGCATTAAACTCAGGATTGTCACTTTGCGTTTGATTTATCATCTCGTCTCTCTTTATTAATTGCTCAGAACTCTCCATATTTTTATAATAATGGTGGTTGTAAGTTAATTATTTGGACATTTTATTTAATAAATAGGGATTTCATTAATTTTTGTAGAATCATAAAAGGGATTTTTAAGTACATAGGCTTTATTGTTCTGAGAAGATAAATAAAATTTCTTAAAGACTGAAAAATCAAGCTAGATTGAATTTAAATAAAATATTGATAGAAGCGTAATTAAATATAAGCATAAAAAAAAAGAAGCAACTTGTATATAAATATTTAAAATAATTTCTTGATATAATTATTGTTTGGCATCAGGGATATGAGAACTTATGTCTTTTTGTATATATACATTAAAATGGCATCAAGAACCAATACTAATTGCCAATTCTGTTGTCAGCTATTTTTGCTAAGTTTAAATTATTAGAATCTCTTCTATTTTTCCTAATCTTTCTTTAGCTATTCTATAGCATTTCAAGCTACATAGAGCATTAGGCCTTCTCTTTGGAGTAAAACTGTTAGCAAAATATTATTTTGAGTCACACAAGCTGCCTATTTGTTTAAATTGAACTTTTTTGCTCATTTCCATTATCTGTGATTGTGCCAGTCCATTCTGCACTTATTACCCTATTTACTAAAATATTTAAAAGCGAGGTCATCACATAGTCGCTATACTCTATTAAATTGAATTAATTATTGACTACAATTTGATTTCTTAAATGATCTATAATATATAGCCCAGGAGCGATTTTTGATTGCCCTGGGCTATACTGCATGCACATGAAATAGAGAACAAGCATGCAATAAAAAGAAAAGAACCAGCGTTTCATATAATAAGAAGCCATTATGTCCTGCAGGTAACTCATAATAATAAGGGTAAAAAACAATTAAATTTAACGGTGCAAATTTATTTTAGATCATAAATAGAAAAATCTGGAGCTACACGAAAATTAATACAGCAATAAATTTAAAATAAAAAGCCTTTTTGTATGTAAAATAGAAAATATTAGCATTTCACAAATGCAAAACAACATTCTAAAATAATTTTCTCTTTGAGCGGCCTATAAATAATATTAAAAATACCGAAATACGCATTGAGGGCATATTCCTTTAGATATATATTTAAGGTCTACTAGCCATAATTTAATTTAGTTTAGTTTATATATTAAAACCAAATGTTAATTTTGCAAATTTTTTTAAATATATTTTAATAGCGATTTAAAGAGGTGAGCTTAAAACTGAAATAAGTATGTTTTACCCTTAAATGTGCAAGAAAGCGCAATAAATAGGGCAATCTAGCTTCAAGAGTGTTTAATAGCAAAATATTTATTTAATCTTCTTAAAAACGTAGATTTTTAGCACCATTTGCTCAAGGTTGAACTAAGTGAACAGTTCTTATTTTCATGAGCTAATAAATCTATTAAATAATATGAGATTTTATATATATGACACAAAATTGAAAGAATGCTCAAATCATAAAGAATGCGCTATTTTGATGTGCTTTGAGAAACATTTTCCTGCTAAAATAATATATTAGTGAGGATAAAAGGTCATTTTAATAAGTTTTCGCAGCACTTAATAGCATCTTTTCTCTAATAGAAAAAGAGATGAAATTCGTTTTTTATGTAGAGATAACTTAATGGTGATTTAGTGATATAATGATTTAACTTTTATTAAGAGAAGCTCTTATTATTTTAGATGATTTTGAAAATTACATATGTGACGTGGTCAACCTTAAATTTGAGTAAATATACACTATTTATTTTACAGACTTAACAGTATTATAGTTCATGAGCTTAAAGTTTTTTAGAGCTTATTTTAATGGTTTTTAGCTCTATGTTATTAGCTACGTTTAAGGCATATAGATTTATTATCTCTATAAATATTGAAACCTTTTTTATTGATTATAAACCATGTATTCTCTAATTCTAGAAATTCAGATAAATTTTTGATTTTGGCTAAATTAAATTGGCATCAGACCTACTTAGATAGAATATTTTTAAAGGTCAATTTCGAGATTTTATCAATCTTTTATTTCAGCTTGAGAGGGGAAAGATAAATTAGCAAGACTAACAGCAGACTTACTCATATATTTAAAAAAATATTAATTTAAAATTTATGTCTCTATAAGAATTGGGTGCTATTTTATAAAATAAAAGAGGAGTAAACATACATATCTTTACTAAATTAGAAGACCAATTTATTTCTAATATTGATGGTTAAGATCTTTTATTACGAGTTAGAAACTTCAATAAAATGAAAGCAAGAAGCCGTACGCAGGTGCTTAACACAATAATTCCAACTGGTCCTTGCCATAACTCATCAGACCATCCCAAGTGTCCTAAAGAATCACAGTTATCACAGTCTCTCCCCCAATCATTGTATATTCTTTTCTTATATATTTGCCTTAAAATATCCATTATTTTGATTAAAAATTTAAGACCTTTTTGAGTAAAATCGTATATTCATTAACTGTAAACGCTTGAAAGACCCATTTAAAAGGCTAAATAATATTTACAGCAAGATAGGTAATCCATCTCCACGCAATCGGAATTGAGGTGACTTTTACATGCTGTCCTCCAAATGCAGTTATAGGGAAAAGAATGACAGTGCTAAACGCAAGAGCTGTTTCAACACTTGACATCATGTACCCAGTGATATAGCCAAAGGCCATACCACACTGCAGCGCCATAACATAAATGCAGTAAAATATCACATATTTAGATCCATCATGGAGGTTGAGATCTAAACTGAAATAAGCTATAACACTGGTAAGAAATCCAGCAACGAAGGTTCATGGCAAATCAACAATGTTTTTCGATAACTCCCCTTCTGTTAGTGAACAGAAGTAAAAATTAATTTACTTTATAAAATTTATATTCTAAGATGCAAGCGTTTTTGAAATCAAATAGGATCAATCAGAGAATTTATCATAATAATTATCAGTGATATATATAGCAAATTTTTTTCATAAAAATTTTCGTTCGCTCAAGGAGGTGGCTTTTGGAAATTTTTACAAAGGTTTTGCTAGCTTCGAGATAGGAGTAAGAAATAAGTCAATGTTCCATAGAGCCCTTCATCATGCTCTTTTAAAAAGACCGCTCTCTCCACATAATCTAAATAATTCTTACAGTTCATAATAACTGCTTGATTTCCTTCCATTATTGCCCAAATAGTAATCATATATAAAGCCCCATTGGTGTTTTGCATGGCTTTTTGACCGTTGCCTATGTCATTAAAGATTAATGCTATCAGAGTTCCAAAAAGAATGGAGAATACTATATGGAGTTTTATTAAGGGTCTGTTTTTGGCTGCTAGCTTGCCTGATCTTTTGAGTAACTCCAAAAATTCAACCAAATAACTTGGACGATAGCCTTCTATTTCGTGCAGCTCGGTAAGCTCATATTTTGACTCAGTATCTTTTACATGATTTTCGTTATAGCTTCCAACAAACAAATCAAGTTTGTTTTGCTCCTCTTCTGTTTTTTCATGTCTGTTTGTTATATGGAGCATTCTCATATAGTAATCGGCTGGATTTACTTGTTTTGGGCATTTGTATCCGAGTTCTGCGAAATATTTTCTTGATATATCGCATGGGCCATGATAGACTACGTTTCCTTCAGCAAGAAGAAACAGTTTGTCGAATTTTTTAAAAACATTGGAACTTGGTTGGTGGATTGTGGAAATAATTGTTCTGCCTTTAGCAGCTTGCTTTAACAGTAAATCGACTACAACTCCTGCATTATAACTGTCTAGACCCGAAGTCGGTTCGTCTAACATAACAATGCAAGGATCAGACATAAGCTCGATTCCTATGCAAACCCTCTTTTTTTCTCCACCAGAAATTCCTTTAATCATTGTATTGCCAATCAGATTATCAGCAATTCTTGCAATGTTGAGGTCATTCAGAATTTCTTCGACCTTAGCATGTCTTTCTTTATCTGTTCCAGGGCATCTTAGCTTGGAATAAAATTTTAGGCAATCTCTTGGAGTCAACACTGCGAGTAAAACGTCATCTTGGGTAACATAGGCTGCGTACTTACTTATATTGAATTCTTTGGTATCTTTACCATTAGCGAAAATAGTCCCAGTCATTTCTGCTTTATTTCCGCTTCTAGCTCGATTTGCCAAAATATTCAAAAGTGAAGTTTTGCCTGAGCCTGATGCACCCATAATAGCTAAGAATTCTCCAGGATTTGCATGTCCAGAGACGCCTTTTAATATATGCATTCTTTTACCCTCAACAGATGCATAATAATTTACATCTTCCCATGAAAGCTGCACATAGCGATTAAGTTGATCATCAGCTTGTAAGTGAATTTTATCATCTTTCCCATTAGTATGGCGATTAGATGAGTAATAATCACTTAGGTTTTCTTCGCTTTCTTTTGGGGAAATTTGGTTCTCAAACATTATAAACCATATTGGAGGCTGTTACAAATATGGACTCATTACGTAATTATTCAACTTGGAGAAAATTTTTTTTTATCCATTTACAAATATGAAGCATAAAGCGTTTGAAATTTTTAAATTCTTAGTGATTCTATCCGAGTCTTAATAGCGATAGTATCCCTATATTGAAATTCAAATTTAATTGAAGTGTTTTATCTAAAAAAATTTTTAATAAAAAAAATTTGATAAATAATTCTTCTCAAATGATGATAGTTTGCCTTTTAAGGGCAATCTTCTAATTAATTATATATCAGCATCAATTGCTGAATTTTTAATTATAAAAAAGGTGAATTTAATTTTCTATTTTATTCAGTTCTATTACATTGAAAAATCAAGCATAGCATTTGATCAGGAACAGATAGGTATTATAAAGGTTTAAACGAAATTTTTCAACATTTAAAAATTTTATTTTCTTCCGTAGCCTGAAGAAATCAAAATAATAATCTTATACAATAAAATATTAAGAAAGCATTTATTATCTATACTAATATCAACAGCGATATGCTGCTAAAGGATTTGCCATGCTCGATATGGATTTAGTATAATTCTTCCCTGCATGATAAGTTTCGCAAGCTAAATTTGATCATAATTATATAAAAAATGAAAGAATTTTATCATGAGTCCATATATATATAAATTATTAAAATTAAGTTAATTTGATAGTAAGCTCTGACAATCATTTGCATTTTTCAATTCATAAAAATAATCATTTCCTAATTAATATTTAAAATCTGTTCTATAATAAAAAATAAAAAATTTTATTTATCTAGTCTGGCTCAGTTTAATTTATATAAAATACGTTAAGTTAAGTACTTTTACTTCGGGTCTGTAATTTCAAAATAAAATACGAAATAAGCCTGGCACAAGCGCTGATCATCAGTATATCAATGATGCCTTACCATAGCTCATCAGACCATCCCAAGTCTCCGATAGGATCGCATTCTGTCTCACAATCTTTTTCCCAATCCGTATATTCATTAGCAGAAAACGCTTGAAAAGTCCATTTAAAAGGCTAAATAATTTTTACAGTAATATACGTAACCCATCTCCAAGCCAGCGGAATTGAATTGATATTTACATTTTCTCCTCCAAATGCAGTGAGAGGGAAGAGAACTACTGTAATAGGTTCGAACTAGAGCTTCTTATATGACATAAAATTGATATAAAGAATGCGCTATTTTGATGTTCTTTGAGACATATTTTCCTGTTGAAATAATATATGCTTTTGTGAGAATAGAAGGCCATTTTAGGAAGTTTTATCAGCACCAAATAATGCCTTTTCTCTAAAAGAAAAGATCAAATTCGTTTTTTGTTAAGGCAGCTTATTGGTGATTTAGTGGCATAATGATTTAATTTTATTAAAAGAAGCTTTTATTATTTTAAATGGTTTGAAATTACTTACCTAAATTTGAGATTTTATAAGAGGGGTTAAAATAATGATGCATAAATTAGCAGAAATAACTGTAGACTTACTCTTGTTATAATATAAATAAAATAATTAAAAACTTAAAATCTCTTTAAGCATTGGCTAATTTCAATTGAATTCATATATAATAATCAGGAGTAAATATGCATATCTCTATTAAATTAGAAGACTAATTTATTTTAATATTGATGGTTAAGATCTTTTATTGCGAGTCTGCAACTTCAATAAAAAGAAAGCAAGAAGCCGTACGCAGGTGCTTAAAACAATAATTCCAGCTGGCCCTTGCCATAACTCATCAGACCATCCCAAGCGTCCTAAAGGATCACACTTTGTATCACAGTCTCTTTCCCAATCATTGTACTCATTAACTGTAAACGCTTGAAAGACCCATTTAAAAGGCTAAATAATATTTACAGTGATATAGGTAATCCATCTCCAAGCAATCGGAATTGAGGTGACTTTTACATGCTGTCCTCCAAATGCAGTTATAGGGAAAAGAATGACAGTGCTAAACGCAAGAGCTGTTTCAACACTTGACATCATGTACCCAGTGATATAGCCAAAGGCCATACCACACTGCAGCGCCATAACATAAATACAGTAAAAAATCACAAATTTTGACTCATCATGGAGGTTGAGATCTAAGCTGAAATAAGCTATAACACTGGTAAGAAATCCAGCAACGAAGGTTCATGGCAAATCAACAATGTTTTTAGATAAGAAATAAGACCATGTTCCATAGAGCCCTTCATCATGCTCTTTTAAAAAAACCGCTCTCTCAACATAATCTAAATAAATTTTACAGTTCATAATAACTGCATGGTTTCCGCTCATTATTGCCCAAATAGAAATCATATATAAAACTCCATTGGTGTTTTGCATGGCTTTTTGTCCATTGCCTATGTCATTAAAGATTAATGCTATCAGAGTTCCAAAAAGGATGGCGAATACCAATTGGAGCTTTATTAAAGGTCTGTTTTTGGCTGCTAACTTGCCTGATCTTTTAAGTAATTGCAAAAACTCAACCAAATAATTTGGACGGTAGCCTTCTATTTCGTGAAGCTCGGTAAGCTCACACTTTGTCTCAATATCTTTTACATGTTTTTCTTTATAGTTTTCAACTAACAGTCAAGTTTGCCTTGCTCCTCTTCAGTAATCTCGTGTCTATTTGTTATATGGAGCATTCTCATATAGTAATCGGCTGGATTTACTTGTTTTGGGCATTTGTATCCGAGCTCTGCAAAATATTTTCTTGATTTATCACATGGACCATGATAAACTACGTTTCCTTCAGCAAGAAGAAACAGTTTATCGAATTTTTTAAAGACATTGGAACTTGGCTGGTGGATTGTGGATATAATTGTTCTGCCTTTAGCAGCTTGCTTTAACAGTAAATCGACTACAACTCCTGCATTATAACTGTCTAGACCCGAAGTCGGTTCGTCTAACATAATAATGCAAGGATCAGACATAAGCTCGATTCCTATGCAAACCCTCTTTTTTTCTCCACCAGAAATTCCTTTAATCATTGCATTGCCTATCAGATTTTCAGCAATTCTTGCAATATTAAGGTCATTCAGAATTTCTTCGACCTTAGCATGTCTTTCTTTATCTGTTCCAGGGCATCTTAGCTTGGCATAAAACATTAAGCAATCTCTTGGAGTCAAAACTGGGAGTAAAACATCGTCTTGGGTTACATAGGCCGCATACTTACTTATATTGAATTCTTTGGCATCTTTACCATTAGCGAAAATAGTCCCAGTCATTTCTGCTTTATTTCCGCTTCTAGCTCGATTTGCCAAAATATTCAAAAGTGAAGTTTTGCCTGAGCCTGATGCACCCATAATAGCCAGAAACTCTCCAGGATTTGCATGTCCAGAGACGCCTTTCAATATATGCATTCTTTTACCATCAACAGATGCATAATAGTTTACATCTTCCCACGAAAGCTGCACATGGCGATGAAGTTGGCCATCAGCTTGTAAGTGAATATTCTCATCTTTACCATTAGTATGGATATCAGAAGAGTAGTGTTCACTTCGGCTTTCTTCGCTTTCTTTTGGGGAAATTTGGTTATCAAACATTATTTACCATATTTAAAGCTGTTACAAATATGGACTCAATTGGAGAAAATTTTTTACCCATTTTTAAATATGAAGCATAAGGAATTTAAGATTTTTCAATTCTTCGTGATATTGTCTGTGCCCTTAATAGCGATAATATCATTTTTTGGAAATTTAACTTCAATTGAAATGTTTTATCTAAAAAAAATTTATAAAAAAATAAAGTAATAAATAATTATTCTCAGATGATAATAATATGTTTTTTAAGGGCAATCTTTTCCATTAATTATATATCAGCATCAGTTGGTGAATTTTCAATTGCAAAAAAGATGAATTTAATTTCCTATTTAATTGAACTTTATTCCCTTTTTTAAAATCAAGGATAGTATTTGAGCAGGACAGATATGTATTATATAGGTTTAAAAGTAATGAATTGATAGATAAAAATTTTAATTCTTTATGAAACCTTAAGAAATTCTAAATAATATTGGTAGATCATAAAATATTGAGAAAGTGTTCGCTACCTATACTAATATCAGCAGCGAAATATTTCTAACTCCCAAACCCTCCGTGAGGGGTAACTGTTATTTAAAAAATTTATATATAAAATTTAAAAGAATTTTTTTTCAAAAAATTAGCCAAACTGGAAAGGAAAGCAAATATTTATTTAATTGTAAAGTTATGTTTTAAAATTCAATTTGTTTTAAATTAAACAGAACTAGCTAGAGATTTCATTATACTAATTATCACGTATATATAGTGTTTTGTTCTCTCATGGAGAGGGGGAGTAAGGATATGGCATGCTAAATATGTGTTTAATATAATTCTTCCCAGTATGATAATTTGAGCAAGCCAAAATTTATTTATAATTATATAAAAAATGAAAGGATTTTATCATAAGTCCATATATATTTATTAAAATTAGATAATTATGCATAATAAGCCTCCACAATCATTTGCATTTTTCAATGCATAAAAATTATCATTTCCTAATTAATATTTAAAATCTGTTCTATAATAAAAAATAAAAAATTTTATTTATCTAGTCTGGCTCAGTTTAATTTATATAAAATACGTTAAGTTAAGTACTTTTACTTCGGGTCTGTAATTTCAAAATAAAATACGAAATAAGCCTAACACAAGCGCTGATCACCAGTATACCAATGATGCCTTGCCATAGCTCATCAGACCATCCCAAGTCTCCGATAGGATCGCATTCTGTTTCACAATCTTTTTCCCAATCCGTATACTCGTTAACAGTAAATGCTTGAAAAGTCCATTTAAAAGGCTAAATAATTTTTACAGTAATATACGTAACCCATCTCCAAGCCAGCGGAATTGAATCGATTTTTACATTTTCTCACAATATTTAAAATGGCAGTTAGGGATGAGTCCTTAGTCCTATTCCACTAGGCCGACTTATAAACGAACTCAGCGAGAAAAGTCAAACTTCTTAGAATATTGGCTTGAAGAGAAGTGGCTTGTGCTGAGGCTGGCACAGACTAGAGGATTCTGAAAGGGTTTGGTATTTTTAACAGTTGGCCGGTTCACCTACCGTTGTTCAGAGCTGTTATCGTAGCTGAAACTCAATTAAAGAAGACTTCGCAGACACTGAAAGTGCAAGAGAAATTATTAAACTTAAACATACATTTTCTCCTCCAAATTCAGTGAGAGGGAAGAGAACTACTGTACTAAATGCATGAGCTGCTTCAACAGTAGAAAACATGAAGCCAGTTGCATAGCCAAAGCCCATACCCATTTGAAGTGATAAAACATATATAAAATCTGCATAAAAATTACAGAAAATCACGAATTTTGATCCGTCATAAAGGTTGAGATCCAAGCTGAAATATGATACAACTCCAGTGAGTATCCCAGCAATAAAAGTTCAAGGTATGTCAACAATATTCTTACTCCTTTCTGGACAAAAAAAATTTGTTCACAGAGGGGGTTAATTTTTTTTTTAGAAATTTAATAAATTCTAAATTTATGCTTTAAAATGCAAGCTGTTTAAAATTTAAACAGAATAACTCAAGATTTAATTATCATAATTATCATTTATTTATCAATTTTTTTTTCAAAAAATAAGGATTTTTCTAATGGTTTTTTCGCTCACCGAGGGGAGTTAGCTAAGAAATACGACCATGCCCCATATAGCCCTTCATCACTTTCTTTCAAAATAACAGCCCTCTCCATATGATCTAAATAACCATTACAGTTCAATACAACCGAGCTATTCCCACTCATCACTGACCATATAGAAAGCATATAAAGAACCCCATTGATATTTTGTATAGCTTCTTGCCCATTTCCTAAGTCATTGAAAATAATAGCTAATAGGACTCCTATCACTAAAGCCATTAAAAACCTAAGCCTTAGCGCATATCTGTTTTTCGCTGCTGTTTTGGCTGATCTTTTGAGTAATTCCAAAAACTCTACCCAGTAACTTGGGTGGTAACTCTCTATTTCTTGTAGCTGAGAAAGCTCATATTTTGTCTCTGTTTCTTTGACGTAATTTTCTCTATAATTTTGTGTAAATAAGTCTAGCTTATTTTGCTCCTCTTCTGTAATTTCGTGCCTGTTTGTTATATGGAGCATTCTCATATAGTAATCGGCTGGATTTACTTGTCTTGGACATTTATATCCGAGCTCTGCAAAATATTTTCTTGATTTGTCGCATGGGCCATGGTAGACTACGTTTCCTTCAGAAAGAAGCATTAATTTATCGAATTTTTTGAAAACATTGGAACTTGGTTGGTGAATTGTGGAAATAATTGTTCTGCCTTTAGCTGCTTGTTTTAATAGTAGATCGACTACTATTCCTGCGTTATAACTGTCTAGGCCTGAAGTTGGCTCATCTAGCGTAATAATGCAAGGATCTGACATTAATTCAATTCCTATACTAACCCTTTTTTTTCTCCACCAGAGATTCCTTTGATTATTGTATTACCAATAATATTCATTAAAACGGTGTCTTGAGTCAATATATCCTCATAATACCTTTGTTGTACACCTGCAATAGAACTATGAGATCTTGATAAGGAAAACAGAGCTCGAAAAATCCGGGCTAATTTAGCGGCACAGAGAGGCTATCCTTTCTCTCACCCAGATCGTCTTTTATTAGGTGAGTTAAACTTGGGAGGCTCAGCAATACCTAGGACATCTCACTAGACCAATTAGACAGCTTCCTATTGTGATACCAGCATTTTGTCTTAGGCTTTGAGTTTCTGATTTGGCCTCAAAATGAGAAGGAATTTAAATTTCTAAGTCACCCTGAATAGACGTTTTTTATGTTGACCTTTCTAATTCCAGATAATAAGAGAAGATCTTTGTTAGAAGTAGCGACAAGTGCAGGACTGTGTGCAGAACTGGTTGAAAAGCGATCAGCGTTAATAGAAGCGTGGCCTACACTATAATTAATTAATGCTAATGCATTTCCAATTAAATTGTCTGCTATTTTTGCTATGTTTAGATCGCTAAGAATCTCTTCTACTTTTGCTAATCTTTCTTTAGCATTTCCAGGACATCTCAAAGCTGCATAGAACATTAAGCAGTCCCTTGGGGTTAGAACTGGTAATAAAATATCATCTTGAGTCACATAAGCTGCATATTTACTTATGCTGATCTCTTTTGTGTCTTTTCCATTAGCTGTAATCGTCCCAGTTCTTTCTGTCTGGCCTGCACTTGTTACCCTATTTGCCAAAATATTCAAAAGCGAGGTCTTCCCTGACCCAGATGAGCCCATAATCGCTATCCCCTCTAAAATTGGATTAATTTTTATTTTTTATTATATATTTTAAATATAAAATCCAATTAAATAGTATAAAAACTCCCCAGGATTTGCATGCCCAGACACGCTTTTCAAAATCTGTATAGTTTTCCCTTTAGTAGACGCATAATAATTTATATTTTCCCATGATAGTTTCACATATCTGCCAATGTGATCTTCAGCTTTTAAAGGAGTTTTTAGGCTCTGCTCACTATTTTGACTATCAGAATTCACATATTCTCTTGGAGTCTCTTCACTATCTCTTGAATAAATTTTATTATCAATCATTATAATGCCATTTTGAATAGTGGCTGGTCCTTTTATACATGTGAGTACGTCATAAGAAATTTGTTTACGTCATAGAATATTTTTGTCATATCTTTGGGGAAATAATAATTGATATAACTCTTATATAAGTGCTAGGCACTGGGGATCTTTAATTTATTGTGTTCTATGGGGTTGCTTATTACTAGCATTAAATTCTTATGGGTAAATAAGGTGTTTATAATGTTAAATTCCTATATAAGACTATGGGCTATACTAAGCGTGCCTTATATGGATTTTATGCTAGAAAAGACCTTTATAGTTATGTATATTATAGTAGACATATAAAAAATAAATGGCTATTTTATAATTAAATGATTACATTTATCTTGATAGATATATTCATATATAGTGTTTTTGAAATTTTTAGTGCACATCAATTAGATTTTGACACTTATAAAACAATCAATAATAAAAGCATAATAAATTTTAAATCTTATTCAGTCGCTTAATAAAGCCTTTTTAAGTATCTATAGCCTCTTATGAAAGTTTTTAAAAAAAGATGATACGATTAAGCATCATCTTAAAAATGGATTTTCTTTTGTCTTAAAATTCGAGACTGTTCTATTAAAATTTCAGTTTTTTAAATCATCCCAAATGGCCCTCAGACCATTTCAAGCTTCTTATTACTCAAATTCCGGTTTCTTAAACCAGCCCAGAAACAACGCAAACCTCCCTCCTGCAGGCCTTATTATCTCAATCCCAGACGAAGGTGCCGAATCCTGCATAAAGCCCTCCCCTCCCCGTACCTCAACTCCCCCAAATATAAAAAAATTCCGAATAAGCTTCAATGAAGAGCCTGGTGCTAAACAAATTCACTATGGAATTGCTGATGATCCTCTCCCTCCAACAAATTTCACATATGGCAAAAAAACCCACAGCTCTGACCACGTCCATGACGTAATTAAGCCAAATACTCTCCAAGGCCTCACAGAATTTGCTAATAAATTAAAAGAAGACAAATATGCTTCAAGCAAAAGAGAACCGTTAGGAAAATCTATGCTGAGAAATTATCAAATGCCAAGCGCTGTAAATGACCCTAATTTTAAATTTGGGGTAAAAACAGTTAACAGTGAAAGTGCTTATTCAGTGATTTTTCCAAATAATGAGAAAAATACTGAAAATGATGAGGTGAGGAGGCTATATTATAAGTCTCATGGGGTAACTGAAGCGGGGGAGCAGATAAAAAGGGATTATAGATGGCCAGTTGATAAATATGAGCATAGATTTGGCCTTCCTGACCCTAAGCAGCTTAATGGGGCTGCAATTTCATTGCAGCCTGAATGCTATGGGAGTTCTCACCCGAAAACTGTCATTGTACAGAAAGCCGTAGAAGATTTTAGGGCAACCACACATGAAGGACTTGGAAGACCTCGAAACTTAGGCCAAGGAAAGCCGAATCTGCCTGAAGACCATGCTTTTGGGGCTTCAATTCATAGAAGAAATGAATGGACTGCTAAACAATGTATACATGGGCAGCCTAATGAAAGAGAAGTACAGCCTGATCCAGATTTAGGGAAAACTAATAGGTTTGGGTTTCGAAATATTGTAAAGGAAGGAGATGAAGACAGACAATTTGGCGTCCCTACAATCAGGAATGATATACCTAAAAAAGCATTTAAATCAGTAGCAGACCCAAATAATAAATTTTTTTTTAAATTAAATTTTATTTAAAAATAATTTTTGGTAATTTTTTGGATCCACAAATAATTATGGAGACGAAGCTTCAGCTGTGCAGCTGCTTTACCCTGATTTTTGGCTTCGATATGGGATCTCTCCAGATGAATTCAAAAGAGAAAGGCCTAAAGAAGAAATCAAAGACTTATTCGAATCTGCTGGTCTAGAAATAAAACGTGGGAAATTTGAAGCAGTCTCTTCAAAAGCAATCCAATTTTATAAATCTCTGTCTTTAGAATCCTTTATACACGCTTTAAGGTGGTATGAGTCTCAAGGACTATTTTAACTATTATAAGTTTCTATTATCCCTTCATCTATAAATATCTCAATAATAAAGATAAGTCTATTTTTTAAAAAATTACTATGAAATCATATATAAAAATGTCATATGATACTGCTATCACTATATTTTCGCCCGATGGACATCTATTTCAAGTAGAATACGCAATGGAAGCAGTCCGCAAAGGCCGCTGTGCAGTTGGTGTTCAAGGGGTAGACTGCATAGTCCTCGCAGTTGAAAGAAAAGCTGCAGCAAAACTTCAAGACACCAGGACAGTCAAAAAAATCCACATTCTTGATGAAGGAATTGCATTAGCGTTCGCAGGACTTACAGCAGACGCCAGAGTCCTATGTGACAAAGCCAGGGTAGAATGCCAAAGTTTCAGACTTACAATGGAAGACCCACCCTCAGCGGAATATATTGCAAGACATATAGCAAGGACACAACAAGAATACACCCAAAAAGGAGGAGTCAGGCCTTATGGAGTTTCCACTTTAGTCGTAGGATTTGGAAGGGCTGGAGAGCCTAAACTATTTATGACTGAGCCATCTGGAAGCTTTAGTGCTTGGAAAGCTCAAGCGATTGGGAAAAATTCGAAAAATGTGGTGGAATTTTTAGAGAAAAATTACCAGGAAAATTTGTCAATGGATTTAACGTTAAAATTAGCTATTAAAGGACTACTGGAGGTGGTAGAAAGCGGAAGCAGGAATATTGAGGTAGCAGTAATGCAAAGGGCAGGGCTACAGATGTTGGAGGACGAAGTGGTGCAGAAATTGATATCAGAAATTGAAGCTGAAGCTTAATAAGTTAGGATTATTCGAAAATTTTATTACAAGAATTTAGAATTCATGTAGTTGCTGATTATTTCATTTTGGAATTTTTTAGGGAGGATATCGCCTTTGTACTTCCAGACTCGCTTGCTGCGGAGTTTGCAGCCGACAAAATAAGAAGTATCTCATCGGTCCTTTTTTAGTTTTTCTAGTGATTTTGTATAGAAATTTAGCTCAATAAGGGCTTTTCAGCTTGAAAATCTGCTTTTATTTAATAATAAAATATAAAAAAAAATTATTTTATAAGTTTACATTTCTTTATGACGATATATCATATAAATTTTTCATAGCTTCTTTTCTCATAGCTTTTTCTCTATTTATATGCTCACTTATAGGCAGCTGTTCTAGCTCATTTTCTAATGAAGACTCTTCATATTTATTTATCGCCTTCACAAGTATTTTTACCTCTTCATTCGGTTTTAGTCCTTTTGATGACGATTTTGGGACTTTTGGAGTCTCAAAATGATTAAATTCTAAGCAAGAAGAAATAATTTCATTTATATGGACAAGCTGAGGAGATGAACAATTTGTGTTAGGATTCGAAGCATTTGCTGCTGTTATACCTTAATAAATTATTTTCTATAAAAATCATCAGATTATTTATATATTGGCGAAATTAATATAATTTTTTATATATATGTTTTGGGGATGACTTGCTTTCAGATATCATAAAATACCTTTGCTTTAGGTGTGAAGATGACCGATATTTATTCGGAGATTCTCGAGACCTAACTGGACTTATTGATCGTGAATCTGGTCAAGGCGACAACCCACCTGGCTGATGTGGGCTACATGTTAGTACAGAATCATTCATGTTCCTTATTTCATTTCTATTCGCAATCGTAGATTGCGACCTATCAGTCAGCCCTCTATAAACTTTTTTTAAATATCTCGGCGATTTTAAATATTTACTCTGCGTAACAAACTCTTTTCAAATTTTTTCTCTTTTCTGCGACTGCGATTTTACTGTTTTTGACCGAATTTTAAATTTCTCCTTCGGAGAAATTTCTTTTAACGAACAATGTAATTTTGCTATTAAATCTTCTCGTTCTTTGTCAAAGCTTTTTTGCATAAGATTCATTTCTTCGACAGCGCGATCGTAATTTCTAGGTGGGCAATGCAGCTTTCGTTGGCTGGCTCCTCTTAGTTCTAGTCTTTTTCTTAAACTGTTCATATAGGTGAGGTGAGCTATTAGCTTTCTATTAGAAATAATTTACTTTAAAAAATGAATTACTATTGACAAGTCGGCGAAATAAACTCTAATGGGGCTAAAAGCCTTACTGAACAATAATCTTTTCATGTGATTTTTCGTTTATCACTGGCAGATCCATAATATTAATTATCTTTTGATATTATATAAACTCCAATTATCATCAGCAAAGCTCCTAAACCCCATGTAAGAGACAGGTATTCTGAGTAGACCAGGTAGCCGAAAACAGCAGAACTCATATAATTGCAGGTAAAATTGATGACAGTCGCTTTTGAAGCGCCAAGGTCTTTTAAGCTCTGCATGAAAAATTTGATCATCAAAGAGTTTAATACCAGCATAATGATTATGCAAGCTATTTTTAAGGACAATTCTTCATAGTATAAAAACTCGCCCCAGTAAAATGACTGAAACCCAAATTTCCCAAACGCTCCAGCTGTGGCTGCAAACACTCCTGCTAAGATGCTTGAAGTAATTTTCATTTATAGCATAGATAAATTGTCATGAAAATATTTTTTCTATATAATAAAAAATCTGGTGTTGTAAATAATTTAATATTAGATATAGATATTCCAATGCGAAAATTAAAAGCTGTCACTATCGTTTTCTTCTTCTGCTTCATATGCTTCTTCTTCGTTTTCTTCTTCGCTTTCTTCTTCGCTTTCTTCTTCATTTTCTTCTTCCTCTTCACTGCTTGAGTACGCAACCATTGTTTTTCTGCCTTTAAACCACACTTCTTTCATTTTCTTTTCCTTTTTCACCCCTTCTATTTTCGGTATTTCAATTTCCTCAATTTTTCCATTAACTTTTGGCTTACTCCCCCTCCGTGAGCGAGCAAAAACCTTTTGTTCGCTCAGGGAGGGGGGTGAATTTTTTTTTAAAAAATTTTATAGTAAATTTTTTTTCAAATTAAAACAATTCTAATTTGTAAAATTTGGAAAGCGATTATTTAATTTAATTTGTAAAATTTATGCTTTAAAATGCAATCTGTTTAAAATTAACCAGAATTAGCAAGAGATTTCATTATACTAATTATCACTTATATATATCAATTTATTTTTTCATAAAATTTTTTGTATTAAAAAAATTTTTGTTGGGTTTTTAGTCAAAAAATAGAGATTTTACTGATGATTTTATTCGCTCACAGAGGGGGAAGTTAGGGACATCTTCATCAGGTATTACTTTTATATCATCAAAATTTGGTATTGGCACTCCTGGTGCGACTTCTTTTCATTCTTCTTCCTCTTCATTTCCTTTAGCTTGAAACAAAAAATTCCCATCCCCAAGCGACACTTGGAAATGCATGACCCCTTCATCTAAATTTTCTTCATTAAAATCCATATCAGGCAAAAACTCTTTAACTCTAGTCCTTATTTTAGTAAAAGTGTCTTTTAATGAGTGCTTTAGAATGCAAAATCCACTAGGTGTTATCTCTTCTCCTGTAATTGAAATTGATTTTTGGACTGTAAAATCGACATTTGAAGTGTCAAGATAATTCTTATTTTCACGATTTGTAGATAATAATTCTGTTGCTGTCATTTCTTCAATGGTAGATTTAATTAAATTTTGGGGAATTTTGATTTCTGCTTTTGCGGGAACTAATTTATTTTGACGTGAACAGTGAATGTGGGTTCATCTCTTGCGGAGTTCGTCTTGAGACTTTCCAAGCTCTCTAGCGATTTTTTGGAAGTCAAATTTATATTTTATAACTAAATCTGATAGCCTTTTGTCTAGCGCCTCCATGAATTAATTTATAATTATTTTTTAGGCTTTACCACAGTTTTTTTACGAGATTTTTTGTGGTTTTTAGATCTTTTAGGAGGGTCATAAAAAATTTCAGCTGATAAATCTACAGAAAACTCAACACCTTCGGTTGGCTGAGTTGCTGCGATTTCGTTTTCTGTTGTTTCTTCTTTGTCTTCTTCAAAATCATTTACAGGTTTAGCAAGATTATTAATTGGGTCTTTTTTAAGCCTGGTATCACCTTTCCCAAGAATTTTTTTTTCTGCTGAAATTATTCTTTCCCATTGAAGTCTAGATTTTTCAGCTTTTTCAACTAAACTTTTCATAGTGGCTTTATCAGTATAAAGCTTCAGTATAGGTTTGGGAGGAAGCTTATCTTGTAAATAAATTTTTTTGCCTGTAATTCATTCTTCCATATCCCTTTCAATTACACTCGATAAAAATTCTTTAGTTATTTTATGCTATTTTAGCTGAATTTAGATACTAATTTTACCTATTTATAAAGCTGTTATTTAATTTAATTCGTATATCGACTTTTTGGTGATAGCTTTTGGACTCCGAAGCATACATAATTAAATGATTTCTTAAAAATTCCTTTATAAAATGATTCCTTACTAAAGGAGGCACCCATGACCTTGTCCCTCCATGAACTTGTATATATTTCGTATGCAGTTCTTTTTCAATTCTTTGCCACAATTTTTTAAGTGCTTTTAATTTTGCTTTTCTTATTATATAGGCATCTTTTCATATTTTTTGTACTAATTTTATTTTTCCTCTCCAATAAAATATTAAGCTGAAAATTTTTTTACTAAACATCATCCTATCAATAATTTCACAGACCATTTTGGCTTCTCTATGGCCTTTGTTCTGGGTGCGATTTCTTATATAAGGAACAAGCAATCTCTTTATGGTTTCCATTGCTTTTTGTATTTTTTGGGTTTTCATGCGTCTAGAGATTCTTCCTATAGACTTAGAGACGGTTCGAAATAAAGAGTTTAGCCTTGTTTTATTTTTTTGTGTTTTTATTTTTTTTGAAAATCTGCACTGCAGAGATGTACAAATCCCTATTGATACTGCAATAACAAGCCAAGCCTTCCCTATTATATCATAGTCTTTTTTATACTTAAATTGCTCAAATCTTTTTTGTTTTTCTAAATATTTATTCTTAATTTCTTCATGTTTTTTCTCATCTAAAAATTTTTTGACTTTTCGTATCTGATATTCCCTTTCTTTTTTTTCTTTAAATTTATCTGATAAAAGATTTTTGAATTCTTCTGGGGTGAATTTTGAGAGGTTTTTGTTTTTTTTGATTAATTTGTTTATTTGGACTCTTCTAGACTCACTAAGATAGAGAGATTTTGGGTACAAGACGTCGGCTCTTTCTTCGTCAGTAGAAGTAAATCTTGGTGTAGGGGAAAATCTGAAAGATGGGCCAGATGTTGGAGTATTTGAAACATAACTGTTTAAAATAAATTAACAGTGAATTCGACCCTTAATAGCTAAAAAAATATTAATGTTAAGTATTATTATAAAAAAAAATTAAAAAAAAATTAATTGTGAGCAATATATAGCTTCCTGGTCCCAATTTTTTTTCATGGCATAATCCTTCGCTGAGGACTCTTAATTTTTGATTATTGTTCCCAACAGCTGGATTTTTAAGTTGAGCTTTCAGATTGTGCCATTCTGGGGTTTTTGTGCTTAGATAGTTAATAACGCTGTCAAGATCTTTAAAGGTTTTTGGCTTGAAGTCTTTGGAGTTATTTTTTCGTGTATGTTTTTCTTTCATATACATTAAAATGGTAAGGCGAACAAGCCCACCCTCTTAGCACCTGTAACCAAGGGACTTTGAAGTGTAATATGTATCCGGTCGGCTTTACTTGGTTCGGTCGAGCGCAATGTCTGGTTTGAGACTGCAATCTCACATCCAGGTCAAGGTTTATCTCGGAGGGATAGCAGTACCAATGAGGTTCCTCCTCCTGGCCAATTGGGAACATTCCCCAGCGCGATACCAGGCGTTGCGTCCAGGGCCACGAAATTTCCTTATTTTTCCACAGGTGACCAGAAAATTCGTTTTTTCGAATTTTCTGGAGCCAATCCCCGTCGACGTATGGCATGGTGCCTCTGACTCACGGGAAACAAGTGCAAACCCTCGTCCATGGGAAGCAGCACAATGAGAGGCCGTGCTCAGACTGGTAAATAAACAGCTTAGCTTTAGGGAGGTGAATGGGCTGACCAAAGAGCCTGCAGGATCTTTTCAATAATCCTAATTAAGTTTAAGTATGCTTTTCTTTCCTTCTTAGAAGACTCATTTGGCGATGATGGAATAATGTAGGAGTTCTTGATTTCGGCCTAGCTATTTCAGGAGTATCTAGCCCAGTTTCGCTATCTCCAAAGCTTGTGTATATTTTTTCATCAAAGCTATAATCAATTCGGCTTAAATTGAATTTTCTATCTTCAAGCATTTTTCATAATTAAATACTCTCAATCATAATAAAATTATTTTTTTACAATTTTTTGTCTAAAATTATAAAAATTCATTAAAATAGATATATTATTTTTATCATCACCACTCTTAAATCACAATAAACCAATATTCTATTTACATAAAATTTAAAAATAACATACAAATTTTCCATTTAATTTAATTTTTTATATAATATTCATTTTTCTTATTATATTTCCAATACAAAAATTTACCATCTCTAGAAAATTACAGTAAACTTAATTCTTAATTCTCAATACTCCAAAATGTTATCCAATCCAATAACATAAATAATGGCAGTCTCAAGAGACAGGTTGATGGCTTATTCAATAGTCTTTAACGTCCATCCCGAAGCATATTCCAGTCTTTCTATCTATATGAAGCCAAATGTCCATCAAATAGAAGCTGCAGGCTCCATAGGCCGTGGACAATCTGATATCTACACCTCATTTATGGTAAGCAATCTTGACGAGCAGCGCAGAAGAATTGCAGAAGACCCAATTCCAATATATCGCACCTTATTTTCTCTATTAGACTGTACAAGTGACGATGAAATTTTTGCACAAAGTCTTTTGGCGACAATTGATGGAATCATCCAAGATGACAGTCGACAAGTTTTAAGCCTAATTCAGCTGGCGACAGGCAGGGAGACCTTTAATGTTATCAATTTATTGGTGAGATTTGCAAGTACTTATGCTTTTAAGGTAAATATTATAGGAATAAATAGATAAATGCTATAGGGGTATTTATTTTTAATAGATTATAAAACAATTCCTATTATTGTAGGGGCTGCTAGTCATATTCTTTCCACAATACTAGGAGAACTTATATTAAGAAATCGTGAAAACCCTGGAGACTATGTAACTCAAGCTTCAAGACTGGTGGATTCTTTAATAAACCAAGGCATGGAAAGCACTTTACCTTTAGAAGAAGCCACTTATTGTTTTTTACCTCTTTTTAAGATTGATGCAGTTAGAAGAGAATTTTTAAGGACAGGCGGCTTAAGGACTATTCTTGTTCCTTTGCTTGACCAAAAATCAGGGATCCATCAGCCTATTTATGCAGCGATTTGTTGCTTATGGATGATCTCTTTTGATGAAGACTCTTATGAGTTTTTTATAAGAAGTGACTATAATTTAATTGGAAAAATCATAAAAGAGCTTAGAAGAACAGATAAAGAAAAAGTCATCAGAGTTGCCTTAGGCATTTTAAAAAATTTATCAGCTGGTGAAGGGACTGTAGAAATTATGATTGAAAATAAGCTAGTCGAAATAATAGATAATTTATCAAAAAGAATATTAAAAGATCCAGATGTTACAGAATTAGTCAAGGATCTTGGAGACATTTTAGTCAGCAATGTAAAGCTATTTTCATCGTTTGATAAATGGCTTAAAGAAGTAGAAAGAGGAGACTTAGTGCCTGGAGTAACCCACACTGAAGCTTTTTGGAAGGAAAATGCAAAACATTTGGAAAATGACAGTTTTGGGCCGGTGAAAAAACTTGTCCAGCTGCTGAATTCAGAAAGTGTACAGACTGTAGCTTTGGCACTTGCAGATATTGGAGAGTTTGCGAGATTCCATCCATATGGAAAAACAGTTGCTAGCAAGTTAGGAGCAAAAATCAAGGCGATGGAGCTGATGCAAAATCCTAATAAAGATGTGAATGGAGCAGCTTTGCTTTGTATCCAGAAAATTATGATACAGAATTGGCAAAGCATTTCGTAAAAAAATAGATTAATAGACTTTAATTAAATAGAGAAATTGTTATCATTACTCTGTCCATTAGATAATATTTTGAAATAAAATTTAAGACTTTTTAATAAAATTTTTATAAAATTTATTTCATCATTTACTCAAATTTCTTTTAATTAAAACTGTTTAATGATTTATTTTACAAATAAATACTTATGGGGTGGCATTGCTTTGGCTTCAAAGCATTCAGTATCTCTAATCTCCTTCTCTATAAAAATGACGAATAATTGAATTTTAATTGCTTATAAATTTAATAAATTTATTATAAACCGGATTTGGGTCTCTGATGAAAAATTTACATTTATAAGCCTAATAATACAGATAAATAAGGCTAGCTAAATCTAGTTAAAGGTATATAAAGTTATGTAGCATTAGAATCAAGTGTTGCAGTTGTATCACGCATTACTTTGCTAAGAGCCCGTTTAAACGATAGTCTCTCTCTATAATTAAAGTTCAGCATATCATACAAAAGTTCTCTCAGTCAAGGCAATCTCACATTGCTCAGTACTTTTTCTCTATTTATAGGATTTTCGTTAAACCTAGAAATGTCATCAAATGTTTCGCATTGATAAAGTACTAGCCCAAGTGAAAAAACGTCAGCTCGCTCAGGCCTATACTTGGCTTTCCCTTCTCCGTTTATATAAGCCTTCCTTAGTTCTGGAGCCATATAGCCTACAGTTCCTATCACATCATGCACTCCAGTTGCCGAATAAGTCCTTTCAATAGTTTCCCTGATTCCTGACACGTTAAAATCTGCAATTTTTCACTGTCCGTCCTTTGTAATTAAAATATTATCAGGCTTTATATCTTGATGGTAAATTTTATGGTTCACCAAGCTTTGAAAAGCCTCTAATAAGTCAAGAGCAATAGAACCTAATTCCTCTGGAGTAAATTTCGTATTTTGATCCTTTCTTGATTTTATTAGGTCAGAAAGACTGTGCTGGCAATATTCCATGACAATATTTGAGCAGTATTTTATAACGTTGTTTTCTATTACCTCGTCACAAAAACATCCATAAAAATCTAGGAAAAATCGACTTGTTCCTGAGAGTTTATGTAAAATGCCTACTTCTTTTTGAAATTTTTTTAAACTTTTATACCCACCTTGCTCTTTATAAGTTTTTATGACTGCAGCAATTTGTTTTCCTTTCCACATGATTTTGCATTGATTAACATTAAGCTCACTTCTCACAAAAATAGGAGGACCCATGATGATTTGGCTTCTTTGAGTTATATAAACAGGCTGGTTTGGAACTGGCTCAGTAGGAACTGGGAAAAGTTCATTTAATTTTTTTAATTTTTCTTGAGTCTTTTCTTCAGCTATCTCCAATTGGTTAATAATTTTCAGAATTTCTCTGCTTGTATCAGGGTCTTGAACAACCGTTTCTCCTTTGAATGCTTTAATTTTTTTGACATCATTTACGTCTTCAATCCATCTCAAAGCATATTCGATTATAACATTTTTGATTTCTCCAACTGGAATCTCTAGCTTCTGCAATTCCAATAAGTTTTGCAAATTAAGCAAAATTTGGTCTTTTTGATCACTGATGCTATTTTTATATAATCCTGGCCTGACCTTAATTGAAATTAAACTTATTAGTTCATCTATGTTGATTCTGTATTTATAATGATAATCTTTTGCTTGTTTGGCCAATTGTATTCACTCTTCAAAGGTTTCTGCATTGTTAATGGCTTTACTAATTTTTGAGATTTCTCGTTCATACGTTTGTGATGATTGTTCAGCTAAATAAGAATCCATTATAGAACTATCATATATATGAATTACAATATAAATAAAGAAGTTGATTTTTATTAGCACCTATTATTATACTCATTTGATTCATAGAAACCAGAGAAGATAGATATAAAATATTTATTGCTTTCCTCAACTCGAAAAATTTGTAGAAACAAATGAATTATAAATGCTAAGCTAAAGCCGATTAATAAAATCTCATAAAATTATATAGAAGGTGACAAATTTTTAAGGCATATTTAAAGAAAAGAATTAAATCAAGCTATTTCGCTTTATGATCGAGTGGCATCGTGGTATCATGCGCTACTTTTTTAAGTGCCCTTCTAAACGATAGTCTGTCTTTATATTCAAAGCACAGCATATCATACAAAAGCTCTCTCAGCCAAGGCAATGTCACATTCTGCAGCACTTTTTCTCGATTTTTAGAATCTTCATTAAATCTTGCAATATTATCAAATGTCGCCAATTGATAAAATATTAACCCAAGTGAAAAAACGTCAGCTCGCTCAGGCCTATACTTGGCTTTTCCAATTCCATGTATCATAGCATACCTTAACTCTGGAGCCATATAGCTGGCAGTTCCTATTACATCATGTACTCCAGTTGCCGCATAAGTGTTCTCAATAGTTTCCCTGATTCCTGACACATTAAAATCTGCAATTTTTAATTGTCCTTCCTTCGTAATTAAAATATTATCAGGCTTTATATCTTGATGATAAATTTTATGGTTCACCAAGCTTAGAAAAGCCTCTAACAAGTCAAGAACAATAGAATTTAGTTCGGTTGGAGTAAAATTATTATTTTGGCTTGCTCTTGATTTTATTAATTCAGTAAGACTGTACGGACAGTATTCCATAACGACATTTGAGCAGTATTTTATAACGTTGTTTTCTACTATTTCGTCATAAAAAGAGCCATAGAATTCTAAGAAAAATCGACTTGTGCCTGAAAGTTTTTGTAAAATTTCTACTTCTTTTCGAAGTTTTTCAGCACTTTTATACCCATCTTGCTCTTTATAAGTTTTTATTACTGCATCAGTTTGTTTTCCTTTCCACATGATTCTGCATTGGTTAACATTTAACTCACTTCTAACAAAAATAGCAGGGCCCATGGCGATTTGGCTTCTTTGAGTTATAGGCCGGCTTTGCTCTTCAACAACTGGCTCAGCAAAAATTGGGAAAAGTTCATTTAATAGCTTAATTCTATCTTGAAGCTTTTCATCGGTTACTTCTAGCTGATTAACAATATCTAGAATTTTTTTGCTTGTATCAGGGTCTGGAATAACTGGTTCTCCTTTAAATGCTTTAAATTTTTTTATATCATTTATATCTTCAACCCATTTCAGCGCATAATCAATCACAATGTTATCAGCCTCTCCAGCTGGAACTCCCAACTTTTTTACAATTAACAAATTTTCCAAATTTTTTAAAATCTCATCTTTATTACTTGTCGAGCATTTTTCATAGAGTTTTACCTTTGCTCTTATAGATACTAAATTTATGACATAGTTTATGTCAGTTCCGAACATGTCATGAAAAGCTTTCGCATGCTTAGCCCATTCTAAGATTTCTGGAAAAGTTTCAGACACATTGACTCCTTCGCTTATTTTTGCAATTGCCCGATCGTTGGCTTTAGGGCAAATTATGTTGCAACTCTGAGCCAGATAACCAAGATTGTCTAAAATATGAGAAGCCAATTCTGGAGTAATTTTAGGGTCTTGCGGGTTTTCTGTGGTGACTGGAAGCTGAAGAATGGAATATGCATAGCAAGCGCTTCATATACTATTTTAGCTCTAGTCATCTTTTGCCTCAATAAAGCAAATTCTTTTTTTTTTAGAAAATTCTGATTTAATAGGCATCAAGGAATAAAATTAATTAATTTAATATAGTTTCCATAAATCAACACCTTGGTTTAAAGCAACTTCTTGAGAAAAGCCATTGTACAAGGACACCAGGTCATTATATGAAAATCTATAGTTTTTTCGGATTAGCTCTTTTGCGGAATCACCTTGGACGTCTCTGTAGGTATTCGCAATATCGACGATTGAGCTAAAGAGGTCGACCATATAATTGTAGAGTGATTAAACATTAAGCTTAATTTGTGTATAATCTGATATAATTTTGCTTATATGAGGGAAATACAGAATTATCGAAATAAATTTCATTATTTCCCCCATCCTTGATCGAACGGCTCACCATCGTTCGATCAATGATGGGTTAAAAAACATTTTTTGGGAAAAAAATTTTATATATAAATAAAAAATATATGCTTTTTTTATATATTTTAAATAAGGGTTAAGAGTATTTAATAATTATTTTTACAGCAAAAAATTGAATTAATTTCCTAAAAAAAACCAATTTTTAATATTTTGATTTTTTGGTTACCCTTTTAAACTGTATAAAATTTTAATTTGTTTCTTATTGAATTAAAATTTAAAATTTTAAAGAATCTCTATTTTTTAGATTATTGAGTTTTTAAGCCCAGACTGCTGACTAAAGCACTTCGAATGGTTGACTCCGTAGTTTTCTGTTGTCTCAAAGCCTCTGACAACAACTTCATTAGGCACATTTCCCAACCTTTTTAACTAATATATTTTTATATATATAAAAATTTGCATGGTATGAAAATCGTTCGATCAAGGATGGGGGTTAATTTTCCTAATTTTTAGGAATTTTTACAGTCAATCGTTCGATCAAGGATGGGGTTGGGGGAGTTAGGGTATTTTCTATAAAGTTGTTTTTATTTGGATTATTAAACTATTCGGAAGATTGTGGAAAAAAATATTTGGAATAGCAAAAAATTAAATGCTAAGCGTGCTGTTGTAATAATAAGAATGGTAATCATTATAAAAAAATTTAATTATAGAGACTTGATAATAAGACTGAATTTAAAAGTAATTTTAAAGAAAAAGCTGATTATTAATAATAAATTTGATCGCAAATATAAAGCTGCTATAGCAATCTAAAAATCAACCCTTCTCTGAGGTTTTTTTTCTTATTCTACCTTTTATAAAATTATGCACAACGAATATGGTCAGAATCTATATAAGTTTTTATGACAATTTTACCTATTTTTATTATCATCTCTGGAGATGGAGTAGTTAAATTTTCAAATTATTAAGCTGATTATTTCATCATTGTTAATTTATTTGAATTATTAAGAGAGCGGCTCTGTTGAGTATCTTTTCATATGCTTCAAAATCCTCTAGGTCTACCATGAAACCCACAACCCACTCCCTTCAAAAATAAAAATTATCTAATCTTGATAATAAAAATATAAGAGATATTTTTTAATATATAATTTTTAAGCTACTCTAATTCATTTCTAGGACTTCTGCTAATGTATTAAATACTTTATTCCATAATATCTTACATAAATGCGCAATTATATGGTAAAAGACCATACTAATATATAAGAGATTTGATAGAGAATATTAGAAAAATGCTAAAAACAATATTTTAATTGTCTAAAGCTAGGTGCTATGAAAGCATCTCTGTATTTTTATTTTCAATGCTAGAAAATTTGCGTTTTAGAAGGGAGTTGGTTTCATGCATGACCATCCTCCTAAACGAAGGCCTTTTCTTATATTCAAAATCAAGCATCTCATATATAAGTTTTTGCAGCCAAGGCAGCTTTACATCTTTCCTCACTTTTTCCCTGTTATTTTTATCATCGTTAAATCTTGAAATGCTTTTAAATGTTGCACATAGATAAAATACAAGCCCAAGTGAAAAAACATCAGATCGCTCAGGCCTGTACTTTTCTACTGATTTACCATTTATCCAAGCTTTTTTTAGCTCTGGGGCCATAAAGCTTGTTGTTCCTAAAACATCATGCTCTTCAGTAGGCATACAAGTATTTTCTATTACTTCAACGACGCCAGATATATTGAAATCACCGATTTTTAATTGTCCATCTTTTGACACTAGTATATTGTCTGGCTTAATATCTCTATGGTAAATTCTTAAATTAACTAAACTTTTAAAAGCTTCGAGCAAGTCAAGGCAAATTTTGTAAAGCTCTTCTTCAGAAAATATTAGGCCTTTGCTTTTTCTTGCTTTAATTATATCAGCTAGAGAGTTTGGGCAATATTCCATTAAAACGCTATAGCAGAACTTTTCGGTATTATTTTCAATTACTTTATCAATAAAGCTGCCATAATAGTCTAGAAAAAATCAACCCCTGCCTGAGGTCATGCTTAATATTTCTACTTCTTTTTTGAATCTCTCACGGTATTTATTGGAATTTTTATCTTCTTTATAAGTTTTTATAGCTGCAATAATTTCTTGACCATACCAATTTAGTTTACATTCGTAAACACTTGCTCCTCTGAGTGAGTAAGCGAGCTATTTGGAAAAATCCTATTTTTTGATGCGTTCTTAGCTTTATCATAAACACTATAAGAGATTGCTAGCGGGAGGAATCTACTTGAAGAATGGCATTATGGTTCACCAAACTATTTTCGCAAGACAAATGGTATCTTTCGTGAATCAAATAGCAATTTTCCAAACCTATTCCTCAATCAAAAATTATTTATTGCATGAGGCTGCATTTTTTAATATATTAATTATAATTAATATAATGAAATCCTAAACTAATGCTTTCTAATTAATAATAATTCTACTAAGTTTTAAACAGCTACATTCAAAACATAATAGCAAATTAAATTAGTTATATTTCAATTTTTTAGGATTAAAATTTCCTAATTTATTAATAAAAAAAAATAATTACAGTCTAGAAAAATTTTTGCTCAATTACGGAGGAGTGATTTATATCATTATGCTTAAAAATCGCATTTCCCATTACTATTTGACTTCTATGAGTAATTAAAGCAGGACTAGGCTCATCCAGCTCTTTAATTTCCTCAACTGCCGGGACATATTGGTCTGGAAAAATTTCATCTAAATTTTTGATTTTTTCTTGATATTTTTCTTCACTTAATTCCAATTTTTTAATCACTCTCAGCATTTTTCTACTTGTATCTGGGTCTGGATTTACCTTCTCTCCTCGAAACTCTTTAAATTTTTTTAAATCATTTACATCATCAATCCATGCTAACGCATAATCAACCACAATATTTTGTGCATCGCCATATAAATAAAAAATGGCGTGATAATCGACTACCTTCTTAGCTCCCTCAAGGGGTTTGAGATCTTGAGGAAGAAGGGTTGCTATTGCATCCGGCAAAGTTTGTATGGAGTAGTAGTGCGGAATGTTCAGCAGTAGGTATTTTTTAATATTTCAAAGCTGTAATAGGCCTTGCTTGACTTCTAGCTTCTATTTTGCCTGAAACTCAGCCATAATTCAAATTTCCATGGAAGCAACCCTGTAAGACATGTAGCATGGTGGCGCAAATTTTCAGAATTACAAGTAGCTTCGCTTAGCTAGAGCAAGCCTATGATGTCGTGAAACGCGAATGGCGAGCAAGCGAGGAATGACTATGTAAATAAATAAATGGCAAGAAAGGTGCCGAGCGCATAATTTTCTTATAAGTTTAAATAACTTGTACATCGTCACCTGAAATTTCCAGGTTTTTTAATTCCAATAAATTTTCTAAATTTTTTAAAATTATATCTTTGTTGTCTGAGCTGGAATTTTTATAAAATTCTGTTTTTGATTTAATAGAAATTAAGTTTATGACATAGTCAATCCCAGTTCCTAGTTGTTTGCTAATATCTTTTGCAAGTCTAGCCCATTCTATCATTTCTTCAATAGATTCAGCATTATTTATAGCCTCACTGATTCTTGAAACAAGCCGTTCATTGGCTTTTGGGAACGGCTGATTATATTGAGTAGCTAGATATAAAAGATGTTCAAAAGCCTGAGGCGCTAATTTTGAATTAAATGAAGGATTTTCAGAGTTTTCTTTGACAAAAGGAAGCGTAAGAATTGCATTTGCATAGCAAGCACGCCACAATTTTCACAAATCAACATTTGGGTTATTTTCAGAATCCTGGATGAGACCATTGTATAGATTTATCAGATCGCTGTAGGAAGAACTGCTGTTTTTACGGATGAGCTCATTTGCAGAATCCCCTCGAACTTTTCCATAAGTTTTTGATATCTCGTCAATTGAGATTAAGAGGTCAACCATAATAATTGTAGAGAGATTACAAATGAAGATAAATTTTGATATTTTTTTGGATTATATTGAAATGAATATTTTAATTAAATTAATTATTACTATTTGGCTTGAATCATTAATTATATCTTTTATAAAGAATGCACTGAATAAATCAGATTTGGCATTTCTATTATTTAAAAATAGATATAATTCTCTAGGAGGTATACCAAATCTGAGGGAAAAACCTATATAAGTAGCAAAAAGTATTCAATGCATATAAAAATCTTTATAAATCAAAATATTTGGTCTCTTAATAGGAAAAATTGGATCTTCATTTATTTAATTAATTAAATTACTTTAACTACCACACCATTTAATGCATATCAGTCTGCCATCATTTCTTTGAAATTTGGAATTAGTTTATATTAAAAGTAATAATATAATGTCATATGATTATCTAATCAAAGGGATGTTAATCGGAGACTCTCAAGTTGGAAAGTCAAATTTACTTCTGAGATATGCTGAGAATAATTTCAGAGAAGAGTACAATGCGACAATAGGCGTTGAATTTGGAACGAAAATTAAAAATATCAATGAACTAGCGATAAAATTTCAATTGTGGGATACATCTGGCCAAGAATCATTCAGATCGATTACTAGATCCTACTATAGAGCTGTTGCAGCAGCATTCATAGTTTACGACGTCACAAGTAGAGGGAGCTTTGAACATCTGACCAATTGGGTTTCTGAAGCAATGGCAAATGCTCCTAGAACTGTCGTAGCAGCCTTGGTTGGAAATAAAATTGATAGAGAAGAGGAAAGAAAAGTTTTATTTGAAGAAGGCCAAAAATTTGCAAATGATCACCAAATGATTTATTTGGAAACTTCAGCTAAAACTGGATGGAATGTTGACAATGTGTTTAATTTTGTTGCTGCAGAAATTTTGGCCAGGATCAGAAATGGGCAGATCGATGTAGAGGATGCAAGCAATGGGATTAAAATCTCAAGGCAAAAATAATAAATACTAATAAAAGTTTGAAACATAGGGAAAATTAGAATGCTTCTAAATTCAAAAATAATTGTAAAATTAAGCAAATAAAGAATGATTTTCTATTTTCAGTTGGAGTTATAATGTTAAGCTAGGAAAATTATTCTAAAAATAGCTTTATGACTTACCGCTTTTTAAGATTGAACTATATATTGGTAAAATTTCAACTTTGTGCATTTAAAATATTTTTTATGTGTAAAAATAATAAAAATATTTAATAGCTTTGATGCAAAATTTAATGTTGAAAATAAAAAATTTTACTTGATTTTAAATTGGGGAGTGCAAAAAGAATATTATTTTAATAAAATTATTAAATATAGTTTTTAGTCAAAAACAAATTTAGCCCATCTGAATTGAAATAAAATTTTTTAAAGAAGAGGAGTTAGCTTCCTTTTTGCCTCGAGCATAGTAATTTATTATATAAACTTATGAAATAGCCAAGTCTTATCCTTTCTCTTCAGGTTAGGCTATTAAAGACAGACGTTAGCCATATTGGTGACGTAGTCACTAAATACCTAAAATGCAGGAGTTTCCCACTTTTCGACTCCGGTCCAGAGAGGGTTTATCCCAAATAATAGGTGCCGCTTCCAGTACGTTTGTCTCTTCCTTGCCTTACGGCTTCAATCTTGAGTGCTGATGGATTTCTGTGGCCTTGCTACGGGGCGATTGGAGCATTGATTTCAAGGATCGACTCCGTCAGGAACTGAAGTGCCTTTCCAACTATTCTTGATTCTTGACTCAGAGTCCTTCAAATTTTGCCATCTGGACTGTTGCATAAGGAGACAGATTGGCACACGTCACCATTTTAATATAAATCCTCTCTCATCAATTCCATGAATATTTTTAAAGAAACTTAAACTAAATTTTATAATTTTATTTATTAAAATCCCAAAACAGCATGAAGCTGCCTTAATATCAATTTTAGTGCCAACTTTGAAATATAGCCGTTGAAGTCTCTTTCAATTGCTTGAATATCACTCATAGGTATCCCAGTCTCTTCCTCATCACTTCTTCTATAATGAGCTGACATAGAAATTCTTAAATTAGGCGCATGTGAAAAAATCCATATTAAAACCCTTTGATCATAATTTTCCAAAACTTTTCTGCAGAATTTTTCATACTCTTTCCAATGAAATGATACTGTTTTCTTTATCAAAATGGAGGCTATAATTAAGAATTCCTCTAGGCTATTGATTTTCTGCTTGTTACAAGCCCGAAGTAATAAGTCTAGTAGCTTTATTTGGATAAAATCGAGATGGAAAGTATTTGAAACTTTAAAAAGCGTACTGTAAAATTCGTTATTATTCTCACGAAGATAGGCGGAATTAGAAATACAAACCCGATTTATAAGCTGAGGCTGCTTATAATTGGATTTATTAACGTATTTTAACTCGAATAGCTTCAAAGTGCTAACCTTTTTTGCCTTTTTCACCATATATCTAATATTTGACAATGATCAATGATGGCATTTTTATTGATTTTAATTTTAGGAATTTATAAAGCATTTTACAAAATTAAATAAGAAAAGGAATAGTTGTCAGAATAAAATAAAAAATTTTATAGCTATTTTTAAAATGATCAGAAGCCTACTCACCTTTGTGAGCAAACGAAACCATTGGAAAAATCCTTATTTTTTAGGTAAAAGCCTAAAAAAAAAATTTTGATATTTAATGATAATTATTATAATGAAATCTCGAACTAATTCTGCTTAATTTTACACAACACATAAATTTTAGAATTTAAATTAATATTGCTTTCTGATTTTTGCGAATTGGGATTTTTTAAATTTTTAAAAAAATATTTAATATAATTAAAAAAAAATTTAATATCATGGAGGAGTTAATAAACAATTAATTAGTAAAATAAAATGACTGGAAAATAAGGAAGAGTCACTGTCTAGGAGGTGCCCCGATGATCTTGATGAGAGAATACTATGTGAGAGGCAAAGCTTCCCTCTTTGTAAGGCCTACCAAATCTTCGGCTTACTACAAAAGAGAAAAAGGCCCTGCTTTCTGCTTTATCTGAATGGGTCCTACCTACTCCATAGGAATACGCCTCGGAGTCCAATTCCTTTAAACTCACCATTTTAATTCTCCTGGAAAATAAGGATTTTTTTTATTATGGTTACAATAAAAAAGCTCAGATTCAAAGCTTAAAGAGCCAATAAGCTTAAATTGATAAGAATAATGCTAGATCGTTATTTCAGAAACCCTAAAAGCTATCGGTGATATTATCTTGCAAAGTGTAACTGTTTTTCACACTAACTCCCCCAATTTAATTGGAACAAAATATCAGTAAAATTTACAAATTTAATACTTTAAAATTGAACATTTTTTAATAGTAAATCTTTTTTTAAAAAAAATTAACCCCCCTTTAAGTTTCGATTTAAAGTGGGGAATAAGAAAAATTTTAAATGTATAATTTCAGATTATTTTAATTTTAACGTTTAGCAATTTTTTTTTTAATTCTGATTTTATCAAATTATTATTTCATTTACGCTAACTTAATTAATTATTGCCAAATCAAGGTACCAATAAAATAAGCTATTATATTTTATTTATCCCCATTCTCACATCACCCACCCAGGTTTTATTTCTTGTTTCCTTGCTTATCTTGCCCATCAAATATCAGATACCACTGACTTCGATAGACTGTTCTTCAAAGTCACCTTGATTTCCTCAGCTCTTCTTCAGGCTCTCAATAAAACCAACGTCAATCCACCTGGCACGGAAATGCCTAGTCTCACAAGCCCATCATGAGTCCCTCTTTAAAAATTTCATTGACTAAGACATAATCCAAACTGCTGCTTAAAGTGGACTCTTGCTTTGGATAAATTTGTGGATGAACCTGAAGCTTATGATTAAATTTGGAATTTCGTTTCTTGAGCAGAAAATTTGATTTTTAATATCAAAAAATATGAAAAGCATAATAAAGCTTTCCCAGATATATCAGTTTCTATTAATCAAAATAGTGTTTAATTAATACGAAATAATTAAAAGAAATGATATATATAAAGGAAATAAATAAAGACGCTGAACAATAAACTTCTAATGATATTAACAAACTTAACTTTATTTTTAATTACTGTTCAAATTGAATTACCAGTAATATTTATCCTTAAAATGAGTAAATATACACTAAAAGACCTTCTGATTAAAAAATCAGGGAAATTCGAAACAAGCACTTCAGAATCAATTTTTAATGAATGAAGGTCATGCGAGCTATTATCTGGATTTTTTAGCTTAATAGGACTTGCAGCCGCTACTTTTGATTATGAATTTAGTTACTCTTTTGACCGGACTCATGACAATTGCGCAGAAAAACTAGACCGAGTTGAATATTTCCGAGAAATGATTTGTGTTACCACTTTTGCTTCCTTCTTTTTCCTTGTTCAAAGAGATAGCAAAAAGGCTCTATTAGATAAATACTTAATGAAGCAGGAACCGGAATATAAAGTTACAATATGAAATTTTCCAGTAATTTTAAAAAGGAAAATTAAAAATACCTTTAGTTTTAGCAGAATTATTGAGCTTTTTCTGCTATTTATTTTTCCATATCCTTATGTGAATGCGCCGGTTTATATGCCATATCGACATAACTATGAAATTATAAATATCTGCTATAATCTTTCAGAACTTTTATATATTTTTATGATAGTGAGACTAATTTTTGTATATAGAGCTATTATCAATTATACTCCCTATCAAAATCATTTAGCAAGAACTTTCTGCTTAAATCATAACGCCAAATCAAATGTAAGATTTGTATTTAAATGCTTAGTAGCTCTACATCCTCTAGTAGTAATTTTATTTTTGCTATTGATTCCTTCTGTAATTATATGTGGCTGTTTAATGAGAATTGTGGAGAGGCCTTTAATTGATCTTTCTCATCAAGATTTTCATAACCCATTAAGTGGGATCTGGTGCATGTTTTCTTCAATGTCTAGTGTAGGTTTTGGGGATCTTTATCCTATTAGCTATTTAGGCAGAATTATGGCTGTTTTAGGCTACTGCCTCGGCACAATTTTTCTATCTCTTATCATATTAGTTATTCAAAAAAACTCAAATTTCACGACTAATGAGACAAAATCATTTTCTTCTATTTATAAAACTAAAGCAGCAGCGGAAACTATACAAGCTGGCCTGGTTTATTTTGGATTAAAAAATAAATATGGTAAAAATCATCAATTTACTAAGAAATCATATGGAATTTTACGTGAAAAAATAATAAAAGTTAAAAAAAATAGAGAAAATATTTTCAAAATGGGTGGGGCTGGAGACGAATTTTTATCAGCGATAAAAGAAAAAGTGGAAAAACTAACAGACCATTTAGATAAAGTCGAAAAACTGTGTGAGAAAATTATTAATAATAGAAAATTTCAAAAATTCCTTGAAGAAGAAAGAAAATAATAATTATATATCCTTTATAAAAGAAAATATAAATAAAAAATACCTAGAAATATTTTAGTGCAAAACCCTCTAGAAAAAGTATATTTAATTAAATTTCACTTTTAACCAAATATTAATAAAATCGCTGAAATTGCCAATATAATCGCTCCACTAGCACTAGAATTTAAACTGACATTTGTAGGGAATAGCCCAAGCTGGTTTACACAAGCATCAATAGCCTCAGATTCATATAAAGTCCAATATGTAGCTTGATCACTCATCGACGTCAAATACTCTTGCTCACTACTAGAAAGTGAGCTGCAATTAAATAACTCTGTAAAATTATCAGTATGTGAAAACCTCCCTGAACAGTCAGAGCTACTGTATTGAAGCTTAGGGAAAACTTGATCCCAAAAGCCAATTATATGAATTTCCAATAAATGAAGCATTCTAATTTATCTGAAATTGCTTATAATCTATAGGATATTTATAGGAAAACTTATACATTTCCAAAGCTTCCGCAATATCCTGCACTATTATCAACTCCTCCACATTGACACCAATCTGTAGCTGCAGTTACCCCATCTGAAGCATAAACATATTTACATTGTTCGCCTAAGTTACATTTAAACGGAGATGACAAGGCCTGAGTGCTATTATCTGTATATACCTTTCAATTATCTCTACAACTTTTTTGCATTTTATATTAAATTTCCCTATATATTTTTCCAAGAATATATCAAAATCCCATCACATTTTCCATTTCTCTGAAAATCTGACTTACAAAACATTTTATCAGAAACCGATGAATTTATGTCTTTTGTAAAAAGCTTGGTACATGTAGAATTATTGCAGCCGTATCCAATAGGGCATTCATTATTAACAGTACATGCATCGCCACTAGACAGAAGGCTTGCACAAGTCCTAGAGCTTGTAGAATTCGTACCATTCCCAGACGTAAAATTTTTGCAAAAATAGCCAGGCTGACATTCTTCATCAGCTGTACAATTGGCACCATTTGCAAGTCCTTTGCAAATTCCACTGCTGCAGCTACCACTTACACAGTTAGAATCAGTGCAGCAGGATTTTCCTGTTAAAGTTGTGGAATTTGCTGAGCAGTCCCTTGTGGAGGTCACTTGAGCTGGTTTTGCTTCACAAGTGGCTGAGGTTCAGTTTCCAGTTGTGGAGGAAAATTGGTCGTTGTCAGAGCATGAGCTGTTTGAGGAGGAGCAGGGGGTTACCACGACTGTGTTATTATTGGAATAAACTGATATGAAATTTTCTTAAAATGGGATGGTAGGAAAATAAGGAAATTTTTTAGTGGATTATTGTGGGGAAAAGGTATATACATTGATTATTTGTACCTGTGCCGCAGGTGATTTTGCTGCAGGATTGATATTCTAAGCCAAAAGTGACTGTAGAAAGGATGAGGAAGGCTAGGCTTGATTTCATATTTATTATAGATACTGGTTTGGAAACTTTGTTAATGGAAAAAAAGAGCCTGATCGGAAAGGGATGATTTTCAAAATGGAGAGGAAAAATTGGAAATTATTATTGATGGAAAAGGGTATTATATGATGTCTTGGAGGATGCAAAAGATATGAGAAAAGAAGAATTAATAGGTATAGGAATAGAAATTGAGGTAATTATAGTATAAAACTACTTTCATAAAAGTAGAATATTTTTTTACAATTAATAAACAAGACTCTCTTTTAAAACTTTAATTAGTTTCTGATGGCCGAGGAAAACCTTTTGCTGGTGTTGTTCTATCAATACGAACATGAAAAATTATTTTTCAACTAAAAGGATACTGAGCTTGAAAAATCGGATTTTTTTCTTAATGGTTTGGCTTAGACTCATAGTTTGTAAAAAATTAATATATCCTTGAGAACCAGATGAGAATATCGCCATTTATTTAAACAATTTTTTAATTTATAATTAAAATTTTTATAGCTTTTATTGATACCATTATTAATTGTTCTATTTTTCGAAGCCAGCGTGGCTATGTAATGCCAATTGTACCATTAAGAAGAACTTTAAACAATTTTATTCTTCTTAGTTTAGATTTTATTTTTCTACCAGAAAACTACCATTTTACTATTTTCCAAGAGCCATTATTTATTTTTATTATATTTAATGTAAAAAATAAATTTTAAGCTCCTCGAGCAAATATAAATTCTTTTTATATGAGATATAAAACTGAGACAAAAATTAACTAATTTCCAAAAAAGAAATTTTTTGATTTTTGAAATTAGATATCCTAATTTCTTTTCTAATTTTTCCAATTTTTAAGCTTAATAAGCCTACTTAGGAAGAATTTACAGTGTGAAGAAGGATTCTGCTACGGCATGAGTCTTTCTAGTGTTGAATCTATGAAGCATTGGAGTTGAAATGCAGATAAAGACATGATGAAAATGAGGAGTCAGGGAGACTTAGATGGATTTTTTTATATAACCGAAGTTAGAGATCCAGTGGATTCCAGGGAAAATATGATTTAGATAGCATATATGGATGCGAAAGTAGGTGATCCATTTAAAAAAAGATTTCTCCTAAATATAGATAAACTTGGAGATCTGATGGAGTTTTGTTGTTGCTGTGAGTTTTTGCTTGTGGAGGTGATTAGGCTTTTGCTTTGTGGAAAGATGTGAACAATTGATTAAAAAGAGAGAATTCCTGGTATGGCCGGCTGAAATATTTTTGCTCGCTCATATAAGGGGATTTAGCAATTTATTTGTTAAAAACTTCATTATAAGCTGATAAAAATCATTTGATTACGATATTTACTGCAATCAGGTTGATGTAAAAATGGAAAAATCAATTCATCAAGGAGACATAGGGCCCACAATATATAAATCTCGATCTCAATATGGCTTTAGGACCCACCCTACAAAATTTAATTCATGCCCCAATGGAAGTTTACTCCCCCCTCCGTGAGCGAGCAAAAAAATTTTGTTCACTCACGGAGTGGGGTTAATTTTTTTTTTTTAAAAACATTTATATAGAAATTTTATAGAAAATATTTTTTTTTCGAAATTTAAGAAAATCCTAATTCGCAAAAAATTGGAAAGCAAATATTTAAATATCAAATTTTTTTTTCATAAAAAATTTATCTATTAAAAAAATTTTTGTTCACTCACGGAGGGTGGGTTTTTGATTAAAAATTAGGGATTTTTATAATGGTTTTGTTCGCTCAAGGAGGGAGGAGTTAGAAAACACTTCTAGTTATGCAATACCTTCCCTAAAAGGATCAAAAATTGGGAAGAAAGCCATCTTAAGTCATAGAACCTCAGTAAAAGTTTCAAAACCAATAGGAAATATGCTGTTTTTGGTTAAATTTTGTAAATATTTTAGCGACAGCCATACTAATTTTACAATTAAATCATGATATATTTCTTAAAAAACTCTCTAGAAAATAAATAACTAAAAAATATTTCATATAATCTTAATAAAGGAAATTCCTCAACAGAGCCTTCTAAGCCAAAACGTGTCCCATATAGCATAATCCATATGAACGACTTCATAAGATCCTACTCATCAAAAAGTGTCCTTGCATTAACCCGAAAAAGATCTAAATGCAACACAAGCATTCCTTTAGGAAAAACCCAAACCCAGCCTATTTACAATTTTTCAAACCAATCTTTATTTGGCTTAAAAGATCATTTTATTCCTTTATTTTCATGCACAACTTTGCCAATGAACCCAAAAAATGAGTTTTCTAGGTCAATTTCCCCAATTCCAAATTTGGATGGGAAAAATGGCTCAAAAGTTAACGAAATTAAGCTGGATTTTAAAGGATATGATGCAAAAAGTGATATAAAAGTAGAAGGAGAATTAAAGCAGGATTGCAGTATTGATAAATCTGATCCAGATTTAATCAGTGAGCAGAATATAGAAAAATATGCAGAAATTGATTTAAAATTACTATAAATAAAATGGTATTCGGTTTGAGAGTTATTGGCTCTGCTAATTATCCCTCATGGAATTTTATTTATGGAGCTGAGAACTATTGTACAGCCATAGCGGATTAACTTTGGTCATAAGGCCAGGGAACTTATCCAAGTGCACCAAGAGGCTTAAGGTTTTTCATCTCAGATATAGAATTTTCCCATAGATGGTGCTGTTTGCCCTTAATTTGCCCACTAGGAAAATTTTTTGGTTTGACCAAACCATATGGTACTGGTCGAACCAAAAAATTTTCCCAGTGGGCAAATCAAGGGCAAACAGCGCCATCTATGGGAAAATTCTATAGAATTATTTAGGATTGCTGAGTCAGGCTGAAATATAGAATGGCATCGGAATGCCTAGCGAGCCTACTTGGAGCTAAAAGGGTGGGATATGACCTAGACCGTACTCAAGAAGGTAAGACGTTAAATACTAAAGACTAAGACTAAGATTTAAAATTCCCTAATAATGAAAAACTTAGAAGAGCTATTAAGGGAATTTCCTCAAAGAGGATAATTTCAAGACCAAAAACATCTTCAATGGACTTGCGGAGACCGAGTACTCGCCGAAGAAGTGTAGCTACTAATTATGGAGATGCTGAGAGTGACGAGCTTACAGGATGGGATAATCTTAATATTCGATTAATGTAAGTTTGCAAGGTTTTATAGATTATTTCGTTAGGAATATTGAGATTTATTTGTCTCCCCAGTATTTAACCTTTATTATGTAACTTGGCATGATAAATTTAGTCCTTATAGTAAATATACCCTATTATCAGCTAATGCTTTTAAATCAATTTTTAATTGATAATATGGAATATTTTCTAAATAGTAGTGGGCTAGACTGTCTTGCAGCTATGCTATAAAGAATCTAGACATTAGAAAATTTTACATTATTTGCCACACTTTTCTTTCAGAAATATTTTTCCGCTTTGAAATTCTTATTCAATCATTACAAACTAAATTTTCAGATTTTATTTTACTAAACAAGGAAATATTGAAGGGAGCTTTTCATTTGCAAAGTTCTATAGAGATGCTGGAGACATCAATGATACTGTAAACTTCTTAATTTTTCAAGGCTACCAAGTAGAAGGTATTATCGCAATCTTTAAAAGTGAAAATGATACATTAATTTATTCTGCGCTCTATGGAAAAATCAACAAAAATGATTGTATTCGCTCCTCAGTTTGCCAGCTTATTTAAAAAAACCTATAAAATTATTCAAATACATGAAATCTTGTGCTCAACGTATGGAGGCTCATATAAATGGGCAAGAGAAATGCTTGAAGACATAATGAAAGTGGATATGAAATACCTATTGTGAAAATACTAAAGGAGATATTTATATAATTCATAGGGATGAAGAATATTTGCTGACCATGCTGAGGCACTAGATTTTGCTTGAGAATTGAAAAACAAATGTAAAGGGGTTTTATTTTGCATTCTGATCGTTTTTTTAACAGAAGATTTAGATGAAGTGGCTCAAAATATTCTTGATGGTGATTAATGATAAAATATTAATATAGTTATAAATAATATTTAGAAAAAATTAATTATATTTTAGAATTTGGTATATAGCAAATTTTGTATCAAGTCGTCTTTGCAAATATTAAGAAGATTTATTATGAAATATCAATTAATAAAATTTAATGATGATAGTAATTAAGGGTAGAAGCTTTTCAATAGCTTTTAATAGCTAAACTAGCCTATTTGATACTATGGTAAATTTGTAACGCAACATTTTAAAATATAGGGATGGGAAGATATAGCTATCAATGAATATGATGATAGCTATTCAATTTAAAAACTATCCAATAGAAAGTACAAAATAAACAGCATGATTTTCAAATTAAAATTCATATTTGCCTAATATTTAATTTACCTTAAAATAATCATACTCAAAATTAATTAAGCGGTTTAATTTTTTTTTATTCTTACCATTTTCAATAATACTTAAAATAAGTTAAATAATAAAGTCTTTTATTCTAACGGAATATTTTAACAATTATTATTCCATAAATATATCAAATAAATAGCTCATCATTTTTTGACATTTATAAAACTCAATAAATATACTGTTCCTTTATCGAGAATTTTATTTTGAGAATAAAGATACTACCGATGTTGTCTTATTTAATCATTCGAGCTTTAACTTATAAAATGGATCATTTTACCAATCGAAATGGGCTGCGACTATCCTATAGTTTATCAATAAAAAACCAAAATGATAAAGTCTATTGGAACTTTTTAACTCTTTAGGTATATAAAATGAAAAATTACCATCAAATATCTGAAAAATTTGCAATAGGGAATAGAAAAATCTATATCATTTGTCAATGATTTTTTTCAGATGTTTTATTTAGCTATGACTTTCTCTGTGAATTTATTCAAGTAAACACTTTTAGATTATGTTTAAAAGGCTGTGGAAATAGTGAAGGAGAGTATTCATATGGAGGATTTGAACAAGACGCTGCTGATATTGATGATGCTGTGAAATTTTTAGATTCTGAAGGCTACATTGTGGATGGGATAATCGGATTTGGTAAAGGAGCAAATGATGCTATTATTTATTCTGCATTGTATGGTGGCGTCAAAAAAATTATTGCTTTAGCTCCGATTATTTATGCGACTAATTGCTGTATGCCACAGTTTTTTCAAGACAGCATTGATAGAGTTTATCCTTAATTATTATTCTATTTTATGATTTTCAAAAAATATCAATTATTTATTTATCCTAAAATTACCTTTTTTTAGATTATTTATAATTAAATTTATTTTTTATTAAATCTAGGCTTACCATTATATATAAGGCAGCATTGATGAAATCCAAAAAACTGGTGAAGTCAGGCATCATTATTTAGGAAAAGAAATAAGATTTACAGAAGAAATGCTCGACGAGTTAATGAACCTAGACATGGATTACTATTCAGATAAAATAAAAGGAGATATTTATTTAATACATGGAGACGCTGATGAAAAAGTTCCGCTTTCAGATGCATTAGAATATGCTAGTGATTTAAAAGAAAAATGCAAAGGATTTTTCACTTTAAATTGTGATCATTTCTTTACAACTGAACTCGATGAAGTTGTTGAAATAATCCATAAAATAATAGAGAGCTCGTAGTATAAGCTAGTATTATGGCTCAATGGAAATTGACAGTGTATTTTTTATAGTGTATATTTGGTCCAAAATTTTTAAATGCTGCCAAAATTTAACAGTTTTTTTGTCAAATGTCTCACTATTAAAAAAAATTCAACCAATTTTCGACCGGTGGAACGCACACTATCAAAATACACGATTTTTGATCCTGCACCCTAATATTATATCACTTTTTTCAGGCAATATAATAAATAATTGTTTTTAAAGAAATTATTTAAAATTTATGCATTCAAATTGTTTTAAAAAGTAGTAAAATTGTATAAAAATTTAGTGAGTTGACTTTTAAACTCAATAATTAGTAATTTTGAATTTAAAATATTTAATATGTAGTATTATAATAAGGAAACTTTATGCATCTTATTTGTATCCAAGCTCTAGAAAAGGAATACAGATTTACCTCAAAAATACTTGATGAATGTATGAGCTTGATATGGATTACTATTCTGATAAATTAAGGCGATATTTATATAATGTATGGAGCTGATGATGACAAAGTCGCTATTTCAGATGCATTAGAATACGCTAGTGGATTAAAAGAAAAATGAAACGAATCTTCAAGGTAAATAACTGTAGTCATTTCTTTGCAACAGAAATGGATAAGGTTGTTGAGATAATCCATAAAATAATAGAGAGCTAACGGTAAACTGCATAATAGGATTTTAATGTTATATTAAGTCTATTTAATAATATTACAGAAGTAATAGGCTATAATAAAACAGAAGTTAATTCATATTTTATATGAGTATTAATGGAATAGTTGTGATCTGTTAAAAATGCCCTTTTAAAGTCTACTCAAACTTTATCAACCAATATAAAATGTTTTCCTTTGAATTTATTTAAAAAATATTTTTATTTTAGACTGAGCACATTCAACTGTACCCATAGTCGTTTAACTGAAATTGAGAAATCTGGCTGATTATCTGAAACTTAGACCAAAAGCACCTAGAGTTTATATTTGAACTTAAACTACTTTAAATGAATAATGACATTTTTAAAATGAATTTTGACTTTTTAGCTTTTTTTTTCATTTTTCTTAAAAATCTATAGTGGAGCACTTGCTATACCATAGAAGGGAATTAAAATATAATTAATTTCATGATTTTATTTTTGAACTATCTAAAAATTGTTGCTTTTTGCAATGATACAAACATTTCTACCAATAAGCCATTAGCCTGTTTTCTATATGAAAATAGCAAAATAATTATCAGTAGCAATATTTCTATTCACTGCAAAATGCATAATTTATTTAGAACTTAAATGTCCAATAAAATTAACAATAATTTATTGATTTTAGCCAGTGTTTCAGCTTAGCCTTCCTAATGCTATAAAGACTTTTTTTATTAGCCAGCCCTTCTTAAGCTGAAATTTGAATTTGGATTTAAATTAAAAACTTCATATGTAAATCTAGTTCTGCATGTCTAATAAGCAAAGATTAAATCTAATTAAATTCTGCTGCCTTATAATATGGATTACTTTATCAACCGGAATGGGCTACAGTTATCATATAGTCTATCAATAAAAAACCAAAATGACAGAAAAATCTGTCTCATTTGTCAATGGTTTTTTACCGAAGTTTTGTTTAATTATGATTTTCTTATCGAATTTTTAGAAGCAAATACATTTAAATTTTTTGTCCAAGGCTGTGGAAATAGCGAAGGAGAGTACTCATATGGTGGACATGAAAGGGACGCTGGAGATATTGATGATGCTGTGAAATTCTTGGTTTCCCAAGGCTACGAAGTACAAGCAGTTATTGGACACGCAAAAGCCGCAAATGAGGCTATTATTTATTCAGCACTCTATGGAGATGTCAAAAAGATAATCGCTCTAGCTCCTTCAGTTGAAATGAGAACTTTTAAATGGCCAGGTTTTTTCTATGAAAGTGTTGGAAAAATTCAGAATTCTGGGGAAGTCAGGCATACAGTTCTTGGAAAGGAATACAGATTTACAGAAGAAATGCTCAATGAAATAATGAGTCTTGATATGAATAATTATTGCGAAAAAATAAAAGGAGATATTTACATAATCCTCGGAACTGATGATGGGCATATCTCATGCTCGGATATAGCGGAATATTGCAAGGAATTAGGAGGAAAATGCAAAGGTCTTTTTATGTTAGACAGCTCTGATCATTTCTTTACAACAGAAATGGATGAAGTTGTTGAGATATAGCCTTGGCTTGAGATCAAGCCTTTATCTTTCTGATTCGCTCATGATACAGATTCTAAGGTTTAAAAAAAATTAAATAAAAACAGTTATGATTGTTTTTGAAATATGAGGAGGGGGCAAGCAAGTAGAAGAATGGCCCTCTAATTCATAAAATAATAGAAAGCTAAAAAATAATTTGCTAAACTATCGAGTGGTTGCTGAAAGTAAGCCTATTTCTTACCGAACGCTATTATACGGTAATGAATTCTAAGAAAAAATAATTTTATGGGATTTATGTTCTTATTAATTTGATTTTATGATAAATAAAATTACAGTTCATGACCTATACAATCGCTAATTTGTTTTTAAAAAGTAAATGTTTTTATTTAGAAATTATAGTTAAATAGTTTTTTTATTTAACTCTCTTTCTTAATTTTAACATTATTTATTAACTAAGATATTTTATAGTGCGATCACTCTTATTTTCAATACTTCTACGGAATTATTATTATAAAATTATGTTGACCAAAGTCCTTAAATGATTTTTCTTATTAATATTATTCTCTTGAATGATTACTTTCACAGTAATTTCTGCTTGTATGATGACATTTGATTGCTGAGACTTTTTACCTACAATATCGTAATAAAAATATCTAAAATTGAAAAATGTCTCGAGTCTTAGTAGCATTCACTGTATATGCCATAATGGGATACTGAAAATAAAATTATTAAAGCAATAAAGATTGGCAAATGTGCATTTATTGATACTTTTACAAAATAGTTCCATGTTTAAAACTATTGAAGCTGAGATTCGTATTGGCATATAAAATCTTAAAAAATTCGTCTCACAAAATGAACTTTTTGGCTATTTAGTGCTTAATCTTATAATATGGATTATTTTACAAATCGGAGTGGGCTAAAATTATCCTATAGTTTATCAATTAAAAACCAAAATGACAGGAAAATCAATGTCATTTGTCAATGACTTCTTTCAGATGTCCTGTTTAATTGTGACTTCCTTATTGAGTATCTAGAAGTAAATACGTTCAAATTCTTTGTGACAGGCTGTGGAAATAGTGAAGGAGAGTACTTATATGGTGGATTTGAAAGGGACGCTGGAGATATTGACGATGCTGTAAAATTCTTAGTTTCTCAAGGCTACGAAGTAGAAGCAATTATTGGTTATGCAAAAGGCGGAAACGACGCTATTATTTATTCTGCACTATTCGGAGATGTCAAAAAAATAATAGCAATAGCTCCAGCAGTTTACATGACAACTTTTAATTTACCAGATTTTTTCCGAGAGAGTATTGAAGAAATTCAGAAATCTGGAGAAGTCAGACATATAGTTCTTGGAAAGGAGTACAGATTTACCTCAGAAACACTAGATGAATTTATGAGCCTTGATATGGATTACTATTGTGACAAAATAAAAGGCGATATTTATTTAATCCATGGAACTGATGACGACAAAGTCCCGTATTCAGATATAGTGGAATATTGTAAGGAATTAGGAGAAAAATGCAAAGAACTTTTCACGTTAAATAACTGTGATCATTTCTTCACAACAGAAATGGATGAAGTTGTTGAAATATAGTGATCGTTTGCTACTTAACTGCTACTTACTTATTTTTCTTACGATAATATGAAGTTTAGATTATTAAAAGCGTGAGCAATTTATATATTAATAAAACCTCTAAGCAATAGGATTGCAATTCACTCTCTGGCAGGTCAGTCTAGTTTTCTTAAGAGCTGAAATAATATTTAAGCAAATAGCAGGCTGGTGCTATAATTCATAAAATAATAGAAAGCTACCCATATATTTGTAAATTAAAATTAGACTGGATAATGAATCTATTTCTTTATATAGCAAAACTGTGTTTTGGTAAAATAGCAAGATTTGATAAAAAAAAATGCAAGGTATTTAGTTTTATTGTTTTTTTATGGTCTATATAATTATGATTTATATATCTGATATTGCAGATTTTTATATTAATTTAAGCATTAAATAAAATCTTGGATAAATCAAAGTAATATGCATTTTTAAATCTATTAATATGATTAAATTTTATATTCCATTTTCAGCTCAAAGAAAAATACTCATCTTACTCTCCTTTGGTTATTGATATAAATCATTCGAAAACTCTGTATTTTAGTGATAATTGACTCGCTTTGTGAAGTAGCAAAAAAATGTAATATAAAAATATTTAGAAATAATAAAATCCTCAGCCAATATCAAATAGCTTTCAATAAATTTAAGTTTTATAAAAAAATAATTACCCCCCCTCCGTGAGTGAAAAATTTTTTTCGCTCACTTAGGGGGGTCAATTTTATTTTTAAAAAATTTATATAAATTTTATAGAAATTCTTTTTTTCGAAATTTAAAAAAATCCTAATTCGCAAAAATTGGAAAGAAATAGTAATTTATTTGATAAAATTTATGTTTTAAAACGCAATTTGTTTAAAATTAAACAGAATTAGCTCGAGGTTTCATTATACTAATTATCACTTATATATAAAAATTTTTTTTCATAAAAAATTTTTCTATTAAAAATATTTTTGTTCACTCACGCAGGGTGGGTTTTTGGGCAAAAAATAGGAATTTTTCCAATGATTTTGCTCACTCACGGAGAGAGCGGAGTTAGAAATATAAACAACTTCTTTATTAGTGATTAAAAATCATTCTTATTAGGAAAAGCGTGAACTTATTATTTTTACAACAATTAATATATTATTTGTCAGCATAAAATACCCAATAAAGTGATAAAGTCCAAATTTCATAATTTAAATGCTGGCGCTGTTAAGATTCATATTTATTTGAACTTCACTTATATACAATTTAATTGCAAAAGCCTTATTAGCCAAATAAATTTTGCCATCAAAAAAAAGAAATCGCAATATTATAGTTTCTGTTCAAACTTACTTTCGCCCCTCTGTGGGGAATAAACAATTTTGTTCTCTTGTGGATGAGTATAATTTTTTTTTTTTTTATTGAAAAAATCCAAATTGAAAAGCAAAATTTAATTTTTAAAATTCATATTTAAAATGCAATTTGTTTCAATAGCTTGAGATTTCATTATGCTAATTATCACTATATATTAAAACAATTTTTATTCACCTTAGATTTTTTTATCTAAAAATAAGGATTTTTTCCAATATTTTTTTCGCTCATGGGAGTTTATAATATGGATTTGGATTATTTTATAAATCGAAGTGGGCTGAAATTATCCTATAGCTTATCGATAAAAAACATAAATGATAGGAAAATCTATGTCATTTGCCATTGGCTTTTTTCAGATATTTTGTTTAATTGCGACTTCGTAATACGGTCTCTAGAAGTAAATATCTTCAAATTATTTGTTCAAGGCTGCGGAAATAGTGAAGGAGAATATTCTCATAGTAGATTTGAAAGGGATGCTGGAGATATTGAAGACGCTGTGAATTTTTTAAAATCTCAAGGCTATGAAGTTGATGGAATTATTGGGCATGGAAAAGGAGCAAGCGATGCTATTATTTATTCTGCACTCTACGGAGAAGTCAAAAAAATAATAGCAATAGCTCCTGGAGTTTATGCAAAGACTTTTAATTTCCCAGAATTTTTCATGAGAAGTATTGCGGAAGCTAACTTCCCCCCCCTCTGTGAGCGAACAAAGCCTTTAGAAAAATCCCTATTTTTTGCGCAAAAACCCACCCTTTTGTGAACAAACAAAAATTTTCATGGGGAAAAATTTTTGACATATAAGTGATAATTAGTATAATGAAATCTCTATCTAATTCTGCTTAATTTTAAACAAATTGCATTTTAAAACATAAATTTTACAAATTAAATTAATATTTGCTTTCCAATTTTTGCGAATTTGAATTTATTTAAATTTCGAAAAAAAAAAATTATAAATTTTATAAATAAATTTTCTTAAAAAAAATTAGCCTCCCTCCGTGAGCGAACAAGACTTTTTTGTTCGGTCACGGAGTGGGGAAGTAAGAAATCTGGAGAGATTAGGCAGGTAATTCTTGGGAGGGAATATAGATTTACAGCAGAAATGTTTGATGAATTTATGAACCTTGATATGGATTATTATACTGACAAAATAAAAGGTGTTATTTATATAATTCATGGGAGAGATGATGAAAATGCCCCTTATTCAGATGCATTGAGATATGCTAGAGGGCTGGGAGAAAAATGTAAAGGACTTTTTACGTTAAATAGCACCGATCATTTCTTTGCTACAGAATTGGATGAGGTTGTTGAGATAATTCATGAAATAATAAATAGCTAAAAGAACGATTTTTATAATAGGGTTATTTAATATTTAGACAGTTTATAGAAAAGTTATTAGGAAATGCCGATAGAGTAAAATTAATTATAAAATACAATCTTTTCAAAATCTATTTCTATTTTGCGTTACAAATCAAATTTTTTACAAATTTTCTTTTATCCTCTTAAAAAATGAGTTTCTTTACAAATCGAAATGGCTTGAGGTTATCATAATTTAAAATGACATGGCGAGCAAGCCACCTCAGAGGGAATTGTCCAAAATTTGGAAATGGGTCTCCCAGAAGAGCCAGTGGTATAATTCCTGGCCAATCGGGACTATACCTAGCATGAAATCAGGAGTTACATCCTGAGCTTACCTATCTGCCTGCCAAGTAGCGTGTGTATGCTCTTCTCCAGCAGAGCGACCTATAACAAACTGACTAGCAAGTGAAGAAAACATTATAGGTGTAGATACTCAATTAGAATCACATCTGACTCCTCAATAATTATTAATAAATTAATTGAGGCTATCGTACAACTTTTCAATAAAAAATCCCCAAGATAACAAAATCTACATCGTCTGCCAATGGTTTCTCTCAGATATTTTATTTAGTTACGAATTTCTCTGCGACTTACTAGAAGTCAATACCTTTAGATTTGATCTTACAGGCAGCGGAAACAGCGAAGGCGAAAATACCTATGCAGGCTACGTAAGAGATGCAGAAGACATTGACGATGCTGTTAAATTTGTAGTTTCACAAGGCTACGAAGTAGAAGGAATTATAGGTCATTCTAAAGCCTCCAGTGGCGTAATTATTTATTCTGCCTTGTATGGGGAGGTTAAAAACATCATAGTATTGGCTCCTCGATTTTTAGCCTGCAATATTCCAGACTTTATTGCCGACAGCATTGAAGAAGTCCATAAGAATGGCTACATCTTGCATACTGCTTTTGGAAAAACCTGGAGAATTACGGAAGAAATGATCCAGGAAATGATGGGTCTTGATTTAAGGTTTTATTGCCAAAGAGTGCAAGGGAATATTTATATTATTCATGGAGAAGCTGATGACAAAGTGCCTTTTTCAGAATCAATAGAGCTAGTAAAAGAATTAAAAGAAAAATGCAGAGGGTTTTTCAAGCTTAATTGTGATCATTTCTTTACAGGGGAAATTGATGAGGCGGTTGAGATTATTCATAAAATTATCGATCAGAATTAATAATTTTTAAATAAATTTTTTAAGGTTAATAAATTGGGCTTAGTTCTGATAGGAATTCTATCTTTTTGATTATAATTTTATATAGAAATTGCCCGAGGATGGAAAATAGCGCCATCCTCGGGCAATTTCTATATCATAAGTTCGAAATTTTCATCTGATTTGCTTGTGAATGGAGACATTTAATTACTTTACAATTTTCAAATCAGACCCAAGCAGATGCATAATTATCATTAGCCTACGATTTCTTCATAACATTTGTGAATAATTTTTTAACCATTGGATTTTCGATCCTTTACTAAAATTTCAATTCTTTAATTAAAATCTTAGCTGCATTGTCTGTATCAGTATCGAAAATAATCCCCTAAAATAAAATATCTCCCCTACATGACTTTTAAAAAAATACCTATTTATTCGCTATTTTCTAGTAGAAATTTTTGTGCATTAATTCATATTTTATAGATTATTCATATTCTTTATATTAAATCAGCTGGCAGAAGCTCTCTTGATTAATATTTTGCTTATAAAATCTAAATTTAATAAAATACTTATATATCCTTATCCTTAACTACTACAAATAAATACCCTAAATACTCAATTTGCATATATATAAAAAAATGTTTGTCCACCAGCAAGGAAATATATATCGCGAACTTATTCTTATATTGCCAGCTTCACAGCTCAGTAATAAAGCACAAGAAGATGACTTTTGTTATAAATCACATTGGTTCTTCACAAAAGAGGCAGAGAAAAGCCACAATTCAGGTTGTTTCAAGATATGAGCCTAAGAGTAGTGGGTATTATATTAACCTTGAAATTTTTAAAGTTATGCTGAAGATTATCCAAATGAGCCCAGCTTTAGCCGATAACAGCCAAGAAATAGGAAAAATCCTTCAATATCTCCAGCAGATCTCTGCACAAAATATCATTAATGATTTTATACAGTTATGCAATGATTTTACCAACGACGTTAGAGAAGTAAAAATACCAGTAAATAGCTCCCAAAGCTCCGTTAAAGATCAACATATGGACGTTGATCAAACTTATGGCAAGGAAGATGCTGAAGAAAATGCTAAGACAAGATGCTCCGAAGGCACATTGCAAGAAAATAGCAGGCCATCGTCTTTGGAACTTAATATTCAAGCAGGAAATTGGTATTTGGAAGAAGAAAAGAATTCTTCACAAAATAATAAACTTCCGCCTCTTATAGAAGAAGACTTTTCGATGGTAAAAATCTGCATTTATAAAAGCGTCAAAACAAATTTTGGTGATTATATAGATAAATCTGCGCTATGAATTTCAATGAAAAGAAGAAAAAAAGAAATAAATTTGTCCAAAGAGGTAGATTATTTTCTGCCTAAAGATTCATCACCAATTGATTTATGCAGCATAATCATAACTGCCAAACTAAAAATAAAGTATAAAGATGCTTCGACAAGAGATAGTGAGGGTTCTGAATCTGTACAGTTGGAAAGAATAAAGGTTGGAGCTATATTAGACGATTTGCTTAATAAAGGCATTATTCGTAAAATTTATGGAGAAGAAGCTTTTCAGATCCAAAATTTAAAAAATTTTGAAGACGAGGTCAAAGGACTGAGTTGGAGAGTCTAGAATAATAATATTGGTGGCTCTTGGAGATATTTAATTAATTATCGATTTTTATTATAAGCTTTAGACAATTTTATCTAAAAATTTTAAGCGTTATATTTTTCTAAATTTGCAGACATCTACATTTACGAAGGCAAAACTTCCAGGAAAAGAAAAACCTTGATTTTTAGAGTAATTTTTAAAGGTCTAATAATTGTAAATTTAATGGAATTGTTTGTCGACAGTCATAAACCTTATGTTGTCAATGACGAGCTTTATATAAGCCAGATATTTGAAATTTGCCTAATTGGCAATCTGAAGTCAAAATCAGAGTGGCTTAGCTTTGTAGCAAAAAATACAAGTGGAGGAGGTGAAGTACAATATAATGTTGAGATCATTCCAAATGATAAGGCCAAAAAGAAAAGCGAGTTTTATTATTGGGACTTCGACAATTTTCTCCCTTACTTACTTTAGTTAATAATAAAAAACTGGCAGATTTAAAAAATTGCTATATTTATCGTCTTTTAATTAATCTAAAAACATTTTATTAAAATCTTCATACGAATCCGCGCTTATAGACTTCTATCATCTCAATATCTCCCAAGATAACCAGAGAAACCAAAGTTTTAATTATCAGTTTCGACAGAAACAGGTAAATTGCCAATGCCTTGACTATTTTGGGAGATATCATGATAATTAAAATACATTAGCATAATAGTGAAAATAATTAATAAATTCCTAATTAAAGCAAGCAAAAATATTGTTCTTTATTATTTAAAGATAAGTTAGTCGACGTGCAGCAAGATCTTGATCATGTAAATCGAGGAGCTGCAGAAAAAATTTGGGCTTTCTTAGTTGATTTCACTGAAAATCGCCCGATCTTGAATGGCGAGGACGAGTATGAATCCATATTTGAGTCTTTTGACGAAAACATAACTCAAAGGTTTACTGATGCTCAAAGTTCTCTAGCTTGTGAGGGAGATTTGAGTATATCATCGTCATCTTCAGAAGATAGTTTATCGATAGGAAACTTTCTTTATGAAGATAGGGAAAAGTATTGGATTGTAAGATTCCAAATGTTCCAAGCTGCAGAAACTGATCTGAGCTGTTATATATATAAAAATTATAATCAAACAAAAATACCTATAGCAAAAAAGAAATGCTTATCCTCAGTTGTAGAAAGATTCTTACCATTATATAATAAGATTATTGACCTAAGAAAAATAAAAGTATCCTCAATGCTTGAGATAAAGTTGTTTAGCAGAGAAGAGCAATCAACCGAAGATTCCTGGCATGAGAGCGAGGATATTAATTGCTGCTTCTGGGAAAGACAAAAAGTCGGAGCCCTTTTTGATAGGCTATTACATTTCAAAGCCATTAAGGCAGCCAGCGGTGGTGAAGCTTTTAAAATAGAAAATTTTAAGAAATTCAACAGCATTACCTCAATTTATGGGTAATGAGTTGACCTTTAATAGCGAAATGTGAATAATTGCTATTTAAATTATTTTTAGCCTGAAGTTTATGAAATTAATTGATTGACAATTTTAGCAATATGAAAATTTTCATTCAATAAAAGGTATGCAAATTAATTGAATCAGTAAATATAAATAATGCTTTTATCAGAAATTAAAAAATGTGTAATTCAAATCACATTATGATAACAAATGGCACAATAAATTTATTATAATTAGCAATATAAAAATAAGCCATTTGAAACTATAAATCATTTATTTTTGATAATCAATTATCGGGATTTATAATTAATAAAGTTTGCCTCTTCAATTGAATTCACAAATTTTAAGGCATTAAATCACTTTTCGTGCCATTTCAACTTACTAGCCAAAATTAATGGTAATGTATGTATTTAAAGCAACCAGTTTTCTATTGATTGAAAGCACGGCAAAAGGCTCAATATGTTAACTTTCATCTAATTTTCCACATTAAGTTTTATTATCTGAGTTGCCCTAACCTTGCCATATATCTTGATCTCTTTATTTCAAAATAAAATTCTTGCCTCTTTCTTAACATTCCAAAATCCAGATATTAGAAAATGTTATTACTAAAGTTGATTATTAAGAAAAATAACTAAAAAAGCCTTTCAAATATATTTTAAAATCTCATTTAATATAGCGAAATTATGCATACAAGCAAGCGTAAGGACATATATATGAAAGCATTACAATCTAAATAAATCTAAATGCAACATTAGTTAAAATGGCCTGGGCCATTGATAATACTGAGATAGATAGGGCACTAACCCAATGCTTAATTACAGATTCGGAAGAAGACGAAAAGAGGCTTAGATTTGTTGTGGAAGATGGAGACAACGGAGATAGACAACACTATTATCTCAAAGTCTTTCCAAATAATAATGAAACTCAACGAGAAGGGTTTTTTCAATGGAGCCTAGATGAGTTCCTCAGTTACTTAAACTCAATTATGAAACTTCCCAATTCTTAAATAGAGAAAATTTAATTTTTTTCAGGAAGTTTCTTATCGAATATTCCACAACCTTACGAATGCCTTATCAGAATGCAGATTTGTTAAATGAGTATGTGGATATGCTTGACCCTAATGACCAAAGCAAAAATGAGCGCACCGATTCTAAGCAAGACAACGCTCAACTGCTTCCTGTTTCTAGATATTCAGAAGCTCGTGAGCAAAATTGAAGCATCCAAGATTTTCTGGAAGAAGACATTTTGATTGTGAGGTTCTACAAACTCATCAGTTTTTACACGTATATATATAAAGAAAGCTGCGGACATAAATTCCTTGTGCACCCCAAAGGTGATATATTCTATTTTTATTAAATTTCTATATAAACTTTTTCCCAAAAATCTTATCTTTTTAATATCAGAACTGCAATATTATTATCAAATTCAATGCGCCTTGGAATATCTTCATGTGTACAAGAGTTCTTAAAATCCAATGAAATAATTGACTTGAGAAACTTAGTTGTAGACTCAGAGTGAAAAATAATAAATCTAAATAAAGATGATCCTTCAACAGCAGATTCAACGCATCAAGTTCAAAATTTAGATCGCATTTTCTGACCGAAATTGAAAATCGGCACTCTTTTACAGAAATTATTGGACAAAGAGGCAATAATTGATCATGGTAAATATTTTATAATTCGAGATTTCAAGATGTTCAAGAACGTCACCTTGATATCTTACTAGATATTTATATTCATGAATATTAATCAGTTTTGCTTAAATTAAGCCTTATGTCTAAAATAGCTTTTATTTTAATATATATATTTTAAATAGTTAAATAGGGTGTAATTCATTTAATAAAATTGATTTTTCTAACTTAAACCTAAATAAATCAATATTGCAGAAAATGAAGCAAATATCATATCAAAATTAATTTCAAATCTCTTTCTGATAATTAATTAGCGAGACTAACCTCATTAATAAAGCTTGGCTGCCCAGTCGAAGCCATGAGCCTCCACCACATATAGTTTCCTTCTAGATCCACTCTTCGCTGTCCTGGCAACGAGTTTTTTCCTTCTCTCGTCGAAATCATTAAATCAATCGGAATAAAGCAAGCCGCTCCGCCTACACATCCAACGGAAAACCCTGTAAACCCAGCAAAAGTCCCATGAACCGCCGCCTGTGCCAATGTTGCGCACAAAACTTTGTCTCCTGAGTTAGCTGGGACCGTCCTGATCATATAAGTAGGATCAATATATTTTAATGTAATATTCATATCCCTTTCCTTACAATATTTTACTATCCCGTCCCTCAAATGTTTGCCTATATCATATAAAATCGGGTTGCCTGAGGCATCTGTCCCTGGCATTACAAGTTTTTCGTCCTTACAAGACACAGCAGCTCCTTCAGCGACCACTACAACAGCGTGTTTTTTAATTTTAAGCCTTTCCAATATATAGTTATAAACCCCATTTGGCCCTGATAGTTCATATTCAGACTCAGGAATTAAGCAGACATTTATATCTTTCCCTACAAATATTTCTTATTTTTTTTAAAAAAATAAATCACCCTAATTTAACTTTTTTTTCCATACATTTCTATTAGCAATTGACGCTTGCATAGCAATAAACCCACTATTTCTCCCCATAAGTTTTACAAGCCCTACTCCATATTCTGCACTATTGGCTTCAATATTTGCTGAGTCAATAGCCCTTTGTGCTTCCTCTACACTCGTGTCAAACCCGAAGCTTTTATCAATGATTGGTATATCATTATCAATAGTTTTAGGAATCCCTGCAATGAAAACTGAAAGGTTTCTCCTTTCCATTTCTTCTACCATTGCATTAATTCCTCTATGTGTCCCATCTCCTCCTATTATATAAATTTGGTTAAAACCGTGCTCTTCAATAGAGTCAGCTATTTTTTCCAAATTCCAGCCACCTCTAGAAGACTTCAAAATTGTCCCTCCAAGGGTATGAATGTCTACGACGTCGTGTGGGGTAAGCTTTTTTATGCAGCCTTCAGTATAAAATCCTTGGTAACCATTCCAAATACCATATATTTCGGTGGTGTCGTAGTTATAGTAAAGCGACATGACGATTTCTCGGATAACCACGTTCAGGCCTGGGCAGAGACCTCCACAGGTAACGATGGCTGCTTTGACGTTTTTAGGGTTCATGATAATTTCCATTCTAGGGCTGCCTTTTAATAGTAAAATTGACCCTGCAATTGGGCAGGATTCTTCAGAAAAAGCGTTGTCAGCGACTAAGTAGCCACCAACTTTATTGAAAACTGACTCAGGGAGAAAAGCTCGGCCGGAGTTGATATCTTGTTTAACGCCAGTACCCAAAAGTGGGTTTAAGAAGACTTTTCCTTCTGGAGGAGGCAGCATTTTGGGAGCCCTAACACCTTTTGCAGCGTCATTTTCGATTGCTTTTTGTTCGTTAAGGATTTTTTCAAGTCTTTCTATTTGACGGACTTGGGAAGTTGTCCTGCGTGTGATTCTTCTGGGCTCGTGACGAGTTTTTCTATAGTGAAGAAGGCTGATAAACCCAAGTGTGGCTGCTCCTAGGAGCAAGATTTGGTTTCACTTGTCTTTATCCATTATTTTATATAACCGAGATTTTTAAGAGAAAAACCAGTAAATTAAATACAAATTAATAAAGAAAATTTATATAAGCTTAAAAGCATAAATTTCTATTAATTTGTTTTGAAAAAAAGTATCATTTTATAGGAAATATAGATTTTAAATTATTAGCAAAAAGAGATAATTAATAGAAAAAGCTATGCAAAAAGCATAATAAATATGAAGATCGAAGAGGTTAAAAGCACAACCCGCCAGCAACGCATTGCAAGCCATAGCCACATAAAAGGCTTACTCCTCCTTTATTTTAAAGCAAATTTTTATTTTATAAGTGAAAATAGAATTTAATATGCGAATAGCTTTAATGCCACCATAAATACAAATTTACCTATAAGAGTTCTACACCACATTGGAGGAGTGCAATTAGACAATTCTTTAAAAATAAATCACTTTTAATCGATAAACTTATAAAAATATTAATTACGAAAAATTTTTTTTTTGTAAAATAAATTTTATTCCAAAAAAAATTAATCCTTTCAAAATAGGAACAGAATTTTTAGTAAAAATAAAGGGGGAGTTAGGACTCAATGAAGAAGGCCTAGCTGACCGCAGCTCTTCTGGTCTTGTAGGACAAGATGCAGCACGTGAAGCTGGAGGAATTGTAGTCGAGCTCATCAAATCCAAAAAAATGGCAGGTCGTGCAATCTTGCTCGCAGGACCTCCAGGGACTGGAAAAACTGCAATTGCGTTAGCAATTGCCCAAGAACTCGGCCCAAGAGTTCCATTTTGTCCTATGGTAGGTTCTGAAGTGTACTCTTCTGAAGTAAAAAAGACGGAAATTTTGATGGAAAATTTCCGTAGGTCTATCGGATTGAGAATAAAAGAAACAAAAGAAGTCTGGGAAGGCGAAGTCACTGAAATTTCTCCTCAAGAACAAGAAGACCAATACGGAGGCAGTGGAAAAACAGTCACAAGCGTCATAATTGGCTTAAAAACTGCAAAAGGGACCAAGCAGCTTAGGCTAGACCCTACAATTTTTGAAAGCATTCAAAAAGAAAAAGTTTCTATAGGAGATATAATTTACATAGAAGCCAGCAGTGGGAATGTAAAAAGGGTGGGAAGAAGTGACGCATATGCAACTGAATTTGACTTAGAAGCTGAAGAGTATGTACCAATCCCTAAAGGAGATGTCCATAAGAAAAAAGAAATAATCCAGGATGTCACTTTGCATGATCTCGATATGGCAAATGCTAATTTTCCCTTCAAAATTTTTCGTAATTAACAAATTTATTTTTTTTAAAAAAAAATATTTATAACAAAGAAGTAAGCCTCAGGGCGGAAAAGATTTTTTGTCCATGATGGGCCAAATAATGAAGCCTAAAAAAACTGAAATCACAGAAAAACTCCGCGCAGAAATAAATAAAGTCGTAAACCGATATATTGACCAAGGAATCGCTGAGCTCGTCCCAGGAGTCTTGTTTATTGACGAAGTCCATATGCTGGACATCGAGTGCTTTACATATCTGAACAGAGCTTTAGAGTCTCCTTTGTCTCCAATTGTGATTTTAGCTACAAATAGAGGAATCACCACAATAAGAGGGACTGAAATTCAAGCTCCACATGGAATTCCACAAGACTTGTTAGACAGATTATTGATAATCCGAACAATGCCTTATTCATTGGCAGAAATCGTAGAAATTATTGCAATAAGGGCAAGCGCAGAAGGACTTTCAATGGAAGAAGAGGCTTTAGCCCATTTTGGGTATATTGGCTCACAGACCACGCTGAGATATGTTATGCAGCTGCTAACACCTAGCAGAATTATAGCAGAAACAAATGGAAGAGACAAAATCTGCCAAGGCGACGTCGAAGAAGCTGGCAAGCTCTTTTTCCACGGCAAACAAAGTGCCCAAATCCTGCGTGAGCAAGCTGATCAATATATTTCCTAACTATTATTTAGTGTTTTAAGAAGCATCTCCTCGTCATATGTGGTAAGCCTATCCTTTCATGTTTTTCCTTGATCCACTCGTCCCAGTACCCATCTTTATTATCATAATACGTAATGACGCTTGGGATGACCCCATCCGGGTTTTCATGATTCCTCTCAAACCAATTCACTCCATAATCTGGAATTTCCCAGTCATAAGTCTCAAACTTATGCCTTTTTTCTGTGATTGTTTCTCCTAGCATGCTCATCAGTTCTCTTTCTTCTTTGCTCATAGACTGAATTTTTTCCATTTCTTTTTGCTTTCTCGGCAGCGGTTTCAGTTCATTAGGATCTTTGACGACCTGTTTATCACCGCTATAATCAACCATATTTTCTCTTTCAATAGAAGTCAGCTTGGTGACGTCAATGTCTTTTCTCCAGCGCATTTCTTCATTTTCACCAAATTCGTCTTCTTCTGATGCAGACACCTCACTTTCTTCATCAGCGAATTTTTTCTTTTTTTTGGGTTCTTCTGGCTCTCCACTAACTGATCTCTTTGTCTCTTCCTTAGGTTTTTTGGTTACTTTGGCTTCTTTGGCTTTCTTCTTTTTGCTTTTCCTCGGTTCATCCCATGGATCACCTTCTTCATCTTCATCTTCTTCTGAGCCTGGCCCATAATCCCGAGTGTCTACGTATTCATAATCTTCGTCTTCTTCTTCTTCTTCTCCTCCTCCTTGTGGGGCGCTGGCAGCTTCTTCTTTTTTGGCTGTTTCTGCTATTTTTGATTTTTTAACACGATTTTGTTTATCTTTGGCTGGGAATTTCTTTTTTTCATCTTTTTTTGCAGTTGTGGTGGCTGCTGGGGTGGCTGCTTTGGTTTCTTTGGATTCTTCAGCTTCTTCTTCTTCTTCTTCAGGTCCTTCTGGGAGTGCCGAATCTCGGTCTTCGTCAGTATCATAAAATCTGCTTTCCCATTCTTCAATTAAGGACTTTTTGAATTCTTCAGTGTCTGAATCCCAGGCAGGGTCATAATCAACTTGTGGGTTATCAAGGTTCAAGGTTTCTTTTTTAATAAAATACTCCTGCAAGAACTTGTATTTAGTTTCGTCTCTTGGTGTCAAAAAGTTGCAGAGCTTATTTAAGAAAATTTCTTTATTTTTCCTGGACATTAAAGGGCGGCATCTGTCTAAAATTAAAGCGACAGAAACGACGAGGCGGTGCTCACGATAGTACCTAGGAAGCATTTCATAGTAATTTAAGCAGCTTGAATATGAAACTGGTTTCCATGGCTTATTGGGGGTGGGAAATTTTTCGCCTCTGTCGAATCTTTTTTTTAGTTTTAGAGATGTTTCCATTGCTGGGTAGACGTTCCACCTCTCAAGGGCCCTTGTGATATCTATATAGTTCATTGGCAATTCTTTGGGCACTGGCAAATATTCTTCGTCTTCAAGCACAGAAATTGCTGTGATGCTGTCTGGGGAAGAGGGTTTTACTATGAAGGTCTCTTCAGGATGATTCATTATATATTCATAAGGCTTGTAATGGGTTGTCATAAATGTCTTGAGTATCTCTGGGTGTGTATAGAATTTTCCGATTTGCTCTTTTAAATATATGCCTCCCATCAAGCCAAACTGCTCAAAATATTGTAAAGGCCTTGGCTGATTTTTAACGTACCACTCAGCCCAATATGAAGGGTCGTCTTCCATGTTTGGTCCAAGAATGGACCCTGGGTATTTGCGCAGATCTATTTTTGGGTCATAAATTTCCGCTAATTTGAAATACTGATTAGCAAAAACGTCCCCATTGATCTCATCTGAAAGATATGTTCCGCGGCCTCCTCTGGTGATTTCTTCTTCTCCATCATAGCTGCCAATGGTTCTTTCCAATGATAATTGTGACTTATGCTGACGTATCCAAGAACGGATTTCATTGCTAGACATGTGCTCCCCATGGTTTTCGATTTCTTCCCAATGAAGACCACGTGGGCCTGGCTCCAACATCTTATCGGCGTATTTGTTCAATTCTTTAGTCCTCGATTCAAGATATTGTCTGGCTGTGTTCCATTCTTTTTCGACTGGGACCAGAACTTCAGGAAGCTTTATTTCATTGGGCTTGATAGACGCAAAATACTCGCGTGATTCATCTCGGTAGGGTGGGATGTATTCATTGTCGGCGAGCTTGATTTTTTTCTTTTTCTTTGATGAATCGACAGGGGGAATGTCGATTTTGACAGCTTGAGGCTTGAGTTTAGTGCCTAAAGATTCTAAGGTTTGTTGAGTAAAACTCGAGCTGCTTCTTTTCAATATAAATATTGCTCTCAACATTTATATGCTTATTTAAAGAAATTCATAATGAGTTATGGTTAAATTTACTATTTTTCTGAACTCTGCAGCTGTTTTAACAAGTACTGTGATTCAACTGGCCCAGTGTGCAGAATTAAATTCCTAAACAAAGAATCTTCTCTATTACCTAGCTCATAAGGAGTTCCAATTTCTTTGCAAGACCCACTTTCCATCACAATTATAAGATCAGTATCTATAATTGTCCTCAGCCTATGAGCAATAATCAATAGTGTACTTGTTTTGAATTTTTTTCTTATTTGTGTCTGTATAAATCTATCAGTTTCTGGGTCAACATTGGCGGTGGCTTCGTCCATCATGATGATTTTATTTTTCCTTATCAAAGCTCTTGCAAGACAAACCAGCTGCTTTTGGCCTGTCGATAAATTCCCGCCTTCTCCAATCAAAGAGGTTTCTAGTCCTTTCGAAAAAGAAGACAGAAGGCTTGATAGGCGGGTTTGCTCAATAACAGAAATTATTTCTTCATCAGAATGCTCACGGAAAGGGTCAAGATTGTCACGAAAACTGGCTAGAAAAATGGTTGGGGTCTGAGGGATTACTGACATTTGTTTGCGCAGCTGATGAAGGCCTGATTTCATATAGTCTTGGCTGTCAATAAGAATGGTGCCGTTACAAGGGTTGACAAGGCGGAAGAGGATTTGCATTATAGACGATTTTCCAGCTCCTGTCCTGCCGACAATGCCGACTTTTTGGCCAGGCTCGATTGTAAAACTAAGGTTTTGGAGGACGAGGGGGAAGTTTTCTTGGTATCTCATTGATAAATCTTTTATTTCGATTTTACCTTGACTTATTACAAAATTTTCATTATTTTCGAAAACTCCTTCTTCCTCTATGTTTGCGTATTCAAGAATTCTTTGAGGAGAAGCCATCAAATTATCAGTCTCTATAAGTGTAAATACCCAGTAAGAAATATACCCAGTCGCAGATATTGATAATGAGATTGTCATAGCTGCTAGGCTTGGGTCAATATAATCTCTATAAAGCACAATAATAACCACATTAAAAATAGCTACTACAAAGGATCCTAGTTCTACGTATGACTGGTAAAACCTAAGTACCAGCCAATACCCGAGTGTCGCTTTTGAGTTCAGTGTGATTGCATTTTTCATGTCATTTATAAACTTTTTTTGAAGGTTCAATGACCTTATAGTGATTACACCATGCACCGAAGAATTGCAGATAGACAGAATAGGACTTTTAGTGACCAGCTCAATTCTCCTTAAATCCTTTGTAATTGGTGCCAGCTTTTTGGCTAAAATTGTCACATATATAAAAAAAATCAATATGACCCCTATATTAGGTGGCGCTATGATGGCCAAAAGAATTAAGTTTCCCCATAGATAAGTTGTAGCGACAACCAGCTCAAAAGTGGTGGACGACAGCATTTCGTCCATTAATAGAGTGTCTTTAGAAAACCTATTTATCAGTCTCCCAAATGGATTTTTGTCAAAAAATGAGACTTTTGTTTTGGTTATGCTTTCTAAGCCTTCATTATGGATTCTTTTAGCACCTCTAAGCATACCATAGCCAAATAAGACTGACCTAGTAAAGGTAGCAACATAGGTGCAGCCAATTATAATGAAATAAACCCAAACATAAAAAGGATCTTTTTGGTCATCAGCGTCACATCATATTGCAAGCCATCAGCTGACTGCTGTCATACAAGCTTGGTTGGCTAATAATAAAAAAATTGCAAGAATAAATAAAAACCAGCCAAACGCAAGCTTAAAAAATTTGTAATAAATTTTAAAAGGGACTTTTCCAGATGCTCTTTCTTCTTCTTGTATTAATAAATTGTCTTTTTCATTTTCTTTTGTTTCTGCTTCTTTTATTTTCACTTCTCCATTTTCTGATTCTTTTTCTTTGTCGTCATTTAGCAAATGCCCAATAACGTCTTTGATTTCTTCATTTTTTTGCAATTCTTGGTAATTTCCACAGAATACTTGGTTTCCTTCAAAAAGCACCAAAATTTTATCAGCTTCAGGAATTAAATGCACCTGATGGGTTGCGAGAATGACAGTTTTATTTTTTAGGAAATCTTTAATACAATAATTAAAGATGTGAGTGCTTACTTCTGCATCTACAGCACTGAGAGGGTCATCTAATAAGATGATATCGCGATTGGTATAAACGGCTCTTGCTAAGCTAATTCTTGCTTTTTGGCCGCCACTTAAGGTGATTCCTCTGTCTCCTACCATGGTGTTGTCACCAAATTTGAAATTTTCGAGATCCCTCTCTAATGCGCATGCAAAAATCACTTTTCTATATAAAGATTCATCAAAGTCCAAGCCCATTAAAATATTTTCTCTTATTGTCCCTGAAATAATCCAAGGATCGCCTTCACAATAAGAAATACTCCCATTGAACCCAATTTTTCCACTGGTTAATGAGATTTCTTGGAGTATCCCCATAAATAAACTGCTTTTTCCACAGCCAACAGGACCTACCACAATTAAAAGGTTTCCATTTTTGAGCTTGAAATTCACATTATTTAAGGAAAATGCATTTGAATTTTGGTTCTCAATCAGCCCTTTTTCTGTTTCTAAATTATATTTATTTGTCGATTCAGCTGCTATTTTCCCTTTATTATCGCCTCATACAAAATTTGCATCTTTTACAGTAATCATATGGTTTTTTGTCAATTTATAAATATTTTCTTCTTTATTTTTCATCAGTAAAGTATTTGTGACTCTTTTCATAAACATTGCAATCAAAAATGTCATTATAACTGCATGAAGCCCAGCTCCCGTCACAAGAACATTCGTCATCATAAAAATCGAAAGCGAGGCAAAAACAACGCCATTTTCCATTGTATTTCCTAGGTAAACGTATATCAAAAATGTGATTACTGTGCATAAGCCTACAGATCCATTCCCAAACATAGTGCTCAAAGAGTGGACTTTGAGCTTATTTATCATCTGTTTTATTTCTGCTGATCTTTCTTCAAAAATTAAATTTAAGTATGGATGCTCCCAGCCATAAAGCTTGACAATTCTTATCCCTTCTATTAAATTAGATATCATTTTTACTCTTCGGTCGCTATGAAATGCTGCTTTTCCTCTGAATTTTCCAGTTATAGAGCCAGCTATCATAATTATAGGTAAATGAAAAACTAAAATAATCAAGCCGATAATGCCAGCTGGCCCAAGTAAAATACCAATAATGATAAAAGCTCCGATAAAAAAGGTAGGAATTGACAATGAATAGATGAATAGTAATAGACCATCCAAAAAGTCTACTTCAGATGCTATTACATTTGATATATTTCCTCGGGCGTTACCTTTCGTCATAACTAAGTTCGATGTGCTTAGAACCTTTCTATAAACAAGTGTTGGAATTATCCATTTCAGTCTCAAACTTTGCAAATTAATACGAAAAAATGCTAAATTGTTTAAAAAATATGCAATAAGTGAGACTGCTGCAAATGCAAGCACATATAGTGCTCCAGCATAGGAATCATAGCTGCTGTCTTTAATGAATCTGATTAAAAATATCACTAAAATGGCTTGGATAAGTCCGAGATTCCAGCTGATAATTCCTGGTAAGCAGCTTTTTAATATATCTCAGCCAACCACTCTTATCACAACTTTTAAAAAACTTGGTTTTGGTCTTTTTGATTCTTTTTCTCATTCATTCTCGAAAAGTAAGACAGCTTTGTCTATTTCTACTCTTTCGGGGATTTCCAGCATATTTGTGAGACCTGGCTTGCTTAGTTTTCAGTGTCGGATTGGGTTGAAAGCTCATGCTAAATTGAGGTCTTTGAAGATGTTGGACTTGTCGTAAGAAAAAGCCGGTGAATCCTTTACAATATCGTCCATATTAATTCTGCTAAGTTTCAGAGATAAGCCTAATAAAATATGCTAAATTAATTAAAGAAACAATTGCTAAATAATTATGAATTTGATAGAATTTATCATTAATTTTTTTTAGTACATTTAAATCGAAAAACTCATGCAAGAACAAAAAATTAAAGCTTTTTTACCCATTTTATCACTTAAAATGTTAAAGAGGATGCTCTGTTTAAAAACGAAGAGCTCAGCTATATGTTTCTTTATTTAAAAATTTACTATATGTCCAACAATTATATACTGAGGTTTTATATCTGCGTTAAAATTATAATTTTTATTTTATAAAAAGCCTGATTTTTATTGTTGAATAAATAAAAATGAAAAAAGCCCTTGGCTTAGCTTTTTTATTACCTTCTATAGGAGCTGGATATTATCTATTTTCCAAAAGAACTCTTCCAGAGCCTACTGGAAAACCATATCAGGAGCTTCCAAAAGCTTCTTATGAAGACCACCCCAATAAGCATATAATCTCGAAAATCCCCAAAACAATCGGAATTATCGGTGCCGGTATGAGCGGCCTTATAAGCGCCAAAACCTTTAGAACTCAAGGCTATGAAGTAGAAGTTATCGAAAAACGTCCAGGACCTGGAGGAGTCTGATACGAAAATTTTGATAATTCTGGCTTGCAAGGTACAAAAGATACTTATTTTTTGCCAGACTACCCTTTTCCAGATAATTACCCACCATTTCCAAGGCGTCAACAAATAAAGGACTGAATTGATGGGTTAGTTAAAAAATTCGATTTATCGCCATTAATAAAGTTCAATACAGAGGTAAAATCAGTTACACAAAATCCAGATGAAACTTGAAAATTAACATTTAAGGATGGGACGTCAAAAAATTATGATTTTCTGGTGGTTTGTTCGGGATTTAATGATATTCCAAAAATTCCTCAATATAAAGGTCAGGAAAATTTTAAAGGAAAGATTTTATACTTTTTTGTTAAAATTATACAGAGTAAAAATAGGATTATGGGATTAAAAATATTGATATTTATTATTTAATAAGGAATACATAGCAGTGAATTTATTAATGCAAAAGTACATTGCCAAGGCAAAAAAGTTATTGTTATAGGAGCTGGAAAAAGTGCATTTGATATTATGTCAACTTCAGTTGACTATGGTGGTGAGGTGCTCGGGCTTGTAAGGAAAATCGGGTATGCATATCCAGTTAACCCAAAACCATATGGAATCCCATTTGAATTTACGACATATTCAAGGCTTGCATATCTCTGTGGAATCATATATGACCCAGAAAGCAGTTTTATTCATAAATATTTCGGCTTCATTGAATATTTATGACTAAAATTTGTCCATCTCCAATTAAGATATGGAATAATCAAAGAGCTTGAGCCTGATGAAAAAGATTTGCACTTCTTAGAAACTGCTGGAATAAGAGATCCGCCAGTCCAAAAGAAAATTGCTGATGGGAAAATCAAACTTATGAGGGGAGAAATCGAGGAAATCAAAGAAAATGGAATAATGGTAAAAGGGAAACTTATAGAGTGTGACACCATTGTATTTGCAACAGGCTTCAAGCCAAATTATTATGTAAAACAAAAAGAAAACGACGGGTTTTGGCTATATAGAGATGTATTAGTCCCTGGAGTAAGGAATGTAGCAATTGTAGGAGCTTTTATAACAACTTACACAAATTTATGAAGTAATATACAAGCTTTATGGCTCGTCGATATTCTAAGAGGGAGTTTCAAGGTTGCTTCTATAGAAGAAATGAATAAGGACATTGACAAGAAAAAGAAAATCATGTTTAAATACTACGAGAACTATAAAGGCGACCCAATTTATATCAGTTCTCAGCCGTTTTCACCATTTATTATTGATGAATATCTAAATGATCTCAAAATTCAAACCGTTAGAGACGATACAATGTATAAGCATTGGTTCAAAGCTTTTGATATCAATAACTATAAAACAGTCGTCACGCATCATATTTAATTAGCAAGTTACCATAATAATTGTGATTATATTAAATTAATTTTTAATTTTTTTGACTTGCAATGTAGTCTAAATAATCCATTTCACTCTGAGAAAGTGATTGCTTACAGCTAGGGCAGATAGTAAGTGGCTTCTTTACTTTGGAAGCAAATTTTGATATGCAGTTCCAGCAAATATTCTTTTTGCATTTGGAAGAATGTTCAAAATATAATTCTTCAGTGATAATATTTGTACAATTTATGCACCAAGGCAAATACGAATCAATATTTATGGATTGAGAGACATTCTGAGAAGGGTTTGAGTAAGGATTTTTTGTATTTTCTAAGGGTGTTAGTGGAGGAGGCTTTGAGTAAAAGCTTGGGATTTGTAGGGATTGTGATGGAAGCTCATATCTAGCTGGCTGAGGTGGAAGATTTTGATATGTGCTTTTCGAATTTTCCATAGGTATAAATGAAGGCTGCGGGTTAAGGTTTGGCCTTTGAGGGGCTTGAGAATGAAATTCATAAGAAACTGGCTGATAGGATGAGTTTGACACTTTTTGGCTTTGATTTTGATATGTTGGAACAGACGAATTGAATGGAACCTGTGATTGATTTAGGACTTGAGCTTGTGAATTAAAAGCAGGAACTTGAGAATTCATATTTGGTAAGAATGGTCTTGGGATAACATTCACAATTTCATCTCCTTTTTGGAGATTTATCGGATTTATCGGTTTATTTACAGCATAAAAATTAGACTGAGGATTATCTAATCTGGGCTGAGGATTTATTGGATTTATCTGATTGTTTACAGCATAAAGATTAGACTGAGGGTTATCTAATCTGGGCGGCTGAGGATTTATTGGATTTATCTGATTGTTTCCAGCATAAAAATTAGGCAGAGGATTATCAAATTTTGATGGCTGAGGAGCGATTGGATTCTCCTGAATACTTCCAGCATAGATGTCAGGCCTAGAATTCTCTGCTTTAAATGCCTGGTTGACATTATATGTATAAAATTTTGGTAGCTTATTTCTATCGATTTGGTTTTCTTCAGCCTGCAATGGGGCATCATACTCGTTTTTAGAAGGGAAGAAATTTGGCTTATTTATGTTTTCTTGAGGTGGAATCTTTAATTTCACCTCAGATTTCCTTAGAGGCTGGGCTTGAATATTATCATTAGGGCCAGAATCATTATATCTGGATTTCGTAGGTATTTGTAAGCTATCGTTAGGGAGATTTACAGATGATGGACTGCTGAAGTCAGGGAATTGAATGCTATCATTAGGAAGCTTAAAAGATGCAGGATTTCCAAATTGATTTGTCGTTTTTTTGCTATCTTCTTTTTGGGCTGGCAACTTTGGAAAATTTAATGTGGTTTGTGCTAAGTGATCTGGAACTTGTGTCACATTTACTGCTGCTTCTTTATTAGGCTCTTTTTTCCCAATTATTTCAGCTTGCTCAATGTTTATAGCGACTTTTTCATTTGCCTCTTTATCAGTTTTTCTCACAGTTACATTTGGTATCTCAATATCCATATCATCAGGGTGTTTAGGCTCCTTTGGGGTAATTTTTATAGAATCCTGATTTTTGGATTCTTCAATCCCTTCTAGGGTATCAGACTTGCTTTTCTTTTTCTCCTCTTCTAATTTTCATCTGCTTTCTTTTTCATTTTTCTTTTCTTCGTCAAATTTCCCTTTATTTTTATTTTCTTTCACTTTAGCATTACTCTTTTCTTCTTCGGCTTGGCTATCAAGCTTGGCTATTTCTTTTGCCAAAAGGATGCGATTCTTTTTCAATTCCTCAGACCAGTGGCCAAGTAGCTCTAAAACCAAAATCATTAAATCAATGGCTCTATAAATTTCAAAGAGGTCTAAGGGCTGCTGGTGCGCCCATTCGTTTCTATAGGCTTTGATGGCCTTTATAAAAGTTATATGAGATTTTTTCCCGAACTTGTTTTCATTGAATTTCATGGCTTTCGACCATAAAAGAGTCAGCAGCTGAGTCAAGTCTCAAGTCTTTAAGTCATTCATTTTAGATTTCTCAAAGCCTTTAGGACGTGCATCATAAACTTCGTTGCAATTCATTCATTTTGGTCCATGCAACTCCTCAAAGTCAATGCTAATAATTTCAGCTAATTTGTCCCGAAAAGCTATAAGGGAGTCTTGAAAAATTTGCTCCTTAGACATTTTCTTTAAAATATATGCAGAATTTAATTTGGGAATTAGCTTTAGGATAAAGCATCAAAAAAATATTTATAAGTATAAATCTACTTTTTTCCTATTGAGAAAAATATTATGATTATTAAAGCTCTATTGTATTTTAATTATTCTTCAACAAAAATATAATTCTTTTGTTAGATTCTAAGAACAGCCCTCAATATTTAAATTTCCCAAGAGAATTATTTTCATCTCCATTGGCATATTTCTTTTAAAGATATTCATCAACTATTACTTCAAAATAATGGAAACTTCATTTAAGTTAAATCCTATCAAAGCATATTCAAGCCTAAAGACTCCTCAATCAAAAGCCTCCCAGCAGCCCCCTCACGTTGATTCTGAGATTCCTCAACTCTTAGCATTAATTCAAAGTGAATCTTATGAATTAATAATTTCTAAAGATTTTGAAAACGCAATCCCAAAGCTGAAAAAACTCGAACAAATATTAGAAGCTTTAATAATCCAAGGAACCAATAGTGATTCTGACCTTATTTTAGCTACTATTCATAATATTGCTCTATGCTACCAGAGAATAGGAGATTTAGAGAAATGTATTGCTTATCTTGAAGGGTGCCTTTTCAATGTAAACAAGTTTGGAGCGATGAATTCTTGTAATACCCTTATGGAAGGAGAATTAAAACGGAATCTTTATAAAATAAAACTGTATGTACAGTCCTGCGCCGTTCTATCACAGCTAGAAAAACATAAAAAAGCTTTAGACAATGCCAAAAACGCTTTGAAATTAAGTTTAACCGCAATACGCCTCACCATTCAAGCCTGCAAGGCTCAGCTAAAAAAATACAAAGCCTTAAAGCAGCGAAATTCTTTAATTACTGATGATTTAAGAAAAAGTTATAAGGTCATCTACATGTCCTATCCTGCCATTAAAGCTTTACGAAAATATTTACTGACAGGTTCTTTAAATCACCATCAAAAAATTCGGTCAGTTTTAGGTATAAAAGACGACCCCGACTGGTTAAAAACCTTAACGATCTCTGACATTATGTTTATGCAGCCTTACACTACTGAAGATCTCAAGCAATCTTTAGGTCTCCAAGTAGAGTTTACTAACGATTATTTATTATATAAAATTTGCTTATTAGCTGTCAGTCATTTTTGTATATCGACTGAGCTCCGTTATAGCGTCTCCACGCTTATGGATACTATAGCCTTGAATGTTAAAGGGGAGATCCAAGGGTTGTTTCACCATTTTATGTTGGTGCACTAACCCTCAAATTGGCAAATCTGCTTTATCAGACGGATTTGTCAATTTTAGACTGGCTTCATCAACATTCTCAACTTCATTTTTATAGCAAAAATAATTTGTTTTAAGAATGTACTTAAATTAGTGATGATAATCATTTTTGTTAACAATTTTTATATCTAAATTTGAATGCCATGCTTTTAATAATTCAGGATCTCCTTGGAAGACATCAGGACTATGAGAATCCGTAAGTTTGGAGACTTTATATATGAGCGCTTACGATGATGCTAAAAAGGCTCACAAAAAATCAGTAGAAATTCTTGAGTATTTCATTCCAGACGTGTCACCATTAAGAATTCATATAGAAGAATGCTATAAGAAAAGGTTTGGGGAAGATGAAATCATGCTAAATCAGACTGCTGATAATATTCATACGAAAAAAAGAAACTCCTCGATGCTGCCAAGTATAATAGAAAGACCCGAATCCTTATCACCGAGATTGGCAGAAAATAAAAATAAACATTTTAATGCAACTTTGAGACCTCATAGTGTACTAAGCAAAGGGAAAGTGACTGCTGAAAAAAGGAAAAACGCGACTATGAAATTAAGCGAATTAAAAAGAAAAAACAGCAATGAAGAAATAAAGCTTAATATTTCAGCAAGGTTGGATTGAGGATAATGATTAAATTTTCCTGTTTATTATAATTCTAACAATTTAAAATGGCAAGCAATGAAAATTTGCTTTATGATTCCCTTATGCTCAACCATTACAACAGCTCTTCAAAGCTTTCAGGAAAATTAAATTTTACATGGAACCAAGACCTTGTGCTCCTACAGAGAACTGATATCTCAAACTTTGCGGCCGAATCACTAAAAACAATAGACAGCAGCTTACTCCCCCCCCCCCTCCGTGAGCGAACAAAACCATTAGAAAAATCGCCATTTTTTGACCAAAAACCCACCCTCCGTGAGTGAACAAAAAATTTTTTTAATAGAAAAAATTTTAATGGAAAAAAATTTTGATATATAAGTGATAATTAGTATAATGAAATCTAGAGCTAATTCTGTTTAATTTTAAACAAATTGCGTTTTTAAAACATAAATTTTGCAAATTAAATTAATATTTGCTTCCCAATTTTTGCAAATTAGGATTTTTTTAAATTTCGAAAAAAATATTTTTTATAAAATTTATATATATAAATTTTTTTTAAAAAAAAAAATTAACCCCCCTCCGTGAGCGAACAAAATTTTTTTGTTCGCTCACGGGGGGGGGGGGGGGGAGTTAGCAAATCTAGGTTTCGAGCCGATTGAGAAAAAAACGGAAAAAGAGAAAACCAAGAGCCCTTCAACAGAGTCTGACCTCAGTGTAAAGCTTAAAGCTTTGAGCTCCACATATAGAAGTAATAATTCACAAACCCTAAGCTCTAGCAAAAAGATGAAGGTAACTGATAGGAATTTCTTGAGTGACGAAATAAGGCAGAATAAAAAAATAGAAGAAATTCAGAATTTTATAGCAGAAAGAGAGCAGACAAGAAGAGTTCATCTACAAAGAGCAGGATCTATAAGCAGCCAAGGGATGAGGAAAGAATTAAGGACTGCGCATAGTTTAAGAAGAATGGATCCTACAACTGTGAATTTTATATAGAGAAATAATGTAACTACAGAAAGGCCAAACTCATCAAGCACTGTTGCTTTTGGGGCAAGAAGCCAGATGGCAAAATATTCAAACACGAATATTTTGAAAAAAATAAGGGTTATCAGGAAAAAACCCTCCGTTATTTGTGACGGTAAAAAGGAAGCAGGAAAAAACTTAATTGATTTTTTTTCCTGATGACCTAAAAATAAATGGGGGTAAAAAATATCAAAAATCTTTGTTATAATCCTATTGATTAGATATATATTATATACAGCAAATATAATGTAATATATAGACATTTTTAAATATTAAACTTTTATTTATTTTTAGTATGGACTAATTAATTCAATATGATTTTTGAAATTGAAAACGGTAAGATTTTCAATGAATGATATTAAAAATTATAGTTAAAATCAAGGATTATGAGCAGGATTCCTGCTGGATAAGCAAAAGATGTATGAGAATTTTCTTAATAGATGCCCTTTTTTCTGTAATTTTCTGAAAATTGAAAAGTTTAAAACTCTTGCTGGGTTTAGCTTTATGTGAGGTAAACATAAGAAAATTTAATTGACTTTATAATTATTAAATGATACCAATTAATCAAAAAATTGCTTTAATTCCCATTCTTATTGATTCATCAAATTAAGGCTTAAATAATATATCTTTTAAAAGAGCATTATAAATGCGGAAAGAATTAAATAAAAAAGCATTTATGCTAATGGAAAATTAAATAAATTTTAAAAAATATTGATAAAGTGAATAGAGCTTTATCAGCAAAAAAATGGAAAAGTGCTTCAATTTTCAAATATTTAGATGAGAATGCAAGTTTAACATAACATATTCAAGCAAAAGTAGAATCTTGACACTAAAAAGAAATTCTCTGAGAGAGCTGGAACATTGAAACCACTATTAAAAGAAAAATCGTCAAAATATGCAAACATAAGTCAACAAAGAATTTAATTTAAAAATTAGGGGCACGCTTTTATTTGCTGTCGATGAAAATTTAAGTGAAGATTTACCTAAGTATACGATGCTTATGTGCAAATTATTGACTGTTATTCAGCTATAAAATTTGAATTATAATGCTTTTGAATTACCTAAACTTCAGCTTGCTTAGTATTTTTTCGTAAAGCCCATGCTTAGTAGCGAACAAAAATTTTTTATATAAATATATTTTGATATAAGTGATAATTATTTTAATGAAATCTCTAATAATTTTGTTTAATTTTTAATAACTTCATTTATAGCATAAATTTTGCAAATTAAATTCTATTTGCTTTAGATTATTTTGAATTTGGGAATTTTTAAAATTTTGAAAAAAATTAATTGTCCTCATGGAGGGAGGAGTTAGTATAAAAAAAAATAAACTGTCATAATTATGCGAGAAGCTCTTTATTAAACTAAAGGATTATAAAAATCTTACAGTAAACTTGTTTATATAACATAATTTTCATATTAAAATGCAGTAATATGATAATCTATTAATTCCATAATTACTGAACGAAGAATTACAAATTTCGGTCAGAACCTGAAAGGAAAATTTCAAAAATTCTTAAACAGAGTATAAATAAATCCCTAAAAGTCTTCAGCCATCAAAAAGCACTCACATCATTAGGATAATTTTACCACAGCCAACAGTCCAAAAATTCAAAAAATAACCATTAAGCCAGTATTAATATAGGCCAAACACCCCGAACCCACAAAGAGGAAGATCCAAGCTCTTCTCTCCCCACCACATGGCGTTACAGTTTTGCTAGATTTTTAGGCTAGCTAATAATGGATAACTACATATCTTTCATACTGATGCATGTTTTATAAAATATGGGACTTTGTGTTTCTAAGAAGCCACAAAATCTAAAGTCCTATAAAGACACAAAAGTAATTTCCATAGACTCTCTAAAGATAAAAAAGCTAAAACGAAAACTGCTTAAGAAAAAGGCTGAAAAAGCTCCGAAATTAGAACTTGGAAAGAACTTACTATACCTCAGGCGACAAAAATCAAATATCAGGTCAGAAGAAACTTCTTATGATATCAATACAAAAGCCTTCACAGAAGATAATTCCCCCGTAACAAAAGTTGAGTATAATAATTTACATTGTTTTTTCTTGAGATTTTTAAAGCATGGAATATAAAGGTAAAAACAAGGGAAGTCGGTATAAATTTTAAAACTACAAAATTAATATATTTAAATAAATTAGCTTAAGGTTGAGCCTGAGTATATTTATTTTAGCTAATAAAGCTGAATGATTATTGATTTTGCAGCTTATAACTTAAAATGGGTTTAAATTTGCTAAGCGTCAACAACGAGTTTGCACCATTTTCACCATTGATTTGTCTCTATTTTAACAATGGATTATTCTTTATGGAGGGAATGTATTTTTAGGCTGAATTTTGCTTTATTTTTGAACATCAGAATGTTTAAGCCATTCTTATAGTTTTTTTTTATTTTTCTGAACATAAAATTTGACTGATAAGAATAATTCAATTTTTAAATATAATATTAAATGAATTTTATTTGACAAGCACTTGCCAATATTCGCTTGGATTAATTAATTTTTTTCCTGCTTAATTCGAGAAAATAAGGTACCATAATCGTTTCTTAAAGATGGAATATTACCTATAAATAACAAGAGAAAAGGATAATAAAGTTAGGTTAAGTAAAAATTAGGGCTTGCTATTTAGTGTCTCTTCCTACATAAGCCTTCAAAGAAAGCTTCCTAGGTATGCCAGCTTTTCTGTAAGAGATAGTGCTCAGGCTTTCAGCTTGGCGATGTTTCTTTGAAGCCTTGAAGTGCGCAGTTTAAGGGCTCTACTGCTGCAGCTTCAGTGTCTGGAGTTCCAGATAGGAATAACTTTTGGCTCGTATTAGTATAGTTAGTGACACTGACTATACCAATAATGTACTCGCAGTCACCAGGAGTATGTCTTTTATCTCAAATGTCTATTGGGAAAACGCAAGCATTAATTTCAGATGATGCATACAAAATCCCTTGGAATACAACATTTAGACTCCATTTCCTGTTCAGCTTGGCTTTAGATTGCAGCAAGGTCCCCATGAATTGCCAATTAATACATTAATAAAGGATAAATAAACTAATAAATTAATGGATTTATTCTAATATAAATTGCCAAGCTCTTATAAGAGCTTGAATTCTTTGAATTTCTTATAAGAGAGTCATTATATGAAAATATAGATGACACCTGAATTAAGATAATTACTAATTGTTCTATTCAGTTTTTAGAGTTTTGATTAGCAGCAATAAATTTAATTATAGGAAATAATTTCATAAAAATATTAGTTTAGCGGAAAAATGCTAATGATAGTAAAAAGGACTTTTATACCTTTTTTCAGCTAGGCTATCAATTTTTTTAAGAAAATATTTTAAGAAGTTTAATTATAAATGATTATTATAATTCTCTCAGCATATTAAGCAGCATTCTGGCATTATTACCCTGAATCATCAATTTGTATTTAAAATAATGCGGCTTCCTTACTCCCCTCTCTTTAAGCGAGCAAAAACATTGGAAAATCCCTATTTTTGTTGAGAAAAATGCGAACAAAATGTTAATGATAAAAATATAATCTTTTGGCAATATTTAATAAAACGGCCCATTTATGTTCGAACTTGATGCTTAGAACAGTATTCCATGCGTGGATTCTGCATATTTCGACACTATAATGCTTTTCTCATTCAAGTTCGACTAAAAATTGATTCATTTTTTATTAAATATTTTTATTATAGCGAAATCTCATCTAATTCTGTTAAATTTTAAATTTAAAAAAAAATCAACCCTTTTGTGAGCAAGCAAAGTTTTTTGGATTAGTAACAGATGGGGGGAGTTATAGCTAGATACTTAAGCTTATTTAATTACAAACACTCCATATTTTACAAATGCAAGTAGAAGAACAGCAATCTTCCTTACCTTATAATGAAGTTGACAAGCTCCAAAATTATGGAATATATCTATATTATCCATAATATTTAGTGGTCACTACCACATAGACTATGCCATAGCACCTCCAAAATAGCACTAGACTAATTCGCGCTAATTTCCCCTCTGCCCACATATTGTGCCAACTTGAGCTCGATCAGACTCAGTAAATGAATCTTGAAATTTAAACTTCGGCAACTCTCTTTTAGCTCAGGCAGCTACTTGTGTCCGTTAGCGCTTAAAATCTCAATCTTCACAGCAGGATAAGTGGTAAATTCTAGAAATTACGACTCCCTGTGGCAGACTCTTGCTGGCTTGGGATAAAATTAACCAGGTAAAAACCAAATCTCATAATTAAAATATGAAAAAAAAAATTAGCCGAAAGGCCAGAAAATTTTGAACGATGCCTATTTTAATTATCCAAAGGCTATGGAATCAACGTAGCTGATATCAATAAGCTAAAAACTGCAGGGCTCTGCACTGTTCTTGGCGTCATCATGACAACTCGAAAAGATCTTATTAATATAAAAGGTCTATCTGATGCCAAAGTCGACAAAATCCTTGAAGCTTGTACCAAGCTTGAATCCGCTCATTTTATGACAGGAAATGAGCTTCAGAGTAAGCGTCAAATGGTTTTCCGCCTCTCAACTGGCAGCTCAGCTTTGGATATTCTTTATAATATAAATTAACAGCTAAATCCAATGCATTTTTTTAAAAAACAATTTTCTCATTTTTAAATTAATTTAATAAATATAGCATACTTTACTAGGTGGCGGTATAGAATCTATGTCAATAACTGAAGCTTTCGGTGAGTTTCGCTCAGGGAAAACACAAATTGGCTTAACACTCTGTGTTACCGCCCAACTCCCAAAAACTCAAGGTGGAGGAGAAGGCAAAGTTGCTTACATTGACACTGAAGGCACTTTTCGTCCTGATAGAATTGCCCAAATTGCAACCCGCTTCCAGGCAAATCCTGAAGAAGTATTAGAAAATATCCTCTATGCCCGCGCTTATACAGTTGAGCATCAGTTTCAGCTCCTTACCTTAATTGCTGCCAAAATGACTGAAGAACCTTTTTCCTTGCTGATAGTAGACTCAATTATGGCTCTGTTTAGGGTGGATTATTCTGGAAGAGGAGAATTAAGTGAAAGGCAGCAAGTTTTGGGGAAAATGCTGAGCAGGATCATGAAGATTGCAGAGCAGTTTAATGTAGCGGTCTATTTGACTAACCAAGTTATGGCTGATCCTGGAGGAGGAGCAAGCTTTGTGCCAGATCCAAAAAAGCCTGTAGGTGGGCATGTGCTTGCACATGCCAGTACCACGAGATTGTACTTGAGGAAAGGAAGAGGTGAACAAAGAGTTTGTAAAATTTTTGATTCGCCATGTCTGCCAGAAGCTGAAGCAACCTTTCAAATTGGACTTGGAGGAGTTGAAGAAGCAAGTGAATAAATGTTTTCTAATAAATTTTTACAAGATAGCTGCTTGAGAAATGGCTGATATAAGTAAATTAAGAAAGCTTAGTCTTTCCTATAGATTTTGCTTAATAAAACTTATCTGAATTTAGTTTATTATATACATTGAGGAGAATTTTATACTTTATTTATAGATTTTCTTATCAATCATTATTATATAAAAATTTCTTATATCTGCAGTGATTTTATACCTAAAATTCTAAAATTTTTTGATAAAATACAAATTAAGCTAACTTTTTTATTCATAAGCGTTTAATCTAAACTTATGACCCTTTGATCCAAGATAATAAGGAATTACTGGTAGGTAAAGGATAGCCAAATACCCAACAACCTTAAATGCTCCACTGACGCCTTGATAACTTGGAACATGACGGGAAAAAAACCCATATTCGTAATCAGGTGGAGTGCCTCTGACTGTAATTCTTTGCTTTCTTCCAAGGAAGGCCCAAACAATCTTATCAGCAAGTTTAGAAAATCTTCCAGGCGTAGACCATGGCTCAGGCTCGTGGTAGTGGCCTCTAATCTTGTCCATCTTTTCTAAGTGGCTCATCTTAAATATTATAAATGGTCTTTATGCTCATTTTCTAACAAAAATCTAATTTCTATCAGTATGGCTAAGATTATGAACCAAATTAAGCATATTTAATAAAATATGAAAATAGAGACTTTTCTATTAAATTCGTGAAAATAAAAGCAAATTGCTTAAAATTTATTTAAAAATATTACAATTTATCAATTTTTATATAAAATACGAAAAATTAGAAAATGCCCTCTTACATTCATGAAATCTCATAATTTAAATATGAATCAAGAAGTCATATGCGAAATCTTGACTGATGCCGGGAAACAAGGAAAAATCACCCTTTTATCAGCTCTTTATAGTTACGATAAAATTCTGCAGCAACGCCAAATTGATAAACTTTCAATAGCTGGGACAAACCTGTACAAAATTCTTCTGATCTGAGGAAGAGATAAAAACAATTTGTGATGGGAAAAATATGATAAAGAATTCGGGAGAGATTCTGGAGCATTGAAGCTTGATGAGCTTATATCTGCAAAAAATAAAGCTGATCCGCCAAGTTTCGATGAAAAAAGCGCTTTACAATTTCTTAAAACTATAAAAGAACAAGAACAAAAGGCAGAGCAAAACTCAAAATTGTTGAGCAGCTTAAAAGAAAGCTTAAGCTTTGGGCAAAAGGATTTTGACATATCAGTTTCTGCTGATTTTCACAATAATTTTGAGATTAATTCTATATTTCTATAAAAATTGAAAAAATTTATGGAAGATTCTTGATCTTTTTTATTATAAATATGATAATGAATTAAAAAGTTTTAAAGAAACTTTGCCGAAGTTTAAAGATTTTAATGAGCAGTTAAAAAAGCCAGTCGAAAAGACTATAGATACTTCAATGTTCAGAGCTGAATTATTTGTGAAAAAAATCAGCAAATTATATTTAAAAAAATTTTGGAAAAATTGGTGACGAGATTTAGGAGGAATCACAAAATTTTATAAGGAATCCCTTCTGAAAAAAACATTTTATGCTTTAACCTCCCATGTCCACAACAGTCTTCGGTTAAAACTCCTAGCAGAAAAATCCACAAAAACCTTAGGAACCATCAAACTAAGAATGTATTTTGAAGCTTGGACACAATATAAATTATTAAACTTAAGAAAAGAATTATCGTTAAAAATCGCTGACAAAATGTTTATGAAAAAGATATGGGAAATCTGGAAAAAAGAAATGAGAAAAACAGAAATTCTGAAGACCATGAAATATACTGCAAATTTTATTCACAAACAGTGGCTGCTTAAAAAGTCATTTCTTGCTTTAGCTAGACATGTGAATAAGAGCATGAATATGAGAGTATTAGAAGATAAAGCTATAAATAAAATAAATAACTTGAAGCTTGGTGTTTATTTTACAGCTTGGCTAGAGTTCAATAAAATAAGGCTTGAAGAGAAACTTAGTGAAGAATTTTCAAAAAAGATTGCTGATAAATTTTATATGAAAAAGATATAGAAGTTTCCTATGTTTGGCGCTGTTAGGCCGATAAATTCTGATCGGAATTTATCGGTAGGTTGCACCAAATCAATGCCTTGGTCGGACCAAAAAGCGATTTGGTCCGACGAACTTGGAAAGCTCCTGGGAAAATGTCTGCGCTTTTAGCGCTATATAGAGGAAACCTCTATATGGAGACTATGGAAAAGGGAAATGAAAAGGGTGGAAAAGCTAAGAGAAATAAAAAAATCAGTTCATATGATACATAATCAATGGCTAATTAAAAACTCCCTACTCCCCCTTAAAGAGCAAAAACCAAGAAAAGCCTAGAAAGTGTTATAAATCTTTTAAATAAATGACAATTTGATATATAATTAATGATTAAAAAAAAAGATCACTTTATAATTATAATACATTTTCATTAAGTTACATCCTTAAACATTATTTATCTTTTTCAAATATTTATAAGTTTAAATTATTAATATAAAATATCATTTTAATATTCAAATATTATTCCCTCTTACTTAGCGAGCAAAACTTTTTGCTGGCTAATCAAGGAGGAGGGAGTTATATGGGCTAGTTTGGAATGTCAATAGAAATACCAACTTAAAAATGCTTGAAATGAAGGCCATCGAAAAAATTGAAAACATTGAACGAAAAGTTTACTTTCAATCATGGCTTGAATATAACAGAATAAAATTAATCAAAAAAATAAATGGACTAAAAGGCGATGCAATTGAGCAAAAAGCTGACAGAAAATTATTGGTAAAAACAATAGCAGGGTGAAATGAGGTTGCACAGTGGTATAAATGCACAGCAGTTTTGTCTTCTAAAAGAATTATTCCCAAAATTGTTCAATCTTGGAAGAAATATACAAGGAAAATGAGGATGATAAAATATATTTATTCTACCTATGACGAAAAAAGTAAAAAATCATTGAAGGTAAACTCTTTTAATAATTGGCATCAAAAATTCAAAATCCTCAATAAAAGAAGAGAAAATAAAATAATTTCTAGCAAAATGATAAGAAAAAAATTATTGAAAAAATACATCAGCCAATGAACCAAAAAATATTCAAATAAAGTCAAAAAGCATCACATTTCTCATATAGGAGCAAAATTCTTTTTTGACAAAACCTTAACTAATTATTGGCAAATTTGGAGAAAATTGTTTTTAAAAAGAATTACAATCGAAATAAAAAGCGAGAATTATGGCAGGAGAGAGGAGACTTTAATTAGAAAAGCCATGAAAGGATGGTTTCTTGCACAGCCAATCATAAGAATTCAAAATCAAAGACTAAGAAGAATCAGAGAAGAATATGCTATTAATTTAGCGAAAAAATCAATAAAAGCATGAAGAGATAATATTGTTTATCATAAAACCAAAATACAGCTATATAATCATCTGCATAAAAGCATTGAGGTCATTAAAAAAAGACAAATTATTAAAGCTATGAAAATATATTCCGAGTGGAAAATCAAGCAAAATCAAAGAGACTCAATGCTTGTTACTCAAGTTTATAGGCTTAGAAAAGAAACAATAATGAAAAAATGATATAATAGGGCACTTCTATTTAGCTCCTGTAGGTATTTTGAAGAAGCCATGTTTAGGTACCAAAAGCGGTGCTTTATTAAAAAATTGGCTCAAAATTTGGAAATGCAACATTTAACGCTTGCTTATCTAGATATTCATAGAGAGCAAAATTTAATTAAAACAGTTTTTACTAACTGGCAAGGCTGGATTCTAAAGAAAAAAAGCTTAAAGTCGCGATACCTTAAATTCAAGCTGATTTCTCACAAGTACAAATTACTTAAACCTTTCGCAAGATGGAAAAGAGCTTATTTTGGTATAGCCTGTGCATTCCAAAGCAGATTTCTATATCTGAAAAACCAAGTTTTCCAATGGTGGGCAAATATTACTCAAAGAAAACACGTCGAATTGGAGATGCAAGCTGAAATGATTGAAAAATGCAAAAATCGGGAAAAATCAAGGGTTTTTTATTCCTGGCTTTGTGCTGCGATTAAAAGGCAGCAAGCCATTTTTAATGCAAACTCACTGATGACTATTAGATTACAAAAATGGTTTGACATGTGGAGAAAAGAATTTGCGTGAAAAATGCATAAAAATGAAGCAATAAATTATATACAGAGTGCGAACTCTTTATATAACCAGAGACGAGCACTTTTTATTTTGAAAAACAATGCTGATTATTCACAAGAAAAGAAAAACATGAATGAAAAAGCGTTTTATATGTACAAAATGAAGGTGGCAGGCAAAGTTATTAGCATTTGGCATGAAAATGCGAAAGAATTTTCTTCAAATAATGTGGAGGTAAATAAGATATTGGTGAAGGTTAATAAAAGAATTATTACTGAAGCTTTCAAAAGCTGGCTTGGAGCAGTTTCTCATAAATTCAGCAAAATGAAAGCAGTGAAATGAATGGAAGCGCAATTAGGTATTAAATCATTGAAAAATTCTATGAAAAAATGAAATAAAGAAGCCAAATCAGCTAGGGCTAAAGAAAATCTTGATAATTGCTTTGAAAAAATTTATGATAATATTCTTAAAAAAAGGTGCCTTAAGTGTTGGATCGTGAAGTCGTCAAATAGAAAAACGCTAAAATCCAAAGAAAATGCATTAAAATCTTTATCAAATACAAATACTCTATCAAGATGCTTAAAGAGTTGGACATCAGAAGTCAAATACAAAATTGAAACCAGCACAAAAAGAGAAAAAATAAATAAAAATTTCATAAAAAAACTCAAGTCAAAAATTCTCAAATCATGGAGGGATTTATCTGTAGACAGAAAAGTGATTATTGACAAATTAATTAAATTCAAGAAAAATTGCTCTCTTAAGCTATAGCTCTTTCCCTTGAATAGCCCGATAACAGGATGAAGCCAGCCGTTATCGGGCTATTCAAAGGGAAAGTGCTATATCCTCAAAAATATTAAAAGAAGTGCACAGCTATGCCGATAAAAAAATTATATTTAAAGAAAAATTGGGAAGCGCTTCAAATTCAATTAATAAGAGCAGAAAGTTATTTGCAATTAATAAACTCCATGAAAACGCAAATAAGAAAATAAACGCAAAAGAAATGATAAACACAGCAAATAAATTCAGAAAAATATTCCTCACGAAGAAGGCAATAATCTCATTAGCACACAATACAGAATTATCAAAATCGATTAAACTAAAAACAAGTGAATTTGTCTCATCTATTGAGTTTATACTGAATCATTTTAAGCTACAAAATAGTTTTAGCATAGTTAAGGGAATATTTTTCAATGAAAAAGAAATGCTTGGAACTGCAGAAAAAGAATTGAAAACATGCTCACTCAGAAGGGTTATTCAAGGATGGCTTAGAGAAGCAAGAACAAAAGCAAACTTGATATTGAAAAAAGAAATTTTATTGAAAAAAAGAAATGAAAAGATCGAAAAAGAGACATTAGAAACTTGGCAAAATATGATGAAACTAAGCTTTGCTGTCAAAAAATTCAGCTATAAATTAAAAAGAAAGAGCACCAAAAAGTTCTTCAGCAAATGGAGAAGCCAATTTAAATGTATTGAGTTTATCAAGCAAAAAAAATTCCTAATTAAATCAAAAATCTTCAAAAGTATCAAAAATTATGCAAAAACATCACATGATACAATTAAAAAACTTGAGTTTTCTGCGACAATAAAAAACACAAACTTCTCGTATGTAGTTTTTAATGCTTGGAAATCATATTACCTCAAAAACAAAAATGCTGAAGAATTAAGGATTAAGTTTGAGTCTAAAACAGAAGACTTGGTTAAGAAAATTCTTAAATCTTGGCATGAATGGGCTCAGAAATTCAGAAAAAATATTGAAACAGCAACAGCGTTTATCAAAAAGAAAGAAAATGATATTTTAAAAAAATATTATCAAATTATTAGGACTAATTATAAACAATTAGCCTTTAAGAGACATTTGGAAGGATTCTTATTGAGAAAAAGCATGATTTCGTGGCTGGAATTTGTGAATATTGATAAAAAATATGAGTTAATAGCAGAAGCTGCTCATGAGCAATTTTTGAAGCAGAAAACAATTGCTTTCTTTAAGAATTTGAAGCTTCTGCTGACTTTGAAGCAGAAAAAAGAAATAAATCATGAAAAAATATATTTTATTTTAAATAGATTAGCAGCTAGATTGTATTAAATTACCCATAAAAATAATAGTCTATTTTTATGCTAATAATCTTTATAAAAAGTTATATTACATATTTTGCAAAAAGGCATTTAACCAATTCCGACTTGCTTTTTATGCATCAAGAGCTAGCAAAAGCAGCAAAATAAAAGCAACCCAGCACATCCACGCAATCAGAAAACTTAAAGTCTTATATTCTTGGAAGTTATGGCTTCAGCAGCGCTTTGAAGCTCATATAACAGTAGAAGAGAACATGGTCAAAGCATACGAGCATTATCATCGATCTTTAATTTCAAGAGCCTTTTATGGGTGGGATAATGAGATTTCAAGCTCTGGCGTGAAAAAGACTAGATCAATTATGCATTCAATTTTCTCAGCATGGAAAATCGCTACAAGAGAAAGCTCTCTATTAAAGAGATATTTGAGAGAAAGCAATATCAGTGAAAGATATATGAGAACTTCTAGAGATCACCCTGAAAGCGCTTTGGTTACTTTAAGATCCGTAAGCTCTGTAGGGAGCATTTCTTCCCAATAATTCAATTTTTAAATAATTTAATTTCTGAAATTTAATAGGCCACTTCGTCTGAGTATTATGAAAAGAGTTTATAGAGGATCTTCTTAAATTGCATAATAATTTTTGCATTTTATAATTTAAAAGAATTTTATGATTTTGTAGATTCTTCTTCGCCCATTTTATCACAAATATTAAGGGCTTAAGTTTCAAAAATGTAGAATGCTATAATTATTATGAAGGCTAATAATATTCTCCCAGAAGCACCTAATGGTATTTACCCGAGACGTTTCAACAATGAGATACCTAATTATATACCACAAAAAAATATTAAAGAGCCTTTCCTTTCAACTCATACCGATAATCGTAAATCCACCTACAATGAGGCACCTAACAATTACCCCAATTCTGAGTCGCAAGCCCGCCCAAATCCAAATAATATTGAGCGTAAACCATCATATCCGTCAAAAAAATTAAATACTGAGCTTTTATCCAAAGAATATGAAAATCAGAAAAAAAATACATCAAAAATATCTGAAGAACCAACTCAAAAGCAGTCCCCAAAACTTAATTACCCAAGCATTTCACAAGAGCCAACTCAAAAGCAGCCCCCAAAAATTAATAACCCAAGCATTTCACAAGAGCAGCCCCCAAAAATTAATAACCCAAGCATTTCACAAGAGCAAGCTCAAAAGCAGCCCCCAAAATTTGAACTACCAAGCATTTCACAAGAACCAGCTCAAAAGCAGCCCCCAAAAATTGATAGGCCAAACATATCCGAAGACATTCCGTATGATTGTGTAGTAAATGTTGGATTAGTGAATGATATCACAGATAAAGAGGGAAAAGGCTGGCCTATTATATTCTCTAATTCATTTTATGAAACCTTAGAAGCTGAATATAAAAATCCTTCTCTAGAAGAAAATAAGGGGCCCCGTAATAGCAGCTCGAGCCTTAATGCAGAAGATAATTTCAATTCATACTGGTCTGGAGCAGTCGTTGCTATAGTCGGTCTTTACGATAAGGGTAAAACATTTGTCCTTAACAAATTAACTGAAAGCACCCTTCCATCAAGCAAAAAAGTCCACACGGAAGGACTCTCATTCAAACACGTGACTATGGATGGCTCCACAAATATAATACTACTTGACACTGCAGGCTCTTTTTCTCCTGTAAAAATTGAAAACGAGAACTCGATCACCTTAAAAGAGCAAGCAGAAAGCTTTATTTTAGATACCGTTTTCGAGCTTTCTGATTATTTTATTTGCGTTGTCAATGATTTCACTTTTCTTGATCAAAGATTTCTTGATAAAATCACTATTTCTCTTCAAAATACCCCAAAAAACAGGTTTAAAGAAGTCATTGTAATCCATAATTTTAAAGATGTAACAGAGCAAGAAGAAATTGATGATCTATGAAAATGGCAAGTAACACAGCTTTATCCAGGGCACGGCAATGCTTCTCAGATTACAAGAGTTACAACAAATTCTGCAAACGGCGAGTTTATAGAAAAAGATGTAAAATGGTTTAAAACTGAATTTACCAGACATGTTTATTTAGCAAACTGCAACTCTCAGATTGGACAAGAAATAAATCCTTGGACCTTTGCTTTACTGAAAAATTGACTAAAAAGTATTTTTATCCCTGTTGATAAATCAAGCTCAGTCACTAAATCAGTAATAAATAATATCCAAGAAAAATTAAGGCACTATTATGACAGCAGTGCTTCTGTTCAGCTTGAGCATACTAATGATAGACTTAAAAAAATTATAAAATCTACATCCTCTTCCAAAGGTAGAACTACTTATCAACAGATAGAGTCCAGCCCTTTTATTATTGTAAGTCCGAATAAATTTATGCCTTTAATAGAAATAATTGAAGACAGAGGCGAGTACAAGATTTTTATGGAAATTCCAGGGCTCTCTAAAGAAGATATAACCATCAAAAGGCATAACTTAACAACTTTCATTAACGGGATGAAGAAAAGACAAGAAGAAGGAGATAGTGCAAGAATTGTGCAGTCTCAAAGGAAGTTTGGAAATTTTGAAATTCCTTTCATAAATAAAATGGGCATTCGGCTCGAGTGAAATTAGCTCCGCTAATTTTCTCTCCCTCAAGCAATTTTATTTATGAGGTTAGGTTTTCTTCTGAGAACTTCTGTGCAGCAATAGCATTTTAACTCTGGCAGATAAGGTGAGGTACTACTCTAAGCACTTCAAGAGGCTAGAAAATTTTACTTCTCAGCACATCCGATGAAGGTGACCCTTAGGCGCAACGTGCAGGAGCTAAGTCAAAGGAGCGAGGCAATACAACCCGTCGTAATCGAAACGCTGTATTTGCCCGTGCCATAGCGCAACGAGTGGATCGATCCAGAGGTTCATGGTCCTGACATGTGGACAAATATGATGGCAGCTCTGGAAACGGCTACCCATAGTGGACGTTAAACGATATAAACTTAATGTAATGCTTGAAATTCCTTTCAAAATTCCTGAAGAGTATAACAGAAGGTGGGATAGTTATGAAATCAAGGACGGTATTTTGACGATCACATATAAGAAGGATGTAGATGACTAAAATAATAAAAATAATTATTTAAAAAGTGGAATTCAGGCCTATATATTTTTTAATTTACAAGTTTTTTTGGCTTTTTGTAGTTTTATTCAACTATTCAGCTGCAGCTTGATCAAAATAAAATAATTTTAATAATTTTTTATAGTGATCGAGATGCTGCTTAAAGGAAAAATTACTATTTTCTGATAAATAGACATAAGTTTATTTTAGCTTAAATCATTATAGAAGCAGCTATACTTTTACAGAGTATAATAAGGGTAAATTAGAAAGATTTCTATGATACCTTTTCTGAAAATAATTTATTATTATTCTTGGCATGTTTCGCATGGGTGACAGAAGTAGTGAATGAATGTCTGAGTCTAAGAATAGTTGTGCCTTTACCTTAGCCCTACAACTTCTTTAAATATTTCTAAGTTGATTATATCACAATACAGCACAAGTATGCAGCCAGGCAGCATATGCCACAGCAGCCAACTTTCATAAAAGTGATGTTATAAAAATTATTTATTTCCGCTTGTCATTTAACTTTTATTAGTATAACTAAGATTTTGAATAATTAGAGATAAATTCTTAGCTTGTTAGGGTGTTAGGGTGTTAGGGTGTTAGGGTGTTAGGGTGTTAGGGTGTTAGGGTGTTAGGGTGTTAGGGTGTTAGGGTGTTAGGGTGTTAGGGTGTTAGGGTGTTAGGGTGTTAGGGTGTTAGGGTGTTAGGGTGTTAGGGTGTTAGGGTGTTAGGGTGTTAGGGTGTTAGGGTGTTAGGGTGTTAGGGTGTTAGGGTGTTAGGGTGTTAGGGTGTTAGGGTGTTAGGGTGTTAGGGTGTTAGGGTGTTAGGGTGTTAGGGTGTTAGGGTGTTAGGGTGTTAGGGTGTTAGGGTGTTAGGGTGTTAGGGTGTTAGGGTGTTAGGGTGTTAGGGTGTTAGGGTGTTAGGGTGTTAGGGTGTTAGGGTGTTAGGGTGTTAGGGTGTTAGGGTGTTAGGGTGTTAGGGTGTTAGGGTGTTAGGGTGTTAGGGTTAGGGTGTTAGGGTGTTAGGGTGTTAGGGTGTTAGGGTGTTAGGGTGTTAGGGTGTTAGGGTGTTAGGGTGTTAGGGTGTTAGGGTGTTAGGGTGTTAGGGTGTTAGGGGTTAGGGTGTTAGGGTGTTAGGGTGTTAGGGTGTTAGGGTGTTAGGGTGTTAGGGTGTTAGGGTGTTAGGGTGTTAGGGTGTTAGGGTGTTAGGGTGTTAGGGTGTTAGGGTGTTAGGGTGTTAGGGTGTTAGGGTGTTAGGGTGTTAGGGTGTTAGGGTGTTAGGGTGTTAGGGTGTTAGGGTGTTAGGGTGTTAGGGTGTTAGGGTGTTAGGGTGTTAGGGTGTTAGGGTGTTAGGTGTTAGGGTGTTAGGGTGTTAGGGTGTTAGGGTGTTAGGGTGTTAGGGTGTTAGGGTGTTAGGGTGTTAGGGTGTTAGGGTGTTAGGGTGTTAGGGTGTTAGGGTGTTAGGGTGTTAGGGTGTTAGGGTGTTAGGGTGTTAGGGTGTTAGGGTGTTAGGGTGTTAGGGTGTTAGGGTGTTAGGGTGTTAGGGTGTTAGGGTGTTAGGGTGTTAGGGTGTTAGGGTGTTAGGGTGTTAGGGTGTTAGGGTGTTAGGGTGTTAGGGTGTTAGGGTGTTAGGGTGTTAGGGTGTTAGGGTGTTAGGGTGTTAGGGTGTTAGGGTGTTAGGGTGTTAGGGTGTTAGGGTGTTAGGGTGTTAGGGTGTTAGGGTGTTAGGGTGTTAGGGTGTTAGGGTGTTAGGGTGTTAGGGTGTTAGGGTGTTAGGGTGTTAGGGTGTTAGGGTGTTA